ACTAAGTGTAAAGTTGATTCTTTTTGAATATTGTAATCAGCTAAAGTTCTACCATCTTCTAATTGTTTACCAGCGAAAATCAATCTTTGTTGGTCTGGTGGAATACCTTCTTTGTCTTGGATTTTAGATTTAACATTGTCAATAGTATCGGATGATTCGACTTCTAAGGTAATGGTTTTACCGGTTAAGGTTTTAACGAAAATTTGCATACCACCTCTTAATCTTAAGACTAAGTGTAAAGTTGATTCTTTTTGAATATTGTAATCAGCTAAAGTTCTACCATCTTCTAATTGTTTACCAGCGAAGATTAATCTTTGTTGGTCTGGTGGAATACCTTCTTTATCTTGGATTTTTGACTTAACATTGTCAATGGTGTCAGAAGATTCGACTTCTAACGTAATAGTTTTACCGGTTAAGGTCTTAACGAAAATTTGCATTGTAATTGATTAATTAAAAAAATAAACTTAATAAAAGTTAATGATTATAAATCCTTTAGGGGGCAATCGGCTGATTTATATAGTTTTCGGTGAGAGATTAAATGGTTACTAAAACAAAAAAAGAAATTACAAAACCACAAAAAAGTGCGTCACACAAATTATTAATAGAAATAGACGGAGTCTTTCTAAGGAGGATTGACGACTGGAAAGTCCATTCAGATGCCCGAGATGATCAATATGATCGATTGGCTTCGACTTTACCAATCTGATGATGTTTTAAAGTTGTAATAATGTTACCAAAACCCCTTTTGACACAGTGGCTGGATAAATGACATTTGCGAAAACTTTCCATAATATTCTAATCGGATATCAAGGCACGTGATGATAACTATGATTGCGCGATGAGTTCCGGGAAAAATCTGTGGTAGCAAAGACGAAACCCCTAATTTGTACGGGGAAATTTCCTCATGGGGAACCGGTATGGATATCATGTGACTAAAAGTTTCTTTTTTCTCAACGGTTGGTAAGTTATAGGGTTGTTTACATAGAGTTGACATGAGCAATTTAATATTAGGGCGATGGTGTATACGAATTGTTCCGAATAGGTCATTGAGATGAACCAGCTGTTTCTTTAAGGGTAAAGGAGGAAATCTGATGTTAACTTAAAAATGGCATCCCGTGCAGAGTGAACAAGATCTTTAGCTAAACAAAATTTCATAGCTAAACAAAATTCATAGCTAAACAAAAATTCATAGCCAAATTAATCGAAATCAAATCATGGGTTTTGAAACTTATCATAGAATATTTAGAATAACAAATTACCAACACACTACCAGAGATTACTCACTTTCCAGTTATCGATGGTGCCGAATTTTTATTCCGCACAATTTTCGGTTATCAATGTCCATAGAGACCTCTATTGTTGATAAACCAAAGTGATTTCCATATGATCTGGGAATTTTAATCAATAAACTTGTAATTGTCAAGTCAATTAGTTGTGAGAGAATGTTATTTGAACTTCAACAATGTAATTGTCGTAATTCAACACATTCCATTGACTGAACATAGATTAGACTTTCGGAACCATAACTTGCTATAAAAAATTCAATTCCTCTTCCATGATCAATCCAGCATATTCTGTACACTTATATTCTACTTTCTGATATTAAACTTGGACCCCCTCTTATTTAAATTTTCAGTATAATTGCGTTCCTATGGAAGCTCCTATTTTGCAGCCATTGAGACATTTTTAATGTCACAAGAGACCATTCCGTGAGGATTTGAGAAAATTTTTTTTATAGTAATCAGAAACTATAACCAATAAGTAAGTTTATTGACTTATTGTATAACTGATTTCCACGTCAACTAGGTAAATTTCAATTGATTATCTATTGATATTTAATCATATTGAGATTACTATAAATTAAATCCATTTAAAACCATTTTAAAATCCTTATATTCACATCGGGTTTTAGCATATAGTGTGATATATTATCATTTTAGTTGTTAATTTCCTTATTATTTAATCATTTTATTATTACATTTCATTTAAAAAGTTCATCCACAATGTATTAGTTAAGTGCCAACTTCCCTAATTCATTTTCTTATAAAAAAAAAGCCAATTTTTGTTTTTATAAAGAGATCATATTACAAATTTACCGTGTTTCACCATAAATTAGTGAACATTTCTTATTATTTAATTCTTCAAATTATTACAGAAATTACCCCGATAACATTAACAGAGAGAAAACAACATGTCAAAACCGAATCCGTCGTTCAATTATGATTTGGAGATTTTCAAATTATGTCAAAAATTCATTAGGGATAAAAATCATCATGGATTAGCTTTAATCGCAAGGCAAAAAGGTTTACCACCATTTTTAAGGTACAAAATTTGGCCCATCTTATTAAAATATCATCCATATGTTATAAATCCTTCAATTCAACCTGATGTATTGAAATCAAGTGATGAGAATTCTGAAGGTAGTGAACCAATAAATAAAGAAGAATTGTTGGCTAAAATTGAAAAAGATCTTAAGAAGTATTTGACTCGTTTGAAATATACTCAACAAATTAAAGATTTGAATGAAAATGAATTGAAAATCTTCGAAGTTTTAAAAGATGCAATTTTCAAATTTTTAATTAAATGGGGGAAAATTATTAAGTATGATAGTTCATATAGTTGGATAGCTTTAGGGTTGGCTGAATGGTTCCCACCAATACCTGATACTTATTGGGTTTTGGTTGGTAGAGATATACCTTCAAAAAGTTCTAAACCAAATTCAAATTCCTCAAATTCTTCATCATCAACTATTTCAGATATTGAACAACCAACCGTTATCAAAGATTTATTTCTCGATTATTCTAATTATATTGAAAATTTGAATCTCAATTCAAGTGATGAAGAATCAAGTGAATCAATTGATTTGAATGGATCAACAGTTTTTTCACCCGATACTCATTTAGTTGAAAATGATGTAACTGAAAATAGTATGAAATTTTATGAAGTTTTCGAAAGATTAGTGTTAGTTTTATTACATTGTCCTCAAAATAAATTGAAACAAGATAATAAAAAATACGAAACTTTAAACAATGAAAAATTCTTGAATTTACCAAAAAATGGTGGTTCAATTGAAGAAAGAGTTACATTTTTCATTTATTTATTAAGAAAGTTATTACCTGAATTATCTAATTATTTCAGTGAAGAACAAATCTTGAATAAATTTGGTGCTAATGATGATGAATGGCTAATTTGGTGGTTGAAATATTGTGGGTCTAAAGTTTGGTCAAGGTTAGATAGAGGGAAAATTTGGGATAATTTATTAGGTTTCAAATTCAAAAGTAAAGGAAAAAATTATAATGAAACTGTTTTACATTTGAATAATCATTTGTTATCAAAAATTGGTACTGATAATTTTTGGACTTTAGAATCAAATTTTGGTTCTAATTCTTCAACTTCCCTAATTAATTTATCACAGTTGACTATTAATAATGAAGACAATGATATACCATTTCCTAAAATGAATCCTCATGTTCAATTGATCTTTATTACTTTGGCCTTGTTGAAATGTCGTGAACATGTTTTGAGTGAATTGGATCAACATGAAATCAGACAATATTTATCAAGATTACCTACCACATCATATTCGTTTTCTAATAAATATCAAATTTTCAAACAGAAAATAGAAAAGAAAAGAGAAGAAGAAAAGAATAAAGAGAACAATATTACTAATACCCCAAATTCCAAGAATTCAAGATCTTCAACCATTAGCGATTTAAGTGATTGTTCACCTGATTCACCTATTTCTCACACTTCAACTTCAACTTCCTTATCATTAGCTACATCTCCAACAGATCAAATCATTTCCAATGATTCCTTAAATAATCATTCCATCGATTTAATGGATTACGTTATTAATGAAGCTGGTGAATTATGGAGAAAATGGTTATACTTAGAATCTGAAGCAAATAACAGTATTTAGATACAGATATACGATTAACGATTAATTTCTTTGACTTTTTTCATGGTTTTTTCTGACTTCTAGTAAATTTTTGATTATTTTGGGGATTGTTTTCATCAATTAAAATGTTCTGTCACTTTTTTGATATTTTTTGCAAAAATTACATTTCATCTGCTCAAAAAAACTGACAAAATTATTAGAGTTTAAATATCAACAGATTCCAACTAAAACAGAAACTTTGATTATACCTGTCATGAATTGGTATATGGTAAAACACAAACACGTCTTATTTCAGCTCATCGATCTAAAATCTTAGTAAAAGAACACGTATGAGAACGCCTAATGCACCTTTACTTGAACCTTAATTCCCATAAGGTTTTTGTACCTCTCGCCAATTATTTGAACACCTTCTGGAATGGAAATTGTCAATACACTATTCTTTGACTGACATTAGCATCCCTTCATGCTTTCTTCCAATCTCTAAGATCATTCTATAAAAGTTGAACCTTCTGAAAGGATTGAACGCGGTAGTCGCGCTTTCAAGAAATAAAAAAATTTTGATTTAGAAGATAAAAGGAGGTTTATACCAAAATTTAACCTTGAACCAAACTTAAAGAACATCCTTTGGTTTATAATATTCATATTTAGGTAGATTTGAACATATTCCTTGAATTGTGTTTGAATAATTTTGAAAAATCCATTTTTTTCTATTGTATCACATTTGAATTTTATAGTGTTCTGGAATCTTTAACAATTGAATTTACAAAATTTTTTACTTTAATTTGGTATAATGCAACAACCACAATCAAAGTTTGCCCAAAAGCATCCATATCATTTCAGTACCACATCTTCAGTATATGATCAAAATGATAATAACCCTTATAAGGGAAGTACTGATGTAATTGCTGAAGAACCATCAATTGAAACAAGTTCAAATAAAATACCCAATTCAAGCCAAGATCTGTTTGGAATTCAGTCTATCAATTCATTCAATTCCATCAGTCCTAACAATCAAGTAGATGAAGACGTTACCCCGAAGATTCCTCAAATAAGTAATTATAAAGATCAATTGGATGATAAAACTCCTTTGATGAATGAATCAGCCACATTTAATCGTTTGAGTCAAACCAGTAGTCCTATATCACCAAACCAAGTAAGCCCGAATCTAGGTCAATCATTTCCAAAACAGAATTTGAATAATAAATTCAAAAGATTATCAGTGACTTTGCAATCATCAAGTTTAAATGCATCTGATGGATCTCATAAATTTATGAATAACTTTAACAACAATGTTAGATCAAGTATGATTGAACAACAACAACAGCAACCTCCAGAACATTCAAAGAATAATAGAGTTAGTATCTATTATAATAAGATTAACGATGCGGTAGTTGAAGATGAAGGAAATAATACTCATGATATAGTTAGAGAAAATTCTTTTAAAGCTCATGAAACAGTTTCAATTACTAGTTCTGTAAGTAATAGATCTAGTTTTGTAAGTACAGAAGAATCTAAACATTCTACTTCTGAGAGTTATGAATCATCATCCAATTCAGCCTTTAATTTTACTAATAATCCTGGTAAAGTTGTTCCATTGAAAGTCGTTAAAAATACTTCAATTCCAATGGATGAAATACCTGCTAGAAAAGATTTACTTAAAAAGCTGAAGCAAGAAGAATTAGATAATGATTTTAAAGGACTTAATATCAGTTACAAAGAGAAATCCGATCAAACTTTATATCATGATGCTGAAAGTCATAGCAGTGATACGAAACTAGATCAACCAATAGATAGACGTGAAGACATAAACAATATGGGACAAGATGATGAAGACCTTTCTTCATTATTTGTTCGAGCTTTACACCCATTTGATTCATCAATCCTACAAAGTGAGGCCGATGCTTCAATTTGTCTTGCATTTGAAAAAGACGATTTGGCAGTGGTTCACACTATCGATGAAAGTGGATGGGGTGAAGTTACCTTGATTGAAACTCTACAAAGAGGTTGGGTTCCAATGAATTTCTTCAAATTTGCTATTGATGATAATGATGATAGTGATGAAGATTATGAATTCGAAGAAGAAAATGAAAATTTTGATGATGGTAAAATTCCAAACAGTGCATTCTTAAAACCATTATTCGATTCATGTGGGAAATTTTTGATTAATCCATTATGTCATAAAAATCGTTATGGTAACTATACTTTTTCAATTAGAATTATCAATTCTGTCAGGGATGGAGTTAAAATGTTATTAGAAGATACCGATTGTATATCTAGATCTAGTGAGATCGTAACTAAAAGACCTATAGTCAGAAAGGCAAGGAAATCATTATTAAGTGATTGGTATAATTTGATGGTCAAAGCTAATGATTTCAAAGGAACTTCAAATTTCAATAAAATTGAGATCTTAACTTTGATGATTTATCAAGTTATTAGAAGATCAATTGAATTCTTGAAAATATGGTCAATTGAAAGTAAACAAATCATTAAGAAAGAAAATGAAAAGAAATTACAAAACGATATGAATAATTATCCTTTATTACCAACTCCTCCATTAGCAAAGGAAAGAGTTACTGAAATCAATGGAATCTTATATTCATATCTTGGATTAATCATTGGAAGATTAGATCTTATTGAACATAATTCTGTTGGATGTGATTTGTTAGAAACTTTAACTCATCATATAATCTTATTATTAAGAGAATTGTTGTTCATTTCAAGAACAGGATCCGATGCATCATCTAAAAAACCTTCGAATTTAGATAATTCTTTGGATAATCTTTTATCTTTAGTAAGTGATTTAGTTACAGCAGTCAAATGTTTAGTTATTAAAACATTGAATGAATCAGTTGATGATCAAAGATACCAAATTAACCATAATCAATTACAACAAATCAAACAGGATGAAACCAAATCTAAAAATGTTTATGATTATTATTATACACCTGAAGGAGGAGAATTAATTCAAATTTGTGCTAAAATGATTAAAGAAATTCATTTAACTGTGTTATCAGTCAGAAAATTGTTTCAAATAACTGGTAATTTCAAATTAAATGCCCAAAGATCATATCCTGATTATTCAAAGATGAGAATAGAACCAGTTGAATTCATTCGTCAATGTAGTATTGGTATTGCTAAATCTAATACTATTAAGAATCGTCAATTGAAAAGTATTCAACCAACGAATAAGAATGTTTCAAATAGATATTCAATTATGAGATCAGGCAAAACAGGAGAATTATCATTAACTCCAGGAGGTGCTGGATTATTACATGATGTATTATTAAATGATATTGATGGATCATTTTCAAAAGATCAAGATTTTGCTAAATTTACTGATTCTAAACCACGAGAAAATATCTATAATCATCAAGATAATGAAGTTAAAGTTGAAAATGAATTATTGGTTGATGCTCAAGCCAAATTATTAGGGGCTTCATTCAAAGGATTGGTTTATATTTTAACTAATGAAGATGCTCCACCTGATCATTTTTTCATTTCAACTTTCTTCCTTTTCTTTAGATATTTTGCTAATGGTAATGATTTAGTTGAAGAATTGATTACAAGATTTGATATGCAAAATACTTTCTCCAAAAATCCTAAAACTAAAGATATTGTTAACGGTGATTTGAAATTGAAAAATCGTAGAAAAGCCGTTTTACAAATATTTGAAATTTGGTTAAGTAGTTATTGGAATTTTGATACTGATTATCATTTATTACCAACATTAATTAATTTCTTCAATGAAGGAGTTACTCAATTCTTACCAATTCATGCTATGAAATTATTAGATATATCAGCATTATTATCATCAAAACCATTAACTGAAAAGACTCCAATACCAAAATATAGAAGAAATAGTCATCAATTGATTAAAAGAAGAATTTCAATGACTGGTGTTGCTATTAAAAGTATTGAAATTACCGACAGTTCAAGATATTCAATGACTTATGATTATGATTTATCTCATAGTAATACTAATTCTTCAACATCATCAATTCAATCAGTTACTTTACCATTCATTGAAACTCCAAATGAAAATACTAAAAATCAAATTTCAACTATTGAAAAATTAGATTTAACTTATAGAGCAGTTATTGGTAATAAATGGTGTCAAAATAATTATATTAATGATAAACATTATATACCACTTGAATTATCACAAATTTTACCTAATTGGTGTGAAATTTGTGATGAAAGTTGGGTTTTAACAAGTTATAGACCAAATTTGATGGATTTTAAACCAGCTGAATTATCAAGACAATTAACCATCATTGAATCTTTTATTTTTTGTAATATTAAACCCATTGAATTATTACATGAAAATTATTCAGCTAAGAGATCTAACTTAAAATTAGCTCCAAATGTTAGACAATCATTATTATTCACAAATTGTTTATCAGCTTATGTTTTGGAATCTATTTTACAACCAAATATTACTAATAAATCAAGATTACAATATATTCAATTTTGGTTAGAAATCGGTATTAAATGTGTTAATTTAAGAAATTATAATTCATTGGCTGCTATTATAACTTCATTACAAAGTCATTTAATTACAAGATTAACTAAATTATGGGATGAATTATCATCAGAATATTTTGACTTGTATGAATATTTATCAGGAATAATTCACCCTAATAAGAATTATACTGTTTATAGATCCAAATTAAGAAATTTAATGACTAATGAAACAAGTTTACCAAAAGTTCCATATTTCCCATTATTTTTACAAGATTTAACTTTCATTAGTGAAGGTAATCCAAATTTCAGAAAAGGTAATGATTTCTTAAATAAGAAGTTGATTAATATTGATAAATATTTAAAGATTACTAGAATTGTAGCTGACATTGAAAGTTTACAAATTCCATATCCAACAATCATTTCTAATGATAGTAATAATAATTTGACTATTCAACCAATGCCTGCATTACAAGAACTTATATTGTTAGAATTGTGGAAAGTCAATCAAGTAAATAAGAAGGAAGAAGATCGTTCATGGAAATTAAGTTGTGTGATTCAACCTCGTGATGCCAACTAGAGATAATCAGTCTAGAGTGTGGACACAGAAGACGTAAAAGACGTTAAAGAAAGAAAAGACTGATCTTAACAGATCAAACTAATGTAAGATGAGATGCAAATTGTAGATTATGTAGTGTTATGTATTATAAGTGTTTCGTTTTTTTTTTTTCCGATGTCATAGTAATTCTCTGATACCATCTCCTGATCTCCAACACACTACCCCAATCTCCAATACACTCCCCAAGGTAGAATATACTTTCTCAAAACAACTCTATATCACGTCCCATCTCTGATCTCAATCTAATCTAAGTCGCGCACCAACCAACTTTCTTGCTGCAAAAAATCACTTTGAGTCATATCTACAGAAAGTAAGCAGAAAACTCGATTAGATAATTGGTGAGAAAAAAAAATTTCACCAGATCATAGTTAAAGATGTTAAGAACTAGACAATCTTTAAAAGCATTTAATGTTTTTACTAGAAGAAATTTAGCTACTCAAGGTTTCAATATACCTGAAGAATTTCAATCTAGAGCTCCACCTTATGAAAAATTAATCAATAATTTAAATCAAGTTAATAAAGTACTTGGTGATAAACCATTAACTTTAGCTGAAAAACTTTTATATTCACATTTATGTGATGTTGAAGAAAGTTTAAGTGGAGCTAATGGAGATTTATCAAAAATCAGAGGTCAACAATATTTAAAATTAAATCCTGATAGAGTTGCAATGCAAGATGCTTCAGCTCAAACGGCTTTATTACAATTTATGACTTGTGGTATGCCAAATACTGCAGTACCAGCTTCAATTCATTGTGATCATTTAATTGTTGGTAAATCAGGAGCTGAAGATGATTTAGTTTCTTCAATTGCTACCAATAAAGAAGTTTTCGATTTCTTACAAAGTTGTGGAGAAAAATATGGTATTCAATTTTGGGGTCCAGGTTCAGGTATTATTCATCAAATTGTTTTAGAAAACTTCTCAGTACCAGGTTTAATGATGTTAGGTACTGATTCTCATACTCCAAATGCTGGTGGTTTAGGAGCTATTGCTATTGGAGTTGGTGGTGCTGATGCTGTTGATGCATTAACTGGTACTCCATGGGAATTAAAAGCTCCTAAAGTTATGGGAGTTAAATTAACTGGTAAAATGACTGGTTGGACTTCTCCAAAAGATGTTATTACCAAATTAGCTGGTATTTTAACCGTTAGAGGTGGTACTGGTTATATTGTTGAATATTTCGGTGAAGGGGTTAAGAATTTATCATGTACTGGTATGGCAACTATTTGTAATATGGGAGCAGAAATTGGTGCTACTACTTCAACTTTCCCTTATCAAGATGCTCATCGTAGATATTTATATCAAACTCATAGAGGTCCAATCGCCGATGCTGCTGATTTAGCCAATGGTAAATATAATTTCTTAACTGCTGATGCTGATGCTGAATATGATAAAGTTATTGAAATTGATTTAAGTACTTTAGAACCTCATATTAATGGTCCTTTCACTCCAGATTTATCAACTCCAATTTCTAAATTTGGTGAAACCCAAAAACAAGAAAACTGGCCTGAAAAAGTTTCTGCTGGTTTAATTGGTTCATGTACTAATTCATCTTATCAAGATATGAGTAGAGCTGTTTCAATCATTTTACAAGCAGAAAAAGCCGGTTTAAAACCAAAAATTCCTTTCTTTGTTACCCCAGGTTCTGAACAAATTAGAGCTACTATTGAAAGAGATGGATTAACTGAAACTTTTGAAAAAAATGGTGCTATTGTTTTAGCTAACGCTTGTGGTCCTTGTATTGGACAATGGGATAGAACAGATATTTCTAAAGATTCAAGTGAAACTAATGCTATTTTCACTTCATTTAATAGAAATTTCAGAGCTAGAAATGATGGTAACAGAAATACTATGAATTTCTTAACTTCTCCTGATGTTGTCACTGCTATGATTTATTCCGGTGATATGAATTTCAATCCTTTAACTGATGCTATTAAATTACCTAATGGTGGAGATTTTAAATTCTCTCCTCCTGAAGGTAATGAATTACCTGATGAAGGTTTCATTAAAGGTAGAAATGAATTTTACCCTGAATTAAATCCTCAACCAAAACCTGATGTTAAAGTTGAAGTTTCCCCTGAATCTGATAGATTACAAATCTTAGAACCTTTCCAACCTTGGAGTGGTGAAGAATTATCCACTAATGTTTTAATTAAAGTTGAAGGTAAATGTACTACTGATCATATTTCAGCTGCTGGTGCTTGGTTAAAATATAAAGGTCATTTAGAAAATATTTCTTATAATACTTTAATTGGAGCTGTTAATAAAGAAACTGGTGAAGTTAATACTGCTTATGATTTCAATGGTGATAAATATGGAATCCCTGAATTAATGATTAAATGGAAACAAGATGGTCGTCCTTGGAATGTTGTTGCTGAACATAATTATGGTGAAGGTTCAGCTAGAGAACATGCTGCTTTATCACCAAGATTTTTAGGTGGTTCAATCATTTTAGTTAAATCATTTGCTAGAATTCATGAAACTAATTTAAAGAAACAAGGAATGTTACCTTTAACTTTTGCTAATGAAAGTGATTATGATTTGATTTCTTCAGGAGATTTATTAACCACTATCGACTTAAAAGATATGATAGCTAAAGACGGTAATAATGGAGGTAACTTAAGAATGAAAGTTACCAAGAAAGATGGTTCAACTTTCGAAATCTTATGTAAACATACCATGTCAAAAGATCAAGTTGATTTCTTTAAAGCTGGTTCAGCCATTAATCATATTGGTAACTTAAAAAGACAACAATTGTAATATAGCATATATAGCATAATAGATATAAAGAGAATTTTCAATGACAAATGTATATAACTAATGATAACGTCTAGAAGTAAATTAGAACAAAAATATTAAACTTTTTCTTTTTGGAAACTTTCAATGAAGAAGATTATGATGAACCTTTTAAGCATCAATTAAATTTTGAGACTTGTTGGCATCTTCTTTATCTTCATCATCTTCATCATCTTCATCATCTTCTTGTTCTCTTTCTCTTTCATAAAATTCAGCTAAAATCTTAGGACTGATTCTATTTAACATTTCTTTAGGATAAATTCTTAATAATGACCAAGCTAAGTCTAAAGATTCGAAAACAGTTCTATCTTCATAAGCACCTTGAGAAATAAAGTTCTTTTCGAATTTTTCTAAAAATTCTAATGATAATTTATCTTCAGTAGATAAAGCATCTTCCCCAACAACAGCTTTCATAGAAGCAGCATCTCTACCAATAGCATATTTGGCATATAATTGATTAGAAACATCACCATGATCTTTTCTAGTCATACCTTCACCAATAGCGGATTTCATTAATCTTGATAATGATGGTAAAACATTAATTGGTGGATAAATACCTTTATTGTTTAATTGACGATCAATGAAAATTTGACCTTCGGTAATATAACCAGTTAAATCAGGAATTGGATGGGTAATATCATCATTTGGCATAGATAAAATAGGAATTTGAGTAATTGAACCATTTCTACCATCAACTCTACCAGCTCTTTCATAAATAGTTGATAAATCGGTATACATATAACCTGGGTAACCTCTTCTACCTGGAACTTCTTCTCTAGCAGCAGAAACTTCTCTTAAAGCATCAGCATATGATGACATATCAGTTAAAATAGTTAAAACATGTCTTTCAGTTTGATAAGCTAAATATTCAGCAGTAGTTAAAGCCAATCTTGGAGTAATAATTCTTTCAATAGTTGGATCATTAGCTAAATTTAAGAATAAGGTAGTTCTTTCTAATGAACCATTTTCTTCGAAATCTTGTTTGAAGAATCTTGAAGTTTCTAAATTGGCCCCCATAGCAGCGAAAACAATGGAGAAATTATCTTCATGACCATCATGAACATCTTTAGTTGGTCTAACTAAACCAGCTTGTCTACAAATTTGAGCAGCAATTTCATTATGAGGTAAACCGGAAGCTGAAAAGATAGGAATTTTTTGACCTCTAGCAATAGAATTCATAGTATCAATAGCAGAAATACCAGTTGAAATCATTTCTTCAGGATAAATTCTAGCGAATGGATTAATTGGTGAACCATTAATATCTATATAATCTTCAGCAAAAATCTTTGGACCTTTATCAATTGGTCTACCTGAACCATCAAAGATTCTACCCAACATATCTTCAGAAACTGGTAATTTCATTGATTTACCAGTGAATTCAACTGTAGTCTTTTTAACATCAATACCAGCAGTACCTTCGAAAACTTGAACAATAGCTTTAGAACCTCTAACTTCTAAAACTTGACCGGCTCTAACTGACCCATCTGGTAAAGTTAAGTTAACAATTTCATTATAACGTGGGAATTTAACATCATCTAAAATAACTAAAGGTCCATTAATACCTCCGACAGTATTATAATTGACTCTTGGTTTAATGTTAAATCCTTCAGTAACTGCCTTTTTGTTTAAATCGTATAATTCCTTGTCAGTTAACATTGTTAATTGTTTTATTAATTGAAATGTTTACTTATTCCTTTATACTTATTGGGTTGGAAATAAGTTCAATTTGACCTAATTTGATAAGGAGTTTCTCGAATTGTCAATGCTCGTTGAACGAAATTTTCAGTCTGAGATTTACGCTGACGCTCTGGTTTTTACCTTAGAAAATGTATGTATATTATGGATTTATATATGGAATGAAGTTAGTACATCTTACTAATGACGTCCCAATCTTCAAGTTGAACTTTCAGTTGTGCCATCATTTGGAGAGTATCGGAAGTTAATTTGGGATTTTTAAAAACTGAATTTAAATCGAATCGGTCTTTTGCGTTGACCATTATATCATGAATATCTCTAGTCATGACCTTCAAGTCTACGGTATTGTTCTCTTCAGCAACTTGTAAGTTATTAGGTGACGGTGGAATGATACTGGAAGGTTTACGAGATAATTTCCCACTGAAATTACCATAAATTTCTTGATCTTTTTTAGTCATGGACTCTTTGAATAGATTACTGTATAATTTATGAAGTTTACTTGATTGAAGAGAAGGTTTCTTCTTCAAATCAATTTTGTCTATTGTATCAATGCCATCATCGTAAGATAAATTAGGCGAGGATGTGATTGAAGATGTACTAGTATCAGGACTTTTCAAATCAATGATTGATAATTTATAATCGAAATAAACATTCAATGAATAAATTTTCCATAAGATCTTGTCAAAACTGTAGTCTGAATATTTATCGTCATTACCTCTCAATTGATTTAACGTATCAAAAATCAAATTATTGGTCTTGGGTATGATATCAATAGTGTGGGAGAAAATAGTTTGGAAGTTGATGATGATTTTAACTAGTATCAGGAGAAATTTAAGGTATTCTTTAGATGACAATTTAGTGAAAGGCTTGGTCAATATCTTATGAGGCACAATAACCACTTTCTTACCTGTGATACTTCTCTTCAAAGTAGGTTTTTCGGGACTGGCATGTGGAGGGGAATTTTTGGGTATCGTTCTTGGAGATATCGATGTAGTCAAAGGTGCATCGAAGTTTGGTTTTGGAGAATTCTGTTTCTTTATTGGAGAACCATTGGGGGTTTGTGGAGAAGGCAGAGCACTATTTCGCCTTATTATACTTGCACGTCTTAATTGACTATTGATGGTTTTCGATGATAAAGGTAGTTTGATTTCATTTCCAAGCTTCACCACTCTTTCATTATCAACCTCATTTATATCCATTGGTATCACCTCCTCTCTTTCATCATCAACATCAATTTTCCCATCATTTATCATAAAACTCTCCTTCTGTTGAACGAGATTGAAAAACTCCGAGTCGGGTAAATAACCTTTCAATTCTTCCATATATGGTAATTTGAAGTTGAACATATCCACCAATTTTAGTTGTAACCGAATAAGATTTTCGATGAATTGATTTAATTGGAATAGCTTGGTGTTGAAATGGAAGAAATCAGAAATCTTTATTATGGGTTGATTGAAGAAAAGCAAATGACTTTTGGCAAGGGAAGACTTATCAGTGAACACCAACTCTTTGAATATCTTAAAATTGTTATACTGTATTTGTATCGATTGTTTGGAAATCCTTATAATCTTCTCATGCTTTATCACGTACATTTCACCAGAAACGTCTTTCATATTCTTCTGGTATTCTTCCACCATCCTCTTATTCATATTTTTCAACTGTGAATTCCATTTACTCGAATCCTCCTCACAATTGACTATTTTTTCATTTAAACTAATAACTTTCTGCTGTAGTGACTCAGTAGATCTCTCGATGTTTTTGATTTTTATATGAGAATTTATTAATTCTAACTTCAAAAGTTGCAATGCTAGTACTTTAATGGAGCTATATGATGTGTCGATGCCTCTGGTTTCATAATGTTGTCGTATATCAATATCATTATTCTTTATTTTACTAATAACATCAAATATCTCGTTTATCTCCCTTCTTTGATCATAGTTGGTTTTATCGTTATCGATACATGAATTCCGTATTATCTCCAACCTATCTTTACTACAATCACTACATATAAGATCATGTCGATCGAGTGTTTCTAGTTTGAGACAAATAGGACATCTAACATCCTTCATGCTTAACTGATAAGCAGTGCGACTCCAGGTTTTCTTTGATAAGGTGATGACAGGAGATATTCATGGGTTAGTTTAGAGACAAAGACACTAAGATTGCAATATTTATGAGGTTATTATCTATCATCATTCATTACTTTCTATCTAATTTTTGAAGAATTTTTCTCTCGACTATTTCTCTGATCATTAGACTAATTACTACATCTAAATCTTCTGTTATATCAATACCTATAAATCCATAATCCCATTTCTTAGCGTATTTCTTTCCCTCCTCAATCAAAATGGGTGAAGCCAAATGACTCTTCACATGGGTACAGATGATCCAAATTGGAGGTGCAGAATTAGGATTAGCTGGATCTTTTGGTAACTCTAATAAATCCTTATAGAATTTTCTCTTACTCAATTTATCAGACTCAACTTCACTAATGCTCTTGTTGAAAAAGACGTTCTTCAATGCATCTTTGATAGAATAAATATCGGCTTCTTTACCCTGTTCCCAATTTTTCTTGAAAGTATAAAATTCCTTCCATGCGTCATCTAATGAATGCTTTAAGCGGATAATAGTTTGTAAACTGTCAGGGTCATTCGTGGAATTAACAGATGAAGATTCTTCATATGATGGAGGTTGATACGATGGTACAGCACTATAGACGAAAAAGTATCCATCAATCAAAGAATTTAAATCTCCTGCTCCACTTGCAACCAATAATGGCATAGTAGAAACATCTCTTCTTGGTTCATTGGCCAAATTCTTTAATATATCTTTATCCAAGTTTGTGTATAATGAAGATTCCAAAAAAGGTACCACATCAGATTTGAAAGGAGGTGTATCGATCAATTCCACAAATATTGGAGTTACATGAGGTGAACTGGCTTTTCCAATTTCTTTCTTATAATTATAAGATCTATAGTAATCGTTCTTTGAATGAACAATAATTTCGGTACCTGTGGAATCCGAAGCAGTTCTTTTTCTTTTAAAAATTTTATTGCCTTTAGAAGCTATTCTTTTCAATACTGGACTCAAATTAAGGTTGTCATCAATACTAGTAAAGTCTTTGAAGGAAGGATCTAACACTTTAAGACTCTGAGGAGATTCTGGGAAGAAGGTAAGCAAGTTAGAATTTGTCCTTATTGTGGGATAATATGTATCGGTTAAAACTCCTTGAGACAATTTAGATATTATGGATGTTTTTCCGGTTTTACAATCTCCCAAGAAAGCTATTCTAATTGGACTTGAAGAATTTTGTGGTGTATCAATCCTAAAGTTATCATTATTGATAGGATTATTCCTTACAAAAGATGCCATGATTAAAGCTTTTCCCCTTGAAATGGAAGTTTAATTTCTGAAACTTTTTCTGATTCAGGCTCTCCGATGGACTTTCCCCCATTTTTCGCAGTACCCCCCTCGTATTTATGTCGCCATGTATCGCGCAGCTAGATGAGGAAACCTATAGAGAGGTAAAAGATGTAATTTTATATATCACAAGTAGCCACACCTAATTCGGAATCTCCTTGTCCAAAGTACAAGAACCACTTGCCATGAAATTGCACTAAACCTTCGGTGAATACTACTTTATCTACTTGTCCATTGACTTCGTTTGGATTCTCAGGTATTAAAAATGGTTTATCCATTCTAGCTAAAGGAGACGATAAATCATCATAGTCGATTAACATCTGAGAAATCACATAAGTATCGGTGGGATAGATTCCTCCTATTGTGGCGTTATTGTAAAATAAGATATAATGGTTTTTAGATTTGTCAGAATCGGCAGGATATTCAATCTTTATAGGAGCTGATCCTGGCTCAATAAGTTTATTCTGCCAATCGAACTCTCCATTGGCGAAAGTATTCTCTTCTAAAACAGTTGAAGTCAATTGCCAATGTTCTAAATCATCACTCACAGCTAAATGGAAAGCTGAATCACCCCATATCATATAATACTTCCCATCTTTATGACGATCAACAAATACTGCTCCTGACTTCAGCCATGCTTGTCTTATTAGCTTATTCCCATGAGAATCCAATGCAATATCATGCCAACTCTCGTCAGGACTAATAATGGGAGGATATTTCTTCCAATTGAATAAATCTTCGGAAACTGCCACACATAACCTAGCGGTGGATAAATCATAAGCAGTGTATGTCATAATGAATTTTTTGGTTATTGGATCTCTTATGATTCTAGGATCTTCACAACCGCCCCCTTTCTCCCATTTTTCAGTTGGATATAAGATAGGTTTATGATACCTGATGAAATTATACCCATCACTCGACCATGCCAAACCAACGGAGCTAACTTTAGCGGAATTTTGGGCTCGATATAGGAGAAACACCTTATCGTCGATCACAATTGCTGTAGCATTGTAAAGATAAGCACTTTCAAAATCATTATCAGGATTTGGTTTCATAATAGGATTTTTCTTATACTTAGTGAAATGAGGACCAATGGGGAATGAAGTTGGTGGTTTATAATCTTTATCACCATCAATTGATGATTTATCGATCTTTGGTAACATCATCTTCAAAGGTAATCTTTATTTTAATGCAGCCTTATCTTTGATAAATCTGGGGACAAACCGCAACAGAAAAATGTCGTAGAATGACTTGTCGTCGTCTCATTCTCACTAATCCTTCAAACTTTTCCATACATTTGTATTTACTATTGTTAACAAAATTGATTCAATCATTAGTTAATTGATTAGATTGTTATATAAAAAGTTTGAATTCATAAAACATTAAATAATTGGGATATATATCAACGAGGATCTAGGAGTTTTTGAAGTTTTTAATTGAAAGTTGTTTTTTACGTGGCAGACGGGTTTTTTATTTTAATTCTTATTTATTTTGTAACTTTGAAAAATGGGTAATTTATTATCACATCCAATCGAAGAAAAGGTTCTAGAGACCATAAGTCATGAACATCTCACGTATTCCATTGGTTCGATGCAAGGGTATAGGATGACCATGGAAGATGAGTATAATATAAAAGTTAATGAAGATGAATCATTATCAATATTTGGAGTGTTTGATGGTCATGGGGGTAAAGAGATTGCAGAAATTGTTAGTGATAAGTTAATTGATGTATTATTCAAAGAATTGAATGAATTGGTTAAAGATGAGACCACCACATTAAAAGAATATATGACATGCGTAAAAGATGTCTTTTTTGGTGTTGATAATGAGTTACCACACCAACCATCATTGAACTGTGGTACTACAGCAATAGTCAATATAATTATTCATAAAAAGTATATAATACTGGCAAATACTGGAGATTCCCGAAGTATCATGTCGTTAGATGGGGGGAATTGTAAAACCTTATCTTTTGATCATAAACCTTCTAATATGGGAGAAAGAGTCAGAATTGAAAATAGTGGTGGTTATGTTATAAATGGTAGAGTTAATGAAATTTTAGCATTATCGAGAGCTTTTGGAGATTTCAAATTTAAAATACCTTTCATTGAATTAAAAGCTAATAATAATACATTCTTAGAGAAAAACAAACGATTCTTCAAAAATGACTTAATCCATTTACCACCAGAATTATTTCAAGTCAGTTCTGAACCTGATTTGTTGATTTATGATCTACAACAATTGAAACAACCAGAATTCATAATCTTGGCATGTGATGGGATTTGGGATTGTTATAGAAATGATGATTTAATCAGATTAATAAGAGATAAATTAGTTTTAGATTGGTCATTACAAAATATCATTGAATTCATCTTAAATGATTGTATATCAATGGCATCGAATATAACGGGAATCGGATTTGATAATATGACAATAATTATAATTGCAGTTCATGATAATAGTAATATTGATGATTGGTATGATATGATGAAAACAAAGATATTAAAGGAGAAGAACTTAGAATAAACGGCTCATAATTTACCTTTTCAAATATCTCTATTGCTATTTAAAGCTACGATCAAATATGAAAGTTAAACCCCGGATAGGTTGCCCCATACGATGAGAAAATACGAGAAGGTATAGTTCTAACCCCGAACTCCCTTATATATTACTCTCCAATAGCAATTCAAACTCTCCCGTACACCCACTACCTCCGATCATCACCTGTCTCATCACAAATTAAATTATCATCACCTTCCCAGGCATAAAAACATCCGATGAGAAACTTATGATTTTTTTCTCAAAACAAACTTTCAACAAGTTAAATTTCAGCATTTACATTTTGCATTAAATATTCATAAACATTTCAATTATTCTATTCATCATACATAGGTATTAGGAAACCTTAAAGATTTATACCCCCTTATCATTAATTTCATTTCCCCCTTTTTTTTTCCATAATTTATTTCGGTATAGTTGTTGGTATACCTTTGTTTGCATTATAGACATTTCTCCATAAAACATTAAATAATAATGTCAGAGATTGAAATTTATGAAGATCCCATTATATTACTTGCCAATGATCCTGATTTGAATAAGGAGAAGGCTAAATCTGCCAAATTAGTAGAATTAATTCATAATTTCCCCTTGACTGAGAGGAAAGTTTCAAAATTATGTTCATTATCATTGATAATTTTACAAAATTTGGAAAAGATAGAATTAAATTTGAAAAGTTGGGCATTTTTATCATTAGATATTAATTCTAATGATCATTTTAATAATGAAACTGATAGCATTAAAGATTTCAATAATAGTATTTCAATCAAAGTTTTACAAGAATGTAAAGTTTTGAATGTTAAATTAGGTAAGATTTCCAATGATTTAGATCATATTACTAAAGAACTGAGAACTTTAAGTCCTATTGAATACATTTCTGATTCAGGTACTTTACTTACATCCTTAAATTTGAGGAATATTAAATTGAAATTTGAATTAACGGATAAGATAACTGTTTCATACCTGAAAGCTAAATTGATTAATATTGGAATGGAACTAGAATTAATGTTGATAGATGATGATGAAGATTTATCAACCATCAATACTTATAAGACATTTGTTGCCAATTTATTGAAACAATTGAATAATACTATTGATAATGAAGATATGACAGGAAAAACTGAATGTTTAGCAGTGATTAATGATATGGAGAAGATGTTTGACGCGTTCAAATTAGAAAAACTCCAAGCTAATGAATTACAATTACAAAAGGAAAGAGAAGAATTAGAGAAAGAGAAAGAAATTCAAAGAGAAAGAGAATCTCATCAAAGGAAATTGGAGAGACAAAGATATAAATCTCCTGAACCTTATGTGAATATTAAATATGAACAACCAAGTTCAAATTCTCATTCTCATTCCCATTCACGTTCAAATTCAGATTCTCCAATTTATCCTCCAAGAAATATTGATGATGTGGTAGATGATGATAGTTCTTATGATTCAGATATGGGATCATCAATGGGAAGTTCTATGTTTACTTACAATTCTCCAATGATTCATTCAATTACCAAATCACAACCCACGTCTCAATTACATCCTATTAAAGAAGATATGATGAATTCATCTATTTTACATAAAACAACCCTTTCAGAAGAAATGCCTTATTTATTATCAGCATTTAATCTGGCTAAAAATGTCGAGGAAGATATCAAAAATTTCAAAGAAGAAACTCCTGAATCCAAATCCAAAAAATCCAAGGCTAAACCTAAATCACCTCTTTCAAAAGAAACTGAAGATTCAGATGATCATAGTTTACATTTTTCAAAATCACATTTACCAGAAACTCAATTGACATCTCAAAGTACATTATTACCATCCCCCTCACCTTATTCATATTTATATTCCAATAATTCATTATTATCTCGTTTAGGTATAAAACCACAAGTTATAACAACAGAAATTCCAAAAGACACCAGTTTATCGTTGAACACTACTTCGAATATTCAACAATTTAAGAAACCTTTGATCAAGAATGATGATAATGAAAAGAATGATAAAGAGAACCTTCCTTTAACTCAAATGAATTTAAGAAATCATCTTTCAAGTTTAAGTATCAAACCTAATGAATTTAATGACCAAGTCGAATAGAGACATACATTTTATATATATATATATTCTAAGTATCTACTCATCAATGTCTCTTAACAGATTCTTTTTTTCTTTTTTGTCTATTTCCCCTTAGAATACTTGAATAATTCCTTAACAAAACTTTCACCCCAATAACCTGAAGTGTATTTCGAGATATAATCAAATAATTTCTTGAAGTTGAAAGCTTTCTTCTCTGGTGGTAAAGTCAAACTTTCATTTATTGATGATGCAAGTTCTTCAGTATTCCATGGGTTAATAATGAGAGCTCCATTTAATGATTGAGCCGCGCCAGCAAATTCTGATAATATCAATACACCATTATTCTCTTGTTGACAAGCAATGTATTCATATGAAACTAAGTTCATACCATCTCTGGTTGATGAAACCATACAAACATCGGAAATTTTGTATAAACTAATCAATTCATCAAATGGGATAGATTTATGCATAAAATGGATAGGAACAAATTCAACCGTACCGAATTTACCATTGATTCTACCAACCAATTCATTAACAGTAGCTCTTAAACTTTGATATTCTTCCACATCTCCTCTTGAAGGAACAGCTACTTGAACTAACACAACTTTACCAATCCATTCTGGATGTTCGTCCAAGAATATTTCAAAAGCATGTAATTTTTGGGGTACTCCTTTAATATAATCTAATCTATCAACTCCTACGATAACTTTTACCCCATCGAATTTCTTTTTCAATTGTTCAACTCTTTTAACAACAGTGTCTTTTTGTAAACCTTGAATAAATTTATCAACATCAATTCCAATAGGGAATGCACCAATACCGACTTTCCTACCTTGATATTCAATACCATTAGGCAAGACTGAAACATTAGGAACAATTCTTGAAACTGAAGAAAGGAAATGTCTAGCATAATCATATGTATGAAATCCAATTAAATCACAACTTATTACCCCTTCTAAAATCTCTTTTCTAACAGGTAAAATTCTATATATTTCCGATGATGGGAAAGGTGTATGAAGGAAAAATCCAATTCTAATATTCTTTTTTGAATCACCTAATTCTTCTCTTAACATTTGCGGTAATAACATTAAATGATAATCATGAACCCAAATCATATCATTATCATCAGTTTGTTGAGCTATAGTTTTAGCAAATAGTCTGTTGGCTTCAATATAAGCAGCCCAAGCATTTTCATCGAAGTTCATTTCACCAGGATGATAATGAAATAATGGCCATAAAATACTATTAGAGAATCCATTATAATGTAAATCAGCAATTGTATCACTAATGAAGATAGCAGTACAATTGAACTTATTCATCAAGTCAGTATTAACTCTTTCTTGTTCATTATCAGGAATTTCTAACCCAGGCCATCCTAACCATTGGAATTCAGTTGATTTTTTCAATCCTTGTAATGCAGTTACCAAACCACCTGATGACATAGTATAATCATAATCTCCTTTAGGAGATCTTTTGATAGTAACTGGTAATCTATTAGAAACCACTAAAACTTTACCGTCAACCATATTTATTTAATTGTTCGTTGAGATTGATATCGAAGTTTATGTAATTGCTAATAAAATGGTGTTATATACACTGGCAATCAATTTAGTTGCGCGAGGGCTCTACCCAAAATCTGCTCTTACTCCACTTGGAACATGCTTCTTTCCCAAAACGGAAGTCTAGATCTGGCGCGAGTTTCAGCAACACATTTTTTTTTTGTTTTTGGCTGTGAGAATCTTTTTGTTTGTCAGGGAACTTCATAATGTATACACCTTATGGTAATGCAGGACTTGGAAATCAATTCCAAGATCAATATGGTCAACAGAATATACAACATCCTCAACCTCAGCATACATATAATCAAGGATTAAATGGACAGCCAATGAATCAAGGTAATATGAATCAGGGCAACATGAATCAAAGTAATATGAATCAAAGAGGCAATCAACCAACTGATGGTAATAATCAATTTTATAACAATTTCTTTCAAGATCCAGCTACTTCAATGGCTGCACAATTTGCTAAGAATGGATTCGATCAAAGTGGACAATATTTACAACAGAATTTTGGATCATTTATTCCTCAAACATCAAATTTAAACTATTATTTCAAAATAAGTAATAGTTATGTGATAAATAAATTAATCTTAATATTATTCCCATTCAGAAATGCTAGCTGGACAAGAATCAGTAATAATGTACAATCAGAAACTGAACAATCAAATTTTGTATTGGCTCCACCGATTCAAGATATTAATGCTCCTGATTTATATATACCATTTATGTCATACATTACATATGTCTTATTATGGGCAGTATTTCAAGGATTAAAAGGAGATTTCCATCCACAATTATTTGGATATTTAGCATCACAAGCATTTGCCTGTGTTGTTTCCGATATTTTCATCTTCAAATTAGGACTTTATTTATTAAGTTGTAAAAGTCCATTTTGGGATGTGGTGAGTTTTAGTGGTTATAAATATGTTCCAATTACTGTATTGTTAATCATTAAATATTTAACCAATGGTGGTTATATATTTTATGGATTTGTATGTTTCTTTATTTGTACATTTGCTTTCTTTTTAATGAGAAGTTTAAGAAATATGGTATTACCAAATTCATCGACTATGGTCAATAATAGTATTCCTCCTCAACAAAGAAGAACAAGAATTCTTTACTTATTAGGATATTCATTAGGTCTTCAATCCCTCATCATTTTATTCATGAATATCAATACTTAAGAGATAAGAGTTCTCATAAATAATCATTCTCATTATATATCCTCATTAGGTGCCCCATCATCTCTAGGAAAATCCGCGACGCGTAAATATTTCACCTCAATCTTAACTAATTTGCATAAAACTGAACCCCCAAATGCCATCAAGAGGTAATGCATTTAAAGGTTCTACCTCAGCTAGATATGTGAAAAACACATCATCTACTTTCAAACGAGAAAAAATAGAAGTTGATCCTTATATAGCAAATAATCCCATGCTTAATGATTCAATCCAAAAAAGAGAATTAGTTGAAAGAATTGATAGATTAGATTCTATTATGGGATTTGATAGAATAGAACATGGAGAAATGGATGGTAATAAATCTAAGAAAGGGTGGTTAATAAATATGCATTCAACTACCATCCCAAGTGATGAATATTTAACAGGTTATTCCGGTGTAGATTATTATTTCTTAGATGAAGAAGGTGGTTCTTTCAAAGTAACTTATCAATATGATCCTTACTTTTTCATTACTTCTAGTGCTAATACAGAATCTGAAGTTGAAGAAACTTTGAAAAAATTCTTAGAATCATGTAATGTTAAAACTATATCAAGAGAAATAAAAGAAGATTTATCATTACCAAATCATTTAGTAGGATTGAAAAAGACTTTATTAAGATTAACTTTCCATAATATTAACGATTTGTTAAGTGCCAGAAGATTATTGTCTCCGATAATCAAGGATAATCAAATGAAGAAAGATTCAAGAGATATTTATCAATCAATGAATTTTAATAATGGTATTAATGATTCTAATCTTAATAATAAAAATGACAATACTGATCCTTTAACCTATTTGGAAGATATCAAAGAATATGATGTTCCTTATCATGTGAGAGTATCGATTGATAATAATTTAAGAGTGGGTAAATGGTATAATGTTTGGGTTAAACATTCAATAGTAAGTTTTGAAGAAGATAAAGAAAAAATTGCATTTGCAGATCCTGTAGTTTTAGCATTTGATATTGAAACTACCAAAGCACCTTTAAAATTCCCTGATTCCAAAATTGATCAAATTATGATGATTTCTTATATGATAGATGGTGAAGGATTTTTAATAACTAATAGAGAAATTATTTCTGAAGATATAAATGATTTCGAATATACTCCAAAACCAGAATATCCCGGATTATTCACCGTATTCAATGAAGAAGATGAAAAGGCTCTTCTATTAAGATTTTTTGAACATATTAGAGATTCAAGACCTACAGTAATTGCAACATTTAATGGTGATTTTTTCGATTGGCCATTTGTTGAAGATAGATCAAGATTTCATGATTTAGATATGTTTGAAGAAATAGGATTCGCTAAAGATAATGATGGAGAATATAAATCCAAACATTGTGCTCATTTAGATTGTTTTAGATGGGTTAAAAGAGATTCTTATTTACCTCAAGGATCACAAGGTTTAAAAGCCGTTACCACGGCTAAATTGGGTTATAATCCAACTGAATTAGATCCTGAATTAATGACACCTTATGCTTATGAAAGACCTCAATATTTATCAGAGTATTCAGTTTCCGATGCTGTTGCTACTTATTATTTATATTACAAATATGTTCATCCTTTTATTTTTTCCCTTTGTACAATTATTCCATTGAATCCTGATGAAGTTTTAAGAAAAGGTACAGGTACCTTATGTGAAATGTTGTTAATGGTTCAAGCTTATGAAAAGAATATCTTATTACCAAACAAATATACTGATCCAATTGAAAGATTTTATAATGGTCATTTATTAGAATCTGAAACTTATGTTGGAGGTCATGTTGAATCTTTAGAAGCTGGAGTTTTCCGTAGTGATTTACCTAATGATTTTAAAGTTGATCCTACAGCTATTGATGAATTAATAAGAGATTTACCTGAATCAGTTAAATTCTGTATTGAGGTTGAAAACAATAAGAAACTTCAAGATGTTGAAAATTATCAAGAAGTTATGGATCAAATAACAGAGAAATTATTGGACTTGAAGAATAACCCCATAAGGAATGAAAAACCTTCAATTTATCATGTCGATGTTGCATCGATGTATCCAAATATTATGACATCAAATAGATTACAACCAGATTCAATGAAATCAGAAGAAGACTGTGCAGCTTGTGATTTTAATCGTCCAGGTAAAAATTGTGATAGAAGATTACCTTGGTCTTGGAGAGGTGAATTTTATCCTGCCGAAATGAATGAATATGGAATGATTAAAAGAACTTTACAAAATGAAACTTTCCCTGCTTCAAAACCTTGGTTACCACCAAGAAATTTCGATGATTTATCTTATACTGAACAGGCTTCTATGATTAAGAAAAGATTAACTGATTATTCTAAGAAAGTTTATCATAGAGTGAAACAAACAGAAATTGTCACTAGAGAATCAATTGTTTGTCAAAGAGAAAACCCATTCTATGTTAACACAGTTAGAGATTTCAGAGATCGTCGTTATGAATTCAAAGGTTTAGCTAAAGTTTGGAAAGGTAAAGTATCTAAAACTCAAGACACTATAGCAAAAGATGAAGCTAAAAAAATGGTTGTTTTATATGATTCTTTACAATTAGCTCATAAAGTTATTTTGAATTCCTTTTATGGTTATGTTATGAGAAAAGGATCCCGTTGGTATTCTTTAGAAATGGCCGGTATAACATGTCTTACTGGAGCTAAAATTATTCAAATGGCCAGAGCTTTAGTTGAAAGATTAGGTAGACCTTTAGAATTAGATACTGATGGGATTTGGTGTATTTTACCCAGTTCATTCCCTGAAAATTATACTTTAAAATGTAAAGATGGGAAGAAAATTTTATTGGAATATCCTTGTTCAATGTTGAATTATATCGTTCATCAAAAATTTACCAATGATCAATATCAAGATTTAGTTGATCCGGAATTATTCAAATATAAAACAAGAAGAGAAAATTCCATTTTCTTCGAAGTTGATGGTCCTTATAAAGCAATGGTCTTGCCAACTTCTAAAGAAGAAGGAAGAGGTTTGAAGAAAAGATATGCTGTTTTCAATTTTGATGGATCATTAGCTGAATTGAAAGGGTTTGAATTGAAACGTAGAGGTGAATTACAATTGATTAAGAATTTCCAATCAGATATTTTCAAATTATTCTTAGAAGGTAATACTTTGGATGATTGTTATAAAGCAGTTGCCAGTGTAGCTAATAATTGGATAGATGTATTGGATACTAAAGGAGGTATGTTAGAAGATGAAGATTTAATTGAACTTATTTGTGAAAATAGAAGTATGTCTAAAAGTCTTGCTGAATATGGAGATCAAAAATCTACTTCAATTACTACTGCCAAAAGATTAGGGGAATTTTTAGGGGAAGAAATGGTTAAAGATGCTGGGTTAGCAACAAAATATATTATTTCTGCTAAACCAATTGGTAGTCCAGTTACTGAAAGAGCAATTCCAGTTTCAATCTTTTCTTCTGATAAAAAGGAATATTTCTTAAAGAAATGGCTTAAAGATCCTTCACTTAATAATTTTGATCCAAGAAGTGTTCTTGATTGGGATTATTATTATGAACGTTTAGCTTCGGTAGTACAAAAAATCATTACCATTCCCGCTGCTTTACAAGGGGTTAAAAATCCTGTTCCAAGAGTTCAACATCCTGATTGGTTACACAAGAAGATTCTTCAAAGAGAAGATAAGAAACAACAATCATCAATTTCTACTTTTTTCACTAAAGCTAACAGTGATGAAAAGACTCGTAAAATTAAAGATATTGAAGATTTCGGTAATGTTGCTGCTCAAGTAGATAAATCTTTAGTAGGTAAAGTCACTTCAAGGAAGAGAAAATTACTCAAAGCTAATAAAAACTTAGAACTTCAAGAAGAAGAAGAAAGAAATAATGCTATCTTGAATGGTACTTGTCCTGATATGTTGACTGATTATGCCGGGTTCTTACAATATCAGAAGGCCAAATGGAAAGTTCAAGAAAAAAATAGAGAAAGAAGAACTAAATTATTTGGAACTACTTCAGAAACTTCTAATAGATCATCTGTTGGAAATTTAATTCGTCGTCAAGCAGAAACTGTTGCCGGATCTAATTGGGAAATTTTGGAGTATAAAGAAGATCCAAGTAAGCCTGGGCTGTTGAAAGTTTTCATTATTGCCAGTGGTAAAGTTCATCTGTTAAGTTTCCATATCCCAAAAAAAATCTATGCTTCATTTAAAACTCCTTTGAATAGTAAAAAATCCATTGTTGGTTGTGAAATTGAACCATCAAATAGTATTTTGCCCAATGGTCATGATGCTACTAACTTATACAAATTCACTATGTCAGAATCGGTTTTCAATTCAGAATTATTAAAGGTTGATAGTGTCTTACAAAGTTCCAACATGTTAGGAATGTATGAATCTAAGGTTAAACCTTTAGAAAGAGCTATTATTGATTTAGGTACTAGTGTTAAGTTTGACGATACAAGAGTTGGAGCCTTAGGAAAAGCCATGAAGAATGGGTTCCAAGGTAAAGACTTGATTCAAGTAGATAATTCTAATTATCTTAAGAAATTCGACATGGATTTGTTATATTTGGTCCATCTCACTACCAACAGTTATGAGTTCTTCACTATCTTCAAATCTTGGGACAATGAAGCCATAATGTTTGTTCTTAAACCTTCAAATAGTGCTCAAGAATTACCTCCTAATATGGATAAGATCTATAGAGAATTATTCCTTACTAAAGAAGATAAATTGGGCAAATTGTATAATATCATTGAATATCAAAATGAAATGACTTTTGATGTGAATTATTTCACTGACAATGGAAAATTGTTCAAGAAATTGGATAGAACATTGAACAAAATCAATGAAAGTAAAAGTAACAAATCACTTTTGGCTATTCAATCTCCTTTCACTGATAGATTATTGAAATTGTTAACATCAACAGCTAATTTCCCTACCATCAAAATGACAGTAAATGCTTTGAACTTACCAGCTGTTGGATGGCATACTTTAGTTACTAAGAGAATCATCAACCATTATTTTGTTCTTGGTTCTTGGATCAAAAATTTGATTTCTTTATCAAAATATGGTAATATCCCAATATGTAATCTTAAAGTGGAAAATATGGATTATTTGATTGATATAGAATATGCTAGAAGATTGAGTCATAACAATGTTGTTTTATGGTGGTCTGATACTCCATTAGCAGATCATGGAGGTTTTGAAGTAGATAAAGCCCCTGATTATGAAAATTTGGAATTCCCTGTTATTAATAACGGTGAAATTTATGAAACTGCTAGTTTGGAATTAGATATTGGAACTTTAACCATCAACACCATTTTGACTAGTTCGATCATCAATGAAGCAGAAGGAGCAGATTTGGTGGAGGAAGGTGTTGTTTTTGATAATAACAATGGAAGTTCAACATTAATGGAAGATTCATTTGGCCTTACTCAATTGAACATCTTGAGAGGTATGGTGAAAGATTGGTGGGATGATGCTTTGAAAAATGATAGTAATGCTGATTCCATGATGAATCATTTAGTACCTTGGGTTCAAAGAAATAGTTCATATTTATATGATTTCGCTTTACATTATCATATTCATAATTTAACTACCAAAGCTTTATATCAATTGATTGGACAATTCAAAAGGATGAATTCAAATGTTGTTTTTGCCAATAGAAACAAGATACTTATTTCCACAAGTAAAGTATCAGTAGAAAACTCTTATGCTTTTGGACAATATTTGATCAAAGCTGTGAGATCAAAACCATTATTTAGTTTCTTAGAATTAGAAATTGTCAGATATTGGGATATTTTAATCTGGATGGATGAATATAATTACGGTGGTAGATTCACAAAGACCATCACCAATGAAGAAATTCAAGATTTAACAGTGGTAAATAATTGGCAATTAAAACAATTCTTACCTATTATTTATCAAAACGAATTTGAGGATTGGTTGATTATCTTTTTAGATGCTTTAACTAAATTCAAAGCCGATACTTTAACGGGTCCAACTCAAGCAGGAACTCCAAGAGTTACTCAAATAGCTCATATTTTACAAGGACAAAAGAAGTTAGAAAGTCAAGAAGATAATGAAGAAGATTTAAGTAGAGGTATAACAGAATTATTCAGAAAACCTATTCTCAAGAGAATCAATCAATTGTATCGTCGTCAAAATGAATCTATCATCAATCCTGAATTGAAAGGAGAATATGAATTCCCCAAATTACCAGGGTCTCATCTTCATTTAAGAAATCCAACTTTACAATTAGTAAAATTCTTATGTGGAGTGTTAACTTTATCAACCAAAAGATCTATTGAAATCAGAGTCTTAAGACAAGAATTATTATCCATCTTTGAAATAAGAGAATTCAGTAATGAAGCTACTTTCCATAACCCTTCATCATCATTGAAATTACCTTCAATAATCTGTGATTATTGTAGTTACATCAAGGATGTGGATATGTGTAAAGATAATGAGAAGACTATTTGGAATTGTCTGAACTGTACAAAACCTTATAATCGTGTGGCATTAGAAGAAGAATTAGTTAATCAATTGAGTAGAACTTTGACCAGATTCTTAATGCAAGATCTAAAATGTTCAAAATGTCATCAAGTTAAAGGTGATAATATGAGTGAATATTGTAAATGTTCAGGTAAATGGGTTGAAACTATAGGTCACCATGATCTTGAAAAAAGAATCCAAACTTTCTCTAATATTGCAAAGATTTATAATCTTCAATTATTAAGAGGTGCCATTGAAGAAATGTTCTGATATTGGTATGTATAATATTATTTAAATAGGAAATGTATAAATTCATGATTCTATTCTTATTGGGCCCCATGGATATGCACTGCTAAAGTCGTCTCTGATATCATGGAGTAGTCTACAATTGAAACCTTTTGGGAGACAAACTTTTCGCAGCCAGAGACGCGAAAAACCTATGAATAGTGAACAGTTGAATCAGCTAAAATCCAAGGTTATTTGTAGAGATGAGCAGTTCGACTTGTTGAATGCGTACCTATCTAATGACAGCTCAGTATGTGTACCGACGCTTTTAGTTCAAGGGTATAGATCAATAGGGAAAACCTTAACGGTGGATGAATATTTAAAACAATTGAGCGGAAAAGTAACCAGAATTAATTGTGATCAATTTATTACAGCTAAACTGTTACTCCAAGCATGTTTGAGGAACATTCGAACAGATAGTGGTATGGACTTGAGTCTTTCTCCGGAATATTATTATAGAGGGGTGTCGACATCAAAACTAGAGCAGACGTGTGATAATTTTTCAAACTTTCAATTCAATATTTCCCAGTTTCTTAAAGATACAGATTATCAGGAACACCATTTCTTGGTCCTCGATAGATTGGACCAATTTATTGAGGATCATTTACATTTATTCAATGCATTCTCCAGATTGCATGATGCAGGTGATATTAAAAATATCACTGTCATATTTATCACCGGTATGGACACATCGCATGAACTTGTAACTAGTGGTATTCCTCATGTTTACTTCGATCCATATAGTGAATCAGACATCATAAGGATACTTCAGAAGAATCCATTCTGCTTTTTCGGATTCCCTGATGAAGGTTCTTTGGGCCAACAATTTTGGAATAGTTTCGTCCAAGTACTTGTGAACCTGTACTATGAATATTCTGCATCAAATTTATCAGTATTGATAGATTTGTGTTATAAAAAATGGCCAATATTCACCGACACAATAGTAAAAGGTTCATATTCCCCCAGCCAATTCTTACAAGTTTATAAAGAGAATCGAGAAATATTCCTGTTTGAAGAACTTCTGAATTCCCAAGTGATAAATTATAAAACCTCCAAACCGGTTGAAGAATCCACAGCTTTGAATCTCAAAGATATGACCAATTTGATCAAATTTGTTTTGGTAGCTTCATATTTAGCTTCCTATATTGATCCAAGAAATGATATGCATTTTTTCTCTGCCATAAAATATGAAAAATTAAGGGAAATCAAAAAATTCAAGAAGAAAGATGAACTCACAAAAAAAGATATGGATAATAAGTTATTTCAACCAAACTTCTTTGATCTTGAAAGGTTGTATGCCATTGTCTTGGTGATTTATAGAAACTTTTCCAAATCTTTCGAAGAGGAACATGAGTTAATTGACTTAATGGATGATACTGATGAAAATGACATGATTAATAAACAACATGAGATATCCAAATTCTCATTGGTGGGTAACATTGACTTACAATCACAGTTGTCGATATTATTATCAAGAGGTCTTCTTGCGAGACAAGAGAGTCGAGATGTTCTTCAGCCAAAACCAAGGTGGAAATGTAACACTCCTTGGGAAACAATAAAAGTTATAGCACAAGACCTTCAATTCCCTATAGAAGATTATCTTGGTTAAATATATATTAGAATTCACTGATGTGAATAAATTCTTCGTTAATTTTTCTTACATATGCATTATCTTCAAAATAGTTATCTTTCCAATACCTTATTTCGTATTCGGAGTAAGGTCCGTTAATTTCATCTTGACCTTCCCATTTGAACTCGTAGATTTTCTCTTCTGATTCTGGTTGTTCTGATTCTGGTATTTCTGATTCTGGTATTTCTGATTCCGGTATTTCTGATTCTTCTATTTCAGCATCTTCTAATTGTCTTTTAGTTCCACGTATGGCTTTGAAGTCTTCTCCAGTTTCAGTTCTATAAAATCTCATCAATTCTTCCCTAACAAGTTCATATACATCCAGAATCCCTTTTTGATTCATGAGCTTATCACAAACATCTGTTATCATGATCACTTTGATTTTCCGATCTTTATCTTGAAGATCCACTACCTTTTTCTTACCTTTCCGTTTGGGTGCAAACCTCGTTAAAGCTTCCATAGGTGTTTCATCTGGATCGAGGATCGATATTAACTTGAATAACAACTCTGTCATTGTTTCTGTTGGCTTATTTTCTAGCGTTTGGATCTTCCTCTGTCGTTCCAATTCTGCAGCTTTAGCCTTCTGTATTTGTTCTCTACTAACATCATTCAACCAAGCTTCATCACGTTCTTCCTCCTTGTTTCGAACGAAATTTCCATCTTCATCGAAGAATCCCTCGTCCTCTTCTTTCCTTAAGTCGAAGGAATCGATCTTGGGTTCGAACTTAGTCCTCTGTTGACCATCAAAGTCTTCTACATTATTATAGTAATCTTGAACTTCGTCGTAATTATCATACACTTCGACCTCTTGATCAACATACTTGCTTTCAATATCCATCTCCTTCTCGAACTCATTCATGTCAAGTCTATTGTTCTTCTTTTTCTTCTTGTCTTCTGTAGGTGCAGGTTTGTCAGGCTCTTCATCACTTGCAAACATATCAGAATCATCATCTTTCTCTTCTTCTTCCACTTCCACTTTCACTTCCTTTTCTTCTTCACTTTCACTTTCACTGGAATACTCATTTATGACTTCCTTCCTTCTCTTTTTATCGTTCCCCGGAATATCTTGAACGAAATCATCATCCATGATAATAATGCGAAATCTATAATGAAAGTGTTTATATCGTCCTTGAATGTTCCTATAGGTTACACCACACCATCGTTCCCATCGTTATATTGGCCGTTGGGACATACGTCATCTAAGTTCTCATCATCACTTTTATACTATTCAGCAGATGTTTGGAGATTCACAGTGTTGTGGTTTTTAATTGCATTCAGTGGTGTTTACGTAGTGGCTGCCTTCATAGCTTCCATTAATTATTTGATTTACAGTCAGAGAAATAATTACGGAGGGAAATCATGCTTTGTGACCATACTAATGATATGGTGTACTTATCTTACATCAGGATTATTCATTGCAACTATTGGAGGGTCAGTAGTAGGATTGATTATACTGGCTATATATAAAGCAGGTTCAATGACTATGAGTACATGGATACCTTTTGTTTGGGCTTTGGTAGGTGTGTTATATGACATTTCCACCAGTTATCTGAATAGTCTGATGACTTTATGATTTAATGAATACTTAATACTTTTATGGGGACTTATCTTAACCCACACCTCGCACTAAATTTCTCCTAGGTCTTCCCCCAGACGCTCTGCCATCTCTCACTAAATTCTGATCTCAACCAACCCTCAAAAATAATCTAATGTCCTTTGATTACCTAGAGTTCCCCAAATACTATAAACGATTTGAAGCACAACCTGATCAATTCACTGAAAGTCAATGTTTGAACCTTATTGAAAAATACCAAATATCCAATCCTGAATTGAAAATTTCAGCGTCTTTTGATTCTGAAGAACTTGATGTATTTGAAACGGAATTGAATGAAAGTATCAATGATAATAATTTAAACCTTCCAAAAATCCTATCAATGATCCCAAAATACTATGTCTGTATGGAAATAAAGAGATTGACTTCCATGCTTGATAGGGTCCTCATGGCTAATAATTATACCGAGATCTTATGTCATTTATATATAAGTTATACTTATCGAATATGGTTCTTTGGTGGAACTTATTCCAAATATTTGATGACTAACTACAAAAGGATTTCAATGATCAAACCTAAAGAAAAGAAGAGAATCCAACTGTTAATAAATTTGGTAGAAATCTTGACATTTTTCAATAATTTTAGAGATTTAGAATTTCAAGATCTTGATTTAACTATTGAAGAGATCAAAGAACATAATTTGTTAAAAGAATATAGTTATGTATTAATTCTACAACAAATGCTAATGAGACCATTTAATGAAGTGGAAGTGAATGATGAAATTTCAGATGTTTTACATGGAACTCCTTTATTGAATCTTCTTCATGATTGTCAAGATTTCACTATTGATTTCAATAAATATGATAATTTAGCATTGAACGATATTGATTTTATATTACCAATTGCATACAACACCACATTTGAAAATTATTTCAAATTGGTTTTGAAATTTAAATGTTTCTTGAATTTAATAAGGATAAGTTCAAAGATTCCAAGCGATCAAGTTAAATTGTTGATTGGTGATGATAATGTCACGAAATACATCTTATTGATTGGTTCGTTGAATTTGAAATCAATTGGAATCGGTTATAATGTTAATGAAGATTATTTCTATAATTCTGGTGGTAATCAAAGTCTATTACATGATGATATAATTAAAATCAATGAAATTCTTGAACTGGAAAGAATCTCATTACTAGTGAAAAATGATTTGGTTAATAGGTTAACTGGCTGATTCATCTTGAGTTATTAAAAATCGTATCAACTTGAAGATATCTAATCTTGCCTTCACGGGATTGAATTTCAAACTACTGAGATCGAAGTTTATGTCCTCGTTCAATAACATATTTATGAGATAACAAGATATCATGATAAGAAAAACCCCACAGTCATCAAAATTGGATTGTTGTTCTATTTTAACTCGAATGATTTCTATCTTACCGGTAACTATATTGAGTTTCTTAAACTTATCTAGAAGATTATCGAATATTTGGTAGGTCTCACTCATCATGGAATCATAAATGAAGAATTTATTACGAAGTAAATCAAGAACTCCAAGCACCCAATGATCACCTTCTTCACTTTCATTGGCAGGAAGGAAAATGAATTTTGCCAGTTCAATATCTTTAACATCAAGAACATCATTAAAATCAGTAAAGAGTAATAATTGAACTACTGTTGGTGGTAATAACTTTATCGATTTCTTATATAAACTATTGGAATTTATATAATTCATGGATAAGAATTCATGCACTAAAGATATTATGTTGTCATTGATCCATTCGCCAGGTAGAATCTGACTAAGGTCGGTGGAATATAATGATACTGATTGATATTGAAGTAGTTTTGTCTCAGTTTTTGTAGATAGTGATAAATAGATTTTTTTGATTTCATTGGTGATTTGTATGGGAGTATAATCAGGCTCAAACTTTTGATCTTCCATAAGACGTTGTTGTAGTTTCCTTTGACTTATTCTTATCTTTTTCTGTTGTCTTTCAATCTTTCTTTGCAGCTTTGACTTTTTCTTCTCTTTAACTTCCAGTTCTTCATTCTCCTCACTTTCGACTGGTTTGAAATTTAAGATTTCATATACTGGTAGTTTATTGATTCCTGTGGTTGTCTCTTGAGGTTTGAGAGCCTTCACATTGGGGTCAATGACAAAACCTTTAAATTCATCAAACCTCACTGACATCAATAAGTGCGAGTTTTATGTTTAAGAGATTCTTTCGATCAAGACCTACACCCGTAGTTCCCTATAAATTGGGACAACCTACGTTCGAAACCAGAAATCATATACTCCCTAAAGCAGGGGATCTCACTCCAGGTATAACTGCACTCGAATATTATGAAAGACGGTTAAAGTTGATCAAGGAATTACCTGCGAAATCAATAAGTATCTTAGTGGGTAATAATGTTAAATATGCATCAGGAAGTGTTTTTTACGATTTCCAACAAAGCAATAATCTTTTCTATATGACAGGCTGGTTGGAACCCAATTCAGTAGCCGTTCTAGAGAAAACTGCCAACAATGGAGAGGACGATGATCTAATCTTCCATATGTTAGTCCCAGAAAAGAATCCTAGCGTAGAGATTTGGGAGGGTGAAAGATCAGGATTACAAGGATGTTATGAATTCTTCAATCCTGATAATGTTGAAGATATCAAGAACGTTCGAAAATATATTTCCGACTTAATTAAACGTAACGATTATATATATTATGATAAGAAGCTGGGAGGTTCATATTTTGAAAACTTCTTTCAAATGGATGAAAATGAAGATACCATTACCAATTTATTGAAAAGTTTCAACAAGAAAGTTCAACCTTTACTGCCATTGATAGCTAAACATAGGGAAATCAAATCCCCTAGCGAAATTGCAGTGTTACATAAAGCTGGAAGAATATCTTCAAGAGCCATAAATAAAGCCATAGCACAAACTGGTAGTGAACATCCTATACAATCGGAAAAATCTTTAGGGGCTTATTTACAATATGAATTCATCAAAGGAGGTTGTGACAAACAAGCATATATCCCTGTAGTTGCGGGAGGTGAAAATTCTCTTATAATCCATTATACAAGAAATGATGATTTATTGTATAAAGATGAATTAGTATTTGTTGATGCGGGAGGAAAGTTGGGAGGTTATTGTGCTGATATCTCCCGTACTTGGCCAAATTCAGGTACCTTTACTGAACCTCAAAAGGATATCTATGAAATTGTTTTGAATGTTAATAAATCATGTATTGAAAAATGTCACCAATCTAATGAAATTTCCATGCATGAACTTCATGATTTTAGTGTAAATAAATTGCATTCAAATTTGAAAAACTTGCCTGGTTTCCAATCGATTTCAAGATCTGATTTGGTCCGTCACTTGTATCCACATTATATTGGGCATCATCTTGGTTTGGATCTTCATGATATCCCTTCAGTATCCAAGTTCAAAAAACTTGTCCATGGGAATGTTATAACCATTGAACCTGGATTATACATTCCTAAAGATCCTAAATGGCCCAAACATTACCAGGGTATTGGTGTTAGAGTTGAAGATGACATTGTCGTAGGTAAGGATAACAAAGATATCCTCAACTTGACAAGTTTATGTGTTAAAGAAGTGAAGGACATCGAAAGTTTGATTTCAAAAGCACATTGTTCAACTCCTGGTGCATATGATGAATTGGTAGACATTCATATTGATGAGTTATAGACTGTATATATTCTATTTACAATTTTTTTCTTTGATACGCCTTTCTTATACACTTAATGACTTCACTAACATATCTTTTATCGGAGTCAAATTATTGAAAACCTTCATACCCAAACCTCTGATAGCTACGATAGGAGTAAAGTCGTTACCGAAAAGTTTATGTAATTTATCACAAACTCCCAAGATAGCATGGTTCATAGGCCAAGCATTGGAAACATAAGGTTCTAAAGTTAATGTTGAACCAATATCCAAACCCCTATCAATACCCTTTTCAATAGTTTCGATCAAAATCGAGACATCAGTTTGACCCATATTAAGACCTTGTCCAGCTAAAGGATGGATAGTGTGAGCTGCATCACCCACCAACGCAACTCGTGGGGCAACATAAGTATCAGCATGAGACATCTTCAAAGGAAACATGGCTCTAGATCCAGGTAAAAGTGTTTCAACTTCTGGTATTTCATTATCATCATCCCAAAAACTTGAGGGCTCTTTTTTATTCTCCATTTCTTCTAATCTCCAATTGATATCATCAATGACGGATGTGTCTTTAGGGTCGACTTCTAATTTTTTATAGACATAGTTCAAATCAACTTCATCCAATCTTAAAGCTGCATTAACCAATACCTTGAACATATCATCATCAACCAGTTTCAATATCTTTGACAACCAAGCTTTGGTAGACCACACTAAAGTAGCATTATTGTCTGTTAAAGGTAAAACTCCCAAAGGTCCGGTACTCAAGAATCTTTGATATCCAACATTATTGAAATCTTCAGTTGTCAAAGTTAAAGTGGAAACAATACCGAAACTATCATATTGCCAGCCTCTAGATTCAATTCCAGCATATTTTCTAACAGGGGAATTATAACCATCAGCTCCAATCAAAAGTCTTGTTTGAATAGTATCACCATTTGATAATTTAATTATGGGCCAATCCAACTCTTCATTCAATGGAGGATTGACTATATCTTCAACCTTAACATTTTCAATGATTTCTGCTTTATTTTCGGTTGTTGAATTAATGTCATCCAATCTTAATAATAAAGATTTCTGAACATTCAAAATTTCACACATTGCTCCCATAGGGTTATAGTCAATTGAATCATTAGTGAAACTAATATTGGCGTCTTTATCCTGACTATCTACTACAAACAAATTGTCATAAAATTTTATCCTTTCTTGATCAATATAATTCCAATTGCCTATCTTTTGCATGAATTTAATTGATTTAGTAGTTAAAGATATAACTCTATTGGTATAGTTGGGATCATCGAATTCTTTGATTTTGGTAATATGAGATCCTTCAATCAATGAGCATTCAAGGTGTGAAGTCTTGGGAGAATTCTTCAAAGCTGTTAATATAGAAAGACCTGCTGGTCCTCCTCCTACCACCACAACGTCTCTAAAAGAGTGGAGAAACCTTTTAGTTAACATGGTGCAATTTCGCATTATCTTCATCGCATGGTTTTTAAGTGCCGATTTGGAAGTGCATCAATTGTGTGGATTTAACAAACAGAGATAAACTATCTTAGAGGTCCCTTTGATAAGATATGTTATTTATGTACAAGTTTAAAAATTTGAAAATCTATTTACCAACGTTCAATAATAAATTAGCATCGTTACTACCACTTGGTAAGTAGGAGACGTTATTTGAATTAGCTAATAAAGCAGCAATTTCTTTAGAAGCTTCTAATCTTCTAATCATCAATAACCCATCACCAGATTTACTTAAAGCCTTAGAAACGGTTTCGGCACTTTCAGCTTCACCTTCAGCTCTGATAATAGAAGCTTTCTTTTCTTGTTCAGCCTTTTCGACTAAATATTTTGCTCTTTCGGCATCTTGTTGAGCAATTTGTTTTTGTTCAACTGCCTTGGTGAATTCTTTACCAAAAGTCATATGAGTAATGGAGACATCTTCTAATTTGATTGAGAATTCGTTAGCTCTTTTACTTAACTCTTGTCTAATTCTAGCACTAACCACTTCTCTTTGAGTAATTAATTCAGCAGCATCAAATTGAGCAACAATACTTTTCAAGATTTCATTACCAATGGCTGGTAAAACTCTTTCATCATAATCTAAACCCAATGATTGATAAATTTTTGGTAAATTCATAACATCTGGTCTATGTAAGACTCTTAAGGTCAAAGAAACATTTTGTAAATCTTTTGAACCAGTGGTGGTGGCAATTACTTTAGGTCTAGTTCTAACATCATAAATAATTGGTTTTTGTAACCATGGAATTAAAAAATGAGTACCTTCACCAATAACACTTTGTTGAACCCCATTCAATCTGTCGAAAATAACAGCTCTTTTACCACCTTCAACATCATAAATTGCAGATTGTGCTAAAGTGATGGCTATACCTAAAGGCACAACTAATTTTGGAAGGAAATTAGCGAATCTTGATGACATCCTTGCCTTTGAGAATTTTTGGTTTCGGTGATCGCATTCAAAGAATGACAATTCTACAACCCAAAGGAGAGAGTCACGTGATGAAAATAAGATATATAAAATTCATTCTAATATACATTAAATTTATGCAATGCCAGAAATCAAAAGATTCTGGTATTTAACTTATTGATTGAAATATGACATGGTATAGTTAACAACAGGGATGAAAAGGTTGATTTGATGAAAATTGAACATTTTCAAGTATATGCAAATTTATTTAACTAGAGCAATGAATGCCTAATTATCAATAAAGAAAACCAAAGTCCAAGCAGCACCTGCAGCAATAGAACCTACTATTATCATCTGTATACCTTCAGAAACTTTCTTCCAAGTACTACAATCTTCTAATGAAACTAAAGTTTTAACATAACCAAAAATGAATAACGTAACTAACATAACTAAAACTGAAACCAATAAACCAGTCTTAACAATATTACAAAAGAAATATGGGACTAAAGGAACGAAACCCCCTAAGAAATATGATAAACCAATAGTTAAAGCAGATGTGAATTCTCTACCATCACTTGGTTCGTCTAAGCCTTTACCGAATTTTATAACGAAATCAATTAAATTTTTTGGTTTAGAATCTAAATCTTTAATAACATTAATGATAGTTGATTCACTTAATCCTAAATCATATAAAACATCCACGGCTTCTTGGTTAATTAATTCTGGTTTTTTGAAAAAATTCAATTTTTCTTTTTTAACTTGATTATGATAATATTCTGATTCACTTTTAGCAGCTAAGTAACCACCAAGACCCATTGAAATAGCTCCACTAACTAATTCTGCCATACCACCAGTAATGACTAATTTTGTATCTCCTAATGATGATAAACCGGCTGTTAATGCAAATGGAACTGTTAATCCATCACTTAATCCAATAATAACATCAGACATAACCCTTGGATCAAACTTATTGAAGAAACCTTCTTCTTCTTCATCAGATAAAATTTCTGATTTGTTAGTGATACTCATTCTTAATTCTTCTTCATTTATTTGTCCTGGTCTGTCTAATCTGTCAATTGATCCATATAATAATGGATCAGTTTCTGATGATTCGTTATTGAAATTTGAAATTAATTTTTGAATTTGATTTTTTATGACGACCAACATCTTTTGATTTGTTTTAGTTTTATTGATGGGCTAGGGAAAAAAAATTCTTTTCTGCAATGAAAAATCCTTTGATATTTATTTTGAATATTTTTGCTCTTATGTACAGTAAATTAAATCTCAGAAAAGCAGGGTAGGCGTGATGACAATTAAACGCGCTCTTATTGGTCAGTTGTTTTTGAATATATCTTCAGATTTTATTATGACAGTTATATAATTTATATAGATAAATCAATTTTTAAGAATTCTAGGATAAGGTAGATGGTAATTTTATATGATTTGGAGTTAAAATCAGTCACTGGTCATTTGACACTTTTCATTATAAATCTCAATTCTAGAATTTGCAGCCATTTATCATTAGGTTGTTAAGCTTATAAATTTAAAGTTCTAGTCGGTTTCCAATATCCTTTCGCTTCTTCTACTGTTAGTATGAGACCAGATGTTCATTCTAAAATTGGTATTAGGTTTTAACTTTTTTTTAGTTCGTCTTATTTCCTCTAAACCCAAGTTTTTTTGTGATTGTTGCAAATTGTGAAATCTACTAAAAATGTAAGAAAAAGAATTTGACTAAATGAAATAAAAGGGTCTTGATAGTCCAGGATTATACATATCGAACAGAGGTTGATAGTTACTTGAAAATCAGTCAATGGGGAGCGAAAACATATCCATAATTTACATTACTATTTACTATATTGTACATATTTACATCATTAATTTACTACATTGTACGTCTTCGTAACAACTATTTACATGGAACTCATAGGCGTCATCATTACTTCATACATTTAATTCTTTGGTGTGATATTTTCATAATAGGTTGATCTGAAAGGTTGCTTGAAAAATTGACTTTTGATTACAACAGATTTTGGTCTACAGACACTAATAACAGGAGTTTGATTTTCAAAAGTTACCACGAATTTGATCCCTTTTACACTTGTTTCTGTAGTATTGGAGCGAATTTCTGAAGTTTTGAGTTCTGATGTCTTATCAGACGTGAAAGTTGTGGAAGTCATAGGAATTGGAATTTGAACTGGTATAAACTGTTGATTTGATTTCTGGCAAATATGGAAGCAAAATTATCCAGTTTGATGAAAAGCCTTCACCTTTTATAGTTTTTCCAACCTGTTGTTCTTTCCTGAATCAAGATTCTATGTATTGTTCTCATTTGTCTATGAAGGAAAGAATAAAATCAAGATAAAATTTTCTTTCAAATGAATAAAATCTGGGGGTAACAATGAGGTTTAAACCTTCCTAAAATCGTCAAATAGTATCTGGAACGGCTCCTGGGGGCATATATAAATCGAATATAATACACCAGTTTGAACAATATAACAAAGTCATGTACATAGATAGACAGAATCATCCCTAAACTTACTTCAAACCAATCAAAGAACGATCAAGTCTTACCTTCTTGAGTTACAGCTACCTCATCTCTCTGATTCGAAACTCACTTATCTGTGGCTTAAATAAATCTTCCTTCTAAAAATAGATTTGCTTAATATTCATCTAAATTTTGACCAACAGATATTTTTATCCATATTTACTTCAACCACCAACGAATTAACCCATCAATCAACTAATCAAGATGACATATCATCGGAGTATCTTAAATCATCGACAATCAACGTTCCTGCTTCTTTTTGGACGATCGGTTATATACAGGTCAACTCATCGTCAATGCAAAAGTGCTAGATTCCAAATTCTCCATATGGTAGGGAATTCCGAATCTTCTTCTGAAGTCATCACACCACTTACTGACAAGGTCAAAGTGTTTAAAAGGCCGATTCCTTAAACTAAATGATGGTTCCGGGTTTAGGATTGTACCGAAAAGTTAAAGCTAAAAATATCTCATCCTCATGAAAAACAAATTCAATACTCAATGATATTCTTGTTTCTATGGATAATAACTGTTTCCAGTTATCTAGTAATAGAATTCGATGAAGGATATGAATTCAACATGACGCTAGGTGGTCAAAAATTACTCACATCGATTGACATTTCGTATGCTGATACGTTCATCCATTATAATTATGATTTCTGTGCAATTCTTGAAAACTATGGTTTTGACAACGATGAATTCCAAGAATGTTTGACACTCAACCTATATGATCCAGATGAATCCAAGACTTTCACACCAAATACAGTACTTTCACCGTGGCGAGATGTTTCAGATTCTTTAGACATCACTCAATGGGGGTCTGATATATTCAATATCAATGGTAAAAAAGTTAATGCTACGTTTGCCTTGGCTAACATCACTATGATTGAGGTGAATACCTTGGCTTTAGGATTTCCAAAAAGTGAAATCACTAATTTGACTCCTGAGTACAACATTAATCCTTCAGGTGTAGTATATGATAATTTTCTCCAATCTTTAAAAAATCAAGGAATCATCTCTAGATTAGGATATTCTGTTGTGTTTAATGGCGACAAGAAGACTGGAAGAGTTATTTTAGGTGGTGTGGATAATAAGAGATATAAAAATATGGTCACAGTACCATTAAATGATACCACAGAAACCACCACTCAAGTTATGGTAGATTTTCTCTCAGTGGATTTCAACGATACTTCGGCTGAAATCACTGATGATCCCTTGGTTTTGCAAATATCCAATAACTATGATGGATTGTTTTTACCGTCAGCTGCATATCGTAAATTTTTCGATAATTTAGATGTAAGGGAAGTTCAAGGTCAATATGCTATCGACAAATCAATACTTGAAGAATCTGACTTGAGTTTGAATCTTGAAATTGGTGATTTGACTATCGAAATACCGTGGGAAGATTTCACAATAGAACAGGATCATGTTCTGTTTGTGAATTCTAGCGGTGATCTAATCATAGATAATTCAACTGATACTTCATCCAATTCATCAACAGTTTTATTCTCGGTTTACATTTCAGGTGAGGATACTATGTATATTGGAGATTCCTTCTTAAGAAATGCTTACGTATTCATTGATATGGAGGACAAAACAGTTTCATTGGGGAATCTTGTTTCAACAAATAGTTCAGATGTTCAATCAGTCGATGCGATGCCAATAACTCAACCATCAGACTCCTCACCTACTGAATCTCAAGAAGATGGTAATGATTCTGCTGGATCAAAAATTTATGTACATTGGGTAATGCTTTTAAGTATATTCTTACTATTTACAGATTTTATATGACATTGATTAAATTTGACGACAAAATTTAATGGTTTGTAGATTCAGGAAAGTTGTTTTCTGATGATATTGGATATATGGGTACGTTTTTCTTCTAGACTCTTGACTCTTTTTTCATCATACTTGTTCCAAATGGGTAAATTAGTATCGAATAATCTAAACTTACCTTCTTTAACTTCATAGTAATCTAATAAGATCTTATTGAGAATGTTAAAAGTATCCAAATTACCAGAGAAACCATTGTTCAACATTTCTGTCACAGTAGAATCGATTTCATTGATGCTTGATTTTCCCATGTAGATCCAAATAGTTTTAATTATTTCGTTGTAGGTGTCTTGATTACAAGCAACGATGAAAAGTTTCAAATTTATTTTCACATAGTTGAAGATGGTTAGCGTCAACTGGCCGTCATTGAATTTGGTGTTGGATATCTTTAAGAATTCGTTCAAGATAACAGGTATGGTCAAATTATTTAATAGAACCTTACCATTTTGAGTATAATTTTCAGAAATGTCATCAAATATTGATTGGTAATCTTCAATTCTTGGCTTTTTGTCATTATCAATTATAGCAGTATCGAAGTTAATCTCATTAACGTATGAATTCAATAACAAAATCATTTCATTCTTAGTTTTAACTTGATTTATTTCATTCAAAGTAGGTTCAAGGATGTTCTTCAATTTTTCGTTAAGTTGTTTTTCAAATTCAGATCCTAAGTTAACTCCAAAGCTTCTGGGTGATTTTTGTGTATTGTTGTATGATTCATCAAGTGATGAGAACAAGTCTTTGAAAAATTCTTTCTCTTGGTTGATATCAGGTTCATCGATTGATTTGAGTAATTCTTCAACTTCGTTAGTCTTTTCTGACTTTTCTGTAATTTTGAACAATGTTTCTAACTCTTTATCGAAATCTTCATTACTTATACCTGCTTTATCATCAAAATCAAGTAATGTATGAAGGTCATAATCTGAATTGTTTGATTCACTTTTCAAACCATTTTCCGTATTTGAAAATTCATTATCATCTTTAGTATGATTGAAACGTACAAGGTTTATAGGGTTACGTCTTATTATGGTTGCTCTGGGTATAGTAGTCCGTATAACGCTGTACCTCAATAGTCTTGATATCATCTCTTCGCGAATATATTAATTTTCTATACATTAATCTTCATCACTTTCATCATTATCTTCATCACTTTGACTTTGTGAATCACTTATTGACCCAGGAGGGGGTCTAGAATCATTAATTACCCTATATGTTCCTTCATATTCATTTAAACAATTGAGTGAGATTCCTCCTTTCAAGATTTCTTCGAATTTGACATGGTCTAATTCCCACGATAATTCTTTACATAAATAAACCGCTGCATCGTCACAAAACCCTAATATGGAAACATCAAAGTTACATCTAGGGATGGGGTCTCTATTAATCAACACCTGTGGAATTTTGGCTGGTATTTTTTCCACAATATTAGCCACAGGTGCAACTTGTAATGAGGTACCTATGGAAATAAGTAAATCACATTGTTGTAAATCTTCATTGATCAAATCATGAAACCTAGAAGGTAAACCTTCTCCGAAGAAAGTTATATCAGGCTTGAACACTCCATATGATTCAGGGTAATAATTATCCGATTTTTCAAGCTTTTTTCTTTGTTTGGAGCATTTAGGACAAAAAGCGGGTTGTTTCAATTCTATGTCTTTTCTTATTTTCTCTCCATCAACTTTATATTTACAAGTAACACAGGAAGCTGTGGCAAATGACCCATGACATTGAACAATCTTTGAGGCTGAGATCCCAGCATTCTGCTCAACATTATCGATATTTTGAGTGTAGTTTCTTAATAATTTATTTTTTGACTCTAGTATTCTAATGAAACTATGCAATGGAGTATACACATCTTTTGGCGGTAAAATCTTATGGGCTATTGAATAAAATATTTTAGGATCAGTGTGGAATAATTCTATGTCGAAAACTTCCTGGGGATCACTTAAACCTAATGAAGTCAATTGAGAGTATAAACCTTTTGATGATCTGAAGTCTGGAATTCCAAGACTTGTGGATATACCAGCACCAGTGATAACTATGATGTTATTACTCGACTTGATCTTCTCTAATACATGATCTATGGAATAGAAATCATCAAGTGGTATACGATTCTTCATTACTCTTACAAATATCTCTCTCAAATAATTGATTAATTGATACATATCAGATGTATCGATTGAAGGGTCCACTTTGAATCCCAATATTTCTATAGCCCTTATGATGTCGGGAGCTGCTGTGTTTTGAGGTAAGAAATTCCTAATAAATTCATCTCTACCAAATGTACGAAGAAAATCTCTTGCATCAAAAGCTTCTTCCATTGAATCCAGTTCACTGGAAGTGTCAAACTCAACACGATTACCTTTGAGCTTGATATCGTCATTGACAGGTGAGGATGATCCATTGGTGGATTCTTTCACATTTAACTCTTCGCCGACCATCTCGTTCAGACTCAGACCACTGACTGCATCGTTACCATTCTCCTCAGTCGCTATTTGTTCGTCACTTGTGTGATATCGTTTATACAATTGCAGCAGGGCACCATCAGCATCTGAATTCCTTCGTTTCAACCCCTCGTCCGAATCAGAATCTATCAACACAATATCGCTATTCATCCTTATCGCGTTGAGATTTTTTGTGAGACAACGTTAATGGAGTAGGACCCGTTGGTGATACCAAATTGTCCAGGAACAGAATTTAAAAATTATTTATGGCAAAGTTCAAACCTGGTCAATCATGAGTAAGGTTTATGGATTGTACAAGAAATAGGGAACTCGAGCTCAAAAAAAAAAACAAAAAAAACATTAGAATCAAATTTCAATACTATCTCATATTCAAGCTAGTCAAGGACTTTTCGAAATCTTGCCCCACCAACTCGATAATGGTAATCAAACCTCAATAAGCCGTGAAAAAGATGGTTTACTTCCATCGTATAAATCAGCACGTCTTCGGCACAGCATTTAAAAGCGTGCAAACGCCAAATCGGCGTGAAAAATTCAACCAGGCTGTTCCTCACGGCTTGTACAATCAGCATATGCATTGATTGCTTTCTTCATCCGTCTCTTCCTGTTTCGAGTTCCATTGACCAATGAACTGTCGCCATATGGACACCCTAAAACAATTCAAACTTCCAGCCGAACACGCCTTTCAAATGTTGACATAGGCGAAGACATATTTGAATCGAAACCTTCCTGCATAAAACTATTCAACGTTGAAATCTCTCTCACTAAAAAAATTGGAAATTTATCACATTTGATTTTTCATTCGTTAACCTTTTACATTCAATTAGTTTAAAGAATAATGTTGAAAGGTGTCGAATTCATCAAGACCCCTGAACAAGGTCCAATTGATCCAATTTCATCAAAATGTGGTATCAAAACTACTGATTCTCCAACAATTTACAATGCTCCATTACCTGCCGATGGTCCTGGTAGTAAGCATTTCTCCAATTTAGGTCTTATTGGTATCATGATTGGTTTACCATACTACTTAACTTATAAGATTGGTTTAGGTTTCAAGACTTTCTTATTATTTTTCCTTGTTTTAGCTTTACCAATCTTAATGGTTTGGTGGACCATTTTAAGTACTTATAGTCCAAGAATGAATGAAAAAGTTAAATTACCAGGTAAACCAGTTGGTGAATATTTAGAATTCCACACTGAAGAATTAACTAACAAATACGTTAAAAGTAACAACGGTAAAGGTACCAAAATTCCAATGGAAACTTTCCATGAATTATATTTCGATGGTAAAGTTAGTTTCAAAGGTGATTGTTTAGATATCTTAGAATACAGACATGATTGGTGTCAATTTTCATTCACCTTATCATTATTCAGATTCTTTTTATTAGGTATGATCCCAGAAGTTATTATGCATTCAAAATCTCAAGATGAAGAACAAGTTAGAGATCATTATGACAGAGGTGATGATTTTTACACTTGGTTTTTAGGTCCAAGAATGATCTATACTTCTGGTGTTATTGGTGATATTACTAAAGAAGAAACTTTAGAACAATTACAAGATAACAAATTAAAAATTGTTGCTGAAAAAATCGATTTACAAAAAGGTGATCATGTTTTAGATTTAGGATGTGGTTGGGGTACTTGGGCTACTTACTCATCATCTCAATACGGTGCTAAAGTTACTGGTATTACTTTAGGTAGAAATCAAACCAAATGGGGTAATACTTTATTAGCTGATTACGGAGTTGATTCTGATCAAAGTAAAATTGTTTGTTGTGATTATAGAGATGCTCCAAAATCTGCTAAAGAAAATGGTTTATATGATAAAATTACTTGTTTGGAAATGGCTGAACACGTCGGTATTAGAAGATTTGGTACTTTCTTACAACAAGTTTTCGATTCATTGGAAGATGATGGTTTATTCTTTTTACAATATGCTGGTTTAAGAAAATATTGGCAATATGAAGATTTAGTCTGGGGTTTATTCATGAATAAGTATATTTTCCCTGGTGCTGATGCTTCAACTCCATTAGCTTTCGTTGTTTCATCATTAGAAAATGTTGGTTTTGAAATTGTTTCAATTGATAACATTGGTGTTCATTATTCTGCAACTTTATGGAGATGGTACAGAAATTGGATTGGTAACAAAACTAAAGTCTTAGATAAATATGGTATTAGATGGTTCAGAATTTGGGAATACTTTTTAGCTTCTTCCACTATTACTTCAAGACAAGGTGGTGCTACTTGTTTCCAATTTGTTATGAGAAAGAATTTAAATAGTTATCATAGAATCAATTATGCTCCAAAGCAAGATGGTTTATTAGGTCCTATTAGCAGACGTTCTGATTGGGCTAAAACCAATTAAGGATTTTTGGTTAATTAAAACAAATAAATATTCTTTCCAACTAATCTCTTATCTCTCCTCAGAATCTCCTTACATCATTTGATTTAATCTGGAGTTTAAAATATCTTTCAAAACCCTGGAGTTTTGTATATTAATTCTGGACTTAAGTGATTCCTCGGAGATGATGGTGAGTATTGGTGTACGGCTGCGAACTAAGCGATAAGTTATCGGTCGTTCGGAAGATGCCGACAATTTGATAACTGGTAGAGTCATCTATAGTCATGTACATACTTAACAGCGACTTTCGAGTCATCATTTTTGACTCCGATAGCACTGCGACTTCGGATCCTTTGCAAAAGCATGATTATTTCCTGAATGTTAAACTAACTTCTGGATGAATGGAAGTTTCAGTTTTATCAACTTTACCCAGGATATCCATTTTTTAATGTAATTAACTGATAAAATCATAGTTTTAACAGTAAATTTTAATCAATTAACTCTATAATTAAATCAATCACGTCCTCTTATTGACAAGCCGTTGACAATTCCTTGAAAAACCGGGTATTATTAACCCATTTTTCACTAAAATTTGACTCTCGTTTCGCAGTCAACTCCTGTGAAAATATTACCCCAGAGATCAGTGGAAAACTATAAATTTAATTGCTTTCCCTAACATTTTGAAATTGTATTAAATTTTTTATTGATTAACAAATTATAATAGGAAGAAAATGAGTTCACCATTCCCTAAAACTGTCGATAAAGTTAAAGGTGTTGAAATTTTAGCACCAATTCCTGATAACGCTAAGCATATTTTCAACATCGAAGCTTTAGGATTAATTGCAACCTTACATAGAAACTTCAATGGTAAAAGAAAAGAATTATTAGCTAACAGAAAGAAACAACAACAATTAAGAGATTCAGGTAAATTACCAGATTTCTTACCAGAAACCGAATACATCAGAAATGACCAAACTTGGACCGGTCCTCCATTAGCTAAAGGTTTAGAAGACAGAAGAGTCGAAATTACTGGTCCAACTGATAGAAAAATGGTTATCAATGCTTTGAATTCCGGTGTCGCTACTTATATGGCCGATTTTGAAGATTCTTTAACTCCAGCTTGGAAGAACTTGGTTGATGGTCAAGTCAATTTGTACGATGGTGTTAGAAAGAATTTAACTTTCGAACAAGGTTCAAAAAAATACAAATTAAACTTGGACCCTGGTAGACATATTCCTACTTTAATTGTCAGACCAAGAGGGTGGCATTTATTGGAAAAGCATTTATTAGTTGACGGTGAACCAGTTTCTGGTGGTATCTTTGATTTTGCCTTATACTTTTATAACAATGCTTTTGAAACTATCAAACAAGGATTCGGTCCATACTTTTATTTACCAAAGATGGAACATCACTTAGAAGCTAAATTATGGAACGACATTTTCTGTTTCTCCCAAGATTACATTGGTATGAGAAGAGGAACCATCAGAGGTTCAGTTTTGATTGAAACTTTACCAGCTGCTTTCCAAATGGATGAAATTATTTACCAATTAAGACAACATATTGGTGGTTTAAATTGTGGTAGATGGGATTATATCTTCTCCTACATCAAATCATTAAGAAATCATCCAGAATTTATCTTACCAGATAGATCTCAAGTTACTATGTCTGCTCCATTTATGTCATCATACGTTAAATTATTAGTTAACACTTGTCATAAAAGACAAGTCCATGCCTTAGGTGGTATGGCTGCTCAAATTCCAATCAAGGATGACGAAGCTAGAAATAAAGCCGCATTGGAAAATGTTGCAAAGGATAAATTGAGAGAAGTCAATGCTGGTTGTGATTCTTGTTGGGTCGCTCATCCTGCTTTAGTTCCTGTTGTGTTGAAAGTTTTCAATGAACACATGAAAGGTCCAAATCAAATCAATGTTCCTCCAAAAGTTCCATATACTCCAGTTACTGCTAGAGATTTATTATCTCCATATGTTCCAGATGCTAAAATTACTGAACAAGGTATCAGAGCCAATTGTATTATTGGTTTATCATATATCGAAGCTTGGTTAAGAAACATTGGTTGTGTTCCAATTAACTATTTGATGGAAGATGCCGCCACTGCTGAAGTTTCAAGAACTCAATTATGGCAATGGGTTACACATGGTGCTAAAACCGACAAAGGTGAAGTAATCACTAAAGCCTATGTATCTAAATTATTATCTGAAGAGTTTTCTAAATTAGAAAAAGCTGCTAAACCAGGTAATAAATTCAAACAAGCTTTAGACTATTTCAAACCTGAAGGTTTAGGTGAAAAGTACTCCGATTTTGTAACTACTTTAATTTATGATGATATTACTACCATCGGTAGATCAATTAATGCTGAAAAATTATAGGTCAGTCCAGGTGATTGTTTAGTATGTGTTACGTATTTAAAATATATTTATTTTAAGATATCATTCTGTTCTCTGAATTGTAAATTTATTGTAAAATTCACCAAAAAATTGACATATCGATACAACAGGCATATTATTAAAAAAAATTTAAGATCAAGAAAAAACAGATTTAACCGACAGTCAGTTACTATTCATGTGCTGACGATTCATGACCCACCGGTAGCATTCGTACCCATATCGCATCTTATCAGATCAGGGATTTATTGACTTTTAAGGGCGTCGCGAAATTTAAAGGTCTTCATGAACGCTAGACAAATTAGATTATTAGTGATATCAGTGGTTCTGATCATTGTAATCATCACCTTATATTCATCATCAGCTCCGAATTACAATTTTACCAATGGAATAATCGATTCTACCAACAATGACAAACTTGATGAACAAATAAATAACGAGATTGGTAAATCACAAAAGAACGAAGAAAATGTTCAAGAAAACAAAGAAGTGGATGAAGCTGAAGAAGCTGAAGATTTACTCTTTGATCCTGTTAAAGAATTAATTCAAATCAGGGCTGTTTCACCAATGGTGGTTTTTTCGAAATCATATTGTCCATATTCAAAGAGATTGAAAAAATTATTGGCAGATAATTATGAAATAACTCCAATGTATGCTGTTGTTGAATTGGATAAACATAAACATGGTAAACAACTTCAAGAATATTTAAGTACAATTTCAGGAAGATCCACTGTTCCAAATGTATTAATTGGTGATAGTAACGCTTCCAAAGGTGGTTGTGATGATTTCTTGAATTTACATGAAAGTGGGAAATTAGTCGGTTTACTTAATGATTGGGGTAACAAAAAATTATCTGTTAAGAAAATAGATGCTCCACTGAATTTATAGTACGGGAGCTTTATTCATTGTTTCCATTAAATTTTATTTTAAATAAGAGAATATAGATAATTTATACGAAAACATTATTTATTTCTTAGTCTTGAAGAATTCACCAAAGTAAGGATCACTGTACTTGTAATATCTGTGCATAGTCCATTTTCTAAATTTCTTACCGAAAAGGACCATGAAAAGAGTTGAACCATTAATAACAATACTCAACATGAATAATAACCAAGTAGTAAGTTTTAAACCATCTCTATCCAACCAAGGTTGACTGGCAAAAGTGAAACCACAACCGATCAAATTTCTGATAAACAAAACAAGGACAAGACATTCAGAAGCCATTTTTGGATAACAATCCATTACATAAGTTAAACAGATAGTTCCACTTGAGGACATAGCAAAACCTAAACAACCTTGACCAACAACAACAGTAACAGCCCAATGAACTTGATTCCAAGCACCTAAACCATAAGCTAAAAGCCCAACAGCATTGGCAATTAATGGTAAGATCATAGCATAGATTCTGAATTCAGGTTCCATAATCCCTTTATTTCTTGTAGCTAATTTGATAGTCAACCAATCAACTAAAGGACCAGTAAGCATACCAAGGAAAGAACCAATTAAAGGACCAAAATTAGTTAACCCAGTGGCACCAGCAGAAAAATTATATGGTTCAGCACCGTAAATTTCTGATTGGGTAGTTGCTAACAATGATAACCACATCATTTGAGCTCCATAAACGAAACCACACCAAATAACAGCTGGGAAAGAAATGGTAAAGAAAGGTCTATAGAAGATTGTTAACCATGATCTATCGTCACCGTATTCTTTTTCGATTAATTGTCTTCTCTTCCAGTAACCTCTAAGTGGAATTGAATGATCAATTGAATCAGCAGTATCACTATCAACTACTTCTTCACCAGTTGCTACGTCATTTTTCTTTTCGTCTTGAACAGCAGCTACGGATTCTCTTGATTGGATTTGATGAAGGATATCATTTTCCAATTCTTGTTCTTGTTCATGTCTATTGAAACAAGTTTCATCCATACAGAAATAAACCCAGAAGAAATGAAGACCAAATAAAATAACTTGTAACCAGTAACATCATCTCCAACCAATGGCATCGGCAATATAACCAGTAACAATTGGACCAATGTCACTACCGAAATATAAACTCAAAATAGTCAAAGAAAGATAAGTAGCTCTTTCATGTTGAAAGAAGTAGTCAGCCACAGAAATTTCGATTAAAGAATCACAAGGAGCCCCAGCAAACCCATTGATAACATTAACAGCATATTGTGAACCAATTCCTTTAGAAGAGGCACCAATGATGTTAGCAACAAACATCAAAACTACACATAATAAGTAAACAAATCTTCTACCTAAAACTAAAGCAGTTGGTTGTAAAACTAAACACCCAACACCAAGAAATAAAAAACATAAAGCACTCGTAACATTCAATGCCGAGTAAGTTGTGTTGAATTCTTCAACAAAGATATCCCATATTGGACCAACAAAATTAGTAGTAATAGCGAAAAACACTGATAACCAGAATAAGTGAAAGAATTGAGTCAATTTCTTCTTTTTACTCCATCTTAAAGGATCATTGGGATCAGGGGCCAGTTGTGGTCTCAAGATAATATCACCACTACCACCTTTCTTCACATTCAAATCACCCTCAATATCGACCAAATGTACAGTACCTGGAATCAATTCAATTGACATATTTAAGATCTAGCTTTAGCACAAAACAATCAAGTTAGGAGAGTTATAGCTTCATATGTTCCAAAAATGATACTTTCTTATCTCTCAAATCTCTTATCAGTGCATGTAACTTCCCATTTGGGAATGACATATGGAGCGGAATCAAGTTTTCCGTGTTTTTGACGGATGCAAATTCCCTAATTTGAAAATTTTCTAGTCGAGTTGGTGGTTTGAGACTACATTGTTTGATAGGACAACTTGTTCAGTTGGCCGTCGGGGAGTCTTTTCATCTATATAGATCTACATCAGCTGAATTGATATATTTAGCAATTCAGAATCAATGAGCATCGATAAATGATTGAATTTGATCAATTTTGACACATTTTATGACTTAAGAAGTTGGATCCAAGAACAGTTACCCCTTAATTAAGTTCAATTCCGAAATAACTTCCCTATGTGCAATGAGGGAGAAATTTAGACTAGTAAAAGCCATTTGTAAGCAAGACCAATGTAGAATTTTGACACATTGTGTCTGAGATACGAATAAGTCGACCATTTATCGAACCACCGTGTTGATATACGGACCTTCAAGAATCCCCGTAACTGTCGAACGTGCTGAATAATAAGCCAAAAACAGGTTTAGTTGAGATTAGCACGCAAAAATACGAACTTTTTCGGAGCTAAATGGAAAAGTTCACCATAGTAACACCGCTCCTAATCCGCTTTACGTCAAAATCAAATTTGACAGGCCAAGACGAAGTTGACTTGCATGATATCAAATTTCAACTCTACAACCAGAAGGGTTGAAATATGAAAGAATGACCATTTTTCGAATAATAGTCATTATAACACAGCCTTTCTATGGCTGAATACCTTGGGAAATGGCTTGTTTAAATACGATTTCCCGTTTTTTCGACGATTAAGTAATCGTAGTTGATCGGAATTTTTTTGACTGATTACATAAGCGTCGAACATTTTACAAAAGTCCGTCTGCAGAATACTATAAAACAAACCCATTCCCTTTATGCATTTTTCTACATTCTTCAAAAGGAAGTTTATTAAATCAATTCAATTATGTTTAAAGATCAAAGTTTAGGTATTGCAGCATCAGTTTTTTTAGCACTTTTTGTGTTATACACCGTTAATAGTGTTTTCATTATTATGAAAAATGGTTTGAAGTCCAGATTTACTTCTTTAGGGGTTTATGGATTAATCAGAATTGGTGGTCAAATCGCCGGTATTGGTTTCGCTATTAATGGATTTTCAAATACTAGTTGGTTTATTGCCTACATTATTTTAGGAGCTGAAGGGTTCATTATGTTGATCGTCGGTAACTTAATCTTTTTAATTAACGAACACAACAATGCTTGGGGAAGCAGTTATTTGACTAAGAAATTCATTCGTGGTATTAAAGGAAAAATGGGTATTGATCGTCTTATTCATTTATTGGTAATTCCTGCAAATGTTTGTATCATTTATTCCGGTGTGCTCTTATCAAAAGATGATCTTACTGCTGCAGATGCTGCCAAATCTAAGAGTTTAAGAACTGCCGGTGTTATCATTTTACTTGCTCAAATTGTTTTAATTTCAGCTTTCACTTTACATACATTCTTTGTTGCCAAACTTAGAAACCCTGTTATGTATTGTCTTTTATTCATAATGCCATTCATTTTAATGAGAGGTATTTATGGTATCTTAGCTGTTTACGTCCCTTCGATGAACTATTTCAGTTATGAAACTTATTTGAATGGTAATAAAACTCTTGTTACAATTTTCGAATATGTTTTAGGAACTACCATGGAATTCATCACTGCTTTAACTTTAATGAATACTCATTGGATTAAGAGATACACTGATCCAAAAGTTTCAGCTAGCAATTCTGATGAATCCCTCGAAAAGGATGTTGTTTAATAGTAAGTAGATAATTCACAATTACGGATGAAAAGAGATCTCTTTCTCTAACAGATTTTTTTAACAAAATTCTCTAACGAAATTTCCAAACAAATTTCTCGTATCTATAAAGTTAAAGTTCAAATCAAGATTCTGGACCAATAAAATATCCAGATTTCAATAGAGATAGGATAGTACTAATGTAACATTATATATAATTATATAGACTTATTAGAATTTGGAGAATTGTTTTGATTTTGAGACTGAAGCAGCAACTTTTAAAACATTGAATCTAACAGTTTTTGAGATTGGTCTACATTGACCAACAACAACGACATCACCTTCTTGAACTCTGAAAGCTGGGGAAACGTGAGCAGCAACGTTTTTATGTCTTTTTTCATATCTATTATATTTTGGAATATAATGTAAGTAATCTCTTCTAATAATAATAGTTCTATGCATTTTAGTTGAAACAACGGTACCGGATAAAATTTTACCTCTGATGGAAATATCACCAACGAATGGACATTTTTTATCAATGTAAGTACCTTCAATAGCGGCTTTTGGGGTTTTGAAACCTAAACCAACATCTTTATACCATCTTTTGGTTCTTCTGTTAGCTTTAGCTTTTGGATTAGTGAAAATATGTGGTTGCTAAAAAAAGTTAGTATTATATTCATTTTAATATTCCCATCACTTATACTTTCTTCTGTGGATGATGATTTATGTTCATGTAGGTAAACAGTGATTTTGTTAAACAATTATATTATCTATTCATCATCATCGTGAAAATTCTTCAAAATCATTTAGGTGATGGATCTTTCTTAATATTCTTCTTATATTATCTCGATAGTATTTCATGGAAGTAAAGTAATGATGAGGATTATGATGTTAATGTACAAACCTTTTGGAAAGCTCTTTCAGATTGAACAGTTAATTCAGTTGCCATGATTAATTATTTTGAAAAATTATTTCTCAATGAAAATTTTTTTAGAGTACTTTCGCTTTGCGACATCCTCCAAAGATTTTCTAAGGATTGAGGACCGCGCGACACTGTTAACTAAGGTGATGTCGTACAATAAGATTGTTAGTAGTGCGAGTAAAAATCAAGCATTTTCTCACGTGCGACTGTGACTGTCTTTTTAAACAGTAAAACCTCCCCCATATCACATGACTTGAGAGGTGAGAATAAGTGTCGCAAGAATTCTCTCACTTTAACGACAATGTCCCCAATCTAAAGTGCGATAACCCTCAAAGGAAAACAACCACAAATTGCTTGATACACATAAGAATCATTAAATAAAGTAAGGAATCTTGAAGTAAACATTGATTCAAATTTCATAGCTATTAATTCACCTTCGTTAGCATATTCAACAAGATGAATCGAAGAGTTCCATCGTATCCTGATTCATTTAGTGAATCGTACGTCAATTCCACTAGAACGATATCATCTTCATCATCAATAATAAGTACTCCAAGTAATAGAAAACATCAAACCAATGCCGGAAATCAACAGAACCAAGGATTACTTAATTCTCAGAATCAATCAACTAATCAATTAGGGCAAATAAATACCGATAAAAAGAAGAATAATTTAATTTCAAAAACCAAAATAAAACCAAAGAAATCCAATGTTAATTTAGTAAAGAATAAACTATTAAACCTTCAGAAATCCCTGAAGATTTATACTAAGAGTGATGATTTCAAAATGACTAAGAACTTCATAGTGAGAAGACCAATTAATATGAATCACTATGATTATTCAGTTTTCACTAAACGAGATAATTGGAATACAAGTGATGATAATTCAGACCCTGAACCCCCATGCGTTAAAGAAAGTCAAATTAAAGCTTGGGAAAGTGCTGAGAAAATCAGTAATAACTTAATATTTGATCATGATAGTGATTTAAGTGATGAGGATGATAATTTATTGAAAGAAGAAGGTAATGATAATGAAATTGATGATAACGATAATTATTTAAAGAATGATATAATAAAATCCATACCAGGATACACTAAGAATGAATTAGAACTAATACTAAGAAGACATGATGGTATTCAAATACTGGAAAAGAATTTCAAACTTCTAGAAAATGAAGAAAAGCAAGAATTATATAAATTAAGACAATCTCAACAAGCTCAACAAGAGAAATTCTTTAATCAATATCAAACATTAACCAACAAAAGAAAAATTCAAGTCAATCAAAAGAAAGAATTATTCAATAAAATATTTGGTTACAATAATTTATTAAATCAAGAGTACATTACTAATAATACATCATATTCTTCTTTAGAAAATGTGATGAATACTCAAAAATCATATCATGAAGATAAATCCGAAATCTCAACTATTCTAGAACAAGATAAGATGTTCAATAAAAAATTACTGGAATTGAAGGATATTTTACGTAAAAATGATAAATTAGGAGAATTAAAAGAAGAATTAGATTATGAAAAATTCCAAAAATTAATTTATCACAAATTATCCTCAATGTATAATAATGATAAGGGTGATGACGATGATGACGAAGAACTTGGTAATTTCGTTATTAATTATTTAAGAAAATGTATCAAGGATGATGATCATGACAGACTGTAATATATAAATAGGCTTACCGGTAAAATGTAACCTCTAAAGTGCGATCATGTGAGAAGACTTCATTTGTCGGTGACAAGTTATTATAAATCAAGTCATTGGGATTGCAAAAAATATAACCATTCTCGCTGATTATTTAAATAACCTAGATAACTTATCATTCCCTAACTTATTCCATTTATTCCCATTACTGATTATAAATCAAATCGGACAAATCTAGGTGCGCAAGGATATGAGATATTTAAACCCCAGCGCTAGACTTAATTTATTATCTAGACAATTCTCAATGGCTCCTACTAATTTAAAACATTATGACTATTTAGTTATCGGAGGAGGTTCCGGAGGTGTTGCCTCAGCTAGAAGAGCTGCATCTTATGGTAAGAAAGTATTATTAATTGAAGCCAAATTTCAAAAATTAGGTGGAACTTGTGTTAATGTAGGTTGTGTACCAAAGAAAGTTATGTGGTATGCTGCTGATTTAGCTCATAAAAAACACCATTTAAGTAAATATGGTTTAAGTAAGAATACTGATGATGAAGTTAAATTCGGAGATTTCGATTGGCCTTATTTCAAAGAAAAGAGAGATGCTTATATTACTAGATTGAATGGTATATACTCAAGAAATTTAGAAAAAGAAGGTGTTGAATATTTATATGGATTTGCTAAATTCATCAATTCCAATGGTGATGTCGAAGTCACATCAACAGGGGATCAAGAAATTCCTTTCTTAGATAATAAACCTTTCAAGAAGGATGAAAAATTAGTGTTCTCTGCCGACAATATATTGATTGCTACAGGTGGAGCCCCAATTATTCCACCTCAAGTTCCAGGACATGAATTAGGAATCACTTCTGATGGATTCTTTGAATTGGATTATCAACCTAAATCTGTTGCTGTTGTTGGTGCTGGGTATATTGGTGTTGAATTATCAGGAGTCTTCAAGAGTTTAGGCACTGAAACTCATTTAATTATTAGAGGTGATACCGTTTTAAGAAGTTTTGATGATTCTATTCAAGAAACCATTACCGATTACTATGTTGATAAATTAGGAGTTAATGTCATGAAAGCTTCAGGTGGTGTTACCAAAATCGAGAAATTGGCTAATGGTTTGAAAAAAGTTTCTACCGGTGAAGGTGCCGTTGTTGAAGTAGAAGAAGTAATTTGGACTATTGGTAGAAAGGGATTGATTAATATCGGATTAGAAGAAGTCGGAGTCAAAGTCAATGATAATGGTCAAATCATTGCTGATGAATATCAACAAACTACCAATCCAAAAATCTTTTCTCTTGGTGATGTCGTAGGAAAAGTTGAATTAACTCCTGTTGCCATTGCTGCTGGTAGAAAATTATCCAATAGACTTTTCAGTGGCCAAGAAGTATTTGCTCAAGATAAATTAGATTACAATAACGTTCCTTCAGTAATCTTTTCTCATCCAGAAGCTGGATCTATCGGTTTAAGTGAAAAAGATGCTATTAAAAAATATGGAAAAGATGACATCAAAATTTACAAGTCTAAATTCGTTGCTATGTATAACGCCATGTTAGAATTAGATGAATTGAAATCTCCAACTTATTATAAAATTGTTTGTCAAGGTAAAAATGAACTTGTGGTCGGTCTTCACATTGTAGGTGAGGCCAGTGCTGAAATCTTACAAGGTTTTGGTGTAGCCATCAAGATGGGAGCTACTAAAGCTGATTTCGATAGTTGTGTTGCAATTCATCCAACTTCTGCCGAAGAATTAGTAACCATGAGATAGATTTAGACATCATATGAGATGATTTATACTCTAATATACATTTATTCATCTATTTAATTTAGTATCTGGCTCGTTTTGGTGGTGGACCTCTCAATGGAGCTTTGGGTCTTGGAGTAGATTTCATGGTTAATAATGGTGATGCTTTTAATTGATCAGGTAATGAAATGAACCTTACCATGGAACCTCTTACAAAAACTTGTTTCTTATGACTAGTTTGACCTGTTCCATTCTTAGTAATCTCTACGTCATATAAAGTTAAATTCATGTTATCTTCATTTTCCAATAATTTTCCTTTGTATGTGTCCCCCGTTATTAATTCAACTGTCAAAGGATGACCTTGAGCTTCTGTGAATAACTTCAAGGTGACGTTCTTCCCTAATCCACTCATCTTAATTTGATTGTGTGACAACTGGTGGTATTACTTGTTGTGAAGGGTTTTTAGTAAATGCGAAGATGGGTTTATCGCACTTTATGGAGTTAGATTAAAGATGAGTGATTCAACTAAAAGAAGAAGAGTTCCTATCTCTTGTTTGAATTGTAGGAGGAGAAAGGTGAAATGTGATAAAGTCAAACCTATTTGTGGAGGTTGTGTGAGAAATGGAGTAGCGGATTCCTGTGAATACCTTGATCCTCATTGGATTAATAATGGTGATAACAGTAAGAAAGATTTACCGAACGATAATAAATTAACGGAGCTAGAGGCCCTTAAAGAGGCCAAGGCCCACAATGAGAAGCTATTAGCTAGTCAGCGGAAAGAAATTGACGATTTGAAGAGACAACTATCATTCAGTAATCAGTTAAATACCGACCATTCTAAAGAATCTTCATCTTCAAGCCACCTTACCATAGATATCTTGAAGAACTTGAACATACCAGATACAAGTGTTGTAGAAGTGAACAAATTAATCTATTTGAGTCTCAAACCTGGTCAAAACCAAAAGCTTATCATAAAAAACATATATTCTTGGATAAGTATCATACGACTTGATCCCAAATTAACATGTTTATGGTCAAAAATAGGGAATATGCAAAAACTATATCACTCTTTCAAGGTACGAAAGGATTTACACGATCTAAATAAATGCCCTGTATCCAACATACATTTGAAAGATGAACCAAACGACTGGGCCAACTCACCTGTACCACCAATAAACAAGACCATTACAAACTATTCTCCTGAGGGATTCCATTTGATGATATTGATCCAGAAATTGTTCAGGGCTTGTATGGAAACGGTAGGGAAGCCATTAACATATGACCAATATAATTTCCTTCTTGATTTTTACTTTAGAAGTCAGGAAACTTCATCAAGACTCACTAGCTTTTTCAAAGAAGAGTTGAGACACATTGTTCAACTTGGAGACGGAAATCATATTCAATTAGCAATTAGTGCCCCCAGAGAGATGAATGGATTACACATTGAACTGCATCAAGAGGAAACTAAATCTATACTTACCTTATTAGGTATGCTTCTTATTGTACTCGAAGAAAGTTTGAATCTTTTAAGAGAAAATGTCAGAAACGGTTTGGATAATGCTGAAATGTCCAAGTTCAAGGAATACTTTCCTGAGGTGGATGTCACTGTCAATAAAATCCCCGACAACTCCTTAAATCTCGTTCAAGAGGTTATACTAAATTGCATGGAAGGTGGGGTGCAAGATGAAAGACCTTACGAGTCGTTGTCCATAATAGCATGTATTTTACTTGTCATTCATTGTGATATCTCTGATCACTCGAGAGATAATTATAAAGACTATAACATCAAATATCTATTTGACAATTTCTTACATACTACTAAACAGTTGCTTATCTGGAGAAGTCCCTCAGACCTCATATTGACGAATTCAGGAAAGAAAAAATCTAAAGATGTCAAGATCTATATGACTCAATTGTGGAATGAAATTCTAAGAATCATGAATTTGGCTTGCTTTTCTTTGGTAACAGTGAAGTTTAGTGATGAATTTGATGAGTCTTTGAGAAATGTTTTCCATTTCATTGACAAACACTCTCTTGAACACATAAATTATCTTCAGGGCTTAAAGAACAATGATTTGGAAAGCTTGGTCTCTTCTTTGAAAATCAATACTTCGCTTATCAAAGCTCATATCAATTTACAAAGAGGAATAGAACTATCTATGGGTCCTGAGTTGACCATAGGAGACTTGGATATTTTGAGTAGTGATTTAAGTAGCTGGACTACCGATACCACCATCAAAAATCTTCCCAATAATCTCAGAGTCGAATTTCGTATAATGGTTCATCTTTCGAGTGCTTATCTAATGTTCTTGATGTTTGTGCAAAGCGAACAGTCAAAAGACTTTAGCCTAAGAGATCACATAAGTGTAGGTATTTTGGGTAAGATGTCTTCGTTTATTAAATCAACTAATATATTGATAAGTACTTTAAATGAAGAAAGGTATCAATATCTTTTGTCAGGAATTGTAGAACAATTCACAGTCTGTGTACAAATTATAATTGCTATATTAATGAGACTTATTAATAGAAAGGTCAAACCACAACAAGACGAATTGTACAAAAAATTAGCTGCCAGTTGTAGCGTCTGTGGAAATTTATCGGGGACATCTGGCATGAAAGAGCTATTCAAAGAACAAATTATGGATTACATTGATAAGTTATTATCTAACTTGCAAATTCATTTAAAAGAGAAAAACCATATTGAGCAATTGATTACATTGTGGAATTTCTATAAAAGTTTGATCAATAGCGTGGAAAAGTTCGATATCAATTATAGGAAGTACCATTCCAATGTACCAGAATTCAAAATTATCGGAGGAGATTTCAACAAATGCCCTATATCCCACGCCGAACCAGGAAAGTGTCCCGTCGATCATTCCAAATTTACCACAAAAACTGGAACAACGAACAAACCAGAAGTTTCTTCATCAGCTTCTCCAACCATCACTGAGAAAACTGCTACTGATTTCCACAACGGCACCGAAATGAAAGAAAATGATTTCTCAATGTCTTTTGATTTCAATTTCGAAACAATGATGGATTTACTTCCCATGGAAAGTTCGGGCTTTTCAGCTATGAATTTTGATTTCTTGAGAGACAGTTCCTTTTCTGATTTAACAGCTTCGTTAAATCTTGACTTCTTAGATGATGACCCTTCAACTAAATTTTAAGTTTTTATAGATATGAATAGTTTTTTTGCAGCCATTCGCGGCCCAACAATCTTTTTCATTGCGATTTTAGCGAATTCGATTTCAGATGCTAGCTCTTAAACATTATAGATTAAGCTTGTTTAAAAGCCGAGTTACGACGGTACGATGTAATCAGATAAGGTTTCAACTGTCAGTACCTCCACAACCCAAGAAAAAATCGAAACTAGTGGGCTTTTTCAAATTTGGGGTTACTATAGGTTTAGGTACGAGTGTTTTGTATAATACCAATGATACATTTCATGATGTCACCAGACATTCATTCTTAACCTTGGAGAGAGTGGGTGTAGTAACTGTAGCTACTTTCAGATGCTTCAAACTATACAAGGATGTGCTTGACGGGGATTATGATTCACCTAACGATTATAATATGGCCATGAAGAGAGTTCATAAACGTGCAGCCTATATTACTTTGAAAGCTTTAGAAACAAATGGGGGGATTTATATCAAGTTGGGACAACATATATCAGCATTAACATATCTTTTACCCGAAGAATGGACTTCAACTATGATACCTTTACAAGATAGATGTCCCAAATCAACTATGGAAGAAATCGAACAGTTATTCATCACAGATATGGGAGTTGAACTTTCAGAAATCTTCAGTGAATTCAACCCTGAACCCGTGGGTGTAGCTTCCTTAGCTCAAGTCCATATGGCAACATTGAAAAAAACTGGTCAAGAAGTAGCTGTGAAAATTCAACATCCTTCATTGAAAGAGTTTGTTCCTTTAGATGTTAAATTAACCAACTTAGTATTTGAATTAATGCGTAAAGTGTTCCCAGAATATCCTTTGACTTGGTTAGGAGAAGAATTACAAAATTCTATTTATGTAGAGTTAGATTTCACTAACGAAGCAAAAAATGCTCAAGGTACTCAAGAATTCTTTAAAGACCGTAAGAAACTAACTGCTTTGAAGGTTCCTGACATTATCGAAGCTAACAAGAGAATATTGGTTATGGAAAGAGTCAACGGTGCTAGATTAGACAATTATGAATATTTAATGAAGAACAATATTAATCCTTCAGAAGTATCTAGTTGTTTATCTCACATCTTCAACAGTATGATCTTTGAACCAAATGCTTCATTACATTGTGATCCTCATGGAGGAAACCTCGCCATCCGAGCCATACCCAAATCACAATCCAAAAATGGCCATAATTTCGAAATTATTTTATATGATCATGGATTATACAGAACAATCCCATTGTCGATGAAACGTGATTATTCTCATTTCTGGTTAGCTGTTTTGAATAAGGATGTTCCATCAATGAAGAAGTATGCCGAAAAAATTGCTAATATAGAAGGAGATCAAAAATTCAGGATATTTATATCAGCCATAACAGGTAGAGATCCCAATCATGCTATGAATTATGATATAAGCACCACCAGAAGTGAAGATGAAGCTTTAAGCATACAATATCAATTACATAGCACCGATGGAGCTTTAGAAGATTTAATGGATATCTTAGCCACCATGCCAAAAATTGTATTATTAATTTTGAAAACTAATGATTTGACCAGAAACTTAGATGAGAATTTAAAGAATCCTTTGGGTCCTGAAAGAACCTTTCTCATCATGGCAAGATATTGCGCTGAAACATTATTTGATGAAGATAAAGAGGAGGCCAATAGAAATTCAAAATTCTCTTTCAAATGGATTACCAGAACAATCAAAGCTTGGTGGAATTACCAATCAGTGGTGAATTCATTGATTTTATTTGATTTATTCTTAATGGTGAAGAACTTCAAAAACAACTTGGGTTTGTAGAGAATGTCAGGTCCCGTTAATATGTATATTGTGAATAAAATATTCCTTATCTGTTAAACCTCTTTAGTCTTGATTTTGTTTGATCTTATCGAGAAGATTTGTTATCCTTGGTCCCATTAAAGGTTGTCCATATTTGGTGGTTCTGGACAATTTCTTGTTCAATCTTTCCCTTTGTCTTTTAGCCTTTTCTATTTTTTCTTTCTTTTCGTTCATATATTGAATTTGTTGTTTCCTCTTCTCTTCTTTTCTCTCCTTGATGAGCTTAGATCTTTCTTGATATGTTAATTGTTTTCTTTTTTCAAATGGATCTTCGTCAACTTTGGGTGTTGGTGGTTTAGATTGGATTGGTTGTGATTTGCTGTCAGTTTCGTCATTGGATTGGTCATTGGATTGGTCATCATTATCTTGAGGGTTCAGGTCTTCATTACTGATTCTCATCTTTGCTTTTTCACGTTGTTCCTTTTCTTCATGTTCTTGTTTTTCTTTGTCCATAAGTTTGAAATAGTTCTTTCTTAACCTTGCTCTATGAGTCAAGGACTTCTTGATCTCTTTGGACTTGAAATCACGGAGATCTTTGTGTCTTTTGCTATCGAATTTACCCATACTAAAATAAATTTTCTCGATGAGAACATTCTCACTTATCAGGATTTTGCAGTCATTTGATTAACTTGAAATAGAAGGACTTAAAAAGATTTTTTTAGGGGAGAACAAGGGATATTACTATGGCGGGATATATTTGAAGCTGAAGAAATTGGGAAGATAAGCCAAATGGAGGACTTTCAGTGATCTAAACCGTCTAAAAGTCATTTAGATTCAAAAGTTCCACCATTCACATTTCAAAAACCCACAGAATACTTTCAAACAGCTTAAATCTACTAGAATACAACGAGAGTTCTCTCCCACATCCATATGGGGTCCATTTTCATCACAAAGTCATCATCTCCATCCAACTCTAATGGTGCAAAAGTACGCATCAGAGAATCGCGCAGTAAACCATGTCAAAAGAAACTCGACAGTACACTTCGGTACCACAAGGTCCTGATGATGTACCTACGGCCAGTAGTCAATTACAAGAGCCACCGGTTCCAGAAGAAGAATTTGAGCTAGAATCCTTGGATTCCCTCGATTTCGAAAATAATACCCCAGATCAACCTGAGAAAGGTAAATCCAATATGAGAATGGCCTTTATGAATATGGCCAATTCAATCCTCGGAGCCGGAATAATTGGTCAACCATTTGCTTTCAAGAATAGTGGATTAGTGGGAGGATTGGTTTCTTTAGCTGTTTTAACATTCCTCATCGACTGGACTTTACGATTAATAGTGAAAAATACCTTGTTATCCAAAACTAACTCCTATCAGGACTTTGCAGCACATTGTTTTGGGAAATTTGGCAGAATACTATTATTATTTTCAGTAGGATCATTTGCTTATGGTGGATGTATGGCATTTTGTGTCATTATTGGAGATACTATACCGCATGTTTTGAAGGCTTTTATTCCCGAATCCATAACTGAATCTTCGGCTTTTGGATGGCTATTCAGTAGAAATATCATCATAACAATATTTACCACTTGCATTTCATATCCTTTGTCTTTGAATAAAGATATTTCCAAATTGGCTAAAGCTTCAGGATTTGCTCTTTTTGGGATGTTGATTATCGTTCTTATAACTGCCATCAGAGGTCCATTTGTTGACAAGGATTTGAAGAAACCTTTAACTACTCAACAATGGACAGTGAATACCAATATCTTCCAAGGGATCTCTGTTATTTCCTTTGCTTTGGTATGTCATCATAATACAACCTTCATATATAATTCCTTGAAAAATTCAGTCAAATTGAAATTTGATCGTTTGACTCATATAGTTTGTTTCATTTCAATGATCTGTTGTTTAGTAATGGCTGTCAATGGACTTTTGAATTTTGGTGGGAATACAAAGGGTAATATCTTGAATAATTTCAAGAGTGATGATAACTGGATTAATGTTGCTAGATTTTGTTTCGGGTTAAACATGTTAACAACATTCCCCTTGGAAATCTTTGTTGTTAGAGATGTTATGAGAGATGTTGTGTATTTCTACACCCATGATACCAATGAACACGGTAATCATAGTGGACATTTCGAATTGTCTTCCAGACAACATTTCTTCATTACATCGTTCTTAGTATTTTCAAGTATGGCAGTGTCGTTATTGACTTGTAATTTGGGAATCATATTGGAATTAATAGGTGCAACATCGGCTTCTTTAATGGCTTATATAATACCTCCATTATGCTATTTAAAACTTTCATGGGAACAAGTGGATTACAAATCTTTGACTTCAAGCGAAAAGAGACAATTTCATTTGTATAAGACTTTACCATCCGTTGCATGTGCATTGTTTGGCTTATCAGTTATGGTCATCAGCTCTTTCATGAGTATCCGTACTAGTTTGAAGAGTTCAGGGGAAGATGATCATTGTGTCGTTGATTAGTCTATATATATTATTCATCATCATCATCATCATCTAATCTTAATCTTTTTCTTCTTGAGATGAAAGATGTATCATCATCATCATCATCTTCTAGAATTCTCTTGATGACAGGTATTTGGTTTTCTTTATCAACAGCATCATCAGATTCAGGTTGTGATTCTTCGTCTGAACTGAATTCTAATCTTGTAGACTCTTCTCTATCAGATTGATCAGATTGGTCAGATTGATCTAATTGTGAAGCTTGAGTAAATTGGATGGTGGATTGCAGTTGACTTAACTGAGAATCTTCTGCATATTGTGATAATCCTAAATCTTGGGATTCTTCAACTTGAGAAGCTTTAAAATTCTTACTTGCCAGTTCTATAGCTCTAGTAACAGATTCATCAACATTTTGATTTGGATCGTTCAATACACTTGACCAAACTTTTTTGAATTCTTCTAATTGTTTGGTATTAATGATACCTCCACTTTCTGACAACAATTTACGTAATTTTTCTTCCCTAGCAAAAAACTGTTGATCTTTTTCATCATCCGATTCTTCATCAGAATCATGAATATATTCATTAGATTTTGAAGGTCCATGATATCCTTCAGGTTCATGTTGACTAGATGATCTATGCTTGGAACCTCTATGTTTGGATGATCGTTTCTTTCTTTCCTTTTCTTTGGATCGTTCTCTAGTGGGTTCCTTTTCTTTGGTTTTCTTTCTAGCTACACCTAAAGTATTAGAAGATGAAATTCTTGCTTCCATTTTATCCAAATTATCTAATTCTTCCATATATTTAGATTGAGTAGCTGTTCCTTGAGTTTCAAAAGCGATATCTTCATCACTGAAGTTATAAACATTATCATCATTATAACCATAATCATCATATTCTTTTGATCTCATAAAATAGAAAGGATCTTTACCATCTTCAAAACTAACTGGTTGTTCTTTGATCCATTTTTTAATCAATTCAAGTAATTCAACAACTTTACCAGTTGGGATGTTTTTGGGTAATTCGACTTTCTCTTCAAGAATATCTGGTAACTCAAAACTTGCTAATGATAATAAACACCTAACATACTGATTATTTATCATATACCTAGCATATGACTCTGGAGTTAAAAGGCAATGAACATTGTTATCATCATTACTGGTGATAGATGTTGGATCATCAATTAAATGTTGGATACGAATCTTGATGAAGTTTTCCAAAGCAGTGATTAACCATTTAAGGAAAGATTCCTTCTCTTGATAAATCAAAGCAGTGATTAAAATTTTAACTTTTTCATCAAGAGTAAAGTCTCTTATGAATTCCACATCTTTAGCTAAACGAGGTTGACTAGAATTAGATTTGGCTACTATTATACCTTCATTCAAGAAAGATTTAGCTGCTTGTTCTTCAAACCTGGGGAATAAGATTTCTATAGGGTTAGGAAATCTCTCAAAAGCAGGTTTGAATTTCTTCATAAAGTAAATGATGAAATCATCAACATGGTTTCTGATACTTGATTTCTTAGGTAAATAACCTCTCAATTTTTGTAATATTATCATAAAATCAAGACGGAATAAAGCGTTATGATCCTTCTTCACCACGAATAATCGATGGAAATAAGACAAACAACGTTTTACCTCTTCATGGCTCAAATCTTCATATTCAGATAAATAATCAATATAAGAATTTACTGTGGATGTATGGAAGAATCTCAATTCTGTACGTTGTAAATCCAATTCCCTTTCTAATTTCTCTGACTTTGCTCTTTCATGGTCAGCTTCTTCATCACTTTCATCCATTAAATCTTCAACTCTACTGTTCATTCGAGATTCAATATCATTATATAACGACTTTTTGTCTTTCTTATACTTCTTACGACGTTTTTTAATATATAAAGTAATATTTTCTTTAGTAAAAGATTCAAATGATTTCAATAATATATGAACCAAATAAATACATTTACTCAAATAAGAAGGTGAATGTTTTGATGCTGATTGAGGAACTTGAACTAAAACATTTAAAAAATCATAAGATGTGAACAAATTCCTTATAATACCTTCACCTAGTTCTTTATCCAATAATTCTTGGGAATCTTCAGCTAAGTCTTCCATTGAAGGATTGGAAATGAATAAACTATGAGAAATAAGTAATAATTCAAGGAAACATGTCATAGCTACATGAACTGCACTCCAGTTCTTCTTTTCAAAAGATGAACGGAAATAATTCAAGATAAGGATGAAGTTGGTTTGACTTAATCCATCATTGATGAATTGAAAACCTGCTAACAGTTTCTCCTCCTCAGATAATGAGTTAAACTCTTGTGGATGAGCTTTATAATATTCATTACGGTTTCTCATATAATTAAAGAACCATGACATGGTTAAGAAATATGTAGCATTATCATAGGGATTAATGTGGGTCATATCATCAGCACTGGATAAGATACTACTAACGTTGGATATTAAATTATTGAAACATTCACCTACTAAGAAGTCACATATGAAATTATGGAAAATTAATGTTGACGAAGGTGATAAATACTGTTTTTCATCACTGATGAATTTATCCGAATCGTATTTGAATTGTGGAGGTTTTTGCCATTTCTTGGATCTATCTAACTTATCCATAGTTACATTTGAATTCAATAAGGCTTCTTGACCGGAGATAACATAATTCTGTTCATCTCCTTGGATTGATAATAATGTACCAAATCTACCATGTCTAGTAGATAAGTTTTGATTCTGAACATTCTTACGTCTACTTTCTTCTTGTAACAAATCACTCAATTGCATACCCACGGTTGAGTTGATGGATTCCACTTGATTTATAGATCGTTGATTTTCTTGTAAATCTTGAAGGTTCTTCTTTTGACGGTTGAAAGCTTTAGATTGGTTCATTATATCTTGGAATTTAACATTTTTCACCATCAAATTAATACATTCCAAAACTATTTGACCGAAGAAATTCTTATTGAATTCAGATCCCACTGAACTTGACATTGTCAAAAGAAAGGTCAAAACTTTATTCTTCTTGAAAACACTCAATACATTATTAAGGGAAATATCTTCCATGGTAACATTTGAAGGCATATTATCAATACTAGTGAGTTCTTTAGAAGTTTTCATGGAAATAGTTGATCCAATTGGTTTAATGTATAAGATATTTCTGATGAAAAACAATGCCAATTTTAACACCTGATTATCTTTTTTCTCTCTATCTTCCTTTTCCTTACTCATTATGGGTAAAATCAATCTTAAGACGGCTTTAAGTGTTTGTCCCTTATTATATGTTAAGATATGTTTCTTATAAATGATTTGAAATTTTCTTAAGTTTGCCAACTGAAGCTTTTGCTCTTCAGTGGATTCAGGAGTTAACTCTTGAGGCCATGTCAAAGAAACTAATAATTCTAAAATAGATAACATTATTCTCTCCATAGTTTTCTTATTTCTTATTGGAGGTAAATTTGATTTACCTGCCAATTGGTTATCCCATTGACACAAGATTACCACCAAATCATTCATCACAACACCGGTCTCTCCACATGCTATGGCAACATCAAAAGTTTGATTTGTATCATCAACTGATCTGATCCATCTTTTCAAATCTTTAAGACATGCTAACGCGTCATGTCCCAATTTATAAGGTGGAGGGTTGTTATTCGAGGTATGATCAGGACCTCCTAATGCTGAAACAAGAACAGATATATGGGCTTTCAAAATTTTCAGTCTAGCTGTTTCATTTGGTTTCAAAGCAGTTGAAAATTCTTTTAATCTATCAGGTTTCTCATCTTCACTATCGGTATTTTCATCACCAGATTGAATTTCTCCAGCTTCTTCGGCTCCTTCATCATGCTCATTGATTTCATTATCATTGGTAAACTGGCCAGGCTCATCTACTATGAAATCGTGTAAGTCATCATCCACAGTGTGGAACTCATCTTCTGAACTCATGATATCTATACGCGTTTTCGCGATCTCCATTTTATCAGAGAGATGTGCCAACTATGTGGAACCAGAGAAACAGAGAAAAATCGTTCCTCGACCAAACACCCGAGTCCTGTAAACCACTTATACAGCCATAACATATGAAAGCAATAGTTTATCATTAGTTGACAAAACTTCATATACTATTTCAATATATCATAATTGCTAAATATGCATATTTAACGTTTTGAGTTAGCAATCTTGAGCCCATTCCTTATTTTCTACATGGATTTAACTCAAATTACATTGTAGTTAATAATTAGACTAAAAATTAAACTTCGCCACTAAAAATTTCGTTGCTTAATGACTATTCAACTTCTTCCATTAACTTTATAAATGATCGAGCCAATTTGACAGATGACAAAGTCTTTCATCATTTTCACCATTAGAGTTCTTTTATGTTCGTATATATCCCATGGATTGATACCGGTAATTCCTTGACGACGAATTCGCCTCAGGTCCAATTATTTTGCATAATATGTGGGAACTCTTAAATTTGTACGAGATTTAAAAAATATCCTTCGCCTTAGTTCCTGAAAAAGGTAAAAGCTTTCCGTAATTGTACAAATTCTTCCTAAATATCTAATTATTTACGGGAATCAACATCGAAAACCCTTTTAACCTCTCTTAGTAACGAGACCTTTTTTGTCGTTAAACATATCAAATCAAAGAGTGGTGGCCAGTGTTTCGTTCACCTCACCACCAGTGCGAACCTAAAAAAAAAAAATACATCACTGGAGAAATAGTCTTGACAGGTTAATTGATTTAACTAGAGGACATTTATTTAATTAATCTTATTGAACACCTATTCTTATTGACACGAGATTGGTGGATCATTTTTTTATATTGTATTATCATTGGTAAATTAAAATTTTTTTTCAACAGTCATTTAAAAAGGTATGCAAAAATAATGGACTCGTCATCAAAGAAAAGAAACAGAATACCTTCAAGTTGTTCGATTTGTAGAAAGAGGAAGAGTAAGTGTGATAGGGTGAAGCCTGTTTGTGGTTCATGTAAAAAAAAGTCAATTGCCCATTTATGTTATTATGAAACGGAAAAATCAAACGAGAGTTATCAACCAGGTTTCAATCAATCACCCCAATATCAATCACCAACTATTCAACATCCTAATCAAATGAATATGGAGATGCAAGGACACGGACATATGAATCAAGGACCCATGTCACAGGGACCTCCACCTCAGGGAGGTCAAGTTCCAGTACAAGTACATGGACAAGTGCCAGGACAAATACCGGGACAAATGCCTGGGCCTGGACAAATGCCAGCACCTGGACAAGGAGGCTATCCAATGGGTGACCCAAATGTCCACATGGTACCAGTGAATTATACCAATGGACATAATTATGGTGAATATTACCCTGTGCAACCTCCAGATAATTTTGAATATGATAATAATGGAATGCCTATAATTCGTCATGGTTCCAATCCTCCACCTCCACCACCAGCAGTTCATCATCCACCTCAACCTTTGCAATCTCAACATTTACCACCAGCTTCATTACAATCACCTCAACAAGCTCAACCATCGCCAAATAATCAACCGCCACCACCCCCAGCATCTATTAACATACCTGGAATTCCTATCCAACCTCGAGGAGTTAGTCCTATGCCTCCACCACCTCATACTTTTAACCATAGACAACCAAATGGACCCATACCACCACCACCTAATGGTCCACCAACTCCGAACAATATTTCCATGCAAACTCCTTCGGCTTTGAATGACAATACTTATTCATCCAATGCTAGTTCAGCAACTTCGAGTGTTAAATTACCACCAATTAAAAATATTCCCAGTAGTACCAATAGTCTTGATACAAGTCCTAGAAGTGGTTCTGAACAATTGATTACTGTTCCTATTGGTCCAACATCATCATTAAAAATCAACCCACAAGATGAAGTAACTGATTTTTTCAGTAACGCTTCAACTCCTTTATCGTTAGAAGGTTCATACTTACAAACCCATGGATTCTCTAGTTATGTTGGATTAACTAAAAGTGATAAGTATGTTAAATTCTTGAGAGATTTTGCTGTTCATTTAATTACCAATGGAGAAATCACCCAATTCGCCAGTACAACTCCAAAAAGAAAAGCTGGAGAATCAATAGCTCCTTCGCCTAAAAAAGTCAAACCAGAAATTGTTGAGTCAACTACCAAAAATGATGCAGGCATTAAAGATAACACAACTAACAGTGTTGTGAAAGATGAGACAAATGAAGGTTTACAAAATAATGATGGAGGTGATGATGATGAAGCCAATGATGATGAAGGTAATGATGATGATATAGCAGATGAAGAAGATGAAAAAGCTCGTGATGATGCGGCCGTGCTTGCCATTGTCAACAATAATCTTGGTAATTCTAAAAAATCCGATAGTTTGGCTATATTACCAGGATTGAAAACATTATACTCAGGTAAAAGTAACCGTAAAGAATATTACAAATTGGTTGAACAAGCAATTTTAAAGGTATTACCAAGTAAAAATCAAGTTTCAATGTTATTCCAAAGATATTATAAATGGGTTAATCCTTTCATCCCCATAGTGAATGAAAATACTATGAGAAATGATTTCTGTCAGTTAGTTGATAGGTTTCCTTCTAGTAGTAGTGAGAAGTATCAATCTTTAAATATCAAAAATGATAAACATTTAAGTATAATGGCATTGATGTTATTAATGTGTAGATTGGGTTACATGAGTTTCATTCATAACCAGAGTGTAAACAATCAATATAATGATAAAGAAGCTAGTATAATACAAGAATGTAAGAAAGTTCCATATCAATTGTTTAATGATGTGGTGAATTTATGTATTCCTGATGAAAATACTAGTTATAGAAGTACTTTGAGAAATATTCAAACTTTATGTTTATTATACTTCTATCGTGAAGTAAGTCCTAATGATTGTTTAGGTGTTGGATCAGCAGATTCTCAAATATTATTTGGATCAATTGTTCAACAAGCATTATCAATGGGGTTGAATCGTGATCCTTTGAAATATATTGATCATGAAACCATTAATAGTAACAAAGATTTGATCGAAACTTGGAGAAATTTATGGTTTCATATTTCGAATCTAGATGCTAGTCAAAGTATTCATAGAATGAGTACTTTATGTATTTATAATGGTAACATTAGTGATAACAAATTACCTAATGTTCATATCAAAAATGAAGATTTAAAACAATTGAATTTGACTATTAATGAGGTTTCTAAAATTTATCGTAGAATATCATTAATAATCAATGATTTCCTGAAAAATCCTAAAATTGTTGATATTCTAAAAGAAACCAATACTTTAGAACATATCTTTTTCAATTATTTCGGTAAAGATTTTTTTAGTGATTCAATTTGTATACCAGCAATTGATCAAAATTTTGAACCAGGATCAATTGAACATGATAGAAGTTTTATCAAAGTTATGAAATTTTTGATTTTTATGCAAGTTCGTACAGATTTATCATCAATTTATTATGTTATTTCAATGCATTATGAAAGTAATAGTGAAAAATATTCTCAAGAATCAATGAGTTCAGGAGTTGAGTTATTCAAAATTCATTTCAAGAGTGTTGTTCAATTAAGTTATATAATGTCATATGTTTTTGATAATACTGTTGAACTTTTTGGAAGAAATTATGATTATATTTTAACTGCTCATATGGAAAGATTTATGATTAAAACTCATAGTTTCTTAACATCATTCTTTATAAGATTGATTGCCCAGAAACAATTATTAACCATTAAGCAATTAACTAACCCTGAAGAAAGTTCGGCTATAAGATTAGAAGCTTTTGATAGGACCTTTAATATGGTTTTAATGGAATCAGAGTATTTTGTTGGGAATTTCCGGACTTTGAGTTTAAGATATTTAAATTCTTATAAGATTTATGTGTTGACATATTATGTTTTGAAACAATGTATGGAAAATCCAGAAATATTCTTCCAATATTCAATGAATGATACTTCAATTTTCGAAGATGGTTCAAGTGTTTTAGATTATTTCACTGCGGAAGAGATGAATTATTTAACAAGATTAATGGAAGAATTAAGATATATTAAGAATATCCAAGCAATGCAAAAACGTCAAAATTTATCAAGTGTTAGTTCAGCTAAATCTTCAAATCATGGTTCACCAGAAATGAATAGAACTAATTCTAATTTACCTCAACATCATCCTAAAAAGCCAAATGTTGATCCTTCAAGTGTTGCTCCGTCAATTTCAAGTAGTATACCAAATTCTACTAATAATTCTCTTGCTGATAATGAAGAATTTGCTAATCCTGCTAGACAATTTGCTAGTGCAATGTTCAGACCTGGTGGTAAATTTGAATCTGATTTATTACCTTCAAGTGGTAGCAGTAATGCTTCAATAACGAATGAAATCAATCATTTGAATAATAAAACCTCAGATTTCTCAAAAGAAATGAAAGATCCTATCATGGAACCAGCTCAAGATCCAATGTCTCTATTATTGAGTAATTTGGCCGGTTTGAATAACTTAGCTGGTAGTGATGACATAAGAACCGATGACTTTATGAAATTATTTGAACTTTATGGTGAAGGTGCTAACGATCTGAATTTGGAATAATGTTTAAATATATATATATATGTACTCACTTAACTTTAACTCTTATAATCTAGCGGAGAATAAAGCAGTTCCTTTGATACAAACCCTCACCTCGGGCGAGTCGGAGATAATTCCTAATTGGTGAAGATTTTCCTCACTTTAACAGTTTATCGTTTCAATCATCAATTAAGTGTGACACTTGTTCTAAATTGACTCAATTCCTTTATTGACAAATATTCGATCCAATTGATTCAGTTTTGTCATCGTTTAGTCCACGAACGTTTGTGAATTTCAACTATTCTATTGAAATATATTGAAGTTGTTGAGATTTTATAGTTCTCAATACCATGACAGAACCAACAAGAAAACGTAATAGATTATCATTACTGTGTAATTACTGTAAGAGGAGGAAAGTTAAATGTGATAGAGGAAGACCTTGCTCATCATGTGTTAAATATAATGTGGGAAATTTATGTGAATATTCACTTTTTAAGTCCGATGATGATACAACTAAATCAGATAAACCCGGACTCCAACCAACATTTGCTGTAAAACAAGTAGATAATAATTCAGGTGTTTTGAATGAATTGGAAATGTTGAAAGTTCGAATCAAACAATTGGAATCGAGTGTTGGAGGAGAGAAAAGTAATACTGCAAAAGATCAAGATCAAGAAAATGGGTCTCTGGGACCACCAAATTTATCTTCGAGTGGTAGATTTTCATTCCAAACACCAACATTATTTCAACCTGGAGTTCCAAATACATCATATAAGAACGATTTCAGTTCTCCTTCGGCAATTGGACTGACCCCAGCTTTAACTCCGAATTTTCCTTCAATTCAATTACCACCTATAAATCCAATTCCAGAAATTGATAATTCATATACCACTTCTAAATTACCACCATTCATATCGCCATCACCCAACACATCCGACAGTTTATCTGATTCGAGGTCTTTTGTTTTACCACCTTCATATTATTCTATTAATCAGAAAAGAGCTTATTTAGCTGTTAACCCTTGTGATAACGACGATGACATTGTGAATTTTTATAAAGATTTTGATCCATGTTACATCAAAGATTTATCGTTCAGACAAAATAATGGAATTTTCTCCTGGTTAACATTCATAAGGAAAGATTCCGGGTTAACAAGAATTTGGAATCATTTGATCAATACCACTAAAGGTGAGAAAGAAAGGAAATTTAAGGGGACAAGTGGAACTGGTGCATCAGCAATGGCTGAGCTGATAATAGCTCAAACGAAAGATGCAAATGACATTAATAACATAATTACCACAGAAAAGATATTAACGTCTACTTTCAAAGATAAAATCTTGGGTATCAAACCAGAGGAAGAGAACGAAATGGAGAGTCGTTTTAGAGAGAGAACCATTAAAAGTAGTGACCCAGCTGATTTCAAACCTTATAAAGAAATGGATACTCCAGGGTCTGACTCTACAATTAGCGACAGGAAGTATGTAAGCCCTACTAATACCAGCTTACAAACCAGTCCAACATATAATACCTTATCACTTGGATTGACAACAGTGGCTAGCAAAATTAGTCTAGAACTAGAACTTGCAGACAAAATTATTCTTTTGTTGCCACCTAAAAAGGTAATATGGACTTTGATCAATAGATTTTTCACCACCATTTATCCTTTCATGCCATTCTTCGATGAAATCAGTTTCAAATTAGAAGTTACTCGAATTCTAGGTCCCGAAGATTTGGACGATACAAAAATAGCTAGATTAAATGTAGAGAAAAGATTAGATTTTGCTTACATTGGAATTATGTTATTGATGTTAAGGTTCTCTTACTTAGCATTATTCTCCAACAAAAGAGAAGTTAATGAGTTTAATTTGAAGAATCCAAGTGCTGACGTCAAAGCTACACAATTGAGATATTTATTATCCAACCCAATTTCTATCCAAGTAGTTGAAGCAGCACAAATCTGTCTTAATCAATTTGACTTGTTCAGGAAAACAGCTTTCCCTGTTTTACAATTGATGTTTACGTTGAGATTGTATCACATTTTTGGACCTGAGGAAGGAGAATCCACAGATGGAATATCTCATCAAATAAATAATGGTATCATCGTACAGACAGCTATTAATATGGCCATAAATAGAGAACCCGATTTGATAGATAGGGAACATACTAATGAGAAGTTCAATAATATGAACAGAAAGTTATGGTTTTTCATTGTTAACACCGATTTGATTCAAGGATATCAAAATGGTGATCCTTTAGCAATAGATCCAAAATACTTCGATACAAGATTACCTTTTTATAAAAAGGGTAATGAAAACATTGCCGATGTAGAACTTGAGAAACAAATGATATCCACCTTTTCTTACTTTGAAAAATTTTATCCCAAATTGAAGGAAATCTTGGATATCAGTTTGAACGTTAATAGTGATACTCCAATTAAAAAGTTTTGTGACTTGATATCTGATTTTGAAAGATTCATTTATTCAAATTACGGTAGTCTTGAACATTATATGGTACCTTTCTCCAAAGAATATTTCCCTTATCCTTTTATGAAAACCATGAAATGTAAAACGTTCCTTAATCTTAATAATTTCGTTGTAACTATTTTCGTACATTTATATTACATTTTTGAAGCCAAAAATCATTTCAAATTATCGATTTATTATTTCAAGAAAGTTTTGGTTTTTGGTTGTTTGAATACTACACCATATTTCATCGAATTGTTTAGTAGGAATCATATAAATTTTGGGGAAGGATCAGATTTGATCTTGAACCCATCATTTATTCAATCCATTCATAGAGTCAGTCAAATCAATATCTCCTGTTTGGTCAAAATTAATGCTACAGTTCATTATTATAAGAAATCCCCTGAACACGAAGCCAATTTAAAAAATGACATATATCAAGAGAAATTCCGGAAATATTGTCAACTTTCATTGTCCATAACCAAAAATGTCAAATTTGTGATTTCAGTGTTATCAAAATTGAGTAACAGATATTACTATGCATGGAGAATCACCAAAGCTCATAGATTCTTACTCAATTTGGTTAATGGTAATGAGTATTATGATAGTACCAATAATGAAGATTTGATAAGATTTGTCACTAATATCACACCCGAAGACCTCGATGAGTTAATAGAGATTTATGATCAAACAGCCCAAGCTATTGATGAAAGAAAATTCAAACTTGAAAAAGAATTTGCTTCAGAATCTCACCCAACTCCTCAACCACAGGATACTGAACGCAACAAAGATGGGAAATTGATGTTTACCTTCCCAGCTAATAGTCCATTGAATGAAGGTAACTTCAAAGGTGATCCACCATCGGTACAAAGAAGTCAAACATCAGATGATTTTGAATCAGTAGATATAAAGGAAATTGATAATTTCTGGAGTCAATTGAATAATGATACTATTTTCAATGAATTGCAAGATAATGATACTTTACAACAACCTAATTTAACCGATGATATTTTCAATGCTGTTGATAATTATATGGATTTTGTCAACTACTTCAAGAGTTAGAAGGTTTTCTGGTTTGGGACTACTTTTTTTTTTGCAAAATCATTACCCGCACTTCACTCCACTATAAATTTTGTACCAGCGATGAGAAAAAATTTTTCAATATCATAGTATTAAATAGTATGTTTTAATGATATTACAATTCAATTAGATGACGACAAAACGCTGTGCACCAGTCTGAGTACTCTTTGCATGATAGACCCAGTATACCCAAATTTCTGAAACAATTGAATTTATTTATAAAATTTTATACTAACATTTCAGTTCTTAGTCTGGTACTAAAAATTCAATATACTTACGGGAAAATCTCTGTGAACTATGAAGTTAGGGTGAAGCTATGGAGAGGGTAAGGCGAACATGGTGTAGACCCCTTGGTTGAATCCTATTGCGAACGTAGTCGGGCCCTAGTTTGAGTCAACATGTCACCTAGTTTTAAACTGGTGTCAATCTACTAAACCTCATACAACCCTAGAGTAAACCTAGAATGTAGTTCGAAAAAGAATCAATCGTAACGCTCTTGACTCAATCGTGATCTTTGCCTCTCTGGTATCAAAACTTAGACATGCAACGTGACCTTAAGTGTGATCTTGGATGCGTCAATATCTAGGCTAACTCATCGAATGTTAACTCGAAATGGAATAAATTGAACGAGAATAAATCCATTTGTGGAATTATTCATCTGGTATGTGACATCAATCTTTGGTCCATGAACATTCCGAAGATATCATTCCGAAGATATCATTCCGAATGAAGAATTAACATATCGAAAATCTTAGCCGAAATATCACCAAAATTGTTTCTTCTTACATATTCAAATATCCAGAGATAATGAATTTTGAAGATTTAGAGGTTATTTCATTATACCACAGAATTCACAAGGCTGAACGTGATCCAGGATACCATGAGTTGGAAGGTAATAAAAACCCTGTCAAAAATCGTGTATCGTGAGGTCTGGAAAAATAACCTTCAAAGCCTTAGTGAAAAATAAGATTGATAGTTTTCACGTAAAGATTAGAAAATAACGTAATAAAACAGGTGAAATTCTTGTGATCCCTTTTCTCCTAAATAAGTTAAATAACGTAGTAATTTACAATAGTAATAATAGAAAAATTAAGAACAAGTTGAAAAGGGTTAATTTGTTTTATTCTTTTTATGGGTCTATTGTTCAGAACAAAGAAGATATTCTTTACTATCAATAAACTTTTAACCCTTTACAATTAGTACCAACCCTTGGACGCATATCTTATATAATCTCCCCCTTAAATTGTCGCGATTGTCAGGATCGAAAATTTCTCAAAACAGTTAAATAAGGAGTTTGATATTAATATTTTTATACTAGATACAGTATTCCATAACTCTGTCAACAATAACGACAGGAGGAATCAGAGGGTTTTCGGGATGACCTCCTTTTCAATGGGAATGTCGTTGTCGACGAATATGCAAGATTGTCTTACCTGTGTACCTAAGTATGATATATTATAGAGATTTGGTGATTATGTCGTAACGATTATAACCTGATAAAACAGGTGGATTAAGAATTATAACTATCAAATGTACAAATCGTGAATTTATATAAAATATTTTCTTTTATTACCTCAAAGGTACATAATTCGGTTAGGTGTAAAAGTCCTTGTAATATAACGCGTTATGGTCTAATACCAATTAAGGTGAAAAATTAAAGGCTCAGATTTTTCATATATATATAATACCTTAGGGTCCTTATTTATATTTCAGTTCAAACTTATAGTTTTTTCTTACATTCCTTTTTCATTTACTTTCAACCACTTTTTATATATTTTTCATAGACTAATAGAAAAATGGAATCATTTGAATCAAAATCAGTTGAAATTTTTATCAAAAGTAAAATTGATCAAGATTTAGTTCATAAATTAATTGTCAAAACTTTACAAATCATTCCTTGTCCTAATGAAACAAAAGAATATATTCAAGAGAATAAAAAATTACCTTCCTTACAAAAATTTTTAAACAGATTAATTGATTGTTTAAATCTTAATAATGGAATTTTAATGTTTACCATGATCTATTTAAACAGATTGAAATTAAAATTACCAAATAACTGTAAAGGTTTACCTTCAACAAGACACAGAATTTTATTATCATGTCTTATATTATCAATCAAATTTAATAATGATTTTTCCTTAAAAAATCACGATTGGTTAAAATTAACTAATAGATTATTCAACTTAAAAGACATCAACTTAATGGAAAGACAATTGTTATATTTATTGAATTGGAATTTGGTAGTTAGTGAACAAGAAATCTTATTAAATTTCAATAAGTTCTTAACTCCTATCAAAGAAAGTTTAATCAATAATTATAGAATGAAACAATATTTATCACAACAAAAGAAATCACCAAAATCACCAAAAAAATCCTCAACAGAATTATCACCTCCAACAACTCCAGTGTCGATGATCTCATCAAGATCAAGATCACCATCACCAAATTATACCCCAAATTCTCAAGATTATTCACCAAAAACTCCTATCAATACCATTAAAACAAATATTTCAAGCTTAAACCCAACTTTGAATCAAGAACAAAGTAGAAAATCTTCAACTTCATCAATTTCAACCATATCATCCGTTTCGTCATCTTCATCGTTTGAATATTCTTCTTATGGTCAAAATTCTTTCTCATCAATTGACAATCTCGAAATTTCAGGTAAAGTTAATCCAATATTCGAATTAACTGCCTTAAATGAACAATATGAATTAAACAGATTGTTGGAAAGTTTCAACACCAATTTATAGTAATGACTTATGATTTTGCATTTTATTCCTTTCTTAAATTCTCTTTTTTTAACAGCCAAAAAAAATGAGCCAAATATTTCTCAGATCAAAAAATTCTCGTGATACAATTTCCTACTCGCATATCTTTAATCATTCAATATGGTAGGTCTAATACCCAGGCGGTTTTTACACTCATCATATCGATTATTTAAAACCAAAGATCAATATAGTGGTATGCTAAAGAACCTTGGTGTACCCATCCAGAAATCTAAAGATCAAACAAGAGATTCTAAAGTTGAAGAAAAGATTGATGATAATGAGGATACTCACAAGAAATTGAAAGATTATTATGATAGCATAGCTTATATGACAGCAGATGATTTGATGATTCAACAAAATTTGGATCAAGGTAAACAATTCAATTCTTTTGATTCTGAACATTATCTTGATAGGAAAACTTTAACCAAGAACATACCTAATGAAATAGATATCTTTGAAACACCATATCCTGAGATTGAAAAGATTTATAAAGATTTGAATAAACTTGATACCGACAAAACCGTACAATTAAAGTATTATAAAAGATATTTGGACAATTATAGTGATCCAGTGAATCTATTATTACAAGAATTCAATAGAATAGATGAAAAATTCAAACTTTTAAGGAGAGATGAAATAGATAATCTTAATTTAAACCCAAACTCGTACTTTTATCATGAAAATTTATTCAACTTATCATATAATGTTTTAGGTTTTGATCGGTCAATTAGTGGATTCCCTTTGAGAATGGGTAAACATAAATTAACTGATGTAACATATCCTGTGGAATTCATTCAAGATTTACAAATGTGTCAAAAGAAAATCAAACTTCATAAGAAAGATTTGGATTTCGTGGAATATAATGAAAATTCCTTATCGATCAATCCTAATAATTTGAATAATCCTCAAATTTCCGATAATCAAGGATCTATGAATAAAGTTATTGATATGATTTATAATGAACTTGATGTACCGAAAAACTTCTTGATAGTAGATGACGTTCATGATTATAATTGTGTAAAGTTCAAATTCTTGAACAAGTTTAATTCAATCTTGGAAACTGAGATCAATACTTTGAAAGCTTCTTTACAAAAAGAGATCGAATTCATTTTATCATCAAACAACGAATCTAAGAATTTATTATTATTCAATCACCAATCTTTCAAAACAAACCAATATAAATTATGTGATTTTGTTAAAGAAAATAAACCTAACAACGACCCAATTGACGAATTATCAGGTAAACCCCAAGTGGTTCTTCTTAGTTATAACATTCAAGAATTCAATTTGATTCCCTATACATATTTAATCAATAGAACCAGAAGATCAAGAAAAAGATTATTTAACCACATTTTCAAACTATTCTTGATCAATTTGAAAGATCAAATCGAAACTTTGTTAAGAATCAAATATTCCAAGAAGAAATCCACATTCATTAACAATTTAAACTTGAAAATAACGAATATTACTCAATTCAAATTGATGAACTTCTTCTACTCAATAAATGATTTGAAATTGATTAAACCTGGTCATGCTATTTATTTGAAACCTTATAAATCAAGAAATTATAAGAGATTATACAATTATAAATTATTACCAGTTGAAAAAAGGTCAATTAGACTTGATTCTGTTGAGTTAGATGAACTTTTATAGATATATATGATGGCATTAACTGTACTGTCGCGCGACCATTTGGCACTGGCTGGGGGGCGGAAACTCTCACTAAACTGGGGTAAGAATTCTGACCAAAGAAAAGTGCGATTTGGAAAGGAAAATTTTTTCAACTATGGCTTATAAGAAAGTAACTACTACCACCTCCTTACCTCCATTACCAAAGTTAAGAGTAAGAAGACCTGTGTTAAACAAATCTACAAACCAATGTTTGGTCATCATGACTTCATTATTGAACTGTTGGGCTGCTAATGGTGATGGTGCTGCTAGTTGTTTAAATTTCGAAAAAGATTTGAAAAATTGTATGGAAACCCATAAACCAGAAAAGGAACAACTTTCCACCATAAATTACCATGCTTCAAGATTATATCCTAAATTCAAAGGTACTGTTACTGATTAGATCAGATTTGATGCTTGACATTAGATCAAATTCGATGATTGAGATTAGTTAGCTAACTGTAAGTTCACACATAAGAATTTCAGATCACTTTCCTAATGATTCAGGAAGTATCTTAGACTCAAATCCAACTCGTACGTTACCATGTCAAATATCACCGTCAGAATAGAGATGAAAGTATCTTAAACTTCACCCTTCGTTGCATAGCCCCTCCCATGTATTTTAGTACTGTAAATAGCATAATATCAAACGTAACTCCATAAATCATCATCTCTACTTACTCTAAACTACACCCTGATCCGAAAGCTCCATCAAATACACGCTTGAACACCAAAAATTTCCGGTGTTTCAGATTTTTTCACCAAAGGGGCTACTATCACCAAAATTTGAGAAGCTCAAAAGAAAAAATTTAAAGGACACTTCCCTACGATCTAACCAACCACCATATTTTTTGTATCGAAACTTTAACAGATCTCCGTTGATAAACTAACGATTCACGTACAAGTAGATTATCCAAATTTCACTTAGAAAGGAGTCACTTATTTTAAAAAAGTCTAATCAACTGGTGTTGACATTACTCCTGTGATAATCATTTGAATCGATAGCTTTTAAATACTCCAGATCTACCAGTTCAAATCTACGTCATGATCATACAGAAATTTTACTTACTATTGGTGCTACCTTTAGTAGTAATAGGAGCATTAGTGGAATCAAAAGCTTGTAGGGTTTCAGGTTCGAGTCTCAATATCGATAAGTTATTGATAGATGTAGCTTTAGATGAACAAAATAACAAGTTGAAGTTTTTCATAAACACCAAAATAATAGATCAGTTGAATTCTTCCAATATACTACCAATAATCACCGATGTTAATGCTACTACCAACAAATTCTCGACATTTCATGCTACGTTATATTTTCAAGGTCAAGTGATAAAAGATGAAAATAAAAGATTATGTAGCATTCTTGGTGTTAAAAATACCTCCAGCTATTTACAAAGTCCAAGATTTAATAATGGTCCATCCACAAACACAACTATTATCATTAATCCTAATTTACCTATAGAAGCAGGAGGAAGTTCTAGATCTAAAAGAAACAATAACCCCGATAAAATACGACGTGATGAATCAAGTTACTCAGATGATTACCCCATACTATCAACATCAGCCGCCGAATTCAGCGACCATAAAGGTCATGGTGGTCGTTTTGGTGGAAATTGTTCAACATTCAATAAATCCAATGACTTTGCTAGAAGTAATCAAAGTATTGAAGAATTATTCAATAATTCAACCGGTCAATTGATAGGATGTCCATTGTATGTGAATGATTCAGTTTATATCTATTATGAGGTAGATATAAGAGAGCAGTATGGAGATTTGGGTTCATTTTCCGCTAGATTTGCGTTTATTTCCAATGATGAGTCCAGTACCCTTATGGGTTGTAATACAGTATATGTTACACCGAAATTAAGGAAAAGTTATTCTAACGCCATTCTCATTGGTGTGGTACTGTTAATTATTGTGACAGGAGTTATAAATTTCTTGACTATTACTTGTTCAAGTTATCAAGAATCTCGAAATCCTTTCGTTTTCATTGCGTCAACTATTTGTAATGAGAATTTGTTGAAACAACTAGATGCCACGGTTCAACGAATTATCTTATACTTACAATTTGCATTATTTATTGCTGGATTAAATATCAATTTTCCAGGATTTTATCAACCACTTTTAGGTTTTTTGAAATGGATCGCTCTTTTGGGTTTCACTATAGTAAAAGGTGAACATTTTTATTCGTTCACTGAACAAGATAACATTTATTTAACCTATAATGGAGGTGGAATCAATTCTTTGGCATATTTTGGTAATTTCAGTACCTTAGGAGCTAATTGGTGGAATTTCATTCTAACTTTGATTATTTGGATTTTCATTCAAATTGGTGGTCAAGCTATTTTCGTTGGTTTACAATCTTTAAGAAATATCAAACATTTACATTTAACCAAATCGAAATTTGCAGCTTTCTTGAAAAGATGTACATTTTTCGTTATTGGAGTGTTTTTGAATAATTATATGATATTATTCGCATACCCATTCTTGGTGTTGTCGTTATATTTGTTTTACATTGATGCTCGCTCGGAATATAGTAATTATCCTAATATTCCTTCATTGAAAAGTAATGCTTTCAATAGAAATGTTTCTTATGATAATTTATTTACTCCTATGACTTATGTGAGTTATATCGATGGAAGAGATAATCATACTATAAGTGTGCAAGTTGATGGAGATTTCCAAAGTATTAACACTTCATATCTGTTAATGTACGGGAATACCACCAACGGATTTAATTTCAGAGTTCTTCAAGATACAACCGATCATAAGACATTGATTCCTCCTTTAGTAGTAGCAGGAATTTGTGTCAGTTGTTGGATATTAATAGCATTATATTTCATCTTCAAATACTTGTTCACCATCACCAAGAATCTCCGTATTGTAGCCAATAAGAATGTGTATAAGTTATATACCTCAGTCAATAATTTATTGGTTTGGGGATACTTCTATCATCATTATGCCCCCAGTAAGAATTATTTTGCTGTGATTGATATAGCAAGTTTGTTCTTAAGATCAGTAATTGTGAGTTTATTACAATCATCAGGGTTAGCTCAAGTTATTTGCTTGATCATTTTAGAATTAACCAGTCTTATATTAATGATTTTGATTGATCCTTTTTACTTGAAAATCACTTGGACTACCACAAGATGGATGATACCGGTAGCAAAATTCTTAATAGCCGTTTTATGTATTCCATTTCTTACACAATTAAATTATAGTGAGAATGTTAGAACTAACGTAGCTATAGCACATTTGATTATTCATTTAATCATTGCCGTAGTGTTTGTTTGTCAATTGATTTACTGTTTCACCATAACCATTATATCCATTGTCAAATTCCAAAAAGATAAACATAAAGCCACGAACAATTTAGTCAAATTGACCAATAAGAACAGTATTGATGATTTCAATAAACAATTTGAATATCAACCTTTGGATAAATTGTTGAAACCCATTGCTAAATTCAGAACTCATAATTTTGATTTCGAAAGGGATAAACATGATTATTATCCATATAAACAACAAATGTCCAATGATTCCATCACTGGTTCTCCAAGGTCAAAGAAGATAAATTCAGTTGAAGATATTAATAATGGTGATTTGTACTATAGAGCACAAGCTGAAAATCTTTTAAGATCTCAAGAATCAAATGTAACCAAAGATAATAATAGTATAATCTCAGATAATGGATCCTTTGCTAAACAACAAGATGTTTCCAATAAAAGAAGGAAAAGAAATGATTATACTACCAGAGAAGGTGATTTGATCTATAAGAAATATATGATCAATGATGAGATTGATCCCGAAATTAAAGCATTATGGGAATCTAGAAAAGGTGCTAATTTCACTGATTCTACACAACAAGATGAAACTGATTTGGAGTCATATTTCAAGATGGAAATGTCAAAAGAATCGAAAATTCAACCATTATCGAATTTCCTCACCAAAATAACTGTTTGCAGATCTAAGAAGGAAGAAGTGGAAAAGGGATTCCATGTTTCTAGACCAAAACAATTAATTGTCAAGAAAATTCCTTTCGAAGGAGATACTCCAACAGTTTCGGAAGAAGATAGAATCACCCGAAATATTTCCACCAAAACCGCCAAAACCACCCACACTTCATCCACAGGTTTCACATCTACCACTGTGGGTATTTCACCAATCTCCAACAACAAGTCACCCCATGCGGAAGATAATGATCTGTCCCATACTGACACATAAAAAAGAGAAAAGGGCCTGGACCCTAGGCTATAGCCGTTAAATAAGAAAGGCAGAAGGTGCCTTAAAAGAAATTCAGTTCAAATTCAAATATTGAAATGTATATTAGCTAAAAATATATAATAGGGAAGTTTATATCGTATCTTTCATCAAATATGCTACAAAGACCTCTTAAAGGTCAGGGTTATTTCTTATAAGTATTATGGTAATCATTTCTTTGGTCTTTTAGTTCTATCATCGATAATGGGTAAGTCGAATTTTCTTTTAATGATATTTCTTACTAACTTTTCATCATCAATGAAAGAACATACAGTATTATGAAATTTGAAAGCATTATCATTATTATAACAACTTTGTAAAGATTTGAATTCTGATTGTAAGACTATTTTGGCCATACTCTTCCTGTTGTATTTGAAATCTTTGGTAAAATCATCAGAAGCAAAGTTAGGATATTGGTCCATTCTTGATTTGATAATGAAGTTAAAATTTTCTTTAGTTTTAGAAGTCAATTTTTGTGATTCAATGAGTTGAATACATTTTCTGTAAATTCTTCTAACCAATTGGAATTTGGAACTTCTAGATAAAGGTTTCATAGAACTAATTGAATTAATTGATGTTAGTATAGTTAAACACTGTAAAAAGATGATTAATTCAATAATAACATCTCCATTAACAAAACAATCGTAAGAATCTAATACAAAATCAACTATGTCATCTTCTTCTTCCAATTCTATGACTTCTTTGAAAGTTTGAACAATTTCATCGAAGAAATCTTCACCTAAATCTTTGGCAAAGTATGCTTTGATTGTAGATAATGGGATTTCACCAAAATCGTGTTTGGAACCAAACATTTCAACGTATCCATATCTTCTTAAGATTTCACTATTAGGATGATCAGAATAAGTATTGTAGATTTGGTCTCCTTTCTTGATAGGTTTGATGGCTCTGATTACTAATTTATCTCCCAAGTATTCCAATGAAGCATTATGAAGATTAGTATCAGCATTTAAAGTATCAGCTAAAGGTATCATCGCTTTGAGGAAGCTATCTTTTTCTATACTATCAGGGTACTCCTCATCTGATGTTGGACTTGAAATTTCTTTACCATTCCCATTCAGATGTCCATTTCCATTCAGATGTCCATTTTGCCCGTTTTCTTTGTGTTGTTCTTCTTCCTCTTGTTCTTCTTCCTCTTCCTCTTCTTCTTCTTCTGCATCATTTTCTTCTTCTTGCTCTTCGTCATCTTCCTCTCCATCAACAAATCCACGACTGTTCAACTTTTCAATATCAAAGGAATAAGACATAATTAATGAAGCTACTTCATGATATTGTTGTAAGGTAACATCTTTTAATTCAACAATTTTCATATCTTCAACAACAATTTTTGGAAACAATTTCTTATACATTCCGTTAGCCAACTCTTTACCAACTCTGTGAACAATCAAGGATGGCTCCAATTCTTTAAGTTCGTCATCGGACCAAAACATTAACTGGTTGAAAATATAGTTATCTTTATCAAAAATAGGTAAGACCTTGAAATAATCTCTCCATTTAGAAGCCCCATCTTTAACTTGGAACTCATATAACAATAAAATAATCAAAACTTCCCATTGATTTAAGTGGACCAACTCATCACGGAGTTCAGGTCTGTCAACTAACAAAGTAGCACTTTCAAGATCAAAGATTATTGACCTTGGAATTTCGAATATGACGTCCCCAGTATTGATTTCCTCTTGGGCAATAATCCCTCTACCTTCATTAATATCCCTTAAATCTCTTAATTCTGTTTTTTGGAGAAATTTGACTTTTTGAACTTTTAACCATTTTGAATAATTTTCAGTTAGGATAGGAAAAGCTACCTTCTCTTCATCCCAAACCATTGTTAACTAGTGTAATCTGATGCTTAAGTTGTGATATATATAGGCTCTTTTTTACACTGTATACACAATAAATTGAAATAGCAAGAGAGCAGAGATTTTTTTCTCAACTTCATGAGCTTGTAGCCACTTGTGGCTAGTGTTGATGAGGCTAATGATATCATGAACAATAGAGAGAAGCATCCTGATTGGCCCTGAATATGAGAACATCAGATAAGCATTTTCTTCCTGATAATGACGTTGGAATAACAGTTGCAATAACAACAACATTCAGAGAACGAGATGAGATGGTCGTTATACATTACTTAAGGCGATAAAGGTAAACATTACTAGGATATTGAGGCAATGACGATGAATAATTTAAATCTTTGGTGGTTTTATAACCATCATCACTGGTGGCAATAGCCAATAAATCTTTGGTACCGTTGATATCTGACTTTACAATACTTTGAATTTCATTGTTACTATATTTCAATTGATTCAACGATGAAGTTTTCTTCTTATTTTGCCAATTCCAAATATTTACTATCCCATCTGATCCTGATGTGTATAATAAATTATCATTGAATGATAAAGAATTAACAGGATAGGCAATTTGAGTATTGGTTAATTTATCTGTTGTTCTATGACAACGGAAGACGAACCTCGAAGTATCAGGGTTGAAGAATTCCATCCCTACTCTTCCGTCTATACTAGAAACAGCAAAACCTTCATCAAAAGTCTTTAAGTCATTGATCTGAAGGTCAAAAGGACTTTCTCGGCTTTCAAGAGGTTTACTCCAATCTCTTTTATCGTATCTTTCAATTATTCGATCAGATAAAGCGAGAATTACTTCATTGTCATTAGTATCCATTGCCAAGATCTTATGTGATAAGACGTTGGAGAATATAGGTGTCGATTGCCTATAATCTGTTCCTTGAAATTTCTTACTGAAAGATGTGGATATCACCAAATTATCAATGGTGTTGATGTTATTGATACCTGAATCCAAATCATTTAAATGAACCCAATTCATGTTCAATAATTTATCATTCTCAAAGTCAATTTCAAATATACCTCCCTCTAATGTCCCTACATAAGCACTATTATTCTTTGCAAATGTCATACATAAAGTTGGTGTGGTTGATTGAAATTTGTTCATCAATCTACATGTTTCATAATAATCGGTATCGTAAAGTAAAATTTGATTATCCCATGACGATACTAAGAGATGATTCTCTACAGGGGAAAATTTGATATCTGATATTATATCCAAGTCTTCTGGTGTGGGTATTTTGATGTACCCATTCATTTGTATCTATAGTTGTCTGACCGCGAAAATGAGTATTTATGGGGTGATGACTTTCGACAGACTCTGGAAAGGAATTTGTGACACTAAAGGAGGCTGGATCAAATTTGAATGGTGTATTTGAAAGCTCATCAATTCAGCGGGATCTTGGTCAGGTTCTACCCATTCAAAGTTTTCGTTGTACTGCCAATATTCCATGAAAGCTAATTCTTGGGGTAAATCACCTATGGCTACTTTCCTATGTTTCAATTGATCTTTGAAATATACATACATTTCAGATAATCTGGGATTAGTGATGAAGTACTGGTTAGGATCCTCGGGTTCTTCAATGATAAAATCATCCAATTTATTCACTTTTATGTCATTAAAATTTCGTACTTTACTATGGTGATAATTGAGTAAATTGATTTCGTTATATTCCTCAAAATAGTTGATTATTCTGTTAAGAAAAAACAACTCCTGGCTATTCGAAATATTATACAGTAAGCTGTTTGAAAATCTCCAACTTAATCTACCTACTTTTCTTGGATATTTGACATTTAAATATGTGAAAGCCGTTCCTAAACCCGAAATCAATGTCAATGGTAGAGAAATTTCGAACGGAACCTCACACATTGTTAATAAACCTACTATTCCACCGATGCTGGTAGTAAAATATGCAATCAGGCGTCGTATTTGATTGGTTATCAATCTCTGGTATTGGGAACTTCGAAAAGTTCTATCGAAAACGTTGAAACAATTCATATAATCATTCATCTCTAGAAACCTATTAACACCTAATCTTATGATGGAGTTATCTATTATGTTATTTTGTAGTTTTCTTTGGAACTCACTCTCAATAAGAGTAATTATGTTGGAGGCCGTGACTGGTCTAGGATACGTCAAAAGGTACGTCCTTATAACATCATCATTCAAGTAGGGCTGATTGTTAATTAAGGTGTCCGAGATCAAGGTCTCCAATTGTTGATTCGACGATGATTCTATGTCGAGAATCTCCATCGTAGGACGTTTCTTTAGCTGCAATGTCCTACCTGCCCTTATACAATCTATTAATAGTAGGGATTTTTGATTAGGCGATAGTTTGTCTGTACCTCTATTGAATTCATTCACCCTACGTCGGAATACTTCATTATGTACTAAATTGTGACTGAAGTAGTTTTTGCGGTAGCTCAAACACCTCTTGAACATGTCGCATTTGTTAGAGTGAGATGGATTATAGAAGGTACAACTATGACGTGAATATGGAAATGAACTATGAAATTGTTGAGACAGTCTTATGGTCAGGTTTTCAGTTTCTCCAGATCATTAGATCAGAGTTTCAACAAAACCGATTGTTATCTTACCATGTTCATATATAATCTTCATAATTCATCCTCATAATTCATCTCCACATATCATCTCTGTATGCCATCCTACATTCAGCTCGTTCTAACTTATCAATTCAATCAGTCTCCAACCATCTTCATCCACAACCCATAAACGGTGGGGTACCTCAAATTCCAAAATAGCCTATTTTATCGATAACGCACGATAAGAAAAGATGCAAAAAAAAAGCTATCACAATAACTCGCTAACTCACTCAAAAAGATCCATATGAAATTATCCTGGATATTACTAACATTAATTCTAGTGCCTTGCGGGTTTACTCAGTGTACGTGGCGCTGTATGCGTTCCAAAGCAGAAATCATCTCTGATGAAAATATCAATCACTTTTCCTATTTGAGCGAAATTGATAACATTCGAAACAGACGACAAAATTTAATTTAAATTAACAAAAGATTTCAAGTACAGTTTTTGTTTAGATAATTCAAGTGTTTGAAGGAGAACTATTGATCGTTTGATAAAAATGTCCACCAGCCATTATGAAGATGAACTGGAATCCGAGTTCTCATATGTTCAATCAGATATTATCCCCAGACAAAAAATCACATCATCACAATATTCTGATGATCTACCACCTCCCAATTTGAGTAGTAGATTCAATCCAACCCATAACTTAGGAAGAGATTCGTACATGTCATCATTTTCTGAATATTCAGCTAATTTAGATTCAAATATAGCTCAACCAGTTTCTGTCAAAGTTGTCAATGAACCATTAGTACCAACTATCAACAGATCATTAAGTCAAAAACAACAACAAGAAGTCAGGGATCAAGAATATCATTTGAAGCAGCAATTGAAGAATCAGTTACTTAAGGATCAAGAATTGAAGGAGAAGTTAACTGAAGAACAACAGAGAGAAAAATTGGAGAAAAGAGGTAGTAAGAAATTAGATACCACTAAGAATTATAATCAACTCACTCCTGATTACCAATACAATACTAATGTCGAGAACACTATACCTCCAAGATCAAGTAAAAGACCAAAGAGTGAAGTTATTGATACAACAAATCTTCAAAAGGAAATTGATCAATACAAAGAGAAGCACCCATTACCCAAAGGTCATAATAAGAGAATCTCTTTGGTTTTGAGTGAAGATTTAGATAAATTAATGGAAAGAGCAAATTCCTTGAAATCCACAACATTTACTTTCAATGATTTACCAACAGATGATAGCTCTCTGGAACTGAAAAGTGTCAATAAGAGTACTGATCTGATAGCTACTCCACCTTTGAAATACAAAGGCTTACCTCCTAGACCAAGTGTTGAAAATTTAGCAAGAGCTAGACAAGCTTCTGGGAAAGTTAATCCACCAGAGGTCACAGATATTTCTGATCCTGTAACTCCTACGCAAGCTAAAGGTCATGAATCAGAAGATGAATATCATTCACCTTTGCAGTCAGCAGTTGTACCACCTCAAGATGAACCATCAGATGTCCCACCTCGTTCACCTCAAAGAACTCCTGAATCACAATACCCTGAAGATTCTCCCGTAAAACAATCCCCAGTTCAATCTATAAAATCACCCGTACAACCAACCCAACCAACATTTGAACCTCAAGATTTGGAACCAACAAATAAAGAATTGAAATCGGTATCTTCCCCACCTGCTCCAATTCCTGCTCCGGTGTTATCACCTGTAATTGATAGGAATTCAAATAGATCAAGTTTGGTATCAAGTAATTCAAGGATTAATCAAACTTTGCCACAACCACCAATGTCTGATAATGAATCCGTGCGTTCGAACGAACCTTTGATAAAACATTCAACAACTGATTCTAAAAGATTGTCAAGTGGTTACATGCCAGTGGATGAACCTGAATATCAATTACAAGATCCTCAATTAATGAAAGATTATTCACCAAAAGGTGAAGCCCAAGAGTTCATGAAACCCCAACAAGTGTTTGATGATGAACAAGGGTCATCTGTAAATGAACAAGGGTATCCTGGATATCCAACTCATTATCCAGAAGATGAATCGTTCCATCATATACGGCCTCATTTATCTCCTGAACAATTGCAAGAAAAAGAAGATGCTGGAGAATTATCAGATGACAAAGAACCTTTACCGAAAACCCCCGAAGATGTTCCTAATGCTGTCATGGGTATGGAAGGTCTAGTGACTCCAATTCCCGGGCAAACCACTATTCCAGGTGAACATCCATCTCAACCAATGCATCATTCTCAATTGTCTCAAGATAAAGATTTGGAAGAATATTATGATATTGAAGAACCTCAAATCGTCAGTAAACCTGCAAGAGCCAAATCTGTCAAAGATTCTACCAAACATCCCACTCGAACCAAACTGAAAAAGAAGAGAAAGGAGAAAACCAAATCTCAGCAATTGAAACCATTTTCCTACCATACATTGATTAATCTTTTAGAAAGTATTAATGGTACAATCATCGGAGAAGAATTCAATCAATTGAATCTCCCAATGAAAGAAAAACAATTAATAGAAAAAATCGTCGACCAATTATCCAGATTAACAAGTGATATGGTACTTGACGAACAAAGGTATGAGATTGGAATTGATCGTTTGGAAAGGGCTTTAAGAGTATTAGAAGGATTTATGTAAAGTATTTTTTTACCTCTCTTTCTCATTCAGTGCACGCTCTTTTATCCTTTTGTTAGCCCCGGTGTTTGGTTCCTTATAAAATATTTGTCATGAACTACCTCATTGAGATAGTCGTGGATATCAAATGTCAAAGGTGTTAAATATATTTATTTACTAATTTCCGGAAACAAATTCTCGTATAAAAACATAAACCTTCACTGGAAAGTCACCAGGCTTACTTTATTAATCAAAGCCTTGGAATTTCAACTCAACAAGATTTTAACTTTTTGAATTTTTGACACATCTTGAAAACTTCAGTACACAAGGTTGCCGCATCATTATCAATAAACCAAAACGAGCATCAGCCAGCCCTAACATAAATAATTATTTTCATCCAGTAAGTTAATTGGGTAAAGAGAAGATAAAAGATAGGGATTATTGGGTTATTTTATACCATCATTGCATATACACATCTTTCACGGGCGGATTTAAACTTTCAAGCAGAGGATCTTTGGAGTGAAAAAAAAAAATTATTTCCCCAATATTAATTTGTTTTGAGTCATTCATTTACTGATGAAAGCATATAGACCCACCACACCCCCACAGCTAAATGAGATGTTGTCTCGTCTAGATATTCAACATACCCCAGATACGGAGTCATCCGAAGATAAGAACGATAGTGAAAGAAAACCTGAGTTGTTAATAAAAGTACCCAACTATAAATACGATACCCCCAAATATACTAGAGAAAGAGATGATATGGAAATAGATGGATCGTCACCATCGTCATTGAATTTTGAACACATAACTCAACTCCCCACACCAATTATCAATAGTGGGTCGTTTGGATCGTTCAATCTGGTAGGACTGCCTCAGCTGCCACCATTAGAAATACTGAAAATAAGGAACAAGCCCATGATATCCAAGTTCAATAATAGAGCTATCTCAGAATATAGGCCGATAGATGGGAAAGTAATCCAGCCAATTTATGAAAAACGTATCACATCCAATCCTTTAGTTGGAGATATAGTTGAAGATGACGATATGGCAACTGATGAAATATCGAAATATAGTTCAAGTGTGTTTTCATCGAAATTTGGTAATTTCAAGTTCATAAAATTATTAGGAACTGGGAATTTTTCAACTGTTGTTATGGTTGAAGGTCCAGCTAAAGCAAAAATGGCAGTCAAAATCATTTCCATACCTTTAAAAAGGAAATCTGAGATAAGAAACCATAAATACTTTATTAAAAGAGAACTCAATATTTTATATCAAGTAGAACACCCCAGTATTGTTAAATTGCTCGACTATAGTATAAATTTATCTATCCCCAAAGGAGAAATTGAACATGGAATTGTTGAAAGTGAAAGTGAATTGGAAGATAATGACGAAAAAGATATTTCAGCAGATGTTGAAGCTTTAAGTATTGATAATAATCAATTGATTTATCTTAATTACTGTAAGGGAGGGAATTTGTTTGAATTTTCTCTGACCAATTACAAAAAGTATAATCGTTTACCTCAATATTGGAAAGTTATAAATCAGTTTGTTATAGAATTGATAGATGCTGTTCGCTACTTACATGAGAATTATATCATTCACAGAGATATTAAATTAGAAAATGTATTATTAAACCATACAATTGAAGAATTGTTGATAAGTGATGTTCAACCTAAGAATTTAAGTCCATTAATTTGTTTAACAGATTTTGGCTTAGCTAAAAAGCTTCATCGAAGTCATCAATTACTTTCAACAAGATGTGGATCTACTGATTATATTGCACCTGAAATTCTTATGGGACTCAAATATAATGGGAAATTAACTGATCTGTGGTCAGTAGGGGTATTAATTTATTGTTTAATAGAAGATAGATTACCTTTTGATTTACCTAATTATAGTTATTTAATGAATTCAGGTATAAGTCCCAGTGTAATCAAAAGAAAAATGTCTAAAAACACTCCAGCTCATAGAATTGCTATGATAGATTGGGATTGGTATGTCATCAATGATTTACAGGAGAAATTAGATGATACTTCCTTAACTATAGTTAATAATTTGAAAAAAATTGTTCAACTTTTAATTGTTCGTAAAGATAATAGAATTACCATGGAACAACTTGTTGAACGTCAAGAATTTAGAGACATTGTAAATATGTAAATTATGTAAATTATTCAAATTTCCTCTTACCAAAAAGATTGCAATTTTGAATTATAACTGTTTGAGCCGCACTTGGATTCTGGCGATACCTTCGCGGAAATTGCTGGTGAAAAAAGTGAAACATTCACATAATCGCGATACTCAATGATGGACATCCCCCATATAACGAGTAATATAATACCATTATCTAATGTCATCAAATATCACAGTAATGAAACTTATAATCTACTATCTACAGCCATTGAGAATTTATCCATAACTAAAGGAAAAGAAAGTGATTTAATCCGACGTAAGAACTTACTTAATTTGATCATTTCAATCCGTCAAGATTTTTTAAAGATATATACTTTAGTTAAATGGAGTAGTAAATCAAAAGATATTGGGAAATTGATTGATTTATTGAATTGGTTTCGAGAACAAGAATCATATTTCGATAATCTTTCATTTCGTTTGAATGAATTGAATTCTTTCAGTGGAGCAAAATTACCCAACAGTGATTTAATAACTTCATTAGAGGTAATAATAAAAGGTAGACCCCAATTACCTTCTTATAATCTTTTACATACAGAAGACATTTCTAATGAAAAAATCTTGAAAGTTCTAAAAGATTTGAATTTGTGTTTGACCACAAGAATTGCATTAAGTGATAATATACCCATAGATTTCATGAAGAATTATCAAATTAAAGATGGGAGAATTATATTTACAATGGTAAAGAATTACCAAGTTAGCATAACAGTAGGAAATGATGAGATTATTGAAGATGATAAAGATTATTATAAATCTCCATATTTCTTTATTGACTTTAAATTCCTTTTCGGTGAAAATTTTGAACAAAATCATATAGATGTTCCGAAAACCTTACGGAATAAATTAGAACAAAGTTGTAATCAAATCTTATTAAAAGATAATATTGAAGGTTTATATAATCATTTGAATAATATTACCAAGAACTTCAAATATGAATTGATTTTGAAACAATTGAAAAACCTAGATAATTTGAAATGGAAACATTTGAAACATAAATATACCGATAGGATAATTATCAATTATTGGGGATCTAGTAACACTATTGAAATATCCATCAATATTAATTTATCAATTGAATACAAATGGTTTAAGAATGGTGAAGAAATGGATAATTCCGTACTTAAGAAAGATTCTTTTAATGATTCATTTGACGTTGAAGTTCTTTTGACTTCTATTCTTTATAAACATAGTGAACTTATTATTGATGAAATTTTCAAGCAATGTGAATTGAAAGATTTGAGTTTTTTGAAAAGAATTTCTTCTAATCAAATTTCAATCAAAGATCATAAATGTATTATGAGTATTGACTATCTCATGGGAAAATTCTACACTATTGAACCTAATTCCTTGGAAATCAATTTTTTGGATAAAATCAATCGGTTCAATTACAATAATGATGAAAATGCCTGGATTGAAATGATTATTAAATCTTTGATTGACTTGAAATTGGAATTAATAGCCAAAGATTTGAGTTCCAAATTGATCACTATAGAATGGATCACTAACAAAATCATCAAATTGAAAGATTCCGAAATATCTAAATTGGGAGGTGGTGATTTTTTCAAGATAAGATATTTCAGATATAAAAATTGGCCATCATCGTGGTTTTTAATGACTTTGATTGATGATAAATTCAAAGTGAAATGGTTTGTTAGTAGAATTAAGAGTATTAGAGGAGATTGGAGATTAGAATGGATTTCACCTTTGGACTTAAAAGATTTTAATACTTCAACTGAAGAAGTTACGGAATTTGACACTAATTTTGAATTTTTCAATTCATTAAGTGATTCATGTACCAGTAAGATCATTAATAACATGATAATTGAAGAATTGAATGTTAAAAATGTGGAATATATTGATTATAAACCTTCTAACCATAAATTGAATCAATATTTGAATGATGGAATGATTATTACTATCTTTAATAATGATGATTATTTACCTGTTCAAAATTGTTCCAATAGTATATTCCTTAAGATCAAATTACTTGATAATGAAAGTAAAAACAAGGTTATTGAGTTAAAATTGATATCAGAATTGAAATTCGATGGTGATATAAATAAGATTAAATTACCTAACATTAAGATTGAAGATGATCATTTCGAAATCTTTGAAATAATTGATCTTGATTTCAATATCAATAACAATTTAAAACAAGGAACCATTTTCACCAGAATATTCAAAATTTTGAATAAGTTTAACCATTTGATTAAATTGTTGAATGAGTTAACTACCAATAACATCAAAATTCTTGAGTTTAGTAATATAATCAAAATTAGAATCAATGATGTTTTCGATGAACTTATAATTGAATTACCTAGTGATGAAGATAAAGACGCTAACAATGACAATAATTATAAATTGAAATTCGACAAGCAGTCAAATTGTAAGATAATCATTGACTTCATTAACAAATCTATCAACAACCATAAATTGATAGGTATAATCAATTATTTGAACCTTATCACACCAATCCTTACTTCCATAGATAATTTGAAAAGTTCCATAAATAAAAGGTTCTTTCACACATTGAATAATGGATTGAATAAACTCCTTGTCAATACCAAATTCTATAATTTGAACAATTTCGAGTTACTTTTCAATATCAATTGCATTAACCCTCAAAATCCTAAGAAGATTGTAAGATCAAAAATTGTTTTAAATGTAAAATTCAAATTGAATAATTTCAAAACTTCGAATAAATTAGATTTAACTATCAGTTTGATTGATAATTTGAATATCAAGAATATCAAATACAAAAAGTTATTTGAATTGATTTATAAGACATTAAAAGTAGATCCGGATATTATAAACTTGAATTACGATTTCATTGTTGATAACAGTTTGTTCGATAAGTTCTTACAAGATGTAGGTAAATGTTTCATAAATTTCATAGAGAATGAATCATAAATTTGTGTAGGAGAAATAAACGAACTAATGGTTGCAAAATGCGAAAATCACAAAATGTGGAGATAATTGAGGAGCAAACTATTGATGATGAATAAAGGGGGTTCATTGTGGGATATGTATGTCGATCGTAAGTTATCAACCCCAACAATGTTTCCACAAGGCAAGTATACTTAGGAGGAATCTGAAATGTCTTTCGATTACTGAAGACCCACGACAATTCGGAAAAATGGGATTGTTCAAAGACCAAAATAGGAATACTAAATCATTCAGAGCTACCAACGCATGTCTTTAACTTCATTGCAAGTTTAAAAGAAAGAAGAAATGGATACCACGTACTCTGAGTCTCCAATATTCTACAGAGATGGGGAATGAGTGATCATGTAATCAATTCTAATCATCCCCATTCACTCTTAGTGGGGAATATGATTAACAAATTCTGAAACCCTCTAGAAAACAATACCTACACCCCACTTCTTATCTTCTCCTCGGACTTCATTATGAATCTTTGAACAAAGGTTCTTGAGGTTCTTGGAAGGGTGAATGGATATTTCCACAATATTATTCCACTCCGCCCATCAGCCGTTCATCCTAGGTATAGATTATATTATAACCCATGTGATGTTTTAAGAATAGATAGTGAATCTCCACTATTTAAAAGATTAGTGGAGTCAGATCTACATCAGAGGAGTTGAGAGGAGGGGTCGGCCATGAGGAGATGGCTCGGAAAAAGTCCGAATTCATGTGATGAGAATTTTCTGTGGACCGAGAGTAGTTTGAAGCGAGGATGAGATGAGATTTAAGCAATCACCCGAAAAAATCCCAGGGATGTTGGGTCCACGGTAGTCCAAACCGGAGGTTTTCAAGAATGAACGTATGCAACTAAAATAGAAGAGTTGAAATAGTAAAATAACCTATATTACCCAAAAACCTATAAACCAGTATTAAAACTACAACTATTACCCTTCTTGGAACAATTTTCACAACTATCACCATTCATCAAACATTTGATCTTTCTTTTTCTACAGCTTTCACAACTGGTCTTTCTTCCGTCATTTTTCTTGTCATTAATTTTTGAAATTTTTTTGTTAGTCAATATTTCTTCTTTAGTGAACCCTTTGGAAAATTTACAATCTAACTTTTTACAATTACAACTTTTACATCCTTTAAATTTTATTATTTTATTATTTGATCTGATTAATTTATATCCATCTTTGTTGAAATCTTGTTCTAAAGTAGCAAGATCTTTTATTTCATTTAAGATTTCAATTTCTGCATTACATTTAACTTTTCTTAATCTACAAGAATCACAGGAAGGCCCAGCCCTTTGTCTTCTTTTCTTTTCAGCTTTGTCATTAATATTGACAATATTAACATTCAAATCATTAACTTTTGATTCTTTAAATAACATTTGAGAATCAGGTAATATCAATGAAGGTAATGGTGTTTGTGATTTTAAATCATTAAGGTTTGGTGATTTATTAGGAGTTTTAGGTGATGAAACTGATGAAATTGATGAAGTTTTGCTATTGGAGTAACCTTGACCGAAACTTATGTTACTATTAGTATAACCGTTGCTATTAGTATAACCATTACTATTAGTATAACCCGGGTTAGTAAAAGTGTAACCATGGGTATAAGTTGGCTCTATTGGTTGAATCTTATTGAAGTTAAGCAAATTATTCTCCGTTAATTTATTAATTGGTGGTAATGAAATCTTTTCAAATTTGAAATTCGAAGATTTTTGGTTCATTATTGAATATTCTAACAAATCCATGATTAATTATTTCTATTGATTTCTATATTTACAAAATTATGGGTATTTACAAAAATTTTATGTTTAAAATGTTTCTCTATCTTTTTAAGTAAAGAATTTAGAAGGAATTCAAAATTATTTATATAACTCCATCCCCGGTATTAAGATGTCTTGTGATTTAAAAATAATTTATCCTTGGATAAAAGTGCGATTTTACTCCGAAGTCATTTTTCAGCCTATGACTTTTAAATTTGGAAACCTGTTTGGTCTTTTTTCCCATTCAAGACCTTGGGATACTAATAGATGATCCGCTGAACAACATAATTAATTAGAGCTCTAAAACTTTTCTTAAAAGATAATAAATAAAAAGAAGGTGGAAAAGAGTGGGAACTGTGCCATATCGGAGTATCATTTAATCGCATTACTTCAAAAAATGTTCGGGACTTTTAGGATGGACAACACTCATCCAATTTGTCATACCACTCATATTAATTACATCAATATTATAATTAATACTTAAGTCCGGATCACTTGTAGACCTTTGTATAGGACTAAAGCTTTCATAGCCAGTTCAAAGTACAGTAAATGTGATTCAAATAAATTTATGGAGGGGGGAGGGGATGGGAATGGCTAGATATCTTTTGACTCAAAATGATTCAATTCCGTGGAGACACTACCCCACATCCCTTGACCCGAGAACATTTAAAAAAGAAAGTTCGTTTTTCCGAGGGTATGAAAGAGTCAACCAAATTTTTACACCCTAAAACTTCCTGGGCTTCGGACTTCGATGACTCGCGTTTCATTCTCCGGACTTTTAATCTCCGATTTGAAAATCGCAATGAGAATTTAAGGAGTGAGAATTTAAGGAGTGATGGATTAAAAGAGTGATTAGTCACGTGAGCATTCTTGAGATTTAGTTGTTTTGAATTTTGACAAATTGAGACGTAAACATCTTAAACATCTTTTTTTTTTTCATCTTATCCCTTATCCTTTAATCTTTGATCTATCAGACATTAACCTAATACCCAAGATCATAGATACCAATCATGGATACGGACATCATGAATACTCCCATTAAAAGGATATCGAAACTTTCGATTAAATCACCAAATTTAAAACAGATCATGGTTGATAAAGGTTATAGTAATACTATAAGTGATGTTGTATTGAATGAGATGAATAAATACATTGATATAGACGACTATGAATCACCGGATGATTCACCTAAGCAACATAATAAGTTTGACAGCATTCACAAATCAAGTTTTAGTAAGATGGAATCGATATCAGACCATTATACAGTGTATCAAAAGAAGAAGAGGAGAACTTTAACAGGAATAGAAGAGAGTCCAGTATTCGAAGGTAACAGTGAACTAACTAGAAAGCCTTTGAGTCCAATTAAGAGCTTATCACCCACTAAGCATTTAACTCCTAATATAAGTCCTGACACTCATAAAGAATTACCAAGTCCTAATAGAAGTCAAAGTCCTAATAAAAGTCCTAATAAAATTAGCCCCAGTAAGAAGTCTTACAATTTAAATGATATCTTGACAAGAAAGATATCTTATCCAAAGTCTAGGACCCCATCACCTTTGAAGGATAAATCTAATTTACAGTCTAAGCCATTACCAAAGGTACCTTCGATGGTCACAGAGAAACCTAGAATACCTTCATTACAGCATCAAAGTTCCATTCCCAAGTTGCAAGCCAAGACATCAGTTCCTTCATTCAGACAGTCAAATATTAAAAGTTCCATACCGACAGTGAAGAATTCAATAACGAGTCAAAACACTTCCATACCCACATTAAATCACAAAAGTTCCATACCCACATTAAATCACAAGAGTTCAATACCAACCCTAAATCACAAGAGTTCTACTCCTACATTGAATCACAAGAGTTCTATTCCTACATTGAATCACAAGAGTTCTATTCCTACGCTAAATCACAAGAGTTCAATCCCCACACTCAACCATAAGTCTTCAAACACATCCATAAATACATCTAAGATACCAACATTACAGAAAAAACCATCATCAATTAATCAACCTAAATTATTTACCGACTTTGTCAAACCGAAGGCCAATGTGGTCAAACCTATCACAACGTTCAACCAAACCACCAATGTCAACCATTTTGGATTTAACCCTAATAATGCCCAATTTAATGCCGAATTCGAGAGAAATTTGAAGAGGAAATCATCCAACCAATCATTAAGATCAGTTACATTTAATTACGAAAGACCAACATTTTCATCAAGTAAAAAATGTAAATAGTTTATATTCAAGTTTAATAAATATTAGATTGAACTAAAATTTCACCTTTTGGGTAGAAATCTTGACTTCCGGTCCATTTTTCTCCTGGTGATAATGTTTTGAACTCACCAACCAATCCAGCTTCAATACATAACATATTCAAATAACCTGATTTGGGTTCAAAGTCGCCCATACCTTTGGATTTGTTTATCCAAGGATTCCAAACAACAGCATCTGGTAATCCTGATCTCTTAATGTTTTGTTGAACGTGACCTAATTTTATAATTTGTAAGACTTTTTCTTCAGGAATTTTCTTATAGATTCTATCAAATTCTTCAATGAAATTAACCATTGGTGCTTTTTCTCTGTAAGTGGTGGCTAATAATTGATCATAGCATTCTTCATCAGTTAAGTTATTGACTACAATATCAGTAATATCATCCACTCTGAAATAAGTGTGGAATAACCAGTTGAACTCAAAAGGTTTATCACCAGGGTTTTCAACTTCGATAGTAGTGGTTAATTTTTCATCGGCTAAGGTGATATTATAGATAAGGGTGAAATCAGGTTTGCCTTTCCATAAATCATAAACTTCTTTATTGGCTATTTCTGGACTTAAAGCAAATTGAACAGTTATTGGATTTGAAGTAGTTTGACCTAAAAATTCCCATTCGGAGTTTCTTGCGAATCCATGTTGTGGTAAATCATAAGTAGCTTTCGATTCATCTTTGGTTTTACCGAAATTAGGGAATACTAAAGGAATACCACCACGAACAGGTTTAGATCCATCTAATTTGGCAGCAGTTGATACCCACAATTGTTCTTCACCTTTCAACTTCCATGAAATTACAGTAGCTCCATATTTAAGAATGGTAACGGAGGTAGTAGGATCTGAATCCAATTGGACAATTACTTTATCTTGATGTTCTTCAATCATATTCACCGTGTATTTTTTTTTAGTCCGAAATTATAGTTGCCCATATGTGCGCATAAGGTCACATGACTTACCAGCAAGTGGCTTTCGGATAAATAATAAGGGGTGGTGACCTTTGATTCATGGTTGTGATAACAACATTGTTTATATCAAGGGAACCCCTCTCACATCATGCAACGAAATTTTGTAGAGATTCTATTTGGTAAGTGGTTACTTAACCTAGCAGCTATAGGCATAGACATAGAAACAGAGATAACTAAACATGGCTAATTTCCAGATCTTGTTCTGTTACTATAAACGGTAGTGCAAGGATTAAACATGGTCAACATTCTTATAACAGTTATTCTTATCTCTAAGGCATTCACACTGTTTCCACCGTAATCATTCGCAACCCTTTTTACCCTTTCCCCTATTTGAGGGTGCAACGGACTGAAAAAAGAAAATTTCTCATTATTTACCAGTCAGCATCTCATCAGAAATTTAACCAGTTACATTGCAAAAGTTTAACATTGCCATAGTTTGAACATATCATAGATCATAATATAATTCCAATTCAACTTTGAAATTGTCAGAAATTAAGATTATAATAGTTTAAATCGAAAAGAATATTTGCCCTCCGTTTTTGATATAGATCATTCAACATGTCCATACTAAGGTCAAGTATTATACAAACACCATATCAATGGTTTCATTATTATTTCCTTTCAGAGAAACCCGCTAATGTCAACATTGCTGATTTGGAATTTTCAACAGATATGTCCAAAAGTATCAACAAATTAAAACATCCTTGGAAAATCAATGATATTGTACACTATTCATTCTTATCATCAGTTATTTTATTTGTTTATATAATCTTCCCTGCGCTGTTTATCATTAAAACTTTCATCTTATCAGTGTTTGTCAGTTGTTTCTTGATCCCATTAACAGGTCAATTCTTTATTCATGCGTTACCAATATTTTGTTGGTTAGCATTATTTTTCACTTGTGGTAAAATTCCTCATGAATGGAAACCTGCTATTTCAGTTAAATTTTTACCTGCTATGGAAACTATCTTATATGGAGATAATTTATCTAATGTTTTAGCTAGTGTAACTACTAGTATTTTAGATGTTTTCGCATGGTTACCTTATGGAATTGTTCATTTTAGCTCTCCATTTATTGTTGCTATATTAATTTTCATTTTTGGTCCTCCAACAAGTTTAAGATCTTTTGGGTTTGCCTTTGGATATATGAATTTGTTAGGAGTTTTAACTCAAATTGTTTTCCCAGCTGCTCCTCCTTGGTATAAGAATTTATATGGTTTGCAACCAGCTAATTATTCAATGTCTGGATCACCTGGTGGTTTAGGTAGAATTGATGAACTTTTAGGTGTTGATATGTATACTACAGCATTCCTGAATTCTCCTGTTATATTTGGAGCTTTCCCTTCATTACATTCAGGTTGTGCAGTTATGGATGTTTTATTCTTATGTTGGTTATTCCCCAAATATAAATATGTTTGGTGGTCTTATGCTTGTTGGTTATGGTGGTCAACTATGTATTTAACTCATCATTATTTCATTGATTTGATCGGTGGGGCTCTTTTAGCCTTTGTGGTGTTTAATTATACTAAATATAACCATTTACCAATAATGTCACCAAACAAATTTTGTCGTTGGAGTTATAGTGAAATTAAATTGATCAACATTGAAGAATTAAATCCTTTGAATTTCAATTATAATGAATTTATCTATAATGATATCGAATTACATGAAATTCCTGAAGAACCTGTTTCATTCCCAAGTTCCTCAAATTCAAATTTACCTTTACCTAATAATTATCCATATCCTTATGATTCAAGATCAAGACAAGCATCCAAGATTTTTTTAAATAATCAGATTTTAGAAGAGGAAGAAACTTCAAGTTTTGAAAATTCGGCTACTACATCAGTTTTCGATGAAGTAGAACAATTAACAACTATCAATTCTAATTCTTCCGATGATTACAGGAAGAAAAATTAAAAAAATCACAAGAGATCTCATTTAACTACATACAAATTTTTACTAATACTTAATACTTAATAATTAATACTTAATACTTAATACTAATGCTTATGAATACATACTTTTTTAATCTTCTCAAAATCGCAATCGCATTATGTTTAAGAGTCTATTTAAGAAACCACCTATCTTGAACTATCACACAATTCTCGATTTCAAGTCACCTGAGACTTTGAAAAACATAATAACAAGATCAGATAAAGAGATTGGAGGTTATTCATCAACAAAATTCATCCATGATCCTATTGAAAAATGTGGTAAATTTATTGGTGAATTAAATTTGGATTTACCAAAAGATAATCCTGATGTTACTAGATCAGGTTATGCTATGTTCAGAACTAAAGATCAACCACAATCATTATTTAACACATCATTCTGGGATTGGTCAAGATTCAGTTCATTGGTTATGAGAGTAAAAGGTGATAGACGTAAATACTTAATCAACTTACAAGCTAATACGCCAATGATTACTGATTTATATCAACACAGATTATTTTTGAACGATCCAGGGAATTGGGAAACCGTGGTTATACCTTTGGATGACTTTGTTGTTACTAATTGGGGGGTTATACAGGATCAGAGTGAATTAAATAAATCAGAAATCAAAACTTTTGGTGTGGGATTATTAGATAAGACTTACGGACCCTTTGAATTAGCTATAGATTGGGTCAAGGTTATGAATGATGAAGAGTTGAAAAATTATACAGAAATCAAGAAATCTGAAAAGGAAGAACAAACTGAACATTCAGCTTTCCCTGCCAGTAATTATCCTGAACCTAAAGCCACAGTATTTTGAAAGAGAAATCCAATGTTAATATGCCTTTCTATATACATGTTTATATAATCATCTCATTACTTACTTGCTTGTTCAAAACTGGTACCAACATTTAAAGATTTATGAATATGTTGTTTGAAAACATTTGCTCTTAAAATTCTAGGATCTTTTCTTAAAGTTCTGATTAATTCCTCTTGAACAGCAGCTGAACTATCAAATCCAATCATAAATTGATAACCTTCAAAATGTCTTTCTTGATTCTTACTTATTATCTTTGGTAAAGGTTTTGCTCCTAATGATGTGATATCTCTTATAACTCCTCTATTATTGAGTATTAATTTCCCTACAGTATTAACAATTTTCATGGCATCAGCATATTTAGCACGAGGATCTCTAACTCTGGCTATAGCCATTAATTCATAGTACATAATGGATAGTTTTGTGATACCAAGATGAAAATTTTATGCGAAAAAAAGTGTCGTGCTGTCACCATGAAAACCTTGCTTACCTAATCGAGTATTCTTGATCTTATCACGTGAGATTAGAACAGAGCTTTTTTGCAACTTTCAAATCAAAAGATAATTTCAAAATTAATCTACAATGGCAACTAATATTACCTGGCACCCAAACTTGAGCCACAGTGAAAGAAGTGATTTATTGAAGCAAAAAGGGTTAACTATTTGGTTAACTGGATTAAGTGCTTCAGGTAAATCAACTATCGCTTGTGCTTTAGAACAATTCTTATTAAATAAGCAAATCAATTCTTATAGATTAGATGGTGACAATGTTAGATTTGGATTAAACAAAGATTTAGGATTCAGTGAAGCCGATAGAAATGAAAACATTAGAAGAATTTCTGAAGTAAGTAAATTATTCAATGATTCATGTTGTATTGCTATAACTTCTTTCATTAGTCCTTATAAACAAGATAGACAATTAGCTAGAGAATTACATGAAAAAGATAACTTACCATTCATTGAAGTTTACATTGATGTCCCTATTGAAGTTGCTGAAAAGAGAGATCCAAAAGGTTTATATAAAAAGGCCAGAGAAGGTATTATCAAGGAATTTACCGGAATTTCTGCTCCATATGAAGCTCCAGAAAATGCTGAAATTCATATCGTTAATGATGACATAACTGTTGAACAAGCTGCTCAACAAATTATTGATTACTTGGTCGAAAAGAAATTTATTTAGAACATTATATTTATTTTAATTCATTTTGATATTCTTTATTTCTTTAAACTATCTAATCTTGCTTGTAAATCATCTTCATCACCTCCAATAGCTTGAGCTACTCTATTTTCAGTTTCTTGAGTAGGTAAACCTGTTGGAGTATCTTTCAAGTTGGCATTTAAATCTACACCAATTTCATCTAATACTTTACCCAAGATTTCATCAATTTGGTCTTCTTCTCCTAATTCATCATCTTCAAATTCCATTGCATCATCAATGGCATCATCCATAAATTCTTGTTTTTGGTCCATCAAATCATTTTCCTTTTGAAATTCTTGGGCAATTCGTGATAATTGTGGTAAATTCATTGATCTATTCATTCCTGATAATAATCTGGTTGCATCTCTCATAGACATTGCCATTTGTTGATTACTTCTTACACTTTGAATTCTTAAAGATATGGCTTGTAATTGAGCTTTCATACTGTTGAATTTATGAATGTATCCTCTTGTACGTATTAAATCTTTAGCTTGTACTTTAGCACTATTTATTTGTCCTTGTTTAGCCAGCTTCTTAATATCTGAGATTAATTTCTTTTCTTGTTGTTGTAATTTAGTTGTTTCTCTGGCCAATTCTCTTTGTGTCTTTTCTAATGATCGTTGATTCTTCCGAAGTCTCTCTTGAGGAGTTAACTTCTTCCCGAATGCCCATTCGAATAATTGTGACATTTAAAGGAGGTTTTCTCAATCTTATCTTCCACTAAATTTGTGTGAGCATCTACATACGACATCTACAAACGACATTCATCAAAAGATATACCCCGACATAGGTATGGTTATATATATTAGATTGAATTTTCTTCAAGATTACTACTTAAACTAATACCTTCTTCATTTAATGCACCGTGGTCATTTAATAATTTGTTTAATCTGGTCATGATTTCTTCGTTATCAACGGTTTTAATATCTTCCATTCCGTATTGATATATGGTAACTAAACCATATAAGGCAACTAATGTACATATCAAAAATGCAAAGTATCCCTTGGAAGTAAAACCTTCAGGTAAAGGTGGAGGTTGTAAGAATTCACCTGTTAAATCGAGCCAATCTTCAAGTTTACCTGTTCTACCGGCCGCATTACCAGTGGTGGAAATATTTCCTGGTTTACAAGCATCGAAATGATTTGAAGGTACTGTTTGTTTTTGAATTTCTTCTGGTGATTCAATTAATGTGATAGCCAAACCTTGTTCCAAATGCCAATCAACATGACAATGGAAAAACCAAACTCCTGGGTTATCAGCCTTAAATCTCAATCTAACAAATCCATTTGGATTCACTAATACAGTATCTCTAGATACTGGGATTTCAGGTAATTTATCATGTTCAGGATTGTTTGGATCATAGACGATAGGATCATCATCTTCACCTTCTTCTGAACGATAAATGACTTGGAAGGTATGTCCATGTAAATGGAATGGATGTTTACCAGGATCTTGATTATTAACAATAATTTCTACAATTTCTCCTGATTGAATTACAAAAGAATTAGTATTTGAACCATAAATGCCCACATTGGATCCATATTTCCCACTACTCATGACTGAATACAATGTTGGAACTTTTGGTGGAGTATATGAGATATTGTTGAAGAAAGCATAATTCACACCATCTCCTAAATTATCCATTTGGAAATCTAAAGATATGATGTAATCAGGTTCATCATAAAGGGGTTCTTTAGATAAAGGAATAAGATCAAAATCATCAAAAATCTTTAAATTTTCAACAATTTCGTCATATTTCTTCTCACTGTTTCCCTTATAAGCTTCAGGTAAAGTAGCAGATTTATCGTAAACGAAATAATTGGTGGAAATTAATTGTAAATCTGGTGGTAAAACATCTAACATATCTCTATCGATAATGTTGATGAAACGATAATTCTTACTTGAAGATTTCTTAGTAGTCACTAATACACCGTATCTTTGAGCCACACCAACTAATAATGATTCAGATTCTGTTGGTTCAACATAAACTCCATCTATCTCAACAATAGTAAAAGTATGATGTTCTAACTTTAAGTATTGAGAAGTGAAAAGTCCCATATTAACAATACGTAAGAAATAAGTGGTATCAGGTTTGACTTCCATAGTGACATTCTTACTATCATTAAATAAGGAATTTTGAGGAATAGGCTCAGCTCCAGTAGGATTGTATCTACTCAAAAATTTCTTCATCAATTCTCCTGATTCTTTATGATACCAATCTCCGACACTAATGGTTAACTCTTCATCATATTTAAAAGGAGGTTCATCATCTTCAATAATGAAAAAACCTCTTAATCCATCACCATATTGATTTCCAGTATGAGAATGATACCAATAAGTCCCTACTTGATCTACGGTGAAGTTATAAGTAAATTGATATCCTGGAGGAATTGGACATTGTGTAACCATTTGTGGACCATCCATAGAGTTAGTACCATTCTGGAATAATCCATGGAAATGTAATGAAGTATTTTCACTTAATTGATTATCAACATTAATGATAACTCGGTCATTTCTTTTAACCCTTATAGTTGGGACTGGCCATTCTCCGTTGATTCCAATAACAGTTCTTTCATGAACTCCATCAGGGTTGGCATCTACATAGGTTATGTTGAAATCATATACCTTAGTACTGGCACTTACTATGGTAAGTAAAAAAAACAACCACAGTAGCATTTCTTGGAGTTTTTCTTAGGATGAGCATTTGGATCTTAAGAGAGTTTATATTTAAACTAACTAAAAGTTTTCAATTCTATTTGAGAATCTTCGGCTTCATAAGTGTTGGAAGATAACTTAACTAGTTTTTCTGTTAAGTCCTTTTGTTCAGGAGTTAAAATTTGGTTTATAACTGTTTTAAATACTGAAGAATTATATTCAATCAAATCCATCAAATGTCCGTGAACTTGTTGTTTATTGACAAATGTCTTGGATCCATGTAAAAGTAATGGAATGATTAAGGAATAAATTTGATTTAATTTTGATTCATCGGTTTCGTTTTTAGTGAAGAATAATAATATCTCTGAACTCAAAGTAAAATCTAATTCATCATTTAAGGTTGATTGGACTATGTTTTTCACTACAAATTTGACAATGTATAAGTTGTTCTTGGCAGAATATTGAATCAATGATTTAATACATTGAATTCCCATAGGATCTTTCTTTTCAAGTAATGAAAATATTGATTCACCCAAAGAAATCGATTCTTGTTCATTTAATTGAATATCTCCAATAGTTATTAAGATAATGATAGTCAAGATAGTACTATTATCATTGAAATCACAATGGAACTGTTTAAGGATTCTATAGAAATTCACAATCATTTCTTTACCTTTGACTTCATCGACTTTTTTAACTTCTTGGAATATTTGTTTCAAATAAGGTAATATTATCAGGACTAGAAGTTCATTACCAAACTCATAGATTTTGATGAATATGAACATCAAACAACAATAAAGATCTATTCTGACGATTTCTGGGAATTTCAAGATCATTTCAATCAAATTGAAGAAACAGATTTTCAATACAATCAAATGAGGACCACTATCAATATGTTTCAATAATAATTGTGTTTGTCTATCAGTAGAATCATAATCATTCTTTAAGAATGGTAGGAATTTGAATAACGGTAACATAACCAATCTTACAAGTTCGAACAATTTATCGAAATTTCTGGTTAATTCTGATTCTTCATTAGATCTAATGAAAGTTTGGAACAATTCGTTGATAATAACCACCAACTTACATTGAATTTCATTATCTTCTTCTATCAACAATAATCGATCAAATAAATCAATAAGTTCATTGAATATCTCATCATTGAAGATGATATTGACTAATTGATCATTTTTGAATAACTTATTCAAGGAAATTAAAATCTCCAAGACATTATTATTCTTAATCAATGATTCAACACATTGACTAAACAATATAAAGAAGAATGTTGATGCATCATTATCAAGATATTGTTCAACAAATTGATTATTTTGTTCTAATTCCAAACTCAAAACACTAATGAAATTTATCCAATAATTATTATAAATTTCAAGTTCCTTAGCATTGGTACCATCACTATTATACTTTATAACAGAAAATTCCTTCAATGAAATGATCCATAATGATATCAATAAGTTCTTATACTTATCCAAAGTACTAACTAATTCATCTTCTTTTTCATTGTCTTCATTATTATTCAAGGTAACTAAAGCCCAACAATTCAAAATGGATATTTGGATAGATTTCTTACTGAATTCAGAAATATTATCTAAGAATCCAAATTTAAGGAACTTGTTGGATGATAATTCTTCCAAAAGATAAATCAAAGTCTTTAAAATTCTTTGTTTGGAATAAAATTTGATTCTTGGTAAATTAATGAATTTCGATGAAACATTCACAGCATTAACAATAACTTGAGAATTACTTTGAGCTTTGAAACATGGTATTATAGCACTAATGATTTGTGCTTGTTGTTGTTCTAAAATTGATACTCCAGGATAAATAGAATCTTCTAAATCACCAAAATTCTTTAAGATCTTATCCAACAAACTAATACCTCTTAATTTAATGATATTAATAGGTGAGGTTGAACCTAAGAAAGATATCTTCACCAAATCACTGATTCTTAATTTCAATTTTTCAAATAAAACCGTATTCTTTTGTGATAATGTTAATAAATGATTTAATAAGTCATAAATGAATAGTTTGAATTCCCATGAAATCGGTTCATTCTTATCATCATCTGCATCATTATTAGTTTCCACGATATTTTCAATTTCCTCATCTTTGAAATCAATGACATTGTTCTTCTTTTTCTTTTGTCTTTGTAAAAGTGGTAACAATTTTTGTTGATAATTGGTTTCAATGAAAGGATTTATCAATTTCTTATTGGAGATTTTGAATAAGGAATTCAAAGTAGCGAACCAATTCATCTCTAAATTGGATTCCATCCACAATTTAACTAAGAACTTCAGTTCATCACATGGTTTGATGTTTAACGATACCCAGATCAATTCAATGATATCTTTTGTTAATATATCATTACCATAAACCTTTAACAATTCACTAAAACATTCAAAACCCAATTTATATAACCCGAAATTCGAATTAAAAGGGAAAATTGAATCCAAGTTAAGTGAAGAACTACTAATAGTTGATAATCCTAATTTCAAATTATTGGAAATAATCGATATCAAACAATTAGAGTAGAAATTTACTTCGTTATTAATCAACTTATCATCAAAAATTATGAGTTCTTGTAATAATCTTAATAAATCCTGATAGATCAATATTTGATCATCTATTTGATAACTTCCAATGGAATATCTCAATGATATGATTAAAGATTTCAATTGTTGTCTGATATCCACCGGTAAAGTTCTCAAATTTGGACCTAAGGTGGTAACAATGTTCTTCAAAATAGTAGCTTTAAGACCAATACTACTATATTGATATTTCAAATTAATCAAGATTTTCCCACCAATATCATAATTAAACTCATTGGTGATGAAATTATTGAACATTCTGGTGATTAATTGTGGGATTAATGATGTGGAAGAATTCTTTGAATTGTTATTCTCATTGAATAATAAAGCATTGGCTTTTAAACTATAATAATACACTATAGGATTTGGATCATTCAATAATTGATAACAAACATTGAACATATCATTGAATCCATTGCCGGTGTAGAAATATATTTTAGCCATAGATAATAAAGATTTCCCTCTCTTGAAAGGATTAGTATCATTGATCAAGGAACTAATGTATGAATCAATTTGATCGTGGATTACTTTTTTATTGGTGATGAATGACATGGATAATCCAATAGAATCACAATTAACATCCAATAAGTTCTTATTATTGATATCGATTTTATTCAAGATATCCATGAAAGTAAGAACTAAATCTTTATCTAAAGAAATCTTCTTCTTATGACAAATGTTTAAAATACCATGTAATGCTACTGAAACATTGATACAAATGGCTTTGTATCTTAAAGGAGAAATGGCTTTTGAACTAATAGCACTTCTCAATTGTTCCAATAATGAACTTTGAATTTTCAAGGTTAAAAAGGGGAACACCATTTGAAATAATTCTATAGATAAATCTACCAATGATGTAATGAGATTGGTAGGATATTTCTCTAAATAAGAATAATCACTTTGGATCAAGATGGAAATATCATATAAAACAGAATGTTCAACATTCTTATAAATCAATTCTTCAAAAATATCAAACCATGGATTTCCTACCTTATCATTGATGTTTTGTTCAATCATACCTTTATAATCATGTTGTTTGTAGAATGGATCGATATAGAATAACTCGTTTGTAACCTTATTATCAACAGAAGAATCTCCTTTAATAGTAATCAATTCATTGATATTGTTAGAGAAATCATTGAATTTACTAGTAACTCCATAACTGTAACTAAATTCTTGATTAAGGAAGATAGTGTTATTATCAAGATCTTGGATTTTATTGGTTCTCTTGGTAGATTTGGTTATCTTTGATTTTTCTTTGGATAAATGATCTTTTGTGAATAACTTCCCGTCACAGAAAATCTTGATCAATAAGATAATCATGGAAGAATTGATGTCTGATTTCAAATATTGAACAAGTTTAGTAAACCCTTTGAAAATTATCTTCTTACTGTATAAAATCAAATGAATGATAGAATCTTTGAACTCTAATTTCTTATTATACCCGTAATTAGAGAACAAAAGATTTCCAACAGCGTTCAAATTGAAATTCCCTTCACTGAATGAATCAAAGTTAGTGACATTACTAACAATTTCCATATTAGATTCAAGATAAGTCAAATAATTAAAGGATTTAACAAGTAAGAATTGAATTTGTTTCAGTGATTCTGGTGATAAATCCACAGTATTGATATAGTTCAATAAACAGATCAAACTGATGTTTCTTAATTGTAAGTTATCATAAATTTCTCTTTCTTGACCTTCATTGGAAGCTCCACTCAAATCTGATGTAACAAATTGGGAGTTCAATAAATTCTTCCAGAAGATAAGGAACTGTGAAGAATTAAGTTTAACAAACTCGGATTCATTATAGAATGTAACCAATGATGATAAAATGATCCAACAACTAGTATTTTTCAAATTATTGATCCTTGAAGTTGAAGTGTTATGCTTTAAATTTTGTGTACAGAAACTTAAAATCTTTACTATGGTAGAATTTTGCAAGATTATAGAATCTGTTTGTTTGATGATAGCTGACAAACTCAAAGCGTAACTCAATAATTTAACTGGTGTTAAAGGACTAGAATTTATGGATAAATTTATAGTATCGTTACCTTTATTTTCTGATAAGTTCAGTAACTCTTGATTGAACAAGTTGAATAATGTTAACACCAATTGATTGATTTCAACCTCATTTATTTTACAGTACTTCAATAATGTTACCAAAGAAAAATTCCTTATATAGTCATTATCATTGATTAATAATTTCAATAACAATTGAACTAAAACTGATTGTTGAGGACTTTCAAGTTTCTTCATATCATCTTCGTCATCTTCATCTTCTTTAGTACCTTGCTTCATGAAAGAATTGAAGTCTATACCGAAAGGTAACAAATTCTCAATTATAGTCAAAATCAATCCACATTGATAAGGATTATGGTAAATATTGATATTGATGGATTCCGATACATTTGAAGGTTTGGTTTTAAAAAGTCCCTTCAGTTTCTTATCCTTAGTTTCTTCAACGTTGGAATTATCACTATCAAAATGATCAACTAAGAAGTTCAATAATATCTCATGACAATTGGGTCCTGATTCTTTTATAAGGTATTCTAATACTTTAGACCATTGTTTGATTGCTTTGATCCAATTAGAATTGATGATATGATTCTTCAAATTCAAATTATTAAACTTATTCAAGATCAATTCTAGAATTGTTGATAAGTTCAAGGTTAAATATTCTGAGTTCTGAAATGATTCTAATTGAATATAGAAGATGAAAGTTTCAAGGATTCCAGTATTAAACAAAACTTCATCGACATTACCATTCAAAATATCTTCTGATTCATTATAAGTATAATCTCTTACATCTATGGCTACATCATCCTCTTTCAAAGTTAAAGTATCATTCCATTTATTGATATTAGGGATTCTGAATAATCCTATCAAATACTCAATTGGATTGAACTTCCCTGTAGGGATGAAGTTTATGAATACATGAGCTAAAAGTTCAACCATGGCAATTCTAATATCCTTATTATAATTAGATAATCCTGAAACAATAGATTTTTCAATCGAGGTTAACAAAGTAGTTTGGAATTGATGTTGATGAGACATAATCGACTCAGGTTTGATTTTAGCTCCACTTGATGATGAATGAGCACTTGAAGCAAGTAAATGTTCATAGTTAGCATTGATAGATAAAACGGTTAAGTTTCTTAAAACCAAGATATAATTTTTCTTCAAAGTGATGGTGGAATTATCACTATCTGTGGAGGTCAAATCGAAATTTATCCCTGTAGAAATGTTCTTATTGATAATCTTCATTAATTTCCCTTGTAATTTCTCATCTATATCAGGTCTAGTACTATATTTGGTTAAGGAATTCAAAAGATAAATCAAGTTCCCACTGATTTCTGGATCTTTTTTCAAAATCTTATAGATTTGATTGATGGAGAAATTCATCAAAGAACCTAAGGAATTGGGGAATGTTTCAAAAATATCAGTCAACAAGATTATTGATAATTCAAAAATTGGTGAAGTTTCATTATTTAAATAGTTGAGTAAATTGTTAGCCACATCATAAACCTTGGTGGGAGTTTTATGGAACACCAATATAAGATTTCTAGAAAGTAAACGATATAAATTATTGGATTGTTGGGATTTAATATGAGTAACTGAAGGATCTTCTTCTTCTTTCTTTCGTGATTTACTTATAGGTATATTAAATTTCTCAATGATCTTATTCAATTGAATCAAACACAAATTGTAGTCAATATCACTATCTGGATTGGTCAATTCAACATTTAAGTCCACCAATTCATGATAAATCATGGATTTATCGAACTTATTCAAGATAAACTCAAAGTTGGATTCTTCCATGTTTGTTAGATGTCAAGAATTTCGCGTAGATCAAGTATGTCGCAAACTAAATATAGAGATTTGAGGGTTCATTAATGCTGAATATATTACTGTGGGACAGTACGTAGATGCTTTCAACTATGACCAAGAGCTAATGATTTAAAATTTCCAAAAAGATCTTTTCTCTTCCGCTTCTTTTCTTTGCCATGTAATTTATCCTCTATTTTCAGTACATTAGGTGATCCATTTATAGTACTGAGTGGCTTTTTTTCAGATTTTTGTGATTCCTTTATAAGCATGGAAGTTAAGTTCTTACTGGTCTTTGACTTTTCAATAAAATTCTCCTTTCTGGAATTGGAGGTATGTAAATGATTTGAAAGTTGGGTCGTTGATGGTGATTTAATATTGGGCGAGGCTAAATATAATGAGTCCCTCCTTAATGATTTGATCCTATTGGATAATCCTTCAGTTTTGACCAGTAATTCATGCAATTTTTGTAATGAGTCTGATTTGACCATTCCTTTCTTATTGTCTTTGATATCTTTACTGAAAGGTGAAATTGGGGGGCCTGCCCTCAAAACATCCTTCATACTCAAAACCAGTACATCTACTTCCCCAATACTAGTATTGATATCTGTATTGGTATTTTCGTCCACTTGTTGTTTTAAATCATTGATAGTGTTCTGATAATTAGATATAAACAAATCCTTCTCGTTGTTAGCCTTTCTTTCCATGTAAAGATCATTCTCCAATAACGCTATTTTCTCAATGAGTTCATTATTAAATTGATTCAGTAATTCAAGTTTCTGGGATATCACACGATCATTGGATTCCATATTGTCATTTATGATTTCAATGTCAACAAGTTTCTGTTTTAAACTTCGGACTTCAGCCTCATTCTTGAGTTTATCCTCATTGTAGGTTTCTTCTTGGTCTCTTAGCTGTCGAGTAAGTTCCTTAATCTTAGTGCTCTGTATTTTGATCGTTGCTTCATTTTCCTTCTTCACAGAGGTCAATTTCTTATTATCAAGTTCTAGTTGTTTTAACTCTTCTTCTAATGCTTCTTCTAATTCTTTGGAATATCCTTGAAAATCTACAAGTTCCTCTTCTAGTTCCAAAACTCTTTGAACAATTTCGTCTTTACTCCAATGGTATAAGTCCGACTTATTATGCTTTGGAGTCGAGGGACTTACGGCTGTTGTCATATTTTTACGATAGGTAAACACTAACTTTCGCGGAACTAACTACGTAAGATCGGAATCTCTATTAAATTATCAACTCCAATGAAATCTGTACAAGAGTGGGTTAAGCAATTGAATATGACTGCCCATCCCGAAGGGGGATACTTTGTGGAACTCATGAGGTCGGAGCAAACAGTGGAATCAAATAAAGGTAATAAAACCGGTTTATATACCAATATTCATTTCTTATTAGAAGATAAAAACCCATCAAATTTCCATAGAATTGCATCTGACGAAATGTGGTTTTATCATGACGGTAATCCTTTAACTGTTCATATCATTTATCCTGATGGTAAGTATGAAGCCATCAAACTTGGACCTAATGATGGAGAAGTCTTACTGTGTGTTGTTCCTAAAGATACTGTATTTGGATCATCGGTTGATTCTGGTTATGCTTTAGTAAGTTGTGTAGTAGTTCCAGGATTCTTATTCGAAGAGTTTGAATTATTCAAACGTCAAGAGTTACTAGACAAATATCCTCAACATGAAGATATTATCACCAAATTAACTAGAGATTAGATGAACTCTTTATATATATGCCATTCTATTATTTATACCATCTATAAAACATCTTCGGGTGCTGGTTTACCACCTTTATTTTGGTCAGCAGCTTTTAAGTTTTCAACCCCGATTTCTTCTTCGTTATCATCGAAGTGCATTAATGTTTTATCTTTTCTTAATTTCTTATCAGCAGCTAAAGTAGAAGCAAATTTGGATTTAGCTCTAATTTGAGGACCTTTCCAATAGAAAATATAAACAGGAAGTGCAACAAGAATAGCTACAAATCCTAAAAAGGTATTGGCCCATTGTAAAGATTTAGTCTTGGAGAAATGTCTAAACATTGGACCTGAATACATGGCAGCAATACCTGCAAGTAAATCTCTAGCAAAACCATTACCACCAGTTGCAGAAGCAGCATAATCGGATTGATAAGCTAAAATCATATAATCGATAGTCGACATATAGATACTATAATTAGCAATACCGATTAAAGCAAGGAACACAATAGGACCCATCCAATGATTATGTGTTGGACCCATTGAAGACCAAGCGAAACCAAACAACCCAATAGGTTCCAAAACTACTAAAAATAATAATAATAACAATCTTCTTTCAGGTAATCTAGCAGCATCACCTTCCTTGACCAAAATTTGGTTTTGTCTTTTGATATCTGCCAAGTGTATGAAGTAAGCAATGAAATAACCAATCAAAACTGAACAGAAAACTAAACCTTGGGTGATGGTATTGAATCCCCATAATTCAAAAGCCATTGGAACAGATTCCATACAAATGAAAATCAAAGCATCAGAGAATCCTGATAATAAGGATAAAAATAACACAATAGGTTCTTTCACAAACATAATAAAAGGTCTTGACCAAATGCTAAGGATTTCTTTCATATCTAAACCATTCTTGAAATCACCAGGACCATAAATATCTGGATCTTCACCTGATTCTCTTCTTCTTTTGGCTTCACGATCAACTAAGATTGAAGTTCTAGTTTCAGTAACAAGGAAAAAATGAATAAGTTGAGTAACTCCACCTACTATCAATTGCATCCAGAAGTTCCATCTCCAGTTCAATTTATCTGCCATGATACCACCAAAAATAGGACCAAGAGTAGAACCACCGACTGATGACAAGACAACATAAGCAACGGCAAACCCTTGATTTTGTGGTTCCCACATATCGGCACACATACCTAAGGTGACTGAACCACCAGCAGAACTCAAACCACCCAAGAATCTAGCTACGTATAATGAACCCAAGTTTGGTGCTAAAGCAGCTAAAATTTGCCAAATGTTAACAAAGAATAAGGATAATTGCATAATTGGCCATCTACCATAATCTTCTGACCATGGAGCCCATAATTCACATCCAAAAGCATATGCGACCAAGAACAACATTTGACCTACCTTAACACCTGGTTCACCAATATGAAAATGTTCTTCAAATTGTTTAGTACCTGAAGCATAAACACTAGCATTAAAATTCATAGAAAGTTGTACTAAAAAGATAACTGAAATAATCCACCATTTTTTAAACCAAGGGAATGAGAAACCTAATTTATCATAACAATCTTCTTCACTTAATTCCCTTCTATTATCTGGATGAACAATACCCGTGGTATTTTTCTTTGTTTTTCTTAAAATTTGGGGTTCTTGAGTTTCATTTCCTTCTTTTTCCCATAATCCACCTCCTGGGAGATCGGTTTTACTATCTGTTTTACTATCAGTGCTAGTTAGCGTTCCGTTTGATGACATCTTTGAAAAACTTTCAGTAATTTATGTTACTTTTTATTATGGAAAGGAACTTTCGGATGATGTATACAATTTTTCACAAATCAGAGGTTGTGGGAATAAAAGAGTTTAAGTACATCAGTTATAATTGCTACTCAAAATTTTAAGGTGGTAAAAATAAAAATGTTGCATAAATTTATCACCGCCCCTCCCTTACATTTCGGGGGAAGGAGTTGTCGGTTTGTTAACCACACCGCTCGCTATTTCACCCAGTATTGTTCTACATCCTTTTCATTGGCTGAACTAAGTCCTCTCCAGGTCACTATTACCCATCTCCCCACTTTTAAACTCAGACATATGGAGAAATTACAGTTGCAAAATTAAGGGTTCGGAACAACTATATGCATGAAGAGTAGTGCGGTTACCATTTCTATCACTTTAAACCATAGCAATTTTGACTTTGAGATGCCATCGAACTAGGTTTTATGACATCATGAAACATACGATTTCTAACTTTAGATCGATGGGTTGATTTACCTTTGAAGGTGGTCTAAACATGTTTCACCTGGGTCAAGAAATTTGACCTTCTATTATGACAGGATAATTTCTTGGTTATTCTGGTTGTAAAACTTTCGGATTAATGAGGGGGGGATTTTCTCGGTAACAATCATGTCAAATTCTTTGTTTTTCGTGTAACTAACCATGTTGTTGTGGGTATTGCACCCCACACAGTCTAATGAAGTATTCATTGCCTCCTGTAGAGAGAAATGGAGATATATTGATTTATTCGGACTCAAGAAAATAAACGAAGTTTAGCATGCTAATCATTTGCCCCACTTGTGTTCTATTTTTTGATCTGTGTATTCAGCCCTTGTTTTGATCATAGGGACAACAGACCGTATCGGAAAGTTTATCTCTTCACCACAAGTGGCTTTGGTCATCATGAGGGAACATTATGCCACTATGTTACTCGCAAGGTCTACTCAAGGGTTCAACTCAGTTCAATTTCTTTAGAGTTCTTTATAGTGTTCTTTGTAGAGTTCATTGTAGAGTTCTATATTTCCCATTGAGCTTCTGTGAAAAATTACAAGCTAAGTAACATGTCCTAACTGTGAAAATCTACTAAATCCATATTGCTGCTTAATCTCAGACCTCTGTAAATTGCTGATACACTAAATTAAAATCATCCAGTGGAATTTCACGTAAACTATGACTTCTTGATATTCCGTAACTGCCTTACTTGCCCACTGATTTTACCCTTCTAAAATCTTCCTTCCGTTATACACCGGTACACCACTTGATTCTCGCACTACCGCATATCCATCGCATTCAAAACAAATTACCCTGACGTTGAAATAATCGGGTAACCTTATGGATAAACAACAGGAATTAGGTGGAGCACAAGCTCTATTAGAATTGGGGAGTAAGGTAAAAGGTGATGCCAACGATGAATCTGATAAGGTGAGAGATCCAAAAGCTGATGAGTCTATGAATGACAATGAAAATCACACTCAAGAATCTAATGAACATGAATCACATCCCACAGATCATGATGAGTATGATTCCAAAGCTACTAATCAGCAAATTAATGATGCTGTAGAAGCTGCCGTGATGAAGTATGTCGGTGGTAATTTAGACGAAGATAGTCCTCGTAAGAAACGGAAGACAACTGATGATTTTTCCAATTTGGGAGACTTCCAAAATTGGAATTTCTTAGAAGAAGAAGAGGAAGATCAAAGAAAGAAGAAAAGACAGAATAATCATGAAATTGATCCTGAATTATCGAATTTAAGTGAACATGATCCTTTGAGAGCTGCAATTTTAGAAACAAGAGAATTTGCTAAAAATTTAGGTGCTCCCTATACAGCTAGTCAAATCCAGCAAGTTATAAATTCTTTACACAATCAACAGCCAACATCAGCAGCATCTACTAATCAAACCTATCAACAGTTACAAGCTAACGAAATTTCAAACCTTCAAAAGAAATTTCAAAAGACTAGTGAACCAATTGGTAATGAGTTTCCTAATGGATTCCAACATATAACATCCATTGAACAATTAGCTGATGAAGCTGCTAAGATTACTATGAATTGGTACAAGACTGTTCCAGAAACCAAAGGGCCAAGACCTTTTTCCAAGGAAGAATCACAAGCGATTGAATTCTTCATCAATGGTTATGGATATTTATTCAGAATGGATAGAAAGGAAGTTTGTAATAGAATTTGGACTCCAGAAAGGAAGAAAGATAATTTCTGGGAATATCTCACCAAGGTAGTTCCTTACAGATCAAGAGCATCTACTTATAAACATGTTAGAAGACAATATCATCCATTTGATGTTAGAGGTAAATGGACTCAAGAAGAAGATGAAAAGTTAAGGCAATTATCTTTAACTAAACAAAGTAATTGGAAAGAAATTGGTGGAATCATGGGTAGGATGCCAGAAGATTGTCGTGATAGATGGAGAAATTATCTCAAATGTGGAGTTAATAGAGTTGAAAATAAATGGAGTGCCGAAGAAGAAAATAAATTGAAACAAGTTGTCACCGATATGTTAACCAAACAAAAAGTGACAGCCATTAATTGGACATTGGTAAGTGAGGCCATGGATGGCACTAGATCAAGAATTCAATGTAGGTATAAATGGAATAAGTTAATTAAAAGAGAATCCGTCAACAGATCATCGTTTATGGATGATAATACTAAATTATGGTTATTTGAAACCATGAAGAAATTGAACTATGACAATTTGAGTGATGTAGATTGGAATTTGATTTCTAAATTATATGACGATGAATTTAAAATTCAACCTTCAAATTGGTTGCCAACAGATTTTCAATTTGGTTTTGATAAATTCAAGACAATTGTTAAAGATTATAAAAGAATCACCTTATCTGAACTTTTAGAAAAACTTATTAATGAAATTTTATCTCGTCAAAGGAGAGATAAGAATCCTGACGATAATAACGATCGAGAATATTTATGGAGACAATAGATAAACATGATGTATATAATGAATTTGAAACTAAAACTTTCCTGCCTTCTCCTTTCTATCCTTATAAACTCTCTATCAAATATAAGAATGCTAAAACATTGAGTATAATGAATGAAATTTCCCCTGTTATAAGCTCGTACCGTTGATCAACACCCACAATAGGTCTATGGAATTGATACCAAATCTGATAATATCTGTAATGTCTCCGTGCAAGAGTACTTACTAGTAACAAAAGACCTTGAATTGGTGTTAATTTGAACCCCAGATTCCAATAATGCTTGATGATACACAGTATCAAGAAAAAGGCCTCAGTCCTAAATAAATCCGTCATCTTAGAGATCAGATCCGCGAAAACAAATATCAACGATGATAGACTATGATGATGGAGAAGCCAATCTTTTAAATTTCTATGGCTTATCTACCATCCACCCTACGGAATTGGCCGACCTTAACATATCTTCTCAAGATCCTATAGATGTTGATGATGAAAAGATCAAATCCTTAACTGTGGATGAACAATTTCAAATGTTGAATTCATTAGTGAAAGAAAATCATATTGATCAGTCTTATCACAACGATGTTGAAGATCCATTCAGAGGTGGGAATACTAATGTTGTTAAAGAATTGATTGATAATCGTATCATTAGTTCTGAAAATGATCCTGATGTGAACAAGTATTTGATTTCATCAAGAGAATTCAATTCAACTAAATTCTTAACTACCATACATAAAGATACTCCTATCGAACAATTGGTAGAGTATCTTAAATTCTTACAAAAGAACATCGAGAGTCAACAAGGAGAATTGAAATATGTTATTAATGATAATTTCTTGAAATTCATTGATTGTAAAGATTCAATCGATGAAATCTTGGGTAATTTTAAAAAACTGAAAACCAGAGCCCAACAAGAACTAGAAAATGCCAGAGTATTCAATCCTTCAAGAGTGAAAAACCTTGAAAAAGATAATAAATTCTTAATAAGTGGATTAGAAGATTCTATTAAAAATTTAACCACAGCTACCTCAATTTTAATAAGACCGATTATGGATAACGAAAATAAAGAATTGAAGATTTCAAGAATCATAGAATTTGTTAAAACCAACAAAATCTTATTTGACTTACCTTCCAAATTAATGGCAGCTGTTACAAATCAAAATCATGAAGAAATTATAGATTCATTAACATTATATTCTAAGCATAAACGAACTATTATAGAAGAACAAAAATTCAAACTCAATAATCTTAAACAACAAACAAGGGATGAGAAAAAACATCAAGAATTGAAAGATTATCATAAAAGTGTTAATACCCTTTTGAATAGAATTTTCAATCAAGTAGATAATATTATTGAAGTTTATAAGAAATCCATTTATAATGAATTATTATCATTTGATAATGATTTAGGTAAAGGTCATAGATCAAATAATGCTAAGTTCTTGTCTATAGTTGATAAGATCGATCAGTTGAATTTCAATGAATTGGTTAAATCTGATCAAAAACATATTTCCCCTATCAACACATTTTTAAAGACCCAATTGAAAAAATCTAACGATGATTTGTTTTACCAATTCAATAAGTTTGAAGAAAAGTTCCAAATCTTACAGAATAAGATTGTCAACTATATTGAATCTTTAAAGGATTATAAAGTAAATGGATCATATGTCAATTATATTGAAGAGAAGTATAACAATATTGAGAATTATTTCAAAGCTTCGTCATCTATAAAATTCAAAAAACCTAATTTACAAGAATTGGAACTCATTATTAACGAAACCTTCGATAGTAATGATAATTTGGATTTATCATTGATCAATGAAACCTGGTTAGTGTTCCTCAATTTCATTAATTACTTGAATGATATTTACTTGAAGAATTTGAATAAATTCGTTGATAATTATAATTACTATATCAAGAACAATGCACAAATTGATATCAATGGTGATATTAGAAATTTATTTTTGAATACCATCATTCAAATTTCGGATAAATTATTCAATATTTTCCAAAATAGTCAAGAAACAAATAATCAATTGGAGAGTTCTCCTACTCAGTATAATAATATTTTACCTCATTATACCAATTCTTTATCGACAATTTATTATATCACCAGAATCAATAACAGATTGAATAAGATATTTACTCATTTTGGTAAAAATGTTATGACTATAGGTAACATAGGTAAAACTACAGAAACCAATAAAATTATCAAAAATTTAAGAACCATTTCCAGTTCTATAAATCAAAAGATCTTGGAAAGTACTTGTTCAGTATGGGTGAATGACTGTTCACAATTTTATGATTTGGAAAATTGGGAAATTGATGAAAAGATCATCAGTAATGATGTTGAATTGACTAACACTAAATTAGTTAATATCATTGAATTTTATATGATTTATATGTTGAAACAAATCAAATCTTTGGTTTTCATTGATTTGGAAGAAGAAAGCAATGTCAAGATAGTATCAACATACCCTAGTAAGAAAATGTTAGTGTCAATAGAAATTCAATTCATGAGATGTTTAAGTATAATAATTGATTCTATAATGAAGAAGTATAATTTAGAACAACAAAAACTGCAAGAATCCAACTTCAAAATTTTAACTATGAATAACATAGATAAGATTTTGAGAGATATTTATCCTAACTTACTCAAAAACTATGATGCCAAATTCGAAAAGGATTTATCACAACAAAACTTGAAAATTTTCACTGACATCGATAAAGTCAATTTCACTATTTTGGAAGACGTTTTAAATAAAGAGAAGACTATTGTAGATGAAATTTTGACAGGATTCTTCAATAAAATCATTCATGGTTCTATAACTACAGAATTCAAAGTAGACAATTTTATCTACGAGATCTTAACTCATTTCGTCAAATTAGTTTACAATTTGAAACCTATCACCAATCAAGAATTCTTTATTAAGATCATTAATGAATTACAAGATTTTTTCTTGAAGAACTTCTTAGATTATTTCAGAAAATTAAATACTTCAGTTGAAAACTTCGATGTCATTTTAGTCAACTTGAAATTAGATATAAACTTCTTCATTGAAATATTTGAACCTTCCAAAACATTGAAGTTAAATGAGTATTGTTTCAACATTGCAGATATCATATTGAATTCCATCAAACAAGAAAATGATCCTATAATCAGTGATAAGAAGTTTGATAATATCTTAATTCAATGTTTAAAAGATAGTGATAGTCAATTTGATTGTTTAGGTAGATAATAAATAGAGTAGAGATGAATTTTTTTTTCCCCATATATTCAACCTTGGCTCGACTCTATATAACCCCCTTAAATAAAATCTAGCTATTACAAATTACAATTAACAATTAAAATTAAAAACAACTAAAGGTTAACACAATACCTTGAAACCTTCTAATTTAGTGTGTGTGTGTGTGTTGATAAATAACTAAGTTATTTAATTAGAAAGTTCTTCAGCTTTTTGTGATTCTTTAGTTGATTTTTCAACAGCTTTTTCAACTGATTCTGATTCATTTGAATCTAATTTTTGGTTCTTGACTCTTTCGAATAATTCATTTTGTTCTTTTTCAGATAATTCATTCTTCTTCTTTCCTTTGATATAATACATAGGATTCAATTTGTTCAAAGTTAAGTTCTTGGTGAAAGGTAAGTGACCAGTCTTTTCTTGGTATAACATTAAAGCAATAGTAATGATTAAAACTAACCAATAAATGTTATAAGAAATAACACTACCATAGGTAGCAGAATTTTGCCATCCTAATAAAGCATTGAAAACATCCCAACCATTATCAGTTTCTGGATTACAACAGTTAACGTGCCAAACAGATTTCTTAATATTGTAAGTACCTGGACCTGAACCATTTTCTGAAGCATCACCACCAGTAGCTTGATTAAAGACATAAGTTTCGAAATACCAAATACCTCTTGAGAATAAACCTGCAGCAATTAAATATAAGATAGAAGTGGAAACAATTAAGAAAATTTGTAAGGAAATTGTTGAACCGAAGTAGTATAATAATAAACCAACAACAACCCCAGCAATTAAACCAGTAATAACTGGAATTGGGAAAGAAGTAGCTGGTTGATTTAAACCAACACCACCAACGAAAACAACAGCTTCTAAACCTTCTCTTAAACAAGTAATGAAAGGTAAAATGAACATAGCGTATTTTTGAGTGTAATGACCAAGACTAAATCTACCTTTCTTTTCAGATAAGATAGCTTTGGCTAATTTAACTCTCCATTTAGCTTTCATTTTATTAATTCTTAACATGGCAATACCCATCATTGAAATTAAAACAGTTGCAATGATACAGAAAACACCTTCCCATAAATCTTCAGATTTGGACCAAATATCTTTACCTAAACCGTAGAAAGCACCAATAAATGCACAACCTAAAATAAGACAGACAACGACTCCTAGAATGGAACCCAACCAAATTTGTCGAGTTAATTTCTTTGAAACTTTTGGATCATTTCCTCCTAAACCTTGTTTAACGAAAGCTAATAAGACAGAAACAACAACAATTGCCTCCAAAGATTCTCTGAAAACGATGAAAAAAATTTGTGGATTAAATACGTTAACCATTTTTTATCCAACTATCAATTCAAAGTATTTTTATATCAATAAAATATATTAAATTAAACTGATCGCTTTATAGGGGGTTATAAAGGGTGAAGAGTTTTGAAAGGATTTTTCACTTAATTTATAGTTTATTCGTAACTGGAAGACCAATTTTAATTGGCTAAATTGAAGGAGACAATTACCCAAAACAGTTTTATCAGATGAAATATTTTTTGTGACAAATCTCGGGGCACACAATCGCGGACAGAAATTATTTTCATACCGTCTATTGTTGTAACATACTACCGAAAATTATTGAGTTATTATATGCCATTTTCATGCTTTACATGGCTATATCATATAGGCTAGGTTACATGATAAACAATACTTGAACTCCCGTTGGAAAATTCTAATAGAAATTATCAAAAGGCTGTTGACGGTGCGCAAAATGTCATCTGATGGAATTGATAAAAATTTTGACATTTTTAAGCGTGAAATTTTTCATTGGCTAATTTTTTACATCGGGTTTTCGAATTCCTGTAAGTTTTATGGCTTATTCAACCGTTTAATTGTTTAACAAAGATCGTCTGCTTGAATTGTTTACTATTATTTGCCACTCCACTCTCTATATACGATATTATTTGAGTATCAATAGGTTCTCAATAATTTTATGATCGGCCCACAATCGGCAGTCAACTTTATATTGCCTTATTACATAACGAAGTTAATAGTTTATCCCAAGTAACCAATAATACAATGATTTCTTTAGGCTATTTTCTTTTGTATTCACGTTGGTGTATGAGGGATATTTGTACAACCGGACCTGAGTTCAACCTATCAAATACGTCAATAGTTTTCTTGGTATGAAATCGAACATTACGCATTTTGTTGGCTTCAAACCATAGAGTTTATTCTATTTTATTACTATTTTTTAAACGCTTGGAACTTGCCATTTACAATGTAAAGGTACAAATGAAGGTTTTAAACTCAAAGTTCACGAGTCAGATTAAAATCAGATATACAGAGCCCCAGATTTTAGAATATTTTCCAGGCCGCCCTGATGTATATTTTATTCGATTCCGCCGATCTTCCTATGATCTCCATCCGATCATCAATAACAGGCAATTGGTTGATTGGGACTTTGGAATGCTGGGAATGAATTTATAAGATCCAGGAGTGTCGCTCCTTACCTTTCCCTTCACCGGTATGAAATTACGAACAATCGAGCCAAGATTAGCTTGTTATAATTTGGATTCGAGTCGGGATTAAGAAAGCTTGGCTTGAAAATTACTAAAAGTGAAATGCATGATTTTAATATGTCGAATCCATTCAGGAACCTTGTAATTATTACTTAACGTAATTATGCATATCTTGCAAAACCCAATTCTCACAGTAAATTGAATTCGCGATGAATCAAATATGCACACTAAGAGGACATCTTAATTCCATCAGTTGTATTGCACAATTCAACGACAGTATCGTCACTGGTGATGATAATGGGTGGATAATATGGTGGAATTTGAATAGGCGGTGTCCTTTAGGAGTTTGGAAAGGTCATGACATGGTTATACTAACAATCAAACAAATAGATGATAATTATATCTTAACCCAGTCGAAAGATTCAGAAATCAGGATATGGAAGTTGGAAGGAGGCTTGAAATCTGACTTACCTGACTTGAAGTTTAATGATATCAAATACAATGATGATTTAACCGAATTGCTCGAAAAATATCCCATGCCTGAGTATAATTCCATACCCATAAATTCATTAAATTATTGTAATGTGGATTATTTGAATGGGGTTTTGATAACTCCTGCTACCACAGACTCAAATAATTTTGATATTTACCGAGTAAGCCATCAAGATTTCGGTTTGGAAAGATTGGTCAAGAATTTCAATCCTCATGAATTATACCTAAAATCAAATAACATCATTGAAGAGATAGGAAATGATAAGAGAGATGGTTTCGGTATAATGATGAAAATCAAATTCATAAATGACAATTATTTCTATATAGGTTTTGAATCAGGGCATGTTCTAGGATTTACCATAAATTATCCATCAGCTATTGAATCAGCCAAACAATCGAACAAAGTTTCAGAGAAATTGATTATAAATAGGGAACCCAAAATCACCATCGATTATGTTAATGAATTCCATGTACCAAACCCAATCATATCCATGGAAAGTTTTGAAGATGGAATTATCGTAGGAGCCACTCAAAAATACGTTTCATTGCACCCACTGGGTAAAACAATTAATGTCAAGAACAACGGGATTCAATCGATTGTCATCAAAGACAAAGCATACATTGGTTTCTGGAATGGAACAGTTAAAGTATACGACGACCAATTCATACAGATCCATAAATTCGAACGATCACTACCAAATTTGCATAATGTCACTACCAATATCAATTCCAATGAATTAGAGGTATCGACTATAAAATTATCAACATTACAACTATTCCAACCAACTCCGAAAAATACCACGTCAAGTAAATCATTGGTATTAAACAAAAGAATGGGATCGAATCAATTATTAATCATTGGCTATAATGATGGAAAATTGTTAGTGTTTTCATAATTATGTATTCTACGTATTTATAGATATATTTTTATTCCCATACATTGACCTTCTCTTTCCTTTATGTGAATTATTATTGTTATTTGAATTGTTATAGGAATAGTTATTGACCTTCTTATCAGTATGTGTATTGTTTGATGGAGGGGTTGGAGTCCTGGCTCTTTCTTCAAATTTACTATTCCTTTTACCATAGTTTTTCTTACCATTAGTTTTCTTCAAAGTGTTTGATCTTGATAATTTAGGTTCTTCTATTAATGTAGCTTCTTCATCAAATGATGAATTTATAGCATCATTAGATTCATTCAATAAATCATCTAAATTGATACTATTATCGTTATCCTTCATTAATTTTAAGTTGAGGTCAGGGTATTTCTCAACTAATAAGCTAATATTAGCTAAGTTATCAGTTAAAATTTCTTTCACATCTTGACCATGAATTTTAGAAATATTGGCTAATCTTGATAATAATTCTAAAATTAGTTTATTCTTATTGAAATATAAATTATCCAAATATTTCCTCTTATTGGTTAAGCCATCCAATAAGGAATCGATATCCTTATCATTATCATTAAAAGTTTTAGATAAGTTTTCATATTTTTCAACATATTCAACCTTAAAATTTTTGAAATTTTCATTCAAGTTCTTGATTTCAGATTCGTAATGTCTTTTATATTCTAATTGTGAAGCCGTCAACGCATCATAAGCAATCTTCAATCTTTCATATTCTGCAGTACTTTGGCTACTACTTTCTTGTAAATTATCACACCTGATCTTCATATTCTTATTAGTTAACTTCAAATTTTCATTGCTTGATAATATGTCATTGTATTCATTTTCTAAGTCAACGATTCTTCTTTCTTTTCTTTTCAATAAAGCATTTATCATATCATTTTCATGTTTGGCATTAGCTAACTGATCAACATACAGTTCATTCTTTTGTGATAAGATTTCAAACTTCTTCTTATAGCTTGAGTTAGAAAGCTTTGTGGATTCTAATTCTGATTTCAAACTATCAATCTCTTGATGTAAAGAATCAATAACTCTTGAAGATGTTGGTTTTCTAGGACTTTCTTCCATTTTCGATATTAACCTTTTTTTTTGTTTTGTGATTTGTGACCAAATAATATTCTACCAGTTATAATACGGGAATATATTTATTTGGGTGAGTAATTGACGATTAACCTAGTTTTAAAAACAGTTTAAAGGGTTCAATTGATGAATAATTTCTTCAACACAAAAATATTGTTTACCTTTTTTTTGACGATGTTTTGGTTTGATCTGCGACATTCAACGGTGTCGCTTAGAGATAGGGCATATGTCGCATTTTGCAACTATGAAACAGGGACATTTTCCTATTTAGGAAGCTTTGGTTTGATATCGAATTGGTCTAGTAAGGTGGTAAGTGATGCAGAAGAACATGTGTTCGTTCCATCGTTATGTGGATTCTAATGAGTTAGTAATAATGAGGGATTTAAGAACTATCTTCGTTACCTAACGAGATAATTACTTCCCAAAACAACTTGCTAACCACTTAGAGTTTGACTTTAATAACATCTGATACATGTATCTAGTGTTTCATAACTTCCTCAGTCCTTATCATTGAGTGGACCGTTGCTGCAAAAATACAAATCAAAACAAAATTATCTGTGAAATCTGCGAAAAAGGTAATTAATTCAAACTGTCAACATTAATGTTAAACAATGAACCTTGTTAAAGGCTGTATTACATACTACAACAATATTGCTACAAAATAGCGGACTTTGACATGAAACACTATCAATTGTGGACGAAAGGTCATGACATATACATTCTTATGATCTCCACATGATGGGTCAGAATTCGCAATGAACTCAAATCCTATAAAAATCCAAGATCCTTCGAAATTAATAAAAGAAGCAAAAGATATCATATCCAAAGTTTCTACATGGAATAAAAGTAAAACGTACAAACATGCTTTCAAAGATCAATTGATCGATGTAAACACTTACACGGAAGATTTCAATAATGATATTTGGTTTGCTCGTTCATCTATTTTAGATAAGCAACTCACAGCTAAGTATAAGGATAAGTTCTTCAAGTACTTAATTGGTGATCTTGACATCAAAGAAAATCATTCTACTCATGAAAAGGAATATATTCATGAATTTTTCGATTATGAATTGAAAGAGTCTGACAATTCTTATATTATGAAAGCTTACTATCAATTACCATTTCCTATGAAGAGAAGATTATTCTATGAATGGATTCATATTGAAAGACATGAAGACGAAGCTTACTTATTTAGTTTTTCATTGGATCCAGAAGTGTTTGAAGAGGGTAAAGAAATCGAAGATGGTTACGTTATTGGGAAATATACTTCTATTGAACATATTAAGATAATGGATGGTGAATTGAATTGGGTGATGTGCACTGCCTCCACTCCTGGTGGATTGATTCCCAATTGGGTCAGTAGAATGAGTATACCAGGGGCCATTTCGAAAGATGTTCCTAGTTTCTTGAATTATATTGATAAATTTTAGTCTTATGTTTAGTGATTATACGATGTTTTATGGTTTTTATGTATCACCATTCATTTGGAAGGTCTCAAACCAAAGTTTGACGTCATCTCCCAAATTTTCCAAAATACTTAATTTCAAATCATTCTCCATCGATATGGATGAGGTTGAAATTGTGGTAGCATTTACTTTCTTTGTCTTTTTTCGTTTATTGTGATTCGAATTCTTTATGATGATGATGAATTTCTCCCCCATGGAAATGTAGTAAAACATCCAATCATTGATTTTATTGGTACTGAATTTATGGAAATATTCCTTGATGGAATTCTCTTTAAGGAAAAGTTTACCTTCATTCTGTAAGAAGAAGATATCTAATAGTTGATCATGTAAATAAAACATTGCCGAGCGAATATTAAGATGTGCTTTGTCATATTGGTTCAATTCACTCAAACTATTCAAGGGTAATGGCAAATAAGGCAATGAAGATTTAAAGTTGTTTTCATTTTTATCATAAATGACGAAGAAGAATTCACTATCTAACTGATTCTCAATGGTGTCATTAGAAATCAAACCATTGACAGATCTGGGTAATGATGAAGTGGAGGCGATTAGGCTACCTCCATTAATAATAGTCGTATCTAATTCATTTAATATAGGTAATAACTCTGACCTTAAGTTTTGATAAAACTCCTTATTGTCTAACTCAGGCGTTGAGCTATCATAAATTAATGTGACAAACATTTGTTTGTAGGAATAGATTACTAACAGGTATTCTCTTTCTTCCAGTCCATCTTTAGTCAAGGTATCTAGATAAATGAGCTTTCTATAAATTATTTCATCAAGTAAACCAACAATAAACTCACCTTCGTCTTCATCATCGCTTTGTTCGAGTTCGGGCGCTTCTTCAACAACACCGAATTTCAAATAAGATGGAATTTTTAACCAGTTGGACGTATCACTTAATTGTTTCATACTATTCATGGTGTAATTAATAGGTGAAATAACCAAGTTATTCGTTATATTGATGGGATTCAATATATCCATTGCTGTGTTGGTTGTATTGGCGAAAAAACCAGCTTCTTCGTCTTCTTCCTCGATTTCCACATTAATGGTATCTTTCATGATTTTAGGGGATGAGAACAAATCATCATTACTTAATTTGGTGAACTGTTCAGTATTTAACTTTTCATGATACTCATAGTATTCTATCAAATTATAAATTTTAATCAATGATTCTTCCAGAATCGGATAATCTTGAATAGTGTCATCGAAGAGATTATTACTGTAAACCAAACCATATTTCTTGGGTAAAAGTTTGTCAAAATAGCTTATGATTATCCCATGCATGGGGACTGATTGAGTTTGACAAAATTCGTCGATTTCAACTTTGGAATTATAATTGAACTCAACTGATGATTTTTTATAACTTCCAAAAAACCCCAAAAACCCTCGATAGTTTAGACTATTAGGCCACTTAACTGTTGGTGGGAATTTGAAGTTTTCACTGTTGAAATTGACTAAGAACCCTCCCCAATGTTCTTGTATTAGATTTTTCAAAATATCTCTGTTGTAGTTATCTAAAATATTCTGGAAACTTGTATTTAAGATCTTGAAGAAGTCATAACTTTGGCTTATCAATTGAATCATTTGATGGTTTATGGATGATTCTTTAATACCATTTTCTGGCATTGATATTGAACAAGCTAAGATAAAATCACCTTCTAGTCGTTTGACTATGATACTTGATTTGGTTGATTTGATGATATTCGTATCTTTGCTTTCATCAAAGGTACCTGACAAACCTTCAATTGCTTGTATCAAACCAATAATTCGAAGTTGCTCCACCTTATTAGACTCTAATTCATCTCCATCATTGGTGGAAATGAAACTAATGATTTGTTTCATTAATTCTTCATTGGTTTCATCTTTAGCATTGACATAACTGGGATTGAAGATGGTGATGTATTGTAGTTTGGGAGTCTTTGCTTGTTCTGTTTGGATATACTTGTTTGACCCTCCATTTAGACTCAATCGAGGTATCAATTGACTCAAGTAAGATGTCATAGATAAAGATATTTAAGATCGCGGGTTTTCGTTTTGATTTGAACTATACATCAAGAAATCCATAAATCCTTCCAACCAATAGTTTTACGAACTGCATTGGAATATCCTTCGTTATATTTGACCCATATTCTACTGGTTTCATCCACTTCTTTAGGTTTTTGAATTTGTGTAGAAATACCGTCATATTGACCTTTGAAGAACTCTACACTACTGGAGATTTTAGTCTTCTTTGATTGATTCTTGGTCTCTGGAGTGATTGATCTTTTGACGGTTTTACTTTGAATAGTGATACGATCGAATTCGGTTTGTAACATAGGGAAAAACCATTTTCTTTTAAGTTGAATTTGTTTTGGGTTGAACGTTAAAATATCATTATCATAAAATACCAACGAATCAAGGTTAGGATTGATCTCTAAAAGCAATTGATTGGTCTCATTGTCCTTGAAAGTTTCGAATTCTATTTGTAAACTTTTGAAAAGACTGGCGGATTTTTCAAGACATAATTTGTCGAAATCGTTCAAATTATTTTTCAGTTTAACTTGAAGGGAATTACTACTTCCACTTGATGCCAATTCAGGAAATAATATCTTATATAAAAATGGCAATACAAACAATCCCATTGATTGGTTATCTTCGAAACCTCCCCCAAGACTGACTTTCAATGAAATTGGAATATTTGTTATGAGTTTCTTTACTAATGCTTTATTTTGCTTTTTCATTTCGTTACTTTCGAATTCAATGTTCTTGATGTCGGGTAACAAGCTCTTTACGATTTTTTTGGGGTTGATTTCACTAAATAATTGCCAAAATTTCAATAAAATCAAATTAGAATATTGTGGGATCTCATTGCTTGTACCGATGATGTCGTAGAAATTTAACCATTCACTCAACTCACATGGTTTTACTAAGGAATCATCTTGATAATAAACTGTGTCCAAATATCTATTGAAACATCCTCTTATCACTTTATCTAGCGTTCCGCTCGAACTATTGATTGATTTTCCTCCTCCAGATAGTAAAATTTCCATCAAGTTGTCAAAATCTTGCTCCTTATTCAATTGGGGGTCCCTTTTGAACAACATGTCAGTCAATTTGAACCATGACAATTGTAAATCTTTATTTATTTTAGGGGAAGAGCTTACATAATTTTCTAATTTTCTTCCGTTGAATTGCAAGTGATTTATACAAGCTCTGATATCACCTTCACATATTTCCACAATTTCATTAATTTCATTATATTCCAATTTCAAATTCTCTTGTTCACTGATATCTTTGATGTATTCTTTGACTGAATTTAATGCTTTTCCACCGGTTTTGATACCGGTAGATCTCTTTATAAAAGCCGGTTTTTGAAATGATATTAATTCTGATATCGATCTCAATTTATCCATGTTGAAACCTCCCCAGGTTCTGGAATTCGTGGAAAAGGCATCATTGGCTATACATATGATTGGTCTATTCAATAAATTATCTTTGCTTTTCTTACCTGATGGTTGTCCCCTTTTGTTCAATGCTCTTTGATCGCTCTGTATCAATTCGTTCAAAACTCGAATGATATCACTCAGATTTCCTGCAGTATCAATTTCGTCGATAACCAAACAAGTTGGTTTCCCATTACTGATAATTTTGTTTCCTTGCGCTTGAATGGAGTTCGATGTCAAAGCATTTTGTATTTTCAATTTCAAAGCAGCATTGACATTTCCATATCTATTGTCCCCTGTGTTGACAGTAGATGGGAGAACATCCATACTATTGGCTGCATTCAATTCTTCAACATTATAGCCCAACTGTTTGGCAATCAAATGTACAGTGGTAGTTTTCCCGATTCCTGGCGGTCCACTAACGAGTAGAATCTTTCTGTAGGGCCTTCCTAATTGATCAACATTATTTTGAATATTATGAGGGTTCTGATGTTGATTAAGTTGGTTATATTCATATTCAGTATTGAAGACAACTCCTGACCATCTTTGCAACCAATGTGATATCATTCTATATTGTCTATCGTTCCCTGCTGAACATAATTGAAGAAATCTTTTAGGTCTGTATTTTTCCGTCCAGACTTGGCTGGTCTTGAATTTTTTCTTTGGTTTGGTTTGTTGTTCGCTAAGTTGTTCCTGATTATCTTTAAATGCTTGTTTCTCTTTAGCTATACGGAATAAGTTATCCATATCAATCAAATCCATCTCTTCTGAAGATTTGATTTCGTCAGCATTGATGGATTTTCGAACTTTGGGTTTCAAATTTATCACTTTTCCATCGAAAAGTTTAACTTTCTTCGGTTGTATTTGACCATATTCCACTTCAATCAAGTCATTTACCTGTTCTGATTCAGGTTGAGGTTGTACACCACCAAATAATAAAGAACTTTGGAAATCCATATCATTATTATTGGTTTCTCCTAAATCTGTAGTAGCTTGATCTGCATTATTGAACAACACAGACTCTCCGAAGTTCAAGTTAACAGGATCTTCCATAGTCCAAGTATTTATATTCAATTATCTATAAAGTCTACGCGAACTATAAAACAACGCGGTTGCAAAAAAAAAGTCTTCACCAAACCTCTACGACATTTTTTGGGAAACTCCCCATGGAAGCTTACAATTATTCATGATACTATTTTTGGGATTTTGAAAGCCAGCTTGTTCCCAAGTAGTGAAATTAACATTTTGATAAGCAGCCAAATGATTATTTATATACTCTGTGGTGGGGAATCCCGGAGGATCACAAGTAAGATATTTTTCACCTTTGGGTTGATAAATTCTAATATAATCAATTTCAAAAATAGCTGGGAATTCTAAAGACCCATAATCGATGGTCAGCCAACTTTCCGACAAACCTAAATTAAAAACTAAGGCCATAGGCTCCTTTGTTACTTGCCTCCAACCTATATTGTTATTATTAGGATGTAATGCGTCACCTCTCAAACCCAAAGTTTTTTGATTCCCATTAAAGAACTGAACATAGCTATCATTTTCCATTGTTTTTTCACTATTGTATTCGTACCCGAAGGCTTGAAAGTTTGTTGGCTCTCCTATTACTCGTGAATGGTTGCTTTCACTTCTAAGGCTATGGAACCATGTTTCATTCAATATTGTACCGGCTGCAATAGCTTGTTGGGTGGGAGTTCCAGTTGAAGACTTCATTGAAGTTATATTTGAATCAAAAATTTCCATATAATCATAATCAGGTCTATACCAAGGATCAAATGGTGCCACCTGTAGCGTTTGCATACCCAAGAATGTTTTATAATGGGGGTTATGAAATCCTTCAATAAGGTCAATTTCGGGTGCTCCTCTACCGGTTCCTAAATTAGGATGGTCCTCTCCGTAACAAGTACATTTACTTAATCTCTGACCAGGAAGAAACGAAATTCCGTCGGGCGAGGATTGGTTGGGTGTTATACCATAATCACACTCGTCATATGTATAAGGCCAAACGCCATCAGTAGTGGCTTGATAACCAGGTCTTGCCAAATTTCCTAAACTCCATACAGCTGGCCACAACCCATTCTCTTGAGAAAATCCTGGTAATTTTATACTTACTTCCACCAAGGCATTTTTACTAAAACACATTTTATTCCAGCTTTGTAACATGGCTGACCTATAAAGTAATCCGTTAGTTGGGAAGGCATCTAATTTGATTCTAAGACTGCCATTCATGGTTTCTGCCATTTCAGGAATATAATATTCCAAATCGTTGGTAGCTGCATAATGCATGTCAACAGCTTCGAAAAATTGATCATCTCCAGGGAAGAACGTCCTCCCATCAGCATTAAACTCATCAGAAAACACTAAATCCCATGATTCTCCTGTGACATAACTATGCCTTTGGTGAAATTCTTCGGGAGTGTCAGGATCTACCAAATCGACCCTGACGGCTGAAAGATGTGGATATTTATAAAGTGACAAAACTTCATAGATTTCAGGTTTAGGTGGATCAGAATACTTCTTGGCTACAGATATTAAGTATCCAAAAGATCCTAAGATCAAAACTGCAAAAAGAACTGACACTGCAATTAAATTACTGAGGTAGAAGTTTCTGTAGTAAATCCTAGGGTCGAAATAATCCCGTTTCCTTTTGAATGGGTTCAAGTCTTCAAAGAACTCCTTATCGAGACTCGTAATGTCTTCAGGTGACATGATAGAATCACTGATATCAAATTCTAAAGTACCAGGGATTTCCCTGTTAGGTTGGGTTTCCTCACTAGAAGCACTTGAATGATTGGAGGTACCAGTCATACTTGAGTTGGTGGTAGACACTTGGTAGTAATAAAAAGGACCATCTAGTTCGTCTAGGTGCTTATAGGAGGTAGAATTCTTCAAAAAATAACGGGAGTTGTTTTGAGCTTTGGTAGCAAATTTCAATTCGGAGCCTGTTCTTTTCAATCGATCGTCTCCTTTATGGAAGTTTGGATGTCTAAGTTTAGAATCATAGGAATCGAATGAAAAAAATGTTTTGTCTGTCCCCCGACTATAATTCTTTACGTGGGTTGAGTTCTTCATTAGTTCCGTCACGTCACATGGATTAAATTGTGAATTCTCCAGATTTTCAGTTACCGGTGGATTCAGACAGTCTTGTGAAACATTGACAGGACGATGAATTATCGGGCTGTTTGTGTTGGGAAGGAAATTCAATTCTATACATGAAATATTGGTAGAACTTGATGTTTGAGGAAGATTATCATTGATGGACTCCGGACTAGAAGGTTTTTTGGGTATATGAAATCGAATGCTTGTTTGGGAGCCACCAGGCGAAGTCGAATTTCTTGATGAGCTTGGTGATGATTTGGGCCCTTGAAGTTTGTAAATATCAGTAACATCAATAGATTGACGACTCATGTTCAATTAATGATACCAAAATTTAAAATGTTCAAACTATATATATGTGAATATTACGACAAAACAAATTCTAATTACATGTAATTGCAATGCTATCATTTTAACTTATCTGCATAAGAACAAACAGAAGTTTAAAGGAAAGTTTAATTTTTGGGGATTGACACAAAAAAGCCGAAACTATACCATAGAATGAAACAAAAGTTTTCGGTTATCGTCCTCAAAACGGAAGTATTTGTAGCATAGATATACAAAGCAAGAGATTTCAAACCGGTGCAAAAGAAATCACCCACTTAAATTTGCAGGTGAATGCATCAGCGCATTAGTTTACTGCCGTATATACCTTATTACATAACCAATTGAATAGCCAAATCCTTGAATTTGATAATTTCGCCCTCCACAACTTTCTTTTACAAAACGGCCGAATTTACCAATGGTTGCAAAAAAAAGTTTGAACCGAGCTTAAAGAGATTGATGAACTTTTATCTATTGAGTTTAAATCTACAGGGTTGGGGGTATTTTTCAGAATCTAAATACTTCTTGGGGCCTCACCTTCAGGTCCAATATATTGAGGGTCTCTCCATGGACCTTGATCATTGAGATATAATTCTTCATCAGTAACATCTGAAGTACCACCATATTTTACAGGTAAATTTTCAGCAGGAATTTGTTTTAACAATTCTTTCTTATAACCACTTCCACAAATGGAGATTTTGGAAACGGTTACTGGATCTAAGAAAGGTTTAAAAGCTTTAAAAGCAGTTGAAAATCCAAAAGGAGCATTAATACAATAGAATTTTCCCATTCTTTCAGGATAATAATCTTGGCCGATTTTGGAAGCTTCTTTGACATATCCAACAACTTGATAAGCCGAGGAGATTGATATTCCCTTTAAGTCTAATATAGTACAAGAAGTTTCTACTAAATAACCTTTCATTCTGGAACAAGCAGGTAATCTATAATTAGTGAAACTTTCATATTCCCAAACTAAATTCTTCAACATTCTCTCTTGAGTAGTAACTTTCAACATTTTATTTAAATTGACTTTACCCAACTCTTCAAAATAAACCGGTCTTCCATCATTATCTACCTTATGATAATATTGAGGATATAAGGTTGCTACTTGAGGTTTTTCTTTATAATCAAAATCTTTCAAAATGGTATTGGTACCAAAATCTTTCCTCCATTTTTCACAATTGACAAACATTTGAATGGCTTTCTTTAAATCAAATTTTCTAGCTCTTAAGAATCTTAATAATGAAGCATCATCAAGTCTTGATTCATATCCCATTTTTTTCAATTCTTCATAGAATTGTTTCAAAATCTTTCTCTGTTCGTCAGTTAAATTTGAAGTATAACCAGTTTGACTACTAGGAGCTGAAACTTGAGGATATGAAGCCAAAAGTTCTTGTTCAACAGTCATTTTCTTGATTTCTTATTTGTATTAGGTTACCAACTATAAAGTCAAATCAATTGAACTGAAATTCCAATCACGTTAAGCAATCAAATTTCGAGATAAATGCGGTCTCAAATTTTCAGATAATACTAGAGAACCACCCATCAGATATAGTGAAAAAAAAATATATTAAAACAAAGAAGTTGAATTGAAAGTTAGGTTAACCCTTGAACCATTTCTTGAATGGATTTTTTGTTGATGAAGATTTGGAAACTGTGTTAAAAGTTTCTTGACTTGTAGATTCTTTAATCTTATTTAAAGAAGTAGTAGATTTCACCGTAGTAGTATTAGATTCATCAACGAATTTCAATTTCAAATAATTCAAACCATTATCTACTACTTTCTTATAATGATGAGGAATTTCACCATCATAATCATCTAATTGAACAAGACAATTTCTTTCTAAATCAAGATAAGTGTTATCTAAGATCTCATGAGTAAAACTATTCCACATATGTTGATCACCTTGATAATTATTAGGATATTCGTAATTTTTCAAGAAATTTTCCGTTTCAACGATTTTCTTCTTCAAGTTATTACTTCTCTTTTGTAAGTCTTTCAATGTAATGTTAGAAGTAATGAAAGAAAAGATATTCTCATCACTTTTACATAAACTTTTAATAAAATCTTCTGTATCATCATCACCAGCTAAATCTAAGAATTCGGATTTTTCAAATTCTAATGAACCAATTTGATAAACATTGTTTTTGATTTTAATATCCCCTTCTTTAATGGAGGATTTCAATTTCTTTTGAATTTTGGTACTTAAGTCTTCATCAAAATTATCATAACCTTCATCATTTATACCATTCAAAAGAGTTTTATTATTCAATACTGTATTAGCAACTTCATCATCTAATTCGGTTTCTTCAAGTTCTTCATCGGGGACTTCATCAACGAGTTCTTCATCATTTTCTTCATTTTCCTGATAATAATCGTCTTCTGATAATTCATCAACTTCCTTCTTATCTAAAAGATAGATCAATTCAGTTAATCGAAGATATTTATCAATTAAATAAGGTGTAGTTGGTAACTCATTAGATGTTGAATCTCCTGATAATCCTAAATCAAATCTTTTAACTTCATGACTCAAATCCAAAATCTTTTCATTAAAATCGTTTTTCCTACCCGTGATCTTATCAAAATAATCCAAAACTTCATGTTGATATTTGAATAAGAATTCATTCATCCTTACTAAATGTGGTTCTTTGTGAGGTGAAAATTCTTGTCTATTAGCCAAATTTAATAAAATTTTAGCTATTAATGTCAATGTACGTTGAGATTTACCTGTTTGATGATTTTTCGTTAAGTAGAATAATTTTGGATTTAAAATGGCAGGACAGAAGAATCTTAAGAATATAAAAGCTGAAAGACAATTTAAAGCTGTAGTTTTATCATTTGGATCACAAGCTAATTCAACTTTAGTCCTGAAATTTTTAAGTTGACTTTTAATTTGTTCAGGTAAATCATTACTGGTGATATAAATCTTATGCCATATTTCTTCAGCATAATTATAAAGATTTTGATAATTTTCTTCAACCATAGATTTAACTTTTTTATCTAATTCTATCTCTTCATCAGAATCATATTCATCTTCACTGTCAGATCCTTCAACATCCAAATTATTGTCATCGATGATTTTACCTCTCAATTCAGCTTTAGCATGTAATTTAACATACCTTGGATCAACTTCACAATTCTTTTTCTCTTTGCTAATGATAGCAAAGAAATTACCGAAAACTTTCTCCAAATATTCTTGACCAATTCTGAGATTATATTTTTCTAAAGATTTAGAAAAAATTGATGAACCTCTAAATAAAGTATTGAATACATTGTTCGAAGATGATGTTTTGGTTGGATTAGGTGTTGAGGAAGAATAATTTTGACGGGTCACTTTATCAACATTAACTAATTCATAATCCATCAATTCTTTAAACCATTTATCTTCAATGCCCAAACTTTGGAAGATATCTAACATTATCAAACTAACATTTTCAAAGTCTGAAGTTGAAACATTTTGATTACAAAATTCAATCAAATCTTTCATTGGAGCATTATAAAGCATACTTTCCAATGGTTTGAAATTCTTAGGTGACAAAATATGATATTCTTTCAATTTGACATTGACTAATAATTTCCCAATTGGTACATTGCTATAATCATAAATTGGAAGTTTTACAATATCATTCCCTGGAGAATTGTCTGTTGGTGTATTGACAGTTTCATTACCTTCAATCATTATGGTGGAAGAATTCCCAAGATTTCGAGATAAAATATCAGGGGTAATGAAAACTGTACCAATGATATGATCATTGTCCAGATAACCATCGGAAATACATTGTTTGATCAAAATATGAATTATTTGAGTAGAAATTGGTAAATCAGTTGAAAATTCTTCTTTCCAGAAAGGATTGGAAGTAAAATTCACTATAGCTGTTCTTGACCAAGGAACTTTCCACATTAATACTTCAGCATATATCTTACTGGAAGAATTAGATATTTTAGATAACTGATCAAATTTGGCTTCAATAATATCAATCAGTAATTTCTTAGATACTCTGAAAGATTCCTTTTCATAGATTTTCAAACCTGGATTATTCAATGAATTGGTGGAAGTTTTGACCATAGATTCACCTTTAAGAGGGATTGAATTAATGGTTTGATCAATATTAAAAGAATCATCATGATCAACTAATGTCAAATCTTCCAGTTTATTGACAATATCATTGATTGAAGAAGATTTGTTAATTGAAGAAGTTTTAGGATCAAATGATCCAATATATTCTCTTTTGGAGAAATAATTCAATCCGACAAACCAATCTTCTAAATCAATATGTAAAGGGAACTCAACTAAAATTCTTTGATGGGAATTTATAGGTTTATTATCTTTAACTAAGAAAGGAGAATAGTTCTGATCATAACTTGTTGAACTAATGGATTTAATCAAATTATTCCATCTTAATTCTCCAAGTTGTCCAATATACAAAACATTAGAATTATCAAAAATAGAATGATGAACTTCTCTGATTTCACTGGATAAGATTTCTTTGATATCTATGGAATATAATAAAGTACCATCCATTTCTGTTATAAGATTCAAAATCCCGTTTGAATTCAAAGCTCCCATGGTATAAAACCATCCTTCATTAATAGATGAGGTAGTTGGAAGTGAATCATTAGTTATACCTCCCACCAAAGTATTGTTTAAATTTCTAAACTTAGGGACTTTTGGTCCATTTACAATGTTAATGTTCTTACCTTTATTGATAATTGGTCCATAAACTTTGAATCTACAAACTAAAACTTCATGAACAAAATCAGGATTGGAATTTATGAATTTATTTTCACAATACCATTTTTTCACTAAAGATTTGGGTTTCAAATTCTGCCAAACAATCAATGAACTGATTAAATTACCAAAATTATTCTTGGATTGTACTTTAATGTATAATCTTTCATTATCAAAGGTTTTAATGTAAATTACTGGAGGCATGTTATCATTATTTTGGTCTGATTTCTTGGTTTTAGTTCGTTTACTCCGGAGTGATTGATTATTTTGGATGTTGGGGATTATTTGGATATAACAACTTTGTAAATATTGTAATAATAAGTAATTATTATCATTATCATCAGATGAATATAATTGACCTTCGTTGGTGATAAAAATTGCATAAGCAGGAATCCAACTCATTGAATCTGTTGATATGGAGAAGTTCTTTCCATTGAAAACACCTTTATCCCTTACGATCAAACGGTGGAATTGTGATTGTTTTGTCATATTTATGATACAATGTTATAATACAATTAGTTTGATATGGTACAAAAATATAGAAAAATATTGGGTATTTAGGATGTGATAACGTTAATTACAACTTAACTTGGTTGGAGATAGATATAAAACTTGGAAAATTCGAATTAATTATTGGTCCAACCTTAACAATAGAATTCTCCCTTACTGTACTGAACTACCTGGAAAAATGAGCTAAAAAACTAGTTGACCCTCAAAAAAACGCTATTAAGATTTATCAATGTATAATAGCACTAAGGAATTCACTTAAAAGATTGATTGTGTGATTTAATTCAAAATTTTAACAGAAACTATTCAATTGTTTAATAGCGGTATTACAGTTTTTGACGATAAAACGTATGCTTGATTTGGTTAAATAAACTGACAACGACAAATAACGCGTAATGTCGGATGTCGTACAGCCGTTAGCAGAGAAGCGATCAGGGTAAATAACCATGAAGAGTTAGAGGTATTTCACAGGGTGGGAGTAGTTAAAAGGTGGATAGGTATATTCGGAGATATTACATGAGGTATGGCATCAAAAATGGGATCGATTAGCCTCGTTTTGAATGTGATAAATGAGTACTTTCTATGAGATTATGTCCGTTTCAAAGTAATGGATAGTTAGAAAAAGACACCTATCATGATCATACGTGTTCAACAATCCAATTCCTGTATCGAACAGTTTGTATTGGTGAAGATCTCAGGTACGAGACCCCTTTGTAGGACCTGGAAGAGAGTGATTCCACACATGCCATTTTTTGCGTCAACAAGAAGATTATTCATTCTTGAAATTAAGGTCCTTCTTTCAATCCACTGAATCCCAACCAAAAACCAACATAGTAATTTACACCTGCATCTTCTTCATATCTACGAAATATCACCACAAACACTCCCAAACCACAAAACTGTATTCCCTAGACTTCTGCTTGTGAATGCGAAGTGAAAAAAAATCTCAGTAATGAGTGAACTATTGTTTAAGAATTATGAAAGTGATTCTCAACTAGGAAACAGTACTATTAGTGTTGATCGCACCGATGACAACGCCAGTATCATATCTGATGCCACTGATCGTGGTACAAATGATTTCGGAAATGATGTCAATGAGGAATACGCAAACGAGATATCATGCCAGTATTGTGGTATTGATTCAACTGATTGTTTGATTAAATGTCTTGGATGTGACAAATGGTTCTGTAATGGTAAAATGGAGTCAAGTTCCAGTCATATTGTTACTCATTTGGTTTTATCAAGACATCATACCGTTTCTTTACATGAAGATTCTCATTTGGGAGATACCACTTTGGAATGTTATAGTTGTGGTCAACAAAATGTATTCACATTAGGTTATATCAATGCTAAGGAAGATCAAGTGGTTGTTATTTTATGTAGATTACCATGTTCACAACTCAAAGATTCAAATTGGGATTCTACCAGTTGGAAACCATTGATTGAGGAGAGACAATTCTTATCTTGGATCTCTTCTATACCTACGGAAGATGATTCGATCAATGCCAGAATGATAACTTATCAACAAATGTACCAATTAGAGAGTGGATGGAGAAATGATAAAGATATAACTTTTAATGATTTAAATCATTCAAGTGATAAAAAAGATGATCCTTCTGAGACCACCACTTTACCAACTTTAATGAGATATAATGATGGATATCAATATCAAGCATCATTCGGACCTTTAGTGAAGTTGGAAAGTGATTATGACAAACAATTGAAAGAAGCTCAAAATTTAGACAATCTTCAAATCACTTGGTCACAAAAATCAAATGGTAAAATTTGGGCTTCATTCCCAGTGAAAAATTTCGAAGCTATTGAATCCAAAGTTTCTTTGGGAGATGGAATGATTTTGAGACATTTCGAGTCTGAATGGTTAGGTAAAGGTTCAATTATTGGTCTCCCTGATGCTCATCAAGAACTTTTCACCTTGGAATTGAATGAATCTAAGTCTCCTCCCCCTATCCCTAGAACTACAGGATTCACAGCAGAATTCATTTGGAAAGGTGTAAGTTATGAAAGAATGCAACTGGCTTTGAAAACTTTTGCAATAAGTGAAAAATCCACTTCCTCATATATTTATCATAAGATTTTAGGTCATGATGTTAAACCTATTGAATTCGATATCGAACTTCCTAAACAACTCAGTATTCCCAAATTAGCCAAATTGAATGGTTCTCAATCTAATGCCATAAGAATGGTTTTGAAAAGACCATTATCTTTAATTCAGGGCCCACCTGGTACAGGTAAAACTGTCACTTCAGCAACTATTATTTATCATTTAAACCGAATGAATGCCGGACAAAAAATTCTTGTATGTGCACCTTCTAATATAGCTGTTGATCATTTGGCAGAAAAATTAGACTCTATAGGTTTGAACGTTGTTAGACTCTTTGCAAAATCAAGGGAAGATGCCGAATCTTCAGTCAGACATTTATCATTGGAGAATAAAGTTATGCAAAGAGCTCAAGGAAGATTGAAAAATTTGATTAGATTACAAGAACAAGAAGGAGAATTGAAAGGGAAAGATTTCGAAGATTATTCAAGAATGTTCAAAGCTGAATCGACAAGTTTATTGGATAGAGCAGAAATTATTTGTTGTACTTGTGTCGGAGCAGGAAGTTTTAAATTAGCCAAATATCAGTTCAGAATGGTATTGGTTGATGAAAGTACTCAAGCAGCAGAACCTGAAGCTTTGATTCCGATAATTAAAGGAAGTAAACAAGTAATTTTGGTGGGAGATCATCAACAATTGGGACCTGTTATATTGAATAAAGAAGCCAGTGATAGTGGATTGAGTCAATCGTTATTCGAAAGATTGATTCTTTTGGGCCATGTGCCTATTAGATTGGAAGTTCAATATCGTATGAATCCATTCTTGAGTGATTTCCCGTCTAATATGTTTTATGAAGGTTCATTGCAAGATGGTGTTCTGACAGAGCAAAGAACTCTTCCAGTTTCTACATTCCCTTGGCCGGTACCTAATATACCAATGATGTTCTGGGGTAATTTTGGTACTGAAGAAATCAGTGCCAGTGGAGTTTCATTCTTGAATAGGGTTGAAGCTATGAATGTCGAAAAAATTATCACCAGATTATTCAAAGGAGGCATCCAACCTGAACAAATCGGTGTTATTACACCATATGAAGGTCAGAGAGCTTTCATTACCCTGTATATGACATTGAATGGATCTATTTTTGAAAGGAAAGATGACTATGCAAGTATTGAAGTTACCAGTGTCGACGCATTTCAAGGTAGAGAAAAAGATTTTATCATTTTAAGTTGTGTAAGAGCCAATCAAGATCAAAAAATAGGGTTTTTGAAAGATCCAAGAAGATTAAATGTGGCTATAACCAGAGCAAAATATGGATTAATTATTCTAGGTAATACTCAAGCTTTAAGCAGAAACTTTTTATGGAACGAGTTATTATTATACTTCAGAGAAAAAGGTTGTTTAGTTGATGGACCATTGGAGAATTTGAAATTATCAACTATTCAATTGAATACCCCTTCAATTCCTAAAACTTTTGCAAGATCAACATTAAATTCCATCAGTTCAAATGCAAGTTCTTCCATAGGTTATCAAGAAAGTTCTAATAATTCATCAGTGTCTTTCAGTAGCGAACGTTGGCCACAATTAAGTAAATCCAACACCAATACTATCAATTCCAATTTCTATTCGAAATTATCCAAATTAAATCAAGAATATCAACAAAATTCGTTTAAAATCAATGAAGATGATATCAAAAGTATTACCAGCTCTTTTGCTGATGGGTTTAATTTAAATTAAACCAATTTTAAATCATCAAACGGGGATTTCACAAACCAATGAATTTGAATAAATTTACCCGGGGAAATTGAATTCAAATATCGCTCAATGCCAATGAAATTTGTTCCATTCAATCATAAAAAAACACTCATTCAGTTTATGAAATGTTATGATGCCCTTTCCAGGTTTTTTGTCCTGCAAAAAAAAAAATTTACTGCAAGAGCAAAAAATTCTTGGGATTGGGAAATTTTAATTGGAGGATAGCCTCGTTGTACCTTTGTTAGTAAATAGTCACACTTCCATAACAATACAAGTTAAGTATGTTCCAAGAATAGAATAATGTAAAAAGGTAAATATTAACAAAGGTCTGGTTTTCTTTTGTATTGATTTATAAAATTATTTTTTACAATACGAAATGGCATTACTGAATAAAACTGTACAAATCGTAATATCGTTAATCGTTAAACGTTAAAGCGCCTGCAAAGTTGATAGTAAAAAATATAAATATTTTTTCACCCTACTTCCTAGAAGCTTTAAGTTTAGATATCGTCATAATACTATAAAGATTTTTATCAACTTTGTAATACTCTTGAACGAAAAAAAAAAAGAAATATGGGAAAACGTCAGTTGTCATCTTTAAGAGTTTTCGATTTCCTCAGTATCATTCGGATTTCACAATATCACACAATAGGAATTACCGATATGCATCAAAGGGAACAGTACTGCATTATGGGCACTGAGCGGAGTAAAAATTGGGAAAGTATAACCGGCCGGCGTAAATCTTTGGAGGTTTTCCGAATTAAACTATCTTGAGCATACAGAACTGCATATAACACAAAGTGAGAGAAATTCTTCAAGATCTTTAATGATTTTTCATCCAATAAACATGAGATGGTTTGGAGAAGATACAGATTTAGTCAGTTGGAGAATGATGATATTATATATTTGGGAAAAACTACCGAAAAATCCGTTACGTACGAGAGATATTGAAATAGCAAAGTTCCCCTTATCACCGCAAATTATTTAACATTTTCAACACAATATAACCGGTTCGTGGAAATCCCCCAAATATAATCTCATTATTGAAGATAAATTGTGTTGAGTAGCTCTGAAACAAAAGCATTTATTGCAACAATAAAATTATATTTTATGTCAAAAACTTTAGTTTATGGTTAGGAGTTTACTGTTAAGAGGATTAAATTAATATTAAAATATCTCCATAATAATGCATAACAGTGGAATTAGTAATTTGCATCAGTAATTTGCATCATTCACACACACAGCATCAACATTGGCCAATATTCGTGACATCAACACCTCTGAAACATAAAGTATGTTTTTTAAAAAAAAAACCTATGAGAATTCCCAATCCTTAAAAATAACCACCATGAAAAAAAAATCATTTAATAATCTTTATCTCGGTTATCAATACCATGTAAAGAGAATTTGTCGACTATAAACTCTAAATACTAAATGTACTAATAAGAAGGTTCAAACAATTAAACTATTAATCATCTGTACCTCGTTTAATACCGATAGGTGGCATATTATTTGAGAACAGGCCCAAATCCGGAGTATTCCTTGCACTAATTAATTTTTAACAAAAAAAAAAAGTAAAAAGCTGAAACTTGCCAACCCAAAAAAAAAAATAAAATCTATATAAACCCGTAAAAGTGTAATTTTTTTTTCAACTTTTTAAAATCTCAATTTTTTATCAATAAATATAAGGGTTTCCTGGGGTTAGAAACAATTTTGTTCAAGGATTTTCTGACTAACAGTTCAGCTTAGTAAGTAGATTACTTAATTGTAATAAATTTGTGATTTTTTAATCTGTTAACTATTATCGCTATTCTTAAAACATCAATTAATAGGTTAACTTACATAATTTTAAAACCAACCTTTATAAAGATAATTAATTTGATTAGATTTTGATAAAATAGATACCTCATAGAGAAGATATTTTCATACAGTAAGTATCTGGTACAAAAAGATATTTAGTAGATTTGAAAACTTTTTGTAATATTAGAATTTGTACTTTAACAAAAAAGGAGATTTCCGTAAACTTTTATCTAACATAAATGATATATTATGGTTAATGATAATCAGTTTGATACAAATACAAAATTTTCTCATGGTGGTAATTTATCAATACAAGATTTACCAAGTCCTCAAGAAGTAGTTAATTCAATTACTGCAAATAATAATCAACAATTAACCGATAATATTGATTCTGGTAATCAAGATCATGATGAAAGTGATGATTTATCAATTAAAAATAATGTTAGAAGTAAATTAACAACTTCTGATATCAAATTAATCTTATATTTAATCATAACTATAAAACCATTTAAATATATTGGTGATAGAAGTCTTAGTCAAACAAAGAAATGGGAATTAATACAGAAAAGGTTTAGTGAAATCAAACAAAAATCTAATGATTCATCGGGGAATCCAGGGGTTATAATACCAACAGTTAGAACTTTACAACGTCAATTATCATCAGCCATTAAAAAATGTAAACTTCGAAATAATTCTGAATCTTTACTTAATAATAAACATGATCCAATATTCAGAAATATTAAAGAAGACAGTTCATTAATGGATTTAGAATTGGCAGTATCGGAATTATTTGAATTGAGTGAAACATTAAAGAATGGTAAGATAGCAAATAGTTCATTGTTAGAATTATCATTAGAATCTCATGGTAATGAAGGTGATAATTCTAATTTTAATAATAATTATCATGATCATCCATTAAGTATGACTTTACCTAATCCACAATCGTTGAATCCTTCGTTAAGTCCATTAAATACTATAGCTCCTTTGAATCAGAATTATTCTCCTTATTATGTGAATCAATTACCTGCAACCATACCTCCAGCAAATTTCCCTCCAAAGATTAATATTAGATCAATGAGTCAAACAACAATGATAAGTCCTTTGAATTCTTTCAATCAACCTTATAATCAATTTCAAATAAGTAGGTCAAAAAGTTTCGATCAAGGAACTCATCCGAAAGATTTTTATAGATCGGAAGAGACTTTATTAGATCATTCAAATATTACTGTTTTAAATGACATAAACAACATTCGGAATTCAATATCAGCTTATCTAGATTCAAATTCAAAACCATCATCCATTTCATCGGCATCCACTTCCGCCATTTCTCCAAAACTATCTAATTTGAATAGTTCAGCTCATAGTTCAATTTCAAATTCTTCAAGTTCGGCTTATATTGTAGAATTAATAGAAAATTTAAACAATAAATCCAATGATTTGAAAACTAAAGAACAAAATAGATTATCACTGTATCAACAAGCTTTAGAAAATTTTAATCAGCAACAGTATTTGATAAATAAACAATTGATCGAAAAAGTGGTTGATAATTTGAAATCTAATGGGGATGTAGAAAATTCAAAACTAATTTCAACTTTATTACCAAAAAAATAACCCTTCTTATGAACACTGGATAGTTATTTTTAAAGGAATTGGTTTCAAGCAAACTATATTGAAACTTCTGGTAATTTTCGGGTTTAAATTTCCTATAATTATTTATTTCTTTTTCAAGAAGAAAGTTCAGGATAACTGGATTCTTTGAATTCACCATTTGCATAAGTGAACAAACGTTTCCGAACCATAAAGGTGAAGATTTGGTGTATAATTGATCAAAAAAAGAATACCTAATCTCTGGTCAATCCACCAATTGTAAGTAGAAACTCCGGTGGACTTAAGGTTTACTATAGTATTGATAAAAGCCTAACGAAGGAAGATGATAGCTTAGCCACCCATTTTGATATCGGGATTTTATGGATAAAACAATTGTAATAGTTATAATGTAAGTGTCAAAATGATGAGCTAAAGGGTAATGCATAAACAAAAAATCATTGTATAAATAATGTATTGTAAATTAATATAAACTTCATCTGTATGAAAAACTAATGTAAACAAAATTTCTTCGATTCTTGAGTGTTCACGCAATTTCCTGATAACTAAGTCCCCATTGCATGTTGGAGGTAAAAGTTGCTGAAAATCTTGTTTTCTGTCCTACTTATTAAAAAATGGAATGTGTGCCCCTATCATGTATTTCCGTTCCTATTGAGCGGCGCACGAAAAGATATAGACTTATCTTGTATATATGGGAAAGTTTTTTTTTTTGCTATAAACCTATCGTCAAATCGAAACTGTTCTATTACACTCGTCAAATGACTTGCATGAAGTAACGTTCGAGGATCTTCGGAGGTATGCTCCTTCCAATTTACCTACATTTTATTATACTACATCATACATAACAAAATAATCCGGAGGATTATTTAATTATTTTTTTTAATTCAATTTTTGCCCTGTTTCATGAAGTAACAATTATTTTCAGGCTAAAAGTGATTTGTATCTTTACGACAGACCGGTTGGTCAGGAATAAATAATTTTTTGAAGCTTGCAGAAAATTCTTTTAATTAATTATGTTATAATCACCTGTTGGTAGGCTGATTATAATTCAATTACGGGCTAGAACGCAATTTAACAATTTCTTTTAAAATTAAACGAAATCACGAACAATTACAGCGTTGTCAACAAATAAATAATAAATTCACCTTTGAATTTTTACCGCATAATTAACGTAATTGAGGGCACATCGGAACGCATGTTTAATCCTCATTTGGGAGTTGATAGGCACTACTTATTTTCTGGTAATCCCGTTAACCTTAAATTGCCCGGAATCCATGCAATGATGGAGTTTTAACTTTTTATTATGAGACATTGATAAATTTTAGCCTTATTATTGTCAGGGGACTTTTAAATCTTCTCGCCACTATACCAGGTGACTTTCACTAATATGTGTGGGTGCAGGACACGATCCGAATGAATAAAAAAGATCGACAAACTTAACATCCGAATGGGGAAATTGTTCCCGCATTGCACGTGAGAAGGAATGTGACAGAGGAGGGGGTTCATTTTTTGCAACCACTTCCACAAACCCTATTACTTCAGCGGGTATGATGTTTTCGTTTTTCAAATTCTTTTATTTCATACTTTGTATTACTGGTATTGAATTGGACTATGGGCCCTTGCATTTTAAAGGGTCCATCACTCCTACTAAACCAACAATTAACGATGATTTCATAATTCGAAATATTGTTGATGAGTTACATTCTATTACCAATGCAACTGACTTGAATGAGTGTATCTCCTGTAAAATGAGACTTTTGGCAGGAAAATCCTTAGCATTTACTCGTCCTGATTTAATTCCTTTAGTCTATTCCGAATGGTGCTTGGAAATGGGATACGATGAAACTAAGTGTCTTATAAATTTTGGCTATCCATCCATTAATTATAGTTCTGAAGGCAATGATTTCACTCAAATGATCCAATTGATGAACCCTGAAGGTTTAGATGGTGATTTATTCTGTTATTTCCATGATTCAAAATGTCATATTTTACCTGAAATGCCCAAATTATCTAAAGTTGAAAACTTATGGCCCCCAAAACCAAGACTTTACGACAGTCCTAAGAGTAGTGGTGAATTCTTCAATGTATTACATGTGAGTGATCTTAATTTGCAAACTGATTACAAAACCCTTAGTGAATCCAACTGTTCACAATCCATTTGTTGTTATCCTCAGAGTTTCAATAAAGAACCACCACCTTCTGAGTATGACTATTCACCTTTACTAGATCCTGAAGTTGGGTTATCATTCTATGACAGTACCTATGAAAATGGGCATTTCCAAAAGGGCCAATTCTTAGATATGTATACTGGATCCAATCATTTGGAAGTTGCTTCACCTAAATGGATACCTTGTCATGAATTCGGTTCTTATAATTGTGATCTGCCAGAACTATTGATAAACAATACCTTGCAGATCATTAGGGATTTCCATGAAAATCATTTGAATTTTGAGTTTGGAATATTCACAGGAGGTATGATGGATCACAATGAAAAATTGTTCACGGATAAATATCAAGTTTTGAATACTCAATTAAGAGGATACAATGATATTTTTAATTATTTGGATACATTCCCGATTTTCCCCACTTTTGGTGTGAGAGATAATTTCCCTGTCAATCAATTACCACAGAATTCAATGGATACTGTACATAATTTCCAATGGCAGTTTGACTTTTTGTCTGATTTATGGCAAGAATTGGGATGGATTGATCTTCGTGCTAGTAAACAAATTCGGTATAATAAAATCGGGTATAGTATGATAACCGAAAGAGGTCTCAAAATAATATCTTTAAATTCGAATGTGTGGAGTGCTCATAATTTATACAGTTTCGTTGATAGTTTAAATTTTGATCCCTTTGGTATTTGGCGATTCTTAACAGATGAATTGATCGACAGTGAAATTAATGAACAACGAGTTTGGATTATTTCTCATTTACCTCCATCAAGAAATTCTTTACCTGTTCCAACTAAAGTGTTCACTAAAATAATTAAAAGATTTAGCCCCAAAGTTATAGCAGCAATATTTTTCGGACATAATTTGAATGATGAATTCAACCTAATATACGGAGGAGATGGCACAGATAAAAATTTATCAAATTTGATCAACTATGCTTTGGTTGGTCCATCTATTAGTCCATTCAAGGGTAACAATCCTTCATGGAGGTATTACAGTGTGGATACTGAATCATTTGAAATTATCAATTCATTCACTTACTTTACTAAATTGAATTACACCTTCATTAATAGTGGTGCAGAGCCTATTTGGGAATTTGAATACCTGGCACGAGATGCTTTTGACCCTGAAAATCTTTGGTCAGTAGAAAGAAATTTGGATATGGAATTCTGGCATCATGTAGGAGAAAAGATCAGAGATTTACCCGAAATCAATCAATTGTACACTCGTATTCAACGGAGATACTCACCTTTTGATGATTATGATTATGATTTCAATTCTCTGTCAATTCTAAATAATGATAATTATTGTAAAGTTTCAAGTTTCACTGTTTTCAATCAGAAAGAATGTATGTTAACTAACGATCAAGATGATTATATAAGACCTGAAGCCTCACTTACTTACATTCCTATTATCAAACCTTATGAGCCACCTGAATATGAGTTATATAGTATTCCTGACCCCACCCAAAATTCACCTGAAGAATATCATGATTTCCAATTACCCAAATCTGAACCTTTTGTAATGGATGAACCAGTTGACACTATCCCCTTACCAATAAAAAAATCATCAATGAGAGATAGAGTGCATAACAAACATAAAGAGGTGAAAAAAGAATTATTTAGAAGAGATGTTCGTTCTTGAATAAAAATCCTCAATTTGAAAATAAGGATAAATTATTACGTAACATAATAAACATCTTTTAGACTAAGGTCACAAACCCTTAACTTTAAAAAATTACCTCTTTAGGCATGTCATGTATTAATAAATCCTTTTGAACGAAAAAGCGGAGATGAAACTTAATTAGGTTGCCTCGACCCTAAAACAGTTGCTAATCAATTAATTAACCTAAAATGGAAATTTTCAGAAATATCGAGTGAGACGGCATCAGTGTGTTATATACAGGATACTCAAAATCTGGGGTAATTTGAGATGAGCATGAAATCTATCAATCTGAAGAAAAGTTTAATTGTGAAATTGAGAGATATCACGATTGAGGTGGAGAAAAGTTTAATAACATTATATTCATAAATCATTACTGATCAAAGTATGACCATCTATACAAGCCAATCACTTGGCACGAATTACTGTAACCTATAATAAAATAGGACGAAAATCAGACCAACTTAATGGACGAAATATGTGGACCAATTCAATGGACGAAACTTACCAAAGGTAAGATAATAAAAACGAAGCCCCTTAAAGACGATGAAAATAAATAGAAACCAATTTAATGGACGAATAAATAACCACAAAGTGGACCGAAAAACTCTAAAATGATGAATTTTAATGACTGACCTTTTTTAAAAAACCTACCAAACCCGAAAACTGAAAAAATATTAGCGAAATAATAAAAAAATATGATTGAAAAAAACTGTGTGAATGAAATGAAATGAAATAAATAATATAGGTAGATTAAAAATTAATGTAGTCAAGATTATTGGAGAAAAATTCTTGTAATTCATTTTGATCAATCTCTAAATCAACATTGGTGAAACTGTCATCATGATCTACCAATTGATGATTAATAAATGAACTATCAAAAGCTTGAGTATTAGCAAAAGTACTCTCGAATTGATGATTTAAATTCATAAAAGTATCTAAATGACCAATTTTATTGACAGGTTCTGAAACTGATCTTGATAATTGTGGTTTATAAGAATCTGGGGTATCGTAGCTGATCATACCAGTAGATTTAGATCTTAATATCTCTGGAGTTCTTAAGATTTGATTAACAGGAGTTTCAAATTGATGAGTATTTTTTTGAACAGGAGTTGATGGTATTATTGGATTTGACATCAAGTTTTGTTTTGTGTTGTAATTAGTTGGGATTTGATTAATCAAATCTTCAATGTTAGCACTTAATTCATTTTGATCGAATTTAAATGGTTCTGCGAGGGTATAATTTCTTTGATCGAAAATTGATGAGACATCAGAATGAGAACCAAATGATTCATCAGAATGAATTGAACTAACAGGTGATGGTGGTAACATATCACTAGATTCATTGTGAGCAGCTAAAGCATCTTTCTTTTCTTCACTTTTAACAGGACTTAAATCAACAAAGACAAAATCCTTTTTGCAACCTGGCTTATTCTTTGGTCTTTTTGATTGAGGTTTCTTAACGGTAAACTTTGTACCAGAAGACGTTATCCTCAATGAGTTTTGTAAGCAAGCAAGGGTATTTGATTCATGTTGTGAAGGACTTTTGTTTTTAACTCTCCATAATTTTTTACCATTAGCTGGTGGTAATATTCTATTAATTGTTAGTAATAACTCTTAATTCAATTGAGTCAATTGATATGACTTAATTGTTATCCGATTATATAATTAATACAATTTACATACTTTGCAATCATAGCGATGGGTATTATTTATTTGGGTATCAAAATAATTTAAAGAGTAAATATTTGGGAATTGAAGGATTTAAATATTTTTCAAAACAAACAAGAATTGTGGGTTACACATCAGGGTTATGCACAATTCATTCCGATTAAAGTTGTAATTCTAGAGTTTGGTTTCCCCCCTAAATGACAGAATCACTAGGATACTGCTTAAAATTGTTGTAACTTTTTGCAGTTTTTTTTTTTTTTTTTCGATTTTTTTTTTTCCAAAAGGCTAATTGACAATTCCCTATACAGTCCTCAGTTGATACAATATCAGCTAATTTCAAAACTTTGGAAAGAACAAAATTCTATAAACATTCAGAGAAAGAATAATAATCAATTGTACCTCAATATACATTTAATTGCTACAATTCTATCAACTCTAGATCATAAAGTTGAGTTGAAAGGAATTCCAAATTCTAACGACGGCGGATTTTGATCAACAATTTTTATGGATGAAATGGATTTAATGCAGCAAAACGAATTATGGGGTAGGGATGAGAAAAGTTGTTGCAAAATAAAAAGTTAAGGGCGCATAGTGGAAAATCAAAAAGACCTCCTGTGAACTATTACTTTACCTAAAAGGGTTATATTGAATACATGAAAATTACTTTTTTAGTCTTTGAGACGAACTCCTCCTTTTCCTGATTAGTCACTTAAAGATCGATTAGGCATATGATAATTAGGAATTGGGCAGAAACGTTAATCAGGTCCGAAGATTTTTCAGTCGTTGGGTTACTTTAGAAATATTGCCTAATTGTTTACCTGCTTTAATTAAAATGTTGGGTTTGAATTATTTCAAGTAGATCAGTTGATGATCAAATTTGATCATTCAATTAAACGACTTCGTATAACATCGCTCGTTTTTCAGATGCTTCAACGATATAGTGGAGTAATTTGGTGAGGGAAAATAATCTAAGCGAGAGGGAAAAATCTTAAAAAAAAAAAAAATAGTTGTTGAAGGATAAAGACTAATTAGTAAAGGTTGCTAAATAAAAATGTTAACAATAAGAAGTTTTGGGTATGAATTTTAATCCTTATGCCTAATTAGATCAATAGAAACGGAAAATTTTTTAAGACAAATTTAACAGTGTCCAAATCAAATCATACATTTTTTCGGTAATCCACTATTTTCGCTTGTTAATTCCCTTACATAAAACCAGATATTCTCTTAAGTAATATCAGATTTAAAATAATCTTCGCTTATTAAATTATTGGGTAGAGTAATTAAATATTGGGTATATAGAATTTTGTCACACCTTAATAACAAAGTTTCAAGTAAAATGATTCCCTTTGACCATTCTCCACTTCAAATTTCATCAATGTTAAACTTTATCACATCCCATGATTGGAAAACAATTACATCAACGAACAATGGCTCCTTCCGAACCTAATTAGGTGAAATACAAAAATTGCCGGCCTAAGTAGGGAATTATTGCGCACAATATGAATTACCTACTACATAATTTGTGCCTAATTAGTTCGGGAGTGTGTGTACCTACCCATGATCATTTATCGCCCTAAGATTATAGTTTTAAAAGAAATACCCTTTGAATATTATATAACCTTATATGTGAGATCATTGATGTTATTACAAAATTAACCAAGCTTTTAACTACATTAGTGATTAATTATTTTAAACTAAATTCTTCTATCAAAAGGCTTTAAAATTAAAATCCTCCTCCTGCGCTTATTATTCGACAGTGTCCGCACCATCGGAGATTTTTTTTTCGCCATATATCGAATGGATATTACAATGCATTGGTTGTTATTTCGAAATTTGACATGATTTGATTTGACATAATAATAGCCCAATATTTTTGTTGAGTGAAATGATCAACATTTTTGCTTCACATCATTTGATTCACTTCAACTTTATTGATTTCGTTAGTATTTAATTTCAACGGGTTTAACTGGATCTGAGATTATTTTCCTATAAAAAATATTTTCATAATTTCTTTAAATTTACTATTTGGGAATAATTAAGAGGTTTGAATATATTTCAGAAGCTTACAAAATTTAAGTTTTTATCCCCACATTTTGAGGTGGGAAGTGGAACTTTGGGTTACATCCATCTATCCACAAGGTATTAGAATAGGGGTTTCATCAATATCATCACTCTACTATGATACAATAAAATCTATTCACTACTCGGTTGCTAATAAAAGCTCGCATATGCCACTTAAAATCAAGGGTTAAAAATAAAACAATGGACCTTAAAATTGTCTGGAATGTGAGATCCAATTTCTATATTACATGCATAGCGATTTCGTCAATTAATTAACGACGTAAGTATCTAGGCAGTAGTAGTGGACAAACTGATTTTTCGGTAGTCCCTTGAAAGATTTACAATTCTAAGTGGTTTGTCAACTCCGTTTTGTTACGCCCGAACATTAAAGATTGGCAATCCACACTTTCAAAGGCACTTTCCAGTCTTGCTATCTCGTAGATTCCCAATCTCCTTATTTCGTAAAAACGGATCCTCTTGACCCCATATCAATCACTTCCCGTTGATATCATCAAGTTAAATCAAAATATTTTTGTTTTACTCCCCTGATGATTAACGAGAACTCTGATATCGTATATTCTCACACTCTTTCATTTACTCAGCAATTTGTCATTTTTGAGGTAAGATCAAATCACGTGATAAAATCTTTTGGAAAATTTGTCGTGTGCGAAATCATCATTTCTCAAATTTACCTATCAATAAAAGGAGATTTACCAAACTAAAATGGCTGCGTTACCTAAAAGAATCATCAAAGAGACTGAAAGACTCATATCTGATCCTGTTCCTGGAATCACTGCTTATCCTGATGAAGCTAACTTAAGAGCATTTACTGTCACTATGAATGGACCTGATTCATCCCCTTATGAAAAAGGAATATTCGATTTAGAATTATATTTACCTGATGACTATCCAATGTGTCCTCCAAAAGTTAGATTTTTAACTAAAATATATCATCCTAACATTGATAAATTAGGTAGAATCTGTTTGGATGTATTGAAAGACAATTGGTCTCCAGCTTTACAAATTAGAACTATATTATTATCCATACAAGCATTATTAGCATCACCCAATCCTGATGATCCTTTAGCAAATGATGTTGCTGATGATTGGAAAAAGGATGAACCAAAGGCCATTGAAGTTGCAAAAGAGTGGACGGCCAAATATGCTAAAGCAAAAGAATAATGAATCAAGATATGAAAATATATAATGATGTATGTAAATCTGCAATTTTCTATCTGTTCAATTGAGATTTCACCCATTGGCTTTCTATGATACATTGAAATCATCTTATCGGATCTCTTGGTGGCTTCTAAATTTTCGCATCGGTTGCAATTTAGTACGGAACACGGAATCTTTGAATAACTCAAGTTATGTGATAGTTGGGGATATTTAATTCCTCCCAGATATCAAGGATAACTACCTCATTCTAAACCGACTCTTACCGTTAGAATTTGTTGTTCCATCAACCTTTACAACGCCTTTCTTTTCCTTTCTTAGTAATGACCACCGATCAGATCAAAAATCGCGTAAAACTCCTGCGATTGGAATCAAATTTTTTTCCAAATTACCACCCTTTCTTTCTTTTCCAATTAACTTTGATTAGATTTATTTGCATTAATTAGGACGTTCAGAGTATACCAAGTTATACACGTCCTTCAATTTTAACATTCTTGGTTTTTTCACATTCCATAAAGATTTCCCCCTTTAAAAAATAGGCGTCTTTTTACCATTTCTTTGGGATTATTCATATTTATAGACCATGTCAGATAAAGACCCTAAAAGTCCTTTCGCTGACCAATCATACAATCTGATCCATACATTTGACGAAGGAAATGTACAAACCCCCGATAATAGTTTTAGTGATCGAAATCAAAAAGCTTTAAAATTGAATAATAGGGTTCTCAGTGATGAGAGTTTCAAAACCACTAAACTGACTCCGGAAAATAATTCATTTGACCAAAGTCAATACAACGATGATGACAGTTTGAATAGTGCTTTACCCACACCCAATCTTTCAACCGAACAGAGATTTCGTCCTCAATCACCATTAAGTCCTAACTATTCAAGAAAACCTTCATTAAGATTCAAATTACCTAATTCATCAATTACTGATAATCAAGGTCATCAAGGTCATAATCTTAAGAATGCCATCCTAGAAGATGAGATTTTCGATTTCAAACAGCCCAATTCTCCTTTTAATGATAATTTGAAATTTCAAACAGTAGATTTTGATGAAGATGATGATACTTATTATAATGAACAAGAAGGTATGAAAAGACATAGATGGGGTACTACCAGAAATAAACAGGGGAAACCTAAGAAAGAAAACCTCGGTCGATCTAAAACCTTGAAAGGTATACTATCACCACAGGGAGTAATGAGATCATTATCGACCCGAACGAACTCCAAATCAAATTCAAAAGCTAATTCTCGAACCAATTCTCGAGCCAATTCTCGATCTAATAGTATTAGAGGTAACACTAACAGTGCTATCATTGCTTCTTATGACACAAGCGATGAAGAAGATGAAGTTATAGAGCCTGTGGATCCTAAAGATAGAAAACATGAAACAAGAACCGTGGTGGTCAATCGTCAATTACCTTCAGATTTACTTGATCCTATTACCGGGAAAGCACTGATAATATATCCAAGAAACAAAATCAGAACTACCAAATACACTCCTTTAAGTTTCATACCTAAGAATTTATCAGGACAATTTCTTAATAATGTGGCTAACATTTATTTCTTGGTTTTGATTATTTTGGGATATTTCCAAATTTTTGGGGTTCCTAATCCTGTATTATCTATGGTCCCATTAATAGTTATCTTGACATTGACTGCAATAAGAGATGCTATTGAAGATTCAAGAAGAACAGTAACTGATTTAGAAGTTAACAATCAACCCACACATATTTTAGCCGATTTGGGAACTAATGATAATTTCCATTATGAAAACCTTAACATAGCTGATGAAAAGATTTCTCTTTGGAGAAAGTTTAAGAAATTAAATTCAAGATTATTATTCAGAATCATCGGTGCCAGTAAAAGAAATTTAACCAAGAAAGGTAGACAAGAGAAACGTCAACCACAAGATGAAACTAAAGCCCGTAAGAGTTTTGAAAGTGATATTTCACCTCGTCCATCTATGGGAGTCGAAACTACTTCCAATATCTTAGAAAACCCTTTCAGAAAATCAGTTAATCTTCATCGTACGAGAAATCTCAAATTTGGAAGGAATTTTTGGAAAAACGTGAAAGTTGGGGATCTTGTTAGAATTTATAATAACGAAGAAATTCCTGCTGATGTGATAATTCTTTCAACCAGTGAAGAAGATAATGGATGTTATGTTGAAACTAAAAATTTGGATGGTGAAACCAATTTAAAGGTAAGACAAGCTTTAAAATATGGATCCGATCATAAAATTTCTAAAGCTGATGATGTGTTGAAACAAAGCTTTCAAATTGATAGTGAAGGACCTCATCCTAATTTATATTCTTACGAAGGTAACTTCATCTATGATGATAATGAAGGTAAGAGAGTTGAAGAATCTATTAATATCAATAATTTATTATTAAGAGGATGTAGTTTAAGGAATACTAAATGGGTAGTAGGAATAGTTATCTTCACAGGAGAAGATTCTAAAATCATGATAAATGCCGGTATAACACCAACTAAACAATCAAGATTATCAAGAGAATTGAATTATTATGTGGTGATAAATTTCGTTTTATTATTCATAATTTGTCTTGTATCGGGAATCGTTAATGGATTTTATTATACGAAGACTGGAACTTCAAGAGATTTCTTTGAATTCGGGACTATTGGGGGTACTCCAGCAGTTAATGGGATTATCAGTTTCTTTGTTGCTGTGATTATTTATCAATCCATTGTACCTATTTCTTTATATATTACCATTGAACTTATTAAATCAGCCCAAGCTTTTTTCATTTTTTCTGATATTGGTATGTATTATGAAAGATTGGATTTCCCTTGTACACCTAAATCATGGAGTATTTCTGATGATTTAGGTCAAATTGAATATGTTTTCAGTGATAAAACAGGAACTTTAACTCAAAATCTTATGGAATTCAAGAAATGTACTATTAATGGTGTTAGTTATGGTAGAGCATATACTGAAGCTTTAGCAGGTTTAAGAAAACGTCAAGGATTTGATGTTGAAAGCGAGGCCAATATAGAGAATGAGTTCATCGCCAAAGATAAAGTAGAGATGTTCGATATGTTGAAAGAGATTAATCCTCAAAATCAATACATTGAAGAATCAAGTTTCGTTTCCAGTGAATTCGTTAAGGACTTAAATAGTGCTAAAGGTGATTTACAAAAGAAATCTAATGAACATTTCATGTTAGCTTTAGCATTATGTCACTCAGTTTTAATTGAAGACGATGAAAAACAACCAGGAAAGAAGTTATTAAAGGCCCAAAGTCCTGATGAAGCAGCATTAGTTGGAACTGCTCGTTCTTTAGGTTTTGAATTCATTGGTAGTACCAAGCAAGGGATTTTAGTTAATATCCAAGGTGAAACTAAGGAATATCAAATCTTGAATGTATTAGAATTCAATTCTACAAGAAAAAGAATGAGTGCATTAATAAAAATTCCAGGGAAATCACCTAATGACGAAGCCAAAGTATTATTAATCTGTAAAGGGGCAGACTCCATTATTTATAACAGATTAAGTAAAACTGATAATGATCAAAACTTGTTAACCACCACTTCAACACATTTAGAACAATTTGCTACTGAAGGTTTAAGAACCTTATGTATTGCTCAAAGAGAAATATCATGGAATCAATATTTAGAATGGAATAAAAGACATATGGAAGCTTCATCATCATTAGAAAATCGTGAAGAGAGAATGGAACTGGTAGCTGAATCAATTGAAAGAGAATTGATTTTGTTAGGTGGTACAGCTATTGAAGATAGATTACAAGATGGTGTACCTGACTCTATCTCGATTTTAGCTCAAGCAGGTATTAAATTATGGGTTTTAACTGGTGATAAAGTGGAAACTGCTATCAATATTGGTTTCTCATGTAATCTTTTGGGTAATGATATGGAACTTTTGGTTCTCAAAACTGATATTTCTCAAGAAGATAAAGCCAAATATGGTATAATGGATAATTCAACTGGAATTAAATTGATGGACAGTTTAATTTCTAATTATTTAAAAATCTTCTTCAATATGGAAGGATCTTTCGAAGAACTTGAAAAAGCAAAAGGTGATCATTCACCTCCAAACAGTAAATTCGGGGTCATCATTGATGGTGATGCCTTGAAATTGGTTTTGAATGATAAAGATATCAAACAAAAGTTTTTACTTTTATGTAAAAATTGTAAAGCTGTTTTGTGTTGTAGAGTTTCACCTAGTCAAAAAGCTGGTGTGGTTAAATTAGTTAAAGATACTTTGGATGTTATGACATTGGCTATTGGTGATGGATCCAATGATGTGGCTATGATTCAAGCCGCTGATGTTGGGATTGGTATTGCTGGTGAAGAAGGTAGACAAGCTGTTATGTCATCAGATTACGCCATTGGTCAATTCAGATTCTTAACTAGATTATTATTAACTCATGGTAGATGGTCATATAAAAGATTTAGTGAAATGATACCTTCATTCTTTTATAAGAATGTTATTAATTCCATTGCATTGTTTTGGTATGGACTTTATGATGATTTCGATGGGGCTTATTTGTTCGAATATACTTATTTAATGTTTTATAATTTAGCCTTTACTTCATTACCAGTTATATTCTTGGGTATTTTAGATCAAGATGTTTCACCTAAAGTTTCTTTATTAGTACCGGAATTATATCGTTCAGGTATTTTAAGATTAGAATTCCCTGAACTGAAATTCTGGCTTTATATGATTGATGGAATTTACCAATCAGTAATTTCATTTTTCTTCCCATATATTATTTACCGTACAGGTTTTATAGATATGGGAGGTTTGGGTTTAGACCATAGATATTTATTGGGGGTCATAGTTACTTGTATTACAGTCATTGCTTGCAACTTATATATTTTGATGCATCAGTATAGATGGGATTGGTGGTCTTCATTATTCATATTTTTATCCATTATTATATTCTTTTTCTGGACAGGGGTTTGGACTTCAGCTACTTATAGTGCAGAATTTTATAAAGCTGCTAGTAAAATGTTTGGTAATTTAAGTTTTTGGGCTTGTACTTTGATTGGGGTCTTAGTTTGTTTGTTACCTAGATTCTTTTATGATGTTTTACAAGCAATTTATTGGCCAAAAGATATTAATATCATCAGAGAATGTGTTCAAAAGGGAGATTTCGATATATATCCTGAAGATTATGATCCAACTGATCCTAACAAAATCAAAGTTAGTCAATACAGTAGTGACAAGATTAGAGACATTAATGAAAGTGGTACCCCAACACCACCTAATGATTTTGAAAAATCAAAATTAAGTGAGGAGAATTTAACTCAATTGAATTATAATTCTTCAAGTACCATTCAAATACCTGAAAACGAAATTGACTTCAACATAAAACCAACCAAAGCTAATCCTGAAAATCATTTAGTTAACAACAGGAAATCCATTATAGATATATTCAAAAGAAAATCACAAGGAAAATCATATTTTGATAACAATTCATTCATAGACATTTATAATCATCGTAATGACACTAATGATAGTTTGGTTAAGACGGAAGAATTAGAATTACAAGATTTTGATAATAATCATAAACGAGCATCAAGAATTTCAAATGAGAACAGAAGAATTTCATCTGAATATCATAGATTTTCCATGAATAAAGTTAGAACTTCATTAGAATTACCGGAATTGACCACGGTTGAATCTTTGAATAGACAATTGTCCAAGGAAGGTTAAAAATTGTATAGATACGTAAATATATTATGACAAATAACTCCGACAGCCTTACGACTTTTTGGGTGCGAAAAATCGGCATGAAGATAACTCGGTGCCTCGGAGAAATTCGGCTTAGACTTCAGGGGAACCATGAAAATTTTTCAACGAAGATACAAAAGCTATAGTCAATTGGAATGGGAATAGGAGATTTTCCCAATTATCAAAAGTTAATGCCTTAAAGAGTGATTATTTGTATAGTATTTATTCTATTATAAAATGAATAACTAAATTGAATATATACGGAAAAAATTAGTTAGTTAAATTAATTAACTTATAATTTTTTACCAAGTAAGAGGACTTGTAATTGATCATATAATGAAATAACACCGGCACCGGCAATACCTCTTAAAATGTTAGCACCACAACCTCTGAATAATGATGGAATACCTTCAGCAGCAACAATCTTGGAGAAAGCATCCATAGCACCTTTATATTTAACAGCTTGACCGGAAGTCATCATCATTCTTCTTCTGACGGTATCTAATGGGTAAGAAGCAGTAGAAGCACCAGTAGTAACAGCCCAACCTAATAAGAAAGAAGCTAAGAATGAACCTTGTAATGAACCAACTAAAACAACAGGTTTTAATGAATCATATAAACCGAAATATAAACCTCTGTAAACAACAATACCAACAACTGATGGACCGAAACCTCTATATAAACCAGCAATACCATCTGAAGCTAAAGTTTTTTTGTAAACATCGAATAAACCGTTGAATTCTCTTTCACCACCTTTAGCAGATTTAGCATCATTAGCTAATCTGGTTCTGGCAAAATCTAAAGAGTAAACGAAAGCTAATGAAGTGGCACCAGCCATACCACCTGAAGCTAAGTTACCAGCAAACCATAACCAATAACCTTCATCTTTTTTGAAACCAAACATTTTCTTGAATTTATCTTTGAAAGCAAAGTTTAAAGCTTGGGTTGGGAAGTATCTGATAACATTGGCAGTGTTACCTCTCCAGAATGAAATGACACCTTCTTCAGCAGCAGTTCTTTTGAAACAATCAATGATACCACCGTATGGTTTAGCTAATCTACCAGCTTTGATCATAGATTCTTGATTTTGTAATAATAATTTAACTCTTTCAACTGGAGCAGCAGCGGTTTTTGAAACGGCAGCGGAGATACCACCAGCAAGGAAATCAACTAAGAATTGGGAGTCCATCTTTGAATATTTAGATTTTACTTTGAAAAATTTTCAATATTTTGCAAGTGCGAACTTGTGCGTTTTTATATTTCTGCTGAAGATGATTTCGCGAGTTTTCATTGGACAATTCCTATCCTCGTCGTGGAACGGGAGAAAAATTCTTTTTGGAGGTGTACGGGATTCTCATCGCGTTAACCAATTACTGTGGTTATCTTCAAATGCCATTGATAATTATAATGTGATGATACTCATCTCTCTCTATTCTCTATCAATTGCTATCATAATATACCGTAGAATATTAGTTCAATTGAATTGCTTCGCCAATCAATTACCTCATTTATCGCGATCAAATCAAATCGATTTCTTTTTTTTTTCCGATCTATACCATTTCACCTTGATCCAAAAAAAGAAGTGGTTAAAATTTTGCTGGTTACATGAAGAAAAGAAGATAATAAAATGAAACAGAAATTTGAAGGAAATTGTTAATTTAGAATATCATCAACTCATAGAGAAATGGAAGTAATGTAGGGAAAACCAACAATTTGATATTCGGAAATGTAAGGGATTTAATTCACAAGATGTTTACTATTTCTGCCATGAGAAAGAAATCGGCATTAACGTCGCGAACAAACTTTCGAACAATCTATACCAAATCTTAGAAATGGAAATTAACGGAGAATTTTAATGTGGAAATTCTCCATTATTCTCTAAATCCTATACGAAGGATATGAAGGAAATCGATGAAATGATCAGATTTCGTTCAAGATTGCATCATGACTAACTTCATAGCCCCTATTCCAATAGGAGTATAAATTGAGCCATTCGTTTATCGTATATAATGGCATCATGAACCTCTTTAACCAATCCTATCTGAATAACAATTGTCGCGATGAGATGTCGCGATGGGCACTGAGATTTTAGACTATACTTAGATAGTAACCGCACTTACGTAGAAGCATAATAATGACTTTTAGGGGTTTACTTAGAACCCAATGGAATTATTAGAATCGAACGATTATTAGCCTTTACCGGAGATTTACAATAGGAGAGAAAATAAACAATATTTATTCACTAATCTAATAATTGTATTAATAAACCATTGATATTAAGACCACCTTGCATAATATCATTTCCATAGTACTATTAATATCCCCCAATTATTAGATCAAACTAATTCTTTTCGAAGTGTAAATATAACAACTTATAGTTATTATTCAAATCATAAATGATTTTTTCATTCTTCTTGTAATTGATCTTTTTCAATGCCTTATCGCATTTAGTTAAAGAATTGAAGATATCATCATTTGAATCTTCTTCACTGATTAAAGTGACAGAGAATTTCCCTGGTTTAAAAATCTTCAATACTTTGAATAAAACATCCGAAATGGAAACAGAATTTGGTGAAAATGGATAATTGGTTTCAAATGAAGCATATGACCAACCTGATTCTGGTGTAATATGTAAAGTATAATAATAACCTCCATTATTTGAAGAAATCGAATTGGATGAATAACCACAAGGAGAAAATGAAAAGGCATCATGAATAAAATTCAAATCGCTAACATCTCCAACCATTTGGTCAGTGTCATCAAAATTTTCCTTTGGTGAGGGTAAATCTTGGAAGTTATAATCTTTTTCGAACACTGAATCTAATTTACTGGAAGCCATAGTCTTCAAACCAAATTCATGACCCAAATCATCTTCTTCAGCTCCGTTATTGATTAATGATTGATAACCTGGAGTTCTTGAAGTAACAAATTGTTCAGCATTTTCAGGATGTAAATCAGTCATTAAAATTTCAAAAGTTTGATCTTTTAATCTGAAAATGTTAGATTCAACTTCAGAGTCCACTTCACAATCATCTTCTTCATTTTCAATTTTACCTCCAGTATATAAATACCAATGATCATCACAATTGGAATTTCCAACGACATAAGATTTCCCATTAATGAAATGATTATCTAATAATTTGACTTCGTTCTTCCAATCTTTATGAACCAGTTGTTGTTTTTCTGGAAACATAAAACTTCTTCTGGAATAAAAGATTTTATAAATATCTTTAGAAGTGAACTTCTTGGAGATGAATTTTTGAATTACTTCGAATAATTCATCCAAGCAGAATAATGTTGTTGTTGTTCCACAAGTTTTCAAGATAATCTTATGAGGGAAAACGAATAACGAAGATTCTGATAATAAATAAGCATCCATAAATTTGGATGACTTAACTGATAAAATTTTACAACTGACAAGATCTAAAAGTTTAACCCAGTTCTCAAATGGGATGGTTCTTAAACCTTGTAATCTAATACCATTATCAGTATAACTGACGGAATCTTTAACAATGTCAATGTCTTCATCTGGCCAACACCAGATTTCTAATAATTTTTCAGGACCTTCAAAAGCAAAAGTTGAATCTAAATTGGCACTCAATTCATGATCGACATATTCACTAATAACAGCAGGTGCAACCATTTCTAATAATCTTTTTTTTTTTCTAAGTTTTGTCTTTTTTAATAATAAATGTTCTTTTTCAGTTCAAAGGTGGATTGAAACTTGCTCTTAATAAAATTAAGTAACCTAACAAATGTAATTGAAACGAAGAGAGAAGTAGCAAGAAACGTTTCAACAAATAAGTTAAGCCTTTTTTTTTATAACCAAAAAATATTCTTCACTAGTGGATGGGGAGTATCAACAACCTAGTGAAAAATATAAAAACGTTAAAATATATCAATAATAACTCTAGTAAAACCACAAAACAAGCTTAAATATGTTTTGAATTGTTAAATATAATTTGAATTAGAATGTAACTAATTTCTTTCTTTTTCCTTATTTAATATGAATAGCGGGTGTTATCCGGGTTCAATAATTTGATTAAAATAAAATATCGACTGTCGGGATGCTTTCTTTGGCATAAAATGCTATGATTTAATTTTCACTGATAAAGAAAATTACCAGTTTTTTTTGAAAATAATTGGGCTTTAAGTTATAATCCAGATATTTGTATAATTGAATACCTGAAAAACTTCAAACGATGTAATGAAAAGTTGTACTACCACTCTTTGATCAGTGTATTGAAACTGTTTAACAAAAGTGTCTCACAATTGATTTGAAAAAAACCGCACTTGCTTCTTAAAAAAATTTTCACTTCGTGACTCTCACAAGACAAGAATTTTGCAACCTAAATTCCTGTTTAAGAAAGGTGGAATAGAAACATTGATTTATATTAATAGTGGACGAAGACTAAGGTTTATCTTATTTCTAATTTGTTATCTACACCTTCATAAAGTTCAATAAGAGAACTTCCGAAAGTATCAACCTTGTTTAGTTTCTTGGGGATAAGGGTCTTATTATGATCCCAAATTTTGTAAACTCTCAAAGTGGAATCATTGGTAGCTGTGCATATCAATTTATGATCAATTTACATTGTGGTACTCAAAATTCTTTCATCGTCTTTTTTTGGAACAATAGAAAGTACTTTCATATCGGGATATGAGTAAACTGTTAGGATAGAAGGATTTTCCCCAAACCCAAATGTTGCAACTATTTGTTTAGAAGTATTTGACCAGTTTAAAGTAGTTACTTGACTACATGTATGGAGCGATGATAATAACGTCCCTGAAGATGAATGCCAGAATCGAATAGTTCGATCTCTACTACCTCCACCCGTTGCTAATAGTGATTTAGCCCAGGGACAAAATGTAACTGCTTTTACAGCAGCCGAATGGGGGAGAAATAATTTGAATTGGGGTTTCTCTATATCGGTGAGATCCCAAATCGAAACCATATTATCGTTGCAACCTATTGCTAATTGGGTTTCATCACAATTAAGGGCCAATCCTGAAGGTTAGTATACAAAAGTTGAACCTAAACCAATGAAAAGGTATTTAATTACCACAAATAAGTTGCCTATGACTACTAAGGGTTTTGGTGAGTTTCAATTCAACACCTTTATCAACAGTCAATATTTGAAACAACAGAACGTCTCCTGAAATATCACTAACTAAGAATTTTAAATTATCGGCAAACCATTTGATTGAATGAACCGATTTCCCTATTTCGAAAACTGCCTTGACCTCATTATTCTGCCGTTGTGATATCAAGTGTATTTTTCCCTGCAGGGAACCTACAACTACATAATCGTTTGCAGCACATGAAACACAATATATGGGGTCATTCTCCGTGATTAGAATTGGATCAACATTATAATCAAGTAAACTCCATGCATACACATAGATATCCAAAGCCACAATTATTTGATTGTTGATTGTTGACCAACTGACCAAGTCTGAATAAAAATCATTTCTAAGCCCAGGAGCACCTACATAACTCAAGGCAGGTATGATTTCTGCTACTACTTTGTTTTTCGCCTTTTTGTTCTTCATGTGTATGAACTCATTCTCATTGATTAAGGACTTGGCTAGTTTCTTGCCGTGTTTCTTCAAAGTATCTTTACTTTTTGTTTTAAATCCAAATTGAAGTATTCTCTCAGTCAATGATAACCCTAAAGCTTGTGCAATAATCCCTTGATGCTTCGATGGACTATCAGAACTGGCATTAGTTTGAATATTACTATTGTCCTTAATACCAGACGTCAAAAAACTGGAATTAACGCTACTTTCTTCGTCAATATCTATAGTCACAAATGTTCTATCATCTCTCAATGATAATTCCCAGCTATCAGAATTTCTCGAATACGTTGATGCTGAACCCAACCTCTCCCTATTCGAATTTTGAATCAAAGGTAAAAACCTTTGACCTTCGTTGTTCCCGAAACTATTAAAAGTTTCCATAAATATAGCAAATAGTGATCTTTTTTGCAACTTCGTGAGCCACAACTTATAAACAGCCACAAACATTTTGTGTCACATGAATTCAGTATTGAGGTATACTTGTACGTCATCTTTCCTATCAGGCTTGAACAGTATAATCAAAGGAATACGGGATTATTCATGGTATCAATATTGATAGTATTCAAAACACGGGATATGTCAAATTGAGATTTTGCAGCTCGATGAAAAATATGATTCAAGTAGCACTTTATTCTGTCCTATTGGTTTTTTGCTCAATTGTTGCCCAACTTGTATCCCAGAAAGTGAAAGATCCTTTCATTGATGAGTTCTTCCATTTGAGACAATGCTTGGTTTATTGTGATTATAAATTCGATGTTTGGGATAATAAAATCACCACACCTCCAGGTTTATACTATTTGGGATTCGCTTATACCAAATTGATATCATACTTGGGAGTACCTTTGGATACCATAAGTGCAAAATACGATGTGTTAAGATCCTTGAATTTGGTTGGTGGATTGGTGTTCTTGCCGTTATTTGTGTATATTTATAACAAGAAGATTTGGTGGGTTAATATAATATCATCACCTTTATTGATACCTTATTATTTTTTATTCTACACTGATATTTGGTCATTGGTATTTGTGGTTGGTTCCTTAGCATTCACTCGTCATTCAGTAGTTGTGTCAGGATTATTGGGTTTCATTAGTCTTTGGTTTAGACAGACCAATATAATCTGGGTAGCTTTTATAGCTTCTGTTTATATCGATCAATTTGTGAAAGAGGATGATTTAGTAGGTTACTTTCAACAGTATGTGAAACAAGCTTTTGGCCATGTAGTCCAATTGACTCCATATGTGATCAATTTCGTGTTATTTGCCATATTCCTCAAAATCAATGGAGGTATCACTTTAGGTGATAAAGAAAACCATCAAGTACAAATTCATTTGGTTCAAATATTTTATGCCGTTTTATTCATCAACTTCTTCACCCTCCCGACATTCATATCGATTGACAAGTTGAAGAGATATGGAAAATCTTTCATTGGACCTTATTTCATTTATTTACCTTTGAACATTTTGGGAGGTTTCATCATCCATTATATCATTGAAAACTTTACTATCGTACATCCATTCTTATTGGCAGATAACAGGCATTATACTTTCTATTTATGGAAGAGAATTTTAAGTCACAAGTACAGTTCAATAGTAATGATCCCAATTTATCATTTCGGAACTTGGAATATTATACATTCATTAATTAAGGCTAAAGTAAGCATAATAGTTATAATCTCATTCATCATGGCCAACCTTCTAACCATAGTACCATCACCTTTATTCGAACCAAGATATTATATCACACCTTTAGTGATTTTCAGAATGTTGACAAACAAATCTTGCAAGTACAGAAATTTACCAGAGTTTGCGTGGTCAAGTATTATCAACGTCATAATTATGTATATTTTCTTTACATATGAATTTACATGGGAATCTGAGAAGGGGATTCAAAGAATTATATGGTAGTATCATCAAAAGTGTCGTTATCATTAAGGTCATGAGCAATAATCTCTTGAGGAATCGGTGGCATTGGTTTATCGACAGATTTCTTCATTGAAGGTTGTTTCGCTGGTGGTTTTGCAGCTGATTCTTTTACAGGTAAAGTCAGCTCTTTCATTAATTCCAAATTATTATTAATAAAATCATCAATAGATTTTTCATTCAATTTCTTAACATTTAATATAGAATCTGGATTTTTCTTCAATTCATCTATCAAAAGTTTTGTCTCTGATGATAAGTTTTCTTTATCTAAAGATTCAACCCATTTGGAGATACATCTTTTCTTCAATACTGTCAAATAATTAGCTTCCAATTTGGTCTCTTTATCGATAAATACTAAATCACCTTCGTTTCCCATCACTAAATCACCATAATTATTCTTTTCTGGAACTTTAATTTCCCAGTTTCCCTTTTCTAAATCATTAGCAAAAATAAGAAGGAAGTCACCTAAATTATCAGCTAATAAATATTTAGTATCAAATTCTCTACCAAATAGTATAACTTGACCCCATTTTCCTGGACCCTTGGCCGGAGGTGATAAATCAATACCAATACAATTACCTACTTCATCAGTGATCAAAGGAATCCAAGATGGATGAGCAAAAATTGCATGAATATACCCTGGTGGCATGGACTTTTGTGTTGGATAAGAAGAAGAATCAACCGATGTTTCAGATTTGGAAATATTCAAAGATGCCGTCGAATTGTTCAACGGGATACCTAATCCAGTACTATTGAAAGATACCTTACTAGTCTTAGGTACTGATTGTACCCCGATGCCCAGATGTGACATTTCAGTTGTGATCTTTTTAGCCACTTTTCTCCAATCTTCTGTCATAACCATTATTTCGTCCAAAGACATTAATTTCAACCCAAAAATGAGACCTCCAACCTTGTTAAAATCATCAATATATTGACCATCAGTAAGTTTGAAGAACTCAATAACACAATTGGGTAGTTTGATAGTTAAATCTTTTTGGAAATCATTTAAATCATCATCAGTACAAGGTTTCTGTAATGAACTATTCAAATCGGGAGAATTGTTATGTAACCACATTTTGATATGTCTCCATGCTAACCTTACTTCGTGAATCCCATCTAAAGCATAGTTTTGTAATTCTGAATCCCCAATAAAGGTATTAGAAGTGTTTTGGTGATGCGTCAAAAGGTTAGTTTCAGTTTCTGTTCTTGGTTTATTCACTCTATTGAATGACTTGGTAGAATCATATTCTGAATATTTATCATTGGTACTCAAGGAATACACCCATTCCTGTATAGCCTTACCAAATTTCATCGTGGTTAATTATGTTGGTGGAATCTAAATCTATAATGATAAATAAACGCGAGAGAGGCTCGTATTCTTTTTAGGAAATAATTCAATTACAAAAAATAGTTCTGGGCTTAGCCTTGTTTTTGAATAATTGGAAAGAGATATTAAGCCATGGGGGTTTGTTGGACAACAACATTGAAGGTTTATAGAGCGTTGAAGTCTTTTATTGGATGATTTCATTGACAGGTGGGAAAACGAGTCGCAGTTACGTCATCTTGAGGAATTATTGTTTCTTAACAGGCATACCAGTAAACAAATTGAACCCTAGATGTCAAGAGTATACCTTGGGTTGAAGAATACCAATTAATGATTCTACAGTTTTTAGCATTTTATTCTTACTTTTTATGTAACAAATCTGCGAATTTCACATTTTGCAACCATCTAAATAGAAAGGTAAACACAAAATAAATTGGAAAGCCTACTTGTAGTATAAAAAAATAGGGCAAAGGGAGCAGAATAAGATTGAGAGATATCGGTGACCTTTGTTGACTTGAGTAAGCCCTGTTCTAGAAGAAAGATATCCTAATGGTTTCCGCCTTCGGAAGAGTTCGCCAATTAAACAGTAAAACTCAAGTCAATCTGCCATCAGTCATCATACTGAGTCAACGACATTCTTAAAAGCCATACAAAAATATCACAAAAAACGATCATATGAATATTCACCGGGCATGAAGTAACATTTCTATTGAAAAGTAATGATACGAAAATCCGGGGTTTTATTATGGGAAAACCAGATTTAATCAAACACTTAAAACAAGCGTTTGATCAAACCAGACATAATACCAAAAAACAGACTGAACTACTAGTTCTTTAAAGATTTTAGTGGTTTTCCGTTGGTAATCAAATTGAAGATTTTTCCATAATATTTTTGAGATTTTAACCTCATCGAGTCGTGGACATACCATATTTGATTTGGACCATTGAAACTTTTTAGCAACACCTTGAACGACCTTGTAGATAGGTTTCACTTGATCTTGTAGGAAGACAAACACACACAAATGACACGAACGGTGGAAATAAAATCGAGAGCTCTCAGAGAATCATTAGTACTAAATACTTATATTATGTCATTTAATTTATAAGATACAAATATATACCAAAATAGTTAACTATTTTAAAATATATTGTAAAAAATGGGATTGTTACGATATATTTTTAATTTATTTTACCAATTAATTAATTAATTTACCAATTTTGAGCAGCAGCTTCTTCAGCAGCTGGGTTAGCACCTGATTCAGCCCAATCAACTGGTTCGGCTTCAGCAGTCCATTCAGCTTCAGCAGCTGGAGCAGATTCTTCAGTTTCTTCTTCTTTGGTTTCTTCAGCAGTAGCAGCTTGTTCAACTTCTTCAGGATCTCTGTAGAAATATAAATCTGGCATGACAGACCATTCAGTAGTTCTATCTGGGATAATACCTCTTAATCTTAAGACTTCTCTAGCAATTAACCACCAGATTAAACCAGTTGAGTGTCTACCTTTGTTATTACATGGGATAGCAATATCAACGTATTCAGATGGTGAATCCATATCGGTTAAAGCAATAACTGGGATATTAACGTATGATGATTCTTTAATAGCTTGAGCATCGGTTCTTGGATCAGTAACAACAACTAATCTTGGTTCTTTGAAAGATCTGGTGATATAATTGGTGAAGTTACCTGGAGTGAATCTACCAGCAATTGGAGTGGCACCGGTATGAGCAGCAAATTTTAAAACAGCTCTTTGACCGTAAGTTCTAGCAGAACAAACAGCAACATCGGATGGGTTTGGAATAGCAGCAATAACTCTAGCAGCTAAAACAATTTTTTCCCAAGTTTTACCAATGTTAATAACGTTAACACCATCTGGTCTGGTTTTATAAACGTATGGTTTGTTGTGGACTTGAACGTTTTTTGAACCTAAGTGTACGTTAGCTGCTAATAATAATTTAGCATCTTCAGGAGTTAAATCAAATGAAGCTGGTAATGACATCTTTAATATTTAATATTAATTTTTACTTCTCTTAAAGATTTTTGAAAATTTTTTTTCAGTATTGAAAAGTTTTTTGAGAAATTTCCCTTAACTATGAGACTGCAGGCAACTGATCGACGACATCATACTTAATCATTTCGCGCGACAATTTGGTATAATAATATGAGGCCAGATGTCGTCAATTCTCATTTTTTGTTACCACCCGGAGAAAACAGTCACCAGTGCATATGAGGGCTATAGACCTAAGTCAGGTGACAAATACCTTAAAAAATAAACCAACCTCAGATCAAAAGGGTGTTTGTTGCCCCACACCTGTTTTATTGGGTAGGTTGCGAAGGCAGCCGCAACGCAAAACTATATGAATTGGGTTAAAATTTCTGTTATAATTGACGGGTTTAACTATTTGGTAATGTTAAATAATAGAGTTTTAATTTAATTAATAAATTTTTTGATTAACAACCACAAATGGTCAATGAAAATGATCCATTATTAGATGATTCATGGGCTAATAAGAGACAAATTATAAGTAGCAAACCTTGGTACAAAAGACCTTCAATTGGATTTATTTTAACTGTTGGATTTTTCTATACTTTAACATCAATAGGTGAACCTACAAGGCAAAGTCTTAGATTTCAATTAGCATGCAATTCTTTGATCAATGATAAGGGATATTGTGATTCTATAGATGCTCAATTGATGGTTTCAAATTACAATCAAGTAAGTGCTATTGTTTCCCAATTATCACTGCTTGGTGCATTAGCCAATATCGGAAAGTTACTGGATAAATTTGGAAGAAAGAAGTTTATCACATTGATTGTAACTGTGGTATTGATATCAAGAACCATTCTCCTCAGTTCTTATTTGATTGACGAGAAGTTCAATTTTTATCTTTACATATTTTGTGACTTCTTAGCAAGTTCGACTGGTGGCTTATTTGCCATGACAGGATTGATAAATTCTTATATTACTGATATAATCGAACCCAGTCAACAGAATTATCTTATAGGTTGGGGTAATGGATCAATTTTCGCTGGTGAATCTTTAGGTCCTCTTTTGAGTAATTTCATTATTGGATTATTTGAGACATACAACGATCAGTCTGATGATATGAAACCTTTGAATAAGCAACAGATAACTTTATCTGTGATTGAAATAATTATCTTTGGAGTGTTATTGGTTTATTCATTAATTTTACCCGAATCCAAGCTCCATTGTTCTGGTGATTTTTCGGTGGCTAAATTGAATTTCAGAAATTTGTTGCAGCCATTGAGAATTTTAATTCCAGATCAACCTTCGAAAGTTAAAAAACTCATAATTTTCATGGTATTCTTGAATTGCTTATCGGCCATGTTAAGTATTCTGTTAGGAGAAATCAACCTTCAATATGCAATTTATATGTTCAAATGGACTTCTAAAGAGATTGGTTATTTGATGTCTTTATTCTCCATTTCCAGAGTGATGGTATTATTCTTGATAACTCCGTTTTTGACCAATTACTTACTACCCAAATATTTCACTAAAAAGGAAGCTTCAATGGATAAAGTTGATTTCGTAATGATCTTATTCGGAATATTTTGTGATTTAGTGTTATTCTCGGGTCTCAGTATTTCCAGAAATACCTTTGAATACTTGGCTTTCACTATCTTTGGTAGCTTGGATTCAATTGTAGTACCTACAGCTCAATCCATAATGTTGAAATATTATGATTCAAATAGAAATGGTGAGGTTCTTATGGCTATATCTTTAATCAATGGTGTAGGATGTATTTTTGCACCCATTATTTCCATGGAAATTTATAAGTTTGGTTTGACTCATTCCATCCCTCAGTTGATTTTCCTTTCATGCTTGACCGTGGATATCGTCGTCATTATTGCATTCCTTCACTTTAGAAATATATAAATTAAACTTACCCCATATATCTCGACCTTTTTGCAACTTACCGCGTGCGACAAAATTTTGCGTATTAAGATAATGATATAATGGTTGGATTATTCACTTTTGATGAGACCCAGTTCTCAAGAGGATTTGAAACTGTTGATTTGGAAGATAGAGCTCCTGAAACAATTGAAAATGTTCAACAAATCAACGGAGAATCGTTTTTAGAGAGTAACTTAACTACTAGATTGAAAGAGTTTAATAGTAGTGAAATTAATAATAGTCTGCAAAGTTTAGATGATGGAGATTTAGAAGTTAAAGCATTCGAAGCTGATGTTGAAGAATATTCGGGCTTAAGTATTCCAGAAAGCAAAGTTAGAAGAAGATCCTCAGTTTATAGAAGATTATCAATTAGACCTTCATCAGTTACATCAAATCATCTGTTTATGATCCCTTCAAATTTTAATAAAGATTATGAAGACGATAGGGCAACCAACCAATTAGGAGAGAAAGATTATAAAAGGACATTGCAAGATTTTGAACCCATTAAAGTTTTAGGTCAAGGAGCTTATGGTAAAGTTCATTTAGTTGAAGATAAACACACTAGGAAATTATATGCACAAAAACAATTAAGGAAACCAGTTATTAATATTCAAGAAGATTCCAGAACCGATAATTTTCATATCAAAAGAACCATTTATGAACGTAACATTTTAAGTAACATTAATCATCACCCGAACATTGTCAAATTATTTTATGCGTTACAAGATCATGATAAATTCTACTTATTTTTAGAATACATTCCAGGAGGAGAATTATTCCATCATTTAACTACGAATAATTCTTTGGGGAATGTATTTAAGGAAGATGATGTAGCATTCTATGCTGCTCAAATGGCTTTAGGTTTAAGACATTTACATAAATTAGGGATAGTTTACAGGGATTTAAAACCTGAAAATTGCTTATTGGATGTAAGAGGTAATTTGGTATTAACAGATTTTGGGTTGTCGAAAGATATTGGAAATGAAAATGAAGATAAATGTAATTCAATAATTGGTACTCCTGAGTATATGGCTCCTGAAATTTTGAAAGGAGAAGAATATGATTATGGTGTGGATTGGTGGTCTTTAGGATGTGTTATTTATGACATGATGAGTGGTAAACCACCTTTCACAGGTAATTCTCACAAAGTCATTCAGGATAAAATCTTGAAGAATAAATTATCTTTACCATTTTATTTTTCACTTGATGCTAAAGATTTACTCAACAAGTTGTTGAACAAGAACCCCCAGAAAAGATTCCAAATAGATGATAACTGGGAGGTGTTCAAGAAACATAGGTTCTTTAGGAAATTGAATTGGAAATTATTAGAAGTCCAAGATGATTCAATTATTCCACCTATTGTCCCAATAATTACCGATCCAAAACTAGCCGAAAATTTCTCGTCCGATTTCACTTCATTAAAAGTCAGTGACTATAATATAGATCAAGCCATCAACATTCCCATTAGTTCTGAAGCTCATCCATATCAAAATTTCCAAGGGTTTAGTTATACTGCCAGTACAAGTTTCATTGATAAATTTAGTTGAATCCGACATACGTAACTTCATCAACACAGCTGACCATTGATCAACACGGCTGCTTCAATTCATTACCTCATCCAATTATTTATTATTGTACATTAAATATATTTATATCTATATATAGAGAGTAGTATCCTCTGAAAAGTCGTGCGCGATACCAATCAGATTGTTTATCACTCATTCTCACAAATCGAAAGAAAATAGACGGCAGTAGAGGCGATACACTTACAATACTTAACAATTGTAGGAATTAATCTATTAAACCAATTGAGTAACTTAATAAATCTACATACATATTAAAAATGGATGAGTCTTTAATTGCTACTATTAATAAATTACAAGATGCTTTAGCACCTTTAGGAGGTGGATCATCTTCACCAGTTGATTTACCACAAATTACTGTAGTTGGATCACAATCAAGTGGTAAATCATCAGTTTTAGAAAACATAGTTGGAAGAGATTTCTTACCAAGAGGTACAGGGATTGTCACCAGAAGACCATTAGTATTACAATTAATCAATAGAAGATCTGTTGCTAATACTTCAACCGCAACTGATGATTTGATTTCAATTAATAAAACAACTGATGATGGACAAAAGTCTGAAAATAATGCTGAAGAATGGGGGGAATTTTTACATTTACCAAATAAGAAGTTTTATAATTTTGAAGATATTAGAACTGAAATTGTTAGAGAAACTGATGCAAAGACTGGTAAAAATTCAGGTATTTCACCAGTTCCAATTAATTTAAGAATTTATTCTCCTCATGTATTAACTTTAACTTTAGTTGATTTACCAGGTTTAACTAAAGTGCCAGTTGGTGATCAACCAAAAGATATCGAAAAGCAAATTAGAGATATGATTATGAAATTCATTTCCAAACCAAATGCTATTATTTTATCAGTTAACGCTGCCAATACCGATTTAGCTAATAGTGATGGTTTAAAATTAGCAAGAGAAGTTGACCCTGAAGGTTCAAGAACTATTGGTGTTTTAACTAAAGTTGATTTAATGGATCAAGGTACTGATGTTATTGATATTTTAGCTGGTAGAGTTATTCCTTTAAGATTTGGTTATGTACCAGTTATCAATAGAGGTCAAAAAGATATTGAAGGTAAAAAAACAATCAGAGATGCTTTAAAAGATGAAGCCAGTTTCTTCGAAAATCATCCTTCTTATAAAGCTAAAGCTCATTATTGTGGTACTCCTTATTTAGCTAAAAAATTAAATGGTATATTATTACATCATATTAAAGGTACTTTACCTGATATCAAAATGAGAATTGAACATTCCTTAAAGAAATATCAAAATGAATTAAGTTTATTAGGTCCTGAAATGAATGAAAGTCCAACTTCAATTGCTTTAAATATGATTACAAATTTTACTAAAGATTATAATGGTATATTAGATGGTGAAGCTAAAGAATTAACATCACAAGAATTAACTGGTGGGGCCAGAATCTCATTCGTTTTCCATGAAATCTTTAAAAATGGTATTAATTCATTAGATCCATTCGATCAAATCAAAGACGCTGATATTAGAACTATCATGCACAATACAAGTGGTTCAGCTCCTTCATTGTTTGTTGGTACTCAAGCTTTTGAAGTTTTAGTCAAACAACAAATTCATAGAATGGAAGAACCTTCTTTAAGATGTATCAATTTAATTTTCGATGAATTAGTTAGAATCTTATCACAAATCATTAATCAACCACAATATTCAAGATATCCTGGATTAAAAGAACAATTATCACAATATTTCATCCAATTCTTAAGAGAAGCTTTAGTTCCTGCTAATACTTTTGTTTCAGATATAATTAAATCTGAAGAAACCTATGTCAATACTGCCCATCCTGATTTATTAAAAGGTTCACAAGCTATGGCCATTGTTGAAGATAAATTCCATCCAAAACCTCAAGTTGCTGTAGATCCAAAAACTGGTAAACCTTTACCACCATCTCAACAACCTCCAGCTAATAATTCACCAAAACTTGATGAAAATTCCAATGGATTCTTTGGTGGATTCTTTTCTTCTAAAAATAAGAAAAGATTACAAAGTATGGAAGCTCCACCTCCAATTTTAAGAGCTACTGGTACTATGACTGAAAGAGAAACTATGGAAACTGAAGTTATTAAATTATTAATTTCTTCTTATTATAATATTGTTAAAAGAACCGTAAGTGACGTAATTCCAAAAGCTATTATGTTGAAATTAATCGTTAAATCAAAGGATGATATTCAAAAAGTTTTATTGGAAAAATTATATAATTCAAGTGATTTAGCAGATTTAGTTAAAGAAAATGAATTAACTGTTCAAAAGAGAAAGGAATGTGTTAAAATGATTGATGTATTAAGAAATGCTAGTGAAATTGTTTCAAGTGTTTAGATTAGATTAATATTTATAAACTGTAAACCCTGTTTTTCTCCTATTTCAACTGAAAATCCCAAAACGGCATCATGACCGAAGGTTTATGTAATCATGAAAATCTGTCAAAACGGTGCGCAGTTGTTAAATTTAGAACCCGCTAACCGAACCTTTAAGGAACTAACCAATGTCAGCGGCTTTGATTAACAGATCCTTGACCACTATTAGGACTGAATTAGAATTCTTACTCGATAGTGAAGTCATAGATGAACAATTATACCAAAAATTAACCAATGCCATTCCACTAAAATTTCAGAAGGATTCAAAACCATGGGGGGTGGATCATTTACAAACCACTTCTTCTTCGACCATAGATCAATTATCTAATAACTTAGCTAAAACAGAACTTTCAAATCCATCATCGGCTCCTCCAAGTTATCAACCAACTGAAATATCAACCCCTATTGCTGCTCCTACTGAAAAGACCGATAAGAAAGTATTGGGATATTATAAAGCATTATATGATTATGATGCCAAAGAACCTGAAGATTTGAGTATGAAAAAAGATGACAAATTGGCTGTTGTTGAACATTTATCAGGAGATTGGTGGAAAGGATATAAAAAGTCTCAACCTTCAACCATTGGAGTTTTCCCTTCAAATTATGTTTCAAGTATAAGTGAACAAGAGTTTAAAGAATCAAGAGGTGCAGCTCCTGTTCCAGGTATCTCCATACAAGGAGAAAAGCAAGAATATCAAAATTCTAATCTGTCAAATTATACACCTCCCCAACAATTACCTCAACAGCATTCTGGTTATCAACAACAAGGATATAACAATCAACCTTATCAACAACCATACCAACAACAATATCAGCAAGGGTACAACAATCCAAATTATCAAGTACAACCATCTCAATCTGCACCCACTTTACCATATGATCCCAACTACTACAATCAAGTTGAACAACAACAGCAACAACAGCAACAGCAACAACCTCAACAACAAAATCATCCTCATTTAAGAAAATATGGTAATCAATTGGGTAATAGTATTGTTACAGGGGCTGGGTTCACCATTGGTAGTGATATAGTAAATTCGATCTTCAGATAAATATAAGCAATTCATTATCTATATACAAGGAATTCAATAAGTTTATTTTCTACCGTCAGTAACAGTATTCAATAACAAAGTATCGTTATCTAACATGATTTTATTTGGTGAATTGGCAAGAATTGCAGCAATTTCTCTAGCAGTATCCAATCTCTTTAATTCAACATAATCTTTGGACTTTTTAATGGCTTCACCAATCAATTCAGCAGATTTGGCTTCACCAGCAGCTTTAACCACCAATTGTTGTTTTTCTTGAATGGCTTTACTTACAACGAAAGCAGCTCTTTGAGCATCTTGTTGAGCAATTTGTTTAGCTTCAACAGCAGCACTAAATTCTGGTGAAAAGGTCATAAAAGTTAATGATACATCATCTAATAAAATATCAAATTTCTTAGCTCTTCTAACTAAATTTTCCTTGACTAATCTACTGACTTTTTCTCTTTGAGTGATCAATTGTGAAGCATTGAATTGAGCAACAACTGATTTTAAAACTTCATTGACAATCGATGGTAATATCTTTTCATCATAATCTCTTCCTAAAGTACGATAAATGTTTGGTAATTCGTCAACGTTTGGTCTAAATAAAACTCTACAAGTAATATTAACCATTTGTAAATCTTTAGTACCTGTTAATGATGCAACATTTCTTGGTTTAGCTCTAACATCATAGATAATTGGCCTTTGTAACCATGGTAAAACAAAGTGGGTACCTTCATTATATATATTTGGTTGGACCCCATTAACACGGGAATAAACAATGGCTCTTTGACCACCATCCACATTGAAGAGGGCACTTTGTGCTAACATACTTGCACCTCCTAATAACAATAAACCCCCAAATCCAGCAAAAATACCAAATGGTGATCTTGGATTTTTACCTGATCCTGAGCTTTGAGCTGCGGCTTGTCTGCTTCTACGGATGAATTCTTCTTGAATCTTATTCCAATTATTATTGTTCATGAGTGTGCAATTTTTCGTTGCCCTCTGCGAATTCTAGTGACATATAAAAATTTCGTATATTCATAAGTGCGGTACACCCCCATATATCATGATGGTACACCTTCATAATCAAATTTTTTGTTATGATCATTGATGGTACGCTTCCAATATCGTTTCTTGTTGGTTTGAATAGGGTTGGTTCGAAATACTTTCTCCAAAAATAATAATCCTAATACTACTACAATAGTCACAAAACTTGGAGCTATCATTCCTGTAAGTCCTTTGGTAGAGATAGTATTCTGATAGGGACATTCAGCATATGGACCTCCTGAAACAAAACAGTTTGTCACAGTAATATCATTAACATCTATCCAAATTGGGAATGGATTGGTATGTTTGGAAGCTTCACTCATTAAGGCTAACATCTCTATATTCAGATGTGGTACACTGAAAGAATAACCATCAGGACAACTTTTATAAGCGTTGAAATATTGCTTCAAGTCAGTAACTATTACCCAATCATTAGGGTTGTCATGATTTTGACAGGCAAATGGATAACTGTTGTAACAATTTTCAATAGACCAACCAAAATCTTTCACACACACACATTTTTCAGCTTCTTGAGCTCTATTACTCTCATCGCTTGAAACTGCATTCACTTCTTTATCAACTTCACTAGTTGTCAGCTGTGCCTCTGTGATTGTAGCTATTTGTTGACTGATGACTGAACTAATCGTATTATCACCCACGTCAGAATCATCAGAATTTGGAGAGTTAATTAGATCTGAACCCCACGACCAAAAGGATAATGGAATGAAATGATCCATAATCTCTTCAAGTTTTGTGATTGAGCTCGAATTGGCCTCATAGGAAGAGGAATTCAAGATAGGCGTGAATCCACATCTGATCAAACTCCTATAACTTGCATCGTTGAAATGAATCTTTTCATTATCAGAAACCATCCTGAAGGGAGAATCCAAAGCAAGTGTTCTGAATAATTCATCCCCAGTGACAGAACTCAAATTGAATACATTGGAAAGACATTGTTCCACAGCCACGGAACTTCCCAATTCTTCGTATGTGATATTAACTGATTTACCATCAATGAATAACGTTGAAACATCAGCATCAGTAAAATTATAACTTCCGTCACCAGTGACTTCGTCATACATTACAATGGGAGTTATTCTTTTCAAATTGGTGAAAATGAAAGTATCAAATCGAGGATAAGGATTCGATGATTTATTATAGAAATCTGTTGATTGAGATGATTTGACTGCAGATTGAAATGACAGTAAATCCTCCGGTGTATAGATAAACGAAGATATTCCCAGTAAAGTATCTGATAAAGTATCGTTCCCATAATCCTTATAAGGAGAAGTTTTTGATCCGTATGTTTCATCCCAATTAAGGGTAGAATTCCTCAGAAGAGTTGGAAACTTGAATTTGTTCAATCGAAAAAATAACTTCAAGTAATTAACATTCATGTTTGTGTTAGTTGATCCAAGATATTGTGATATTTGCTGCATTATGGAATCTGTGGTGAAGCTTGGTTGACATTTATACGTCTGATCGTTCCAATTGATAGTTTGAACATCCGCCATATTCGTCTGGTTTAATGGATAAGGCGCTGGACACAATTGCCATTTGGAAGTGAAGTTATTCCAATACAAATCTATTACTAAAGAACTTACTCCCACTGTCATTAAAGCATCAAAATAGGTGGTACTTGAATATGAATAACCTTCTTTATCAAATAACATGGATGATAAGTCAACACCGAACCCTCCTACTTGATCGATGGGAATCCCCCATGAAATATCTCTTTGAGTTCTTAATGCCACTTGGGCATCAAATGTCAATGTTGGCCAGTTGTCCAACGCAAACACCACCAGGATCAACAAACTAATCACCAACTGTCGTATCCTCATAGTTAATTCAAGTCGCGATTTCATCTTACTTAAATAGTTGGTGTTTGTAGCAGCTAAAAAATAGAATTTATAAGACAGGACCGTGTTTTTATAGGATATTAACGTGTAATAGGGGTAGCTATGTCTATGGATATATCCACAGTGTTACAATCTTTGAACGAGAAACAAAAAGAGTCGGTTATTTCTCCTTCTAATGGTAGATTGCAAATTGTAGCAGGTCCTGGTACAGGAAAGACAAAGGTTCTTATATCAAGGGTTGCAAAGTTATTATTAGTAGATAATATCGAACCATATCAATTGATAGTCACTACATTTACCAAAAAAGCCGCTAATGAAATGATAGAGAGACTAACACCCATACTAAAGGGTACATCTATAGATCCAACTAAGATCTTGATGGGAACTTTCCACAGTATATGTTACAGGATTATCCGTAGGTACGGAATGAAGGCCGATTTATCCAATTACACTATAGCTGATGAGAGAGATAGTAATCAGATTCTACTGGATATCCTTAAAAACTTGAATAACGAAGAAATTGATCACTTGGATCTGTTAGATGGTAATGAAATGTTTAAGACCGGGAAAGATGGTAAATATCATGGATATGATCCTAAGGTTTTCAAAAGGCAAATATCGAAATTGAAATCATCAGGAATCACTTATAAGAAATATTTAACTGCACCTTCAAGCAATAAATGTTTGAGATTCATATATGAAAAGTATCAATTGCAATTGAAGAAAGAGTTCTTGCTAGACTTCGATGATTGTTTACTTGAATGCTACGACTTGATTTCAAAGTACCCTGTACTCAATTTCGTTCAACATGTTTTGGTTGATGAATTCCAAGATACCAATGAAATTCAACTTCGGTTGATGTATGAATTTGCTCGTGGACACCCCACAAATCCACTTTTCCAGAACAATCTTACCATCGTCGGGGATCCAGATCAAAGTATTTATGGTTTCAGAGATGCCCAATCAGCCAATTTCAAAAAGATGAAAAAGTATTATGAATCTAAAAACTTACCAGTTTCAGTGATCACTTTGGATGAAAATTATAGATCTACCAAAGATATTCTTAGTATCTCCGAAACCATCATGCGGCAGCAAAAGGATAGAGTGACCAAACAATTGAGCTCCCAAATCGAAAATTCATTTAAACCTGTTCATAAAACATGTAATAGTTCGAAACAAGAAGCAAGGTGGATAGCTTACCAAATCACTTATTTGACATCATTACCTGATTCGGTCGTTAGATACCAAGATATATCCATATTGGTGAGAGCAGCATACCAAACTAGAGCGATTGAAAATGAGTTGGTGAAATGCAGAATTCCTTACTTTATGATCCGTGGGAAAGCGTTTTGGGACAGAAAGGAAGTTGTTGCCATGTTAGACTATTTGAGAGTCATTGGAAACCCATTGGATAGAATTGCATATCTTAGAACCATCAATTTCCCTAAAAGAGGTATAGGTGAAAAAACCTTAGAAGATTTGGCCAAACGTTTAGAGGCTGTTGATTTAAATAGTTACAATAGTCATGACGCTTTGAAAATCATTGCAGAGCAATTGTCTAACAAGAATCAAAAGTCTTTGTTATCTTATCTTGAATTCATCGAAGATGCAAGAATAAAAATGATAGAAGTTGAAACCATGGATTTAGGCGAAGAAAGAGAAAGGTTATTGGATGAATTTTTTGATTTCGTTTATGTCAAATCAGGATTAAAAGATCAATTCAAGAAAGAGGAAAGTCATGAACAAAATATTATGGAAGTAAAGAAACAACTTCTCGAGTTTTCCCCTCGTGATGAAGATGAGTTTCCGGTTTATTTGAATGATCAAGGACAGCCTTCACAAGTACCAGAAATGGAGGAGGATAATCAGAGTTTCTTGAGTAAATTCATTGTATCATTAGGATTATTTGAACATTCAGAAGATAAAGAAGATGAACAAGGACTGAACAAAGTGTCTCTTTCAACAATCCATGGATCTAAGGGTTTAGAGTGGCCAGTTGTTTTGATTCCAGGGGTTTCTGAGGGTTTATTGCCAGCTAGTTTCGCTATCAAATCAGGAGGTGAAGAAGAGATAGATGAAGAACGAAGATGTTTTTATGTTGCAACTACTCGGGCCAAAACTTTGTTATATTTAACATCGTGTGTGGAAGAAGAAAAGAGTTGGTATAACAACAAACCTTCATCAGTATCAAGGTTTATTTCCAATCTTGATCACAAGTTTACTAAAACCCAAAAATGTTTCAGTGATTGGGAAACATTGAAATCGTTTTATTGTATCAGAGGGAAAGCTCATCCAAACTCTTTTGATTTGCATATATTCAATAAAGGTTACAAAGAACAACTTTTCCCATTCTTAACTGGGGACCTTCAACGTATTGAAACCATGAATTACAAGCCTCAGGATTTCATAGTTCATAATCCTGAACCGAAATCAGAATTTGGATTTGGATTTTCATCAAGTTTATCCAAAGCCAGGTATGCGTTGAGTAAGGATCGATATGCATATGATTTAGGGGATTCAGAACCTGCCACAGAAGAGATTGATTTTTCAGAACCAAAATTTCCTAAGAGAGCACCAATGTCTTCGAATAAAGCTCCAGGGTCAAGTTATATCAAGAACTTATACGCTGGAGCAGCCTTCAAGAAGCATAAACCTTCAATGGCTCCCGCATACAATCCTGTCAAAATCAATAGTTTGGCACCTAAAGGTAAAAAGGCCCCAGCTTATATTCCTGACAGAAGGAAAAAGGCTTAAGTGAGAGAACAGAGTTGAAGACCAGAAAAAAGTATTATTATTTAGTAATTTGGAAAGACCAAGGTAATGTCAAATGAGTGGTTTTATCATCATCAACGAATTTAGTGACGGCAGAATATCCACCTCTAGCTAAAAGACCAGAAGGAGCTTCAACATCAATAAAAGCTTTTTCGTAATAAGGTTTATCAGTAGTATTTGGAGCATAAGAACCTAAAGGTTCTTCGAGTTTTTCAACTCTTATACCTGCTTTTTTAATAGAATGTAAATATTTTAAACCAGTAATAATTTCATGTTGAACTCTGAATTTAATAACTAATTGATAGATGGATTTCTCTTTGATACTGAATTTAACTTCTTTATCTAAAGTATTACCTTGAGCATCTTCTAAATTGATAGTGATAGGTTTTAAATCTGGTTGATCAGGAAAATTCAAAGACATTTCAACGATAACAACCTTTCTTTTGTCACCAGCTTTGACAGGGTATGGTGATGAATTGGCAGCTAAACCTAAGGAAGCTTTCCATTTAGCTAAACTTTCATCTTCAGCATCTAATTTATTATATTCGTCAATGGTTTTCTTTTCACCAACAACGTATCCTTCAACGGTTTCAGGGACTAAATCTTCATCAGCGTTTGACATTTTGTGTTAATATACGCGTCAATTGGTTATAACTTAAAGTTCTTTTAACTTGAGGTGATCTGGACTCGTCAAATGCTCGTCAGATTTTTGGCGCTCCACGACAGAGGGTTGTAACTTGATGTACGTTCATTTATACAGTAATTTCGGATATTTGCCACCATCTAGTGAGGAGGGGGGAGGACAAGTAAGAGCTGTGTGTTAATGACCAAACCGAGAAGTTTTTTGATGGATCGTAACGGTGATAATCATGATATGAGATTTTTTGCACCCAATCAAGAGGACCCTTTATCTGGTTCTTGTGATATTTGGTGTGGATCTTGTGATGTTTGATCTGGTTCAATATGTATAGGATCCAACTCTGGTTCAGTTGTTTTTGGGATCTGAGGCTCCTGTGATGGAGTTCCCGATTCTTGCAATGGTATGCCATCATAAGCCTCATTAGTCTCCGAATTTGACTGATGCTTCCTCTCAGAAGTTTTGGTGGATACATAGGGATTGATATAAGGACTTGAATATGGGTTAATGAATACAGGCTGGAAATTCAATGGGTGGTTACTTCCATTATAATACATGGGTGGATAGTAACCCATGTACATCAGTGGTGGATCGAAATGGCTTGGGTTAGGGAAAAATGTACCATTCATGGAGTTCTGGGATGATTCAAAGTATTGATGTTGGATATGTTGACTAGAAGATTGCAAGTGTTTTCCATGCCCCCTTGTAAACTTTCTGGACCCGTCTTCAAAGGATGTACTTTCAAACCCCCTAAATTTCCCAGGAGGTTGTTCGAAACTGAATTCTTCAATGCTTGTCTTTAAACAATTATCGAATATCTCACTCAAAGTAACTCCTCCTTGAACGATTTGACTTTGAATTTTGTTGTAGTTTATGTCCTCTCTGGCATGAATACTGAAATAGCTTAAACCTTCTGATCTAGCTAGCTTATAATAGTCACAAGTTTTATGTAATAAAGCTCTATAATACTTATTCTTCAAATCTTTATGAGGAACAGTGACATTTTGACGTTGCAATTCGCCTCCATTTGATCTAGAGCTTCCAGAAATTATCTCTTCAATCAAGGATAAGATCTTCTCTTCTAAATCCAATAAAAAACGACGTTCTTTAGATTTCTCTAAAGCTGTTACTATAATCTCAGGCAAAGGGCCTATTTCACTTTTAGGTTTAACTGATCTGACCATTTTAGGAATGATATTTACAAAACTAATAAATTAGTTTTGGAAAAACTCTTTTGGAATGGCCATTGACTTAAATAGAGGACAAGAGGTTTATCAGCTTTGAATCAAAAATTATATGTCATAAAATCCTATGATCGCGAATTGGAAATTATAACTATGAGTGCTGATGATGTATGTTTAGGCATTATACCCAATTGGGTTATGTTATGGTAGATTTAATTACGTTATGGCTATTCTGTAACAGCACAAATCATTGTGACATTCTTTGGATGCAGAAAATACATGAATTTTTGACTAAACGAATTAATCTCCTATTGTAATAATGATAAAGACTAACAATTTATAGATCCGTGCCAAAAGATTAGCTAATTTGTCCAGATTAGGTGGTGGTAGTAATAATTCCAGTAGTTCTGGAAATTCAAACAATACCAGTAACACCCCACCATCTGCACCAGAAACCAAAAGAGCTAAACCTGATTTGCCATCCCCACCCAAACCACCTAAATCAATTGATCCTCCAGTAGAAACAAAACCTGTTAAAGTTGATAAAGTTGAAAGTCCTCCAGTGAATGCTGAAGAACAATTATCCAAATGGTTGATGATGGAAGTTAAAGATACTCTCCAAATCACTGTTAAACCAGAAGAATCAACTAGTAATCTCATTTATTTAGAATCGTTAGCCAACGAACTCACTGATAGATCTATTGAAGAAGATGATTTAGAACTGTCATTTATGGAAATCTTAACCGAAGCAGGAATTCCAACCGATTATAAATTTTCTATTGAATACCTTTATACCATTTATCAAAAATCTTTTAAATTAAAGAGAATTTTACCCAAAAAAGATATAAATTATGACAAGAAAATCAGTATTATCAATAAAATCATAAACTTCAGTTGTTCATTTGGTTTCATTTGCTTTCAGATTTCAGATATGTTCATAAATAATGATTTACCCAAATCAATTGATTTTTTCGTAAATGATCATGAAACTCATTCATTTTTGATTGATATCATTAATAAGAGTATAGAACAAGATAGTTTACTAGACTTGTTACATTTATTTATGCCAATGATTTCGAGTAAGTTATATAAAGCTAATTTGAATGATACTAATTATAACAAATATTTGAGTATAATTGAATTATTTGTCAATATGAAACCTGTGGCAGCTGTTTTCCATCAAATTGATGGATTCCAACCTCCTGATGAAGGTCAATGTTTGGATTATGAACATAAAACTTTATTAGGACCAATTTTAAGATTATCACCATTAATCGATAATGTTGCCAATTATTATTTTGGTGCAAATTTCAATAGTAACAATTATTCTTTGGTTAATTCAACTTATGATTCTTTAACCAATGAATATAAAGTAGTCATTGACAGATTGTTTTATATTATAGATAAGTTGGTTCGTGGAGGAGCAGAGGTCAGAAATCATTTATTACAATGGTTTAGTAAATTAATCAATTTGAGTCATTTAAGAACAGGTTCTCATGCTGATAGTTCAAAATTACCTTCTGATGGTATGATGTTTAACATTTCCATCATTTTAATCAAATTAAGTTTACCATTTTTGGATTATCCAAATTTTGGTAAGATTGATAAAATTGATATTGATTATTTAGGTAAGAACAAATTAGTTGACTTGAAAGACGAAACTAGAGTTAATTCTTCGATCCAAGAGTCTACGGATTTTTACAAAGACATACAAGGTGATACCAATTTCATAAGTGATTGTTTCTTTATCACTCTTACTTATTTGAATTATGGTATTGGTGGTATAAGTGTAAGATATGATAAGTTAAAAAACCAAATAAACCAATTACAAGAAAGGGTTGATATGATTGAAAGGAATGAAGTTCCTGCTGGTAGTAATCCAATGATGATCAATTTCTTAAGATCTCAATTACCCAAGTTGAATCAACAATTGAATTATTTAAAATCCTTCAAACATGTAACAAAAGCTATTTTCAATTATCGATCATTACAATTTGAAATTTTTGATTTCATAATCGGAGCTTCAGTGTTTTTAACCAGAGTTATTGATCCTCAACATAAATATCCTCAAACTAAGTTATCCATCCCAATCTTCAAAATTAATAAAGTAAGTGAACTTGATGATCAAGATTTCTTGAGAACTAAATGTCCTGAACCATGGAAATATTTCCCTGAATTTTGGGTTGAAGGGATTATTAATTACTGTAAATTCACTACTAAATTCAGAGGATGTCCCTTGGTTAATAATTTAGAGAAATTATCGAAATTTGTTGAATTTACAATCATTTTACTTAGATGTCCAGAAGTCTTAGGTAATCCTCATATGAAATCCAGCATCATTGAAATCTTATTTATTGGATCTTTACCTTTAACCAATGGAGATCCTGGATTCATGGCAGATATTTTTAATAACAATGAAATTGTAAAGAATAACATTTTATACTCACTATTAGATATCTATGTTATGATTGAAAAGACTGGTGCATCATCCCAATTTTATGATAAGTTCAATTCTCGTTATTATATTTCCATCATTTTAGAAGAATTATGGAAAAATGATTATTATAGAAATCAATTAAAGAGCTATTCCATAAAGAATGTTGATTTCTTCATTAGATTTATTGCTAGAATGTTAAATGATACTACTTACTTATTAGATGAAACTTTCAATGAATTAAATCAAATTCATGATTGTCAAGTTGAAATTAAACGTAGACAAAATGGTCAAGGAGAAAATGAAGAATTGGGTACTACTGATGAATTGATTAAAAACTTAGAATCAAGTGAAAGAAAGGCTAAAAGCTATATGGGATTAAGTAATAAAACTATGGAATTATTCAAATTATTTACTAAAGAAGTACCAAAAGGTTTTGTATTACCAGAATTAGTCGATAGATTAGCAGGGATGTTGAATTATAACTTATCGGCCATGGTAGGACCAAAATGTAAGAATTTGAAAGTTGAAGATCCTACTAAGTATGATTTTGATCCTAAAACCACCTTACAAGGATTATGTGAAGTGTATTGTAATTTATCAAAAGAAACAGAATTCATTAAAGCTGTTAGTAGAGATGGTAGATCTTTCAATATTGAATGGTTCAAAAAAGCTGTTAATGTTTTACGTACCAAAACATTAACTAACCCCAAAATTATTGATCAATTAATGGAATTGGGTGAAGTAGCTGAAAAACAAAGATTAGAAGATGAACAAGAAGAATTAGAATTAGGTGAAGTACCTGATGAATTCTTAGATCCTTTGATGTATACAATTATGGAAGATCCTGTTATATTACCAACATCAAAAGTTGTCATGGATAGATCAACTATAAAAGCTCATTTATTAAGTGATCCAACTGATCCTTTCAATAGATCACCATTGAAATTAGAAGATGTTATTGATGATATTGAATTAAAGGAAAAAATTCAACAATTTAAAAGAGGAGGTAAGTAATAAAATACACTTTATATTAAAATATACCTATTTAAGCTTTGATAGCATAAGTTCTTTTTGGGAAACTAATTTTTTGTTTTCTAGCTTTATCAGTGATTCTGGTAGCTTCGAATTTGGTTAATTGTCTTCTGATAGCTCTAGTTTTTTTAGCTCTTAAATCTTTTGGAATGTATTTTTTACCAGCGTAGAAAGCTTTAACATTATCTCTTTGGTTTAAGTTGATGATAGTTAAAACTTTAGCAATGTTTTTTCTAACAGTGTGAATTCTTGGTAATGATGGTTTTGATAATTTTTGAACTTTTAAGTTAGCTAATTCTTGTTTTAATTCAACTAATTGAGTTTCTAATTGTTCCTTAGATTTAGTACGTAATTCAAATGCTTTAAGACCAGCCTAAAATTTGTTAGTATATAGGGTTCATATTAACGGGGATATTTCTTTGTTAAGGTCTAAAGTGGACTCTTGGTTTAAACTTGGGAGACACATTCATGTAAGATGGTTCGTTCTTTTGAATACTTCACTGACTATCCATCACTGATTATCCATCATCTCATCTTAGATATTTCAAGACAGTATCATCTTTATTCGATGATTCAATATAACTTCAATAACATATTTGTCTACTTATTCATATAACATAATTCGGTCAACCATAACTTCAATATCTTTCATATTTATTTAATTAAACATACCATTTTCAATAGTTTATGATTATAAAATTTTTCACTTTTTTTTTCTCAAGTATTTTCACTAACAAATTTCTGTCGTTGGCCACGACCATAGTTAAGCGGATTGTCGTTAGAGACGTTAACTATGGAGTGTCGTAGGAAGCGCGACACTTCACTTTTCCCTCAATTCTCACTGTTGTTAGGCTGATTAGGGAGAGACGTCACATTATGCGCACATGATATTCTAGGGCTGATGCCCTGGATATAATAGAATAAATTAAAGATTTTTCTTCAACTAAGTTCAATACTAATTTGGCTTTAAGAGTTCGCTTGAGTTTGTTTAAGTTCCTATAATATCGGCTTTGAGTTTCCAGAATCGACCATGAATAGTTCATTTGATCAGTTCTTAATGTAACACTCATATCTTTAACTATAACGAAAAATAATTTTCACTCTTCCTTACAACCTCTTATCAATGATCTTCAACCATTAATAATCGTTCGATCTCCCCTACACTGACATCCGCCATTAACATCCTTGCAAAACACATCTTCTAGGAATATCATGAAAATTGAAAAATCGTCTTATCTAATCTGCTTATCGATCAGATCAATACTATTTATAGAACGCGTTACTATTATCCGGACCCCTCCCCCTCTAGTTATGACAACTTCTTATCGAACCAGACTTCTAGATCAAACATATTAAGTGATGGCTACTCCTTTTCACGGGTTACGGGTCATCGAACTCTAGAGATTAGAGAATTAAAAATGGTCACGAAGTTGACGAGAATCGAAAATGAAACTTGTCCACTATTCAAGATTGCGATTTAATTGATAATATATTAACAACTTTAACTATTCCAATATCTTAGACAGAAATTATCAAGGACAATCAATATCTAATCTCTTTTTTTAACCAGATGGGGAAAAATTCTTTCATATAATGAAATAATTTATGAATAATTCATGGATTTTAGTTAGTTAAATTAAGATGAATTTTTCAAGTTGGTTGATAACCATTCTAAACCTTCGTATAAACCATCACCAGTGGTAGCACAAGTAGCTTGGATGTACCAAGGTCTTTGTCTAATAGAATGTAAACCTAATTTTTCGGTTATTTCAGCAGCATTCATAGCATTTGGTAAATCTTGTTTATTAGCGAAAACTAATAATAAAGCATCTCTTAATTCATCTTCATTTAACATTTGTTGTAATTCTTCTCTGGCTTCAGCAATTCTATCTCTATCATTGGAATCAATTACGAATATAATACCTTGAGTATTTTGGAAATAGTATCTCCATAATGGTCTAATTTTATCTTGTCCACCAACATCCCATACAGTGAATGAAATATTCTTGTATTCGACAGTTTCAACATTGAAACCAATAGTTGGAATAGTAGTAACAATTTCACCTAATTTTAACTTATATAATATAGTAGTCTTACCGGCAGCATCTAAACCAACCATTAAGATTCTCATTTCTTTGTTTCCAAATAAATTATTAAATAATTTTGAAATTGATAAACCCATGATGTATTAATGTTTTCTAATTCAATTCTCCTTATATATCCAAAAAAAACTATAATTAATTCACCAAAATTACCTGTTAAATTTGTTCAAAATTTTAAGTTGTTTTGGTTTAGGGGGAAAATTTTCATTCGACAAAGGAGCGAGATTTGGTTGACCATTTTGAGAATCAGGAAAAAATTCACTTGGTGTGACATACCAATTTCTTTATTGTTAAAGGACGCGTAACTCTAAATTTAGTAATGATATAGGGGGTTGATTTAGTATAGATGTTTGATGGTTACCTAGTTGTAATGGTCATCAAGTTTTGAAAGATTTAGAGTACACTTGTACAAAAAAAACATCATTTATATATACCACGGTTGAGATCGGTACACGACCGGATCAGATTTAGTTAAACGAATGATAGACATAATAGAAGTAATTAATATTATTATAAATTAAACCCCGTATGTAGATACATGCTTATTCTTGATGGTTATCTTTTTCGATCCACTAATAAAGTGAATTTCAGTTGGTTAATTAGTAAATCATTTTACTGCGGTTCACTTGGTTACTTACCAACATTTACTTTACTTTTTGCATAATTTTGTAAAGCTCTAATAAATACAGCATAAGTGACATCTTTGTTATCATATTCCCAATAAAATTCTGTTAACCTTATATGCCAAGGTGGATAATCTTGTAAATCCAAATTAGGATTAAATATGATTAAAAGATCAGGCTCATTACCAACTAATTCAATTAATTCTTCATTGATAAGATCAATGGTTATGTCCTCAATCTTCAATTCTTTATTAACAGCTAATTCACTCATAGTTTTAGTTAATTCAACTATTGTGGGTTTACCATCAATTGCACTTAATAAATTAACAGTCAAATCAACAGGTTTCGAAGCATCATTAACCATAATTTGACCTACATGTGGAATTTTAATAGTTATATTTGGAATGTACTCTGTACCAAAATAATTCTTCAAATTCTTATTAATATAACGATTTAATTCTCCATTATAAGTATTGATAATACCATTATATTCATAAATATTCAATTCAGCTATTCCAGCACTGACTGACCATGCAACAAGTTCACTTATATCGAAAATCAATCCATCGATACCTCCATTCTCATCATCTTCATCTTTAAAATTCAAAATACATGATAATCTTTTAGGAATCTTATTTAATTTATTTACATCATCTCTGATTATATGAGGAGATTTATTTGGATAATATGTAACATTCAATGATTTTAAAACAATTTTTCTGTAAATCCATAAGAAATTCTTATAAATAGACATTATGAAAAATACCATCAAAAGAATGGAATGATTAATATAATATAAAATCAATTCGGTTATAGTTTGATTTTTATCTAAGATCTTGATCGATCTTAAGAAATTGTTAATTAACATGTAAAATACTGTGAAGACATTCAAACTTCTATACTTATTTGGAGGTTCTAGCTTACCTTCATTATGTATAACGGGTGCTTCAACAACTTTATCTTTAGATTTCCCACTATGGGTGGACCAAGTATGTCCATTGACTTTAACTGTGGTCATGATATCTTTTTCTTTTTCTATGGAAACTTTCACTTTTATGCGATTCCCTGATTCTTTATCTATTTATCCAAACTGATCTATCAAAATGACAGGTTGCAAAATAATAGATCTAACTTTAACCTTATTTAGAAACAATTGAAACCCTGAAGATCCTTCAGTTATGACTTGGTCTCTATCCAATAATCTTTATATTCAACTCTTATCAATGAAAATCACCGATAAAAAATTTTCAAAATTGTGGAGATAAATGATGTATACCAATTCTTCAAAACTAGTTAATATCTTCCAATAAGCCCCTAACTACTATGTAATACTTTCCTAATCAATTTCTCACCTGTGAAAATTGATCTACTTATGAATTCTACGGCTTCAAACCCCTCAAATATATAATTTTCCAACCTTTGTGAAATTGTTAGACACGCCAAGGGTAACAGGAAAAGAAAAAAAATTCTCAGTATCATCAAATTTAAATCTGGTGAGATACAACTACAAGGTTGAAAATTTATTTGTGACAAACCTTTATTAACGATATTCCATTTGATTATTGGAAGTTCTTATTATTAAGAGGAATCATTTCTGTTTTAGGAAACATTCATTTCCATTCGATTTGAAAAATCTGAAAAGAAATGACGGTATCAAAACGATTGAGTGATTTTCTAAATAATCTATTTTATGATAATGATATCCAAGAAGAGTATTATGTGAAGATGAGGAATAAATCCTCTTCAACTTCTGCGTTTGCTGTAGGTTTAGTGGCAGCTGTTGGGGGGTTTTTATATGGTTATGATACAGGATTAATCAATGATATATTGGAGATGAAATATATAACCACCCACTTTCCTAAAGACCATGTGGAAGGTTTTAGTGTGCATGAAAGAGCTATTATAACAGCTATCTTGTCATTAGGAACATTTTGTGGAGCTATCACTGCTCCTTTGATTTCAGATAATTATGGTAGAAAATTTAGTATTATAGTATCGTCAGGAATTTTGTTCACCATAGGGAATATACTTCAAGTTAGTAGTAATGGTAATGTGTTACTTTGCGTAGGGAGATATGTCTCGGGGTTGGCTATTGGGATTTTATCGGCTATTGTACCCTTATATCAAGCTGAAGCTTCACCAAGATGGGTTAGGGGTTCAGTGGTTTATTTATATCAATGGGCTATTACTTGGGGTTTATTAGTGGCCAGTGCTGTTTGCCAAGGTACTAGAAATCTCGACAATAGTGGATCTTATAGAATACCTATAGGATTACAATTTTTGTTTGCTTTAATTTTATGTGGGGGTATGTTATTTTTACCAGAAAGTCCACGTTATTATGTTCAAAAAGATAAGCTAGATAAAGCTTTAGCAAGTTTATCGAAATTAAGAAGAATCGAACAAAATGATCCTGATTTGATTGAAGAATTGGTAGAAATTAAAGCAAGTTACGATTATGAAATGTCTTTTGGGAAAACCAAATTAATTGATTGTTTCAAAAATGGTGGTGGTAGAAATAAACAAGTCTTAAGAATGATTACAGGTATGGGGATTCATGTATTTCAACAATGTAGTGGTATAAACTTCATTTTCTATTATGGAGTTAATTTTTATTCCAGTACTGGAGTGTCTAATTATTATTTGATGTCTTTCATTACCTATGCTGTTAACACCCTTTTCACTATCCCGGGAATTTTATTGATTGAAATTATAGGTAGGAGATTATTGTTATTAGGTGGAGGTATAGGAATGACGATATCAAATTTAATTATTGCCATTGTAGGGGTATCAGTATCTGATGATAATATCAGTTCCAAAGTATGTATTGCCTTTTCATGTGTATTTATTGCATTTTTCGCCGCCAGCTGGGGTGGAGGTGTTTGGGCTTTGACATCCGATTTGTTTGGTATTAGTATTAGACAGAAAGCTATTTCAATAACTGCATCTACTAATTGGTTGGTCAATTTCGTATTTGCTTTCATAACACCTTATTTGATCGATACAGGTGAACATACTGCTGCCTTGGGTACGAAAATTTTCTTCATTTGGGGTGGTCTTAATTTTATGGGTGTGATCTTTGTTTATCTCATAGTGTACGAAACCAAAGGTTTAAAATTAGAAGAAGTCGATTATATGTATAAAGTTTGCTCAGGACCAAGAGAATCTAAAAAGTTTCAAAGTACGAAAATTCATTACGATAATATTGATACTTATCAATTTGATTTCATGCAACCACCCTATCAACCAATTGAACCTAGGAATGCCAAGTCGAGTGAATCTCCAACTACAGGACCTAGCGATATTTCAAGTGAAACTGATGGTCAAAGACTAGATCGTTCTGATCAATCTGATCAATCATCATCTGAATCTGACACAGATAGCATTCCACCACATCAACCAATATTTCAAACTCAACAAATCAATTATTCGGAGGTTCAAAAATCAGATTATGAAAAGTATTTAGAGAGTTTAAAAACTGATGATTCAAGTCATTTGGAGAGTAAAAATAGTAGACTCAGTAGAGGTAATAGTACACAAATAAGTAGACTTGGTAGTGGCAGTCAATTAGGAAGTAAAAAATATGAATCATCATCCACATCCATCAACGTTAAAGGAACTAATATCATTGCACCATTCTTTGAAGCACCTCCAAGTGATTCTGATAGTGATTGTCTGTAGCTTTGATTTTCCTGGAATACCTTTTCAAACATCCTCAGAACAAATCCTTAGACATTCAAAAACAGTGTTGTAAAGCAGACATTCTAAATCAAGTATTTAAAAAAAATATGGCCCGGAGTCATTGTATAATAGATAAAATTCAATTCGCATTTCTCTAACCTTCTCTAACCTTGGCCATGAAAGATGAAGACAAGTTTTTGATACACGAAAATATCAAATCAGGGAACACATTGATTGCCAGCCAATTGATAAACGAAAACCCCCAATTAAATTTAAGAGCTGATGAAGATGGTAGGTGTCCAATTCATTGGGCAGTTTCTATGAATAATTTTGAGATGGTAAAATTATTAGGATCTAAAGGAAATCTCGATATTGATGAATTGATCGATGATAGTGGTTGGACAGCTATACATATAGCTTGTAGTATAGGTAATGAAGAGATGCTTGATTACCTTATGAAATTAACGCCTACTCCAGATGTTAATTTGAAGACAAATCAAGGTGTTACGCCACTTCACCTAGCTATACTGAAAAAAAATTTAGGTGTAATAAAAAAGTTAATTATCGAATACAAATGTAAATGTAATGTTAAAGATAAGAATGGATATACTCCATTACAGAGAGCATCATCAATTGGATTATTATCAATAATAACTTTATTGAATGAAAAAGGGAAAGTGAATTTGAATTCCACCGATAATTATGGTTGGACTGCTTTACATCATGCATTGGCTGAAGGTAAAGGAGATGCAGCCAAGTTATTAATTGATTTAGGAGCCGATAAAGAAGTTAATAGTCCTGATGGGTTACCAATCGATGTTTGTGTTGATGAAAAAATCAAAAAATACGTTTTCCAGTAAATCATTCAATTGACTCTAATCAATTGCTGATAAATTGACAAAGCCAATTATCAATTGGTTTACTAAAGTAAATAGCAAATTATTAAAAAAATGGTCACATTAATGACTGAGAATATGTCGCTCTCAAGAACTTAACTTCCAACTCAACAAAAAAATGACCTAAAGACCTCTAACACGGTTTCAAACTAAACATTAAATTTCGGGTATTCAAATATAATTTAATTGAATTATCGGTCGATACTTGGTCTTATTTATAGTTACTCCAACATATTTCCATTCGGATTTTTGCTCCTTATCTAATTATATGCATGGGGATTGCGGCTCAGCATACGTTCCTGTGCAAAGACCACCTTCTCACCGTTTTAGGTCTAGTAATTCGCACACTACCACTAATTAAACTAAATTAGTCAATTTCATTACCGCAATAGGAACTTATGTGGACTAACTGAAATGGCCGGGTAATGATCGAACTTGAAACGAACGCTCATTAAAGTCGACCGGGTAACCTAATGAGGTAACTGTTTAGGAAATGTCCCCAAAAAGGAATTTAAGACATTTTTGGAATTGACGGATTTTAAAAAAATCAAAACATTTAACCGGGATAAAAATATAAGCAATTTAAAATTCAGTATTTAAATATTTTCATTCCTCAGGGTTTTTTTTCCTCAATTAATAATTGAATAATCAATAAATAATTTTTTATAATGTTAGCAATTGGTGACGTCGTATTAAGATCAGTTAACTTTACTTGTTTAGTTATTGCTTTAGCTTTAACCGGTTCATTAGCTGCCACCACAAATTTTCAATCCAATCCTCAAGTTAATTTTGGGGTATTTGCTGCAGCTTTCGGTTTATTAACTTCAACCGTTTATGGAATCTTAGCTTATTTCATTGCAGCTTTTGCTTGGCCATTCATCTTAGCTACTTTTGATGTCTTAAATACCATTTTCACTTTTGCTGCCGCCACCGCTATTGCTGCCGGTATTAGAGTTCATTCTTGTTCTAATGAAGATTACCTTGATGATAACAACATTGCTCAAGGTTCATCAGGTAGATGTAGAAAAGCTCAAGGTTCTGCTGCCTTCCTTTACTTTTCTTTCTTCATCTTTTTAGCTTCAAGTGTTTTCTCATTTATTAGTGTCACCAGAGGTGGATTATTTGGTTCAAAATCATCCGCTAGAGTTGGTGTTCCAACTATGTCACAAGCCTAAATTAATTGAGTGAAAATATTTCATTTTTGAATTTATTTCTTCAAAATTCCAATTTTATATACCAATTTTTCCCTGTTATATTGATATAATAACTAAGGGTGTGTAGTAGTTTGTATCGTTAATAAAAGTAGTCCGTGTTAATTTCAACTCTAATTGAGCGTTATTTTGAGCAATTGATCAATTATCCTGCTCAATGGCTTAACCCCAGATTTTCGAAGTTTCAGAGTTACAAATTTTTACTAACCGTATATTAATCTATTGCTTTCTTCTTCTCTTTTCTTTGGCATAATCGTTCTTTTCTTTACCTTCTATAGTTGAAATAGAATTAACAATATTAGCCATTTTCTTATGATAATCATCATACATTTTAACTTTTTCTTTAAGTTTCTCTTGAGCTTCGAATCTATTTTGTTTTCTGAAATCTTTCATTTGATTCTTTGTTTCTCTCTTAACTAATTTCTTCAACTTGTTAACTTCGGATTGTTCTAAGTTATCATAAACTTTATTAGGATTGAAATTTTCTTCATATTTTGGTTGAAAGGTTTTGATAGCCAATTGTTTGTGGGATTGTAATTTTAACGGTATTAATTTTATATTACTATTGATTTTAGTCAATTTCTCAATTAATGTAGTTAATTTCTTGGTAGGGTTACCGAAATTATGCAATAAAGGTAAAATTGATTGATTCAAATTCTTTAAAATTGAATAATCTTTATATTGAGAGTTAACTTTATCAATGATGGTGAATAATTTGTTGACTAATTTACTTTCAGTATTCGTTTGGAAAATCTCATCAACTGACATTAAATCTTCTTCGTCTTTTAATTCAATCTTTTGATATTTGGTTAATAAATCTTTGATAATGAAATTGATCTCTGGTATGAATCTCTTAGAAATTCTTTGATATTGTAAAAGTAAATCCATCATGAAAACTACTATTCCGTCATGTTTATAATTAAGAACGACCTCATTCATTAAGATCAAATTGGGAATGACAATTAAATGATATTTATCAGAAGTTGAAAATAAGAACCCACAAATAACAAAGAATATCAAATCTGACTTTTCGAGTTGATTGGTCTCGATTCTTTCTTGTATTAAAAGCATTTCGTCTCTCATGGTTTGAACCAAGGTTTCGTTATATGATTCACAAAGTTTCTTCAAGACTGGTATTAAATCATTTTGAGGTGAATGGCATAAATATTTGAATAAATTCAGAACAAATTTATTCATTCTAGCTTTATTGCCTTCTCTTAAATGTGGCTTGTAGTTTTTTATGATGTTATTGATGAATGATATACCTTTTTCTGAAACTTGAGTATCGAAAGTATCATAATCTTCAAACTCCACTTCTTCATAAGATTCTTCATCTTCTTCCTCTTGCAAGTCTTGTTTGTTTTCCTCTTGATCATCTTCTTCTTCACTTTCCCAGAAATCTAAATCATCACCTTGAGCTTCTCTTTCACCTTCCATTCTGGTTAATCTATCTTGTTCCAATTTTTTCATTTTTTCTTCATATTCAGTTCTTTTCTCTTCATCTGTTTTGGTCTTATCAGCAGGTACTGATCTTTTATCGTAAACTAATTCTCTGACTTTGTTATCATATTCGATTTCTTCAGGTTTTTTAGTTGAAAATGCATTGTTAGCAGAAGGTTTAGAATTGAACTCTCCCATTATATCTTGGAATTCATCATCCAACTCATCAATTTCTTGTTGGGTTTGGGAATGCAATTTTTGTCTTTCTTGTTTATATTTCTTAGACTTAGCAATGATTTCAGCCATGACTTCTTTTTTGGTTTTCTTTCTTGCTGGTTCTAAATCTTCTTCTTGAACTTCTTGAGGTTCTTCCATATCTTCAGGTAATAATTTACCTGAATGGGTTAATTGGAAATCTCCTTCATCATCATCATATTCATCATCACTTTCTAAACTGAATTTACTCTTACTACTCTGTTCTCTTTCTTTGATGAATCTTTCCAACATCTTATCCTCATCTCCTAAATTACTATTCTCACCAAATCTTTTATCAATAATTTTACCATTTCTTCCCTTACGTGATTTATGAGCTTCGTAAGCTAATTTAAGATTCTTATTCAAAAATGAATTGGTCTTAGATGTATTTTTTACATTACCTTTCCCTATAGTAACAAATTTCCCATGTTCAATAGTTGTAACATCTCTCTTTACTCTATTAACTTTATTATCGAAAACATTAAATTTTTCTCTAATTTCTCCTAATTTTTCTTTAGTCTTATCCCTATCAGCAGGTCTTTTCTTATTCTTGATATTGGTTTGTCCAATAAGACCTTGAGACTTTAATTCTGCCTTTAACTTTTTCAATTGTGATCCAGCCATAATTAAAGAGATGAGATAATTTTTCGCGATGATGAAAATGTTGCAAAAAAAAGGCTGCAAAAATGCTATTTATTTAATTCTTATTTAAATCTTGTTTATAAAATTGATTCAACATTCCCAAAACTCCTGATTTCCCTAATTTGATCTCTTCTTCATCATCAGAAGCATTGAATTCATATGAGTTAATAAAATTAGAATTATCTGGACTATCCTTTTTAGTTACTGGTTTAGTAGCTGTGGTTGTAACATTATCCGGTTGATAACTTTCTAGGAAATACATGTAAGATTTTATCATCTTATCATCTTGATATAAATCAGAATCATTTGATTTTTTACGTTTATGCTTATTGTTAGCCATCATATTCTTATCTTTCTGTTCAAAATTAAACATGGAGAAATAACAAATATATCCTAAACCATCAATATGAATGGAATAATCTCGGAAAAAATCAATTATTGAACTTGATAAATTAGACATCTTAAACCATAGTAAAAATGGAGTTAATATAATACTTAAAATCTCATTAAATATGATTAAAATCTTCAAATTGAACAATTGACAATATTCATTTTTCACTTGTTGAGTATGCAATTTACCTTGCCAATGGGAAGGTAAATAATGGGTGAATTGTGAAACATACTTGATAGATGCTTCTGGATCATAATAGTAGTTCTTATTATCATTATCACTCGCACCGGTTGATGATGAAGGTGAACCGTTGGAAGTAATAGCAAAAATTGTACCAAAGATACTAATGTAAAATAATGTTGATCTGTTCTCTGTCAATTCAAATGACCAAAAACTATGATCTTCATCTTCTAGAAGCAATCCAAATATTACTAATATAGTTAAAATTGAACCACTTATGAAGTTCACCAAATAAGTGAAATTAATTACAAGGAAACTTGATGGAAATTGATTTATATAATTATTTGAAGGCCCAATAGAAAGTTTGATCCTTTTATTGAAAAAATGGGGTAATTCGTTAAATTCTCTTAATTTCCATTCAGCAAATGGAGTAAATTGCCTTAAATTGATCAAGTATGAAGGATTTAATCTATAATCATTAAAATTACTGAAAAAGTATAATAAAATAAAATAAATTACCAAAAATGGTGAAAGTATCAAATTTATTATAGCTGCCATTTTGAATCTTTTATTCAAATCCGCTGATAATTGGTTTCTATTGAAATCTTTCAAAATGTTATTATTTATTTGTCCATTAGTATTGAAGATGAAATTGAAGATACATAATTTTAAATTCCATTCCAAGGTTTTGGTTAAAACATTAGAATTTGTCAATTTTATAGGTCCAAAATTCACCGAAAGGTCGATTATATCTTTATTTATCAATGCAATAAAATAATTCTCTTTCCTCATAATCCTATTGGCAATATCTTGTGGATTAAGTCTTATTTTTGAACTCAAATCATTCAAAATCTTATCATTATCATCGCTTGTTAAACTATTGAAACTTTTTAATTGTAGAATCTTTTCAACAACTTTAATCCAACTTATGGTCATTAACTCATCATCGTTTCTTATATCTATCAATTGATGATAGAAGTTTTGAATCTCCTTCAACTTATATTTGTAGTCGAAATATAATTGAACTGACCTTAATATTATGTAACTTACAAACCCAAGTAATAGAAACTTTATGAAAATGGGTAAATTCCAGATATAATGAGGTCTTACTAGATCGTTCAAAGTTATCTTCTCATCATAATTTATATCCCAATTCTGAAATGCTTCGTAATTGACTCCCCATTTAAGGAATACACTAAACCAAAGGATGAATGCAATGATAAACAAATCTATCACTTTTGATAACACTATATTATTGACTCCTCTGTTACGATAATAATAATACATATCATTCAAGAATTCGTCCATGTTCACTATATTAGCCCATAAGTATAATGCTCTTTCCTTTGGAGGTATTTGGAATCTTGAACGAAACTTCTTGTTATGTTCAACGGTTGGTTTCTTGGTCCTATTACCCAAAATACTACTTTGGCCCTTATTAATATTCCTATCTTGATTCCTGGACTCATTATTTCTTGAATCTTGATTGCTATTACCTTCCTGAGGTATGTTGAACTTGATGGACTTTCCTTTATTGTCTATATCATGCTTTGGAATGTTCCAATTAATATTTGATTGCTGAACACTTTCATCACTATCACTATCACTATCAGAGTTTAGTATATCTCTATCTCTTCTCTTTAAATTTGAAAGATTTATGGGCTCCACCGAATTGAAATTATTCTCTAGATCATTGGTATCATCATAATATTGATAATTATCATTCAATTGATTATAAACCGAATGTAATCCGAATACCCGTGATAGAAATGTATCATCGTTAGATTGGTTCATGATAAGGATAATCGCGCTGGTGATAGAAAAATTATTTGTGATATTTACAGGGTTCTATACAACTGGTTCACATGACATCATCAAAGATTGCATTGACATCAAGAAAATCAGTATAAAAGTCTTCCACTTCATTGTTGGTGTTGATTTTGTGGAGACTTTCAAGATTAGTAGTATATAATTGATTCTCATAATTGGATTGGGATTGATAAAGTTCAGGAATGATTTGTTGCAATTTTAAGAAATGGTTTTCTAATTTTGGAGTTGTGTAATAGAAACTAGTCTTTGATTTGACTAATTTCAAGCAAATTTCTAAACAAACGCCACCTATAACATAGTAGAAAAACTCTCTAATAATTGACCCTGATTCTACTTCCTTGGAATAAAAGACCTTATCCAACACATCAGCCAATAATTCAAAGTCTTGTATTGATACTCGATGAGGATTATCGCAAAAGAATGAAAGCATAGTCAAATAGGCAGCTGATGAACAATTTAGTTTCCAATACAAGGAATGGAAGGCGGTTTCCTGTTTGTTAATCAGAAGCATGGTGTAAAGTATGGTTCTTGCACAGTCTAAACTCAATTTTTGGAATGGTTCGGCTTTAGGGTGATTCACTTGTCCCAAATATCGATTTATTGTCATGATATGATGGAAATAAGAGAATTGAAAAGAAAAACCTAATCTGGCATTGGGGTGTTTGGATATGTTCTCTAGCCTGGCTATAAATTCTTCATCATAGTAGAAGACGGGTCTAAATTTTGCATCCATAATTGATATCATTTTTTCACTTTCAAAATTCAAATCCTTGACAATCTTGGATAATTGGTTGAATGATTTAGTAGCTTGGACACTAAACACCAAAAAATATGCTTTGTATCGTGATTTAAATAGGTTATACATGAAATAAGCAAAATAGTCCATTTTGTTGGTATGAGAAATATCCAACGGATCAACATCAAGGAATTGCTTTACTTGTGAATCGCTTACCGGTTTAACATCCATAGGGTTAATTATAGGGTTTTTCCCATAACGGTGACTTATTTCGATATCGAGATATTCACATACTGACCAAATTCCAAAATTAGTGGAGTTATCTAATTTCCTATTGATTCCTATTTCTTGAGCATATCTTATAACAATTGAAAGTTGAGTATGGGTTATCTGTGTACTTATCCAAGAATTTTCCAAGAACATAATCAACAATAATATACCTTGAACGGTCCTTAAGCCATCATTGGATCTAATCTTTTCGTAGTAATAAACAGAATGGGAGAAAAATCTACTCTGTAAGAAGACAAGATCATCATTTGAATGTTCATACGTTTCATTTCCTTTGATAACATTGTTAAGCATCAATAATATACAGCAACTGAGTCCCATATTCATCATTAATAATTCGCTGAAACTCAACTTCCTTTGCTTACTATAATAGATTTCAAACAACTGAGTCAAAGTTTCAACATTACAAACACTTCTTACTAAAGGTAGACTATCAAAAACTTCAAGAATCTTGTAGACCACTTTAGAATTTGGGAATATCCCATTATGTAATTTCTCTAATTGCTCGTTATTCAATGTAGGATAAGTCCAAAGTTCATTAAACTCTATATTCTTCTGTTTTGATAACAACAGAAGATTACCGAATGCTAAAAGGGTTTTATCCCCTATCAACTGTGACCTCATACTATCCAATCTCTCCTGAGCTAAGAATTGGAAACTGCTATGTCTCCCTTGCAACTTGGTGAATCTTTCGGATGTTGAGGTAAGTAAATTCAAAGAAAGCTCTGGCAAATCAACCTCGAAATCACCAGCAGCTTCATCATCAAAGTTCGGAGCTGTACCACTAGGAATAAACCCTATTTGTGGATCGTTGATAAATGTATGTAGCTTTTCAAACATCAATTGTTTCTTTGTCTTACCGCACAGATCCAAAGGTGGGGTTTCTATTTTGGGATTTTTTAAAAAGACTTTCAATAGGATTACTTACTTAAAGGATATCAGTCAGGGACCAAGAGTAAAGTAGTAAAATACCTTGTTCAGCAAATACTTCTTTAGGAATGTTTTTTACTAAGCCAAATTTATTTTTTTTGTTTTTAATAGCAATTTTAGTGAATTTTACAGGAAATTGTTAAATTCCTAAACTGAAAAAAGATAAGAAAAAATAGAAAAAAAAAAAACAAAGGTCGAACCAACTGTACGACTATTATGACCACTTTCCTGTCAAACTTTAAGTGAATAAATTGATACCTAGGTTTCATTTTGAGAGAATGGCTCAGAATCATTGAACCATAACCTTTAAGTGTAGGTTCGAAAACCACAACTATTCTGTATTATTCCCCATCATTGATCTATCCTTTCTCCAACATCTACCACATTCCCCAACCCCCTTTATCTTTATTGATACCCAATCACTCTTCCTAAGCCTTGCATTTTGAATATAATTAAATGTACTAAAATGGAAAAGTAATTACTAAAAATGTCTCACGTGACCGAAAATTTCCTAATTAGGAATATTAAACACACGAAGAGTTGCAAAAAATAATGTCACTTCAAAATTATATATTTACCTTCATTAATCTTTCTAATTCACCACAATCCATGGCCATTAAATTATCCAAGAGATCAGAAGAATTGGATAGAGAAGTCAACGAGAAGTTCGTTGAAGCTCCTAAAAAGCTTACCAGTTATTTACTTATAACATTAGTATTATCAGTAATAATTTTTATCCAAAACTTATACTTACTTAATGATTCAACCAATCCACAATTTCAATTAGTTATGAAAAAAGGTAATAATGACAGTGAAGAGATATTGAGTACCATGAAAAATTCCCTCTTAATGGTATCATTCCTTGCCCACGATTTTAAAGCTGTATCTTTGGATACTATTGAAAACATTGATACTTTTGATGCCGGTACCAAATATGATTTGTACTATAATGGGTATGGAAAGTATGAATTCAATAGCTCTGAAATATCATATTTCAGAGAAACCAATGGATTAGATATTTTCGAAGATTTAATCAATGACGTTGCAGTTCAAGTGTCAGGAATATCAAAGTCCAATACCACAGCATTAGTAAATCCTTTAATGAGAACTTTTACCCACACTGTCGGCAGTGTTAGTGAAATGTATGATGAATACAAAGCTACTGGTGATATACCCGAACATTTTAATGAAGATACGTTGAAACTTGGTAGAAGTGCTAATAACATTGAAAAATTTGCCAAATTCATGAAAAATTACCCCCAAATCTCCATTATAATATCATTCATTTCAACTTTATCATTATTCGTATTGGTAAATGTCATGTTATTCAGAAATGATTCCAAAAGATTGATTTTGGCAGTTGTTTTTACTGAATCATTCCAAACTATTTGTTTGTTCTGTTCATGGGCAAGTCAATATAGATATTATTATAAGTTGAACAAAGTATTAACAAGATTCAATTTAGCTAAATTAACTATTGCCAATGGATATACATTCTTACAAATAATGTTAATTTTATCATTCACAATCCAAGCTATTTGGATTTATAATTTCTGTACTAAGAAAAATTAATGAGATATGGAACCAGTCTTTTATGACTTGATAGAGAGATACCGATGATTATGTAGAAAATACACTTAATTCATTCATTTAATTATAAACTTTCTTGAAAGCTTGTTCGAAATCTTCGATCAAATCGTCCACATGTTCAGTACCAATCGATAATCTGATTAATCCTTTGGTAACACCTGAGTCTATTTTCTCTTGCTCAGTTAATTGTTGATGGGTGGTATAATAAGGAGCAATAACCAATGATTTGGAATCACCGACATTGGCTAAATTACTGAATAATTGTAAATTATCAACTAATTGTGGAGCAGCTTCTTTAAATATATTTTCTGATGGTTTATCGAAAGGTTTGACCTCAATTGCAAGACAACCACCATAAACACCAGGATTATTCAAATATTTCTTACTTAATTCGTGACTTTCATGACTTTCTAATCCCAAATAACTAACAGTTTCTACATGAGGGGATTTTTCGAAATATTTTGCTAAAGCCAAAGCATTGGCACTTTGTCTTTCAACTCTTAAAGATAATGTTTCTAAACCTTGTAAGAACAAAAAAGCACCAAATGGATTCAATGCAGAACCACCGTCTCTTAAACCTTCAACTTTACAATAAGCACCAAAAGCATCAGGGCCCAAGGCATCATTGAAAATCATACCATGATAACCTTCGGAAGGTTCCGAGAATTGGGGGAATTTTTCAGGATAATCTTTCCAAGGAAATTTACCTGAATCAACAACGATTCCACCAATAGTTGTTCCATGACCACCAATCCATTTGGTAGCACTATGAACTACAATATCAGCACCATGATCTAAAGGTCTAATCAAATAACCCCCAGCACCAAAGGTATTATCCACTACCAATGGGACACCATGGTCGTGAGCTATTTTACTTAATTTTTCAAAATCTGGAACAATATATTTCGGATTTCCAATTGATTCAGTATAAATGGCTTTGGTCTTGGAGTCAATTTTTGATATGATATCATCATGATTTGAACCAGTAACGAACCTAGCTTCAATTCCTAATTTCTTGAAGTAGACCTTGAATTGATTATAAGTTCCTCCATAAAGATAAGAATTGGTAATGAAGTTATCACCACTATGACATAAACTGGTAATAGCTAAAAATTGAGCAGCTTGACCCGAACTAGTGGCAATTCCCATTTTACCATTTTCTAATGCAGCAATTCTATTTTCAAAAGTTGTGTTGGTAGGATTTCCAATTCTGGAGTAAATATAACCGTTTTCTTTTAAACCGAATAAATTTGCCCCATTCTCGCTATCGGTGAATACGAAAGATGATGAGGCATAGATTGGTGGAGCTCTAGCTCTAACAGCGCTATCAACATCCTGTCCAGCATGTACTTGTTGAGTTTCAAATCTCATTACTCAAAATTCTAGATAAGGAAATTAAATAATTTAAATAGTCTCACAAATTGTGGATCCCCTAATTGCGAAAATATTATGCTATCACTGACAATTACGGAATTTGCAAAACATCATCCGATAAGATGAAGATTTTACAATTTTTGACATAAATGACGAATTTCTCGGTGTCACCAGATGTGTCAGTCGTAATTGGAACATCGCATCGAGTGAGTGATGTTGATAGTTTTTCAATTGATCAAATCAAGTGATTGAATGGAATCTATAAGGTGTAAGTTCAACCAATGGGAGGACAGAAGTCAAATTCTTATGATACTTTTCTATAAGTTCTTCCATTTCATCAGAACATATCAAGTAAAACCCTCGTGCAAGTCTCTCATCAGACTCGATTTCGTCATATCGCACTGAATTTTTCATTATCTAGGGAATAATTTGTAACATGGATGATATGAAACCTAGAACATATAAAGATGCCATCAATGCCCTTAACTCTTTACAATCGAACTTCCAATCCTTAGAAGCCAAAAGATTGATAGGTCCCTCCGTTGATAAAAATGAATACAGTATCAAGACGGTATATGAATATATTCGTCGTTTAGGTTATAAACCGAATCAGTTCAATAAATTGAACATTATTCATGTTACTGGAACCAAAGGTAAAGGATCAACATGTGCATTTACAGAATCAATACTCTTGAATTATAGATTTCCCCAATTGAACAATGGTATTAAGAAAGTTGGGTTATTCACTTCACCACATTTAAAATCCGTCAGAGAGAGAATCAGAATCAATGGTCAACCAATTGAAGAAGTCAAATTTACAAAGTATTTCTTTGAAGTTTGGGATAAATTATCAACCACCACATCAGATTTAAATGAGTTCCCTGATTTAGAACCTTGTGATAAAGTGAAACCAATGTATTTCAAATATTTAACTGTTTTATCATATCATATATTCATGAGTGAAGGTGTGGATACTGCTATTTACGAAGTTGGAGTTGGAGGTAAATATGATTCAACCAACGTGGTAGAAAAACCAACAGTAACAGGAGTAAGTGCATTGGGTATTGACCATGTAGCTATGTTGGGTAACACAATAGAATCGATCGCTTGGAATAAAACAGGTATTTTCAAACCAGACACTGCTGCTTTTGTTTCCAAACAATTACAATATCCAGAAATTCATAAATTTATCGAAGATAGAGCTGAAGAATTAAAGACTTCTAGTTTAGAATTTGTTAATGATGATAAATTAGATACCCCATTAGGTTTATTAGGAAGTTTCCAACGTCAAAATGCTGCATTAGCATGTAAATTAGCAGCTAAACATTTGCAAATTTTGGGTATCACTGAAGATTTACCAAACGAAGATTTAACCTATTTACCTGAATTATTCAAAAAAGGATTAAAAGAAACTAAATGGGATGGTAGATGTCAAATAATACCATCATCTAGATATCCTAATTTCCCAGATATTACATGGTATATCGATGGAGCTCATACCAAAGAATCAATCGATGTTGCCAGTGAGTGGATCAAAAATACTTTAACATCATCCAAACCAAAAGTATTGATCTTTAATCAACAAGGTAGAGATACAGCAGATGAATTATTAAAAGAATTATACAATAATTTGAACGGACATGTCCAATTTGATTATATTATTTTCTGTACTAATATTACGTGGTCAACAGGATATAACGCAGAATTAGTTTCAATGAATAATTCTAAAGATGCTATCGATCAATTAATTGTACAAAAAGGATTTGAAAAAGTATGGAAAGAACTCGATAATAATTCACATCAACCAGAAATTAAAATCTTCAAAGAAATCGAACTTTCATTAAATTTCATTAAAGATTTAAATAAATCCCTTGAAGTTTTTGTTTGTGGTTCATTACATTTAGTTGGAGGTGTTTTAAGTGTATTAGATAATGATAGAGATTAATATCCTATATCATTTATTAAAAGACTCTATTTAGTATTTTCTCTAAAGTTTTGAACAACTTTATCGACATTAATCAAAGAATCTCTCCAAATAGTTAAATTTTTCTTCACATTAAGTAAATTGTTTTCAATGGATGAATTATCATAAGGTAAGACTGATTTATTAACTCTTATTAATTTGAAAGTTTCATTTAATTGATCTAATTTACCTTCAATTAAATTATTCTTGATAGAATTAATGATTAAGATTTCTAATTCATTCTTTGCAGCAGGAATTTCATCAAATTTGAAAACAAATTTACCAGAATTATCAAAAAATTTACATAATGATAAAATTTTTGATTTTGATTCAATTAATGGGAATTCTGAACTTTGAATTAATTCTCCATTTAAATATTTAATAAATAATTCAACTAAAGAATCGGATTTATTAGCAGCTAAACTTTGGGAGATGTTGGTGTTTATCATGAATGATAAATCGATAGTTTTACTATTCAATGAAAATTTGATTAATGTTAATAATTCATCTTTGGTTACTTCATAATCTTTAGTAAATTCTTTGATTAATTTTAAAGAATTTAATGAATGATTGTTATCTAATAATATGAATTCCCAGAAGATTGATTTGATATCTTCTTGTTTGATATTATTAATTTTGCTTAACCAATTATTTAAATTTAATGTGAAGGATTTTTCAATGATTTTAAATTCTAAATTATTTGATTTAAAGAAATTCAATATGGCTTTGATGATTTTGATTCTAGTTTCACTACTTTCATCTAATAAATTGAATATTAATGTTAATTCAGATAATATACTGGTAGATTTAATTGATTTTTTATCTCTTAATGATATGGTTTCTTTTGGATTTGATTGTATTAAATTGTTTAATAATTCATCATTTTGGAAAAGTTTTTCAATGTCACCTTGTAATTCAACTAAAATATAGATTATTAAGTTAAAGGTTGATTCAAAATCTTTATCGTTTAATTTTATAAGGTTTTCAGTTTTAGAAATGTTATAAATTTCTTTGATTAATGCATCTTTTTGGGTAATTTCATTGGTTTCATCAATATATTTACTTAATGTGGTAGTGAATTGTTCAGTTTCTTGAACTTGATCAAATATTTCTCCAAGTTCTTTGATTGAACTGGTTAATTCGTTATCAACTATGAAGACTGACATAGTGAGATGAAAATTTTTCACCATCGATTCGCGATTTGAAAGAGTAGGGAGAGACAGTGGTAAGTAAAAGACAGTTATGAGAGTGGAAAATGAAGAGAAATATACCGAAAGAGAACCACAGAAACTCAGAAATTAGTGAATTATGTGATGGTGTTCATCTATTAGATCTAGAGAGGGGGTTAAAAAAATTTCTAGAAGTGTAAAAATCTGGCATTTGCAGCCTAATCTTCAGTTTCATCAACCTCTGCAACATCTACAATTTCAAACATTCTCCCTTTAGGTTCGGCTAATTTAGGTTTTACTTTGAATTTCGTAGGAAGGGGAGGGGAGCTGGATCTTGGTAATGATATATTTTCCGGACTGGAAGATCTTGGTAAACTGAATTTCTTTGCTCTATAAGGAATAGTTGAAATTGGTGACAAAATATCACTACTCTCCTCTGATGAATTACTGGAAACTTGCGATAATGATGATTTTTTAGAATACAGGTTATTAATGGACGTTGATTGTAAAGGTCTGGATGTGGTGGTAGTTGACATTGACGCTATTGAAACATCACTTGAAGGTTGACGTCTATAAATAGGTCGACTCTTTCTTTTGCTGGATTTTTGATTATCATAAGTTGAAGTCACAATCGATGATTCATATAATTCTTCTTCAAAATCGTCCATTGAATCACTATCTATGATCATTTCCAGTTCGGATTCTGACAACATTGTAGATAATTGACTCAAATGACTGACTTGACTCATCTGTGAAACCATCGATGATGGTCTGTTCTTCATTCTTATGGAAGTTTCTGTTGAATTATTAATTGGAGAATTTGAATTGGAAATCAATGGATGTTTGTTAGGTTGTAAGATAATAGAATCGTTTTCGGTTTCATCTTGGAAATTACTGATAATAGGTAATTGATCATCAGCAACAGTTTTCGGACTTGGACTGTTTAATGTAATATCACTTATTTGATCCCTTAATACATCATTTCTGAATAAACCATTGATTTCATCATCTTTCTTTTTCCAAAATTGTAATCTATCTCTTAATCTGGAATTTTTCTTAAGATTCTTCCTTTCACTCATTATATTCAATGCACTGGATATTGAAGATCTCCTCTCATGTCCATTGGGGAAGAATGAAACTGTTCTATTGAAAGGTGGTGTACTATTCTCGCTTTGATAAATATTTGAATCAACTAAAGATCGCCTCTTGTCAGTGGAAATTCTCCTTTCACTTGATAATCTTCTCTCATTGAATTTCTCACTTGATTTCCTTGCAAGATTACTTTTACTTTGATTCTTAGAGTTCAAACTCAAAGTGGACATGATTCTTTCCAAAGGTTGACTTCCTTCTTCACTCAAAGATAATACCGATTTGACTTTCCTCTTAGATTTGCTTAATGATCTTCTGGCTCGTCTACTGTTCTTATAATATTTCTTCTTCTTTTTATAGAACTCTCGGGTTAATGCCAATTCGTATAATGCCGTAAGGGAATTCATTTCCCCATTATTAACATCGTTTTGTAATCGCTCAATTTTTATGTCTGATTTTTTGAAATTTTTCAATAAATGTTTAACAATCTTGGATTGAAATGGTGGTAATCCTGAATTTTGATGTTGGGTCATTGACATTATAGATTCAGAATCGGTCAATGCCATCGATGATGATCTTTTGGCTTTTTCTGGGAATTTATTGGTGATGTTGATCAAGAATTCAGAATTCAAAATATCATTCAAATTAGGTCTTCTAGTAGGATTTTTATCCAACATTCTCTTGATTAAATTTATAGCGGAACTCGGTATATCATCGGTATAAATAGGTTCTTCATGGACAATCTTGAATTTAGTCTTTAAATCATCCTCTTCATCAAATGGCATAGTACCATAAAGCATGGTATAAAGTATAATTCCTAAAGACCATATATCAGTTAACATCCCGTTATATTTTTCGCTTTTAAGTACTTCTGGTGCCATATAAACCGTAGTTCCACAAATTGTCGATAAGAAGTTTCTTTTGATAGGATCAAATTCTCTTACAAATCCAAAATCCGTCAATTTAACAGTATTTCTTTTCTTATCACCAAACAATATATTCTCCAACTTTAAATCTCTATGAACTAAATTCAAGGAATGAACATATTTGATAGCTTGAATGATTTGGAAAAATATCTGTTGCACCTCCTTGAATTCTAATCTTCTCTTCTCATAAATGTGATAGTACAATTCATTTCCTTGACAATATTCCATAACTAACCATAAATGGGTTTCAGTCTTTATGACCTCATAAAGTTTAACAATATTTTTATGTTTTAATTGTCTATGATAGAAAACTTCTCTAACAATATTAGGATCGTCAGTTAAACCACATTTCAAAACTACTGGCATATTTAATAATATGTGGTTAGCTAAGTAAACTTTCCCAAAGGAACCTTCACCTATCTCTTCAATTATTTCATAATTCCCTATTTGGTTGATGGTTTTGGACGTTATCTTGAGATAAAAGTCATTGAAGTCTTTGGCTAGTTGGGCAGTGATTTGTTTATCATTCAATCGACCCCCGTTCATTATATTTCCATATCTTTATCGTGAGATTCTATGTTCCTTAGTTCTATATTTTATAATTATGCTCGCTCGAGATGTTGCGATTTTATCACCAGTTATCTTGACTATCAATGACGAGATCCTTCTGGAGGACGATATTGAATGAGAGTCTGGGCTTAAGAGGGATTTACGGTTTAAGTGTTTGGTGTGTAATGTCTCGATTAACACATCGGAATGGAGTGATGTTCTTGCATTAATTTTATTAGAAGGAAAAACCGTTTAATCGTTGTCACATCAACATGAATGTCCGAAATGCAGGTCTTTTTGTTCAACGAATGATCGATTATGGACCGATGGTGTTGAACACGTATTTGTATGATTGAACTCCGATTGGACTCGAATAGCCAGGTGGTCGGAATAATTTTTCTTGAATTTTTGGTTTTTTGATTTTTTGGTTTTTTGACTTTTTATTTCACCAAGGACTCTCTCGCCTGGATGTGAGACTCTTACAGCATTCTCTATAACCTGTCATTACACAGTCATTTTGGAATTGAGCTTGAAAACCATTATATGTCACATCTCATTTGCATCGCGATCTCATCTTTATGCTCAAACTAGTACCTAGAGTTATAGCCTTAAATTTGAGATCCCATCGGGTGATAAGTTCCATTCTAAGGTCACATGTTAGTAAGACCCATATACGGAGGCTCCATGGAAGCTATCAACTCCGGAAAACACTCACAAAAGGGAACGTAGCGAAGTTGACCGATGATGAAATTTATGAACTGTTCCAAGATTTGACTTTTAACCCTATAAAAAAGATGATGGAAAAGATTAAGACCAAGGAATGTGATATTAAAAGCTTGAATATTATACCCAATCAAAAAGTCATACCACACTTGCAAGAATTCGTAGATAAATTAGATGATGAGATGAAATCCTACTTAACCAAGAACAAACCTATACAATCCATAGAGTTAGCCGACTATTTGAATCCCCAATGGAGCAATATCATAAACTTGATCTATGGTGTACATCTGAATCATATACCTGAGGTATATGTAAAATCCAAGGGAATTCAAACTAAATCACAATTGTTAGATGATCTATTAACTAAATTATTCCATAAATTCATCATAGAGAAACAGAATTCAGAAGTTCCATTCATTAACAAGGATATCGATTTTTCTAATCCTGCTGAATGGTTTCCAGAAGCTAGGAAGATGAAACGTAAGATAATAATGCATGTGGGACCAACTAATAGTGGTAAAACCTATAACTCATTGAAGAAATTACAAATTGCAAGATCAGGATATTATGCTGGGCCATTAAGATTGTTAGCAAGAGAGATTTTCGAAAACTTCAATGATAAAGGTATCTATTGTAATTTATTAACGGGTGAAGAAGTCATACCAACATTCGATAAAGATGGTAAGATTTCTTCAATTACCAGTGGTACTATTGAGATGATACCTTTGAACAAGAAAATGGATTTATGTATTATAGATGAGATTCAAATGATCAGTGATGAAAGTAGAGGAGAGTCATGGACTAATGCTTTGTTAGGTGTTCAAGCCAAAGAAATTCATTTATGTGGAGAAGAAAGGACAGTTGAATTGATCAAGAAGATTGTAGAATTGACAGGTGATGAATTGGAAATCAATCATTATAAGAGATTAGGTCCATTGTCAGTTGAAGAAAAAGCCATCAAGAATCATCAAGGTTTGAAAAAAGGTGATTGTGTTGTTGCTTTCGCTAAAGGTAAAATTTTACAATTGAAAATGGATATCGAAAGAGAGACCAATTTAAAAGTAGCAGTAATTTATGGAGCTTTACCACCTGAAATTAGAAGTGAACAAGCAAAAGGTTTCAATGATGGTAAATATGATGTTTTGGTAGCTTCTGATGCTATCGGAATGGGACTTAATCTTGCCATTAAAAGGATTGTATTTTCCACTACCAGGAAATTCAATGGTATTAAAATGGAAGATTTAAGGCAATCCACATTGAAGCAGATTGGTGGAAGAGCAGGTAGGTTTAGTCATGATAAAACCAATGTTGGAGGTACCATTACAGCATATAGTACCAAAGATTTGAATTATGTCAAGAAACAAATGGATGGTGATGTTAAAGATATTCAAAAAGGATATATTTGGCCCACTAATGAACTTTGGATATCTTACTTGAGAAAGTTCAATAAAACAGATTCCATTTTATCAATTTTGAATATCTTCAATAAAAAACCTATTAATTCAACTATTTTCAAATTAACTCAAGTGGAACAAAGGATTGAAATAATGAAATTGTTGATGGTCGATAGATTATATAAGCAATTACCAATAGAAGATCAAATAAAATTGAGTATAGCACCTATTGCCAGATTTGATTCAGAGATTTTCAGAGACACTTCGTTAAAATTCATAAACAACATAGTTAACAAGACATCCAAAAACGTATTGGATTTTGGATTCTTACCTTTGAAGATTTTGAGTGAAGATTCAAGTAGAAAATCACATTCTGATACAATCATCGAAAAAATCACCAATTTGGAAGATTGTCATAAATTAGTGATGCTTTTCATGTGGTTAAGTCAGAGGTTCCCATATTTGTTTGTAGACATTGAAAGTGCCTATGATTGGAAATCATTAATCGAGAAAAGAATCAGTGAAGAATTATACCATTTAAGAAGTAGTGGTACGAAAAGAAGAAAAAGATTTTAATGTATGTATATAGCTTGTAGATAAATAGAACCCCACATTAACCGGGTAATCTCTATATTGTTGGCCCAGCGAGAAATTTGGGGGAAATCGGTGGGTACCGCGGAATTTCATTATTCCGTCGATCAAATCGCCCCCACAATATCCTCCACGAATCTCCTCCATGCCTTCACGTGACCTCTTGAGATATAAATTTTCAACTATCTTTAAAAACTTCTTTAATTTAGTTTCTTCAGGAACCTTGATATTTTTTTTTGAATTCTGAAGTATATTTGATATCGAGAGTGATTGACTACAGTTCCATTACTTAAATTATTTATTAGATTATATTTGATATTAAAAAGAGAATTATCCTTATCCATAATCCCTTATTTCCCCAAGACGCTAGTTTTTTAATATGACTTATTTACCAACCATTATTATCGTTGGAGGGCCAGCCGGTACAGGTAAAACCACAGCAGCTTCCAATTTAGCTAAACACTATAACTGTCCATATATTGAAGGAGATACATTACATCCTCAAGCCAATATCGATAAAATGTCTAAAGGTATACCATTAAATGATGACGATAGATGGGATTGGTTAATTAAATTGACTCAAGTAACAGTTCAGGAATGTCAAGCCAGTCAAAATAATATGGCTATAGTTACTTGTTCAATTTTGAAAAAAGCCTACAGACAATTAATTGAAACCACCGGTAAACCTATAGATTTCAAATTCGTTTTCCTTTTTGCTTCTTTTGATGAGTTAGTTAATAGAGTTGAAAATAGAAAAAATCATTATATGAAATCAGATATGGTAAAATCACAATATGAAATAATGGAAGTCCCACAAGGAGATGAATTGGTTGTTAATGGAGGTAATTGTTTGACCATTGATACCACACAAAAATCTATGGATGTCATTTACAAAGAAATTGTTGACAATTTGAATCTTTCGTAAAACCCATTACCTTTGATACCTTGGTCTTCCCCACATTAGACGTATATAAATAGATATATAGATTAATGAATGCGATGCTCGATTTTTTTCACCCTATGTTGGACCTTGAGTACATTCAGTCTTTACCCTATATTACCCCTTATACTGATCGAAGAACGGTCTTGATCTTGGGAGGATGTAGCGGTTTAGGTTGGTATACTGTGTTGCATCTTTATTTACACGGATATGTCATTTATATTACAGGACGGAGTAAGTCCCGAGTTTTAAAATCTATAGATGAATTGAGACAAGAATCAATCAATATTAGACTGAATTATACTTCTCAAGAACTCAATGAACGTTATTTAGGAGAACTTTTATACTTAGAATTGGATTTATCCCAACTAAGTTCAGTTCTATCCGCTGCTAATAAATTAATCAATACTGAAAGAAATTTAAATATCCTAATTAATAATTTAAGTACAAACTTTATACCTTATATGAAGACTCAAGATGGATTTGAGATACAATTGCAATTAAACTACATATCACCTTTTTTGCTTATCATTAAATTACTACCACTTTTGGAGAATACCACCAATTATTATCCTGAAATTGAACCTCCCAAAATCATTTATACTAGTTCTCCAAGTCATTATTTCTTTTTCAGTTATTTTAGTATGGATGAAGATTTCAAGTATAAACCTATCTTCTTCTTTAACTGGATAAGGTATGGGAAAGCAAAAATCTCGGGAATTCATCTCATAAAAATGTTATCTTTGAGAAACCCTAAGATCTTAAGTACTATAGTTGATCCAGGATTTGTGATGAACCCCACTATTTTTAGCTATTTTACGAGATTGCCAATAATTGGGATACTATTTTGGTGTTTATTTGAGATTTTTGGTTATTTCTTTGGAAGTACCATGGAAGAAGGATCATTTTCAGTGATTAAAAATTGTTTAGATCCTGATTTGACCTTTGATGATAACGGAAAGATTTTTGATACCAACGGGAAGGAAGTTAAAGGATCAAGAGTTGCCAATAATATGGATTATGCTGCCCGAACATGGATTTGGACAATTAATAAGTTGAATGAAAAGAATATTCATATTCCTAATTAAAAAATTTCGAATTAAAAAAACCTTTGAAGATACATTTGAATACAAACTATATAATGATGAATGATATATATTACACCTCTCTAGAGTTTAGATTCTGGATCGACTTTTTCAATAACAAGAGCTGAAGCACCACCTCCACCATTACAGATACCAGCACAACCGTATTTACCACCTTCTTGAGTTAAGACATTTAATAAAGTAACGATAACTCTAGCACCGGAACATCCTAATGGATGACCCATAGCGACAGCACCACCGTAAACGTTAACTTTTTTAGAATCAAGATCAATTAATTTAGTGTTAGCTAAACCAACAACTGAGAAAGCTTCGTTTAATTCAAAGAAATCAACATCAGAAACATTGATTTTAGCATGTTTTAAAGCTTTTGGAACAGCAAGAGATGGAGCAATAGTGAAATCAACAGGTTTAGTAGCAGCTTCACCCCAACCAGAAATTTTGGCTAAAGGTTTTAAACCTAATTCTTTTAATTTTGATTCACTAACTAAAATAACAGCAGCTCCACCATCGTTTAATTTAGAAGCATTTGGAGCAGTGACGGTACCATTTTCTTTTTGGAAAACGGTTCTAGCAGATTTTAATTTAGCTTCATTGAAATTTTTGATTTCTTGATCATTTGAAACAATAGTATCTGGTTTACCTCTGAAACCTTTGATAGTAACAGGAGAAATTTCAGCATCGAATTTACCAGATTCTAAAGCAGCTTGAGCTTTTTTATAAGAATCAATAGCGAAATTATCTTGATCTTCTCTTGAAAATCCATGATCTGAAGCACATTTTTCAGCACATTTACCCATTAAACTTTGATCATAAGCATCAGTTAAACCGTCTTTTTGAACCCCATCAACCATAACTGAGTCACCATATCTAGCACCAGATCTAGCAGCTGGTAAATAATATGGAGTGTTTGACATTGATTCAGCACCTCCTGCAACGACAATATCAGCAGTACCACACATAATAGTTTGAGCACCTAAGATAATAGCTTTCATACCTGAAGCACAAACTTTGTTAACAGTGGTGGCAACAACACCTTCAGATAAACCAGCTTTTAAAGCTACTTGTCTAGCTGGAGCTTGACCAACATTAGCTTGTAAAACGCCTCCAAAGTAAATTTCTTCAACTAATTCAGGTTTTAAGTCAATTTTTTCTAAAGCACTTTTGACGGCATGTGCTCCTAAATCACTATAAGTTAATGATGATAATTCACCTTGGAAAGACCCAATTGGTGTACGACTGGATGATACTATATAAACTGACATTGTTAGTTGAAAACTCTTTTACGACAGATAACTTTCCAGATTCTCAAAATTGAACGATAGGTACGACGTGAGATTCACACGATTTTTTTTTCGAGGATGAAGGGATTAATGGCAATTGGACCGATGGTAAATGGTATAGGTAGAACTATAGGAATAAAATGGGGGGTTAGTAGAACGTTAGGATTAGGACTCAATGGGAATTTAAGATTGATTAGAACTTTGAGCCATAATACATCATCGAGTTTTGGAACTTTGGCAATCAGAGGATCAAGAAGTTTTCATTCAACTACCATAAAATATGATAAAAGAGCAGAATTGGGGTCTAAAATCCTCAGTAAAGTCCCTAAATTCATGAAACCCTACACTATAAATTTCGTCAATAGACCTGTCACCAATCTAGTATCATTTCTTATATTACACGAATTAACAGCTATAGTACCCTTAATTGGTATATGGTACGTGTTTTATAAGTATGATATATCAGTGCCACTTGATTTACCTGAATGGGCAATCAATAAGGGAACAAAAATCATTGATTCATCATTAAAATCTTGGGATTTGACCGATTTTACTTTCAACGACAAATTCAATTTAATTATGAAAGGTGCTTATGCTTACGTAATAGTCAAGATGTTATTACCTGTAAGACTTATGTTTAGTTTCCTTTTCACTCCATTATTTACAAGATTTTTCGTTGACCCGATTACTGGTATATTCGGTCGTAAAAAAGTCCCACCCCCTGTGGTAACTCAACAATCTCAACCTGTTAAGCCTAAAAAAATTGAAAAGCCAAGATTGTAAATAGAATCTTCCAGTTAATAGTCATAACCGATCATGGAGTCTCAGTAATCTATTCCCCGTTATCTCTCAAAACTATGGCGTTCCTCCAGATGTTTCGCAACCATTTTCTTATCGTTAACTATGGGTGTACGGGTGGGCAGGACGATTGCAAATTGTGGTGGCATTTCTGATCTTAATGTTGATGAAATCATGTGGATAAGACAAATAGCTACAGTATAAATAAGGCTTGTAGTCCCATAATATCTTCATTGATATTACAAGATGTCTAAACCATTAGGAAATTACGATATTCATTTTTATGAAGGAGTTGATGAAGTTCAAGATGATGGAACTTTAGTTGTTAACAAGAAAAACAGAGATGCTTCACATTGGCCAGATTATTTACCAACTTGGAATCCAAATGAAAAGTATGAACCTTTAAAGTTCTTCAAGCATCAAGACCCTGGTGCCAGAGCTGATCCAAGTTTGTCAAACTTATTTCCTCCAAATGGTGAAAATTACGAAGTTAAAAGAATCACTCCTAAATTAGGAAGTGAAGTTACAGGAGTTCAATTAAGTGAATTAGATGATAAAGGAAAAGACGAGTTATCATTATTTGTAGCTCAAAGAGGTGTAGTTGTATTCAGAGATCAAGATTTTGCTTCTAAAGGACCTGAATTTGCTGTCAACTATGGTAAACATTTTGGTAGATTACATATTCATCCAACCAGTGGTCTGCCTAAGGACCATCCTGAATTACATATTACTTATCGTAGACCAGATCCTGGTGAATTTGAAAGAGTGTTTAGTCAAAGTACTCATGCTGTTGGATGGCACACTGATGTTTCTTACGAATTACAACCTCCAGGAACTACTTTCTTTTCAGTATTAGAAGGCCCTGATGCTGGTGGTGACACTATCTTTGCTGATGTCGTTGAAGCCTACAAGAGATTATCCCCTGAATTTCAAAAAAGATTAGATGGTTTACATGTTTTACACACTTCTGAAGACCAAGCTTCTAATTCAAGAGGTCAAGGAGGTATAGAAAGAAGAAAGCCAGTTTCTAATATCCATCCTTTGATCAGAGTTCATCCAGCTACCAAGGAAAAATTCATTTATTTGAATAGAGCCTTCTCTCGTAGAATTGTTGAATTGAAGCAACAAGAATCCGAATTTTTAATGGAATTCTTGTATAAACATATTGAAACAGCTCATGATTTACAATTAAGAGCCAATTGGAAACCAAAATCAGTGGTTGTCTGGGATAACAGAGTTGTTCAACATTCAGCCATTATTGACTGGGATGAGCCAGTTTCAAGACATGCTTTCAGAATTACCCCTCAAGCTGAAAGGCCAGTAGCTGATTTATCAGAATTGAACAAGGAACAATATGACGTGGGTGATGTAGCAGATGCTTTAAAAAAAGTTTTAGGTAAGTAAAAAATGGGTTGTTTCAGGAAAACAAAATGAATATAAAAAAAACATCGTTTATTCGTATACTCTAAAAACTAAGCATTATCTAACAAGTAATTTGTAGCAGCTTCCAAATTCCAATTTTCTCTCTCCAAAGCGTCATGAGCAGTTTTATCATCGAATCCCATCCCTACTAGTTCATCGATCAAATGTTGATGGGGATGAATTGAAGATGAAAATACTGGTGGTTGACTTGCTTGAGGAGTGTTTTGAGCAGATGCAGAATTACCAAATCCAGCGAAAAGTTGTTCCCATTCATCATTACCAGTTTTAGCTTCTTCTAAAGGTTGTTGGGAGAAATCTGGCATGTTACTATTGGTGAAGTCATTGTTAAAGAAATCTTCACTTTGGTCATGATCAAACTCATCTCCAATGTCCTCAGCTTTAGCAGTTTCCAAATTATCGAACTCATCAGCAAACATGTCATCGACTGGAGCTGGTGCAACTTCTGGGATCGAGGTTTCTGGAGCAGCTGGTTCTAAATCATCAAAAGCGCTATCAAAATCATCTTTCGTTGCTGGTAATACAGATAAATCTTTAGCTTCATGGAAATCTTCATCTTCAGAAGAATCACTTTCATCGTAATCAAGTTCTTTGATAGGAGGGAACTCGTCTTCAACTTGAGCACTTGTTGGTGTTCTATCTTCGAATTCTGGTTCAGAAGCTGTAGGATTCTTAAGAATGAATGTAGATTTGGCTTGAGAATCAGGGTAAACTTCACTTTCCTTTGCGTCATCAGCATTGACCATTTCAAAAGATTCAACTCCTGAAGAAAGTTTATCTCCATCGCTTTCAGCAGTATCTTTATTAACTGAAGGTGAAGCAGCAACTTCGTCGTTAGTCAATTCTTCATTAGCAATAGTGTCACGATCACTGACTTCCTCAATGTTATCGTCACGTACTGACATAGAAGCGTTGTTTTGAACACTTGAAGTTAAAGAATCAGTACGTTGCACACCTACTAGAACACCTGGCATTCCTACCAATCCGCCTTGAGGAAATTGGAAATCTGAGTTACTGGGGGATGTAACTGGAGTTTCACCGTCAGTAATTGATGAGTTAGTGTTAGTCATAGTTTCAGCGACTTCATCTAATTTTTTAGGAGTTTCTGGTAATTTTTCAGCTGCTTCGACCTTTTCAGTGTTATCAACATCTTCAATTCCAGTCATATCAGCTGCTGGTTTATCCTTGACTTCATCAACTAAAGCTTCAATTGGAACTTGAGAATATGAAGGAGGTTGAGCCTCGGTTGGGAAAGCTCCAGGAACACTGAAGTCATCCTTATCATCAGCAGATAAGATTGGTTTTGCATCTTCTTTTTGAGGAGTTTCTGGTTCTATCACTTCATCTTGAATAGATGGAATAGTTTCTTTAGTAGATGATGACTCAACAGGAGTTTCGTCAACGATAGATTCTTTTGCAGTGACATCTTCAGCCGGAACATTTTCAGTAGAGACTTGTTTGGAGGTATTTTCTTCAACAGAAGGAACATTTTCTTCCTTAGCTTCGGAACCTTTATGGCCCATAACTCCAGCAATACCACCAGCAACTGCACCAGCACCAACAATAGCAGCACCTATGACACCCTTTGAAGCTTTCGATTCGTCTTCAGGTTTACTTTCAACCGATAAAGCCCTTGGCTCAACTTTGGGTTCAACCGGTTTGAAATTCTTAGCTTCTTCCAATCGTCTTTGTAAAGATTCTTGTTCGGCAATAGCCTTTTGATTCTCTTCATGTTTTCTGTTGATTTCTTCCTGTACCTTTTGGTTAGCGGCCAAAGTTTCTTCAATTTTTGATTGGATTTCTTGTTTCTTAACAAGGGAAACTTGAACTTGGGATTTTTGCACAGCCAATTGGTTATTCAAACGTTGATTCTCTGCTAAGATTGATTCTAAGTTCTTTTGATAATCAGCAATTTCAGCATTGACAGTACCCAATCTTTCTCTCATCGAACCATTTTCTTTTTGTAAGTTCTCCATTAAAACTTGCTTCTCATTCAATTCGCTTGACAAGTGATTAGATTTAGCTTCAGCGATTGAAGATTCTGATCTCAAAGCTTCGGTCTCTTCTTTGGCTTTGCCTAAGCTGGATTCAACTTCTTGATATTGTTTGACTTCATTATCATAGGAACTCTTTAAAATTCTCAATTTAGCTTCAATCTCCTTCTTAATAGACAAGATCTTATTCAATTCTTGTTCAGCCCTGGTCTTCTTTTCATGTAAATCAATGGTTTGTGTGTTTAAAGATTTAACTTGATTGGAAATGTTAGCAATATCTGAAGTAGCTTGAGACAATTGACCCGAAATAGCTGGATCAGCTAACAAATCATTATTGGATGAAGGTTGAGGTGGGAAATATGATTGACCTTGACCTTGAGACAATGGAGAACTGACATTTCTGGAAGTTGGTGGTGATTTTAAAGGACTACTAATAACTGGAGGAGTATTACCTGCAGATGATAAACGGTTATTTGAAGGTTGAAGAGTTCCAGTAGTTTTTCTTGGAGGTGGAGGAACAGCTCTTAAAGCATCATAATTAACATTTTTGGGGACAGGTGAAGAGCTTTCACTTGAAGTTTCAGGAATAGATGCTGGAGGAGTGTGATTAACATCATCACCTAAAAGGTCATGATGATCTTCAGCTTTAGTGGCAGCTGGAGCTTGAATTTCCGGTTGAGCTTCTTTACTCATCAAACTTTGACCAAATGTGGATGTTGGTTTGAAACCACCAAGATTCTTTCTAACTTTGGGTAAATCTCCATGAGAAAGATCACTACTTGAAGTTCTAGTTTGAAGCATTGGTTTGTGTTCTTGAGCAGGAGTAGCAGCAGGGGAACCGAAAACGTCAGCCAAATCATCAATGGAAGATTTTGGTTTTGATTGGTTGGTTGATTGGTTAGTTAATTGAGGTTGAACAGGTTGAGCAGGTTGAGCAACTTGGGATTGAGTAGATTGAGGAGTTGGGAAAGTTTGGGATTGAGTAGGTTGTTGTTGGTTTTCCAATTCTTGGACTGATTTCAAAAGAGAATCAGGAACAATATTAGGTAATTGACCACCAGATAACTTTTTATTCACTAAGAATAAAGCAATAGCAAATTCTAATTTAGTGAAAACTCCAGTATTTTGAATATCAGCCAAATCCCAAACAGTAGCTAAATCAGCTTGACCTAATTTGGAAGTCATCAAGAATTGAGCTACTTGATCAGCACTTAAATTACCCGATTTTGATTTGTCCAAATTGTTAAAAATGGAATCATATTGGGATTTTAAAGTAGATGACAAAACCCACTCATCGTTGTTAGCTTGGGCATATTGAGGAGGTTGTGAAGGTGGAGCAGTTGGATTATGTCTCACAGTTTGTTGGGAACTGATAGAAGCATATGAAGCTTGACGAGATCCTGTATTATTGTTAGTTATAGGATTATTTGAATTAGCTGATTGTTGAACTGATTGCCAAACGGAATCAGGTAAGAATGGAGGTAATTGTTTAATGCTTCCACCTAATAAACCTTGAATCAAATGCATAGCTACTACGAAAGCCGGCATGGTTAATTTACCTAAATTTTCAACGTCTACTAAATTCCATATTTGACCTAAAGTATCAGTTGGTAATTTGGCTTTCAAGAAAATGTTCCTGGCTTGAGCACCACCTAAATCTACTGAAGGAGAACCTGTAGTCTTTATGAATAAACTGCTAAATTTAGTAAAATCAGCTGATGAGATAGGAGGAATTGGATCTTGAGGTTGAGATTGATAAGTAGTAGTGTTTTGAGGGATAATTGAACTTGGTTGTGATTGCATAAATGATCCATTGGTTGATTGAGGTTGCAATTGAGGAGGAGCCATTTGGAATCCAGCAAATTTAGGTAAAGGACCTGGATTATCAGCTAAATTAGGAGTTGGAGGTTGGCCAGATTGAGTATAACCAATTAATCTCATGGCATAACAGAAACCAAATTGAGTTAAGAATCCCAAATTGTTGATATCTGCCATTTGCCAGATTTCTCCCAACACAGCAGGCGGTAAGCCTGATTTTTCAAAAGTTGAACGGGCTTTATCACCAGTAATGATACCTGTACCTTCGGGATCTAAGGATTTGAAAAGTTGAGAATATAGTCTCTTTTCATCAGGAGTAAGTCCCACTTTGAAGGAATTGGGGGCTATATCGATGGTTAGTAAGGTAATTGCAATGAGGTGAATAGGTTATAACATACCTGAAATACTCATGGTGATTCGAGGTTTATGTAGATTTGATTTCTCCCAGTTTTGGCGCACTTTTTGGTGTATCCACGCTGATATAGGAGGTTTTGAATGATGAAATTTAAAACAGGGAGTTTAAAGCAGTGAAAATTGTTCAAAATCCTTAGAAATTTGGTTCTTTATTAGACAGTAATCATAATAACCAATACGACAATTATGATCAACTCAAACCCAAAACCTCACTTACAATTTCCATGTCTCACCACTTCCCATACAAAATGATTGTGCGGCGACATCATAGACATTTCTCTCGATGAGATTTGAATTTTTTTCTACCTGAAAAATTTTTAGACTAAAATGAATAGAGGTAGAGGAGGATTTAATAGAGGTGGTAGAACTGGACCATCCCAATTTCAACAAGGACCTCCAGATACTGTTTTGGAAATGGGTACTTTCATGCAAGCCTGTGAAGGAGATATTGTATGTCGTTCCATCAATCCTAAAATTCCATATTTCAATGCCCCAATATATTTAGAAAATAAAACTCAAGTTGGTAAAGTTGATGAAATCTTAGGACCTTTAAATGAAGTTTTCTTCACTATAAAACCATCAGAAGGTGTTCAAGCTGTTTCTTTCAAAGAAGGTGACAAATTTTTCATTGGACCTGATAAATTATTACCGTTAGATAGATTTTTACCAAAACCAAAATCTGTTGGACCAAAGACCAAGAAACCAAAGAGTGCCGGAGGATCCAGAGGTGGATTCGGTGGTAGAGGTGGATTTGGTGGCCGTGGTGGAGCCAGAGGTGGATTCGGTGGCCGTGGAGGTGCCAGAGGTGGATTCGGTGGTGGTAGAGGTGGATCAAGAGGTGGATTCGGTGGTGGTCGTGGTGGATCAAGAGGTGGATTCGGTGGCCGTGGAGGTTCAAGAGGAGGATTTGGTGGTTCCAGAGGTGGTAGATTTTAAAACACCCCCCTCAACTATTAAACACATAAAGTAAATGAAAATTTGGTAAGAAATGAGGATTCTATTGCATGGTTTATGTAATTTGTACAGTTAATTTTAGTGTATCTTATTCGGTAATGATTAGAAAATACATAGTCTATTTACATTAATTAAAACATTATAATTTTGGTTATTTCTTAGATCTAAGACGTTTGAGACTCTCCTCTAAATCACATCTCTCTATAATGGTAGTTCTTATTTCTTCGAAACCAGATTTTTTATTAGTTTTGCTATTGATTTGGGAATTGTAGAAAAGTAATTTAGGTCTGACTGCCATTCCACTCAACCCTACGTCTTCAATCATGGTATGGAAATATTGAATGATTTTACTATTGGCTGCTTCAATCTCATTCATATTTTTAAGTCTTTGGGATACGTCTTCAATGTTTTTAGTCTGTACTTTATGAGCTTTCATAATTCTCTCTATTATAACATCAACTTTACTGAAAACTATATCAAATGGTATTCCATTGTCTACCAAATGATTGATGATCAAGATATCTTCTTCTCTGAATCCATTAGTACTATCAATGATCATGATGGCACTCCTCAATTGTTTTCTATTTGAAATGTAAGTTAAAACCATCTCCCCCTGTTTTTCATCACCAAACTTCCCATATCCTGGGCAGTCCATTAAAACAAATTTATTAGAAATATTGAAACTATTCATGGTTTTAGTGAATCCCGCCCTACTACTGGAATAAGCGTATTCTTTGGACTTGTCCTTGGGTTTCATACCATTCAAAAGAGTGTTAATCAAAGTAGATTTCCCTGCATTTGTGTATCCAAGCATTAAGATCTCAGGTAGTATTGGAGATTTGAATTTGGGTTGATATTGAGGATCTTTTTGTCTTAAAAGCTCATCTTTAACATCAGGAATCTCTTCGTAGCTAGCAAGGGTCCATTGTAATTGTGTTTTAGCATGAAGGAAAAAATTGGCTGCTAGTTCCCTGAATTTAGGTGTTGGTTGAGGAAAATCTTCAATTCTATAATAATCTGTGAGTTTAGCAGGAGTGATGACGAATTTCTCCTGATTTCGAGGAGGCTGTTTATTTGAACCTTTGGAAGTTCCCTCCGCTACCTTATTACCATTTTTAGGCGTTAGATGTTTGGTCAAGTACAGTATCTTATTCCTTAGTATGGGGGATTTAAACATATATATTTTCGCATTTTAGATTCCATGATATCCATAAGGATCCCAGTGGTAATTGGTATGTAAACATCAATTGGTCAGTATTGAAGCTGTCAGATATGCCTAAGAACACCATTACTAACAGAATGCAAGCTTTCATAGTGACTTTAATTGGAGCAGGATATTTAGGATTCAGTCTGATTGAATTACCCCATGATAAACTAATTCATTTCATAACATTCTTTTTATTGACATTAGAATTCTTCTTTATCTTCCAAACTAAGAAAATTAAACAGTTGATTTATATCACATTCATAATTTGTACTTTAGGAGGAAGTATTGCACTGGAATTTTTACAGAATTTTATCAATCCTAGTAGAATTTTCGATATTAATGATATATTCTATAATGTGGGTGGTAGCATAGTTGCATTAATCATAAGCGGAGTGAGTCTGTCATGGAATAGACGTAGAAGATATAAAAGACTTGATAGAGAGGATGTGGAAACTGAAGAATATATCAACATCAACATGCAAGACATACCAAGAGATACTTAAGGTTATACATTACGAATCATGCAGAGTCTAATGATGGCTTATCAATCATCAAACACCGGAATCAGGCTATTTTTTATGTATTACATCAACCCTTAGTAATGCTTATAAATCCCGCGAATATATAACGTGAGCCAAAAGTTTTGCAACTTAAAATCATAATGGTTGAATTCTATGGTGACGTTGTGTCTTATGACATCCATACATATTGGAATAATAATAATGAAAACGAAAGAAAATTTGCTTACGAATTAAGAGAAAAAGTTCAAAAAGAATTTGCTAATGAGATTGAACAAGGTGACATACGAGTATATAAGTTTTGGGATAAACCTATAGGTCCACATCCCATCAATATGTTTGAAATTGATTTCAAAAAACCCGAATTGTTTCCTAAATTAGTATCATTCTATCAATTGAATCATGGTAAATTATCAGTATTGATTCATCCTAGAAGTGGTAATGATTTATTAGATCATACTAAACATGCTTTATGGTTAGGTCACAAACAACGTTTGGATACCTCTTTATTGAGTGAACACTAATTTGTCAACTTTGATTTCTAAAGCTGTATCCATCTGAATATAAAATCCACGAATCTTGCAAACTCTCCAACATCTCCTTTAACTGGAATTGCTACGCTCGCTAAATTTATCGTTTGTACCAAAGTTTTAAATAAATTCAAAAACACCGAAATTTTCTTTCTTCACCTTTTGTGACTAATTGCAACCACCATAAATCTGTCACCCAATTGGAATTGTTACAATGTTGAAAACAATTGGTCTCACATCTTCTAAGGATACTAATATTAGAGAATCTGAAAATAATGAAGAATTGAGTCCTACCGCAACTTCTAATAATATTCAAGAAGTGTTATCTTCAAGCTCAAAGAAAGAAGACGAGGTTGATGATAATTTAAGAGCTTCTGAAGATTTAGATGATATTTACCGTACAATTTCCCGAAAAAGTAATGGAACTAATAAGAAATCTAAACATCGTCAGCCTAAATCTAAAATTGGTTCAGAGAGATCTAAAGAAATCGGCAATTCTTTATCATTCTTCGGTAAAGAAGATGAAAATGAATCTCGTTACGAAACTGATTCTGACGAAAACAGAGATCGAGAGTTGTATGAAAATTTAAGCAATTATGATGAAGACCACGATGATACCAGAATTCAAGATTATGACGGTGATGAAAAAAATGGTGAAAATTCTGCCCTAGATAATGATAACAAACCTAATCAAACATTTTCATCATTCATCCCCAACATGTTCCGTAATTACAATAATAATGAACCAGGAAGTAATTCCCAAGATATGGATAAATCAAAGAAAAGATTTCAATTTTTCCGTAAGAATAAGAAAGATAAAGATAGAAAACGTCATTCAGTATCAGCAGCACCCGAAGAAGAAGAAATAGATGATGTTGATAAGTTCACTGGAGAAAGAGCTCATAATTTAGTGGGTGCTATGACTATAGCCACCCCAGCATTAAGTTTGATAGCATCATGTTTACTAGAAGATGAACATGGAATCTCTAGAGCTCCTTTATTATTATCATTATTAGGATTCAGAGTGACTGATATTTCAAAGTCTATTTCCACCAAAAATAGAAAATTCAGACTTGATTTGGAGTATGGAGTGGTTCCTCAAAGATTGAAATGGTCAGTCGAAAAGAATGCTAGAGATTTATTATATTTACATTCAAGATTTAAATTGGATAATTGGAAGAAAGAAGTTGTTCGTAACAAAAATTCAGAATTACCTAAATATCCAATCCCTCCTTTGAGGTCACAAGAAACTTCCAATAAATTGTTATTACGTCAAAGGCATAAAACCACCAAACCTCCTACCTCACCTAATCTTAATGTCCCTGTAGCTAATGGTGCTGCAACAGCAACAGTAGGTTCACCTTTAGCTGGAGGTGATATAACCACTCGTTCTTCAATTGATGAGGTGCTACAAAATCAAGATGAAGTTGGTCATGAAGATCGTGCTTCAATCTTAAGTTTGAGACAATGGGCTAATTTGGGAGCTAGATTCTCAAATTCATCGGCTTCAAGTTCAGAAGATGATGGGGAACAAAGTGCTGAGTATTTGAAGAATAAACTCTTAAGAAACCAAGAATACATTACTCAAGTAGCCAATTATTTGAATGAATTGATCAAATTGGTTGCTTTGAAACCTCAATCCAACAGGTTATTCCATTTCTTCGAAATCTCACCTATTTCTTCATTATTAAGTTATGAAACTGGTTATACTGGTAAACAAGGACCTATTCATATTGGTGGTACTGCCAAAGGTCAAGGATGGAGAGTTGGTCATTTCAAAGCTAATGATTTAAAAGGTATGATTGATAGAAGATCAGAAAAATGGTTGTTGATTAGAGGAAGTTATATCATGTACGTATCGGAAATCAATTCAACTTTACCTTTGGAAGTATTTTTGGTTGATTCCAAATTCAAAATCAGTTACAAAGGTGATGCTTCTTCAAAAGGAGGCGATGATGAAGATTCTGATTATGATGATTATTCCATGTTGGAAAAGAATATAACCGAAGATGATGAAGGTAAGAGATCTCATATAGTTTTCAAGCATTTGAAAATTACCTTGGAAAACTCTGAAAGGAAGATTTCTTTATTACCAAAATCTGAAAAGGAACAACAATTATGGCTTAAGTCATTATATGAAATGAAGAATTCCACCGTATGGTCCAAGAAGAATAGATTTGATTCTTTTGCTCCTATAAGAGATAATTGTTATGCCCAATGGTTTGTTGATGGGAGAGATTATTTCTGGGCTATTTCTTCAGCCATTGAAATGGCTAAAGATGTGGTTTATATTCATGATTGGTGGCTTTCACCACAAATGTATTTGAGAAGACCTGCCAATGGGAATCAACAATGGAGAATTGATAGATTATTAGAAAGAAAAGCCAGACAAGGGGTCAAAATTTTCATTATCATTTATAGAAACGTTGGTTCTACCGTTGCCATTGATTCTTTATTCACTAAGCATTCACTTCTTTCATTACATGATGAGAATATTCATGTTATCAGATCACCAAATCAATTATTACAAAACACCTATTTCTGGGCTCATCATGAGAAACTTTGTATAGTCGATCATACGATTGCATTTATTGGTGGGATTGATTTATGTTATGGAAGATATGATACTCCTGATCATGTTTTGGTGGATGATTCAAAAATCAATTTCGCTTCTTTGGAAGCTAATCAAGTTCCTAAAGAAGAAGATTTTGCCAATTTTCAAATCTTCCCTGGTAAAGATTATTCTAATCCTAGAGTGAAAGATTTCCATGAATTGAATAAACCTTATGAATCCATGTACGATAGGAATACCACACCAAGAATGCCATGGCATGATGTTCATATGTTAACTTCAGGTAAAGTTGCCAGAGATTTATCAAGACATTTCGTCCAAAGATGGAATTATCTATTGAGACAAAAGAGACCAAGTAGATTTACACCTTTGTTAACTCCTCCTTCAGATTTCACTGAAGAAGAAGAGAAAAATCTTCAATTAGGAGGAACATGTGAAGTTCAATTGTTAAGATCTTCAGGAAATTGGTCTTTAGGTTTAAAACAACATGAACAAAGTATCCAAAATGCTTATTTGAAACTTATTGAAACTTCAGAGCATTTCGTTTATATTGAAAATCAATTCTTTGTTACATCATGTGAAATTGATGGTAATGAAATTGAAAATAGAATAGGTGATGCTTTAGTAGATAGAATCATCCGTGCTCATAATGAAGGAACCAGTTGGAGAGCAATTATTGTCATACCATTAATGCCAGGATTTGAGTCTCAAGTTGATCAACCTGATGGTTCTTCTGTGAGAGTTATTATGCAATGTCAGTATATGTCGATTTCCAGAGGTCAAACATCAATTTTTGCCAAATTAAGGAAGTATGGTATTGATCCATCAGATTATATTCAATTCTATTCTTTAAGAAAATGGGGAATTATTGGTCCGGATAGAAACTTAGTTACTGAACAGTTATATATCCATGCAAAGACAATGATTGTTGACGATAAGTCAGCAATCATTGGTAGTGCTAATATCAATGAAAGATCCATGAGAGGTGTTAGAGATTCTGAAATGGCAGCTTTAGTTAGAGACAGAGAAACCGTTACTACTAAAATGGCAGGTAAAGATTATGTTGCAGGGAAATTTGCTCATTCATTAAGAATTAGATTGATGAGAGAACATTTGGGAGTGGCTGTTGATATTATTGATGTTGTTGAAAGAAGATTCCGTAGATTTGAAGAATTTGCCGAATCTCCTGATGGTTTGAAAGCATCAACCAATAATTTCAAAGTCCATGAACATAAAGTTATGTCTGCTATGGTTGAAATTGCTTCAAGAGAGATTTTAGATCAACCTGAAGGTACTTTTAGATGGAAAAATTTCAAAAAAGCCATGAAATCTGCTTTGAAAGTTGATAACGTTCCAATTGATGATCTCAATGAATTAGAAGCTAATGATAATGTACCAGTTCCAATTTCTTTACCAATATCCTTCAATAATAGAACTGGAACTCATGAAGCTAATAGAGGTATCAGAGACAAGAAGAAACATTCTTATGATGCCAGAGTTCAACATAGTGAAAACCACAGAAAAGATGTTATTGGATTTGGTCTTGACAAATATAAGAGTAAGTTAGCCAAAAGAGCAAGATTGAATAGTGGAAGATTTTTGAAGAACTTATCTCAAAAAGTTATGGAACATCAAGATACCTTTATTCCTGATATCGATAATGTTGTAGAATTCTTAGAAAGTGATGATTTTGAAATGACTGATGAAATGGATGAGGAATCAGAACAAATCATCTTCGAAAGAAATAAAGAAAGATGGAACCTATTGAAAAAAATTGCATACTTACAAAGAGTTACCACCAGACAGAATGATAGTTTGGAAGAAGAGAATAAAAAGAGAGCTGCAGCAGGAATGCAAGCCAATAGTCTCAATAACACTTCGAAACCTGGTAGTGGTGGACCTAATGATAACGAAGTTCTTAATTCAATTCCTGAAATGGTTACTTCAAGCAAATCTGAGACTCCAAATGGTAAATCTGTGGGTAACGGGAAGACCGTTAGTAATGGAAAATCAGGAAGTGCCAATGGTCAAAGGGTTTCTTCAGCTGATGCTCCATCTCCAGATTTGAACGAAGATATAGTAGATTCTTCAGCTATGGATGAAACTATTAACCCTGGAGAAAATTCTGCTGATTTCTCTGAAGATGTTCCAATCGTTTCATTAAATGATCAAGGAGTCAAGAACTTAATGGCAAGTATAAAATCCCCATTAATTGATAATTTCAATAATTTTGTTGATCCTTATTGCTTTGAAGACCCTCTTGATGAAGATTTCTACGAAGATTTATGGTTTGAACATGCTAGAAGAAATACCGAGATCTTTAGAATGATATTCCATACTCAACCGGATGACACTGTCACTTCATGGAGAGAATACAAGCGTTTCACCAAACTTCAAAGAGCTTTCTATATGGCACAAGATCAAGAAACTAAAAGAAGAAAGGATAAAAGATTATTCAATGATGGAGATTCTACCAGTGGTTCTGAAAGTGAAGTGGAAGATACCAATAATTTTGTTAGAGATAACAATTTGAACAAGAGACAAAGTATTAATGTCAATCAATTCAATGAAGATGTAGGTTTACTTGGATATGCCCCTCCATCATCAGAAAATGGTAATGGTAAACATATCACTGAAGAAGAAGAAGAAGACAGATCAACTATCTCCGATACTGAGATAAGAAACGAAACCCCTGATAAACCCGATGAACCTTCACGTCTTAATACAAAAGCCAGTCAAAGAAAGGTAGGAGGTAATTTCGCTGCACGTAGAAGAGCAGCAGCAGGGGATCGAATCTTTGATAGACAAACCAGTGAAAAGATTTTGAACGAAATTCAAGGTCATTTGGTTGTTTTCCCTACCGATTGGTTAATGAGAGAATTAGAAGGTGGTAATTGGTTCTATAACACCGATCGTATCCCTCCTATTGATATTTATGATTAGCCTTTTAAAAGTTACTAACCAAAAAAAAATGCATATTAATTTTCACTCTACCGCGAACCTGTCATCGGTTGTTATCGCGTTCAAACATCTGTTCACAGTATAAAAAATGATTCTTGAAATCCTTGCTTTTGTAGGGGTGGTAGTAGGATTTGTGTTCTTGGTGTTAGCAATTGCTTCAGGACTTTACTATATATCAGAGTTAGTTGAAGAACATACGGAACCAACTAAAAGATTCCTTCGAAGATTGATTCAATCAATCATCGTGATATTTGCACTTTTATGGTTAGTTGATGGTTTACCTTTCTTGTTAACAGCATTTTCAATATTTTCTTATTATGTTTACCTTTTGAACTTACACAGATTCCCTTACGTTCAATTGAGTTCACCAATATTCTTAGTTTCATGTTGTTTAGTGGTTGCTAATCATTTCTTCTGGTTCAATCATTTCCATAACCCAACAATTCCACCATTAGAAGTCCGTCTTAAACCAGGTTATAATCCTCCTAAGATCCCATCATTTACTGAGATCTGCGCTTTCTTTGGTTTATTAGTGTGGTTTGTTCCTTTTGCTTTATTCGTAAGTTTGAGTGCTAGTGATAACATCATTCCACATCATATTGAAGCTACTGATGGTAAGAAAAAGAACAATGGTTTAGCTAAGGTTGTAGTGGCCACTGTTAGAGAAAGAATATATGCTATAAGCAGAAAGTTGGGATACGAATTGGATCCTCATCATGGTTCACTTATGTAAAATATAAATATTCATTAGTCGTATATATAGAGAGAGTTAAACTCCTGAATTTGTTTTGTTTAACCCAAGAAGTCTTTAACAGCAGGACCGAAATGATCAATACTCAATAAGAATGTATCATGTCCATAATTACTTATATCAGTACCTAATTCGAAGTACTTTAAGTTTCTTTCTTTGTTCTCGATTGATGATAAAACGTCAAAGATTTCTCTTTGTTGCCAAACTGGGAATAAGATATCTGATTCTACACCGACCACCATAACGTCTTTATGAGCGATTTTTTCAAGACCATTCTTTAAATCTTGTAAAGATTCTTCTGGAGTTACAGTAGCTGATGTCTTCTTCTCTTGATAAGGTTCTGGTGGTACCGAAGTTGATTGTGAGGTTGGTGTATGATTGAAAAATTCATCTTCAGTAGATTTTCTGGTTTTGAGAGCTTTTTCACGATTGGATGAACTCAAGTCGAATAAATCCATAGCTTTCAGAACATAAAGAAGGGAATTGGCGTCATATTCCAAACAGAATTTTTCTCCAGCATGATCCAAATAAGTCTCTACTAAAAAATCTGGACATAAAGCTGGTGATTTGGAATCATCAGCTCTATTTCTACCGAACCTATACTCCCATTCAGGTCCTGATCTATAAGTAATGGTAGCGATCTCTCTGGCTAACTTCATTCCAATATGAGGAGGGATTTTGTCATAATAGAATCCTCTATTCCAATTGGGATCACTCATTAAGACTTGTCTTTGAGTATGACGTAATGCAATAGAATATGGATGGGATCTAGCACATCCACTTATAGAAATGACTTTCTCAACTTCATCGGGAAATTCCCATGCATAAGCTAACGATTGCATTCCCCCCATAGAAGCTCCAATTGAAGCATGAATCTTAGAAACTCCAAATTCATCTCTGATTAATTCTCTTTGTGCTCTTACCATATCATTAACGGTAATAATAGGAAATCTAGTACCATAATAGTCATTGTTAGCTGGATCTTTTGATGAAGGTCCCGTTGAACCATAACATCCTCCCAACACATTGGTACATATTATGAAGTATTTATCGGTATCAAGATATTTCCCCGATCCAATGAATTTCTCCCACCATCCAGGTTTTTCATTATCAACCTGAGATTTAGCATGAGAAGATGCTGATAATCCAGTATGGACTAATATGATATTATCCTTTTCAGCATTCAATTGACCCCATGTTTCATAAGCAATTTCATATTCTGGTAAATAACCTCCATGATCGAAAAATATAGGTTTATGGGATTTATAAGTTTTGAAACCTGTTTGCACGAATGAATATGAAGGTTCAGGACCGTTCTCCAAGGAATTGACATTACCTTCAATATTGCAGCTTCCGGATAAAACTTGGGTCTTTTGTTCAAGTTTATCTAAACAAGGGAAAGCCATTTGGGGGTTTGATCCATTATTAGTGATTTTAGTAGTGGAGATGGGTTTATGAGTTATCCTGGCCGTTGAGAACTTAATTGTTGACAATTTCAACATTTTGAAGTTCTTGGATGTTCCAAGTCCCTTCCAAGCAATCATTTTATCTGTTAGTATGACTTGATCAACTTAAATAGATGATTATGATTAGTTTTTAGTAATTACAAATGTTGTCAAATCGAACAATTTCACGTGAGTTGCTCGCTTTCTTATTGCAGCTAGAAAAAATGGTTGCAAAATTTGCGATGTATATTAAAGGGAAACCATTATAAGGATAGTTATAATAAGGGGGACAATGGTTGGAGAAGCTGAGTCATCATAAAGACTGGTAAAGTTAGTGAAATTTGAGAAGTTAAATCTTGAGGAGTGAATTTGAGTATCATTGGCACAAGTGGAGTTCAATGTGAAAGAATCATTCAAGATAGTGGTGTTGTGGGTTGAATGATTGAAGTTTTTATTTGGCTCAAGACTTTGTTTGGTGACTTGGATGTACAGATCAGATGTGCTCAGTTTCAACTTCTTTTCTTTCAGTTTAGTTCTATGGTTACTTTTCAGTTTACTTTTCAGTGTACTTCTCAGTTTAGGTTTATTTTCCATAGATACGTCAGCCATTTTATTGACAGCTTTCAACAACTTATGCTTGAACGGAGCAAACAAATGATAAAACTTGTTCCAAGCTCTGTTTATTTGATCAGTATCAAAAGTATCCAAATTCATTTCGGAACTCAATTCTCGAAATGGGTCCATGGTTTTATTAGTCAATTGTTTTAATCCTCTAACCAAAGGTTTCTGATTGATTCTTTTCTTGTTGAAGAATCTGCTCAATGGACCTTTATCTCTATGTTGCAATTGATATCCTTCATAATCAGTATCATACCCATCAGAATCATAATCCAAATCATCGAAAAACCAATCATCATCAGAATCACAGTCATCTTCATAATCAGAATCACAATCGACTTCACTATAGTCAGAATCACAATCAACCTCTTCTTGCCCTTGTTTCTTTCTGTTGAAGTACTTGAGGATAGTATTGAATGAGAAGGGAACATAAACATCACCACCTTCATAATCGTATACATTTCCATTCCTAACAATGTTTTCAGGAACCATAGATCTGGGATCTCTATAATCTCCAGGGATATACAGACAAACGGTCAAAGAAGCTAGAAAGATGGTTGAAAAATACATAGCAAAGTGGTTTTGTGAAGAAATCAGTTTGTGGTCATCAATTGAATTTGACCTAGTTCAAACTGGGTTATTTTGTGTAACAAGCTCAGTATCTTCCACCCCAGCTCGCCCCCCACCTTAGACCCTTTTTGTAAGCTTACAGGTCGCGATAAAATATCTATGAAACTTATCTGGAGATTCATACTTCTAGTGTACGTCACTACCTATATACTGAGTATCCCATGGAATTTTCTTCTACATAGATTTAACAAAGAGGTACTGAACAATTGGTTTAATTCTTTAATCAATTCGATTTTTGTTGAAGATTATGGATATGTTTGGTTTTCCCTTACTTTCCTTGCATATGGGATGAAGCCAGACTTCCAGTTCAAAATGGATCAAAATAACATAAAACTCATAAAAATCTACGTACTGAACGTTGTTTTTGGAATATTCATCAATTACTGGTTCTTTGGTCCTTCTATTGTCGAAAGAATTGATACTTATAAAGGAGGATACTGTGAATTAGTTTCTAGAGCCTTATCCCATGGTAGTTGTAATGCCCAAAGTGGTGTATGGCATAGTGTATTTGATGCTTCGGGTCATTATTATTTGATAATATCTATGAGTTTACTTCTTTGGGATCGTTATTTGCAAGCAATTGTTGATGATGAAGTAATAAATGATAATTCAATAATCAACCTTGAAGAAGGTTTCACCCTCCCTGAACCCATAGACCCAATGTTTATCAAGTTCAGAATATTTTTGCATATATTTACCATACTGTTGATAAGTATTTGGTACTTTGAGTTCATCATTACATCATTATTCTTCCATACACCTTTTGAGAAATTAGTGGGTTTAATGTTTGGGATGGTGGTACCACTTATAGCACATTTTTATACATCAGAGAAGCTGGAGACCCATACAGAGAGCAGGAGAGAGGTTTCTGAAGGTGAAGGTAGAGGAGAGGATATTTCAGCTGAAATCAGGGAACAAGATGAACGATGAGTTGACAAGGCATGAGTAGACAATCCAAGCATTTTTTTTTGGTGGAACACTCTAGAATACTCTCAGTACTCTATTAATATCACGAAAAACCATCCAATAACACCACCTCGTGTGACAAAATAATAAAATCTATAAATCTTAATCTCCGATCTTAGCTTTAATAGCGCATCGCATAGCACTAATCTCGCAAGACATATTTAAGAATCGCAGGGCCCAAGGTTTCATTAATGGAACATCTCGAGCTAAAATTTTCCAATATCCACTGTGGTGACTGTGAAACCCGGATCAAGGAGATATTCTCCCATTTTTATTCCCTAGTAGATTTCAATGCTTCAGTTGTTTTGAACCCTTCAGAAACTGGTTACACTCAAGTTGGAAATAAGGTAGATTTATACCACGAAATAAGTACCAGTCTGACATCTTTAGAACACAACCTTAAACCGATTTTGAAACGATTAAGACAGAATGGATTCAATGCTATTTCCAGAGATTTCTATGTCGATGATAAGTTGGTTTTAAGTCATATCGGTGATAATGAGGTCTCACACAATTCAGGTATCTTTAATGAGCTCCCTGACGCTTTACAAGGTATTTTCGGAGCCTGGAAGAAATACAAGGATCAAAATATTAGAAAACAACATTTGAAGACATGTTCAAAATGTCAACAAGATAAAATATCCGAAGAATTCAAGAACGATTCAGAAGAGTCTTTTGAGACAGTGGTTCAGAAAGAAGATAAAGAATTCAGAGCTGTTTTCTTTGTTGGAGGTATGACATGTGCATCATGCGTTTCATCTGTTAGTGAAGCTATGAAACAGGTTTTAGATGACCAGGATTCAAAATACGATGAACCTAACTATTCAGTGAATTTACTTCAACATTCAGCCATAGCTATTGTTCCCAGTAAACATGTGGTTAACCAAGTAATGAATGCTATCATTGACACTGGTTTTGAATGTAGAGTTTTAGAAGTGTTGCCAGTGGAGAGGTCAATCAATGCTAAAGTTACAGCAGCTATTGGAGGTATATCATGTGCCGCTTGCTCGGTTTCCATTACTAATGCAGTTCAGGAATTGCCATTCGTATTGGATTGTAATGTCAGTTCGATGACTAAAACAGGAGTATTTGTTATGGAGAATTCTGATGATAACCTTAAAGCCTTGAAACAAACAGTAGAAGATTGTGGGTTTGATTTCGAAGTCATGGAAACCACTAAGATCAATTATGCTCTGAGTAAGAAACAGAGTAGAAGTATCAATATATCAGTTCATGGAATGTTCTGTAATCATTGTCCAGAACTAATTCATGATTATCTTAAAGATTTTGGAGAAGTTGTGGTGATCGAGGATGAATTAACTTTGAACCATCCTATTATCAGATTTACTTATGTGCCCAACACCAAAACCAATCTCACATTAAGAAGAATTCTTGATGATCTTAATCATCTTAGAGCAAGTGATGATGGGTACAAGGTTGATTATTTGAAGGAAGGAAGTTTCAAATGTGAAGTAGTGGTGCCAATGTCGATGGACGAAAAGATAAAGATTATGGCGCAAAACGAAGTATGGAAAATAGCTCGTAGACTTATACTTACAACTATCTTGGCTATACCTTCGTTTATATTTGGGGTGGTTGCTATGCTGTTACTACCCAAAAGTAATTCATTCAGCATGTGGGTAGAAGAACCTATTTGGGCTGGAAATGTTACTCGTAATACTTGGATCTTACTTTTCTTAAGTACTCCAGTATACTTCTTTGCAGCTGATATTTTCCATTCTAAAGCCATCACTGAAATCAAATCTTTATGGATCCATAAAAATTCATTCACTAAGAGATTGTTCAAATTTGGTTCAATGAACTTATTGATGTGTCTTGGTACTTCAGTTGCATATTTCTCCAGTATAGTGCTTTTAATATTGAGCTCCCAACAGCATCCTGAAGCTCATGGTTTCAAAACGTCTTATTTTGATACAGTTGTATTTTTAACATTCTTCTTACTTATAGGAAGGTTACTTGAAGGGATTTCCAAGAACAAAACTGGTAATGCTGTGGTCGGATTAGGAAACTTAAAACCTTCTAAAGCAACCTTAGTGGATGAAGAAGATTCTAATTATGTCAATGACAGAGAGGTGGATGTAAAGTTTTTGGAAATTGATGATTACATAAGAATTTCACCAGGAGAATCATCACCAGTGGATTGTGTGATAGTTTACAATGAAGGAGAATTTGACGAAAGTGCATTGACAGGAGAATCTAAGCCTGTGAAGCATGTTCCTGGACATCAAGTTTTCTCAGGTACGGTTAATGTCAGCAATAAAGCTATTGTAGCTAAAATTTTAAGTTTGGAAAAAGATTCATTGATTGATCAAATTTTGAATACTGTCAGAGAGGGTCAAATGAGGAAGGCTCCTATCGAGAGAACTGCTGATACTTTGACAGGTTATTTTGTACCTGTTATTGTTGTAATCGCTATATTGACTTTCTTATTGTGGTTAATTTTAAGTTATACTGGGGTTGTACCAGAAGATTATTTAGATATTGATATTGGAGGATGGACTATGTGGTCATTGGAATTTGCCATTGCTGTGTTTTGTATTGCATGTCCATGCGGTATAGGTTTGGCTGCACCAACGGCTTTATTTGTAGGATCGGGCTTGGCTGCCAAAAATGGAATTTTAGTTAAAGGTGGAGGTGCGGCTTTCCAGGATGCGGCTCATACCAATATTGTATGTTTTGATAAAACTGGAACTTTAACCTATGGAGAATTGAAAGTTAGTGACTTTGCTTATAAGAAAGGTTTCAAAAATATCAGTTTCCAGTTAGCTAGAGATTTAGAGTTAAGTTCTAAGCATCCATTGGGAGAAGCTGTCAAAAGTTTTATATCAGAAAGTGGAGTAAAGATAGAAAATAATAAAGTTCCAAACGTGGAGACCATACCAGGTAGAGGTTTGAAGGGAGAAGTTATTTTTGAAGATGGTAAAGAAAATAAAATGGGTCTTGAAACTGTGATTTTAGGTAATGAAGCGTTTTTGAAGGAAAATCAAGTTGAAATCACCACCAAAGAATCGGAAATATTGAATGATTGGAAATTAGAGCAGAAATCTATTGTTCTAGTTGCTGTTAAGGCTAGGGTATTCAATGATAAACAGTTCCATCTTATTTTGATGATTGGGTGTAGAGATCAAATTAGACCTGAATCAAAGACCATCATAAAACAATTGAATAAAATGAAAATGGAGAGTTGGATGATTACTGGGGATAATAATATTACCGCTACATCAATTGCTGAAGAATTAGGTATTCCTGATGATCATGTGATCTCTGAAGTGTTACCTACAGATAAACAGAACAAAATCAAAGAGATCAAGTCATTGCAACCCAAAAATATCGTGGCCATGGTTGGAGATGGTATAAATGATGCACCAGCGTTGGCCACAGCTGATATAGGTATAGCATTATCTAGTGGAACTGATTTGGCTGTGACTTCGTCGGATTTCATTCTCCTTAATAAATCACACCCTTTGATTTCCATGATTACCCTTTTTGAATTATCCAAGAAAGTTTTCACCAGGGTGAAATTCAACTTTGGTTGGGCTTTGATTTATAATATGATTGGTATCCCAATAGCTGCTGGTGTCATTTATCCTATTCATCATACCAGATTAGGACCAGTTTGGGCTAGTGCAGCAATGGCAGCTTCATCGATCAGTGTTGTTTTAAGTAGTTTGGCATTGAATTTCTACAAGCCTAAAGTGAAAATGACTGAACTCCAAGAAGAGTTTGATCATCCTATAAAAGAGATTGAATTATGAGACCCATTGATTTTTTTAATGATTATAATGCTTATGTAATGTTATGTACGTTTAAAAATAGTAGTATCGAGTTTCACTACCATTACGGTAATGTTATCTGTTGTTGAGTTATCCATGGCAATTTGACATAATTTCTTAGCAGCAACTTCAGGATCATCTGATTTTGTAAAGCTCTCTTTAACAATCTCCACCGCCTTAACATCTGAAATAACATCCCAAACACCATCACATGCTAAAATCATAAATTCATCAGTATCATAGATTTCTGTCGACGTAGTGAATGGAGTCCCCACTACTAATTCTTTCATATAAGAATCACCTAAAGATCTGGTAACAGCTAAGATCCCATTAACTCTATTCTTTAAGATTAACCCCCCTGAATCTCTTATACGATTGATTTCATTAATATCACTAGCTTTATGATCATAAGTTAACCTATAAGCATTACCTCCACGACATAAAATAATTCTCAGGTCTCCAACATTAGCAGTATACATTACTCGTTTATGATTTTTATAATCAATAGTATTTGAATTGTCATTATTATCATTAGATTTTTCTTTATTTCCATTCTTCTCCCAAGCAAGAACCACCACAGCTGCCGTACAACCAGAATTCCCACTTCCTTCTTTAGTTATTGATTCATCAGCTTTTAAAAATGAATTATTAAGACTATCTCTCATATCATAATCTTCAAGATTCTTCTCTTCACTATCTAAAATTTCTTGCTCTAAATAGTTGTGTAAGTTGTTACCACACCATCTGGCTGCTTGTTTACCAGCATGACCATCAAAAACTGCAAAATATCCCCAATCCAATCTTTCAGCAAAATTGGCAACATAAGTGTGAACATCTTCCATTTTTGATCTATAAGTAGTATTCTTATTCTCTGCTACTCCTACTTTGAAAGATAATCCATAGAATGGATCATTAGAATTCGATGTGACACTTAGATTGGAAGTGGATGTGTTCTTATGACTAGTTATCTTGTTCAACGATAATGATGAATTGTTTAAACTCATAATGGACTATGATTTTTCAGGGTGCGACAAGGATCTATATTAGCAGGCTGATATAGGTACCACCAAACAAAGCAATTGACGATAGATTAGACGATAGAATCAATAGGAAAAACACAATTAGAAACCTGTGAAGATTTAATTGATAGATAAGGTGATATAGTAGAAGTTAATCGACTCAGGAACTATATATACTAAGAAACCCAACTTTACAAAAGAAACTTTACAAAACCTTAAGTATTGATATACATTAACACGTATAGTAACACAACTAACACTTACAGTAAAACGACTAACACAAACGATAACACAAACAAGAAACTCCTCAACTTATAATAATGATTCATCCAAAATTCAGAAGAAAATCAAGTAATTTTAGACCTAATCTTTACTATGATAGTGCTTTGATTCAAAGTAAAACCGAATTCGAATTGCTTCCTGTTATAACACTTATCAAGATATTTTCTTATCTCAATACCACTGATCTTTTGAGTATTTGTCTTACCAGTAGATTGTTCTATTTACCGGCGATTATCAATCTATACGAGAAGATTATCATTATCAATGATGATGAGACATTGATCAAGTTTGTGAAGAATATGGTTGATTATGCCGATTTGGGGACCATTGTTAATTTCAAGAACATCGACAAATTGTTAGGAGTTATTGAACATACGGATAAAGTTGGTCGTCACATTAAACGATTGATTATTTTGAATGATAAGATTGATTTTGATAATGATAGTAATTATTTAAAGTTGCAAACATTGATAAGTAAGATTCATCTCATACAATTAATCAACCCTTCATTGAATATCAATCGGTTAGAATCATTGAATTTGAGTACTTTGAAGTATTTATCTATTACCATTAAACAAGATAATCATAAAGCTTTTGATATCAAATTACCAAATTTAAAAGCTTTAAAGGTTTATTATGAAAACAAAGAATTCAACAAAGTGAAGTTTCAAATCTTAGCAAAGAATCTAGTCAAGAACAAGATCATTGACAATTTAAACAAATTAGAATTCGAAGAATTGATTGTTAAAGATTTGAAATTAATGAATGAAAGTAATAATAATTTACAATTAGCTATTTGGATAGATTTCTTCATTGAATTGAATATCTTGAAATTTCAAAAGTATACAAGCTTAACCACTCTTTCCATTGATGGGTTCATAAACAATCAAGGGTATCAAATATGCCAATTAATGAATCTAATCTTTGATTTGAAAAATCTTCAAGTTTTGAAATATAATATCAAAGAGTTCAGTCATTTGAATGAAGTTCATTATGAAAATGATCATAATCTTCTTATTAACTTACTAACATCATCCAATTTGAAATGTTTAATGATAAATCCAACATTTGATTGTTTAACTTGTCAATTAAACATGATCTTAAAAATGCTTAAAATGGTCCAACTCGACACTCTTGATTTGAAATTCGAATTCTTGAATCTAGATAATGTTAAACAGTTGATAACATCTATCAATAACCAGTCCAATTTGAAGCAACTCAAATTATATGATAAATCCAACGAGTTTGCTAACGAACATGAATTCAAAAAACTTATAGGTGATAGGTTCAATGATTTTGAGAGAATAAACTTCAATTTACAACTCCTACAAAAGTATGATGCTATAGATTATCAATTCGATAGGATTTCTATGTTTGCATTCAATGAGTTTTATAAATCTAATAGTGATAATATCGCAGAGTATTTAAATAATTATTTGAAAGTCATAGGATTAGATATCAAACAGTTCAAACAGTTGAATAAGTTAAATGTTAATAACATTGGATTAATGAACAATAATGGGTACAGGTTGATGAATATTGAACAAACTCCAGTAATTATTGAATAGATATTAAAGTAGTATCGATTACGTAATGGTGTCATCACCTATGACTAAAGTAGTTATAGTTCTCACATCTGACTAATGTCACATTCCTGAACCCCGAATTTCTCATGTCTCGTCTCGCTAGGGTCTCGTCTTACTAAAATCTCGTCTCGCTATGGTCTCATCTCCTTCCAGTCTCACCGACCAGGCTCACTGTTTTCCTCACTATTATTGTCACCGGACTGTCTCCCTGTCGCCCCACCTTCTATGTTCGCACTGATTCATCGACTAAAACTTTCTTTATCTCAATTTCTTTTTCTTTCAACAAATCCTCAAATTCTTCCATTAATAAGATTTGTAACTTTTTTGTTTAAACATCCCATTTTTTTTCAAAGTTTTCCAGTTATTTCCATACCCTTTAACTGAAATAATTTCATAGAACTTACCCATAACTTAATCAAAGCATTATCTTTAAGTTAATCGAAATTTTTAATTTGTAAATAAACAAATCCTTATTTGATACAAACAGATAATTACATATATCACACTAATGAGTTCAAAATCAGCAGCAGCTATTTTACAACGACAATTTAAAGATTTAACTGATCCTAAAAAAGGGATCCCTTCATTTCATATAGAATTAGATGATGATAATATTTTCTTATGGAATATTGGTATTATGGTTTTAAATAAAGATTCTATGTATCATGGAGGGTACTTTAAAGGACAAATGAGATTCCCAAGTGATTTCCCATTTTCACCTCCAACTTTTAGATTTACTCCAGCTATTTATCATCCAAATGTTTATAAAGATGGTAGATTATGTATTTCAATTTTACATCAAGGAGGTGATCCAACATCCGATGAACCAGAAAATGAAACTTGGAGTCCAGCTCAAACTGTGGAATCAGTTTTAATTTCTATCATTTCATTATTAGAAGATCCAAATATTTCTTCTCCAGCTAATATTGATGCTTCAGTTGAATTAAGAAAAAATCCTGATGCTTATAAAAAGAAAGTCTTACAAGAAGTTGAAAGATCAAAAATTGATATTCCTGAAGATTTCATAATGCCAGAATCTGAATTATATGCTTATGGTAATAATGGTAATAAAGATAATAATCAAGATCAAGATCAAGTTGATGAAGATTTTTGGTATGATAGTGAGGAAGAAAGTTTTGATGAAGAAAGTTTGATGGATGATATGGATGATAATGAAGATGAAGAAGAAGAGGAAGAAGAAGAAAGTGATGTCGATATGATGGCTAAATAAGATTATTAACGATATTTTATTCTTTCTTCCCCAAAGAAGATTCTTTACTTCATGTTTCTGTTGTTTTTATTCCATTAGTTTAGGTGTTAGATCATTGCATATATATTATAATTAATTAAATCTCTTAATATTTTTAAATCCCTTTTAATCCTTCATTCAATGCTGTTACCAAATTATCCAATTTATACTTCGCTATATGATTAGGTAATTGTTTATCATATAATATCACTACATAATATTCTTTATCGTCAATTAATTCATCTTGTTTAACGGCTATACCATTTTCAAATGATTGATTTTCATCTAAGGATAATTTCTGGATCATAATATTTAATTTTGTATCAAGTTCTAAAACCCCCCAATTTGTACCATCTTGAATATTACGATAATAATTATAAATTAATAATGAATATACTTTAATATCATCAATATTAATAGTAGTTTGATTATATACGGTACTTAAAGCTACACCATTGTTAGATAACAAAGAAATTGAAATAGGTGAAACCAATGGCGAAGTATCGCCGGTAGTTTGTATAGGAACAGCTTCCAACCCTTGAGATAATACTTGGGATATCTTCTTCAGTTGTAACATCGATTGATTATTCGTGTGAGAAACTTATCTTGCGACGTTTTATGGTAAATGTCTCACATAAAAATGTCTCAGTAGATATTCTCTCACGACGCGATTGTTTTTGAAAACATCTTTCTTTGACAAAGCGGTTATTATGAAATGGATGCAATAAATAGGAAAAGACCATTAAGTAGACAACCTTTAAAAGAGACTAGTGGGAACATCCCTAGTCCAAATAAAAAATTGAAATTAAAGGATGCTTTACCAATAACAAATCCAACTACCACAAAATTAGAAGTTTCTCTTCAACCTCAGACCCAAAATCAACAAAATCAATTGAAAACTCCTGTTTATAAGAATGATACTAAAGTTAGAAGTCGATTAGTAGGAGAAGAGTTATCTCAATGGAGAACCAGTTGGAAGAAAATCATGAAAAGTAGTGTAGTATATTTCGATACTCAAGGTGTAGAACAAAATAATCCTAATCATCAATTAGAACAAAAGAAAGCTATTAAAGCATTGAAATTTGTTGGTTCAGCTATAACTCCATTTTATGATAAATCAGTATCAATCATTATTTCAAGAAGATCATATAATGCTCAACATCATTATAATTCCAACGATATTTTCCATGATGCTTCAAATTTAAAAATTAAGGTATGGAATTATGATAAAGTTTTCAGATTCTTTAAAAATTTAGGTATTACTGATTTTGATAATTTATCATATCAAAATCAAAATCATGATGGGGATTTATATAATTTATTAAGAGTTGAAAAGATTTTTGGATCTACTGATAAAGATCCAAGTGCTAAAAGAGAAGATATGCATTATTTTGATAAGAATTATTTATATGTTTATGATTTAAGTCAAAATGTTCGACCAATAGCTATAAGAGAATGGTTTGATGATAATTATCCAATTTTACATTTAACATTAGATGGGAAATGTCCATTTATTATGGATTCAGAAAATTCTGAAAGAAAAAAATTAAGAAGAATAAAGAAATTTCAAGAAACTGAAAATTATCGTAAACTTTTAAAAAAATCAGCTTATGATTTAATTAATAATATTCGTAATAAAAGAAATTCCATTATTTTAACATCATCATCAATTTTAAGTGATGATGAAAATACTATAATCCAAACTAATTCCAATTGTCAATCTGATATTGATGATAATATTCAATTAATTAAGAATTTTAATGAAGATAATGAAAATAATGATAAAGAAAATGAAGAATATGAGAATTTCAAACATCCTAAACCAAATTTAATTAGAAATTCATCATGTATACCAACCAATAATTCTAATGGAAGATTTTATGATGTTGCAGCATCAGGATTCAATGGTGAATCAAATGCTATTCAACAATTTTCAATTGATTCCGGCCCTCAATTAGGTGGTAATGGTTTAGGTCCAACAATTTCTCAAGTTCCTTCGAAAAATATAAATAATTTAAAAAGAAGAATATTTATGAAAAAGCAGAAACAGAAAGTTGAAGAAAAGACTGATTTAAAACCTGGTTATTGTGAAAATTGTAGAGTTAAATATGATTATTTTGATGATCATATAAATTCTAATAGACACAGAAAATTTGCCGTTGATGATTCTAATTTTAGTGATATTGATAGGCTCATTGGCATTTTAAATGATTCTAAATCATTTGGTTTCATCACTTCTGATGGTGATTTTAGTTATTCTGAAGAATAGCTTCATTAGCATAATATATATAAAATTCGCAGTAAAACTTTTCCATCTCATGTTTAATCTTGGTGTAAGATCTATAAGGTGCTTACCTATTGGTAGGGTAACGAGGTCTTATTCTATATTGAATGACTTGCCTAAGGTCAATAGGTTTGCTGATAAGTATAAAAATCAGGCAAATAGGAAAGGTAAACCTAGAACTGATATGAAAGGTGATAAGATAGATGCAAGTATGAGAGATAAACCAAGACCACGAAATGATAGACCACGAAATGATAGACCTAGATCTGATGGTCCCAGACCTATTAGGCTCAATAATGAAAGATCCCGGCCTGATGGTCCTAAAGGACCCAATAATGATAGAACAATGAAAAATACTGCAAAAGGATCCAAAGATATTAAACCTAAACCAGATTCTAATGCTGCAGATATTGTAGTGGGTTTTGATGGTCCTTATGATGGACAAGATGAAAGAACCAAATACCAAAGAAAGATGGATGCAGCTGCTAAGGCAAAGGAGTATCAGAAAGTAAGAGAAGCTTTAAAAGCCAAACAACAAAAGCAAGCTGTCAAAACTCCTAAACCCAAGGAAAAACCTAGAAAGAAGGAAACCAGCAAAGCTAAAGTGAAAATTTCCGTTCCTACATTCATTACTGTTGGTAACTTATCATCAATGCTTAATATCCCTCTTAACAAGCTTTTGCAAAATCTTGAATCTATGGGATTTGAAAATATGAGACATAACTATATCTTGGATAAAGAAAACGTTTCATTGATTGCTGATGAGTATGGTTTTGAGATATCCATGAATGATGATAGTGGGTTGGATTTATTCCCGGCTCCTGAACCCAAAGAAGGAGACGTTAATGTAAAATCTCGAGCTCCAATTATTACCATTATGGGACATGTTGATCATGGTAAAACTACTATTTTAGATCATTTGAGGAAATCTTCCATCGTAGATAAAGAATTCGGAGGTATAACCCAACATATTGGGGCATTCTCTGTTATAACTCCTATTTCGAAGAAGAAAATCACCTTTTTGGATACTCCAGGACATTCAGCATTTTTGAAGATGAGAGAAAGAGGTGCTAATGTTACCGATATTGTTATTTTGGTAGTAGCAGCTGATGATTCTGTAATGCCACAAACTATAGAAGCTATCAAACATTCAAAGAAAGCGGGTGTTCCGATTATTGTTGCCATTAATAAATGTGATAAGCCGGGAGTCAATGTCGATAAAGTTTTGGGAGATTTAGCAAGATATGATATTGACATTGAAGATTATGGTGGTGATACTCAAACTGTCCAAGTCAGTGGTAAAACCGGTCTTAATATGGATAAATTAGAAGAAGCTGTTATAACTTTGAGTGAATTGAATGATTTTAAAGCTGAAACTAAAGGGGTTCCAAGTGAAGGTTGGATCATTGAATCAGAAGTTATGAAAGGTATGGGACCCGTTTCAACGATCTTGGTCACCAGGTCTTCAGTTAAAGTAGGAGATTTCTTAGTTGCAGGTAAAACCTATTGTAAAGTAAGAGGAATGAAAGACGAACATGGTAAAATGGTTAAAATAGCAGGTCCTTCAACCCCTGTTCAAATCTGGGGCTGGAAAGAATTACCTACTTCTGGTGATCAAGTGTTACAAGCTACCAATGAACAAATTGCTAAAAAGGTAGTTCAGAACAGAATCACTCGTGAGAAGGAAATGATGGCTTTCAAAGATATCGAAATCATAAATTCTAAAAGACAAAAAGAATTAGAAGAATTAGCCAAACAAGAAAAAATCAACGAACTCAAACAACAAGGATTCAGTGAAGAAGATTTGAAAGAAGAATTCGAGCAAGAAGCTAAAATCAAAACAGTCAATTATATCATCAAATCCGATGTTTTTGGTTCTGCTGAAGCTATCAAGGAGAGTATCGAAGGTCTTGGTAATGATGAAGTTAAAGCCGTGGTTATATCTCATGATGCAGGACCTCCTGTTGATTCTGACATAGATATGGCATCTACTTTGAATGCTAAAATATTCTGTTTCAATGTGAAAATTCCTAAATCTACCAGTACCAAAGCCAATCAAAATAATGTGGAAATGAAAGAACATAATATCATCTATAGATTGATTGAAGAAGTCACTGAAGATTTGAATAATCAATTAGAACCTGTCGTAGAAACGAAAATTTTATCCGAAGCTAAAATCCAAGGCATCTTTAACATTACTGTCGTCAGCAATGGTAATAAACGGAAAGTTAAAATTGCTGGTTGTAAAGTCAATAGTGGTACTTTACATAGAAATTCTACCATCCGTGTAATGAGAAATGATACATCAATTTATGAAGGTAGTTTATCAACTATGAAACATAATAAAGATGATGTTAAAGAAATCAAAAATGGTATTGAATGTGGTTTATCCTTCGATAATTGGGATAAGTTTGAAGAAGGGGATGTTATTCAAGCATTTGAATTGATCCATCATAAAAGATACTTGTAAATAAAATGTATATAGAAAGTCGCACCTAAATCTCATCTCCATAATGTCATCTCATGATGAATACTCATCAGATGATGAGTCTATAATCGAAGGCAGTAATACACAGCTTGGATTCGTAGATGTTCCAATAGACGAAGAAGTTACCATTGAAGATACTATACTTGGAGGTGAACCAGTTTGGCTTCACCCACAATCATTTCCTGATGAGAAATTAATTACATGTAAGAATTGTGGTAATAAGATGGCTTTATATTTACAAGCTTTCTCACCTTTCGGAGATGAATTTCATGATAGAGTGATTTATATTTTTGGTTGTTTGAATACTAAAACCTGTTCTTATAAAGATGGAAGTATTAGATGTATCAGAGGAATATCTAAAGATCCTATAAAGATGGAAGAATTGGAGAAAGAACAACAAAGAGAGATCCAAAACGAATTAGATCAAAAATTACAATTGGAAAACAAAAAGAAATTAAGAGATGAATTAACTAAAGATTTATTTGGTAGTGGAAAAGCTGATAATCCTTTTAGTAAAAATACTGATAATCCATTCTCTAATCCTTTTGCCAGTCCTTTCAAATCAGAACCTAAACAGCCTGAAGTTAAAGCTGAAACTAAAACTTATGCTTCAGTAACTGCTGAAACTATCCCTCCAGTCACCAAAAAAGAAATTGTCAAGTATGAATTACCCTCATATCCAGGATATTTCGTATTTGTAGAAAAAGAAAAGTTCAAAAAACAAGGTTTGGACCCCGAATTAGAGAAATACAAGGATTTAATCGATAATAATTCCATCAATGAAGAAGATGTAGGACCTTCATCAAAAGTTAATCTTAATCCACAACAAAGCAAAATCGCTAATATGTTAGATGATAAGTTTTTTGAAACTTTCTCAAATACTGTACAATATAATCCTGGCCAAGTGTTAAGATTTGATCTTGGTGGTAAACCTTTATTGTATAATGGGAAAGACAAAGTAGCTAAAGCATTCACAACCTCGCCATTCAATATTCCTGCACCTGCTATAAACCCTTCTTCATCTAGACAATTTGAACTTCAATTAATGCCTAAAACCATTATTGATTTGGAAAGAGATGAAATTAATATCATGGATGGTATGTCTTGGGGAACTATAATTGTTTGTACTGATGTTGAAGATTACGTTCCACCAGAATACTTTGATGAAAATCATGTGGCTTATGTTGAAGAATATTGTGGGGTTCAATGGGAAGAGTCTGTGTAGGTAAAAGTCCCTTTGGAATTCTTTCACTTTCCTTACTCATATTAATTAGACGAAACTTTTTTGATACTACCTCCTTCCAACTGCGACTCCTTACCGCCTCTTAATCATTTCTCCTGTTTAGTATAAATAGACGTGCTCATTGCTAAGCAACATTGCGGCCAAACATCCCTTTGCAACCGGTGAGAAGAATTTCCACCTTATTTACTTGCCACTAACCCTCTCCTCTACCCATAGATCCTTCCCCTGATCAAATATTCATCCCTTATAACTCCATGCTTCTCATTTCCTCTTGGTTGCAAAAATAGAAACATCAACGGTTTTTTGCAACTGACGCAATCGTCCTGTATATATACAGGAAGTTGTGCGACTAACCAAATTTTTGGTATAATTCTTTTTTGTGACGTTTTTATTTATCATATTTACATTCATAGATCGATCAATAAACCCTTTGGTTGAAATTTTCTTATAGATTGGATAGACTTAGTCAGAGGAAGAGTTTTAAAAATTGTTTTTCTGATATAATTTAGATTTTTTTCACCATTTGTTATTGATTTATAGATCACTAGAATTAATCCCATGTCTAGTATTCACGATAGTTCTGATGAAGAAAGGGACTTTCAGTCCCATATTCAATTACCTAGCTTACAGGATTATCAGAAACACAAAAAGAGAAACAGTAGTAGTACGAATCTTGTAAAAGCTGGGAAGAAATTCGGTAAAGCTATACAACAAAAGGGTTCTTCTTCTAAGAAAGGTGTGAATTCTCCAAGACAATCGTTTGTTAGTAACGATTCTTCCTTGAATGAACCAGAAGTTTATTCTGATAGTAGTGACGATTATCAAGAAGGAAGCAGTAGTTTACCTAAGTTTCAATTCAAAGATGATTTAAATGCTGAATCCAATGTAATGGATGATGATGAAGATGAAGGGATGTACCCTGAATATGGGGATGATTATGATACCAATCTCCCCGATCATTTGGATGAGTCTGATTCTGATGATGATGAGTTAAATCGAAACCCACCTCCACAAGGCTTAGATCCCTTGGATCAACCTACACATGATTTACATCAACATGCATCAAGAGATTCCCATGAACTGAGATTTTCACATAATTCCTTACATTCCAAATCAGATTTGAAGTCCCATTCTTCAAGAAATTCAAGTTTAAGAAATCATATTTTCAGAAGACCTTCAATGTTTTCTAGAAAACATGGAGAAACTGATATAACTGATCAATTGGGTAGCACCACATCATCACATACAGCAAACTCTCAAAATAGATCAGGAGTTGTTTTCAAAGATATTTTAAGAAAAATGGCTTTGCAAGATCAAGCATATCCTGAAAGACCCAATTCTGATACTTTCATAGGACAGATACTCAGTAACGATGGTAATATGAGTTTAAGTGGTGGTGGATTAGTTCCTGGAGGTTCAAGAATGTCAAGAGAGAAACCTATTGATGAAGAAGAAGAGATAGGAGACGATGAATCATTTGCCGAAAGAAATTCAATTGAACTACAAAAACTCGATTTCGCTCAGTTGAATAATGAAGCTAGAAATTTGATTAATGTCCATGTACCTGAAAGATACCGTCAAGAAACTTTCGAAGATCATCAGATAGAAAGTAATTCTTCAAGTGAAACTGTTAAAGAGAAAAGTGATGAAATAGATGAAAAGGCCAGACCCAGTATTGATTCTAAAACTAGAAAGAAAGAAGCCGACCTTTATGCCCCTAATCCAGACTTGTTTCTTCGTAATGATGTCCAATATAACGATGATGGAGAATTCATGATGCTTGATGAAGATTCAGAATATAATATTGCACCTCCTACTAAAGTTCAAGCGGGTGTTTTATCCTCATTATTAAAATTGTATCAAAATCCTGATGAATCAAAGTCGACTTCCTCATTATCATATGGAGATCATTCCACTTTACATGAATTTGATGAAGATCGTGAACCCACCAAAACATCATCATCTTTTGATATCATGAAAGGGTTTAAATCTGGGGGTAAAATGGTGAAAGACAATTTACCTTTCTATAAGAAGACCCATAGTGGCCAACAAACACCTGTTGATACAGAGGATGGACAAATCCCAATAACTGATGAATCAGGTATGCCATCTTTCCAAAATGCTAAGCCCAAACAACATCGTAAAGCAATGGTTAATCCATCCAATGTCCCTACTAATGTTTCTAAAAGATTCAAGAAAGCTAAGAAGAAAGCAGCCGAACAATTAAGAATCACCGTTCATATTGCTGATGTTCTTCAAAGACAAAGATTCATCATGTTGATGTGTAAAGCATTAATGTTATTTGGAGCTCCAACTCATAGATTGGAAGAATATATGATAATGACATCACGTGTTTTGGAAATTGATGGTCAATTTATTTATTTCCCTGGTTGTATGATTATGGCTTTTGGTGATGCTGCTACCAGAACTTCTGAAGTTCATTTGGTAAAATGTACTCAAGGATTGAATTTATCTAAATTAGACGAAACTCACAAGATTTATAAAGCTGTGATTCATGATTTAATGGGAGCTGAGGAAGCATCAGTGAAATTGACTAAAATCTTGAAACTGAAAAATGTTTATAATCCATGGTTATGTGTTTTCTTTTATGGTCTTGGATCATCAATGGTTTGTCCATTCGCTTTTGGTGGAGGTTGGACAGATATTCCAATAGCTTTTGGGGTTGGTTTATGCGTAGGATATTTACAATTCTTTGTTTCATCAATGTCCAACTTATATTCTTCAGTATTCGAAGTAAGTGCTTCTATTGTTGTATCATTCATTGCTAGAGCCATTGGATCTATCCATGGGGGTAAAATATTTTGTTTTTCAGCCATTGCCCAAGGATCTCTAGCGTTGATTTTACCAGGATATATCATTTTGTGTGGATCATTGGAATTACAATCTAGAAATTTGGTCGCAGGAGCTGTTAGAATGTTCTATGCCATCATTTACTCATTATTCTTAGGGTTTGGAATTACTTTAGGAGCTTCTTTATACGGTTGGGTTGATAAGAATAGTGTCTCTGAAGTCACTTGCAGTGCCGATCATCAAATCGATCCCAAATTTAGAATTTTATTTGTCCCAGCGTTCGCAACCAGTTTAGGATTAATCAACCAAGCTAAACTCAAACAATTACCAGTGATGTTGATCATTGCATGTACGGGATATGTTGGAACATATTTTGCAGGTCTTCATTTTTCCAATGTCTCGGAATTTACTGCATGTATTGGAGCTTTCATTGTGGGTATTTTAGGTAATCTTTATTCAAGAATTTGGAAAGGTTTAGCTGTAAGTGCCATGCTTCCTGCAATCTTTGTTCAAGTCCCTTCAGGTATTGCTTCTCAATCTTCATTATTATCAGGTATAACAGCAGCCAATGCCATTACTAGTGATGGTAATAATACCACGGCTTCAAATGCTGCATCCGATTCAAGTTCAGGATCAATGAGTTTTGGTTCAGCTATGGTGGAAGTTTCTATAGGTATCAGTGTTGGATTATTTGCAGCTGCTTTGATTGTTTATCCATTCGGTAAAAAGAAAACTGGTCTTTTCTCTTTATGAGTTATTTATAGGTTTTAATGTATGAGTCGCACCAGTTATTTCTCCAGATAAAGTATTTATGTTGAGATTAGGGACGTGGGGTAGACGATTTAATTCTTCCATTAGTTTGGTCAACTCTAACGATAATTACATATCAGTGAAGTTGAATGGTAAGATAATTCAATACAGTTCCATATTCTTGAGGGATGCCTGTTCAGCTCCAGAATCTGTTGATAAGCATTCAAGTCAAAAATTATTCACTACCGCAGATATTAGTAAAGATTTGAAGGTTCACGACACTAAAGTTGTTCATAATAAAGATGGAGATGTGTTACAGGTCAAGTGGTTTCAAAATGGGCAAAATCATATTTCTGAATATTCCTTTAAGTTCTTAGATCATTATTCAACCCGAGAATCTCGAATCAAGGGTAGGTATTTTGAAGATTATAGAATCGTATGGAACAATTCTATTCTTACCAGAGATTTGGAAAGTATTAATACCCTGTACGACGCTTATATGAATGATGAACAAACATTTCATAAAATGGTTCAACAATTGAATAAATATGGACTTTGTTTCGTGAATGATTTACCTCAACCAACGGAAGAAACCATGACAGAAGAAAATGTAAACCACTGGCCAGTTTCTAAGCTAGCAAACAAATTCGGATACATCAAAAAGACTTTTTATGGAACTTTGTTTGATGTTAAGAATGTAAAGGAAGCTAAGAATATTGCTTATACTAATTCATTCTTACCATTACATATGGATTTATTATATTATGAATCACCTCCAGGATTACAATTTCTTCATGCTATCCAAAACTCCACTTTAGGTGGAGAGAATATCTTTGTTGATTCATTTGTTGCAGCCAAATACATCAGAGAAAAAGATCCTAGAGCTTTCAATGCATTGACTCAAATTCCAATCACTTATCAATATAACAACAATAATGAATTCTATTATTATCAGCGTCCTTTGGTAGTTGAAGATGAACGTATTGATGCCAAATCAAAATATCCTTTCATAAAAGAAGTTAATTATTCACCACCTTTCCAAGGACCTTTTGAATTAGGTATCACCAAATCTAGTGGTAATTCCATGACCGAAAATGCTAATCATTCTCAATTCAATGATTTCCTTAGAGGTTTAAGAATGTTTGAAGAATTTATAAACAATCCAGAGAATCAATATCAATTGAAAATGCCTGAAAAATCATGTGTTATATTTGATAATCGTAGAGTTTTACATTCAAGATTAGAATTTTCTGATTCAAATGGTGGAGATAGATGGTTAATGGGATGTTATGTTGATGGAGATAGTTATAAGTCCAAATTAAGAATAGCATCTAGATTTATTTAAATTTTCTTATATTTATACACAACTATTTTAGTACATTAAATTTCTAGTAACCATAATTACTATAAGCCATATTATTGACTTGTTGACCACCATTTCTAGCAGTATCGGCGGCCTTTCTTGTTTGAGTTTTATAAAGTTGTTTAAACCCATTACATAAACGAAGCATATTTGGATAATCAAATCCTTTTAATTGATAACCATCAACCCCGGTTTTAACATGCCAGGTTGAAATAGGAGTATTAACATTAACTTTAAATAATAATAAGAACCAACCTGGAGCTCTGTGATCATAACAAAATATATAAGCACTAGTTTTAGGATTAGCTTTAGTATAGGAATGTAACCATTCTTGTACTTCAGTTAAAGCACCTTCACGGAATTTTGGATGACGGACCATTTCTCTAACTTTGGCAGCAATTACTTGAACATGTTGGACAATTAATTCATCCAAATCATCATATGATTTACCTTCAACTAAGAATTTCTTTCTTCTACCAATAACTTTTTCTTCAATAATAAGATGTTGGAATAAATTAGTAGCTACTTTCCAGGTAACAGTTAAATATTCTGGACCTTTTGATGAAGGACGTAAAACACAATCACCTAAACTCTTAGGAGCTAAGAATTCTTCTGCTTGTTTATGATTGAAATTATGGAATAAAGGATGTTGGAAATTTCTTGATTTTGCATTGGCTTCCTTTTCTTTAAACAATTCCTTTTGTCTATCATTTTCTTCAGCTTCTAAATCCCATTTACTACCATCTTTATGAACTTTTGGTTGTAAGGCTCTTCTAATATCTTGTTCCATAATTGAAAAAGTAGCAGAAAATTGTTCATATTGGACTTCTAAAACAACAGCTTGTAAAACTTGACCTTGAATTATAGTGGCATTTCTTGGAATTAAAGATTCTTCAATATTACCTTGAATTAATGAAGATGTTGTAACTTTAAGATATTTAATGGTTGAAGCATTCATATTATTCAAATCATTAAGATTTCTACCAACTCTTGTAACCGTTACTGGTACTATGGTATTTCTACCAAAAGTTTTAGTAGATTCTCCTGATAACATTTCAAAAGTTTCTTGAACATCTAAAACATGGAAAGATCTTCTTAATTCTTCATAATTATTAACTAATTCTTCTTTAATACTTTGTAAAGTAGCATATTTCTTTTTACCGAATTTAGTTTCTAATTCTTTACCATAAGCATTTAAATTCAAATCATCAACTTTATTAACACCATCTTGCATTAATTGATAAATTATTCCACCTTGTTCTTCAATACTACCAATATCTTCTTCATCAAGATCTAAAGCATCAGCAGCCATTTTACGAGCTAAATCATAATCTTCAGGATGAATTCTGGTAGCATCCAATAATTCAACTGATCCATCATTAGCAGAAATATTCTCATCATAAGGAATATAAAGGAATGATGAACAATTGAGGAAAATGTTAGCTGTTGATAATTCATGTTCAATCAATTCACTTCTGGTAGCTAAAGATGAACCTAATTTGGAATTAATGTTACGTATTAATCCTGAAGCTTTACGAGGTCCTAAACCTGAAACAAAAGGTAATAATTTCCCAATACTTTCATCTCTAACAGCTTCATTGATTTCAACTCCCAACATGTTAACGATATCAACAAAACAAGTTTCGAAAGTTTCTAAAATTAAATCATTAGGTAATAATTTTTGGAATTCAGAAAATGTTAATGATAAAATATCATCCCCTAAAGCAACATATTCAACTATTGGATTTTGAACATAACGAGCTAAACCAATACAATATTTAACTAAAGTAGCTTTATCACTGAATTCAATTTTGGCTCTTTGAGAATTTTGATATAATCTAGCAGTTTCATCAGGTCCATAAATAACTCTTACCAATGGAGGATCTTGAACATCATTTTTCAAATCATCAACATCAACTTGAATTCTATACATTTGAACAAAGGAGTTGATAATATCAAATAATTTCTTGGTATGAGCATTATAACCACTTACTACTATAACGTCAGGAGATTTCCCATTAAGACTTCTATCAATAAAAGCTTTTAATTGACCTTGGAATAAATCTTCACTTTCTCTATCAGTAATAGGATTATGATCAGATTTAAAGAATTCTGATACTTTACCATTATCTCTAACATAAGATCCAACAACAGCATTATCACGATCTCCTTTACCAAATGATAATGCTAAAACAGTTGGTTTGGTACCTTTATCATAACCAAATGGAGTAAATGGTGCTTGATCGATTTTATTCAAAAATTTCTTTCTTAAATCATTAGCTAATAATCTTTGACATTCTGATCTTAAATCTTCTTTAGTATTTAAACCAATCATTGTAGTTAACTTGGCGAAAGACATTCTTAACACAAATTCCCTTTCTTTATTCCATTTTTCGGAAATATCTGATAATCCATCAGATTTAAGACATGCAAAAATACTTTGGAACCATTTTTCATAATCTTTAGTTGATATTTTAATAACTAATAATCCTTGAGCTTCGGCTTCTAACATTCTTAATAAAGTATCAGGATTTCTTACCAAATCTGCAGGTGATCTATTTATAGCATATTTGATATCAGCATAAGCACTATGATTATCAATAACTGATCTTCCCTTTTCGGTTATAGCTACACTTACTGAAGCAAAATTCTTAAAAGTATTTCTAACTTCTTGTCTGATCTTTGGATTATGGAATATTGATTCTGAATAGAACTTTCTAACAGCACCTTGAGCATTTTTGTAATCTTTGAAAAGAACTTCTTCATCATCAATTAATTTCTCAATGATTTCATTAGGACTTTCAAATGGATCATCAGTGGCATGAATTCTGAATGATGCTTGGAAATTTTTAGAACTTTGATCTTGAACATTTTCACCAAATTGTTTAGCAGTGATACCATAAGCTTCAACAGCATCAAAAAGAACATTTTCTTTAATTCTTTCATAAATAGAAAATTTGGAATTTTTCTTAACTAATTTGGCTAAATCATTAGCGGAAGGTTTGAGGTCATTATTTTCATCATTTTCATCATCATCTTCTTCATTATTTTGAATTGGTTCTTGTTGTTGTTGATGTTTCTTAGTGGCTAAATCTCTAATTTCTTTAGAATAAGTAAATTGAATATAATCTTGTAAATCTTGAATAGCAACCATTGAATCTAATGATGAGAAATCTTTTAATAAATCATCATCAACATTTAATTCTTCAACTAATTTTTCAACATTTAATCTCTTTTCATATAATGAATGATATTCAATATCTAATTTAATGATTCTCCATAAATCATCTTCATCTAATAATCTATGAACAATTTCATTTGTACCATTAGCATCTTCAATTTGTTCCGCATATAAAAGGAAATCACGACGATGAGTCCATATAAATGGAACTTCATAGTTCTCTTTGGATATGAACTCAACTGCTTTACCAACAGCTTCTTTAAATTGAGGAATTAAATCTGGTCTGATTTTAGATGATTTTTCCAAATATAATAAATCACCAATCCAAGATTTTTCATTTTCTAATTCTGAATCATTAAGATCAATATAATTTAAATTATTACGATATTTTTGATATCTTTCTGGAACATCAATGATTCTGATTAAATTATCTTCTTCTGTTAACATACGTTCTTTTAATTCAGCATGTTCGAAAACTTCTTCTAAAGCTGTTGGTTCAAGATTTTCGGCATTTCCTTCATCTTCAATTTCTTGAGCATCTAATGCCCATTCATATTCTGCTCCATTACCGAAAACTTCAAATAATTGTTGTAAACTTTCTCTATCTACAGATGATAATTTAGAAGTATCTAATCTTGGACCTTTACTTATTCTTTGACGTTCTCTTTTAGCTTTTTCTCTTTTAGCTTCATCTTCATCAGAGAATTCATCATCTTCAATGAAATCTTCAAATTCATCCAAGATATTTCTATCATCAGGAATTCTTCTTTCATTTTGTTGTTGATTATCTTCATCATTTTCTCCTTCTTGTTCATTATCATCATCATCAGAAAAGAAATCGTCTAATCTACCTTTTTTACTTGTAGGAACATCTGATTCTTCTGATTCTTGAGCTCTTTTAAGACGTTTGAATTGTCCAGATTCTGATGATGTTGGTCTATGACCAGAATTTTCCATTAATAATTCTAAATCATCTTCATCTAAAGCATCATCAATGGTAGTTTTGGCTTTTCTTTTATGTTTTCTCTTTTTCTTATGGGAAATTCCTTCATCTTCTTCATCGTCATCCACAATAAATCCTTCACGGACTTTTTGAATGGCTTCTTCATCGTCATCTTCATCATCTTCTTCAGATGAGTCTTGCATAGCGTCATCACCTTCACCTTCAGAAGAATGTTGAGATTCATCATCTTTGATTTCACTCTCTTCTTTCGGTAAAATCTCAGCCAGTGGGACGTTAGAAGTTGAATTGTTGAGGTCTTCTTCACGTTGCATCGTTTAAGATGTATTATATATGTGAAGGTTTGATAAGGTATTAATCAATACAAACTTCAATCAATGAAAATCTCGACCAGTGCGAACTGAAAAATTTGTTGATGTCAGGGTAACCTTTTGAAGATAACAGGGTGCGTTAAGGTGGAGGTACGTTAAGAGGTTTGGGGGTTCGTTTGAGTCGTAAATTCATTATGTTAAGGAGAGTATGGAGTTATTTTGGCCAGATTAACTGGTGCATATTTAGCTTCGATTGTGGCAGACTGGGCTTTAAGTTCAAGTAGAAATCTGACTTCCAAACAATGTAAAATGACCTTGTTTAACCACTTAATCTTCTGACCTAACCCTGTGAAACTTCCTTCTTCGGAACTTGCATCATTGTAGTTTACTGAATTCCTCAGTCTCTCGTGCACGTCACTTATCGATACTGTTTATCCAACTTTTCATTAAACTTCCTATTATCTTGGTTGATGTATACTCCAGAATCTCCAAGCTTTCGTTTTCTTTTATCTTGATTCAATTTCATAATCAGCTTCATATTGTCTATTTGTTCTTCTGTAGGTTTCTGTTGATTAATTAACTGATTGTCTTTTTTCTTGGTATCATGTAAATCTTTATCTATGTTCAATTCACTAATTTCTTTGTTATACGTTTTCAAAGCAAGGTCATCGAAATTATCAAATCCTGATTGTTTGTCTTTTTGTTTAGATATCCACTGGTTTGTTTCTTCTATGGAATAAGACAATAATTTAGATTTTCTTTCAACTTTCTCTTCAGGTTGAAGGTCTTCTCTTAACTTTTGTCTCAATTCTTCACTCTTAAGTTTCCTACCTAATGCTTCATCTCTTAAATTTTCAACATTGGATTTTTTCACTTTGCTTTTCAAAGCTTTTAACCTTTTCAATCTTTCTATTTTAGAAGCCTTGGCCCCTGAATCAGTGTCATGACTATTATCTTTGTCATCGGACATCGGTGCGAGATATCGGGTTGCGCGGCGAGGCTTTTGCAACCTTAAGAAAATCACTGTTACACTTGATCATTTATACATGAGTAATTACACGCATCTTGATTGTGGCTTACTTATAACAGAATAGGGTTGTTTTCAGGAGTAATAATATAATATATAAATCACCGCATCCCGCAAAAGATTCATTTTTACAAATTAACGATAAGAAACAAGAATGATCGAACTTATGACAAAAGAATTGAAGTTATTGAAGTATTTACAATCACCAAATGTTTTAGACTCCATCAAAGGTAAACCTTTGAAAGTATTAAAGGCAATTGACGATTTTAATGCTAGAAGTAGTCAACATTACATGATAGTTGGCCCGGCCAAGGGGAAGTTCATAGTTGAGGAAATTCAAAGAACAAAACCAAAGATCTTGATTGAATTAGGATGTTTTGTTGGTTATAGTGCTGTTAAATGGGGTCATGAGTTGTCAACTATAGGAGGCCGATACTATGGATTCGAATTTAGTGAGGATTACGCTGATATTACTCGACAAGTTATCGAAATAGCTGGACTTTCATCGATATCAACTATTCTTGTGGGGGCTGCAAGTGAAAGGTTACCTGAATTTGCCAAACATCACAAACCTGCAGATTTCATTTTCATCGACCATGAAAAAAGTTTATATGTACCTGATTTCAGAGTAATGGAATCTGTGGGATTAATTGGTGAAAGTACAACCATCGTGGCCGATAATATCATTCGTCCTGGTGCACCTGAATATCATCAATACGTAAATCTTGATTCCAATGAAAGAGAAACTTATAATAATTCCCATGAAAATATATCAGGATCAAGCTATAAGGGTAAATCCACCAATTTATATACATCACAATTGATTCCTGTTGGTCAAGATGCCATTGAAATAACAAAATGTTTACTGGTTTAAATAGATATCAAATCTTTAACTCTAGCAAAGGAAAAGTTCGCGATTCATCATGACAGATCTAACACCTATCTTTAATCAATGTGTAGCAATTATAACACAGGAATTGACTCCTGTAGAGCACAAGGTGGATAAGCAACCTTATATCATTGAAGATACGTTTACCAAAGAAAGTGGAGATTTATATGGAGCAATAACCAAGATCAACTCATTTCTTACAGATATTAAACCTAAATACCTTTCAATTAATTATGATGAACCCGGTAAATTAACCATTGAAGACAAAGACGCTTTGGACAAAGACATTCAAAGGGAAATCTCCGTTCTTTACGAGAAGTATAAAGTTATAAAAAACTATGAAATTGAAAGAGGTAAAGTTAGTCATGGTAAGAAAAGTTGGATATCCAATGTCTTCGGTGATGATGAAGAGGATGCCAAAGATATCTATTTCAACCAATTGAAGGTGTGGCGATCTCAAATACTAGGGTTTATAGGGAAATCTTTGGATAACACTTCTAAGGTTTTCGAAGATATTGTCAGAAAGAGACATCATAGAGAACAACAATTGAATCTACTTAATTTTCAAAATTTGGAAGATAATAATGATAATTTCGATTCCGAATTGATTACTTCTAATGTGGATTATCAAGATTTTGAAGAAAACCTGGATTTGTCCCAAGTCCAATTACAAGAATTAAAAACTGAAAATGAAGATTATTTAAATATGAAAAACCAACAATTAAAACAAGTTGAACAACTTCATAGTTCAATGGTAGATATCATCAACATTCAACAAGAAATAAACTATCAGATATCTCAACAATCAGATCAAATAAGTAACCTTATTGATAATCAAGATCAAATAAATTTAGATTTAAGAGAAGGTAATAAGAACTTATCAAAAGCTACTACCAGAAATAAGAAATCTGCTAATATGATTATAATGACTAGTATTCTACTAGGATGTCTTATTCTATTTATGGACTTTGTGAATTAATGTAATCAAGCATCAGATAATTTAGTTATTTTTCCAGCACCAATAGTAGTACCTTCTTTACGAATAACCACTTTACCTAAAATTGGATCATCATCGAATTTACATAATGGTAATAATCTGTTACTATCAATAGTGATTTGTACAACTGCTTGTTGATTTGAAATCAAATGTTTCCTTTTACGACCATTGGTTGATACAATTTTGGTTAATTTACAAGGTAAATTGAAATTTGAACGAAAAAGAATAAAAGGTGTTCCAATCAACAAAGGTTTAGTAAGATTGAATAATGACAATTCACATTCAAATGTTTCAACAGTTTCAACTTTAGTGGAATTAGTAATAATATCACCTATAACAACATCATCCAAATTCTCAAGTTGTTTTTTGTTTACTGATAATTCTACAATTTCTCCTTTGATACCGAATTCTACTGTCTTACCATCATTTTTCAACTTGGTGATTTTTAAAGTTTGATCCAAAGGTAAAATCTTAATGGCATCACCATTACTTATTGAACCTGATATTATCTTACCAATAATTTGAACTTCATTAGTGGCTTCGATAATATCATTAATAACTAAATTGAAAGGTTCTTTAGTAATTTCATCAGTAGTTGAAGTTGAAATTTCAATATCTTCTAAATATTCAATCAATGAAGGACCTTTATACCAATTGAAATCATCAATTGATTCTCTTTTAATAACATTATTACCACTTAACCCTGAAAGAGGAATGAAATCTATTTGAGATTCTTCATAACCAATTTCATTAATCAAATAATCTTTCATGGTATCCACAATAAATTCAAAACGATGTTCACTCCAATTCTCTTTATCTAACTTATTGACAACAACACATAATTTTTCCACACCTGAATTACGTGCTATAATGGTATGTTCTTTAGTTTGACCACTGGAATTGAATCCACTTTCGAATTCTCCAGTAATGGAATCAACAATTAAAAGAGCAAAATCAGATTGACAAACACCATTAATCATTTGAGGTACAAAATCTTTATGACCGGGAGCATCAATAGCAGTGAATCTTGTTTTGGAAGTTTCGAAATTAGTTGAAACAATATCAATAGTAACACCACGAGCTCTTTCTTCTGATGTTTGATCCATTACCCAAGCTAATGCAAAAGAGCCTTTACCAATACTTTCACTTTCTTTGATTAATTTATTCAATGTCTTGATATCCACAATACCTAAATCTAAAAGTATACGACCCATTAAAGTGGATTTTCCAGCATCCACATGACCTATAACAACAAATGATTTATGGGGTTTACTATAGATTTTGGATATTTTGGAAGTATCAATTTTTTTTTGATCTTTAACTTTAACTTCTTTAGGCTTTTCATCAACAGTAAGATTTTTGAAATTTTGATTGAAAGCTTGTTTTTGTGCATTCTCTATCTTATCATCAGGACTTTCTTTACTGAAATTTTTCTTAACGGTTTCAATATCTAGTTCGTTAGTAATGAGTCTATATAATGAAGGGTTGATTTTATGACGTTTTTGCGTCTCATGGTAAACTTTGGCTTCTACCATGAGTGAAGTATCTACAGATAAACTATAATCAATGTCCAATTTCCTTTTAGGGGTATCATTGGGTATCAGTTTTGTCGGTATTTCCTTAACTTCATTAATTTCAGGTTCAGGTTTATTTTCTTTTATAATCAACTTTCTCGGTATACTTTCACGACTAATAGGTGTGGGAGAGTCCCCTGTAAGTCGATTCAATATATCCACACTCTTATTTCCTTCATTAGACTTCTTCTGACTCCTTAGTTTGGCTAATGCTGATAACTTTGACATGTAAGATTCGCATTTTTTACACCCATGATGGTAAGTTATACGTCATCTGAACGCCTTCAACCTCTCAATCTTCCAAAGTCAATTCCTTCTAAAAACTTATACATACTCTTATAATTCTGCTTAATTTCATTCACACTATCTTCAATATTGAAATAATTAGCATACAAACATTCTTTTAAATCAATTTCGGGAATTGATGAATTATAGTCCTGTAATTTCTTCTTTAATATTGGTAATGTTTCATATAATTGTTGATAATCTTCATTCGACAATGAATCTTCATTGAATTCTTGTTCATTATCTGAATAATCCAAATCATCTGAATCGTAATCCATGGTTTACTTATGTTTAACTAGTTGAGATTTATTTTTTTTTTTGTTAGAGGATTGCGATTTTCACATATTTTGATTATCTATGTACTTCTCTATTCGTTTCCTACCCAAACATCACCATAATATTGGAACAAATCAACACTTTCATCATCGAATTCGAAAAACTGTCCGACTTGAGTATTGTCACCTCCATCTTTGGTTAACCCACCAATACTTGAATATGCACACCATAAGTAACTTCTACAATAATCTCTATCCATTTTCCATCCTTCTTTAGGTTCTTCTATAGCATTATCACATAAAGTTTCGGTTTTGGATTTAAAAGGAGGGATGATTGCATGTTTTAATGGGATTGGGCTTTCATAATATTTTCTCATGTCCTTTGCATTTTTAAGGAATTTTAATCTATCTTGTCTTTGGACTTCACTTTCATAATCAACTCTTTCACTTTGTCCACAGAATTTATAACCAGAATTAAACCAAATAAGGGATTTACCATCTTCACCATTAATATGACCGGGATGAGCTGAACAAATTTCTCTTGAAATTTTTAATTTACCTTCAGAAGTTAATCTATCAGTTTGAGGAGTTTGAGTTCCAATAGCTGCAACAAAAAATTTATTGAAATGATAATCTTCATCTCCATTAGCAGCAAAACCTAACCAGAAGATTTCTTTATCTCCATAAACTCTACTTGTTGCGGGATTATAAAAATTCAATTGAACCATAGCTAATACTGAATTGAAATGAAGATGACGATTGATTAAAACTAATCCTGATTCCATATAATGTCCCATACCATCAAAAAATTCTCTATTAGTAGTATAACTAGTTATAATCGGTATGTCAAACATAACTTTATCAATTACACTGGGAGAAATTTTTTGGAAAAAGATCCCATCAGAAGTTGGTCTAAATTCTGCTGCTGTTCTATCCTTGTAGAAATAAGCACCTTTGGCAACATAGTTTTTCAATTTAAAGAAAAATTCAGGATTTTGAACTAAAACAGTATCAGCATCAATTAACATATACTCTTCAAAAGAGTTGAATAACGCAGCTAAAAATTTACTAGCAAATTTCCTGAATTTATCACGATAATTGATATGAATTGCATTATAAGCATTAACAAACCAAACTTCTTGTTTTGGTAATCCACCATCTTTTTCATTGAAATAATCTTTAGGGAAATGATGCTTAACTTTAAGGAAACTCTGAGGTAAATCAACCATCTTGTTTCTGGCAGCATTTACAATTCTACGTTTCAGTTCTGATGATAATGAATCATAATAGACAATTTGAATAGGGTAATGATTATTCAAAGCTCTTAATAATTGAATTAATTTGACAGTATCATCAACGTGTTTATCACTGATACTCAAAACAAGACCTTTACCATTCATACGGTTTTTGAATTCATTCAAGAAACATGGTTTATTATTAGTGAATTCACTCTTAATTGGTTTCCCAATGGTCCCTTTGAATTTATTATTGGTGGTCTTGAAAACTTCAGGATAGTCAACGTATTTTTTCATATCAGGAGGTGAAGAAAGTTGATCACCAGTCCAACGTTCAAAAACTGGATATGCAAAACTTAACCATTTATAAACTCTTGATTCAATTTCATTACAACTATTGAAACTTTTGGTATTGATTAATCTTTCATCCGGTGTTAAATTGAAATCATGCTTGGATGCAAATGATTGTTCTGACCTTACTAATTTTTTATTCTTGTTGATTTGATAAGTGTTATCATTAGTAACATAACATTTATTGAAGATTCTTAATGTTGATAAAGAATCAATAACTCTTTGTTCCACGTCCATGGTTTTGTACCAGAAAGCTTCATAAGCATCTGTAATCATTTTTTCAACTTCAGCATTAATTTTTACATCATTTTTATCTAATCCGTGTTTTTCAGCATACTTTTCTTTAACTTCATTTGTAACGGATTTTCTGAAACTTTCGAAATCAAATTGATGTCTATGATCCAAAGGAAAATCTTCATTGGGGTCCAAAAACCAATTTGTATTATGTAAATATAAATTTTTGAAAAATAAATCACATCTTTCATTGAAATCTAAGTTCAAAATGGTTGATAATTCATGATTTTTTAAAAGTTTGTCATAAATTACTGAATGTCCATCTAATTTTCTTTCATCTTTAATGCTTAATTTTTTAAGAATTGAACGAACTAACTCGTTATTTCTAAAATCTAGATTGATTGTTTTGCCATCATCATTGAGTTTTTGACTAGGTTTTGGTATTGGATTTTCATCATCATAAATACTCGTTACTTTAACTGATGATTTATAATTAAATAGCCATAAATTAACCAATATTAACCAAATCCCAAGCACTGAATAAATGGCGATTTTTTTATTCATCTTAATCATTATTAGTCGTTCGACCTTTTTAACGGAAGTTTCCAATAATTCGTAATGACTTCCTAATGATACTTGTAACTTCTGTTTTTAACTTTCTATCGTCGTACTTATGCAAAAAAGGAAACAGTACTTTTGAAAGTTTAAATAACTGGAGTGTTTATGGAGTTTTGATCTTGGTACCGGAGGATGTTATCTTCGCAAAAATACAAGGGGTGATATATTAACAATGGAAAACTGTCAATGCGCAGATTTCTTTATCGTTAAATTTACTGAGTAAAAAATATCTATCAATAGGTAAAGAAAATATCTTTGTTACTTTTGGCGTTTTTGTGTGAAATTTTTGTTGATTACTGATGATTTCCACTCAAATCCCGCTTTTCTAATCTCGTGATATCGATAAAATCGATTGAGATCTTGATGGTTTACACGTGTCGATTATGAACACTTCCTATCGGGCTGTAATCTGATGATATCACTATTGACTAAAAGTTGGTTAGAGAATTTAGGAAATAGAGTTTTATTAAACTAGACACGAAGGTGTGGTTGTTGATAGTTCTTTATATGGTTAGAATGTTGTTGGGATAATTGACTACTCGTCGTGTCAAATGTATATTTTTTGTTAAGTTGCCTGAGATGAGATATTTAGGTACAAAGGGTTATTTAAACTTTAAATTTAACATTTTTCAGACATTAACAAGAAGTTTCCTCACAGAACACTGTTTTAACCACCTAACAGATTTCTCCTAAACATTTTTTCAGACCTTTTAAGCCAATCATCTTAAAATAGCTCCCTTACATAAGAACTTACGTAAGCACCCACTAATAACAAAATACAGGAGCTCAATTACCCGGACGATTATTTTCAGCCCTACAGCGTAGATCCTTCCCCTTTTGAGAACTGCCTGATTATATAAGGCTTATATAATCAGACCACATTTTAGGACAAAAGAATCATAGATTGTCCTATACTTCCGATAAACCGGCGAAAGGGATTACCGCCTTGCTTGAATTGAACGACCCTGATTAACGATGCAACTATGCTTATAGCTTTACAGAGTACAATGAATCGATTAGAAGAAGTTCCATGACTTAAACTTCTTAGAGGGATCGAAACAGAAGAAATTCCAATGAATGTGCATTAAACCAGCTAATCACTATAGATAATCAATATCTATTATTTGCCAATAATCATCACTATTAACTCATATCACCCTTGTATTTCACTCTAATCAAGTAGGCTTAAAGATTCCTCTCAATTAGTTCACCAAAGTCTCCTTAACTTGTGGTATTAAAATATTGTCTGATTGGATTTATAGATACTGGACTTATGTCTATAAGATAAATAAATAAATAAATGAATATAAAGAAGACCATACCAAAAAAAAACCTCCTTAATCTGATCGTTCTATCAATTCAAAATGATTGTCAATGTTATAGACCAACTTCCCATTAACTTTATTGATATACTTTTTCATTGAAACCATTAAATTAATTTGGCAATAAATTAAGATTTCAAGGATAAAGTGGAAACAAATTGGTAAGATGATAAGTAAGATCAACCCCTTAGCAACCTTTTGTGTAATTCCAACAACCAATTCAATAGTTTCAATCATCTTTAAGAAATTATTCAATTTTGAAAAACCTGAAAAATGTGGTTATAAGTAGTAAAAAAACAAAAAGGATCGCAATCAAGATTTACATGGAGTTCCTACATTCTTATTCACAACTGATAAGAATAAACTTTTTTTTCTGATAAAACATTACGCAATAGCTTATATAATCCACAGCTTAAAGGGGATTCAAGGAATTGAATTAGATAAATATTTAGAATATCACCCCATATTGAAAAAATTGATTATCTTTTAGATTATGTAAAAAATGTAAAATTAAGATTGACCTGAAAAAAATGTAACTTTTAGCGATTCTAGTCTTGGGTCCGTAATGAGAAAAAAAATTCATTATCAATTCTTGGGTATTGAGACGAGAAAGCCTCCAGTAATCACTTTACGGTGACTATTGAGTAAACATACCCCTTTATAACTAAAATCCCAAGGAAATAAAAGCTTTTTTGGTCCGTTTCAGAATTTCACCCTTGTCCGAATATAACTTGCAAAATTGCGAATGGGAATTTTTACAGGTTAGACTTAATTGAACTTTGGTCTTGAGTTAAGAGAAAAATAATTTAGGCATCTTTACTTAAAGAACTCCGACTAATTATAATTATCGATTACATGGGTCGTGTTTTGGTTTTCGGGCTACTTTCAAATACTGGGGATGGGTTATAAAGTTCTAGAATCCTTGGAAGGGTCTCTCGCCCGAAACTAATTCCTGTGGAGTTGGTATTAAAATATCTCAAAATGTGAAAAAAAGCCGTCTACCTCATTATGATGGAATTCTCAGACACCTTTCCTTCCTAAATGTGAATTCGACCAATTATTTTATGTGATTGATTGTTTCTGCAGATCGAGCATACCAGATTGTTCTTTTTTTTACAGGTTGGCATCGGGTGGGAAGATAGGAGTGCGAAAAGTTTTCCACTTCATCCATCACTTCCACATAATTTTACAGAACAATACATCTTCAACATACGGCTTCATTAACGTAACAGTGACCAACACTGTAAATCTTCAATTCGGTATTTAACCTGTTATAGAATCTAAACATCTTAACTTAAGGTTAGATATTTCAATTATGGTATGTAATGATGCTTTTTTAAATTTATCTACATTATCTGAAACCTTATGTAGAAACTATTATTTCTGAATAACCATACTAACATATAGAATCTATTTTAGAACATTCAAATTATGAAAACAATAACTATTTCCCAATTAGTTAAATTTTAAAGTTGTATGTCAGATGTCGTTTTACAGTTTAGCAAAGGATTATCGGACTAAAGATTTTTATATAAACTCTCTCCAAACCTATAAAATAAATTGACCACGAATATTCGGATCTATATTATAAAATATTTATCTTGTTGCAAGGTACCAATTGTCTATCAACTTCGAAACTTACCAACATCGTCTTTTATAATGAAGTCCAGTAATTATCAACTATCAAAAATGTACAGCTCGAGACCTTACAAATCAAGGAACCAGAGGCCCTGTGATTTTTGTAGGAAACGCAAAACTTGTTGTATCATAACCGACGATAATGTTTGTATAAGTTGTAAGAAATTTAATCAAGATAAGTGTACCTTTGATGAAGGTCCTATAAAGAGGATTTATAAGAAAAAGATGAAAGTTCCAATTCTTCCATCACAAGGTGTCATAATAAAGTCCGATTCTTCGAGGATGACTGGTAGAACATCAATTACTAAATCACATAATCATTCAATTCCTTCGGTTCCAGTAACCTCAATCCCTTCAATTCCTTCAGTTCCAATTCCTTCAATTCCACAGCCTGAACTCCTGCAAGTTTCGAAGATTACTTCATCATCAACTGGTAAGATGAAATTTGATAAGATTTTTAATCAATTGAATAAAGAGATCAATGAAATCAATCGAGAGGTCAATAAATTGATTGAAATAAATAATGTTAGCACAAGAGATAATAAAATGGATTTTAACGAAAGTACCATTATGGATTTCAAAAATGAAATGATCGAATTAGATATTCCGAACATGCATGAAGAATTACCCATGTTATCCCATTCCAATTCTTTTTCCAGTATGAGTTCCAACTCCAATAGTTCTTATTCTTCCAATTCTTCTCCCATGTCGAGTGTTAATATTGAAACTTTTGAAAGTTTCCCAAAAGATACAACTTTTGACAAGATGTTTGATGCTAAAATTGATTACTTTGATGACTTGAGAAATGATTTTAACCTTGATTTTATTAACGAATGAACGGTATGTTTTTACTTTTGAATATTCTCTATATTTTATCTCTGGATATATGGCTGCGAATTAACTAAATACATTGGTCTCTCGATTTTTGACATCGTCATTCCAAATAGAGGCTGCTCAAGTTTCTGATACGTCTGTGAAGATTTTCGGTTAACGAAAATATAGTTCATCGGCCGAATAGTCGAAAATTGGCACACGGCGAAGGTCTGAATATAATATGGAGAATCGCAAAATGAAAATTTGCGCAGAATGTGATTACGGGATGTAATAACTTGCAAACGCATGGTTCTAATTACAATTGGCACTGTCTTATTGATAATTACGGCAATGAATCAATTTCCATATCAGTTTACGTTAAAAATAGTCCTCAGTTATATTGAAATTCCGTCCTGAACTTGCCGCATCCGCATTTATGCAAGTCGTTATCGTAAAAAAAGAATCTCACACCATCTATAATTACAGGTTAGACAACTTCTGGAGTGAGCCAATTGATAACATAGCCAAATGACATGCAAAATTTTTCAATGAAACTGGTGACATTCAAGACGACGGGCTTCTTCACTGGATTTTCCGTATTTTAAATATAATAAAGATGAATGGGCAAGGGTATAGTAACAGACCATGCATATTCTTTACGGCCATTGTCGATTGCAACATGATAGCAGCTGTTATATCAGTGTACGGCAAATTATGTAGATCCTAGCCGTCAGAGTTTATCTTTTATCTCAACCTCTGATTTCAATTGAGTCGATCGGTTTCCATCACCATTGGAGCAATTTTCTTGATGGTGTTGACAGAAATCTGACTCATTAGAGTCTGTAATAGCTACACCAGTAATCGAGGTTTACAAGTATTGTCGGAGGCGGGAATGGGGAATTGTTCAATGTGTTGATGAATAACTTCCAGACCTTCAGTCAATATAAAGATAAGTCAAGGAGTCGAAGATTAGGTCAGTCAACGAGTCAATTAGTCAATTAGTCAATTACTCGATTGGTCACCAAAAAGAATGGTTAATTGATTGAACAATTGAACAATTGATTGATTGAGGCTGTTAAAGTACCAAATCACGCTAGCCACCACCCACCCAATTCTCAGTAACAGGCAAGTGAAATTAAATTTCTCCATGAATCATAACCTTAAGAATTTCAGCAATTGATGAAATGTGTCAATAATATTAGTGTTTTGTTCCCCAACTGTGGATATTTCCCATTACTCCAATTCAATCTGATGTGCTAGGTCTGGTATGTTAAGTCTGATGTGCTTAATTGTTGCCTGAGCTTAATGGTTTGGTATGTCAATGACCTTCAAGTGTACCTTAAAAAGATAACCTTACTTCCAAATTCAGGTATCATTCCCTTTATCGGATGTTGAATCACCAATCGATTGAAGGTGCCCATTGCTCTGAAACTCTATTCCCACACATTCATCTTGAATTAGTAGTAACTCCTTACATCATGATCATTTTCTCTCACATCATCATTGCTAATTTGACTTTTCTACGATTGTTCCACACATATGTCTGCAACCCTTACTTAAGATATTATATAATCATTTCTAAAATTACCCTTCACATGAGGAGTCCTCAGCATTTAATTTCAAAGCAATTGAAAATTTCGCAACCAAAAAAAACTATATATTGCAGCCAAAATTATCATGGAGAACATCAATAATTCAACATGGGCTTAATGGATAAATTAACAAAAAACAAAGACGTCGACAACTACGATAAACAAGGTGGTAAATTAGTCGGTGGTGACAAAATGTCAACAGAAATTCAAAAACAATACAAAGACGGTAAAATTTCTAAAGAACAAGCTGCAAAATATGCGGACGATTTAGATAAACAAGGTGGTAAATATACCGGGAAAGAAAATTTATCAGGTACCGAAAAAGGTATTGGTTCTAAATATATGGGTGGTAAACAAGATTCAACCACTTCAGGAACCACCGGTACTACTGGTAATAAAACCACTGGTTTAGATGATAGTACCTCTACAAACCATAAAGGTACTGCCGGTGCTGCTGGTTTAGGTGCCGGTGCTGCTGGTGCTGGAGGTGCAGCTTATGCTTCCAAGGATTCTAAGCATGGTCATGAAGGTCATGGTAAAGACACCTATGGTTCTGGAAATGATACTTATGGTTCGGCTGGTAACGATACTTATGGATCATCAGGTAAAGACACATATGGATCATCAGGTAAAGATTCTTACAGGTCTAACGAGTACACTTCCAATGATAACTACAATTCCAAAGGACAAACTGGTCAAGTCTCATATGGTGGTGGTTCTGAAGTTTACACCAGTGACAAGTCCAAAACCACTGGATCTGGTAAAGACACTGACTGGAACAAAATCGGTGGTGATGCTAAATCTGGTGCTACCAACGCATACAAAACCGGTAATGCTTCTGGTGAAGATAAATTGAAATATGGTAAAGAAGCTGCCATTGGAACTGGTGGTGCAGCCCTCGGAGCTGGTGCCGCTTATTCAAGTAAGGATAAGTCTAAAGGTACTCACGGTACCTCTGGTACATCTGATACCTATGGATCTTCAGATACTTACGGTAATCAAACTACCTCGGATAGTTACGGTAAAGACTCCTACGGTAAAGACTCCTATGGTAAAGACTCCTATGGTAAAGATTCCTATGGTAAAGACTCCTATGGTAAAGACTCCTATGGTAAAGACTCCTATGGAACTAACACCCACAATAAGGATACTACTGTAAAAGATTCCCACCATAAAACTGGTTACGCTGCTGGAGGTGCTGCTGCTGGAGCCGCAGGGGGTGCTGCTTATGGCCACTCAAAGAAAGAATCTGTTGCTAGTACCAACAACGATTTCGATCAATATGATTCATCTTCTTCCCACTCATCACTCGATTTCTCCACCGGAAACAAGCAATTGGACACCAAGATCAGTCAATTAGATCCTTCAATTCAAAAACAAGCCAAGGAAGCTTTCAATCAAGGTTACCAAGACGCCCAAAAAGCGTTCAAAGCTTGAGTTCCCTGATCATATTTCATGAATTTACGATTGTTTCGTTCACTACTCACTACATCTCTATCTTCAAAGTCATACATTACTACATAAACATTCTAACTTGAACAACTACAAGTCATCATAGAATATTGTTCATCAACATCTCCTTGTCTTAACCAACGGCTTTCTACATCCTTTAACTCATCACCCCATTTGGAGTCGTCATAAGGATTGAAACTCATTTTCTCGAGCTTTTTTAACAAGGACAAATCTTGACCTTCTGTCTTTTGTGTGTGTTCGATGACTTCATCAAGAATCCATCCTCTTGGTAGGAATAACGGATTATAAGACTTCATGTCCTTGGTATCTCTATCATTCTTCAGTAAGTACCCTTTATAAATGTTTAACCAATCGTTGACAAATTTCTCCAATTCTTCGTCTTCAAATAATTCGTTGTTGAACTTTAATTCTTTAGTGATAGTGTCAATATTTTCAAGTTTAGTGAAGAACAAATTGTAATCACACTGAACCCTTTTCAACATATCTAATAAAGGAACGATAAGGCTTTTATTCTCCACATCAGGATCTTCGCTTATTAATTCATGGGACAAACCTAAACGATCAAAGAATGCTTCCACATATTTTTTGGTGAACGAAAATGTATACATCTCTCCTGCTACTTCGATAACTTTAGTTGCACGTTTGATGATATCTTCTTCCCATTCACTGATCATGCCATCATTCATTTGGCCCTTACTAGTCAATTCTAATTGTTCTTCGTTCATACCAATTAATTCAGCTAAATCTTCACCCAATCTGGTCAAATTCCAGAAAATAGCGGTAGGAGTGTTTTTATACCCGTATCTTTTAGAATGGTCTTCTGAGTTTGGGGAATAGTCAGGATCAAATTTATCCATTATCTGGAATGGACCATAATCCATGGATAATCCTAAGATACTGGTATTATCAGTATTAAGTACTCCATTCAAGAAACCGTAAGTTTGCCATTTAGCTGTGCTGGTAGCATTCCTTAAGACTATTTCCAAATACATCTTATCATATTGACTCAAGCTAAAATCTATGAAATTAGGTTTGATTTTCAAAAATTCTGTAAGGTAAGGAAATTGTAAATCATCAACTGTGAACAATTCATTGATGATATAATCACTCAATTGTCTTATACCTTTCCGATCACCTCTCAACCTATATAAATCAAAAGTTCCAAGTCTGATCCAACTTTCTGCAAATCTAGTAACAATAGCACATTTTTCCGCCATATGTCTACGAGCTAAGGTTTTTGGCAAATAAGTCAATGCTAAAGCTCTTGTAGTTGGGATACCAATCGCATTCAAATGTTCCGATATGATATATTCTCTTATAGATGATCTTAAAACGGCTTTACCATCGGCAAACCTGGAGAAAGGGGTCATTCCTGATCCCTTTAATTGAATTTCGTATTTCTTCCTGTTGTAACTATCAGATTTTATGAATCTCTCATTTTTGAAGTCGACATTACGTAACTTAGGTATTTCAAATAAGTTGGTTACTCTGCCATCACCTAATTGACCAGCAAATTGGCCAAATTGCCATCCAGCATATGCTTGACTATAAGGAACAGGGACTTTCTTAACGAATTCTTTATCTTGGTAAGCTTCTCCACTGACAATTTTTTGATAAGTTTCATCTGTTTCATCCCCTTCAATACCAAGGTCTCTCAATGCATTGGGACTGGATGTCAAATATTGATATTGATCTCTTTTTTCAGGTAAGACATAAGCATAAGCTCCAGACTCTATCATTCTTGGAGTATGTGACAAAGCCTCATGATTTAATGCTTGTTCTGCGGTTACTTTCAATTCCGCTTCTAGGTGAAGGAAACTAGAAGTCTTGGGTATGTTGATCAACTTCATTTGGGGCTATTGAACTTATGCTCAAGTTATCCTCAATACTTAGATTTTAGTGACAAGATCTAATCGCGATGATTTAGTACCTAGATTTATTTCGCGTTGCAGTAATTCGACAATGATCGCTAAACTATTAGTTCGTCAGAGATTGAAGATCTTTGTGGGTTTGGTGATACTTATTGTCACTTACCATGTATTTTCACTTACTAAACAACCTGCTAGTCGAGGAAATGATGGATCAGGGGGTTTGAAATTTCTTGATTTTGCTCAGGATAATAGAGTACAAAATCCTGTAGGTGATATTGATGCTTCAACACCTGATGGCAACATTGGAGAAAAAATTGAAGCAGCTTTAGACAAACTGTTGGAAGCCATCAATGATGGAGATAAAAACAAATGGTCAGGTGATAACAATGAACAGATGGTACCCGAACCAGAGTTTGGTGATGATAAAGTATTTGGTGATAATTCAGAAAAACAAGATGCAAAAGTGGCAGAAGAAAACGTCGCTGGTGATAAGGTTGCGGGAGACAAGGGAGCAGAGGATAAGGAAGAGGATAAGGAAGCAGAAGATAAGGAGGCAGAAAACAAGTTGGATGATACCAAAGTTGGTGGTGGGTTATTAGAAGATGGAAAAGAAGAAACCTCTGAAGAACAATCTCAAGGTACTCCTAACAAGGAGATCAGCGCTGAAACTTTGAAAACAATCAGAGATTACAGTATTTTCTTCAATCCTTTCAGCGAACACGTGATAAAGGCCGAATCTTTGAAGGACAATTATATACTGACAAAAGCTAGGGAACTTTTCACTTCAGTTAAAGATTTCTTACTTTCAAAGAGTTACCTTGAAACCGTCCTTAATCTTCCCCAAGATACTGTTGATGAATTGAAAGAATCTCATTCAAGATATGTCAAACACATTGATGTTGTATCCAAGACTTTGGCAACTTTTGGTAACATACTACCAACTGATCCAGGATGGAATGATTATAAAAATTCCAAAGGTTATGTTCTCGTGGGAGGAGGTAGATATTCATGGTTATCATATTTGGTAATAAAACAAATCAGAGCTACTGGTTCAACTTTACCTATAGAATTATTCATTCCTAGTTCTTTAGAGTACGAAAAAGAATTTTGTGAAACATTATTACCAAAGTATAATGCTTATTGTAACTTGTTTGATGATGAGTTGTCATTACATTTATCGGAGAAGTATGATATTGGGGGTTATCAATATAAAATGTTAGCTTTATTGAGTTCTAAATTCGAAAATATCATATATTTAGATTCTGATAACTTCCCTGTCAGAAACCCTGAATACATTTTAGAATCTAGTTTATTCGAAGAGAAGGGATTGATCCTTTGGCCAGATGCTTGGGCAAGAACCACTAATCCTAAATTTTATGATATTGCTGGAGTAACAATTAAAGAGAACAAATTACGGTATTCAGCATATGATGATGCCAAGGGTAAAAAGCCTTTGGAAGAATATACTTTTGAAGATTCTTGGTATCATGATTTTGAAGGTACTTTACCAGACCCGACTTCAGAAACCGGAATGTTTATGATTAATAAGACTAAACATCTTCGTACATTGTTACTTATCTTATACTATAATGTATTAGGGCCTAAATATTATTATCCATTATTAACACAAGGGTCAGCTGGTGAAGGGGATAAAGAAACTTTCATTGCAGCAGCACATGTTCTTGATGCACCATGGTTCCAAACAGCCAAACAATTTAAATGGTGTGGATACAAACATCAAGTTAGTGGAGAATTTACATCTAAAGCTTTAGGTCACTATGATCCTATTCAATCACAAACCAATCCCGATGCTGATATTGATATGGTTTTTATGCATTTATCTTATCCAAAATTCTATCCAAATTGGTTAGCTGATAATCACGATTTGATCTACGCTGATCTGGGAGATCATATTAGAATGTATGCTGATGTTTATGACAATGCTGGATATGATTTTGATTTGAGAGTATTACAGTATTTCACTCAAGGTATGTGTTCCAATTATTACGTCGATGGTGTAGCCATTGATGATGCCACCATTAAGGAGGAAGAACAATATATGGGTAGGTATTTACAATATGTTAAAGGTGATAGAGAAATTGAAGATAAACGTTGTGAAGAAATTTTCATTCCCCATTTGAAATGGTTGAAAGAAACTACGGATTATCCTAATCTGGTTAAAAATTAATATACATTTTTATATGAGTCAAAAGATAACGGAAATAATCCTCTGATTAACGGAATTTCTGCCTTCGCGATCTGTCACAAATGTCAGTATTGAATCCATTAAGCAAGAACTTAAAGGTAGCTTTAATTCAAATAGCTGCTGGGGCTGATAAAGCAGCCAACTTACAAAAGACAGGACAATTTATCACCAAAGCAGTTTCAAATTCAACTATTGGAAAAATTGATCTTGTTATGTTACCTGAATGTTTTAACTCACCTTATGCTGTAGATCAATTCAGAAATTATGCTGAAGTTATTCCTGGTGAAACCACCGAGTTTTTAAGTGGATTAGCTAAACAGCACGGAATTTATTTGATTGGTGGGTCAATTCCTGAATTGGATAAATCTGATGATAAAATTTATAATACATCACTTACATTTAATCCTCAAGGAGAGATTATTGCCAAACATAGAAAAGTTCATTTATTCGACATTGATATACCTAATGGAATCACTTTCAAGGAACTGATTAGTTTAAGTGGTGGGGATAAGGCATCAGTTTTCAAATTAGGGGATTATGGTAATGTAGGATTGGGTATTTGTTATGATATCAGATTTCCTGAATTAGCTTCAATAGCTGCTAGATCACCAAATAATTCATTTGCAATGTTCTATCCAGGTGCTTTCAATACTACCACTGGTCCTTTACATTGGCATTTATTAGCTAGATCAAGAGCTGTTGATAATCAAGTTTTCACTATTCTTTGTTCTCCTGCCAGAGATGTTAATAATGGAGGTTATCAAGCATATGGACATTCTTTGGTAGCTGATCCTCAAGGTAATATCATTGCTGAAGCTGGTGAAGGAGAAGAAATAGTTTATGCTGAACTTGATCAAGAATTAATCCCTAAAGCTAGAACAGGTATTCCAGTCAATTTCCAAAGAAGATTTGATGTCTATCCTGATTATGTCTCTGAGGGTAAAGCTAAAGTTTCTGATTTATAAGTCTATACATCTATATACAGTTATGCTTCCTCATTCTTTTCTATGAAGTCAACTACTAAATCTATGAATTCATTTGGCTTTTCACTTATAACCCAGTGTCCGGTTTTCATATCTCTTAATTCGAAATTAGGGAAAAACTTACCTATTTCGGGAATAGCTTCATCTGGAACATAATTGGATTCTGTACCTCTTACGAAAAGTACTGGGCCCCTACTCCATCTAGTTTCATTGGAATCGAAGGGCCAAGCCGAAATATTTCCTGCTACTAAAGCGTTATTTATATAATCCAAGGGAATTTTTGATGTAACAATTTCATCAGCTTTACCTCTATTCATATTCGTTAACAAGAAGGCTCTGATAACTTGATTGGGTTCGACTTTTGCCAATTCATTGTCAACATCTTTAATGTTCTTGAACTTATAAAATTCAAGAGACTTTTTAAGGGACGAAATGTATCTAGTGAAAGAAGATCCAGTATCAACAACATTTATGGGCGCATTATCTACAGCAATCAACATTTTGATCAAGTTGGGATTCCTTAAAGGAACGGCCATGGCAGTTTTAGCACCCATGGAGTGACCAATAATGATAGGTTTTTGAATTCTATGTTGATTAATGAAATTTTCAACGTCTGAAGCCAAAGCTGGATAATCCATTCTTGAATCATGAGGAGAATTCCCATGGTTTCTTAAATCTGGACAATAAACAGGCCTTGACAATCTATTAGCTAATGCTTTACCAACTGATCTATGAGTATTTCTGCTTCCAAATATCCCGTGAAGAAGAATCAATGGATTTCCATGCTTCACTACTTTCGGTTCATGTAAATCATAATTGAGTTCTACTGGTGGTACTTTACCGAGGGCTTCTGAAAGCACAGAATAACTCCTCTTGGTGAAAGTTAAAACTGATCTCATTACAGTAACCGAAAACGCTCAGTGAGACTTCTGACAGTCTGCCGCACCATCATCTCGAATAAAACGGTTTTTTATTTCAATGCATTGCATGTCGATTAAGAAACATGACATCACCCAGAGGTATAAAAGTAGTTAAGCTATCCGCCTGTATGAGTTCTATACTCTGAAAGTTGAAAAAGCTCAAAAACTCTCCATTCTACTATTTTAAACCCATATAAACTTCATATAAGTTGGTTAATTCCCATGACCATTAGAGTTGAATCTCTCTAATCCCTCCCACCTTGGCTCATGTTCAGTTCTCCCTCAGGCGAGATATACAGAAATCCACTGATAACTAAAAATTTGCCAATCAAATATATTCCGTTGGTATCTGTCCCAAAAAGGAAATCGTAATCGCTGAGATCGCATAATGGAGGTTCTTCACCTTCTGATAAGACATCCGTATAATGGCGGAACTTGGAATTATTTAAAATTAATTATCATTCCAGCATCACAAAACTAAAAATCATGGCAGAATTCAAACAACTTAAACGAGTTTTGATTGCCAATAGAGGTGAAATTGCCTGTAGACTTATCAAAGCATGTAAAGAAAATAATATCTACACAATTTCAATCTTTACTAAAGATGATAGTAATTCCCTTCATATCAATAATGCTGATGAAAGTCATTTGATCTCCAGTTACATCAATACTGAAGAAATCATCGAAATCGCTGTTAAATTTAAAGCTCAAGCAGTTATTCCAGGTTATGGATTTGTTTCAGAAAATCATTTATTCGCTCAAGAACTTAAAAATCACAACATTTCATTCATCGGACCATCACCAGAGAATATCCAAGAATTCGGTTTAAAACATATCGCTAGACAATTAGCTATCGATGCAGAAGTGCCAACCGTTCCTGGTTCTGGATTAATTGAAAAAGTTGAGGAAGGTATAGAAGAAGCGGAAAAAATTGGATTCCCTGTATTATTGAAAGCTTCCAGTGGAGGTGGTGGTATGGGTATGAAAGTTTGTTACAGTAAAGAAGAAATTGAAGCAGGTTTAAAAGAAGTTAAAAGTAGAGGTGCAAATTTATTCAAGAACGATGCGACATTTTTGGAGAAATACGTTGAAAGTGGTAGACACATTGAAATTCAAGTTTTCGGTAATGGTAAAGGTGATGTTATTACCTTAGGTGAAAGAGAATGTTCAATTCAAAGAAGACATCAAAAAGTGGTTGAAGAAGCACCTTCACCATTTGTTACCAAGACTTTACCTTCATTAAGAAACAAATTAGCAGCTTGTGCCAAAAGATTGGCATCTTCTGTTAAATATAAATCTGCTGGTACTATTGAATTCTTGGTGGATGATAAAACTGGTGATGCATACTTCTTAGAAATGAATACCCGTTTACAAGTAGAACACGGAATAACTGAATTATGCTATGACGCAGATTTGGTTATGTTAATGTTATTACAATGTGATTACGAATTAAGAGGTGAACAAGGTATTCCAGTAGAAATGATGAATGATTTGGTTAAAGCAAAAAGAGATGATGAAGGTTTCACTCAACCAAATGGTCATTCCATTGAAGTAAGAATTTATGCTGAAAACCCAATCAACAATTTCGTACCCTCACCTGGTGTATTACAATATGTTGAATTCCCTCAAGCTAAATCTGAATATAAGGTAAGATTCGATCATTGGATTAAAACTGGTACTGAAATCACTCCATTTTTCGATCCTTTACTTGGTAAATTGATGATTTGGGCTCCAACAAGACAAGAAGCTATTACTGGAATGTTGGAATTATTAACTGAAATCAAACTTTATGGACCACCTAATAATGTGGAATATTTATATGAAATTTTGAACAGTGAAATGTTCAAAACTGGTAACACATTGACAAGTACCTTAGATACCTTCCAATTCAAACCAAGTTTATTGGAATTCCATTCGGGTGGTGCTTTAACCACCGTTCAAGACTTCCCTGGTAGATTGGTTTATAATGGTGGGATCCCAAGATCTGGTCCCGTTGATGATTTATCCTTCAGAATCGGTAACGCTTTGGTTGGCAATGAAGATTTAGGAACTGAAGGTTTAGAAATCATTCTCAGTGGTCCTTCTTTATATTTCCATAAACCTGCTACCATTGCTTTATGTGGGGCTGAATTTGAATTTTCCATCAATGACGAACCAAGTCCAATGTGGTCTTCAATCTCAATTCCTGCTGACACTACAGTTGAAATTGGATCTGTTATCAGTAGTAAAAGTGATAAATGTTATTTGTTAGTTAAGGGAGGATTACCCAACATTGCCAAATATTTGGGTTCTAAAAGTACCAGTCCTTCCATTAATATTGGGGGTTATCAAGGAAGAAAATTTTTACCTGGTGACTGCATTCAATTACCTAATCATCAACCTATTGATGTTTTGAAGGTAAATTATACTTTACCAAAAGAATACTTACCTAATTTTGATAACGATTGGACAATTCGTTGTCTTAACGGTCCTCATTCATCCAGTGAGATATTATCAGAGGAAGGAAGAGATATCCTTTACAATAGTGAATACAAAATCAACCCAGCAACTTCTAGAGGGTCTGTTGCTTTAGATGGTCCAAGATGTAAGTTTTCAAGAAAAGATGGTGGTGATGGTGGTAACCATCCCAGTAACATTACTGAATATATCTATCCTAACAGAGGTTTGAGTGTTATTGCTGATAATACTGTTGTTGCCAGTGCAGATGGGATCACTTTGAGTGGTTTCATCTGTCCAATTGTCCCAATTGACTACGATTGGTGGAAATTAGGTCAAGCTAAAGCTGGAAGTAAAATAAAATTCCAAAACATTACTTTTAAAGATGCTATGAAATTCAGAAAGGAAAGAAGCAGCTACTTGGAATTCATCAAAACACTCCCCAAAGCTGAAGCTGAAGGAAAATATGTTGATGAATTCGATTTTGAAAAAGTATGCGAGGAAGACGTTATTTTGTATTCCAGAGAAGATAAACCAGGTCAACCATCCATCAACATCAGACAAGCTGGTGAGTCATGTATCATTGTTGACCACGGGATCAGTAAATTCTCGTTACCAAATTGTGGTAGATTATTCAAATTGAAATTGGATATCGGTAATGCTGGTTTGAAAGGTATCAACAGAATGGAAACTGCTAATGCTTTGAGTATCTTCTTCGATGCAGATGTCTTAGATAGAGACGAATTAGTGCAAACCATCATGAAAATCGATGCATCCATTTCATTTGAAAAGAAGCTTGAAATTCCTTCAAGAAAATTCAAAATCCCCGTTTGTTTGACCCATCCATTGATCAAAGAAACTATTGAAAGGTATATGAAAACCCAAAGACCCTATGCTGCTTATTTACCTGATAACTTGGACTATATCATGAAATCAAGTTGTATTGATACTTTGGAAGAATTTAAAGAGAGAGCTTTCAATAACCCTCAAATCATTGTTGCAGTTTCTTTCTTATGTGCTTCCAACATTTTGGTTCATGCTGATCCAAGAAAGAGTTTCTTATCCGGTAAATATAATCCACCTCGTATTACTGGACCTGCTGGTTCAATTACCACTGGAAGTGTTGTCCAAGGTATGAGAGCTGTTGATGGACCAGGTGGTTATATGTTATGGGGGGTTGGTTTACGTCACGCTTATTGGGATACTTTTGCCATGAGAGAGAATTTCCAAGAAAAAGGCTTACCGTGGTTCTTAGAACCCTTTGATCAAGTTGAATTTTATGAGGTAGATGAAAAAGAATTAGACGAATTCAATGAATTGAATAAGATCGGTAAATTGGCTTTAGAACCTGAACATCTCACATTTGATGTGGCCGAATACCATAAATTCTTTGAATCTGTAGTTGATGAAGTTGAAGTCATGAGAGAGAAGCAAAGAGCCTCTGCAGCCAAGTTATTAGAATATGATAACGAATTAAAGAAAAAATGGGAAGCTGAAGTTGCTGAAGAAAAGAAGAAAAATGGAGGAAACAGTAGTACCACTAAAGTCGCAGCTGTTGAAGGTAAACAAATTAAGTCATCCATGACAGCTAGTGTTTTCAAAGTAAATGTCAAGGTCGGTGATGTAGTTAAAGGTGGAGATACAGTTATCGTATTAGAAGCCATGAAAACGGAAATCCCAGTTCATATCCCAGGATCCAAAACAAAGGAATACAAAGTCATACAAATTTTAACAGAAGAAAAAGCTTTGGTATCTCCTGATGAAACCCTTTTAGTATTAAGTATATAGCTTTTTATCTTCATCCTATAGAAATTCATACAGCATTATGTCGCGCAAGGAATCTTTTTTATAATGTCGTGAGATAAACCGTTAGAAATGAACAGTGCACGAAAGATAAGAGATCTCAGTGAACGGAACATTTATAAGACAATTCCACTCTCTCGATTTTGCAAATCTGGTGAAAACTAATTAGCGATGGTTAAGGACGCCGCCTTAGCAAAAAAGAAGTACACTAGAAATAAATCAGGTTGTACCACTTGTCGGAAAAGGAAGAAACGATGTGATTATGGTAAACCTAAATGTGCAGCATGTATACGATTAAACCTTGATTGTGAATACCAAGTTGAACCAATAATCTGGAAAGTGAGGAATCTAAACGATGATGGTACCACCACAGAGAGCGTACTGATGATCCAGCATACTTCAGAAACTGGTGGTGGTGGCGGTGATAGTGACTTGAAAGTAGTTGATGTAAAAGGTGTTAAAGATGAACAACCAGAGGGTAAAGAACCATTCACTCCTTATCATGAATACTTACTGATGACCCCACCCAAATTTTATTCTTCTAAAACTGTACCCTATCATCAAATACCGTTATTCCAAATATCACAAGAAAATCACCATGGCCATAACGAGAATAATCGACAAGAAGAAGATCAACATCAAGGGAACGATAACCAATTCAACAAATCACAAAAGGTGGATCAACTGACTAAGGACTCTCCTGAACCTGAAGAAGTCATCCCTATAACTCGTGAAAAGTCAGCTACTCCTTCAAGTCCTTGGAGTATCAGTAATTTCTTTGCAAATAATGATTTTTATTTGTCACCTTCAGATCCAGAAATCGCCCGACTCACCAAAAGGGATGATGATGAAAAATCAACTGATTTGACCTTGAAGGATCCGGAACCATTCTTCAAAGCTAACATCACCAACGAGGTTTATTTGACATTCGATTCTAATAGTTTCCAAAACTTACATGGCTATAGGTTTACTTTACCTAAATTCGTGTCAGTAGAATCAGCAGAAATTTTGTTATCATACTTTTGTGAAAAGATGGCTCCTAAATTCAGTGTTTGTAGCAAAGAGGCAAGTTCTTTAGTGTTAACCTATTTACCCTTGGCTTCATTTAATGGTATTGTGTTATCGGCCCTATTGGCTTGGGTAAGTTTTCATTTCGAAAAAAATGGTGATACCCAGTTTGTTCAGTTGAAGAAAAGACTTTTACAAGAAGTTGAGGTTAAATTGTCGGAAATCAATAATGGTAAGGTCAAAGTACCTTTGGAAGTGACTTTGGCATCCTTATTGATCATGATAGCTATTGAAAATAAGGGAACGTCTTCCAATTGGTTCAGCTATTTGAGAATGGCTCAGAAATCCATAGGTAATTCCAAAACTTATGGAGATTCCTCTGACTTAATTTGGTTGAAAAGTAATTTACTATACCATGAGGTTACAGGACCTGCGCTTTTATCTTTAGAAGACTCAGTTGAAAGTCCATCAGATTTGTTTGATTTTGATAATCTAGACGAAAATCCTGAAGCTTATATGGGAATATCCCGAAGGATATATAAGATTATGGGTGATATCTTTAAATTATCTCGAAAATTGGTTACTTCCTCTAGCATGGATGTGTTGGAAGATGTTTGTGAAGCTGCTGAACGATTAGAAGTTAGAATAGAAAACTGCAAACCTTTAGAACCAACAGAGGGAATGCTTAAAAACGGTACTTTGGTATATCATGAGATATTTTTCAAACTTCTCAAAGATACTGCTAGACTATATATTCGACAATGTGTTTATATGGTCGCCCCTGTGAGTATTAAATCTACCATGATTGTAGGAAGAATGATGAATCAGTTGAAGAAATTATTTGGTTCTGAAATTGATCCTGCTTTGTTGTTTCCTCTCTTCATCATGGGGGTCGATACTGTTTCTATCTATGTTAGAGATTGGGTGATAAAAATGATGAAAGATTTGTATGGCAGGGTTGGATCAGGGAATATTTTGGTGGCTATCAAGTTGCTTCACAAAGTTTGGGATCTGAATAATGATGGGAAAATCCATGTCTTTTGGCCACAAGTAGCAAAAGACCATGGCTTATTGGTTAGTTTGGCGTAAGAGAGTGAAATTGTATAGTAATGTAAGGGAATTAATAAATATTTAGGTATATCACTAGTTTACAAACCGTATTTTTTATTCATAGCATCAACTGCTATTCTAGCAGCTTTGATGTTTTCGAGGGATCCTGGGAAATCGGAATGGATACCAAGAGAGAATGGTTTACCGTTGAATTCTAAAGTATGAAATCTTCCATCATAACATTCCACTTTATCTTCTTCAACCGCTTGAGTGAATCTAGCAGCGATTTGTTCAGGAGTTTTCTTGGTCCAATTTGAAAAGTGGGCTAAGTTTCCAGTATCGGCATCCCAATCAATATCAGCAAAGAACTTCTCTAATAAAGCAACACCTCTTTCTTCGTATTTCTTTTTAAATTTTTCAGATCTGGTCCCAGTAATTGGTAAGTTTAAATCTCTGGCAGCTTGGCAAACAGCATCAAGAACTTTATCATTAGTTCTGGCAGCGAAATAAAGTTGACCATGAGGACCTAAACTTTCTATTTCTACTCCTTCAATTCTACATATTTCTCTTAAAGCTCCAACTTGGTAAATAATTAAATTGTAGATTTCCTCAGGTGAAATATCCATAGCTCTTCTACCGAAACCTTGTAAATCTGGTAAACCTGGATGGGCTGCAATTCTAACACCATACTTTTTGGCTAATTGAACAGTCTTCTTCATGATAGTATAATCTCCAGCATGGAATCCACATGCAACATTTGCAACATCGATGACTTTCATAATTTCTTCATCTGGAGCGACGGTCCAACGACCAAATCCTTCACCCATGTCAGCATTGATTTCATATCTATCGTAAGAAGTTTTGTAACCCATTGTGATAGTATTCTACCTGTTAACTTCTACCTCTAGACTTCTGAACAAAACTATTCAATAAATAAAATCTTATCTGTTGATTCAGCGCTTGTAGGAGTGGGACGCCGGCGGTAACATGTTTATCGTTATCGCGCATGGAAATATCTCAATATGGACACCGTTCCGCGATGCCAAAATTTCCGTGTAGTCCACAGGTGCGATGGGATGGAAAGAAATCCGCTCCCGGGGCACACAACGTTCACGATCAGCAGTATTGATTGGTCCAGATAAGATACATAGTGAGACTGGTGAAGAGAAGGGAAACTGGTGGAGAGGTTAGCCCATTCTGACTACAGATGCTTATGAACCTTGGGAAACTATCTTGCGACAAAAATGTCCAACTGATAAGGATAATGATCAGACTTTTTACGAAAATGCAGTGAGATTAAGGTAGTCTAGTGATTTTCGGAATCTTGAAGTACTAGAATAAAAAATAATAGTCTAGAATTTAAAGAGTCTGTGATATGTGCTTCTCACCCTTGAGTTTTCCCATTGGTAAAATTCTTATCATTAGAAACTCTCATGTTGTGGGAAGGAAAAACAAACATACTCGGTGCCTACTTCAAATGTGGAGATACATCTGAAAGCTTTATGCTGGAGCCTGCAAGAAGTGAAGTTGTTTGGTGAAATTGTCAACACACAAAGCGTCATTATCTGTTATTATCTGGAATTGTTGAAATCTGGAATCTTGAATGGCGTTTCGAATGGCAACTACATTGGTCCTCTGTCTCATAACGGCCTCCAAAAAGGAACCCCAAATGTTTCATGCTTAAAGAACATGATTATTCATAGACGCCTCGTCGAATGGAGGACGGATGATCCATGGAGAGGGCGATTATCTATCGAAATCTATCTCTCTGGTCAAACATATCCTTGTGGGAATCTTCAAATTGGAAATATCCAAATCAATACTAGAGCATCAATGAATTGTAATCATTCTTGAATATCTTTCTTCTACTGGTGGGGCCATATACGCCTCAGAAGATGAGACCTCCCGATTCAAAATATCCAATTCCCCTGGATTAAGCTAAAGAACTCGCAATTGACGTTCTCTGCCGAGTCTTCGCCATGGACCTCTTTGACTTTCTAGTAAAACTAACACCCAGTGTATTGAAAAGAACATACTGGGGCGAATAGGATAAGACACCCGTTGGTTTTTCTATTTTTGTCATATTCTCTTCCCTTTTCGGAAAATATCGTTTCCTTTTTCGGAATGATCGCTCAAGAGTAAATTATAAAGTGAAATATCACTCGTCATATTAATCTATAAAATAAAATATGAAATCATACACCTTGATGGAAGAACTAAAAAATTAACTATTCAGAATCGTCTGAGACTTTCTTTACTAAAGAAACCAGCAGGTCTTTAACCTTTTCTTCTGGAATACCTGCTTCGGAATCGTCAGAAGCAATTTGAACTTTTCCAAATTCTTCATCTTCGATGTCTTCTGGAGCAACAGCATCTGGAACAGTCCATGCAACATAAGTAGCAAATGGAAGGACAATCCAGAAAGCACCAGCGGAAATTGCCAAGTTAGTGGTATCATTCTTGTTAACAACACCTACAACATAAGATAAAACACCACCCAAAGATTCAAGACCTCTGATAACAGCAATAACATAACTCATTTCAGATGGTCTGTAACCGTATAAACCAACAACCCACCAAATCCAGTTGAAGACCAATTCACAAGGAATTTTGAAAATAACGAATGGGACATATGAAGCAGCAAAGAAGGAAGATCCATGCCAATCAATATCAGTTATACCGTTAGCTTGAATGTGACCTTGAGAAATAAAAGCCCAAATGAAATAACCTGAGAAAAGTGCAGCAAATACAACCCAAGAAACTCTAGCTTTAACTTTGTTGGAAACACCTGGGTAATCTAAAGCCCAAGCACCGACTAAATCACCAATAGCGGAACAAGCTGAACTCAATAAAACGTTTAATGATCTGGCTCTAACACTGAAGTTGTGGACCATATAATTACCTTGCCAAGTTTTGTACCATGAGTTGGTCAACATTAAAGGAGCTAAAATCAAGATTTCTTTTCTAGTTAAAATGTTCCAGAATTTCTTTAAGGATTGCATGAAAGTATCATTGGTTCTATTGTCATGGACTTTGGTACCATCAGTTCTGATAACTTTTTCAGGTGGAGCAACTAAATAAGCTAAGAAAGGACCAGTGGCTTGGATGGCAATCAAAACAACGTAAGTATTCAATGAAACTTTACCTGATTTGTCAGAATTAACATTCAAAATAGTAACAATAATACCGGCAATAATTGAACCAAGTTTATTCAAAGCTTGCCAAATACCGATAAATAACCCTCTTCTGTGTTTTTCTGGGTAATTCAAAGCAATTAAAGCTTCAGCTTGCCATAAAGGAGCTGAGGAGACACCACAAAGGAAACCTCCAAGAATAATTAACCATTGAGCACCAGTTTTAGAATTTAAGTATAAACCAGCAGAATAGAAGATATAACCAAAACAACCTACAAATACAACAAATCTAATACCAAAACGATTCATTAAATAAGCAGTTGGAGCAGATAAAACCACCATCAAACCATAAGAAACAGATGTGGCGATATAAGCAGTGGTAACTGATGATAAACCACCAGCACCTAAATTAGATAAAGCAGTCCAGATACCTGGTTGGGTGAAAGAAATAATCCCAGCAAGGAAAGCTTGTGTAATAGAAGCTCTATACCAATAGTGAAAATCTACCATTTAATGTTTTTTATTATTATTTATTGTTATACTTCTTCTTATTACTAAAGATATATTACTTACTTATATAATCTAAGAATCTTTCAAAAGATAAGATAAGATATTAACAACTAACAATTTGGTCAAATGAATGGAATAGAGCGCCTTATATACCTCAAGCCACTGTTTTATTTCTTCTGCGCAGAGGTAGACTATCTTGATGCACGACATTTTACGATCGGTGCTCAGAAGAAAAAAAATAAATACGGGCCCTTCAGAGATAATGAATTTTTCATAGATATGGTATTAAGATATTGGATCGATTATGCAAGCAAAGGGCGGTTAGTAGTGATTCCGAAGGTCAAAAGTCAAAAAATATGAGTTATCATGTCAAATTTCCTTAAGTATTTCTTATCAAAAGTAATGTTTTGGGATTGGGTGACCAAATGAATAGCGACATCTTATCGAACTGCGGCATTGAGACTGCATTCGGAACAGGTACCGCTGATGCCAACGGTGAAATGCTAGAAGAAATCTGATGATAAGAAGATAGGCAATTCACTGATTCTGGTAAAAATTAGCTGATCGTTATGTTTGGTAATATCAAAGAAAGTCTTAAAAATAAATGTGTCTTGATAACTGGTGCTTCTTCAGGTATTGGTAAAGAAACTGCTTATTCTTTTGCTGAAGTTACTGATGGAGAAACCAAATTAATCTTAACTGCTAGAAGAGAATCAAAATTATTGGAAGTTAAAGAAGATTTAGAATCAAAATATCCTAAAATTGGTATTTTCGTTTTAAGTATCGATATTAATGATTATAAAACTATCGTTGAAAAATTGAAAACCATACCAGAAGAATTTGATACTGACATCTTAATCAATAATGCTGGGTTAGCTCTTGGAAGAGAGCACACTAGTGAAATGGAAATTGAAGATGCTTATTCCATGTTAAACACTAACGTCATGGGTTTGGTCACTTTAACTCATTATTTCATCCCTAAATTGAAAGCTAAAAACTCAGGTACTATCATGAATATCGGATCAATTGCAGGCAGAAAAGCTTACCCAGGTGGATCAGTTTATTGCTCATCTAAAGCTGCTGTTAAATATTTCACCAAAGCCATTCGTCTTGAATTAATCGATACTAAAATTAGAGTCATGGAAATTGCTCCAGGTGAAGTAAAGACTGATTTTTCCTTAGTTAGATATAAAGGTGATGACACCAAAGCTGAAAACGTGTACAAAAACAAAGAGCCATTACAAGCTATTGATATTGCTGAGCTCATCATCTTCAGTGTTTCAAGAAAAGAACGTACTGTTCTTGCCGAAACTCTTATCTTACCTACCTACCAAGGTTAAATCTATACATAGTCAATAAAATATTCAAAAGTGATACTTCATCGATACTCGTACGGCTGGAATGAATTCTTTCCTCTCCTCTCCACCGATCTGTTCCGCTACTCGAGTGAATTTTTAGTGCAAATAAAACAATAAGAGTCACCGTCTGAATTCAAATAGATAATTGAGTGGCAAGGACACTTTCATGCCATCAACCATATTTCCATGGACCCATTTTCCTAATTCTATTGTTGTTAGCCGCACAAAGGAATTTAATTACTTAAAATCCGATCAACATTATCACCTGTTCAACATTCGTAGTTGGTTGGTTATGAATTTTCTTATCTCATCTGTGAAGAAATTTTGTTATCTGGAATCGTTGCCCACCTTAGTAGATCACATCGCTTAATTATAATGCGGTGTAAGTTACTTATCTTGAATAATTCCCAGATTTTCCCGCGACATTTCCGATTTAGTAATAAATCTTATCTATTCCACCATGGAATTTTACCGCACCTTAATTGAGCGGCAGGGAATCCCAATCGGGTATGATGAATATGGTAAACTCATTTAAAATATCCTTAAAGTCTCCTCCAACGTAAATCTATACTGGCAAATAAAATCATCTAATCAATATGCCTGCCAAAACTGATGCTGCTGCTGAGTTTTACCCTGATGAACCAACTGGTCCAATCTTGGTAAAATCAAACACTAAAAATGTACAAGAAAAAGAAAGCTTAGGTGAAATCATGGATACCAAATCTGTTATGTTTGTTTGTGATTACAAGAAGTCCATTGGTAATTATCTTGCTGATGTTGATGGAAATGTTTATTTAGATGTTTTACAACAAATTGCTTCAATTGCCCTTGGTTACAATAATCCTATCTTAAAACAAGTTGCTTCAAGTCCAGATATGGTTGATGCTTTGATCAATAGACCAGCTTCTACTAGATTACCATCTAACTTCTACGCTAGAGCCATTAAGAATATCTTAAAAGGTAGTCCAAAAGATCAAGATAAAGTTTGGATCTGTTTAAGTGGTAGTGATGCTAATGATAATGCTTTGAAAGCTGCTTTCATGCATTACAAATCTAAACAAAGAGGTTATGATGCTGCATTCACTGCTGAAGAAATGGAATCTGTTATGTCAGCTAAAGCTCCAGGTAACCCAGATTTAGCTGTTTTATCATTCAAAGGTGGTTTCCACGGTAGAACTATTGGTTCCATCTCATTAACTGCTGCTAGAGCTTATCATAAAGTTGATCTCCCAGCTTTCAACTGGCCAAAAGGTGAAATGCCAAATTTGAAATATCCTTTAGATAAATATGAAAAGGAAAATGCTGAAGAAGAAGCTAGAGCTTTAGAAAAAGTTGAAGAAATTTTTAAAACTTGGAGATGTCCAATTGCTGCTGTTGTTATAGAACCAATCTTATCAGAAGGTGGTGATGTTCACGCTTCAGCTAAATTCTATCAAGGTTTAAGAGATATTACCTTGAAATATGGTTCATTATTGATCTTTGATGAAGTTCAAACCGGTTTTGGTGCTACTGGTAAATTATGGGCTCATGAACATTTTAATTTAACCACTCCTCCAGATATGGTCACTTTCTCCAAGAAAGCTCAAGCTGCTGGTTTCTTCTATCATGATGCTCAAATGATGCCAAAAGATGCCGCTAGAATGCACAACACTTGGTGTGGTGATCCAGCCAGAGTTTTAATTGCTGAAGGTATTGTCAATACTATTTTAGAATATGGTTTGGTTGAAAAGACTAAGGAAGTTGGTGAATACTTATTCCCTAAATTAGAAAAATTAGCCGAAAAATATCCTGAATTAATGTTAAACCTTAGAGGTAAAGACAGAGGTACCTTCATTGCTTGGGATTTACCTGATGGAGATTGGAGAATTAAATTCTTCGCTGCTGCTAGATCAGTTGGTTTAAATATTGGTGGTGGTTATTTAAGAACTGCTAGATTAAGACCAACCTTAACCTTCAACAAATCTCATGCTGATGTTGCTGTAGAATTATTAGATAAGACTTTTGAAATCTTGTCAAAGGAATAAATTACCTGCACATTGACTACTAAATAGAAAAAATAAACGTTTTTGTTATGTTGAAGCATATGCATTTATGATGGATGGAGCAAGTTAATACTTCCCAATTTGTGAATAATTGCCGATATCTCTTAATTTTTTCATATGGAATGACAATTATGATGTAAAAATAAGCTTTCAATTGACATTTAACCATTTTCTTTATACAGCAACTGAGGTTTTACACACACCAAAAAATTGATAAAGTTAAAACAAAGGTTGGATAAGTCGGGATTCATGACTAAAGTAGTAATAATAGCCTAGATTACAACACTTCCTTGCGTTTAGATTAACTAGACTTGGATGCTTTGGTGGAGTATTCTATTAAGGGAAAAAAATTTATCTACACCATCCTCTAATCGAACACTGGCTATTTGTTCCATGCCTCTATAAACTCTGTAAATAAGCTACTATCAGTAGGTCATGATGGATTCAAGAGCAATACTAACACCCAATATTCATCATATAATCTCAATACAGGAAATTACATCATTCTGAGACTTTAGATAATGGCTGCAAACTTTAACAGGCTTATCAATTAGGAGTAGATACATCGTGTTCTAGAATGTCAGACAACTATTTGAACCCCATAAAATCCCCCCAAAATATAGATTAAAATAATCAAACTTCAAGACAGATTCATAAGATCAAAATGGCTACTGCAGTTATCACAACTAAAACCGTTGATTTCAACGATGGAAACAAAATCCCCAGTGTGGGATTGGGAACTTGGAAAGCCAAAGAGGAGGAAGTATATACCTCAGTAACACATGCCCTTCAAGCTGGGTATAGACATATTGACACTGCTGCAGCTTATGGTAATGAAGAACCAATCGGTAAAGCGATCAAAGATAGTGGTATTCCAAGGGAACAATTATTTATTACTACAAAATTATGGTCAAATGCCCATCATGATCCTGTTGGTGCTATCACCGAATCATTGGATAAATTAGGTTTAGATTATGTGGATTTGTATTTGTTACATTGGCCCGTCTTCTTGAACCCTAAAGGTTCACCCTCAAGAGTTCCGTTATTACCCAATGGTAAAAGAGATATCGTTATGGATTGGTCATTCGTCAAGACTTATGAACTTATGCATGAATGTGTTGAAAAAGGTTTAGCTAAATCAATAGGAGTTTCCAATTTCCTGGTGAAAAATTTGAAAGTTCTTATGAATGCTACTGAAACAAAGATTACTCCGGCAGTTAATCAAGTAGAATTACACCCACATTTACCCCAATTCCAATTAGGTGAATATTGTGCTCAACATGATATTCACTTACAAGCCTATTCACCTTTAGGATCTGTTGGATCACCAATTTTGAAAGATGAAGTTCTTATGGCTATTGGTGAAAAACATGGAGTGTCTCCAGCAACAATTGTCTTTAGTTGGATGAACTCTAGAGATATTGTGTATTTACCCAAATCCTTAAACAGGGATAGATTGAGACAAAATCTCTTAGTGGTTGAATTGGATGATGAAGATATTGAAACTATCAATAACATTCATAAGACATTCTCAAAGAGATACAATGATCAAGATTGGTCCCCTATGAAACCTTTTGAAGAGGATTAGGATTGTTTTATGAATTATATAGAAATATAGATTATTTTATTCATCTTCACCAAAAACATCAATTGGATCCCAATCTGGTAATCCATATCTCTTAGATTTAGTAAGATGAATATCATTAATAGATTGGACATCCTCATCAGCAAGATCCAAGATCATCAAGTTTTGTTCAACTCTATGAGGTTTGATGGATTTCGGTAAGGCAATTATACCTCGTTTGATCAACCAACTAAAAATGATAGTTGCAGGTGGAACGTTGTATTTTTCACCAATTTTAATAATCACTTCCTCTGATAATAATGGAGATCCATCAGAACCTAATGGAGAATAAGCTTCCAAATAAATTCCATTTTGTTGACAGAATTTATTTAAATCCAAATTAGGTAAGTAAGGATGAATTTCAACTTGATTAATCACAGGTTTGTGTTTAAAATCTTCAGCCAAGATCTTTTTCAAATTTTTGATCAGAAAGTTTGAAACTCCAATGGATTTGGTCAATCCCTTCTCAACACATTCTTGCATTAATTCAAAGGTTTTAACAAATGACCAATCCAAAACAATATCTCTCTTACCATTAGGTAATAGTGGGATCTTTTCTGGAGTTCCCTTAGGATTTAAGTAAACTGGCCAATGCATAAGGAATAAATCGACATATTCTAAATCTAATCTTTCTAAAGATTCCTTCAATGCTACCACTGGTTCAGCATGCCTAGTAATCCACAATTTAGTGGTAACATAAATTTCTTCTCTTGGAATACCCGAATCTTTAATTGCTTTTCCAATAGGTACTTCATTACCATAACCAGCTGCAGTGTCAATATGTCTATAACCAATTGATAAAGCATGTTTCACGATATCATAAACTTCCTCGTCTTTAGCTTTCCATGTTCCCAAACCAATGGAGGGGATTGAAGTTCCATCATTCAATTGAACTGTTTTTAAGTATTTAGTTGCCATCCTTGAAATTTGTCTATAATTTTTTTACTTCAAGTTCGCGGCTCAAGATTTAAAAGCGGGGGGTGGAGTTATTATAATGTTACGAGAACTCTTATGCTGTGACCAAAGAACCTAGGAATTGAGAGTATCGCTGGGTAGACTGTTTAGTAGGGTAAGTATCAAACTAGCGGTCGATTTGATCAATTGGAGTCTCGGATATTTGGGTGTAATATAGAGAAAAGGTCGGGATATAGTGGGGTATTCGTTGGGTGATATTTGCAGTATTACTAATTTCTTTAACATTGACAAATGAAAGGCCATTCTAGAGACGAATCTGAAATTATGGCACGAGTTAAAAGGCCGTGTCAGAGGCGTCTTCTTTCTTCTTTCGAAGGTAACTTCGGTTCACGGTGTCACGAGATGTAATACCCCTAACTTTTCGTGGTCCGATCGAGTTGAAGTATATCCGAAGAACCTTCCACGGAATCAAGACTATGTTTAGATTAGATCTATCTCCCAAGCTGTGCGGCAATGTCAATGGTCATTGCAGAATTTCCTTCCAGTATAAGATGTACTATACTCATGTATGATGTAAAAACAATGAAATCTTAAAACATGGGGTATACGAAATTTTCAAAATCTTCAAAAATCCAATATTTGATCCATTTTTTGAACTGATTCGTACTTCATCACTCTTAAAGCCTGATTTATATGGTCAAAGACCTTAATACCTTCAATTGAACCCTAGTTTCAAACATTATCGGATCAAGGATTATCACGCTAAATTGCTCACGAAAAAGGATTCTCAATTAACCATGATTAGTGATAATTCAATTGATGACAAAGAGAATCAATATAATTCTAAAACTGTCCCAATTGATTTAACCAATGAATCACCCCGGTCCAATCATCAACTCAATCCATCAATTCACAACAGAAATCAATATAATCCATCAATTGATCGTGAATCACTGACTCCCAATGATGTAGTTGAGGTGGTTGAAGTAATTGATGATGAAGACGATGATGATGCCGATGGTGATTATGGTAGCGAAGATTTGAATACCAACGGTGACGTTCATACCCATGAGGATTACAATCAACATCCTCAACCAGTCAAGAATGATAAAATTAAGCCTTCATTACCTTCAGCAACAGAATTTAAAGCCTTGAGTGATAAATTAATGAAACCATTAGATGATTACCCAGTATCTGACGAAGCACATGATGTTTGGGAAATAAAAAGTTGGTCTAATTTGGCAGATAGTAAGATCAGAGGTCCAAGATTTAAATGTGGGAACTTTGAATGGAATATCTTATTATTTCCCCGTGGTAATAGTAATAACAATACCATATCGATATACATTGAACCACATCCTCTAGATCCTTCAATCAATGAAAAGGATGATGATTGGTATGTATGTGCACAATTTGGTTTTGATTTATGGAATCCTAATCATCCGAATTCTCATTCAGCTTTATCTTCATTCCATAGATTCAATAAGAATGATGCTGATTGGGGGTTTTCATCATTTGTTGATTTACATCATATGACATTGCCTAATAAAAATGGCTTACCACCAATTTTATCTAACAATCAAATCAATATAACAGCTTATGTTAAAGTAATTGATGATTCTCAAACAGGAGTTTTATGGTATAATTTCCATGATTATGATTCTAAAAAAGCTACAGGATATGTTGGATTGAATAATCAAGGAGCTACATGTTATCTTAATTCATTATTACAAAGTTATTATACTACAAAGATCTTTAGAAAATTAGTCTATCAAATCCCTACAACTTCAAATACCATTATTAAATCTAATAAAAAGGTTAAGAAAGAAAGTAGTGTAGCTTTATCATTACAAAAAGTATTTTACTTGTTATCAAGTTCCCAAAATCCTGTTGGAACATTAGAATTAACCAAATCATTTGGTTGGGATTCAAGTGATGCTTTTACTCAACATGATGTTCAAGAATTGAATAGAATTTTAATGGATAAGTTAGAAACCTCAATGAAAAACACTCCAATTGAGAATAAATTGAATGATTTGTTTGTTGGGAAAATGAAAAGTTTCATTAAATGTATAAATGTTCCTTATGAATCATCAAGAATTGAAGATTTCTGGGATATTCAATTGAATGTCAAAGGTCTTGATAATTTACAAAGTGCATTTGAAAATTATATTGAAATTGAAATGTTAAATGAAGACAATAAATATCAAGCAGGTGATGAATATGGATATCAAGATGCTAAAAAGGGGGTAGTTTTCCAACACTTCCCACCAATTTTACATTTACAATTGAAAAGATTTGAATATGATTTCCAAATTGATGATTTATCTAAAATTAATGACCGTTATGAATTCCCAGATCAAATAGATTTATCACCATATTTAGATGAAGATTTATCACCAGAAATTAGAAATGAAAATTGGAATTATAAATTACATGGGGTTTTAGTTCATCAAGGAAGTATTTCTAATGGTCATTATTATACTATGATTAAACCTAATGCTAAAGATAATCAATGGTATAGATTTGAAGATGATAGAGTTTGGAAAGTTACTCCAACTGAAGCATTCCAAGCAAATTTCGGTTGTGATGAAATAACTGAAATGGAATATGTTAAAATGTCAAGACAAGAACAAAGTGATTATATTATTAAACGTTCAACTTCAGCTTATATGTTGGTTTATTATCGTGAAACTTTCTTGAATGATATTTTACCTGAAAATGATGAAGAAATCAATAATCAAATCCCAAAATTCATTCCTATTGAAATTGAAAATCAATTGAATGAAGCTAAAATGTTGGAAAGTTTGAAACAACAACAATTATATAACATTAATTTGAAATTAGTTACTTTGGAGATGTTTCAACAATATAATCATTTTGATCTTTATCATGATCCTTTAGATCAAAAATTTTATGATAAACATTTAGTTCATGGGAATATCAAACTTCTTGAGTTCAGTTTCAAGAAGACCGATGAGATTTTTGTATTGTATAATAAAATCAATGAATCCAAAGGTCTCGGTTTAGTACAAACAATTGAAGATATTGGTAAATTACCTTACAGATTATTATTGATAACACATCGTAATAATCATACTAATAGAGCTGATGGAGTTTTGAATTTAGAAGGTTTAGATAATCTTAGTTTATCTAATATTTATGCCAATTTCTATACAAAAAGACACGATGAAATGGTATTTTTCATTGATGAAGGTAAAGATTTATCTTGTCTTGATAAGAAATATGAATCCAGTACTATTGAAGATTTTAAGATTGATGAAATCGATGCCAGAATTGATTCCATCGTCCCTTCCTTGAAATCTTTAGATGATCATATTATGATTTTCTTGAAACTTTTCAACCCTATCACTGATAAAATGCATGGTTTAGGTTATGTTACAGTTACTAAGGATAAACCCATTAAATCCATTATTCCTATCATGAACAGCTTGACAGGAATTGATTGCGATTTCGATATGTTTGAAGAACTAACTCCATATAAATTAGAGGCTGTTGACCCAACTAATTCATTTGAAGTCAATGAATTAAACAGTGGTGATATCATTGTGTTACAGTTCAAAGATTACCCATCTAAAGGAAAATTCAAGACTTTACACGATTATTATAAATTCTTAGCTACCAGATTGCATATCAAAGTATCTCCATATAATGAAGACTTTAGTTTAAATGACGATGATGATGAATATAATGAAGATCTTGATATCAAAGATGATTTCATCGATGTTTCCAAAGATGATGAAATGGTGGTTCTCAACAAAGATGGTGAACCAGAAAATGTTTTTGACTTATGGGTTTCTACCTTGAATAGTTGTGAAGATTTGTCTAAAGAAATAAGTAAACATATTGGTGTTGATTATCAATATATCCGATTATTCATAGTCAACCAACAAGGCATGAAATTCCCAATCAAAACCAGTGCTGTGCTTTCACAATATTTCCCCAAAAATTTATCCATATCAGAAATTGTCAAATTCGAATACGATATTTTGAAAATATCATTGAAAGAATTTGAATCAATGAAAACATTTAAAATTCATTGGATAACGAAGATTTTTGAATCTAAAGAATTTGAAATCATGATTTCAATAAACGATTCTGTTGAGGGATTGATCAAAAAGTTACAGAAAGAATTAGAATCTGAAGGTATTAAAATCAATGTTTCTAATTTATTAATGTGGTATGGAAATGATTGCAAGTATGTTGGATTTATAAGATTCGATGGTGTAGTATCAGAATTGAATGAAACTTTTGATTTCTACGTAGGAGAATTCCCTGTGGAATTAAATGTGTTTATTAACCATGACTTAATGAACGTTGCAAAACCAACCATTCAATTTCAAGATGATAAGATCTTGCAATATGAATATGAACAAACAGAAAAATTCAAATCAAGTTTGAATATTGTTCCGGTATTCCATTTCTATAAAAGTTCATCAAATCATCATTCAATTCCATTTTTATTCATAATTTTACCTGAAGAGAAATTTATTGACACTAAGAAGAGATTACAGTATAAATTAGGACTCAGTGATGTACATTTTTCCAAAATCAAATTCGCTTTGGCAGATAATTCTGAAAAGGGAAGATATTTGGATGATAATGAAGATTTGATTTTATATGATCAAATTGAAAACGGATTATCTTTAGCTTTAGATCATATCGATAGATCTCCCCGTAAAAACATTTTCGATAAAGGTATTCAAATTAAATAGGTTAATATATTTTTTTGTTTATTGACTAAACTAATCAAGAGAAGCCAAATTATCATCCCAGAGAGTACTTTTTCTAGGGATGGTGAAACCTTTTCTTATTTCAGGATGTTCCAAAACATGTTGAGCCCATTTTAACACCCCAGGGAAATCATTTAAAGGAACATCACAAACTTTTAAGTATGGAATAAATCCTATATGAACAATATCAGCAATGGAAAGATGAGAACCAGCCAAATATTCAGAATTGTATTCTTCTTTATTACGTTTCAAATATTCCTCCAATACCGTTAATAATCTCTTGATTTCAATATGGAATCTCTCAATGGCCATAGGATTCTTTTCTTGAGCGATAAGTTTGAAATGAATACTTTGACCAACAGCTGGGCCAATACCTCCGACTTGGAAGAAAGCAGCTTCAATCATTTTGTAATATTCTTTGGTGCCTGGAGCATAACTATACTTCCTTTCTTTGTCATAAGTATCAGCTAAATATAAAAGAATAGCACCACTCTCACCTAATTTAATGTCATTGGTTTCATCGTGTAAGGTTGGGACTTTACCGTTTGGATTGACCTTTAAGAACCATGGTTGTTTCTGATCGTTTTTCAGAAGGTCTACAGGAACAACTTCATACTTCAATTTCAATAATTCAAGAAATATTGATAACTTATAAGAATTTGGAGTGGAAGCAATAAAAGCTTTAATTGGTAAAGACATTGTGAATACCAAAACGATAGTAGCAAGGCAAGTATAATTTATATTGAAATCCTCTACGGCATTAGTTCACGGCTGATACATCTTGAATATTGGAATATGTAATCAGTTTAGTAAGATAAGTAATCACCGGATATAAGGTAATGATTTATAATAAGAAGGGATTTAAGGTCTAAATCTTTCTAATTAATGAAGGGAATATTTTAAAGACCAGGATATTTCATTTACTATGTTCTTAATACACCCTGAAGACCCTCCTTCGGATGAGAATCGTAAATTTCTATTCTTGGATCGACCATTTACAGTTTACCATGTCGGCCGGTACAATTGGTCCGCAATAACGTAATCAATCAATTCGTACGAACCTTCATATAAGGCTAGACATAAACTAGACATATTTTGCAGGTTAGTCAGTTCATTGATACCACCGGATTTAACCTTTCTTCTCATGTAGATTAGGATTGTTTTACGATTTTGACTGCTGACCATACGGATGTGACTGGAAAAAAATATTTGACATCTTGTAATTTCACACTCTTATGATCTCATGCGTCGGCTTTCCTTAAATCTGTTGAACTAAGTTTATTTTCCCCACCTATTAAATCGATAGTGAACACTTCAAGTTGTTTGAACCCAATTGATTTTCTGAAATTATTTACAAATTCACCTCCTCCACTTGATTCTTGACTTAATACTAAACAGTCAATATTCTCCACATACCCTGTTGGTCCACAAACATCAACTATCTTATAAATTTCAACAGATTTCAAATCCAATAATTTAAGGAATTTCAAAGTAGATTGAATCCTTTTTTCAAACGAATCTAATTGTTCTTTGTATTTCTTATTCTTCAACAATTCGGCATCTGTAACTCCCACAATTAACTTTTGTGTACTTAAATACGTAGCAACAGACAAAAGAATCTTATGTCCGTCATGCAAATGATCAAATGTTCCTCCTACAGCCACAACTTTATATCGATCATTGTTAGCTATATTTTCAAGTTTGATAGAATTGATATTTGCTTTGATTTCTTCTCCATATGATTCTTCTCCATTGACATGAAATACATTTGACCCTTGTAACAAAGATAACTCATTGAATATTATATTTATGTTATACATTGGACCTAAATTCATCTTGTCACATTCTTTCCTATAATCATCGTATAATTTATTCAAAATCAAATTGAGAGAATCCGCCGATTCAATTGACTTAGTTATCACTACATTCAACTCATCGGGTTTCTGATTCAAGTATTCCCTTACTGCTTCACTGTAATCTTTGGTGAAAGGATCCTCAATAGCTAAAGTCATAGTGTGCGATTTTTCACTATCTACAAATTCATTTCTATTTACATTCTATCTACAAATCTTTTAAAGACTTTATGAGTCCTTTCAACTTTTTCGTATCTTCGTCATTCACTTCAATCCAGTTACAATGGGAGATTTTGTCATAAACGGTTTTAACAGATTGAGTGATTTTCTTATCAATAATTGGCACTTCAATATCTTTCTTCGATTTCTTGTTCTTGGAGGTCTTGGGCAATGGTTTTGCTACTTCAAGAAGTGATTTCAAATTCCTTACCAAGTACTCTATTTGGTCTTTCTTCAACGGATCTTTTAAAATTCTGAAATCACGGTTTTCCTTTTGAACTTCTTTCAATTGATTATAATTGTACCTAATGAAATAATGGAGCTCTTCACTGATCATTTGAACAACATTCAAATAACTATAATCTGTTGGTTGTATACGACTGCTTTTCATGTATTTGAGCATTTGAATGTTTATCAAACTTGACTTTTGTTCCTTTAAGAACATTTGATGTATGTAGAACATCATACTTTCAACTAGTTTCATATCAATGATCTTTTCGGTAGGCGTTTCGTAGCTAACTTCAACTTCAAGATCTTTTAATGTAGGATAAGTCTTGAAATTCACCCCTCCGTATGTTTTCAATAAGTACCAACAAGATTTTAAGAATTGAACTGGCCTATCTAATTGATATAAATATTCAAGAATGATTTGAATCAAGAATAAATTCAATTCAGCTGTAGTTTTCTTTTTCATATCCACATCAGCATATTTCATGGGTATCTTGGAATCACTATTCATTTGAGATAATTCCTTGTCTTTGGAATCCTGAAGTTTCTTACTTGCATTGAAATTAAGTCCTAATTCGTCACTCATCAATTTGAAATCATCGCACCAGTCCTTTAATTGTTGGAGTCCCAATGTATTGTAATGATACCCGTTAAAAGCTTTCAAGTAATTGACTATAAAGACATTATCGAATTTTTCAAGTTTCTTACTTATTAATTCAACGTTCGTCACCAATTCTCTATTCAAAAGGAAGACCATCTTGTTCTTTTGCATTTTTACAATATTCCTATCAGCCAACTTTTTAATCCTGAAATCTCTGTTCTTACATAAACCTCTTATGAAGATAGTGAAGGTGGTATTATCAGGTTTCAAGTCGTTAAGATTATCGAAGAACTCCCAAGCTGATAATTGGTTATCATTCAAGTTTCTTACCAAACAACTCAATAAGGCATTGAAAATTGAAATCGTAGGTGTTTCGATAGTGTCGTACATGTCTTTCAAAGTTTGGAAAATCCTACCTTCAGTTTGGCTATATTCTTTGAACGATAAGTTCTTGGAGATTCCATCAAACAATATGACAAATGTTTGGTCGTTTGGCTTATACTTCCATTTCTTACAATCATTGAAGATTTTCAAAGCATCTTTAACATCACCATTCTTTAAAGTTGATTCAATAACTCTGTTCATGGCAACAGTGTTTTTGTTTCCTGAAAGTTTCAATAAATATACCGCTCTTTCTGTGTTCTTATCTTTAGCTAAAAGGTTATCGATCTGTTTAGTAACTTTAGTTTTATCAGTCAATGATTTAGGATTAATACCTAATAATGTGAAAAGTACTATCCTCGATATTGGCCTTTTGTCAACCTTTCTCATTTCATTCAAATGTTTGAAGATATTCATAGTTAACTTACTATCATTCATGAGCTTTCTACTGGTGATTGTAGACATTTTGATCAAATTACCTTCTTCATCTTTTATAGTACCTTCAAATTGGTATCTCAAAAGTTTAACAACTTCATTAATAGTTTTCCCACGAAATACTCCTTTCCCACCACGACTATTTACCTCATTACTAGTAATATCTCTCGGTATGTAGCCTGCCTTCTTATAGTTGGCAAGATTAGTCTTTGCACTAGCTTTCAATACTGTGCTCCATCTCATCTTAACCTCTTCGCGCAGTTTCTACTGTTACATATAGAATCTAAATATGAGTGATTGGATACGACTCAAACAGTCAGTTTACTTATTAATAGACAATTTGAATGGTGACAACTTAGGAGAAATATGCTGTGAATTATTGAAGTTAAATTTATTCAGAGGTAAAGGGATTGTTGTGAGAAAGTTAATCTATAATCAACAAAAATACTATCAAAATACAGGTATTTATGCCAACTTGATCAGTCTATTGAATTCCCAAATCCCAGAAATAGGGGAAATTATCAGTAACAAATTAATTATTAATTTCAAAAATGAATACTTGAATGATAAATTTATAAATATTGATTTCATTTGTGAATTGGTCAATTATAAAGTGATTAATGAAATGATTACCTTACAAATCCTTGAATTGTTAATGAACAATATGACCAACGGAAGTATCACTATAATAATAAGAATTATAAAATTAAATGGCCTCTTACTACCACAAAATGTTGTATATTCAATTATTGATAAATTAAGAAACATGATGAATGAAGGTTTGATAAGTGAAAGTAACCAAAATGGTGTCAAACAGTTAATCGGAATAAGGAAAAGGGGATTCAAAAACTTTGCCGAAGTACTAATTGAAGGAAAGTGTCATATGATAGATATTGAAGATGATTTCAAGACTTTTAATGAATTAATGATTGATAATGGAAACGAGTATAAAGAGTATGAAGCTTTTAAGGACAAATTCATATCTAACATAGAAGGTTTATTCCAAGAGCCGGAAGTTGAACCAGAAGCTGAAGTCGAAGAAGAGCCTGTCATAGATTTGAGTCAATCAGAATTAATAAATCTACAAAAGACTGTCTATTTGACCATTATGTCAAGTTTAACATCAGACGAAGCTGTTCATAAACTCTTGAAATTAAATTATGACCCTTCCATTTTGAGTAATATAATTATAAGAAGTTGTATAGAAGAAAAGACATATTCCAAATATTATGGGAATATCAGTGAAATATTGATATTGAGATTCGATAAATTCAAAACTCAATTCATGAAACAGTTCGAAATCAAATATAAGGAAATTCACCTTTTCGAACTTAATGGGATTAGAAACCTTGGTAAGTTATTTGGATATTTAATTGCCACTAATAAATTAAGTATCGATATACTAAAGGTGATTACATTAACAGAAGAAGATACAAATTCATCAAGCAGGATTTTAATCAAATTCTTATTGAAAGAAATGATCGAAGAGTTGAGTCTCAATGATTTTAAAATATTAATGATAGAGAATATGAACAATCTTCCCGGAATGTTCCCTATTGGTGGTCATAAAGATGACATAATTTTCGCCATCAATTATTTTACAGCCATTGGGTTGGGTTTAGTAACTGACGAATTAAGAGAAGACTTGAGTAATGCCAGAGGTAGAACTAGAAAGCGGGTCAGACAGGAAAGCAACAGCCGCAGTGGAAGTTATAGTAGAAGTAGAAGTGGTAGCTATAGTCGTAGTGGAAGTGGAAGTTACAGTAGAAGTAGAAGTAGAAGTGGTAGTTACAGTCGTAGTAGAAGTGGAAGTTATAGTCGAAGTGCTAGTTATAGCAGATCACCCAGCCGTACACCAAGCAGGTCTCCAGGTCGCTAACCTTTGACCCGTATTTTGCAGTCATTTTTTCGCAGTCATTTATCCACTCAGTCATTGCACTTAACACTTTCGGAATGTAACGGTTGCACATTTTACAAAGTCTTAAATTCATACACCATTTTCTAACAAAATCTACACATATCAAAGATCTTATACTGTATACCCACTCTATATGTTCGGTCTTAATCTTGACCCCCATTGTCATACTAAAAATTGGAAATTTCACTCAATTTGCTTTTATCCAATAAAATCGCAGCAAATACTAATGTAGTGAGATTTTCTGGAATACATAAATAGCAGAAAATTTTTCAAAAATAAATAATTAACAAATTTAAAAATGCCAGCTCCATTCGAAAAAGGAAGTGAAAAAAAAGGTGCCAATTTATTCAAAACTAGATGTTTACAATGTCACACTGTTGAAAAAGGTGGTCCACACAAAGTTGGTCCAAATTTGCATGGTATTTTCGGTAGAAAATCAGGTTTAGCTGAAGGTTACTCTTATACTGATGCTAACAAGAAAAAAGGTGTTGAATGGTCAGAACAAACTTTATCTGATTACTTAGAAAACCCAAAGAAATATATCCCAGGTACCAAAATGGCTTTCGGTGGTTTAAAGAAACCAAAGGACAGAAACGATTTAGTTACTTACTTAGCTAACGCTACCAAATAAGCAATTAAGCTTAATGAAACATGAACTTTAGAAACTTTTCGAATAGTTAATTGATTCGTGGGTTTCCATGTATATATTTATATTTCAATATAGAAATTGTTAGATTCTTGCTTTTTTGCAACTTCACTATTGGCTGATTTAACGATCTCACTTATCGCTATTATAAACATTGTAAATATCTCTGAAGATTTGGTTGAGTCGGAGAGCTGGATAGTGTAGTTGTTGGATCTATGGATGTTGATGATTCATGTGGTTTGACGTTGGTATTGCTAAACCATGACCCTGTCGACGATAAAAAATACGTTATGAACATCGGCCAATAACACCCGAGATAAACGATTTGAAAATCGTCTTTCAATTCGATTTTGCTTGAGTTTTACTGATTTTGACATGTAAATGAATGACAGAGAGGATTCCTGTTGGTATACCAAGGCATATCAGAGGTTTATCCAACGTGCAGAGTGGTGCCACGGCTGATAAGTCCGGAAAATCCTAGATATTTTGTAGTTTCTCGAGGTTTTGTACACCCAAAGAACATTCCAGTCATTTTTAGAGTACTTTGTATCATATCCCTGTGTTCTCTGGCTGCTTGATCGTCTTCCGTGTGTATTCCAAATAATTCATGAATTATCTATATTTTTTTCAGATTTTGCAGCAATTGCGAATTTTGTAAGATTTAAAACAAGCAAGAAAACATAGAAAATAATATTATAGCTTTGGATCGGTAAGTGTTAGAAGGCCAACCACAAGTATTTAGAATTTCAATGTTAAAACATCCAAAGTCTAGAAAACCGCCAAAATCAATGTGTTTCATACTCCTTTTCCTCATTCCAAGTCTACCACAACTAGAGAACCAACATTTAATCTTCTAAAGCTACTAAGTGTCAAACCTACCTTTGTAATCACCCATCAAGTCTCGTAAATTTCCAATCTTAGACCTTCCACCCCCAAAATCCACGATCTCTTAACTTAACATTCTGACGCACTGAAAAATTTGAGACAAAATGAATCCAATGCAAGATATCAAAGTTCCAGTTGAAGTTGACCCCAACGAAGACACTGAATGGAATGATATACTAAGATCCCATGGTATTATTCCTGAAAAACCCCCAAGTCCAACTTTAGAATTGGAAAACGCTTTGGACGAAGCCATTAAGAAACAGCACGAGAATAGATTGGAGAACAAAGAGTTAGATGAATTAGATGAGTTAGAAGATGAAGAAGATGAAGAGTTTTTAAACTTTTATAAGAACAAAAGAATGAATGAGTTGAAACAATTCCAAAGTAAATTGAAATTTGGTCAAGTTTTCCCTATAACGAAAAGTGAATATGAAAAAGAAGTTACTAATGATAGTGAAAATCAATTTGTTATATTACACATGTCGTCCGAATCGTCATTACAGAGTAGATTGTTGTCTTCAATCTTCACCCAATTAGCTAAAAAGTTTGCTGATGTCAAATTCGTTGATATCCCTGCCAGAAGATGTGTTGAGAACTATCCTGAAGCTAACACCCCAACTATCTTAATTTATAGAAACAAGAATGTCGTTAGACAATACATAACATTAACTGAGTTAGGTGGGAATGATTGTAATTTGAAAGATTTGGAAAATGTATTGATAAAGTTCAAAATCGTGGATGAGTTCGATAAGAGATTGATCATTAATCAAGAAGAAGATTTCGACGATAGAAAATTGAAATTCACTAAAAGGTCTATCAGAAATGATGATGATGATGACGATGATTTCTATGATTAGGAAATCAATCGATTCCCATCAAACTCACTATACCCATCCCACAGTTGCTCCCCAATTATATAGAACACAAGAATTTTTATAGTTCAAAAACGAATGCACCATACTTTCTGGGTCATTAAGCCCTCTTTTCCTCTTCTGTATCGAAATTGACGATCGAAAAAAAGTCAAGTTACACAAAATCTTCGATGGTCAACTCAAATTACGCATCAGATCCCTCAGTGAGAATTGATCTAATATGTTTTCAGATCTTGAAGACTGTCAACACATTGAAAAGGTATTGAATACCAATAACAGGACGACGGTATTAGAGACGTATAGACAAGCTATCAAAATATCCCTTTTAATCAACTCATCCAATACTTTCAAATTAGTCAAGGACAATTCGAAATTTTCCAATGATAAGTTACAATCATTGAAGATAAATGCCTTGAAATGTAGTAACTGTAAGTTGAATAACTTTAACAATAACTTAATTTGTTTACAATGTCCCAACATTGGATGCCAAATCAATAATCATCATTACAATCATTATAAATTGAGCCAACACCTTTTTGCAATAGATAGTTCCAATGGATTAATATTTTGTTTCAAGTGTAATAATTATATAAATAATTCCAGTTTGAATGATATAAGGTTAAGTATTTTGGATATTGGTCACCAGAAGAATTTGAATGAATTTTCCAATTCCAGAATCAATGGGAATGATGATTCAGATAATGAATTTAACATAGATGAAGAATTCGAAAATCCAACCAATTTATCTATAAACGGATTGAAAGGATTCATTAATTTTGGTTCCACATGTTTTATTTCATCAATATTACAGACGTTCATTCACAATCCTATCATCAAGTATGATTTTTTCAATAATGATGATCATTATTTCAATTGCGATGAATCCACTTGTATAACTTGTTCAATTGATAAAATTTTCACTGATTTTTATACTGTAGATAATAACGAAAGTTTTGGAATGACCAATTTGTTGATTAATTCCTGGTATAAGAACAAATCTTTAACCGGTTTCGAAGAACAAGATGCTCATGAATTTTGGCAATTTTTATTAAATCAATTCCATAAAGATTTTCAAAGAGTTCAAGGTCCAGAATTATCAAATGGTGATAAGAATCGATCAAATTCCATTTATGGTAATTGTAATTGTATTAAACATAAATATTTTCACGGAGAATTAGAATCATCTATTAAATGTTCAAATTGTGGTAATGTAACTAAGAAAATTGATCCAAATTTTGATTTATCATTAGAATTAACTAATTTACCTTCAAATTCAACTATTTATGACTGTTTAAATTTATTTACTAGTAATGAAATTTTAGATAATTATAATTGTCCAAATTGTTTGAAGAATTCCAAACCAATAAAATCTTTAAAAATTAATCAATTATCACCAATTTTATCAATTCAATTGAAAAGATTCAAACATACGTTATCTAATTTTGTTAAGAATGACTTGTTGATAAAGAATCCTTTATATTTAGATTTATCAAGTTATTTATCTACACCCAACAACATTAAAAATTCCTTTTATGAATTGTTTGCTTTAATAGTTCATACAGGTTCAGTGAATACTGGTCATTATATTGTTATCATTAAAATAAAGAATCAATGGGTTAAATTCGATGATAGTATTGTTACCCTTGTTCCTCAAAAGGAAATTGAATCAATCAATGCATATTTATTATTTTATATAATTCATGATCTCAAAACATGAAAAATAAGAGAGATCAAACGGAAAAAAGAAAAACTTAAGAAAAAATCAAAGGTTCAACCCCATTCACATTTAAATGTGAATAAGTACATACATGCATATTTAATTCTACTCTTTTCGATCTCACGGACTCCCTTTTTACTTCTTTTGTATAATATGATTTCACGGGACTTTCGTATACATTAAGGAATCAAATAGACGTTTTCCGTGTTTAATCGTGTTTAATATGGTTAAATAAAGAAAAAGAAAGTGTAGCGAAGGAGTTAGATCAGCATCCCTTTATCGCGATTACGCGAGTCCCTCACATGAACTTACTTGGATACCTACTATAGATTTCAGTATCACATGTAGGTATTCACCTCAATTGCTAAACAATTCTCCTCTCGTACAAACACCTAATTCAAAAAAGTTCTGATGCTTTACAAAGGAAAATAAGAGTTTTTCCGAATGAGAGTATATTTATGCCCCTCCTGTGTGAACGGTTAAAAAAAATCGCAGGTAATTACTATTCCTAATCGGGATTTATTATCGATTTATTTTCTGTATCAAATTCTAGAATTAATGATGAAATAACTTCGTTCAACCTCTGAAATTTAAAAACTATATAAAAGACACGAATCTCCGAAAGGACTAAAACTCTAATTTTTGTAAATGAAGCTTTGGATTGTTTTATTAGCAACTTTTCAAATTGTCAACGGACTTAATTATAAGGAAACTTTTGATTCATTAGTGGAAAGTATTTGGTCTGATTTTTGGTATGATGATAAATCATCTTGGAGTTCAAACAACAAATGTGTTGATAAATTCAATTATCCTGTTGTTTGGGATCAAGCAGTTGCAGGAAGAGCTATCACTGAACATTTAGATCAAGATAAGATAAGATCAGTAGTAAATAATTTGAAAGATTATTTAAATTCTGATGGATGGTTTAGTTCAAGTACTGCTAAAGATAATGATGTCTACATTGATGATAACGCTCAAGTATTATGGGTATTAGTAGACGCTTATCAGTTTATTGGTGACGTGGAATGTTTAAACATTGCAACCAAATTAATGTCTAATATAAAAGGACAACAAATTCAAGGTGGGGGAGTGAGGTGGAACTTGAATGGAGATTATGTGGCCTCTATTTCAACCAGTGAAGCCGCTCTCGCTGCCGTTAGATTATACCAAGTTAACAATGACCAATCATTGATTGATTTTGCAACCAGTCAAATGGATTGGTTATTTGATAATTTACAAGATCCTAGTGATGGATTGATATACGATGGGAAGGTTTTGTCTACAGGGAATATCGATAAGGGTAAATTAGTTTACTCTGTTGGTACAATGGTATCAACATTATCATATTTGAGTTCTTTGACAGGTGATTCCAAATATTATTATAAAGCATTAGATTTATTAAATTCTGCATTAAATCCTAAAGGAGCATTTTATAACAGTGATGGAACTTGGAATAATCCTTTAAAGTATAGTCACTTGTTATTCATGGGGATTTCGGACTTAATTACAGTATACACTGCAAGTAATAAAGTTCAGTCAAGTCAATACCAAAAGTTTATTAGTGAGATGGAATTTCAAGCTAATCATATATTTGAAAATTTACAAATTGATACCAATAATTATGTTGATAACACTAAGGTATTCAAAGATCTGGGAAATTATTGTAACGGGAAACCAGTAACTGGATTAATGGATAATGTTTCAGCAGCCCAAATTTATTATGCCATGTCTAGAGTAGCTTAGACAAATAGAATCATTCTTGAGTAGCTTAGATAGATTCACTCTTGAGAAGAATAGATAGTTTCATCTGTTAGAGCCATTCTTAATATCGTTACTTTTCATTAATCTAAAACTACAATACATAAAATTTTGCTTAATAAGCAATGACTTGTTCAAAATCATCAAAATCAATATTGGCTTTTTTACACATATTAGTGAAAATACCGTCATCATTGAATAAACTCAAAGGAACACCTTTTTCAATGATTTCTCCTTGGTCCATAACTAAAATTCTATCGTAATTCAAAATTGTTTTTAATCTATGAGCAATACATAAAATTGTACAATTTGAAAATTCTCTAGCAATAGTTTGTTGAATTTTGAAATCAGTTTCATAATCAACTGATGAAGTTGCTTCATCAAGAATTAAAATTTTGGAATTTCTAACTAAAGCTCTTGATAATGCAATTAATTGTCTTTCACCTAATGAGAAATTCTCTCCATCATCATCAACCAATTGATCTAAATGGAATTTATGTAATTTATCATGTTCAATTTTATTCTTTGGATCATATTTTGTTACTTTAACTTGATCCAACACTTGAGAATCAATTAATCCTGATCTTCTTAATGAATCCCATAATTTTTCATCAGTACTTTCATTGAAAGGATCTAAATTCTTTCTAATAGTACCTTGGAATAAAACAGGATCTTGAGGAATGATTGATAATCTTGATCTTAATTCAAATAATCCCATATCACTGATATCTAAACCATCAATTAAAATAGAACCACTTTGTAATTCACTCAATCTATATAAGGCAGTCATTATTGAAGATTTACCTGCACCAGTTCTACCACAAATTCCAATTTTTTCACCAGGATAAACATTGAAATTTAAATCTTTTAAGACTAAAGGTAAACCAGGACGATAATTCAATGAAACATTCTTAAATTCAATGAATCCAGTTTGTGGCCATTCTTGAGGTGGAGCAAATTCAGTTTTGTTATAAGCAGCTTCTTGTTCCAACTTGAAAGCATAATGATATAACCTTTCGACTGAATTCATTTCAGTTTCAACTTGAGTCATGGATCTGATGGTTAAACTTAATAAACCAACAATTTGAATAACATAACTTAATAACAAACCAGTTGATGATGCACTGATATTGAATTGTTGAGTAATACATAACATACAAATGATTAATGCAAATACAACGGCAACAATATCTAAATGAATACTTAACCATCTTTGAGTTGCAATGGATAAATAATAAGCTTCATTCATTTTATTAATATATTGATCATTTCTCTTGATAAATACATGTTCCATATTATAAGATTTGATGGTATTCATACCAGTTAAAGTTTCATTGAAATTGTTATAAACCAAAGATCTTTGAATAGCTTCTAATCTTTTGATTTCACGGGATGAACCTTGATAAAAATTTGAAATAAATACAAAAGCAAAAGCTAAAATTGGTACAGCAATAGCAAAATATGGTAAATAAGTAATACATAAGATTATAATACCAATAATAGTTGCTAATGGGAAAAGAAAAAGTCTTAATTGTTCACCAATTTCATTATCTAAAGAATCAGTATCCTTAGTGAAACGATTCAAGATTCTTCCTAAAGGATTAGTATCAACAAAACTCATTGGAGCGTGTAAAACTTTTTCCACAGCTTTAACATTCAAAGTTTCAGCTGATCTAGAATTCATATAAGCTAACATAGTGAATTCAATAGCAGTGAAGATCACAGTAAGGAAAGCAAAACCGACATAAAAGGCAACATAAAAATGATCTGATTTACCAGGGAATCGTTTTTCTGTCCAATAACTTAACCAAGTATTAGTAAACAATTGGAAAAACGTAGCAAGACAAACCAATAAAATGAATATTGGTGCTGCACTATAACCGAAAATTCCAGAACCCAAATTGATATATTTCTTGTAAACATCCCAAGAAATAGAATTGGTTCCACGTTCTTCATCTTCAATGATTTTCCCATCACCAATGATTTCACCTTCTTCAAATTCTTCATGGGTATTACTTTCTTCCTCTGGCTTGGTATAAATATCTTTACCTTCAGTCATTTCAACATTAATATCAAATAAACTCTTGAAATTAGCATTACGTCCACTTAATTCATCAATAGTACCAACATCAATAGTACCATCACCATTCAAGTAAACAATTCTATCAGCATTATCAATCAATGATAATTGATGAGTAGCTAAAACTCTGGTTTTATTGACTAATAATCCATTGAATAAATTATCAATGATATGTTTACCAACTCTTGAATCAACAGCACTTAAAACATCATCTAATAAAATGGTATCAGGATTAGCATAAACAGCTCTCGCTAAATTGATTCTTGCCTTTTGACCTCCAGATAATGTGATACCTCTTTCACCAATTTCAGTGAAATCTCTAGCAGGGAATTCTTTCAAATCATCTTCTAAAGCACAAGCTTTGATGATTTTTTGATATTTGAAAACATCAAATTCTGATCCAAAAGTGATATTTTCTCTGATAGTGGTATTTTGAATCCATGGAGTTGAACATAATAATAATTTATCATAAATTTTCAAATCTCCATCGATAATTTTCATAAATCCTGCCAAAGCATTCAATAATGATGATTTACCTGATCCAATGACTCCAGTAATTACCACGAATTCTCCCTTTTTGATCTTCAAATTAACATCACGTAAACCATTAAATCTTTCTACAGCATAATGATTAGGATCAACTTGAATTGATTCGATAGGAATTTTACCATTCTTTAAATCTTTGGCTCTTTGTTTCTCACGTTTCTTCAATACTTTTTGTTTCTGTTTCTTGGTCAAATCTTTCAAATCCCATAAATCATCATCTAATTCAGAATCCTTAGAATTTTCCCAACTAAACTTCCCCTTTTTAACTTCAATAGAATATGGACCATTGTTTCTAGCTGGAGCAGCATCTCCAGTGAAAAACTTATCTTCAAAAGAATTCAAATGTTGATCTAATTTATGATCATATTCGTCAGCTGAGAAGAAATCTCTTAATCTATTGAATCCAATCAATGCATCAGCACCAGTAGCTAAAGCAATTGGTAATAACATAATAGCTTGAGCCAAAATGGAGAATAATGATAATGAAGAAAACACTTTACCAGGAGATTTCATTGAATCTGTAGCCCATAAAACAACAAATGATAACATTGATGTTAAAGTAGGCAAGGTGACAGCATAAGCCGTAATGAAATTACGTAAAACTTTAATGGTGAACAAATATTTCATTTCTTGTTCTCTAACTTTCGTTATACGTAATTTATAAGCCAATTCCCAAGCATAAAATTTGATGACTTTCAAATTAGTTAAGATTTCTCTCATAAGACCAATTCTTTCATCAGTAAAATCAACTACAAGTTCTCTAGTATTGAATAATTTAGTAGTTAATAATACACATACTACAAGACTAACAATGAATAATCCAATACCTGATAATGATGTGACCCCAATACTGGTTAATAACAATACTACAGCAATGATAACTGGAATAGGGAAACACACAACTAAAGGTTGAAATCCAATAGCTAAATCAATTCTTGATAAATCAGTGGTCATTAAACTTGTAATTCTACCAACAGAAAAGTTTTGCTTAGCTTTCGATGATAATTTAAATGATTTCATTAATAAAGATTTGGATAATATAGCTTTACATTGAGCACCGGTTACCATAGCATTATGGAAGAAATGATTTAATAATAAACCATTGATATAAATTAACACCACCGCACCTAAGGTATAACCAATACCTTTATTTAGAGTTCTTTCGAACCCTAAAGCTTGGAATTCAACAAAATCAATGATTCTACGAGTAATCAATGGTGATAATGCTTGACAAACAAATGATAATCCTAAAAATATACATGACATAGTGTATTGTAATGGGAATGTTTTATAAAGACATAAAGGTATTAAGAATTTTGGCCATTTGAAGTTGGATAAGTCAGGATTCTTTTGTAAGTGCTTACTCTCATAATATTTGATATGTTCTTGTAAAATGTTATCAAATTTTTCATGCATATGTTCAACAGTCAATTCTTCTGTAAGATAATATAAATCATCAGGAACCAAAGTTCTTTTATAACCTTTATACAAGATCGGATATAACCAATATAATAACCCACGAGATATTAAATTAGTTCTTTTCCATGGATAAGGTTGTCTCTCTTCAGGAGAATTTACTGGTGGAACATCCTTACTGAAAAGGAAAGAAAATAATCTCTTTTGATTCTTCAACTCAATAGGAAGATTACTTTGTGTGGTTTCTCTACTAGCATTGCTATTAGTTTCGAATTCCGGTTTACTATAATTCATATCATGCTTGGATTCGGAATTAATGGTACTGGGTATTCTCTTTTTCTTTTTTGGTTTTTCAACATAGGTATTGGTAGTATCTGATGTTGAATCATATGAATCATCAGGAAAAAATGACATTTTTGGGGTATTAAATAGAATTTATTAAACTAGGGTATAATGGGTATTAAAGCAACTAGATCATAAATCAGTTGATGAGTTCAAAAATTTCTAGAATAAACTTTCCTTTGAATCCTAAGTTACAATACTAAAAATAGCTTGGGTATCGTTGTAACTAATGATAAACAATAGGTTGAAAGTAGATAGAACTTTTACCAAATAAAAATCAGTTTGTTAAAAAAAAAATTGCAGATGATGAATTTTATATCGCATTATCTCCAATATTTTAATCATTGCCTAAAAGAGTAATGTGACTTTTTTAGGAATTGTAATGAGAAATGCCCTTCGAAAAAGGCAGTGGTAAGATGCATATTTGGTAGGTTGTTGTGGACGACTGGAACTTTTGATTATTAGGTTTAAGAGATCATGGTAAGTAATTATTAGTAAGGTCATGAGTTTGATGATTTGGGCATCATCTAATTAAAGTTTCATGGAGCTAAAGGGATTTTCTCCGAGAACTTAAATGAAATTAATGGGAAGTGTATCGAATTTCTTTGAATAAATTTTATACGGATCATAAACGGTTTAAATTGATATAATTTATCCAATATAGATTTAAGATTCTCCCAGTATCAATATTCGATTCTTGAGGTATCTTTCTCCAACATCATTCTTCAACCTCTTCCTTGAGGTTGCTTGTTACTTAAATTCAGGGCCCGGTTATCTTATCTAATCAACTCTTTCAAATTGTCACATTCTAAACACTATCTCTCCTCTTCAAATAGTTGATTGTCGTTCCTGCTTCGGTCGGTTACTCACAATCCCTATTGATCCGTTGTTCGCTCTAAACGAGAATAGTGGGGGGCTCATGGAATAATCTTGACATAAATGTCGTATCATCAAAATCCTCAAGTCGAAGCGGGCAACTTCCTATATTTTAAACTAATCACTCAAAACATCAGCCTTACCCTTCGTCCAACTTAATCAATTAAATTTCCCATCTTATTTGTCATTGCGTTCTAGTTATTTCGGACTTCAGGTGATGGAAAGTTTAATTTAATGTCACACGACAACTTCTCCACAACTGAAAATGTCCGTTTTGAGAAAGTTAATATTTTTCAAAATATGCATTGAAGGCTATATAAAAATTTCATAATCTGGCATAACTAAGGTTTTAAAATGGAGGTCCCCCAAAAGGATTGTTTTGTCCAAAACCAATTCCATTATTGGTTCCTCGGTACCCTGGTAATCCTTGACTGGTTAATTCATCGTCCTCACCTGGTCCGAAAGGCTCATCATATCTTGCACCAAATGGATGATCGCCTCGGGTAGATGTCGATCTATTTCCAAAAAGAGGGTGGTTAAACGAAGGTGACATACCGTTACCTCTACCACCAATTCTAAGAGGATCATGGTCGGTGATATTCTTAATACCCCCGGGGTACAAATCATCATCACCAATGGACATTGAAACTTGTGGTCTATTTTGTTGATATTTGCCTTTGATTTCATACTCATCATCGAAATCGGGTTTATCAGGTAATCTAGTTCTTGACGAATCAGCCACATCAATGAGATGTGATGGCGGTGGACCAATTGGAGGATGAGGATCATCAAGGTCGATTCTTGGTTTCAAATCTGAAAGTTTGTTTTCATTAACAGCCATAACTTTGGGTGATTTCAATGATTTCTTGAACAATTGTTTTAACCTCTCATCTCTTTCACTCTTCTTAATATGATCATTAAACTTACAGATCAAATCATTTGATATATTGATTTCATCTATAGGAAACTTAGCTTCATCTATCTCATCCCAATTGATCTTAATCTTTTCAGTATTATCATCATTGGTGCAAAATATACTGATTATTTGCATCTTTTCCGTCATCAAGATAATATCTATAACCATCAACAATTTCTTTTTGTCTTGATCTTGATAAATTAAATATTGATTTACATTGTGACTTGGTCTGAACTCTTCTTTGACATTTCTCTCATGAGTTGATCCAATATAATCATGAATCAACTTAGTAGTCAATTGGAAATAATCTTGAATCATTCTTATTGTATCCTTTTAGCTGTGAAGCTTGGTTAATTACCTTTAAAGTAAGTAAGTGTTTTTCTTAAAATACTAAATGTATCAATTGGATAGAAATTCTCGGTGTAATTACACTATTTAGATTCTGACAAATTCACTTGCAACCAAAGGTGAATGATCGGTTTCGCGCGATCAACAAAATCAATTTAAGGATAATGACGACCACTGTGCCATTGATTTATTCATTCCCTGAATTTGTTGGGGTGGCAGAGGCCGTGGCAGATCATGTTATAACAGCCCAAAACTTAACTTTGTACAACACATTAGATGTCAAAGAAATCGAAATGATAAAAAATAACCTCATGGCTAGACCTTCGTTGATTAGTTCGTTGTCAACTAATTCTATTAATGGAAGTAGTTCCACTATTGGTTCACCTAATCCAAATAAGAAATCTTCCAAGAAGAAACCTCCTAAGGAAATAAGATTTAAGATTGCCATTAGTGGAGGTTCATTAATTAAAATTTTAAATCAAGGATTAATTAATAGACAAGATGAAATTGAATGGGATAAATGGGACATTTACTTCGCCGATGAAAGATTAGTACCGTTTTCTTCTACTGATTCTAACTACGGTCAAGCCAAAAGAGAAATATTCGACCAAATAACAGGAGATAAACAACCTAATGTTTATCATATTGATGAATCATTGATTGAAGATCCACAAGAATGTGCTGATAATTATGAAAAGACTTTAATTGGAAATTTCGCCAAAAAGGATTCAGTAAAATTACCAATGTTTGATTTACTTCTTCTTGGATGTGCTCCTGATGGTCATATTGCTTCATTATTTCCAAATCATGGTGAGTCACTTCGTGAAAAATTAGCTTGGTGTATACCTGTCGAAAACGCTCCATCTGGTCCAAAAGATAGAGTCACTTTAACTATTCCAGTAATTTGTCATGCCCATAGAGTGACATTTGTTGTAGAAGGTTTGACTAAAGCCCCAATTATGAGAATTATTATGGAAAGACCAGAAAAAGGTTTACCTTCATCAATCGTTAATGAAGGAGCCGCAGGTAAAGTTACGTGGTTTGTAGATGATGATGCTTTGAATGACTGTTATGATGTTACAAAGAAGAAATACAAATTCTTGTCAATAAATCATTAGAGTTTTATGCTGTATGTTACAATTTACCTAGGATATTTGCTCACCTATCATGAATAAATGACTATGACTCTCTATATTTTTAGAGTAATAAAGAGATAATAAACATGTTACTTTAACTTTCTATATTCAACTATTATAAAATTACACATATATCCGAAAAAAAAAATAAACTTATAAAAATCTAAAAAAATACCTATAAAAGAAACCAAAAAAATTCCACCGAACCGTTAATGAAAATCTTCCCTACTGAAAATTTCTTCGTCTTCAACTTCTATTACTTTATCCCTTTTGACATGACTATTTCTAAAATGGTACGGACTCAAGAATGGGATACTCTCATTGAAAATAGAGAGATTGTTTTTCTTTATCCAAGATTCTGATTTCCCAAAAGCTCTTGTTACTTCTTCATCGTCAAACCTTTCTTTCAATTTCAAAGGATTGAATACACCTTGAATAGATATAAGGAAATAGAAAAAAATGATCAAATTCATACTATGTTCCTTCATAAAGGAATTTGGCGATTTAAATAGTTAGAATTGTAGTTATATGGCTAATCATTGACTTGTTACACGAGCTGCTTTTTAGTGTAAAGTCCCTTTTTATTGACTATAGTGCTATTGTGCCTGAGCCATAATATTGAAGGAGATAAAAGTCCATTCGATGATTCTCGATTTGCACAATGGTAAATGGGAAAATTGACTTTCCAACGGTTATGATAAATCCTCGTCAGTCGCTTACATCCTGATCCGATGCAGTAATTACTCTTTTAGATATATTGGGATCAATTGTTGCAAAATCGCGATCTCAATCTGCTGGCTCATCAGACCCTTTTCGCCCACACAATAGTGATGATCTCTATTGATGATGCCAATACGAATTTTTAGTCATAATGGTTGACTATAACTGTGCATAGGTTCAACGGGTCTTATCATTGTAAGGGATTAAACGATCATCACTAATTTTGATACCTGAAATTTTTAAAATCTGTTTTTGACATTTACAATTGCTCATAATGGCTAACCTTAAATTCTTTTAGTCCGAAGTGAATTGTGTTTCAGTTAGTGGTAGATATAACTGGTCCGTTGCCGATCCAATTTTGAGGTACTAAATGATGGTTTAAGAGGGGCTTAGAGTTTGCATAAAATTGGTTCATCCTGACTCCCATAAATGTAAGAAAAGATTGGTATTAAACAAACTGGATTCTGAGAGCACATAATTATACCAGGCATTTCTCTAGTAATCTTTGTTTAATCCCGCCGAAGCTAAACAGAGCTTGAATATCAGCCCCCTCTATGAAACTTGTGTTGGCAAACATGAGATTATTCAACTTGGCCAAAACTTGTGCCTTGACTCTTCGGTTGAATGTAAATCATCTCCCCGAAACAAATCTGGAACGAAAGAGACAACTTCAGAGATAACGGCCCAAATAGGCAACGCAGATCTTATTAAATGCAATATCATGTCCCTTCGTGCGTCTATCGGATAAAGTGAATTGATAGATAACAGTCAATAATAAAAGGGAAAAATCAGAGAAGCGATTGTAACAAACTATAACCATATATTAATTGAACCACTCATGAATTGAAAAACCTATAAAATACCGTTAACAATAGGGATGTTATCGGTTAAACCATCTAATAAACCACCAACAGTATCAGTTAAACCATCGACAGTTCCAGTTAAAGTATCAACTAAACCACCTGAGCCTGAACCGGAATCCGAGCCCCCAGTAACACCACCTAAAGCACCAGTAAGACCACCAACATTGACACCTGAAGGTAAAGCACCAGTAAGATCACCAACACTTACTCCTGATGGTAAAACACCTGATGGAACAACACCTGATGGTAAAACACCAGAAACAGTACCTGATGGTAAAGCACCAGAACTTTCTAAAGTAGTTAAAGCTTCTAATAATTGGCTTACAATAGGTAAAGATCCCACTACAGGTAAAGATTCCAAAGTTTTGGCTAATGTGGCTACTAAATCAAGAACAGTTGATAATCCTGGGACATCAGCAACATTGGTTAAATCACCAACGTCTGGTAAACCACCAGCAGCACCAGTTAAACCCCCCAAGGCACCAGTGGCACCTGAAGCAGCACCTGTTAAACCACTTAAACCGCTAGTAGCACCAGAGGCAGCACCTGTTAAACCACTTAAGCCACCTGTTAAACCACTTAAACCACCAGTAGCACCTGAAGCAGCACCAGTTAATCCACTTAAACCACCAGCGGCACCAGTCAAACCACTTAAAGCACCAGTTGGTAAAGCACCAGCGACTCCTGATAAAGCGCCAGTAGGTAAAACCCCAACGTCTGGAACAACATTGGTTGGAATACCAATTGGTAAACTAACCAAGGTAGTTGGTAATTGAAGACTATTAGCTGAAATTGGAAGACTCATATTTGTGTTTGTGTATTTATATTTGAAACTGTGAAGTAATTAATGATTAATCATAGTGAATATATCTCATATTTATATCCTTCGATGCAATTAGTATTTGATCCAGATATTCTGGTTTTCTCACCATTTTTTTTGCAGCTATTGTTCTACAAAGTTACATTCCTCTAGTCTCATTGAACCCTTCATCCTAAAACGGATGTTTGAGGGACCCCTAATTGGATACCTGATGAACTTATTGTCAGCTGAGGAGCAGTAAGTAGCTACCACATTATCTAAAATCAATTGTTCATAGATCGTTTATAATCTAGTTATTGTGATCTGGTTCAGCCAGCTTTTCGCGCATTGTTTTAAACCTGACTTTAACAGTTTTTAGGGTCTCCACGATGATGTTAATGGTCTGCGAAATTAGTGCTAAGAGTTTCAGGGACTGAAGTTCATTGTTTCTTGAATGATAATATGACGGAATTTTTCTTTGTTCAACGGAGTTTTTGCATTTCATTGGCCAATAACAGCAAATTGTCAGCCATTTAACTATAGATCAAATAGTGCTGGCTTTGATCTGATTTAGTTCCATAATGGATTTGTCCCAAGATTTGATCAGTGAGAGTGGTTGCTTTCTTTGTAATATGTTAAACGGTAGAGAGGTACAGTGAAAGAAATTATTTATTAGATTACATAATATGGTCATAATATTCATCATCCACGTAACCACCTCTCATTGAAGATTTCACATTACTGGCAAAAAGATTTTTATTCTTACTCAAAACGTTAGCAGCTTGTTTGTTCAAAGGATCGTTCGAATTTGGTTCCAATAACAAGAAATTTAAACCAATTATGACCAGATTCAAATTTAACACTGGGCTCCAGTCTTCTCTTAAGATATTTAAACAAATATTTCCCTCTAAATCAATATTCGGATGATAAATCTTTTGTAAACATTTAATCTTTGGAGGTTCCATAGGAAAATTATCGGTCACTCCCACTGAAAATCTGAATTTTCCGTTCTTATAATAACCTTCTCTTGGTTGAATTGTGATAATAAAATTCGAAATGTCACCTTCATTAGGAAATTGAAGTTTTATGCTAGGTGGTAAATCAAGTTCGGTGATATCTTTTTGAAGTCTTATCTGAGATGATTGAACTTTAGATTCCGAACTTATGGTTTCTTGTTGCTTTTCTTGTTGTTTCTGTTTCTGCAATTGGCGAAGTTTAAGCTAAAAAGGTTAGTATATGTTACGATGTAAAGTTAGGCACTAGAGCATGTTTAGGGCCTCATATATTGTAAAGGACATACCATTGATCTGACAAATTATCTTCGCGATACTTTTGTTAGTATTCTTATATAGTCAATTTGATCAGAATAAAGGACTCCTGATTTATCTAGTTTGTCCAACTGTTGAGTCTCTTTGGAGATTTGTTGGATCATAAGTTCCTTGGTGTAGTCGACTAACAGTATATAAGGAGTTTCATTTTGACATTTTATGGTGAATAACCAATTCAATTGAGTTGATATCAAGTGGCTATGATCTTCAAGGTGTTGTTTAGCAACTAGATGACTTATGTGTGATTTGAACTTGGAATTGACATCATCTACCATGACATTATAATCTGAGATGACAACTTCATTATTGATTTGCAAGTACTGTTTCAAGGTTATCCATAAGGAAACATCCAGTAAATCAGAACGACAGCTTTTCACCAATAATTGTTCAATGAGTTCATTATCTTGACCCAATAATCTTCGAACTCTAACTAACCAAATGAGAAACTCACTGGCATAATAATTGCACGGATGATACTGGCATGATTTGAAAATTCGATAGATCGTTATTTCATCAACGGTTCCATTAATTGTCGTCAATTTCTTCATCAAATGCCAGAGTAATGAGTTTTTATTCACCTTACGCATCTTGCTTGAAATCAAAGTCGATATGATTTCTAATTCAGTGTCCAAGATGGGTTCTCCTCTGTTATACAATTCTGTCAATATATTTTCATGAATCCCAACTATATAATGGTGATCATTAGTGGTGAGTAAGTAGCTTACTGTGACTTTGTACAAGTCCCACAACTTATCTGTGGATTGGGTTTCGATACTTTTGAACTGAGATCTGCAATCATGCCAATAATCATGGGCTTGTTTGAATATGGCCAAATATGTTCTTTTATTTAACGCAATTTCTACAATTGAACCCCCAAATTCACTTTCAACATCACTTTCAACCACTAAAAATCCATCGCTCTCAACAGGACCCACTTGGAGGATTTTCTCCTGGCGGTGGTGCAGTGTTAAAATGTCATAAGTCTGATAACACAAATTCATCTCAATATTTCTCATCTCATGCATTACCAGGATTTAATCGATCTAGAAGATCCATTAATCCCTCCTGTGGATGAAGCCAGTGATGCCGTATATCGAGCCAGTAAACTAGATTTTATAACATCTACCAACAAACAACAACCAGAAGAAGAATTGTCACAGGAAATAGAAGAAAATCATGATGAAAGCGATAAACCCAAAACAACAAATTGGTCTCTTTTAAGAGTTATAGCTAGTGCACATACTGGGTGGGTACGATCACTCACTGTTGATCCTGTTACCAATAAATGGTTTGTGACTGGAGGTTCGGATTCCTTGATCAAAGTGTGGGATTTGGCAGACTCATCATTAAAAGCTACAATAACAGGTCATATAATGGCAGTACGAACCACTACAGTTTCATCAAGATTCCCATATTTATTTTCAGGTTCAGAAGATCGTACCGTAAGGTGTTTTGATTTGGAAAGGTCTAATTCCCCTCAAGGATGTGAAATTAGGAAATATCATGGTCATGTTGGATCTATATTTACCATGTCCCTTCATCCAGAATTAGATATTTTAGTCACTGGTGGGAGTGATGCTGCAGCCAGAGTTTGGGATATACGATCAAGAGTGGAGGTAATGACATTAGTTGGCCACAAGAATGATATAACGTCTATAATAACTTCAGAGACTGAACCTCAAATTATCACCAGTTCAATGGATAACACTATTAGATTATGGGACATCAGAAAACAATCAACTGCTTTAACTATCACACAACATTCTAAGAGTATAAGAGCAATGATAGAACATCCTAAAGAATCAACATTCACATCCAGTGATTCTTCAGGTTACATCAAACAATGGTTAACTACAGGTGATCTTTTGAACGAGTTCAAATCTCCAGGTATCATTAATACTTTAGCTATTAATCACACTAACGATAATTTGTTCAGTGGTCATCACGACGGGAAATTCGAAATCTTTGATTATAAATCCGGTCGATCATTACAACAATCACAAACCATTCCATCTCCAGGATCCGATCAACTGTCGATATATTGTTCATCGTTCGATTTACTGGGATTACGTCTTTTCACAGGTGAAAGCGATCATTCTATTAAAATCTGGGGTCAATTGTAATTATAGTTTATATAGAGGGATTCAAAAATATTAATGTGTCTATTCGTATCATCATTACCATCCAAATCTTAATTGATTAGCAGTAAAAGAAGGAGGTGTCCATTGTAACTTTCTTGGATCTAGTTCATGCTTTTTCTTCTCTTTAACTTTCTTTATCAACTTTTCATATAAAGTCATTATCTGATCAGTTATAACAATAATATGTTGACCTTTATAGTATCTTAAAATTTGTAAAGTCGTTAAAGTATGTAAAATATCAGTAGTTGTCATACAAGTTATTGAAGAAATCTCTTCAATAGTTACTTCACTTGTTGAACCAGCTATTTCAATTTCTTCACCATCTAAAGGAGGTGGATTATTTTTTTTAGCTAAATTTGGATTGTTTCTTTCAACTAAAAGTTTAACCAAAGTATCAGTCCAGAAAGCTCTATATGATAATAAACCTAAATCTGATAAAGGTTTTTCTGGTGAACCAATTTTATTTTCAACTTTGGATAACATATAAGAAAATTGAATTAAAAGTTTACCATAACCCATCTTTTGATAACAAGGGAAAGTTAAAATACATGCCAAATTATACCCTTCGGCACATTCTTTTTCTTTGGAGAAGAATCCAACCACATGATGCCCTTGATCGGTTCTTTTAGTCATTACGTAAAATAAAAATGGATCTACATCATAGTATAAAGCTTTATGATCCAAAAAGCATTTACAGAATAAACATAAATTCCTACACCATGTTCTTTGTCTTCTACCATCAATTTCCCAAAAACTTATTTTGGAATCTCTATAAATTTCATTTCCTGGAGGATGTTTCATTGAACACTTAGATCTATATCTTTCGAATTGTTTTTTGGAACCAAAATATGAAAGGGTGAAATCACAAACATAGATTTCATCTTCTTCAGTAAGTTCTATAGGATAAGGAGAAAAATACCATGGTTCTATAATATGTTCACCTAATATGATGGTTGATAAATTTCTAACTCTTGAAACTTCAGAATTATTTTGTGTCATGGAACCACTGGTTCTTAATTTCTTGATTTCATCTTCTCTACTCAACTCTTCATGAGGTCGTTTAATCCCTTGAACATTCAAATTGGCTAAATCCATTTCATCATCATCTTTATCAAAGGGCTCTGAATCTTCCTTTTCGTCAGGTTGTGGAGTATTAGATTGTTCTTTGTCTTTACTCTTGGAATTCTTGGACTTCTGTCCGTTCTTCAGCTTGGATTTCTTATTGTTTTTACTTTTGCCTTCCTTTTTACTATCAACTTTAACTTCAGGTGATATTATAGCTCGTTTAAAATCTATTCTGGGAACCTCTATCCATTCATCTAAACGTTTATTGAATTCTTGGTAATGAACATAATATACTATTCTACCTTTTTTCATATGCTGTTGCAAGATTTCAGCTAATCTGAATTCTCCATCCTTTTCAACAAATACTTTACATCCTGGAACGATATCATCGGTAGTAAATTTCACATCTTCGTCATTACTGTCGGTTTTTATCGTTATGGGTGTTGTTGCAGATGGGCTTGACAGTTTCTTTTTGTCCTTTTCTGCCATTATTAGATTGATTAATGAGCGTTTGTTACGCTTTGTTGATAATGTTGACAAATTTTCGCACAGTTGAGGATTTGATTTTGATGTATCATGAGAATGGGTTTCATTACATTAAAAGGGAGTGTGCAAGAAGCCTTTATAAATCTACTGTCTATTACATGTCTATATACAAATTAATTCCTATATTGTTGAAGTTTAGAACTATCAACTGGTGGTAAATTATTGGTGATGGTCAAATAACCAATATTAGAATTCTGAAAGTCTATGATGAATCGAGTCAATTTACCCTTTAAATCGATCATGAGTTCATTTTGAATCTTTTGTTTGTCAACTTCATTGTCAATCTTATCAAACTTTGACATCTCTTCTTTCAAATCGATTATCAAATTACGTTCAAGACAAGCATTTAATAATTCTTGAAATGAAAGGTTATTAATATTACCATTACCATTTAATCCCGATAAATAGTAATTGTCCACTGAAAGATAATTGAAATGGTTTTGAAGTCTGTCACGAAGAACTGATTCGGGATAAAGCTTACTTGGAATATACTTTGAAACCAAATTTAAAGCTTTACAAAGATTTTGAACTTGATTTAATGGTAAATTATAAGCAGTTTTCGTGGACTGAGAAAATAAGTTCTCTTCATCAACAGATTTCTGAATTTCTCTGTTATAAGCAGAATTCCAGATTCTGGGTTCTATTGAGGGTAATACACAAGTTGAAGGAGTTACTTGAGGTATAGCATAACATATTATAGGTGTCATTTCCACAAAGATGGCAAATATTATAGCAAACATTGGCAATTTCATGAAATCTTTGGGTGTACGTTTAATCAACTGGTATTCACCACGAGATAAATTGAAAAGTTTTGGAGTTATTTGAAAATCACCTTTAGAATGATCTTTAATACCAGAATTACCTCTTTCATTCTCTATTTTATTGATGAACAACATTTGTGACATATGATGAGTCAATTTGACGAAATTGGGGAGTTTAATATCGGTGTCCTTACCTCCAACCACCAGATTAATCTTGAACTGTTGGTTCTTAAGTAATTTATACTGTTTATTATTATTCCAAACATTACTCACACCGGATTTATAAAACTTCATCAACATTTTGGCGTAGGCATAAGTTTGACTTAATTTCAAGCTCATACCAGTTTTACCATTATCAGCCACTTCTTTATATATTTCATTTTTAGATTTAATGTCTAAAGGTAAAGTTGATGTTGCATTCAAATTAGTTGCCACAGATTTTTCCATTAAACTTTTGAGTACCTGGTTTTTACCCATTTCAGTCTTTAGAATCAGACTAGTTGCTGGTACTGACCAGAACTTATTCATACTCATATCAGACTTAAACGAATAATACTATATTTCAGATTTTAAAGAATGAAAAATTTCGCAATTATGATACCAGTTAGAAGAATAACCACTGAAGGTGATTTGAACAAATGGGCCAACAGTGAAACTTTTAATGAATTGGTTGACTTTGTTGAAAGGTTACAAGACCTGGTAGCTGGGAAAACTAATGATGAAGCTATCGAAGTATCCCCAGCAGTAGAAAAGGTAATGAAGATCTTATTGAGAATAGAATTAATAATACAAGAGAATCCCGTACTCCACGAAAAGAACATTTCCCGGTTCGGTAAAGTTGAATTCAAATCTTTCTATGATCAAGTAAAGTCAGAGTCTCCAACATTATTAAATAACTTAACTTCGAATGAACAAGATGTTGAAGAAATAAGTGCATATTTAGTAGAATCATGGGGAAATAGAACTAGAATTGATTATGGTTCTGGTCATGAACTTAACTTCTTATGCTTTTTATTCTGTTTAAATCAAAGATCAATCATAAAACCTTCTGATTATGAAGGTGTCATATTAAAAGTATTCACGAAATACATATCCATAATGAGAATCTTACAAAGGAACTATTGGTTAGAACCTGCTGGATCTCATGGAGTTTGGGGGTTAGATGATTATCATTTCCTTCCATTTTTGTTTGGTGCTTCCCAATTATCTACCCATCCTTATATGAAACCAAAACTGATTCATAATGATGAATTAGTTGATACGTATTACAAACAATACATGTATTTTGAATGTATTCATTTTTTGAACTCCGTGAAAATTATGCCCAATAATCAACAAAAATTGAGTATCAGGTGGCATTCTCCCATGTTGGACGACATTCTGTCGGCAAAGTCATGGTTGAAAATCAAAGAGGGGATGATTAAAATGTATAAAGCTGAAGTATTACAAAAATTACCTATTATCCAACATTTTATGTTTGGTGATATTATTAAATGTCCTGAGGGGATAAGTGAATATTCAGGAGAGGAGGACCATGATAATCATGCTCATAATACTTGGGGAGACTGTTGTGGGATCAAGATCCCTAGTGCTATTGCAGCTTCAGAACTGATTAAATTGAACAAACCTAAACCTGTTCCATTCGATTAGAGTTTTTAACGAAATATATGATTTTTTCTATTCTACATGCTAACTATTCAGTATAACCAATATTGGTGGAAATTAAATTACATTTGGGGAAAGCCCCAGGAACTGGCAACAATACTTTCAATTTATTCTTTGATTCTTCAAATTTGGATACATGAATATATCCTTGAACATCGGAATTCAAAATATCTTTTAAAGATTTATTACTCAAAGGTGTATGAGTGATGGCAATGATTAAGTTTTCAAGATTATTGGTGGAGAAATCTTCAATTTTCTTGAAATATTTGTCGTACTCTTCTTCTTTCTTCTTCTCATCATTCTCATCAGTAGCATCAGGTTCGAATGAATCACCTGCTGGAGCAAACATCAAACTTGAATTGAATTCAGATGTTTCAATCACTTTGAAAATAGTGAAGTCATCTAAAGTAATCTCTGTTTTGAATGGTGATAAAGGATTCCTGAAATTCCCATTGAAGTATTCTTTAATGGATTCTTCTTGACATTTTCTTATATAAGTATCTTCCAATTCAACTACTCCTTCACTTTTTGGTACTTTGATTATTAATAATTGTTGGGAAACGATCTTATGGTTAAGTTTTCGTTTTAAGTCAGCTAACAATTTTTCATTCCCTAAAACAACTATGTAATCCACTTGGAATTCTGATATGATTGTTTCAATTATGTCATAGTTTTTCATAGTTAAAGGTGGGGTATCGATAATACATCCACTGTTCTTAATAGTGATATCCTTTTTCAATCTTTCTATGGTTACGGCACCTAACAGTTCAATCTGGTGTTTATATAAATCCATATTGGTGTTAAAATCTTCAAATCCATAATTCTTCACTATAGGTTGTTTTGGATTATGATAGGTTGTACCACTTGTGACCGTACCTCCATAACCTCCAATGGATTCCAAATCAAAATTATCACTTATAGGTGTTGAAGTTAATGATCCAGGTATAGAAAACACCCCATCACGAGGATTCAAATTAACTAACATTGGTTGTCTATCCATTTTAAAAGCATAAGATGATAATATCTTAGACAAGGTTGTTTTACCAGAATATTTACCACCGATGATCAAAATCTTAGGACCAGTCTTTGTTTCGTTGGGATTAAGATAATTGAAATCACTTATTTCTTGTCTTTTCAGCTCTAAGGCAAAATGTAAGTTCATATATTGAGCCATACAATTATCTTCACTGATATATTCACTTATTTCTGAGCCTTCATTTGATGTGTTACTGTTTTCTTTACTTAACTTGAGATAATATTCAAGGGTACATCCTTCAGGTAAAGGAGCATATACTGAATATTTGACTCCAGACAATTCTAATTCTGAGTTTGTTGGTAATTCAGTACCAAAAATTTCACCAATTCCTTGAGTGACTTTCAATATCATAGTCAATTTGAAAGGTACTTCAAACCTCCATTCATTTCCTTCTTTCAACTCGATGGATACCTTTATATTATTCAGTTCATCGGGTCCTTCAGCACCCGAACGAAATCCTGGTAAAGCATCCATGGTTGAGAATTTTGAGACTGAGAAGTGAAGAGAGATATTGAGATGTCAGATAATTATGTATTGTTCAAGACCAGCTTTAGTATACAATAGCTGAAGTTTTATATAGCTGAAAAATAGCTGAGTTTACATAGCTGAAGTGAAATCCAATTTTTTAGGTTTAATATTGGCGTGACGGTCCAGTAATTTGACCAATTTCCTCTCTCCTGTTTTATTATGTATGAATTCAACATGTGTACTGTAATCTACATCTGAAGATTTGAAGTCTATATTCTTGGCAACCGTTTCTGGTTGAAGGAAAGGGTTGACTAATTTTTGAGGAATTGAATTGAAATCTAAATCATCATCATCAGAAAAATAATTCTTTGACTTACCATGCCAATTATTAATCTTTTCATCATCAATTAATTGTCTCAGTGGAGTTTGTGGAATTGATGATTTAGTAGGTGATGAAGGTTCCATGGTAGTTGAAGGTGAACGTAATAAATTAGATGTGAAAATCGAATTCTTGGATGGAGTATTCAAAAAGAATGAAACATCATCGTCTTCATCTTCACTTTCGAAATTTAAACTATCATTCAACTTGGCTAATGCATCCATGGTGAGTGATTTCTTGTTTGACTTGACAGAACTTATAGCGGATTTCCTTCCTGAACCTACGGTTGAAGGTGTAGGTAAAAAGAAACTGTTGTCGAAAGTATCACTCTTGAAAATATCTTCAATATTACTTCTCTTCTTCCTTATAGTTCTTGGAGATTTCTGAGGAGTGAAATCTGGTGTAACAGGCATTAAATTACCAGTTGATTTTGGAGTCTTACCATTAGCAGTTGCGAAAAAATCACGGACTTTCTTCAGGCTTGATGTTTGTGGAGTTCTTAAATACAACGGAGATTTGATTTGTTTCTTTGACTTCCTTGGAGGTGTTGATGGAGGTGCAAATGACATCTTAGCAATGATTTAAATTTTACAAAAAGAACGAGAAACACGTCTAAGTAATTATTTTTTTTTGTGTCGCGAAGGCTGGCTGTTAGAGAGTTAGAGAAAGTGATTGTAAGAATGTCTTATTACTTATCCCATTTAAAGGCAGAAATTCCTGCTTTCAAGTCAATGTTGTTGATTGAAAACTGTTTTTTCAAAATCTTATGTCCTATAGCTTCTTCAATTTTCTCGTATAATACAGCAATTCCTTTTTGAGGTCTATGACGGTCTCCTGGATATGAATGTAAGGTTAAATATCTTAATGGTTGGGGATGCAATGATTTTTCGTATGTTATATCTTCGATTTCATTCAAACTGACGTCGAGCTCGTTCAATTTCAATAATTCTTCAGATAAATGAAGGGTTGTTGGTAATCTATTTCTTGTAAGTATGAGGTTAACTCCATGAGAAGGGATCTGAATATTAGATATATCAGAGATCACATTATCTTCGAAGATCAACTGTTTGAACTTCGATTGACCATTGTACTGATGATTGAATATAGGCATCAAATTGTCTAAGCTAGAAAGTTTGTTCTTAGTAAAGTCTAATTTTTCAACATTTGGAGGGAACATCCATCCTTGCAAAGATTCTATCTTATTCATGGAAAGATTTATATCTCTCAAGTGCACTAAACGTTTCCAGTCAACAGAATGAAGATCTTGTATAGAATTAGCCTGTAAGTTGAGCTCTTTAAGTGAACTTGGGAGTTTGAAATATTTCAAATCATTGATTCCACATCCATTTAAATTCAAATGCTCCAACTCCGGAGGGAAATTTATCCTGGTAGAAAGTTCGGGCATGAAATTGGAAATCAAATGACGATTATTTGAAAGATTCAAACGTTTCAAATTAGCAGGGAATTTGAACTCTTTCAAATTCTTTCCTTCCACTTCAAATCTTAAATTATTAAAGTTAAGATCTAAATCTTCTATTGAATCGGGTAAATTGTTCAATAGATAGATATTGGATATCTTATTATTATCAATTCTTAGGATCTTTAAGAAATCGGGCCATTGTTGCGATGATAATGATGCTATACCTTGATCATCAAGATGATTAAAACCCAAATTCAATTCCACGAGGTTTTCGGGCCAAATATTCTGATGATTGGAAACGAATCTTTTGGTTTTATTGTACAGAAGGTCTAATTTTTCCACAGATGGTGGTATAAGATTACAATTAAACTCTTCGATTGCATTATAGGTAATCATGAGGACTTTCAAGTTCTTTGGTAGTCTTGGTGATAGTTCCTCTAAAGTGTCAGATTTGATGTCACAATAATTCATATATAAATCCGTCAATTGTGGAGGTATTTCCAAAGTTAGAATATTCGTGAACGAAAACCATGAACAATCCAAACTTCTTATATTGGGTGGGAACTTAAAACTAGACCAATCTCTAACATCATGTCCTATGTATTGAAGATTAGTAAGGTTTTCCATCTTAGGTAATTCATTATTCAAAACTTCTTTAATCTTATTGAACTTGAATCCTCCTAATTGAAGTCGGGATATGTTGGTCAAACTCTTTAACATATATTCGAAGTCTTCGTTCTGATATTGGCATCCATCCATTAAAATTTCTACATCTTTAGATCTTAGTATTCTATCTTTATACATGGTGAATAATTTGAACATGAAATAGAAGTCAGTTCCGGTTATGAAAACCAATTTCCTTGGGATTATATCAGGATTCATAGCAAAGAATTCGTCAATTTCTCCAAAATAGTGAAGGTCGTAGATATCATTATCTATGGTTCCATCTACACAAATATGTTTCTGTTTCCTTAAAGGTGTGACTATGCAGTGTAATTCTTTACTGTAGTAATTATTGATAATTAGTTGTCTTGTACTCTGCCAATAAAGAAAGAATTCCTTGATATACTCTCCTGGAAGGTACTGTATTATCTGGAGCATTATATCATAAGGTAATTTGGAGAAGTTGGCTTCAAAAGAATCTGAATCTATTATCATTTGGTCCATAATGTTCTTACAGGTAAAATCTATATGAAAGTCTAATTTATATCTACCAACTCAACCACTTAATGCCTTTCTTTTGCCACTTCCTTACGCTTAGTGATCTAAACTCTTTAACTTGTCGCAACCATCTTTACTTATACGACATTGACAGAGATGTCGCAAATGTGGAAGTTTTCGCATCCTCAAAAAGCCTTCTGTGAAAATTGGATTAAACGGACAACATCCAGCAACAGAAAGAATTAAATTTTGTTGGAAGGATAGATAAAGCGATAAACTATTTTCAATCATATATATAAACATTGAGTATTTTTAAAGTATTTGATACATATATTCCTTCAAAATAAGTATAAAGTAATCACATTCATTACGGGCAAAAGTTTGAGTCATATTAGTGAAAGATTTTTAATTCCATTATTCAATACAATTTAAATTACTCTTATAGATTATATATTCAATTCCAGAAATCACATCATGTCATTTTTATGTTGTTCAGGTAGTTCAGTTGATGATGATGATAAATATGTTAATCACTCAACTAATTCAAGATCACAATCAATTCAACCTAAAAATGATCTTAAAGTTGTAACCCCTACCAATAAAAAGAGAAAAGAAAAGAAAGATGATTTTGACGATAATTCTGTTAATGAAACTGAAACTATCGCCAATACTAATGAAGAACCAACACCAACTACTCAACATGAAAGTTCAATTGATACAAAAGGTTCATCATCAAAGAAAGATAAAGATCAATTAGATCAAAGACAAGATGACAATGTGGTAATTGCTCAACAAGGGAATAATGAAGATTTGGTTGATTTAGATTTACAAGACTTTGATGAAGAATCATTGATGGATTTAACTAAATTTCAAGAAGGACAATATAAAAATCCTGAAACCGGTTGGTTATTAGGTAAAAAAGATAGTAAATTTGGAAATAAAAAATGTTTAATTCTAGATTTAGATGAAACATTAGTTCATTCATCATTCAAATATTTAAGAACAGCAGATTTCGTTATTCCAGTTGAAATTGATAACCAAGTTCATCATGTTTATGTGATAAAAAGACCAGGAGTTGATGAATTTTTGAAAAAAGTTGGTGAATGGTATGAAGTTGTTGTATTTACAGCATCAGTACTGAAATATGGTGATCCATTATTGAACAAATTAGATATTAATAAAGCTATACATCATCGATTATTTAGAGATTCATGTTATAATTATGAAGGTAATTTCATTAAAAATTTATCACAAATTGGAAGACCTTTGAGTGATTCAATCATTATTGATAATTCTCCAGCATCTTATATTTTCCATCCTCAACATTCAGTACCTATTTCTTCATGGTTTAGTGATACGCATGATAATGAATTATTAGATTTATTACCATTTTTAGAAGATTTATCAAAAGACAATGTTGATGATGTTTCTTTGGTTCTAGATGTAATGTTGTAATTTAAGCCGGCTTAAATATGTAGAATATAGATTAATTTTTGTCAATCTCTGAAAAGTGATGATTATATGAGATTTAAATATTGTCACTGCGAAAACCTCATCTCATCTCAAAATGAAGATTAAAACTATCAGTAGATCCGCTGATAATTATGTTCCTGTAAGGAATACTCAAGAATCATCATTACCTAGAAACTTGAATCCAGCATTACATCCTTTCGAAAGAGCAAGAGAATATACAAAAGCATTGAATGCTACTAAATTAGAAAAAATCTTTGCTCAACCATTTATTGGACAATTAGGTGATGGTCATAGAGATGGTATTTATTCTATTGCTAAGAATTTTGATAGTATTAATCAAGTAGCAAGTGGTTCAGGTGATGGGGTTATTAAATATTGGGATTTAACTAGTAGAGATGAAATTATAAGTTTCAAAGCTCATTATGGTATGGTTAGTGGATTAGTTGTTACCCCTAAACAACATAATATGTTATCATGTGGTGATGATAAGACTATTAAATTATGGTCAGTTAATTCCAGTGATTTCGATATGAGTATTAATGATGATGAATTATATGATAAAAAAGATAATGGTTTGGTCAAAACATTTTTAGGAGAACATGCCTTTAAAGGTTTAGATCATCATCAAGATGAAGAATTATTCATAACTGGTGGGTTATCTATACAATTATGGGACATGAATAGATCTAATTACATTTCAAATTTATCATGGGGTGCTGATAATATCAATACTGTTAAATTCAATAAAACCGAAACTAATTTACTTGCATCTGCTGGTAGTGATAATTCTATCGTATTATATGATATAAGAACAAATTCTCCTATACAGAAAGTTGTAACTAATTTAAGAACCAATGCCATTAGTTGGAATCCTATGGAAGCTTTTAATTTTGCCAGTGGAGGTGATGATCATAATGCTTATTATTGGGATATGAGGAATTTGAAAAGATCATTAAATGTTTATAAAGATCATGTTTCTTCAATCATGGATTTAGATTTCAGTCCTACAGGTGAAGAATTAGTTACAGGATCTTACGATAAAACTTTAAGAATTTTTAAAACCAGACAAGGACATTCAAGAGATATTTATCATACCAAAAGAATGCAAAGAATTCATGTAGTGAAATTTTCAACTGATGCTCGTTATATTTTGAGTGGGTCAGATGATTATAACATTAGATTATGGAGAACTGTTGCTAATGATAGAGCCAAGATCAAATCATCTAGAGAAAGAGCCAAGATGGAATATGATAATGTTTTGAAAGAAAGATTCAAACATATGCCAGAAATCAAAAGAATTGCTAGACATCGTCATTTACCTAAAACCATTAAGAAAGCTAAAGAAATTAAAACAGTGGAAATTAATGCTTTAAAGAAAAGGGAAGATAATAATAGAAAACATTCTAAAGCTGGAGCAGTTCCTTATGTTCCAGAAAGACAAAAGCATATTAGAGGTACTTCAATTAAGGATGATTAATGATATATGGTAAAGTTTCATAATCTCTGTAATCTCTCATGATGCATCACCTCTTTTAAGTACCACCCCCCTAGAATCTATGCTCTTACCTTTAACTCCCTCTTAACCAATATCCTCGTCTTCTTCTGATACCCCAAAACCAATTTCTATGCTCTTAGATTACTTCCACTCACGTTTTACCCCCAACAAACATCAGCATACAATCAACTGATAGGTTTAAGATCACACGACTTAGTCGCATTTTTCATCAAATAAAATTGCTTCAAAAAATTCTCATCAGGAAAGGGAACAACGGTGAATAATTTTTATATAATTCAAATTATCCAACATATATTAATTGCTTATTAAAATTGATGAATTAGATAAAAGCTTGTTGAAAGTTCAAAAAGTTTTTCAAAAGAAGGGAAATAGCGTTTCAATTAGAAACATTTATAGTGACGCAGTTTAAGTAACCAAGTTATAATTTAGATTTATTTGGAAATTCAATTTTAAATTCGTAAAGTTTGAAACTCCTAGGTTGTTTAAAGTTATTTTTTAGTATCAAAAAATCATATATTCGAAGAAATTTAAAAACTTTAAGTAAACTTACTTTAAATCAAGGGTCCTTCATTGTTTAAAGATCAAAGACATATTCAATTTTTATTTACATTTTATATTTTTCCAATAATATTTCATTACCACTATGCCTGATAGACATAAGATGAAGTTGTTCACCTTCAATAAATCCCATACCGATGATGAAAGTTTAACCCCATCCAATTCAAATCATTCTCATTCGGGTGGTAAAAAATTCTTGGGTTTCAATATTGGGAAACATGATTCTTTTGAATCTTTAAGTTCTCCTACCGTAAGTAATTCATCAGACCATCATAATAAGGACGCAATTCAACAACTCCAACAACAATCAATGGCAGGAAGTTCTACTGGTCTGCCAACTATGAATCATCCTCAGAGAAGTGGAAATAATTCTCCCATTACTTCCAATATCAATAAAGAAGATTCCAATCATGCTTTTATGAAATCTAATTCAATGGTAGAGTTAAAGAAATTTTTCAAACCTATCAAGAAAACTTCAAACTCTAGAAGAAATGATGGAGGTTATGACAATAAATTACATTCTCCTCCTCCAATTGCCCATCCACACACTCAACATAGAGATTTGGCTTCTGTAAGTTCAGGAGGGGTTCACAGTAGAGAACATTCCTCAACTTCTTTAGCTATTTTGATCAATCAAACATCCAATCAATTATTACATCATGCATCATTGAATAATGGTCATAATAACCATGCTAAAGCTCCTTTCACTGATGATGAATCACCTTTGGTACAAAAATATGGTAAAATTGGTAAAGAATTGGGTAGTGGTGCTGGTGGATCAGTTAAATTAATTATCAGACCTTCAGATTCTAAAACTTTCGCTGTTAAAGAATTTAGGCCCAGAAGAAATACCGAATCTTTGAAAGATTACACCAGAAAATGTACTGCTGAATATTGTATTGGATCAACTTTAAAACATCCTAATATTATCAAAACTATCGATATCATTCATGAAAACAATCGATACTATGAAATTATGGAATTTGCACCCATAGATTTTTTTGCCGTTGTTATGAGTGGAGAAATGTCCAGACAAGAAATTAACTGTTGTTTAAAACAAATCATCGAAGGGGTTAGTTACTTACATAGTTTGGGATTGGCTCATAGAGATTTGAAATTAGATAATTGTGTTTTAACTACTGATGGGATATTGAAAATTATTGATTTTGGTAGTGCGGTAATATTTAAATATCCATATGATCAATATGGAAATTCTAAAGATTCAATTCATCCATGTCATGGAGTTGTTGGTAGTGATCCATATTTAGCTCCAGAAGTATTGAAAAATTCCAATTCTTATAATCCTCAACCAGTTGATTTATGGTCAATTGCTATAATTTATTGTTGTATGACATTAAAAAGATTCCCATGGAAAATTCCTAACCCTGAAAAGGATAACAGTTTCAAATTGTACTCCATGGGTGATGATAATTGGCATGATTATAAAATCAGTAATGAATGTCATAAATTATTATTACAACAAAGAAAATTAAAGAATATGATTGTGAGATCAAATAAGAGGAAGAAATTAATTGAAAATGGAGATGCTATGGATCAAGATAATCATCATCCTGACAGTGAAAATCATCCTCAAGAACAAATCAGAGAAAAATCTCAAGAAACCAGACCTAATGGTCAAGAAGATGAATCTAAAGAAGAAGAAGAAAAAGCTGAAATTTTGAATGATGAAAAGATTGAAGAAATTTATAGTGAATTAAAAGTTATTGAAAAGAAATTGGATGAATTTGAAATAACTAAACTGGAAATGAAAAATAAATTCCTTGAATCTAAAACATCTGTTAAAGCAGAAGTTGAAGTTGAAGATGATACTAAGAAGAAATCTCATAAACAAATTCATGGTCCTTATAGATTAATGAGATTAATTCCTCATGCTTCCAGACCTATAATCTCCAAAATGTTACAAATAGATCCTGCTAAAAGAGCAACATTAGAAGAAATCTTGAATGATGAATGGATCAAAGATATCAACTGTTGTACTTTGAAAAAAATTGTTAAAAGTAATGATAACATAAGTGCTGGAGTAAATTTTGAAGAAGATGAAGAAGATGTTTTAGTTAAAGGCAGCCCCTCTCATAAGCATACAATTGTCCTTGATGATGCCTCGAATTAATTAACGATTGATGACTTTATTAATATATATAATAATCTTTATCTATATTGAAACCTCAAAATAGGTGATTGTGCGAATTTCCTATCATTCAAATCTATAATGGCTCAACATCCACCCCCTATTTTACCCAGTAAGTTCAAAACCTCATTGAAGATGGCTATCAGTAAGTTACAATTCATCCAAGAGAAGAAGGTAGCACTCACTAAACAACAAAGAAGACTGTTGGCGGATTTATTAAATCAAGGTAAAGAAAGTAGTGCTAAGATAAGAGTTGAAAATATAATAAGGGATGATATTTATATTGAATTGTTAGAATATTTGGAATTATATTGTGAATTGGTATTGGCTAGAATATCTCTTATACTTGATGCTACCGATTGTGATGAAAGTTTATTGGAATCTGTCTCCAGTATCATATACTCAGCCAATCATTCAGAGTTAAAAGAAGTTACTCAAGTAAAGGAATTATTCATTCATAAATTCGGAATAGAGTTCGGTAAGAAAGCATTAGATAACACTGATGGACATGTTCCAGAAAAGATTCTTAAAAGATGTAAAGTTCCACCTCCTCTGGAAGAATTAGTTAATTTATATTTATGTGAAATTGCCAAAGCTTATTCAGCTCCTTATTCGGGATTACCCGCTCCAGCTCCTGAAGCTGATGATGATGATGATGATGATGAACCAAGTGGTGGGGAGAAAATTGCTGAACCAATAGCTGAAACTCCTAAACCTATAGATGAATTAGATGCATTAAAAGCCAGGTTCGCTGCATTGAAGAAATAAGTCCATTGCAATAGAATTAGAACAATTGAAAATTTTTAGTAAATAGAGTAACAATTAGTGGAATATTTGACATATATTTATAATTCTCTAGGAAACGAAACACGGTAACTTTTAAATAAAACTCTAAGCTCTTAATTGTTCAGTAACAGCATTCAAATCAACACCAGCCAATTTAGCTAAGAAAGCATTAAGTTCGGTGTTATCATGGTTACCAGCTAAACCAACATCAGCTTCAAAGTTAGAATATTGTTTTTCAAAATCTTCAGAGTTGGTGTAAGCATAAAGATTAACATCAACATTGGTGTGACCACCAGTAGTCCAACCAATAGCAGCTCTGTTAGAAGTGATAGGACCAATGGCATGAACAACATCACCATCTCCTCTTACAGCTTCTAAAACAGTTTCGATTTCTTCTTCAGTAGCATCTTCAACTTGTAATTCAGTAACAACCCAATCTTTAATAAAATCAGAAATGGTGGTGTTATCAACATCAGTTTCATTCAATTCTAAGACTTTGCTTTCAAAGTAAGCAGATGAGTGGGATTTGTTGAATAAAACTTCTGGATACCAAGATTCCATATCATTATAACCTAAAGCTAAACCACCAGTTGAATGATCAGCAGTGATTAAGACTATGGTTGGGATATCAGAGTTGTCGACGTATTCTTTAACAACAGCAAAAGCATCATCGAATTCAATGGTTTCTCTTGGATGACAAGCAGCATCATTATCGTGACCACAATGATCGATTAAAGAACCTTCAATCATTAAGAAGAAACCGGAATCGGAATCAGCAGTAGCTTTAGTTAAGGTGTTTAAAGCTAATCTTGATTGATCAGCCAAAGTTGGAGTAGTGTCAGAGTTTCTGTCAATAACGTAATCAACATCTTCATTACCCCAGAAACTTAAAGCTGGTAAAGTTAATTCACCGCTGTTTAAATATTCATCGAATTCTGGTTTAGTTTCGAAGAAAGTATAACCTTTATCTTTCCATTCAGCAATTAAATCTCTGTCATCTTTTCTGCAAGAGTCTTCTTGATCTTTTGGAACCCAATAACATTTACCACCACCGGACATATAATCAAGAACAACACCGAATTTACCTTCACCGAATAATTGTTCAGCAATGTTATCTTGATTTTTTCTGGTTTCATTATGGGCACCCCAAACAGATGGGGTAGCATCAGTTAAAGTTGATTTGACAACAACCCCATTTTTATAACCTTTTTGAAGTTTTAAGGCTTCAGCAAGAGAACCAATTGGTAATTTGTCATCATCAACACTGATAGCTCCATTATAAGTTTTTTGACCAACAGCAAAAGCAGTACCGGCAGCAGCTGAATCAGTAATTAAAGAACTTGAAGATCTGGTTCTAAGGGATCCAATCAAGTAAGGATCTAAGTTTAATCTAGCATCAATATCTAAGTTATCGGTATATTGCTTGTAGACTCTAGCTAAATTCATAGAGTCTGGACCCATACCATCACCAATCATGACAATGATATTTTGTTTTCCACCAGTAACTGGAGCTGGGGCACCTAAAACGATGTTGAATAATGATAAAGCAATTAAGAATAAGATACTTTGTTTGAAAGCCATGTTTAATTGTTGATTTGAACTAATGAATCAACTAGAAATTCCTCGAATATTTATACTTCAGACTATTGTCGTCGTAAATTACAATTAACCTTAGTTGGTTTACCCATGTGTATACTCATCTTAAATTCACATAATTGTTCCTCTATACTGTTGTCTAACATTTCTTATTCCAGACGTTAATTGTACTTAAACGGTGGAAGCCGCATCAAATTGAGTATCACACGTTAAGCATTTGCAGCCAAAAACCTGGGTCAACCTCTTGGCATTTCTTTCAGGGGTTTGAAACTGGCTTAAATTATGGTAACTTTGCAGCCTCTAGGGTCTCATTACATGGATGTGATCATTCACTTCATAGAGGCAACCATACCTTCATGACTAAAGTTTTGTACCACCTCTAGAAGTAATATAAAACAAGTTGGGTGAATATTTCCATTCCCCTGACATGAGATTTGAAATACTTGGCTCAACAAGGTTTAATAGGGCACGTTGTAATTTATGGCTTTTCTCCTATAATAGAGACTACCACAAATACAGCAAACGGTTGATTCATTGTTCGATTAAGAATGTAGTGGCCTGCAACGGAGTTGTTGGAGGAATTATTCAAATGATTTTAGGGGAGATGGGGAAATCTTTAAGGTTGTCGGTTTTCTTACTTAGACCTCAGAAATTTTGCCATCAACGTCAACAATTGAAAGGATCTTCATCGATGATAGCCTTCGGAGATATAATTGAATTGCTTTTGTAATTGAAGTTGAAAGATTTCCGCTTCGGAATGATGTATACCTTGTCATGTGATTCATATCATGGGACGAGAATTTATTAGAGAATAAAAGAAGCAGAAATTACTGGTGATGGTCAATGATCAATCATATGATTCATTCGTATGGATAGTTCGGTATAATTAGAGAAAATCGATAGTAGAATGAATATTGACTGATTCCTGGATTATCACCGTCTTGTCCTATGAAAAGATCAAAAGAGACCCATATTTTCAAGTCAATCTCCAATGAAATTCGCTCCCAATTTGAACATTTCATCCATTTATCCTACAAGTGACTCCTCCGCTCCCTTTCGTACCCATTTACACCCATATTGACCTTTGAATCATAATTATTCAATGTTGATCAATTGATCACCTAATCGAAAAAAATCGTGCGAACTCTCATTTTTTTTGTTGAAGTTTTTTCGTTTCAGCAAATAATCCTTTGATAATTTAATTGTACTATAATTTGTAATTTCACATATTTGCATTGATTTGAACCCCCAATAAATCAAATCGGTAACGAAACATTAATCATACATAATTACAAAACTCAAAAAAATCATTAAGATTCTAATAATTTCAATTCGTTAAATTCATATTACTAAACTTAAAGAATCGTCATGGATTTAGATACTGATGTACCAATGGAGGATGTCAGTGAAGATCAACCAAGCTATCAACAAAAGACCACTAAAACCACCACACCAGATTTACAAAAAGAAAACATTGGAGATTTAGATCAATGGATTGAAAAATTAAAAAACTGTGAACCATTATCAGAACGAGATGTTAAGAAATTATGTGATATGGCAACTGATGTATTACAATTGGAAGAAAACGTTCAACCTGTTCAAGTTCCTGTTACAATCTGTGGAGATGTCCATGGACAATTCCATGATTTAATGGAATTATTCAAAATTGGAGGTCCATGTCCTGACACTAATTATTTGTTCATGGGAGATTATGTTGATAGAGGATATTATTCAGTTGAAACTGTATCATTTTTAGTTTGTATGAAAGTTAGATATCCTAAAAGAATTACTATTTTAAGAGGTAATCATGAATCAAGACAAATTACTCAAGTTTATGGATTTTATGATGAATGTTTGAGGAAATATGGTAGTGCATCAGTTTGGAAATTATTTACTGATTTATTTGATTATTTCCCCATTACTGCATTAGTTGATAATAAAATCTTCTGTCTTCATGGTGGTTTATCACCAATGATTGAAACAATTGATCAAATCAGAGAATTAAATAGAACTCAAGAAGTTCCTCATGAAGGACCAATGTGTGACTTATTATGGTCAGATCCTGACGATAGAGGTGGATGGGGTATTTCTCCAAGAGGTGCTGGTTTCACTTTTGGTCAAGATATTTCTGAACAATTTAATCATACTAATGATTTAAGTTTAATTGCAAGAGCTCATCAATTAGTTATGGAAGGTTACGCTTGGACTCATCAAGAATCCGTAGTAACTATATTCTCAGCTCCTAATTATTGTTATAGATGTGGTAATCAAGCTGCTATAATGGAAGTCGATGAATTGCATAATAGACAATTCATACAATATGATCCTTCTGTTAGACCAGGTGAACCAACTGTTACCAGAAAAACCCCTGATTATTTCTTATGATTTAATATAATGATGTTTGTTTTAGTTAAATACATATTCACTTATAATTCTTCCCTTTTCATCATTACTTTATTCTTTATCTTTGAATCAAAAGTCGTGTCTCCATGACCAATTATTCAACCAACCAGAAACAACTTTTTGCGAAAGTAATCAATTTTTTCAATAATGTTAAGAACCTCAGTTAAATTACCTAAAACAAAAGGTATTAGAACTATTTATACTCCTACTTTCGAGCAGGATATTAATATTACCAAGAATGGGAAAGTTAATGTATCTATTGGAGCTGGAGGTCGTTCATCAAGAACCGGTTACGTCGCAACTGTTTTCGGTGCCAGTGGATTTTTAGGTAGATATTTAACCTCAAAATTAGCTAGACATGGTACTATTACTATGGTCCCTTATAGAAATGATATGAAAAAAAGATTTTTAAAAGTCACTGGGGATTTAGGAGTGGTGAATTTTGTTGAATGGGATCCAAGAAATATCGAATCAATTCAAGAATCAGTAGCTCATTCTGATATAGTTTTCAATTGTGTTGGAGCTGATTATAATACTAAAAATTTTTCCATGGCTGATGTTAATGTCGGTATAACTGAAAGAATTGTCAATGCTGTTAAAGAAGCTGGTAATTCAAGATTTATTCATGTTTCTTCATATAATGCCAATCCTAATTCTCAATCAATCTTTTATGCTACTAAAGGTATTGGTGAACAAATCGTAAGAGAAAACTTACCTGAAGCAACTATTGTAAGACCTTCTCAAATGTATGGACGTGAAGATAACTTATTAAATTATTTAGGTCCAAAATTGAAAATGTGGACTCCAAATAAAAATGCTAAACAAATTTATCCAGTTCATGTTTTAGATGTTGCTAATGCCTTAGAAAAAATTGGTTATGATGATTCAACTATTGGTGAAACTTACGAATTATATGGTCCAGATAAATTATCCTACAGAGAAATCAGAGAAATGATTCATGGTATCACTCAAGATTTCTCTCAAGTTGGTCCATTCTCTTATAAATTTGCTGATTATGAATTACCTTTACCTTTACTTAAATTGGTTGCTGATATCAAACAATTACCTTATTGGAAATTAACTAATAGTGATCAAGTTCAAAGACATGTGATTGATCAAGTAATTGATACCAATGCTAAAACTTTCATAGATTTAGGTATTACTGATACTACACAATTAGCTGATGTTTTATTCACTTATGTTAAACATTGGAGACATCCATTAATTGCTGAACAAGGGGTTTCCTCTTCTTCAAGTGCTAAAGAAGCCAAAAAATTACGTGGAATTGAACATTTCACTTAATGTATTTTAGAATATACTGCATTTTCGAACCTTTCACTATAATCGACTCTTTCAACTGTTTCTCTCTATGAATCGTCTGGTTTTCCCACGATAACGGTTTAATGCGATCGATAAGAAATCCATATTTTTCACTTAAATCAATGTTCGAATTACCTGACATTTCAGCATTGGGAGGTTTATCGTATGAAGAGAAAGCAGGAGTATTGGACAATTTGTTTGAACCTTGTGAAACTTTAACAAAAGTTCTAATTGAAAGATTATTCACTGGTAAACTGTTCAATAGTTATAAAGAATTAATAGAGACTTCGAGATTTGAATTGCTTGAGTATTTAAAAGAAGCTGAAAATGAATCAAGAACTTCTGGTGATGAAATAAGACCTGAAATATCAAAGATTATCGCAGCTCATCCAAGACTTGGAGCTCCAAAGACCACTAAGTTGTCAGATCATTCATCAAGTGAACAGAAATCTTTACAAGGATCCTCTGAAGAAAGTGAAAAATTGGCTCAATTAAACAAAGAATACGAATCTACTTTCCCAGGTCTTCGATATGTGGTGTTTGTGAATGGAAGATCTAGAGCTGTTGTAATGGACAATATGAGACAAAGAATAGATAGGAATGATATTAAGTTAGAAAGAATTGAGGCATTCAATGCAATGTGTGACATTGCTCTCGATAGAGCTAAGAAATTGGGAGCTAAGTTATAGTTTTAATGGTAATATACAATAGTTAAGATAAGGAATTCTTTCTAATCTCAGTAGTGGAATTGTGCAATGATAAGGTAAAAACTAGTTTGTTCGATGTTTTTTTGAAACTAACAAACATCCTAGAAGTAAACCAATATGTTCTCTTCATTCCTCTAACAATCTCCAACTCCAATACCCAATCATCCCTTATAAATACCTCTATCAAATCTGACAGTATCTCGGTTCCGTACACCTGCGGGTATTTCCATTTCCCACGCACGACTTCTCGAGAAGAATTACGTCCAGAAAAAGGGAGAACGAAATCTATCGATTGATATAAGTAATTAAAGATGGTATGTTACTACATGCAGTCAATTGGACTTATCATCCGAGTACCCTGAAATGTCAATGTTTCAAGGGGGTGAACTATGGGATGATTTGATGTTGATAATGATGAAAATTGATGACTTTTGGAACTATTACTAACGACTTTAGGCTGGTGCTTTAGAGAATGCTCGTAAAGAAATTCAACGTCTTTCCTTAGATGATGCCAAAGAATCACAATATGGTCAAGTTTTTTCAGTATCAGGACCTGTTATTGTTGCTGAAAATATGATTGGTTGTGCCATGTACGAATTAGTCAAAGTTGGTTACGATAATTTAGTTGGTGAAGTTATTAGAATTAATGGTGACAAAGCAACCATCCAAGTTTATGAAGAAACAGCCGGTGTTACTGTTGGAGATCCAGTCTTAAGAACTGGTAAGCCATTATCAGTTGAATTAGGTCCAGGTTTAGTCGAAACCATTTATGATGGTATTCAAAGACCTTTACAAACTATTAAAGATATTTCCCAATCCATTTATATCCCAAGAGGTATTGATGCCCCATCTTTATCAAGAACTGTTTCTTATGATTTCAAACCTGCTAATATTAAAGTTGGTGATCATGTTACCGGTGGTGATATTTTTGGTTCAGTTTTCGAAAATTCTTTATTAGATAATCACCCAATTTTAGTTCCTCCAAGAGCTAAAGGTACTGTTACTTCTATTGCTGAAGCCGGTTCTTATAAAGTTGATGAACCTTTATTAGAAGTTGAATTCGATGGTAAGAAATTCTCTTATTCTATGATGCATACCTGGCCTGTTAGAGCTCCAAGACCAGTTGCTGAAAAATTAGCTGCTGATTATCCATTATTAACTGGTCAAAGAGTTTTAGATTCTTTATTCCCATGTGTTCAAGGTGGTACTACTTGTATTCCAGGAGCTTTTGGTTGTGGTAAAACTGTTATTTCTCAATCATTATCTAAATTCTCCAATTCTGATGTTATCGTTTATGTTGGTTGTGGTGAACGTGGTAATGAAATGGCGGAAGTTTTAATGGAATTCCCAGAATTATATACTGAAGTTAATGGTAGAAAAGAACCTATCATGAAACGTACTTCATTAGTTGCTAATACTTCTAATATGCCAGTCGCTGCTAGAGAAGCTTCTATTTATACTGGTATTACTTTAGCTGAATATTTCAGAGATCAAGGTAAGAATGTTTCTATGATTGCTGATTCTTCTTCACGTTGGGCCGAAGCTTTAAGAGAAATTTCTGGTAGATTAGGTGAAATGCCTGCTGATCAAGGTTTCCCAGCTTATTTAGGTTCTAAATTAGCTTCTTTCTATGAAAGAGCTGGTAAAGCTGTTGCTTTAGGTTCTCCTGATAGAATCGGTTCTGTTTCTATTGTTGCTGCTGTTTCCCCAGCTGGTGGTGATTTCTCAGATCCTGTTACTACTTCAACTTTAGGTATTACTCAAGTTTTCTGGGGTTTGGATAAAAAATTAGCTCAAAGAAAACATTTCCCATCTATTAATACTGCTGTTTCATATTCTAAATATACCAATGTCTTGGATAAATATTATGATGTCAATTATCCTGAATTCCCAACTTTAAGAGACAGAATCAAAGAAATCTTATCCAATGCTGAAGAATTAGAACAAGTTGTTCAATTAGTTGGTAAATCTGCTTTATCAGATTCTGATAAAATTACTTTAGATGTTGCAACCTTAATTAAAGAAGATTTCTTACAACAAAATGGTTATTCAACTTATGATCAATTCTGTCCAATTTGGAAGACTTATGATATGATGAGAACTTTTATGTCATACCATGATGAAGCTCAAAAAGCTGTTGCCAATGGTGGTCAATGGTCAAAATTATCAGAATCAACTAGTGATATCAAACATGCCGTTTCTTCTGCTAAATTCTTTGAACCTTCAAAAGGTGAAGAAGCTGCTGCTAAAGAATATGGTGATTTATTAACCAAAATTTCTGAAAGATTTGCTGAAGCTTCAGAATAATTATAAATCTTGCATTTCTTTAAAGTCCCCTTAGATTTCAAAAAAAAAATCTTTAATTCTGTTCTGTTGTTCTATCTAGAAACTGTTTAAATAAGAGAATATATATATTTCCTTTTAACTTAACATTGAAATAACGATGAAAGTCCTTGAAAACAACTTGTGATGAAATTTTCTGATCCATTAACGATACCCAACATTTCATCTCCTAATAAATCATAATGGGCATTGATGTCTACTTCTTCGCCTCGACTCCTTCGATTATAATTCAATTCAAATTCAGAAAGAGGTATCGCATAAGGAGTGTATGCGAGTTCAGTGGGAGACTCACCTGCAGTGGTATTATGAATAGCAGCATTGGAACGTAAAGTTTTAGTTCTTGGTAAAAATGAGTTGGAAGAATTTGGTTGGAACTGCACTGTTTTAAGTAGATTACGTATCTCTTGATTAGGGGAACTAAATTCACTAGCAGTATAGAATGCTGTCAGATTGGACTTCCTTGGTTCCTGAGGAGACTGATGATTCAATTGTTTTTCTATATCGTTGTTATTCTTAGTACTAAACCAATTAAACAGAAAGAGTCCACTATTGGTTCGAGGTGGTTGGCCGAAAGTTTCAGCATTATATGGATGTTTCCCATTCAATATTATATTTGTGTTATGTTGTGATTCGCTCGGTCTCCAACTAACTAATCTATCCTCTAAATAATCTTGATACGCATCTCCTGAAGTGAATGAAAAGTCTGAAATAATAGATTTTCTGATACCTAGTTCGGTAAGAGTATCCAAAGGAGGTGAATTGTAATTGATTTCAGGTTCTGGTGTGAATATCAGTTGGGGAGAGTCCTCGGTTTCAACTTCAAAAGAGGCACTATCATCATCTGCTTGACTGGACTGTAAAATTGTTTCTAATTGAGCACTAGGAGGTTTGGTAGCTTCCCGATGTGTCCTAACATTCAATGATGGACTTTGCTGAATTGAAAAGTCACCTTCACTATCCCTACTCAATTCATGGGTCTGTTCAATCGTTTCTGAATAACTAGTTGGGGGTCGATCTGAGGTACCTGAATGAGGTACAACTGTACTGAAAACACTAGGTAGTCCTCCCAAAGAATCAGTTTTCATACCAGGCTCAGAAACATGACGTCTTACATTGAAATCTCTGGAAATGGAACACAATGGAGCAGTTCTTGAAGAATCGAGATCTGACATATTTGCTTTTGCAGCCTTTCCGTTTGTGATTTATTTTTTTGCAGCATCTTGAAAATCTGCGATTTCAGTCACGTGACCTTAGGAAGCAATTTGTTCAACATCCAACAAATGGATGAGTGACCTAGCATTTGACCACCACACAGCGAACTACAACTCATGGCAAGTCATAGAAAGAGAATTATAGAGTATTAGAGTATGTAGAGAGTAAATTAATACAAGTATGTATTTATCGGACTAATTCCTGGGCATAGATCGGGTGGAAGACGTCATTAACCAAGACCAACGATAACAATAAATTAACTAATTTCACCACAGATTATAGTAAATATTCCATTACAATAAATCATAATATCCTATCATCACAATCCTCATGCTAATTTACAATCAATTGATTTTTCAACATTATCTAAATTTACCAAAACCAAGAAGGTAAAGGAAAAACTTTCAAGTCTCTAATTAACTAGTCCTCGTTGTCCGTTTACTTTGATCTAGCTCTGACCTTCCGTCTCTTTCTCTTTAATCTTCTAACTCTCTTTTTTCTCCATTTATCTCTCATATTGAAAAATAATTTGTATAGAAAAGAAAAATTTCGAGCAGCGGTGAAGAACTTTATATTTTTTCCACAGCAAATTGTCTAGGGCACGTACACCTAAACTATCACGAGCAAGTCATGTGCGAATTGTGACTGCTCCCGGGTTGCAGCCTTTTTAATGGCTTGATGGTTTAGATAACGAATTTAGAATTATATTCTACTATGTACATTATTTATTGAACTAAATCATCAACTTTGATGTTTTTATTTAATCTGAGAGTTTCTTGTCTGAAAGCTTTTTTCAAATCTTCGGTGAGTTCAGGTAAATTCAATTCTTCAGTTAAGTCTTCAATTATTTCATTAGATATGATAACTCTTTCATCTTCTTGAATATCCTCAAAATATAATTCCTTATCGCTAAGATGCTTTTTATAAATATCATCAATTTTGGGAGCTTTTTCAAAAATCAAGTGTTTAGATTCATCTTTGGTGTCTAATAAATATTTCAAATGATTGATACCCATCAATGCTTTAACATTACAGTAAAATCTGTAAGCGATATAGAATCCAGGAACATTAGGAACTACAGGAACTAAAGCAAATGGTAAGGAAAGTGGAATCCCAATACCACATATTATAGCATATTTCAAATGATTAGAATAAGCATCATCTTTGAACGCATTCAATTGATTATTGATATTAGTCGTATTGATAAACTTAGGATGGAATAATGGGATTGGCTTTATCTGATTTAAGGGGATATTCAATTCATCAATTTGAGTTTGGATCAATTTATTATTTTTATCAGTCATATCCGAGATGTTATTCAAAGCTTCTTCATTGATTTCTCTGATCATTGACTTCCTTGAAGGGAATGATCTCAAGCAAGCTTCTTCATAATGAATTGAATTCAATAGTTTTCTTACAAAATTAGTTACTTTAACGTTAATTGAAATCTTAGAATTGCTCAATTTGGACCAACCTTTCAAAACTAAAGCTGTAGCTTTATTCTCCAATTTAGTTATTAAAGGGAAACTTCTGGCTTGTGTAGACGATAATAATGAAGGTTTATGATGGCAATAGATATATGATTTCTTGGTAGTGATAGGTAATGCGATCACATAGATACCATTTTTACCAATGCCTGTTGATTGATATCTTTTGAAGATAAACGATGGTGAAATTCCGATACCTCGTATCATGGTTTTCAGTCAACACCTCTTTAAGTCTTTAATTTTCCTTCAGATCAATCCCTCTTAAATAGGTTATCGTTTGGCTGCGCAATCTGGAAATGAAATAGTAATGATGCGATAGTGTTCGATGCCAAACAATAAGGCTATTTTTGCGACAACAACCTTAACTTAGCTGACCTTAATACTGAGGCTATTTGAGGTATTAGAAGGTCCAATCGGACATTAAAGTCCTTCAAATAACATTCTTTCAATCTATTAAACCGAATTCCTCTTAACTCCATTTTCCTTTCCCCTTCAAACTCTCGGAGTTGTGAATTTTTCTTGTAGCAAATATAGTCGCACCTGTGGACAAAAACATATTATCATGGTTGAGGCAAGTGAACTATCACTGACTACTTTTGGGTCCACTAAAGTTAGGTCACTGAATATTCACAGTCCTAATACACAACAAATGAATTCTGGTAGTGATATATCTAAAATTACCATTAATTCTAAACCTTCAGACCCTTTTGGAACCACAAAAGCTAAATCGTATAGTTTCAAAGCTAACAGTGTACCGATTTATGTGTTAGATACTTTATCCCAAGCTCATTATAAGGATCAATTAAGTAATAGTAATGTTAATACTAATCAAACCGATATAAATCCTTCAATAAAATCCGTTCATACTAATAAAAATAATGATGATGATTACTTAAACTTTTCAAATGATCCTTTCATCAAGTCCATGGATAACAATTGGAATAAGTTCCTCACCACCATTAAGCAACCAGCTACGTATACCAAAGACTTGATCAAATTCGATGAAGCTACGAAATTCGATGATGATTTGGATGGTTCATGGGGTGGAGAAGATAGATTGAAATCTGCATTATTAGGATCACCTTCAAGTGATGATGATACATTCGTTAATGAAAAATCTCTAGGGATTTTTTCCATATTCAAATTTCATAAATCAAGACCCACAGTTAAAGGTAATAATGCCGATGTTTCACCCAAAGTTCGATCAAAAGCTGGTTATTGGATGTCAGATGAAAATCGAGCTGATTTATTACCATCTTTATACAGAATTTTCGTCATAAACCCATTAGTACCATTATTATTAAGAATTGGGATCTTGATTTTTTGTTTAGGTGCTCTAGCATTAGCATGTTCAATTTTTCAATATTCTAATAACAGGTATGAAGGTATTAAAGTTGATCAACAAGCAAGTACTATAATGGCCATTGTGGTTCAAAGTTTTGCTATAGTGTATTTGGTTTACATTGCATATGATGAATATAGTGGTAAACCTTTAGGTTTAAGAGCACCTTTGGGTAAGATGAGATTAATTATGTTAGATTTGTTATTCATAATATTTTCATCAGCTAATTTATCTTTAACTTTCAATACATTATATGATGATGAATGGTTTTGTGCTACCAATGATAGAGATTCTATTGATTTTACACCTAATGTTGGGTCAATATGTAGAAGACAACGTAGTTTAGCAGCATTTTTATTTTTAGTTCTTGGGCTTTGGGTTTTAACATTTACCATTAGTATAATTAGAGTCGTCGATAGGGTTTCAGTATCAGGGCAAAGAAACGATTAGGACAGTAGTAGTTCAACTGAACTCTCAATAATGATGAATGAAGGGTAATACATATTTTTTGAAACATCTCTTTCTATATAGCTTAATAGGAGTCGTTCCTCTACCAACCCGATCTGAGGCAAAAACTAGAGCGACAGATTTCTCAAAATAGAGGTTAATCAGATAAATCGGATTCTATCAATTGATCAAGAAAGAAAGGACATCCACCCACCTACCTTATCAATTGAAACGCTTACAGTAATTAACAGTCATCGAATTAATTATCTTGATCATCTGTAAACCGTAATGTCATTTCCATCATCAAGTGATTTAGATGGTACTTGGTCATTTATTCAACCTAGTCTAGGATTAATTCTTGGTGCCCTGGGGGATCAAGGAGTTACTCCTGCTGTATATATGAATTGTTATACGGCAGTTTATAACTATTGTACCAATAAATCACGAAACTCATCATTAGCAAATAACAATAACGCTGTTAATAATTCATATTCATTAGCAGGAGCTGAGATTTATGCCAAATTAGAAGCTTACTTGGTTAAATTCATAACTGGTTTAACTCAAGATGCTAATGAATCGTTTTTGGAGTTTTATGTTCGTAAATGGAAAAGATTCACCATAGGTGCTGGATATATGAATAATGTTTTTGATTATATGAACCGTTATTGGGTTCAAAAAGAGAGAAGTGATGGTAGAAGAGATGTTTTCGATGTTTCAACATTATGTATCTTACAATGGAAAACTCATATGTTTACTAATAATGCTGATAAATTAATCAATGAAACTTTGGTTCAAATTGAATTACAAAGAAATAATCAAATCGTAGATACTAATTTGATTTCTGTAGCTATTAAATCATTAGTTTATTTAGGTATTGATATTCAAGATTTAAAGAAACCAAACTTAGTGGTTTATATCAATAATTTTGAAAAATCTTACTTGGAAAAAACTGCTATTTACTATAAAAATGAAAGTGATGACTTTTTATCAAAACATAACGTTGTTGATTATATGAAGAAATGTGAAACAAGATTAAATGAAGAAATTTCAAGATCTAATAATTATTTAGAAGATCATACTAAAAAAGCATTGTTAGTAACATTATATGATGTTTTAATCAAACAACATGCCGAACAAATGTATGATCAATTTTTAACTTTATTGGAAAATAATGAAACTGATCATATTCAAAGAATGTATAAATTATTATCCAAAGTCCCCAGTACTTTACAGCCTTTAGCTGATGCGTTGGAAAATTATATCAAAAATGAAGCTTCAAAAGTAATTGAAGAAATCAAAAAAGGTAATGATCAATCTATGGAAGACGGTGAAGATGCTCCTAAAAAGAAATCAGGTTCTAATGCACCAAATCCAAAAGTTTATGTTCACAGTTTGATTGCAGTTTATTTGAAATTTAATGAAGTCGTTGATAATGCATTCCATAAAGATCCAATTTTTATCAAATCTTTGGATAATGCATGTCGTTATTTTGTTAATAGGAATTCGATTGCTGCATCAGGACCAAAAGCTCCATCTAAAACTCCAGATATTTTGGCTAAATATGCTGATTCATTCTTAAAATCAAGTGCAAAAGAAGCTGAAACTATAGATATGAATGCAGAAAATTTAATGATTATATTCAAATTTGTTGAAGAAAAAGATGCTTTCGAAGAACATTATCGTAGAATGTTAGCTAAAAGATTGATTAATAATACTAGTAAATCTGAAGAATTAGAAGAAAGTGTTTTAAAACGATTACAAGAAGAAAATTCTTTAGAATATACTACTAAAATGTCTAAAATGTTTGCTGATATGAAACAATCTGAAGATTTGAAATTAAAAATGAAAGATAGATTAGATAACAATTTAGTTAAAGAATTTGTCCCTTACATTTTAGCTAATAGTATGTGGCCCTTCAGTAAAAATGATGATTATCAATTAAATTTACCTATAGAATTACAATCCATTTTAGATAATTTCAAGAAACTTTATGAAGAAAGTCATAATGGTAGACAATTAACATGGTTATGGAATCATGGTAGAAATGAAGTTAAAGCTAACTTATCGAGAAAGGGTAAACCTCCTTTCACATTTATTGTTACCAATGTTCAATTGATGATTTTATTAGCATTCAACAAGAAAAAGACTTATTCATTTGGAGAATTACTTGAATTACTTGGTACTATACCAACAATCTTAGATAATCAAATTGCTCCAATGGCAAAATATAAATTATTAGAACAAAATCCTCCAGGTTTAGAACATCAGAACAAACCCGATACCACATTTACAATTGTTGATGAATATAAATCACGTAAATTGAAAGTGAATTTCGTTAGTTCATTAAGAAATGAACAAAAACAAGAAGATGATGATGCAAAGAAAGAATTAGATGAATCTCGTAAGAATTATCTTAGTGCTTGTATTGTCAGAATAATGAAAGCTAGAAAGACTGCAAGTCATAATGAATTATATAATGAAGTAGTTACTCAATCATTATCAAGATTTCATGCTAGAAACATAGATGTTAAGAAGGTTATTTCTCATTTGATTGATAAAGAATTCTTAAAGCGTATTGATAATAATACTTATGAATATTTAGCATGATTTAGTTCATTATGTATAATAGAAGGCATTAATATATCTCTCATCTCATCTCTCTGTTCCGCACTAAAGTCAAGATCTCATGTCAGTAGTTAAGAGACAGAAAATAGGGAATGATCATGGTATAGTGAAAGCAACTAATGGGAAACCAAAAGGTAGGAAACTATATAGTCCATCAATATATCTTGAAGGAGGACATGAAGGAACAGTTTCCACCGGTAAATTCAATAAAAATGGTAGTTATTTAGCTACTGGAGGTTTTGATAAATTTATAAATATATGGAAATTGCCAACTGATGAAGAGGAACAATGTAATGTATGGTGTTCCCAGGCTCATAAGAATGCAGTTACGTGTGTAAGATGGATAAATGATGACAATTTGGTTAGTTCGAGTGCTGATCTGACATTAGCTTTCTGGGATTGTGAGACTGGTGATAAAGTAAGAAATTGTAAAAATAGTAGCATTATTAATGAAATAGATACTTTTGAAAGCATGGTAGTATCAGGAGATGATGATGGTATGGTCAAGTTATGGGATCCAAGACAAAAATCGCCATTATCTACCATTAGCAATAAATTTCCTATACTCACTTGTACCTTCAATCATAAAGGAACGAACTTGTATTTCTCAGGTATAGATCCTACGATTAATACTTTTGACCTAAGGAAACTAGACACACCTTTGTGGAAATGTCAAGGTCCAATTGATTCAATCACATCCATATCTTTGAATTCTGATGATTCCATGTTAGTATCAAGATCAACTAGAGGTGTGGTTAATGTTTATAATAGTAAAGACTTCTTACCGGAATCAGTTTCTCGTATCAGTCCTTATAGTTTTGAAGGTGCTCCTGCTGATAATGAGTACAAATTGATTCGTAGTTGTTTCAGTAATGATAATATTAACATTATTTCTGGCTCAGATGATAAAACTGTTACTATGTGGAATGTATCATCAAGAAGAATGGCAAACAAACTTGCGGGTCATGAAGGTTCTGTTCTAGATGTGGATTTCCATCCAACAGAGAAGATACTTCTTTCAACTGCTGTTGATGGCTCGATTATTGTAAGAGAATTATAATGTTTATTCAAAATCTTACTTTTTTCCGGACAGGTCCTCCAATTTTCTTTTTAAGATTCATATCTTCCTGTTCATCTTTTTCATCCACCATGCTTTTTATAAATTGATCTTTCAAAAAGTCACGAGTAATTTTTTGATTTTTGGCTGAATTCAATTTGGTTAAATTGTCCTTATTGAAAAGAAACACTTTCCAATTCCTCATTATTGTATTATTATCTATTGTAAGGACATCTTCATGATCGTTCAAAGCAGAAGGGTCATCGAATTCTTCTTTTTTTGCAAATTTGCCTGAATCATTGGCAGGGGCTATAAAGGGAGCATACTCGTTCTCTGACTCATCCATATCTAAAAATTTGTGTCTTAATATAAATTCTTGCATCCCAGTATCATCAATGACGTATTTCTTCTTCTCGTCACTACTTGCTTCTGTACTTTGATTCAATCTTTTCTTATAAATTTCTTCTTCCAAAGTATCTTCTAATACTAACGTCTCAACATGCACCTCATTGGTTTGTCCAATCCTGTGAGCTCTTTTGATGGCTTGTGCTTCAACTGATCTTTGCCAAACAGGGCTAATAAAATAAACCTTGGTGGCTGCAATAATAGTTAACCCATGTGCTGCTAATCTCAAATCCATAATTAAAGTAATACCACCGTCCTTTTCACTAGGGAATGCACTAAATTCGGACAAATTGGCTGCTCTTTGTGCAGTGTTAATAAATGTAGCATACAAAATATAATTTATACCCAAAATATCCAACAATTCTGTCAAATAATAAGCACTGTCTTCGAATTCAAAGAATACAATGGATTTTATCTTATCATGTTGATTTTCAAGAAGCTTACTGGCTAGATAAGATAATTTGCTAGAAGCCGTACCAAGTATTATAGCATCTCTCACTTTATCATATGAAATATTATGTTTGGCTAATGAATAAATTGTGTTAACTTCATTAGTTATTTTCAAACCTTCACCATTTTCCCTTCCTAGCTCAGTCTTAGATTCAATATCATCTAAATCTTGTGAGCTTCGACGCTTATGGCCTTTAGCCAGCTTCTTGGTAGGAGATTTCGGCTTAGCTTTTGGTTTGGGTTTGGGTTTGGGTTTGGGTTTGGGTCTCTGTTGAGGGATAGGTGCATCAGGAGAATCAATCGCCATTTTTATACGTTCTTGTAAAAAATCATTATCGTCATTATCTTTGTCTTGCTTGTTGAATTTTTGCTTGTTCTGTTTCATAGTATTCTTCCAATAGTTGGACCAAAAAGGTTTTGACAATTCTTCCAACTTCTCTGTCACTTTAGTTTCGTCATTCATATCAATGAATCTGTTTTTGTAGAAAAAGTCTTGAAGCTGGTTGATATGAGGAGCTCCAAATATCCCAATATCATTTTGATCGCCATTAGCATCGACTGATTCTAAAACTCCTGTACCGAAGGTTTTGGTGAAAATATCAGGTAAACCTGTGATATAATAGTTCATTTCATGTAATAAGGCAATTGTTCTCCACCGGGGATTATTCAATGCTGAACTAGCTGTATCCATGGATTTTTCCAATAATTCCACATCTTGTCGATTATATACTGAATCCCCATTGGGTTTACGCTTTTCTAAAGCTTTCTTACAAATATGAATCAAAGTTTCAATATCTTCTTGTTTAAACCCACTCCAGTGGAAAGTGGCTCTTTGTAAATTGGTGATCAATCTTCTCAACTGTTGTCTATTGGCTGGATGAAACATATAATCAACATCTTTCCTTTCGGAAGAAACAGCATTGACAGCCAACACAGCCGCAAAGATATTTATAGCCAACTTATTGTGGAACGAAGGTTTCAAAAAAACCGATACATGATGTAATTGAGGTAACTTTATATCCCTCTCAACTTCATCCAACGAATGTCTTACAACTATTGAGTTCAAAAGATTGGTTAAACTAGCCGTAGATCCATAAATATCATCAACCAAAGGTCTTATCATTGAATTGTTCCATAGTTTAGGTTGAGAATGGAATGGCTCTATTTTCAAAAAATTTGAAATAATGTTACCCAACTTCACTAAGTCATCACGTTCATTGAAATTATTTTTGACCACATACTTGTTCTTCCTCTTGGGAGAATTAGTTATTGATGATTTACCCTCCTCGTCTTCTTCATCCATATGTAATCTTGTAAGTCCAGAAGTGGGGGTTCCAGTGACGGCCCATCTCCTTTCAGCATGAATGTCTCTACACAAAATACCAGCTCTTGATGTTTTAGAGTTCATACTGTGACCTTCATCAATTATCAATCGTTTCCAGAAGATGTTTAGGAAAGGACTATCAAAATATTCATCCAATTGTTTGGACAAAATTGATAATGAGACCACTATTAAGTCGAATTTTAGGAAGTACACCGGGTCAAACCTAACAATACTAGTGAAAACGCCATTTTCTGAAATGATTTCCTTTTTGAATTGATTAGAAATAAATAACTTTTTCAAGAACGTTGGCTCGATGTGTTTCTTCAATTCTGTGTTCCATTGATGGAATAAATTATCTGGTACAACAATTAACGTTGTATTGCAATAATATAGCGTACGGAAATGCCTACCTTCTTGAGGGAGTTCTTCATCAAGGTCTTTAATCCTTTCTGAACGACGACTTTTTTGCACACTATAAGGAGTTACGTATTCAGAATTCTCCAATGGAATTCGAAAGTATCCTGGGGAATCGTCTAGATATTTAGCAATTGATTCGGGTATCTCATCAATGTAGTATTTCCATGGGAGTGAATTCTGGGTTATGGTTTGACGACAAAATTCAGTGAGTTTTTTCACCGGTTGATATTGAGGAGGATTCTTTGGAACTAGTTCATTATATTCGTCTAAAATCATTTCACTTACCTCAGGAGTTTGTTGCAAGAATATAAGATAATCTTGAGGTAAAACAGATATCTCCCATTTCGTCATACATATCAAACTCAAACATATAAGAGTCTTACCCAAACCCATATTCTCCGCTAGTATACCACCTCTTGGTTGTTTGAAAATCTCTGGTTTGAGGTAGAACACGTCATTGGTGATATCAAAATAATACTTTGATTTTTTGTCACATGAGGATAATTCAATGAAATTAGGGATTAATGTTGTTCCTGGTATCGACTCCTTCTCATACATTTTACTCAAGGATTTGATTTGAAAAGGGTATAGTTGAGTTTTTACTCCTGGGATAGAGGTGTTGCCTTCCAGCATGTTATGCACTAGATTCACAATAACTTCTTCTGCATTGGGGACAAGATTCTTAAAATTCTTGGTGGTAGATTGATTATAATACTTTGAAATATCAGGCGAAGGTATGGAATTGTAGATATTTTGAACTTTGATCGCAAGAGTTTCATTGCTTGCAGAAATCGGGGCCGGTATGTAGGGTAGATTCTTACACCATCTATCTAGATGAAAATTATCCTTTTGGTTAGACTCTTGAACATTCTTGGTGAAACGACAATCGATCAATAATATAGGAAATTCGTCAACATGAGACCAATTGTGAAAGGAAAAGTCAAGATTATTAACCAATTTATGCCAAGCAGTTTTGAATTTCTTCTTTAATTCGAATTTCTTGGGTCTTGAAGCTCTCCATTCACTTAAATATTTCGAATCTTTAGTATCTGAAGGCACCGCATATATTCTTATTTTAGCAATTGTGGTAACACCGAATTTAAACATTTTATAAGTGGCCATGATATAACGAAAGGTGATAAGAAACCTTATATCATGTAATATAGGATGCATGTCACCGTCAATTACATAATTGAAGAAATCAATATCCAACCATTTCCACTCATCGTGCCCCTCATCTAATCTGTTATCTGAAGCCTCATCAGACGGAAGAATGTTGATCCCACCCAATTCCGATTTGTCGAATGGCAAATTATAAAAGTTTAAACTTCCAATACCTACAAGGTTGGATAGGTCGTTGGTTATCTCGACAACAGATTGATATAATTTCCTACCATTCATTGCATTTTATCTCAAAATTCGCAACTACCGCATTTAATCTCTATAAAATGTGAAATTTACCAAACATAAAATAAATTAAAATATGTGAAATAAAAAGTTGAAAAAGAGTAAGTTTTAAATCTCTAAGAAATGGAAGAAGACGATAAACGAAGACAAAAGAAGTTAGTTGGAAACAAATCCTTAACTTTAAAAGGTTTCCTAGGGTATGCAACTTTAACAACCTCATTTCGTCTTTCGATAAGATAAGAATTGACTGGAGATGCCTTCAAGAGGTCCAAGAATCCCCTCAAAACCTTTTTTCAAACCTTTTTATTGACCTCTAAGAATCAATAAATTAAAAACAAGGTTAGAACACTCTCCGATAGATCGGCAATAAATTGTGAGTAATACTTCAACTCGGTGTCAAAGACCAATTAGGAAAGTGAGCCGACCAAAACCTTCGAGTCATAACTTTAATTACCAAGGAATTACGAAAAACAATGTGTTCAAGAAGGAATAATCACTGGTAAGGTTTCAAATCCTCTAATATGATTGGTCGATATTGCCACTGTTGGTCGAATGGCTCCATTAGCAGGTACAGGATATTTCGCGTAAATTCTTATCTATTTGGAAAATTAACTTCAGTATATAAGGAACAAAAATCCCTGATTGTTTAAAAAAAGATAATTTGAAAATGTTTGACATATTATCAATGAATATTGAGCCGGGGATTCTACAATCTCATTGCTCGATTGATAAATCATGGGAGAAGTTCTTATATAACCCTTATGAGAATTCAATAAATCCATGCTTCTTATCATTTTTCAATGGTTGTTTTAATGCTATCTTTGCCATTCCAATTCTTTATAAAATTATTCAATTATTATATTATAATTCTTATGGACTCAATAGTATTAAATATTCATTTGGTTCAACTTTCAACTTAAGAAGTGTTGGAATTTATAATATCGTTAAATATAATGCTATATTTATTCAAATTATTTTAAGTTTAGTATTGTTAAGTTTTAATAGTAAAAGTTTTAATGATGTTAAATTCTTATCATTATTAGTTCAAAACTTAGTCTTAATTATGTTAGTTTTACCTCTTCAATTGATTGAACCAACAAGAAATATTATCGCTAGTTCTCCTTTATTATTCTATTGGGTTTTAACTCCTGTTATTTATTTTGTCATTGTTATTCAGGATTTTTTTTCTCCTTATAAGATTTATATCCCAAAAACTGACATTGCTATTCAGTCAGTAGTTCATGTGGTTGAAGTGTTTTTATTCATCAATTCCTTATGTATTTACATTTTACAAACTTATTTTTATAAACTGTCAGTTGAATTAATTGATTATTATAATTTGAATGATTGGGATATCACATCTGTTAGAAATGTTTATGAAAGATTTTATTTCCTTTACATGAGAAAAAGTATTAAAATTGCTAAAGAAACTAATACTATTGATATCAATGATTTGCCATCATTTACTCCTGATATTCAAAATGCTAATGCTTATAAATTATTCTTACATTATTGGGATAAATCCGTTGCTAAAGCTGCTGCTCAAACTAAAGAATTAAGATTAAAGGATAAGAATGCTAAAGCCGTTAAACCTTCATTATTCCGTCCCCTTGTTTATATGACAAAATGGTATTTCTTAGGTTGTACAATTTTCGATATTCTTGAATTTTGTACTCAAATTTCACAACCTTTCTTATTGAGGAAATTCCTTATTTTTGCTACTGATAGAGTTCAAAATGTTGGTGATGAGCCAAAACAACCAATTATTGTAGGTATTGTCTTAGCTACTTTGATTTATATTTGCTCGGTTGGTCGTTATACTTCATTCAACAGATATTTCTATAATACCCAATGTTTAGGTGATACTATTTCAACTGCTTTATCATCTCATGTTTATCAAAAGGGTATGAAATTATCTCCTAAGGAAAGAAAAGACAAGAGTGTTGGAGAATTAGTTAATAATATGGCTCAAGATGTTGATACTTTGTCTGAAGCTCCAACTGTTATTACTACTATTGTTCTTCAACCTGTTAGATTATTCTTTTATATGGTAACTTTATATCAATTCCTTGGAATCGGTGCTTTGGCTGGTTTGGGTGCTGCTGTTATTTTAATTCCTCTTGCTTCTGCTTGTTTTGTTTTCGTCATCAAACTTCAAGGTTCTTTAATGAAACATAAAGATGCCAGATCAAAATTAATGAGTGAAATTTTGAATTCTATCAAATCTATCAAATTATATTCCTGGGAAAATCCTATGTTGGAAAGATTGAAATCTATTAGAAATGGTAAAGAATTACTTGTCTTAAGAAATTTAGGAATTTTATCAGCTTTCATCAATGGTATTTGGGATTCCATCCCATTTGCTGTGGCTGTAGCTTCCTTTATTTGTAGTGGAGTTTTCGGTAATACTGTTTTAACTCCTGATGTTATTTTCCCTGCCATTACTATTTTTGATTTATTAACTGAACCTATCATTGTCTTACCATCAATTCTTTCTAGAATTTCAGAATCTAAAGTTGCTATTGATAGATTAATCAACTTGTTCGTTATGGAGGAACTTGAAGTTGAAGGATTAGAAAGAACTTACAGACCTTTGAAGAAAGGTGAAGAAGCTGTTACTTTAAAGAATGCTAGTTTCCTCTGGACAAAAGAAGAACCAAAGGAAATCAAACCTCCAGTTGATGAAGAAAATGATATCGAAAATTCCCAACCAAAGGAAGAAATCAACCCTGTTGCTTTAACTGACATCAATTATGTTGCTAAGAAAGGGGAATTATCATGTCTTGTTGGAAGAGTTGGTACAGGTAAATCTACTTTATTAAAAGCTATCTTGGGTACTATGTTAGTTGACTATAAACCGGAAACTGTTCTCAAAGTTAATGGATCTATTGCTTATTGTGCACAAAATGCTTGGATTTTAAACGCTACTGTTAGAGATAATATCTTATTTGGTAGAAAGTATAATAAAGCTTTCTATGAAGAAACTATTGCTGCTTGTGAATTAACTAAAGATTTTGAAGTATTACCGGATGGTGATAGAACTGTTGTAGGAGAAAAAGGTATTTCATTATCTGGAGGTCAAAAAGCTAGAATTTCTTTAGCTAGAGCTGTTTATTCCAAAGCTGAAATTTATATTTTGGATGATATTCTTTCTGCTGTTGATACTCATGTTGGTAAAAATATTACTAAGAATGTTTTAGGTAAATCAGGTTTATTAGCTTCAAAAACTGTTATTTTAGCTACTAATTCTGTACTTGTCTTACATGAAGCTGATAATATTTGCTTATTGAATGGTGGTAAAATCGTTGAAACTGGTACCTTTGATCAAGTTATGTCAACTGGTTCAGATTTAGCCAATTTAATCAAAGAATTTGGTAAAAAATCCGAAGAACAAGAATTGGAAGAAGCTAAAATTGAAGAAGAGGAAGAAAATGCCAAAAAACTTCAAAAACAAGCTTCTGAAATCAAAGAACAAACTAAAGATGCTAATTCTGATGATGATGATTTGAAACCTTTCATGCCAGAAGGAGAATCCAACAACACATTAACTAGAATTGAAACCAATCATACTGCTGCTCCATCATTTGTCTCATATGGCCATATTTACGAGGATGATTTTGATGATAGTGATTTAGTCAAGAAAACAGGTGATACTGATGAAATCCAATCTAAAGGTAAAGTTGATTTAAGAATCTATTTCACATATTTGAAAGCCTGTGGATATGGTTGGATTTCTTTCTATGTACTTTTATCCACTGGTGGAATTTTCGTTACCATCATAAATTCCTTCATTTTGAAACATTGGTCAGAAGAAAATGCTAAATATGGACGTAATGTTGACGTAGCTTTCTATTTAGTGGCTTATGCCGGAGTGGGTGTTGCTGGAGTTTTATTAAGTGTCTTGGCTTCCATTATTATTAGAGCTTATGTGATTTTGAGAGGTTCAAAACATTTCCATGATACTATGGCAGCTGCCCTTTTCAGATCCCCAATGTCCTTCTTTGAAACTACTCCAATCGGTAGAATTTTGAATAGATTCACTGAAGATATTTCCGTTATTGATTCTCAACTTATTTGGGCTATTACTTTATTTGTTACTTTTGTTTTCAGAGCTGTAGGTGTTTTCGGAATTGTTATTTACAATTTACCAATTATGTTTGTTGTTCTTGGTGTCTTATTATGGTTTTATGATTATTTCAGAAGACAGTTCATTCCTGCTTCAAGAGAATTGAAAAGGTTAAGATCTGCTAATAAATCTCCAGTTTTCTCTCATTTACAAGAATCAGTAACTGGTGTTGATACTATTTGGGCTTATGGACAATTTGATAGATTTAATCACAAATTTTCTCATAATTTAGATAATTTAGTTAAAACTGATCAATCTAACTTGGGGGTTAATCGTTGGTTATCAATGAGGTTACAAGGTTTATCAGCAGTCATTGTATTCTGTTGTACATTGTTAATTGTTTCCACCTTTACAACTGCGAATCCTTTGACTCCAGGTTTAACAGGTTTCATTATGACTTATGTTTTAGATGTCACTGGAACCTTAAATGCTATTGTTAGAAGTTATGCCGATTTGGAAACAAGATCAATTACAATTGAAAGAATTGTTGAATATTGTAATTTAAAACCAGAAGCTGAAATGTCTATTGAAACCACTAAACCCGAAGAATCTTGGCCTCAACATGGTGCTATTAGTTTCAAAAAATATGAAACTAAATATAGAGAAAATTTGGATCCTGTTTTGAGAGATATCGACATTGATATAAAACCTGGAGAAAAAATCGGTATCGTTGGTAGAACTGGTGCTGGTAAATCTACTTTAACTTTAGCATTGTTCCGTATTATTGAAGCTTCAAAAGGTCATATTGAAATCGATGGTGTAGATACTTCAAAGATTGGATTATTTGATTTGAGATCAAAATTAAACATCATTCCTCAAGATTCTCAAGCTTTTGACGGTACTGTTAGAGAAAATTTAGATCCTTTCGGTAAACATACTGATGAAGAATTATGGAAAGTACTTGAATTATCTCATTTGAAAGAACACATCGAAAGTATGAAAACTGAAAAGAAAGAAGATGATGAAGCTAATGACACTAAGAAAGATACAAAGAAAGACACTACTCCAGAAATCGTCAGTGGATTAGAAGCTAGAATCACCGAAGGGGGTTCCAATTTATCTGCTGGTCAAAAACAATTATTATGTTTAGCCAGAGCTTTGTTAAATCCATCTAAAGTATTAATTTTAGATGAAGCCACTGCTTCGGTTGATGTTCAAACAGATAAAATCGTCCAAGATACTATCAGAACCAAATTCAATCAAAAGACAATTTTAACCATTGCTCATAGAATTGAAACTATCTTAGATAGTGATAGAATTTTAGTTCTTGAAAGAGGTGCAGTTAAAGAATTTGCACCTCCCGGGGAATTATTGAAAGATACTTCCTCCATCTTTTATTCACTTTGTAAAGAAGGAGGTCACCTCCCGAAAGAATAATTCTTTCGTCATATAATTAAAAAATATGTTAAATATATTTTGTTTTCTTTAAATTTATCCCCTAAAGTTCTCTTCAAATGAGTTATTCAAGTGAGGTTTTGCAACCGATATAATTCCGCACGATTTCCAAATCTCAAAAGGAGAAATGCATACCTACGCTTTATCTATACCAACTAAGAAAATGGAGCAAGTCAATTGGCTTCCTCCATTGAAAAACTATATAAGACTGATCTATGGTAAAGAAAACGATTATGAACAAGATTTAGACGGATTTAATAAATCGAGACAAGATTTACTGGGAGTTAATCCTTATACTATAGGAACTAAATTGTACTATAAATATTATAGTCAATTGGAATTATTAGATTTAAGAATACCTGTTAATAGTGTAATTGGTAAGAAACTCCAATTTGTATGGTATGATGCCTTCCACAAAACTATTTCTCATGAACAACATTCATTACCTTTTGAAAAGGCTAATATATTATTCAATATTGCTTCAATCTTAAGTAAGGTCGGAGTTTATAAATATGAACAATCAAAAAGAAGTGTTGATTCTGGTGAAGATACCACTAAAGAAGCCATTGAATATTTCCAACAAGCTGCTGGAGTATTACAATTTATAAGTGAAAACTTCTTACATGCACCTTCGGATGATTTGAGTCAATCAAGTTTGAATTTCTTGAATAAGCTCATGTTAGCTCAAAGTCAAGAAATATTTGTTTTGAAAGCAATTATCGGTGACTTGAATCAAAGCAAGAATTCATTGATTGCAAAACTTTGTTCATGTACTTCTAAATATTATTCGGAATGTAACGGTATGATCGATCACAATGTTAAAGAAGGAGTTTCAACATCTGATTATGAGGTTGTTGATACTAATGAAGAATTTGAAGATTTGGAAGATATTGTAGATGAAGAATCCCAAAATCCCAATGATTATAAAATCACCATTCAATTAGAACCATTTTGGATAAGTTTATTAACTTTCAAACAAATTTATTATAAATCTTTAGCATATTATTTCCAAGGATTGCAATTAGAAGCTGGTAAGAAATTTGGTGATGCTATTGGATATTTCACAAAATCCCAACAAATTTTGAATGAAATCAGTTCCGTTACTTTGAATCAGATTTCAAAATCTCCAACAAATGAAGCTTTTGAAGTGTTGGATAACTATAAATTCCATAAGGATGCTTTATCTATCAAGTTGACTGATTTAAACAAGGATAATGATTTGATTTATCACGATCCTATTCCTTCTTTAGTTACATTACCCGAGATTAAACCTCTTGATAGTGCTAGAATGATCCCAATGAATAAAATTGAACTTTTCAAAGAGATAAATGATCACAATTATGAGAATTTCTTGAAGAATGTGGTTCCTATTGATATTCATGAGTTATTAAGTTATTACTCTGAAGAGAAATCTCAATTTTTGAGGAATGAACTTGATATGGTTGATGTTTCTAATGAAGAATTAGCTTCTGTGTTGGAATATTTGAAAATGCCCAAAGCTATTGTCAATTTAAAGGAAATAATCAATGAAAATACAGTTTCTAAAGATTCAGAGGGTGGTATTAGTAGTGAAATTATTCTGAAAGTTAATGAAATTGCTAGAAATTATTCTCAAGATACAACCAATAAGGAGAACATCATGAATTTGAGGAAACAGATCTACGCTACTATCAACGAAATTGAATCTAAGAGTAACAACAGTATGGGAGGCTCTCAATATAAAGATGAAATTATCAAATTGAAAAAATCATTGTATGATGCTACTAATGCTGACGAGAAACTTTTGGGTTTGATTAATGTTGAAAATTCCAAATTATATGATATTTTGGGTAACGGAAGTAATTCCAGAGAGTTTAAACAATTATTCGAAGTTCCTTCTTCTAAAGTCAATTATGACAATGAGACTAGTTTGTTGGATATTATTGACACTCCTCAATCCAATGGATTAGATTCACAAATCAAAAAAATTGAAGATATTTTGTATGATTTGAATGTTATTAAAGCTAATAAACAAAAATTGGTTGATACTTTGAAGACAGAAATTCACAATGATGATATTTCAGATATTCTTGTGTTGAATAGTAAAGTCAAAACAAACAATGAAATTAAGAATGTGATATTCCCTGAAGAATTGAAAAAATTCCAGCCTTACGCCAACGAATTAGACAATTTGATCAACAAACAAAAAGATTTCATTGACAGTTTGAAAGAAAGCTGGGATACGTTATCATCACATCCTAAAGTTAAGGATATCCAATCGTCTAAAACTTTCAAAGACACTCTTATGGTTGACCAAGTTACGAGAATTGAAAAATTTTATACCAATAACTGGAAAAGATACAGCGAAGGATTGAAAAGAGGAGGCACTTTCTACGGTCAATTATTATCATTTGCTAAATCTTTGAGAGATAAAGTGAATGCAAATGATGGTATGAACGAGAGATTTGCCAATATGAATTTAAGTGCCAGTTCGACAGGACAAAATTATCAAGCTCCATCACAGGGACAAAATTATTCACAACCCGGATATGCGCAACCTGGATATGCACAACCTGGATATTCACAAGGCCCAGCTACTACCGGGCCTCCCAGACCTCCACAGCCTTACCAGGCGCAAATTTCACCCATGAATACCAGTTCGTTACATCCTCAACATACACCTCAAGCCACTCCATATCAAGGTTACCAACCAAATTACCAGCCAAACCAACCACAAAACCACCTGCAATATCAAACACAGCCCCAGTTCTTCAATCAGCCAATGTTACAAAGGACTTCCACCAGTGGTTCTAGTGGATATGATCGCGCAGCTCCAAGTTTACCACCAAAACAACCAAATTATTCCCAAACGGCCCCACATAATGGGGGATATCCTCAATCTTCGATACCACAATATCAATCACCCCCATCAAATTCCCCATATGGTTCACAACCTCCCCAACAATCTCATTCTCAATCTCAGTCGTCACAAAACAGCTTGATTTATGATCAACCTTCCACTTACAATCCTAACATGTACAACTTTTTTTCCAAAGAATAGATATATTTCGTACCCCTTTCAACCATTAAACTCTAATTTCATGATAAAACACGTAAATGATAATGAAGTTGGCTGCAAAACTTCGATTCTAAGAATAGAAATATACGACATACCCGATTTGGCCAAATCGACAACACCGCCTGGAATGAAAATTTTTACTCCAGTCGCGGTGATTTAGACATTGTTACACACCCGTTCCATCACTTAAACCTTCGTTATATTAGTATAAATACTTTCGTTAGAGATTTAGCTAGTTTTGGTAACACAAAAATGAAACGATCATTTAATTTGTATTTGTTTTTGGCGATCTTTTTATTCATCGTCAATGTTAAATGTGATGATGATGTTATTACATGTAATTCCACCCAACCATGTCCTGAAGATAAACCATGTTGTTCACAATATGGTACCTGTGGTACTGGAGCATATTGTTTAGGAGGTTGTGATATTAGATTTTCCTTCAATTTAAGTGCTTGTATGCCTATGCCAGTAATGGAAAAGTATAGTAATGATTTTGATAATACCAAAATTTTAATGAAGCAAGAAGAATATTTAGGTAATTTTAGTGAAACAGATTGGGTTTACTCTGGTTATGTAGACACCAATGATGACGCTATTTTACTTCAAATGCCTAACGAATCAACAGGTACCGTTATTTCATCCACCAAATATATTTGGTATGGTAAGATCTCAGCCACTATTAAATCTTCTCATGATAGAGGGGTTATTACAGCTTTTATTCTTTTCTCAGATGTTCAAGATGAAGTCGATTATGAATGGTTAGGTTATAATTTAACTAATCCTCAATCCAATTATTATTTCCAAGGTCTTTTGAATTATACTAATACTAAGAATTCTACAGTTTCTGATACTTTTGAAAATTGGCATTTTTATGAATTCGATTGGAATGAAGATAGAATTGAATGGTTAATTGATGGGGAAGTAGTCCGTACTTTAGAGAAGAAAGATACTTATAATTCAACCAGTAAAAAATATGAATATCCTCAAACTCCTTCTCGTGTTCAATTCTCATTATGGCCGGGTGGTGATTCTAAGAATGCTTTAGGTACCATTGAATGGGCTGGGGGTGAAATTGATTGGGATTCCGATGATATCAAGAAATACGGTTACTATTACTCATACCTTAAGAATGTCACTATTGAACCTTATGATATGCCTGATTTTGTAGCTGAAGTTGATGACCCCGATGCTGACACTGATGAATTCCACGCCTTCCTTTACAATAGTACTGATGGTTACGATACTAATGTTTATTTGACTAACAAGAAAACATGGTTAGGAAGTGGTGATGCTACTGGTCTTGACCCTGATAATGACAGTGATGATGAAGGTGACGTTCATACTGAGACTGTGGTTTCAGGATCGGGATCTAGTAAAACCACCCAAATAAGAACTTCAACTGCTAGTAAGAAAACCGCCAACGTTCCTGATGATGCAGCAGCCACCACTACTACCAGTAATGATTATAACCCAAGTGCCGGTATAGGGGGTTTCATTCAAGATTCTTCACAAACTTCATCAGTAGAATTTGATTCCGGATCCAAATCAGGATCTACTACAACTAATGGGGGAAGCCATGTTGAAGGGTTAGTGGGAGTGATCTCACTTTTGGGATTCGTCGGTTTATCATTATTTGTTTAGTTCATACCGCATAAGAAAAGGTCATATGGTTAAATTTTCTCTCTCTACAACTCTGTACATCTACTATTGGTCAACACTATTTCCAATTGTCATCACTTCCATCAAGTGAAAAAAAAAGGGAAGATCTAACTAGACATCTTATTGACGCGCACACGACTTTTAGCGTGTCCATTTTTTTGAAAAATGAGACCAACGAATCTGCGACGAATCGACAAAAATAAACTTGGGATTCAATTGATTTAATCAACTTCAATTGACTTAAGAATTATCAACTATCACCCTACTAACTTTATAAATTAATAGGAATTTGATAATCTTCTTAAGTATTTTTTTTTGTGAATTTTTATCTCAAATAACCATTACAAGATGAAGATGTTAACTAAGTTCGAGTCCAAATCTTCAAGGGCTAAAGGGGTAGCGTTCCACCCTAAAAGACCTTGGGTTTTGGTATCATTACATTCATCAACCATTCAACTTTGGGATTATAGGATGGGAACATTAATTGATAGATTTGAAGATCATAGTGGTCCTGTTAGATGTGTTGCTTTCCATCCAACTCAACCATTATTCGTTTCTGGTGGTGATGATTATAGTATTAAAGTATGGTCATTAAACACAAGAAAATGTATTTTCACTTTGAATGGACATTTGGATTATTTAAGAGCTGTTTCATTTCATCATGATTTACCATGGATTTTATCATGTTCTGATGATCAAACCATTAGAATTTGGAATTGGCAAAATAGACAAGAAATTGCATGTTTAACTGGTCATAATCATTATGTTGTTTCAGCTCAATTTCATCCAAAAGATGATTTAATAGTATCAGCATCATTTGATCAAACTGTTAGAGTTTGGGATATTTCAGGTTTAAGAAAGAAACATTCAGCTCCAACTTCATCAATGAGATCATTTGAAGATCAATTACAAAGACAACAATTACCTCAACAAGATATCTTTGGTAATGTTAATGCCATAGTGAAATTTGTTTTAGAAGGTCATGATAAAGGTGTTAATTTTGCTGCTTTCCATCCAACTTTACCATTAATTGTTTCAAGTGGTGATGATAGATTAGTTAAATTATGGAGAATGAGTGAAACTAAAGCTTGGGAAGTTGATTCCTGTAGAGGTCATACTGGTAGTGTTTTAAGTGCTATTTTCCATCCAACAGAAGATTTAATTTTATCAGTTTCTGATGATAAAACTATCAGAGTTTGGGATTTGAATAAAAGAACTCCAGTTAAACAATTCAGAAGAGAACATGATAGATTTTGGTTAGTTGGATGTCATCCAAATATTAATTTATTTGCAACTTGTCATGATTCAGGAGTTATGATTTTTAAATTGGAAAGAGAAAGACCAGCTCATACTATCTTTCAAAATAAATTATATTATGTTAATGGTGAAAAACAAGTACAAAGTTATGATTTCATGAAGAAAGAAAATTCTTTACCAATGTTATCATTGAAAAAAATTGGTAAAACTTGGAGTTTTATAAGAACCATGTATTATAATCAATCAGATAATTCAATATTAGTAACTCATGGTACTGGAGATGAAGGTAAATATTCTTTAATCACTTTACCAAAACATGTTACTGGAGCTATTGAACCATCAGATTTAAGACAAGGTGATGGTAATTTTGCTTGTTTCATATCAAGAAATAGATTCGTAGTATTTTTAAAATCTTCTAAAACTTTAGAAGTTAAAGATTTAAATAATAATGTTACTAAATCAATTCAATTGGATTCTTCTGTAGTAGATGTTTTATATGGAGGTCCTGGTAAAGTTTTATTAGTTAAAGCTCATTCAGTTATTAACTATGATGTTCAACAAAGAAAAGAATTGGCAGAAATTAGTGTCAATAATGTTAAATACGTTTCATGGTCAAATTCTGGTCAATATGTTGCTTTATTATCCAAACATACTATTACCATTGCTAATAAAGATTTACAATTGGTAAATTCTTTACATGAAACTATCAGAATTAAGAGTGCTTCATGGGATGATTCCGATGTTTTATTATATTCAACTTTAAATCATATCAAATATACTTTATTGAATGGTGATAATGGTATCATTAAAACCTTGGAAAATACTTTATATATTACCAAAGTTAGTCAAAACAAAGTTTTCTGTCTTAATAGAAAAGGTGAAGTTGAATTAGTTGAAATTGATCCAACTGAATATAGATTCAAGAGAGCTTTAGTTAATAAAAACTTGAAAGAAGTTGTTAGAATGATTAATAATTCTAATTTAGTTGGTCAAAATATCATTGCTTACTTAGAAAAGAAAGGATACCCAGAAGTTGCTTTAGGTTTTGTTACTGACCCTGAAACAAGATTTGATTTAGCTTTAGAATGTGGGAATTTGAAAGTTGCTTTGGAAGAAGCTGAAAAATTGGATGATAATAATATTTGGGAAAGATTAAGTGTTGAAGCTTTACATCAAGGAAATATTGAAGTTGTTGAATTATGTTATCAACAATTAAAATTATTTGATAAATTATCATTCCTTTACCTTTATAAAGGTGATAGTGAAAGATTAGCTAAAATGTCTATTATTGCTGAACACAGAGGTGATTATTCATCATTGATCCAAAATACTTTATACAACAATGATGTAGAGAAAAGATGTAAAGTTTTCATGGAAGGTAAAATGTATCCTTTAGCTTATACGTTAGCAAAATCAAATGGTTTAGATGATTTAGTCGAAGAAATTGTTGCTTTATCCGGTATCGAAGAAAGTGAAATTGAATTACCTGAATTAGGTGAACCTTTAACTATTCCTCAACCCGTTTCTAATCCTATTGGAAATTGGCCATTGAAGCCTTCTGAGTTAAGTTTCTTCGAAGCTGCTGCTTTGAATGGTGGTATTGAAGATTTAACCATTGAAGAGGAATCTACTAATGTTGAAAAAGAAGCAGAAGTAGATTTCATTGATGAAGTTGAAGATGATGAAGAAGAAGAAAGTGGTTGGGGTATGGATGACGAAGATTTAGACATTGGTGAAGATGAAGTTGAAGTCGAAGAAATTGTTGAAGATACTCCAATTCCTGCAGTCGAAGGAGAAGTTGGTTATTGGTTACGTAATGCCAAAACCGCTGCCACTTATATTGCTGCAGGTGCTTTTGAACAAGGGGCTTCGATGTTGAATAAACAATTAGGAGTTAAAGATTTCGAACCTTTAAGATCAAGATTTTTGGAAGTTTACGAAGCTAATAAAGTATTTTTACCAGGTTTGGATGGTTTACCAGCCATGAAGGATTATATAAGATCAGATAATGATGAAGATAATCCTAATAAATTTGGTCCATTCATTCCAGGATTTGATACTTTAGAAGATAAATTGGCTTCAGGTTTCAAATTCTTCAAAGCTAATAATTTACCTGAAGCTATCAAAATTTTCAGAGAAATTATTTATACCATCGCTGTTATCAAAGTTGAAGATGAAGATCAACAAGCTAAATGTGAAGAAATTTTAGCTTTATGCCGAGAATACATCTTGGGTTTAACTATAGAGTTATCAAGACGTGAAATTGAAAGTAGTGATATGAAACGTAATTTGGAATTAGCAGCCTATTTCACTCGTACTAAATTACAAAATGCTCATAAAGTAAATGCTTTACAAGTTGCAATGTCACAATGTTTCAAGAATAAAAATTACTCCAGTGCTTCATATTTTGCTGGAGAATTGATGAATTTAGTTCCAAGTGGTCCAAGAGCTGATCAAGCTTCTAAAATTAAATCTAAATCAGATTCCATCTCCAATGATGCTATAGAACTTGATTTTGATCCTTATGCCGAATTTGATATTTGTTGTGGTTCATTAACTCCTATATACAAAGGATCTCCATCAGTACTGGAAGCTTTAGTTGGAGCTAAGTATAAACCAGAATTCCAAGGTAAGATTTGTAAGATTACCGAAATCACACTAATTGGAGCTCCTGCTTCAGGTTTAAGAATTAGAAATTAAAAGTATTGATTTGTTCCTCATCTCTTATCTTTCACAAGTAACCTATACCCTCTTCACTGTCACCATCTCTTGTTTGAACTCCAATATTGGACTTGATGATTCAATTATCCTCTCGGTCTTACGAAGGTAAAGTTCCTGACTCGGTCGCGATTTTCTGATCAAAGACTGAAAAATGGATGCTAAAGAACAAGCCATCAAATTGAAGGACCAAGGGAATAAGTGTCTCAAAGAGTTGAAGTTTGATGATGCTATTGATTGTTATACCAAAGCCATTGAATTAGATGATCAAAATGCAGTGTTTTATTCCAATAGAGCTCAAGTTCATATAAAGTTGGAGAATTATGGTTTAGCTATTGCTGATTGTGATAACGCTTTAAAAGTTGATCCCAATATGATGAAAGCTTACTATCGTAAAGGGGTTTCATTAATGGCTATTTTGAACTATAAAGAAGCTCAAAAAAACTTTAAAATTATCTTAGCTAAAATACCCAACGATAAATTAACATTAGAAAACTACAAACAAACTGTTAGTTATTTAAAGAAACAAGCTTTTGAAAGAGCTATTGCTGGAGATGCTAAAGAACTTTTAATCAATAGCATAAACTATGAATCTATCTTGATAGAAAAAACTTGGGAAGGACCAGAATTAACTATTCAAAGTAAAAAAACTGATGATGGATTAGATATAAATATTCAAGGATTAGATGAAGAATATTTGAAATACATGATCAAATTATTCAAAGACGGTGGTAGATTACCTAAAAAACACGTTTTTGCCATCATTTCAAAAGTTTATACCCTTTTGAAGAAGGAGAGTACTATGACAGAATTAATCATCCCCCATTCTAAAATTAATCCTCAAGATTATGATAATTATTCAACCGATGCTTTGGTTTTAGGTGAAGCAAAGAAAATTACTGTTGTTGGTGATACCCATGGTCAATTCTATGATGTGTTAAATTTATTCAAAAGATTCGGAAAAGTATCGAAAGATCATATTTATTTATTTAATGGAGATTTTGTTGATAGAGGATCTTGGTCATGTGAAGTGGCATTGTATTTGTACGTTTTGAAGGTATTATATCCACAATCTATCTTCATTAACAGAGGTAATCATGAAACTAACGATATGAATAAAACTTATGGATTCACTGATGAATGTGAACATAAATATAGTAAGAAGATTTTTGATGTATTTGCCGAATCATTTGGTGCTTTACCTTATGCTTCATTAATCAATGGATCTTATTTAATCATGCATGGAGGATTATTCTCTGATGATCATGTTAAATTAAATGATATTAAACAATTGAATAGATTCCCTTCATCAGGATCAACTCAACCTCCAAGGGATGGAATTGCCATGGAATTGTTATGGACTGATCCTCAAAATGTCAATGGTAGAGCTCCTTCTAAAAGAGGTATAGGTATGCAATTTGGTCCTGATATTACCGAAAGATTCTGTTTAAGTAATAAAATCCGTAAAGTTTTAAGATCTCATGAAGTAAGAATGGACGGTGTTGAAGAAGAACATAATGGAAGATTAATCACTGTTTTCAGTGCTCCAAATTATTGTGATGCTACTGGTAATAAAGGAGGTGTAGTTCATATAACTGAAAATACTCAGTATAATCCTGAAAATGATGATGGTGAAGGATTCAGGAACCCCGATGTTAATTGTCCTTGGGATCTTGATATCCAAACTTTTGAAGCAGTACCCCATCCTGATATCAAACCAATGGCTTATTCAAAGAGTGGATTTGGCTTTTAAATCCCCCATAAGAATTTCTTGTATAGTAAATAATTCTCAAAATTTTCCATGTCCTCTCAACCTACTCATGACGATAGAGTCGACCAACCAGATGATGACGAGCCAGATGAATGGGATAAGCGGATCATTAAGACGGGATGTCACGATGAAAACTTAAAGTTACAATTATGCCATGCTGATACTGGGGATTGGAGACAATGTACCAAAGAGATGGAAGCATTCAGGAAATGTTGGAGTGATCATAATAATAATCAAAGAGTGAGGACAGTCGATAATGATATTGATTAATTGGTCTAGTGACGATGAAGTATCACTGTTGAAGTCTCGGGGTGATATCATCAAAATCAAAATTATCAACACCAAAAACCACGCTTTAAGTGGTTCTGTAAATAGAAATATATCTTCGCACTGTTTACATGGAGTATCATCAAAGTATAGATCTGATCTCTTTGGAACATAGTGGTAGTGAGCCTGAAGCTGAGTATCCTCAGTTCAAATCTGATCAGGATTTTCAGGACGAAATACGGAGACTAAAGAAACAAAGCTCAAAGAAATTTAAGAGTAAATGGGAAGAAATACTAGACAAGTACAGTAAGATAGATGATGATATTGAAAGTGATGAAATAGATATACTAACAGGGAAAATTACCATTGATAATGGCCACTTGAAATCCTTAAGGAAAGAGTCCGACCAGGTGTTAAATGGAAATGTATGGGCCATTGATTATGACAAAGAACGAGATGTTAGAAATAATAGAAGACGTGAATTAAGAATTAAGAATAAGAAAACTGTTTTGAAACAAGAACTCAAAGATCACGATAAGTTCATGAAACGACCATCGCCCACCAGAAACACCAGAATAGCTGAAGACAATATATTATTACTTGATCCTTCACCTAAGAAACAAAGAGTATCACCTACGAAAAGTTTGAACCGATATGATCATTTGGAGATATCTCCTACGAATAATTATGATACTGAAAGTGATGATGAGGAAAGTGACGAAGAACCCATTGAATTTGCATCCACACCCACTAAGAAATACTTTGATTTTACTCCGTTTCGTATTACTCCTCAACCTCATACTGAAGGTGAAATCGAAAGTGGTAGTGAAAGTGATAGTGAGATAGACAGTGAAGATGTTTCTAATAGCAAGATAATAATTCAAGAATCAGACTCAGAATCGGAATCCTCAACTTCAATCAAATTCCAAACTCCAAGCGATACTCCTCAACCTAATCCATTTCAAGAACCCCAATCCCCCGTTCAAGAAGAATCTAGTGACTTTGATGACAACTATTCCATAATAACGTCACCTTATTCCAACCTCAAACCTCAATCAAGGTTCCTTAAATGTTATTTCCAAGACTGTTTCTATACAACAGGGAATCATAGCATTTTCAAACGTCATTTATTATCTGATCACCGTGATGAGTTATACATTATTGGATATCCCATCTTTAAAGATGAGACTTCTGGGAAAAATTGCCATGTAACCAGATCTATGGTCCAATCTATAACCAAAGATTTCCCTATCATTCATGAAATACCTCCTCTACCACATTCTAAAGATCATAAAATGTTCAAATGTGGACTCAAATTGAAGCACAAACATTGTACAAGAGAATTTGTTGATGTCAACGAACTAAACTATCATCAAGAGAACTATCCTTTCAAATGTAGTAAAAAGGTACAGGTCTACGTTTGTCCTGTTTTAGGATGTGGATTCATGACTGACGAAGGATACCTTCAATGGAGACACCATTTCATAGATAAAAATCATTGTCAAGGTGAACCTAGAGGGTATATCCATGATGATATCAAAGAAGTTGTCAAACATGAGACAAGAGTCAGTGAACAAAAGGTCAGTGAACAAAGGGCCAGTGAACAAAAGGTCAGTGAACAAAAAGTCAAATCTAAAAAAAATGAACTTGAATTCAAAATCTTACCCCAATATACACCCAAGACCATCGATTTTGGCAAGGTAGATGATGAAATAGAGCGATTGTTCAATAGTGATTAGAATGTAATATATGTATAGTATAATTATGTACAAGTAATTTTCTCTTAAAAGCCATAAATTTAAGCAGTTTGAGCTCCATCAGCTTCAGCTTCAGGATCAGTTTCAGGTTTCTTTGGTCTTGGTTTGAAAGCATCTGAGTTTTTGATGTATTTATCGAAAGCATCATTATTATCAGGGAATGGTCTTTCACCACAAATTCTGATCATATCTTCTCTGGTAAGAACTTCTTTTTTATATAATTCTTTGGCCACAGCATCAACCAATTCAATCTTTTCTTGAAGTAAGTTTTTACATTCAACGTAAGCTTCATCGATAAATCTTTTGATTTCTAAATCAATGGTTCTAGCAGTTTCTTCAGAATACATGTTGTGGACTTTAAACCCATTGGAATCAGAATTATCATAATAGATTTGACCTATTTTAGGTGACATTCCCAATTGTAAAATCATCGATTGAGCCATTTGAGTTACTTTTTTGAAATCATCTGAAGCTCCACTGGTAACAGTATCAAAATGTAATTCTTCACTAACTCTACCACCTAAAGTCATAATCATTCTATGATTATATTGTTCTTGAGTCAATAAGTATTGATCTTTAGGTAAATATTGAGCATAACCCAAAGCTCCTTGACCTCTTGGAATAATAGAAACCTTAACTAATGGATCAGCATATTTCAAGAACCACCCACAGATAGCATGTCCAGCTTCATGATAAGCAACAGTCTTCTTTTCATCTAATGACAAAACACGGCTCTTCTTTTCCAAACCAGCAATGACTTTTTCAATAGCTTGTTCGAAATGATAAGTATCAACAGATGAAGCATCATCTCTTGCAGCTAATAAAGCACCTTCATTACAACAATTGGCAATATCGGCCCCAGCAAAACCTGGTGTAAGAGCACTTAATCTTCCAGCTAAATTTTCCATAGCTTCGGCCTTTAATTTTTGATATTCATTGAAATCGATTTCGGTGTCACTTGGTTTGATATCTTCAACACATTTTAATGTAATTTTAGATAAATGAACTTTGAAGATTTCTTTTCTACCTTCAACATCAGGAACATCAATAGAAATATGTCTATCAAATCTTCCAGGTCTTAATAAAGCCTTATCCAAGATATCTGGTCTATTGGTACCAGCTAAAACAACAACGTGATCAGAACTTTCGAATCCGTCCATTTCAACTAATAATTGATTCAAAGTATTTTCCTTTTCATCATTACCTCCACGTCCATTACCTCTTTCTTTTCCAATAGCATCAATTTCATCGACAAAAATAATAGCAGGGGCCATTTGTCTTGCGGTTTTGAATAAATCTCTAACTCTAGAGGCACCCACACCAACAAACATTTCCACGAATTCGGAACCTGAAACTGACAAGAAAGGAACATTAGCTTCACCTGCAGTGGCTTTGGCTAATAAAGTCTTACCAGTACCGGGAGGACCAGATAAAATAGCACCACGAGGAATCTTAGCTCCCAAAGCTTCATATTTTTTAGGATCTTGTAAGAATTTGACGAATTCCATGATTTCTTCTTTACTTTCATCACATCCAGCAACATCTTTGAACTTAATCTTAACGTCGGTTTCTTGATTAAATAATCTGGCTTTGGATTTCCCAATTTGGAATAAGCCTCCTCCTTGACCTCCAACACCACCACCTCTATTAGGATTTCTTCTGAAAGTTATATAATATAATCCACCAATAAGGAAAACTGTAGGTAACATAGGAATCAAAAAATTCAACCATGAACCTCTTTCCTCGAAAGAAATTGGGATTCTTTCTTCAATTGGGATCCCTAATTTATCTTGAATTTCATTGACTTCCTTCTCAAAAAATTCCACTGAACCAATACTGAACACAACAGCTGATTTGCCACCAAAGTTGATGGTTTGATCAGATGAAGTGCCAGGAACTAAATCAGCTTCGACGATAAATTTATTTATAACGTTGATTTTAGTCACTAAACCTTTGGATAAAAACTTACTCTTGAAATCTTGGAAAGTTAATTCTTGTTTTTTACCATCATCTCCACTTAAAAGGTATCCTATGAGCATGGAACCAAGGAAGACTTGAAGTAAAAAACTATAGAACATTTTTTGATCACCAGAGACCGTCGAGAATAATTGACCAAAAGCTTTAAATGGTGATCCTTCAGGTTTCTTTCCTCTATTGCCCATTGACTTCATGAAATCATCAAACGCTTTATTTATTTCATCCTTTTCCTTTTGTTGTCTTTTCTTAAGCTCTTCTTCGATTTCTTTACGTTCTTTCATTTCTTGGTCTTTATCCGAATCTTCTTGGGATTTCTGGGGTTTCTTTTCTTGATCTTTTTCTGGCTGTTTATTGAATCTTATAGGTGAATAATGAATGAATCTTGGAGTTATATACCCTGAAGTCAACCTAGGTTTAGGTAAAGACCTCAGGACTCGAGATATTTGACACATTAAGAGTCTATTCATTGCCTTCAGTTTTTCGCTCGATTTTCGCATCACTATTTTGAGACAACAGGAAATGTGGTATTCCAGAGCTATAAATCTATAGAGAGCTTTAAATCTATAGAGAGCTATGAATCTATAGAGAGGTCTAGCAACTGAAGAGAGGACATATCTCTATCTTGTATTAATCCTGATTTGAAAATTCATCCCATATCTTTTCACAAATTCTTAAAAATTTCTCTTTATCTTGTTTTTGATCATGATTGAAGATTTTAAAGTTGTAATTAATAGAATTCAGGAAGTTTATTGACCCTACCAATTCTCCTGGATTTTGTGTAGTTTGGTGAGGATTTATTAAAGGTGCTGATAAGGGGCCCGATAAAGGATTTAATCGATATTTGTTGGGTATAGGTAATGATTGTATTGAAGGTAATTTCTTCTTAGTTTCACCTGCTTTATACTTTTCTTCCATTTCTCTGATTTCATCATCAGAAACTGGTGTTCTATCATTGATTTTTTTATTAAAATATTCTCTTTGTGATGATAATGGTTGAGATTGGAAAGGTGCATATTTGAATTTATCATTAACGAAGACGTCTACCACTTTATTCATTTTTGTTGGTTGTGAAACAAATGAAATTGTTTGATTTGGTGTACGTAAATCATTCATAATATCTTGTTCTTCTATATAATCTGAAGGTTTTTCATCATTTAATGGAGTTTGAGGGTATGGTCTTGCAGATTGTGGAGTTGCTTGTAAAAATTTTGGATGTAAATGTTGATTTTGAAGATATTTCCTTTTATAAGGAGATGATTTATGTGGAGTTAAATAAGTTTGGAAAACATTCTGTGTTGCACTTGGTGGACCTGTAATAGGACCTGTCATTGGACCTGCCATAGTTTGAGGAACTTGAGGAAATTGTGCAGTTTTTGGAGTTGGTTTTAATCTAAATCTTGAAACCAAAGGGGCTGAATGAATGATTTTTGGAGCTGGAGCTGTTGAAATATTTAATGGTGAAGGAACATGTTTACGTTTTAAACCTCTAGTGGTATTTTTATTACCCAATTTAATATCTGGTATTTCTTTAGATTCTTCTGATTCAGATACTTCGGAATCTTGACTTTTACCATCCGAAGACTTAATTTCATCTATTGGAGGTTCTTCATCATTTCCAGATTCAGAATTTTTAGACTCATTATCTGAATCTTCAGATTGAACAACTTCATCTTTTTGTTTCAACTTTGATGTTAATATATCTAATTTCTCTTTTTCATGATTAATCTTTTCAGTTAAATCTTCAAAATCAGTTCCATTTCTTGAAGCAATTAGTTTCATTTGTTGTAATTGAATATCTTGACTCACTTTCATAGTTTCAATCATTTCATTACTTAATCCTTTTATTTTCACGTGGAAATCATCATTGAAAGTATCATCATGTTTACTATCTTTCTTATCTTTACCTTTCTTCTTCAAATCCTTCTTCATCTTTAAATCTTTTTTAATGATATTATTAGGTTTAATGACTTGTATCTCCGACATTATATTACAATATTTTACAAATGAACACACCCCAATAAAAAAAAACGATCTATATCCAAATAATCTTTTGATAAAAATAATATGATTTTAATATAGGAAAATTAACTTGGTTTGATAATGAATGAATGAATAAGTTAGTTTAGTGAATTAAAATGATTATGTTCCTAAATATATAAATAAATAATTCGTGTAGAATTTAACTAAAAATGGATAAACGATTAGAATGTAATTGAGAATGCGAGTTTTTCCTCTGTGTCAGAACTTATGTTAGTTTTAGGAAAGGGACCCAATAAGATTAAAAAATCGTTATTATACTGAAAACTTGACCAAATAATTGAAATATTCAAAGTTTTAATATCTAAGAAATGGAATAAATTGTAAAATGAATTTTTTAAAGTGATAAATTTCAAATTAAAATTTCACATTATTTTACATTTTCAAGTGTAACATTAAAGGCGACTCAGGGTCAACAATTGAAATGCGATCTCTGTAACTCTATTGTCTATGCATTTCGGGAAATGTTGACCGTGGAAGTTTCCAAGCGATAGTTTGGTGATTAAATAACCATCCTGGAGGTTTGGTGATGAAGTTTAGATGTTAATTACCAAGAGTCTAGATTGGGGGGTGAGAATTCTATGCATAATTAGGACGTCTTATATGGATTTAAGCAAAATCTTACAGTAAAAATTTTTCTCCGTCTGGGGACCTAAGGTAAGAAGAATAAATGTCAAAGGGAATGGCATGATACAATACAGAATGATGAGAATATGAATAATCTGGGACAATAACCATAAACATTGTTTATGGTGACGAAAATGGATTATCGGAAGTATAAAGTTGTACAAAAAAGGAAACAGCGATTACCTAAAAAAAAAAATGGAGATAAGAGAATACGAAAAAGACAGATACGTCAATTGAATAAAATCTTTTATAATGTCTAACCAGAGAAATTTTCCCATCCTTTCATTCTTGGTAAATTCTTTAAAGTATGGAATTTTTTAGTACATGAATAGTCCTTCCAAGTGAAATCATCTTTTGGATTACATGCACATCTTTTAGCTTTTCTAATTTCTGGGTCAACAGGACAATTATTGAAAGGAACATGGAAATATCCAACATCGTCAAAGAAATGGATTTCATCTTTATTTAAGAATAAAGCAGCAGCAATTGAATGAACTGGTGCATCACCCCATCTTTCATAGAAAAATCCTCCAGCTTTATCTAAATGTTCAAAATATTTAACATAACCTTCAGATCTCCAGAAATTCAAATCAGCAATTTCGAAATTTGACCAGAAATGACATCCATTATAAGTTTCACCGTTATCATTAGAAATCCATTCTAACATATTATCTTTGGCTAAATATTGTTGATTTTCTTTAATGAAACTCTTAGTAGTTTCCCATAAAGTTGGAATAGTTTCTTTATATTCTGGTAAAGTAATGGTGAAAGAATATTTCTTTTTGTTATCTTTCATGAATTTAAAGATATCATAATCGATATCACAATAGATTTTAATATCTGGTTCAACTCTCCAATAATATTCATATTCATCTAATAATGGATGTCTCCAGAAGAATCCTGATTCATATCTACACATATGTCTGTAAGGAACTGAACCACCATAGATAACTTTCTTTTCAACCATCTTTTCTCTAGCTAAAGCGGCTTTTTCTTGGTCAATCCAATCTGGGTATGACCATTGTTCTTTTGGAATTAATCCATAACTAGTTTTACCACTAACAATAGAAGAGGTAACTTCTTTAAATTCTTCAGTGAATTCTTCATCATTCAAGAAAACCCAATCATAATGGTATTTACCATTGAATCTATCTTCAACTTGTCTAATAGATCCTAATAAACTATATAAATCATTATTTCTAGCTAATGAAACGAATGTAGCTTTGATTTTTTCTCCAGCAACAGGTTTCAATTTTTCTGATCCAACAGTACCAGCGTATTCGCCAGAAGCAGCCCCTGAAACAGGTTTAGCAACAGCAGCTTCAGCTTTAAGTGGTTCGGTTTTACCTGCATCAGAAACTTTTGATGATTCTGAAGTACCTTGATTTGGTGGTGGTACTTGATATGATGAACCGGTTGATAAAATATATCCACAAACAATTAAAACCAATGCAAAGATGGCGAATCTGATGATTCTTGCATTAGACCTTGAAGAACTCATATTTAATCAGTCAAGTCAATTGGTGAAATTTTCAAGGATTAAATAACGCCCAACTTAACACGTACGCGAAGAAAAATCTTTTATGCGACTTTTCACCTATTAAGGGTTTTTGGGGCGACATTGGACCAGCACACTAACCTATTGATAAGTTTGCATATTTACGAATAAAGGAGTTGTCAATGGCCGTAATTGGAATTAAGAATAGGTGAATATTATGTTGATTATATTAGTGATAAGAGTTGATAATTAGTACGCGAATCGTCTATTCTTATTGGAAATCTACCCATTCTTTTGGTTTCTCTAATCCCATAACTTGGTAATATTTCTTACCACATGAATATCCTCTAAAAGTGAAATCACTTTCAGGTTTACAATGACATTTGTGATCATATCTATATTGAGCATTTAATGGACATTGAGTATAGACCCCATGATTATATCCAACATCTTCGAAATAATGAATTTCATTCTTATCTAAAAATAGAGCAGCAGCAATTGAATGAATTGGAGCATCTCCCCATCTTTCATAGAAGAAACCTCCAGTTTTATCCAAATAATTGAAATAATCTCTGTATGCCTGAGATCTCCAGAAGTTTAAATCGGCAATTTCAAAATTTGACCAGAAATGACATAAATTATAAGTTTCTCCATTATCATCAGAAATGAAATCTAATAAATTATTTGGATGTAAATATTGTTTGTTCTCATTGATAAAATCTTTAGTATGTTGCCATAAAGTTGGAATAGTTTTAGAAAATTCATGAATACTGATTGTGAAACCATACTTCTTATTATTATCTCTCATGAATTTGAATAAATCATAATCTAAATCACAATGAATTTTAATTTCTGGTTCAACTCTCCAATACCAATCATATTCATCCAATAAAGGATTTTGCCAGAAAAATCCTGATTCAAATCTACACATATGTCTATAACTTTCACTATCTCCATAAATAATTTTAGCAGCTTTCATATCAGCCCTAGCTTTAGCAGCTTTTTCCATGTCAATAAAATCTGGATATGACCAATGTTCTTTAGGGATTTTTCCATATTTGGTCTTACCACTACAGATAGCAGTAGTTAAATCTTTGAATTCTTGAGTGAATTCTTCATCATTTAAGAATACCCAATCATAATTAAATTTTCTATTGAACCTATCTTCAACACTTCTGATACTCTCAATCAATTTAAATAATTCTGAATTTCTTGCAAGAGTTACAAATGTGGCTTTGATATCTTTGTCTTTACCAATGAAATCTTTTGATTTATCGGCGGGAACTTTTAATAACCCATCGTCACCTTTAATAGGATCATTTGATGCAACTTCAGGAATTTTAGGTTGCTGTTGATGAATTTGAGCATTTGCTAATTCTTCTTCTTTACTGTTGTCTTTGATACTATCACCTCCGACCTGAATTGGTGGGATCTGAGCTGGAGGTACTGCCACTTGAGGATTGAAATTTTCAATTATTTTGTTGGAGGTCGAATCAACATATACATATCTGGGTCTACTTAATACTGAAAATCCATATATCAATACAATAGCCCCAATGATTGACGCTATCCTGATTATTGGTAATTTTGCCATGATAACAACTTGATTGCAATTTCAATTTTTCAAGTCAAAGTTTTGAGATTATATTTTTATCGTGTCGCGGAGTATATTTCTAATTTAGTGAATTATCCAATCCCTGTGACAAATATGATGTCATGAGTAAGATTTCGACTAATGGCGTCCAAGCAGAATCATGAAAGTTCAATAATCGCCAACTATCAAATTGTCGGTTTCATTAACGTTTGAAAGACTTGTTAGGCATTCTAACGTAATCTGTATATAGAGGTCGTTCATAGGAGAATCCCAAGGCAGTTCCAAGACTCAAAAAAATATTATGTCTAAACCATAAACCCAAGTTGGGAAGAGATTCCAGCTTCTTTTTATGTAGAATGCCTTATTTTACATTCAAATTGATGAGGTGTAAATCTTAAGTATACGTGTCCAATATGGAACCTATTGTTCCACACTTCGAATAATGCTAGATTGGTGCCTTAGAATCTTGGCTTTCTTGATAAGAAAGATGAGGTTTCCGAAGATGTCAATTTGATTATTTCATTAACGAAAGTCTTAATCTTGTTATTGGGATATTCCATAATACTGGTTGAAAGCTTTTACGAAGTTGTGTCGTCAGTAGGTTCTGCGATTCGAACGCGCGAATTCATTAGCTTTCCACAAGCTTGTCGGACCAGTAATTGATCATTACCTACTTCCGTATAGTCATATGCTTGGGACAACAACTACCAGTCACCTCCCAACGCTATCATTTTGCAAAAAAAAATGTTAAATCTCTTTGTACAATACGCTAACCTTATGCAGGAGCGATGCTAATCTTCTCTGTATTGATAAATTGACAAATGCGCTACTAAAAGTAGGCAACTTTTTGATTTGGAAAATCGTTTTATATCTCAAACTATATCACGTGATAAACTCACGTGACTATTGTTGTGGTGTCCCATATAAGTATTATATCATTTATAACCGAAGTTTACCTTATTCTCTTACCAGTCATCCCGACTAGACATATAACGTAAAAATCTTGGTGACTTCACACTATAGACCAATTGCTTTTAAACTTCAAGGTACTCTCCCCAATCTCATCTCATATCAGCGTGTCTTCACCGCATCACATAAAGAGATGAGAAAAAAAAATTTTAAAATCTATTGAAAGTTAATCCTACCCAATCTCAAGATGCAACTTTCATGGAAGGATATCCCAAGTGTTGCTAATGCCAATGATATGTTGGATATAGTTCTTAACAGAACTCAAAGAAAAACTCCTACAGTCATCAGACCAGGGTTTAAAATCACTAGAATTAGGGCTTTCTATATGAGAAAGGTCAAATTTACTGCTGAAGGTTTCACTGAAAAGTTTAATGATTTATTACAAGGATTTCCTAATATTAATGATGTCCATCCATTCCACAGAGATTTAATGGATACCTTATATGAAAAGAATCATTATAAAATCTCCTTAGCAGCTATTTCTAAAGCCAAAACCTTAATCGAACAAGTTTCAAGAGATTATAACAGATTATTAAAATTTGGTCAATCTTTATACCAATGTAAACAATTAAAAAGAGCCGCTTTAGGTAGAATGGCCACTATTGTCAAGAAATTAAAAGATCCTTTGACTTATTTAGAACAAGTTAGACAACATTTAGGAAGATTACCAAGTATTGATCCAAACACTAGAACTTTATTAATTTGTGGTTATCCTAATGTTGGTAAATCATCATTCTTGAAATGTATTACTAAAGCTGAAGTTGAAGTTCAACCTTATGCTTTCACCACTAAATCATTATATGTTGGACATTTTGATTATAAATATTTAAGATTCCAGGCTATTGATACTCCAGGTATTTTAGACAGACCAACTGAAGAAATGAACAATATCGAAATGCAATCCATTTATGCTATTGCTCATTTAAGATCATGTGTTTTATACTTTATGGATTTGAGTGAACAATGTGGATTTTCAATTGAAGCTCAAGTTAAATTATTCCATTCTATTAAACCTTTATTCGCTAATAAATCTGTTATGATTGTTATGAATAAAAGTGATATCATTAAATATGAAGATTTAGATGAATCTAAACAAGAAAGTTTAAAATCTTTATACGATTTAAAAAATATTGAAATCATGAACACTTCATGTGTTGAAGAAGAAAATGTTATGCAAGTTAGAAATCAAGCTTGTGAAAAATTATTAGCTTCAAGAATTGAACAAAAATTGAAGGGTGCTTCAAGAATTAATAATGTATTGAACAAAATTCATTTTGCTAAACCTCAATCTAGAGATGATGTTGAAAGACCTGCTCATATACCTGAAGGTGTTCAAACCTTAGAAAAATATGACCCATTGGATCCTAATAGAAGAAAATTAGCTAAAGATATCGAACTTGAAAATGGTGGTGCTGGTGTTTATAACATCAATTTGAAAGAAAAATACTTATTGGATGATGATGAATGGAAGAATGATATTATGCCAGAAGTTTTGGATGGTAAGAACATTTATGATTTCTTAGATGCTGATATCGCAGCTAAATTAAAAGCATTGGAAGAAGAAGAAGAAAAATTAGAAAATGAAGGATTCTATGATTCTGATGAAGATTTAGAACCTGAAGATGCTGATGATATTAGAGAAAAAGCTCAATGGATCAGAAATAAACAAAAAGTAATGATTGAAGAAGGTAGAAATAGAAAACATATGCAAAATAGAGCTATTATGCCAAGAGATCAAGTTAAAAGATCATTTGATGATATGGAAGAACATATGTATTCATTAGGTCACGATACTTCTACTTTAAAACAAAAACAACAATTATCTGCTAAACCAGTTAAGAATGCTAAAGGTTTAGATATCTTGAAGAAAACTACTGACATTGATATTGATGAACATATCAAGAAGAGAAAGAGACCAAATAAACAAAGTGATAGACTTAATGATGGTTTAATTGATGAAGATCAACAAGAAAAGACTGATAGATTAACTAAGGTCCAAAGAAGAGATAGAAATAGAGATGCTAAAGTTGGTGAAGGTGATAGACACATCATGACAATGATGCCAAAACATTTATTCTCTGGTAAGCGTGGTATTGGTAAAGCTGATCGTCGTTAAACAAATTGCATTTATGATATTTTTATGATTATTGTTAATATAGATTCTAGTTTCTAAGGGTTCTTTAACTTTCTCCCCCAATTGCTTATCTTTTATATGCAAGAAAAAAAAAAGTGTGAATTTCACATTTCCACAGTTTCTTACATAAAAATTTTAATTGTTAAAGAAAAAATCCCTAACTGTTGTAATGTACAAATCCCCTTATGGTTGAAACACCTGGGTTAATCAACTCTTATCAAGATTAAAAAAGCTTAATTTATAGCCATGGTTAAACCTGTCAAATTATAATTCCTTATCAGTAAATTGATAGAGCCACATCGCGAGTCGTGGAGATGCAAAGGTCTTGTGAGTCAAGATTAGATAAGGGATAATTTCATCCTTAAGATATTTATAATACCCAGAGATTTATTGAAAACGAAGCGATTAGATCAAAGAAAGATACTGAATACATGGATTTATAATGATGAACGTCACATTAGAACCGGTTGATTATTTGAATCATCCAAATTCTTCATTCAAAAAAGATAAGTTAAATTTAAAAGATTTCGATTTGATTAATAACAATTTACCCCCAAATACTGGTCCTCCAGGTACTGTATCAGTGAATGCTAATAATGGAAACAATAATAAGAATTTGAGTCATGTTCCTTGTAAGTTTTTTCGTCAAGGAATTTGTCAAGCAGGAGATTCGTGTCCTTTTAGCCATAATTTAGAAGGGTCTTTAGGTGCTGATAAGTTACCTTGCAAATATTTTCAAAAAGGAAATTGTAAATTTGGATTGAAATGTGCTTTAGCTCATTATTTGCCTGATGGAACCAGGGTGAATTCTAAGTCCTATGGTAGGAAGTATTATAATAATAATGGTTTTAATAATGGTATTAATAATAATAATGGTAATAACAATAGCAGTAATGGTAATGGTAATAACCACTTCAATTATAACGTCCCACCACCCAATTCTCAACCGATAGATATCTCCAGTTCAATGAGATCGAGTATTTCATTAGATACTGCAGGATTGAGTTCTCAAAATTTGAATACTTGGAGTAATGGATCTAATTTCACCTTTAACAATCCCGTGAACTCCAATTCGTTTAATCAAGGTCCAATCTCATTAACCGCTCCTAGTAGTGCTATTTCCAACAATTACAATACCAGTCCTACGGGAGGAATTTTCAGCAATGTCTCCAATAATACTTCCCCAACTACATTTTATAATTCTTCTCCATCATCAAATTTCTTTTCTAACAATCAATTGATGTCACCAAATGGGAATTCTCAGTTCATAAATATTAGTGGAAATTTCCCTCCATCATCATCTTCATTTGGTAAACCAACATTTGGTTCATACTTACAAGAGAGTTTACAAGAATCCCCAGTGATTGAGGAAGACAAAAAAACTGATGATATTTTCGAAGAAGATTACGTTCCTGCTTCTTTAGGGGATATCATCTTAACTCCTCAAGAGTTACAAAGAAGAGATTCAAGATCTCAATCAGGAACTTTGTTTATTAGACCCAATTTGAATAACGAAAAAATTAATGACGATGTTTTTTTAATGGATTAAAAGGTAATGATGGAAATGTTTAGAAAAAAGTGAAAAAGTAAAAAAGTGATAGGTTAAAGGATAAAATTGTCTTTGTGAAAAGTAAGTGTTTAGAATATATACATTATTTACAAGAGGTTATTAACTATTTAATCTTTGTTAGGATTAGATCTGAAAATATCTGCACAACGATCTTGGAATGCATTCATTAATTTCATGCTTTGAGATGTTTCTCCTTGTAAGTTTCTTAAATGATCGGATTCAAAAACTGTTCCTACTAATACTAATTCATCAGTATAAGGGTTTAAGGTATAAACTAAATAGTCATCAACGACTCTTTCAGTTTCTTTATTATTTGTTCCGTCATTGAAGGAAACTTTTTGTTTGGTACGAACTTTCATAACGAATTGGATGAAAGTTGCAATATTATTACCATCAGGTATAACCATGAATGAAACAATTTTTGGACTTTTAACTACTTTAACTAAATCCCATGATAATTTACCTGAAATAGGGAAAGTTTTAGCTCTTTCAATTAATTTTTTTTGAACCAATGATCCAGTATTGTTCTCTAATTGCATTTTGATATAATCTGATCTTTTACTTGCAGGTAAATTACATCCTGAAGCGAATACTTTATTAGCTTTAACAAATTTTTGCATAGCATCTTCTTTCCAATCATAAAATTTTAATTTTAATTTAGTATCTTGTTTATATTTGACCACTGAATAAGTATTTATGACAAATAATCCCATTCTTCTTAAAATTAAATTTGCCCATGATTTAATAGGACTTGAAAAGATTGGAGGAGGAATATAGAAATCAACTATGGCCCCAACACTTTTGATAGGAATTTGACTTAAATCCATTTGTTGATTATCCTTCTTTGATTTTTTGGAATTAAATCTTAATCCTATGACGGATTTTATAACTCTTTGGTTATTAATACTTCTTGAAGTACCATTTAATCCTATAGTTGTTAACCTTAACATTTGAGTTAGAATTTGAAAAATTTTGAGACAAAAACCTCGCGACAATTCTTGGATTCGATGTCGCGCGACTTCCTTAAAATTTTTTGAGATGAGAAAACTTGATCTTAGTGACTTTTTAACTAAATAAATCATGCCTAGTATTAATGAAAAAGGAAAGAAGAAATTAGCACCTGAAAAGGAAAGGTTCATTCAATGTTGTGGAGATGTTTCTTTAGAATTGGTTTCATCTTTGAAATCATCTAAAGATATTAATTTGAATGGATTAATAGGTAGATATGCTAAGAAGTATAAATTAAAGCAACAACCTAGATTAACTGATATTATATCGTCAATTCCTGATCAATACAAGAAATATTTAATTCCAAAATTGAAAGCTAAACCTGTCAGAACTGCTTCAGGTATTGCTGTGGTAGCAGTTATGTGTAAACCTCATAGATGTCCTCATATTGCTTATACTGGGAATATTTGTGTTTATTGTCCTGGAGGACCTGATTCAGATTTTGAATATTCAACTCAATCATATACTGGATATGAACCAACTTCCATGAGAGCCATTAGAGCAAGATATGATCCTTATGAACAAGCAAGAGGAAGAGTCGAACAATTGAGACAATTAGGTCATTCAATTGATAAAGTTGAATATATCATTATGGGAGGGACCTTCATGTCATTACCTGTCGATTATAGAGAAGGATTCATCACTCAATTACATAATGCTTTAACAGGATTTAACGGACACAATTTAGATGAATCAATAGCATTTTCTCAACAATCACAAACTAAATGTGTGGGTATCACCATCGAAACTAGACCTGATTATTGTACATCCAATCATTTGAGTGATATGTTACGTTATGGATGTACCAGATTAGAAATTGGGGTCCAATCATGTTATGAAGATGTTGCCAGAGATACTAATAGAGGTCATACAGTTAAAGCAGTTTGTGAAACTTTTGCTGTTGCTAAAGATGCTGGTTATAAAATTGTTAGTCATATGATGCCTGATTTACCTAATGTTGGTATGGAAAGAGATTTAGAACAATTTAAAGAATATTTCGAAAATCCAGCTTTCAGAACTGATGGTTTAAAGATTTATCCTACCTTAGTTATTAGAGGTACTGGTCTTTATGAATTATGGAAAAAAGGTCTTTATAAATCATATAATCCTAATGCATTAATTGATTTAGTTGCTAGGATTTTAGGATTTGTTGCTCCTTGGACAAGAATTTATAGAGTTCAAAGAGATATTCCCATGCCGTTAGTTAGTTCAGGGGTTGAAAATGGTAATTTAAGAGAATTAGCTTTAGCCAGAATGAAAGATTTCGGTGTTAGTTGTAGAGATGTTAGAACTAGAGAAGTTGGTATTCAAGAAGTTCATAATAAAGTTATACCCGATCAAGTTGAATTGATTAGAAGAGATTATTATGCTAATGGAGGTTGGGAAACCTTTTTAAGTTACGAAGATCCAAAACAAGATATTTTAATTGGTTTACTAAGATTAAGGAAAGCCAGTAAGAAATACACTTATAGAAAAGAATTCACATCTCAACCAACTTCCATAGTTAGAGAATTACATGTTTACGGATCAGTTGTTCCTTTACATTCAAGAGATCCAAGAAAATTCCAACATCAAGGGTTTGGTACTTTATTGATGGAAGAAGCTGAAAGAATTGCTATTGAAGAACATGGTTCAAGAAAGATCAGTGTTATCGCTGGTGTAGGGGTCAGAAATTATTATGCTAGATTAGGTTATGAATTAGATGGTCCTTATATGTCTAAAATGATTGGTGAAGATGATGAAGATTGATTTTATGGTAGGGTTTTGTAATATATTTATTCTTTGATACGCTCTCTATAGGAAAAGAAGTACTCTTGAGAGGAAGATGACTCTATATATACATTAATGACATAAAAGTAATACAAATGACAAAGTGACAAGAATGACACATTAAAGTGGTAAATTACATTATTGCACAAAATTCTTAAAATAGTTCTTTGAGTGGGAAGAACTTAACTCTCTTGACCAACCGGGGATATCTTCACCACATCCCCCTACAGGCCGTTCTAAAACAACATTTTCTAATCCCAATGCATCACTTAACCAAGGATGATTTATCATACCTCCAGCATCAGCTCTTGATTCTGGTTGTAATGATAACATTGGTAATAAGAAATCGGATATTTCAATTGCATCAGAAGGTGAAAATTTATACTTTTCAATGAGAACATCTTTCAAACCCCAAGGCTTTAACTTGGAAATTTTATGTAACTCACCTCTAGAATTGAAAAATTCTCTAGCATACTTACTTTCCTTCAACATTTGACGTGGGAAAGGTCCTAACAACTCAATGATTTGGGCAATATGATCATCATCTTTAGAATAAGCTTTACCTTGTTTGGGATCGAACAAATAATCTCCAGTTAACAATTCGAATATAAGGCATGAAAATGACCATAAATCAGCTGATGAACCCCAATGATATCCCAACAACACTTCAGGTGATCTATATTGTCTAGTTTGAATTTCATCGGTGAAATGATGGTGCGTCCAACAAGCATTACCCAAATCGGCGATTTTCACCGAAATCAATTCATCTTCATTGATGAGGAAAGATTCATTCATTGAATCATTTTGGAAACTTTGATTGACATTTGAAATTGACATTGAAGATAATGATGTGTTTAATTTCTCATCACTATCTTGCCTGGTAATTTCATTGGGATTGGTAATTTCTGACATGGGCACACCACTTGTTTTAGCGTTGGATTCTTCAATTAAAGGATTGGTAACTAAAGAAGATCTTCCAGGAGTGGATACCGCAGATCCATAAAGACTGGTAAAAGATTTATTGAATGTTCTTAAAGGTGAAGGTAAAGGTTGAGAACCTGTGATTAAGGTTTGCCTTCTTGACCTGCTGCCATTTCTACCAATAGAAGGAGAACTGGTTAATGATTTTTGAATAGATGAACTAATATTGGAATTGGAATTGGAATTGGAGTTGTTATTGGAGTTATTGTTGGAATTATTAGTACTTCCAGCAACACTATTGGACCCACTGGTAGGAGAAAGAACTGATTGTTGACGATCAACATTAGGTGTTTGTGGGTTGGATGTGATAGGAGTACTAACAAAGCTATTATTACCTGATCTTGATTTGGTACGTTGTAATTTTTTCTGTAATTTTGCTTGGTACTCTTCTTCCTCTACCATTCTAACGATTTGTTCTACATCACCAATTTCAATCAAAACGTTTTCTGGTTTAACATCAGTATGAATGACTCCACATTTTCTGTGTAAGAAATCCAACGAGGCCAATAATTGTTTGGCAATTTGTTTGACGAATACTATAGGAATACCTCTATGTTTATAACGTCTGATTAAGCCTAGTAAGTTTTCTCCCAAAACTTCAAAAACCATGACAACATGGGTTCCGTTAGGTCCTTTGTGGGTAAAAGTATCTAAAAGTTGAATAACATGCTCATGACCAGGATGATTCATATCGGAAGTGGTAACTTTATCTAACAATTTGATTTCATCTAATGCTGTTTCAGTATAATGTCTAGCTGATCTGACAATTTTCATAGCCACATGACAATTCTTATCGTTATCTTTAGCTAACCAAACAGTGGAAAAATGCCCCCAACCTAATTTTCTGACTAAAGTATACTTCCCATCTTTATAGTTTTCTCCTATATAGCAGGTATGATAGCCTCCTGGAACATAATCGTTTGAATCTTCTTCATTTTCTGGCTGAACTGGGTCATCATCGTCATCGTCTTCTTCGTCGTCCTCTTGTTGTTGTTGATCCAAAGTACTATTTTCGATACCAGTGAAGGAGTTAACGGCCACATCTTGAGAACTAACTTCATATTGATCACCTTCGTAGTAATAATCGTCATGATCTTCATAATCTTCGTATTGTTCGTAATTATCATAATTTTTGGGTTTAACTTTGTCGTCTTTAGGATGACCAAAGTTGAATCTCGATCCCGGAGTGAATTCTTTAATATCATCGGCAAATTTGGTAGTTAAAGGGGATAACTCAGGTTTAAAGTTCTTGGATTTGGACAAAGATGTGGTAACAGTTGGTGAACCATGCTGTACTACAGGTAAATACTGAGAATCGGTTTGCAGATGTTGCCGCTGATGATTACTATAAATACCTTCGTAAATAGTATTGATGCTATGGTTATCTTCTTCTTCGGCCTTTTGTATGGCCAAAGATAACTTTGATTTCATATTCTGTGGCATTGATTGAATGTAATGCTTTTAGGAGATTTTTATATGTTTATTCTTTGGGGATTTCTTACTTTGTTGAATGCTAATTTACAATATGAATACAATGGAAGATGATTATCTCGAGGACTTTAGTCTATGATGGGAATGTCGAAGATCGAGTAATCAAATAAAATAAATAAAGATCAATAATAATCTTCTAGTAAGTTAAAGTGTAGTTCCTTAAATTGATCAGTGAGAAAATTTGACAGAAAATTTTTCAGTCGGTGCAGTGAAGGGAAGCTCGCAAATTGGTGCGAGGGGGCGGGGGAATAGAAATCGGTGGTAGGACAACAGCGAGCGATGGTGGTAAAGTATTAATGAGGGAAGGGTCAAAAGTGAGTTAGGGAGATAATGTTTTGGCGGTGCAGTCATTGATTGTGATAGTAAACGGAAACGGAAGTTTATTGGAAGGGGCATAATGGGCTGCAAAAACTGCAAACAAAACAAACCTCAAGGAAGACATAAATTCATATGGAGACAATATGCTGGGAATGACGACGAGGAATGCAATCAGTGGAAAGGTATGATAGAACGAAACACCAGCGAATCCTTTATATCGTTTTTATTGGCCAAAAGGGGGTAAAGAGCTCGATAGGCACTTGTCAGTCAGATAAAGAGTACCTAAAGTGAAGAAGAGACCGTAAGAAGTGAAGTCTCCTATCACCTTTTTATTACCCTAGAATATTGGGAACTGTACAAACAAATCTACCTATAGCCGGCCTTCCACCTCTGCTCCACCCTGACTCCACCCCTCCTCTTGCTTCATATCTCCGAACTTTATTCTCTCATATCCTTTCAGTATCAAACACTACGCGTATTGCCGGGTAACACCTATGCTCAAAATATCGATCTGGACAAAACAAGACGAGGAAATTTCAACTACTATGTTAAATCATCCTATAGTTAGAAACATACGAAGGAGACCTTTATTGGTGGTTGCTCCGTTAAGTTTGATTGTAATTTTATACTTATTCATCTTCAGTCATAGAGAACCATCCAAGAAAACTCAAAAATATAGTTATAAATCAAAAAACAAGTCATGGTTCAACAAAAATAAAGATTCAGTAATATTAAGAAATTTACCTAAAAATCATTTAAGTCACTATGATTTGAATCAATTAACTGTTTCTAAAACTCCTTTAGAAAACAAGGAAGAAATCTTGGTTTTAACACCAATGTCAAAATTTTTACCTGAATATTGGGATAATTTGAATAAATTATCTTATGATCATAGTTTAATCTCTTTAGGTTTCATATTACCAAGAAATGAAGATGGTAACAAAGCTTTAAAATCATTAGAAAAAGCAGTTAAACAAACTCAACTGGATCCAACTACTAAATTCAAAAAAATTACTATTTTGAGACAAGACACTAATTCATTAGAAAGTCAAGCAGAAAAGGATAGACATGCATTGGCAGTACAAAAGGAAAGAAGAAGTTTAATGGCATTAGCTAGAAACTCTTTAGTTTTCACTACCATTTCACCATCAACTTCATGGATTTTATGGTTAGATGCTGATGTAATTGAAACCCCTCCTGATATTATTCAAGATTTAGCTGCTCATGATAAACCAATATTGTCAGCTAATGTTTATCAAAGATTCTTCAATGAAGAAACCAAAAAACCCGATATCAGACCTTATGATTTTAATAATTGGGTTGAAAGTGAAGAAGGGTTAAAATTAGCTAAAACTTTGGGTGAAGATGAAATCATTGTTGAAGGATATGCTGAAATGGCTACTTATAGAACTTTAATGGCTCATTTATATAATGCTAAAGCCGATCAAAACACCGAAATGGCCTTAGATGGTGTTGGAGGTGGAGCTGTTTTAGTTAAAGCTGATGTTCATAGAGATGGTGCTATGTTCCCTTCATTCCCATTTTATCATTTAATTGAAACTGAAGGTTTCGCTAAAATGGCCAAAAGATTGGGTTACGAAGTCTTCGGTTTACCAAACTATTTGGTCTATCATTATAATGAATAAACTTTAAGTTATCTTTACCTCTTTGTCTCACATTTCTCACACTGCGAATGGCAAACATGATCTTAAGAGTTAGAACTAAAGATGGAATGTTTAGATTGACTGTGAACGATGGGGGGAAGTTCATGGACGTGGTCAATCAATTGTATGAAAAGATAGGTAGTGTTGAAAATTTAACCATTTCAGATAAGCCTGGAGATAAAGGAAAAAGTGTAGTAGAATTTGGTGATTTGGAGGTGAAGGAAATGGGTTTAAAGAATGGGGACATGTTATTTGCATCTTATGAATCTGGTAACAAGCCTGCAAATGATAACGATGTTGACATGAATTCGGGCTCAGTGAGTATTAGTAAACCTTCCATAGCACAAAGTAAAACTGCTGTTAGTGGCAAAGCTTTTGAAGAATTACCTATCGATAAGTACCTTGATTCACAAAATGGTTTGATTAAACGAAACAAATCTAATCTTTGTCGTCACGGTGACAAAGGGATGTGTGAATACTGTGCTCCTTTACCACCCTGGGATAAGGATTATAAAGAATCTCAAGGTATCAAGCATTTATCATTTTATGCCTATTTAAAGCAATTGAATGATTCAAAGAATAACAAGAATAATGCCACAAGCTACATGGCTCCATTGGATGAACCAAATTACGCTGTAGATAAAAAATGTACCGCCGGTCATTTACCATATCCAAAAGGAATTTGTTCTAAATGTCAACCATCAGTTATAAGTCTTCAACAACAAAGCTTTAGAATGGTAGACCATGTAATGTTTAGTGATAGTTCTATTTTGAATAATTTCATTGATAGTTGGAGATCAAGTGGAACTCAAAGATATGGTATTTTATATGGGAGTTACGAAAGTTATGATAAAGTTCCTTTAGGTATTAAAGCCAACGTAGAGTTCATATACGAGCCTCCACAATCAGATGAATTAGATGGTTTAACATTATTGGATTGGTCAAATGAAAAGGATGTTGATGCTTTAGCTGCTCAATTTGGATTATATAAAGTGGGTGTAATTTTCACCGATTTGACTGATAGTGGAATGAAGAACGGTACTGTTTTATGTAAACGTCATAAGGATAGTTACTTTTTGTCTTGCTTGGAAGTCTTAATGGCTGGTAGAAACCAATTGAAATATCCTAATCGAACCAAATATTCCAATTCCAAAGAATTTTCATCCAAATTTGTTACTTGTGTAGTAAGTGGAGGTTTGAATGGAGATATTGAACCAAGATCATACCAAGTATCAGTAAATGCTGAGGCATTAATCAAAGCAGATGTTATCACCAGTTCAACTCAACCATCAATGATGTACATTAATGAATCGAATAATGAACGATATGTTCCTGATGTTTTCTATTCGAAGATCAATGAATATGGATTAGAGGTGAAAACCAACGCCAAGCCTGCGTTCCCAATCGATTATTTATTGGTGACATTATCTGATTCATTCCCGTTAGAGCCCAAACCCTTATTTAATTCACCTCATGGATACATTATTGAAAATAGAGAGTTCTTAGGCGAATCTCAAAACTTATCAACCTTATACAAGCATTTGAATAATGATATTGGAGATGGGAAAGTTTTATTTGATTTCCATCTTTTAATGTATTTATACAGCACAAATATTTTACATAAAGAAGAATGGGAATTGATTGTGAATTTTGTTAAAAGTGGTAATAAAGAGGATTTCATGAAGTTGATTGAAAGTCCAGGATGGATGAGTTTGATAACGATTTTGGAAAATAGTTCGTGAATAAAAAATGATAGAATTAGCTTATAAGGAATATATACTATACATCTCACACTTGTAGACACTCATAGTAAGTAGTATGACATCACAGAGTATGATGGAAGGTATTAGAAAGAATGAGAAGGTACCCAGTTCTCAGCTCTTGTCAAAGTATTAGCTATATTATCGTGTTGGTAGAAGAACCAACTCGGAAAGCAATTAGAGTGAAGCTGTTTCCCCCAATCTACTGTCCTCTAAGTCATAGTACTTCAAAAGTGCCTGGAATTCGCCAAACCGGTAACTCCATGTCTAGTACCATCAATTACCACCGTTAGTACCACGTACCGCCTAGAGCTTTCTAGATTGTTCCATGTCGTGCGCCTGCGAGAAAATTTTTCATACATATTGCACCGGCTTCTCAAAATTTTCATTAAGAATGTCTACTCCATTTGGTGTTGATTTTGGTAATAACAGCACTGTTATTGCATGTGCTAGAAACAGAGGTATTGATATCATTGTCAATGAAGTCTCCAACCGTGCTACTCCATCCTTAGTTGGGTTCGGTATGAAAAACAGATTCATTGGTGAAAGTGGTAAGAATCAACAAGGTTCAAATTTAAAGAACACCGTTGAAAATTTAAAAAGAATTTTAGGTTTAAACTACAATGATCCAGATTTTGAAACTGAATCTAAATATTCAACCGCTCAATTAGTTGAAGGTGAAAATGGTGGTATTAACGCCAAAGTTAGATACATGGGTCAACAACAAGAATTCACTTCAACTCAATTAACTGCCATGTATTTAAACAAAATCAAAGATATCACTGCCAAAGAAACTAAAGGTAATATCCAAGATATCTGTCTTTCAGTTCCTGTTTGGTATACTGAAAAGCAAAGAAGAGCTGCTTCTGATGCTTGTAAAATTGCTGGTTTAAACCCTGTTAGAATTGTTAACGAAGTTACTGCCGCTGCTGTTGGTTACGGTGTTTTCAAAGCTAATGATTTACCAGAAGATGAACCAAGAAAAGTTGCCTTTATTGATATTGGTCACTCTTCATTCCAAGTCACCATCGCCGCTGTTAAAAGAGGTGAATTAAAAGTCTTAGGTTCTGCTTATGATAAACATTTTGGTGGTAGAGATTTTGATTTAGCTATTGCTAAACATTTCGCTGAAGAATTTAAAACCAAATACAAGATTGATGTTTTCGAAAATCCAAAAGCTTTTTACAGAGTTTTATCTTCAGCTGAAAAATTAAAGAAAGTTTTATCAGCCAATTCTTCAGCTCCTTTCAATATTGAATCTTTAATGAATGATGTTGATGTTTCATCTTCTATGACTAGAGAAGAATTAGAAGAATACATTCAACCTTTATTAGAAAGAATCCATGTTCCAATTGAAGTTGCTTTGAAAGATGCCAAATTATCTGCTGCTGATTTAGATTCTATTGAATTAATTGGTGGTTGTACCAGAGTTCCAGCCATTAAAGCTAAATTAGTTGAAATTTTCGGTAAAGAATTATCTTTCACTTTAAATCAAGATGAAGCTATTGCTAGAGGTAATGCTTTCATTTGTGCTATGCACTCACCAACTTTAAGAGTTAGACCTTTCAAATTCGAAGATTTTAACCCTTACTCAGTTTCTTACTTCTGGGATAAAGAAGATGAAGATGATGATCATTTAGAAGTCTTCCCAAGAGGTGGTGTTTTCCCATCAACCAAAATCATTACTTTATTCAGAAAAGGTGATTTTGAAATCGAAGCTAAATATTCTAACAAATCAGAATTACCAGCTGGTACTGAAGAATTAATCTGTAAATGGTCAATTTCCGGTGTTAAATTAGGTGCTGATGCTTCAATTGCCACCAAATTGAAATTAAGAAATGATCCTTCAGGTTTCTACACTATTGAATCAGCTCACACTGTTGAAGAACAATTAGTTAAAGAATTAGTTGAACCAAAAGAAGGTGAAGAAGAACCAGAAGAACCAGAATACCGTGAAGTTAAAAAATTAGTTAAAAAAGATGATTTAATCATTGATTGTAAATCAGCTGCTTTAACTGAAGAAGAAAGAGAAAAAGTCACTGAAAAGGAAAATGCCATGGTTATGGAAGACAAATTAGTCGCTGATACTGAAGATAGAAAGAATGCTTTAGAAGAATATATTTACGAATTAAGAGGTAAATTAGAAGAACAATATAAAGATTTCGCTTCAGATGATGAAAAATCAAGATTAGGTGATTTATTAATGAAAGCTGAAGATTGGTTATATGATGATGGTTATGACTCAACTAAAGCTAAATATATTGCTAAATATGAAGAATTAGCTTCAATTGGTAATATAATCAGAGGTAGATACTTAGCCAAAGAAGAAGAAAAGAAACAAGCTTTAAGAGAAAAACAAGAAGCTAAACAAGCTGCTGCTATGGCTGAAAAATTAGCTGCTCAAAGAGCTGCTGGTGCTCAACAAGAAGAAAAGAAGGAAGAAGCTCCAAAGGAAGAAGAAGATATCGAAATGGGTATGTAGACCATGTATATTATAGAAGGTAGAAGTTAATATAGGGCTCCGGCCGCAATTGATTTAGAATTTTTCTCATTTCTCTTATTAGATCGCTTATAAATCTCTTTCTATTACTTGAATTGTTTTACTTACACGGAAGCAAAGAGACGATAGAGGGAATAGAAGGATGACAAATTAAACAAATTAAATTGACTATTTGAAGACTTTACCATCGGCAATTTCGATCTTTTTACCGTCAACTTCAACTGGTTCGTCCCAAGCTAACATATTGTTAATGAATTTCTTGTTTTCTTCAGTTGGTTCTAATTTGGTGAAAGCATATGATTCCCAATCTGGAGCAACATCGAAAGCTGGTTCGTGTTCTTGACCTCTGACCAAGAAGAAACCGGTAATACCGTTATCGTTGTTAACACCGTAAACAACCATACAACCGAACATATATTTGGTTGAAGCTGATAATCTGTTAAAGAAACCACCAACTAAGTTATTGGACATGAAAGTTAAAGTTAATTCATCATTATATTTGTAATCGACTTTCCATAATGACCATTCTTCTGGGTCATACATGTTTTTCCAGAACCATGGGATAGCGGTTTCTCTAGTTTCTTCATTAGAGTAAACTCTCTTCCATTCATCAATGGCTTGTTTTGGTTTACCTAATAATTCTAAAGGATGTTTAGGTTTTTTTGGTTCTTCAGAAACTGGTTCTTCAGCAGCAGCTTTTGGAGCAGCTTCTTTCTTTGGTTGTTCAGCTTTTGGAGCTGGAGCTTTCTTTTCCTTCTTTGGTGGAACAAATTCTTTCTTCTTTTCGATATATTCGAAATCAGTGAATTCAGATTTTAAGATGTCAGTGTTAATAATAGTGTTGAACCATTTGTAGATGTTTGGGTATTTCTTTCTTTCTTCTTGACCCATAACAAAACAGAAAACTCTCCAGAATGATTGAGCAACAATTAAATCAGCTAAAGTTAATGATTCACCAACTAAGAAAGTGTAATCATATAATCTTTGTTCAACAATATCACAACAAGTGAATAAATCTTGTAAACCTTGGTCACTTGATTTTTTGTTGTATGGAACTTTACCAATGATACCAGCCCAAGTAGCAACAGAGTGTTTCATGATATCACTGTTAGCAAATGAAGCCCATGATAAAATTTGGTCAAATTCGTCATCATTAGCACCTAATAAAGCTGGGTTAGCTTGTCTAGCCACTAAAAATTTGTTAGTATAAAATTTTTCAAATTAAGTAGAAAATTGAATCAGATTCATCAGATTAAGTATCCTCGACATGATTTATTAAGACAGGGATAACTGTTTAAAAAAAAAAATTTCTCATCATTAAATTCCAACATTTCAATTTCCATTATCAAGATTTAATACATACATCTAACGGCAATAGCAATACATTCGGTGATTTTTAAACCATCTTTTTCAACTAAAGCTGGGATTAAACCTAATGGGAATTGTTTTTTGAATTCATCATTAGGAGCTTCAATTTTATAGTCTAATTTGTAGTGTTTAACTAAAGCTTTAACAACTTTACCTCTAGTAAGGTCGGCAGCGTATAAAGTTCCTGACATTGTTAAAAGGATTGAAAAATTTTTCTCATAATTTTCATTGAAGCCAACGGGATGAATTCGCCAGGGACACGACTTCGATGAAGCGTGTGGTGATCGGGACCACATTTCCAGATTCGGCATTACACGATCAAAGAGCTAGTATTGCAAAGACAAAAATAAAAGTCTATTATACATTATATTATACAAGCATCCAATGGAAATAATGGTGCCATAAAATCTTAATATCTTCTGTTACCATAGAAGTTTCGATGATTTTAAAACTCTTTTCTAAAGTACCAAACAGCTCTAAACTATGGCTTAAACTTTTCAATAAATATTGGGAAATTAGAAGTAAAAGTGTTAATTTGTCGTTAGGTAGAACCACATGAATATTTATCATATTAAACTTTGGAATGATGGAGTTGTCAATTGAAAATGTTTTGAAATTTGGAAATCGCTTCATATAATCCAATTTAATGGAATGAACAAGAATCTTCCTTAATTTGAAACTTGTGGATGTGGTGGAATTGATTGAATGATTTATAGGATTGACCTGATTAAATTCGAGATTGTTAAAGTTATTATTAAGATTAACAACTTCAAAATAATTCAATTTTTTTATGATTTGCTTGTCGTTGGTCTCATAATTAATTTCTTCGTTAAGATCTTCTGTCCAGTTAAGAGAGTCAATATTTTCTAAACTGTCATCGATGTTCGTTTGTCTGTGAGGGTCGGAATGTTCTGTAAGGGATTTTGAATCTGTAGTTGTTGATGATTTGTTATCAATGGGGTGAGAAACTTGATCCAAGTCTTGTGTAAGCTCTGGTTGTAATTCAAAGTTTTTGACGATCAAGTATTTCAAGATCATTATGGATTGGACGGAACTTAAAAATATGATTGACTTGAATTTCTTATATTTCAAATTTGATAATTTGAAAAATTTGAAAACCAACTTATTGAATAATTTGATTTGGTTGTTGAAGATATTAATAACCTTTTCGTCAGCAATTTTCAAGATGAATTTATTCAAAATGTTGAACAAGAATAACACTATTGAAACGAGAAGAATTTCAAATATTTTAAAATTTTCAACCGAAACAATTTTGTTTTTAATAGACTCGTAATAATGCAATTGATGGTTAAGAAGGATTTGGAAGTCAGTTCCATCTCTAATATTATCTTTGGAACAATTCAAGAGACAATTGATCAAGAAAGTTCCATTAACCATGTTGTTGTTTTCATTGTCGTCACCTTCATTAATTAAATGAAGACAATAATTGGGGATTAAATTCTTCCAAATATCTAAATCGTTGAACAAGTCCAATAACCAATAATACTTTTCACTGTCAATAAGTTTAATAAATGCTTTGATGTTGAATTGGAAATTGGGATTGTCAAAAATTAATTTGGAATTTTTCAAATTGTTGGGTAACTTGATTTGATATTTTGGTTTCAAAAGAAAATTGGATATACTAAAGTTTTCAACAGGATTGAAATTGAAATTGTTGATATTTTCTTCATTCAAGAAATTGGATGATTCTGTCCAAAATTCATCAAACTTGTCGAAAAAATCATCTTTAGATGAATCATTATCTCTATTAACTCTATTTCCATGAATATCTTCCATACTACTTTGAGGTAGTTCAGAAGAAGTTAAATCATTATGATCCTTCGGTATATCTTCTTTATGAGGTAAATCGAACTTTTCATAATTGCCATTGGAATTGCCATCATAATTGGATGTTATGGTTTCAACCATGGTCTCTCTTATTGCCGCCGTGGCTCTAGTAGCAGCAGCAGCGGAAGTGGTTCCGCTTATACTACCAATTAACTTTTCCCTCTTGTCATCATCAATTTGAAAGTTCCCAGCAATTTCATTATCTCTTTGAAATATCTCATCACTCTTTTCTAAATCTTCTTTGGTATGTAGTTTAAGATACGGTTTATAAAATCTCTTACCGTTATATATTTTGGCAATGGTAATTGATTGATCTAAAATTTCGAAATTTTTGGTTGTATACTGATTTTTTGGATCGTAAAAACTATATTGAATAAAGTTCAATCGAACCCCTCTATAACATTTTCTATGACTTTTAATACAATTTTGACAAATTGGTAATTGTTCATCACATTTCATATGTCGATCCCTACACGTTAGACATCCTGATCTCGTTCTTCTCTTAATTACCTTGGGCATTCCCAAAATAAATTTACGCAATTTTTATCTTTCTGTCTCAACTACTAATGAAAATTCAATTTTCAAAAATCGTTGTTAACGAATTGAAAATAATCGGAATTGCTTGATTAAGATAAATCTTGTTGAATTATAAATTTTTGTCACAGTATCAATTATAATCACTTGGTAAATCAATTGAAAAGTAATTATACTCAATTGTATCAGGGATTAAAACTTCGTATTACTATAAAATAAGATGACAGGTGGAAAGTTAAAAATATAAATCAATTGGTGGAACTAACGCAAATTAATTTATTTAACAAACCAACCTTAAAACTACAAGTAGATTTAGTTTACGATGAAAGGATCTCAACGGTGTTAATATAGGTTAGATTTAGGGCATTTAAGGAATTGAAAAAGGTCCGCAATGGAATTTTTATGTGCGGGTATGCATTATTGTACGCAATTTTTGACAAATATTTCGCAACCATTTTTTTTTATTTAATAAAGGTGCATAACCAGCAAATACTCGGGGGATATCCATTGAGTTGTAATTGGAGATTATGAAGTTTCCCGTACAATCTTTAATTCCAGTAGCATAAACTAGGATCATAATCAAACTATTGGTATCCAAGGGCACAATACAATTTTTTTTTACCAATGTTTATATTTTACCGCATTAGGATAACCAGCCCAGATTGAACTGACAAATTTTACAAATTTGTTAGAGATTCCGGTTATTTTGGCAGGGGTTTCTGCTTTCGGATCGATTTGAAGAAATCTCCTAAAAAAAACCGTTGAAACTTGCAGAATGATTCCCAAAAGGTTTAAAAGGCAAAACCACCTATTGTTATTTTATGCACCTATGGCTTTTTAGCACTTTTCATAATAGGGGGAATTGGCGTTTCATATATTACTTACCTACTTGAGATTTGTCAATTCTGCATATGATGACAAAATTCATGTTGTTTTGTCAATGCCATTCTCTAAATGGTTCGAATACTCTGTTCATCCCCCCAAAAATAATCCCATGTTTTCCATTTGCAAAACTTAAATTTTTGAAAGACCCATCCAGACCAATGGACTTATTTAGGATTGGCACACTGGAAAATATTTTCTATTTCTTCGAAAGAAAGGTCCTTTGTTTCTGGTAAAAAATATGAAAATAATATCAGGCAAACAATCGATAATTCAAATAATGAAATTAAGGAGAACCTGCCTGTGAAACCTTCAATGGTTATGAAATTATTCGAAAATGTAATTAACAAGAAATTGACTAGGAAATTGGTCATAATTGACACCTCCAAAATAAGTAAGTTCATATTGGATATTTCGTTCATAAGAATATTACTTGAAGGACCCCAAGTCGATGAAAAGATCAATACTATGATGAATACCAAATAGAATTGGGGCGTAATGTTATAAACAAAATAACAAAAATACAATGCAAAAGATCCAAAAATAAGAATATTTTTCCTGTCAGTCAATTGAATGATTTTCAAAATAATTACACTGCCAATTAGATTCAAGATGGGCATGATAATAATCAACTTTTCATTATGGATTAGGTAATGACTGTAATAGAAGAAAATGTTTATCCCCGTCAATGGTTGAAATATCATCAATGTCACACAGAGTATTAATTTCTTCCAACGGAAGGCACCAAATTTATTATCACCTATAATGGAATCGACGAAAGTTTTTATTTCTTCTTCATTCAATTGACGTTCATTATCAACACCATTATCATTATCAAGGCTCATGGGTTGGAAAAAAATCTTCAACTTTGTAAGATTGGTTTCTTCATTGATTATAGACGGAAGAAAGATAAACGATAGGATGGCTATAATTATCAACACCACATTTATCAAGTATTGGAGGTATATGACATTAAGAACATAGCTTAGAATATTTCCGAACAAAATCCCAACACAAATGTTAAACTGAATTAAAGATAAGTTTAATCCTCGTTTGTTCTTATCTATTGATAACTTTGTTATGTAAATTGGAGAAATCAAGAGAAATATCCCATTGGTAATTCCAAGTATTACCCGGTATAATATCAATAAAGCGGTAAATTGGAACTGATTGACGAAATTTATTATTGCACCAATAATATAAATCACGTATCCTAATTTTATGACATGATCATACTTTGTCCAAATTATAATAGCTCCTATTAAGCATCCAATTATACTACCTAAATTAAAACATGATATTATGAACCCTAACAATGGCTGCAGTAAATCGACATATTGTTGATTAAATTCCTCAGACTTAAAATAATGATTAGCCGTGCCTATTTCAAATCCCATAACCAATCCCGTTAAAGAAATCAATCCCGATAAGATCGTGATTCTACGATTATTAATTTTCAAAGTATTTCCAAATTGGAATTTCTCCCCATTATCAATTTCTATCATGGATACTATCAATTTTTCTGAAAATTCCTTGTTACCCACTCAAATCAGTCCCCCTTTTATTTATTGTGGTTTTAGTCCAATCTGCGACAAATTTTTGCAACCACAATGGAATCGCATTTATCTTTCCGAATTTACGATTTTTTACACAAAATCGCTTATCAGTAAAATTCTCAAAATTTTCTTTAAGGAGTTATCTCTTTACTACGTTGAATTTTTCGCTTTAAATTGATAATTTATTGATATTTGAGTTTGTAGAAATTCCAGAAATAAGAGAATTTGAATATTATCCTTAATAAGTGGTGTTTCATTCAGTTTTCAATCCATTAATTGTGAATTTGATTTTACTTTTGTGATTATTTCTTTTTTCCCCTTTTAGGAGCGAGACAGATCAATAAAGTTAAGTTTCAGATTTCACCATGGAATCGAAGAAATCAAAAGATAGACTGATTTATAATAAAGATGCTACACCTTTTATTCCTTCGAGGAAACTTAGTTTACCTACATACTTAGAAACGAATGATTCTGATTCGTCGTCTAATAATAGTCCCATTCCCAAGATTTCGTCCTTGAACAATAATATGGCTCATTCAATAGAAGGTTCCATGTCCCCTGGGGGGTTTGGCTTTAATAATTATTTACCTTATCAACAGTATCCTGTTCCACAAACTACGTTTTTGGTTACGATTAATAATTTACCTTGTGAAATTGATAGTGTTGAATTGAGTAATTTTATTAAAGAAGTTGACGAGGAATTCACATTTAAAATCGTTAATTTACAAAAATCTGCTTATCAGGAACTCGAAGATGTGATCGAAATTGCTAGTGCTTTGATCGAGGTTTACGAATATAATCAAATGTCAAGCTTAATTGAAAATTTGGATGGTTATGAATGGATGGAAAGAATTTTAGAGGTTAAGTTTTTGCCATATTTTGTTCCATATTTTGTTCCTTACCCTCCTATGGGTGGTGCTCTCAATCCGATGATGAAGGATGAAACAATATACCCTTACTCACATCCACTTTCTCGAAATTCTTCCATTAGTTCATCAAATTCGAATCCTTCAACACCTTATTCAACGAGCATGAATTCGGATTCCAATTTCAATTCAACTTCTAACTTGAATTCTTCGAATTCTTCCACTGGAGTCCCTCAATTTTTGATGAATTTTGTCTCTTCTAATAAGGAGGATTCTGACTTTATAGTCACTAAAAACGACCAAGGTCAAAATATTAAAGTTAACCCTTGCAGACTTTTTGTTGGAAATATCCCTTTTTCATCTACATGGTCAAACTTGAAGAAATTCTTGATTGAAAAATGTAACGAATTTGAACCAAATAATGATATTGAAATCTTAAGAGTGGAAATTCCTATGAATAATAATTTAAATGTAAAGAAATATCAAATTTTAACATCTTTCATCAGGGATCAAACTTCAACTCCCGATGACTTACATTTAAATGATGAAGAGTATGTGATTGAAAAAAACATGTCTAGAGGTTTTGCTATCGTTACAACAGGAAACAAAACATCATCAGAAAAAATCATAAAATATTTTGATGGTGTTGAGTTCGAAGGTAGAGAATTGACTGTCAGATTTGACAAATTCCCTGACTTCAACAACTATATGTTACAGCAATTGTATCCACATCAGAAAGAGAAAACATTGGCAAATTTAGCTTTTGAAAGGAATTCATTCCAACAAAAATTCTACTACGGAAACTATATTAATCAAAATTTTAATCACAATATGCACACTGGTTCAAATTCTTATTCTTACTATAAGCAGCCACAATATCATAATAGATCACAGTCAGTTTCATATCATCGTCACCAATCTCCCAGATTGCCAGTGCTTCAACCAAACTTTACCCCACAAATTCATCCTTCTGCTCACTATACGAATAATAATATGCCTAGATCCACCAAGAAGAAGTCTAAAGAAAGCGTAATGGATATTGTAGACGAAGATGAAAGAGCAAGAGAGTTGGTAAATTCATTCGAATCTTTAGGTATTTCTTCTTGAAATTTTATATATTTATTTAGGCAAATTGTAATTTATCATCTATTGGAAAGCTCTTGCTAAACCAACTTCATAAACGTAATTACCTAAGGTAACAATGTCCCAGACAGGTAAACCAGTAGCTTTTCTGATACAATTTCTGAAAGGTGGCATATTAGCACATTCTAAAACAAAACCTCCAATATCACTATGTTGAGCTAATAAATCTTCAGCACATTTGATTAAATCTTTACAATGTTCTTCATAATCATAAGGCTCACAGTCTCTAATTAATCTGTTGAAAGATGAACCATGAGGTACACCAATAATTGGAGTTGATGGATCAGCACCAACAGCATTTAAATGTTTTACACTTAAGAATTCAGAATCAAAAGTGATAACACCAATTCTTTTACCTGGTTCGATTAAACGTTCAGCAATTGGAATTTGTAAAAGGGATGAAGTCCCAATTGGAGTTTTTGGAAATTTCTTTTGTAAAACATGATGAAGAGTAGCTAAAAATCCACATGAGGTAACAATAGCAACAGCTCCATCATTGATAGCTTCTTCAGCAACATCAACCCATCCTTGAATGAACTCTTCACTATAATTGTTAGAAGTATTAACAACTTCAAATACGGAAGACTTTTCCATGACATAAACCTTAACAGGAATATTCCAACTATCTAAACTTGCAACATCTCCCGCAGGTCTATCAAAATGGGAATTGACTTTTAAAACTCCTAAAAATGGTTCGTTTTTTGACATTTAGTATTGAATGATTCTTTGCTTAAGATAAAATGACTCTTGAATATATCAGATCATACGATAAATCATTCATTTATATAGGTCTATTCTGCGGAATCTTATCTATTACTAAACGCGGTAATCGCAGCCAATTTTCCACTATCTTATCACTTGCCTAAAACAGAAACCCCGAATCATATAAAGCTATCGAGGCCTGTCGTTTGGCGATGGCCACAAATAAAAATCGACATGACAGATTATACCATTTTAGGGTATGTTAATTATTAACGAATGTTTTTTCACCACTTACTAACATTTTCAGGTCAGGGGTTATTGGTCTTTATACTGCTTACTTGTTACTTGAAAGAGGTATTGACAGTAAAAAAATTAAAATCATAGCTAAGCATACTCCAGGTGATTTATCCCATCACTTTGCTAGTCCCTTTGCTGGTGCCACCGTACCTTGTGTTAAAAATGATGATGAAGATATCCAATTTTTTTGTAAATTCACCTTTGAAAATTTAGGTAAGATCAGACAACAATTGGGAGGTAATTGTGGTATTGAAACCATTTGGAATAATGAATTCTGGTACAAGAAACCATCTGAAAAGACATTAAAGAAATTCTATTCTTATATCTTCGAATATAAAGAAATCCCTAAAGCTCAAATTCCTAAAGGTCAAGCCTATGGATTAAGATATAAGACTTGGGCTTTCAATGCCCCATTGTTTATTCAACGTTTGAGTGACTACATCAAAGCAAAGGGTGTCAAAGTTGATGTCAGAGAAATTTCCGATCTTAAGGAAGTCAAGACTAAAGGGGATACGATTATTTTCAATTGTACTGGATTTGGATCTAGATTCATCAAAGGTATTGAAGATCTTGATGTTATTCCTATCAGAGCCCAAGTTGTTGTTGTGGAAGCTCCAAGTGTTGTAGAAACTCATTTAAGTTGGGGAAATAATGTCGAAACTTATGCTATCAAAAGACCAAAATCTAATGAATTGGTGTTAGGAGGATTTTATCAACATGATAATTGGAATAAAGATGTTTTGGGTAAAGAGACTCAAGACATCTTACAAAGAGTTAGTAAGGAATTCCCTCAAATAATCCCATCAGGAAAGACAATCTATGACTTCCCTATCAAGAGGGAAATCTCGGCTTTTAGACCAAGTAGAAAATCTGGGGTAAGAATTGAGAAAGAACTCATCGATGGTAGATTAGTTATCCATAACTATGGTGCAGGTGGTACTGGTTATGCCCAAGGTTTAGGAATGGCCGAACAAGCCGTTAGATTAATTCCCTCTTCAAAATTATAGACAATATATTCTTCCTACATTATCTTAACCCTCATCAACCTTGCGCGAGATCAATGAATAATGGAACTTACAACAGTTCCAGTCATATCCACCAAGAAACGAAGAAAGTTAAAACCACAGGATCGTAAGAAGACGTTGTTTAGCTGTGATCATTGTAAGCTCAAGAAGGTTGCTTGTCGTAAAAAGAATCCCACTGATGACAAATGTATAAAATGCACCACAGCAGGAATCAGCTGTGAAACAACAATTCAAAGAAAAAGGAGGTCTCATGGTCCGTTGGAAAATATAGGGTTACATTATAAGTGTCTATATCTGCTCGTTAAGAAACTTTGCCCCAACATTGATATCAATGATATTGATTCATTAATCGAATATGGGGTATCAATGAATATAACTATGCCTTCTCCCTATGGGGAATCTGCTAAAGATCATGATGAAAGTATGGATCTAGCATTCAGAATCACTAGTCAAAAGAGGAGATATAAACCTACAACAGAAAAGGATTCCGAATCTCCACAAAATGAAGATATTGAGACGTCTGATGTGTCACAATTTATACCTAAAATGACCAATCCCGATGTCTTGCCTCTAGAACACATGATAGATCCTTTTTCCATTATTAATTTTTCTGATTTTCCCGTCAACACTCCTGATGTTCTACCTAAACATAAATTTCGCCAACCGGATTGTATTGTTATCGATAAAGGAGGTAATATTCATTATGTGGGGAGATTTGGTGGAGCTGGTTGTTTGGAGACTTGTATTAATATTATGATTAACCAATCATCTAATTTCAATCTATGGTCTGATTATAGTCATGTTTATAATAGTGAAATTGTGATGAATTCCCAAATCGAGAATATCAATTTTAAGTCAATTGACTTTCAAAAATTCCCGTTGATCAACAAGATTCCAAAACTGGAGATGGACTTCTACTTGGACCGTTTCTTTGCCCGAATTCACCCAAGAAATTATTGTTTCAACGAATCTAAGCTCCGGTCTAATTATCAGACTCTTTGGAATATATACGAAACAGGTGAGGGAGATCTTGGTAAAGAACAAGTATGTTGCATATATATGATAACAATACTAGGTTGGCTTCACCAATCGAAAGATGATGACCTGGAAGACAAAAATCATAAATTGACAGAGCTGATAGTCAATGAATATATTCAAATCATTAGACTATGTTTGAATGATATGATTTTACGTCCGTCATTAGATGGCATTAGATGTTTGTTGCTATTGTCATGTTACATGGACAGTACCAAACTACGGGAAAGTGGGTACTGTTTAATACAGTTGGCTTCTAGGCAAGCCATTTGTATGGGGTTAAATCGCCCATCAGTTCATAACAGTTTACCTGACGAAACATTTGTTGAAGAATTAAGGTTGACCTGGTTATTGATACTCAAACATGAAATCAGTATCAGTATTCAGGTTGGGAGATCTTCATGTTTATTCTTTGAAGATATCAATGTGGATAACCCCAAACAAAACTTTACTGATCCTGAGTTTTATGATTACTTGGTAGAATTTTATAAACTATGTAAGATATCAATGGAAGGTTTGAAATACATGAGAAGCTTGAAGAGTAGTATATTGGACGAATCCAATATCAAACAATCAGAAGAAGTGTTGGAAAAATTCGATAGTTGGTACAAATCCACACCAATAAGCCTAAAGATTCAACAGAGCTCAGATAGCCAACGTTACGTACCTCAAAGTGAAATCAAAGACTTCAAATTGGACATATTATTCAAGTATCATTATTTTGTTATTTCTTTCACTTTGCCTTATCTTTTATATTACTTGAATGAGCCCAACTACCCCATTGAAAGGATTCAAGTTCTTGTTGAAAAGTGTATCTCATCTTCGATTGATATTTCAAAATTGATCTTGATTAGCTATCAGCATAAATTATTCAACGGTACATTATTTCAAGATTACTTCTATACCTATTACGCGTCCATGGGTTTAGTAATGGGACATATCATTGCTCATAGATCTGAGATCACCATATCCAAAGAAGATATAATGAGATCAATCAGTATCATCAAATCAATCAACAACAAAGTTTTCGGTAAATTGAGTGGTACCTTAGTAAAGATAAGTAGATTTATTTCCGTATTGTTTAGTGGATTGAACATTTTATCTTTTGTTACAAACAATGTTTATAACCATTCCAATCACCCCATTATTCATATGGCTAATGTGGAGCAAGCTGATTTCGAGTATAAACCCACTGATGATGATCAATTCTTAAGAGAGATTCTTGATGGGTCATTCTTAAACTCCATAAGTTAGTTCGAACACATTCCATGCTCATTCCATCCATATACATCACCACTCTAAATATACACTGGTCAAGCCGATGCGCATCAGATTTCTATTTGTTGATAATGAATAGACTAAAACCTTTTAAGAACCACATCAGGTTCAAGGCCAATTTATGGTTGGCTGGTACGAATAGACTTTTCAGTACTCCACCAACCATAATACAGGAGAATAAAACCGTTAGTCAATATTTAGCTGATTATAAACAATGGTTCCCCAAAGACAATCTTACCAATTCCTTAATAGATTCTTACGAAAGATTGAAATTGTATCCCCAAGAAACAATCAAGATCGGGGTAATTTATCATGACGAACAAATAAAAAGTAATTGTAGAATGATGGAAACTATCTTGGCTGATCCTTTAGCTAGTAATAATGAAGAATGGTTTTATAAGATAGTCAACAGGAATAAACAGGACAATTTAACCTTTGAATATGGGACGAGTCCTGATATCCATGATTCCATTTACAAGATTCCATCACCAATTTTATCATCGTTGACGAGACCTTCATATATGACCCCCAAAACAAATATAACACCTAATGATGTGATTCTTTATGAAATTAATGATTTATCATCATTTGATAGATTCAATCATTGTCATTTCTTCATTTATATTACCGATAATATAACCACCATAAAAAAGTTACCTAGTTCGATCAATGATCGAATATTATTGACAATAATTGATAATAGTGATTTCACTCCAACTTCAAGCGAATCAACACCCATACCAATCAAAAACGATTCTACAGAACGAATTGTTAAAGTCAATACAGAAATAAGTTACAAAGGAATAGTGGAATTTTTAAAGTATGATACAAAAGCTCTGAATAATTATCTTGAATCATTGGTGGAAAGTAACAATTTTCAAATCTTGAAAATCATAGGCTATAATTTACCTGTGGAAACTTTACTCAATTGGAACTTGAAGAAGATTGTAGGTAACATTAAACAACAAGAAATCAATTTCAAAGAATTGGAAGACTTATATGAGTTTTTAAAGACAAATGTCATCAATGAATTCTCATCTGCCATGCACTATGAATTGCAAAGAAAATTCATTCCTATAACGACTAACTTTTTCAACAAGAAGTTAAGATGGTACAAATTATACTGGAAGAATGATGATGTTGAATATGTTGTTAAAGATTTTTTCAATTTGAATTTCATGCCTGAAAGTATAGAAAATTATAATGTCACAAGAGGTAAAATCATTAATTATTTACAAAATCACCAATTCGTGAATTATAGTGAAATAAAACCTCAGTCCAATACCAATCCTTTATTAAGATTGAAAAACGACATCATATCTCGGAGAATAAAACAAGAAATTCAACCAATAGTATCCAAAAGTATTCTTTTGGCGTTGATATATTATCAATTACCTGTTACTATAATCAGTGGACTAGCATATCAATATTTTGATTTTACTTTGAATGGTTCCATGGCCATATTCAGTTTAGGAATGGTGGTGGGATTCAATTACCTCTCAAAGAAATGGGAAAGTTTTACTATCAATTGGCTAAAGAATCTTTTTGACGAAGTTAGAATAGTTATCGACAAAGATTGTATTGAAGATGGACTTATAAAAGAATTAGCTGATAGATATGACGAAGAAAGAAAAATAATCGATATCAAAAATGACATAATAAAGGGAATAAATATATTAAATAAATAACCATATTTTAAATAAATAAATCATTATCATTAAACCTATAAAGAAGGTGGGGCAGCTTCAGCTTGTCTTTTTGCTTTTAATTGTTGTTCTAATCTATCGAATTCTCTTAAAGCTATTTCTTCTTCAGGATCTAAGATTTGTTCGATACTATCAACTTCTTCAATATAATGTTTGAGCATGGCTTCAATACCATGCTTTAAAGTATCTTCACTCGATGCACAACTTTTACAGGCACCTTGTAATTTTAAAAATACTTTACCAGTTTCTTCATCGAATCCTTTATATTCAATATCACCACCATCATCTTGAATGGCAGGTCTTATTCTAGTTTCAATCAACTCTTTGATCATAGAAACAATTTCAGAATCATTTTCATCATTTTCTTGCCTTAAGGTTTCATCCAATAATTCCTTAGTAATAACAGGTTTCTCTTTAGTAGTTAAAAATTTATCCATTAATTCTGTTACTTCAGGTCTTAAATTAGCCCAATTGATATGATCTTGTTTATTAACAGTTAAGAAATCTGGTCCTAACATGACACTTTTGACACCTGGTAATTTGAATAATTGATATGCTAAAGGTGAATGAATACTTTGTAATGATGATGTGAATTCAAATGTTTTGTTGGGGATAGGGACTATTTCAGCTTCATTACTAATGAATTTTAGAGCATCAGGATTTGGGGTGGGTAAGGTTTGGAAATTCAAGAACCTTCTTGCAATAATGGTATTAACACCATGGATATTCCTCATGGAGTTGGAAATTCTACTCATAGTGATCTTTGGTAAAGTTCTCACAGTCATCCTTGTTTTATTAGTAAGTCGCACTAATTTTCGATTTCGGATCCTGAACTTTTCTGAGCCGCACTACTAACAATTTGAAATAAATTTCACCTTATTGGCTGGTGGATGGCTCAATCATTGGAGATTTTTTCTTCATCACGTGAACAAATATAGATGTTACAGATTTAAACTTTAATTCTAAGATGAAACGAAAGGGGAACTTACAGATTGAAAAGTTTAAGTTAAGGTACGGTTAAGTAAGTTTAAAAAGGATAACTTATCATAGAGAAATTTTTGGGGAGGCTATATATTACAGTCATAAATCGTTACATAATAGTACAATCATCCTTTCTCTTACGGGATGTTCTAGTGGAGATTTTGGTCAAATCAGTCTTCAAGTTAGCTGAACTTAATCTTCTCATGCTTTTAGCAGCACTTGGAGATAACATGATTGAGGCTCTTGAACCTATTCTATTCAATTTTTTATCTCCTTTGAGTTTTTTCTTATTTTTATCATCACTTTCTTGATTGAAAGAATTCAAATAATCAAATGTAGAATCTTCAGAATCATCAGATTCATAAGTTACAGAAGTATTGTTAGTAGTTGTTGTAAAAGCTTGTTCAAGGTCTTCTAAATCATCGATATTTATATGATTATCTTTAGTGGATAATGTATTAGAATCTAAATCGATTTCATCAGTTTCAATTTGATCGACCTCTTCACTTTCATTAGAAATCAAGGAACTATTATCCTTGAAATACCCTCTACTCAATGGGCTTTGAGTTGTAAATACTGAAGTATTATCGTTGTTTAATGATAAATTCGATACGTTGGAGTTACTCAAGCTTAACCTTGGATTTTCTTCGATAATAGGATCAACAGTTAAAGCATCAATATTTTCATTGAATTTTTTTAAGAACTTTATCAACACATATTCATTATCACCAACATTTTTTAACTTCAAAATAGTTGTCAAAAGTAATTGACAAAACACTGTTATGTTCAAATTATAAATTCTATTATTAATTTTGGCAAATTTAGTGAATATTTCATAATAATTAGATGGATAATCTAAATTAATCACGATAATGGTTAATAATTGGATTAACTGATCAAACTGATAATCTATTAAATCAATATCCTTATGAATTTGAAGTTTCGATTCTTTCGACAACTTATAATCATCTTCTATAATATATTGATTATTCAATAATGCCAGTTTAAAATCATTTATAACGGTGAATTTGAATCTTATATCATTGATCCTGACATTAACCCCCGTTTTATTGTAAAAATTAAGGGATTCCCAAATTTTTTGTAGTACAAACGTCTCAGTACTATTAAATTCCATATGCATAATACCTTTATAATCCAAAATATAATACAAAAATCAACCTCCCTTATAGAACTTCACTCTATTCAAACTTAAAACCTATTTCGATGTTATAAAATCAATTTTTAAGCCTTGTATAATGCCAAATTTGATTTTTATAATATCAATTGTTGGGAAATTAATGGTTAAATACGAAGAGAATCTCGCATTGTGTGTTTGGATCTAATTTTCCTATTTTAAGTAATAATGTCGCGATGGTGCGGTTGTTGAAAAATCCCTTTTTTCCCTCCACCATCAATTTGTTTTCCGTTTTGGGAACTGTTGGTGGATGAATTGACAACTTTTATTGTAAATTTTGTTTTCATACGCCAAAAATGAAGAGATTTTGTTACAAAATTAGATCCTCGACATTTCAATGGACTTTAGCTTCAAAAGGCGATGTTTTAATCAATGCAATTTTACCCTTATCTGTCGTAGAGACATTCCATCAATGATGGGTTTCAAATTCATGTTTTATTGTTTGAAGTTAATTTTATACAATTGATTTCTTTTCAAGGTTAAAAATGTCCATTTCCGTGCTTTAGGCTTTTGTTGCTAAGGATTTCTAGAAATTATTTTTTACAGTAATCATATTAGCTTTTTGAATCCAAAGTCAAGTTTCGGCTTTATATGCCTCGTTTCACCTAAAAAATTTTAGCCTAAAGTCTATCCCTTCGGTAACAAATTTCTTGGTCCGGCTAAATATTCTAGTCTTGATTTTTTTTGTCCATGAGGCACTGAGCTTATTGACACAACTTGACAATAAGATTCGGAACTACTCAAGATTCAATCTCTCCAAAGCCGTTATTTTGAGAGTTGAACTTTTTCCCACAACCTAGTTTTTTTCTATTCTATGAGAGGTTTTCGATGAAGAGATTTTAGTTGAGAGCCTTTGGTGATATTCTGCGTCTGTTACAAATTCAGAAGAAAGGATTAATACTCACATAAAACATCTATATATAATCATATGACTACGACAATTTTTTAAACATTAGCCCATGAACTACCACAAACGCAAGTTCTTTGGAAAACCATGGTCCATAATCCTATATTACCTTCGCCGAAAATTAATGGATCGTTAACTAACGACACTGACCTACACCTGGTACATTTTCTAAGTCCCTGACTATTTGAACAAATGATTATCTTTCTTAGAGCATCAATATATCCGTCATTGATTCTTTGACGGGGAACTGTTTTACAGTTTTTCGAAGTGAAAATTGGTTCATCTCTGACTAATTCCAATTCATCTTTGAAATCATTACTAATGTTAATCCAATTGACATCATAGTAAAACATTTCAGCTACTTTCAAATCTCTCACAATAAAGGATGAATATTTTTCTATTATCCAACGTCCTACTTGAAATAAACCCGGTCCTATTTTACCATGACAGAACATTTGTTGTTCTAATTTCAATGCTTGAGTTTTGGACGTTTTGGTTGTAATATCGTTCATTTCTTTCAAGATGTATCCATCACATTCCTTGATAAACGTTTCAAATAAAGGTAGATTTAATGGAGAATTTGAACATGAAGTGAAGTATCGATTTAAAGCATCTTTCATTGGAGTGAATAACTTATTGGACTCTTCCAAATCTTTATGTAATCTTTTCAAAACTTCTTGAGTTTTACTAATAGATGACAATGCATACATCAAAAATAATCTTGGTACTTTACTTATTAAGATAGGTAAAACAATGGAATTTTCAAAACTAATTTTTGATGGTCTTTTATGTTTGTTACTCATATATAATTCCAATAATTCTTGATTTAGGTAAATGATTAGCTCAACTAACCATCTCACATTCCCTGTTAAAGATATAATCGATTCGGCTCGGGTAACAGAATCTTGGTAAGTATCCTCAGTTGGTTTCTTTTTCGAAAGCTGTCTATAAATACTTGACAACAGGAACATTATACCAAAACTACAGCTTCTCAAATTTAATACAATCCATGCAATATTTTGACTTATATTATTGATTCTTCCTTCTAACCCACCCAAGATCAATTGTAATGATAAAAGTTTTTGTAAAGGAGGATTACTCAATAATTTATCCACAGTTTCTTTGTTGAAAACGTCCAATTGGAAATTTATAGCTTTATGACTTTCACAGATTATAGACTCTATGAAACTATCCAAAGCATCGGGGATTTTCTCCATATCCAAAAAATCACCGATCTTCTTACTAACCCTGTCAATTTCTAATTGGATTATTATTAATAAATCGTCACTGTTCAGATTGAAGTAACATGATTGGGAATGATATAGAGCAAACCCTACTGAAGTTTTATATAATTCTTCAGGTGATAACTCCAAGCATTGTAATTTCTCCAAAAAAACGATTTTGATATCCAAATCTGTTTGATTAAGCTCAAAATAAGCTAAATTATAAAATGGAGAGAATCCAAAAGCTATCTGTGACTTCATCTCTAACGTTGGCAATACAAATCCAATTTCAGCCAAACTCGAGATCTTTTCAGGCATCTTCTCGCATCTATTACTCTCATTCACATGTATTATGGTGTTATTTTTACGAGCAAAGGTCCTTGAAGTACCATCACCACAAACAATCACCATAGCACATGTAGTTCCCAGTATACCAATGATTTGGCTGGGGACATTAGTTTGATCATACAACTGGAGGTAATATTCCTTGGTCGATTCCTCATCTTTAGTCATTCCAATTTCACTAAATGCATTTATTATAGGATTATTACTCTCTGCCAATCTGTATCGATACATTGACGTTGAAATTTTGAAATTCTCGTCATAGTTGTAATAATTCACAAAAATATCCATTGAATCTTCGTCGTCAAGGTGAGGTGACACTATATGGAAGGATGCTAATTTCCCAATTCTTAGTTTTGGTTTGTAAATTCCATCGGCGGTGGAAGTGAAATTATCGATGTCCATATCATCTTCTTTCTTCACAGGTTGGGGATCGTTCTCGTCATCTTCGTAAATCACACCATTAAATTCATGTTGTGATAAAGGTGCCATCTGATATACAGTTTCGATTCGTAATTTAGGTGAAGTTTGTGATTCTTTGGGGGTATTATAGTGAGGGTCCATCTTTTGTTTAGCAGCTGCTTCAGTTAAGAAGCCCCAATCTATGAAGATCTTATACGTTATTATTTTATTGGAAAATTCGTCATAGGCGATTAAAATTATATGTTTTTCATTAGGGAATCCGAATTCTGCTTGGGTTATGTTTAAATTCTTATTAATTCCTTCATTTAACTTCCCCGAAAGTTTATGATATTCTACTTTATGTTCACCTTGATAGAATATCACGATTTCTCCATTGGCTCTTAAACCTATACAAGCTTGTTTGGTGGATATTGGGTGACATAAATTATTGGGTTGATGTTGAGATAAACCATAAGAATAAGCAAACTTCTTATCTTCGGCATTGGGTAAATGAACTAATTTTGCTTCCTTACCAATCAATTGACTTTTCTCAATAGGTAGCCATTTAAAGGCCACAACCTTTAATGAGTGATTGGGTTTTGAATTAATGTTGGGTACGATTATATCTTTGAAAATCACTTCCAAATGATTATATGAGGTCAACTCATAACTTGGACTAGGACTATTGATACTATTTACACTGCCATTACTATTCATTCCTTCTTTCTCGTCAATTAATCCAACACCGGATAATAATATATAAAAATTCCCATAAACATCTGAAATAGCCAAATCAGTATTCAAATAACTCCATTCAAGTAAGGATAATTCAGGAATTTGGCCCTCATTAGGTTTCACTATAATCTTCTGAGGGGTGGATAATTTCCAGGTTTTACCATTGACATTTTCAAGATATGTTAGAAGAAGATTTTCTTTATTGTTGGGGATTGAATAAGCTATCAATCCATTCCTAGACCAAGAAAGTAACTTCTTATTCTCCCACTGAAGATATTCCAAATCAATCAGTTCTGTCATGATTGAAATAATTTTCCACCGCGAACTAAGAGATTAAGAGAACAGCTTGAGATCGATATTTTTTTATTATTAAGAGGGGGGGATAATTGGAATCTATAAATCACCTGGAACTGGATATTTACCAACCCATTGAGCAACTTCATCGGCTAATTGTTTAACATCAGCACTTTCATCGGCTAATTGTTTGAAGTTGTTTAATAATTCTTTAGGAGAATCACCTACTTCTTGAGATTTTAAAGCAATGGAAAGTTCAACAGCTCTTTGGAAATATTGGGAAACTTTTTCGAATTCTTCTTCACCAAAACCTCTGGTAGTCATAGCTGGAGTTCCGACTCTTAAACCTGATGGGAATAAAGCGGATTTATCACCTGGAACAGTATTTTTATTAGCAGCAATATTGATTCTTTCTAATACAGCTTCAACTCTAGCACCATCGATTTTCTTGGATCTTAAATCAATTAAAATTAAATGAGTATCAGTACCATCACTAACTAAATCAAAACCTTTAGCTTTTAATTGATCAGCAAATTTAGCAGCATTTTCAACAACTTCTTTTTGATATTGTTTGTATTCTGGTTCTTGAGTTTGTTTTAAAGCAACAGCTAAAGCTGAAATAGTATGATTATGTGGACCACCTTGATGAGCTGGGAAAACTGAAAAATTGATTTTTCTTTCTAAATCATACATAATTTCTTTACCTTTTTTAGTAACTTTTCTAACACCTTTTCTGAAGAAGATCATAGCACCTCTTGGTCCTCTTAAAGATTTATGAGTGGTGGTAGTAACAATATCACTATAAGGGAAAGGACTTTCAGTAACACCAGCTGAAACTAAACCGGAAATATGAGCCATATCACTTAATAAGTAAGCACCAACTTTATCAGCAATTGATCTCATTCTCTTATAATCAATAATTCTGGAATAAGCTGAAGCTCCAGCAATGATAACTTTAGGTCTGAATAAGATAGCATTAGCTTCTAAAGTATCATAATCAATCAAACCAGTAGATTCGTTTAATCTATAAGGCATGGTTTGGAAATATTTAGAAATATATGAAATTTTGGTAGTTGGAGTTTGATAACCATGAGATAAATGACCACCATGAGGTAAATCTAAACCCATAATTCTATCACCAGCTTCTAATATAGCACTGTAAGCATACAAGTTAGCTGGGGCTCCAGATAATGGTTGAACATTGACTCCCCATTCATCTTCATTCAAATTGAAAGCTTTTAAAGCTCTCTTTTGACATAAACTTTCAGCCATATCAATAATTTGATTACCACCGTAATATCTTTCACCAGGGTAACCTTCACTATATTTGTTTTGCATTTCAGAACCTAATAAGTCCATGACAGCTTTTGAAGTAAAATTTTCTGATGGAATTAAAGTAATACTATTTCTTTGTCTGTCTTTTTCTAAACTTAAGATTTCTGCCATTTCAGGATCAACTTCTTGAACTGGCTTTGAAATCAAAGCTTTAGCTTGGGCTGATAATGCATAGGTTCTTATAAACCTAGGTTTAATTGAATAACGTAAGGATGATAACATAAAGTTTTTTTTGCAATTAGGCTGAAAAATTATGATTCATAAATTTCTTCGAGATGTACGAAAAAAAGGTCGTGCCGGGATGGATTCTTGTTATTTATTGACTAATAACAACTAATAGTGAATTATTTGATAGTAATTGACTATTTGATCACTTTAAATCTTATTTTATAAATTTCTATATAATTAGGGTCTATATATGGTATAAATAGGATTTGTGGAGATATCTAGGTTCAAGAGTCAAAAATCTGAGTCATTTGACTCGAAATTGAAGACTGAGTCGCAAGTTCATCGGCTCGATCATTATACAACCGATATTGAGATTCTTTACTTGAATAGTCTACTATGGTCATATCCACAAGGAATCCCCAATTTGCAGCTATGTAGTTGGTCAATCCATTCGTTTTCTATAAGTTTATCAATATTCCATCTTTTATCATCGGTGGTAATCATATTTTGCAAGCATGTCTTCACTCCGGAAGGAACCCCATTTAAATCTAGTCCATGATCTAAAAAGTCTTTATATCCATGATTATCTAATTGAGCGAGTTTCCAAGGATATTTTTTGAAATGAATATAATAGAGCATTATTCCTAAAGACCAAATATCCAGTATTAGTCCATTATACTTGATTTTACTAAAGACCTCAGGTGCAACAAATCGGTCAGTTCCAACGATACCATAACTTTCAGGTTTAGTTGAACTATCAAAGAAATCAATAAGTTTTATGTACCCTTCCTCATTCATAAGCACATTATCGAACTTCAAATCTCTATGACATACATTATTATCATGTAAATAATGAACTCCGTTAATGATCTGTTTATACATGCAAAGAATTTCTGAAGTTTCAGTTTTTTTCAACATCTCTGTAACAGTTGAGCCACCATACTCCATATAAAGACTGACCTTGGAATTGAATTTGGAACTTGTGAATTTATAAACTTTAATGACGTTGAAATGATCCAATTTGTTCAATACCTCATACTCATGAGAAACTCTTTGCTTGTATTCTTCCGAAGACTCATATTTTTCTTTACAATCATAAGCTTTTACAGCATACAATGACTTCCCCTTGAATAAGTCGACTTTCCCGGTAACTCCAGCACCAAGAAATCGAACTTTCTTATCAAAAACTGATGTTTTCAATTCATTACCCATTAGAAACTTTTGGTTGCGAAAATGAAGAAACACTTGAAATATATTATCACTATTTAGATTTGTTAACTACATATTCTAATAAATCAACAACTCTGTTGGAATAACCAAACTCGTTATCATACCAAGCAACCAATTTGATGAAAGTTGGAGATAATTGAATACCTGCCTTTTCATCAAAAATTGATGAGTATGGAGAACTCATGAAATCCGTTGAAACTACGTCATCAGAAGTATAACCAACAATTCCTTTGAACTCACCTTCACTAGCTTTCTTCATAGCTTGACAGATTTCCTTATATGTTGTTGGGGTCTTTAATCTAACAGTTAAATCAACAATTGAAACATTGGTGGTAGGAACTCTGAACGACATTCCAGTCAACTTCCCATTTAATTCAGGAATAACCTTACCAACGGCTTTTGCAGCACCAGTAGTAGATGGAATGATATTAGCTGAAGCTGTTCTTCCACCTCTCCAATCCTTATTGGATGGACCGTCAACAGTTTTTTGAGTAGCTGTGGTTGAATGAACTGTAGTCATCAACCCTTCTTCAATTCCGAATTTATCGTTAACAATCTTAGCAATTGTAGATAAACAATTAGTAGTACAAGAAGCATTTGAAAGTATATCGATATCTGGTGTATAAGTATCTTCATTAACACCCATATTGAACATTGGAGCATCAGCTGAAGGACCAGTGATAATAACTTTCTTAGCACCTGCATCAATATGTTTTTTAGCAGCATCGGATTTGGTGAAAACTCCTGTAGACTCGATTACATATTCAACACCAACTTTCCCCCATGGGATATTAGCGGGATCTCTTTCTTGAAATACTTGAATTTTCTTCCCCTTGATAACTAAATAGTTATCTTCGGATGTGACTTCATCTTTATAAGATCTATGAGTAGAATCGTATTTAAACATATAAGCCGCATAATCAGGTGCAATAAAAGGATCATTTATTGCAACCACATTAATATCCTCTCTTTCCAAGGCAATTCTTAACACCAATCTACCGATTCTTCCAAAACCATTAATTCCTACGTTAATAGACATTTTTATATTGAAGTTTAAAAAAGAGTTCTCCACTAGTTTATATAGTAATTTAAGGGCAAGAGGACATGACAAATGGAAATTCGACGTCCGACCATATCTTACGTAAGAAAACTTCGGACTTAGATCTGATCATACTAATTACCCAACCTGCACCCTAGATATGTCACTCGGGTATCAAACGTCCTTTGAGGTATTAAAATCTTAGGCTCATTAGTAATATGATAATCATACATGCAATGGACGGGAGGAATTAAAATGACTCATGTGTCTTTAAGTGATGTAATTAGATGGAAGTCATATATCCGAAAACCTTGCTAGTATTCCATATAACCCCATTCCGTATAACATCAGCTTTCGCTCCACCTCCTACTATTGGAATCTTAACAGAACCACTTTTGCCTCAGGCACATACGGATAGGAGAAAAAAACCAGTCAGGTTCTCACGTGATATATCCCGTGACTGTATCGTGATGATAAGAAACTTTCTACCTACCTTACAACATGATAAGGATATGCTTAAAAGATAAGAAATAGTCATAAATAACAATAATAAGTGTAAAAGAGTTGAATTGTAACCTCCCCCACCTATAAAAACTCATATCAGCTCTCCTATAACCATAAACATAAAAAGGTAGTGAGATTATCAAATGATCATTCATACGGCCTTAAAAGGGAGAGGACCTAAAGCTGAGAATTTTAAGGGGACTCGAAAGTTGCTGGTTAACCATTTTATATAAATAACTTAAACTTCTGGTTTTCTTTAATTATCAATTATAGAATGAAATTCACTACTTTAATCGCTATTGCAGGTGGTTTAAGCCAAATCAATGGTTTAAATTTACCAAATGTTTTCAATTTACAAAAACCCTTAAATTTACAAGATGAGAAGTATGTTTCATGGAGTTCCAATGATAAACAACAAGATTCTATTTGGAATATTGGTAGCTTAATCAAATCTGGTAATGATGGAGTTTTCGAAAAGATCGGTGAATTCTTAGGTGAACCTTTAGATAAATTGACTAAAGAAACTAAGGATTTATGGTCAGAAATGTTTTCAAAATATCCAACTGCTTTATCATCATTAATTAATAAAATTCCTGGTAAAGCTTCAATTGATCAAAAATTTGATTTCTCTGTTGAAGATGCTAAATTCAAAAATCATAAATTAAGAGGTAAAACTGCTCCAAAATCCTTAAACATCGATGATGTTAAACAATATACTGGTTATTTAGACATTGAAGATGAAGACAAACATTTCTTCTATTGGTTCTTTGAATCAAGAAACGATCCAAAAAATGACCCAATCATTTTATGGTTAAATGGTGGTCCAGGTTGTTCATCAATGACTGGTTTATTCTTTGAATTAGGTCCAAGTTCAATCGGTCCAGATTTAAAACCAATCAGAAATCCTTACTCATGGAACAACAATGCTTCAGTTATTTTCTTAGATCAACCAGTTAATGTTGGTTATAGTTATAGTTCAGAAAGTGTTTCTGATACTAAAGCTGCTGCTATTGATGTTTTAGCTTTCTTAGAATTATTCTTCAAAAAATTCCCTGAATACAGTGAATTGAAATTCCACATTGCAGGTGAATCCTATGCAGGTCATTATATTCCAATGATGGCTAAAACTATTCTTGATGCCCCAGACAAAAACTTTGAATTATCATCAGTCTTGATTGGTAACGGTTTAACCGATGTTTTGGTCCAATATAATTATTATCAACCAATGGCCTGTGGTGAAGGTGGTTATGAATCTGTTTTAGAACCTGAAGAATGTCAAGCTATGGCTGATTCCATTCCAAGATGTGAATCTTTAATCCAAGCTTGTTATGATTCTGGTTCTGCTTGGGCTTGTGTTCCTGCTACTATCTATTGTAACAATGCTCAAATGGGTCCTTATCAAAAAACTGGTAGAAATGTTTACGATATCAGAACTATGTGTAAAGGAAGTAACTTATGTTATGAACAATTAGAATACATTGATCAATACTTAAACTTACCAGAAGTTAAAAACGCTGTTGGTGCTGAAGTTGAAACCTTCGAATCATGTAACTTCGATATCAACAGAAACTTCTTGTTTACTGGTGATTGGATGAAACCAGATTTCAAAAATGCTATCATTGAAGTCTTAGAATCAGAATTACCTGTCTTGATTTATGCTGGTGATAAAGATTTTATCTGTAACTGGTTAGGTAATCAAGCTTGGACCAATGAATTAGAATGGTCAGGTTCTGTTGGATTCTCAAGCGCTTCTGTCAATAAATGGAAAAACGGTAAAACTCATGCTGGTGATGTTAAAAACTTCAAGAATTTCACTTTCTTAAGAGTCTTTGGTGGTGGTCATATGGTTCCATATGATCAACCTGAAAATTCTTTAGATATGGTCAACAGATGGATCTCTGGTGACTTTTCTTTCGGTTATTAAACCTATTTTATACCTGCGTTTTAGTATATCTTAACAACTGTAATTTACTAGTTGAATAAAGAAATCGTTTTCTGTTTTAATCGTCAATTTTCTATCGTCTCTGTTGCACGTCAATTCTTACCTCAGGTTGAAAAAATCTGCTAATCAGTTTTTTTCCCTACCGCACCCACCACCAATCTACTGCCACGAACTCTCCCTAAATTTCGTTCCAGCCTCATTTAAGTCCGCCCAATTTCACTTCCCATTTCGTTTGGAATTTGGCTGCGAAATTTCCCCTTTGGACTAGAAAGTAAACATTCTTTATCATAAATATTTACTATGGGCTAAATTCTTTCACCTTGATACATTGTTTTGAATATCCAATTATTGGATAGAAGGGGAAATTGCTGCATATTTTCTGATCCCATCACTTTCATTAATTTTGACTTCTCTTTGCATCAACGTCGTCAAAGTTTTTTTCCCACCTACATACTACCAATCATGAATCGACCGGGATTCATCCTAATTGGTGTCAATGTCGTTATACTCTTGATGAGTATAGCAACTGGATCCTTGAGTGTGGTTGATTTAATAAAGCATTTCAACATCATTTACATTTTATCAACAGTGTCAAGTTTTCTCCTATGTTTATGGATACTCATACAATTTATACCCTTCAGTCAATTGATAAAGATCATAATGGACTTCATATTGAAAACATTCTACCTCGTTATTGGGATATATAACATCATTGCATTTGTCAAACAATCACATACTTCAAACTTCAAAGTACATTTACTGATATTATACATTATTCAAATATTATTGATTTCAGTATCATTAGTGTTGGAGTTATTTGTGGTCACAGAAACTGTTGAACAAGATGAAGAATCAATACTATCGAATCCACACACTGACTCCACCAAGTTCGAACTGAAACCTTCTTCTATCGATAATGACAATTGGATGAATACCAATGTGGTGAGATTTCAGAGTTATAAATCTGATAATACTGTGATAAATCATAATGAAGTATTCAAACCAGAAATCCAAACTAGAAAAGAGGTACATAGTCATTCTAAGAGTGTACCCAATTTTCAATTCACTCATTCCAAGAGTCACGAGACTTTGATCCCTAATTTATCAGACAACTCAATCCATTCACATATCAGGGATTTATCTGTTCTTGAAAAAGCAGTGGATGAAGACATACAACTCGAAGATGTGGTGAGAAGATCTAAATCAACAGGTCAATTGCATAGCAACCAAAGCCATCGAAAACGATGGAAATCCATTAATGACGAAAAAGTGTTCTTGAAAAACATCAATGAAAGCTTATTACCTGCGGTATTGAAAACCGGAGAAAGTCCAATATTGATGTTGAAGAGACAACAGTCCCAAATCTCACAGACTGTCGAAGAAATACCTCCAATTGTTATACCATCAACTACCGAACATGGTGATCTCCCTACCCCTAAAAAAACAAAGAAGAAATACGACTTGAGTTTTGAAGAAGGTGATGATAATTCCATGAACCTCCCTTACATTTCAGAATTTGATGAACCTGTTGATCAATCCCAATTTAAGAATTTTGATTCAAATTTTAATGTTGAAATTGATGAAACCAAATATAAAGACAGTTTGAATGGTTTGGAGAGTATTCCCCAACCGGTGACTGACAATTGGTTGTCTAAAGCAAAATCATTGAACTATATCAGTCTTAATCAATGGAACGAACACCAAACCGAGTACAAGAACGTGAGAGTTAGATCAGGTTTAACACTTAATGTAGCCATGACTAATTTAGTCGATGATAAAAATTTGAGTAGTGCAACCTTAATTAATGATGAATATCTTTTACCTCCGACAGATCAACGAGCTGACAATATCGATGATTTGAGTGACATTGTTAGTTCCACTAGTGAAAAAAAACCAATGTTCACCCAACTGAATAGATCATTTAGTGCTCCATCATTACACACATTCAGAAATGTTTCAAACGGTTCTCAAGAAAGTTCCAACTATGATCAACAATCAATTGTTGAATCGGTGGTAAGATACCAGACACCACCACCAATTGAAATTCAATCAGAAGAACCACCAATCTCACCCATCAAGAAACTTCTCAATCAGAGTCCAAAGAGATTATTCAGAAAATCAGTCGACTTCAAAGAACAATCAATGCATAAGCATTCAGGCTCAATCATTTCAAGTACATTTTCATTACATTCGAATTCATCGAAATCAACATCTCCTAAAAGATCAGGTTCAAGATCTTCGTCACCAAAACGTTCTTTTAAAAATTTACTTCCCAAGAAATCAGCTACATTACAAAACTTACAACCTAATCCAAGAATTCTTATTTCGCCAACAAATTTACTAAAGCAGGCTATAGTAAAACCCAAAATTTATGATGAAGAACCTCAATGGGATTTAGAAACTTCTAAATCTTCGAATAATTCCAGAATTAGTTCGTTGCCTAGTGCAATTATCGGTGAATATGATAGAGAAAAGTGGAATACCTTGAAAACTCTACAAGTTCAACATACCCCTTAATGTATATATGTAAATTTCTTTACCTACTCTTTAAAATTGAAAAATTTCGCAGCAGAAGACCATCTCAAAAAAAAAGAAGTTTTATCAAGAATGGATGATCTTTTTGATGTTTTTGATGAACAACCTTCTAATGTTCCACAGATAGTGGAAAAGAAGGAAGTTCCAGATAAAGGGACTGGGATTACCAAGGAAACATCGGAGAATGGTGACGGTGATAAAGAAAATAAGAAAAGACACAGAGATGAGAAACCTCATCAAGACAAAACGAAGAAACAAGATACAAAAAAACTTGAAATCAAACCTGTTGTTTCAGATGCTTTAGAGATAGAAGCTTCTAGAGAAGTTGCTGCATCTGATGGTTTACTTGCATCTACAGATAAGGCTGAAGGACAATTGAAGTTGAAACATCAAGTTAGACATCAAGTTGCAATTCCTCCTCAATATCCATATATCCCAATCAGTGAACATAAAAGACAGAACGATGCTAGAACATATCCTTTCACATTGGATCCTTTCCAAGATACTTCCATTTCATGTATCGATAGAAATGAATCAGTATTAGTATCTGCTCATACTTCAGCTGGTAAAACCGTAGTAGCAGAATATGCTATTGCTCAATCTTTAAGAGACAAACAAAGAGTTATCTATACTTCACCAATTAAAGCTTTAAGTAATCAAAAGTATCGTGAGTTGTCAGCAGAATTCGGTGATGTAGGTTTAATGACTGGTGATGTAACTATAAATCCAGATGCTGGTTGTATTGTTATGACCACAGAAATTTTAAGAAGCATGTTATACAGAGGTTCAGAAATGATGAGAGAAGTTGCTTGGGTGATTTTTGATGAAGTTCATTATATGAGAGATAAATCTAGAGGGGTGGTTTGGGAAGAAACTATCATTTTATTACCTGATAAGGTCCATTACGTTTTCCTTTCTGCTACTATTCCAAATGCTATGGAATTTGCTGAATGGATTGTTAAGATCCATGCCCAACCTTGTCATGTGGTTTATACTGATTTCCGTCCAACTCCTTTACAACATTATCTTTTCCCAGCTGCTGGTGATGGTATTCATTTAGTTGTTGATGAAAAGGGAACTTTCAGAGAAGAAAATTTTCAAAAAGCCATGGCTCAGATTAGTGACAATATGGGTGATGATCCAAATTCAACTGAGAAATCAAGAGGTAAAAAAGGACAAACTTATAAAGGTGGTAACAGTGATGGTAAATCTGATATCTATAAAATTGTTAAGATGATTTATATGAAAAGATATAATCCAGTTATTGTTTTCTCTTTCTCCAAAAGAGATTGTGAATCTTTAGCTTTGAAAATGTCAAAATTAGATTTCAATTCTGATGAAGAAAGGGAGGCTTTAACAACAATTTTCAACAATGCTATTTCCATTTTACCAGAAACTGATAGAGAATTACCTCAAATCAAAAACATTCTTCCTTTGTTAAGAAGAGGTATCGGTATCCATCATTCAGGTTTATTACCAATTTTAAAAGAAATTATCGAAATTTTATTCCAAGAAGGTTTATTGAAAGTTTTATTTGCAACCGAAACATTCTCTATTGGTCTTAATATGCCTGCTAAAACTGTTGTTTTCACCTCCGTTAGAAAATGGGATGGTGTTGGTTTTAGATGGGTGAGTGGAGGTGAATATATTCAAATGTCTGGTAGAGCCGGTCGTAGAGGTTTGGATGATCGTGGTATTGTTATTATGATGATTGATGAGAAGATGGAACCTCAAGTTGCTAAAGGAATGGTTAAAGGTCAAGCTGATAGATTGGATTCCGCTTTCCATTTAGGTTATAATATGATTTTAAATTTAATGAGAGTGGAAGGTATTTCTCCTGAATTCATGTTGGAAAGTTCATTCTTTCAATTTCAAAATGCTTCTTCTGTTCCTAAAATGGAAAGTCAATTAATTGAATTATCTAATCAATTATCTACAATTATCATAGATGATGAAAACATCGTTAAAGAGTATTATAATTTCAAACAACAATTGATTGGATATCAAGAAGATTGCAGAAAAGTCATCACTCATCCTGGTCATATCTTACCATTCTTACAACCTGGTAGAGTCATTAAGGTAAAAGTTGGTGACATGGATTATGGTTGGGGTATGGTTGCATCATTCAATAAAAGAATCAACAAAAAACATTCATCACATTCATTTAGTGACCATGACTCTTACATTGTTCAAGTTTTCATTTATTCAATGTTCATAGATGCACCTGTCAATTTAATCAAACCATTCAATCCTGAATTACCTGAAGGAATTAGACCTTCTGCTTCAGGAGAAAAATCAAGAGCTGAATACATTCCTATCACTTTATCGTCAATTGAAAAGATTAGCAGTGTGAGATTAAAGATGCCTGAAGATTTCAAATCTTCTAGTGCAAAGAGAAATTTACTCAAAACATTGAAAGATTTACCAAAGAAATTACCTGATGGAATTCCTTTAATGGACCCTGTTAAAAGTATGAAGATAGAAGATCAAAATTTCAAAGGAATTTTAAGAAAAATTGATGTTTTGGAATCTAAAATTTTAAGTAACCCATTGACTGGTTCAGTAAGATTGAATGATTTATATGAGAAATATGATAATAAAGTCAAAATTGAAAAAGAGATCAAGTCTTTAAAAGAAAAAGTTCTCGAAACTCAAGCAGTGATCCAATTAGATGATTTGAAACATAGAAGAAGAGTCTTAAGAAGATTAGGATTTACTACACAAAATGATATTATCGAATTGAAAGGAAGAGTCGCTTGTGAAATTAGTACAGGTGATGAATTACTTTTAACTGAATTAATTTTCAATGGTACTTTCAATGATTTGACTCCAGAACAATGTGCTGCATTATTGTCATGTTTTGTCTTCCAAGAAAAAGCTAAAGAGACCCCTAGGTTGAAACCTGAATTAGCTGAACCTTTGAAACAAGTTCAAGATATGGCCAGTAAAATTGCTAAGATTTCAAGAGAATGTAAGATTGAATTGATCGAAAAAGATTATGTTGAAAGTTTCAGACCTGAATTAATGGAAGTTACATATGCTTGGTGTAAGAATGCTACTTTCACCCAAATTTGTAAGATGACCGATGTTTATGAAGGTTCAATTATTAGAAGTTTCAAAAGATTGGAAGAAATGATAAGACAATTGGTTCAAGCCGCTAAAACTATTGGAAATTCAGAATTAGGAGAAAAAATGGAAAAGGCTTTGGATTTGGTCCATAGAGATATTGTTTCTGCGGGTTCATTGTATCTTTAGTTAATTTTATAGTTTACTTTATAGTCATGTAATATAGAAAGAAATTGCAGCCATTTTTCGCAGATTTTACTCATCCTCCTGAAATAAATAAAGACCTCAATGACCAACCTCATTCATGAAGGTTATGGCCAACATTATGACCTCCCAATTTGAAGATTAAATGAAATGACCAGTTACCACGTTTAGTATGGAAAAGTGTCATCTCTTTTGCAAAGCCTAAAACAGTATCTAAATGTCACTTATTTTTCGCAATTTAATCATTGAAATTTATAGTCTAAGGGACACAGATTCAATGGCTCCTAAACCAAGAAAGAAGTCGATATTATCTGATCAAGTGGAATTAGTATATGCTAAATCCAAATGTTACCTTCATCCAACTTCATCTAAAATTGATAATGTTGCAGGGTATTTAACAATTTCAAGGGGTCCCAATGCAACCAATAATGATTTATTGGTATCTTTCACAATTGAGAGTACTTTAAAACCAGAGGAATTAAAAATCTACCAGCAGGCTGACTTAGATGACATTAAACCGGATGCTTCGAAAAACACCCCAGAAAATCAAAGAGTTGTCTCCAAACCTCATACTTCAGTATTGTTAGGATCTAATTTTAGTATCCCGATATCATTTATTTACTCAATTCAAGTAAGAAGTCCTTCAATGGGTATGTGGTATGGTTCTATTGTTGTAAACACTCAAGATGGTGAAAAATTACCTATCGTATTCTTCCATGACGACGAATCTCCTTCTACTAGAGCCAGACAAAAAGTCAGAAATCAGAATTTCGAAACATTCAGTGAATCAGGTGAATTATTCTGGGGTGGTGTAGAATTTATGCAAGTATTAGGTGATTATTGCCATTTAGTCAAATCGACCATTGAACCTTCTGTGTACCTTGTAAACCCCGTTACTGACGATTTAAGAAATTTTGCTCCATTCAAAGAAAAGGCTAAAACGCCTAAGCCAAAAGCGTCTCCTCCATTCCAATTACCTGATGTCAATAAATTTATTGCTACAGCTAAATGGAAAGTTTTAGAAACTGTAGCCACTTTTTCCGCCAAAACTAAAAATCAAGTAATTGATCTTGTTGAAGAACATGCACCTTTACCTATTAGACAACTAGTTAACAAACCTGAGGTGCAAAAAATTGGTAATGAATTTGAAGGTGCCAGAGTTTATTTAGCTAAATGGGCAGCTCAAGTCAAAGAAGAAGCTGAAGAAAGTCAAAAAAGATTTCAGGTTAATGATGAAATGTATAGTATCATTAACAAAGAATTAGGAGGTGAAATTTTAACCGACCAAGAAATTAGTAAAACTGGTAGAAGAGAAGAAATTTCCAAATCTGAATGGGAGAGTTTCTTTGATTTTTCAGGACGTTTAAGAATCACTGCGAGTGAAGTAAAAGACAGAATATTTCATGGTGGTGTTAGTCCCAACATCAGAGGTACAGTATGGTTATTTTTATTGGGAGTTTATCCTTGGGATTCTTCATCTGAAGATCGGGAAGTTATTAGAAGAAGTTTATCAACCCAATATGATGAACTTAAGTTGAAATGGGTTAATGATGAGGAAAAGAGAGCTAGTGAATTCTGGAAAGATCAAAAGCATAGAATAGAAAAGGATATCAATAGAACCGATAGAAATCTTCCACTTTTCAAGAATAAGAAAAGAAATGTATCTATCAGTGCTATTGGTTCAAATGTACCACCTGTTGTTAGAGAAAGTTCGCCAGAAACTCCAGACGAAGATGAGAATGACGATGAATTCGATGTTTCAAACATCACTAACCCTCATTTATACAAGATGAGAGAAATATTATTAACGTTTAATGAATATAATGAAAATTTGGGTTACGTCCAAGGGATGACAGATTTATTATCACCATTGTATGTGATCTTACAAGATGAATCTTTAGCTTTCTGGAGTTTTACTAAGTTTATGGATAGAATGGAGAGAAATTTTGTTAGAGACCAATCAGGGATGAAGAAACAAATGTTAACATTGAATCAATTGGTTTTGTTCATGTTACCTAATTTATTCAAACATTTGGAAAAGTGTGAATCAACAGATTTGTTCTTCTTCTTCAGAATGTTATTGGTATGGTTCAAAAGAGAATTTGAATGGGATGATGTTTTAAGATTATGGGAAGTTTTATTTACTGATTATTATTCAAGTCAACACCACTTATTCTTCGCTTTGAGTGTGTTGAGTGATAATGAAAGAATTATTACACAAAATTTGAGAAGGTTCGATGAGGTCTTAAAATACATGAATGACTTGTCAATGAGAATGAATCTTAACAAGTTATTGGTAAGATCAGAATTATTATTCTTAAGGTTCAGAAGGATGATTGATATCATCGATAGAGAAAACAACTCTAAATCTGATAAGAATGAAATTAGTCCTGATTTGAGACAATTGTTATCAAGAGAATTGGTCATTCAAAAAGAGGTAGAAAGACCTGAAGGTGTTGGAGGTGGTTAAATACTACCAAGGTGTTGTTTTAGAGCTTGAAATTTACGAACCTTTTTGTGTGGGTGTACCGATGTTTACTCTCGTCTAGATGCGCATCCTCTATAAAACGTTTATTGGGGTATAACGTGGGTACAAAGCTTTTCAATACCATTGAAGATGACAGAATCCACCCCTTTACTTAAGAGGGCAAGAGATGAAGAAGAGAATTTGGAGTATGAAGAGTATGAAGATTTTGAAATGAGTCCTAGGGTAAAATATTCTTTGTTGACTTTAGGTATTTTAAGTTCTCTTGCAGTGTTATACTTTTTTACAGTTTTTTTACCTGGATATTTCATTCCTGAGTCAACTGACTTGGTGGATATAATCAAGGTAAGTGACAGTAATGTTCAGTTGATTCCATTGAAACCAATCAAGAAAACAGGATTCGAATTATTTGCATATGAAGATAATCAACTTAAAGGAGAAGAGATGGAGTTAAGTTTTCCTGAAGATTTCAGCTACGAATACAATTCCAATAACAAGGAACACAAGAGGAAAGTTGAGAGGCTCATCTTAATTGGTGACATTCATGGCCACTACATTCAATTCAGGCATTTATTAAGAAAACTCAATTACAATGCCAAAAAAGACCATATCATAGTATTAGGGGACTTTGTTAGTAAAGGACCAGATTCTATCAAAGTTTTAGACTACTTAATGAAAAACAAAATCGACTGTATATTGGGAAACCATGAATATTACGTGTTACAAAACTATGCATCTTTCCATGGGAAACAATTTCCTGATTTTGTCAACGGCAGCGCCCATAGTGATGGTCTTAGCATAGAAGGATTCAACGATGATCCTGAGTTTTTGTTGGCGAAAAAATTACAAGCTGATCATATAAAATATATCAATAGTTGTCCTATTATCAAGAAAATAGGTGAAGTTCCTATTTATCGGAAGAAGGACTCGAATGATATATTAAATGGAGGAGTTTCCACTAAGAGTACGAGAAAAGGAGTAGTGGTCCATGGTGGCTTAAGATGGGATTTATCGTTATATGAACAACAACCTGTAGATAATTTAGAAATGAGATCTTTAATTGGTCCCTATTTCAATCAATCAACTGATGATCCCCACGAACCTAATGCCGTGTCTTGGTCCAAGATTTGGAATAAACAGCAAAAGCTTTTGAAATCTGACGAAAGTTTGGTAGTTTATTATGGACACGATGCCAGAAGAGGACTCAACTTAAAGAATTATGCTAGAGGTTTAGATACTGGGTGTGATAGAGGAGACTTATTACTGGCCATGGTATTATGGAATGAATTACAAGACGGAGTCGTCATCCACAAAGAGAAGGCTGTTCAAGTTCATTGTTAAATAAAACCGTTGCTCTCAATGTCTCTACAAATATATATACTTAATTTGATCCCTGATTTTTTTTCTCACACTTCAATACACTTAAATGTATGATACATTTGATGAAAAATACCATGCTCTACAAAATAGATCTCCTGACGCTGAGAATCACTTTGTGTATGTTGTGCTATCTACAAAGATAGTATGTCGTCCTACCTGTTCAGCAAGGTTAGCGTTACGTAAAAATATTGACTTTTATGATTGTGTGCAAAGTGCTATTAAAGATGGATTTAGACCGTGTAAGAGATGTAAACCAGAAACCGTTAAAGATTGGAATCCACAAAGAGTTCTAGTATTGAAAATTATGGAACAAATAACCAACATGGTGTTCCAAGGCAAAAGTGAAAAAGATTTGAATCTTGGGAAACTAGCAAAACAATTCACAGTATCAAAATGGCATATGTTAAGAGTGTTCAAACGATATACGGGGAAAACTCCCTTACAGTATTTCATGCATGTAAGAGACCATGGAAGTTTTGTTGATATACCTATGATTGAAACAAAGAAGAGTTATATCAATAAACAACTAGAGAGTCTTCTAGGAGATACCGGTAATGGTGAGCTTGTTGGAGAATGGAAATTGGGAAGTAATGGAGACCTAGAGTTTCTTTTACCTTCGAACGTAAGTTCTATTTAATTAAAGGGTCAATTGTTTTGTAAAGCATCATGAATTGGGGGTTTTATTCGTCATGTATAGTAATTGGGTTCAGTTGTGGTTAATATAAAAAGGGGTTTATTGAATTTTCCTTAATGGTCTGTTTCTGGACTACTCTCTGTTTAAGACTCTACTGCTTTTTTGATGTCTCTTCAAGTTTCAATATCCGATTTGGAGGCTCCTGTAGTGACTGCAAAAAACACCAAGATGCAACATCGAGCAGTGCTCTAAACCGTCATTACCAATGTCAAACTAATAAACCTGGTTTGCTTAGAGCTTCGAACCTTGAAAGCTTGTTGAATGAATTTCTATTTAAATCCCCCTTGTAAACATACCTACTCCAATAAACTCCATCCCCAAAGAATTACCATGGAGTAAAAAAATGTCACGTGAGTTCTCATAATCAAAGATTTCAAATTTTATGATATGATTTAGATAAATAATCCGAAACCCCATCGTAACTCCATCAAAACTCCAACTACAACTGTAAAGTTAAGTTCATACCTCCGTCACATCAATACATCCATAGATTCAAACCTCATATCATACAATATTATAGAGCACAACTGAAATGACTGAAAGACTAATGATGATCCATAATCATATTAGAGATAAAGAAGATTCAGAATTTATAGAACTGTTCCCATTCATGAATAGGAAAGAAAGAGTTAAATATGAAAAATCAAATTTTCAAAGTGGCTATAAGTTCCCATTAACAGAAGGTAATATCACTATACATGTATCACCTAAAGTTTACAGTAAACCCGAAGATATCGAAAGTATAATATTGAATAATTTTGTTGAAGAAGGACAGAGTAATCTCATATTGAATCTTCAAGATGATTGGGATACTGAATTGTTAGAACATGAGTATGATCATATCATAATCACTGCAAGGAAATGGCAAGAAACCATTGATGAAACTATAGAATTAATTAAAAGACTTCATCCAAACACCAAGGTATCGCTTTGTTACAAAGAAATCACCATACTAGATTCTAATGCAGATATAGTGGTAGTACCTTTCAAAGAGAACAAAATCATCAGCATAACTTCAGACATCAAACCTCCAAAAGAATTTGTCGAATTTGAAGATAATAAATTCGAAGTACTGAATTTTTATAGATCATTGGATGAAAGTAAAAATCATTACAAAATTTGAAACATTCACTAAACTATATACAAAACAAACACAACAATGTGTGGATAATCAATTTTCTTTCATGAAACATAGGAATATATGGGAATATAAGCATAAGATCAATTCTTTTCATTAGCTTTTTCAGCCAATTTCTTCTCAATAGCTCTCTTATATTTTTCTTCATCAAATCCGTCATTAGCAATTTGTTGTAATTCGGCTTTCGAATCGGCTAATCTTTTCTTACGAGCTTGGATCTCTTCATCTCTTCTTTCTAACTCTTCAATCCATAATTTCTCTCTTGCTTTGGCTTTTTCTCTTAATAAATCTTCTTTTGTCTTTTTGGCTTGAGCAGTTTCGTTTTGATAATAAAGACCTCCACCTACTAAAGCTACTAAAGTTGCTAATTGAAAACCTACACGGTAACGGAAATACATTTGAGTTTTTGCTCTTTCACCTCTTTTAATTGATCTGGTTGCTAAAACAATAGCTCCGGTAGTTAATAATGTTCCAATAGGGACAAATGGTTGTTGCTTTGATTTATAAATCATTCTGTCCAAAACATCCATTTCACTTTCACTTATCAAAGTTAGTAACTATGTTTCATCATATTAGAACATCCAGTTATATGTTACATACTCTTGGTCCTTCAAATCGAAGGATGATGGTAATCTCATTGACATCTTGTGATTCGATTTTGAGTAAGTTTGAGAAAGATTCTAACCATTGAACCCAAAAATTATAGTCAAAACGAATTTTCTATCGACTTTCTTCAATCCTTTGGACTCATAATGGGAGCTTTTCAGATGTCAAATTGTTATACCAGATTTCATATATAGGTTTAAGAGTTGGAAGAGGGTTTAGACGTATTACCTAATTCGGAAACAGAATCTCATTTTTCATCTCAATGCCAACCTTCACTTTTAACACTGCTTTGAAAGATTACAAGGAGAAACAGTTATCCACAGATTTGAAAATCGTCGGGTCTATCTTCATTGCCACATTAATAGTATTATTCCATTATGCTTATATTATGAAACAGTTACTTGATAATCCAAGTATGGAATATTCCCAATTATTCATTCAATTTAGTTTATTCCTAATAACTAGTTCTGCCGTACTTTATATATTGATTACAAAAGTCCTTCCTGCTGTTTCACCTAATTCTACCACTGAAAATATCGAAAAGGCAAAGAAAAACCGTTAAATAATGAATTTACGATCATGTCCTATTTACCCTATTCAATCATATTGAAAATATTTGTTAAACATAATTGTTTATCAAATTTCATAAAATCTTCAAATTTCTCATTGTTTTTATCATAGTTGATTAACCATGAAATATCACTTTGTAAACCCAAACTTAATTTATTGAATTCTCTTAATTTCTTTAAATTTGAAGTTCTTTCGTAATTTTTTGCTGCTAATTCAGCATTTTCAATAATCTCATTAGAAATTCCACACATTGAAGCTACGTTCATACCAAAAGATCCTGAAGCTACACCATTTTCCAATTTATATAAGAACGTAATATTTCTTGATGTTGAATCAACTAAAATTCCCATCCTTAAAGGTTTTATTTGGGGATGTTTTTCAAATGATAAACATAATGAATTGAAATGTGTAGCGAAAAATCCTAAAGGATTGATATGAGTTGATAATTGATATAAAACAGCTTCTGCAATGGCATATCCATCACTGGATGAACCCCCTCTTCCTAATTCATCCAAAATAACTAAAGATTTTGGTGTAGCATTATTTAAAATCTTTTTAGTTTCGGATAATTCAACAAAAAATGTTGATTTACCTTGTAAAATATTATCATTAGCACCTAACCTAGTCATGATTCTATCAATAGGAGTCAAAGTTGCTTCTGTTGCTGGTACGTAACAACCAATCTGTGATAAAATAACAGCCAACGCAGTTGTTCTCATAATTGTTGATTTACCTGCAGCATTGGCTCCTGTTAATAATCCAAATCTTGCTTGTTCTCCTCCCAATTGAATATCATTAGGGATAAATTCTTTTTGACCTGAATAAATTGGATTTCTTAATTCTTTGAAATCAATGAATCCATTAGATGATTCAACAAATTTTGGTCTACATGATGGGAATCCAACAGTTTCAGAAGTTCTGGTTAATGCTAATAAACAATCAATCTTACTTAAAATTTCAATGGTTCTAACCCAAATTGAATAGTTATCATCAAATTTCTTGAAAAATTTCAATTTCAAATTTTCACAAATATCTTTATGTAATTCTCTTTGTTCTAATAATTTTCTGACAATGATCTTAACTTCAGGAGACCAATATCTTTTAACTTTTGATGTGGCTCCCATAGTTTGCCAGTCTTTTGGTATACTCTTGATTTTAGCTGGTACTTCTATTAAGTAAATTTCTTTCCCTGAATCTTTGTAACAAATATCTCTTGATTTGAATTGTTGTTGATATTGACTCAAATGTTCATTTAATTCTTCTTCGTAGCTGTTCATTAATTTCATCGATGCGTCAAATTCCAGATCAAATCCTTTAGTTGGAGATATGATATCCTTTAATGCTTGTTCTCTATCAAATGAATTTTCCCATTCATTGATTTCACTTTCAAAATCAGGGAACTTGTTGATAAACTTGAAAAGTGAACCAGTTTTACCATCAATGAAATTTTTCAATTCATTGACCAACCCATGAATATTTTCGAAACTTTCAATTACTTTTAAGAAATCTTTGAATTTTAAATTTCCACTATGGATTCTTGATAATAATCTTTCCAAGTCTGGCAATCCAGTTAATTTTGTTTCAATGATTGATCTTACTTCCAACCCTTCATTCATCAAGTAATCAACGGAATCAAATCTTTCATTGATTAAGTCAGAATTCAATAAGGGATGTAACACCCAACTTTTCAATGTTCTCTTACCCATAGGTGTAATGGCTCTGTTTATTAATTTCAATAACGTTCCTTTATCACTTCCGTCATAATTGTTGTTTAAAATTTCAAGATTATGTAAGGTAATACCATCTAAAATCAAATGTTTGGATTGATTTTTATTGATTTCATAATGTTTGAATTTTTGTAAAGTTAAAATACTTTGATCTAACTTCAAAGTTTTCAAATAAAATAATAAACCTCCAAAAGCATTGAATGCCACCTTATTATCTCTCTCCATTGTCTTCAAGACTTCGGGGATTTCTTCAAGATAATTGCATGAATTCAAATATTTCAAAGTTGTGTCATTATCCCAAAATTCTTTTTCACTATTCAAGTTGTTCCAAATTTGATTGGAATTGTTGAACTTTAAGATCTTGGTTGCAATGGGACATAAATTGTTTTTCTCTACCAATATTTCTTTGGGTTTGACTTGAGTTATCAAAGTGTCTAACTTTGAACATTCATTGTCATCGGTGAACTCGATATATTGTAATTCAGAAGTTGAGGTATCAACAAATACTACCCCGAAAGTCTTGGAATCTTCGTTTAATTGGAATTCTTTGATACTTAAACAATATACTGCCATGTCATCACTGATCATGTTCAAATCAGTTAATGTTCCACCGGTCAAAACACAAGTCAATTCTCTCTTAATAACTTTTTCTTCCTTGGAGTTAATTTGTCCGTTTTTACCTCTTATTTCTTTGGCTAACAAACTTTCCTTTTGATCTACTTTGGCAACTTTATAACCACTATTGATGAATTCTCTTGCCCAATAGTCAAATGACATTTCTGGTATACCAGCTAATTTCATATTCGCTCTACCACCTCCAGCTATCTTTAAATCGAACTTGGTATTTGCTATAATGGCATCATTTTCATACAACTCGTAAAATTTTCCTTTCTTAAAGAAAACCACTGTATCCCACATCAAGGATTTGATTTCCCAATATTGTTTTTCAAAAGGGGTGAACTTAGCCCATGCCAGTTGTGGTACATACAAAGTTCTAGGATCATACTCTGGATCGTCAATTGTTCTTTGTTCGCCGTCTTTGATATTAACTAACCATTGATACCTTTCCTCGTTTTCTTTAGTAAAACTAGAAGGTTTTTTGGTGATAAGTGGAGAAACAGAAGGTTTACTTGGTGCTTTAGTTGGGGTGAATGAAGAATTAGCTGTGAATTTGGATGCAAAATCTGATTTAACTGATGGTTTTGCTACTGGGGCTTTAGATTTTGGTTGAGGACTAGCTTTAGATTTTTTACTTTTAGGCTTGATAACTACATCGTCATCTTCTTCTTCAACCTCAACTTCACTGGCAGACTTTTCATCTTCATCATCAACGATAAAGTCACTCATGTCATCTTCGTCGTCATCATCGGCAGCATCAGGTTTGAAATCATCTTCATCTTCGTCATCACTTTCTATGATTCTTCTTCTTTTCTTGGGAATAATATCATCTTCCTCATCGTCGTCTTCAGTATAACTGATACTTTTGACTTTACGACCAGAATTGGTTTCCTTCTTTTCTTCTTTCGGAACAGGTGAAGAACTATGTTGCTTCCTTCTTTCAACCTTTTTGGAGATTGGTGATGATTGAGGAGCTAATTCTTGATGATCGAATTCTGATGTCATAGGAGTATCCGTTAAGCTTGTATCCATCATACTACTATCATTCTCCTTATCACTTTCATCGTGCAGGTTATCTTTGATATTAACATTGGATTTTTCTGACACCAAACCATGTACTGGTGATGAATCAATTGGGGTTGGGGGAGGGATCTTTTTCACTGGCTTAAAGAATGACATCAAGGACAGTTGTTTCATTTTCCCGTTGTCATTCTTCAGATTAGGTGTCATAGGCTTCTTTACTTTCTGTGACATCTTTATTATTGAATTGAAATTTATCGAGAAAAGGTTCAATCTGGTTTATGATATATATAACACGCGAATTTCAAATTCGCGTTGGGGTCGCATTTGTAACGCATCTGTGTTTTGCAATCAGAGATGTGGCATTTGTTTTTTGCAGCCATTTTAATTTTTCACTTTACTGTGGAATGTGCAACCATTTTACCATGGTTTAAACAAGAACAGTTTCTTTTGAAGATAAATAGCGGTAATTATGATGAGCATTTGATTTATCAAAAGTTGCAACAAGCCTATGAAAATATGTACGCATTACCTAATAATCACCATGCAAAGTTATATTTGGGAGATATAGATAAGTTCAAACAATGCATAGTAGGGACAGAAATTAGGTATTACATCAAATCATTTGAGATGGTACAAAAAGAATCTGAAGCTTCTGAATGCAGAATAAACGTTAATCCTGAGTATGAAGTAATCATTACTCCTAGCGAAAACAGTGAAGTGATTCTCCATGAAACCAGTGATATCATATCCAAACATTTAGAAAACAGAATAATAGAGAAGTTTAATCTCTTACAAATCCCGGTATTTTCAGCAATAGAATTCTACGATTTTGATAATTTGAATTACGATCTACAATGTTCACTTGATTATCAGGATATAGGACAAATTAAGTTGGTGGAGAATGATTTGAGGATGACTTTGCATGAAATTTTTGACATACCGGAAAATTGTGGGTTTCAAAGAATTGACAAAGAATTCACCGGAGAATTCAAGCAAATAATCGTAGTTGACATTCCTGTTAATGGAACCTTTGTTTGTCATAGAGGGTCTTCCAGGACATGCAAAAAATCACTTGCGGAATTCAGTAACCCAAAATATAAACTATTCAGAGATACGTAAATCATACATTTAATATATCACTTTTTTTATTTCTTTTTCACATAACGATTTCATATTTCGTATCGAATTTCAATTCCTTGTGTGGTAATACAATGGAATTGAATACGAATATATCCTGCAAGACTGAGATGTTTTCACATAATACAACAATATTGTTGATTAACCTGATATTACCATCAGAATTGGTGTGTATCACGTCTCTGCAAATGGTAGCATTGGTGATGGTTCCTTCAATTCTACCCCATTTGCCAATTTTCACATTATTGGAGATGATTGCATTATTGATAAAAGAGTTATCTCCAATGACAACATTATCGCCGATGATAGCATTTTTTATTCTGGTCCCTTTTCCAATAATAACATTCTTCCCAATGGAAACATTGGGCCCAATGTTTTCATTGTCATAAACAGCGTTTTGTTGTTTCAAAAAGAAACCATTAGCTAATAATGCTGATAAGGGGGTTTTCAAATTATACCAAAATACGTTATCTTTGAAGACGTTGAACTTTAAATCAGAATCAGGCAAATTCCTAAGAATATCCCATTCCAAAGAAATCTCTTCCCTCCTTCCCTTCAACACTTCAAAAATCTTTTTATCAAGGATATATATTCCACCATTGATCAAAATATCAAACTTGGTGTTGAATTGGATTGTGAAATCCTTCGATGGCTTTTCCACATAATGTTCAACATTAACAGAACTTTTGGGTGAAACAATAGTTCCAAATTTATTGTTTATATTGTCACCTACCAATTGATCAGAATCATCAGCTTTCACACTCAAATACTTCTTGAAATTTTCAACTATGGTAAGAGGGTTGATACCTAAAATTGTGACATTAGATGTGTGCTTTTCATGGAAGTCCACAAGCTTTTTAAATGGATAATCACAGATGATATCCCCATGAATGAAAACGATCCCTTTACCTTGAAATAACTTATCTTGGAAGTAATATAATCCTCCTGCTGTGCCTTTCGAATTAGCCTCTGATAAGTACTCAAAACCAATGTGTGGGAGTTTATTTTCCATATCTTTAGTGAATTGTACAAACTTGCTAGAATCTTTATAGAATCCTAATAAAAACACATTGTCTATCTCTTTAACCTGGCTGATTAATGAGTCTATGATATGTTCAATTAAGGGTCTACCAGCGATTGCAAATAGTAATTTGGGTGAATTGATCGAGAGTGGTCTGAATCTGGTACCTGTGGTTTCACCACCAACCAAAATAACAACATTGTATCCCATTCTTGGCTAAAAAAACTTTCTTATAGGGGAAAAGTCTCCTGCTTCTTGTAAATGTGGAGTTGAAACTATAGATCGCAAATAGATCTCCTGATTTCGTGCAGGACTTAATTTGCCGAATATAACTTTAAAATTGTAAAAAAGGACTTTATCTACCGAAATTGAAGTCATTATTCATTACTATTTACTAAGAATTGAAGTTTGATCTTTTTTGATGAAGTATTTTACAATATCAATAGCACCTAACGCATCTTCTCCACTATCATGTTGGCCGGTTTGGATTTTTTTACCGAGATAATTGAATACCAACATCTTTAAAGAATATCTGAATGTAGGTGACGTTTTATGAGGAGGATAAAGTATAGCTGTGTCGACAATTCTGTTGTGAATGAGCCTCATTGAATTTAAATCATTTTCTAGACCATGACCAATGAGAACTGTTTCTGAATCCATTATATCATTTAAAAGTTTGATCAGCTCATTGAACTCTAATGCTTCATCTTTAATAGATTCTATACCAGACCAACGAGAATTCAAATCAATTACCTCTCCAATGGGCTTCACTAAAACATCTAAAACTTCCTCTCCTGTGAAAAAATCCACGGCTGTGATCCTCAACAACTCAAATCCTTTGGTGGTAAATCCCATCTCACAATCTATCCCAATAGCTTTTAATGCATTCTCATTCCTTGTAAATACATCACTTGTGATTTTGAACGGAAGGAAGCTTTGCATTTCACCAGGATTATCCCAGTAGAAGACATGATAGTTATATGATGTACATGGTTCTGATTCATTATCTCCTAATACATCTCCACAACATTCGTAAACTCTCTTCCTGTCCCTCTTTATAGCTTTACCTGCGTGAAATTGGCAATGTATGGGTAACAATTGATCGGACAACTTGAATTCTTTACCACATCTTCTACATTTCCGTTCCTCACTGGGAGTTATTGGAGTAGGAACATCCATTATGTAGCCATACTTAACCAATTTATCTTTGGGTATAACCAATTTCAACAACTCATTATAATAATCATCATTAGTGAGTTCTTTGGTTTTGATCTTATATTTCTCTGGATTTTTGAGTTCATGAATCTTTCTTTTTATGTTTGGCATATACGTGAATTTGGAAGTGGTGGTAGCTATCTTGTACTCTTCATTTATGGCTTTCAACTTGGGAGTTTTCAAGTTTGGCTCAGTCAATTTAATCAATTCATATATGTTCTCGATATTGGATTTCCTCACTTGTAAAGTTGCAGGTGATGAGATGTTCAATTGCTTTGGTGTTATAAACTGAGGATCAGATTCTATGTTCAAATATACAGACATATTGGAATAATATTCTTTTAACGAGTTTGACTTTATAGCAAGTTCGAATTCTTTCTGCTGGGATGAAGTGTTATCGAGCTTATGGATACTTTCTATGCTCTTGATATTCTTCAACCTATCATTCAGCGGGATTTTAACATGATGAACTGGTTTAAACCCTTCATTATGTACTTTCTTGGGTTCTGGTAAATCGTTTTCAATCTTTCTTTTCACATTAGATGAAGGTTCTGAGGAGCTCTTCAAAGTGTCTGGCACTGTATCCCTTTCAGGATGTTTGAATATGCAATTTATTAATTGACAATTGTTCTTGGGACAATTGATTCTACTGAAATAATCATCATGTTTAAACATTTAGTACCCAAATCTTTGCAACCTCGCAGTTACCCTGACGCGAATCAAGACTTTTAGTTACCCGGACACTTTCAAAGTTACCCGCTCCTTTTAAGTGGTTACCCTGTCAAATTTTGGGGTTACCCTGCTCATTTTCACACGACCTCATCTCATCGCAAAAACTATAAATAAAGGTCAAATCTCCTCCTCTTAGTTTTTTCTCTGTCGACGTACTTCATAGGATCATTTCTATAGGTCACGTCTCTCTTTGACTCTTCAAAAGAGCCACTGAATCCAACTTGGTTGATGAGTGAGATACCCTTATACCCTCAAAGTGAGATAATTTAGCTTGGTCCGTGATCCCTTGTGGTCTGGTCATCTATTGTTTTTGCCTTTATGATTCTTTGAATCGTTTTAAAGGAGCGATGATCTTTACCCTTTGATTCATACTTCTTCGGAAGGTTTATCCTTGGGTGGGTATAAGTGGCTGTCTGACAAGTTACAAAACAACTTGATACTTGGAAACCTTATGTTGTGGTCGACCAACTGATTATGGATTACAATCATATTGTATTCTGTATGTTGAACTGAGTGAATCATTCAATTCAATTTATAGAGTGTATTGTGTTTTCTTCCTTTTTGTCTTATTCACCTTTCTTCCTTCTAATTGATTGACGTAGAGATGTGATGCGATGTGTGATGAGATGATTTGTAAAATTCTATTTAAATCTATACAGTTTCAACCCTTGTAGGGAATTCATATAATGTATAATAATCTACAATTTCGCCATTCAAATTGTTCTCTCCGTTTATGGGTAAGTAAAAGATGTTTCTCAATTCGATATCACCCAAGAACCAAAAATCTTTCAAGTTTTGGATAAATCCATAATCACTAGGAATCACCAAAGAGTCGTAGTTATCTTGATTGTTTTGGATTTTCAAGAATTCATAAATGGATAATTTGACTGTCATGAAAAACTGATCAATACCCAAGACTTTGAAACAGAAATTGGAAGTTAGTGGATTGGTAACAGCTTGTTGTCTAGTTGATCTCATCAAATTGGAGAACTCAAAGGTAGTCAAACCTTTACAGATTTGAACAGTCTGAGTTAATGATAATAAGGTCACCCAGGTCAATTGGAACCAACACCAAATGATCAAATTGAAGCCAAAGTTGGCATTAGTAAAACCAGAGCATAATTCATCTGATAAAATACATTCGTAGTCAGATTCGTAACCATCCAAATCTTCTAGTTTATCGAAATACTTCAAACATAAAATGGAATAAATCACAATAGCCAAATTTAACGAATAAACGAACATCATAAAGATCTTATGATTTCTTACTCCAATATTATTGTAAACCCATGGACAATAGTGATCAAATCTTGCTATGAGTTTATTCTCTTGTCTACTATAACGAGATCTAATTGGTTTCCTAACGAATGACTCTACACAGAAACTCTCATCATCGAATTTGTTTTCACTTATTAATTCTTCAATTTGTTTATAGATTTTATGATTATCAGTTGGAACTGGCACAAATCCAGGGTTTAAAGTCATGGATTTGTAAAACGTATAGACGATTACACCCATCAACAGTATAAGTATTAAATTCAAAAGGAAATATCTGGTGAATATCATCATCGGAAACACATTCAAGAAATAATAAGTTGTAACCAAAAACAAGGTACCTGAAAAGATACCTGAAGCAACATTCGATTTCATCACTGCTTTATCAGGTACATATTCACTAACAATGAGTTCCCTCAAACCATAAGCTAAAACGAAGATGACACCAATGGAGAATAAAAATTTAGGAATGGCAAAACCAGTATTCCAGGTATTGAATTTCAAGAAAGTGAACACCATCAACCAGGGCATTTGAAAACTAGCAATTTCATATTTTCTTTTGGAGTCCTCTGACTTATTCAAAGGCTCCCAGTTATTCGCTTCAAATCTTCCACATTCATTTAAACTTTGAATCCATAATTTGTAACAATCCATATCTTTACTAACTCCGAAAGTATCTTTTCCCATATTGTTTTTATGGAACAAATCAGTGTTTTCATTTATAAGATACTTGAGAATTGGTTTATAAGCTCTAGTGAAAGCCCAATGAATGGGTAAAAAGCTCGACTCGTCGGATTTATTAACATTTGCTCCGAATTTGATTAACAATTTAACCGACAAAACATCTCCTTGATAACAAGCCCAGTGTAAAGATGTTCTCTTCCAATTATCTTCTTCATCGACATAAAATTCATAACCAGTTTCGTTTCCAGGACAATATTTATACAATAGGAAAACAATCAATAATATATTTGAACTGAGAACTGACAACTGAAGAGCATTATAATGCTGATTATCGAAAAGTGTGGGGTTAGCACCTTTCTCTAATAATAAATGAACAATGTCAAGAAGACCGTTTCTACATGACCAATGAAGTGCAGTTGAATCCAAATCTCCACCTTTTTTATCGACCTCAATACCATTTTCAATTAAGTATTTGACCACTTCTCTTTGATTGTTGATACTTGCCCAATGTAAACCTGTAATACCATCACTGAAAGTGTCGTTGATATTTATTTTCTTTGATTCAAGTAATTCTTTGATTGTTATTAAGTTTCCTTGTCTACAACTAATCATGAATGAATTCAAATCTGGATTGAGATCTTCTTCATTGATGGATTCTGGGGGTTTAACCGAATTTAGATTATCAGTAGTAACCTCCGATACTGCTTGAGTGGAATCTAATGACACATTAGATTCAACAGATTGAATATCTTTGTCCACGGACTGGAGATCTACTGATTGAAGTTCAACTGATTCACTCATAGTTTTTCGCATCAGCCTTCTAAATTTCGTATATTGATAATTTTGAGTGATGGTAATTCAATCTACATAAAGTGGCATGGGCTGACCAATAAAGATGGCCCGTACTGGACTTTTGGAATTGTTGGAACTGTTCATGAACCTTAGAATCTTGAGTAAGAGATTTGAAAGGTCACTAAGGTTATCTTATCTTGATAGATAAATCGTCTTTTCTCCAATTGAAGAAATTGTTGAACCAATTACTTCTTAAATCTTTCAAAAGAATTTCATTACTATTATAGGCACTTACGTTATCCAAATACTTTTTCAAAATAGCATAGTTTCTGGTGTTACTCTTATAAGATATAGTGATCAAATCACCAACAATTGGAATTAACCCTAATAAAAGGTCCACTATAATGTTGAAGATGAAAAATATAATAAGGTCAGGTGGGAGTCCATTGGTCAATCTTCTAGTCATGTAGACTAATTGTAAAGATTGATAAGTGGTTAAAATTATCCCCACAAATGGTAATAATTGAACAATTGCAGAAGTTCCAAAGGGAACTCCAATGAAATTAAATGCCATATCATATCGATAAGCTTTTCTCTTAAAGTCAGATAAAATAGTCAAGTCATTCACTGATAAATTGTCTGGAACTTTCTTAGATATCTTTTTGAATTTAGTTTTCTTATTATTGACTGGAATTTTGTCATAATAAGGATCTTCCATTGTGATATTTAAATCATAATTGAAGTATCTTTTGAAAACCTTCTTTAATAAGTAATTAAGCATTTTTATAAACTAACTGAAAGTAATTGAAATTGGTTTTTTTATCTAAACAATTTTGGCTGTTAAAAATATCTAAGTTGCTGCGAAAATTCACATGGAGCCCTGTCATGTTAAGTAGGATATTTGGAATCAATCAAATTGATAGTAAAGATCATGATATAAATGATGATGGGACAATAGAAGATGAATTTAACAAGCAGTTAAGAGATAAGATTCATAATAATCTAATGAGAAGAAGATTTAGCTCCGAAAGTGAATACTTTTCCATTGATGACCAAACCTCAATGTTATCAGGTAGACCGTCATCATCAGGAAATATGTCAACTAAATCAATGATTAGTGAAAGGAATGAAAGAATAAACAAGTACCTTGAAGATCAAAACACTAAATTCAATAAATTAATTGAAAAAAATCTAAATTATGTTAGTCATACTAATTTGAAAGATATCTATAAATTTGATAACTTGAATGATGAAAAGATTGATGAATTTTTATCCAAGATCGATAATGAAAGTAAATATAAAATTTATAGCAAATTAGAGAAGGAGTATAAGACCAACAATTTCGAAAATTTGACAGTATTATCAAAAATCGAAATATTAATAATTTTGATTATCAAAATTGATTTCTTGATATTAAAATATTCATTACCCATACTGAAGGTGTTTTATAGAAAATTCATTTCCAATCAAATGATTCTAGTCAATAACAATAATTTTAATAAGTTATTAACCATAATGATAAATTTCATCAATAATTTTGAAAACTTCGATTTTAAAGAAGATGAAAAATTCGAAGATATTAATGATAATAATGAAAAGAAATGGGTTAAACCATCAATTTGGAATATAGTGCAAAATTACTATAGTTTGAATTCAGTACTTAATGCAGCTGAAGAATTTGTAAATCAAATTCAATAAAAATGCAAAGGCGTAACATTATAGAAAGGTGAACAATTAAAGTCGGAAATGTTCAATAGGTTAAATATAAGTTTTCAAAGGTGAAATCAAGAATGAAAAGGACTAGGTCTCTCTAATTTAAATAAAGGCTTGCCTTGATGTCGTCATACTCTTAATAAGGTAAAAATTTGACGGGTCGATGCGGTATTGATAAAAAAAATACCTTGCCTGGTTCTGAGATTCGTTCATGTCCCCTGAACCCTATCGCGTCATATCACTAACAAACGACAGCATTGCCTAATCTATAATTAGCAAAATAGACCATTTTTCCAATCTTCTGTTAGGAAAAACTTTGAACATTCTTAATATTCAAGAAATATTCGAAATCTTATTCCCATGAGTATTACATAATATGTTCAACTCATTTTACTAGCATTTACAGGAAAAATAAAATCGGGTTTCCTAATTGATCGTAATTAGCAGTATAGACGATACCGACATATGAGGACATACGTAACAATAAATTCTAATTTATAACTAATTGTTTAAATTGGTTTATAAACTAATCCCCTATTTGAAGACATCTAAGAGGTTAATAAAATAAATCACGATCTGGGACATGTTTTTAGCCCAGGCAAATCAGGAATTTAAGATTTGCAAGACATTTTCTTTTCAAAGGGTTTTCAGGAGTTACATTAATTTGCAGTATATAAGTAATAGTAATTCAAGAAGTTTATAAGCCCTTACTTACTTAATAGGTGATATTCATAGGATATTTATAGAATATTAATGAAAAAGAATTTTTTTTAGGATCATGAATCGGAAGATGTGAACTATAGTTAATGTGAGAAACCTCTATAAAAACTAACTCTTACCATTCCCCTACTATACTGATAATGTCAATCGTAAGTAGTTAAAATCTAATTGTCTTAGAAATAAGACATTTAATCTAATAATGGGGGACTCTCCTATTTTCTGTTAAAAGTAAAATATTCACACGACATAAAAATCTAGAATTTAATTTTAATCTACACGATTTAGGCCTTTCCAACCTGATTTTATAAAAACTTTCAAAATCCTTTATCAATTTCAAATCATTTTATTTCAAATTTGAATTACTTTAAGTAAACTTCAAATAATCCAACTTCCAAATCATCATTTAAATAATTTCATCACTTAACATAGTTTTGCAGGTACATATTAAAGAAATCCAAATCATTAGAATCATCAGAATCATTTTACAGATATTTCATTTTACAGATATTTCATTCACAGATATTTCATTCACACATAATTTATAAATTCTTTTAAATCAAATCGACATATATCATTTCTACATAACTTGAACTATAAACAAATTGTACTAAAATTGTACTGGTATGCATAATGGATCAATTTGAATTAAATAATGAATTTAACTATAATGGGAATCTAAATTTAAAGACTTATCATCAACCTCAGTTATCAATTAATTCAATTAATTCCATAAACTCAAGTAATTCTATCATTGAACCAGTTACTCCTCCTAATCATTATAATTATGAAAGAGAAAGATTTGATAATAGTATTGCTAGAAATAATATAGCATGTGGTGGTAACTCCGGCTCCACCACCGCCACCGCGGCCATGGGGATGGCAGTAAATAGTACCCCCAGTGCCGGGAATACCGTTACCTCAAAACATTTTGAAGATATTGATAAAGAATATCTTTCAACCATTAATAAAGTCCCTTTGAATCAACTTAAAAATGAAATTTTAAAATTATCTAAAGATCAATATGGTTGTAGATTTTTACAGAAAAAAATCGATGAAAATTTAATTCCAAATTATTCCATTAGATTTTCAAATTTCGAAATAATCTTTGGTGAAATCAATAATAACTTATATGAGTTAATAATTGATCCTTTTGGTAATTATTTGATTCAAAAATTAATCAAATATTGTTCTAATGAAGACTTGAATTTGATCTTGGAAAATTTATCATCAAATTTGTTCCAAATTTCAATCAATCAACATGGAACTAGAGCTTTACAGAAGATTATCGAGAATTTGAATTTGAATAATAATCATCAATTGAATCTTTTGATTTCTGGTTTAAAACCTTTCATTATTGAATTAATTAAAGATTTAAATGGTAATCATGTAATTCAAAAGATCTTAAATAAGTTCAAACCTTTACAATGTCAATTCATTTATGATTCTATTTTAAATAACTTATATGTAATTGCTACTCATAAACATGGTTGTTGTGTTTTACAAAAATGTCTTAACCATGTTACAAAATTTCAATTAAATCAATTTGTTAATGAAATTTTGGCAGATCATAATTTCAATAAATTGATTAATGATCAATTTGGTAATTATGTTTTACAATATTTAATCTCCATCAATTCTTATAAGATTCACATGAGTTTCTTCAATAAGTTAATCAAATTCAACTTGGTTAATTATTGTAATTTGAAGTTTTCTTCCAATGTGATTGAAAAATTCCTTAAAAATTGTTATAATAATGAATCTTCAAGTGTTGATTCTATTCATTTTGTTAATTTAAAATTTGATTTAATAGGTAAAATCTTAATCAATAATCAACTTTTAAATAAATTGATCAATGATCCTTATGGAAATTATGTTATTCAAACTTTAATTGATCATTTGGTTAATCCTCAAGTTAATTATTTCAATATTCAACCCACTAAATTATTAGCATTGGTTGATCCATTGCCTGCCAATAATGAATTGATCAAATATGCCATCATTGAAAGATATTTCAATAATTGTAGAATCATCAGTTCTTTTGGTAAGAGAATTCAACTGAAAATTAATGTGATTTCGAATAATTCTAATAACTTGATCAATAATCAAAATTATCATAACTTTGATGATTCAAGCTTTTCAAATCAAAATCAAAATCAAACTCAAAACCAAAATCAAAATCAAAATTATAATTATAATCAATCAAAGAATTGTCATACCCCAACTAATTCAATAACATCTTTTGAATCAACAAATTTTAATTCTTTTGAACCATCAAATTTTTCAAATAGATCAAATTCTTATCCTAAAATTCATTCAAGATCAAATTCCTTACAATATAATTACTACATGGATAATTCATTATCCTCAAATATGAATAATTTGAATTTAAATTATTCCTATACTCCATTATCAACACCCATTTCAACTCCTATTTCAACTCCAAATCCTAATAATTATTATAATCAACCTCCCAATTTAAACAATCAAAATTTATCAATTCCTTTACAAAATAATATTCAAGGTTTGGGTGTCAATGGGATTAATCAGAATTCACTCCCATCAAAAGATCAATTGAATCCAAATTATCAATCATATTTGAAAACTCCCCAAATTTTTGCTAATGCCCCTAATGATTATGATACTAATCAAATTTATTATCGATAATTTCAACGATAATTTTATGAAAATCCTTTTTATAGTTTGTCTTTAATTGTTGTATTGTTATGTGCTATATTTCATTACTATAAATACATATTTACTTTATTTTCTTCTCTTAACTTTATCCCAGACACTTCCATTTTTCCTTTTTCTACTAGTACTTTCATTAATGTTCCTATTATTATTGAAAATTGAAAAATCTTCTCCAGCAAAAGTATTTTGTAATTCTCTTTTCTTTTGATATTTATCTTTCTTAGTTTGAACTGTTGGTAATCTAGTAAAATTCTCTTCTTCATATGTTTGGATTTCTTTTTCTTTTTCTCTATCCCTTGATGTTTTGACCCCACCTCTACCGTGATTAACAATATTAACACCAATAGATTTTTCTTCCATTGGTAAATCACTGTTTTCTTTAAGATATTCTTCCATACTTTGTAATTTTTTAGTGGACTTACCATCACTTGAATTATTGGTTGGTGGTGCCATGGCGGATATTTTTGGAGGTTTATAACTGTCATTAGAAGAGCTCATTGGTTTCTTCATTAATGATGATGCATCTGGTTTATAAGATAATTCATCTTCACTTTCACTTTCACTTTCACTATCGTCATTATTTTCTTCGTCGTCACTATTCTTGGCGGCATTCACTTGTTGTTTTTGTTCAGAATTGTTGAAGTCTGTTTCCATCTTGTTATAACTTCTAATCATCTTCTCTAATTGATAGTTCAATTTCTTCTCCAATGGCTTGATACCTTTTTCTAACGTAATTCTTTGAATGATACTATTCTCGATAGCTTTTTCTCTTACATCATCAACTTGTTCATCGCCTTCGATTCTTTGTATTTGGCTTAATATGATAAGTGTTAAATTATTAATATATGATAAAATTGAGTTATTCTTTAAATCTAATAATGAAACATTTTCTAACTTATTCTCCGAATTATTTAATAAGTCTTGTATGAATTTAGAAGTATCTTCATCTTTATTGTTTATAAGCTTTTCGATAGATTCATTACTACTATCTAATGACTGTATCATGCCCTTCAAAATTGAGTTCAAATCCATCTTGATTCAAATGTCTCACTAAATGCGATGAGGGTTGAAATATTTCTATCCCATCTCAAAAAAATTTTAATCTCATCGTTAAGGTTCAATACTCATCATGCCTCAAAACGAATATATTGAACAACATATCAAGAAACATGGAAGAAGATTAGATTATGAAGAAAGAAAGAGAAAGAAGGAAGCAAGAGAAGGTCATAGAATCGCTAAAGAAGCCCAAACCTTGAAGGGTTGGAAAGCTAAACAATTCGCTAAGAAACGTTATAGTGAAAAGGTTGCCATGAAGAAGAAGATCAAAGCTCATCAAGAATCTAAAGTTAAAGGTCCTTCCACTCCTGCTGAAGAATCTGGTGAAGCTTTACCAACTTATTTATTGGATAGACAAAATGATAATGTTGCCAAAGCTATTAGTTCTTCAATTAAACAAAAGAGATTAGAAAAAGCTGATAAATTCTCCGTTCCTTTACCTAAAGTTAAAGGTATTTCAGAAGAAGAAATGTTCAAGGTTATCAAGACTGGTAAAAAGAATAATAAAGCATGGAAGAGAATGATCACTAAACATACTTTTGTCGGTGAAGGATTCACTAGAAGACCAGTTAAAATGGAAAGAATTATCAGACCTTCAGCTTTAAGACAAAAGAAAGCTAATGTTACTCATCCTGAATTAAAAGTCACTGTGTTCTTACCAATTTTAGGGGTTAAAAAGAATCCTCAATCTCCTATGTATACTCAATTAGGTGTTTTAACCAAAGGTACCATCATTGAAGTCAATGTTAGTGAATTAGGTTTAGTTACCGCAGGTGGTAAAGTTGTCTGGGGTAAATATGCTCAAATCACTAATGAACCTGATAGAGATGGTTGTGTTAATGCAGTTTTATTAGTTTAATTTAAAAGGTTTTATGGGGTTAATGAATTTTGGCATTTATATTATAATATACAATTAAAAGTACAGTTTTCTTCATCTCCTCTTTAATCCTTCAATTCAACATCAAATAAATCATGACAGATTACTTCTTTCTTTCCGATCGACCTTAAACCACAATGAATTATTAATTTCCCATTTTCACGAACTAAGAACCATTGATTATTATATAATTTTGCTCCCACTAAAAAGCACAACCCTGAAATGTTTTGTTTATTGGATATTTTAGGTAAGATTTCACAGTATTTGACCAAGATTTCATGAGGCGACACTTCACTATTGGGGTTATATAAGTTTTCAATCGAATGACTATGATGCAAATTATGCCTCTTTAAATTGAACAAAAATTCTTGTTTGATCCTACTCAAATATTCATAACCTGTTTCAACACTTGACTCGATGAGTTCCAAATAATTCAATTCTTCAATATTCTGGATGTCATTATATCTCAGACTTTCAATCCCTGAAGTCAAATAACAATAACTCCATAATGTCTCCATAGCTATACTGATACCAAAGATGGCGTCAAAGTAATCTTTATCGGGTGACCATTCTTCATTTTCAACTTTATTTAAAGGTGAATTATCTGCTAATAAAGTTTCCCATAAGAATATATAACAATGAACTATACTTTTCAAATTCACTATATCATTAATATTACTTGATTGATGAGGTTTGAGCCAGAGACTCAGAAGTTTTCTTTCTACTATCAATCTATCCTTGGCATTGATCTTAACATTTTGATTTGCTGGGGATCCACAGTAAATAGATCCATCATAAGTATTCAAATCAGGCATACCTACTATTTGAGTTATATGATAGATTGGGAATTTACATGTCGAGACTGAACAATCAATGAATTTGGTTGAATCCTTATTTAATGCTATTTGGGTGCAATTCTCTTTGATGTTCCTTCCAAAATTTTCTATGCCTGTTGTTAATAGTTCTTTCCAAACTTGAAAATTCCCTTTGGAATTAGGTATTGATATCAACGAGGAAGTGTTTTGCAATTCAAACTGTTGCATCTCATACATAACTGAAATCAAACCCCCGTAGAGAATTTTCTTCACGAAAGGTGATAAGTGATAAGAAAAGTTTGCGTTATTGTTCAACAACTTCTTTAAAATAGTTAAGAATCTTTCGTTGGACAAATTATTATCATGAACATTTGTAGATTGAAATTTCTTTTGCTTTTTCAAAATTTTTATGAATGAATTATTCACATCACTTGCTTCCCACAATTCATCATTACATGGTAATTTCATGATTTGTAACTGATGGAACAAAATTACAGGATTATGACGAAATTTGACATAATCTGCGATATCAAGGTAGAATGTCATGAAAGTGATTCTCTTCATTGACTCCGACTCAACCCATTTTTTGAATAATTCCATATCATTTTTCATGGATTTTTTCTTCTCTTTATCAATCTCACTACTATCCACATCTAAGTCTTCATTATCATTCTCATCATTAACAATATGAGTTCCAGATGTGCCATTACCTGAACTTTTGTCTCCCGGGTTACCACCAAATACTGGTGATCTCCTCATTAATTGAACAGTCGAAGCATGATGTACATGTGCTCTTTCATGCATCTTTCTTGACAAGAAATTCTTCTCACTCCATTCTAAAAGATTCAAACTTTGTAATATCCATAACTTAACAGGAGATTTGAAATCTTCATGCTCAAAGATGGCGTATCTCAAAGGAACAGCTATGTTCAATGCTAATTTGTATTCCAGTGACTTAAATCTTGGAGACAGAACAGTATTGAGGTTTGCTGGATTTGTACAGTAGTTACAACCAACCAATATCATTGAAAACAACAACAAAGGCTCTGCTGTCGATGTTTTGAACGACGGTTTGTGAAGGAAATTGAATTGTGGATGGAATACCAACCAGTATATCGACAAATAATATGAAAATCGATCTTCTACTAATATCTTGTCATTGAAGTAGAGTTCTACCTGACTCTTAGATAAACTGGGGAGCGCTTCGAACACCTTACTAAGTATTATTTTGTCGATATGTATGTGATCATTTTTGGCTATATTATATTTGATACCATATTCATGCAACCTCTTTTGCTGATTATTGATATTTGGACTGAATAAATCATTTATCAGTTTAGGAGTAGGATTCGATTCATTAGTATTTGTTGGAGAATTCATTGATATGGAAGAAGATGGAACACTGTAGTTAAATGGAGTCAATTCATTTAAAGGAGAAAAATGACTTCCAAACACTGACCGGGAACCAGCCTCCGTTGTAACTTCGTTCTCATTCTTCACTGGCTGCATTTTGTTACTTGATTGGTTATAGTTCCTTAACATTACTTCGTCCAATGGATTCATCTCGTACTGGAAAATGTTGTTATCATGCAATTCATATATGGAATTCATTTGATTATCAGCGTTAGGACTATTGACTATGGAAGGCACCTGCATAACCGAACCATCAATCCTAGTGTAGCCATTATTAATTGGTGGCAGATCAGTGAAAAGCCATGATAGTATATCAGTCTGACTTTGAAAGAAGTCGTTCGAAGTTTCAGGACCAAGGTTATAATTCACATTCAGCGGGACGCTGTTTGGCATATTACTCGTTGGGAGACTTTTCTTATTCATCTGAGTGTTATAATCTCCATTACTGATATGCTCAACCATTGGCTTCAAACCTGGAGGTAAATCTGCCAACAGGATTGATGAATTCTTACTATCAGCAGATGAAGGCATGAAATTTGATTTACTATCAATTGATGCTCTGCTGAAAATGGCTTTGTTCTCGATTCCAGGAGAATTAAAATTGGAACTCTTATTCATTAATGATCTATCGAAGATAGGTAAATTTGACTCGTTATTATTGATTAGATTCGATATTTGTAAAGGAGATTCTCCACCGATGGATGCAGGTTTATGAGGTATATTTATGGGAGTATCTGCTATTGAATTTGTTCTAGGAAATGTTTTGGCTGATTCTGGGGAATCTTTCATCTCAGTGGATGTGTCAGAAGGTAAACTTGACCAGTTTACTCTGACATTGGGGCTACTTGACAAATGACGTTTCAAATGCCTATCTTTTAAATCTCTTCTTACAAATCTTTTACCACATTTTCTTTTTCCTCCGCCGATTGTTTCAACAGGAAATTCACATTCGAACACTTCCTTAGGTTTATGATTTAAATAGTGTCTCGATAAATGATCAGTTCTTGTAAAGATTTTCCCACAATCTGGACAGGGGAAATTCCCAAGGTTCCGTTTCTTAGACTTCCTTTTCATGTCCTCGATGTCTGACTCCAGATTCTCTGTCAGGTTCTCTATCGCTGACATCTCTAACCCCTACCTTCTTCAAAATTATAGTATTCCACTACTAATACTTTTTGTGCGCAAATTCCCCACCAAATCTTTTTGGGTTGAGGTTTCGTATTTTTCATCTCGTTTTTTTCCGATCTATCAAGAGATATATAAGGTTTGTAACCGTAACACAAAAGGTTTGTGTATCTATATTAATCTATAATTTAGGATTTCTATTGGTCGTCAATTTTCGTCATCGGAACTCAACCTCTGAGAAGGCGAATCGATCGTAACTTGAACTGGGTCAAACACATTGAAGAGTCGAACATTAATTTCTTCATTGAATTTGATCAATTTGGGAGACTTTCTACCAAACACTTTTTGTTGGGAAAAATCTGCCATAATGTTTGCTAATTCTTCCTCTTCAGAATCGAGATAAAAATCATTAAACAAGTACTTTTCCAGTCTACCTGGTTGTAACAAGATAAGATAATCATAAAACTTATTCAAATTCATGAGAAATGCTACTAATCCTGGGTCTGAATAAATCTTGAACTTATAATCACTTTCCGATAGCGTTATGAAATGTTCTTCCCCCACCTTCAAATCATCATAAACATCATATTTCCATAATGCCATGAATTGATCAAACCATCGAGGATTCTCTGTATTCAGATGAGTAGCTGAATTTAAATTTACGGCTGTAGAAATCTCGTCATAAAGAACATCAAATCCATCTAAAACATACTTTTCTACGAAACTAGTCTTGATTAATTTTTGAAAATCTCTCTTCTCTCGTTGTTTCATGCCTTCATTATTCAACTTTGAAAACTTTTCGAAATGTACATTGATAAGAAATTGCTCCAAGCCCTTATCTTCATCTTTAATATCAATAATTTCATGTATGAACGTTTTAAAATCATTCAATTTTCTGAGATAGTGTTCAGGATGATTATTGTTACTCATCTTCAAAACTGGCTTCAAACTAAACAATTCGAGACCTGAGTTGGAACTCAAAGCTGAAACGTTGCTCATGATATCGTCGACATCCTCTTCTTCAGAAACAGCATTGTTCTCCTTGTATATGTGTTGGAAATATGTATCGACGAGTCGTTGCCCAAAGAGATATGATGACATTGGATCAGTAGATTTCCCATAAGTTTGAGCTATTTGTGTAAGTTCCATCTTTGTTTCATTCAAAGACTTATCCGTTTGGTGTTCATGATGATTGACAATCACTTGAGCTTTTTCGAAAAATTCCTTGTAGTCTTCTAACTGTTTGATAGTTTCCCTTTGCATAAAAATTTCAAAATTATTGGAAGAAACCTTATAGGATCCATAATGCTTTACTGATTGCCTCAAAGAATCTATAATGCTTCTCTTACTTTGTCTTAACAATTCCAGATCATTCTCACACAAGGGGAACCGAGATGAGATGGGTTTTCGATTCATAGTGAATATTAGGTCGAAATCAGTTTACTATGATATGATCTGTTTCGAGTGTACTTGACAGGTATTTATTTCCGTAATAAGTAAGAAATGAATTGTATCATTCAATAAATTTGTAGAAAATAACAGGGAGTCAGGTTAGGGCGGCCCCCGCGTACTTTTGCGATGGCATTTTTTCGTCCTGTTAAAAACGAATAAGAACAAGGTGGTTATTTCATAAATCTACATAAATCATTCTTCCAGTTGAGGTCTGGTATATGGGTGGAGTCTTGAATTACTTCTTCTACTTGGACTTCTAGTCTGACTAGGAAGATGTGCAAACATGACTCTTCGAGCATTTCTAAATGGTCTAGCATCTTCATTTTCAGAACTACTACTACTTCCACTGCTGTTACTACTAGCAACACTAACTACTTCATCTCTCTCATCAATACTCATATTTGGGGCACGGTTTTCGTTGGTATTTGTGTTTTCAGGTTGTTCTGGACTGGTGCTTTCATTGAGTGCTTCGTCATTATTAGTCTCAGGTGGTTGTGGATTACCTTCATTTTCAAAAGTATTTGGTCTCCTTCTGACTCTTCTGTGGTCTATATTGGAATTAAAAACTCTGGCTATAGTAATAGGTGGTGGTGTCAAGTCTGAAATAGGAAATCTACCTGGTAAAACTAAATTGGGTTCTCTCACATTGACCGTTGGTACAGTACCACCAGGTAACGTAAAAGTACTATTAGCATAATTTTGGCTCATATAAGTGTCAGTCAATGGTGTAATTAATGGATTGAACGATCTTCTGAAAGGGTTGAATACATCAGTAGAATGATCTATTAAATGATCCAACATTTCATTTCTGTTGTTGTGGTGGCTGGTTATTGTATTTTTCAATCTTTCTAGTTTGATTTGTTTAGGATCCTTTGGCTTTGATTCTTCTACCTCCTTTCTGCATAGAGGACAACTAACATTGCTTTTCAACCACTCTACTATACAAGTCTTACCGAATATATGATCACAGTCAGGCATCTTCACTGGTATATGACCGTCATTCTTGAGCTTTTCGTTTGTATCATCTTGATTGTATTTCAGCTTGGACTTTGAAACTTCTTCGTACCCAGGTAAAATATCTTCTTTGGTAGGGGTTTGTAAAGTATGTAAGCTTCTTTGTGGAAATCTGGAATATGCCAGTGCTGCTTGATCTACTGGGAAAAATAGTGATGGATCATTAAATTGCCTGGACTGGTTGTTCTTGATTAGATTGGTGTTATATTTATTATTAATTTCGTCAATGAGCTCGTCATTGTGACCTTGTCTCATAAATTTAGGAGCTGATGAATCCTCCTTAGCGTCTTCACCTGGTATCTTGTCAGTTACAACATCATATGGGTCGTAACAAATGGGGCATTCTTTATTCTCCAATGAATTCAAATCACAAGTTTGCAAAGAAGCAATAGCCTTCTCGGATGCTGGCTTCGATCTACCAGAACCTGCATTCAAAGCTCTATCTAGAACATCTGTAATCCATCCGGGGAAATTGGGTGGACCGTTAATACCATCTAGATCAAGATCTATATCTATTAAAGAAGTTCCCAACGATGTGTCCATTTGGGTGATTCAATTAGTCGCAAATTTGGATGCGAAATTTACGTCACAAAGAAGTACAACCTCAAGTAGCGTAATTTAGAGATATTCCCTTGGAGAGTGCCTTGTCGTGGGGGGTCATTATATTACAATTATCTATATATCACAAATATTGAGCTCTTAAGTTATTCACCATTTGTTGTTTTTCTGGTTCCAAGGAAGGAATTTGTTCTGGAGGAATAGTCAAAACTTGAGCTATCAAATCTGCTTGATTAGCTGGTAATTGTGACAATTTTTGCTGAGTTTGAGGTGGCAAATGTGGCCACTGTGATTGTGTTTGAGGATATTGTTGATTCGAGTACTGATTTTGATTTTGGTTTTGATTCTGATTCGAATATTGTTGATTGGAGTATTGTTGGTTTTGGTACTGTTGGTTCGAGTATTGCTGGTTTGGGTATTGTTGATTTTGATATTGCTGATTCGAGTATTGGTTTTGTTCTTGTATTTGGGGAGCAGCGTTGGTAGCATTGGAGGATTCGTTAATAACTTCATCATCGATTAATCCCATCAATAATAATACTTGAGCTGTGGCGGTTGCAAGAACTGGATTACCTTGGAAAATAGCAGTAGCTCCTTGCTCCTCTGGAGTGTTGACAGTATTTTTCAATTGTCCAAGCAATTCAATCAATACTGGTGGTGCAATTTGACTCAAATTTTGATTGATTTTATCAGGTGCTATGAAGGGCAAAATTGGAGGTTGTGGAAGATTTCTTGAAGTCACTTGTGCCTGCCCTGGTTGAGAAATGGACTGTTGGACTTGAGGTTGATTGTATCCATGTATCTGTTGATTGGTCTGTTGGAATTGTCCCACAGGTGATTGTCCCATCGGTGATTGATTAAATTGATTAGCTTGATTATAATTCCCATTTCCATTTCCTGGTACATTCCTATACATTTCATCTGGAATTTGAACATTTGGTGGAAGAAAATCTCGGGTCAAAGTCATGAGCTGTTTAACAGAAGCATTATTCGCCCTTAAACCTTCCTTAGACTCTTCAATTCTGAGATTCTTAACTTTGTTACCATTTCCAATTTTGACTTGGCTCAACAACAGCCTACCATAAGCTGCATCCTCGGGTGTTTGATATTCAACAAAGCAAAATCCCTTGTTTTTTCCTACATGGTCAAAGCCTAGTCTGACATCAACAACTTTCCCAGACCCGCAAACGACAGAACGCATGTTATTTTCATCCCAATCAAATGGAACCAGACCAACGAAGAGAATTGACGACGCACTAGATGCTTGGTTAGATCTACCATATGGCTGCCTACCGGACAGACTGTATTGTTTTCTTGGGGGCGCTGGAGGCATATTTAGCGTGAATGTTGACTCTCAAACTGGTAATTTTTCAAAACCTAATATTGTCGCGCACTAAGTACAAAAAAAATTTTTACTTAATATTTGAATTGTCTCACTCATACGCTTAACTATTGTCATTAAACGAAAAAATTATGAGATTAAAAAAATATTCCGATACCGGGAGTCGAACCCGGGTTTGCTGCGTGAAAGGCAACCGTGCTAGCCGTTACACTATATCGGACTGTTGTGTTAGTTTTTGGTCACTTTCTTTCATCAGGCTCGAATTAGATAAAATCGATTTTTTTCTAAGGTTTCGATCTTCAACTCGAAATGTCATGACCAGATGAATGGTTTTCAAAGATATGTTCGCCTCTTGTTTTTTTAAGTAAATTTATCTGTTTCGAAGTCTCATATCACCAGAAACTATGACTCCATCAAGAGATACGCATCGCAAGTGTGAAGATTTTTCATGAAAAAAAACCTTTCAATTAAAGAGCTGCGTCCATAGGAACTGACACTTAACAATTCCAAGCTCATTAGTATACTCTGTTCTTAAACATTTATCTCTATTACTTGTCACCACGTTTGAAAAACTATTGATGTCCCACTTGTATATAATTGCTTGGAATTCCTTCAAAAATGTAACAAAAGATCAGGATCAGGAGAGCAAGATACGTGGGAAAAAAATCATCCCAACCTTTGTGAAAAAAACCTTGTTAGCACATGAGAAGTTATATGAACTTTTGAAAATTTGGGATAAGTGATTCTGCTGATCAAATATTATCTCTCGATGTACTGTTCAAGAGTGCGTGCAACTATTTTTTTTTTTTTGCAGCCACTGAAACATACATTAAAAATCAAAGTGCACTTGATCTGTTGCTATCGACATTTATCTTCTTTCTGCATTGCTAGCTCATGTATAGACATTGATGCTTAATCTGATGCTTTTGCTAGGGAGTAATACACCAATTTTTGTAGATAGAAATTAGCGAAGGTAAGGAATTTCAATCAACATCTGAAAGTCATTTAAAAATCGTAAACTGTCAAGGGTATTTGGCGGCTACTTTCAACTCAAATTTCTTATAATTTTGGCATGATGACTCTTTCATACTTTACTGGAATATTTCAAAGTCAAATTCCTCAGAATTTTTTCCTTTTAACATTCATCGAAAAGTTCCAAAATCAAATTTCCATACTTTTTCGAATGAGACAGTGGTTTCACATAATTTTCAACTCTGGCAAATAATACACAAAAAGACATGTTCATGACAGTATGTGATGAGATCTCTTACATGTTAGATCCAGAATTTAGACCATGAATCTGCCCTTTCCTACAGGTAGATAAAATGAGAGTAATCGAAAAAAATATTCCGATACCGGGAGTCGAACCCGGGTTTGCTGCGTGAAAGGCAACCGTGCTAGCCGTTACACTATATCGGACTGTTATGTTTGTTTTTGAGTGTCATTATTTATAATTATATATTTTCTTACTTTCGAGTTTTCGATGGTATTATGCTTATCAAGAGGTGTGAAATTTGCTTAAAAATTGTAGAAATGATTTTGAGTTGTTAAGCTTTTATTCCTAGTTCTTGGAAGAGGAAATTCAAGAGATGACAAATTTTTTGCAACCAACTAAAATTGTGCATTAAAGACGAGCTTTTGTGAAATTGTTGGACTGTTCTGTCTTGCCCTGATTGAATATCTCTAGTTTCGTGGAAAGGATTTTGCTTCTTGGTTCGGAGCGATTCGGGTAAAAGTTCTTGTTCATGATGGCATTTTTACCGACTTCTCTGATTAATTCTTGCAAAATAGTCAAAACCTTGTCTGGCTGCTCTCCATTAAGTAAGTGTCCTACATTGGGAATAGAAGTAAATCCTACTAACTGTTTGACATTGTCACGGATGAACTGATTAACTTTATCGGTACAGTAAGGAGATCTAGCTCCCAGAATATAAAAGACCTTATTCTTCAACATGGGTAATAATGCGTGAGTATCCTTGATGGTTAGTCTCGTGTAGCCATACACTGCCATCTGACTTATCTTGCTAGACTTACATCTAAAGGTTTTATCCTTATCATTTGAATACACTTCATTTTTCATAATATCTTGGAGTATTTCCCTATTAAAATTTCTAATGAAAGACCTCTGGATGAAAAAATCCGTAGCATCTTTTTCACTAACGAATTTATCCTCGACAAGGTTTCCAAGTTTGAAAAAATTGGATGTGAAACGTTTTTGGAATTGTTCATCAGAATAGATTATTGGATCTATCAAGACAATGGTATCGAAAAGATTTTCATTAAGGTAGGAAGCAAATACCAGTTGCTGTGCTCCTAAACTATGGCCTATAAGTATAGTTCTGTTTGTTTCATTATTCAAGAAGTCACCAATCTTCTGTTCGTTTTCTAAGATTTTTATCACGTCTCTTCCACCATCAATTGCAGCATAAATCCAGCCCAATTTTCCTTGATTGACAACGGCAGAGTCACCATGACTCACACAATCAAATGCAATACACGAACCTATATAATAGTCAGAATCATTCGTGAAAATTCTTCTTACATAGTAAGTCCATAAATCCTTGTTCATTCCTGTTCCATGTGAAAAAATTAAATTGATCCGGATCTTGTTTTCAGGTTTGGAATCGAAGTTGAATTTCGAATACACCAATTGAAGTCTATCCTCAATGTAAATCGTTGAACCTGGAGTTCTAGGAAAACTGGCATCGATAGTCTTTTTTTCTACTTTGAACATCATACTCCAGATTTCTCACTAAAAAATTATGGGGTAATTGTTCCCTAACAGATTTCTTATGAAACCAGTTATTTTGTTAAAAATACCAAAAAGCTTCATTCCATATATGGCAGCTTTGGGAGAAGGAGTCTTCACTTTCTATGTATTTTTTTTTTTTCTAATTCTTTTTGTGATTTTTACAGATTTATTTATACTGTGCAAAACAAAAAATAATTTACAATAAATTGGAAAATAAATTCATAAAAAAAATTGGAGATTGAAAATCTTCATCATTTGCCTTTAATCACTGTAGCATTGGCATTGAAAGTCTAGAATTGTGAAATTGGATCCAAAAAAAGTTAGTGACTGAAATCATACAAAATTCTCAATCAAATATCGCAGACTACAATGAGCTTATCTTATGATCCAGATTCGCTTGACAAGAAGACCTACTTTATAGGTGGTATGAATGTAAACGTTTACAATGTGGATGCACTTAATGAATACGTGAAATCGTTTGACCTCAAGGAAAGTAGAGGAACAAAGATTCCAGTTCATATTCTATACTTGGTCCATGGTAGGACAAGAAGTGCAAGAGCTTCAGAAGCTTACGGATATAATGTCTTCAAAAGATATATGGAAGTGACAAACAACAATGTACCGTTGGTATTTGTAACATTCGATGTTAGTAATCACGGGGCAAGAATTGTAGATAGACTGAAAAATCTCACTTGGGATGAAGGTAACGAAACGCATGGAATCGATCAGTTATCAATTATTGACCAAACGCTTGGTAATTTGAGGACGATCATTGAATATCTTCCAGGTTATTTGAATTTAGATATCCAATTTGCTGAAAATGATGAATACAAACTCGAATTTGTTAATATTTTAAGTGGTGTTTCATTAGGGGGTCATGTTGTATTGAGAATGGCCAGTAAATTTCCACAATACGTTGATATATTGAACCCAGTGATATCTTGCAGTAACTTGTCGTCTATGCTGCTCGACAGACTCTTGAAAATACCCCCAACTAAGGATACAAGGAGATATTTGATGGAATACAAAGAATTGAATTTGGACCTCCAACAGAGGAAAATGTACCCCAAATCTTTCCATGAGCTCTTGAAATACACTGACATTGAATTGCTCAATAATTTTCCTTACGAAATACCCATGTTTGCTGCTTATGGGGTTGAAGATAAATTGGTACCTTACGTGTACTCAGAAGACTTTTTGATCAAGTACGGACAGAAGAACCCACTATTGGAGGTTTTTCAACAAGAAGACAAAGGTCACGAAGTCAGTATCGAAATGTGCCATAAATTCGCCGAATGGTTAGCAGAGATTCTTGCAGCTTACACTAAAAGTATTTAGCTCAAAACATCACAATTTGCATTTCTCTTACTCCCTATCTTACTGGTAAACATCTAAATTGTGAGAATTGCTATGTACTTAGGAACTAGAGTGTATCTTGATAGTTCAATTTATGTAAAGAGTCATTTACCTGTGGACTGGAAAAATTCGCTATCAGTAGGAAGGAGGAGTTTATCATGATTTTATTGATTTTCGCAGTATCAAAACGACACGAATAGGAGATGATGAAGAATTCGATAACAACAGGAATCCATCCTGTAATGTACGGAAATTATGGCAATAGTATGAGAGGGGACGATGAATCTTCAATTGCAAGTTCCAGTAAATACAGCCAAATTCATAAAAATTATAGCGATCAAGTCAATTATATTACATTTAATCAGGATTGTTCTTGTGTAGCCATAGGTTTAAACTCAGGATACAAGATCTTCAATTGCAATTCAAATTTTGACAAATGTTATCAGTATGTCAAGAATGAATCAATAGGATTGATCGAGATGTTGTACACCACAAGCCTAATTGTTCTAATTGGTCTAGGTGAAGATTATGGTAGTTCACCCAGGAAATTAAAAGTCGTCAATTCCAAACAAAATTCGACCATTTGTGATCTAGTGTTTCCATCCACTATACTAAATATCAAGTTGTCCAAAAAAAAGTTGATTATCTTGTTGGAAACTCAAATTTACATTTACGATATATCCACAATGAAATTATTGCATACTATCGAAACTAGTCCTAATTTGAATGGCTTATGTGCTTTGGCGAATACAGATATGACAGATAGTAACCACACGTTTCTAGCTTACCCATCACCTCCAAAGACAATACTTCATGATTCTTTGTTGGTAAATGGGGTAAATACGAATGGTGGTAACAATTCAATTCAAAATAACATTCAATCTGTCAGTAACTCACCAAACAGGGTTGGTGACGTTATAATCTTCAACACGACTACCTTGCAACCATTGTCGGTGATTGAAGCCCACAAATCAGTTTTAGCAGCTTTAACTCTATCAAATGATGGAACTTTGTTAGCCACTGCTTCTGATAAAGGAACTATTATAAGAATATTTGATGTTCTCACAGGTGTGAAATTGTTTCAATTCAGAAGAGGTACATACCCAACCAAGATCTTCTCCTTGAAGTTTAGCAATGACAATAGCTATATCATTGCAACAAGTTCGAGTGGCACGATTCACATCTTCAGATTGGGAGAAGATGAAGCCCTCGAAAACAAGCACAAAAGAAAAAGACAAACAAAGAAAAGGGCCATCAATGAGGAAACCATCCAGGAAGAAAGTGAACTCAGTGATAAAACTAAGGGATCATCTGATATCGATGAACAGGCAGATGTTGATGGAGAAGAAGAAGAGATTAGGGATGATGGGGATGATAGTGATGCAGATGAAGATGAAGAGGAAAACGAAGAAGAAGAAAACATCGTTAATAAACAACGAAAATTATCACAAGGATCTACTGGATCATTCACTAGTATAAATAGCGGATTATCTAATGAAGAATTACCGTCAATGCATAACGGGACTAATAAATCTGAACCCATAATTGATCAAACCAGATTGTCCGTAGCAAGAATAATCCGTCGATCCTCACAGACATTGGGAAGGAAGGCTGCCCAAAGAATGGGAGATTTTCTTCCTTCTAGATTTTCTTCCATATTGGAACCAACCAGGCATTTCGCATCCATAAAAATTCCAAGTATTGCCAAAGATGTTAAATCAATAGCAGCAATGAGCAATGAATTACAAGACGATTTGGTCCCTCAACAGTATTTGACCAAATCTAAGGATCCTCAAGAAGTGGATGTTAAACCAAAAGACCTACTCAATTTGAAATTGCTTCATATCAATGTGATCACTTCTGAAGGGATCAGTTATACTTATGGGTTAGACCCAGAAAGAGGGGGCGATTGCATTTTGTTAAATCAATTTTCTTTGTTAGATTAGTTATTTCTTAATATATGATGAGTCACCACTCATGTTGAACATCTTCTGGAGAGAAGTGGCTGCCAGGCAGGAACATACTTTATGACAAGGTGTATCGGTTTGTTCGATTTGGATCGTCATGGGAACATCTGGCTAGATCTTAACTTTTGATACAGAACGATGAATCAAATCTCACCGAGAAATCACAAAGATATCGGTTGTCTCGTGATTCTTTCGCTCTTAAGTCAAAATTAAGGGCAAGCTTGTATAACAGATTATATCACGTCTGAAAGTAGCTCACATTAGTCACAAAGTAAGCCATGATGAAGCATAATCAATATTTCAAAATTTTTTTTTTTCAAATTTCTACTACTCAAATTATTACATTGATATCTATCACAACGAAGGGCGTGTGGTCTAGTGGTATGATTCTCGCTTTGGGTGTTAATCACACAAATTTGCGAGAGGCCCTGGGTTCAATTCCCAGCTCGCCCCTTTCTTTTTTTTCATTTTTTATATGTCAGACACCAAATTTTCATCCCCATCGAAGGCGGAGGGATACTATGCAATTTATCGATATGACTGAATGATGCTTGAGCTTCAAGAGTGAAGTGGAGTACGCATTTTGCAAATAAAAATGAATGCTCCATATGTATCTCAAAATATACAATTTCAATCGTAATCATTACCAATAGAGTGGTTCTTTTCAACAGAAAAAGTCCGAACATCATGCAATAGTCCGAAACTTTTCATATGGTAACAGCTTGTTTTCTGCGTTTCATTTTATCACAGCCCATGCTAAAAAGAAATACAGATAAGCTTGAGGTGAAAATTGTGAGGCAAAGATTATCTTAGAATCACTGAGAAGATTGAGAAAAAGTTGGGCTGAAAATTGGAGGATAACATGTCTCATACACCAGATCAACAAACATTAGTGTTGAAGATCTTGTCATACAAACCACACCAATACTATGAAATTCTACAAGTAACCAAAAGTTCAAGCGAGTCCGACATTAAGAAATCCTACAGAAAATTAGCTATCAAATTACATCCTGATAAGAATCCACACCCTAAAGCAGATGAAGCATTCAAAATCGTCAATAAAGCCTGGGGTGTATTAAGTGATCCACAAAAGAAAAGAATATTTGATGCTACAGGAAGTGATCCGGATGCTAGATTCAATCCAAGTATGTCTAGTAATACAGCTAGAACATCAGGAATGAATTCAAGATTCGGTACAGAAGAAGTTTTCAATGACGATATTTTCGAATTTTTCTTTGGTAACCAGGGTGCTAGAGGATTTGGTGCAGCAGGAGGAGGTCCACAAACTTTTACTTTTGGTAGTAATGGATTCACTTTCCAATCATTCGGAGGTGCAGGAGGTCCAGGTTTCGGTTCTGCTAGACCAAGGCAAAGACAAAGAGCTTCAACACAGCCAGAAGATACCAACATATATACAACATTGAAGCAATTATTGCCCATAATATTTTTCGTATTAATATCAATTATACCATCATTTTTCTCAGAAAGTAGTATACCTGATTATTCTTTCAATAAAACATCCAAATTCAATTATGAAAGATCAACACCAAATTTGAAAATTCCCTTCTTCGTCAATGAAAAGTTTATGAATAAAAAGAATTACACCAATCAACAGTTGAAAAACTTTGATTCCAAGGTCGAAAATTTATTCATACAAGATAAAAGGGCCAAATGTTCTAAAGAACAAGTCATCAAAAATGAATTAATTGATGAAGCTCACGGTTGGTTTTCCACTGACCAAGAAAAACTTAAAAGAGCACAGAATTATCCAATGCCAAACTGTCAAGTTTTAAGACATTACAATTTGATTTAATTCGAAATAATTTCAGGAATATATATATTTTAATAGTTTTACAATTTATATGGTTATACAAAGTATTCTCGGAACAGGATTGACATCCATGGAAATAGTCTCTTGGGGGTGCTTGACCCAATTACTACCATCCCAATGTATTTTCTGAAGTTTAATATTTTCTAATTGAGTAGTAGTAACAGCAAGAAATTGTTGAACAGATCGTCCTTCTTTTGCACTACAGCTCGATGAAACCCCAATAGAGCCACCTATCTTTATGGTTGATGTGGTTTTAATAGTGAACAGGAAACCGAGATTAGTTGTAGGTGAAACTGTAGCAGTGACCGATGCTTTTGGTTTGGCGGATAAGGCAAAACCAATACTTACACCTGCATCGATTGAACCAGTACCGTCTTTGTTGGATTGTTGGAGTAAGGGAGAAATAGGCGTTTGGAATTCATTATCAACTGATTCAATAGATTGGGTGAAATCATAGACATCAACCGAAGGAAAATCACCTTCGTTGTTAGTAATATAATATTTCAAAGATTCTTCGTCAAAAATTCTTGAATTTGGGTTCAGTTCAACTAATCCCAAACTTATGAGCTTACTTGATTTTACATTAATATTTTTATACTCTCCATAAAATGGTTGGTGTTCTTGAGTCAAATCAATAACATCTGTGAAAGATGTAAAATCGTTTGGCACAGTTTCCCTGGAACTGATTTCAATTGGCAAAGACCAAATTCTGACAGCGAATAGAATAATTGTTATTCTCATATTTGATAGGGGATATTGGTATAAAGAATGACTTTATACTTGGAAGAGGCATATAATTTTTAACATAGTGAGATGTAGTTGAAAACGCAGGTATATCACCGCACACAAAAAATATTTCACTTGTACCTCAATTTTAATCAACTATGCGTCTTCATAGCTATTCGTTACGTTTCGTTAACGCTATTAGAGCTTCGATTTATTCTTGAATATTCAAGTTTCTTATTTTCAGCACGCTACAAGTTAATGAAGACATCCATCAATAATCGCCTCAAACAAGCTGGGATACATTTTAAAGTGGGGGTCTACGAGTTTCAGGCACGATGACGTAAAGAGTAACTTTTATAAACGAGAAAGTTTAAATCGTACTAAAAAATGTCTTGACACGTATTATGATCAACCTTCCTCATCAAAATCTCATCGTTGGTGAAGGGATTGTTAGTCTTCCTCCGAAAGACAAAAAAGTTTCTTGTAACAACGTGTTACCCTATTCTTTATCAATACTTTCTCGAAAATCTACCTTTTCACGAATTATTAAGTTTATGATTGAATTCGCCATTACTAAAATAATGACAACACATAGGGCATTTATGTCTATGTCAACAATTTTCTACTTGACCTGAGCCTCTGCCCTCAATTTGTTTTTTTCTCATCGTCAAGTTGGAGACTTTTTACATTTCAACCATTTTTCCTCTTTCGAAATTCTCACTGAGACTCGAAATTCTATTTTTACTTTGATCCTTAAAATACTAAAATCTAAAGATTTATTTTGAGTTAATCAATATTAAAACATTTTAGAAGTTCCGAGTTTATTTTGTTAATTTGAATCTGCAAATTATTTTATTCATTTTCCGATCAGGGGATAACGATTAATTACCTATCGTTAATAAAGAATAAATACTATTCACTTTAACAACTTTAAGGATTTTTATCAATAATTTAATCTAATTAAGTATCCAAAATTAATCCTCATCCTTTGAAAAAACCAAAAATTGAAGGCATGGCTTCTGTTGAATTGTTAAAGATTCTTGAAGATCCTGATCTTTATGCAAAGAATTATCATCTTGTACGAGAGAATTTAATCGATAAGATAAAATCTCAAGATAAGTTAATAGAGGATTTGAATGATGATTTAGAGACTAGCAAGACTGCCAATAAGGCATTTAAACAAGCATTATCAGAAATAGGAACTGTGGTTATTTCTGTTGCCATGGGTGATTTATCTAAAAAAGTTGAAATTCATACTGTTGAATCTGATCCTGAAATTTTAAAAGTTAAAATTACCATTAATACTATGATGGATCAATTACAAACATTTGCTTCAGAAGTTACCAAAGTTGCAACTGAGGTCGCCAATGGGGAATTGGGTGGTCAAGCTAAAAATGAAGGTTCTGTGGGTATTTGGAGATCTTTAACTGATAATGTCAATATTATGGCTCTCAATTTAACCAATCAAGTCAGAGAAATTGCTGATGTTACTAGTGCAGTAGCCAGTGGTGATTTATCTAGGAAAATTAACGTACATGCTCAAGGAGAAATTTTACAATTACAAATGACTATCAATACTATGGTGGACCAATTGAGAACTTTTGCTTTCGAAGTCTCTAAAGTTGCAAGAGATGTCGGAGTATTGGGTATTTTAGGTGGCCAAGCTGTTATTGAAGGCGTCGAAGGTATTTGGAAAGAATTAACTGATAACGTAAATGCTATGGCTTTAAATTTGACTACTCAAGTCAGAAATATTGCTAATGTTACTACTGCTGTTGCCAAAGGAGATTTATCGAAAAAAGTTACTGCTGATTGTAAAGGAGAAATTCTTGATTTGAAATTGACTATCAATCAGATGGTGGATCGATTACAGAATTTCGCCTTGGAAGTCACCACTTTATCAAGGGAAGTCGGTACTTTAGGTATTTTAGGGGGTCAAGCTAACGTTCAAGATGTTGAAGGTGCCTGGAAAGCTGTCACAGAAAACGTTAATCTCATGGCCACGAATTTAACGAATCAAGTCAGATCAATCGCTACGGTTACCACTGCTGTTGCTCATGGTGATTTATCTCAAAAAATTGATGTTCATGCTCAAGGAGAAATTTTACAGTTGAAGAACACTATCAATAAGATGGTGGACTCATTGCAATTGTTCGCTTCTGAAGTTTCTAAAGTTGCTAGAGATGTGGGTATCAATGGTAAATTGGGTATTCAAGCTCAAGTCAGTGATGTTGATGGTTTATGGAAAGAAATTACTTCTAATGTCAATACTATGGCTTCAAATTTGACATCCCAAGTCAGAGCTTTTGCTCAAATTACAGCTGCTGCAACTGATGGTGATTTCACCAGATTCATTACCGTTGAAGCAAGTGGTGAAATGGATGCCTTGAAAACCAAAATTAATCAGATGGTGTTAAACTTAAGAGAATCTATTCAAAGAAACACAGCTGCCAGAGAAGCTGCTGAATTAGCCAATAGTGCTAAGTCAGAATTTTTGGCTAACATGTCACATGAAATCAGAACACCTTTGAATGGTATAATTGGTATGACTCAATTATCCTTAGATACCGAATTAACTCAATACCAAAGAGAAATGTTATCAATCGTCCATAATTTAGCCAACTCATTATTAACAATTATTGATGATATCTTAGATATTTCTAAGATTGAAGCCAACAGAATGACTGTGGAACAAATCGACTTCTCCTTGAGAGGAACTGTTTTCGGTGCATTGAAAACCTTAGCTGTTAAAGCAATTGAAAAATCGTTGGATTTAACCTACCAATGTGATTCCTCATTCCCCGATAATTTGATTGGAGATTCGTTCAGATTAAGACAAGTTATCTTGAATTTAGCAGGTAACGCTATCAAGTTCACTAAAAAAGGTAAAGTAAGTGTATCGGTCAAAAAATCAGGTAAAACATCTGAAAATGGCGACAAGTTGCTTTTAGAAGTTTGTGTTAGCGATACAGGTATTGGTATTGAAAAAGATAAATTGGGATTAATTTTCGATACCTTCTGTCAAGCAGATGGTTCAACCACCAGAAAATTTGGAGGAACTGGTTTAGGTTTATCCATTTCTAAACAATTGATCCAGTTAATGGGAGGAGAGATTTGGGTTACTTCAGAATATGGACATGGATCTAACTTCTATTTCACCGTTAGTGTTTCACCATCAAACATAAGATATAATAGACAAACTGAACAATTATTACCTTTCAGTTCTCATTATGTTTTGTTCATTTCTACTGAACATTCTGATAGTGAATTGAGTGAAATTAAGAATGGAATTGAAGAATTAGGTCTCATTCCAATCATTGTACGTGATATTAAAGATGCCAATTTGACTGACCCTGTGAAATATGATATAATTATGATCGATTCCATTGAAATAGCTAAAAACTTAAGATTGTTACTGGAAGTTAAATACATTCCGTTAGTCTTATTACATCATTCAATTCCCGAATTGAATATGAGGGTCTGTATCGATTTAGGTATTTCATCATATGGTAACACTCCTTGTACAATTACGGATTTAGCATCAGCCTTATTACCAGCATTAGAATCAAGATCCATCTCCCAAAATTCAGATGAGTCAGTGAGTTATAAGATCTTATTGGCTGAAGATAATTTAGTTAATCAAAAATTAGCTGTCCGAATCTTAGAAAAACAAGGCCACGAAGTTGAAGTTGTTGAGAATGGTTTAGAAGCATTTGAAGCTATCAAAAAGAATAAATACGATGTGGTGTTGATGGATGTTCAAATGCCAGTGATGGGAGGTTTTGAAGCAACAGAAAAAATTAGGCAATGGGAAAAGAAGTCCAATCCTATCGATTCTTTAAGTTTGAGAACCCCAATTATTGCATTAACAGCTCATGCGATGTTGGGAGATCGTGAAAAGTCATTGGCGAAAGGTATGGATGATTATGTTTCTAAACCATTGAAACCGAAATTGTTAATGCAAACTATCAACAAATGTATTCATAACATTAAACAATTAAAAGAATTATCCAAACAAAACAATTCCAATAGAACTTCAAATTTCGCCAAAAATTTGAAGAATGGATCAATCGAATTGAATATGTCTTCAACAAGTTCAACAACTAATAGCTCCCCCAACGAGAGTAATAAAATCATTCAATTACCTGATGATCCAAGACCACCAACTGCAAAAATCAAGAAAACTAATTCTAATAATGATGTTTTAACGACTAATGATTTGAATGGCAATAGACCAAGATTGGATAGTCGATCAGTCACAGAATCCAGTATCAAAGTATTGAAATCTGATGATTTATAGGTATATTTCATTTTTTTATTATGGTGTATTTTTAACTTTATGTTTTATAAGAGAAATAAATATTATGATCTACTTGTTTTCTTGCTTTATGTATTAAAAGATTACATTAAAATAAATAAAAATCATGAAGGTTCATAAACGGTACCAATCTACCAAATGGTTTCTTGCCATTTAAGTAAATCTTGACTTTGTTGGTAGACATCCTTTTGAGTCTTCTTTCTCATATAAAAGATAGGACAATCATTATTTGAGCATAAAACTTCTTGATATAGAGATCCTTGACACCTTTGACATTCGGTCCATAATCTCGAGAATTTATGTTCTAGATAATTCATTTGGGCCAAAGCTCCACAATATAATTTAGGTCCATCACTTATACAGTTATCACATAAAGCACCTTTGTTATTTGGTTTCAAAGGAGTTTTACAATTCTTACAAGTTTCAGCTTTTTTGGCGAATCTTAATAACCCTCCAGTAGTTGGAGCCGATCTTTTGACTGTACGAGTATGATCACCGTTCAATAACTCTTTAGCTCTTTTCTCTCCCATAATAGGTTCGAAAATTCTCATTAATGGATTAGCTAATTGATTTTCTAAATAATAATTAACATCGATCGGTAACGAATTTTCTAACACATATAAAGGATCTTCAGACTTATCGTAATTTTTAGCTCCTGCAGGTCCATTAATAATAACATAGGCAACTCTATCTCCTAGAGTGGGCGCTGAACCAGGATCTCTCTTTTTCATTCTTTCAGCTAAAACAACATGAGCTTGCTTAGCTGCATAATCAACTTTGGAATATGCTTTTGTAATAACTAATTGTGATAAATCAATTCTGTTTTGCAACAAATCTGCAATCGTTTGTTTAACATATCTTTCAGCCTTTTCAACATCTCTTTCTTCAAGAATTAAATCCAAGACTTTTGTAATGACATTTTGAACTAATCTACAATTATCCCTTCTAACTGTTTCAATACCTTTGGTATCCATTTTATCGAATTTTTTAGGGTTGGTCCAGTATAATCCAGCATATCTTTTCTTGTTGATTAATAAATATGGCCAATAACATTTTTCGAATTCTAATTTAATGGGGTTCTTAAATTTAGTTGAGACGTATTCAGCTGCTAATTCACCCAATCTCATACTCTCTTCTAAACTGTCAGTACCAAATTTCACCATAACTGAATCAGTATCACCATAAATGACTTGGGAATCAAATTCGAATCCATTCTTTTTACAATAATAATTTTGAACTTCAGTTTTGGTTTGCTCAATCATTTCTCTACCGAAAGCTGTTGTGGATGAGGAGATAGCCAAACAAGGTAATTTCCCAATAGTTGCACCAGTGAAACCATAAACGGAGTTGGCTGAAATTTTTAATGCAAGTTGTCTACCGTTTAAAACGTTTTTTCTGAAAGGATCAGTCTCCTTCTTTAAATCAGCTTTAGCTTTCTTTCTGGCACTTAATAATTCTTGTAAAATAGTGGGTAAAATACCCTTTCTTTTGTGGTCTTTGACGAAATAATCTCCATTTGGAGTTTTGGTATAATCATCTTCACTTAAATTATAATTTTTAATCGTTTGTTGATTGATCAATGTTGTGTAACAAAGATTATGAGCCATCATGATGGAAGGATACAAAGAACTGAAATCCAATGTAGCGATTGGTTTATCATAATAACCTCTTATTGGTTCAATGACAGTAGCACCTTCATATTCTTCATTAGTTCCTTCTGATTTCATATTAGGAATAACTATATCATCTTGAAGGCATTTTCTAAATAATTGGGAAATGACTTTAATTTGTTGACCTCTAGCCAATAAATATGAGAAAGGCACCCCAGTAACCCTTGCCATTTCAGTATAGTTAACAAGACACATCAATTTTTCAAGCAATCTCATAGGTAAATAAGCATCTTTTAAACAATAGACCGCTAATCTTCTTCTTGTTTCTGCATCACCATTTTGTAAATCTGTAATAATGGAGTGCTGAACATCTTCCTTTTGTTCTCCTAGGAAATGAGCAGAAACTGAGTTCAATGTGTAACTTCTCAACTTGTATTCTCTTTGAATGAATTGTAACAAATCTAATTGCATTCTTCCATCGATATTAACAACCTTATTATCTCTTGTTCCATAGGCTCTGGAACTGAAAGTAGTTTCTTTGATTTCTTGTTTAACATGTTTCATTCTACCAAAGAATGGAAACTGTTTTAAACCTAAAGCTGCAGCTCTATCGAGAAGATAAGGTATATCGAAATTGGCAGTATTATACCCAATAATAACATCGGGATCCACTTTGACAATGAAATCCTTCCAATTCATTAACATATCACCTTCGTCTTCACTAGAAAAAATTTGTGAACCAATAATTGGAGAACATGATTTGACGGTGAAAACATTTCTAACAAAAGGTTTCAGTTCTCCATAGACCAGTACAACATTGGCAATTTGAATAACGGGATCATGTTGAGCTTCAGGGAAAATTCCTTTTCTACCAGCACATTCAATATCAAAAGATAAGATACGTAAAGGAGCCATTTTCAACCATTCACCTTCTGAAGCATGAGATACTAAATCTTTGTAATCAATAGATACTTCAATTTGACAAGTAGAATGGTGTGATGAATCTTTGATTAAAGTGAATTTTCCTTTTGGAAGAGTCAACCATGACATACCAGTGATTTTACAATCGATCATCAATCTTAATAAATAGTTGATATTATCATAGGTTAAAAGACCTTGGGGAAAAAATTGATTATATTGAACTTCACCTCTCTCGAACCCTGATCTTAATTTTGAAATGTTTCTATTATTATTGACAAAAATCTTTAAGAAAGCTGATTTGGAATTATTATTGAAACCCCAAATTGATTCTTTGTTAACAGTTTCAATATCCTCTATACCTTGAAAATTATTCATGAGATATTCTCTGAAAGGTTTCAAATCATCATTAATGGAGAAACCTCTAGGGACTGGGACATAGAAATAATGTAAGAAACCTGTCACTGTACATAAAATAGAATTTCCATTATCTGTAATACCAAAAAATCTGGCCACTGTATTATCACCCATATTAGTTTCTTCAGCATCCAATTGTTGAAAACTTATATCGTTTTGGTTCCAGTCCTCAGGTAATGAAGGTCTATCCCAAGATTGGTGTTCAGAATCCGAACCTCCTTTACTTTCCATATCTAATAATTCTTTTTCAAAAGTAGATCTTTCATTGCTTGAATCACCTGGTTTTTTCAACTTCTTAAGTAAATTATCTTGACTTTCAGTGAGTTGTGAACCGAGACCATTCAATCCTTGTGAGCTAACAGGCAAAGAATGGGCACCATCCACGTTATCATCGTGAGTTCTTTTAGACATTTGTATAATGAAATATCACTAATTCACTTTACGCGTTGTGATCTTTCCGCGTAATCGCGATGACTGCAAATTATTGCAGCCGTTTGAACTGGTCCCATTTGGGGTCAGTATGGAACGATGTAAAAGACTCATTACGGGGATTTCTAGAACCAGAGAGATCACCAAGAACATAAATCGATAGATGGTGACTAGAATGCCACTGACCACCTTCAAGATAAGTAATTAGAGTCTATGAAGATAGTTAGAGAGAGTAGAGCCACACATTCTCAATCTAGAGACAGACAGAGGAAAGTAGAATTCCTTCAAAACGACATCAACCTCTTTCATCTACCAAGGGTACTTGTAATCAATAACGAAACCTTTTTGCTTTAACAATTCGTATTGCATCAAACAATTTCCATCTCATTTAACCTCATTTATTGTGGATTCCAGTAAGAGGGCTGTAAATGAGTCAATTTGCTAGTACTCCTAAAGAAGCATACAAATTCTTAGGTCAGTACATTGATGAACTAAACACCAAAATATTACTCTATAGCAGTAAGTTAGTGGAGAAAGACCTAGAGATTCAGTCGAAAAATACAGAAATTCAACAGTTGAATTTAAAGATAGTCGAGCTTACCAGTGAAATATCTAATTTAAGGCAAAAAATCTATAAACTATTGTACCCAAATCAAACTTGAAACTTGATTAAATCATTCAATAACTTCTCGTGAATCATGTTCAATGGTTTATCAAAAGGTTGATTTGAATCAAGGAATTTGCTGAATGTCCTAAAGAATTCTATCAATGATAAAGAATATTTATTTGATTCTTTAATCGAATATTCAAATGATATCGATTCAAATAATTCATCTTCATTGAAATTATCATCATTATTGTCGTTAAATATACTGGAATAATGATTGTCCATCAGACTTATGAATGTGGTATCTTGATTGAATGACTTTTCATACAATTTATTATTAAATCGTTTGATCCAAAATTTTTTATCTTCAATAGAACTTATAGAAATAAATAAGTTGTAGAAGATTACAAAATCAATCAAATACTTTAAATTTTCATTATTTGACTTAAAACTGGAGTTCAAATTAATCAATAATGAGTTTATGATTGATTTATCGAAACGTAAATAATTCTCTATAATCAAAAGACTATTTTTAGTCACAGATCCATTGAAACATTTGATGAGGTTTTCTTCAAAACTTTCGAATGTTAAAGTTTCACCACTAAAGTTGATTATTTTAGGTGATGAATTAATATCATCAGTGAATTCAGTGGAACCTTTCTTTTCAAAAGTTTCGAGTTTATCTAATAAGAACTTTTTGTCGATATTAAGATATTTGAAATCAGATATGGAATCATAAATCATGTTCAATAAAATCCCACTAGCTAATTTCAATTCATTATTCGAATCCAAATGAATTTTGTCAATCAAATTTATGATTTCAACCAAGACATCCAAGTATTTGTTTGAACTTTGATTTTTCAATTCTATCTTCAGTTTCAACCAATTGACAATAGATAAATTACATGACAACAAAAAGTTTTGAGATAAATAATCCAATCCATTATTGAAGATTTTTTTGTCTATCTTATTATTAACTAAAGCAATTATACTGTATTGATAAATGATGGGAATTAATTGATTTATTTGTTTGACATCAATAGATTTTATGATTTCATCTGATAATCCACCTTCTGATTCATTGAATAATGATTGTATCCAATCATTTATAAGGTTTGAATAATTTTCAATGATAGTTTTATTTTCATCGTTTTCGTCATTTTCATTATTATAATACAAAGTTAAATTACTGAAATTGGAATTGAAATTATTCAAAAATTGACTGAAGAATGAATTCTTTGTTAAAATTTCTAAATCGATGTATTTGGATATTTTGATCATGAATAATATGAGATTACCAAAATATGAATATATCTCTTGGAATAAACTTTCGTTATCATCATTAATTTTAAAGGAGTCATTGTCAATTAATTTCATTAATTTGAATATGGTGTTCTTGTTGGGTAAGTTGAATAAGAACAAATTAAATAATTTGTTATTCTGTAGGATGAGAAGGATTAATCTATTCAATTTTTCGAAATTCGATTCGTTTATCAAAAGATCAATAAAATTTTCAAAGTTTTGAACCAATTCAATTTGTTTATTCATCGAAAGTTTGATCCTGTTGGGGATTTCATTGAAATATTCGATCAAATTGGATTCTTCTATTGAAATGAATTCACAATTCAAATTGTATAATTTATCATTAAGTACATTATTGAAATTTTCAATGGAATTCAAATTTGACATCTCATGAATGAGAATCTGTTGATTGACCTTATTTTCATTGGTAGGGAAGAACTTGTTGAATGATTTAATTGATAGGAATTTGTTGAAAATTAAAGATTTAATAAAATTTTGTTTTAAAGTGTTCAATAAATCACTTTTACCAACAAAAAAGTTATCATTATTTTCAAATGTTTCAAAAACACTTATTATAACATCATCAATATTCTCGATCTTATATAATTGTATAATTTTTGATAACCTGGAGTTCAAGAAGTTAGTCCAATTATGGTACACGTAATTTGTTAAATCCATCAACAAACAATAGTTGATACCATTGAAAATTGAAAAGATAAATTTTGAACAATCACCATTAAAATTCTCATTGAAGTTCTTAATCAAAGTTTCATTATTTGGGATTTCAAATTTCTTGAAATAGTTATTAAACCAGAAGAATATTTTCAAGTTTTCATAATTCTTGTAGTTTTTCAGTTTGATATTTAAGGATAAATTGATCTTCTTATGTGAGAGCCTGTCTGTATTAAAAGTACCACGGTGGGAACTCCCATTTCTTTCAAGTGGAAATTTGTTATTACAATATTCTAGTTGTTTGACATATTCATTATTATTAAGGAAATTCATAAAGGTATCCATAAAAGTCTTGAAACTGTTCAATTCTTTGACATTGAAGTTTTTCAAGATGATTTCACAATTGAATATCAATTCATTGATTAAGTTTATCTTATCGTTTTCATTAGCCTCTAACTTTACCTTATCATTATCGTTACTATCGTTTATCACACTATTCGAATAATCAACAAAATATTTAAGAAACAATTCGATCTCTTTGACCAACGAGATTTTTGATTGTAACTTCTTCAATAATCTTAATTGTTGATTAATAGGTAATTTATTCATCGATTCCCAAAATAACTTATACTCTTTAACTCCAAGTAAGACCAAATAATTCTCATAGCTCGAATCTTCCAATAGGCTACGGAACTCCCCTGAACTGACAGGTATTTGCTTATTGAGTTGTGAAAACAAATTAAGGAACTGTTTATCCCCAACCTTACGTCTATTACACAATTGAATGAGTTTATGTAAATCGTTCATGGTACATTAACACTCAAAGTTTTTTCGCGGTAAAGATCTTACATGCTGGAGGATATGAAGCAATCATGATCTAGAGATCCTGGTGTTTAGAGTTGAAAGACTTTACCATATATTATTCCCTTCATTCCCTTTGTTCCATATAGATTTGTTTGTCCAATCCAGAGTGTTTTCCGGAAGAAAGCTGTCAAAACTGATATGCGAGGTCAGTATTGATGAAGTTGATATATATGATTGTGATTGTAATTGTGACTGTGATTGATGACTTGGCAATGTATTGAGCAAACGACTGGTGAATTGAGGTTGTTCATTATATGTGTTATGATTGTGATTCGGATTTGGTAATGCAAATATTTGTGGAGTTTCGTTTGAAAGTGTCCCAACTTGACTCAACAGGATATTGGTTCTATGAGATGCTCCTTGATCTGAAGGATTGAAATATTGGTCATACTTGACATAATCGGTGCTGTAATGACGATTTTGACCCCCATAATGAGTGTATTTCATATTGGAAAATTTCATATCATCGATATACTCTACTTGACCGCTAAATGGTGTAAACTGTAATTCTCTCTTCGTGACCATTAATATAAAACAAATGAAAAACTCAAACTTACTAGAACAATTAAAACGGGTTGGCTAAATCAAACCACAAATACAAATAGAAAAGAATGAAACGAGTAAAGGTAGAACTGAGAAATTTCTCAACGCGGATTTATAAGATTACAGAGTATATTTCTATGTAGATTGATTCAATTGCCAAGCTGGAACACCAACCTTATTGATAGATTCTTGAACGAATTTCTCTTTATTCTCTTCAGCTAATTTATGCTTCATTTGCCATTCTGGAATTCCTGCAGCAGTGACTCCACCAGCTGAAGATGGTTCAGTGATACCTGAGAATCTCACACCTTGTTCCTTGGACTCGACGGAAGTGGTGGATTTTTCTTCTTCTACCGGTTCAGCTTGCACAGAAGCAGGAACTGGAGTGGAAGGAGCTGGTGTTGATGCGGTAGTTGATTGAGTTGAACCATTAGGACTTGTGCCATTGGAGGTAGGTTTTTTGGATTTCTTTAAAATCTCAGAAGCTGAAGGAATTGAACTTACAGGAGCTAATTTTCTCTCTGTTTCTTTGGAGGATCTTAATTTGATCAAATTTTTCAAACTTACCAATTCTTCATTTATGTCAGACAAATCATCCTTCAAATTATTTTTGGTCAAATTCAAGTTTTTTTCAACTGAGTTCTTCAAATTGTCAATTTCTAATTTCATTAATCTTAAATCATCATCAAAAGTTAACTTATCTTTGTTGTATTTACTCAAGAAATCATTGACATTATTGATAACAGTATCGATTTCAGTTAACTTTTCATCATTAGCTTGTTTGATTTCTTTTTGTTCGATGGATAATTGGTCCAACAACTTATCAATTTTGAGGAACTCTTCATCAATTTTTTGTTTATCTTCATCAATTACACTTTGTGATGGTGGGATTATACTAGGAATGAGATATTTGGATACAACTTGATATATACCGTAAGAAACCCCAACAGTGGCTGTGGCCATTATGAAGTAATCTTTCCATGATCTTTCAGGAACTGGTGGAGCAACGTTATAATAGTCTATAGGTGGATAATTGGCTTGCACTTGTTGAGTATTAGGTTGAGAACTTGAAACACTTTGATTTTGGTTGTTTGCCCTATTTAAGGCTTCTTCAATTTCTTCTTCATTAAGACCTTTAGATTGCAAGAACTCTATTTTCTTATTCAAAGGAGATGAGGTGACATTAGGATCTTTCAAGAAGCTAACAGCACTCTTCAATAATTCTTCATTCATGACTATCCCTGTGAATTTTCGCACTCGAATGATACCCCAGGTTAGGGCTCGGTCCAAATTATCATCTCGCAGATGGTGGTGGAGATTTTAATGACTAAGATTTCAACCATCAGGAGTTCAACATGAGGTTGTTCAACCTATAAGATATAGGGTCAATTGGAATCGAATTTTTCATATGTACATTCTATTTACAAGTTCTACAATCTTTTCAATAATTCTTCATAAATACACCAACTTATACCAGCACTCATACCTTTTCTGCCCAATCTTAAACTCAAACCTCTAAATAAATTCTTTACACCACCTTGTTCATTCAATAAAGTTTTTGTTACTTGCGAGAATGTTGGGTTAGCTGGAGATAATTGCATTCTGGTTTTAATAGCATCAAAAGGAGCTGTTATGGTGGTGGCCATAGATGCTGCTAAAATGGCAGATGATGAATTAACTATACTGGCATTTCGATCCATGTCGCTGAACAATTTGGCAATATCTGTCTTGAAACTTTCATAAAATAATATATATAATCCGGCATATGGACAATCTCTTGATAATGTTACAAAACTACCTTTAAAAAAGTTCTTCCATGACCCTCTGACTTTATTATCAAAATAAATTCCTTCAATTCCTTCATACATGGAATTATAATTATACAAATTGGATTCGAATCTAGTCTTTATAATTGTTATAGGCATAGTCAAATAACCTGCTACACCTCTGATGACAAAACCAATTGATAAGTTTTCGAGATGTGACAATTTGGGTAATATTGACGTCGACTTGCTTACTAAAGTTGGATTATTCTTTTTGAAATTGTATAAATAGAATCTTGATTTTGATAACAATGTCAAGTAAATCCCCGATCCAATTGAAGTTCTAAGGCATGATGGAAGCACACCTCTCCATAATTCTTTTATATTTTTCAACTTATTTATCTCTTTAAGTAATGTAGTATTATAATGTAAATTATGTTGCTTCTGTTGTTGTAACCTGGTCTTTAATAAATCAAATGGTTGTAATATTATGGAAGAAGTGAGTCCTGCTACTCCACCAGCGGCAAATGACTTCTTACTAGAAAGTTCATTTGACATGATGATAGTAGTGAGTGAGATTTTGAGTGCGGATAGAGTTATATATTACAAAGATGGCCATGTTAATGATTGGCAAAAATCAACCAGTGATTTTGTTATGGACATGGTGCCATCGAATTCACTCAATTCATCTTTACCAATGAATTCAACTGAATCCTTGATCAAAGCAAGTGATGATAATGCTAAGAATGAATGATAGGGGTCAGATGAAGAGTCGAAATTTTTACCAAACCCTCCAGTTCTTCGATCTTGATTCATTAAAAGGTATGAGGAGATCTTGGGTAAGTTGGCCAACTTGACATCCTCAAGAATCGACAAACTCCCGAGACTCCACCAACTATAGCATGTATCACTGGGTTTATTTTCTCTTCCATTAAATCCACCAAAATCTTCATGATTGACTGCTTCTTGATCATATAATATGTCAGGGTAATTGACTTGTCTATGAAGTATCCAATTGAGGGTCTTGTCAAAATTAATCTTGGAAAAGTCGAAATCTAATAATTTCAAACTTGCAATTGCACAGTATGTATATCCTAAATGACTTTCACTCATTTGATAACATGAGAACCCTCCATTATAATTCAATCTTCTAAGAATGTATTCCTCTAATTCTATGACGGAAAAGTCGACATCTTTCATTTGGGATGGTGGTAACTCATCGATCTTCAAATATTTACGTATACATACTGCCATATAGCATATTCTCAAATCATTATCACCAAAAGGTTGGTTTTCACCATCAATAGTTGGTGCAAAACTTCCTTTATCATTCCCACTCTTTATTTGACAATCTTTCAAGAAATCCATGATCTTGAATCTATCAAGATGTTGATTTATGGGACTTTGTAAAGTAATAAGATTAGTTATGGCAAAAAAAGTTGACGATATCGAAGGCTTTTCATACTTTTCACCCATTGAATTCATAATTGACCTAAATCCGTTGCCAGTATAATAACAATCATAGATGAACTTCGAGAATTGACCTTTTTCAGTTTCATTGAATTTCAAATCATTCAAAATTTCCAAACTCTGCAAACAGAAATAGATCAACGATAATTTGTTGTTATCTTGATCTTGATATTTTGAAGGCAATACATTCAAACATAAAGTAAAATATTTTATATGTTTATTTATATCTATGGAAAGTTCTGACATTAATGGCTCAATTTTTTTGGGGTTTGAGTGTTAGCGCATTATGAGAGATCCTGTCAAACTTTAAATCAGCCTTGTATAATGTGGGATTAAAATAGAATTTTGAGGGATATAAAGAGGGAATTCCAGAATTAGAAGTGTAGGAGTGTTGGACTGAGGAGCCACGATTTTTGTGGAGATACGTCTAATTTTGTTCAATCTAATCTATTTTTATATGAACTGCTTCAACTTACAGGATAGCAGGACACCATCCTGTCTTTAATTTGGGCAGCATATCGATTCGAGGAACTTTCACTATCGAAATATAAGGAGAAATGTAACTCTGATTATGGCGTGAGGATAAACATTAACAAACTTAAAAAAGCCTACTTCTTGAAGGGAAATAATATTTTTGAGCCATTAGAGGTAACCCACATGCCATTGGATTCTAAAATTAGCTCTATTAAAATCTCGTTATTGCTTATCACTGAACTATAAATACCCTCTTTCATTCCCTTGAACGGTATATCAAAATGAAATATTCCTCCATTATCGCCGTCTCCACTTTAGTTTTATCAGCTACTGCCGCTTCATCCAAAGAATCTGGATCTTCTAAAGCTGCAAACAGTAGTATCACTTCATCTGCTAGTGATGCCAAATCAAGCAGTGATTCTCATTCTTCAGCTACCAAAGATTCTAAATCAGATTCAAGCTCAAAGTCTAGTTCAGCTTCTAAATCCTCATCTTCAAAATCTGAAGGATTAGCCGTTTCCAATGAAGTTGGCGGTGGTTTAGCCATGGCCGCTTTACTTGCCGGATCTTTATTAGTTTAGAGTTCATAGACAAATAAAATGTTTTTTTATTTTCAATCCTCCCTCTAATATTAACCCTTAAGGTGAGGCTGAATTTTGTGAACTAAAGCAAATTGGTCCCTTCTCAATTGGGTTTGGAGTTGTCCCACTTTACTAACGATGTCTTTGAACTGTTTCTCTAAGGAAATGATTAGCGATTTGTCTATTGATTCCATTTCATAAACTTTGTCGTAAAAGAAGGGATTGATAACTTCCATGTATGGATGTACAAAGCCATTTTTTTCAAACCATTGATTCAATGTCAACACTTGTTTACTCACGGAATCAACCATTTTCCTGAATTTAGAATTGGATAACCGGATAGCTTCAGATTTACTTATTGATTGAGCGGCTTCTATTTTGAACTGTTCCTTTTCAACATCTCGAAACATGAGAATACTTGTCTGTCCGCGTAGCTCACACAATAATTGTAGTCACTTGAACTAAGAAGTATCATGGTATCGATTGCGGCCACAACATGACAATCAGTGTATCATCTATTGTTTCAGGTCATGATTTTGATACTGATACGAGAAGCCTTCGTGTAATAAATCCGTTATCAGACTACACGTCCGCATTTGGTCATGGATATTTGATGTGCGGCGCATGGAACAATAACTCTCGAGATCGCTATATGAACAACACTGATCCACCATAATATACACCATAATAGATCATTCAAATGTCATCCATTCAACCGATTGCCTATAATAGGTTCAATAACAAATTCTACATACTCAATAACGTTACGACCCATAATGCTAAAGCTTTCATCGATGAAGATTCTTACCGTAAGTTCAAAGATTTCAGAAAATCGGATAGAACCGTGAAAGATCTACAAAGACAAGGTTTTGCTTTGCCGATATTCAAATCTAAGCATCATACCGGGTTATTTTGTGATTATTTATTGGAAATCAACAGAGCTTATCCACCAACATCAGGTGAGTTTTCTGATGATAATTTCGTCAATTTTTGTAAAGTAAAGGTTGTTCACAGAAGACCTTACATAAGATATGATTTTGAAATTCCTGGACAGACAGTTATTTTATTTCATCATAAAAACTATCCTTTTGCTGACTTTGAGTTCAATGGAGTACGATATAGGTGGATTAAGTTATCACATACTGATCTATTGAACCATATGGATTACAAGTTTATACTTTATGAACTTCCTCGTGGGAAACTTACTTTCTTGAGTGAATCTAATAGAGGTACCATTGATAATAATCACCCATTACTCGGTAATTTCCTTGGTAGGAAATGGTTTGGAACTATAAAAGATAAAGAGTTGCAACAATTGACTACATCCAAGAAAATTGGTCAATTTGATTTGACGGACAGGAACCTTCTCGGTGTCAAAAAGGGACAATTCGAAATAAACCTGGATACTTGTATAAAATCAATCAAAGATATTCCTGATGATATAATGTTATTCTTATCGATGATTACTTTGTTCAAGTTAGAGCAAGACATTGCAGACTCCAGAAATAAAAAACGGAGAAACAGGAATGCAATGAACGCAATGAACAATAATTTTATGTAGATACATACACATTAATACAATACTCTAGACCTTTGAGAGAGGATTTTCGCAATGCAGAAAAATCATGTTTAGAAGAATATCAAGGATCACACTTCCAGTGGTAGCTGGAGGGCTTGCATTTGGATTATTCCCATTCAGGAAGAGCCAATTTAACCCCAGTCAAATGTCACACAACGAAGAAATAGCGCAATCAATAAGAAATACAGACTTGTACAAGAGACTTACAGATGATCCTGAGTTCAGTAAAATGGATACTGACAAACAATTTCCTCAACAACATTTACGAAACTATGTGTCATCGGGTTTATTATTCGGTAAAGATCTTTTTGAAACAAAACCAGTGATTTTCTTCAACAAGACTTCGGGAGAATTTTTTGCATTCCATCATATTGGTAAGAAATTAGTGAGTGATGATGGTAAAATTCACAATGGTATAACTGCAACTTTATTAGACGAAGGTTTATGTGCGGCAGGGTTTCCATTCCTTCCATCCAGAAAAGGGGTTACTGCTAAGTTGTCAATTAATTTTGAAAACCAAGTAACTCCCAACTCCATAGTTGCTGTGAAAGCTAATGTCGTAGAACATAAAGGAAGAAAAGTGGTCATAAATGGATCATTAGAATCTTTAGACAACAACCCAACAACGATTGCTACTGCCAATTGCATTCTCGTTGAACCAAAATGGTTTCGATACTTTTCATGGTTCCAATTTATTTAGTCACATTCTTAAGGTACAATCTCACTCGAGCAAGTGAAACTTTATTTTTGGTTACCCCATCAATTGCTATTATTTTACTTTGCACCCAAAATTGACAATTTGATCATTGCTACTAATGCTTACAGTCATGCATTCACAGTGGCTTCAAGTGGGGACTAGGCGAAGAGAAAAACTATAAATTCACTAGGTTTTCTTCATAGTTTAATCATTAAATAAATAAAAATGTCAGATTTAGGTAGAAAAGATATTGGTGATAAAGTCGAATCAAAATTAACCCCAGATTCCCAAAAATCAACTCCTCAACAATTTAAAGATAAAGTTACTGATGCTGTTGATGACACTGTTGGTGGTAACACTTCAGGTGATGGTAAATCATGGACTCAACAAGCCAGTGATGCCATCTTTGGTGACAAAAAATAATTGACATAGTTCAAATTATGATTATTTTATAGTATAAAATACATAGCTCACCCTAATAGTTTCTTACTCTCTTGGCCATGGGTTTCATCCAAAGCATGTCGCAGTTTGCTGCCTTGACATTTTGCAACATTCTGAGATTCCAGAAAAGACGCGTAAAGTTATCTCAAATCAAATACTGAACCATGACCGTATTAAACGAATCAGAACAATCATACCTTGATTTGTGTAAAAGAATTATTGAGGAAGGTGAAAACAGACCCGATAGAACAGGTACAGGTACCAGATCAATTTTCGCTCCACCACAATTAAGATTCGATTTGTCAAACGATTCTTTCCCATTATTAACTACTAAAAAAGTCTTCACAAAAGCTATCATTCATGAATTATTATGGTTTGTTGCTGGATGCACTGACGGCAAGAAACTTTCTGATTTAGGAGTTAAAATTTGGGAAGGTAATGGATCTCGTGAATATTTGGATTCCTTAGGATTAACCGATAGAAGAGAAGGTGATTTAGGACCAGTTTATGGTTTCCAATGGAGACATTTTGGAGCCAAATACACCGATTGTGACGCTGATTATAGAGGTCAAGGTATAGACCAATTACAAGAAATAATCCATAAGTTGAAAACAAATCCATACGATAGAAGAATTATCATGTCAGCTTGGAATCCTTCTGATTTCGGTAAAATGGCTTTACCACCTTGTCACGTTTTCTGTCAATTTTACGTTAATTTCCCTGAAGGAGGTAAACCCAAATTATCATGTTTAATGTATCAACGTTCTTGTGATATGGGATTAGGTGTTCCCTTCAATATCGCTTCATATTCCTTATTGACTAAAATGATAGCCCATATAGTCGACATGGACTGTGGAGAATTCATTCATACCATGGGTGATTGTCACGTTTATTTGGATCATATCGATGCCTTAAAGCAACAGCTCGAAAGAACCCCAAGGAATTTCCCTAAATTGAAAATTAAATCAGAAAGAAAAGATGAAATCAAATCGATTGATGATTTCAAATATGAAGATTTTGAAATCTCTGAATATGACCCTTATGGTCCGATCAAAATGAAAATGAGTGTTTAGATTACTAAAAAACCAGTATGTATATTAATTAATTAGTCATTGTATATCTTCTATTGGTAGGTGGAGTATCTACTAAGTCGAAAATGTCACCGTCTTTTTTGGACGATTTTTTCCTGTTTACATTGGTATCTATTACCCCTAAAGCCACCCTATCGTTCTTCAGAGGTCTTTTGTAATTCCCATCAGTAACAGCATCTATCAATTCCACTTTGTCCCTTCTTAATTTCTTATTTAAGGAAGGTTCTGCATAATCAATTTCACTTCTTCTCCTGGACAATCTCCTGGTGGGCATGATATCTGATTTTCGACCTCTCCTTTTGTTTTCCTGATTATTTTCCGTGTCGTTAAATTCATTAGTTTTAGTTTTAGCTTGATTAAGCTGAAGACGAGAGGTCTCCTTGAGCTTATTCTCTTGGTGTGCTTTTGGAGTTTTAGGGGATTTGGATTGCTTTTCATCCGATGTAGAAGACTCAATATCCATGGATTCTTCAGAAACTTCTAAAATCTCTTGTGATAGTAAGCTCTTTTCTGTTTTGGAGTGTTTGGTCTTCATAGTCCCTTGAATCTGGCTTGGTAATGCCATTGGGGTTGGAGTTCCAAGTATTTCTTCCGACAACCTAACAGATGTTCTTGTTCCATGACCAGAATGATGTCTGGATTGTTTAAGACCTTCTCTATTTCTGAAATCTTGCAATATACCGAATATTTCATCAACTTTCTTATATATGTTATCTTCAAGCTCATCTAATTTCTCTTGCAAATCTTCTTTATAGTCATTTCTGCCTACAAGACGTAACGAAACATTATCATTGATTAAATCGCTAATTTTATTTTCCATTTCAGTGATTTTTGCTGACATTAAAGCATTATTTTTGGCTAAACTCCTGTTTTGAAGTTCATATTTGATCTTTATATCTTCCAATTCGTCACCTTTATCTTTATGAGTTTCAGATTCTTGACTCTTTGACCTCTCCCTTTCCGTCCATTCTCTCCTTCTCTCTTGAGCTTCCTGGATAAGGCTTTGTGAACCACTTGATTGTCTTGCCATATAATCTCACTCCGTTTTTATTTTTTGTTTACAAAACAGAAAAAAGATATCGCGAAGCTACATAATGCAAAGATCAAGACAACTTCAAGAGAGAATCGAACACAAGAGAGCTGAGTTACAACACTTGACTCAAATAAGAGATTACACCGAAACGGTGACCAATCAACTTGGTGAATTGCAAGAACAGTTAGATCAAGTTGTTGATGGTACCGAAAGTGTCGCGTTAGTTTTATCAGTTTGGCAAACAGTTGTACGGTCCATATCGTTAGCTTCAATTGGTTTACAGAAATATAGTCAACAAGATTTTGAAAATGGTAAGCCTTTACCCGAAAGTTTAATAAGGTTGGTCCTTGACCCCAATCAATATGAACAATCAGAGGTTGATGAAGAATCGGAGCAATAGGGAAATATCAGAAGTATAATAGGTTAGTTAACTAAGGGAATGTATATTACAGTATCGATCCTATATATATAAATCATCTTGATTCCTAATGGATTTTATCCAATCTAAAATATTATATTTTTCAATATTTTTCCTAGCAATATTGAAGTATGTTTTATTTAATTCGGAGAGGAGAATATTTTCATCATTGAAATAATCCTCTTCGTCAGTGAGTAATTCTTCCAAAACCAACAATTCTTTGTCATCGTTGAAGGACTTGATGGTTTTGAGAATTGTAGAATTCTGAACTTTTCTTCTAACATATTCATCTGTCTTTTTATCTGTTTTGATTATATCTTCCCAATCATCGGTGATGGATAATAATCTACACCATATGCTTTTTGTAGTGGTTTTATAATCGGATTCATCGGTGAATAACGAAGCTATCTTGAAAGCATTAGCAAATCCGTTAGCAAATTTTGCAGTTGGTTTTACAAATGTCAAATACTTGATCAATTCATTTTCTGATAATTGTTTGTTACTGATGAAATCTTTGAAAGTGGGTTTGAAAATGGCATGTAATGTGGAATCATCAATACGAGGATTCAAGAAATTCTTGACAAAGCTATTGAATACAAGATCTTCATTACCTTCGGCGTTAGGGAAAATTTCATTAACATATTGATATAAGGATTTTTGAATTCGAATTAATATCAACTTTGTTTCAATAGTAAATAAATTTTCATCTAAATTAACATTATCTTCATTCTTTGATGCAATGGCTGATAATTTAGCTAAGGAGTACTTCAATTCTTGATTACTTTGAGATTCATTATTGAATAATCTAGCTGAATTCAAAAGTGCATCACAAGATTGAGCATATTTACCATCATTCAAGTAACTAATCCATGCAACTGATGAAACTTTATCTTGATTAGAAATTAAAAATTGATCTAAAAGATGTTTATATCTTGGGAAGCCAGTCAATAAAGTTTGAATATTATCATGATTGATGTAATGGTTGAATAACGATTCAGCAAATGCATAATGATATTTCTCAAAATAAACATAATATTTAACAATGATTTCATCATATTGAATTGAATTCAAACCATAAGTATCGATAATCTTTTCCCTTTCATCTTCCAAGATAATACTCAAAGAATTGAAATCTTTGTATTGTTCAACTAAAATGATAGCTTCTTCGATGAGTTGATTAGATAACAATATTTGAATCCATTTAACTTTGTTGATATTGTACCATTTTGAGTAGGTTTTTATATCATTATTGGATTCAAGATTCATATAATTAATTGCTTGGTTGATGAAATAATAGAATACATTGCATAATTTAGAAATATTCTTCCTTACTTCTATTGGATGAACGAATGAATTTTCAGTGAAAAATCTGGTTTGGAAATATTTTTCGATATTGAAGAATACATCGGTTTCAAAGATCCATGATTTTCTTCTTCTGATGTTCTCAAGTTTAGGAATATCTATATTCAAAACACCATCATAAAGTGAAGTAGTCACAAGATCCAATAAATAAATAGAATTCAAATCTTGTTCGATGGCCACATTAACGAATTGAGTGAAAATGTAATTTATAGATTCGATTTTCTCGTTGAAAAACTTTCTGATGATATCTTTTGAACCGGTGAATTCTTTAAATTCACTGGTGATAATTCTGGATAAGATTATTTTAGAATCCTTTCCAAATGCATCATTTTTGTCAAGGAAACTATAGAATAAATTTGAAAATTGTACTTTCTCCAAGCCATAAATGATTTTGAGTTTGATGGATTCACTTATATTATAATTTTCTGTTATGAAAGTATCTAGGTTTTCAAGTACTTGATACTTCTTGTCTAATAATGTTTTAATAGTAGGCAAAGAATTTGGCAAATATTGAGAAGTTGAATTCATAACTTCGAAAATGATATCCTCAACGGCCAGACTGATAATTTGTTCATTGAAATTTTCATAAAGATTGAAATCAATAGCAGCTTTAGAATTTGAATAAAAAATTGCTTGTTCAATGTGTGATTTTACTAAGGTTTGAGGATTAGATGAATAATCTTCAATCTTACCATTATTGAACCTTTCAACTCTTAATACCCCAAAATTAGAAGTCAATAATATCACAGCAGGATTGTTATCAACGGTTTTATCTTCATAACCCAACCCTATAATATCTATATCATTTTTGATATTGATTATGTCCTCCCATCGAGATTTGTAATACAGTATGGTACCTTTGGACAGGAAATATGAATAGTCCATATCAGTAAGTATAATGCTATTGTCTGTTATCACGAATGCTGTTGTCTCGGGGTTAGGTACAAATAATTTGGCTTTATTTACTAATTTGCCATTAAATCTGTTAGAAATGTGTGAACCATAAACTAAAACACCAGTTCGTTCAACTTTAGCTGTTACCAATACCAAGCTTTGGTCATGTTTGTTGAAATGATCACTTATAAGACATAATATCAAGAACGTGTTTTCAGTTTGTGTGGTATGTAATTTCCAGATATCGAGGTATTGAATATTTGAACTTGATAATGAATTGAACCCATCGATGCTACTTTCTACATAAGGACCAATGGCATATTTAAAACTTGTAGATTCGTCTATATTGGGTAAACCATTATTTGAGGCCAAATTCACAGTTATATTATGTATTAATCCATTGATTTCTTGTATTATGATTTCTTGTTTGATCCCATTTTGGAATAATTTTCCTGGTCTGATACTCACTATATCTTGGTTTATTGAATCATTACCCACATTAAAAAATTTCAATATATTGGTTGAAGATTTTAATAATTCTAAACAATGTAATCTTGGTTTATTTTGATAATCTCGAAGACTTACTAAAATCACTCTCTTCCATGATGTTACTACCACTATCCCAGCAGGTTCAATATTTTCAGCAAATGTTATGAACTCACCTTTATGAATCTTCAAAGGAATGGTAATCTCAAAATTCTTATTATTTATTAATCCCAAGGCAGGTGAATGTTGAACGTTCTTGTAAAACTTCAATAATCCCGATTTTCCATTAATTATCACTATACCAGGTTCTTTATTATTCAATGGACGTGTTAGTATAGCCAAAGGTAATATTTTATCTTCTGATTCTATATCATCATTATCGATTGGGAATTCGATCACTAAAGGTGAAGTATCTGTTGATTGATAAGACCAAACAAAAATACCCTCCTCAGAAACTGTTACGGAGTAATTGGAAACATTATCAGAATATCCACTTAGGGTTTCATGAGATTTATTTAATATTGATGGTAAAGCAGGTAACTTCGATATACAATAAAAATCATTCTTTGTCAATTCCGTTATAGAATTGGAATTCTTTATATGATTTAATAACGATTTCTTTGTGGATTCATATATAGCTCTAGGTTTTCTAGGCTTAAACAAAGGTTTTGTCATGATATGAAGTTGTTATGTGAAAGTGTTTAGTTTTGTCAAAACCTCACTGAGAAAATCGCATCGAGAGTGGTTTTGAGAATATGCACGCATTTTAATTTACTATACAATTTTGAATTTTGTGATACCATACAAAATAGTTCCATAATTAAGGGGGTTTTGGGGGGAAAAGAAATCATTAATTATCATTGGCTGATTCATATTCTGACATTTCTTCATCTTCATCAATTTCAATTTCATCATTTTCAAAAACTTCTTCTTCAGAATCTTGATCATATTTGGCCTTCAAACCTTTCATCTTTCTAGTTTGTAATTTACCTAAATCTTGGTTACCAACATGAATTTGAGCAACCTTATCACCCATGAAATCAGTAGAAACGTTCTTCTTTTCTTTAGCTTGTAATTGTTTAGGTTTCATGAAAGCTTCCTTTTCTAATTCTGGAGCTGGTGTTAATCTTCTACCAATTTTGAAATCTAATCTTGGACCGATTTCATCAATTTCAATTCTTGGAACTTTTTCACCTGATTTATAAGATTTTAATTTATAAACTCTGAAATGTAAAAGGGGTAAAGTTGAAGAGTTTGGATCTTCAATTTCTCCAGTTGATAATGCTATGATATATTGTAAACCGGCAACATCTTGTAAATCAGTTTCTTCACCTCTGAAAAAATCCAAAAATAATGATTTTAAATGTTGGAAAACTGGATGATTATCAAAAGCTGGTCCATTAAATGTGAACATTGGTTTTAAACCAACAGTGAATGTAATCTTTTTGAATTCTTCTAATAATTTATGGTTTTGTTGGATTGATAATTCAATCATATCATATATTTTATGATTGAAAAATCTTGTGAAAATCAAAGTATTTGGTCTCTTTTTGTTGTGACTGGAAAATACCATTAATGAAGTATCATTCTTTTCACTGAAGAATTCTAAAGTTGAAGGATCTTCAAATGGTCTTATTTCATTTTTTTTAGTAAACTTTTTGATATCAGGTTTTTTTAATGCCATTAAATCAACCATAGCATCATGTAAAAATTTATTAGATGTAGATCCTGGTACGAATAACGCAGTCTTGGTGTTTTCTATTAATCTAGCTTCCTTCTTAGCTAATGCTCTCTTGGAACGAGCATTCTTAGGTTTGATGGTTCTAATCATCTTAACTGAAAATAATTTTTGTCGCGATGAGATGAGATTTTGATTGCAAAAAAATGAGAAGATTAATATAGAGTACATATTTATCATGCATTATGCCCAAACTTGAAGTTGTTCGTAATAGTCTATACGCTTTCTCTCAGAGTTACCGATGTTACAGACCACTGAATGTCTCAAATCATCAACCATTACAGGATGTCCACAAGTGATATATGCTACTGAGCCTGTTGATTCCTTAATGGAAGTTTTCACTATTTGATCCATTGATGGTCTTCCATATCTGAATGTCACGAAATTCAATTCCTCCTTGATTTTTCGAATAATCTCGTTTGTTTCGTTATCATTTAATTCGTTAGTATTAGTTGAAGTAATACCTTCATTTTCGATACTGCCATAAGTTTTTTGGCTAAGTAAACTAGTATGTTCATCGGCTATTTGTTCAGGAAACCTTAGATCAAATTCTTCGAGATGATCCAAACAATCAGGTTTAGTTACATAAATAGTCGTTTCAATGGATGTGTTTTTGAGCGATAACAATTCTTCATAGAACCAGAACAAAGTTCGATATTCTCTAATGACCCAAATCAATTGGACTTTGGATTTCAAACTATGTGCTTGTCTCTTTTGAAGTTCGAAAGCTTCAGCATATATTCCTGGGATACCGTTTCCTCCCGCAACGAAAACTGCTGAGTCATATTTCCCTGCGGGTGTAGATTCACCATAGGAACCTTCAACAGCTACTCTTATTTCAGCTGCTTTACCAACATGCGAGTGCAAATAGTTGTATAAATCCAATGTAACACCCTCCTTAACTTTCATGAAAATTATTATTTCGTCGGGATTTTCAGTTGATATAGTGTAAGTAAAGGGATGTGATTGCCAGAAACTGCTTGGTCTCAAGAAATGAATAAATACGTGTCCACCAGATATAGCTTCCCAATGTGAAGGTTTTGGTACCACCACTTTCAACGCCTCATCTGCCAATAACAAAACTTTGGCTTTTGGGAACCCGAACGACCATAATCTGGCAATTCTAACAACTCTATCGAACATCCAGACACCGAAAGTCATATGATAAAACCACAAACAATATAGATCAACAACATGGAAATAAGCACCAAAGATGAACCCGAGGGCTAGGATGATATGTAGCAATAAAAATGTTTCGTAATACTTTCTTCTCAAAACAAGCAACCCTTGGATCATAATGAAAATTCCACTTAGGGTTCCTATTGTTCCGTATATGATATAATCTCTCCTGAAGAAGTCAGCACGATGATGAGCATATTTAGTATACAAAACCGAATGGGCAACTACCATCACTACCACTATCCTCGATATCCAACGATGGAAAGTAATGAAAGTTGAGTAATCCCACCTAGTTAAACCCTGAAGAACGTTGTTTCTACCCCCAAAAAGAATCAATAGCGGCATCATTGAACTCGTTAAAATACTGCACCTGACAGCATAATAACGAAGTAAAGCTTTTGCTTTGTGTTTGAAAACCGGGTCCCCTTCAACATAATGAATGTTTATGAATGTAAAATAAACGGAAAGAGCTAGAAATCCCGATAGTATTATCGTCTCTAATCTAGTTGGGACTAGCATATTTAAGAAGTAGAAGAATTTTTTCTCGTCAGTTTTCTTCTTACCTCTTGTTGCTGGAGTTGAAATGTTTTTTCTGAACCAGTTAGAAAACGGATCTGTTAATCTTTTATGTAAGCCCGGAAATACCACTTTTGACCAATTCACCAATCCTGCAATCGTGAATACAGCGACCCAATAGAGAATTAGATAAAAGCCATAATCAATGGACCTATCATAATTTCCCAAGAATTGATCATAAGCATCTTTGAATAATAGTACTTCAGCATCGCTGAGTTTAACGGGGAAGTCAACCAACTGACCATGCTTGAAGTCATCGAAGTCACTCAACGGCTTGGCATACTTTGAATAGTTGGCTAATGATTCATCAAAATCTTCTCTTGTCAAATTATAATGGAAATCTGTTTTGCATGAATTTATATAAGCGTCAATGGAATTTGGATGTGCTAAACTATAACAATAGGATATTGTGGCTCTTGCATTAGGGTTTGAACAAAAACAATCAGACTCGTAAAAGCTTTCTTCATCCGAAGGACAGAATGTAGCCATGGTCAATGAAATTTGATAACTACATGCCAAATATGCTATTTTCCCATCACCAAACTTGTGAAGTGGTGCACCTTCGATGGCCTCTTGGGGAGTGAACGTTATGAATAATGACATTATCGTGGCAATTATCACTGAAGTCCTTATTCTATGTAGCATTTTGTTTTTCAACCTAATCGGTATCATGAAAAGAAACGAAAAGAATAGTAACACTATTGATAAATAATATGCCCATACATACATGGTTATTCCTATTATCTATGTGTTCTTTGTGATTAGGATATTGATATATAGTAATGTTAGTATCAGACTGTTGTTAAAAAAGTATATCGGACCCTTTTGTCAATACTTTGCTTGATTAATAATAAGAAAAATGCTTCGGGGTAATGCTAGATTATGAAAGTCTTTGAAATCTCCGTTAGTGAAATGAATTAAATTTATATAAATTGTGCAGGGAGTGTGGGAAGACAAAAGAAGGAATTTACACTTTGCCAATCACAATAAGATTTCGCACAGAGCGCAGAGTCAACAATCCGATGAGCCACTTTTTATGAAGGACAATACTATTTTTTCCATCAAAGGAGGGAACCATATAACTTCAATGATCTGAATGGATATACTGTAATTTATTAGACTTTAAAGGAACCGATTAGCTGAAATATTGAATGTGTAATCAAGAGAGATAAAATTTTCACAATTGAATTGGTTTATGCGCGACCTTGTGATCGATTCGATAAGATTTTTTAGATAACTTTTTTCCCAGCGTAATTCGTATATGGTTAGAGTTTTGTAGGCTTAAGATTAAAATAGCAACATAAAAATAACCGACAAGACGGCTACATCATCCGTGTGACGCCTTAGTACCTGATGGTCATTAGTTCAATCGGTTGTCACTTATTCCCACTCATTACCTTGGAATTCCTCTTTTCCGTTTCTAGCGCGGTTTACGAAAATTATGTCTTATAGCCAATCACAGAAGATCACTAAAGCGAAATGGAACTTGAGAATCCTAACAAGTTTCAGCATGTGCTTCTGAAGGCTGGAGGATCTTCTTGTGGTGGGGATGATGTCAATACACAACAGTAAATGCACCCTGTCACCTAATCTGTTCAATCTAAGATGCTAATTTTGATGTAACCTTGCATTGAAATTCTGCTTACCTCTCATATATGGAATGTTAGAATTTTAGTTACCCTCACTTGAATCTGACTCGGATATAAATCGTATTGACACTTCCTTGTTTTTCAAAGAAATCTAGCTCATAGACTTGCTCCATTATTAATATGGTCATATTCTTAAGCGAACCAAAGTCCAGATTTGCTCTTACTAATTCGCGATGGTCGAATATAAATTGAACTTTTTTGCAACCTTTCTCATCCTATAGGAAATGTCAATTCAAACATCCACATTGAAAGACTCATTTGTCCCTTTGAATCAAATAAGAAGACCGATTCCGCCAGTATTGGACCACCAAAAGATTGATGCGATGGTGTCAACTTTGAAGGGCACACCAATGGCTTCCGCTACTTGTGCAATCGAAGAGATTCTGTCAGGCGAATTGCCCCCAATTGATGTCTTCAGAGTCAGGGAAGAAGGCAAAGATTATTATTTTGCATTTGGGGGATGTCACAGATTCCAAGCTTATGATAGGATGAACAGCGAAAAAGAAAATGATGGACCTGTTATGGTCAGATGTAGATTATTGCCTGCTACTAGAAAGACGTTGAAACTTTACTTGGGGGGATCGGTCGATGAAATGTTCCAGTAGAGTAGAATAACGATGATGATTGATGATGTATATATCTAAGGTACTATAAATAGAAAAACGATAAATTAGGCCCATACTTGTAATTGCTCAAAGAAATCAACTCTTTTTTCTGGGTGAAGATTTTGGGAAACGAAATATCTGAGGTCATCCACCATAATTGGATTACCACATGTGACGAAAGCTGTAGAGCCTCTTGATTCCTCTACTTGCTCCTTTACAATATCCTCCAATGAAGGTCTGCCATATTTGAAAATAATATGACTTAGTTTGGATTCATAGCTCAACACTGAGTTACCGTCTTCTTTCTCCTTCTTTTCTCCATCGCTAGATTCGATGTCAAGATTTGGCTTAGTTATATAGACCGTGGTATTGATTCTAGTGTCCTTCAAAAGTCTGAGTTCATTTGAGAACCATTCAAGTGATTTACTATCTCTGATGATCCAGATCAAATTGATAATCTTGTCATTGTTCTTCGATTTTTGAGCCAAACTCCAGGCTTCAGAATAAATTCCTGGAATACCATTACCTCCAGCAATGAATACAGCATTGTCATAATGTTTAGCTGGTGCTGATTCACCATATGGTCCTTCAATTCCAACTCTCATTTTGGTGGTTCTGCCAGGTAAACCTGCTAAATGCTGGTATAATCCATGGCTCAAACCCCCTTTAATCTTAATGTACAAAACAATTTCATTTTCAGTTTCAGCAGAGTTGGTGAAAGTGAAAGGATGTGATTGCCAGAAACAACTTGGTCTCAAAAAATGAACGAAAGCATGTCCACCTGGGATCGACTTCCAGTAAGAAGGTTTTGGAACGGTGACTTTGAAGGTTTCATCAGAAAACAATTCCACATCTGCCATTGGGAATCCAAATGCAAATAATCTACCAAACCTTATCACTCTATCCAAGACCCACACACCGACACAAGCATAATAGAACGCCACATACCCTAAATCAACGACATGTAACCACGCACCTCCGATAAATAAAGCTGCCAATATAATATGGATAATTAAAAATATTTCATACCAATTTCTACGTAATTGCAATAAACCTTGTAAAACAATGAACCCAGCAGAAATAGTAGCGATGAATCCCCAGATGACATAGGTGTCTTTCATGTACAATTTATAGTTTGCAGTAAAGGTTATACTGTAACCTATTGAATGGATTGTCACTAAAATAAAAGCAATTCTTCCTATCCATCTATGGAACATGATGAAGGTTGAAAATTTCCATCTAGTTAACCATTGCAAAAAGTTATTTCTACCGGCGAAAAGAATTAGTAATGGCATATATGCAGAGGCCAAAATACCTGTTCTGACAGCAATTTGTCTACTAATGGATTCTTGGACAGAGCCAAATATAGTATCACCTTCGACTGGTTTGATATTCCAAGCACAGAATACAGTACATACAATTGTGAAACTCCCAATGATAACCGACTCACCCCTTGTTGGAAGTAAAGCATCAAAAATTCCATACATTGGTTTTACCTCTGCTCTTCTTCTACCTATGGCTGGAATTGTGATATATTTTCTTATTTTATTGGTAATTGGTCCCACCAATTTTTTGTTTAAAGATGGGAATAAATAGATTGTCCAATTATAGACAGTAGCCATCAAAAGAACAGCTGCCCAAAACGAAGTCAATCCGATACCGAGCCAATATGAATTATTGTAATTTCCCAAAAATTGCTTGTAAGAAGCTAACCAAACCTTACAGGTATCAGGATCAATGACAACAGGATAGTCAATAACTTCAGTCATGTTAAAATCAGCATCATTGCTTACATCAACAGCATGTTCAAGGTAGTAATCATAGGAATCTTCGAAGTCCTTTTTAGTTAATTCTATAGCAAAATTTTCACTACACCCGTTAACAAAAAAATCAACCAAAGACGAATCGTCTGCGTACATTGCTTTAACACAAGCCATGAAAGATGCTCTCATGTTCTTGTTACCACAAGTACAAGCTTCATACTGATAAGGTGAATCTGGCCCACAGAATGTAGCAATACCCTCAAGGTAACCTGAACATGCATAAAATGATTGATACCCAGAACTGTATAGATCGAACATCTCTGTCTTAGCAAAAGCTAAATTAATAAAAGCTAAAACAATCCATAGTTTAAAATTCATCTTGGCTTTGTTATATTGAATTCAATATAACTTCGAAAATTGTTCGGTGATAATAAAAATAATGGGGAAATATAGGGCATTTATAAAGCACCGTTAGATCCTATTGTCATCTTCGCCTTGAGAATTTCAATAGAGTATTACGAGAAAGCCGAACGCCTACTGGCTATAGTTTATAATTATCCTATTAACAGGAGACTTTCCTTATTTCAGAAAAATTTTCCCAAAAAATTCAGGAACTGGCGTGTTACACGACAACCGATTGACATATTTGACAAGCCTTGAAAGACATATTGCGTTTTGACACATAACATCTTGGCTTTCTGTTGGAGAGAACTGAAGATGCCGCTTTCTCTGTTATCTCTCTTGCAGACTATCATGGCTCAGTATTGTTCGGTGAAGGCTGATTCATGTCTCGTTAGCCATCGTAATGGTAATTATTTATGGTTTAAGTTGACGCTCGGGTTCATAATTATGCACAAAGATCCAATCAGATAACTTTTTTTATATTTTCTCGAGCTGAAAAATTTTTTCAGCCCTTTTTTCAACGAACATGGATAGTTCCGATCGCCCAGATTGCCGATCCTGAATGTTAAACAGTTCGTTTTAAAGTTTTGAATTGCAGTATTGTAAGAGGCGTTGCTTATGAATTGACGTGTGGGTAACTTAATAACAGGCTTTAAGGAGAATAGACACATTCAAATTATCCATGGTAAATTAATTGTTTTGTGGATTCGTATCCCCACGGAATTGTGAAAATAATTCCTTAAATCCTGAACGTAGGCTCTATTATGTTTATCGCAAATTACCACATTTGAACAATACGTTTAATAGTAAAGATATTTTTTTTTCCATGTGAATAAACCAGGCGTGAAAAGTTAAAGAAGAGTAAATTTCTGTAACATACTAATTTTATTATTATTAGAAAAATTGAAAAAAATTTTATTTTTCCTCCACAGTATAAACTTTATTCGGAATCATGTTTGATGTTGTAATGGAGTGGAAGAGTCCACACTCATTCTAGAGAGGTCTCTTTCATGATCCTGGCTTAATTTGATGAGCGCTAATCTTTTCTTCATTCTTTTCTGTTGCCATTTGAAAGGAACCAATGGTAAATAGCCGTGCTTTTCTTCGTAGATCAATGAGCCAAACATGGCAATTATAGCTGCCCAATAAATCCAATAGCTTATAACCGATCCATATGTAGCACTATTGGTCCAACCGAAGATTGCAGTGACGATCATCCAGAAAGCACCATCATCTTGTAATTCTCCATTGCAGCAATTAACATGCCAAACAGATTTGGTGATATCATAAGACCCTGGTCCATGACCAGTTTCACTAACATCAAATCCATCACATAAATCAATGAACCTTTGTAATTCGAAATTCCAAACTCCTTTAGAGAATAATCCAGCTGCAACCAAATATAGGAAGCAAGTAGAAATAATTAAAAACCATTGTAATGACATGGAATTACCAGTTTTGTAAAGTAAAATTCCGACAACCGATCCGATAATAACCGCTAATACTAATGAAATAACGATGGATTTAGTAGTAGTATTTTCGTTTATCCCGATACCTCCAATGAAGACTATAGCTTCCATTCCTTCCCTTAAGGTGGTTATAAATGGCAAGAAGAACATCGAATATTTTTCCGACCATATGTTTAATCTCTCACGAAATGAGCTATGTGATCTTGATTGTGAGTCAATTGCCCTGTTGAGATAATTAGAATTCTTAATGATACTAGTCAATTTCAATTTCCATTTTTTTTGCATTTTATTAACCCTTAGTATAGTGACCCCCATAATTGAAATGATAATACTTGCTATGATTGAGAAGGTCCCTTCCCAATAATGTTCAGTGACTGACCATAAATCACTACCAATGAAATAGAAAATACTTAAAATCACACTTCCGATTATTAAGCAACACACTAATCCTAAAAGTCCTCCTACCCAAACTTGAATTCGAAGAAATCTATATGTATCCTTGCTATCTTTAGCACTTGAATCGTCTTCATTGTTCTCTATCTCATTATTCAACCCCGTGTAGGTTTTTTTATTTTCTTTCACTTCGAAACTTTGATGCAAAAATGCCAAAAGCACTGATACAATAATAGCCAGTTCCAATGTTTCCCTTAAAACAATAAGAAATACCTGGACTGAAAAATAATCTTCAAATGCCATGATCTATGGGATTTAATCTATCCAGCACAATTGGAAAAAAATCCGATATTTATAATATTTGCCGTGGTAGTGGACCGCAGTTTTATCTCAAAGATCAGTAAAAAAAAGCGAGAACCGTATTCGTAAATGCGACCAAATTGAGACCGAGATGGAAAAGATAAAATAAAGTTTAATATATTACACATTATTTACAAAGTAAGCTACGTTACTTTTTATGGAGATCTAGCCTTTTGTAAGCCTCCTCGTTTGTTATGTCATCTTCGACATCGCTTAAGTCGGAAGCATTTGTGTTGTTACCACTTGATGCCCTCACTTTTGTGATTGGGTCAAAATGTCTTGGCCCTGACTTGGATAACGGAATTAGCTCTTGTTGTACGGTCAGAACAGAGTCATTTGTTTTTTGAATTTTTTTGTTAGTTGTAGAAGGAGGAGGTAAAGGACGCTTCTTCTTCTTGGGCATGAATATGCTACTTTCGACAGTTCTATTAATCTCTGGGCTGGTCTTTGAAGCATTTAAACTTGCTTCATGATGCTCTCTGTTGTACCCTCCTCCTCTGGAGACTGAAATGTTCACGTCGTTTCCATTGTTGTCGGAGTGGCCAGTACTGTGCTTATCGTTGATGGTAGAACTCGATATTGGGGCAACACTTTTTGAAACGGGTTTGAAACTTCCTATCAGTTCTTTACTTACAGATGAGGCTGCAATCAGTTTAAATCCACTCTCACTAACCAGCTCATTATTGTTCGTTTTGACAGTCTGGATAGGGATTGGTGCTCCTGGGGCTATCACACTGTTGGAGTTGGTCAATGTTTGACCTTGAGACATTTTCTTGAACCTCTCTCTATCTATCTCATGACATTCTTCAAATTTAGGGAGTTGCTGTGGTGTATCAGGTAATGGTTCGGAGCTAAAAAATGAATGATTCAATGCATCCAAAGCATTATAACGTTTGTATGGATCTAAGGTTAACATTTTAGACAACAAATCAACTGCCAAGGGATCATTCATCAAAGGCATGAATCTGCTTTCTAATGATCTTCTGCATGTCAACCCAATGGTAAGGTCGTTTCTGTTGGGTAAGCTTGTGCTATCCGGCCACTCTTCATTAGTAGGAGGTCCAACCAATTGAAATACTAGCTGACATTGATGACTATCGGATTTGCCACTCAAGATTGGTTTTTTATGAAACAACTCTCCAAAAACACATCCAACTCCCCATATATCAACGGCTGTGGTATATTTTCGTTCCCCCAACAAAATTTCAGGTGGTCTATACCATCTTGTGACTACTAATCCAGTATACAGTCTTTCACCTCCACCAGGTCCTTGTCCAAGAGTGGGGCGACTACCGTGATAGTTTCTTGCTAAACCAAAATCTGCAATCTTTAGTATACCATCAGAGTTAATCAAAATATTGGCAGCTTTAATATCCCTATGCAAATACTTACTATCATGGATATATTGTATTCCTGTTAATAGCTGTTGCATGAAACATTTTATCTGGGGTAGTTGCAATTGAATATTGGGATTTTCCAATAATCCAACCAAATCTGAGGTCATATAAGGACTCACGGTGTAGAAACATCCTCTATTATGAACAACATCTGATGCGTTCGACACCTTTGGCTCTTCATAAATCATACCAAGTATCTTCAAAACATTCCGATGGTTTAACTTTTTCACGATAGTAATCTCTCTCATGGCTGTGATTGGAAACCCTTCCTTCGCTGAATGATTTAACAACTGTTTCAATGCTACAATTTCTCCTGTTTTGACAGACTTGGCTTTTTCCACAACCCCAAAAGTACCCTTACCCAATTTACTGAGTATCTCAAAGTCTTGAAGCTTGCTCATATCCCTAAACCTGTTAATAGGCTGGACATTCACCAGCGATATTATAGCCATAATGTTGACTACTGGAAAATCCGCACCTCACTCACTTGAGAAAGACTAGCCAGATCAACTTGAAATCTATCATTTGACTGGACCCCTCTCCGTTTCCAGATACAGTGAACAGAAAACAAAAATAGAAGTCTGTTACCTCTTAGGTATATTACTACCTTCGAGGACGTTAGTTACGAGAATTCAATTTTAATTGCAAAAAAAAAAAATGGACGAGTCCGGAGTCGAACCGGAGACCTTTCCCATGCTAAGGGAACGCGCTACCAACTACGCCACACGCCCTGTTATTGAGAGTAAGCATCGGTAACATTTTATGATTCTAAATTTTGAGGATATCACGTGATTATACTTAACTTCTACATTTAGTTGTGCTTGAGCCTATCCATGAACGAAAGTAGTAGTTCGATTGAGCCTCAATGAAAAAAGTCTAGCTATTCAATAATACTGATTTTATAGAGATTAATAGCGAACGATTTTTCCTTATTATATAATTACATTACACATTAAACCTTTACTCTAAATAAATAAATTTTATAAAAATTATGCTTGATCAGAAGTGGATTGATACTTCAATCTCTTTTTTCTCTCTTTAGATAATTTAGCAGCCTCTCTAACATTGAAACCTGAGGCCAATAATTGGTTGGTTTCTTCTAATTCTAAACCAGCAACTTCTGGATATAAGAAATAAACAAAGAAGAAAGAAACAAAACATAACCCAGCGAAAAATGAAAAGGTACCTGTTGGGGTGATATTTTCCAACATAGTCAAGAAGGTTGAAGCAATAACTAAAGAACCCGACCAATTAGTACAAGTTGCAAACATAGCACCCATTGATCTAACATTAACATCAGAAAATAATTCGACACCAGTCCAAGCTGAAGTACCGATACCGATAGCATAACTAGCAACAAACCAAACCATACTGAGAATGATCACAATACCCCAACCAGTGATACCTGATGATTTAATCACAACATTATCACTATCAGCGAAAGAGATTCCCAAGAAATGGAATCCAATGGCACATACCACTAATGAAATACACATACATGGAATTGCAAAAACTAAAGTTCTTCTTCTACCAATTTTATCAATTGTACACAAAGCAATGAAAGTGAAAACAAAATTGGTTGCAGCAATAATAATTGAGACAGCTGTTGGATTATCAAAACCACATGTTTCAAAAATTGTAGAACTGAAGTACATCAAAGAATTAAAACCGGTAAATTGTTGGATACCTTGTAATCCACAAGCTAAAATTAATGCACGGAAATTGGAAGGAGTGGTATGTATAAGTTTGATTGATTCCCAAGCCCTCGAAAGAGGACCATTTCCCGGAACATTTGAGTTGGAGAGAATCATTTCTTCTACCATAGCATCAATGTTGACATCGCTGACATTCTTATAAACCTTTTTCAAGACAACTTTTGCATTTGTGATATCATTGTTGATAATATAATATCTTGGAGTATCAGGTAAGAACCAGAACAACAAGAATTGAGCAACAGCAGGAACCAAACATAAACCAACACTAACTCTCCATCCATGATCAACTCTGGTTAATCCCCAATTGATAAAATAAGCAACCAATTGGCCCCCGGTAATAAGCATACCGTTAGTGACAATTAATCTACCTCTATAACGGGAGGGGGCTAATTCTGATAACATCAAAGGGGAAATTAAAGAGGCAATACCTACACCCCAACCCAAGACAAATCTACCAACAATCATAGTCCAAACGGTTTTCGAGGCTAATTGAATAATAGTACCAATGACGAAAAGAACATTGGAACCCAATAAAACAATCCTACGACCTAATAAATTGGCTAAAATACCACCAACAACAGCTCCTAACAATGCTCCTAAACTAGTGGAACTTGTAATAAATTCTTTCTCCCCATTAGTCAAAACTTTATTGGACAAATCAGTTCCCACTTGAACTAAAGCTGACGATATATAACCAGTATCATAACCGAAAGAAAACCCTGACAAGGAAGAAGCCAAAGTTAATAATAAAACTAAACGTGTTGGGGCATCATCAGTCAAGGTTTCGACATCATTCTTGATTAATGACTGTGTAGAAGTTTCAGAACTTAAATCAGTTTGAGATCCAGAACCATCCGCAACTTTGATGGTATCAGCTTTGGATTTTGAATTTTCAGATTCCATTTCTATCATATGACTTATTTACTATATGAAATTGATTTTAATCTAAAAAAATTTGTGAGAACTTTTCTTATATTTATACCTCTGAGATCGAGTCGGCGAAATTTCGAGAAATTGTGTATTTACACTACTCCTTCCGGCGAGTTACCTTTCCAGAAAATTTTGGGGTTAAATTTACTAAAATGGGACAGTTTTATTAGACGAAAGTTGTTTCAATTGCCAACGGCTGAAGTATGGGAACTCACCTGTTTATTAATATCCAACGAAAAGTAATTCTTATGTGGTATTCAAACAGATCATACTTTGTCGGTGAAAACAATACGCCTAATGAGGAGTAAAAGAACTTTGCTATTGTGCTTTTGGGAAAACCATCAATCGGGAATACACATTCCGGATTCTAGTTCAAACTAGGATAGCATGGTTCTGTATGTTATTTTCGAAATGAGATCTTTCTACAATTTTTCAGACTCTTCATCTAAGACCTCTAATCCAATAGAAACTGCCAAACTGAGTGGGGAAGTTACGGAAGGTATTGATCGATTCTAGTAATAGGTCAATTTTAAGCCAAATTGCAAAATTTAAAGAGAAAAACGAGACAAAATCTTCTTTAATGACGTATATGATAACACTATCTATATAAATTAGTTATTTACTTTTTTGGAGGGTTGAATTTAATTTTTCTGTTCATCATGGATTGCCATTTGAATTTCTTGACCCAAACACTTACCAAGTATAATGAAGATAAGACTATTAAAGCTTTTAAACCCCATCTCTTTCTATCATCATGTTCTGGTTCAGCAGCCCAATTTAAGAAAGTAGTAACATCTTTAGCCATTTGAGAAGTAGTAGCAGGAGTACCATCTTCATATTCAACTAAATCATCGAATAAAACTCTACCCATAGCAATAGAACCACCTGGGAAGTATGGATTATAGTTGGAACCTGGAGGTAAAACAACACCTGCTGGAGGTTCATCAGGATAACCAGTTAATAATGAGAAGATATAATCACAACCACCGTGTCTAGCTTTAACAATTAATGATAAATCTGGAGGTAAAGCACCTTGATTAGCAGCTCTAGCAGCTTGTTCATTTTCATAAGGAGATGGAATATAATCAGCTAATTTACCTGGTCTCTTTCTTGGTTTACCTTCATCATCAGGTTCATCATCATATTCTAATTCTTCAGCAAAAGCCTTAGCTTCTGAAGTATTATGGGAAACTCCAACTAAGTTTCTCCAAGCAATTCTTTCTAAAGAATGACATGCAGCACAAACTTCTCTGTAAACTTGGAAACCTCTTCTGATTGAAGCATGATCAAAAGTATCAAACATACCATTATGAGACCATTCATAAGCTGGTGGATGTAAACCATGTTCAGCAGCTGTCATAGCATTGGCAGTCATTGAATCTTTGTATAATAAATATGAAGCAGTTAAACCAGTTAATCCAACTGATCCAACGATAGCTTTATTTAACATTGGATTTATTCTTAATGTTCTAAACATCTTGTATTATGTTGTGTTTCTGAAAAATTAATTTGTGTATTGATCAGTTTATGATATTACTTTGTTTTTAAACTTGAGTCTCTTTCACACCAAAATTTTTTTACAAAATTGAATATTTAATAAGGATAATGGGTAATTGATGATGATATTTATAAATGCAAACTATCCACTATATGAATTCAATGATATAAATCAATTTCTTTAATTAAAAAACGTTAAAAAGAAAGTCCAATACTAAATGATATTTTTTTTTTCAATGAAAAATTATTCGATTCTAATGAACAAAAGGTGTTCGCTCATTGGATATTTGATGGGTCAATCGGTGCGCGCACTAATTCTCACCAGTTTACAGAATGATTAGTGAATAATCGGTGATATGGAGGTATACATATACATAGTCAATTACAAGATCAGTTAGTTAAGACTAACGGCATAAAAAAAACATATTTTTTTAAATAGAAATCATTAATATCGAAAAAAACAAAAAAAGAGCCCGACGCGGGACTCGAACCCGCAGCCTTTTGATAACTTTTAATTATGTTTAAAAGTCAAACGCTCTAGCCGATTGAGCTAGCCAGGCAATTGTTGAAAATAATTGTCTATTTTCATTCAAGAAGTTATTTTCAAATTGCTAAAACCCCTATTTCCCTATATTTTCCACTTCTAATAGATATTTTAGTATAGAAATAGTAAGAATAAACTATTTTTCACCGAATTGAGGTAAAATTTAAATATATTTATTAAGTCATCAAAAATCTCCTGTCTCAAAATCTATCAAAATCACCACTTTTCTTCAGGATTTTCTTTATAAGCCAAATAGTCTTCTAATTTAAATAAACTAATCTCAGTTTCGTTTTCAATTCCCATATCCCACAAAGATTTATTGTCGTCTTTATTTGGAGATAAGATAATAAATTCATCATCATTATCGAAATTTATGACCAAATTCATGGATTTGGTTCCATGGGCTTTAGTATATAACTTTAAAGTATCATAAGCAACATTTCTATAAGGTCTTAATCCTCCGGTAGTGTTAATAATATTCACCATCTTTTCAAATAATTGTTTTGGTGTGGTTTCTTTCAAGTTGATTGATGGGATGATATGATTTTTCACATTTCTATAAGGGAATGATTTTATTATACGAATGGTGAGTAATGAGTCAGTAGCTGGTCTTACATTGGATGTCAATGGTTCTTCAACGTTCATTTCTTCCATGATTCCCGTGAAATGGTTCAATTACAATTGATTAAAAATCGAAAGATCTGAGAGATGAGAAAATTTAAATCGTATACTCATTATTTTGCAGCTAAAATCAGTTTTAAATTTTTAACCCATTTTCAAACTTGATGAAGAACAGTTGTAAATCGTAGACTTTATCCTTGTTACCTGATAATTGCGATCCCACTTTTTTTCTATTACCTTCGAATATTAATTTCGAATTATCAATACTATCGTCATCATCGTCATCAAACAGTAAACTGAAATCGCTATCGTTTGGACTTATAGTCACAAATTTAACAGGAACAAAGTCCATAAACATTTTTAAGTGTTTGGAAGATAAGTTAATCGTGGTCATATCCTCTAAGATTGTTCTAAATTCGTTATCATCCGTTATTAACTTATCATCGAATTTCAAGAGATTCCTCTTGAATGAACAATAGCTTGGATATAGGGATTCTCCTTCTGCTGATTGCTCCCCGACTGATATCTTGATATTATTTGATTTTGAAATTCGGAAATCTTTCAAATAGGTAGTTACTTTATTTACAGAAGGCATCAATTCGGAATCTTCAGGTAAAGATTTATAATAAGCTTCCATTCTTTCATTGAATTGTGACTCGAAGAATCTTTTGGAGAAAACATCCATTTTTTTATGATACAGCTCTTGATTATCGAGAGTTTGATTGAATCTCTCTAACAAATTACTCAATATAAGATTTTTCGAAATTTTGAATTCAAAAGCTTCATCGAATAATTTTAAATTCAAATGAACTGCAGAATCAAGATGTTCTAAATCTTTGAAATCTTGAACTTTGAGTCTGTTTATTGTATTGTTCAATTCTTCAAATTGATCAATTTTCCCACTCAAACACTTCAATTCATCTTTTAGGAAACTTAAACTGATTTTGAATTCTTCACTGTCAAGATCCTGGGATACTTTATCACAATTATTCAAAAGGGTGAAGACATTTGTTTCATTAATTTGCTTAACAAGATTTTCATACTTGGAATTAATAGAAATCAATTTATTTGAAAATCTTAAAGATTTAGTTTCATATTCAAATTTTGATTTCAAGATATCATTAATTTTGAGTAACGTCTTATCGAAATACTCAAGTTCTTCATTACATTCATTATTCCTCCTTTCATCATTTTTCATTATAGTTTCAAAATTGTTTGACAATTCAAAAAATTTAAACCATTCAATTAAATAAAATAAAATACATTTTTCATCAGGTACTAAATTTTGGAAATCTTCAATTTCTGCCAATCTAGGTATACCCAATTTTTCTGCAAATTGTAAAATCGTTTTCAAATTCGATAATTTAGAATCATCTAATTTTAAAAAATCAATGGGTATATAACTTTTGAGTATATCCTTTAAAATTTTGTCAGGAGAATTTATCTCTATAGACCAATCTCTATTGAAATTTGAAATTTGATTTAATTTCGAATGCTTATTGACCCAATTCATTAAAATATCCTTTATTTGAATAATTGAATTACCTTCATTCAATATTCCTATTGAATTAGAAGTTGAAAATATAAATAAGGTCCATATTAATCCCAATATTAATTTAAGATTACCTTCAATGATATTATCGGCACTGATACTCGTGGTATTTATCTTCAAAACTATTCTTATAAATTCTAAGAAGTCATTAACATTTTCCATTTTTTGTAAACCAATCTTAGGATTCTTATAAAGTGGTTTCAATAAATAAAGCTTCAAGTCAGTTCTTTCAATATCAATTTCAGTAATTATCTTATTTATCAATTGAATTAATATTAACCCATCACTCATATCTTTAGACAAGTCAGTTAAATTTGTATCAAGTTTAGAATTAACCCATTTCAACATGGTTTTATGTTGTTGTTGAACCCACTCAGGTGGTTCATCTTTCTTGAACCCTAATCTACTCATTCCCAACCTTCTATATTCTATTAAACCCTTGAGTTAAAAAGTCGCTTAGGTGGTATTTATTCAATTACTTACTCGTCTAAACACGATATTTTAAATTCGCGTATACAAAACAAAACATTTATATTTTCCCCAGATACCGGAGACAATAAGATCAACTAAATTTTGATAGATCTAGACTTGTTGATTAAGATTACGTGTTTCTAAGAATAAAGCATTTTAAAGTTTTAGAAGATCAATGATTACGTGGTGTTGAATTAATAATTCGTTAATTCGATGTTCAAAGGGTAAAACTTTGACACATAATCTGAAACCTGAGAGAAGATGTTAAATCTCTTATGTATTAAAATATGTTACACTCATTAAATTTTAAAAAAGGGATGACTCAAGGTTTCTTGGGCAGTTGGTCTTAATTGGTGATCGAAAGTTAATAATTTGTCAATAAGATCGACAACTTCTTCACTTATCAAATGTTCATTATCTTTATTAATAAAAGAAGTCCATGGTTTTCTGGAATAATTTCCTAAAATATCGTCATATTCATGACTTAATTTGATACCATACTTATTCACATATTTCATTAAATTTTCAGTACCCAAAACTCTTGCAATTTGTACTAATTGATCATTATTAGAATCACCACGGAAAAAAGGTTCTTTCTTGAAAATAATCGCTGCTAATATACATCCCACTGACCACAAGTCCAATGAATAGTCATATTGTTGTAAATTGATTAATAATTCAGGTCCTTTATGATATCTTGATGCAACTCTAACATTATAATCCATTCCTTGATGATAAAATTCAGCTAATCCCCAATCAATTAATCTTAATTTCTTATTTAATGGATCAATCATTATATTTTGAGGTTTAACATCTCTATGTATAATCCCCATTGAATGAGAATAATCTAAAGCAATTAATAATTGACTCAAATAATATTGAATATCTTTGATTGAAAATTTAGGATATAAAATTCTGAAATCCACATTACTCACTCTTTCGAAGATTAATGCTGGAATTTTACTTTGATCATCTTTAACAATGTCTAATAATCCAATAATATTTGGTCCCCCGGTTAAATTCTTTAATATTTTAACTTCTCTATAAATCTTTTTCATTTTTACAGGTTTTAAAACTTTTATCACACATCCTTCTTCATTGAGTACATTTAATCCTTCAAATACTTCTGAATATTTCCCTCTTCCTATCTTACTAATTATTTCATAATTCTTTATATTGCCCCATTGAATTTTATGGTTTTCATAATCCCAATATTCGGTTGGTTTCCTTTCATTGGCATCGGCATAAATTCGAGCCACGGAATATATTCTACTAGATACATTCACACTCATCTTTTCTTCACCTTAATTTTTATATATCTTTATGGTGTAGTCTTTGACTTATATCTTTTCCAATATAACTTTGCTATCAAATTTCAATCAAGCCTCTTAATGTTATCCAATCTTATTTGACTATAAGTTAATTAGAACAAGTTTAAATTATTTGATTTCGATCAGTTGGTATTGAAACTATATCAATTATATTTACAAAATATTTTATTTTTCAAGGCCCTTAATCCCCTAATCTCATCAACTAACGAGAAAAATTTGGTGATACCCTGACCTCCCACGCATTTTTTGCGCGGGTTATAAGTCTTTTTGCAATCGATGATTACTGTAAACATAGTGGATGATAATCGAATAGTTAGAAATTTACAACTTTGGAGTAAAGGAACATTTCCATTCACAAATGATGAAGAATTCCAACGTGTAAATTATGTAAAATATAATGAGATCCCTCTTGTACTCATTCAAGGTAAGCCGATAGACGTATATTGTTCAATCCAAGATTCAGTGGACTATGTTGCTGATAATGTATTAAGGTATAAAGATTTAGGACTTTTATGTAAAAGTAAGCTGAATGAAAATGTTTATTTGATTTTTTATGTTCAAGACATGAAGTTGAAGACTTTATTGTTGGATTTTTCCTTAATCATAAAAATTCTAGGTATCAATAAATCCTATGATAATGAAACCAATTATATATTGGACTTGAAGACCAAATCATCGGATACAAATGTTTTTGATAGAGTATTGGAGAAAAAGAAGCGACCCAAATCAACTACTCCAACCGTTCAAGACAAAGGAGATCAAATTAATACTACTGTTACAAAAGTTATACTATCGGGTTTAAGATTGAGAGGTTTATCTAATTCAAGTAAGGACAAAATCAAGATCAAAGAGATATATCAAATGACATACAAATCAACACTTTTCGCTTTAAGGAAGTTTAATAGAGAAGTGAAATTAAACGATATTCAAGATACAGTGGAAAAATTATTACAAATCTTCGTTGATGTTGACATAGATGAGGATTCTCCATTCAAGGAATAGATTCAAAATTCACGAGTTACGAATATATATTATTTACAAGTCTGATAATTTTACAATTGATGATGAATTATCATAAGTCTTTTGTGAAGCATCTTTCAAACTTCTTTCAATATTACTGATAGCCTTAACCTTTTTGACCACTCTTGGACCATCTGCATATCTATGTTTCAATAACAAATCAGGATTTTGCAATAAATATCCTCTTTTCTCTTCACTTGAATAATATTGAATGTCTCTTCTGTGGGTTGGTCTAGCTTCTAATGGTATATAACCTTTCTTTAATAAGAAAGTTTCTGGATATATGTGAGCTCTTAATCCTAATTTGGTATAATATTTAGCGGTGAATGAGTTACCAATGCCTTCAATTGATTTTACAGCTCCAGCGGATGCTTTAGATGATTCGATATTCAAAGGTACGGTGTATTCATCTTTACCATTACCCAATACTTTAACACCGTCTTTGATTGAACCGGTGACTAATCCACATTCTTTCATTACTTTCATGGTCAATAATTCACCACTTTTCAATGGGATTCTTCCATTATTCCAGAATTCTTGAATTCTTTCTAAATTCAATTCATTGTAAATTTTCTTGTGTGGTCTTTTGAAACCTATGATTGGGAATCTCTTGAAGAAAGGTGTTTGACCACCTTCAAACCATCTTGGGACTTTACCTCTTGCTTTTTGACCTTTTTGACCTCTTCCAGCTGTTTTCCCTTTTCCTGATGCTTGACCTCTACCCAATCTTTTGTATCCATCAACAGCTCCAACATTTGGTGCTAACTTACCTAAGTAAGTAGATGAATTACGAATCAAAGATAATGGACTTATTATTTGTAATCTACTTATGTTACCAATATTACCAAATATCATTGGGAATCTGAAAATTTTTGAGAATTCTCACTGAAAATTTTTAGTTCATTTTGAGTAGTTCAGAATAAGAAGTGGTTGGGCCTATGACACCATATGTGATCTTATCGATGTTAATTGACTTAGCTCTATATAATTTTCAATTTTCGAAGTTTTGGCTTCTTTGATTTACCCTTCAATTACTGAAATTCAATCTAATCGAATCCTCTGAACGCCTAAAAACCACCTTAGCCTCTTTTTGTCGTGGAATTATTGAACAGAGAGCTTATCTACTCTGGGTGTATCCTTTTTCTTGTTTGTTTAAGAGTACCTGAAAACTTTGTAGTTTTTCATCTTTATTTTTTCTTATTTTTTACGAATTTTGCAGTTTCTGTTGAGTGCAATCTTATTTCAAATTCAATGAAATAAAAAAAATAAAAAAAAACTGAAGCATGAACTTTCGAACTTAATCTGGTAGCTACTAAGTTCATTTACAGGGAAATATAGATTACGGGTTATAAAATTGTATCAAGATGAGAAATCACTAAAATTTTGAAAAACTACCTTTTTACATTTATAGGTCTTACTGCCCCACCACAAGATATCTGGAGCCTTTATGGCCAAGTTGATAGGGCAAGCATTGAAACTCTCGAAAAGTGAAATTAAAAATCAATTACTAAAAAAAAAATATATAGCTTACCGGCTTGGTCAATGATTGAAACATCAAAATCTTGCATAAATTTAATCCACTCTTTAATCCACTCTTTAATACACTCTTTAATTATGAGGAAATATGTTTTTTTCTTTTTTTTAGCTAATGTGTATTGGCATGATGACAAATCTATACTGCCTATATAAAGATACAGTTGATTTGACTAGTTAAATGGACTTGAGGAACATTTAATCGATAGAATTCATAAAAAAACTCTTCAAAATCAGGGTATGTCGGGAGTGTATTAATCCACTCACGCGACATTAAAAGAGTGTATTAAAGCCTTTATGGCCAAGTTGGTAAGGCAAGCTTTGAAACTCTTGAGAAAAGTGTATTATGTGTGTGTTAATGCGTGTGTGTACTTTACCAATACACTCTCGCGAGTGTATTTTGGTGTATTTTTTTGGGTTCATTCTGGTGAGCGTTTACTGGAAAGAGGTAAACTCTGAGGTTCAAAATGACGGTTATAACCGTCATTTTGGGAAAATTTTATGATTCTAGAGTGTTTAAAATGACCTAAAAATGCCATCTATGACCTTGAAATCCCGAATATTTGGGTATTTTAGAGTGAAAAATCAATATTTTGAATTTAGTCAATAGTTGACGTGGTCGTGTGAGACTCAAAAGAAGGTATTTATACAATTTAAAGGTATTCTGAGAGAGTTCGTGTACTAAAAGATGTATATTCTAGTTACTTTCGCTTGAAACTGGGTAAGGTGAAGGTAAACGGGCAGCTAAGTAGTCTGTAATATCCTCTCGATACTGATGGAAGTTTTGAACTAATAAATAATACTTTAAAGACACTGACTTACAGTATTCATCTATATAAAGGGCAATTTCTCTCCTTTCCAAATGTGAAAACCGTTCTTTAGCCTTGATTTTGCTTATAAAAGTTATAATCTTCTTCTTTTTGAAATATTGAGATTTTATGTTTTTTCTCCATTTACTTCCTTCTAAATCTTTGAGCTGTACAGATTTACTAAAAGGCAGTCCTATATACCACTCCTCAAAGAGATCGGCTACTGATTTTGTCAGTTGCAGCATTTCAGCCACTTCTAAAATAGCATCCAGATTTGAATCAGTATTTTCCTCACCCTCAGACATGGAAGATTCTTGTGATACCTCAGTAGGTACCTTAGTAGGTACCATATATGGTGGTGCCAGCATTACTGGATGATACATTGGTACTGGTAAAGTCATAGGTTGTGGTATCATTTGACTGTTTTGATACTCATTATAATTTCTCTTTCTCGACTTTTTTTTCAACTTTTTTGGAGGTTTAACATATTTAGAAAAGAATTCAGTTAGTTTTTCTGAAGATATTTGGTCTCGGTTTATCAGTTGTTGAAGTATAGCTACATTTTCAGTCAATGTAGCAATTTGAGCCTTTAAAGATTGCAATTCAACCAAAATATTGGTTGTATTGTTATTCATACAATCTTGTAATTGATCTCCCATTCTTCCATAGGCAGGAATGACGTATTCCAAAGCATCATCCTTAGTAATCCAAGAATTTGACAAAGCTTTACCTTTATCTAAATCTTCCATCTCTTCTGCGAATTTCACAAATTCTGGATCTTTTACGATATCTTGTTTGGCAAATATACTATTAGGTGCTAATTTATTTAAACATGCTAAATCTTGAAGTATTACTTCTCTAAATGATTCCAAAGTATCAAAAAAATACGCTCCAGCAAAATCAGTTTCTCCTCTTTTAACATCTTCCCTACTCTCATGATATGCATGGAATTTAGCCCGTTCTTTTTCTAACCAGGGGAAGATCTTACTTAATAATCGTTTACTAGGTTTTAAAGTATCTCTAGGTAAAAAATAAGTCTCATCATCATCAAAATTAGCTGAGAAATGAATGAATTTATAAGGTAAACCTTTTAAATATGAAACATCCAATGCTGCATTAGTCCAATGACCAGCTTTCAGGATTTCATCAATAGAAATATCTGCTGCTTCAGCTGCCATAGGTTGATTAGCTCTACCTAGATGTGTAGATTTTATTGGGAAGAAATTCTCTGACAAAAATGCTTGAGAACTAAGTGAATGCTCATAATTATAACTAATGGTATTTACATCACCACTTGAAGTGGAAAACATTACCTTATATCTATACCAATTTTCCTTTTTAGTAAAATCAATAGGATTCTTCTTTCCTAATAATTTATACTTATCATCTTGTACATCAAATCGATAATAAAGTGATAAAGCAAAAATTGTCACTAAACATACTTCCACATGTTCATTTCTAGCTGCTCCAGCTTTTCTAGCCCCATCCACACCATGCATTGTTTTCTCTTTAACCACTCCTGCAGTTAAAATTGGCGTCTTACCCTTTTTAGTTTTATGAATTTCAAAATCCATATCGGAAAGTTCCATTCCTCTTTTATTATCACCTCTAATAAGAAGATGATGTCCTAATAATAATTCAAGTATGGTATTAATAGCATCTGTTTGATCCTTTCTTTCTGGTGAACCTGTTTTATTATACTGTTCAATTATAATCTTTGATAACATTTCATAATCATAAGGTTTGGTAACCACTTTTGCTGTAGCCTTATCTTCACATTGATTTACTCTCCTTTGTGCTTGTTCTCTTCTAACAATCTTAATCATATCTGAAGCTTCACTAAGCCCAATAATTTCATCACTAATAATTATATTATATACGGCAGCCATATAACGACTTTTAATTTTTTGAAGAAGTCTCATTGCTGCTCTATAATTCTCTAATGTAGCTTTTCCTACAAGCCCATTATTACCTCCAGATTTTTTCATCCCATCCATACATTGTGTCATTAATGATCCATTAATTTCAATTTCACTAAATCCTTTTTCACCTAAAAATCTTAAATATCTACAAATTTCTGATCGATATTTCCTAAAAGTATTAGGAACTTTCAGTTGAATAGTGGTTTCTGTACTTTTATGACTTAACATTTGATTACATTTATCAAATAAAGCCTTTTGAACTTCATTAATAGGTCCTAATTGAAATAAATTAATTTTAAAGTTAGTATTAGTAGTCTCATCATGCTTTTTTGACTTTTCTTCATTCAATTTTCTTCTTTTTGCAATACCTATCGGATCTAAAGCACCTCCTTGATCATTAGTTTTAGCTGACCAAACATCAGGCATAATAATATATCCATAATCATCAACTTTAAAATCTGGAGGTATTTCAATTTTTGACCTACTAGCTCTAATTCTCACTCTTTTTTTTTTCTTACTTAATCGATTCATTTCTTCACCTTCTACTACTTCTTCTTCTTCTACTTCTGGTTGTTGTTGTAGTTGAGAATTTTCTTCGTCCACTACTTCATTTTCATTATTCTCATTATTATTATTATTATTAATTTCTTTATTAACTTCTTCACCTTCTCCCCTTTCTAAATCTTTACTTCTTCTTTCAATTGTATAGTTAAAATAATCTTCCATTTTTATTGCTTAGTTTTCTTATTTTAAAATCTCCTGGAATCAAATCATGGGTAAATCCCTCCTAATTTAAATAGTTTAATCTGGGGTGGTAAATTGTTTCATATAGGTGGTAAATTGTTTCATAAATGTGGTAAATTGTTTCATAAATGTGGTAATTGTTTCATATAGGTGGTAATTGTTTCATAAATGTGGTAATTTGGTAGATCATTTTTCTCCCCTTTAATTTGTTTCATCTTTTCATCTTTTTTTTAATCATGATAGATCACTGGGTGGTGATGTTTCATAATAGACCATTTTCAATTTCCTCTTAATTAAATTTTCATTGTTTTTTTTTTTGTTAAATTAATTTATTTATAATTTTTGCAACTTTTGAACTTTCTCCCCAACTTCTAAATTATATTTATTAAATTAAAAATTAATTATTCAAAAAAAATTATATAGATTACTGGCTTTGTCCATAATTTAAAATCAAAAATCTTGCATAAATTTAATACACTGTTTAACTATGAGGCAATATGCATGGGGTATGTCGGGAGTGTATTAATCCACTCACGCGACATTAAAAGAGTGTATTAAAGCCTTTATGGCCAAGTTGGTAAGGCACCTCACTAGTAATGAGGAGATCCTCGGTTCGAATCCGAGTGAAGGCATTTTTTTTGCTTTTCGTGGAAAGAGTAGCTGCAAAATTCTGTTAGTGGTGGTAACTCATAAGCTCTGAATACCTGCTATATACAAGACAAGCACAGTTCTTGCTTCCTTTTGCGGTAGATCAAGAGAGTAGCATCAAAGTTATCGCAAATCGGCTGGAAAAATTGGCTGCGAAATTTTGTACATTTTTGCAACTTTTTGTGGATAGCGGTTCAAGTTATGTCAGCCAGAGAAAAGAGGGACAGACAATCTGGAGGGAATGTTATGAATGGGATACCAACAAATGGAAGCGAATCATCAATACCGTTTGAAGTCAATGCTATTGAATATAGCCATCCATCATGGAGTGAAGAGAATGGAGCCCCATTCACAAAAGAAAAGATCAAATCTATTTTGTATAAGATTACAAGAATCTTCAGCTTTCAAATAGATAATTATGAAAACGTATATGAGCTCTTAATGAGTCAATTAGATTCAAGACTGAGCAGAATGCCATGCAGATCCGCATTGATATCATTACATTACGATTATATAGGGGGAAATAGGTCCAACTATAAGAATTGGTACTTTATGGCTCAATACGAGTTAGACGAGAGTATTTCAGACAAGAGAATTTGGAATCATCTAGACAAGTACAAAAAATTCATCAAGATGCAGAAAACTCCAGTTTCACTATCCGACTTGGGTGAACAAGACAATTTGATATCCTTGGATTTCATGTGGGTTTTAAAACAACTGAAATTCTCCAATGAAGATTACATTTTGCAATTAGGTCTTTATTTACTTATTTGGGGTGAAGCAAACAACATAAGGTTTCTACCTGAATGTGTGTGCTTCATTTTTAAATGCTGTTTGGATCATTACTATTCCTTATCTCCAAGCTTGGATATTGAATCTTATGAGAATTCCTTGACTTTTTTACAAGATGTTATTACACCCATCTATAAATTCATGAATCTTCAACAGTATAGGATGATTGATGGAAAATGGATTAGGAACAATAAAGATCATAACTCAATTATTGGATATGATGATATCAACCAATTTTTCTGGTACGGTGAAAATTTACTGAAAATCAAACTATTGGATGAATCTACATTATTCAGCTATCCAAAAGAGGATCGAATCTTGAAGTTCGGTAGTATCAGATGGAGTTCTTGCTTCTACAAAACTTTCAAGGAAAAGAGAACTTGGTTCCATCTATTCACCAATTTTAGTAGAGTATGGATAATCCATGTTGTGATGTATTGGTACTATACTAGTTATAACGCTCCTACGCTATATACTGTCAATTACGTTCAACTTCTCGACAATAAACCACCACTTCAAGTGACATTGACAGTCATTTCATTGGGTGGTTTTTTATCTTGTTTGATATCCTTCGTTGCAACTATTTTTGAATATTCATTTGTTCCCCGTAAGTTTCCAGGATCTCAAAACTTATTTGCTAAGCTATGTTACTTATCGATTTTGACAGTTATCAATGTTCTGCCATCGATTTATGTTTTGTATTTCATACCCATCACAGCATATTCTAGTAGAGGTGTGCTCATTGGGATAATACAATTCGTAATTTCCGTGATAACTTTCCTATATTTGGCTGTACAATCGCCTGCTAGATACTTTGAGGCATTGATCATCAGATCAAATACGAACTATGTGAAGTCTAAGACATTCACATCAAACTTTGCTCAGTTGACTAACCGGGGACGACTATTTTCTATAACATTATGGGTCTGTGTGTTCCTGCTTAAATTCTCAGAGTCATACTACTTTTTGACTTTGTCATTGAAAGATCCTATTAGAATCCTATCAATTCTCGACTTGTCCCGATGCAGAGGTGACGTATGGCTTGGTAAATTACTATGTGAATATCATGGAAAACTTCTTTTGGTGTTGTTGCTAATCACTGATTTGGTCCTATTCTTCCTTGACACTTACTTGTGGTACATCATATGTAACTGTATATTTTCAATGTGCCTTTCATTTTCATTGGGAGTTCCAATATTTACTCCGTGGAGAAACATTTTTGTTAGGCTACCTGAAAGAATTCAAACTAAATTAATTTTCATGAATGAAATTACAAGTCAATCAGCTCAAAATGGTGAAGGTATTGGAAATCTAACAAGTTACCAAAGCAAAGGGATATATTTGGTACTGAAGATTTGGAATAGTATAATCATTTCAATGTACAAGGAACATTTATTGTCCTTGGAACAAACGAACAAGTTAGTTTACCAATTCTTGGAGTCGGATGATTTCAATCCATATTTTGCAGGCGATTTCATCCCTATCTCAACACCCATCAATAAAACCACAATCAAACCACCTTTATTCTTCATCTATCAAGATGATAACACATTCAAGTTGAATGACTTTTTCACTCCAGGAAAGGATGCCGAGAGGAGAATATCTTTCTTTGCACAGAGTTTATCAACCCCCATTCCGGAGCCGATTCCAACGACAGCAATGCCAGGCTTCACTGTCTTGGTGCCCCATTATTCAGAGAAGATATTGTTAAATTTAAGAAATATTATCAAAGAAGACCAAGGGTCCAAAGTATCGGTTTTAGATTATTTGAAAACTTTGAACAAATTTGACTGGGATACATTTGTTCAAGACACAAAGATTTTGAATGCAAGATCATCAAATAGACTGGGAGGTGAGGGGGCAGAAGATGAGAAGCTACTGATATTTCAAGATAAGTATGACGAGCTACCCTTTACTTATGTTGGATTCAAAAATTCATCTTATGAAAACACTTTGAGAACTAGGATCTGGTCTTCATTAAGATCACAAACTCTATACAGAACAATTTCAGGATTTATGAATTACGAAAAGGCTATAAAACTTCTTTATGAATTAGAGAATACTAATCAAATAACCAAAGACGTATATCCTCAAGAGGTTGAGCAAGAGCTTGACGATTTTGTCTCTAGGAAGTTTAATTTGCTACTTACATCCCAGAGATTCCAAAAGTTTACCCTAGAAGAACATAATGATGCCAGAGTGTTATTCGGAGCATTTCCTAATATCAGGGTTTCTTTCATCATTGAAGAGATGGACCCCATAACAAGCGAAAAAGTGTATTATTCAGCATTGTTGGATAGAGAAAAGTATCTTAAGGCTTGTGATAAAGCCATAGAAGAGAACCGACCTTTTGTGGAATTTCCTACTAAATTCAAAATCAGATTACTGGGAAACCCCATACTAGGAGACGGGAAGTCTGATAATCAAAATCATTCGATAATTTTCTACAGAGGAGAATATATTCAAGTTGTTGATGCAAATCAGGATAATTATTTGGAAGAGTGCTTAAAGATCAAGTCAGTGTTGGCGGATTTTGAAGAATTTGAAGTCAGTTGCAACCAAGAATACATTCCTGGAATTTGGTCCGAATCTGATAACTTGACTAAAGATAATCAAGTGGCAATTGTAGGAGCTCGTGAATATATATTTCTGGAAAATATTGGGGTATTGGGTGATATTGCAGCTGCCAAAGAACAAACTTTCGGAACTTTGTTCTCAAGAACACTAGCTGAAATAGGTGGTAAATTACATTATGGACACCCTGATTTCTTGAATGGTATCTTCATGACCACAAGAGGGGGTGTTTCTAAAGCACAAAAAGAATTACATTTGAATGAAGATATTTACGCCGGTATGATGGCAGTTTGTAGAGGTGGTAGAATCAAACATAGCGATTACTACCAGTGTGGGAAAGGAAGAGATCTAGGTTTCGGTACCATCTTGAACTTCACTATTAAGATAGGTGCTGGTATGGGTGAACAAATCTTATCTAGAGAGCATTATTATTTAGGAACAGGGCTACCAATCGACAGATTTCTAACCTTCTATTATGCTCATGCAGGTTTCCACATAAATAACCTATTCATATCTTTGAGTACCACATTGTTCATGTTAGTATTGGCAGTACTAGGATCACTACGCCACGAGGTAATTCTATGTGATTACAATCCCCATCAGCCAATTACAGATCTACAAGAGCCCCTTGGATGTTACAATCTAGAGCCTGTCTTACATTGGGTATCGAGATTTGTGTTGTCAGTTTTCATTTGCTTCTTTATTTCGTTTTTACCTTTGTTGTTCCAAGAATTAATAGAAAAGGGGTTGGCCAAAGCCATATCAAGAATAATTTATCATCTAGTATCATTGTCACCGTTATTTGAAGTGTTTGTAAGTCAAATTTATTCACAATCCTTGGTGGATAATATGTCCTTGGGAGGGGCCAAGTACATCCCTACAGGTAGGGGGTTTGCCACATCTAGACAATCAATATCCAATTTGTTTTCCAGGTATGCTGTTTTGTCAATTTATAAGGGGGTTTTATTTTCCATTATTATAATTTTTGCAACCATCACAATGTGGCAGCCATCAATATTATGGTTCTACATCAGTTTCATATCAATGAGTCTTGCACCACTATTATTCAATCCTCACCAGTTTAGCTGGGATAAATTCTTCATTGACTATAAAGAATTACTTCATTGGTTTAGTAGGGGGAATAGTAAATGGCACAATAGCTCATGGTATGGTTATCAGAAACAGATAAGAGGTAGATTGTTGGGATACAAGAAGAGAGATTCTGCTCATCTCGAGAAGAAAGGGAAGAATGACCAAGTATTGACGTCAAGACAAACTACTGATATTAAAGTACCTTTCATCAACAGACTCAGCGATCTTGTGTTATTACCTTCGTTGCTATGGAGCGTGTATGCAATGTCATATCTATTTATAAATGCACAAACGGGGGTAGCCATTGGTGAGCTCAGAAGGGTAAACCCCATCTTAAGAATTGCGTTATTGGCAATACTCCCTGTTTCTTTGAATTCATTGACATTGATAATTACATTTGTAATATCGTGTGTACTTGGACCTGTCCTCAGGTTCAAGAAATTTGCTTCATTCATTGCAACAATCAATCATGTGATGGCAGTATTGATTGCAATTATCGACTTCGAGATTTTGTATTACTTGGAAAACTGGGAGATCAACAAAACCTTATTAGGTCTTGTAACCATTGTAATGACTCACAAAATAATGGCTGGCGTGGTATATCTTTTCATTTCTAAAGAAATGTCTCATGACACAATAAACCATACTTGGTATTCAGGTAGATGGTTCAAACAGAACTTCGGATTATTATATTTCACACAACCTTTCAGAGAATTCATCATCAAGAATATTGAAATGATATGCTTCGGATATGATTTTTTGATTTGCCATCTATTACTATTCTCGATTGTTCCAGTTTTGATCATACCCTACATTGACAAAAGCCACACATTAATGTTATTTTGGTCAAGAACCAATAGATTCAAGAACCCCATTGTCTCCAAAAGACAAGTGAGGAGAATGAGATGGGTTGTTTTTAGGTACTCTGTATTATTTTTTGCAATGATGATGACTTTCATATCACTAATATTAGTCCCCAAATTCTTGGGTGGCCAAATTCCAAATTTGAGAGATATCCGGATTCTTCCAAACATGGTCAAAGAAATAATGGCCCCTGGAGAACAAAATCATAATGATACAGGTAGTAATGCACCATTGACTGTACTTCGAGGTAGGCCCGAACCGATTACCATGAGGACCGTTCCGTAGAATCAATATGATAGATCCAATTTATATTGAAATAAAACTTAAACTTTAGGATTCCATGACTAATTTCCTTATATCCCAGAAGTAGTCAGTGGAATAGTCTCCTCTATTTCCCCATTCAGATATTTTTCTCTTGAGTCTATCCTCTTCCAATAGCCATCTTGAAACTTTACTTTTTCCAATTTCCAACACATCATCAAATTTGACTTGAGTTTCTTGTAGATCAGGAATCTTCAAGATATCATCATCATCATTTTGATTACTATTCGGATCATTGACCCATTTCATGTTTTCAGAATCGAATACCATTCCGGATGGTTTAATCAATTTATAGTCCGACAATTTGATAGTACTTGGTCTTTCAAATTTCTTCAAATCTCCGTTATTACCTTCCCAAATTCTTAAGTTAGAATTGAACTTCATATTTGGGGTTTGAGGAATCTCTGTAGTCTTGATAGTCTTCATTTCTTTCTTCTTTCGAGACTTGATTTTATCTTGATAGTCTTTTGAGCTCTTGATATCATGAATGGCATTGGATGACATACTTCGTGATAACAATTTTTTAGTCCTTTGATGCTGTTTATCAATTTCTTTGTACTGAGCTAATAATTGATCCTTCGTTATTTGGTAGTTCTGTTCTTGCTCTATCATATTTGACAATTTCTTATTATAGAAAGAGGGTATTCTGTCTAATTTTGATATAACTCTAGAATTCAAATTGACCGAACTCTTGAACTTTCGTACGTCTTTCATGGGTTTAGGTTTAATGGTTTTGTAATCGTCAAGTTTCAAGGTATCGAATTTGATGGTTTCAAAGTCATCGAACCCGTCTTCGAAATTCTCTTTATCTTTGAAGTTTTGACTTATGTCTTTGAGAAAGTATTCTTCTTCGGAAGTTCTTTCATCTTCACTCAGTTCATAACGTCTATTTATCTTACCAGTGAAGTCTCCTTCAATTTCGAGATCACTCTCCTCTTCAATTTCATCTATATTATGATGATTGACTTGAACTTGTTTGGGAAGGTCTGTAGGTGGGGATAAACTATGATACTGGCTCTTAGATCGAATGGTCTTCTGTTGAGGTGATCTCTTTAGTGGGTGTGAGGATGCTCTTGATTTTAGTATTGGTGATTTGGGTTTATTTGTGGTTTGTGGAGAATGTGAAAAGCTAGGATTAATTTTGGGAGATAACATTGACCCTATTTCATCTTCAGGGAATCCAAATATCTCATCCTCTTGATATTTGCTTAGTTTCTTTAGTTTATCCATATTGTTTACTTCGCGATTTATTTTTTCACTGATCTGGTAAGATGGGATGACAGTTAATGACAACGAGGAGGAATGGTGAAGGCAATTGAGAGGGAAATCAAGAAGCTTCAACCCATAAATGACTATAGAACCATTAAGAGAGCAGAAACTGAAGTGGAAACCGATCACCCCAAGAAAAACGGGCAGGTGAATAATCTTGAGTTGTCATCCTAGAGATCAAACTCATGCAATTTAACAAGACCAACTCTATCAAATATAATTTCGAACCAAACGTATGTTCAATTCATCTCGAGAGATGAGAGGTAAATAAAACAAGGATATCTATAACACTATATTTAGGCTAAGAAAACACCTAAACCAAAAAGACCAGCGACAACTAATAAACCGTAGTGAACACCAGCTCCCATGACAGCACCTGAATCTGAATCACCACTTGAAGTTGATGAAGAAGATGAAGAAGAACTTGAACCAGTTGATTTAGAACCTGAGGAAGTTTTAGTAATATCAGTGTGAGAAGTAGCTCTAATTTCACCACTTAAAGAACCTAAACCAGAAACACCAGCTGATTTCAAGTAAGCTGAACAACTTGAAGCAGTAGCAGCAGATTTAAGGGAAGCTGAACCATCGAAGTCACAAGCAGATTTGGATTCATCTTGATCTAAGTAGTATAAGTTTAAGACAAAATCCAATCTATCTTTAGCAGAACATGGAGAATAAGCACCATATTCACCAGTAGTACCATTAGCATTGATTCCTGAACAGTCGATAAAACCACAAACAGTACCGAATAAATCTTCATAATCATCTTCATCAACAGATGGATCTAAGACACATTTTAATGAATCTACCATACATTCACAAATATCTTCATCAGGGGTTGGAGGTAAAGCAGTGGCAGCATTCCAGTTTGAAGTATCAGTTGGACATTCAGTTGGGGAAGCAGATTTTTCATCAGATGATTGAGCATAACTTGGGGAAATTGAGTTAATTTCTGATTTATAGTAGTTGAAATCAGCTAAAGTTGAAACAGAATCGGAATCAACAACAGAAACTAAACCATAATCATTACCTTCTTGGAAATACATATAAACAATACCACCGGACCAAACATCAGTCATTTCATCAGAATAGATGGTACCAACTTCAGTGAATTTTCTTGGAGAAACTTTGTTACAACCATATTCTGAGAAGAAAAGTGGAATACCTAAATCTTTATATTCTTCAGTAATATCTTCATAACCAGAAGTTTTGAAAGTAGAAGATCCACACCATTCGTACATGTTGATACCGAAGAAATCAGCTCTTTCATCATCATCACCACAAGCGAAATATTCAGCTAATGGTAATCTAATATCAGTATCATCATTAGCAGAATAACCAACAGGAATATTTCTATAACCTTGAGCTTTAATGTAAGCTTTAGTATCTCTAACAGCAGCTTTAACGAAAGCAGAAGCATCAGTGTTGGAAACTTCGTTAGTAACTTCATTACCAGCAAAGAAACCTAAGACATTGGTATAGTTTTGGAATAAATCAACAACACCGGTATATCTATTATATAATTCAACATTCCATTGAGGATCTTTTCTATTAATTGATTCATCTGGTTGTGATAAATCGGCAATGACATAAATACCAGCATCGTTCAATAATTTCATACATTCAGTATGATCTTGAGTAACATTTAAGGCGTAAACTCTGATAATATTAGTATTTAATTGTTGTAAATATGGAACATCTCTTTTACAAGCTTCAACATCAGCTAATGGATCAACGAACGATTCACCAGAAGTGACATTGGCAGTATCTTGTTGATAAGCAACCCCTCTCATTAAAAATTGGGAACCATTATTACTGAAAAAGAATTTGTTACCAACAATTTCAATAGCAGGTAAATCATCTGCTAATACACTAGCGACTGATAAGAATAAAGCACTTAAAGATTTTAATAACATGTTTTCTTGTCCTTGAAGTGATAAAGAAAACTCAAAAGTGAATGATCTTGGCTCTTGATGAAATTTTTGAAGAGATCAAAATCTTTTTATTTATCCTGAAAAACTTGACGATTTTTTCCCATTTAATATTTTTTGAAAACAAACGGGCTTAGTGGTAAATGGACACGACCTTGGGATTCCACTATTGAGATGGTATGGGGAAAGTCTATGAAGCTTAGAGGTTGAAAAAAGTGGGCAATGATATGGTTATGACGTTGATTAAGGTTATTAGCTGATTTTGGCGTTGTGAACCTCCTTTGGTGGGTTAGAATAACTGTATTTCTTGAATACAAAACAATGTTACATGGCTCAAATTATACGCGAAATTCATTTTAGGAAGGCATGAAAAAGTCCCGTGAAGTGCGGTGGTGTACCGGGGTGGGTATTTTTAGCTTAATTGATAATGTGGGTAGTGATAAAATGAGGGAAATTGGTGGAGAGTTAATGGGATGATGGTGTGAGGGATTTGATTGAGATTTTAAATTTTGCAAAGTTTATTATGGACAATTAAAGGTCGAGAATTAAGTCAACTTTCGACACGAAGTGTTCATGAGGCATTTCCAATAGGAGATTTAAAGTATCATGGTGTATGGAAATAAACAGGGTGCTACCTAAGCCTTGGTAAGATTCTTGTTTACTTCAATTACATAGCTTTCGGGGAAGTCGATATACGGGACAGTTCTCTACCCGTGATGATGCTGTAATGAAAAAAATTCGGAGTCCGCCATATGGGGGGGGGGGGGTTGTACACGGAAATTTCTCACTCCACATCTCGTATTTTAGACTTTTCTCACTATAGGCGAATCTTTGTATAATAAAGCTACAAGGGTTAAATTAACAACATCTTCATCCCATTGACCATAAAATTATAATCTCACCTCTATTTCAGATTAATGTCCACTCTTACCGAATCTAATCAAAACCCAAGCGGATGGTTTTGGACCAACTCGGAAAATTGATCACTCCGATATATTTTTCACTCCACTCGACATTCTCATTTCGTCCACTCCATAATTCAAATTTTTGAAAAAATTTATACCACTTTTTGAAAAGGTAGACTTCTTTTATATAAATATAACAATGGAAGAGGAAGTAGCAGAAAGTTACATTGAATGTTACGTCAGATTCAATGATGATTTAGAAAAAGATTATTGTTTCCAATTCAAATCATCAACTAAATTTAATGAATTGTTTAAAATTTTTAACACTTTACCTATAAGTCTTAGACCTTCAGTTTTCTATAGTTCTAAACCTAAAGGTTTCAAAATCAGTACCTCTCCAGGTTATTTAACTGAAGACGGAGCTTTATTATTTGATTACGAAGCTACTAACGAAAAATATTTAAAAAATGTTGATTTGAACGATGAAATTGGTGAAAAGATTTGGCCAGGTCAATTGATTGTACCAGTTTGGGATCATAATGATTTTGGATTCTATAGTTTTGTTACATTCTTAGGTTGTTGGTTATACACTGACTTACCTGATTTTATTTCTCCAACTCCAGGAATTTGTTTAACTAATCAAATTAGTAAACTTGCTAGTATTGTTTTACATCATTTTGGTAAACATTCTTTAGCTGCCTCATTTGTTGACGATTTAGATGCTGATATTGGTATTGTTCCACAAATTGTTTTCTTTGTTTTCCATTTAATTAAGGTTGGTGTTATTTTCCTTTTCTTATACTTGGGTTTATTCAACCCAATCAAAGTTATTAAATTTGTTGGTTCTCCAGCTCCAAAAGATATTACTAAAGAACAATTATTAGAATTAGGTTGGACTGGTTCAAAAAGAGCTACTGTTGACGAATATAAAGAATTCTATAGAGACTATAAAATCAAAAGTTATAAATCAATGGTTGAAGCTCATCAAGATGGATTATTTGAAAGATTGAAAACTGTTGGTATTCCATTGACTGATGGTGAAGGATTTAATACTCCATTAGATTCAAAATATTCAATTAAGGATATCTTCGATCAAAAGAAAGTTGTTTTAAGTTTCCAATATTTAAGGAAATTAGAAGAATTATTCTTAGAACAATTAAAAACTGCTGATGTTAATGAAGCTGGTAAACAATTCAGAAAATTCGGATTATTAAAATCTGATGATGAAATTAAAAATATCGTTGCTGTAAGAAAGGAAACTTTATAAAGGTATATAGATTCGTTTTATAATAAATAATTTGTTCGATGTGAAAGATCTGGAAAATCCGTTGAAATATTTCCGTCAAAGTTCTACGTCAGTGGAAGAAAGGAAGGTTTTTCCCTACCAGATTAAATAAATGTCTGAAAGGGGGTTGGACCAAATGTCTTAGGCTTTATGTCTGTGGCCCCAATGTCCAAAGATAATTAAACCTCATTCGTCGATTACTGCGATACCGGGGCCCATCGATTCTTATATAGAACGAGTCAAGTCACGTGAGGTGAGACCAACGTTTTAAACGACGAAATCAAATCGACGATGAAAAATTATTTAAACCCAATTATCCCCCCAAATTAAATAATTTGTAATTTTTTATAAACTCAATTTAAAGGATAAAAATTATAAAAGAACATAAACAATGGTTGCTTCATCAGTTTTAGGTTTCCCTCGTATTGGTGGCCAAAGAGAATTAAAAAAGACCACTGAAAGTTATTGGAATGGTAAAGTTGATCAAGAAACTTTAGTTAACAAAGGTAAAGAATTAAGATCAACTAACTGGAAAATCCAAAAAGATGCTGGTGTTGAAATCATCCCATCTAATGATTTCTCATTCTATGATCAAGTTTTAGATTTATCTTTATTATTCAATGTTGTCCCAGAAAGATACTTAAAATTCAACTTATCACCAATTGATATTTTATTCGCTATGGGTAGAGGTTTACAAAGAAAAGCTACTGAAACCACTGAAGCTGTTGATGTTACTGCCTTAGAAATGGTTAAATGGTTCGATTCAAACTACCATTATGTTAGACCAACTTTCTCCCACTCAACTGATTTCCAATTAGGTAAATTCGGTTTAAAACCAGTTGATGAATATTTAGAAGCTAAAGCTCAAGGTATTGAAACCAGACCAGTTTTATTAGGTCCAATTTCTTATCTTTATTTAGGTAAATCTGATAAAGATTCTTTAGATTTAGAACCATTATCTTTATTACCAAAATTATTACCAGTTTACAAAGAATTATTATCTAAATTAAAAGAAGCTGGTGTTACTTCAGTTCAAATTGATGAACCAATCTTAGTTTTAGATTTAGAAGAATCTGTTAGATCTTTATACAAATCTACTTATGATGAATTATCATCAGTTGGTTTAGATTTAGTCTTAACTACTTACTTCGGTGATGTTAGACCAAACTTAGATGCCATTAAAGGTTTAAATGTTGCTGGTTTCCATTTCGATTTCGTCAGATCCCCAGAACAATTTGATGAAGTTGCTGAAATTGTTGGTGATAAAATCTTCTCCGTCGGTATTGTTGATGGTAGAAACATTTGGAAAGCTGATTTCGCTAAAGCTTCAGAAATTATTTCAAAAGCTATTGCTAAATTCGGTGAAGATAAAGTTATTGTTGCTTCATCATCTTCATTATTACACACCCCAGTTGACTTAAACTCTGAAAAGAAATTAGATGCTACCATCAAAGACTGGTTCTCATTTGCTACTCAAAAAGTTGATGAAATTGTTATCTTAACCAAAAACGCTAAAGGTGAAGATGTTTCAGCTGAATTCGCTGCTAACGCTGCTTCAATCAAATCAAGAACTGAATCATCAATTACCAACAATCCAAAAGTTCAATCTAGATTAGGTGAAATTAATGAATCATTATCTACCAGAAAATCACCTTTCCCAACCAGATTAGAATCTCAACAAAAGAAATACAACTTACCATTATTCCCAACCACCACCATTGGTTCATTCCCTCAAACTAAAGATATCAGAGTTAACAGAAACAAATTCACCAAAGGTGAAATTACTGCTGAACAATATGATGATTTCATCAAAAAGGAAATTGATACTGTTGTTAAATTCCAAGAAGAAATCGGTTTAGATGTCTTAGTCCACGGTGAACCAGAAAGAAACGATATGGTTCAATACTTCGGTGAACAATTAGATGGTTTTGCCTTCACCACTAACGGTTGGGTTCAATCATATGGTTCAAGATACGTTAGACCACCAATTATTGTTGGTGATGTTTCTAGACCAAAAGCTATGACTGTTAAAGAATCAGTTTACGCTCAATCTATCACTTCTAAACCAATGAAAGGTATGTTAACTGGTCCAGTTACTTGTTTAAGATGGTCTTTCCCAAGAAATGATATTTCTCAAAAATTACAATCATTACAATTATCTTTAGCTTTAAGAGATGAAGTTAATGATTTAGAAAAAGCTGGTATTACTGTTATCCAAGTCGATGAACCAGCTTTAAGAGAAGGTTTACCATTAAGATCAGGTAAAGAAAGATCTGATTACTTAAACTGGGCCGCTCAATCTTTCAGAGTTGCCACTTCAGGTGTTGAAGATTCTACTCAAATTCACTCACATTTCTGTTACTCAGATTTAGATCCAAACCATATCAAAGCTTTAGATGCTGATGTCGTTTCAATTGAATTTTCTAAAAAAGATGATCCAAACTATATCCAAGAATTTTCAAACTATCCTAACCATATTGGTTTAGGTTTATTCGATATTCACTCACCAAGAATTCCATCAAAAGAAGAATTCATTAAAAGAATTGGTGAAATCATGAAAGTTTACTCTGCTAACAAATTCTGGGTTAACCCAGATTGTGGTTTAAAAACTAGAGGATGGCCTGAAGTTAGAGAATCATTAACCAATATGGTTGATGCTGCTAAATATTTCAGAGATCAATATTAAATTTAAACTATTTCCATAGTTTTTTGCTTTGTCTATTTTAAAACCTAACCTAAGGGTATATATTGCATTTATTCAACATTAATGTAATTTGTTTGTTTTTTGTTTTGTTTGATTTTTTGGGGTTTTAAAATGGGATTTCAACATCGGTAATACATAAGATTTTTTATTTTACTTCTCTTTTATTCTATACTGTTCCGCACTAAACCTCTGGTACCATCTGGTACCATTTGACGGGAGGAGTTTCCCACTATCGCTCCATTTTCAAATCGCAGTCTCAATCATAAAAACGATCTTGAATCTCACAACGCCATCATGGAAGAATTGATTGAAAGATTTATAACAATTACCGGTGCAAGTCGTGAACTTGCTAGCCAATACTTAGCCCGTAATGATAATGACTTAATGACCTCAATTGAAGATTATTATGGAAATTTGAATACATCGAAACCACAAAAAAAGAAAGGTGTCAATACATTTAGAGATTTGAATGAAGAAGAGGAAGATGATAAAACCAACACTAATTTTTTCACTGGAGGTGAAAAGTCAGGATTACAAGTTGAAGATCCAAACGATAGAAAGAAGAAACCTAGGAATTTAGTTGAAGATATTTTTGAAAGAGCTAGACAACAAATGGATCAACCTGATGATAGACCCAGTAGTGAACCAGTTGACACCCCCAAATTCACAGGTACTGGATTCAAATTGGGAGATACTGAGTCAGCTTCCGAAAGAATACCTGATGCCCATGCTGGTTTTAGAAAATTAGAAAGAGCTACCAGAGAAATAACTTTCTGGCGTCAAGGATTCACTGTAGCTGATGGTCCTTTACTCCGTTACGATGATCCTCAAAATGAATCTCTTTTAGGTGAATTGAATCAGGGAAGAGTTCCTTTATCTTTATTGGATGTAGAATTTGGGCAAGATGTCGATGTTAATGTTATAAGGAAGGTTGATGAAGATTATACACCACCAAAAAGAAAAGTTGGAGGTTATGGAGGCTCTGGTCATAGATTAGGATCCCCAGTTCCAGGAGAACCTTCTCCCGCTCCTGAAGTGGAGAAACCAAAATCTTCCCTTTCAACAGATTCAAATAAACCTCAAGATACTGGAGCAGGTGATACCACAGTTCAAATTAGATTTGCCAATGGGAAGAAAACTACTCATAAATTCAATTCGACCGATAGTATCACTGTCGTTTACGATTTTGTCAAGAACCATGAATTCTCTGAGCCTAGAGATTTTGTGTTAAGTCATTCCTTCCCGGTTAAACCTATTGCCAAAGAAGGTACCGTTGCTGATGCTAAGTTGAAAAATGCTGTCATTGTTCAAAGGTGGACATAGATTATATTTATAAGCTTATTTGTGATTCTCTTAACTCTTCTACTTGATCTAAATCTACTGCGAACTACAAATAATCTCATCGCGATGATAAGGCCGATTGTTAGGTCAACACGAATATCACGCTTCCCTCGAATAGGTATACCGACGTACCTTGTGGCAAGGATAGCTCCAATACGACGGATTCATTTGAAAGATTATTACGAACCTAAAGATCCAATTCAAGGGAATTTAATCGCATTGAAGACTCCCAAACCCACACCAAAGATCTTGAATCCAGTAAATAATGTGTCTGAAATCATTGATACCCAAACATACGAAGCACAGAATATAGAAGAAGCCGTCAAGGAAAACGAATCTCAACCGATTGTGGGCTCTTTGGTTTATTATGGAAGATTAGGTTTAGTGTTAAAAGAATCCAATTCTCGATTTGATGGATCCTCAGTGATAGTATTAAACGATATGAACGAAATAGAGACCGTTAGAGTGAGTCAGCTTATACAGCATTTTCATGGAGTGGTAGATGCCGAATGGGTCAATAACTTGAAGCTTTTAAGCAGTTTCCCAGAAGATTATTCCAGAGGTTTGATGGTGGATTTGTTGAGAGAATTTTACCTTCGTTCTGAGTCATTTCAAGTACAAGTGGGCCCTAGTATTGATATATTGTATGCTCAGGGCCATCATATTATTCACCCTATCAAGGTAATTAAAGATATCAGTTGTTCAAATCATTTCGATCAATCATGTGCATTAATGTCCATATATTTACATGTTCATTCAAAACCCGAAAAGTTCATGATCATGAAACTAGAGGCTTATCTGTCATTATTTCCACCTGTAAGAAGATATATAAGTATCAAAGAAAGTGTTTCTGACCTCGTAAGGGAGTATTTGGCCAATCCGATCTCGAGTGATGTGATGGTGGAAGGAGAACCCCATGGATTTTTCTCTATTGTTCATCCGGAATATAGAGGTCTTCTAGAAACCATGAAATTGAGTATCATTCATCCTCATCCCGTGCTTCTCGAAGCTTTGAATTCAAATAAATCTCAAATTCTCCGTAAATTAAAACACTGGGGAGTTTACACCGACGATACTGATATATATGCATCATGCTTGTTTGATCCTATGGTGGAAAACAAAACCTCAGTACAAAGTGCCAAAGAGGTCAAACCAAAAATCACAGTTCTGACTGAATTGCATGATTATTTCAGATACTTAAGGAAAGAGTGCTTCGACACTATTTATGCCTTTAATGTTAATAACACCACCATTGGAATTTCGTTAAACAAACGTAATAGTAGAAACTTCACCATAAATTTGCATATCCCCGATGTTTCTACGAAATTAAGCCCCGATTCCGACGAGTTCAATTCTTTAATCAACAAAACTGAAAATATGAGATCGATTACTACCAAAGGAACGAATCCCATATTCGATTCCAAATTTACCGAATCCTTAAATTTCCAGGGAAGAATGAAAGACAAACAGTTAGACAGGTTATCAGATTTATTCAATTCCAATGATTCATTCAATCCCGATACCACCTGTTTAACTATCTCCGTTCCCTACAACACCTTTGAATCCAACCCTTTTGTAAAATATGATAAAGATGAAGCTGTTGACACCAAAATACAGTTAAGTTCCATATCTTCTGAAAAAATCAAGTTCTTAGATGAAGCATTCCTTGGTAAAGCCATTAATGGGAAATCAAGTACTTTACCTATTCATGTTTTCAAAAGTGCACATAAAGATGAATTAGATAATGATACTTATTACACTTTAGGTTTCATGTATGAATATTTACTTACCCACTCGAAACATAGAAACGTGAATGGTGCTTCCAATTACCAAAACATCCTCCCCCATGAAGCTCGAACCCCAAAAGGGAAAGTTGATTTTTTCTTAAGAGAACTACAGTTATTTGCTTCTAACGTAACAAACAAATATGCATTTGATAATGGAATACCACTAGTTAAAAGGGTTCAAACTTTGTCATCATCGACATTTGATCCTGCTAATGACGATGCTTTGGTTTATCACAATAACAAGTTATTACCGTATTATCATGCCACATCATATTTCCAATCGTTATTGTCAAGAGACGAAAACGGGAATGTTTCATTATCAGCAAAGGTGATTGGTAACAAGTATTTGAAAAGGCCCTATTTCACATCCACCAATGTTCACGATTTCCCTTCAGGTCTTAAATTAGGATATAGTGAGATCTTGGAAGTGTTCGATTCCACCTGGTCAATTTTGAACCAATTTCAACTTTTAAGTTTCTTACACTTAGATTATGTCAACCATAAATCTATGAGATTGAATAGTAACTTCAAAAACAAATTTGGATTCTTAAAACGAAAAGGTTATAATGTAAACGGCCCTTTACGAGAACATGTACTACAGAAATACATCCAACCAATGGATGATTCTACAGCCATTGCCGAATGGATAGAATCCAATTGCCATAAATATGAAACCTTGAAGGTTTGGGAGAAAACGCTCGAATCCGAAGAAACACTTAACCTCCATTGTGTGGTTACTGATATAGGTGAAGATTTTGATAGAGGAAAATTGGTAACTGTCGAAGTTGAGAATTGGGATGTTAAAGTTGAAATGGTAACTTGGACAAACATTCAGGTGGGTCAAGTATTAAAATCTCATGAAGTGATTCTTCTAAATCCTATTGAAGGACTTTGTATCTTGAAAGAATCTTTCTTGTAAATATAATGTATATACGCAAAAAAACTCTGCGAAAAATTTGACTCATAATGATTGTAAGTAAAATAGAACTACTATATCTCATGTTGAAGATATGGTAATGACGCCTCGATCAAACATACTAACCATTAGAACGGTATCCAACCTTCAGTAGATACCTTGAGAGATCTCGTTGCCGAACAAAAAAGTAATGATAAGATTAAATTATATCCAATTTACAAGTATTTACCAACTGGAGACTTAACTTTCCATTTATCATACCTTAAGTTGGCTAGATTGAATGACAAGGGAAGAGTACCATCGTTTTTATTGGAATCCGCCATTACTGATCACATAAATCGTTATTCTTTCATTGGAATCAATCCTAAAAAAATCATAAAAACTGGTGATAATGAAAAATTCGAACAACAATATAGAGACGTTGATCCTATCACTGTTTTAGAAGACGAAATGTCAAAATACGAACAAATTCAAGTTCCTGGGTTACCTAAGACCAGTGGAGGGGCTTTCGGATATATTTCATACGATTGTATTAAGTATTTCGAACCAAAAACCAAAAGAGACTTAAAAGATGTATTACAAGTCCCTGAAGCAGTTTTGATGTTGTGTGACACAATAATTGCTTATGATCACGTATATCAAAGATTCCAAATTATTCAAAACATTGAAATCAATGATACTGATGATATTGAAGAAAAGTTCAAACAAGGGGAAATCAAAATCAATGAAATTGAAAAGATTATCACTTCAGATGTTTCCATTGACGAGATTACACCTGCACAACCACCAATCAAACAAAACCAAACCTTCTCTTCCAATATCGGACAAGAAGGTTACGAAAACCATGTTACTAACTTGAAAGAACATATCTTAAAGGGAGATATTATTCAAGCGGTACCATCACAAAGAGTTGCCAGACCAACCTCCTTACACCCATTCAATATCTACCGTCATTTAAGAACCGTCAATCCTTCACCATACTTATTCTATTTTGATTTATTGGATTTCCAAATTATTGGTGCTTCTCCAGAATTATTAGTTAAATCTGATAACAAAAATAAGGTCATCACCCACCCAATTGCTGGAACCATAAGAAGAGGTAAAACCAACGAAGAAGATGAAGAAAATGCTGAAATCTTGAGAGCCTCATTGAAAGATAGAGCCGAACATATTATGTTGGTAGATTTAGCCAGAAATGATGTCAATAGAGTTTGTAAACCAGAAACCAATAGTGTTGATAGATTATTAACCATTGAAAGATTCTCTCATGTGATGCATTTGGTTTCAGAAGTCAGTGGTACTTTGAGAGAAGACAAAACTAGATTTGATGCGTTTAGATCAATTTTCCCTGCTGGTACTGTAAGTGGAGCACCAAAAGTCAAAGCTATGGAATTAATCGGAGAATTAGAACAGGAAAAAAGAGGTATTTACGCCGGAGCTGTGGGCCATTGGGGTTATGATGGTAAAACCATGGATACTTGTATTGCTTTAAGAACTATGGTTTATAAAGATGGTATTGCCTATTTACAAGCTGGTGGTGGTATTGTTTTCGATAGTGATGAATATGATGAATACATTGAAACCATGAACAAAATGAAAGCCAACAACAATACTATTGTTGAAGCTGAAAAGATCTGGACTGATAAAGTTGGTAGTGCTTAATAGATATTTAAACTCTTAGCTGGTAATAACCTTTTTTTAAATCACGTGATTTCTTTTTTGAGAAGTTGTCGACGATGATCATCACCGAGAGTTGTGAGATCTTATCCCATACAAAACCCCAAAGGTAAATAAAATCCAATCGAATTAGAGGGTAGGTTTATATAAGAAACGGTGAAGATACTATGAGTACTCCTGATATTAAAACAGAAAGTGCATCGCCTTCAGGAGATAAAGCCAATTCCAGGACTCCCACTTCATGGGATCCTGAGGATGATATACTATTGATGCATTTAAAAGATAATCAGAAGTTGGGTTGGAAAGCCATTGCCGCCAACTTCACTAATCGTACACCTAATGCTTGTCAATTCAGATGGAGGAGATTAAAATCAGGAAATTTAAAGAATCCTCCTAAAAGTGCAGCGGCTTTAGGTTCAACAGAATCTTTTGGTAAAGCCAAATCTACTGAACCTCCAGTAAAGAAACAAAAGAAGTATGCTTTCCCAAATACTAAGGCCAATGGACATGTGGGGACAGGATTTCCTTCAGCTTATTCACCAATTCCAAGTTCTGGATTCTCAAATTATGATAACAATGTTACTAATGCATTAGCTGGTTTAAATGCATTATCCAATGACAGTTCCAATATCTCAAGCCCATTACCTTATAACCAAAATAACCAAATTCAACATTCACCTGACTTAAATGAAGATAGAGACTCCAATTCTAACAGTAATGAGAATTCTCCTTTAATGAATTCACCCAAGGTTCCACCTCAAACCACAAACAATTACCAACATTCACCTGAAGATGAGGATTTAAATTTAGATCCAAGTCAACAAGTAACTGAAGGTGGAGGTTATTATGCCGAGATCCTGGTTGATCCAACCATGAATTTACCTCATAATCAATCTCATCCTTTACCATCAGGATTGACTCCTAGAAATTCTTCCTCGGGTTTACCAGTGCCCAATGACTTAAATCATAATAATTCAATCATTCAAATTGTTAGAGACGAAAAGAATGACAGAAATTCCATTTCAAGTGCTAGAGATAGTATTTCATCCTTACCTTCAAAATCAATGAATATACCACATCATCAATTGGACAAAAATGCTTTGGCTCATTTACCTACAATTTTCGGTGGTAATGGTAGTGTGAGTGGACCATCGAGGAATTCAAGTATTTCCCATAATGTTTTATCAAGTTTAAGAAGTGCAAGTATTGTAGGATCAGGATATTTCTCAAGATCTGGTTCAGTAATAATACCATTCAATTCTGACAAAGACAAAGAAAAGGAATTAGGATTCAATCCAAAGATCATCAAGAAGAATAAGCACAAAATAAAAGACAAAAAACTAGCAAAGGATAAAAAGAAAAAAGACGATAAAATAGAATTACCTTGGACAATGGAGGAAGATGAACTCTTGATAAATCGTCGTAATAGAGAATTATCATTCGCAGAATTATCGATATTGTTACCTCAAAGAACCGAAGGGGACATTTGGAACAGAATTGATTATTTAGAAAAGTTAAGAAATGGTGTTAGATCTTCTGTGGCTCGTGAAAGAAGAAGACGTCAATCTTCTATTGGATTAGATGATGTGGAAGATTTCTATATGAGTGACATAGGGGTTACTGAAGATGATGATGATGATGAAGTCTTGGTAGATGTTGACGATATACCTCAAGCTCATAGAAGAGGTTTAAAAAGAAGAACCAGTTCAGCTGTTAACCCTTTGAGTGTTAATAATTAACAGTTATGTATAAATTCTAATGTAAATTATGTATCTAGTATAACTTCAAATCTCTGGTAATTTGATCGATAACAGATTTGGGTGCTGGTCCTAAACCTAACACTGTAGCTGAACCCGCTGCAATCTGGGTTCTACCAGCATCATGAACAATATAACTATTTATACCTAATGATATAGCTTGAGCAAATAGTAAATCCATAGATTCCTGATCAGGTACTTGTAAAGTAATTTTGGCTTGACCATTATAATATTCCCATCTATGAACCATTTCAGGATTATAAGCTGGACTTTCAGGATTGGTGATTTTCTTATATAAAGCTAAGGTGGCATGCAGACATTGTGCAGCAGCTTTACCTTTACCCATCTTTAAATCTTGTCTAACGATCAATGTCATTCTAACTTCTCCAGGTACAGTATTCAAATCTTTGGAATCTACATCTATACCTTCATCATCACTTTCTTCATCCGATGACGATGAAGTTTCACCTTTGAAGTAGACAGTTTCACGTTGGAAGTATCTGTCAATGAAAACCCCCGTTACAAATGATAATATACCAATTGTTACTAATCTTCCTACTTGACTCATGCGATGCGAATTTATAGATCTTGAGAGAGTTTTGAACAGGTCCGTGGGAAACTATCTATATTGTACATATTTGGGAATTTTAAAGGAATGTAGTTATGCTAGTACTTTCTTCTTTTTAGGTTTCTTCTTTTTTTCGACCTTTTTTACAAAATTCCTCCAATTTTCGACTCTTGATTCTCTTTGATCTTCCCATTTCTCATCGAATTCTTTCTTCAATTGTCGTTGTTGTTTAAGGCTCTCCATGTGATCTTGCTCTTGAGCTTCTTTGTGTTTCTGTATTTGTTTTTCTTTTTCCTCTTCTTCGTCTTCTTTGATTAAGATATCATAAACTTCTTTTCGTGTAGTATCTACAGGTTTCTCACCGACATACTTGTAAATATCGATCAATTTCTTCTTTTCATCAATTTTTCGTTGTATTTCTGGATCCTCAGAAGATTCTTCTTCCAATATGGCGATATCATATGCTCTTTTAAGTTTATCAAAGGCAATTGATGCTTGTTTGTGATCAGACTTATCAGGATGTATCAATAATGATTTCTTTCGATATGTCTTCTTTACTCCTTCCAAATCTCTAGGTATATCCAAAATAGCAAAGAAATCCTTATTATGACATGCTAGGATTCTCTCGATCTCCTTGTCCCTCAATGCTGCCAGTTCTGTCGATGAGAGTACCTTATCTAAATCCATCGCTAAATCGCACTTCAATGAAATCCATCAGATCAGTTATGTGGAAACCAAGATATTTCGATATTGGAGTCAATTTTTCTGACCTGATGTTCCAAGGCTACTATAATCATTCTAATACTGCAAAGCATCCCCCTGATTTAGAAGAAGTTATCTTAAGAGCACATACATTTAATGTAGATAAAATGCTTATCACTACTTCAAGCATCAAAGAAAGCTCCCAACATTTGGGATTATGTGATAAATATCCCGGGTTCTATTCAACTGTTGGTGTTCATCCTTGCACAGTTGCCGAAGAATTCTATGTAAAGAGTGACGAAGGCTATTCTGAAGAATTGGCTGATGATGCTGAAGAGAAATTGAAAATCTTACATGATATAGTTGTTGATGGAGTTGGAAAAGGAATTGTTAAGGCTTTTGGGGAAATAGGTCTTGACTACGATAGGCTACACTATTCTTCTAAGACTCAACAAACAACAATGTTTAAAAAACAACTTGAAGTCATTGCATCATTGAAACATTTGGAATTGCCTTTGTTCTTACATATGAGAAATGCTTGTGACGATTTCATAGACATTTTAACTCCATTCATTGAAGACGGATCCATTAAGAGAGGAAATGGTGTAGTTCATTCGTTTACTGGGACAGAGAAAGAATTGGAAAAATTGTTAGATCTCGGATTTTTCATAGGTGTTAACGGATGCTCTTTGAAGACTGATGAGAATTTACTAGTAGCAAAGAAGATCCCAATGGACAAACTTATGATTGAAACTGATGCTCCATGGTGTGAGATTAGAAAATCCCATGCCAGTCACAAGTTCCTTACCCCCTACCCTAATAAATTTTACCCCGAGATCATAGAGCCTAAGGTTGAAAGTTCAGAAGAGGATCCTACCCCTGAATTCAAACCAAAATCTAAGAAACAACAACAGAAAAACAACCCCATAAAGCTTGACGACTTCATTCCATTCCCTTCAATCAAGAAAGAAAATTATCAAAAACATAAGGTTGCCGTAGAGTCAATTTCTCAACCTGTCATTTCCAAAATAGGTATTTTAGCTCCGCCCTTGATAAAATCAAGAAACGAACCAGTGTTCGTAGGTTTGGTTGCTGAAATAGTATGTAAACTTCACAATTTAGGCGATAAAGAGATAGAGGAAACATTAGATTTGATATATCATAATTCATGTAAATTATTAAAAGTCTAATATCCTATGTTACATATATACACAATACAAAAAATCACCTGTAAGGACTTTCCGACAACGCAATTCGTCTGGACTTCCTGGTAGGGGTTCGTTCAATTTTACGTCTCAAAGGTCTACGCCTTGTGAAAGAAGGTTCTGGATCAAGATCTTCTTCTGCATCCACCATCTCTTCATCGCTTGATTCGGGAATTGGTGTTTTAGCTTCTTCTTCTTCTTCTTCATCATCTCCCTCTTCTTCCTCGTCTTCAACATTTTCTTCGTCGTACTCGATTTCTATGTCTTCTTCACCATCTTCGTCTATTTCATCATCGATTTCTCCATATTCTTCGAAATCCGAATCTCTCTCACTCAAATTCAGAGGTTCTTCCGGACCTAAAATCTCATCTATAATCTCGTTGTTCACCATTCCATCATCAATGCTTTCATCATTCATGACTTTTAAAGAATTCGATGATTGAGTAGGAATGAAAGATTTATTAGTTTTAATTCCTGGGTAACAAATGACAAAGTTTTCAGTGTTTTTATCATCTTCGTCAACTTCTTGGTTGAGTTCTTTTAAACCGTCGATTTCTTTCAAGGCTTCTTCTTCAAAGGTGAAAGGATTGTCTATGTCATCTTTCAAAAATGAAGATAACAATGCTATTCTGTTTATGGGTTCTTTAGGGGGTTCCGCTATATCACCATTAGAATGACTGACAGCATCTCCGGGGCCCGAAGAATCACCATTAATCTCTATAAAAGGATCGCTTTCGATTACTGGGGGAGGCGGAGGTTGAGGAATAGCAGGGGCAGAATTTATACCCCCAGAAGGACCAAATAACATTGGTTTCCATAGCAATTTACTATAGTCCAAAGTTACATATTGCTTTCTTTCCCATTTCTCTATAACAAAATCTATTTTCTCCAAATTGATAGCTATGGCATAATTGTTGGTTGAAGGGTTCTTAATCAACGAATCTAACTGTTCCAATCCGACTATTACGTCAGAAGGTATCATACCTGTTAATTTCGATAAACTTTCTATGGAAAAAATAAGATCTGTAAGCTGATCATCGGTCCCATTGTCGATACTTTCCAAATACTTCTGGTAAAGAAACTTCAATTTATAGGCAATGACAATTTTCCAATAGTTCCTATAACTCAATAACCCTAAATCACTCAACGGTTTTTCTGGAGTACCAAATTTGAATTCATTTCGGGTGAGAAGATAACTGAAATCGATTAATAAATTACCATAACCTTTCCTTTGATAAATGGGTAAGGTTAAAATACATGACACATTATTGTCAGAATTATTGAGCTTCTCTTTGGAGAAATATCCCACAAAGTGGTACACCGAAGGATCGTTCTCGTCGATTTCAGTCAAAATGTAGAAAATAAATGGTTCTACATCATAATATAAAGTTTTGGAATTAAGGAATAATTTAGCTAGAAGGCATAGATTCTGACAATAACTGATATTTTTCCTTCCATCAACTTCCCAAAAGGATATATTTGTTTTTGTGTCACGATAAATCTCCACACCAGGCGGATGTTTGTTGGATAAATTACAGTTTTTCAATTGATGACGGGAATAAGAATACGGGGAACTCATATACTTTAAACAATGTTCACAGATGTATAAGATCTGACATTGAGAATATTCTTCCGGATAAGGTGAATTGTACCAGGTATTGATTTGATGATTTCTGAATTGGATTTTGTTGATCTTGGATCGCTGATAAGTTTGAGACGAATCAATCTCATCGTCTTCATAGATCTCTTGTGATTGTTGTAATTTCTCACCTTCAAGAAGAAACTTATTGAATAGTTTCCTATCAGCTTGAGTGGGATCAGTTCCATTGATAGTACAATCAGGGTAAGGTATTATACCCATATAAGGTAGATCTTTATTATCATAATCAGGATCAATTGATTTGAATATATTCTTGAATTTTTCACTATACGGTATAGTGATGAGAAATTCATCAGTAGAATGTTGAATACGAACATTATTTCGTAGCGTTACTTTTATGGTGCCTATAACTCCGGTATTGTTTTTAATCATTGGTCTTCTATTAGGGGTAGTAACAGTTCTTGATCTTCTTCTTTCACTTCTTGAATCACTTTTGGTTCGGAGATCAATATTAGGTTTAAATACATATTCTGTGGCTTTCCTTCTTGCCGATCGTTCAAGCCCTACCTCATGACCTATATGTTCATATGTACGATTATCAGGGATCCTCAATTGTTGTAGGAGGTCCCGTTTCTTAGGTGGCATAATAACAATCAAGTGTTTATTCGCGTTGCCAAAAACTATCACCCTAGTCGCGTACCGCCAACCTTGTGAATCAAATGGACCTAAGCTACCGCGAAATTTTTCAAATCGTAAAAAGTTACTACAGCGAAATAGTATAGAGGTTATCTAAATCAATATATATTACCTTATAGGTAACTAAAGTAAATTTTACAGGATTATGCTAATCTAAATGAATAAATTATAAAATAGTAATAGGTTTAATTAAAAGAATTGAATTATTTATCATCTTTCTCAATATCTTCCTCTATATGTTTTTCATGAACATCGGGATTTTCAACATCTTCAACATCTTCGAAATTAACATCTTCAGAACCAGCGATACCATAATGAGCTAATAAAGATTGAGCTGATGAAGTATCTAAGTAGATGACTCCATTTTCACTAGTAATGGCATTAGAAGCTAATAATTTTTGTAAAGATATAGCACCATTAACTTCACTTTCTTCATTATTTTCTAAATCTTTTTCATTATCATTATTATCATTATTAGTATTATCATCTTCATTAAATTCTTGATTTCTTAAACCAGGTAAACCACCAAACATTGAATAACCACCTAAACCATTACCACTTGATTGATTTCTTGAATTGGAATTTTGAGCTTGTTGACCAATTTCATAATATTGACCGTAAATATCTTTATAAATATCATTATAAGGATTTGAAATTGATCCAAATTTTGAAGAATTTGATTCTTTTGATTGATTAATTTCAATCTTTTTAATGATTTTTTCATACCATTGATCTAAAGTTTCATTTTTCGAATGATCTAATAAAGCTAAAATAACGATAGACATATTATCACAACCAATACCTGAACCATCACTTGTTGGAGCACAACATAGTTCCATAATTTCTTCACAAATAGTTGTTAAAGATTTTCTTTCAAATATACCTCTTCTAACACATTCTACACAACTTTGAGATGTTAAACAATCCCAAATACCATCACAAGCTAATATAATAAATTCATCATTTTCGAAATTAATTTTATGATTTAAAACATCAGGATAACAAGTAACAATTTGTTCTTCAGCAGGTAAATCGATATTTTTCTTGAATTCAAAATCTCCAATACCTCTTGATAAAGCTAAATTACCATTAACTCTACCCATATCAACATAACCACCAGCAGAACAAATTCTAGTCTTTTCTCCTTCATTTGATGGTTTATGATCATAAGATAATGCTTTAGCAAAACCATTAATTGACATAACAGTTCTTGAATCACCTGCATTACCACAAAAAATTTCATCTTTAGTAACAATAACTGATGTAGCAGCACATCCACTATCATCATCTCTCATATTAAAATCTCTTAAGATAGCTTGATCACAATTTAAGAAACCCTCTTTTAAAGCATTAACATAATCTTTTTTCTTAAAAGAAGGAGTCGATTTAATAATTTGAGGTAAATATTCTCCAGTGAAAATAGCTGCTCTTTCACCTCCATGTCCATCATAAACTCCAAAAAATGCTACGTGATCATCATCATTTGATTCTTGTTTAACTTCATCATCTTCTTGTTGATAATCTTTAACAGTGTTCATGTTTAATATAGTAGAATGATCATCTTCCATATTGACTCTCCATCCTTGCATACATGAAAGACCATAAACTATATGATCATCACCGGAATTTTCAGAATGTTTTTCTGTAACGGGTTGTGAAAGTATTTGACCCATCTTTTAATAACTTTTAATCAATTATTTAACGCGTTGGAGTGAAGTTAATTGATTTTTTTAAACAATTATTCTTTATCAATGGAGGATTAGTCACTACGAGTATAAATCCGTTTTCAATGAGGAAATTTGATTTTGTTCAAGATATTCACGTGAAATTCTATTTAAAGTTTCAAATCAACTATTTGGTAGTAATTCAATTCGATTATTTAATGATATAGATCAAGTTTTACTTGGATTATTTATCACTAAGGCAAATTTTTTTCTCCTGATGAGAGGTCAAAATTTTCTCAAAATTTTCTTTTTTTTCGATAAAGTGCGGTACACCACCGAAGGGGTAGGGATTAAGGTACCATAGGAAACGATGATAATGGGGGTTGATCTGATTAGAAATAGGATGGAATAGTTGAAAAGTTCAGTGGAATTTGATTGGTCATCTTGAGAGCGATTTCCAACCCGTATTAAAGGAAAATTATAGAGATTGAATAATTGTTTGAATAAATATATTAATAAACATATCTTTTAACATAACGGATCTATCAAAAGTACAATATTGTCACATTAGTGTCATTAGAAGAGATATCTCTTCATCTATCATAATTATCATAATCATCATAATCCTAATCATCATAAATTCATTCCGTTTTCATAAATTCATACTTCTTTATTTTGTTTTTTTTCGTTGGGGGTTTATTGTACTTAGTTATTTCCATAAAGATCATCTTATCAAAAATTCATCAGTGAAAAGGGATTATTTTGGACCCCAAATACCTGAAGAATTTTCATATAAATTTAATGAATTAAATTTCACATCAAATTCATTATTTAAACTTGGTAAACTAACATTATTTTGATTTGAAAAAGGAGCAAATCTAGAATTTATATCTGAAGGTAAAGGAGTTGAAGGTTGACTTGGAGTTGGACCTTTAAAAATTGAATTAGCAGGAGTTGGAGAATTAGCTGAACTTAAAGTCGCATTAGCATTTGTTGGAGTAGAAGATTCAGTTTCACCTCCACTATTGTTTTGACCAGTGGTATTTGGTTGACTTGAAGGGGTTGAATTAGGTAAGTTCAAAGGAGGAGTTCTCATATCATATTGTCTACCTCTTAAAACGTTAGAATTCAATTGAGGTAATAATCCACCAGAATTTTGGGGGAATAACCCAAATGGTTGCATATTTGAATACAATTTCCCATTACTTGGTTGAGATTGGTTAGCTTGATATTGAGGGAAGTTATTAACTGGTCCAGTAGATTGTTGTCTCAATCTTGGTAAAGGTAAAGCAGATTGTGATTGAGATCTTAATAATTCTGGATGATTCAAATTACCAGAAGGTTGGGTGTTAATTTGATTTAAATTCATCATTGAATTAGAATTTTCTAAATTACCTCCAGTTGATGTTGAATTCAAAAGTTGGAATACTTGACCTGGTTTTCTTCTAATAACAATTAATCCATTATCATATAATTCTAATAAATTCAAATAATTACATAAATTTGTTAAAATTTTCCTTTGACTAATGGTTAAATTTGGTGAATAAGCCAATTCAGTAACTTTTGAATTTTCGTCTTTAAAAACGATCAATTGACTGAATAATTCCAAAGTTTCTAAATCATTAAGATTAATATCACTGGGAATAGTTGATAAATTCCCACTTGGATAATTAATAAACATTCTCTCTTGAGATGAAGAATTAGCATTACCGTTGACGCTTAAATTCTTAGTAGCAGCGGTAGTTGAAGTACCGGAAATTAATGAAGCTAATGAAGCATTGGAAGCACTTCTATGTTGTTCTTCTAATTGTCCTCTTTTCTCTCTCTTTTCTCTTTCGATTCTTTCTCTTTCTTGAGCTGGTAACATTTTTTTGTATTCGACTCTTAATTTTCTACCTCCGATTTCTCTTCCATTTAATAAATTAACAACTGAAGAAGTTTCATCAGTAGATGTAAAATTTGCAAATGCTAAACCTCTGAAAACCCCATTATCAAAATGATAATTGAAAGCATAAGGTAAAGGTAAATTTAATTTGGTCATTACATCTAATAATTGTTCCTTTTTAATGGCAAAAGGAATATTCTTAATAACTATAGCAGTTGGAATTAAATCTTCATCATCATCATCAATATCATCATCATCAATTAAATCATTCATATTGGTAATAGTTGAAGTCAGATTAGAATTTTTGGAATTTAAATCTTTTTTATCAAGTTCAATACCAACTTTATTTTGTTGTTGTTTTTGTTGTTCAACCCATGGAGTAACATCATTAATGGTATCACCCCAAGGTCTACGATTATTATTATTATTTCCATTAACATTTCCATTACCGTTACCATTACCATTCACATTACCACCATTATAACTTGAGGAATTATATCCAGAAGTTGATGATAATGAGCTTAGCGAAGGTCTACGTTGGATTTCTAAACTAGGAGTTGATGATAAGTTTCTCAAATCCATTGAAAATTTTCAATCTTTTTACTTTTTATTTTCTTAGGAAAAAATTTGATTTTCGGCAATTTTCTTTTGATTATAAATGTATTGAAATCTTTTGAATGATATTTACTTCTTACTTCAATAGTCTTAACTTATTTAAAGAAGTCAATACTGATTCTTTGTAAATTCCCTGATGACTTTTGGTGAAATAAAAATTTTCTCAAAAGTTGAGATTTCCACTATTCTCAAGATTCTCAAATTTCGTCCATTAATATGGTATGTAAAAGGAAACTATTAAATTTAGGGTAATGAATAAAGGAGAATGGGTTTTAAAAAATGGATTTGAAGATCTGAAAGACCTAGGTTAACATGATCATTTGGTGATGGAATGAAGTGTGGGATATTCATTATTTACATTAGATTTGATGATAAAGTGAAAAATTGACACGTACTAACAATAATAGTCACAAGCTCCAGGAGGTTTAAGAAGTGCTGCTAAGAGAAAAAACACTGCTGATAAAAAAGCTAGTGCATCCCAACCTTTATCTACCAGATCAGCTGGTGCTGGAGGTTCATCAGCCACCATGATGAAATTATTCACTGATGAAGCTCAAGGTTTAAGAATTGATCCATTAATTGTTTTATTTTTAGCTGTTGGTTTTATCTTCTCCGTTATTGTCTTACATGTTTTTGCTAAATTAACTGGTAGATTTTCTTCTTAGTACTGAGTACAATATATAATGATAGTTTGATTTCTCTATTTTTGAACGTCTATTACTATTTACATGATTCGTTTTACATTTGTTTGATTAATATGTTCAAAAATTGCTTTAATGAATCTTTATGAACAATCCATTTGTAATCTTTCTTCTCTCCGAGACTTTCAAGTTCAGGTGATGAAATATCCCATCTGGTTTCTACTTCAACTTTGGGGAAGTTTCTTCCAACAATAACAACTATAGGAATTCCTAACAAATTACTCTGTTTGATTTTGTTACCAAGTCCTATGTCTCTATTATCCCAACGGAAATCATTCAAACCTTCCACTACATCGAGTATTATATCTTCAGATTTAAATTTAGGAGGCGTTACCAAAGTTACTGTCCAGGGACAAATTGAAATTGGCCATTTGAATCCTTTGTCATCTTTCAAATCTCCCACAGCTGCAATGATTCTACTGATTCCAATACCATAGCACCCCATAACCACATGTTTATCAATAGTTTTACCATTTGAATTCTCAATAGGTACTGGTAAGGTGAAGTCAAGTGATTCAGTGTATTTTGTCCCGAGATAGAAGGTATGGCCGATTTCAATAGCTCTGAATGATTTGAGTGGCGAGGAACAATGTCCACAATGATCGTTTTCTTGTGCAAGTACCAAAGGCAAACCTTCGGGATCACATCTTATATCGTGAACTGTTTTGGTGGCATGAGTAAGATCAGTTTCTTCAGCCTGAGGATAATGCACTTTCAAGAATTTTGGTTCAAATTCACGGTCTTTTGGTACTACGATCTTCAATATCTCATCTCCGTCCTTATAAAAATATTCTTTGGTATCATCGATGGGTTTATGATTTTTTGGTGGAGCAGATTTGGTCATCTCGATATTGGATATACTACCACAACCCTCACATTTAAACAAAGTATCCTCACCGTGAACTGAAGGGTAATGCCATTCATGACTCAAATCTCCACCAATATCACCAGAATCAGCATCTGCTTTGACATAAGGAACCTTCAAAGATTTGAAAATCTCATGATATGCACTTACCATGTTATTGTATGATTTCATTGCCTGAACTTCATTAACATCAAAAGAGTAAGCATCATTCATTAAGAACTCCCTGGCTCTTAAAAGTCCCATACGAGGTCTGATTTCGTCTCTGAATTTCTCTCGTACTTGATAATATGTGATGGGTAGTTCCTTATAACTTGTAATTTGATTCTTAACCAAAAGAGTGATATCTTCCTCACTTGTGGGTGAAAGACAATAATCACTTTTACTAGAATCTTTTAACTTAAACAATTCTGTATTCCCCCAACGTCCAGTTTTCTCCCATTTGTCAGCTGAAGACAAAATCAGTAGACTTAATTCCTCACATCCATGGTTATTTAAGTTGGTTCTTATAATGGATTTAAGTTTGTTCAATACAAGTAATCCCATGGGTAACCAGTTATTCAAACCAGGTTTTGGATTAGTAAGAAACCCTAACTTAATAAGAAGTTCATGAGTCGATAAATTTGTCGACTGCTTCTCATTAAAGAATAATCGGGGGATTTTAGGAATGTTCCTAATCATTGGATATGTGAGACAGAAAATACCAGATGGTGCGATTTTGATAACCAGTGAACCAAGTCATAGTGAATCAATTATAGAGCTAGAAAAGTCGTTAAGAGGGAGAAACAAACATTCATGGTTGTATATTTTTATCAAATTGCTTAACCAACAATTTTTTTCAAATTGTTCCAAGCAGAATTCAAGTCACTTTGAGCTTTCTTTAAATGCTCTTCCTTTTCCTTTTCAGGAACTAAACCTTGCTTAATTTGATAAACTAAATCATCGTACTTCTTCTTGGCGATTTCATACTGTTCATTAGCAGAATCTTTACCTTGTTCCCAAGATTGGGACAATTCATCAGATTTTTTACTTGACCAGTTCCACCAAGATTTTTTGGATTTTTGTAATCTTTCATTGATTTCAGCAGATAAGTTAGATCCAAATTTTGATAATTGAGTCATGGCATTATTAAGATCATTCTCGGCTTGTTTCAAATATTCTTTCTTCTCGTCATCAGTTTTGAAGGTCTTAGCAGCCAATTCATCCATCTTCTTCTTGCTTTCTTCATACTTCTTGATAGCTAAATCTTTTTGCTTATTATATTGATCAGATAATTCGTCTCTTTTGGCTGAACCCCAGTTGAACCATGACTTTTTGGAATCTTCAATGGCTTTAGTAGTATTATCAACAAATTCCCTACCATATTTAGATAATTGATCCAATGAGTTGTTTACATCCTTTTGGGCGTCATCCAATAATTTTTGTTGTTCTCTAGTTAAATGTTTGTTTTGGAATTCTCTGGTTAATTGAGTTAATCTTTGATTAGATTCCTTGTAATCATTGACAGATTTGGCTCTATCGAAATCGAAGTTTTCAATAGCATCATCGGTGACAGAAGCACCCCATGCAAACCAACTTTGTTGTTTTTGTTTGTTGGTAAGAACTGGAGTTGGACTTCTACCTAATAAGTAATCACCGAATTCATTGATATAATCTATATATCCAGCAACGGTGGATCTGACAAGACTTTTATTTTGACCAGTCTTTTCATAATATTCATTTTTAACATCTTTTTTCAAATTTTCAGCTTCCTTAGAAACGTCATTGAAACTTAATTTGTTATACAATTCACTAGTTTTAGATTCTAATTTATTGTATTGCTTCTCAATTGAATTGGAAATCCCTTTGGATTCAGCTTGAACTTTATTTTCAAGATCTTTCTTGTTATCATTGAAAGACTTTTTCAATTCTTCACTCTTGGCTGAAACTTTCTTACCTATAGTTTCAGGAGGTGGAGTTTCCTTTTTTAATTGCTGAAAGTTTGATGAAATGATAGGATTAACATTTTGATCATAATAATATAATAATCCTGCTGCAGCTCCAATTGGTAAAATTTTTCTACTTGCCATGTTGATAATTTATTTAGTTTGAAATTCTATGGGAAAAAGTTAATTGGGAGAGTGGAATATTTATAGTTTTGAAAAGATTGCTATTACAATGATCAAGTGAGACAATGAGCAAAAATCCGAATTTTGTCTGATGGGAATTTACCGTCACAAAAGCAATTAAGGGCCATTGTATTTTTAGAAATTCTTGTTAAGTTGGTGATGATGGCAAGTTGAATTGAACTTTTGATCAAGTTTCATCTTCCTTGTTAGAGATTTCATCATCTTTATGGCTGCAAATATCCATGTGGTTAATGCGCATGGGATTGTAATTGGTTTTTTTTGCAGTCGGTGTAGACACTACTTTAGAATTTATGGGGTACTTTGGGAAATGGGTGAAAGGGGGGAGATTATGGACTTAGAGAGATTTTCGCTTAAGGTAATAACAAGGATTTAAAAGCATCGGATTTGAACGATTGAGAAAATATTTTCAAATATCTGGGCTATGGGATTGTGTTGATAAGGGTCTTATGATTATTCTCAGTGACATTGATTGGACGAACACAATATGGAAGTGATGTATAACTTCTTACTGACAATCTCGAAGAGTTAGTCTCTCAACAAACTCACTGGAAGTATTTTTGTAAATGTTATGTATTATTCTCAACTTCAGAAACCATTGAGGTACCACATTAGTTTATTGTACCATAACCATGCGAACAATAATATTTCATACATTTATTTATCGATATCAATAATAGGCTCTCTATTTGAACTTCCCCTTTGGTGAGCTTACGATGCTAATACTCTTATATTCATCTATTGTTAACCATCTACCTCAACAAAAGAAAAAATCATTCAATTCAATATCACCTCTTGACTCGGTCACATATTTTTTGGTCATTCGCATAGAATTTTTCATATCATTAAATATTCCAATCAGTAAGAATTCTAATCATCATATGTTTTGAATTAATAGGTAATGAAACTTGAGATTAATATAAATGATGACTTACCATCATTAATTAAACTTAACAAATTACAAGCTATTGAAAATTCTTCTTCAACTACTAGAATGGTTAATCGTTGTTGGAGATTGAATCAGACATATAATAAGAAGATTTTTAAGGATGGTGATTATTTTAAAGATTTAAATGATGATTTCAAACCTCCTTTGATTTCTAATGATACTTCTAATACGTTGTTATCAAAGGTTTCGAAATTAAGTCTTTATACACCAAGTGATGATGATGAATATTACAAGAAGAAATCTATGAGAACTAAACTTAACACCATAGAAGACAATGAAGACGATAAGAAGATTTTTTATATAGATAATACCCCTTCTCCAGAGTATAAGAATTCAAATAATTCCCAATCTGATTTGACTTTCAGTAAAGTTGAAAAACCTGGTATGAAACGTCAAGATTCATTGTTTTCGAATTTTAACCTTCAACGATCTTTGAAACAAGATTTGTACATAAACGAAGAGAATGAAAGTGAAAGTGAAATAGATGAGAGCGAGAGTGAAATAGATGAAAGTGAAATAGACGAAAGCGAAATAGATGAAAGCGAAATAGATGAGAGTGAAATAGATGAAAGTGAAGATGTGAGTGAAATAGATGAAAGTGAAGTTGATGAAGTTAAAGATACATTGAGTCCAATGAACAATTCTAGTTCTTTGCATTCGAGACAGTTTTCAAATCATCGTTCTCGTGCAAACTCCCAATTAACTAATTCTCAGATTAATTCCCAAATTGGATCCCAAGTTAATTCAACCACTAATTCTACTTCCAAGAAGATGAACCAATCTATTTCAAGTATAAGGAGATCAGATGATTCAGAATGGTTATCGGTTTCATCTGAGGAAGAGGAAGAGGTTCAACCAATCAATTTCTCCAAAAGAGGAACTTCGGATTTATCATCGTCTCAACCTAGATCTTTATTATCGGGTTTATTCTTGAATGAAATGAAAGGTCATATTACTTCTCAAATGAGATCTCACAGATCTGAAAATGATGGAGGCGATGATAACGATAAACCTCAATTGAAAAGATCATCAACTACAGGGATCATAACCTTGGGAGAAAAAAATGATAAGATAAAAATTCAAAGACCATCGATCATGTTCCAGAAAAAAATCACTTCTATGACGGATATAAAACCTTTGATCGAGGGTAAAGAAATTGACTTTCAATGTGATGATTGTCATAATGATGATAAGGATTGGAAACCAACATCTATTGTTGGAATTAGTGACTTTAATGCTAGTTTCAAAAATCATGAAACTTCAAATGTTTCTGAAAGTTTGAATAAGTATCAAACCAAGAGTTTATTAAGTTTGCCTAGTTTTTTCAGTAAAAGAAGTGCATCATCAGAGAGATTTAAAATCGAGAGAACCCCTTCAGGAGAGAGAACTCCTAAAATTTCCAGACCATCTTCTACCATACCTGAACCTTCATTTTTACCTACACAAATTGATAATCCCTCCACTGAAGAATTCGATGTTCCTAAATTAATCACTAGAGATACAAAGAATATAGACCTCAAAACCAAAGAATTCAGCAAATCCTTAAAAGATTCATTAAACATCGATAACAAATTAGGAAAGGTTCCTTTATCAAATAAAATCTTACCAAATAATAATGTCAACTTCATTATTGAAGATGATGTAGATGATTATCATAGCAAAGGTTGGTAAATCAAAAGAAAAAAATATTGTTTTGAAGAAACAAAACTCATTCATTAATTATTTATACAGGGAAGACATGACGCCAATGAAATGTAAAATAGAGTTTGTATTATACAAAAGTTTAGATTATCTCTCTCTCTTTTGGTTATCTCTTTTTTGCAAGACTCAAATAATCGCATCGCATCGCAAAAATATTAGAGATGAGTGAAACCAAAGAAGAGAAAAGGAAGAGAAAGGAAGAGAAAAAATTAGCCAAAGCTAAGAAGGCGGAAGCAAAAGCCGAAAAGAAATCCAAGGATGTGGTTGAAGAAACTAACGAAAGTGTTGATGACCAAAATACCGAAATCAATGAAGATAATGAAAAAAGGAAAGATTTAGAAGAGATTGAAATCGATTTGAAAGGGGATATACCATTAAATAAGAAACAACAAAGATTGTTAAAGAAGGGAAAATTGAATTTACAAAAATTAAAAGCTAAACATCCTAACCCTATTGCCGAAGGTGAAGAATCTGATAAACCTGAAAAGGGGAAATATGGGGTTTGGGTTGGTAATTTATCTTTCGACACTATTAAAGATGATATCGTCAACTTAATCACTGCTCGTACTACCGTTACTGAGGATAACATTAAGAGAATTAATATTCCGAAAGGTAAGAATGATAAAATCAAAGGATTCTGTTATATAGATTTCGAAAATGAAGAGCAAGTTGAAGAAGTTGTTAAATTATCAGAAACTAATTTAAATGGTAGAAATTTGTTAATCAAAAATTCTAAGTCATTTGAAGGTAGACCAGATGCTCCAAAACCAACAGGACTAATCAATATATCTAAGAATCCACCATCAAGAATCTTATTCGTTGGTAACTTATCATTCGATACCAGCGAAGAATTATTACGTGAACATTTCAGTCATTGTGGAGAAATTGTTAGAGTTCGTATGGCAACTTTCGAAGATACTGGAAAATGTAAAGGTTTTGCTTTCTTGGATTTCAAGGATGAAACCGGTCCAACCAATGCTTTAACATCTAAAACCACCAAATTTTTCATAAATCGTCCTTTAAGAATGGAATTTGGTGAAGATAGATCTAAGAGACAACCAAAAAGAAGATTTAATGATGAAGATGGGGAAGCAAGAACTCCAAGAGAAGATAGAGGTCCAAGAGAAGATAGACCACCAAGAGAAGGAATGGATAGTAGACCAGAAAGATCTGAACCAAGACCAGAAAGAAAAATCGCTCGTGAAAGGTTTAGAGAAGATAAACCAGCCAAAAGATTAAAATCTTCTATTGCATTAGCATCTGCTCAAAGAGCTTCAGCTGCTATTGTTCCATCAGCAGGTAAAAAGACTACTTTCGATTAGTAAAAAAGATTAATGTAGAGTACGGATAAAAACATATATTTTTAACAATAATAAAATTCAATCTTAAAGAACTAAATCTTTCAAACTCTGGCTTTATGTTTCTCAAATTCTTCAGAAGTAACTTCGAAGTAATTTGGATCAGTTCTATTAGCTTCATATTCCTCATCATCAACTTCTTCATAAATTGAATAAGTTTCATATTCGGAATCTGAAGCTACAGCTTTGGTTTGTTTTTCAACTGGTTTTACTGGTTTTGCAACTGATTTTTTTTCCGGCTTTGGAGAAGCTTTTGGACTTGAATCACCACTTAATTTCTTCGAAAGTTTTTTCAAACTTTTTCTTAAACTGTTTGATCTACCACTATCTTTGGATTTAGAAGTAGCATTTCCAACGTTTGAACTTGCAACAGCAGAACCTGCTGCTAAACCTGTTACAACAGCTGCACCAGTTTTCTTGGAATCTTTTGAATCCTTTTCAGCTTTGGCTCCTTTTTCAGCAATTACTGGTAATTCATCGCTTTTAGCTAAAAAATTTTTGGATTCAGATTTCAATTTCATTTCATCTTTTGGGACTTTATCAGGAACTGAATCTTCAACGCTTTGTGCTGAATATAACTTTCCTTTGGAACTATGATATAATTCTTTATCATCTAATTCAATTTGCTTAGTCAATCTAGCAACTTCCAATTCTCTTTCTTCGATCAAATGTTGAATATCATCAATTTTTGAATAGTTATCAACGGTAGAAGTTAATCTTGCCTTTTCTTCTCTCAATAATCTGATCTTTTTCAAATTTTCAACTTCTTCTAACAATCTTGTCTTTTGTAATTCTTCAAATTCTAATCTTTCTTGATACAATTTCAATTTTTCATCATGTTCAGCTTTCAATTTTTCAATTTCATCTAATTTACTTTGAGCTACTCTCTCAGCTTCTAATCTTTCGAGTTCGGTCTTTTCAATTTGTTTTTGTTTTAAAGCTTCAATTTCTTTTTGTAAAGCTAAAGCTTCTTCTTCTTCTTTAGATTTACGTTGCTTGTAGATTTCTTCATGTTGATTTCTTTCGTCAATCAATCTTTGTTGTTCACTTTCTCTTTCCTTGATACGTAATTGACGTTGATATTCAGGTAAGTTTTTCAATCTTTCTTCTTCTTCAGCAGCTTTCTTATCAGCTTCAATTTTGGCAGCTTTAGCAGCTTCAGCTTCTTCGGCGGCCTTTTTGTCAGCAACTTTCTTTTCGGCAGCTTCCTTTTCTTCAGCTTCCTTCTTTTCAGCCTCAATTTTAGCTAATCTTTCGGCTTCAGCTTCTTCGGCAGCTTTCTTTTCGGCGGCTTCTTTTTCTTCAGCAGCTTTCTTTTCAGCAGCAGCCTTTTCTTCAGCAGCTTTTCTTTCTTCTTCTTCTTTTAATCTTTGTCTTTCAATTTCTTCTTGAACTTTTCTGGTTTCTTCTTCATCTTTCAATCTTTGTCTTTCCAATTCTTGTTCAAGCTTAGCGGTTTCGGCAGCTTCCTGAGCTTCAGCACGCTTACGTTCATGTTCTAAAGCTACTTGTTTAGCAGTGTTTTGTTTTTCTGTTTCCCAATTAGTGAATGTTTCTTTAGCTTGGGATAATCTAGATTTTCTAGATTCTTTTTCCCCACTTAAGAAAGTCAATTTGGTAGCATAAGCAGATAAAACACCAGCCAAGACACCGACTTCAGCACTCAATTTACCATGAGATTCTTTTTTGGTTGACAAATCTTTTTCGGAAGTTTCCAATTTTTCATTCAATTCCTTTTTAGTGACTTCATTCTTACTGATCAAATCCTTCTTTTCAGTCAAATTGACGTTAACTTCTTCCAAAGATTTCAATTTTTCATTCAATTTGGCAGTTAACTCTTCAATCTTTGTATTCAATTCAGAGTTTGAGTTATCTAATTCGGTTTTCTTTTCTTGTAAAGATTCGATTTCTTGAGTGGTGGTTTCCTGGTTAGTTTTAGAATCTTCTAATTCTTGTTTTTTGGTTTCCATCAATTCTTCGTGATTCTTGATCAAGTTTTCTTTATCAGTCTCATGTTGTTCAACAGCATTGGCTTCTCTTGTTTCAAAATCTTTTTTGGCAGTTTCGATTTCTTCCAAAGTGGTTTTTTCGAAATCAGCAGCTTCTTGATCATTACTTTCCATTTTTTTGGTTAAAGCAGTGGTCTTTCTGGTGATTTCACCATCGAATTTCAATTTTTTACCTTCGATTTTCTTTAAGTGTTTTTCAAAATCACCTTTCAATTTACGCTCGTGGCTTTCAACTTTGGATTTGATCTGTTCCTGTCTTTTGATTTCATCTTCATTACGAGTTTTAGTAACCTCATCATTGATGGTGGTTAAAACGGGAGCGACTCTTTTAGCGGCAATGTCTAATAATTGCTGTTGAGTCATTTTCAATCCACTTCCTAAATCGATAACCTTATTAGGATCTTCCATAGAACGTGCAACTGAACCAATGGCAGCAGTATTCAATTCTTGATAATGGTCTAATAATTTGGGTTTATCTTTGAATTTGTCCAAAGTTTCCTGGTTAGGTAATTGGACAGGTTCATACTTAGCTTCAGGTTGAGTAACAATTTCAATTGGAGTTTCTTTAACAACTTGTTCGATGTTATCATCATTAGCTTCCGTTTCTTCAATTACTTCGGCTTCTTCAGTTGCTTCAGGTTGAGCTTCAGTTTCTTCAACTTCAGCTTCAACTTCTTCTTCCTTGGCTTCAGTATCAACTGGTTCAGTTTCTTTAACTTCACCTTCTTCACCTTCAGCGTCAACTTCTTTGGATTCAGCTTCAGCTTTGGCTTTCTTTTCGGCTTCTTCTTTAGCTTTTTTGGCAGCAGCTTCGTCAGCTTTCTTCTTAGCTTCTAAAGTTGGATGAGTAGCAAATTTCTTTGGAACTTGCATCTTATCAATCTTGTTCTGTTCCCTTAAATCTTGGTGCAAGTTTTTCTTCTTTGGACCAGTTCTAAATGGTGAAACCCATTTATCTCCTGATGTCAATTTCTTCAATCTGCTGGTAGTCTTTGGTTGAGATGCAATTGAAGCATCATCGTCTTTAATACTTGACATATTTAACGAGGTTCTCGATAATGAAATTTGAGATTTTCGTCCAGATAGGGGTGTCTGAAATTTAGTGAGAATTGCTGGCTACGTCATTTTGATGATTGTCTTAAGTGATGAATGAAAATGGAGGGGGGTGAACAAGCTAGCTGAAATTGAGATGTTATGCAGACATGTTAAGAAGTTCGACAAATGCTGATTCATTGATCACTATTGGAGTAAAGATTCGTGTTTGGGTTGACAAAACGACGTGTTATGTCGATTTCCGAAAAACTCAGGACTCTTGAGCGTATCATCAGGGATCAAGAATGAAGACTTGTCTGTATACTGTGCAAATAAGCTGCTAATTGATGTCAGGACTTGGTTTCAAAAGCTCAGACCAAGGTTAATTATGGCTGTAAATTTCAGCTCTCTCAGTATTTTTGGTAAAAATTACAAAAAAAGTAAAATAAGTTATTTTTGCAAAATCGGGATCGAAGTTTCTTTCCATGGGAGTCATCCTTCTCCACAGAATAGAATTATATAGGTAGTTCCTAATGGAAGCCCCACAATCAAAAATTCTCTGCGTAAGAATTGTGTCCTAAGTGTATGCACCATAAAAGCTTCCCTAACGGTTGGACGTAGTTCATACTTCCGAAGAGGTTTTGAGATTTGTCACTGTAATAGCCCCCCGCCAGCATGTAGAGGATACGGAGTTACTAAGATGACTATTTCCACGAAAAAGTATCGTACCAAACCGGCCGAAGACCGTATTAGTAAGAGTCCGCCTAAAGGATTTATTCATCGAATTCTATATACAGGATACTTGGCTGGTGTGAATCACAGGACTGAAAAATTTTCAGAATATAAGGGTAGCCTTCAGTTGATTGAATGTTATCAAGCTCAACTCTCAGATCCTAGCAATTCTTCAATAACACACTTCTATCTATAGTTAAATCCAGGTTTTAAATATCGGGTTTATATCGTAATGATGAAAATCATTATCTTTACGTCGCTGATTCACTATACTTGTCAGCCGCATTGCTTATAAATGGAAGACATGAATGCTTAATAATCTTGGAAGAGCTGTCTTCAACAGAGAATATAAATTGACCGCCAATCTCTGGTTCAAAGATATCGTGAATTTTTCAAATATGGGAGAAACTAATAGATTTATAAGAGACAGTTTTTGGGGAAGAATAACATATCACGTATCGGGTCACAAATATTTCTATCATAAAGAAGAAAGTCCCGATTACATCATTCCCGACAAATATCTCATAGATCTGAAGAAAGAAGGTACAAATTCTGTTGAAGTTCGCCCCACATCACCAAAACGTAATGACTCCGGTAATTCTACCAATTCCAATGATTCTAATGAAACCTTGCATAATGATAATAGAATAGTTGTTGACTGGGATGGAGTTGATGATCCCGAAAACCCCAAGAATTGGTCATTATTCGAAAAGTCTATAGTGGTTTTCCAGATTTGCCTTTTGACGGCAGTTGTTTACATGTCGTCAGCTATTTTCACTCCAGGTGTTGACCAGATTATGGAAGAATTACACATCACCAGAGTCAAAGCAACCGTTCCATTAACAACATTTGTTATTGGTTATGGAATTGGTCCAATGTTTTTGAGTCCTATGAGTGAAAATGCTGTCTTTGGCAGAACTTACATTTACATTGTTACATTATTCATATTTTTCATTCTTCAAATACCCATTTCTCTAGTTAATGATATTACATCACTATCCATTTTAAGATTCTTCAGTGGTATTTTTGCTAGTCCTTGCTTAGCTACAGGTGGTGCTTCTATGGGCGATATCACTCCCAAGGCATACTTACCTATAACCATTGCCATTTGGTCTATTTCAGCTTGTGCTGGTCCTGCTTTGGGTCCTTTGATCGGAAGTATCATGGTCGTTAAGAGAAATTGGCATTGGACTTTCTGGTTTGTTTCCATGACTTCAGGTATTCTTTTAGTGACATTTGGATTCTGTTTACCAGAAACTTATGAAAAAACCTTATTATTGAGGAAAGCTAAAAGATTAAGAAAAGTCACAGGCAATCCGAATATTACCAGTGAAGGAGAAATTGAAAATGAAGGATTGACTGTCAGGCAAGTAGCCATTGAAACTTTGTGGAGACCAATTGAAATAACTCTTTTCGAACCAGTAGTGTTGTTAATTGACTTGTACATTGCATTGGTATATTCAATCCTCTACATTTGGTTTGAAGGTTTTCCCATTGCTTATATGGGAACTTATAATTTCACTTTAATCACCATGGGAGCAACTTTCATCACTGTTGCCATTGGTGTTAATTTGGGAGCTTGCGTATATGTTCTATATACTTACAAGTGGTTTACTATCCCACTAAATAATAATGTCAAAGTCCATCCTGAAGTTTTCCTTCCAATAATGATTGTAGGATCAATTTTTTTGCCAACAGGTGTTCTTATTTTCGGATGGACTGTCAATCCAAATGTGCATTGGTTTGGGTCTTTAGTAGGTGGGGCACTATTCGGAGTTGGTGCATTCGTGGTATTTCAATCTTCATTCTTGTATTTAGCTGATTCGTTCCCGGATTACTTAGCTTCAGTATTCGCTGGAAACGACTTACTCCGATCAGTCATTGCGTCCGTATTTCCATTGTTCGGACATGCATTATTCGATAATTTAGCTATTGATAATTATCCAGTAGCTTGGGGTTCTTCTGTTTTGGGTTTTATCAGTATTGGTATGATCTTGATCCCAATTTTATTCTACTTGAATGGTCCAAAATTAAGAGCCAGATCCAAATATGCCGAAACAGATTTATAGATAATGTACACGGCTAGAGATTTCTATCATTGATTTAATCCCCAAATACACTCTCCAGTCTCACTAAAGAAAGCCGAGTTTAAACTAGTCTCTCGCACTGACATCATCGGCTCTCAGGGACCAATTCCTGCACCAAAAACTGAGAACATCACTTCACGTTCTGATAATAATATATTGACAACACTTACAATTAATCTTACTTCAACGTAAAGATCAATATGAGAATTAGCTGGTGGATACTAATTCCTTTGGCTATTGCCTCAGACTTATATGAGTTGGGTAATAGTCATATAGAGAGCGTCATGAATAATTTAGAAATGGAAGCAAAGATAGACACAATGTTAAGAAATACCCCAGGAAGGTTCAGAGAGTTACCTCATATTGTACCAAGACCCGACCCATTTCAAAGAACTTTGAAAGATGGAGAAGTTCCTGATTATATCATCGAATATGCCCCATTGGTACATCTTTATTCTGAGGAGAGGTATTTACCATACGATATCAAGAAATTTGTCACTAATTTCCACGTTGAAAGAGGTAATGGGACCGTAATTGAAGGCACGGAAGAAGATATGAACATAAAGAAATTGGGTCATTTAAAGAATGATTATGACCTTTTCCTTACATCTAATTCAGACTTTGATACTGACCCTGATTGGATAACAGGAATTAAGAACAAGCCTTCATTGACCACCGGTGAAATCAAGGATGCACCAGTTACATTATTAGTGGTTGATAAGGGTAATGGATGGGTTGACGCTTATTGGTTTTATTTCTATTCCTTCAACTTGGGCCCATTTGTTATGGGCAATGGTCCTTATGGGAATCACGTTGGAGATTGGGAACATTCTTTGGTAAGATTTTATGAAGGAGAACCAGTAATTGTTTGGTTGTCTGCTCATGGAGGTGGACAGGCTTATTTCTATCATAATTTGGAAAAACACGAATCCAACCCTAATCATCCAATAATTTTCAGTGCTAGAGGAACCCATGCTAATTATGTTTCCGTAGGTCAGCATCCTCATGATTTGCCTTATGCAATATTGTCAGATTTCACTGACCGTGGACCTTTATGGAATCCGACCAAAAATTATTTAGCATATACTTATGATGGAAAACATGTTTTCCCGTCGGAAACCAACCGAAATCCAAAACACGTAGGTAGAGAAAAAACATATCATAATTGGTTAGCTTTCAGAGGTTGTTGGGGTGATAACAAACTTCCGGATGATGATCCACGTCAACATTATCTGTTTATTGGTGGTTATAAATACATCGAGGGCCCCAGAGGTCCCTTAGAGAAGAATCTATTGAGAATCAAACCGTGTGAAAGACATAAATGGTGGAATTTCTGGAATGGTTGTGTGGTCAGACAGAACATCAAATGGGGAATAGGAGTTGAAAGTGAAGGTTATAATTGTGGGAATCTTTTCGTCAACCTAAGACCTCAATGGTTGAGAATGTTATTACAAAGGGTTACTTGGGGTGGTTTCTTCTGTTATGTAGCAGATTTAGTTTATGGTTAAGAAGATAAGTTTTGGTAGAAAAAGCTTTATTTCTGTGCTCTGTATCACTATGCTCTGTATAACAGTTATGCTCTATCCGTTATCAGACACCATTCATACCGAAATAGCCGCCTTCTTTTCCGTTCAATATGACGGTTGAAAAGCAAACATTGGAGTTGATAGTGACAAACATGTCCCATCTTAAAAGAGAAATTTCCGAGAACAAACGGGACCGCCGCACGGGGGCGGCACTTTTTGCGAGCTTTCTTAGTAAAGCCGATCGGTTCAGAAATACTATAAGTAGCACCATGATTAATACTAAAAGAAGCAAACAAACTGAAAATGTCAATCAATATCCCCGATAAAGCTTATGGAACTATGTCCTTGACTTGGACTAATACTCCTCCTAAAAGAGAGGAATCTTTAGAAATCTTGAAATACCTTTATGAGAAGAAAGGTCTCAGACATTTCAATGGAGGTATGTTGTACCAATCAGATCCTGCCTTCAATAATCTTCAATTGTTGCTGGAGTTCTTTGAATCTTTTGATGGAAGTGACTGTATCTTCAGTTTCAAAGGTTGTATCAATAAAATGACCTACATGCCTGACAGTAGTCCTGAGTTCATCGATACAGAATTTTTGGAAATTGCTGAAGCTTTCAAAAAAGTTACAAACAAACCAAAAGTAATCTTCAATATAGGTAGAATTGACAAGACTAGACCAATGGAAGAAGTCGCCAAGTACCTTCAAAAGAAAGTTTCCCAAGATGAACTTATTGTTGGCTGGGGTATCAGTGAATGTGGACCAGAAACACTTTACAAAGCAGTTAGTACTGCAGAAGTATCATTATTGGAATTGGAGATCTCCATGTTGACACAAGACGTCATAGATTTAGGAACCTTGAAAATCGCAAGTGACTATGGTGTCCCTATTATTGCCTATTCCCCAATGGCTAAAGGATTATTGACTGATAAAGGAGTGTCTCCAGGCTACTTGGAATATTTGGGCCCTACCAGTAGAGTGATTGCAGCAGGGTTTGATAGATTCAAACCTGAGAATTACGAGGCCAACTTAAAGTTCTTGAAGCAGTTATACGATTATGCTCATAACAAGAAGAATTGCTCCTTGCAACAATTAGCTTTGGCCTATGTTTCAGGTCTTTCAGGTTTAGAGAATTTCAAGGATATTACCAAAGTCACCAAAATTGTTCCATTACCTGGGTCTGCTAACCTTGAAAATATTGATCAGCTTTATAGTGAAGTTAAATTGAGTAGTACAGAGGTTCTTGAAATCCAAGACATCATCGGTAGTAATACTGTTCATGGGATTAGATACAATTCTTTATTTGCTCCAACATTGAATGCTTAATAAACATATGCCACCATCTCCTAAGTAATCTCCTGACTCATTAAATTTGGCTGCGAAATTTATAAAAAGTAATTGTTAGCGAACCCTCAGCTGCAAATTGAAAAATTTTATTCATCAATTATAAAGTTTAAGGGGAAATGGAAATTTCAACAAATACTTCAAAGTTAGACCTAGGATCGACCAACACCGATTCCAGAGCCATACCGAGTCAATCAGAGAAAGAGGAATCCTTTGGAAGATGGGATAATTTCGTTGATTCTTTTAGACAATATCAACCTGCAAGTTATGATGGATATGAAGAATTAACGGATTTAGAAAAATCCGCTATCAAAACTGCCAACTCCCCATTGCAAAGGAAGTTGAATTCAAGAGTTATGAATATGTTAGCATTAGCATCAAGTCTTGGTTCAGGATTGTTGATTGCCAGTGGTGAAGCTTTGAATACTGGAGGACCCTTGGCCGTATTAGTATGTTGGGCTTTAACCGGATTAGCAGTTTTTTGTACTGTTCAAGCTTTAGGTGAAATGGCTGTTACATTTCCAGTATCAGGATCATTCAACGTTTATGCAAGTAGATTTATTGACCCTTCCATTGGATTTGCTGTTGCATGGAACTATTTCTTACAATATCTTGTTTTATTGCCTTTAGAGTTAGTTGCCGGTTCCATGACTATGCAATATTGGATAACGTCTATAAATCCAGATGTTTGGGTATTAATTTTCTACGTAGCTGTTATTTCAATTAATCTTTTTGGAGTTAGAGCGTATGGAGAAGCAGAATTCTTATTCCTGTTAATCAAAGTTACTGCTATTTTGATGTTTATCATTGTTTCCATTGTAATAGCTGCAGGTGGAGCACCTAAGGGAGATGCCGTTGGAGGTAAGTATTGGGTAAACCCCGGACTTCTTGCCAATGGATTCAAAGGGTTTGTAAGTGTTTTTATCACCTCAGCTTTCAGTTATGCAGGTACTGAATTAGTTGGTTTAACTGCTGCAGAATCTGAAAATCCAAGAGTTTCGTTACCTAAAGCTACCAAACAAGCTTTCTGGAGAATTTTATTTTTTTATATGGTATCATTGACATTAATTTGTTTCTTGATTCCTTATGATGACCCTAGACTTTTAGGTAACAGTTCTGTAGATATCAATGCTTCACCTTTTGTTATTGCCATAACTAATGGTGGTATTAGTGGACTCCCATCAGTGATGAACGCTGTTATTTTAGTATCAGTTATTTCAGTTGGATCTTCCAGTGTCTATGCTACATCACGTACCTTGACTGCGTTAGCCGAACAAGGAATGGCCCCTAAGATACTTGGTTATATTGATAAAAAGGGAAGACCAATAATTGCCATTATGATCACCAATGTATTTGGATTATTAAGTTTCATTGCAGCCAGTAATAAACAAGAAGTAGTTTTCAATTGGTTGTTATCCATCAGTGGTTTGAGTTCAGTGTTCACTTGGTTATCTATATGTGTTGCTCATATTAGATTCAGAAGAGCTTTGTCATGTCAAGGTAGAGGAACTGATGAAATTGCATTCAAGTCTCAAACAGGTATCATAGGTTCATTCTATGGTGCATTATTGAATATCATTATATTAATGGCAGAATTTTGGCTTTCTTTATTCCCATTAGGAGACAAGCCTAATGCTCAAGCTTTCTTCCAAAGTTATTTAGGTTTTGTGGTATTACTTGCATGTTATATTGGTCATAAAATCTGGAAGAAGAATTGGATTTTATTCATCAGTGCCAAAGACATGGACATTGACACTGGGAGAAAGGAAACCGACATTGAGGCTTTAAAACAAGAATTAAAGGAAGAAAGAGAAATCTTCCAATCAAAACCTTTATACCAAAGAATCTACCATACTTGGTGTTAATTGGTCCATTATCAGCATTATTATACAAGAACTCTTCACACCTTTCAGAGATATCTCAACTCTAACTCTTACTATTGTCTACTCAAATTCATTGGTCTTTGTATAACGCAGGCCGCGAAAATATCTCTTCTCCAGAGGTTCTAACTCATCTGAGAACAGTAAGAGTTACTTGAGCAGACAAACATGTCAACACATCATCCCAACTTTGGAAAAAGTTCAGGATTTGGTAGTGTTTTCAAGTCATGGACCAGTTCCTTGAAATCTACAACTAAAAATGTTCCAGTCCAAATTAATCCCACAGTTGTTGGAGGAAGTAGTGATCAACAGAAGTTATTCATTCAATTAAAATCAGGAACTTTACCACAAAGAGCTTCAGCAGCAGTGAGAATGACTGAATCACTCGAGAAGTTTGCTATATCATCGATTCCAGAAATATGGTATTTGGCAAGAGATATGTGTGATAGTAAAATCCAATCCTATATTAGAAGAAATGCTTTAAAACTAATGATAGAATGTATAAAGAATGATGATTTGACAGCCACCGGTAATAGGATCATGTACTATCGAGATATAACCCAATATTGTCAGCTATCAGACAATAAGATTGATCAGGAGTTCGATTTATTCTTAAAAGCTTTAAGAAACCTAACATCTGATGGTAGAGACATTCAAGAATTGGTTGTTTTAGATGATCCTCGAGCTTTAGCCCAATTTTTGATTCTTTCCTTGCAAGTATTGGGGAAACAAGCTAAACAATACAGCGAGAAAGATCTGGAAGCTGAAGTAGGAGAAGAATTCTATTTTAGTAATTGTTTAAAATTGATACTGTTCATTAAGAATTGTATCAAATTCAACGCTGCTTCCATTGATGAATATCATATCAATCAACTAGTCAATATATCCATTAAGATTGGATATTCAACCACCAACTTGTCATTTATCACTAGTTTGGTAGAATTATTATCTTCAATAGTTTTGATCACCAATGTCAAACAGGAAACATTATTTGATTCTGTGAACTTCTTCTGTTCAGTTTATGGTTTGAGTGAACAGATAACGTCATTATCATGGCATGCTATCTCAATACTTTCAACACATGGTACTTTTTTCATGGTCAATAATTGTTTGTGTGATATAATAAGTAATGAAGAATTACAATCTTTCATATCCAACAATAATAGTAATATGTTGTCAGCTGTCACTTCAAATACCACCATTAATACCTTAGATCATAAGTTTGACAATGCTTCTTTGAACTCTTGTCTTGGAGCCATACAAATAATGGAAAAGTTAATTGTCACTACCTCAATTGTAAATACCCATAATGATTCCGTCTTCTTCTATTTCTTACTTGCATTGAAGAAAACTGTTTCATTCGAGATAGCCATAATTAACACCACTTTATTGAGGACTTTAGATAGATTATTCTCCAAACAAGTATATGAAGCTTACAATATCGAGGTCAATACCAATAAAGTAATGGAACAAGTTTACCTGTTTCAATTGTGGTATTCAACAAAATCTTCTATTTATGAACTATTGAATAGTTTGAAAGTCATCACTGATATTGATGCCAGTTATCTTCAATCAATTTGTTCATCATTACAAAAGTCTTATGAGAACTATGAATTGAAAACTTCCAAAGAAAAATTAATCAACTTCTTTTTGTGTCATTACCAATATATCCCCAAATCCACCATCAAGTTCATTTTCAAGTATTACCAGGAAGAAAAATTATTGACAGTTCTTAATCCTTTGTGGTCAGAGACAGTGGAAAACTTGTTGAGTTATTTCTACTTCACTGATAAACCAAGGAATAACGAAATTTTGGTAACAGATCACAGGGATAGCGGAATAAAAATCGAGTTGTTGAAGACAATCAAGGCTGCTTTTGATATTTCCATCACTATTCATGGTTCAAGTGTGAATTATGATTTAGTTAATGATATCTTATTAAAATCTGTCCAAGAGAGTGACGAAGAAGTACTTCAGTTCCTTATTGAAGAATTTCTCGTGAAAATGGTGGAGAAATTGCCTTTCGAATTCCTTTCCAAGTTCCACCAATCGACAATGCCATTTTTTGAAATCAAAATACCCCAAGGAAGACTTAAGTCATACGTTTCTTTGAATTCTTCAGGTAAGTATCCATCGTCTCAAATAAGTTCTCAGGAGAATTTAGACATGTCGTTACAATTCATGAAAGCTTTAGGTAAAGGAATTAGTAAAGTGCTTTTAATTCAATCAACTTTAAATGCTAGGAAAGCGCAGGAAGCTTTCAGATGTATTATAATGATTGCACATCATGGATTAGCTAATGAATATCCAGAGATCCTTCTCATACTTATGAAGACCTTGGTCAGATTAAGAACTTCAGAAGAAGGATATATTTATTTCACCAATTTAACTGATCTGGAAGGACTTTCTACCGCCTTCAAAAGAAACAGAGTTGATGGAGAGTTTCAAGAAAACCAAAATTATAAATGGAGCTATCCTGAAACTATTGATTACATTGACCATAAATATTTTGATAAACCCATCAAAAACTTGAAGCTTTTCAATCCTATGAGTGAAAAATTACATCTTGACGATGATTTTTACATAGATATGGCAGATTATTTCTCCATCGTTTTGGATATCATGGATAACTTTGTTGAATGGGAATTATATTCTTATATATGGGCACATTTTTGTCCCCAATTAGCTAATATGAAACTTTTCAACAATAACAAGACACAGATCCTTCGATTGAAAACCATTATCTGTGAACAGTTGATGCTTAATTTCCAGAAGAATTTCACTTTACCTGATGGATTCTTGAAGTCTCACTTACAAGTAGCTTTCGTTAGATCATTTTCGGCATTATTGGGTTATAGAGAGTTTTTCACCAAGTATGATGATGACGATATAATCAGAAGTCTATTGTTTGGTATCGATTCTTGGGAAAGTACTGCAATTCCTTCAATTCATATTTTAACCATTTGTTGTTTCGAGATGCCTTTGTCCATTAAGAAATACTTGTCAAGTATTTTAGGTAAGATCCAAACCAAGATCACGAGTACTTTTGCTTCGTCACATATCTTGGAGTTCTTGATGGCTCTTATCAACTTACCTAGCTTAACGTCGAATTTCCATACCGATGATATAAAAAGGATTTTTGCTATAGCTTTTAAATTCATTCAACATTCTAAAGATGCCATTAAGAATACTGAAAAGGATGTCATAACCCCTGATCATTCGGGTCACATCACCACAGACAATACTCCATCAACAAGTCAAGCAAATCAGCATTCATCTATTTTATTACAATATGTCCTTACTTTGTCTTATAATGTGATATCCACATGGTTTTTACAAATAGAAATGACAGAAAGGAAACAATTAACTCCCTTCTTAATCAAAAACTTAGTTCTCCTTAATAACAAGAAGGAAGATGTCGAGGATCAAATCTTGGTGTTGCTTGATTTAATCATAAGGTTTACATACAGTGACTTACCTTTGAAAATCATTAATCCGAATGTCATGTTGAGTAAATTCCAAGCAGGAAATGGAGATTATCATCAGAATAGTTGGATTGTGGGCAATATAATTGTAAGTGTTTGTACTAATAGTAACAATGGAGAATCATTAGTCATTTTAAGAAGACCTACAGGTGTATCTGTTTATACTATAACTTTGCATGAAGATATGTTCCCCTTTACAGAAAAATTCGATGTCAAGACATTATTCAACCCAAGTTATATTCTTTTACAAGGATATAGTAATTTAGATATTAATGGCAATTTGAAGCCAATACCTTTGATTGAAGATTCAGTTACATCCAGAGCTATATCAACCTTTGATAGGATTCCTATAGTTGAGTTCCACAAATTAGGTATCATCTATATAGGTAAAGATCAATTGAGTGAGAATGAAGTTCTAGGCAATAAAGCAGGATCCAATAATTATCAACAATTCCTTGAAAGCATGGGAGAATTGATCAAATTGAAAGATTGTAGAGATATCTACGTTGGTGGGTTAGATACTGAAAATGATACTGATGGGAAATATGCCCTTTATTGGAATGATAAAACCATTCAAGTAATTTTCCATACTATAACATTGATGCCTAATAATGAAAGAGATCCTTATTTTGATTTGAAGAAAAGACATATTGGTAACAATTATGTTAACATCTTCTTTGATGAAAGTGGATTATCATTCAATTTCAATATTATCAAATCCCAATTTAATTTTATCAATATCGTTATCTCACCTCATAGCAAAAAATTTGATTATTCCACTGGTGATAACGAAAAGCAATTTTATAAAGTTAAAACTTATAGAAGAAGTGGAGTACCAGGAGTTTTCGCTACTTGTCATTTCAAAATCGTTAGTATTGATTTACTTCCGATATTAATCCGAAATTTATCCATCACTGCCAATCAATTCGCTAATGTGTGGCACGCAAACTATCATGGACTGTACATTTCAAACTGGGCTCACAGAGTAAAACAATTAAAAATCTTAAAAGATCGTACATATAAACATCATGAAACCCTAAAACAAGAGCAATTTAATGATAATGATTTGAGAAATATTAATGATGCAACGCAATCATTCCTTCAGCAATTACAATTCGATGGAGGAGACAATGAAACCGCAGTAATTTCTCGTTATCAATATTTGTCAAATGAAGATCATCCGTTGTATAAGACGTTTGAATTTAATTCATACACTAATTAGATTTGAATAGCAAGATATAATTGGATCTAAATTGATCCCACACTCCCCATAAATTTGAGGCTTCAATGTGGCTTGAATTACGCAATCATTGCCTTTTGAGAAAATTCATAGGTTAATTTAGCTTAATATTACTCTAACTTACTTTTTATCCTTTGGTTACGTAAACAATTAGCCCGTTAAAGATCTATTAATGAAGGATTTTCAACGGAGTTTTCTCGGTAGATTTGCTCTCCGTTGATATGCGGATTTTAATTCCCTATTAGGGTTTTTCGCAGCATCTTAGTAAAAAAAACCATCATCTAAGAATCTGTCATCCAGGTAAATTGCTGATAATCGGCAGATTATAACTATTGATTTGTAATTTGAATATTGAATATTTGAAAAGTCTGTAAACAACTGAAAAAATCCCGATATTTTCCAAATTTTCAACTATTTTACTTCCCACGATGGCTAATCAAGATTATACTTCATTATTGAAGAAAGGTGTTTTGAGTATTAATAAGACTATTGAAGCTCAAAAAGATGCTATAAGTAACCTTGAAACTCAGTACAATACCGATGAATTCTCCCAAGTTCATCTTTGGAAATCTTTAGACATTTTATTAAGTACTAAAATCAAAGGTGGCAAAGTTGTTACATGTGGTGTAGGTAAGAGTTATAAGATTTGTTGTAAAATTACTGCTACTTTGAATTCTTTATCAATTCAATCAGTTGCTTTACATCCAACTGAAGCTTTACATGGGGATTTAGGTGTTTTAAATGATAAAGATTGTATTTTAATGTTAACTGCTAGTGGTAATACTCCAGAATTAATCAATTTATTACCTCATATTTCTAAATCGATACCCATAGTTTTATTAACATGTGGTAAGGATTCTAAGTTAGCTTCATCTAATCAAGTCAAATCATTGTTATATACTCAATTACCTAGTCATTTGAAAGAAGAATCGATTCATGGTATTCCTGCTCCAACTGTATCAGCCACATTATCATTAATACTTGCGGATTCAGTGGTTTTGGCATTAGCTGAACTTTTAGAAGAAGATGTGTTAACAAGGAGGAAAATGTTTTCTATTAAACACCCTGGTGGTTCGATAGGAGCTAATTTAAGTCATCTTAATGATAATATAACTCCTAATAGATCAAATAAGACTAATGTCACTTATGTTAATGACAAAATAGTACCAACCAAATCCTCAACTAAAAGTTCAAGTTTTAGTGATAGCTCAGCCACTTCTGTTAAAACATCTAAACCTTGCAGCAAAACTTCAAGTTATTCGTCAATTTTAAGTTTAGGACAAATTTGGAATGGCCTCCATATCGGATCACCCGAAGCTACTTCAGTGAATTCATCGGATGATGAAGTGTTCATTGATGAAGTGTTGGCCACCAAAATCAAATCTTCTAATAAAGTTTTCACTTGTTCTTTAGAGAAAGCTTCTTCAGTTACAGAACTTGACTTTTTGAAAAATATCACTTTGTTTGATTATTGGGTTATTACTGGAAGTATCAATTTGGGAAGTGATTGTGAAGAATTAAAAAAACTCTATAGTAATAACGGTTGGGATGAGTTATCAATGAAATTGACTTCAAATTTTAAAAATATAGGTTAGGACGGTTTGTGTCTTCTCTGATTAGTCTCTGTGACGTTACTCTGACCACTACTTTGACCATTACGCTGACCATTACGCTGACCATTACACTAAAAGTCAGTGGTGTCACTCTTCCCCACCTACATCATTCCACACAAACTCCAAGACTCACACTTACAAGATATATTTGGCTATAAAACAAGATAATAAACAATGGACTATACATATTTACAGTACATAAATCATAACACATTTTGGGGAATTCTAAGAATTATCAGCTTCAATCAAAGCCGTTTCTGCAACAATAATCATTTTTTCAACCGAAGCTAAATGTTTACCATAATTATTCTTTGAAGAAATTTGTTTTAAATATTGTCTTAATTTTAAAACAAGTAAACGTTTTTCTTCACTTTTAGTATCAAAAGCTTCAACTAATTTTTGAATAACATAATTAGCATATTGATCTTTCATCATTAAAGCTAAAGGAGAACTATCATCTACAATTTCAATAGATAAATCTTCATTCCCTTTCAAAACCTCACTTAAAACTTTCTTCTTTTGTTGTAAATCACCAAACTTAATACACTTTTCAATAACATTGGAAGCAAATTTGTGTTTGGAAAATTCAACAACTTGTGATAAAACAATATTTAAGATTTCTTCTCTGTCAGTTTTAGAACCTCTTTCTAAAACATGTTGCATAACATAATTACCATATTGGTCTTGAATAAGATAAAATATGTATCTATTTAACTCATTCAAGATTCTCTTTTGATCTTCAGGTTTACTATTTTCTAATAATCTCTGAATAACTCTGCATCCATAAGGATGAGTCGATAAATGATAGATTTGAGAATCTAAACTTGTTAAAATGAAACGAACTTTTTCAAAAGGAATTCTTTCAATAGATTTTTGGATAACATGGTTCCCATTTTGATCCTTGGCACAAATAAGTACATAATCCTTCAATTCAGAAATGATCTTTAATTGGCCAGGCAATTCAATAGCTTCTAAAGCTCTTTGAACAACTCTACATCCATACATTTGTAATGATAAATCATAGATATGACCAATCATATGATCTAACAATACATGTTTTTGAGTTTTACTACCGAATTCGAAATATTTTTGAATAACATAATTTCCGAAAACATCCGTCATCAATTCATAAGAAATATCTCTAATTTCATTAAAAATCACTTCCTTTTCTTCTTCAGAAGCATCAGGTAATTTTTGTTGGATAAATCTTGAACCATGTTGATCTTTAGTGAACTCAATAGCATGGCCATAAATATCCTTCAAGAAATATTCTTTACCTTTGAAATTTGATCTTACTTCTTCTAATAATGGAGATCTGTAAATATGAGGACCTCCATTGGTGGGAGTTTTCTTACTCAGTTTCTTTTTTGGATTAGGAGCAGTGGATGTGGTGGTTTCTGGAGGTGTAGGAACTTCACTTTCTTCAGTTTCAACAGGTTCTTGAGGTACAACATTCATCATTGGAGGTGATTGTTGAAACATCGAATAAGGACTGAAAGGTTGAAACATAAAAGCAGGGTTCATTTGCCTTGGTGGAAGTCCAATACCAGGTTGATGAAGATAATTACTCTTTTGTTCCTTAGTATCCTTCTCATCCTTTTTATCTTCATCTTTGGGACTTTCTTCTTCATTAGAATCTGTAGGATAATTATACATTCTTGGATCGAAGAATTGATAAGGTGGTGAAGGCATCATGAATTGAGGTGGTGGAGGTGCTTGATTTCCATTTCTACCGTTATAAGGATTGAATTGCATCATATTATTCATATAAGCTTCATTATTAGAATTTTGTTGATAGAAACTTGGAGTGAAAGAAGCAGCTGTTGCTGGATTCCAAAAATTTGGCTGTTGATATTGATTATTTGGTGGTCCATTAGAATTGACACTTTGATATGATCCATCACGTTGTAAATCAGCAGTTAAAGTAGCACCTGTTGGAATAGGTGAAGTACTATTATAATGATCAATCTTTTCACTAATTGATTGATGACGCGAATTTCTATTATTCAAATTCAAACTTTCATTGATTGAACCTGAAGGAGAACCTAAATTAACGTCTTGAATTTTGATATCTCTTTGTTGATGACTATTGAAACTAGTTCTTCTGGAATTATTATTTTCTAAATTCAAATTGGAGAAATTATTAGATAATTCAATATCTCTAGTAGCTTCACCAACAGATCCAAATTTCTGTAAGAAACTATCTTGAGGAGGATGTCTATTGGCGATTCCTCCACTAATTGAGGCAGTCCCTAAACCAAGACGGTTCTGTTGAGGTGAAGGAGCATTGTTCATAGTATATCCAGGAGGTGCTGTAATAGCAGATAAAGCTCCAATTTTTAATCCGAATCGGTTATTACTATCAATATCACTACCATCATTGAAAGATAATCTTCTAGTCATTAAATCATCCCCACCTCCTAAAGGATCATTATAACTTAACATTTTAGCTACATCTGGATCCATAGAATCCAAAGCATTTCTAAAACTGTTAGTATTTCCACTCGTATTAGACCAAATAGTTTCAGGCATATTTCTTTTATTTACAAAAGGTGTTGTTTTTATGTACAAAGGAGTTCTTTTTTAAAAAATTCAGTAAAGAATAAACGTTCTGAGTTGAAATGGAATCTCAACTTTTTGGAAGTAAAAGGTTTTGTTAACTGTGAATATTAGTGAATGATGATGAATTGTGGAAAGTAAAATGACTTCGATATCGAGTCTACTTCAGAATTGATTTGATCCACAAGAAATCTCAACGAATTATGAGGAACTCGTGATAGTCGTTTTTAGTGCGAAATTTTTCTATGGTAATGATAAAGATATGCCATCATAGAAGGATTTTTCCTACCAAGAGGTGGCTATCGAATACCTTAGCCGTGAGAAAGTCTAATGGAAAGATAAAAAATATCATAGATCGAGAAAAGGAGGTTGAAAAACCTCTAGATATAAATCATTATACTCATAGATTATTTGATGAACTATATGATGAAGCAGTTAAAGTTTCAAGAGATAGAATACCCATACTTGAAAGTAAATTATATGATACTAAAGTACCCACCAAATCGATTCTTGATGAACTACAGATCAACGATTGGAGACAGAAACCTGCCAAAGATGCCATAAACGATACTGGAAATGATATCCAAACCAATGTCTTAAGTTTCAATTGCCCAAATTCCTTATTAATAGAATCAGATTTCATGAATGCATACCCTCAAAGAATACATAGAAGATATAATCACCTGATAGACAAGCTAATGGTCATAAAAAAGAGAAATCCTATGAATTTGATGTTTGAGAATACTTATTATTTGATCTTCCCCAGTTACTTAGATGCTTCGGTGTATTATATGGAAACAAAGAATAAAGACTTGAATGGGTTCCCAATGAAATTGAAATTTCAGACTTTGAGTCCAATTTTACCTCATTTGACTTCTCCCTTCTTTCATGTTTTAAATGACAAAGTAGATAAGAAGAATCCTTTCAAATTAGTACCAGAACTTCAACAATCACTTCAGATGTTGAAAGATTCCGATACAAATGATAACTATAAACAATTATCACGATTTGCTTCATATCAAACAAGGAAATCTTACGTTCTTGTGAAAAACTTACCATTTGGATTAAGTAAATTTACTTTACAGAGACTTTTATGGGATTATGAATTCCCACCATCATTAAAACAACATCAATGTTTCCGTACAGTTATCAGAGATCAAGTCAAACAAGTCAATATGATGTTAATAACCTTCAAAAATGTAGATAGTGCCAAAAGGTTTATTAGAACATTTCATGGACAACGTTTGATTACTAAAGGTAGTAAAAGATTTTATGAACCACTTTATTGTGAAATTGTTTATTAATGCAAAATTATAAATGAGAGATTTAATCCAAAGGATTATCGAGACCTTTCCAACTGGTTCGTATTAATTCCCATTGAGGTTTATCCTTTTCAGATTTCTCCAAAATGACATATTTTTCCCATATCTTTTTAAGTTTCCAAATGATTATGATACTATCATTACCTGACCAACCAATAGTTCCTTCATCATTGGCGTTTTCAAACTCATTATGATATTGGTTGGTATTTACTGAACAAAATGACCATGTAGAATTGAAATAATTATTAAATATTGGTACTGGTAACTTATTGAAAATATGCTTACGATTATTTTGAAGTTTATCATCTTCTTCCACTGGTTGAATCAATGTAAATATATGTAAAGTATTCTTATCTGATAATACTGCTAATCTAGAATCATCAGGAGAAAATTTCATCGATGTTATTAAAGCTCTATCTAAACCTCTTCTGAATTCGTACAATAAAGCTGTATTATGAGTGGAGTGAATTCTTATAATGGTTCCTGTTTCCGATGCTGATGCTACCATTGTACCTTGTTTATTTAAACAAACACATCTAATCTTTGATTTATGAGCTTTAACTATACTAATCAAATTCTTCTCTTGACCATTTTGTGAAACATCAACTATTTGTAATTGACCTATTTGTCTACCAGGAATGACCAATGTTTGATACCGTATAGAATCGTTGGAATTTAACGATGATAATGATGATGATAAATTGGGTGTGGATTTAGATGATGATACTGATAAGTCTCCTAAACCATATTCATTATCAATGGTTTCGTAAGATGCAAATTTTTTAGGTGGTGACAGAAATCCATATACCAATACTTGATTCTTTAATATGATGATGATTCTAATTCTTGATAAAAGTACATTCAATATAGGACTCATAAAATCTAAGGTTAAACTGCTTTTCCGCTTCAAGTCATCCCAGATGACTAGTTTATTATTGGAGAACTTAGGATTCTTACCTCCACCTACTAATGCTAAATAATTGGTCCTATGAAGCATGGTAACATTACCAATACCCGTTCCTTGGCCATTACTATTATTGAAAATTCTCTTCACCCGTAAGTCTATGGGATTGGTGTTGTAAACAAGGAATCCATATTCATGACTGAATGCAAAACATCCTTGGTCTTGATTGAAATTTATACTAAGAATATTAAACTCATTGGTGGTAGCTAGTGGTGTTTGAGTATTCATGCTTATGGGGAACGTAATAGAAGAACCCTTTATTTCAATCTACAAAAATGATGTGGCTAAGTTGATGAGCTACTGGTGTTATACTATTGCTATATCAAACCTTACCAGTTGAAGGTTTATAGTGAAAAAAATGAAATTAACGAAACGATTATTGTTTATAATTTAACTGTAAACATAGTGCGAATTAGACGATATATTAAGTTACACAAAAATCGCGAGATGTTACACAAAATCGTGAGAAGTTACTCAAAGGGGAAGAAATTAATCCCAAAATGGTAAGATATTATCAAAAAAAAATTTCTACTCACTCTCTATATCCATAACTTCATCTTCATCACTTGAAGCTTGACCCATCTGTAAGTTTTGAGCTAAGATATTGATATCGTCGTTTTTTTGATTAGGACTACTGGCATTGATCAATTGAATTTTTTTTGTGGATTGAAAGAAATCATGGGTAGAATTCTGATTACAGTCGAGGGCTCTTTTCAATAAATCATTGGCCACAGGATCCGATGGATTGATAGCTAAAGCTTCATGTAAAATCGTTATGGCTTTGAAATAATTTCCAAGCTTCAAATAAATCAAACCAATCGATGATAATAGATTTGAGTCATTCTTATTACTTATCTTCAAGACTTGATTAAAACATTCTAAAGCTTTCTGAGGTTCATTGGATTTCCTATAAACATGGCCTAAGTTAGCATGAATAGATACCCAAGTTTTGGAGTCTGAATTTAAATTCTTTGATGCTCCTAAAGCTTCTTTGAAAAAAGCTTCAGCTCTTGATAATTCGTTTCTATGGAAACTTATAACTCCTAGTTCGTTCAATAATAGCGGATCGGTATTACAGATTTGATATGATGCACTAAGGTATTCTTCAGCAAGATTCAAATTATCCATCAAAAGGTGTTGCATTCCTAAGAACAAATTAGGTAAATGAGTACCAGGAAACAACCTAGCAGCAAACGCATATGCACTTATAGCTTGTTCATGTTCACCTTCAGCAGCAAATGTATGAGCAAATCCGATCCAAGCTTGACCAAAGTTAGGGTTCAATAATGTGGCTTTACTGAAAAACTTTCTAGCTTCGACTATTTTATTAATAGATAAATAATAGATTCCTATGGCTAACCAAGTCATAGGATCATTAGGATGATTCTCTGCCAATTGATGAGATTTTAAGAAAAGCTTATTCTTACCCCCAAGTTCATGTAAACAACTAAGATAATTTGGTAAGATATTGAAGTTATATTTATCTTTGGTTAAGATTTTTTCACAAATATTTAAACATTCATCAAAATTACATTGAACGTATAGATAATCCGCCTTAGCTAACAAGATATCAATGTTCTCTCCCAAATCATATTCTGTGGATAAAATTGACTCTGCTTCATCAAATTTGGAAACATTAAAGTATTTACTCAATCTAGAAGAATATAATAATTTGATTAACTCATCATTATCATCAGCATCACGATAATTTAGTTGTGATATGAAATCCCATTCTTCACTGGGGGTCATGAGATTATTGGTTATTAATTCATTAAAAGCTTCAAAACATTTTACATCTACCAACACCGCTTCTTTATAAGCTTCTTTAGCCTTTTCAAAATTATTCTGGTTGGCATAGATCAACCCTCTTAAATAACACATAGAACTTTCTAGTTTAATTCCTCCATCTACATTCTTCACTTGATATAATTCATCTCTTCTGAAAGGATTAGTCTCACCAATCAAGTCCAACGCATCATCCCATAGTTCCAATTTGATCAAACATAGAGCGGCAAGATATCGACAACTAACAGATTTTTCGAATTCTGGTTTGGATGTAAGTAAATGTTTGGCCCGTAAGTAGTTCCTGCTACTAAAATAAACTTGAGCTAACCAAAATGCATCATTAGGATCGTTAGTTAAAGCCAATACCTTATCACCAATGAATTCAGCTGTATGATATTGATGTTGCATTAAAGCATCATGTCTCCATAATCTTAATTTTTCAGCTTGTGAAAGGGGTTGATTCTTTTTCCCACTTTCTCTAGTACTTCTATCGATATTGAAAAACAGTGTAGTATTATTACCTCCAGGACTATCAAATATAGTGGCATTGGGATTAGGTGGTGTTATAAATACATCATTCCTCCTATTATTCACCATAGGTGAGATGAATAAAGTGGAATTGTGTTGAGATGGGGTCTTTTGTGGTTGTGGAGCCATTTGTTCGTTATCACCTCCAGATCAAAACACAGATTTAAAACCTCAGTACCGCGCACTAAAGAAAAAATCCATCTCATCTCATATGGTTAAACCAACTCAATTCAGGATCTTGGTAGGATCTTATGAACATAACTTGTTATGTGTATCATTGATGTTAACCGAAACCCCAGTGTTTCAACCAGTTTTCCATTTTGAAGCACATTCATTATCAATCAAATCCATTGATATTGCTAAAAGATATTTAGTTACTGGTTCTAATGATGAACACATTAGAATTTATGATTTACAAAAGAGAAAAGAATTAGGAACTTTATTGAGTCATCAAGGTACTGTCACTAGTTTAAGATTCTCCGATGAAGCTGAAGAAGGTGAAGAATCTACAGAAAAATCAGGTAAATGGTTATTATCAGGATCAGAAGATGGGAAGATTATAATATGGCGTAGTAAAGATTGGGAAGTTTTTGGAACTTTGAAAGGACACCAAGATAGAATTAATGATTTAGATATTCATCCAACTGGTAGAGTAGCCATTTCTGTTTCAAAAGATCAAACTATAAGATTATGGAATTTGATGACTGCTAAAAAAGCTGCTGTATTGAAAATTAAAGGAAGAGATAGTCTTGGACAACAACCAGAATTCGTTAGATGGTCTAAAACAGGAGATCATTTCATTGTTGGTTTCATGAACAAACTTTTCATCTATGAAACTAATAATGCTAAAATATATCAAAAATATAATTTCAAAACCACTTTAATGTGTATGAAAGTTATTGTTGTTAAGGATAAAGAATATGTTGTTCTTGGTCATAGTAATGGATTAATTGAAATGGTAGAATTTGAAAAATTAACCAAACAAGGAGCTTCAGATGAACCTTTAGTATTCAAACCAGATATAACTTTAAGAGGACATGCTAATCGTATAAAAGATTTAACATACTATTATAATCCAAAAGATTCACAAGTTCCATATCTTATCTCAGTTTCATCTGATGGTAAAATAGTTGTATGGGATTTAGATCAACATGATCAAGTAGCTGTTTATGATAGTGGTGAAAGATTAAATTGTGTAGCAGTTTGTTCAGAGACCATTGAAAAAGCTGATACCATGAAAAGGAGATCAGAGAATGAAATGCCAGATATTGATTCTGAATATGAAACTGATGGTGAAGAAATGAAGAAAATCATGAAGAAGAGGAAAGGTAAGAAATCTAAAGTTACCATTACAAGGGAATAAATTCACGAAAAATAGATAATATATAAACGATAACTACATCTATCTAAAGTTTATTTAATCTAGCAACATGGTGATCGAATAAATCTTTAGCTTTGACCCATACTGGAGCAGTATCTCTATTAGGTAATTGTAATAAAGATGGTAATAAATCATTAGCGAAAAATTCTGAAGCTTCTCTTGGTAATAATGAAGGTAAATGATCAATTGAACAAACTGATAATTTTGGACCTTTAGTGGTTTCAACAGGAACAGTTGGATCATTAAATACAGTAGCAATTGAATAAACTGGAATTGGATTATGAGGATTGGTAGTATCAGCAGAAACATCAACAATAGTTCTTAATTTTCTGTTTTCATTATTTAAAGTTTCATAATTAATAAATGGAGGAATTGGTTTAGATAAATAAATACAATTTATGAAAATATCTGATTCAACAATTTCTTGGAATGGACCACCTTTAGCAGTTTCAGCCATATCCCATTTTAATAATTTAGATTCTGGAATACCAACTTTATTGAATAATGAAATAGCTCCACTACCACATCTACCTAAAGCACCAATGACTAAACATTGAGGGTAAACACCACCATTTTTAGCTAAAGCAGCATCTAATTGAACTTTAACATCTTTAACTAATAAATCTTCATTAGCATATGGTGTAACACCAGGTAAATTACCTTCATCACCATTAATTTGTTTATAAGCCCAATCTAAAACTCCAATAGCAGCCCCAGCAAATCCAGCATAAAATCCAAAAGCAGCAACTCTTCTTCCTTGATCATTTTCTAAGAATTCTAAATCATATAAAGTTCCTTTACCTGCAGGGAATCTACCTAAAACTTCTTGCCATCCACCTTGATCTTTATAACAATGAGCAAATTGAATATGTTCATGAACCAATGGGAATGTTTCATTTTCTGGTAATTCTTTTAATCCAAAGATAATTCTATCTTTTGGTGCAGTTTTCCATGAACCTTCTGGAACTATAGTAGCTCCAACAGCTTCATATTCTTTAGCATTGAAAGTTGATTGAGAACTTTCTTCAACAAAGATTTTAAATCCTGCTTCTAATAATTTTTTAGTAGTAGCTGGGGTTAAAGCAGCTCTAGCTTCTAATGGTTTGGTTTCAGCTCTTAAATGTAATGTAACGGTCATTGTTTTTAATGATATCTCAAGGTTAATTCAATGGTTTAAATAGATTTTCAACTTGTGCCAGTGAGTCAAATTATCGCGCTAGTCGAGGGACCCATTTAGTCATAAAGCTGCAAAAATTGTGAGATGTGATAAGAAGGTAGTGTATTTACAAATTTCTCATGGTACTATAAATATGTTGGTGTAAGATAGGTTTAGCTTTTACCCAGTCATCTTCAATATAAGCGTCACCATAAACTTTGAAAAGTCTCTTTAAACAGCTCATTTCATGTTCATTCAAAAGTCCGGAATTTTGAACTTTATCGTAAATAATGGTTGCAAAATCTCTGTCGTTATTATATAAATAAGCCAACATGATTGATTCATTGAGCAACCCTGCACTCGATCTTTGTGACTCATTGGGCTTAGTACTTACTTGTTGAATATACTTGTTATAGATTTCGAGGGATTTATCGGCATCAAATTGGGAATGGGTCAAGATTAATGATTGGATAATTTTGATGGGGATATTTTCTAACATCAACGCTTCAATAATTGGTATTAATTCAGGTTTGGACTCATTAAAAGCTTTTAAACAATATGCTTGGATAAGGGTATTTTGAATTATTTCCATACCAAAATCAGTATGAGTTTGATATTGATGATATTTCTTTAAGGCCGCTTCGAAATCATTTTTTTCCATAGCATAAAGTTCTATTAATTTCATTCTTACTAATAACGATTCAGGTTGTTCGTGAATGTCTAATTTATTGCTCTCGATGTGTTCAACGATATCTGGGATCGAATAACTAATAGTTTCACCTGTTAAACGTTTATAATCTTGAATAAATTGTGATGGTTGCTCAAGTTTCATTTTCATATTAATGCCCAAACCTTTAGCAAGAATCTCGAAGTCTACATCTTTATAAATTTGTTGGAAAACACTCAAAAATGCTAAACCATCAAGATCTTTAATTCTAGATTGAAGAAATTCCTTTTCCAATTGAAAAAATGGTAAGATTTCTGGCTTTTCGATTAATTTTTCGAAAAACCCTTCACTGAAAGTTTTCTTATCATTCAACTTTTGGTACAAATACAAAACCTTGGCCCAATCTTCTTCCTCAATCAAACTTTCGATAATGTGATGTATTAATTCATCTTCTTCTGGTGCTCCATGACGAGTATACAAATCCCAAGAACTATCAACTCTTCCAGGATTAGCCTTGATCAATGATTTCAATTGATCTACTGACCATTGGTGGTCTTTCAAAAGGTAATAGAAGGAAAAATCATTGGATATAAAATCAGCTAAAGTATTTTTCACTGGTGGTGATAATAAAGATTTGTTTTGTTGGAAAATTTCTTTCAACTCCGGTAATTCATTATTTTGTATAGCTTTCTCTATGAGACCTTTAGTTATCTGGAGTTCTCCGGAAACAATCCGTGGTCTGATGGTGGAGACTGAATTGAATCTGATGAATCTTAACATCATCGCGAATTTTCATTTGCAACCAGAAGTCCTAAATAGTGGCAACTAAGAGTGACATATTAGAGTAACGACAGAGTTTAGATTTAACAGAGATACTTCTAAATAAATCTTTATATTCAATCATGTTTTAATTCTTGTTCCATCTTTGCTAACATTCCAGCACCTTCGAAATAACTTTCCCATTCATCATCAACATCAAAATGATCTAAATCATTGAAATCAAATTTATCATTCAAATATTGGTTAAAGTTAACGAAATCTGATTTTTGTTCACAAAAGTATCCCCAACTAGCTTTATAAGCTCCTCCTAAAGCACATGCATTAGGGATTTCTACTTTATAGTTTTTATTATTTGCACCTAGAATAGATCCCATTTTCTTAATGATGGAATGATTATTTGAAGCCCCACCAACGTAGAAGATATTATTTGGTCTTGAAGTCAAAGAATCAAAGTTCTGAGGTTTACCGTCGGTGTACAAATCACCGAATTTTTCATGTAAATCATCATAAATTTGATGTAAATGTTGAGAATTTTCAGTTGGTGTGGATTCTTTGTTTGAACCAGAAATCATAGGTCCGGTTCTTAATCTACAACTTAATGTTTGTGATTCAACAATTGATCCCACATCATTTTCAACGTCCCATTGTTCAACATCTTTTAATTCGTTACCTTCTAAAATACTTCTTTTGAATTGAGCTGAAGCATTGGGTACGATTTCTCCCAAGGGAAAATAAATACCTAATTTTTTATCAAATTTAGCTTTGTCCAAGATTTCATTGAATTTATCCCATGATTTGTCCTCAATACCGTATTTTTCATTCACAGCATCTCTGATTTTTTCTCTGGCTAATGATCCATTACAATAACAAATCATTCCCATGTAATGATCAGGTAATGTTGGATGTTTGAAAAGATGATATTGAGATGATGGATTATAATTTTTAGTGATTAACAATACTGTGGTAGAAGTCCCTAAAGAAACTAAAATATCATTAGGATTCAAAGGTAATGAAATTATAGTAGCTAAATTATCTCCTGTAAACGAATAAATCTTACAATCTTTAAAACCATATTTATTCTTAAAATACGATGAAATCAATCCGTCGGATTTATAAGTGATAGGCTTAATATCACCCAATTTGGATTTTAATTCTTCAATACCTTTGATTTTTTCATCTTCTGAAACTTTATCGATTTTGCCAACTCCAGCTGATAATGCTAATAATTCATCATCATGGGAATTGGTATTTAAATCATACAAGTTCATCCCACAAGCGTCAGCTTCTTCGATATTAGTAATATTACCTAACAAAACACTGGCAACAAATGAAGAAACTAAGGAGATTCTTGAAGTTTCTTTATATAATTTAGGATTCTTTCTAGTGGCCAATTTTCTAATTTGTAAACCGGTAAATCTATAATGAGCTCTAGAACCGGTTATTTTAGCCAAATTATCAGCACCTCCTACCAATTCTTCGAATTCTTTAATTTCTTTACCGGTAGAATGATCTTGCCAATTGGGTGACATTTTATATGTAAAAGCATCATCTAATTGACTTGATAAATCTTTAGAGGAATCCAACTCTCCCAATAAATCGTTAGCTTTGTTTGACCAAAAGACTGACCCATGTTGTTGAGCTGATCCACTTATACCTCTAACTTTTTCAAATGGGAATCCATCTTTCTTCATAGCATCAAAAACATAATTGATTGAATCTAACCACATATTTACAGGACTTAAGATCTCACCTGTAGATTCATCAGTCAAAACACCTTTAGAAATTCCATACTTTTTAAACTCACTATCGAATTCGACATTATAAGTATTTAAATGATTCAAATTATCATCAGTAACAATGATTTTTAATTGTTGAGTTGATAAATCAAATCCTAAGTACAATTCCTTACTGTTCTCATAAGACATTTCTAATATGCTTTTAACCAATTGACTTTATTATTATTATATTTAGGATAACTTGGTAATGATACTAATAAAACAACAATAATAAAAATAACAAACGTGAAAATTAAATATAATAAACTTTGAGTGACAAAACCAACAATAAAACTTACAGGTAATGACAAGTATAAAAATTTATGAATGAAGTTATCGATAAATTGTTGACTTTTAAAATCAATTGAAAATTCTAAATCCAAATCCATTGAAGAGGTATTTATACTCGTTGGAAAAAAATGAGAATCTCGAGATTGCCCCACTTAAAGATTTACCTAATTTGAAAAGGGGGGTGAGCTAGATGTGTGGATTAATGGTGGGAAGGATACAAATGGAAGGTGGGGGTTAACATGGGAGAAGAAGTTGAAGGAATAACGAAGTTTGAGAACAACAGAGAAGAAATATGTTGAATAAAGCAATCATTCTCGGATTAATTGCGAAGCATGTAAAGTGATGGAAATGGAAAAGAATACGGAAGTTTGTGGATGAAGAAGTTGACGGGTATTATAATGAAATTCATGGTGGATGTTGGGTATGTTTATGAAGGATGAATTGGGTAAGTATAGTCAATACGTTGACTTCAGCTTGCCTGTTTAAAATATCTTCAAGGGTCTATTGAGATGACACCTCAAGATGCCTTTATTGGGACTTCAAGATATGCCTTGAGAAATTCCCTTGCTGCCTTATATGAGGCACTTAGTTCAAGGTACATTTGATGGCATTCCACCTATCCTTCATTCCATGAACAAAATCTGATCTATCCCTTAATGCCATCCCTATTATCATAATCCTCAAATTCATTTTTCCAATACTAAACCTCCTTCCCGCCACCATTTATTCACGAATGCCTCTCTTATACTAACACTCTATTACTCCTATGGATCTTTTACCACTAACCTTCCTTACCTCTATCCTCTATTTCAAATGTAACATTTTCGCACTGAGGAAAATTTTTAAAAACTACACATACTTCACACTTTATACCAAAACTCAAGTTTAATCTGATAATTAACCCAGCTGGTTTGCCTATTCACATATAAACCTTTGTTCACTTGGAAATTTGATATATCATACAATTTTATCCAAAAAATTTCAAGTAATAAATTGATTTTAACTAAGGTTTTGCAAACAGCCAGCAGGTATGTCAGGTAGAAATAATCGATATGATTATGATTATAAGAAGCAGCGAAAGAGTTTCTACCCCAAAAGAAGTCTCAGCTCTTCAGGGCCAGAGATTCCCAACGGTAGTTCCAGTGCCAATGGTTCTATAACTCCCCTGTCATCGAATTCCATAAATCCCAATGTTAATCCCAATTCAAATGTAAATAATTCACCAAATACTAATAATGGCCGTCCACGATATTCAAGTTATGGTTCTTATAATTCCAAATATAATAACTATTACCCAAGTTATGGTTCTTATAACACTTTTAAACGAGAATCCAAATCTTTAGATTATAGATACGATAGTTATAAGAACTATAACAGGAATCGTTCATCATTATCTAATTCGGTGAAGAGAAGAAATAGTTCTTTAGTGAACTCCAAAAGAGCTGACACTTATTATCCAAAGGGTAGTCATTTCAAACAAGTTGATCATTATTCTACCAAGAAGGAGATTCCTGGCAGACAAAGAACAGAATCTCCATTGGGTTCTAAAGATGATGATGAAAATGATGAGAGTAAAGATGATGATAGTAGACTTGATGATAATGAACATGATAATGCAGATGAACATGAGGATGACCATGAAGATGAAAATGGAGATGACCATGAAGACGAAAGTAATGATGAAAAAGATTACCATAGTAAGCCTGATTATGAGAAAGCCTTCGATGAGGATGATGAAATGAAAGTCGATGAAAGTACAGACGATATCGACCGAAGTCAATTCGAAACTGATAAATCTTTACAAGTTAGTGAAGTTGAAAGTGATGAAGAACCTCCACCAGGTATGGATGAAGAAGCAGATACTTCGTCATCCTTAACTCAATTCACCACCTCAACAGATTTCTCAGTTACTGATAAAGTCAGACCTTTGATAAGATTGGAATCGTTATTTGAAGACCTTGAAACAGAATTTCAATCACAAAATACAAAATATCCTCCACTTGAAAATTTCCAACAATTACCCTTCTATAAGAGAAATTTGATCCTTCACCAGCATCGTAAACCATATTTGTCAAAGTTGTTGAAAGAGAATCACGAGAAATTTTCCAAATTGAAAGCTCAATTATGGAACGAGTATAAAAGTTATCAGAAGATTTATGAAATCAAATATGCCAATATGGAAGAACAATTGAAATTCTTACATCCTCCAAATGATGAACAAAGAAGAGAATTAGAATCTATTGATATTCGTATCAAGCATTCTGAGCCAGAATCATCTTTTGCTACACCAGATTCTTCAAGTCTTAATAATCCTAACTCAGGACGTAGATCGAGGTCGGGTAGACATGGAGATTTAGTTACCACGGAAGCAGAATTCGAGGAAGTCTTGAAATCTTTAACTCAACAAGATGATGAAGATCCTATGTTGAAAGCTTTAAGGGTGAGCGCTCCCGTTCCAGCATTGAAATTAGATGAACTCGAAAACATTGATTTCTTTGACTATAATAATGTAGTTCACGATAAATTGAAATGGTGTGAAAGACTCCATGGCCAATTTAGAACCAATTTCAATGAAAGGGAAAGTGAATTATTCTGTGAAGCATTTGTCAAATATCCTAAGAAGTTCGGATATATCTCAAAATATATGGGAGGTTTAAGAACCGCAAGAGAATGTGTGATTCATTATTATGTTACCAAAAAAGTGGCAAATTACAAGGCTTTACTTAATCAATATAAGAAAAAGGCAAGTAAATCAAAGAAGAAGAAGAAACAAGCTGAAATTAATAATGAAGAACCTGAACCTGAAGCTGCAAAAATTGAACAAGTGGAAGTTCCTGTGGAAATTCCTGTGGCTATTCCAGTAGTTGTTCCTGTTCCTGTTGAGAATGAAGAATTCACTGATACTGGTAGAAGAAAAAGAGCAGCAGCTCCTCATTTCGAGGATAATAAAAAGAAGAAACTTAAGGAAGAAGAGCCAATGGTTAATGAAGACGAAAAGCCAAGAACAATCTCAAGCTATTGGAGTATCACAGAATCTACTCAGTTCCCTCAATTGTTAAGTGAATATGGATCCAATTGGACTGTCATCGCTGATAAGTTGACATCAAAGACATCAACTATGGTTAAAAATTACTTCCAAAGAAACTGTGAAAAATATGGATGGTTAGAGATTGTGAAAAAGGTCGACGAAAAGAATGGAGTTGTTACTGAGAATGATGGACCTATGCTTGGAACTTTTGATCGTCCACAGTATTATCAAATGTATCCCACATATCAACCTGGCCAACCAATGCAATCAATGCAACCTATTCAGCCAATGCAACCAATTCAACCAATTCAAGGTCAACCTATTCAACCAGTTCAACCCGTAAGTTTTCAACAACCAGTTCAACAATCAGTTCAACAGTTGGTATCGCATCCTAACCTTGAACCCATCCATGTCCCTAAAATTAAAACTGAGGTCCATAAATCTTCTATCATGAATCTTCTCAATGATAGTCCTGTCAAATCACCAGTCAAAGAAAACGGTCAAACAGAGTTACCCAAATCTGAACATCCTTCAGAAATCCCAACAAAAGAAAATCAACCTTCCAAACCTATAGAACATCATACCATGCCCAAACTAAACGATATCTTATCATAATGTATTATATAGTGTATTATATATATTTCTCACCGCGAAAAATTTTTCACCAATGAAGTGGTTAAGAAGTTTCCATACTCTGATTACTTTAGGGAACAAACCCCCTATCATTCCTGATAGTTTACGTTCCTTCGTCCCACCACGTACTATACCTATCAAATCAGGTAAAGATCAAGTTTTTATGGCCGAATATGAAAGAACTCGTATAATTCCTGCCTTAAATACATATTATGGAGGTAATGCTAAACACGATCATACAGTGGCCAAATTAAATGAATTACTCAGAAGACATCAACATTTACCTACCAGACCTATCACCACTGAAGAAATGAAAACCAATGATTTCTTATCTTTCAAAGAATATAGAGATGAATATATTGGTAGTGAAAAAGTTAAGATTGGTCACCATAAAGAATTATTAAGAGTATTAAATCGTTTAAAAATCATAGATTCCCAATTAATACCTCTGGAAGTTATTACTACTTTAAATGAATTCATCACATCATCCGATCAAACCACCAAAATCACTAAAAAATTAAAAACCACTGATGAAGATGGTGTTATAAATATCAAATCTAAGAGAAAGACTTCAGTAGCTAATGTTAAATTAGTTAATGGTGAAGGTAAGATTATGGTTAATGGTATTAATTATACTGAATATTTCACCAGAGATCAAGATCGTGAATCTATTACTTTTCCTTTATTAGTATTAGAATTGATTGGTAAATTAAACATTTTTGTTAATGTTAGAGGTGGAGGAATTAGTTCTAAAGCTGATGCAGTGAAATTAGGTATAGTTAAAGCTTTAGGAGCATTTAATCCTATTTATAAGAATAGATTGAAACAAGCAGGATTAAAATCAGTTGATCCAAGAATAGTTGAAAGAAAGAAACCTGGTAAAGTTAAAGCCAGAAAATCCCCTACTTGGGTTAAACGTTAGTGTAAATAGATACTCATTTTGTTTCTATGTCTCTATATACTTTGAAAGTTGATTAAGATTCAAGGGTTAATGACTCTAAATATTTCAATAAACTATCCACTTCACCCTTTTCATAAACTGCTTTACCTTGGTAGATTCCTTTACCACCTCCTTTAACTCCAGTTAAAATTTCCTTAACTTTTTCGACGATTTCATTGGTCATTGGTCCCATAACTTTAACAAGTCCATTCTTTTCACCATTGAACATCACCACACTATGGGTTTTATCTAAATCAATACCACAATCACTGCCATTGATTAAAGTTAATAATTCTTTTTGGAAAATTTGAATGGCTTCAGGGTTGGAATCCTTTCTATAGAAATATGCAAATTTACTGGTTTTTAAAGTATCAAATACTTTTTTAGCTTCATATCCTAAAACTTCAGCTAATAATTTCCTATTAGTTCCCGCAACATCTCTATAATTATCATTTAATAATTTGGTCTTTTCATAAACATCATCGATTTGACAAGATAAGACATTACCTCCAACATTCTTCAAGATGTTATAATTCTTTGATAATTGACGGAAAACTCTTGATCCACAAGTGAAGAATAATCTAGAATTACCTCCTTTAACATTAAGTTGATGGAAAATTGAAACTGCTTGGATTTGACCAGTGGTTTTCAAATGAGTACCACAACATGGATTTCTATCTAAATTACCAATCTTAACAATTCTTAATAATCCTTTACTTAAATCATAATCATCTGGAATTTTGGAAATATTGATCTCTCCACCGTGGTCATCTGGCCATTCTACAGTGATTGGAATATCATCAATGATAGCTTGGTTAACTTTTTCTCCAACTTCTTCGATCAATTCATCAGAAATTTTTTCAGGTAATTCAATGTAATTCATAGTCTCTCCTAATGACCAACTTAAAGTATCCAACTTATATTGATCGAAAATAGCAGATAATAAATGTTGACCAGTGTGTTGTTGCATATGATCATATCTACGTTGCCAGTCAATTGATAAGTCAACTTTAGTACCAATGTCAATAGGTTTATGAGTTAAATGAAGGGCAGTTAACTTATCTCTGATAACTTCTTCCACTTCAATTTTATCGGATCCGGTATCAATAATCCCAATATCAGATGGTTGACCACCTCCTTCTGGAAAGATCACAGTATCTCCTAACTCAATGGCATATCTTGATTCTTGCTTCTTATCTTGCAGTTTTTTACTTTTGTTTTGCTTATCCTTTGGAGTTATATGGCCCTTATGCTCAGCACATGATATAACGGTAGTAGTCAAAGTCTTAAGGAAAGAATCTTTCTGACAAGCTAATGCTCCAACGATAGTTGACATCCTTATCTGAAAAATTTACTCGCGGCATACTTATGACTAAACTCCAGTTAACTCCTCAACTAAGAGAGGTTTTCAATAATAAAAAATATGTTGTGGAACATGATTACATAACGCATCGACAATTGATAGAATTTTATCAACTTCATAAACCAACAGAGTCGTTAAGAATGTTATTAAAGATGACATCGATATATAATCCACCTCCATCCCCACCACCAAAGAAGACCAAGGAATTCGAGGACTTAATGGCCAGACTTCGACTTGAAGCTAAAGAGAAAGAATACAGAGATCTAGTGACATCCAAAACGGAGTTCGATACTTTATATGAGCCATCTGAACCTCAATCACTAGCTCAAACGAATAAGGAATTAAAGAGTAATGTAACAACCATAATCAATATTTTAGTGAGTGTGGCCAGTGTTGTATATGCGGTATGGTATTGGGGAGGAAGTTCATGGGGTCTTGAACCAGGTATCAAAGTGTTGTTATGTGTATTCTTTGGTATATTGGTGTTGGTGGCTGAAGTGGTGGTTTATATGGGGTATATCAATAAGATAGAAGACGCTAAACAGAAGGAGAGGCTGAAGAAGGAGGTTAAAAAAGTAGTCAGAAGGATTTTATAAACACATAATGCATATATTTTTATACGACCTCATTTCCTGTCAGTAACAGATTTATGAGGAGGGTGGGGAGGTAACTCTTTTAAAATATCAACAAACTCCTTCTCATCCTTTTCATTTAACTTATTCATTTCTGATTCCATTTCCAAGGTTTTATAGTATCCCCATTTCATCAAAATCATAATCAATGATAGGAATTTAAAATCGGGCCATAAAGTATCAACAAATTCAATAGTACAATTATAATTACATTGCCATAACATGAAATCACTCAATCTTGTTTGTCCACTAGTTCTTATCATAATATCTAACGGTAAACTGTCAGGACCAAAATACATATTATCAGTTACATAATCAAGGGTGATACTATCTTTGTTAATCAAACCATTCATTCTTTGATGACTGGTTTGTTTAATAGAATGAACTATATCATCTCTTGAAGTATAAGGAAAGCAAACATTCAAAATCTTTTCACTGGTTTCAAGATTTGTTTTATCTTCGATCTTCTCTAAATCTTGAAGAATATCTTCTGGTATCATTGATTTGTTACCTATGATTCTAATTTTGATCATGTTGACTCTGGAATAACTGTTTTCATTTTCAGCTAACAACTTTAACCTATCTCTGAGTAGTCCGAACAATGTATCGATTTCTTCCTTAGATCTATTGAAATTTTCAATAGAGAAAGCATAGATAGTCACCACCTTGACACCTAATCTGAAACAAGTATCCAATACTTTGACCAAACTTTCAGCACCAGCAGTGTGGCCCTGTTTCAAAGACAAGTTCCTTTTTTTGGCAAAGGTTCTATTTCCATCCATGATCATGGCGACATGTTTGGGAATCGGACCTGTTTTCAATATTGAAATAATAATATCTTGAACAAAGGAGAATAAGTAGGCAAAGATGGGGAAATTTGCTAATAAGGAGATGAACTCATTGATTGATACGACACTCATTAAGGCTCTTGAATTTATTAAATAGGTAGAATTTCGAATTCAGGGATGTAAATTCAGGGATTTGTGATATATCATAATGGCTGCAAAAAATAGGACGTGCACGACTTGAGGTCAACTTTAATGGGAAGGATGGGGAAAGCAGGGTGTTTTCCCTTGAAATCGTGTCTTGTCACCATTGCTTCTTGTCTCGTCTTCATGTCTTTTCTAGTTCCGTCCCCATGATTTCCTATCTCCATGACTTCGTATCCTTATATTTAAATATCACAGCTGAAGTTCAAAATTCAACGTACATACTAACTGTGGACTATTCAGCTCCAATAATTGCAATTATGAAGTTCACATCTGCTTTCTGTTGCACGTTCACACCCTCTGCTCTAACTCATCATACCAGATTACCGCAACTTCAAAGAAATATTCCAACATCTGATAACTAATTCAGTTCTTCACAACTCTCAAGCATTCTTCCGGTCCTTCTAATCACCAGTTCCCTGCTGCCAAAACCCTTTTCACAGCCGTTTAATCCCCCAATACCTCTTTTCTCATTGGATCTCGTTTACATTGTCAAAATAGGAAATTATTGAGATAACAACCTCGTCTATTGACATATCAACGTGAAACCAAAAAACAAGTTTTTGATCTCAACCGTTCACCCCTTCAACCACGTATCGTTCAACAGTGTGAACGTTCTCGAGCATCTTCCATCAACAGGTTCAAGCCTCCACAAATTCAGTGTCAATTGATTGTACACGCATTTCCTCAGTGTTTACACAATGAGAAATTCTAAAATTGATACCGTATTAAAGATGTTTAGAAAAGACGAATTGGATTCTAGGAAAAGACAGAGTAAACGAGATGAAAACATAAGGAAAAGGATCGAACATGATTTGAACAAAAAACGGAAGAATGTTCATTCTACTTACAATAGAAGAAAAGGATTACCTGGTACAGTGTTATCGCTTAGACCATCGTCTCCCATAATTTGTAAGAAAACTTCATCAGTATTTGAAGTCAGTCAAATAATGACAGCCAAAAGAGAGAATTGTATTTTAGTGGTGGATGATAAAGGCGATTTAAAGGGTATTTTCACTGCTAAAGATTTAGCTTTTAGAATAGTAGGTTCAGGATTGAATGCTAATAATGTTACAATCGATCAAATAATGACACCTAATCCATTGAGTGTTAATTCTATAACACCTGCTTCCGATGCTTTGACTTTGATGGTAGAGAAAGGGTTCAGACATTTGCCCATATTGGATAATGAAAGTAATGATATAATAGGTGTTTTAGATATAACCAAATGTTACTCTCAACAGATGGAAAAGTTGGAAAAATTACACCAGTCGAGTAAGAAACTTTATGAAGCTTTGGATAATGTTAATTCCCAATTAGGTAATCAGAACCAACCATTACAAGTATTTAAATACTTTGAAGATTTAAAAGATAAGATGAATGGACCAACATTGGATTCTGTTTTGGATGATTCTACTGTGCCTGTTTATTGTTCCATCAGAACTACAGTTTATGAAGCTACAGTGTTGATGAAACAACATAATACTACTGCAGTTTTGGTGAAAGATTTAGATGATAAAGTCAATGGTATTTTCACTTCAAAAGATGTTGTTTTAAGAGTCATTGCTACTGGTTTAGATCCTAAAAATTGTTCTATAATAAGAGTTATGACCCCTAAACCTGATTTGGCTACTCAAACATTATCCATTCAAGAAGCTTTGAGGAAAATGTTTGATGGTCATTATTTAAATTTACCTGTCGTGGATGATGATAAGGAAATCATTGGGATTGTAGATGTGTTAAAATTAACTTATGCCACATTGAATCAAATAAAACAAATAGACGGAGAGGAAGTTGAAATGAGCCAGACTATTACTGAAAAAGACGAGGGCCCCGCATGGAATAAGTTTTGGACTACTTTGAATGACACTGACTCTTTCCATTCAGATACTATTTCAAATCCTCAGGATTCAGCATTACCTTCAGAAACATTGAATGTTGATATCCAGCCTTCAGATTCTATAAGTGTGACTGGGAGAAAGGAGTCAGCAATGGTTGCCAGTGATTCTAAAGTTTCAATAATACCTGACCAATTTATTTTCAAATTTAAGTCTCCTCTGATTGAGAATCATGTTCATCGTATTTTAGTTTCACCAACTGAAGGGATCGATAAGTTAAGGGAATTAATCGATTCCAAACTTCAACCTTCAGATTATGAAGCATTAAATGTCCCCACAGATTTCAAATATGCCATCAGTTATGTCGATGATGAAGGAGATATCGTTTCCATAACATCTGACCATGACATGATAGACTGTATCAGAATACATAGTTCCAAGAGTGATAAAGCTAACTTATACCTCCATGATCCTTTCAAGCCATTACACAAAGAAGCTATTAAAAGAAAATCTGGAGTTTTAGTAAGTAATGAGATGTTAATTGGTGGAAGTTTAATGATTATAGGATTGAGTGCCTTAATAGGATATGCTCTTAGAAGAAATTAATAGAAATAGAGTACAGGTACTATATACATTTATAATTCTTGTTTAGCTTTTTCAACTAATTCTTTAAATTTCTTTGCTTGTTGAGCTTCATTTAATTCTTGGTTAACATAAACATTAGAAGCGTTGAAATCTTCAGGTCTCAAATTGATATCGTTAGGATTTCTTTCACTCTTAAATCTTTTGGAAATAATATTTAAGATTTCATCATTTAATATGGAAATGGTATGAGATTTGGTAAGACTTAAATCTGGAATGTCAATACCTAATTCTGATTGGACAGTTTTGGCATATTGGAATCTGAAAGATAAATCCGATAATTCAGTATTTAAAGTCGGTTCTTCATTCTTTAAAGATTTGTAAATGTCTAATAATTTGGAATTTATATAATTTGCATCATAAGAATTTTCTATTTCTTGACGAGTTAAGTTTTTGGATTTCCATGTAGTTATTTTAAAGTCTGGCATATCAACCTCAGCATTGAATTTCTTGATATTAGGTGAATTATCACGATTTAAGAAAACTATCTTGGATTGACTAGTCTCGAAATCATCTTGATCTTTGATTAAATCTTTCTTAACTTTTGGCTCCTGAGGTTTAACAGGTTCTGAGGTTTTCTTTTGTCCAAACCAATCACTTAAAAGGGATAATCTTGGCTTGGACGTATGTATCAATCTCCTCGTAATCATCATTGAAAAGTTTTCGACCTGAAAATTTGAGATGGTAGTGCGCGCCAGAGATAGAGAGATGATAGATCATAAATTCATTACCTTCTAAACTTGAAGTATCTATAGAGTATAAGGCCCATGATCAAGCTTACACCAATATTACCGAAAGTTGCGTCGTTACGACCAATGGTGGCATCATCAAGAGGATCCCAAACACTTTCCTCCAATTGAAAATCTCTTTTAAAATCGGTATTTTCTATACTAGAAGGAATAGTACTGGTAAATACTTCGGTGGTGGTGATTAAACTTGAACTGGAAGGTGATGATTTTGTTGGTGAATCATTTTTCTGCGTTGTTACCAGCACATATCCATTATCGCACCACCCATTTACTGGTAAACAACTAATATACTTACACCAACTACATCCGTTATCTGTAGTGATTTCACCTTTACCAAAGAAATTGTTAATTAACAATGCAAAATATAACACAATGATGATGAAACATAATCCTCTTACTCCTAGCCACATATAAAATCTTGATCTGATTTTATCATCGATGTTATATAAGGGATTCCAATTGTTCTTAAATACTTCAAAAGTAGATAATTTCGATTGATATGTGATAATACCACTCTCATAGATCCAATAAGGATCTTTTAATAATACAAATGATGCTAAGAATCCCATAGCGAATCCTCCCAAATGACTGAAATTGTCTAATCCTGGTAAGAGCCCTAGCACAAAACTCACTATGACTTCACCTATTAAAACCGCTAAAAATAATCCGAACTTCTTGGTTCCATACATATTGGTATTCTTGCGGCCACTATAAACGAATAGCAAAAGGTTAGTAGCAACAATACCGAATAAGGATCCTGAACAACCAGTGGAGGCTATTCCATTAGGAGTGAAATTTGCACCTAATAAGAATCCACTGACTCCTGATAACATGTAAATAATGGCGTATTTCAATGTACCTATATATCTTTCGATACTGAAACCCATGGTAACTTGTAAAAGCAAATTGAATAAAATATGTAAAAATCCAGCATGAAGGAAAATTGGAGTTATAATTCTATACCATTGATTTGGGTCCCAGGAATCCCCATGAGTAGGAATGCCACTAAGACCACACAACTCATTCAATGAACAAACATTGGTATCCAATTTAGTAGAGTTAGCACATGGGTATTGAATGGAAGTATCATTAGTTATACCTTCAATTTGATTCATACACGGAGTATAACGAGCTCCCATATTAACCAAAAGGTAGGTGGAAGGACCCAACATCGGATTGAAATAAGGTTGGGTTTGAAAAGCTGAACCTGTTAAAGTTGACATCTTGATAAGTTCCACAATAAATACAATTACTTGAATGGCCGTTACTAGTATTCCGAAGTACGGTAATCTTGTGTAATGAAATCGAGGTTTTGACTTTAATTGACGGATACGGTGTTTTTCATTTCGTTTCATGAGTGCTTCTTCATCAAATTCAGGAATTGGAGGTTGAGGTTTTGTAGGATAAAAGTCATTACCTCTATAAGTTTCGTCAAATGGAGTATCAAAAGGATTTGGTGGTAAGGGAAGATTTTCTTTGTCGTGGGCGTTGTTCTTAGGAGGTATTTGCGGTGGTTGGTTAAGTACGGGGCTATCATGTTGATTTCCTGGGAATTCTTGAGTATAATTCAAACTATTCATTTCATAGGTTTCTTTTTGGCGTGGCTGATCTCTATGATCATTGAATTCAAAATCATCCAACTCATTTGTAGGGTATGGGATCCTATCATACTTTATGGTATCTCGGGATGCATTTGTGTTGGACATGAACTGATTCCTTAGATTATCTTCGTTGTTCATGGTGAATTAAATCAATCTAATTTAGGAGTTGTGTACCTGAAAAGTTTTTCGCGTTAGATAATCAGATCTAACTATAAAAATAGAATACCTGTACAGCCCTGAGAGAACGTTTGAGAGGGAAACGACTAGGAAGTAACCAAAAAATGTTAAACTTATATTCATTAATGTTTGAAAACTGAATCATTAGATAAAGGATCAGCTTCCAATACTTGATTTCTCTGTTTGATTTTTCTATCCAAAGCATCTTTTGATCTTTGTTTAGCTTGTTCAGCAGCTTTTTGTTTAACTTGAGCTCTAACAAAGTTTGGACTGACATATTCTTTATTTTCGTAAATCTTTGGACCACCGAATGAACCTTCTAAGATGGTAATTAAAGTTAAAACTAATCTTGGACCAATTTCAATCAATGATAAATCTTCAACATTAACATCATCGGATTCTTTATTTTCTAAAGTTTCATTAATTTGGAAGTTTCTGATCCAAATTTTACCATCGACAATTGAAAAAGTCATTACATGATCAACAAAAGGTTTAGATTTTCTGGCTTGTGGTGGGACTCCGAATGAATGAATAAACATTTCTTTTAATAATTTATCATGTTCAGTTAATTCAAAAGTTTTATCGAAACTTAATATTGGTCTTGAACCTTTTAAACAATTACCAATGAAATTTAATTCGGTTAAAGTATGTAAGTTTTGAATATGAAATTTAGCAGTTGGACCATTTGGTGGTTTGGAAATCCATAAATATAAATCTTGATGTTTTCTGGCTTCAAAGAAGAAGATGTTATTACAGTTGTATAATTCAGCAATTTCATTTAATTGCCATAAATCTTTTTTAGAATCAAATTTTGGTTCTTTTCTGGCATGAGGTAATAATTGAAGTAAATCTTGGATCAAATGACGGTGTCTGAAGGTAACACCTCTAGACGATATCACCAACAATCTTTGTCTATTAATATGTTTGGTAGGAGTTTTTTCCTTAGTTTTATTTTGTAATGCTTTATAGATTGAAGACATATTTAATTTTTTTTGCGATGAGATGTGAGAATATATCTGAATTTTTGACCCATTTGGGGAAGATCATTGATGAGAGATTGGAAGAGGAAGGGAAGTTCGGAGGTAGATATCAGAGTCTAAGGTGGTATGGAAGACACTTGGAGTGGAAAAAATGGCAATGTCACGTGAAAACAGAAATTTTGGAAGATAAATCTCTATTTTCTCCATTTAAACACGATCAATGACTTGAAATCTCCTTCGGGTCTTTTTCAATCATCTAAAAACATCAGATGCAAGCATTGTAAAACATTAAAAAGTCTCTTCTAAATATTTATATTTTAATGATATGAATATGTTATTGATGGTACCCATTAAATGACTAGATCACCAGTAGAAGTAGAAATCATGAAATATTTCAGTACTAATGACCGATATTAATCAAATACCCCATTCATTGTAACCCACCTAATGTTTTAAATTTTTAGTTAAATATTCTTTGATGAATTTTTCTTCTTCTTCAGAAGCAGCATTGATTGGTGGATGTTGAGGAGCAGCTGGACCCCAAGGTTTTGGGAGACAGATCAAAGTGACTCCTCCTAAAGTGGCCATTGATAAATAATGAGCTGGTACGGTTCTACCTAAGATTTGATAACCTGAAGCCATAACGTCGAATATGAAAAGTTTTTGAAAAAGTTCGCACCTTTTTTGATTGGATATCTGTGGTTGCAAAACAGTGAGAATATTTGCAACCGATTAAGAAGTTGTTAGAGATTGTTTAAGGTTAACAGTTGAGAGACTGATAGTTCGAAGGCTGTTAGGAGAATTTAAGGCAGTAATTCAACATTGTAGTGTGGTTAATTTGATTCTAGAAATCAATATGTCAATAAATCATAGCTCTACATTTCTGGTAAATACCACTACCATACAAAGTCAATTACATGATTATTGTACTTCAAGCTACCCAAGATTCATTAATACCAAGAGAAGGATCATATCACTTGTATCTATCGATGAATCGGTAGAAATAAAAATATCCAAAAAAAAATCGTTTGTTCGTAAGTGCAAAGATAAATTGTCTGATGTAATGAAAAGGGTAAAAATCACGAAAAATAAAAGAAAAAAGAAAAAAAAATTAAAGGATATTAAATCGAAAATCAATACCGGAAAAGGTAATACAGATTTCGAGGATACCAGAACAATAGATGGAAATGTGACGACGGAAAATCCCCATGAAAGATTTACTATTAATAGTAACACTACTCAGGATAGCTTATGTGATAGTTTTTATAGTGTTAAATCATCACCTAATTTTTCGTTACCCTCACCATTCGAAACTATTGATGGCTTAACTTATAGATCCCTTCAATAGCGTTCACGTGATAAGAATATAACTTGAGGGGATTTTGAACAATAATTTATCATAACCTCAGTAAAGTCACGACAGGCGTTTTGACAATAGAAGAGGTCTGCGCAACTTTTAATATCCAGGCGGGAATGGGATAAAATAGGCTATTTCCATATTGGTCCTACGGAACCTTGAAGAATTTGATTTAGGATACAACTTGTAATACAATCTTGAGGAGAATTGGAGGAGAATTTGGAGGAGAACTGGAGGTAAATTCCAAAATGCCTTAACTTAAACAATTGAATATGATATTGCATTTGCATGGATTACATGAACAATAAGTTTGCCCACCGAATTGTTGACCGAATTGTCGATTCAAATAACTTATTGTTTGTGGAGAATTAACCAATAAATGTTCAACGGTTTTAAAGCGCAAAAAAATAAAAAACCGTTTTCTTTAATTATGAGGAAATGATAACGAAATGAAATGAGACCTTGAATTATTAAGGAGTATAATTAAATATAATTAATCCTCAGGCACAAGGATCCAATGATACAAGGATAACCGCCTTATATCAATTAATGATGACCGAACTTCTCTAATCTTTTTAACGTAAAAATATCGAACAATTCTCATTGTGGACACTGTGGAAAGCAATATTCTCAAATCCTCAAAAGTTCCCAATTCTCAATTTCCATAACCAGTTTTAAGAGGACCCCAAAAATATCACCTATTACCATTGTACCACAGGTTAACCATTGAAGTTTCTTTGGATAATATAATAATTGACAGATATCCTAATAATTAAAGGATCGAAAGATATTACAGGGAAATTTATAACTTGATAGGGGAAGTGGAAAACAATTGTTTATAATGAAAAGTCTTGAACTTGAATATTTGAATTCTTTAATAAAAAGATTAGAATCATTTTTACCTACTACTACTGGTCATACTATAGTTGAAGTAGAATTAAACCAACAATTCATTTTAACTAAAAATTTACTTGTTTCAAGAATCGATAGTAAAGATGGGAAATATATCAGTTATTGTTTAGAGAAATTAAGTCATTTAATATCGAAAACTATTGATAATGGAGGTAATGAAATCAAATTAAGAGAAATGAATGATAAGTTATTATCGTCGATTTTAATTATTGTGAAAATTATAACTCAACTAATACCAAAATATTGGGTAACTAGAAAGAATTTAACTACCTATAGAAATTCTGTTAATAATTTTGCCAATAATTTTGAAGTATCTACCAATAAATTTTCCGATTTTGTTCATTTTGAACCTCCTTTACCCATTAAAAATGAATTCATCCCACCAATAATTGATATAATGATTAAAATATCCAGTGGTGATATAATTAAAAGAATTATCAATTTGATTCAAAAACGTCCTATTGATGAGAATAAATATTATGGAGTTAATCTTAATGAACTTGAAGAAACTTTAGATAATTCAAGTATAAATACTGATTTAAGTTCATCGAATTATTTACCACCACAGATTCTTAGTAAACATGAAAATGTCAAATTGGAAGAATTATTAATGATGGAAATTGATAATAATATTGAAATCATATTAAGATTTTTGGCTGCTAGTAATCCAATTCAATATTATAATTATTTATTTGATCATTTCTTCAAATATCATATAATTGATGATAAAAATAATCAAATACCTCGAACGGCATTAGTTAAATATAGTCCATTGATAAGATTTGTTTTCTATACCAAAGATAATGGATTAAAAATGGCCAAATGTGTTGATAAAACTTTAAGAATAACTAAAAACACCATGTGGAAACAAATTATCTTATTCTTTTATGCAAATAGTATCAGAGATCAATCATTTGCAAGGCCATTGGATTACGCATATATTGTTGAAACTGATGATGAAGTTATTGAAGTTTGTAAACATATATTTGATTTAACCTGTTCAATCTTTGAAGAAATTCCATATCTGGGAATATCATCAGCAATTCAATGTTGGATATCAATCTTAATTCCAAGTGATTTTAGAGAATTTGATGATAATAAAAAACCTAATAAATTGAAAATCAATTTCAATAAAAGATTGAAGTTTTTGATTAATTTACTTAAAGATTCTAATTCCAAATCAAATTTAACTTGTTTTAATTCATTAATTAATACTTTCCAATTAGCTGGAAGATTTCCTTTAATCTTACATGATCATCCTATTTATAAATTTACTTTGAATTATTTGGACTCAACTTATGAAAATTTGAATTCAATTAACTTGTTGAAATTTTCATCAACTCCAACTTTAAGTTTCGAAATCACCAATAGTTATGATAATTTGATGATCAATTTCTTCATATCAGCCATAATATTAAAACCTGATAAATATTTATCAATATTAATGAATAATTTCAAACAATTAACTAAAGATAATAATTTTAGAGATGTTAGAATTATCATTAAAATCATCAAATCATTATCTCAACAAGAAAATACTTTACAAAGTTTCAATTCCATCATTAAAAGCATAGCTCCATCATTGAAATTAATGATTATAAACGCATCAAGATTATTAAATCAATATTATGAATTGTATAATCAAAATTATTCTAATATTTCAATCAATTCTCATTCATTATCAGATAAAATAAGTTTACATTCAAGTTCAAATTCTTCAAATTATTTAAGAAGATCAAGTTTTGATGAAATAACTCCAACTGAAAGTAAATTAAGTCAAATTCAAGAAATTCATTTCGAAGATTTGAAAATCATGTCATCATCAATGAATCCAACTCAAGTTAAAGATAAAGAAAATGTTTCACCTTTCCAAAATCCAAGATTCTTACAATATACTGAAGAAACCTTATCTGATTTATTTGCTATATTTTCCGCTGTTCCAGAATTATTCTTTAATGATTTCAAATTCATGACATTGGAAAGATTCCAGGACAATGAAGAACATTGTAGAGCAAAAATCATCAAATTCGTTTATGATAATATAACAAGTTTAAAAGCAGGTTTACAATCAAAATTAAGTACTTCTACAATTTATGGGAATTCCAATGATTCCCATTTATTCCAATCAACTTGTGATTTGATCATGACTATTGTTGATGAAACCAATTTAGTGGCTAAGAATTATAATGAGGTAACAGCTTATACGAATTTCCTCACATGTAATTATATTATCAAATCAATTTGTGATTCATGTTTATCATTATCATTAGCTGATACTAAATTCAAATCTAATTTGATTTTCTTGAATGAATTCCTTAAACGTAGAGATCAATTTGATAAGTTTTTGATAAATAATGATATAATAGCTAACGATAAAACTCATGCTGATGATAATGTTATATGTAATTCTGTGGAAAGAGTTTTATTATTATGTTTATGTACTCATGATATTCAATTTTATAATATCGCTAAAGAAACAATGAAATGGTATTTAAAACAAAGTAATAATCCAATTCATGAACATTTGAATTGTTTCAAAACAAATCTTCATGATACATTTGAAAAATTAGTTGATGATGATCAAATCTTTACTGGATTTGTTTCCCTTCATAAAAAAGTTCGTAATATCTTAAGAGAAGCTAAACCAACCAAATCTTTATATCAAATTTGGTTGATTGTTTATGAACGTTGGTGCTATTTATTAGATAATTCAAATTTGAAAATTAATAGTGAAAATTTACTTTTAAGACATTTCACCGGATTTTTAGTTTCAACTTGTGGTTGTTTTATAACTGATAGTTTTATAACTGATGATCTTGAATTGAAATTGAAATTACAAGCATTTGTTTCTGAATTCTTTGATAAATGTATTAATTTATTAAATAGTCAAGATTTGATTGTTAGAGTTATCATTAAGGATATTTTATCAAATGAATCCCATTCAAGTGTTTATAAATTGATTTCAAATAAATTGATTGATGAAGTAACGAAATTTGAAGAAAATAGAATATCAACCGAAGAAAGTACTTTATTTACTGAACAAGTTATCACCATATTAACATCAATGATCTCAGTTGATAATGAAGGTGCTATTATTCTTACCACTCTTTTACCTGAAATTTGTTTGGTATTAATTAAAGTTATTAATATAATTGAAAATCCTATCAATGCTACAAGATTAAGATTAAGATTTTGTAGATTAGTTATCGTTATTGAACAAAACCGTTCAAGAATCTTATTGTCAGGAGCTTATAAGGTCAGGAACTTTTATGCCAAATCAATGTGTGAATGGTTAGAACAATCAGCATTTTATGATGAAATTGAAGTTGAATCACAAGTTGAAAAATCCAAGGAATCAGAATTATTATATATTAATATCGATTTAGCTACTGAAAGTTCAAAAGCTTTATCTTTACAATTAGAAGAATTAATATTGGAAATTCCTGATGGTACTTCAGAAAATGAAGTGGCTAAATATAAAGATTTAGCTTTTGCCAATTATTTCTCCTTATTTTATAAGATATTAACAAAATTTACTTCATTGAATAGTTTAAATAATCAACCAATAAGTGAATTTACTAATCATTTAATCAAATCCAAATATAAAATTCAAATTATTGTTGAAAACGTATTGAAATGTATTACTAATTTATTACAATACGATACTGATATTGGTTTACAATTTGTTTTTCCTTTAGGTTATCATGAAAACAAAAAGATTAGATCATTATTCTTGAACGTTTTCGCTAATATGTTGTATGAAAGGAAAATGGTCAATAAATCTAATGCTTTTGATGAATCTATCTTGATTAATATTGGTGATATTTATGATACGGTAAGAGCAACTTCAGCACTTGCTTCAAATACTAATAATACTTTATTAGCTAATTCTATTTATGGCATTTATGGATATATTAAAATGTTGGATAAAGTATTTGATGTTTTATTAAATGAAGAAATTAATAATGTTTCAAGAACTTCAGATATTTTCCGTAGAAATAGTATTTTAACTAAATTATTAGCTAAATTAGCTAAAGATGAAGGTATTGGATATCTAAATATTGTTTTAAAAGATTTCCTTCAAGATTTTACTAATAAAGAAATCATTTTCAATGTTGAAAAAGATGGAGAATATGATTGCAGTAATGCTGATTTATTCATGGAATATTTAACTAAATTAATTGATTTAATCATAAATTCAAGCCATTTAATGCCAAAATCTTTCAAATATGTTTGTTCTGAGATTTATAAGAAAGTAAGTGATAAAGTTCCTGATTCAGGTTTAATAGCTGTGGGATCTTTTATATTTTTAAGATTTTTCTGTCCTGCTATTATAAGTCCTGAATCTTTCTTTGAAGTTGATGTTATTATTAGTAATACCAATAAGAAATCCGCTTTACAATTAGTTAAAGTGATTCAAAATATGGCTAATAAAACTTTAACTTTCTTGAAATGGAAGAGTTTGAATTCTAAAATGGATGAATTAAATGAATTAAATAATAAAATCTTCAAATTCTTGAAAGATATTTCAGTGTTTGATGATAATGAATATCCTTTTGAAGAAATTAAAGAATTACCAATACCTGAATTGAGATATTACCATAGATTTTATTTCACATTTTATAAGGATATTAAGATCAGTTATTTAATTGGGGGATTTTCCGATGAAGAATTGGCAAGAAGAGTTGATGTTATAAGAATAGTCGATCAAACATTAAAGAAATTGGGTCAACCAAGACCTTTACTTAATTTTTCATCCTCAAAAGATGGTTTAGCCGTTAAAAGCTTTGATAACTATAATCTCGCTATGAATCCAAATAATGGATTATCTTCAGAATATAATGATTTTATGAATAAAATGTCAAAGAAATATAGTGATATTGTATTACAAGTTCAAGTAATTCATAATGCTATTTTCCATGATGGAACTCCTGTAGTGGTTATCAATTTATCAACTTTAAGGTATATTGAATTTGATATTCATTTACTTGTTTATAAATTATTTGAAACTGCTAGTCAAGTTTGGGATAACAAATTCTATTTCATTTTTGATTTCACGGAATTTTCAACTGAAATGCATCTTCTTATAACTTATGCCACATTATTAAATTCTTATGCTCCACCTCAATTGTTTAAGAATTGTGCTAGAATTTATTATTTTAATATTCCTGTCAATGATATTAAATTATTTATTAATATTGTTAGACCTTCAAGAGTTGAAGAAAAGGAAGCTAGAGCAAGATTTTATACTTATTCTCATTGTGATTCAACGGAAATTATATCTTCATTATGTTTAAGTGATGATACTATGTCAATAACTCGTGATAAGAAAGTTGAATTCCATAATTGTAAAGTATTGGATTCAAGAACTCAAACTTTTAAATCTTCAACCCTTAAAATTGGTAGACAATTTTTATTATTATGTTCAGATGAATTTGTTCCAACAAATCATGAATTATGTGCTACCAGAGGGTTTAGACCAGTGGAAATTTTCAATTTAATTGATATTGTTAGATGTGAAATTACTAAAACTAGTGGTTCATCAGATGAATTTACTATTTATTTAAGTAATGATTCAAGTATTATTATCAAATCAAATGAAAGACTGGAAATTCTTAGATTTTTATATTTTACTACTTCAAGATTACCAAAGAATTTCATCGAAAATGATGATAAACATTTTGGTATTTCAGATATTTCCAATTTATGGTTTGGTAGATTATTTAATTTAACATTCCAAAGTTTATTAACCGATAATGAAGATGTTAAAACTTCAGGGGCTGCATTATTTGCATCTATAGCTAATTATTTTGAAATTGATTATAACATTTCAAGAAATTATGCTAAAAGTATTGCTTATCCTATAAATTCCATTGATTTTATTGTTGCTATATCTGACCATGTAGCTAAACAATTCCCTCATATGACTTATAGGTTTTTAAGAGCTTTCTTTGATTCTTATGATAAGATTTCTTTGAATCATAGAATGGATGCCATTTTATATGTTACTCCTTGGATTAACAATATTTGTGATTATATTTATCTTGAAAATGAACAATATGGTCCTGATAGAGTTGCTGGATTAATAAGACATTTTTGTAACATTTCAGCTTTGAATAAATCTACCGTTTCGGTAATAAATGATTATATTTGGAAAAAATTGTTCAGTGAGTCAATTCTTGTACCAACATTACTAGATGAAATCGTCACTTTTGCTATGGATAATAGAAATGATGATCCTGATTGGACTTTCATTATTTCAGTAATAACTCCATCAGTTGAAATTGTTGGAGAAGCTATCAATAGACTCATTAAATGTGTTAATCAAACTACTAACAACGATTCTGATGTTGCTTCTGAATCTAAATTATTCGAAATCATGATTCTTGTTAAGATTTGTTCCTCATTATTCTTTGATGCTTATATTTATGCCCAATTATTTTTGGCTGATATTTTCTTATTATGTACTTTATTCATTGATAATCCATCATTAGAATTTGGTGGTGATTTACAAAAATTACTTATCAATACCATTGAATCATTTTTACATAAACCTGATTTATCATTGGATGAAAAGAAAGTAGTTGAGAATACCTTGAGTTATTTTACAAGTCAAAGAGCTAAGATGTTATTCGGATTAACTAGAGAGAAATCTTCGAGTTCAGATATCAGTCAATTATATAATAGAGCTGCAAGTTTTGAAATCTTATGTGATAATTTGAATCAATTCATTACTGTCTTGGGATCTGCCGATGATAGATCTGGTTGGAGATCAAGATGGTCAAGTCATGCTATTGATGTGGCATGTATTGAATCTTCATTATTCCAAATAAGAGGTATTTTGATTGTTGGAATTTTATCCAAGTCAGGTATCAATGATGGTACAGCTGCTAAGATTTTCAAATTAATGAGTAAGAATACTTTTAATAATTCTTTGGAATACATGACAACAGTTTTAATGAGTGCTTCAAGAATTTTACAAGGATTATCAATAAATTCAGTATTCCCATCAATTATTATTTGGCCACAATTATATTTTGGTATGTTGAATTATTCTTCTTTATATCAAGCCAGTATTCAATGTCTTTTAAATACTTTAATTAAATTATATCAACAAGGAGACAATTTCATTGAAAGAATTTTCCAACAAAGGAAACATTTGGATACTTTTATCACAGCTTTTGAAGATTCTCATGGTTTTCATATTGATGAAAAGAATATCTTAGTTTATATTTTCTTTGTTTTCACTCAAGGTTTAAAACTTAGTCATATCAAACATACTTCATTGAACTGTCTCAAAACCATTTTTGGTCTTAGATTCGATATTGAAACCCAAGGTGAATTTGAAGTCCCTTCGGGTATATTACCTTACTTATTTTTCATTTGGTTATCAACTAATGATAGTGGATTTGAAGAATTCTTAGAAACCACCAATTATAAACCAAGTCAATGGATTAAATTGGATTCTTCCACTTCCAAGAATAATTACAAAATTCCAAAAGTTTTGATAGATTACCTTTTATCTGATGCTCTATATAGTAAATTGGTATTGTATCAAGCATCATTCCTTTATTCCACTGAATCTGTGGATGGAAATTTCAAAACTAAATTCTTATTTGCTTATAATTATATTTTCAACATTAATAAAGCTAAAGGTTTACTGATTTATCATATAATTAAACCTACTATTGATAATGCTATAGTTAATAGCAATTCCATTAAAGTGGTGGAAATTGCTTCCGATATTCAAATTAGAGTTATTAGTGATAAAAGTTATGACTTTGAACAATTTTCCATTGATTCTGATGATTTCTTACAACAACATGGATTAATGATAATGAAAAAATACGAATTCCGTAAATTATCTGATTTACTTCAAAACAAAGAAGATGGTTTAGCTTCTAGAATCGAATTGGATAATGAAAGATTACAAGAAATGATTTATAGAGCGGCTTCTTCATATATTGATAACCATCAGTTAGAACGCTGATGGACTTTTTATAGAAATAATAGACCCCCTAACGATTTTTATGAATTAAAATTCTTATGTAGTTATAATAGATGCAAATTTTTTTATTTATGTGACTTATCAAACTTCTTAATCCCCTTTTCAAAATCTTTCCGATGTAATCTAAACAATAACATTGTAGCTCTAGCATCTTCAACCGATGAATGTTGACCATCTTGAATATCAATTTTTAAGAAATGTTTGGTTAATTTTTTTAATCCGGGGGTTTTCCCATTGGATATGCTTCTGAATAACTTGAATTGAGTAGTATCTCGTATCATAGATTTGGGATGTGATAAGAATAATGCTTCTAAATCATGATGTACTGCGTGCCCTACAAGGATTTTATCCTTCAATAATCTAGCGGTTTCATTTTGTGCTTCTTTGAATGAAATGGCTTGATTCATGTGTTTTGGTGTTATACCACTGACCCAGGTTCTCCAATCAGTAACGGTTTCTCGAGGTTTAACAAATTCATCATATATAGTATAACCATAAAAATTTACTATCGATACTCTAGCTAATGCACTTTCTTTTCCTTCAGGTCCTACACCTACAAATTCACAATCTATAGCCAAATATTTTCCTGGTTGTCGTTTCTTTGAACTGTTGGTATTTATCAGAACATTGGGTTTTTCAAGATCACTAATTTGTATATCTCTTTCCTTAGACCATAAAGCTGCTTGAATAACAGACATATTAACCGGTTCTTCTCCTGTTTTTTCCACCACTTCTTTTTTCACCTCATCTTTATCAGTCTTTAAAATGGATTTCTTCTTTGATTTTATGGATTTAGGATTAATTTGTTTCTGTAAACGGGACCAATTCAGTGATAATTTTGTCATGATGAGAGAGATGGCTTCGCGATTTTTTTGCAGCACTGATAAAAGAGATGTTTGAGATTTTGCAGCTAAACCTACTATTTTGTTACTTTTGTATATTATGCAGAACTACCAAGTCATATCTTCATATGGGTCATTTCAGAATTATATAAATTTAATACCCATTTGATTTTATCAAAGATTTCCTGACATTCAGTTTCATCTACTGCTTCCAAATCATACTTTTTCTTAATATTTGTTGAATCTTTACCCGGCTTTTGGATGACAATTTTAAAATGATTAGGATTCTTACTATTCTTGTACTGCTTCAATTTAACTATTTGACTTATATGGAAAGAACTGGTTTTCATCATGGAACTATTATAATAGTTTGAGTAATTATATTGATATAAATGACGATGGTGATGTGATTGACTTTGACTTTGTCCTTGAAGGAAAGGATTATCATCGGGATTTTTGAGATATGCTTTATCTTCAGGTGGTTGTAATCTTATATAATCACCATCAATAATTAATGATTTTTCAAGTTTATTTAAAATTGTAGTTTTCTTTCTCCACACTTTCCAAGTGAAATATCTGGCATTATTACCAAACAAATTACCGTTAAGTCCTATGAGTTCATCGAAATATCCACTGGAATCAACAGCTGCCTTTGAAGTTCCAGACTTCTCTGGTTTCTTTGATTCTTGAGGTTTCTTGGCTTTGACAACAGAATCTATGGTTGATAACTCATTATGCATTTTAGGTGGAGTTATCAAATCAATGTTGACAGGAGATATTGTATTATCAAGTTCGTTTAATCCTTCATGAGGACTTAATAACGAAAATATGGGTCCTCCTTTATTAGGAACCAACTCAAAAAATGAGGATTCTACATCTTTGATTAACTCTTCATTATCCAATATCCTCTTATTTGATCTGGTATCATTAATAAGATCAGAGTTTTCTTTCAAAGTTAAAATGTCATCAGTATCATCGTTCAAATGAGTTTTCATATCTGGCATAACTAATCTGATTTTATAATTTGTGGGGTTCAAATTAAGCTGAGAACAGAAATCATACAAAACCTCTTTAACGGTACATTTGGAATCAAACTCAACGGCAGTTCTTTGACCATTGGGTGATTTAATAAATAATTGTATCAATTGAGGTGCTGGCTCAGTGACTTGCTCATCAGATGTCTGACTAAATTCATCAGCAAGCAATCGTTTACGTCTATAAGCCAATAAGTTTTGTCTGAACTCACTAGCCAAGGGTGTTTGAGTTTGATTCTTTTTATATTCTTTTTCGTCTTCAACTTTACAGATAGCTATTTCTTTAGGATTATTATAACTTGAAAACAATCTTGTTCTATCTAAAATTCCAAATGATCCATAATTTTCTCCATCTTCGTCAACTAGTTCCAATCTCCAATAATTTGGGTCTAGAAATTCAAACTCATCTTCATCTTTGAACTCAGGCAATGCACTCAATTTCAATAATATGTATCCAATGCAATCAGATACGGAAGAATTAGGGTTAATTTCCAACTCATTAATGGTGGAAATTGTCTTTGGTGGAACAAAAATATTGATTTTCACAGATGAATTGGATTCAACAAAGGAATAATAATACAATGGATTGGTATTTACAGATTTATTACGTGATTGAAGTAATGATGACAAATTTGAAGCCCCGATAGATTCTTTAACGGGTGTAATTTTATCGAATTCCAAAACAGGTTTCTTCAACACCTTAAGTGAAGAACTTGAACTTGAAGGATGTAATTTCTCTTTTGTGGGAGCCGTATTGGGGAAAGTTGATGATCCTTTTGAATTATTCAATCCGAAGGAATTGACTCGTGGTTTCTTCTTTCGATATTTATCATTATGTTTGCCATAAGAATAATCAGCAGTATCGAACGAGTCATCAAGTAATAAAGAAGTGTCTAATATGGAGTCAGCTTCGATATCAGTAAATGCCGAATCACTCGAAGACAAATCTTCTTCAAACTCATCATCTTCATAATCATAATCTTCATCATCGTCTTCATCACTGAATCCTAATGATTCCTTACTATCGAGGGTCATATCGGGATCAAAACTTTTTTCACTATCCAAAGAAACTGCATTACTGTCTAAAGTTACGATCTCATTGGGACTATCATGAGGTAACTTTTGCGTTGTGTCACTGTCCAATTCTTCGTCAGTTATGAGGAGATCATTCTCATCATCAGTTATGACATCATTATGTTCAATGTCAGCCAATTTGGTAGTCTTAACTGATTCATCACTACCATCACTATCAATCCCATCATGTTCCTTTTGAAATAGTCTAATGATATTATTCTTTACTTTACGTGGATTAATGGTTTGACTATACTTTAATTCTTTCGGTTTATCATCTTCAATTTTGTCTTCATCGTTTTCTTCATCTTCTCGATCATTTTGAATATTATCTTTCAATGTTTCATCATGTGAATCCTCCTTCTCTTCAACAATTGAAGGATGTTTATCAATTCTAGATTTCCGTTTTCGTATCCTACTTCTTCTTTTAGTAGATTTAGATCTGGCAATTCGATTATCAAACTTATCTTCAATAATCAAACTTATAGGTGGTGATGTCAGTATAGTCAATTTGTCAAAAATATCTTTATAAATTTCACCGTCCGGATCATCATCATTAGGTCCTAACATTGACCTTATATCAGTATCCCCATCAAACAGTACTAAATATGAACTCCTCAAATGGGATATTAAATGGGCACTATCAAGAGGAAATGCCATAATCTTTTACGTTATATTATCATTTATTTTTTTCACAATCAATCGGTTTTCAAACCTTCTTACCACAATGTACGTAATAACTCCGTCTTGTGTCTCGTTATCTTGACCCGAGATCAAATTTCAATTCTGTCGCGACATCAAAACAGTTATTGCTTTTGAGAATTCAACCAGTGAATTTACCTTAACAGATCAATTTAATTGTTTGTTAATGGATTGTTAGAGTTGAATTGTTTGATTTATATAACATACTTAACTTCGTTGAATTTCAATTGTGTTTCAAAATAACTTGAAACAGCTTCATCAACCTTTTTGTTCCATTATCTTAAAGTGTCTCCTATATTAAGTAATCAACATTAATTGGTTTCTTTCCAACATAAATCAATATTGTCATTACATTAACAACTTATTATGAGTCCGGCAAATCATCTAAATCATCAAGATAAGTTTTCCTCGAGTTTACAAGACTTAAATGAAGATATTGATCTAATATATCAAAATTATATGAATGGTCAAGATAGTAATGATACCCTTGATTCACAAACTCATCAAGTAAGTGGTCATAGAAGACTCATACCTGAAGAAGTCATTGAACGATTTAAACATTCTAATGATTATAGTAATGATGATGTTACGCACAGCCATGATTCTAATTTACCCATTCATATTTCGTCAAGATTATCAAGTATAAGGAATAACCAAGATATGACACAAAGTGCTCCTCAAACACCCAATTCTAATGGTTCATTTGATTTCAATCCTCATAAAACTTATGCCATGTCCAATGCTTCCTTGAATATTTTGGATACTCCGAGCATTGAGCATGATTTTAAAGATATGAAAATAACTGACAATGTTGTAGGTTCAACTGATGCTTTAAAATCAGTTTTGATCAATGATAGTTCTAATAATGAGTTTGAACCTATTGGAAGTGAAGATTATGAGTACGAACAAGAAGAAAATCTTGAAACCGAATCTGAGAAAGATTATGTTGATCCCAATACCAAACAAGATGATTGGCAACAACAAGGTGGTGCATCCAGAACTATTAACAGTGAGTCAGGTTATAAAGTCATAAGAAGAAATGTAACGGATTTCGAATTTGGTAAACAATTAGGTGAAGGTTCCTACTCTACTGTAGTTTTAGCTACCGATAAAATCACCTCGAAGAAATATGCCATTAAAATTTTAGATAAACGTCACATTATAAAAGAAAAGAAAGTCAAATATGTAAATATTGAAAAACATGCATTGAATAGATTAAGTAATAGAATGGGGATAATCTCATTATACTTCACATTCCAAGATAAAGATTCACTTTATTTTGTGTTAGATTATGCTTCCAATGGGGAATTATTATCATTGATTAAGAAATACAACACTTTAAGTGAAGATTGTACTAGATACTTTGGAGCTCAAATTCTCGATGCCATCAAATTTATGCACGACAATGGGATTATTCATAGAGATATCAAACCGGAGAATATCTTACTAGATGATAATCTTAGAATTCAAATAACTGATTTCGGTACTGCTAGGTTGTTAGAAAAGAAAAATGATGAATCAGAAGAATACCCGGTTGATATTAGAGCTAAATCCTTCGTTGGTACAGCTGAATATGTTTCTCCAGAATTATTGGATAACAAATATTGTGGTAAACCTGGTGATATATGGGCTTTCGGTTGTATCATATATCAAATGATTGCAGGGAAACCTCCTTTCAAAGCAGCCAATGAATATTTAACTTTCCAAAAAATTACGAAATTACAATATGCCTTTAGTGCTGGATTTCCTATAGTTATTCGAGACTTGATCAAACAAATATTGGTTTTGCAACCATCCAAAAGAGCCAGTATCCAAACTATCCAGAATCATTACTTCTTTTCATCCATTGATTTTAATGATTTTGATTCTATTTGGTTGACCACTCCACCTGAATTAGGTCCTTATAAGATGTCAGCTAAATCCATGATGAAAGTACCAGAATTAACCAAATCTCCATCCACTCAATCAGTCAACGTTAGAAAAACTGTAGCCACTCCTAGACAAAAAAGAGTTGCCAGTGAACCAACTTCTGCGTCTTCAAATGGTAACCAAGTTTCTAATACAAATTCTAATTCTGCTGGTCATAATGGTAAATTTGTTAACCCTGCCAGTGCTGCTGCTTTTGTTTTGAATAAAAAAGATTCATCTCCCGATGTTGAAGAGTCTGAAGAGTCAATCACTCCTAAAGAAGAAATTGCAAGATCAACTCCTCGTAACAGCGTACATAACCATACTCAAAGATCAACTCCTCAGCCAGAATATATCCCTGGTACTAATATTTTAAGGCCAACCATTCATACACTTCATTCATATTCCAGATCATCTTCTAACACCAAGAAGAAAACTGTTAGGACTAAACCAAAAGTCAAAACTTTGGAAGTTACACCTATAACAGCATTAGAAGTTGCATGGAAACAATATTTGAATCACAATGATGAAAGAATCTTGAAAATAGGTCCCGTAATTGCTAGTAAATCTGACACTGAGATGTTTGAGAGGAAATACAAAGGATTGATTCATGATTCCCCGTTAGGATTGCAAAACAAAAGAAATAATACCAGTTTCTTGTCGCAAGTGGTTAACGGGAATTCTGGCTTGAGAGGTTCTAGTATGAGTAGTTCCACACCCAGTGATAGTGTAACTCATGATGAAGAAACATTCGAAGGTGATGAGAGTGATGCTATAATTGATTATTTCCTTATCGAAGAAACGAATAATGGATCATTGACACGATCTGAAACCAACAATTCCAGCAATAATAGTTCCAGTAGAGGATCTAAATTCTTGAAAAAACTAGGAATTTCTAATGCTCTTTCAACTAAGGAGAAAGAACATGAATTGGTAACTCAACATCCTTTAGAAAAACCTAGAACATGTACTATGGTGATAACTTCACATGGAAGAGTGTTAATCTTCTTCCGTAATGATCCCGACGCTAATTATAGGTTGATTTCCGAAATATTATTGAGTTTTGAATTCATCAGTTTCAAAGAAGTCATCACATCGTCTAATAGTAAGTTGTCCAGACTTTTACCTTCAACAGGATTATTTGCCATTGTTTCTAAAGATTCTACTTTCACATTTGAAGTAGAAAAGTATGAAATCAACGGATGGACAGAATCATTAGCCAAAGCACAAACCAATCAATTTGAAAGAATAAAGTTGGATAAATCTGGTAAATTTGAAAAACAAAAATCACCCAAATTAATGGAATCTCCAGCTTTCCCCGATAGGAATGTTGAAAAAGAATTGAAAAAAGAAGAAAGGCATAGTTCTGAATATCGAGCCAAATCTCCCAAACCTGACCATAATCATCTTGATCATAAAGAAAGTTTATTGACCAATAAGATCAAATCTCGATCATCAGTAAAGAGAAAACCACCACCACCAATTTCCAATGGTTTAGATATGTCAACAGGGTTATCTCAAGAGAATGGGATGTTAACTGCTGCGCAGTTAGCAGTTTCTCATAGTACAATAACACCAACATTTAACAGAAGATCGAGTTTTTCTAAAGAAGAGAAACCTTCTACAACATATAAAGTAGTTAAACAGAATGCTTCAGGTGGTATTACGCAAATGAATTCTAAATTCTTAGCCAGAAGTCACCGTAAAAAGTAAAATATATAACCTTTCGATCGGTTAATCCCCAAATAATCTATTTCCGAAATCTCTCCTAATTTGACACCGTTAATCGCAAGAAAAGCAGTCACAAGTCACATGTTAACATTCTTGGGTGCGACCACCGTACACCCACTATGAGACTTTGAAGAAGTCGTGGATCGCGAAGTTTTCTTGAAAAAATTATATCCCAACTAAGTGAGAAAAAAATTTTCAGATTTTTTAAAACCAAATTTCAAATAATTAAAGATGGTCAAATTTGTTAAAGCAGGTAAAGTTGGTATGTAATTATCTTAATATGAGTTGTAATTGATTGATAATGTTATGAATTCAAGTTTATCAGAATATTTTGTTTGAAGTTACCTTTGGTTGTCATCAATGTATTTAAGAACGAGATGAGTTTGGAATAGGAAGAAACCATGAAAAAAGTGAATCAAATGAATCCAATAAAAAGGACTAGAAGAAATGCCCCGAATCACAAATAACTTAGTTTAAGTTTAAAGGATTTCTAATACTTAAGAATCAATATTTCAACTAAAATGAAAATTTTTCATAATACTAACATTTTATAGCTATTGTTGTCCGTGGTAGATTTGCTGGTAAAAAAGTAGTCATTGTCAAACCACATGATGAAGGTACCAAATCACACCCTTTCCCACACGCCATTGTTGCTGGTGTTGAAAGATACCCATTAAAAGTTACCAAAAACTTAGGTGCCAAAAAGACTGCTAAAAGATCAAAAGTTAAACCATTCATCAAAGTTATTAACTACAACCATTTAATGCCAACTAGATATTCATTAGATGTTGAAGCTTTCAAATCATCAGTCACCACTGAAGCTTTAGAAGAACCTTCACAAAAAGAAGAAGCTAAAAAAATTGTTAAAAAATCTTTCGAAGAAAGATACCAAGCTGGTAAAAACAAATGGTTCTTTACTAAATTGCAATTTTAAGTTAATTTTTTATTATCAAATATAAAATTAAATTAAATAGGAAGATAGAAAAGAACTAAAAAAATGAAATATTATTAATATAATTATCATGCATTGGGTTTCAAAGAAAAAAATACACAATTTTTAATGATCTTTTTAATCTTGTGTCTCATGTATATTTACTTGATGTATTTATAATACTACAATTTCTGTATTTTGAGACTTCTATATCTCTCTTTATTCTCTTTTTATGGGTCGTTATGATGAGAAAAGGTGAAAAAATTTGTGAGACATTCGCAGGTGTCGTTTAACGGATTGATTTTTCCAACCTACTAATGTCAGATAAAATACAAGAAGGTGTTAAAAATATAGATATTAAATCTACTGATCAAGTTGTTACTCCATGGGAAGTTGAAGGGGCCGTTGTTGATGGTAAAGATCAAGGTATTGATTATGATAAATTAGTTCAACAATTTGGTACTAGACATATCACATCAGAAACTTTACAAAGATTTAAAGAAATCACTGGTCAAGAACCACATCCATTCTTGAAAAGAGGTATTTTCTTTAGTGAAAGAGATTTAGGAAAGATCTTGGATTTATATGAACATGGTGAACCTTTCTTTTTATATACTGGTAGAGGTCCATCATCTGATTCAATTCATTTAGGTCATTTAGTTCCTTTTATGTTTACTAAATATTTACAAGATGTGTTTGATGTTCCTTTAGTTATTGAATTAACTGATGATGAAAAATTCTTATTCAAACCTAAATTAACCATCGATGATGTTAAAAGATTTGCCTTGGTTAATGCTAAAGATATAATAGCTGTTGGTTTTAATCCTGAAAACACTTTTATTTTCTCTGATTTAGAATACATGGGAGGTTCATTTTATGAAAATGTTGTTAGAACTTCAAGACAAATTACTACTTCCACTGCCAAAGCAGTATTTGGTTTCCAAGATAGTGATTGTATAGGAAAAATTCATTTTGCTTCAATTCAAATTGCAACAGCTTTCCCATCGTCGTTCCCTGATGTTTTAGGATTACCACCAAAAACTCCATGTTTGATTCCTTGTGCTATTGATCAAGATCCTTATTTCAGAGTTTGTAGAGATGTTGCTGATAAATTGAAATTTTCAAAGCCTGCTTTAATTCATGCTAAATTCTTCCCTGCTTTACAAGGTGCTACCACCAAAATGTCAGCTTCTGATACTACTACTTCAATCTTTATGGATGATACACCAAAACAAATTCAAAAGAAAATTAATAAATATGCATTTTCTGGTGGTAGAGCTACATTAGAAGAACATAGAGAATTAGGTGGTAACCCTGAAGTTGATGTCGCTTATCAATATATGTCATTTTTCAGTGAAGATGATGAAAAATTACAATCATTGGCTGAATCTTATAGAAAAGGTGATTTATTATCAAGTGAAATGAAAAAAGAATGTATTGAAGTTATTCAAGAAGTTGTAGGAAATTATCAAGAAAGAAGAGCTAAAGTTACTGATGAAATTGCCAAACAATTCATGACTCCTCATAAATTATCTTTATATTCTAAAGAAAGAAAGGTCCCAGCAAAGGAAAGACCTTCAAAGTCTAAGAAATAGACTGCTTATATAACATCTAGTGTATTTTCTAATATAAACATTAATTTATCAAAATCTCTATCAGTAGATTCATCACCTTTACCAAACCATTTAGAACCAATTGATAAAATGACGTTCTTAGGACTTTTCAACTTTTTAAGAAATAATTTCCCAATTTGTGAAGCAACAATTTGTATTTTTAAATTCTTGTAATCTCCTATTAGTATTATTGGCTCTATACCTAAACTTTCTTCATCGAGATTTGAAATGTCTGATAAAATATTGATTGATTGTTGGGAATTCAACGGTAATTCAAAGGTAGTGTCCACTATACCATCGATGAGAATGTTTAGTATTATGGTATCAGCTACTTCGATCTTGTGGAATTGGACTTCAGTACCCAGTCCATCAGGGTATTCAACATTTTTCACTTTGTTTAAAGAGTCCATATTTCGCAGATTTCACAAATCAGTGCGTAAAAGATTGTGGAGGGTCGAGTGAGATCAAGACAAAAAATTCGTAGTATGAACCAGAGAGGCTTTGAGAAGATATGCCGTAGAATTCTAAGAGTATAACAACATCTGATGGCACCACGAGAGTTGTTGCATGACAGTGGTGGGAATTATCGTTGATATATGGATATGTGAAGATGTCCACCCAAATAGGGCCTTTTCAAATGTGGACTATTTTTGGCCGATGTGATTTTCCGGTATTATGTCATAGACGGAATTATTCAACCACTCTGTTGGACATCAACTATTTTCAACATATACCTCCCATTAATCAACCATCTTCCATCTCTTTACACTCTATAAATGTTCAACTATGGACATTACAAATCACTTACAAATTTCTGGCTATTTCTTGACCATTTGTAAGCTTAGTCAAATGACATATGCGGGTGCGACTGAAAAGTTTTGTGAGACCATTTCTTTTTAAGTACAGTATTTCCCATAGTTTTTCTTTCCTAATTCAATAAGAAGATGTCAGTATTCACACCAATACCCGAAGCTATTGAAGCTTTCAAAAATGGAGAATTTTTAATCGTTATGGATGACGAAGATAGAGAAAATGAAGGTGATTTAATCATTGCAGCCGAATTGATCGATCAAAAAAAGATGGCATTCTTAGTTCGTCATTCTTCTGGTTATGTTTGTATACCTTTATCACCAGAAAAAGCTGATGCTTTAGATTTACCTCCAATGTATGCCAATAAAACTGATAAACATGGAACTAATTATACTATAACTTGTGATTATGCTATTGGTACCACTACAGGTATTTCAGCTTATGATAGAGCTTTAACTGCCAATAAATTAGCTGACAGTACTTCAAAACCTGAAGATTTCATTAAACCTGGTCATATACTACCATTAAGAGCCAAACCTGGATTATTAAAAGAAAGAAGAGGTCACACAGAAGCTGCGGTTCAATTATGTGAATTATCAGGATTACAACCAGCAGGTGCTATTTGTGAATTAGTTAGAGATGATGATGGTTTAATGATGAGATTAGATGATTGTATTGAATTCTCCAAACAACATAACATCAAATTGATTAACATCAAACAATTAGTTGAATATATTTCATAGACGGTTTAAAAAAAATATGTATATAATAAATCTATTTTAATAACATGTGAACTTTTCTTTTACCAGTGATTTCATCTTTGATAGATTTGATATCAACAGTAACTTTATCGAACACACCAACTTTCCTCTTTTGATTTTGGAAATCTGTAAATGACAATTCGAATTTTTCTTCATCGAACAATGAAGTATTTGAATCACCTAAATCTTCTAATTTTATTAACCCTTCAATACCGAACTTTGGTACTAATACTACAATCCCATTACTAAAACATTTGATAATATAACCTTCTTGAACACTTTCGTTTTGTTTCATAACTTGACCAACATAATATTCAATACTTGATCTACCGGCAAATTGAGCATTTCTATGACGTTTATTGATATTTTTCACTATCAATTCCATCTTATTCTTATCTCTATGACTTAAAGTTAAATCTTCATATCCAATGGCTCCAGCTAATTGTCTATGAGCAACAACATCACAATATCTTCTAATAGGTGATGTGAAATGAGTATAAATTTCAACAGCTAACCCATAATGTTTGAAGTCAGGGTATCCAAAAGATCCTGCTGGGAAGTATTCTGCTGCCATCATACATCTTGTGGACATAATTCTTACTAAAGTATTGAAATAAGGATCTTTTTCATCAACACAATTATCTAAAGAATCAGCCAATGCTTTGGAATTTTCTAAAGAAATATGCATACCGTTCTTTCTAACTTTTAACATTTCATTTAAATTTTCAAAGTTAACAGAAGGTGGAGCTGCATGTCTTCTTAACATAGCAGTTTGTGGATAAGCATCATAAATCTTTTTGGCTACAGAAATATTAGCTAACAACATGAATTCTTCAACCAAAGAATTGGTTTCTAATAATTCTTTGATTTCAACTTCACCTGGATCAGAAGTTTCACTATCCATATGAACTTTAACTTCTGGTGATGCTAAATTAAGAGCACCATTATCCAATCTTTGTTGTTTCAATTTCTTTGATAATTTGAGTAAAATTCTGATAGATTTGGTTAATTCATCTTGTTGAGTTGAATCGTCAATTCTTTTTTGAGCTCTCTCATAACTGAAAGCTTCTCTTGACTTTATAATGGATTTCATATAATTAACATTAACAATATTGGCATGTTCATCTAATTCCCAAATAACAGAAAAAGCAAATCTATCAACATATGGTCTTAAGGAACAAAGATTGGTACCTAATAACATAGGTAACATATCAATTCTTTTATCAACAAGATAGACTGAAGTACCTCTTGAAGCCCCTTCAGTATCCAATGCAGTATTAGGTTTAACGAAATGAGTGACATCAGCAATATGAACCCCAACTTCATAATTTCCATTGGGTAATTTTTTGGCATGTAAGGCATCATCGATATCAACACAATTAGGAGGATCAATAGAACAAACTAACTTATCTCTTAAATCCACTCTTTTAGCTAACAATGGGTCACCATTATCCAAATTTTCAGGAACTTTCCAGTCATCACCTTCGGCAGGTAAACATTTCAAAACATTAGTAGCAAAAGGTCTATATTCAACATCATGTTCTAATAATAAAGCTTCAGTTTCTGCTTCTGCACTTTCAATATCACCTAAAGTACGAACAAAATGACCTTGAGGATATTTGGATTTACTGTCCCAAGAATCAACTGAAACAACTATTCTTTTACCTAATAACTCTTTACCCTTTCTGGTCAAGATTCTGATTTTAGGTAAGACACTATCCATTAACATAACAAGACAATATTTCGATGCATTGCCACCATCGTCGGAAGATACAGAACTAGGTATGATTTGACCAACATAATATCTCCAAGATCTTCTAACAATCCCAACAACTTTGGCTGTTGGTTGTAACTTTTCTTCTTCTTTGATTTTATCGGAAGAAGCTAAATTAATTGCTTTAGAAGCTTCTTGGGCCAATAACAATCGTTCTTTATCGGGTATGATACTGTTAGTATTACCAAATTCATTTTCTTCATCATCTTCAAAATTATCATTATCTACCGTATTCTCTTCAACAATTACCAGCGAAGGAGTTCTCCACTTATCTTTGGGTAATAATTCCACTACTACCAAATCACTATTGAAAGCTCTATTCAAATTCTTAGTTCCTACAATCAATAACGGTTTTTTGAAATTTGGTACTTGAACTGTACCTTGTAAGAAGTTATATCTTGAAATATTCAAAATTCCTTTAAACAATGTTTGATTTTTAATACCACCCAAGATTCTAGATTCGGGATAATATTCTTGATATGACATTTCATCAGCTATAGTGAAAGATTTATTATCACTAGGTATTAATTCTCTAAGATAATCAGCATTAGGTAACATTTCAATATATTCACTTAATGATTTGGCATAAATTCCTTCTTTCAAAGCTTTTTGTCTATTATCTTTATCATTACATACAAAAACAATTTTAATAGGAGATGATGAATTATTATCATTTAAATGGGAATGATACCAACTGGCAACTTTTCTAATAGAACGATCATTTTTATCATTTATTGATTCTCCTCGACTTCTTACAGTATAAGTATCTTGATGGAATTCATTATGGAAGATGATAAACCTTTTATCATCAGCTTTGACTACTGTTCTTAATCTTTGATAAATAGGAAAAGATTTATTTCTAACTTCTTCTAATACAGTTTGAGGTATAATGACATCATAAAATACTGCTGGATTCTCCAATAAATCCATAGCTTGAAGAACAATGTTAGTATCCAACACTATATAATGTCTGGAACCTTCAATTTTATTAGGAACATCGGATAATGCAATATTTGGCATTTCACCTTGAGGATTTGATTTAATAAGCAGAGAACATTTATTACATGCTTTGGAATAACAAACAATATCATCTCTTAAATAATGTTCTCTAACAATCTTAGTAGCCCCACCATGTCTTGACATGACAAAGACTTTAGAAGTGACGGTTAACCCACTAGAAAGTCTTTTCTTATCATTCATTGAATCTTTCTCTTCTCTCTTCTCTCTTCTCAATTCCTCACTATTATAGATGTGGAAAGTACACGACCAAAAGATTTAATATATTACACTTAAAATGCTATTTACTGTCTACCAAGGGCCCAAACTTGGGCCAATGATACGATCTAATTATGAATGCTTAGGTTTTAAAGTTCACCAAAAGAACCACTATTTATTTCATTGATTAATTTTTTCATTATTTGTTGTTTAGATTCATCTAATTCATTTAATTCTTCATCAGTTAAATTCTTAGCTGCTGATAAGAATCTTATTTGATCAGGATTCAATTGGTCTATTTCTTGTTTTTTTCTATTCACAGCCACTTCTATTATCTCAGGTTTGGTTATATTCATTAACATTAGAGTTTCAACTAATGCATGGGATAATTGTGGTGTTCTTTCTAATAATTTCTCCATCAATAAAGGATTAGTTGAACTCATATCTTTAGCTTCTTTGATAAGTTGTATTGCTTGATCTTGAGTCAATGATGATAATATAGTACCTATAGCTTGACCAGGAGTTTGATGAAAGATTTGAGAACCTAAAGGTATTGGCGGTAATTTTTCAACTTCCAAATCATTATCAAATGGATCATTTTCATTAGATAATGAACATTTCAAATTCCTATTAGCTATGGCAAAGTTGTTTAAGTTTCTTACTGCTGATTCAGCGGTTTCATGGTCAGCATATTTAATGAAAGCATAACCTTTAGATTTCCCACTTGCAGGATCGAAAAGTAATTTCAAGTCATCTACTGGACCTACGGACTTTGCAATTTCCATGACTTGTTCTTCTGTGTAATCATATGGTATATTACCAATGTAAACACTTGACCCACCTTCCATAATGTGTGAGATTTTTCGCACTTTGAAAGATTTTGGAAAAAACCAAGGATGGAAGCTAAAGAGATTAAATCAACAGTTTCAAACTTAGAGAAATCATCAGATGATGTTACCATTTTGAAATTATTGAACATTTTAAATGATGGAGTTAAGCCATCGGAAAAATTGTTAAGGGAAACTAAAGTTGGGGTTGCAGTCAATAAATATAGAACTAGTTCAAATAATGAAATCAGTTCATTAGTTAAAAAGATGATTAGATCTTGGAGAGATACTGTTCAAGCTGAAAAGAGTAAGAAAAAAACTGTATCACCTGTCAATTCACCATCAAAAGAACCTCCTAAAGAAAATAAATTCCATTCAGGTCCAAGAAATCCTAAAATTGATGGGGTTAGCACTGATGTTTATGATGATTCTACCAGAAATGCCTCCATTACAGCTTTGTATACTGCATTAGCCATTGAAAGAGGTGATGAAGGTAAACACATCCTTAAAGTAGCTACGGAAATTGAAAAGGAAGTATTCAGAGATGAATATTCTAAAGTAAATGATTCTTATAGAAACAAATTAAGAACCTTCGTTATGAATTTGAGAAATAAAAAGAATCCTGAATTAAGAGACAGATTATTAACTCGTCAAATAGCTGCCGAAAAATTTGTTAAGATGTCACCAAATGAAATGGCACCAGAAGCTTTAAAGAAAGAAATTGAAAAATTACATAAACAAAATCTTTTCGATGCTCAAGGAGCTACAGAAAAAAGAGCTGTCACTGATAGATTTACCTGTGGTAAATGTAAACATAAGAAAGTTAGTTATTATCAAATGCAAACCAGATCAGCTGATGAACCTTTAACAACATTTTGTACATGTGAAAATTGTGGTAATAGATGGAAGTTTTCTTAATATATTAAAGTACTTATGTAGAATAAATGTATAAATAGAATCTATACGAATGAAGTATTCTTAGCTAAGAAAGAAATCAAATCAACTTTGGTAACAATTTGAATTGGTTTATAATCATCATCAGTGATAATAGCATTAGAATTAGTTTCAAAGAATTTGTTTAATAAGATTAATGGAGTTTTCAAGGAAATAGCTTCATATTGTCTCTTACTGTAACCTGATTCTTTGGTAATGGAGAAAGATTTTTCGAAATCTGCTAATTTTCTAAAATCAATGATAACTGGTCTAATTGAATTAGTCATTTGAACTTTCTTATTTGATAATGCTTTTAAGATTGATGATAAAGTAACTAAACCAACTAATTTACCTGAAGTACCTAAAACTGGTAATTGATCGAAACCATTAGATTGTAATAAATTGAAAGTCTTTTCAATAGTATCAGCTAAAGTAACAGTAACAACTGGAGCTTTACCTTCAACTAAATCACCAATAGTTTTAGTTGATAAGAATTTATCTTGTTGAGAAGCATTGGAATTTTCTTCAACTTTGAATCCATTGGTTTTCATCCATTCATCATCAGCAAATTTAGATAAGTAAGATCTGATGGAATCTGGGAAAACGACAACAACAGTATCATTTTCGGTTAAATCTTTAGCAACTTCTAAAGCAGCTTGCAAAGCACTACCTGATGAACCACCAACTAAAATACCTTCTTCTTTGATGATTCTTCTAGCTAATTTGAAAGATTCTGAATCATCAGTTTTAATCCATTTATCAACCCATTGTCTGTTTAAAACATCTGGAATGAAATCATAACCAATACCTTCAACCATATAAGATTCAGTACTTTCATTTAATGATTCAGGTTGAGCTAAAATTGAACCTTTTGGATCAGCTCCAGTAACTTCGATTTTAGAATTTTTTTCTTTTAAATATTTGGAAATACCAGTGATAGTACCACCAGTACCAGCACCAGCAACTAAATGAGTAACTTTACCTTCAGTTTGTTCCCAGATTTCAAAACCAGTACCATAATAATGAGCATTTGGATTAGCTTCATTAGAGTATTGATCTAAAATAACAGCATTTGGAATTTCTTTTTCTAATTTTCTAGCAACTCCAATATGAGATTCAGGTGAGTCCCAAGCAGCTTCAGTTGGAGTTCTGATGATTTCAGCACCTAAAGCTTTTAAAACTGATACTTTTTCGTTAGACATCTTTTCTGGTAAAGTGATAATAGTTCTATAACCTTTAACAGCACCGACTAAAGCTAAACCAATACCAGTGTTACCTGAAGTAGGTTCGATTAAAGTATAACCTGGCTTAATTCTACCAGTTTTTTCGGCTTCTAAGATCATATTCTTAGCAATTCTATCTTTAATAGAACCACCAGCATTAAATAATTCTACTTTGGCATAAATTTTGGCTTTGATACCTAAACTTTGAGGAATCTTATTCAATTTGATTAATGGTGTGTTACCAATTAAATCTAAAGCATCATGAACTAATGGAGGAGGAGCAGAAGTCATTATTATTGAAGCGTTAAACAAAAAGTTTTACGAGATGATGTGGTTTTTTTCGCACTGTGGCGTCGAATAGTTTTTCCAGCGGGATCAGGAGATGAACTACATGAAAACCTTATTATACATTGATAATTTTACATTTGACCACATCAGAATCTTGTCCTGGAATTCCTTTTGTGAAATCAAAAATCAGAAATGTACCTTTCCTATCGGTAACATAGATTTTACCACCGTCAGCAGAAAATTTGATTGATCCCGATTCAGTATATCTTTCGGCATTAGATACTTCACCCAATTGAACTACTACTTTTTTAATGGGGGTATTCAATGAAAGTTCGTGATTCGGAATAGCTACAAGATAAATTCTACCATCTTTATCCAAGAAAGCCAAAGCATCTCTACGAGGAGAAATAGCTACTTTATGAATAGAGAATCCAATCTCCAGAAATCTTAAAAGTAATCCTGATGATTGAATATTTGTAATTTCATGATCTTCATCGTCGTTTTTGGAATGTGTACTTGATGATAATGATATCGAATCTGATAAGTTTCTATTATATGAATAATCAATTGATGAACCTTCTAATCTTAACATAACTGGTGGACGATTTTGTAAAGAACATGAAGTTAAAACTATAGTATTAGGAATAGTTCCGAATTGAACATCAGTAATTCCTTCATTATCCATCATTAAAGCATCATCATCAACAGCTTCTTCGCCATCAGAATCATTATAGAATGAATCTTTTCTCTTCCTAGCTTTAGCAATAGATTGTTCAGTCCAAATCAATCTTGGTTTACGGAAGTTATCTGACCCAGAAGATCTTAAACGAATAATCAAGTAACGTGATTCCCATACTGTGCAACAAATTAAATGAGTGGAAGTAGCATTGAAATTAATTAATTTGATAGGATCTCTATATGGAACAGTTATAGTAATCGGTTCTACAGAAGAAATGATCTTACTGGTTGAATTGGAACGATTCATTTTGTGTAAAATGATAAATGGTTGCTCTTTACCACTAACTCTCTCTCTTGCGGTAATTGAACATGCTATTAATCCATCAGTTGGGGAGATTGAAATGCATCTAATGGGGAAATTGGTGAAATAAGTATAAAGTGGTTTACCCATTTCATGAGGTAATGATTTTTTGGAAATATTGAAAACTCTCATGATACCTTTAGTACCACTTATAACTAAAAAATCATTATTTATTTGACAATTTAATAATTCCCAACTATTAAGTTTTTTCTTATCATCATTGTTATCACTTTGTCCAGAAAAATCATTTCTAATAATGATTTCTTGACCATACTCTTCTTTTAAATCTGCGAACGAAGGACCATATTCTCCATTGGATTTACCACAACAAATCATTATAGGGGAAGAATCTTGTTTGGATAATTCATACAATTCCCATCTTTTATCTGTCATCATGACAAATCTTGTATAATCTTCACCGGTGAAAGGGTCGGTAGAAGTATGAATGAAACTACAATTATATCGAGGACCTTTCTTTAACATGGAATTTTTGAAGAATAAATTCTTTTGGTATGTTTGGAAAGTTGTCAATTTCCTGTGGAATGGGAAACATTTACTGAAGTTGTACTCTTTCTCTTCACTTAAAGTTGATAACATTTTGTCTTCAAGGGATAATTTCTTATCTTGAGGACTATATTTCCTAGGAGAGATAGGTGGAATAGTATAAGTGTCATTAGGTAATTCAATGTTTATAGGATCAACATTGGCATTGATAGAAGAAACAACGTCAGGATGTGTCTCTTCCTTAGCATATTTATAAAATAAACTGATTAAATCCATTTGTTCCCTATCAACATCTTTTAAGGATTTTTTAGATGAGGACCTTCTACGAGCTTTAAATTCTCCACTACCACCACTAGTACTAGCAATAGCTAAGCTGCTATCATTTACTTCATTCTGTAATTTCAATACGATCTTATATAGTTCCCTTAATTGTCTAATGGGCCTTAAAAATGATACTTGAGGTGATGAACAGTCAGGACATGCAGCTTTACCGTTACTGTCCACGTTGGATAAAAAGAAAGATTCGGATACAACACACCCACAGGTTAAAATGGAAGCGTCTGCGGTTATACCATTGGGATCCAAACTCCCACGTAGCTTTAATAATGCTTCTAACGATGCTACAGTTGATGTATTCATAATCGCGAGTTCGTATTTTGGTCTGGGAGACATAACCTCAATTTGGATTTCACCAAAAAAGGAAACGAGGGGGTAGACAAGAGAGATGAGACACTGGTTCCACCATACGAAAGAATAAAGGTGGAGAGACTAAAATGGGCCCAACTGGTACGAGTAGCACCGACTGCTACCAATGGTGCAGAGAATATAAATACATCATTTTTCATACATTAAACCTCATTTAAACCTCATTTAAACCCATAAACATCACTATCATTATTTTTCACTCTTTTCTGCAACCGTTTGAATTTTGGTTATTGATCTTTGATTTATCATTCTGGGTCCATCATGTGATTTTACTTCAATATCAGGTTGAACAACAGGTGTTTGATGTTCTTTGTGATCGATTATATCCATTTTATTCATAGCTAAAACATGAACTGGATTTGGCTCAACTTCTTCGAACTCTTCATTTTCAACAACACTATAATCGAAGAATGAATAAACAGCGTTGGTGAATACACTCAAATTGCTTTTAGCTATATCAAACATGGACCTCCTTTCTCTAACAATCTCAGTATACATTGGTTTTAAAGTCAATACCGAACGAGGTAACAACTCCAACTGTTCGAGGGTTTCATGTTCTTGCTTTTTTGAATAAGTTATTCTGGGGAAAGAAGGACTTTGAAAAGTGTAATCGGAAGGGAAGGAATGATCTTTCGCAAAAGATGGCATACTAGGTTGAGGTAAAATATCATAATTTTCATTCAACCAGTCTCTGACGATTTCCAAGTTGTCAGTGGATTTAAAGTCATGTTTAACACTTTTACCGTCTAATAATCTTAATGATAATTGACACATGGGGACAAAAGCGTCATCGGCGGTAATATCTTTCATTGTGCTTGTGACCTTATTTATTTCATTTGAATCTTCTATTTTGGCGTTTTTGAAACTCACGTTATTATTGTCGTCGTTCATAGTCATTATAACTCACTTAGTATTTACTGGTTCAGGGATTTTTTTTTGGATTTTTCAGGAAGCAACGGTTTCAAAAGCAAATACGGAGAAATAAACTTTTGAAAATGACACAAGTCGCGCGAAAAGTCCTAGATCTGATAAGTGAGACATAAAGGTACAGATTGATCTACATAACCGACACACGAGTTTAGATTATGGGTGATGATAAGAATATTGGAGTGATGGTAAGAGTACGGCCATTGCTTGCCAGAGAAAAGTCAGATAGTTCGAGTCTTATTGAAATGCCTCCACAAGCCGATAAAGGGAAAGTAATTTTGAAATCAAGAACCGATAAGAAAGGAGATAAGGAGTTCATTTTTGATGAAGCTATTTGGTCCTTTGATGAAAAAGATGATCATTATATGGATAATACATCATTTTATGCAAAATCAGGACCAGAATTGGTTGATCATTTTTTTCAGGGGTACAATGTCTGTCTATTGGCATATGGACAAACAGGTTCCGGTAAGACTTTTACTATGATGGGAGATGACAACAACGCAGAAGGATTCATCCCAATGTTAGTGGAAGATATATTGAATTATAAGACGCGATTGGTTAGCGATAAGATAAACTGTGAATTGAAATTCAGTTATATGGAAGTGTACAATGAAAACGTTCGAGATTTACTTTATGATGGGAAAGATAAAAAATGGAGAGTTAGAGAACATCCTGATACTGGTCCATATGTGGAGGGATTGAAAGAGTTTGATATTGAAAGTTTTAAAGATTTCCAGAAATATTTGAAAATTGGGAATAGAAATCGATCAACTGCTTCCACTATGATGAACGACAAGAGTTCAAGATCTCATGCTATAATCAATTTATATTTGAAGCAAACCAAATTTCATAAAAATGATGATGATTTGGAGATTGGTAAGATTGATAGTGAAATAATCTCCAATATTAAATTAGTGGATTTAGCTGGTAGTGAAAGGTTATCGAAAACTCAAATATATGGACAACAAGATAGAATGAAAGAAGGGAGTTTGATAAATAAAAGTTTGATGGTGCTAGGAAGATGTATTAATGTTTTGTCGAGGAAAACCACCAACAATACCAACGAGATGATACCTTATAGAGATTCAATTCTAACGTATATTCTTAAAGAGAATCTTGGAGGAAATTCTAAAACAGTGATGATATTTTGTGTAGCACCTTTGGATTATGAAGAAACTTTACAAACATTGAATTATGCTACTAGAGTCAAACATATCAAAACCAGAGCTAAACAAAATCAAATTAAATTATCCAATATTAGGATGGATTGGGATGAAGCGCATAAAAACGATTCCATTGTTGAAAGTCTTAAAGAAGAAATCGAAGTTTTGAATGAAAAACTTACACAATATGAAGTGTCCAATGAAACTGAAAAATTATCCAAAATGATATCGTTCTTGGAGAAACAATTGACGGAATCGAAGTTCCAGAACAAATATCTTTCATCGAAAATTAAAGAAATGGAGTATGAAAAGCAAGAATTACAAGATCACAATCGTTATATCAACAGTCTTCTAAGAGATAATCTCAATAAAGAGGTAGATTTGAAATTACAACATCAAAACCAATTGGTAGAGAATCAACTCAACCTCTTAGAAAAACAAATAATCCTAAATCAACAAGATTTAGAAGTGTTCTTGAATGATTTCAGTCCCACTTCAGTATACACATAACCCCATTTAGTCCATAGTTAGTAAATTTGTAATAATAGAGAAGTCGCAGATTTACTACTTCTCTGAATTCTTTCGCAACATCAACACTTTTCAATGACAGAGTTTTTAAACTATACCGTTGATTTGTACTTAAAGGATGGTTCCAAGTCTTCAGGATTGATCTCATCGGTAAATGAAAGTCAAATCACTTTGAATGAAACCAACGGACCTAGAGAAATTGCCAGTGCTTTCATCAATGATTTAAAAGTTACTAAATTACCACCAGATTTACTCAAGAATTTGAAAAAGAAAGATAAGAAGAAGTCATCCAAGAAGAAAGAAGAAAAGAAGGAAGAAAAGAAGGAAGAACCACCAGCTGTTTCGAATGATTTTGATTTCGAAGCTAATCTCGCTATGTTCGATAAAAAATCCATTTTTGAAGATTTTCAAAAGAAAGATAAGGTTAAACCTAAAGATAGATTGGTTGGTCATAATAAGGTTGAAAATGTTAAGAAAGAGGAGAAATATAGAAATGATGAAATGGTGTTGGATGGATCTAAAACTGATAATTGGGATTCAATCGGTAATAATGAAAGAATTGAAGCTGTAAGAAATATGTCAGTTACTGGTAGATCAACCCCTGTTGAATTGACAAGTAAAAACTATTCGTTCATTAACTCCAATAAGATTGCTATTCCTGTTTGTTCACCAATTCAGTTGTCAGACATTGAAAGAATTGCCAGTGAAAATTTCGATTATCATCAAGATTTAATGGCAGAAACTTTTGCATCTAATTTATCTACCTATGTAACGACAAAAATCTTGGGAGGTAAAAGTAGATTGAATTCAGCTAACCATAATTTACCACCTTTAGTTATACTTTTAATTGGTAGTGAAAGATGTTCAGCAAGAGCCTTTTCCTTAGGTAGACATTTAGCTAATCATGGAATAAGAGTATTGGCCTATGTTATCAACCAAAATCTTCAAGATGAACATTATTTGAAACAATTGAATATGTTCAAGAAATCAGGAGGTAAAGTATTATATACCTCAGTTAAAGAATTTGTTAATATCTTGGATAATCAATTAGATACTCCAGTTGAATTGATTATCGAGTCGTTACAAGGATATGACGACCATTTGGAGGATATATTTTATGATGAACAAGAACGTAGTCTATTAACTGAATTAATAACTTGGTGTGACAGTAAATCATCAAGAATAATGTCTTTGGATATTCCTTCAGGTATTGATGGAGGTTCAGGTACTTTAACTGAGAATTTGAAGATTTCATGTAAATGGTTAGTTTCTATGGGAATACCCGTTGCTGGGATAATCCACGGTTACAATGCTAATGTATTGAATAATGAAGATGATGAAATAATCCATCTTTTAGTAGATATTGGTATTCCAAATAATGTGTACCAGAAGAAATCTAATTTAAGAAGATTCGATAAAATATGGTATACTGCAGAGAATGTGGTGGAAATGAACTTATTAGATAAACCTGAAAGTCAATAGAGGCTATTTAGGGTAGCAGTTATATAGATATCTCTTTACATAAACCTTAATGAAAATACGTGCACTTACCGATCTCTTCCTATGTGAAAAAAATCTCAACCGTCTCAAAATCGAAATCTAATGTTTGGTTCATCAAATTCAAGTTGGCAGCAATCAGGGGGGTTTAATTCATTGAATAAACCTCCTAGTTTGAATCTCAACACTCTGAATAATAATACCAACACGTCAGGAGGATTATTTGGGAACGCCTCCAATCCTACAATTAATTCTAATAGCAATAACAATACTAACAGTGGTGGATTGTTTGGTAATTCCAATTCAACTGCCACCAGTGGAGGTTTGTTTGGCAACGACAGCAATAAAAGAATGAACACCGGTGGATCAGTAGGTAGTAATATGGCAAATAACACAGGAAGTAACACGTCAGGTGGATTATTTGGTAATTCAACCAACAATGCCAATTCCAGTACCGGATTATTTGGTGGTACCAAACCCACTAGTTCAGGAGGATTATTTGGTGGTTCAGCTGCAAACACAAGCTCAGGATTATTTGGAAATTCTAATGCTACTACAAGTTCAGGAATATCTGGGGGTTCGACTTCAAATACAACCTCAGGATTGTTTGGCAATTCTACCACATCATCAGGATTACTGAATGGTACAAACCCTAGTAGTGCTGGTGGATTGTTTTCCAAACCTTCAGGTGGTCTTTTCGGTTCCAGTACAAATACAACTAATACCAATGCAATTACAGGTAATACCAACTCAGGATCATTATTTGGTAACCCCAGTTCAACTGCCAACACATCAGGTGGATTTTTTGGTGGAAATCAACTGAATACTTCTACAATTAATAACTCCAATAACGTGTTTTCCCAAAATGATGCTTATAGTTCCAATGCCATTTTCAGAGGTGTTACCACGAACTTTGAAATGCCAGCATCTATCACCGCAGGATTATTTTCTGCCAAAACTGAAACCAAACCGGTTAAAATAGAGAAGAAGCAACCATCGGTATTATCCCGATTAGCCAAAAAGTTAAATATCTTCAAATCAGTAGAACAAGATCCTTTTGATGGGATTTTTGCCTCAAATGATTTCCCCAGTACGAAATCATTAACTTCCACCAAGAACAAGATCTCCAAACCCATCTCATTCTCCAAAGTTGAAACCAGATCATCTAATGAAATCAAGAAATTAATCATAAAATCAAAACCAGTGAAATTCCATTTAATCAATGCCGAAAAAGTATTAACTTCCAAACAATGGAGAGTCATGCCTGAACTTATCACCACAGAAAAGATCTTGAACGATGACGAAGAATCCGATAATGATATCACCAATATAATAGATGAAAATCTCATTAAAGCATCGAAAATAGTCAATGGAACATCAGATCTTCATGTTCCTTCAGAAGTCAAACCAAAAATCGATATTGAAACATCGGAAGGTTATTGGACTTCACCAGCATTATCAACTTTGAAAACCTGGTCTTTGAAAGATTTATCTCAAGTAGATTATTTCATCGTTGGACGTAAGGGTTTTGGTCAAATTGCCTTCAATTTACCTGTAGATTTATCTGACTTGCAACAACGTTGTTTCGAAGAGCACAAAGCATTATATGATATTTTATTCAAGGAAATCATCGAAATTGGTGTAAAGTATGTGAAAGTTTATAAAGATAATACTAATAAACCTCAAAGAGGATGTGGATTGAATGTTCCTGCTACCATCACTTTGGAAAAAGTCGAACCTAAACAAGGAAATGACTTATCAAGTTTTATCAAAATGTTACAACTGAGAGAAGGAATGGAATTTGTCACTTATGATCCTATTACTTTTTCTTGGACTTTCAAGGTTCAACATTTCAGTATTTGGGGATTAGTTGATGAAGTTGAAACTTCAGATACCTCTAATTCTGACGAGGACACTTATTATAGAGAGTTAAAGAAACAGAAAATCAATAGGGAAACCACTGGTTTACCAGGAAATTGGTCAATCGAAGATACCAGTGTGTTAGAGTTAAAGAAAAGATTAGTCAATAATGAAATAGATTCTCATTTAACTTTGAATTCTGGAGTGAAATTTGATGAAGCTACACCTGAACCAATAATGGAAGATAAACCTATTAGGGAGAATTATGAATATTTAAAAGATTTAATCAATGTATTCCCTCAAAATGCTGATTTATCAGAAATAGTCAAAGAAAAAGCTTACGAACCTGAAATAGATAATGTTGAAGATTTCAAATTGATTAAAGCTACACCTAATTTACCGGTGTCAGATAATTGGTTAGTTCAGTTGAACTTAGCCAATGATCTTAATTCATCGTTAGCCAACTTCCATAATGAGAATATTGTCAAAGATGGCAAATTACAATTACTGACTATTGACGATATTTTATTCCAAAAGTTTAATGAAAGTGCTGATTCAAATTCAAAGGAAGTTTCGACTCCATCAACCAAAAGTGACGATAAAATGGAAATTGATGATTTGATCGACGGAGATAAATTCGAACAAATAAAGATTTATTCTTCAGTTTTACCTACGCTTTTAGATAATTCTGAATTTCAGAAAAGATCAAATAATGCATTCAAAGTATTAAAAACTGACGTGACTTTTGGAAAGTTGGTACAAAATGATCAATTCTTGCCTCATTCATTTATTGATATCTTGACCCTTTGTTCAACATTATTTGATCAATCAGAAATCAAAATTGACGATATCTCTGTCAAAGATCATTTGAAGAATTTACAACAAAAACAATCATTTGTGGGATGGTTACAAAAATACAACGAAGGAGTTGTTGAAGAGTTGATTTCTAAAGCCGATGATAGTTTTGAAGAAATCTTCATTCACATTTGTTCTGGACAACTCAAGAAAGCTATTGAATCAGCTATTAATTCGAACAATAACCATTTATCAGCAGTTTTAACTTCAATAGATTCCAACTATCAAGGAATCAAACAAGTAGCTAAATCCCAATTGGAAGAATGGCAAAACAATAATTTCATTCCTAGAAATTTGATTAAGATTTATAAATTCATAGCCGGTGATAACGATGAAATCTTAAGTACTTTACCTTGGAACTTAAGATTGGCTTGTAATGTTTACTATAGTGAATCAAAAATTCCATTACATCAAGCAATTGATGAAGTCATCAAGGGTTCTTCAGACACCAATGATATCTTGGAAATCTTAAGATTTTACTGTAATTACAAAACATCACCAAAAGATGCAATTGAACGTATATCATCAGCAACTTTAAATATCGGAATCAAATGGGTCTTATTAAAGATCATCAATGAAATTTCAAGTGACGAGTTAAGTATTTCTATGGGTAGATTCATTGAAAAATTAGGTTTATGGAAAGAGTCCATGTTTATATATTCTCATATTTCTCAGGATAAGGTATCAGAGAAATATATTAGAAGAGTCATCCAAGCCAACATCAAGAAGATTAAGAACGACAATCTGAATACCGATGAAGAACCTTTCTTAACCAACATTTTAAAAATTCCAAGCAGTTTGATTTATGAATCTGTTGCTACTGATATGGATTCAAATAAAGAATACTGGAAAGCATGTGACGCTTTCATCATTGCCACATCTTGGGAACAAGCTCATGATATAATAGTTAATAAATTAGGACCACAAACTATAATACTGAAAAATCCAAAGGATATTCAACTTTTACTTGAATCCATGAGCAAATTTCCCAATCAGGGTAAAATTATTCCTATTTGGGCTCAAAGTGCAGGGATTTTCCAGAAATATTTCAAACTTTTACCTTTCATAAAATCAGGTAATATTGGTCCTACCTTGATACCAGACGTCGAAACCTTATTAGAACAAATTCCATTATTAAAGTTAGATAATTCATTAATCTCAAAAGCTACAAAATCTATTTTAGTTAAAGATATTGGTGACTTGGCTATTAATTTACAACTTCCAGATTTCAAATCCAAGATAACCTCATTACCATTAGGAGAAAATGAACAACGTTATTTCGAAAAACGTCTTGCATAAATGTAATTATAGAAATGTATAAATAATTCATACTCTGCTTATATAAGATATTACGTAAAATTGCGATAACGGTTTGTTTGAGGAAAAAAAGTGCTTACTCATCTTTTCAAATCATGGCACCATCAGTATCTGAAGAAGCGTTGAATACTCAGTTATCGGCACCAGAACCTGAACATTGTCCTGGCCCAGAATCAGAACAAGCAGGGAAAGATGATGCATGTAACGGATGTGCAAATCAAGACATTTGTTCGTCTCAACTCCCCAAAGGACCTGACCCTGATTTACCAATAATAAATTCTAAATTATCAATGATTGATCAGAAATTATTGGTATTATCAGGTAAAGGAGGAGTAGGGAAGTCTACATTCACATCAATGCTTTCATGGGCATTAGCAGCAGATGAAGATTTAGAAGTTGGAGCTATGGATTTAGATATTTGTGGTCCTTCATTACCTAGAATGTTGGGAGCTGAAGGTGAAACCATTCACCAGTCTAACTCTGGTTGGTCACCTGTTTATGTTGCTGATAACTTAGGAATGATGAGTATATCATTCATGTTACCTGATCCAGATAGTGCAGTTATATGGCGAGGAGCAAAGAAGAATGGATTAATCAAACAATTTTTAAAAGATGTTAATTGGGGTGAGCATTTAGATTACTTAGTGGTGGATACTCCTCCAGGTACATCGGATGAACATCTTTCAGTATCTACATATATGAAAGAAAGTGGCATAGATGGAGCTTTAATCGTCACTACACCCCAAGAAGTATCATTATTAGATGTTAGAAAAGAGATTGATTTTTGTAAGAAAGCAGGCATTAAAATTTTAGGATTAGTGGAAAATATGAGTGGATTTGTTTGTCCAGGGTGTAAAGGAGAATCTAAAATTTTCAAACCAACCACTGGTGGAGGTGAGAAACTTTGTAATGATCTTAACATTCCATTTTTAGGATCAGTTCCTTTAGATCCAAGAATAGGTAAAGCATGTGATGAAGGTGTGTCATTTTTCGATGAATATGCCGATTCCCCTGCAGCTACAGCTATTTTAGATGTTGTAGATGCCTTAAGAGATCAAATTGAAATCAACTTAGATAGTTTAACCCTTAATGATTAATGAAATATACATATAAACCCTTATCAGTTCTCATCGCGAAATTCTATGGATCCTCAAGCTTTTAAAGCTGAGACTAACTTATCAATCTCAAGAATTGGTGCCTTATATAAGGATTTCACTGCTTATAGAGAGTTAAATCCTGAAGGATATGAAGCAAATATTCAATCATGGTTGAAAATCTTTGAAATTATGTTGGAAAATGATCATTTCGATAAATTGAGTTTACCTAGCAAACTAACCATAACCAATGATTTGGCTTTGAAAACTATTGGTAAACCTTTAAGCATAAATTTAGTGATTCAAGAGTTAATGAAAAGCAAAGATTTGATTCCTGTATCAGTTTTTTTGGACTTTGAAACGGAGATTTATCAATATTTGAACCCATCTACCAGTATATTTCAGTATTTATCACCATTCCATTGGGCTAAAAGAGTTAATGAGGTGGCCACTGGTGTTTTGAGTATATTTTCATCCGATAGTGAACGTTATATTGTAATGAAACATCTTCAGTCGTATAGTAAAACAGTGTTAGCTGAGATCGAGAAAGAGAATGATGGATTATACAGTTCCAAGCTATATAATTATAAGTTGTTCAAACAACTACTCACCAGGTTGACACCCAAAATCACCGATCTTGATATTAAAATACTCATTAAACATATATCAAGAGATTTAAAGAAGTGTTCTGTAATGTATACCGAAGATGATATGATTTGTAAATTTGATGCAAGTGAGGTTAATGACGAAGATATAGGAATAGCTCAATTAAAATGGAATATTCAGGAAATAACCAAGCAATTGGAATCTATCCAGGAAAGAATTGAATCCACCAAATCCAAAATCAAAGCTTTCCCTGTTGAGAAGATCAAGGAGAAATCTGTTAAAGTCAGAATAATGAGTCTTTTAAACACCAAGAAAGTACAAGAAGCATCTTATGAAAACATAAGTAAAACTCATGACAATTTATATGAAATATTAACGAAAATGAATGAAGCTACGTCAAATATCAAAGTATTCAATGCTTTGAAGCAGTCATCTATAGTACTTGGAGAATTGAACCAACAAATTGATATTGATGAATTGGCCGAGGTTAAGGAAGAGCTTGAGGATAGTATGCAACAGACAAATGAAGTTAGTGAGATGTTGGGAGGGGTTGATGAAGATATGGAGGAAGAGTATGAGAGTTTGGTCAAACAAATGGAGGAGGAATCTTTGGTGAAGGAAGACCCACAGAAAGAGCACCTGAAAGAGCACCTGAAAGAGCACTTGAAAGAGCACCTGAAAGGCTCACACAAAGACTCACAGAAAGACTCACAACAACCTTCAGACGACTTAGAATTAATAAATCGTTTGAATAATCTTAAAGTCGATAATACCCCAATTAAAGAGCTTTCACCCAACAAACCTTTACCAGAGCCAAGTACATAATTAATATATTTAACAATTTATACAACACCCTGAACATTCCTGAAGCCCAGAGACTTACCACCTTCAACCTAAAATTTGTAAAATCTGTTGAGTCAAATTATATAATTCAACTCTTGGATCATCAAATTGTTCGTCATTTGATAATCTTTGTGATTGTTGACTGACACCCAAGTTCTTAATACCTGATAATATAGACTCATTTTCTTTAATTAAAGAATTGATTTCGGAATTATTAGATTCTAATAATTGTAATATTGTCCATAAAGCAATATGTTCGAAAGTAGCACTTTCACTTCTTAAGAATCTAATCAAGAATCCATAAATACCATCATTTGGTTGAGACCAATTATTTAAAATATATTGTTTATGTTCATTGTTAACTCTAGAACATAAATTAGCTAAAGCAGCAGCAGAGTTCCCACAAACTTCACCATTTTCACTAAAAGTTAAAGGAATTAAAACATCAATAATTTGACTTTCATATAATTTTGGTTTTAAATCATCAGCTAAAGCTAAAATGGCAAAACATGCAGAAATTTCTGATTGGACTGATAATGGAACATTTAATACTAATTCTTTACATTTATCAACGGCTCCAGCAGCTAATAAAGCTAATCTATTTCTTTCACTTGAAGCAGCTAAATTTCTTAAAGTTGAAACTGCATGACATTGAATTTCTTCCAGATCAGAATAATCTAATAAACCAACTAAAGGTTTTAAAAATCCTGCTTCAATAATTAAAGCTTCATTTGATGGATGAATTGAAATATTTCTAATACATGCAACAGCAGCTAACACTAACGGTTGATGATTTGATGTTAATAATTGAACTAAATGAGGTAATCCACCAGCTCTAACAATTTCAACTTGATAACCTGAATCTGAAGCTAAATTTCTTAAAGCTAAAGTTGCTTGACATTGAACTCTTGGACTTGGTGATGACATAAGACTGACCAATTGACTAACTAATTTTGGTTCTGTGGTTGATAATTTTTTACGGTTTAATTCATCAACAGCAATATTTGATAATGCGGTGGTACAATAATATTGAACATCAGCATCTTCATTGGATAATAATGATACTAAAACTGGTACAGCTCCAGCATTAACTAATTCTTGTCTATTTTCCCCTGAATGGGTCATATTTAATAAAGCTCCAGTAGCATTTCTTTGAACTCTAATATCTTTAGATTTGGCTAATTTGGTTAATGGAATTAAAGCTCCACTTTTAGCTATCTTGGATTTATTATCATCTTGAGTAGCTAAGTTGGTGATACAGCCAACAGCATTACATTGAACTTCAATATTGGTGGACATCATTTGTCTAATTAAAGGTTCTAAACCTCCCATTTCAACAATTAAGATTTTATTATCGTTATTAACAGCTAAATTACCTAAAGCTCCACAAGCAGCTCTTTGAACTTCAGCATCAGAACTTTGTAATAATATCAAAATAGGCTCCAAGACTTCTCTATTAACAGCACGGACATCTTTTTCAGTTATTTCTGCAAAGGCTAAAGCGGCACTTCTTTGTAAATCGATATTTTCTGAATAAACTAATGTTGATAATGCTTTTAATGGACCATTAGTGAAAAAATCAATATCTGAACGATTTTCTAAATATTGTAATAATGAACTGATAGCTTCCCTTTCATTTTCTGCTAATAATAATGGTGAATATTTCCCATCATTACCGTTACCCGTTAAACAACTACAACAGGCACCCATTATAATTTACACGTGAAATAAAATAGTTTTAATAAATATGTGAATGATCAATTGTTGATTGGAAGTAATAATACTCTTTATCTAGTGATTTTGGATATAAAATTGAATTATAATAGTAAACGATGACGTTTGTGAAAAAGACTGAACTCGGTTAGTTTGTGGAAGTTTTAAATCAATTAAAAATTCAATAATTCCTTTCTTAACGTGTAAAGTTTATCGTGGTATGCTTTACTGGTTAATGAACAAGGATTATGTTGTAGAATTAACGTGTTCAATTGAGGATTATCTTTCTTTGTCTATTCTCAAACTGAAATGACGAAAATTGAGAATTTCCCAAAAGGGTTTTATGTGCAGAACCAGATAAGACGTTTGGCTTTGAGGTTTTGAACTATAGAAGGATCAAAGTATGGAGGGTTAGGTATGAGAGAGTATAATCGAATGGGTGATTTCGGGGAGCTATGGACTATACAATGGGTAGAAGATCACTGATGACCGATTCATAAACGACAAACCTTCGTATAATTGAACATAGAACGAGATTGCCTTGAGGCAAGTCTAAGGCCCTACCCGAGAGAATTCTTGGTTGAGCTCAGGAGACCCATTACCAAGAGACCCATTACCAATAGCTATCAGTAAAGTCTATTGTATATTAATTATTAACTTTTTAAACCTCATTACCCGTAACTTCGAATTAGATCCTTCTAAGTTTGGCTCCTCCGTACAAATATCTAGCTATGAATGCTCCTATAGTACCTAATATAGATGACACAGCGACAAAAATAACCATGTGATCATAACTTTTACTACTACCATCACCGGCAATAGCACCTCCAATAGGGATTCCTATTAAATCTCCAAAACTGAATACGAAAAATGCAGTACCTGTTCTTTTAGCGAAATCTTTAGTTTGACTAATTTGCCCTACACATGCTGGTGATAAGGATAAAATAGAACCGGAAGTGAAACCAAAAATTCCCGCATAAATGAAAAGTCCTACTAAAGTATGACTAACTCTAGTGTTAAGCCATAAAACGCAAATAACTATGGTTGAAGATAATCCAATAACACATAATGCATTGAATCTTCCATACATATCAGCAAATATCCCTGGGATTACTCTACCTAAAATGGAAACACAATTTATGGTCAACACCAAATAATACGATTTTGAAGGTGAAAATCCTTGAGCTACCGAATATGATGTTAAATATGTCATGGTAACTAAAAATGCAAACCCTTGTCCTACTAACGACACCACAAGAGAAGTGTAAATTTTATCTTTAAACACTCTTATGTCGATAGATTTGAATACTTGTTTAATTAAAGGGTCCTTCAGCTCTTTATCAGTCTCATTGAAAACATCTCTTCTATCTTGAACGGTTAATAAAGATAATATACCAAAACAAAGAATTATCAACACACCGACTCTGACAGTCCAACCAAAACCAATTTTTGGAAATAATTGTTGGTACATGACGGGAAATAACGCCCCTCCAATAGCACCTCCAATATAACTTAACCCAATAGCCATAGCTCTTTTCTTCAAAAACCAATGGGATAAAACTCCAATATTAACTCCGAACACTAAACTGGTTCCCATCCCCCCTAATATACTATAACTCAAAATGAACTGGTATGTTTGATGTCCCCAAGAAGCACATAAAAATCCTACTGTTTGAAAAACCAAACCACAAATTAATGGTATCTTACATCCAAAATGATCGAAAATTGGTCCTACAATTAACAAACAACCAAATTGGACGAACGAATTGATTGAAAAGATCCACCCAACAGTTGAAGGGTTAGAAGTTGTTAAAATATTTTCCAAAAGATAACTTTGCAAAACACCTGCCGCATTAAGAAATGATAAGGATGAAATCATTCCACAAAATGATCCAAATAAAACCGTATAAGCTTTAACTCCACCTTCTGGGAATAAGTCAGCATTGTCTAATAATGGGATTCCATTATCATCAGAGTCTGACTTTGCATCGATGTTTCTAAACTCGTCCGATAGTTTCTCATCTTGAAATTTTTCACTATCACCGATGACATCCACACTATGAACTGTGTCCACTGCTTGATTGGCAATTTCTCCAGTTTGATTGTGATTATCTACCATTAAATCGTCTTGAATCACGTCGTACTGAACGGCCACAATTTTTTTTTTAAAAAAAAGTCAAATTGAGATGTATTTAATCTATTGTAGAAAGCGCATCTTTTTTTCAAGCGGCTCCGGAATCCATCGGTGGGAGTTAGAAGAACGCTTTAAAATATAAGTTATATGTTATTTAGGGTAGTCAGTGGAAGTCCCGTTTAGAAGTGGTCAATCAGTTATTCCTAGAGATGTTATTAAGAGCTAAATGGGTAGAAGCCAATAGATAATCTATACGACAGTCGGATACCGGATAGTCGATGCGAGGTCCCAGAGATCTGTCCAACGGGCATTCGTAATGATAAGTCAAGAAAACTGCGGAGATCTGTTCAGATATCAGTTACATGGATAGGCTGAATGTTAATATTTTTGCAACATGGTTTTTTAGTGTTATTGAGACATTACAACAGGTTTTCTATGGTACCAATGATACATATGATACCCACAACTTCCATTCACTCACTATCTGTACCTCACATACTCTTTCAATTGGAAGAGAGACCATAACCACAATCTTATTGTCCCAGCCCCCATATTTCCCCTGGAACCATTTTGTGGAAAATTAAAAATTCCGAACTGATCTTCAATCCGCTAAGATAAGAACCAAAACGGAAATCGATGCATAAATAGCAATTCTCCATTTTTTAGGTATTTCCTAACATTCCTCAACTATGTATTCTTAACACACCTTTTTAACCACATAACCTCATACCTTCATCACTAAACCCAAGCTTTTTTTGCACTTGCCCCTTTTGAACCTGGGGATGCAACGGTGCGAAAGTCACTGAATATTTCCAACAAACTAATTCTCTGAATCATAGTACAATGGGTATTAATAATCCAATTCCAAGAAGTTTGAAAAGTGAAAGTAAGAAAGCAGCCAAGGTATTATCATCATTTGTTAAACCAAATCAAGTTGCTGGACCTGATCAAGTGATTCCTCCTCATGTGTTAAAAAACGCCAAAGGTTTAGCTATAATTACTGTTTTAAAAGCGGGATTTTTATTTAGTGGTAGAGCTGGATCTGGTGTTATTGTTGCCAGATTACCTGATGGTTCATGGTCACCACCTTCAGCCATTGTAACTGCTGGTGCTGGTGTAGGAGGACAAATTGGTGCTGAATTAACTGATTTCGTATTCATTTTAAATTCTAAAGCTGCTGTTGATTCATTTGCTCAAATGGGTTCAGTAACTTTAGGTGCTAATATTTCAGTGGCGGCAGGACCTTTGGGTAGAAATGCTGAAGGTGCTGGTACAGCTTCATTGAAAAGTGCATCGGCAGTTTTCTCATATTCTAAAACTAAAGGTTTATTCGCTGGGGTTTCTTTAGAAGGTTCAGCTATCGTTGAAAGAAGAGAAGCTAATAGAAAATTTTATGGGGAAAATTGTAAAGCAAGATTCATTTTAGCAGGTAAAGTTGAAGCCCCACCAGCTTGTGATGCATTAATGAGAATCTTAGAAAGTAGAGCTTTCAGTAATAAATTATCTTATGAAGATGAAGATCTTGATGATGATGAATATTATAATGATATTCCTGATGAATTTTCTGATTCAACCTCCAATGTATCATCTAGAAGAAATAGATCCAGGAGATATAGTGATGATTATTCTGATGGTGATTCTGATGATGATTATACTCCTCGTAATAGAAATAGGGGAAATAGCAGAACCCAAGGAACGAGGACTAATGCTCGAAATCCAAGCAGTTGGGAAGATGACATATATGATAATGGTGGGAGAAGAGGTAATGATGTTGATAATCTCAATTCTCAATTCAGTAGTAGCAGAATCAGTAATGGTCCTTCAAGACCATCAGCCAACAAACCAAATTTCGGCTCTAACCCAAAAACTCAATCAAATCAAGCTATTGCTTTATATACTTTTAAAGGTGAACAACCAGGTGATTTGACTTTTAAGAAAGGTGACGTGATCGATATTTTGAAGAAGAGTGATACAACTGATGATTGGTGGACTGGTAGAAACAATGGATTAACTGGTATTTTCCCAGCTAATTACGTTGAATTGATTTAAATGTATATGAGTAATATAGAGATATTATAAAAATTCCTTTTCCTTCCTATAAACCATATTTAAAATTCGAATACTTCGTTCATAAAATGACGTACCACGACTTTCCCTTCATCAAATTTGGGATCGGGCATTCTAACAATAGCAGCTCTATGAGTTTGTTTCGTATTCCTGATCAACACAGGGAACTTATTCCATTTCAAAGAATTCAAGTTATTGATCACTACTTTTTGTAAGTTAACTAAAGCAAGATTAAAATCTTCGATCTGACCCTTCAAGTTGACTAGTGAAAGTTTTGAATCTAAAGATTCAGTAGAAGCTGATGGACTGGCTTTGGTACGATAACTATGATAATTTTTATAACTATCACTATTCATGGCATCAAAGATTGATTCCACAAATGAATCGGTGGTATCTTTAAAGTTATTGGAGATGTCTGATTCCAAATTATGAACAGGGGCATCCTGTTCATGATGTAAATACAGAATATCGTTAGCTTTCAAGAATTCTCCAACTCTTTTACGATTTCTTATTATTTGTAATATTGAATTACCCAAGATCCATAAGAACCATACTGGTGTAAACAAAATGGCTTTAGTTATAATTTTGAACCAATTGAGTTTCCGGCCCACTGATTTTCTACCTCTTTCAAGGGTAGTTTGAGGTTCTTGCAGTTGGAATTCAATGGGTTTCGTAATATCAATGACATTAGGTTCATAACCTTCAATGAATTCTAAAGAATAAGCACTGGCATTCTCATTGACCATGGACTTGAATGGATCTTGTAAAGAAATTGAAGCTGTGAAATAAGGAGTTCTTTTGTCGTTGATGATATTGGCATAAAGGTTTTTGTTCTTAAATGAGCTCAACCCTTTGAAGAAAGCTGATCTGGAATCTGACATCCAAACCAACAATGGTAATCTATCCTTACTACCATCAGCTAAAAACATTTGGGTTCCAGTTTGAGCTAAAATATAAGGCACGCAGAAATTAAATATTTTATTACCCCAACTAGTACCTGGATTTAAAGCTCCAACATGAGGTGTGCAAAACGTAGTAAAGTTCAAAGGAATAATTTCTTCAAAATAACCTTGGGAATGTAAATATCCCACAGCATAACGAGATATCAACCCTCCCAAAGAATACCCAACCATTGAGAATTTTACCACCTTATCCTTTTCATAAGATAATTCCTTGGTAACGGCTAAGATTTCGTCAGAAATTCTTTTCCCATTGACATCAATACCATCATAAGTTAAGAATCCCGAATGTGACCCGGTGACATAACAATAAATCTGTTCTTTATCGTTTGCTTGGGCTTCGATCTGAGATCTAAGATATTTCATATGCTCAGGGTTTCCCCAAAGACTAAAGCTGTTAGTACCGTTTACTAAGAAAACAACGACACATAATCCTTATTTGAGGTGTAATTGACCTTTTGCGCCGTTTCAATTGTTTCTAAAGCTTGACATACCCATGAACCAATACTACTAAATGATAATCAACCATTGTCTTGTGAAGATATTTTTCGCATTCATTTCTATTTCTATTTACACTAAAAACTTTGAAAGTAAAACCGATGTTGCTGCATTGACATTCATAGAATCAACAATGGAATCACCGGAACGATTCTTATTGATCTTAACAATAAAATCAGATAAGTTTTTGATATTGGCTCTAACACCTTCACCTTCGCTACCCAAAACAAGAATAATAGGGGATTCTTCAAGAATGGTAGATAAGGAATTTATATCGATATTTTTATCACCGGGTTTTAAATCAGTAGATACTATTCTCCATGGGGTTTGTTCAGCGACATTTCTAAGGAACTTTAAGGGTGAGGATACTTGATAGATATCCATGAGGTCTAAAGCTCCCGCACTAGCTTTAGATGCTGCTGGACCCAATTTGGCAGTATTATGATCAGGAGTAATGATGAAATCAACACCCAAGTAAAATGCTGAACGTATTATGGCACCAATATTTTGGGGATCGGTAATTTCATCCAAATAAAGCGCAAATGGGTAACCTTTGGATTGTCTCACTACGGATTTATCTACTGATTCTTTAGATTCATCATTCATGATAGTCATTTCGTAAGTATTGTCTTCGGTATTAACATCTCCAAGACTGAGCAAATCAGGGACTTGAAGCTTTCTGGTTTCAAGAACAACTCCATTATGTACAGCATTATTTGTAAGAATATTCAAATCATTCTTACTAGTTCTTTGTTCTATCTTGATTCCATACTTTTTGGCATACTTATTGATTTCTTCAGCTTTCTCTTTAGGATTATACATGAAAAGTCTGTTATACAGGTATCTTTTTTGTGCTTTCAAAGCTGATAATACTGAGTGAGTACCATAAACATATTCATAAAAACTCGATTTATTCAATGGATCTCTATCTACATCATTGTTGAATCTATCATTACCATATCTGTTGTTACTATATCTATCATTACCATATCTGCTGTCACCATATCTATCCTCACGTCTTGTAGAACTCTTCAAATCCTTATACCGTTTTTCTCTATCAATCTTCTTTTTTAGCAGCACTTTCGATTCATCCTTCATAAAACTATATTTTCTCCTGAAAAATTCATCTTTATCAACTCCACGTTTTTCCCATTCCTTGACTTTCCTCTTGGGAGTCTCAGGGAAGAATTTATCAATGGAAGTCTTTGAGTTCTTAGATAAGAATCTCTTCAGTACACTAAACATTGGTCGCAAAAAATGAGAGGCATCGCTTGAATAAATATTTTGTACAGGCTAAATACATAGATATGACAACTGACCAGGGGCTAGCATAGCAAGGCTGGAAACTACAACAGCTGGATACTTATGAAAGTATATATTTTCCAGTGATCAGAATAAAACACCTTTAGTACTTGGAACTTCATCAGTTCCATTACTGGAAATGGCTTCTTTTATAGCGATAGCAGTAGCTTTAAAGGCACTTTCAGCTCTATGATGATCATTGAATCCTCTTAAACAATCAACATGTAAGGTAATACCAGCACCTTGAGCAAAACTTTCAAAAACATGAGGAATCATTTCACAAGATAAATCACCGATTTTCTCTCTTTTTAATCCTAATTCAATTACAGCATAAGGTCTATTAGATAAGTCTACAACAGCTCTACTTAAAGCTTCATCTAAAGGTGCGAAACCAGAACCAAATCTCTTGACACCTTTAACATGACCTAAAGCTTGTTTGAAAGCTAAACCCAAAGTAATGGCTACATCTTCAGCAGTATGATGGTCATCAATATGTAAGTCACCAATACATTCAATTAATAATGACCAACCTGAATGTTTAGCTAAGGCATGTAACATGTGATCTAAGAACCCAATCCCTGTTTGGATGTTAATGGTTTGAGATGAAGATTGTTGTTTAGCATGATCATCTTGTTTATCAGGGAAAAATGATTGTTCAAATACTAATTCTCCACCGTCTAAACATAAAGCTATTTGAATTTTGGTTTCGTTGGTATCTCTTTTGATTGTACAACTTCTCATGGTCTATAATTATTTGATTGTCGAAAGTTCTGAAAGATGTTCTACGGTATAAATGAAGTTATAAATATCTATATCAACCTCTGACTCTTATCACTTTTCACCGCGACATCTTTCGCAGTGTCGATAATTTCAGATCTGATCCATCAGTTAGTGGAGTAGGTTCAACATATAATTGACATTAGTGAAATATCTTAGTAATTACGTTTGATTTTAAGTTGAAAATATCATTTAATTATTGTGGAATTTAATCACGCTTAAAGATTTTTTGACCTAGAGAAAAACACGCTAGAGATGAGTAGCACAACATTGTTTAAACGTACTGAAGTTATTGGTAGAGGGAAATTTGGAATTGTTTATAAAGGATATAATAAACAAACCAAACAAGTTGTGGCCATCAAAGTATTGAACCTAGATACTCAAGAAGACGAAGTAGCTGATGTTCAACAAGAAATTCAATTTTTAGCTGAATTGAAAAACGTCCCAAATGTCACTCATTATTATGGATCGATATTAAATGATACCAAATTATGGATTATTATGGATTACTGTGCTGGAGGGTCTGTTAGGACCCTTTTGAAAGCAGGGGTTTTCGAAGAGAAATATATCGGTGTTATTGCAAGAGAATTATTGATAGGTTTATCAGCAGTTCATAAAATGGGAGTTATACATAGAGATTTGAAAGCTGCAAACGTATTGATATCGAAAGAAGGTAATGTGCAATTATGTGATTTTGGTGTTGCAGCCAAAATATCTTCCAACTCTTTAAAAAGAACTACTATGGCTGGTACTCCTTATTGGATGGCTCCTGAAGTTATCAGGGAAGGTGACACTTATAATTCTAAAGCCGACATATGGTCTTTGGGTATAACATTATATGAGACTGCTACTGGTGATCCTCCTTATAGTGATAAAGATGCCATGTGGGCTATGCAAATGATTTCCAAACTGACCCCTCCAAGATTAGAGGGACGAGATTATTCCCCAAATTTAAAAGAAGCTATAGCTCTCTGTTTGGATGAAAATCCTGAAGAAAGACCACTGGCTGATGATTTACTTAAATGTAAGTTAATCAGATTCTACAAGAATCATTCAACTAGTATTTTGAAAGAAGTGATTACTAAATATTTACTTTGGAGAGATAGTAATAATAAAAGAAGAGATTCTATTGCATTCATAAGTTTAGAAAATGATATAGGTCAAGAAAATGAAACCAATTTGGAAGGTGATAATATTCAAGTGAAATGGGATTTTGATTCTTTAAGTTCAAGAGAATATATCATTGAAAATGATATTGATATCAATCAAGTTGAAGATAAATTTGATGCAACATATGATATGAATGATGGTGATCATTATCAAACCCAACCCACATTGAAACCTGGAGCTTTTAACGATAATACTGTAGGGAATACTTTTGGTAAAACATCGTCCAATAATAATACCATTACTAATAGTCAAAGTAACCCAAACATTCCCAAATCTTTACAGAGTTTATTCGAGGAAAGCCCTGAAATAGAAGCATCCCACCCAAATGACATTCCTCATAATTTTGATCTACCACCACCAGGAATAGGTACTTTGAATGAATCTAGAACTGAAAGTTCACCTACAATTGAAATTCCTGATATTGACGAACTACCAAATTTAACATCAGTGGCTTCATTAAATACCAATTCTAGTCAACCACATTTATCTAAACCTCCAACATTATATCATTCACAATCTGCATCAGGAAATCTTGAAACTAGATTTAACAGTTCTAGTTCTTTGGGATCTTCTACTTTGAATACTCATAATAATCGTCCGAGGAAAAAGACCATTTCCAATTCATATGGATCTGTATCTTCATCACAATTGACTAGTTCAAATAGTAATACCGCTCATAGTACATTGAATACAACTAGTAATCAATTTGCAACTCCACATACTCCACCATATTCAAACAATTCCACCACATCACCATCCCCCAAACCCCCATCTACCACCACTTTTGCATCCAATACCAATTCTCCATCGAAATCCATGAAAGCTTTACAAACCACTTCCAACCCTTTACTTCAACCGATAAATTTTAAGTCTCAAGAAACTAATCATCCTCCAGCTAATGATGGAAAGTCCAAAATGAGACCTCGTCCAGGCCTTCATATTCAAATGCCTACCCCGAATAACGCTTCGTCCCTTTCAGCATTAACCAATAATCAATTCGAAGAACCTGAAATCAATCAATTTGGTGTTAAACCTGCTCAAGTTGGTAATCTTTCAATGACACCAGTTACAGAGAAAGATTCTTTTATCGAAGGGTCTAATCCCCCAACAGAGGAAAAGAATACCACCCCTCAATTTAGAGAACGTGCATCTTCATTATCGACTCAAAGAACTCATTTACCTCAAAGGAAAATGACTGCCCCTTCAATTCAAACACCCAATAGTTTATCCATACCTAAACAGTTAACCTCCAGTTTATCACCTTCAAATTTTCAAAAAGTTAAATTTCCCACCATCCCCAACATAAATACTGACATGTTCTCAGATTCCACCCCTAAACAGAAGTTAGTGTCGGAATTGGACTCCATGATCAAACTTTTTAACGTTGGTTTGGAGGCTCTAGAAGAAAAAATTTAATAAAAGTCGCGATTTTGGAATTAAAAAAACTCTCAAAATCTCTAACTACACAAATTCCATGCCACCCAGAATAAGAAGAAGAATCACTTCTGCCAAACGGGAGGAGATAGAGAAGGAGCAAGAGGCTATAGCAAGATCAATTGTCAGACCGTTTGATAAGTTATCGGGGTTACCAGTATCATACAGCAAGCCGGCAAATTATGAGGAAGTGTTGAAGAATCCATTAACGATCAAAGATTCAGGTATACTTTATAGATCATTGATGAAGTCAAGAAACAATTATTTGACCATGGCTCCTCCATTTCAATTGTACTGGGTCAAACAGAGTCTTTATTCTAAGAAAATCCAGAGCGATCTTGCTTTGAATATCGATAGAAAACCAGTTTTAGGTACTGAAATTAATGCTAGAGATGTTATGGTGAAGTTAACCGATTGTGGTTTGACCATAGGACCACATAGTTATGAAGTGAGACTATTCATAGTGAAAGATGAACGTTCAGATCCAAAGAAAGAAGAAATGATAAATCTTCAACCAATGCAAGGTGTTGTTACACCAGGTGAAATTGAAGGTATTAATGGTATTGGAAATAGTATCCCTGCTAGTGATCAACCATCTCAAATTAATGGTAGTGATCAACCCAGTGAAGTTGTTACAGAAGCTACCGAGAGTGAACAACCTAATGAACAAATTACCGAAAATGGAGAATCCCAAATTACTGAAGCATCAGACATGATATCTTCAGACATTGGTGCTTCGGAAACTGCCGTTTCAGAAACTGTCCCTCCATCCAACATATCCGAAAATGACTCAATCATGGCAGATACTAGCCAAATTAATGATTTAATCCCATCTCCTGTGCCTGAATCTAACATGGAGGACTCAATTAATGAAGATACAAATCAACACACTCCTGAACCGTCCTTCCCACAGACTTCCAACAATGACACAACAGAAGAAAAGAAGAAAAAGTATGACCCATCAGACTTAGAATCTCCTATAAATCAACTCATGATAGATAATTTAAGGGCTATTGCTAAAATCGATCCAAGGTTACAGAAGTTGATTGATGTTGTTGGTGATGGTTCCCATACACCCGAGCAATATCAAATGTTCCAAGGGTTTGTTGCCAGAGCAAGAGAAATGGGGCCTCCACCACATCCATTCTTATTGCCAGGATTTCAAATCGATCCATTCCAACCAATAAGGGTTAAAAGATTAATCAAAGAATTAAGACAAATAAGAGAAAGTACCATGTTCACATCTACTTTTGGTAAAGATCAAAGATTAACAGCATTCCAAGAAAAGTATCTCTTGGATGCCATTCTTTTGTTCGAATTTGTTGATAATGCTAATGTTAGATATAGAATTCCTAGAAATGCTATAATGGAAGTTTTGCCATCACAAAATTCCGGAGAAGAAAGAGACATACTTATCAGTTTCTTATGGATTCATAACCAAAACGAGTTAGATAATTATAACAAGAAAGTTAAGGAATATGAAGACTTCCAAAAAGCTAAACAACAAAAATTAAAGGAAGAAGAAGAACAAAAAAAGAAAGATGAAGAAGAGAAACTTAAAAGTGAAGAAAAGGAAAGTGTTGAACCTGAAGTTAAAGAAGAAGAACAAGAAGATAGACTGTTACGAACCAGAAGAAAGAGAGCACCGCCACCAAAAAGAAGAAAAGCAGCACCAAAAGCTGAAGTCGAACCCAAAATGCCAACAGAACCTGAATTAAGATTCACTCCAGTCTCATTCGTTTTACATGATATCCCAGTAAAATTCGTCCCTATACTCACCAATAGTGTAGTTAAACCAGATGATGCTAGGAAGTACATGTCAGATATCATTGAAAAAGGAACTAGATCATCAAGTTTCTATCTTTGGTATCAAGTTGATGGGAAATTAGATGAAAAACTAGCAGAAAACGTAAGAAGTGAATTAGTCAATGAAGAAAAGAAGATGACAGGTTTAGTCTATAGTTCGACGGGAACCAATGGACCAAGTAAAAAGAGGAAAATTATGAATGTTGGACATCCTTTCTCCCAACATACATAAGATTTGTAAATTACCACATTTGTACTATTATTTATATACAAGATTATCTATACATTATTTATCTTTCTTAGCTTCTTCAGGATCTTGAATGATACTCAATAAACTTGAAAATTGTTGCAAGTCTTTAGCTCTGTTTTTTGAAGCAGCTGAATAATCAGCATCATAAGTTGATAAATCATCATTTTCATTATTAGCGAATTTACTGGCTAATATGGTTTGAGCATCAATTTTAACTTTACCGTTATCACCAATTTCAGCACTATTAATTTTGAAAGGTACAACGAATTGTCTTTGATGTTTACCAGGATAATTCATGGTAAAATTTCTTTGTAAACCATGTTGAGAAGTAACATTGGCAATGAAACCACCAATAGCAGCTTCTTTCAAATCAACAGTTCTACCATGAGCGATAGTACCATTCTTAAATCCATTAGGAGTATTAGATACTCTTCCTTTTAATAAATATGAGAACCCTCCAGTACCTTCAATTCTTTCAGATTTATCATTCAAAAATTGGTGATTAGCTTTTTTGACATTTGAAGATGATAAGAATTCATGAACTTTTTGTTTGATATTGAAAGTTGAATTTGAAAGGACAATATTTGGGTATTTCTTAATCAAAAATTGTTTGAATTCCTTATAAAGTTGAGGATTCTTACTTAAAATCTTCTTGATATCTTTGATTGATGCATGAGGTTTAACATTGAAAGCATAACTTAATAATTCGATTTTTTCATTACTTGGTTTGACGGATTTCACTGTTCTATTTGATTTATTAGGGAATAAAGGATTTTCTGAAGTTTCAGTATTAACAGGTATTCCTAATTCTTGGAATCTGAGACGTTGATAATAATTACCTGAGGACTTTTCAATATCAGGGATCCCGGCTTTATTATCGATATTATTGAAAATTATATGAGAAGTACCAAATTGTTTAGGTAATGAAGATTTAATCCCATAGTTAGATCTACTAGCACTATTTTTAGGAGTATAAATGATTTGATGAGAAGGACCTGAAGTATTACCTCTTAATGATTTCAGTAAAGGTTTGGCCACTTGAGCAAGTCTTGAGTCTTTGAAAAGACGGAAAAACTCTTGATTGTTCATCACTTTGTAAAACCTTTTCTACAGGTTGAGATCTCGCGCTGAAAATTTTCACCTTTTCTGATGGCCGGGTAACTTCTAGAGTTTATATTATATGGAAAGAGAGTTATTGTCATTATTCATTAATTAGCATAAGAGAAGGATATACCAAATTTATTGAATTCAGGTTGATGAGTGAATTCATTGATTGATATTCTTGTACCTGCACTGACCAAAAAATCTTTAAATCTTCCTTCCCATAAAAGTTTAAGCATTTTATCACTTAAAGAAGTCGATACTCTAACAACACTATTAAATTCACTTTCATTGACAAGATTTTGGAAAGCTGATATAACGGTTTCCTTTTGATGAGGTTGAGAATGGGAATCAATATGAGAATGATCTGATGGATAATGATGATGAGACGATATTACTGTAGGAGTTGATTTATCGTCAGGAGTGAATAATAATGATTTTTCATGTAATGTCTCTGAAGATTTCATGATATCATAATCATTGGAATCTGATTTTCTTTTGGAGTTATTATACAATTCAAAACCTAAGGATAAATTGGAAGAATAAGAATACAAGTTGAAATCATATTTGGAACTAAAAGTTGAAGCCACTGAAGTTTTGATGGTATAAGTAGATGACATTTGACCGAGAATTGGATTACAAGCGAGTGTCATGGTTAAAGGTTTTCCTGTTGATGTAGATTTGGTTGAATATCTGAAAGCTGTAGAAAATCCTGGACTCATAGTCATGGCAGCATACCATACTTCAGTACCAATTGAAACCATTGAATTATCTAATTTCGGTATTATTGCTGATGAATTTTGATATTCACTCTTTGAATTGTTAGTATTGCCAAAATTGAATAAACATCTGAATCCCATTAATGCTTCATTGGTTGAATAAACAAATTCTCTGGAGAATTTAGGGGTATTACTTTGTAAATATATTATCATAGTACCATTTTTAGCTATATTTGGATTACTGATGGATTTGATAAGTAATTGAGTTTGTGGTGATAATTGTTTGATTACCATTGATTCAAGAGCTGACCCAGGGAAATACATTCTTCCATATAATAATAAGTTTCGATTTCCAAATTTCTTGAAATTATCCATAGTTTCTTCTTTGTAAATTGGCTCGAGGACTTTAAATCCCGATATGGCTTCTTGTAATGAGATGTTCTTTGTTCCTACAGTGTTGTTCAATGGTAATGAACTGTATAAATAAGCCAAAGATCCATTGATGACATTATAATTCGATAATGTAAAACTCGATGCCAGGTAATCTGTGGTCTTGGAAGATATATCCAATTTACATCCATTTGGAATTTGGAAATCTAGAATCGATTGGGAACTCGATGTAATATTAGGAAATATATTCTCTTCTTGCCATCCTGTCGATTTATAAAAACATTTCTGGAGATACTCCATGTATGTATACATTGATAAATAAACAATCTCTCAAAAGTTTCAGGTGCGACTTAGGTTTTTAGAAGGTTTAGAGTGCAAATATAACATGCTTATATATTCTTTAAGTCGTTCAATGATTCAATTAGATTATCAATGCCTGGGAAGTCTTTCCTGAAGAAATCGGATTTTTGTTTGACAGTTTTCTTATCAGGAAAATCGAATTTGTCTTCCTCGTTTAGGTAGAAAATTAAGAACTCTATAATTTTGAAGTTTAAAACTTGTTGATCAGACTTGCTGTTCTTTGATGGATTTTTGAGTTGGAAGTCTGATAAATTCAACTTCTTAATGATAATCGAACATCCATTACAAGTTTCAAATGTTCTGAAGTTTTTTAAATCTTTTAATAGTATATGCAATAATAAGGAAATGAAGGAAATATTGATTTCAAAAGGATATTTGGAGTTATCTAACTCAATGAATTTAAGAACTTTAGTCATTTGGATATTAGAATTGAAAATAGTTCGAGAACTAGGATGGATCAATAAGATTCCTTGTAATGATCTCGTGTATCTAATGATCAACTCTGTACTTATATCATCGATATTCTCATAGATTAAATCATTACATTTCACTAAATGTTGGGTGATGTTAAATTGGAAATTATCTTGAAGTTTAAGGAACTTACCTATCTTCCCACTCTTGACTACGGTGTTTCTTTGATTCTCGATATGTGGAAGCATTGAAGTCAAGATTTTTTCGAGTGAATCTAATCCTTCGACGAACTTATCCATATTCTGGTCATCAAAGTCACTTATGATCGGTAATATTTGACTCTCCATATCATCTTCCGCCATTTCTCAGCCTTTTGTTTGATTACTATTTTGGGAATATGATCAGTGATATTCGCGGTGTTGACATTTTGCAATTCAGGAACCACTGAAACAAACGTAACACTTACTTCAACTCCAGTATTTATATAAACACCTTCAAGGACAACGATTTTGATATTTAAAGAGACAGTTATTCCTGACAAATGTCCGATCTGAATACGTCACAGATAATATTGGGATGTTTTGTGGCTGTAGTGTCTTCAGCCATTCAATCCTTAGGGATAACTTTACAAAGACGTTCACATCTTATTCCAATACATACCACAGACATTCATGATAATTCCCATCATATTCATCAGAAATATAAACGAAATATGTGGTTATTTGGATTCTTCTTATTCATTATAGCAAATGTTTTAGGTTCATTGATCCAGATATCAACTTTACCTTTGATCATATTGTCTCCTTTACAAAGTATAGGTTTGATTTTCAACAGTTTATTGAGCTGTTTATTATTACCAGGAGAAACTTTCACATATAAGTTGGGGATGGGGACTTTTGTCATATCTATAGGAGCTTTTATCATAGCATATAATGGTAATGCTACTCCTTTACCACCACCAGAAGATCTTAGTCCAAATAAAAAATTCACCATTATTTTGAATAAACTTTTAAGACCAGGATTTCTTGTATGGTTCATCTTCACCTTTGTTCTCATAAGTTTGTTGTTATTGACCAATGTAAGTATAACTTTTAAGAGAAACAAATTGAAAGAAACTTTGAAATATAGACAAAGCAAATCATTAATAAGATACCTTGATAAATTAAAATTCACGAGAGGAATAAATTTTGGTTTGATTTCAGGTACTTTGACTGCCCATACATTTTTATTTGCCAAATCGTTGATCGATGTTATAGTAGAAACTATCATGAATGAGAAGAATAGTCTTGGAATCATTTTAACATCATCAAATATTACACCATACGTATTATTGATCATAATGTTGATGATTGTTGGATTTCAATTAACAGCTTTCAATTTAGCTTTATCACAAATATCAACCTCAATTCTTTATCCTTTATGTTTCTTAGTATACAATATGATGAATTTATTAAATGATTTGATATTCAATTCTTTGATTTCCAATCATAGAATGACTGTTGGCCAATTAATATGGGTGGTTTTCGGATTAACAGGTGTTTTAATCGGAGTAGTTTTGATCAGTTGGGATTCAGCTGTTGGTTCCAATAATATTAAACATTTCCCATGTATTAAGAGTGAAGATGATTATATTTTACACACAAAATTCCCTTATACTGACCATAAAGTTAATGATGATACACCTTTACTAGAATTAGATTCATCCTTTAATTCTTATGATTCTAATTATTTGCATCCAAATGTTTACCCCAGCAGACAACATTCCAAGAAGAAAAGAATTTTATCGTTCGAACAGAAACAATTACTCGAACAACTTGATTTATAACCTCTTCTCATGATAATGATTTTATAGACTAATGTATTTTTCTCATTTCCCCCCATGGTTGCAAAATCTATGGATGCAAAATCTGTGAGGCATCGCGAAATCCTTATGAACGATCACATCAACAGATTCAATAGACAGCCATCTATTGTATCGTACAAGTCTATAGATGATCTAATAATATTGAAGGATTGGTTTTATAATTTCAATGAATCTCGTGATCTCAGGAAAAAAGCTATAGATAGAGTTAAGGCTATAGGTTCAAGAGGGAAGTTACCTCATTGTATTGAGTCCACATCATTTTTAACATCCATTTGTTTAACAGATCCTAAGTTTCAGACGAAATCATCCACTTCCCCAGATATCCAACATGATTCCAATGTGTTACAACTATCATATTCCATGGCACTTGTGCGGTTTGTTAATGGATTATTGGATTCTTTACAACAATCGAATTTCGCTATACCATTATACCAATTAGCTAAAGGATTGAAAGTGCCGAGTTTTTTCGTAGAATTAAGACATATGGCTACTCATGAAAAGCTTCCTAGTTTGGTAATGTTGAGAATAGCTGTGAAGGATGCTTTAAATTGGTTGTATGATAATTATTGGAGTAAAATCGACAATTTGGATAGTGATGAAGAAGTAGACGAAGAAGATATGTTACAGAAAGACATTGATTCCATAGAATCTCAAGTAGAAATCTTCCAACTGGTAGAGTCAACAATAATCAATAGTCTCAAGATTTATAAGAAAATACGAAAACAAGATATTGATTATGTTTATAAATTTGGGAATTCTACCGAATCAGGCTTGAAATACTGGAAAGCCGTGAAGGCCATAAGGAAAGTTATCGACAAATATGGACATGGTGTCTTGATAAATGTACTTATTCATAGAGATTTCATTGTCAGGTCCAGGGATTATAATGAAAAATATTGTGGCTTACTAAAGAAATTATATAACCCTTTAATAGAAGAATTGGGTTTGGACTTCAAATTAGATTTACTCGATATGATGATAAAGATATTCGAACCTCAAACTGCTGTTGATGAAAAAATCATCAAGAAATTGGGTTTCGAATTGAATGAAGACCAAATCAAACTGATAATCTTCTGGATAGGTCAAATTATCAATGATTTCCACAACAATCTTAAAGATAAAAAGCAAAAATTGCCATCCCCATTCAATTCTCCGACCTTCTTAGCTTCATTAATCGAGAGATTGAAGAACTTAAAACATATACAAATACTTGAAAGACTTGAGACAATTGATTTTTCTCCAGAAATGAACCAAGATATCTCCACTCACTTGAAGACCTTACAAACCGCCAATAAGTTAAAGAAATATGAAGATGTTTTGTCACTTGAAGACGTTGTGGAACCTGAACCTCCGGTTAAGAAACAAAAAACCCAAACACATTATATTTTAGAACCTCATGAAGATTGGCAACCTACACCTTTTGGTACATTAATATAGATACAAAACTTTCCCTACCGCACCGACCTAATTCTCTCACTAATTCTAGGGCCCTTGTCGTCGCATTGACCAGCACCTCACGTCATCCCCCACTATACAATCGCATTCTTATCTTATCATTGGAACCACAATAAAGGATATTTAAATTAATTCCAACCAACCCAATATGAGTCCTCAGTGGCTACCTCAGAATATACAGAAACGACTTTTGTTGTATGTATTACAACAATTGTCATTATTCTCGGAGATTGATCTACCTAACTTAGAAGAAGTATCATTAAACAATATCCACCTTAAAGATGTTTCCATAGATCCTGAAAAGGTTGGTCGATTACCTGGATGTAATTTGAGATATGGACAAGTAGGAAGTCTAGAATTGAATGGTGGTGTAATGGGAGGTGTCAATGTGGAAGCCAATAATGTTGAAATTGTTATTGCTCCAAATCTTGATATCAATGAAGATTTAACTAAAAGCGTTCAAAATCAGTTATTCCAAAGTACGGCAGATTTAGCCAACACCATAATGATAGACGATGATTTCCGAGATAGCAATGATACCATTGATGAGGTTGAACAGAAAAGTGATTCACCTACCAAGACTTCAGCATTAGGTGGTGTTATGCAACGGGCAGTGGAATTAGCCTTACTGAGACTACAAGTGAAAGTGACGAATCTTAATATCAAGCTAGTCTCTGAGTTAACAGACTTAATGATAGTGGTGGATGAAGTTTTGTTTAATACCGTCAATGGGACAAGATCTGTCAAAATCAAAGGAATCAAATTGATTTGTCTTAAACCCGATGTTAATGGCGGAGATGAAGAAGGTGATGAACAAACAGAAGAAGAAGAAGAAGAAGAAGAGAAAGATGACACAGAAACAAGTGATGATGATTATGATGACGGTATTGAACAATCTTTAATGGATAGTATGGTGTTTACTCATGAGGAAGCTAGTTCTATTTATATGAGTGCAACTTCCCAATCTTTCAATAATAATATTAAGCCAGAGAGTGAAAGCAAGGAGAAGATTATAATGCATGTTGATGAATTGGAACTTGAATTCGAAGGATTAAGTGATTTATCTGAGTTGGCTATAGATATCAATGAGATTGTAATCTCATGTCATCCTTTAGTACCTTCAGTATTATCAATCATGAATGGGATTTCAAGAGGTTTGAAATTAAGAATGTATCAGAAGAGGAAACAAGGAGATGTTCCCAAACCCTCTGACTTCCCTCAATATGAAACTGATGATGATATTGATGAAGATACTCCTCAAATCTTCAATAAATTACATATAGCTAACATAATTGTTAGTTTGACTTCGGCTGTAAGGGCTAATGGGAAGTTTGCATCACCCAAGAATAACTTATACTTGAATTTGGGCAATTTGAATGTCAAGCAGAAGAATGATGATTTGATTTTTGGAGGTATTGAAACCTTCAGAATAGTTCAAACAATCAAAGGTGTGGTGGAAGAAATATTCAAATTCGATAAAGATGAAGAAAACGAAACCAAAGCTGATTTAAGATTTGAAAAGTGTATGAAAAATGGTCCTGGATTCAAAGGTAATGAATTTACCATGTTATTATCCAAAAAATGTGAAATCAATTTAAATTCTACTGCCATAGCTGACTTCATACAAATGGGTGAGTATTTTAGTATGATATCCAATCACTTAACGGGGCTAATGAATACTTTTGACTCCTACAAACTGTTGACTGCAACTGTCAAACCAAAGAAACTTGATAATCAAGTTGTTATACAGACGTCAAATATAATCATCAACTTCAATGTCAATAACGATTCATTATCCGTCAAACTATTGCCCATATCATTCAATCTTTTGAACAACGGTCTCAAATGCCAAAAGGTATTGATTGATTTGAATACAGAAGAATCAGTGAATATAGGTAAACTTGAAAACATTAGCTTGTTGATCAAGGCTAAAGATTTTGTTGGATATTTGAACTCCACTAATTCACCCAAAAAAGTGAATTTGAAGAGTGGCACAAACTTCAGGATAGCCAAGATTGATTTCGATTTGACTTTCGATAGCTTAAACCTCATAATTGGCCATTTCAACCGTATGAATAAGGAAATCATCAAGACCTTGAAGTCACAAACTAAGAAAGAGTTCAAAGTGTTTAATAACCTTTCAGGGTCCATTCAATCATCCGTTTATAATCCAAGGAAACTCAGGAAAAGAGTTTTGGTAAATAAACTAGATTGTGATTTCAGAATAAAAGTTGAAGAAATCATATTCAATATTACCCATATCCCTAACTTCCAGAATTTGAATAGTCGGATTGAAAATGTTCAAGTTTATTCCTTGAATTCAGATACTTACTTCGTAGTAAAAGGAGTCAAGAGTGACAGATTCTTCAATAATACCACGGAGAAGATTATTTACAATTATTTGTCCCACCTGGATAATCCCATGATATTCGGGATTATAAAATCTACAGGAGTGGAAGTAAAGTTCTTCAATTTTCTCGTTGATTATTATACTTATTGGCAAAAGTTATTCCAAGCATCAGAGAAAGACTCATCAGAGAAAGACTCATCAGAGTTAGAGTCAGAACCAGAACCAGAACTCGAACCACAATCACATTCCACGGAACAGAAGTCAAAAAATGATGTTAGAATCCAGTTTGTTAATTGTATTATTGGCTTAACACCTTATCAACTTCCCTGTAAAGCATTACTTGTGATCAATCAAATGTACAATGATTTGACATTAGGAGAGCAAGTTTATGTCAAGTCCACGATCAGAGATTTAAATATCATGTTGATTGATGACATTGATAATCTCCAACTCCCAAAAAGACAATATCCCAATTTGATCGAACACCTTACCAAACAGGGCTTTTTGAGTGTGGGAAATATTAATAATTTACATTTGGGAATCACCTATAATCTGAATGAAACCAGGTTAATGAACAAACTGAACAATTACAACAACTTATCCAAATTAGATATCAAGATCAATATAGATGAACTCAATTTGGAAACTTGTGGAGATTCATTCTATACATTGATTCAGATGATTAATGATTTGAAGATTCCAATTATTTTGAAGGAGGAAGAAAAGTTCAAAGTCAAGTTGGATAAAGATATTGATGTAATGAAAGGTATAGAAGAACTCGATTTCTACAAAACAATGAAACAACCTAGTGCTAGTGATAATTTCGAGATAGTGGATGATTATAAGGATTTGGTGGAAGATATTGATGATTTGGAAGAAGAGTTCAGGAACTTGAATGCTGAAGAAACACCAGTAGATTTGAAAGTTCAGGACGATTATTTTAATAAAGTTATTGATAATGAACCTGTCAAAATAAATCCTGTGAGTATCAATTTGAATGTTGGAAAATTGAATATTTATATGTATGATGGATATGATTGGAAAGATACTAGGAAAGTAATCAAAGGAGTAGTCAAGAAAGTAGAAAATGATTTTGATCAAGAAGAAAGTGATAACGATGATTTAGAGATCATTCAACAAACATTATTTCAATCGATTCACGTGACATTTCCTAAAGGGATTAATCCTAATGATTTAACCAGTAATATCAATAAACAAGTTAATGAAGAGGAAATTGAAAGTCATGGATACAAAGATTTAAAATTATCCCGGTCTAATAAGTATAAAATGTTGATTGAGCTCAAATCCATCGAAATCAATGTTTCGATATTAAGTCTTCGAGATCCTATCAATGAACCTATCGATGGAGAATACGAGATCACTAATGATATTGACGTCACGGTAGATTTGGTAACCATTTATGATAATTTGGTAAATTCTACTTGGAATAAATATCTTAGTTATATGAGTAGTATGGGGGAGAAAGAAATTGGGAAAAATATGATTAAATTGAACATAACCACTTTAAGAACACCAGTTAATTTGAATTATAATGAAACTATAATGAAGATATCTATCCTACCTGTGAGATTATTCATTGATCAAGATACAAATGAGTTTATGACGAGATTCTTTCAATTTAATGATGATAGGTTCAATTTACCCAAAATAGATGAAGATATTTATATCAAGAAATTTATCATGACTAACGATTTTAAATTCAAAATTGATTACAAACCCAAAAAGATCAATTTAACAGGTTTGAAGAATGGGGAAATCAATCAATTGTTGAATTTGATCAATATCAATGGATTGTTAATCAGTTTAAACTCAATCAAGATCTATGGTATCAAAGGAATTGATCAATTGTTCATTAAATTGTTTGAACATTGGTTACCTAACATTCAAAATACTCAATTGATTAATTTGTTTAATGGGATTGAATTATTCAAACCTTTCATCAATATCAGTGAATCTTTGAAAGATTTGATTCTAGTTCCTTTAAACGATGAAAATTACTATAAAAGAGTTAACAAACAAAGCAAGAATTTGTTGAAAACCACCAGTTTCGAGTTATTGAAATTGGGTTATAGATTAACCAACGGAACTCAGAATTTGTTAGAACAAGGTGAGGAAATGTTAGGAGGTGTTGGATCGAAATCACGAAAATTGAATAACGTCGTCAGACCAGTTCAACAAGAACCACCAGAAGAAGTTGATGATCTTCTTGAAAATTCTATGAGATTGAATAAATCTGTCACAGTGGAATCTAACATCTACAATAGCAATAAGAAATATCAAGAGATTGATGATAAAGCCAAAAACTATGATAGTGATGAAGAAATTGAAGAAGAAAAATTAATCAGTCTTTATTCAAATCAACCTAAAAATTTCAAGCAAGGTATCAACTATAGTTTTAAGTCTATCAATAAGAATTATGATTTGACCAAAAATGAATTTTTGAATTTGATAGAAAAATTCAATGAACTGGATAATTATGAGGATTCCTTGAAGGTTCTATTGAAAAAATCTCCATTGTTGTTAATAAGACCGTTGATTGGAACTACGGAAGTGTTATCCAAAACGCTCATGGGGTTAAGTAACGAAATAAGTTCTGTAGATCGATTAGAGTCACATGACAAGTACAAACAATAAATGGTCGATAATGGTTATCTGAGTTATAGATAAGATAGAAGGTTTCTCTTCCATCGGGGTAGTCAAAAGATCAATAGTTTTACCGAATACCTGAAAAAGTCAAGAAATTCTCTTTGGCAAAAGGCGTGTGCGGCCGATAACAGGCGATAAGAACTCATGGAAAAACTAATTGATGTATAGGAAAAAAAACTGGTGGCAGTACCACCTACATTTAATAATGTCTTTAGCATACTTCAATATACGATACATTGATGTAAACGAAACAATTGAAAGAATCTATGAATTTAAATGCTTAGAAGACTTCTCCATTTTTTAGTGTGTGTTTCATCGATAAGCCTGATGCCGCATAAGTTTCTTTTTCCTGGACATTTTTGCCCTAATTGAAAAAAAGTGGTTGGCGTTGGTGATTTCATCAGGGGAAGCTAACTACCAGATTATAATTACAGTTTTATCAACTCTAGTGATATTAAATTCATCATTCTCTGGTAGTAAAAAAAAAATACTTCAGATATCCGGATTATCGTTTTTCAAGATTCATGCAGCCTCATCGCAGACAGTTTCCTTCGAAATTTGGAGATCCATCTGGTGATTTCTAAATAAAGAAAAAACAAGGGACTGGGGAGATGAGAGGGTTATAAGCCAAAGGAGTTCAATGACCCCATGAATATTTACATCTTGTGACACTAACTTTTCAAATAATGTTGAATTGAAAGCCTTAAACAAGCAAGGCTTTAAATATAGTCTGCCGTAAAAAAATAATAGCTTATCTGGCAAATATTTGCATAAAGGCAGTTGTTAATTGAATCTATTGTTTAACAGTAAAATTTACGTAAAACTACATATCCTTAATCGAAAATCTGGGCCAATCAAATTGAAATAATGGAAAATTGGCATTTTGGTTTTATCTCATCTCTCTGTGCGGTATCAAAATTTCTTTATCAGACCTTTTTTTTCTCTTACATAAATAATCACCATTTCCCGATTTTGGAAACTCCAGTTTTTTATTGTTCAACCAAAAAAATTTATCCATAGATTTTAAATAAATTCTTAGAATCATGGAACCTGTTAAATCAATAAAATCAAATAAATCAATCCAAGAAAATAATGGAGATGATTTAAAATCTAAAGAAAATGATTTAGAAAAACAAGTTTCCAATCAAGAATACGAAACTATTTCAACTGATGAATCTAATGGTCCAAAAAAATTTTCATGGCCATGGATTAAATCAAGAATTCCTTATTATAGACTCATTTGTCATTTAATTATTGGTTCATTTTTCACCGGTTGGTGGTTATCAATCATCATTCAAGATAAACATAGACATCAATGGTTAATTCCAACTGTTTTATGGGGGATGATTATGCTTAGATTAATCACTTTCCACTGGAAAGTTTTACATCAATTATTATATGTCGCATCAATCCCATGGAACTATTCTACTAACATTATTTACAATAAATTATTACCTCAAAGATACCAAAGATTACTTGCCGGTGCTGCTATTACCGTTGCTGTTATTTTATTAGGTACTTTTGTTCCAACTGAAACTCCTTACTCAAGAAGAGAAGACAGAGCTGTTTCACTCTTTGGTGTTATTGTAGCTATTTTTGGTTTATGGGCCACTTCCAGAACTAGATCTAAGATTAATTGGAATACCGTTATTGGTGGTATGTTAATGCAATTCATTATTGCTTTATTCGTTTTAAGAACTAAAGCTGGTTACGATATCTTTAATTTCATCAGTACCTTAGCTAGAGAATTATTGAGTTTTGCTAAAGATGGGGTTGCTTTCTTAACTTCAACTGATGTTTCTCAATTAGGTATGTTCTTCTTCAGTGTTTTACCAGCTGTTGCTTTCTTCATTGCATTCGTTCATATTTGGTTTTATTTTGGTGTTATTCAATGGGCTATTGGTAAATTTGCTTACTTCTTTTTCTGGACTTTGAGAGTCAGTGGAGCTGAAGCTATTGTTACTGCTGCTTCTCCGTTCATTGGTCAAGGTGAAAGTGCTATCTTAATTAAAGATTTATTACCTTATTTAACTAAAGCTGAAATTCATCAAGTTATGTGTGCCGGTTTTGCTACCATTTCTGGTTCAGTTTTAGTTGGTTACATTGGTTTAGGTCTTAATGCTCAAGCTTTAGTTTCTTCATGTGTTATGTCAATTCCTTGTTCTTTAGCTGTTTCTAAATTAAGATACCCAGAAACTGAAGAACCTTTAACTTCAGGTAAAATTTTCATGCCAAAAGTTGATGAAGGTGATCATGAACCTCAAAATGTTTTACAAGCTTTTGCTAATGGTGCTACTTTAGGTTTAAGAATTGCTGGTACTTTAATGATTCAATGTTTGTGTATTATTGGGATTGTGGCTTTAATTAATGGTCTTTTAACTTGGTTTGGTAACTTCTGGAACATCAACCAATTAAGTTTAGAATTAATCTTTTCTTACTTATTATATCCTGTTGGTTTCTTATTGGGTACTCCAAGAAATGAAATCTTACAAGTTTCAAGATTAATTGCCATCAAAACTACCCAAAATGAATTCGTTGCTTATAACCAATTAGTTAACATTTCTCCTTATAAAGATATGAGTGATAGAGGTACTTTAATTGCCACTTATGCTTTATGTGGATTTGCTAATTTTGGTTCAGTCGGTATTACCATTGGGGTCTTAAATGCCATTTGTCCAGGTAGAGGTAAAGATATTTCAGCTGCTATTGGTTCAGCCTTCCTTTGTGGTGCTGTCTCTACTTTAATCTCCGCTGCTATTGCTGGTATGGTTATCCATGATTTAGATGGTTTCATCACCAGACATTAAAACTCTGTATAATAGATTAATAATTAATGATTTCCTTATTATTACTCTCTATTCTTTGGTTTCAAACACTTACTGTTTACAATTCACTTCAAAGACTTTTCCCATAATCATGGCCCCTTTTCACTATCTGTTATAAGTCAGATCTTATCGAATTCGCGAAAACTCACCATCATGAATAAGGACAAATCGGTTTTACAAGGATGTTTATCAACGATATCCCATCAATCCAACTTGATGAAACAGAACTTAAATGATAACAATTTGTTGGTTGCATTGAAGAATAGTTCAAATTTTCTAAACGAATTGAGAGTCAATCAATTGTCCCCAAAACAATACTATGAGTTATATATCAGTATATTTGATTCATTGGAATACTTATGTAATCATTTGGCTGGAAGTTATAATATGAAGAAGAAGAAGAATAAAGATACTTCATTTTTATCGGATTTGTATGAATTGGTTCAATATAGTGGGAATATTGTTCCTAGATTATATATGATGATTGCAGTTGGTACCACCTTCATTTCAACTGGTGATGCACCTACCGAAGCTATTATGAAAGATATGATAGAGATGTGTAGAGGAGTACAAAACCCTATCAGAGGTCTTTTCTTAAGGTACTATTTAAGTCAAAAAATCAAAGATTTGTTACCTATCAGTAATGAACATGAATTCAACAACACCGTTGAATTCTTAATAAATAATTTCATTGAAATGAATAAGTTATGGGTTAGATTGCAACATCAAGGTCATTCATCTGAAAGAGAATTAAGATATAAGGAAAGAAAAGAATTAAAGATTTTGGTAGGTTCAAATTTAGTCAGATTATCTCAAATAATTGATGATTATAATGATGATCATTATTCATCTTCAAATTTCTACATGAAAAAGATCTTCCCCATCATAACTGAGCAAATCATTCAATGTATAGATCCCTTGGCTCAAAGTTATTTGATCGATGTCATTATTCAAATATTCCCAGTGAATTTCCATTTTAAAACATTGAATGAACTTTTGACTAAAGTTATACTTAATTTAAATCCTATGTTGAATAAATCCGAATTAATCGACACTTTAATCGATAGATTCATCAATTATAATGATGATGAAATCAATTTAAATGATTTTGAAAAACCAGAAGATTTCGAAATTTTGAAAAAATCTCTTTTTGATAATTTCTGGAAATTTTATTTATCCTTGGTTGATAAAAATTTACCTATAAAAGAACACTCAAATATTTTAGTTAATTATTTGAAATTATCAATAAATTTCGATAGAGATAATTATGAAAATTTGAATAGAATATACCAATTTTTGAGTGAATACAATTTTGACGAAAATGAAGGAGAAAATGTTGAAAACCTCCATGAAAAGGAAGAAATTTGGTTGAATTTATTGATAATTCCAATCAGAAATTTCGAATCCATCATAAATTTATTGAATTTACCATTCTTCTCCGAAATTTTCAATAAATTGACTAATAAATCTTACCAAAAGACCATTTGTTTGGAGATTTTGAACAAATTATTAGATGCTGAAGATATAATTATTACTTCAACCGATGATATCGATATTGTGTTCAAATATTTGTTGGTTTTGATCAAAGAATCCACTGAATTGAACATTTCTACCAAAATGGGTATCACCAAGAGTTTCAAAATTAATGATAACAAAACTTTAACCAATGATTTCTTAACTAATCAGAATAAAATTTGTAAGATTTTGAGTAAATTGAATCATAAATCGACTGATTTCTCCAATAAAGTAAGCGATTTGATCTATATTAAGAAGAAATATTTAAGTAAGAATATTTCCAGCATAATTTTAACTTATCCAACATTGATTCAATTGATTTTGAACAATCTCAGATTCTTAGGAATGATAAGAAAATCTGATATCAAAGTAGTTAATCAGTTCAAGGGTTTATCTATGATCCTTGATGAATTGTACGAATACCATGGAGATTATTATTCAGATTTGATTGTTAGCTTGTATTTGAATTTAGCTATAGTTTGTGATTCATTGAATTTATCAACTTTAACTTTTGAAATCTTCAACAAGATTTTCATTATCTTTGAAGAAAAATTGATCCTTGGTCAAGGGAGTCCTTCAAATTTGTTGAATATTAATAATGATCCTCATAATTCTTTGAACTACAACTCTATCCAATACCAAACTATCGTCACAGTTGTAAATAAGTTGTATTTTGTTAGAAATTTGAGTAAAGATGATTATCAGTCATTGATAACTAAGGTGACCTTATATGGATCAAAGTTGTTGAAAAAGCAAGATCAATGTAGGGGAGTATTTAATTGTAGTCATTTGTTCTGGTGGACAGAACCTTCACCTTATCAAGTAGAGGACAGTGAAGAAAAGGATGAAGAAGAATCCAAAGAAACAAAAGAAACTGAAGAAACAAAAGAAACTGAAGAGACCAAAGAAACTGAAGATCATGAAGAACCTGAAGAAATAGTCGAACCCAAAGAAAAATATTTGTTCAAAGATGATAAAAGAGTATTAGAATGTCTTCAAAAATCTTTGAGAACTGCTGATTCATGTATCGATCCTTACTTATCCAATCAACTTTTCATCGAAATCTTGAACAAATGTTTGGTATTTGAAATTTACGGAAATGAAATGATCACTGCTAATTACATAAACAGATTGATCGAACTTATAAAAACTAATTTAGACAACTTGGTTGATACTAATAATTTGAAAGATAACGATGATAAAGAATTCAAACTTTATGTTGAAATCAAATCTTTCTTCAATCGTACTTTAACTTTCATTGAACAACAAAAAGAAGATGAAGAAAGATTCTTAGATATTGAAACTTAATAGTAAATGCATAATCCCTAAGGTAATCTCCTATCGCTATTTTTGACATCCTTTCGCAGAAACCTTCCTATCTTGTCATTTGCGAAAACTTATCACTATGACTAGAATTTCAAAGGAACATAGTCTTTTTAACACCATTAGATATGGTGAACCAAGACATATTCCTGATACTTCTGAAGTCAATGAGAAATCTTTCACCGATGATGATCAAAAATATCCAATTACACATGAAGTATATCCTGATGAAAAATCAATCCTTGAAGGACCAAGATACGGCAAATCCAAGTTTAGAAGATTCTTAACAATGGCCATGACTTTTGGGATGCTTGTGAGTTTGTTTGTGTTCCATCATACTAATTCCATCCCTAAGTCTTTTGTTTCGTCCCACAATTCAAACCCCCTTCCATTGTCTCAGCATTTAAGACATCTTGCTGATAACGGATATTCAGTAAGTAAAGGTGGTGATAGAGAGATTTTTGAAGTCAGATATCCAGAATTTGCTTCTCCTAGCTATGGTGAATCATTGACTTCTCAAACTTTACTTAATCATTATTTTGGTGATAGTTGGGGTAAACCGGCAATTGTTGATTATTCTCCTCCAGATATCAAATTTAACAAGGTGGTGTTGACTTTGAACACCACTTCTAATGGTGTACAATATGATAGATTAGCTCATTTCTTTTTCGATGGTGTTCCCATCTGGAGAACTTCCACTATGGAACCTGGTGGTCATAAAGTTCACTCATCATTTTCTAAAGATGTAAGTGATTATACTTCATTATTTCAATCTGAAGGAGAATTGATGTTCAAATTGGATAATCTCATGAACTCCAGATTAACCGGAGGATTCAATGTCACTTTAACTGCTGATTATTATTATGATAAAACAGTTGAAAGAAGATTCGGTGGAAATTCCTTATCTGGAATTTTGACTGATAGATCTGTTCCAAAAGTATTTCCTTTGGGTGTAGGGAATGATGATTCACTTCATTATTTACCATTACAAGATTTCAAAGTCAAATTACCTACATTAAGTTCTAATACTACTAGATTGAAATTATCAATCTTCACATCAGGTAATGCTGAGGAAGAATTTTGGTACAGCAATGTTTTGAATGCTAATGTTAATAAATTCAAAGGAAACGGTATTGATTTATTTGGCCATGGACCTATCAGAACCGTATCAGTGAAATATAATGATCAAGTAATTGCAAATGCTATTCCTGAACCAGTAATTTTCACTGGTGGTTTATCACCTGCTTTATGGTCCCCTATGGTTTCCACTTCAGCTTTTGATCTTAAGGCCATTGAAATCGATTTAACTGCTTTAATCCCAAGTATTGAGTCTTCTGATCATTTAGAAATATCTATTGGTAATGGGGGTATTGAGGATGGTTTAATTGGATCTAATTGGATCACTGCTGCTAATTTGTTAGTATGGGAAAACTCAATCATCAAATCTTCTGAAAGTTCAAGTGTTAAATATGGCTTCAAAGATGATAATTCTATCATCAACTTTGGTTGGGATGGATTAAAGCAAATCGTAACTTATGAATCTAAAGCCAGGTTAGCTTCAAATATCACCTATGAATTAGTTAATGGAACTTCATATGAGGTATCTGTTAGCTTAGATACTTTGGGTACCATTTCTAATATTCAAACATATTCCAAAGACGGTACCCATCAAGTATTAGCTCATAATTCAGGTTTTGATAAACATTTTAAAATTGTTGATATTGAAGGAACCACAGTTGTTGATTTCGATAACAAGTTCAAATATCCTTTATTACTTGATATGAACTTATCAGAAATAGCTGATGATATAAGTTATGACATTAAGGTTGTCAATGGTTTGACAGTTCAAGTAGACACTCCTTCTTATAGAGTATTAAAACTCGAAGACGTTCAAAATGGGACTTCTGTTTTCACTATTTCTCCTTCAGGAAACCATGGAAGTGGTAAAAATGAGGTGAGATACAAATTAGATAATGATAGAGCTGATATTCATTATTATAGACACGTTAAAGTTGACAATGATGAGGGAATCGATTACGATTTCGAAAGTTTTGATGGTGAGAAGGATTAACCGAAGCCTGCCCATTCAATGGAAAATATGCTATGAATATTATGGCTGATTGAATCTCCTGACTCTGTATTCTTTGATTCTGTATTCTTTGACTCTGTATTCTTTGATTCTGTATTCTTTGATTCTGTATCCTTTAATTCTGTATCCTTTAATTCTGTATCCTTTAATTCTGTATCCCTTGATTCTGTTTCTCCTATACTAGTGCCCTCTATTTCAATATCCTTTATCTCCTTATGCAAATCTTCATCTTCAATGCCTTCGAAGTCCCCAATAACAAATAGTTTCTTCACCCCTGTGGCCAATCTACCACTCACTACTAAATCAAGATAATTCACCTCACTTATAGGCTCTACTATTAAATGACTATGAAATAAAATTGGATCTCCAGGGTATGCCACAAAAGTCCCACCAAATTTCAATCCTGGTAGTATCCAATATCCTTTAGATTTAAGATATTTGAACACTTTGTAGGAACTTTCGTTCACTTGACATCTGAATTTATCAACAGAAATTTCTTCATTACTCAATTGATCTTGAGTATAACCATACTTTACATGATAAAACGATCCTCCCTTATTGGTGTTGATCATCTTATGTCTATCGGGGGACATTATTTGTGGTACCGGTAATTTAGTACCATCAATCAATTTTCCTAACCCCAAATCAACTAACCATAAAATCTCATAAACTGTTAAAATCAAAGGTAAACCTAAAAGATTATTCTGTTGAGGAGCTGAGGCTAATGTTCCTGATAATTCTCCCAATATCCCGTGAGTTCTTAATTCCTTCACTACTTCCACGTCAAATATCAACACATCATTATCTACCACAGGTAGTAAAATCATTTAAAGAAAAACGTCGCGATGGCTGCAATTTTAAGAGAAAGGGTACTATTACAATTTATATTGTTACATATCAATCAATTAAGCTAGAAACCGATATTTTAGTTTCCTTTCCATCTTCCGCTGTTAAAACATTGGATAAATTAGATTTGAAAGAATTGGTTGGAGAAGTAGTACCTGTACTACTTTTTTGAGTGGTGGATAAATTTGGTGATAATCCTGGAGATGATTGATTTTGAGTACCGGGATTTGAAATAGTTCTTTTCATTGGATGAGGTAAATTAGGATTCAAAGAACTATTTGAGTTTTGATGATTTAATGGATGAGTTGAATTAATTGGAGTTAAAGGGTTCAAATTATTAGTATTGACATTAGTTGATGAATTATTTAATTGTAATGGTGGAATGGCATTATAAGGTTTGGTGGTTGACATATTTCTTTTATGATTAGCTAAAGGATTAGGAAAGAAATCAGGATTAATTGATGATCTTCTTGAATTTGATGATGAATTATTATTAGAATAAATTCCTGTAATACCATTAACATTATTATAACTTTGATTCAAAGTATTTGAAAGACCGAAATCAAATGTTGTAGAGATACTATTGTTTCTGGAATTAGCATTTGAATGAGGAAGAAACAATGGACTTTGATTACTTGCGGTGGATGTAGTGGCCGATAAATTAGTTAAATTTGGATGAGATCCATTATTGATGGGATTATAAAGTCCATTATGATTAGATTGTAAATTAGTATTAGTAATGGAATGTCTTCTGAATGATGAATCTTCGAATAATCTTCTTTTATTCGCCAAAGGTAATAATTGATTGGAGAAATCAAAACTTGAAGACCTGGATGTTGGATTAGTGGGATTGTTTTCATTTTTGGTTGGACTATCAGAATCATTGGGAGGATTAGGATTCTCTTCCTTATTGAACATTGACGTATTGAATGCAATTTTAGAAGCTGGTTGACTTGGGGGAGGAAATTGATTAGGAACTTGACCAATTTGAGTGGCTGATGTTAAATTCATTTGTCCTGGAATATGTCCAGGCATTGGTCCTGGCATTGGTCCTGGCATTGGTCCTGGCATTTGTCCCGGTATTTGACCTGGCCCTGCAAGGGGCATAATTTGATTCGTATGAGGTAAGTGACTTTGTGATCCTGTCATAGCCGGAGGTAAAAGATTAGTTTGATATGGAACCTGTCCATAATATGAAGGATTTTGAACCTTAACTTCTAAAGGTTTAGGGTCATCAAAATTCCCAATTATTGAATTAGATCTCGATTGTGACTGTTGTGGTGATAGTTGATTGGATGGTTGAATGATTCTATCAGTCTGTAAACTTTGTCTTCTTCTTTTGGAAGCACCTCCATTCCACCAATTTTTAATGGCATTATCAGATCTACCATTTAAATGTCTTGAAATTTCCGCCCATTTTTTACCGTATTTAAGAACTAATGATTCAATCAATTCTCCTTCTTCTTGACTTATAGGAGTTCTATTCAATGAAGGTTTTAAATTTTGATGATATCGTTCTCTACATTGTTTAGGTGTTCTTGTAACTAAATTATTTGAAATTCTAACCCAATTCGTCGGTCCAAAAATTGATATTAATTCCATCAATTTTTGATCCTCTTCTGGTGACCAAGGACCTCTTCTTGAAATATTAGAATTCCCACTCATTGTTAATTAGTCACTATAATTCCTCAAATTTAATGGTACCAAATATTCAATGATTATTGCCTAAGTTAAAACTGGTAATTAATCTCGATATATTGGATCACGGTTAAATTTGTCAATATTCCAATAGAAATACTGGGAATTGTATGATTAATGAATATTTTAAAGTTTTCTTAAAGAAACTAAATTCTTTGAAATTGTTGAAGGGAGTGTTTTGGAAATGGAGATTTTTTGAGAAAGTGACACTATTAATGAAATTCAACTTTTACCGGGATATAGAAAATAGGGATTTAATGGGGGTTTAGAGTGGGGGAATCATTAGTTTGAAGATGGTAGGTCAAATTGTTTGGATGAAAATAGTTTATGAATTTGCGGTGGTTGTTGTTAACAGATTATATTTCCGATAAGATTACCGATGGTGATATCGATTTCTCAACTCAACAGTGAAGATAAAGGTTCGAAACGGGTGCCTGGAATGTAAAGCGCAAAAAAACGGGGGATTTGGGAAATTTTAGGAGAAACAAAGAGTACACGGTATATTGAACACTGGTGGAGGCAAAGAGGTGGTACTTGAAATAGTTGTACTTAAAATAGTAGTGTCATGTTTATTCATTATTGACGTTATGTCAAATTATATGCATTATTTTTCAAATTAGGGGTTAAGGGTAATTGGGCATTGTCTGATTTTATAATCCAGGAGAAAATGTGTGTGGGGTCTTCGATGATGACTGGTAATATTAGGTGATATTGTATGATATTAGGTGATATATCAGTTGTGGTACGGAACAATATACTGCCGATATATTAGCCACTTGCTATCGAGCCGCTGGAACTCTTGACATCTCTGCCTCTTCATTCTATGTCTTTCCATATATATCTGCTTGACCTTAATACTCTCTCAAATACTTATCCTAATCCTCTAGGAACTCCTCCAAATCTTCAGGTTCAAATATTACTTTTACCATCAAACTACAACTTGGACATACAGCGATATCTTCACCATCAACCAAGTCATCCAAAGTTATGGCAAACCTATCCCCACATGGACATGGATGTTGGAATATCTTTAATTCTGGATCAAAGGTGAAATCTTCAATCTCTATTTCATCATAAATATCCATTCTTAACTATGTTTTTAGATGATCTGAAGTTTCTTTATCTCATCTTGGATGTCGGTGCGAGTTTTAATCTCAGAGACATTATACGACAACGTCCATCATCCGCGTGACTTCAAACCCACCATCGCTTAAAAACGGTGCAGTGCGGCAACGTTTAATGCGAAAAACAAAAATAATATTAGGGCTCCATCCCTAAGCCAGTCACTCTCATTCAACGCATTTGTCGTGTGCTTGACAGTTTGAAGGTTTTAATTTTTCAAATCCTACCCTCAGTGAGAAGATTTGAAAATTTTTAATTTTATTAAAAGACTCTTTAATATTTAAAAACATTTAATATGGGTATTTCAAGAGATTCACGTCATAAACGTGCTGCCACTGGTGCTAAAAGAGCTCAATTCAGAAAGAAGAGAAAGTTTGAATTAGGAAGACAAGCATCATCAACCAGATTAGGTCCAAAAAGAATCCACTCAGTTAGAACTAGAGGTGGTAACCAAAAATTTAGAGCTATTAGAATTGAAGGTGGTAACTTCTCATGGGCTTCAGAAGGTGTCTCAAGAAAAACCAGAATCGCTAGAGTTGTCTATCATCCATCAAATAATGAATTAGTTAGAACTAACACTTTAACTAAAGCTGCTATTGTTCAAGTTGATGCTACTCCATTCAGACAATGGTACGAAAACCATTACGGTCAAACTTTAGGTAAAAAATCTAAAGATGAAGAAAAAGTTTCAAAATCAAGAAAAGTTGAAAGAAAATTAGCTTCAAGAGCTTCAAGTGCTAATGTTGAAACCGGTGTTGATTCCCAATTCGGTAGTGGTAGATTATTAGCTGCTATTTCTTCAAGACCAGGTCAATCTGGTAGATGTGATGGTTACATTTTAGAAGGTGAAGAATTAGCTTTCTACCAAAGAAGAATGACTGCCAAAAAATAAATTTCATAAATAGTTCATAATATATTGTACAAGTACAGTTACCAGTCTCTCGTGTTCTCAAAGACTCTAGTACTTTGAAGCTGTCAAAAGATATTAAGAAATGTTCTAAGATGTTCAGAAAACATGTTCATGAAAGATTTGATTCGGGATGGACGTCTTCGATGTGGGAATCTCCGATCTACATGAAACTACACAGTGATTCACTTGGTGGACCATTGCATAAATCTCTTTATAGACCTATGTATATATCTGTGTCATGGACGAAACATGAACTTATGTAATTCGGTGCTTCCCAGTCGTCAAAGTCGTTCGTTGAACGTGACTATCAGTAACACCAAAGAGTTAGAGATCTCGAAGAATTGCTTGTCTAAATTGATTGTGTAAAACCTAGAATGTTAGTATGATATTCAGAAATAGGCAATATTGTTATCCACAGTGTAGTTCGGTACAGGTCTGTGTAATATTTCTTTCATCCTTTTACATACACTTGATTGAAATGTTGTGATGAGGAAAATTTTTCGTGGTGCTGCAAAATTAATACTGATTCTTCAAAGCAGGGTAACCGTCAACATAATCAGAATTTAGAATGGGTGATGAGCTTTGAAATTACACCAAGAGTCTTGATTGTTGAGCTTACTATATTAGCATCAGCAATTCCACTAATTTGTTATTTGTGTTTCTAAATAATTTTATTTCTGTTTTTTGCAACTTTCACATTTCAGACATAAATCAGGAACTAAAGTACGATAAATAACCAAAATTCAAAACCTAGAAAAGTTTCTTCTACAAGGTTATTGTTAGGGAATCGCGCAAATCAAGCATATCCCATTTGCTAAGGTCATGTTATTTGTCTTTGAAAACCACGATGGGTAGCGTACAGTTTGACAGATTTCGTTGTAACACGAGCAGGAGAAGATTTATTTCCTATTTTATGTAATGAAAAAGGTCCAGGAACTACCTGTGCAAATGCAATCCTCCGTAGTTGAGACATAACCTCCTTAATTAAGCTAACCGAAACAAAATGTCTCCCTTAACAGTAGGGTTACTGATGTGATAGATATCAAAGGCGTGTACGTGGCTAAAAATATTCGACATTATTTTAGAGCGACGTTTGTGGTACGTAAAAGGTCCCTTGGCCCAGTTGGTTAAGGCGCGGTGCTAATAACGCCGAGATCAGCAGTTCGATCCTGCTAGGGACCATTTACACAACACACAGGGCGTGTGGCGTAGTTGGTAGCGCGTTCCCTTAGCATGGGAAAGGTCTCCGGTTCGACTCCGGACTCGTCCATTTTTTACTTTTTTGCCATTTATTCACCACTTTAGGTCTAAAAGTGGGTATGAGGAACATAATCCTGTTAATTGGAAAGGAATTGAACTAATTTTGATGGAGATACAGGCACGGGCAATTTTCAAAAGTTGGCTGCGAAATAAATCCACAAATACTTTTTTGAAATTTCCACAAAAGTAGCCATGACTCCAGATAAAATGGTTATTTCAGGTACTTTCATGTACCCAATTTATGTATGGGAAACCAATATTCACTGTCTAGGAGCTTACTAACATTGGAAGGGTTTAGTTTATTTCTTAAGTTATTCAGAATTGATTCCCATGTATTTGACTATAATGATTCCCCAATTATTGATCCTACTTTGCACATATGTTTTCGTTATGATATTCTTCTTCCCAATTATTGGGTTCGTTAGTGTGTTACTCCATGGTCCAATGGCAATTGCATCGATATGGTTTGTTATTACACAAGTAAGTATTCTGATTTCTAACGTTATAGTATTGAAATTGTTAATGCCAGATATCGAAAAGATCTGTTTTGATGCTGTTCTATCTAAAGAGTTTCATGACAATATTGTAGTTATGGGAAAGTTGAATAGGATCAAAAAATCACCATTCATTATTAAATTTAGGAATTACATTTGGTCTTTGCCTAGTAACTTAATCTTACCATTCTTAATACTTCGAGGAATTCTTGTATTCATGGCTAGTTTCATACCCATAATAGGTCCTTTATTAGTGGTTTACATTAAAGCTCCAACTAGAGCTTTGCAAAGTCACCAAAGATATTTTGCTTATAAGAGCTTTGATGATAAAGACATCAAAAATTTTTATAAGCTGAGAAAGAGTGAGTACGTAGCTTTTGGTCTAATGGCCAATTTATTAGGGTCTATACCATTTCTAAATTTACTATTCATGTTTACCAATACTATAGGGGCTGCATTGTGGGTGGTTAATATCGAGTTACAATCACAAGTTCAGGCTAATAGTAACGATTCTGAGAGTGCAAAATCAGTGGCTGCAAAAAATGAGACAAAAAATGACACAAAAATTGAGCCAGTTGCAACATCTAATCAATAAAGATAAATACCATCAACACATCCAAAACCAGCTGCAACTCCACCCTCATTACTGGTGGCCAATTTTGATCTTAAGAGCCAGCCTGAATATTCATTATATTTGATATCGCCATTTGTCTCGTCAAATACTATGGATCCAAAAATCCCCAATTCACTGATAATATCATTATTGAAAATATCATTATTCCTGATGATAGTGTTCTTATGAACTGGGGGATTTATCAATTCCATAAGAATATATGCTTCCCAGTTCTTTTCATCTAATGTCTTTAAAAATCCTGGAATATCTTCCTTATAGATATTATTACCTCCACCTTCTCTTTGGGGTTTCAATACAAAATTCTCGGGTTGTTCGAAAGCCAATTTTTTAGCTATTTGGCCTTCAGGTGAATCGTCCATTGGATAAATCTTCACAAAAGTCTTACTGATCTCTTCAACAGTTTCTTGGTCCATGTATTTTGATAGATTTGACTTTTCAGTTAAAATTTGTTGAATCTTTTTGGTTCCTGATAATTGGGTAATTATAGAAGGACATTTAATAGCCTTGTTGTTTTCCAATTGGAATCTAGCATCCCAACAATTCTCATTTGGATAATCTCCTGGTCCATATCCTGATCTATAATAAACTACTGACACTTCATCCATGGTTTTCTTGATATACAATTTATCACCGTTGATGGTAGTGTTTTCTATGATTTCTTCTAATGTTAGTCTATAACTTTTCAATTTGTGAGTCTTTAATAATTCATATTCTATATGTCTTTGATCAAAACTATTTCTTTCATTTGGTTGAACGATAAACAAAATTACAGTTTTGGCATTATCACTTTCATCATTGTAATAGTAATTCCCTTTGCTTATTCCTTCAGCTATCTTCTTGATGGACGAAGATACTGGAATTTCTTCAGTATCGTAATACTGATAGGAATAATCATTATCATAACTACCGGAATCATTTAAATATGTATGTAATTCATTGATTTTGGGCGATAAACCCCCAAATGAAACACTAACAGTGTTGAATTCTATTTGTTTGATATCTTTACCATCATGTAACATATAATCAGATCTAAAAATCCCCAAACTTAATGATTGGAAGTTACCTTGTTCATTGACTTTATTGTATATTTCGAACAATTTACCAGTAAATTCCGGATCAAATTGTGACAATTGCTTGATTTCATCTATTAACCATTTCTTATCGCCTACAATCTTAGAATATAATTCATTGTAAGTCTTTTGAATCAGTTGAGCTTGTTCAAAGGCAGTCTTCGGAATTGGTGTTGGGAACAATGTAATTGGGGCATTGGATACATTGAAAGTTTGGAAATCTGGGGGATACATCACTAAACCGTTAGCTAAACTCCATTGTTGGGCTTTGACCTTGAGATCCTCGAGGTTTTCTGGTGATAGTTGAGGGAATGATTTCATTACTAATGGCTTATCGTTATCGATTTCGCACCATCTACCTCTATTATCGCCACATGAACGATTCCGTCATCAGTCATGACCAGATCCACCCATAAATATTCTTGAGTGATAGGCCCAAGTAAATCCCTTCAAACAGACAAATCTAGAGTTTAGAAGGATCGAATAACTAACTTCACCAAAGATGCATTTAGTCACGTGACGCGTGACTGCTTTTTTTCCGTGAGAATTTAACTAAAAGTGAGAAATCTGAAAAATTTCATCAAGTACTATAAGAAATGAAATACTTAGCTGCTTATTTATTATTAGTTAACGCTGGTAACGCTACCCCATCAGCTGCCGATATCAAAACTGTTTTATCATCAGTTTCAATCGATGTTGAAGATGAAAAAATCGAAAAATTATTAGCTGAAGTTGAAGGTAAAAATGTTGAAGAATTAATCGCTGAAGGTACTGAAAAATTATCATCAGTTCCAACTGGTGGTGCTGCTCCAGCTGCCGGTGCCGCTGCTGGTGGTGCTGCTGCTGAAGAAGCTGCTGAAGAAAAAGCTGAATCAGAAGCTGAAGAATCAGATGATGATATGGGTTTCGGTTTATTCGATTAGATTAACTCATCATTATATTAACGTTTAAACTCCACATGTGTATAATATTCTAATACATACAAAGAAAAATCACGAGGTTTACTATGTTCTGTTCATTTATATTTATAATTCATCATCTACAAAATGTTTTCTTAAAGCATTAGGATTACCAAATACTTTATGTCTAGTCTCTAATAATTTATCATCGAATTCTTGATTTCCTGAATAAAGGTTATCATGTTTCTTCAAACCTTGTTGTCTTAAACCAACTTCTTCATCTAACCAGGCTACAAATTCCTTTTGAGGTTTTAAATCTGCTTGTTTGTGTAATTCAAGTAATTTATCGTAATATAATTGGAATTGAGTTTCATCAGTAAAGTCATTCTTGATGAATTTGTTTTGTAAATAAGTGGAAATTTCGTTATCATTATCATTTGCTTCGTTATCAACTAATTTTAGATCTTTGAAGATATTTACCAATCTTGTTTGAGAAGATGATGACAATGTAGGATATACATTGATCAATTGATCCAATAATTGTGATAAGTAGGTATATTTGAAGCTAGCATTATCCACCAAGACATTAAAGATACCTAAAATTCTATTCTTGATGATTTCAGGGTCATTTTGAAGTTCTTTGATGAAGATTGAAATTTGAGTCTTTCCATTTTCAAGGAAATTATCTAAAGCTGTAGGGTTATTTCTGATAGATGCTCCAATCATTCTGTATATCTTTTCTTTAGTATCGACGTCAACTTCAGAAGTGAGTTCAAATAATGCATTAAGTAAAGATTTATCATCAGTGATTTTGATCCCATATTCGATATCATGACTTAAGTCCATCAAACTATCCAAGGATCCATCTAATTCGTCAACATTATATTTCTTAATGTCTTCAACTGAGCTTTGGAAATCCTTGAAATCATTAGAATTGGTATTTATCTTAGATCTATGTTTAGCCTTATATTCGCCAATTGCTGATTTGATTGATTCTTCCATGGTTTTATCGACAGTTTCTGGTTGATTGTCTACAATTACGAGGTCGTTGGAACTGACTTCACTGGATTCTTCTTCCTCCAATAACTTGGCTTCTCTTTTTAAAGTATCTATATTTAGTCTGACGTGTAAACCTCCAGGAATATCTTGACCTTCTTTGATTTCCTGCCACTCTCTTGTTGGGATAAAAACTTTAGGATAACAATCAGTAGGATATGAAGGATTACAGATCAATTCACTTGCTAAAATACTTCCTAAAAGATATAATAAAGCTATTTTCATTTGCCACCTAACAGTTACAAATATATTGATTTCGCACTCTATGATGTCGCATAAAATCAACATAAACGGTATGAACTATCAGAGACTGAATAATTATCGGCCATACCCACCATCGACCAATCAACCTAAGACCAATGGGTATGGACAACCTACAGCTCAATCATCACCAAATTCCAGTATGGGGTCTCCATACAATGCTAGACCTCCATATCCTATGGGATCACCGAATTTACCACAACAAAGACAATTTACACCCCAAACAATGGCTTCAAGAGATTCATTGAATGATAGAACTATGATAGCTCAAAAAATCAAAGATGACTGTTATAGTAAGTTCATCAAGGATAATGGGCAAAATGTTCGAGAGATCACATACTTAACTCATTTAGTGATCCAAGAATACTCACAATTTTCATCTTCTCCACCACCCAACAACTTACCTCCCAATCAAATGGGCAGTGTTAAAGAACGTATATTGGTAATATGTACCAAGTTTAGTGGGCGAGTGTTGTTACAAAAGGGGAAATTCAATGATCAAAAAGGAGTTTATCAAATCGGAAGAACTTGGGATTTAGATGAATTACGTGCAATTTCAAGAGCTGGAATGGATGGTTTCATTCTTAGTCTCAATAAAGATTATTTCTGGAGATCCAATGAAGGTTCAGAAAGGATCAATCGATTCACGAGACATTTGACTAAGACTTATGGATCGTTTACAGGTAAATATCCTTTATTGAATGGATTTTCTTTACAGGAATACGAACTACCCGAAATTCCTGTGAAAAAATCATTCAGTAATACTAATGCTTCACAAGAGATTTTAAACCCCCAACCAGATGCACAATTATTGAAATCTAAATCTATAAAACGAAAGAATTTACCTAATCCCATATTACCTGTTGAACCTCAAATGAGGAAAACTTCCCAGTCTTCATTTACTTTCACACCTAATCCTGTTCCTGCTCCACCTGTTAATACGACTAACCCATCAACTCCTAGCAAACCAAATGATTTATATAAAGATATGGATTTCACATCGAATGGGAAATTACCGATGAAACCCATGAAAGTATTGGATAGATCACCTAATATGTCACAAATATCTCAATCAACTTTTGATGACATTTCCAGTAAAGATGCATTTGAAAGTTCCACACCTCCACCAGTGACTCCTACAAGTCATCCTTATAGACAAACCGAAGAAATCAATGATTCTCAAAGTTTCATATTTGATGAACCAGCACCAGTACCTCAACCTCCTCAACCTAACCAAACAAGGAAAGTGTCTGATCGTCTTGAAGAGAACGCCGCTTTAAGTCGTCATTTGGAAAAGAGACTAAGCAAACCTAATAGTGATTTCGGTATTGAAGAAGCTTCTGATAGTGATGAAGATAAGAAGACTATAAATGAATCCATTGATGAAGTTAGTGAACTTAGCAATGTTCAAGTTAAGAAGTCACCAACTAGACAAAGAATCAATTTTGATGCCATTGATTCTTCAATTGCCGAAATTGAAGATTTTATGGATAGTCAATTGAACTTCGATAAAGGAGATGAAGATAAGGAAGTCATTGTGATAGAGTCTGAAGAATCAGACCGAAGTTTCTCCATGACGGAATCAGAAATTACTAGTGAAAATACCGAAATCAATGAAACTGAAGATTTAAATATTCAAAAGAACGAAGTAGAAAAAGATGCTGAGATTGAAGAACTTTTGGAAGAAATTCAATGGGGTGTTTTTGATAGCAGTGATGAACTCGTTAAGAAGATGAATAACGAATTGAATAAGATCAAATATAATAATGTTAAGGAATTGATTAATTTAGATTTTAGTGGAAATTCCATGAAAAATGATCTTACGACCTCATTAGGTGAAGTTGAAAATTTAAACCATATTTTTAAAAGAATGGAAATCGATTTAAAGAATTTGACCGGAGAGATTAACTCCATTGAAAACAACTCTCAAGGGTTACAAGTAAAGTCCATTAATAAGAAATCATTATTCAATGATTTGAAATCGATTTTAGATAAAATTAGTTTGAATGCCAATGATTTATCGCTAATTGAAAATTTCAAAGAATTTGAAAATATCAACAAAGTAGAAATCTTAGAAGTTCAAGTAGCTAAATTATTCAATGCTTTGGAAACCATCGATAATGATGGATTAAACAGATTGAATGAGATGAATTCTTTAAAACAATTCAGACTGAACTACCAACAAGTATCTAACAAGTTCATCAAACATTTCATGAGTTTCATTAAACAACAATTCTCCTCAATTATCCATAAATTATCAGATTCAGATAGAATTAATAGTAAAACTATCATCAATGAATTGAATAAATTGATAGTATATTCATCATTCACCTATTTCATAAAAGAAATCAGTGGAAATGATTTTAATGAATTGAAATTCTTTGTAAATGATGTGTTGAGTGAATTTATGGAAAAGTTCTTGCAAAGAAGAATCAAAAACATTAAATATACCACCCCGACTATTTCTAATGTTAACACTGAAGGATTAAAGAAATCCCGTACTTTAAGATTAAGAAAGGATAAATTAATAGGCAAATTGGGATTCGATGATTCTAGGGAAAGATCTGAAAAATCTGAAAAACCCGAATCAACTGATGATAGTAAATTAACTTTTGTTACCTCCAACACTATTGAAGATATCAAAGTTATCATTGAATTGGTTTCTGAAACCAAAGAACTTTCAGTTATACTTACTAATTTCCTTGGAGATTTCTTCCATTATGATTCTGGTGATTTCCATGATTATTTAAATAACAAACCAATTGAGAAGAGATTTTTGAATGAAGAAACTAATCATTATTCCAATGAAATCATTTCCAACTTAAACACTGTATTCGGTAATTATATCAACTTGTTCATAAAGAAAATTGTACCTGTAGAATACAATATTCCTTTAATTCTTGATTATTTGGAAAAATTGACTACTTTAAATAATCAAGAATTCTTTGTGATGAATTTCTTGAAGAAATTAATGGAAAAGTTCAAAAATCTTTGGTCGAAATTCATTAAGAATTTGATTGATGCCATAAACAAATCTGTTATTCATGGTAAGAGTGGTATCTTACCTTCCATTAAGAATATCAATCAATTATTCCATCTTTTGGAAAGTGTCTTGGATAAGAATCATCTCGAAAATGAAAGTGTTAATTCACTTTTAAATAAATCATATAAGGACATCATTGATAGTTGTATCAATTTGTTCACCCGAGATGATCCTTTATTAAAGAATAATGAATTTGATGAAAAGGAAAGAAATTATAGAAATATCTCCATTTTACAAAACATTTTCAGCATTTCCGAACAATTATCCATTTATAATAATCCTCGTACCAGTAGATTCAAATCACAAATCGAAGTGGTCTTTAGACAAGTTCAAGAAGTGTATTTCGGTAGATTGTTGAGTCAAAATCTTGGTAAATTGGTGGATATGATTTCTACTTATGAGACATTATCTGAAACTGTCAGAGCAAAGAAATATAGTAAAAAAGTCATCAGAACATCATTGTCCAATTATTCCGTTAAGGATTTGAATCCTAGAGTTGTACAAATTCGTAAGAAATTAGAGAAACATTTCCTTTCCGGTTCTAGTATGTTTGAAAGAGACTTATTGGATAGATTGTGGTACGATATGGAAAAACAATTTGTGAAAATTTTCAGTGATTTAGATAAAATCCTTGATACTCATCATGATATTGATTATCATGTTTCTAAACAAGAAATTCATTCGATCTTTAGATCAGCTACTTAAATATATACACCGAGATTTTCGGTTTTGGTCGCAATTTTTTTTTATCTAATAGTAATTCGATCTAGTACTTTTACTGGCAAGGATATTAAACACTCGAGGTATAAAATCCGGAACATCACTCACGGGAATCTTAGATCCTAATGGCCATTTATTATCTTTGTGAATGTCTTGATAATTTGTCACAGTATCGAACACAATATTATCATTTTCTTTAGTGAATTTGAGATGTAACTGGACCAATTGATCAAATACATAGGTAATATCTTTCAAAACAATTCCTGACTTGTCTGTAAATGAGGAGCTGTTCAAATTCAACGATGTTATGGATTGGAGATTCTTTATGTAGCTTTCATTCTTCTTAGTTGAAAATTTTGACTTCAATTTTGTTACTATGGGAGATTTCTTGGGGTTCAATTCCCCCATTCTTTTACTCTGTAGATTGAGTAACGAATAATTCACTAATCCAATAGCTTGTCCTAACTTATTTTGTTGGTATAATTCAATTGATAAAAACAATCCAGCATAAGCATTGGCATATCTTTCAATCAATGTAAGATACTCCAACCAGTCTTGAGAATTTAAACTTAAGGTGAAGCCCAGATTTTCTTGAACATCACCGATTAATGATTTAACAGTCTTCAATTCATCAACTACATAAATTGCAACTCTACAAAGAGTACCATTATTATTAGACTTGAACAGTTCTGTCTCATTGAAACTGTTCCTATTAATCCAAGAAAATTTGGACAACGTAGACATTTGAATATTTATATGACCAATCTTTTCAATAAGAATGAAAAGGCTTCCGGGTAAGTGGTTGTTTTCTGAATTCAAGGAGTTAATTTTGATACCATATTGTATAAATGAGATACTTTTCTTGTAAAACGTCACTACTTGTTTCCACTTCTCATTGATTTCTTCCGATGAAAGACTGTCTGGTTCTAATTCAATCAACTCGTTAACCAACTCAGCTCCTAATCGTATATATATCAAAGATGTCGCTATAATAGACACTTCGATCTCATTGAATAGGGTCCATGGTTGCTTCTTATTCAAAAACTTCAATTTCTTGTCATCTTTGAATACCACATCTTTCCATGGCAGGTAATCTTCTGTAAGAAGTTTATGTTCATTTGCAAATGTCATCATGAAAGGCAATTCCCTGGAATTAGCTTTGGAACTAGTGAACTGAAATAATTCCTCTACATACTCTTCAGCATTGATTACGTACCTGACGAGATCATTATAAGTTTCTGCTGCTGATGAAGATAACGCTGTCCTTGTAGAAATAGCCTGGGGTGATAATGAATCAGCATTGGCTTGAAGAATGGTGGGAATTGGAGGTGTATGGGGTAAGATAATCATGGTTTAAACTGTGCGAGGGTGCCAAGGTTGATTTTGGGTGGAGTATCACGTGATCTACACTGAAACAAAAAGAATTTTATGGGTGCTACAGCACCAGGAACACTAGAAAAAAGCTCACTAGGACTGGGAGGATTTTGGATGTGGATTGTATCGAAATACAGGAAATTCCTATCGTTTCATCAATTTACCTCCCAGATCAAAACCTAACGTGTTCGTTGTTCGCGATTCCTCCAACGATGGATATTCCTGATAGCAAATATAACTATGGAATTGTTATCGATTCAGGGTCTTCAGGGTCAAGAATACAGATATATAAGTGGCCAGATCCATCTTATGTTGTAAAAAACACTCAGGATAGTTCAATCTTACAATCTCCATTGAAAATTGTTCAAGAAGATAATTGGACTAAAAAGACTTCACCTGGTATCTCAACTTATCATGAACCTACAAAGTTCAAAAAAATATGGCTGGATCATTATTCTGAACTTATAACATTTGCGGAAGGCATAATACCTAAGGAGAAGCATAAAGATACCCCAATCTTCGTATTGGCTACGGCAGGAATGAGATTATTGCCCCCTAAAGATCAGAAGAAGATTTTAAAAGAAGTCTGTTCATCCATAAAGTCCAATACCAATTTTTTGATTGAAGAGTGTTCAGAGCATGTGCAAATAATCGATGGTTCAACTGAAGGAATATATGGTTGGTTAGGTTTGAACTATTTAATGGGACAATTCGATAATTATGAGCCTACGAAAGTTCATGATTCGATTGGTTTCATGGATATGGGAGGGGCATCCACACAAATAGCATTCCATCCATCGTCTGCAGAAGATATAGAAAAACATCGTGAAGATATTGCTATGGTTACCTTGAGAAATATCAATGGATTGACTCAAACTTGGGATATTTTCGTTGAAACTTGGCTTGGTTTTGGTGCCAATGAAGCACGTAAACGTTATTTGTCTCAATTGATCAACTTATCCGCCATAAATCCTACATCGGGGCAGATTAACGATCCTTGCTCTCCCAAGAATGCCGATTTCCAATACACTTATGAGGGTAAAAGCTATGATATCAAAGGTATTGGGAATTATGAAATGTGTATAAAGACCATTTATCCTCTCTTATTAAAAAATGTTCCTTGTAAAGAAGAACCATGTCTTTTCAACGGTGTTCATGGGCCAAAATTAAATTTTGATAGTGATAAGTTTGTGGGGATTTCCGAATACTGGTATACTGCTAATGACGTTTTCCAAAGTGGTGGTGAATACAATTTTAAAATATTCAACGAAAGAGTCAAGGAGTATTGTGAAAGTGAATGGCAAACCATTTTGGATAATTCTAAAAATGGTCAATACTCAAATTTGGATCCTAATAAGTTCTTGATCGATGCATGTTTCAAAGCTAGTTGGGTAATTAATGTTTTACACGATGGGTTTGAATTGCCGAGATTGGGGTTAGAGATCCCAGATAAAGGTGAAGGTGAAGGTGAAGAGAAAGAAATCACCAATGTTCATGTGCCTTTTAAATCTACTGATTCTATTAACGGTAATGAATTATCATGGACTTTGGGTAAAATCCTTCTTTATGCATCATCTAAGATTCCTGCAAGCAGTGAGAAGGATTTGAAGATCGGTGTTTACCCTGCGTCAATCACAGGTAAAAAATTTATACCTGCCGCTAGTTCCATGAAAGGAGGATATGACTCCGATGATGATGACGATGACGGAAATAACCTTCTACTTACCATGTTGGTGTTCTTCATGTTGTTACTTGGAGGGTATTATTTGATCAAGTCCAAAGTATTCAAAAACAGGAGATTCAATAATTTCAAGAAAGCCGCATACCACGAAATATCAAAGATTCCTTATATTAATCAAATATTTGACTTGGAGAATAAGTATAGTGCTATGCAACAATACGAACTCGATGTTAGTATGGAAGAAGGAACTTTAGCTTCGGCTCAATCGTCACCCAATTTGACACAACTTCGAACTAGATCGGCACTTAATTTATCAGAAATAGGAGATTTGAACGATGAATTAAGTAATTCTTTGGGTAACAATCGTACTAATTTCATGAACAAACCTTTTGTTGTACCTAAAAAAGGGATGTATCAAATGCAAAATGGAAGTAGAGATTCTTTACAACGTAGTGTAAGTGCTATGTCTATTTCCAGACCTTGAGTGAGGAAGTTATTTTTGTACTTAATTTTTACAAAAACACTTCTGAGTTCCAAACAGACCTTTGCTAATACATAGATTTAACGTTAGAAAATACATAATGAATATCCACTATCTTGTCATCTTGTCATTATTAAGTCAAATCTGGAGCTATTCTATTTCCAAATTTGGTTTTCCTCGTATAAGTCCCAAATCTAAAAGAGATTCAGTAGAAGTGGTTATAGGAGGTGAAGATATTGCCAATGTTGCCAAATATGCCAAACATAGAGTTCCTGAATTAGCTGGACAGTGGAAGAAGATAGTTAAAAACAAGATTATTGATAAATTACAAGATGATGGTACTAAAGAAGCTATTGAGAAACAATCGTTAGTTAATGCTGAAATAGCTAATATGATAGCTACGGGTAAATTGAAAGCGATTGAAGAGACGAAACAGGAGATTTTATCTCTGAAATCTGCCAACAAACCATCAAGTTTAAAATCTCAAATCAATGATTTTGGTGTCAAAGATTATGAATCTTCAATTGACCCACCTGATAGTTTTGATGAATAGCTTACGTAATCTAGAAAATCGATATTAAATAATTTTTGCAGCTCTTCGCGAACCTCATCTCAAAAAAAATATGGTGAAAGCTAAGAAGAGAACATCCAAAAGGACTTCTACTCGTATGAGAGAAGGGATCAAGAAGAAAGCTGCTGCCCAAAGAAGAAAGGACAGAAAGTTTTCTAAGAAAGATCCTACTTGGAGATCTAGAGTTCCTAAAGATCCAGGTATCCCATCAAGTTTCCCATACAAAGATAAAATCATCAATGAATTAGAAGAAAACAGAAGATTAGAACTTGAAAGAAAGGAACGTTTGAAATTAGAAAGACAAGAAAGAGCTGCTGCTGGTAATATGGAAGATGATGAAATCATGGATGAAGATTCAGAATCTGATGAAGAAGAAGGTAATGGAATGGCTGCATTATTAGAATCAGCTCAACAAGCAGCTAAAAAATTCGATGGAGAAGAAAGTGACGATGATGAAATGGTTGATTCAGAAGAAGACATCGAATACGACATTGAAATTGATGACGATAATGATAATGACAAATCAGAATTGGATAAATCCCGTAAAGCTTATGATAAAATTTTTAAAACTGTTGTTGATGCATCAGATGTTGTTTTATACGTTTTAGATGCTAGAGAACCTGAAGCCACTAGATCAAGAAAAGTTGAAGAGGCTGTTTTACAAAACCACAATAAAAGATTGATTTTAGTTTTGAATAAAGTTGATTTAATTCCAACTGATAATTTAAATAAATGGTTAGATTTCTTAAAACAATCATTCCCAACTGTTCCTGTTAAAGCATCCCCAACCACTTCATCAGCTTCATTCAACAAGAATTTAACTTCCAATTTGACTGCCAATAATTTATTACAAGCATTAAAATCATATGCTTCAAAATCAAATTTAAAAAGATCAATTGTTGTAGGGGTTATTGGATATCCTAACGTTGGGAAATCTTCTATCATCAATTCTTTAACTAATAGACATACTAACTCATCAAAAGCTTGTCCTGTTGGAAATCAAGCTGGTGTTACCACTTCCATGAGAGAAATCAAGATTGATTCAAAATTAAAAATCTTAGATTCTCCTGGTATCGTTTTCCCTGATGAATTGAACAAAAGATCTACCAAAGCTAATTATGAATCTAAATTAGCTTTATTATCTGCATTACCACCAAAACAAATCACTGATCCAATCAGTCCTTTCAACTTATTGTTGAAGAAATTCGCTAAAAATGATGAAATGGCTAACGGTTTAAAACAATACTATAATTTACCTGCTTTACCATCATCAGATTTCAATGAATTTTCTAAACAATTCTTAATTCACATTGCTAGAACCAAAGGAAGATTAGGTAAAGGTGGTGTTCCAAACTTAGAGTCTGCTGCCATGTCAGTATTAAATGATTGGAGGGATGGTAGAATTCTTGGTTGGACAACTCCTAATATTGGAAAACAAGAAGATATCGAATTGGATGGTCCTAAATCTTCTTTAAGAGGTGATAAAGAACCCCCTAAGGTAGAACAAACCCTTGTTGTTAATACTTGGGCTAAAGAATTCGATTTAGATGGCTTATTAAATGATAATTTTGGTATATAATAAAAGGTCCTTTTAGGTTTCTTCTCTAACTCGCGCATTTTTGTACTTTTGGTGATGTATCGTATTAATGATAGATTACAATTGGATGACCAATTGGGGACTATACGATATATAGGTCGTGTTGGAAGCTGGGATGTTGCTCTTGGGATCGAATGGGATGATGCTTCGAGAGGTAAAAATAATGGAAGTGTGGGAGGAGTTACTTATTTCATACCTAAAATTCCCAACTCTGTATCGTTTATCAAACCTACAAATAAGAAAATTCTACCACGATGGACTATGGAAGAAGGATTGAATCATTTATATGGATCTAAGGATGAGTTTGAAGATATCAGTTTTGGTAATAAGCACTCTGAAAATTTTGGATTCGAGAAATTGAATAGAATCAATGCCAATTTTAGTCAATTGATGTCGATATCCTTGGATAAGAGATGTATTTATACCTCAAGTGTCATTCATTTACCCAAACTAAAGGTTTTGGATTTGAGCTACAATTTGTTCACCGATATCCTGGATATATGGCATGTACTAGACCAATTACCTCAATTGACAGAATTGAATTTAAATGGGAACAGGTTTTCCAACATAGAAGAACCAGTTGTATACAAAAAGCATAACTTACAAGTATTGAAACTTGCAGATACACAAATGAAATTCCAAGAGGTTAAATCATTATTGGTTCGATTTCAACTTAAAGAATTAGTTCTTGCAGGCAACAACTATACAAACGAAGACTTGGAATCACTTCCCAAGCTTGACAATCTAGACTTATCATATAACAAACTTACTGAAGTTCCTGATTATGATGTGAAATCTATGAACTTATCCAATAACAATATTTCATCAGCACCTGGGAATTATATCATGGAAGATTTAGATCTCCGAATTAATAGCATAGATTCATGGACTTTCCTTGACTCCCTATATGAGAATTCAAAACTAGTAAGTGTAAGAATCAATAATAATCCTATTTTTGATGGTATGGATGAAGAGGAAATCACTGTTAATTTAATATCACGGTTGAATTGTGACAAGCTCGTTAAGATCAATGGGTCTAAAATATCTCCTGAAGAGATAAAAAATGCTGAATTGTATTTTGTTAGTAAAGTGGGTCAAGGTGTGTATGAGAAACCCAAAAAATGGGATACTTTAGTTACCAAATATGGTGACAAGACCGTCAGTAATAAATTCAATGATTTCTATTATAAGAAGACCAAAGTCAGAATTCGATATGAGGCGGAAATATTCGAAAAGACGGTTCTTTCAGACTACAGCATTCTCAAAGTCAAAGGCATTGTTAGTCTGATTATCAACAAGCCAGTGTTTCAAATAATGTTATACTATTACCTCAATAATGATTACCAAGAAGAGTTGGAAGACATTTTGAGACTTGAAGACTATAACCTCTCAGGAGAGGACTTATATGTCAAACTCGTATCTTAGATATATATTTATTCTTGTAAATTCCATAATCCATCACCTAAATAATGAATTAATTCAATACCATGACCTTTATTCTTTGATTTGATTTCATCACTACTCATTAATAATCTTCCAATGGCTAATGCATGTTCCTTACCTTCGGCATAAACTGTTACTATTCTGTCTTTTTCAAGATTTTCTTCAGGTAAATTACCCCCAGCAGAAGTTAAACCAGGACACATGATATTGGCTCCTGATAAAACGAATTTGATTGCTCCTCTATCGACTTGGACTTTCGGGAAACAGTCTGAATATTTATGGACAATCTTTAATGTTGGTACTAAATCATCGAAATGTTGGAACAAAACTATTTCATTATCAATTGAATATAATTGAATCTTGTCTTCACATTTTATGAGGATTGCTTGGGACTTTTTTGGTATTATGTCATCGATAATTGGTTCTAAACCTGGGTAAGTATCAACAAAATTGGATTTCAAACCTCTTTGAACTGACGATTTGATATTCGATCTGGAATGAATATCTTCCTTACTAAACTTCTTAAACATTGGTACCGATTTCGCAGTAAAAATTTTCACGCACTGACAGAGGATGTAAAGGTTAATAATTACAACATCACCACTGAATTACCCGATGATATCGTACTCAAAGAGAACCTTAATTGATATAGCCCATTATTCTAGGTAAGAATATCCAGCTCAAGATATAATAAAGATCATATCGAGCGAGGCACAAGGCAAAAAGAGATACTTTGTTAGGACATGGTATAGATGATTTCAACTAAATTCAACCATTCAATGTCGATAAAATATCTCTAAAAAAGACATTTGGGCTTTACCAACTGTCTTTATTCCGATGAATGAATCTTTGATCATTGTAAATTTGCTTTCGATTGCAACTGGTCTCACTAAATCCTTCTGTTCAACATCATAGGCGAGGCCAAATGATATTGGGGAATCATCCAAAAATTCCTTCAGTATCAGCAACTCGATGGAAACCACATACCGAAGAGTTTGTCAAGGTTTAAAGTTTTCAACTAGCAAAAACATGATCTCGGACGAATCCTCACTGATACACGTAAAGCCCCTGCATAAAGTTAAAGAACAAGAGAGAGATTTTTTTTTTCTCAACGGTCGGTGGGTGGTGATGTTTCTGGCCGGGTAACGATTTTTAAGTGCGGGTAACTCCAAAAATACTGGATTTATATTTTATCATTTAAATACTTTATACAATTTTCGACGGAATTGTCCAGTTCGGACAACTGTCTTTTCATGACTTCAATATCTCTCTTAGAAGTTTTCTCGTTAATTGTGTTCATAAATGTCATTAATTTAAAGAATCTCTTGGTTTTCTTACTGTTCTTAGAACTTTTTACATTCACCTGGGGTTCAGAAGAAAGTGGTTCTGCTGGTAATGGATTATAGTAATTTGTGAAGAGCTCCATTTTCTCCTGACTCGATAGGAAACCATCTTGGGCCAGAAAGCTATTGGGAGCTAATAATTCTTGTGTAGATTGGCGAGGTGATGGTAAAATCTCCATACTGTCGAATTCGTCAAGCTCATCAAGGCTATCATTTATGATCGATGCGCCATTCGCTGTTGAGGTTGTGGGAGGCAATGACATTTCAACTGGATCATTCAGATCAAACTCGTCGAATTCGTCCATCTCAGCTTTTTGACTAATGTGTTTTGAAGCGGGTTTCTCAGGAATAGCATCTTTGGCAAGAGTAGGAACCTGAACATTTGGCCCCATTGTTTCAAGTAGATCATCATCAAAATCTTCGGACTCTGATCTGTTAGTGAGGCTCGTGGGCTCTGATTTGATTTCAGGTTTAGGCTCATCGAAGTCACTGAATTCATCAAAATCATCGAAATTGGCAATCTCATTCAGGACCTTGGGAACGCTTTCAGTCACGTATTCAGATTTTCCAACCTTAGGCTTTGGTGCTGGTTCATCATCGAACTCATCAAACTCGTCGAACTCTAATTGGCTCAAGATATTGTGGACAAGAACAACCAGATCCTTAGCCTTAGGTTCCTCAATAGGTTTCTTCTGTTCGAAAGATGAAGTGTGATTGGCTGATGTTGTTGGCTTCTCTGACAGAAATTCAGCGAAGAAAGAATCAGTATCAATCAAGTCTTGAGAATCTCCCGAATCATGGGCCTTTTCTTCATGTTCACTTTCATGTTTTTCTTCTTCTTGTTTCTTAAGCAAATCTGTCACATTCATGAATCCCGTAATGGCATCGTCTGGCATGTTAAACTTTTTCTTCTCCTTAGCTTTCGATTTCTCCTTGGTCTTGGTCTTAGTCTTGGTCTTCTTTGCGGACTTCTTTCCTTTCATGTAATCCATAGCTATCTTAATAATTTCATCTTCATCTTCTTCTTCCATTTCTTCAGTTTGGATCAACTTCTTTTCCACTAGAGGCTTAGACCCTGGAGGTAAGATCCTATTACTTTTCAACACCACCAATTCACTTTCGTGCTTCATTATGTAATTTTGAATCCACTCGTAGTTATCCATAGCTTTTTCAAATTTGGATCGTTCATTATCACTGAATAATAAACAAATTTGACCATCTCTTTTTCTACCGGTTCTACCTAATCTTTGAACATTTTTAATAGGGGAAGAAGTAGAATCATAACATATGATCAAATCAACTTCACCAATGTCCAAACCTTCCTCACCAATGGATGTAGCGACTAAGATATTATATTTATCATTTTTGAAATCTTTAATCAATTGCTTTTGAACTTTCTGATTCATACCTTTCAATTTTGCATCTTCAGAACTGGTTCTAACTCTTCCTTTATTGATTTTGCTGTTACTTGACTTATCACTACTTTCCGAAGCTTGACCAATGAAAATATGAGGTCTTAATTGATCTTTATTCAACTTCTCAATTGATTTGACAATTTCTAAGGCCGAGTCTCTGAATTCTGTGAAGATAATCACCTTGGAGTTATCATAAGTGGTGGTTTCAAGGAAGTTCTCAAGATAATCAATCAAGGTTACTATTTTGGGATGACTTTGTTCTTCTCCTTGACTATTATTCGTATAATTATTGATAAGATCCTTCAATTTGATGATATTCTCATTTTCATAGAATTCAATCAAAAGTCTGTTTTTGGTCTTCTTGTTCTTCAACGCCTGGTCATTGAAATAATCAATGAAATTCACCACCCCGTAAATTTTCAATTTCTTAAAACAATTGGCTATGAAGACTAACATCTTGATAAGGAAATGATTTGACCATTTCATTCCTTCGCCTAACCCTGGATTGGCCATGTTTTTCTTTTGAATCTCTAATAGTCTGAATGAGTTAAGTTTCAAAGCATCATCAATTTGGATAATCTTCCTATCGTTAGCTACTTTTAATAGAGGTTCAACAGCATTTGACAAATAAACGATGTATTCGTTAATGTCGTTGTTTTCAGTGAAGTTGATATCAATTTTGTCTATTTTCTTCCCTTTGAAATATCGAATGATATCGATGGAATTTTCTGTTCTAATTTCAACCTTAGTGATACTTAAATTTTCAATAATTTCTTTGACTCCTTCAACCGTGGCTGCTGGAGTGGCTGTTAAAGCCATTATCCTATAGCTATGATTGAATCTGTCAAGATATTTGACGACATTATTGTAAGCATAGTTCCCTTTGGCTTTATGAGCTTCATCTATAATCAATAAACTGATAGTCTTAGGGTCTATTAATCCATTACATAGATCATTCTCCACGACCTGTGGAGTGGTAAAGAAGATCCTGAAACCGTCCCATACTTCTCTTCTGTTTCTTTTCAGCTTATCAAGCAAGATGGCTGCTTGGTCTTGCAAACCAATAATACTGAAACAAGCTTTAATTTGTTGAGCCACTAAAGGTTTGGTAGGTGCCATGAAAACAATTTTCGACTCAGGAAACCATCGGAAATAATTCAAAATAGTGGTGGCTGCTATGAAAGTCTTACCTAAACCTGTGGGTAAAGCAACAAGAATATTATGATAAAACGATTTCTCAATAATGTTGTACTGATAATCTCTAATTTCATAGTTGATGGGATAAATATAGGATTTTAAGCTTTCATGATCTATAGAATGATGCGTAGGTCTCTCAGTTGGAGGTTTTCTTATTTCATCTACAGTCTTGTCTGCTACGGACTCAATGATTTCACCCAATAAGTTTGTCTGTACTCTTCGTTTCTTATTTTGATGGGAATCCAAGGCACTTCGAACTTGACGATGGGATCGGACCTGTGGTTCACTTCTTGGAGGTGGTAATGAAGTGGATCGCGTTATAGCTTCATTGACAGCGTTTGTTTGCTGTAGAATGGCATCAAACTCATCATCAAAATCATCACTCATACGCGGTCTTATCTGATTTGTATTTTCGCATCACAGAATCACCATGTCTAATCCTTATAGTCCTATAACGGATGCTCTTAAAGAGTTGAATAAACCAATGAATGAGTTGCTCAAAAACCATGAAGAATTAGTGTCGAGGAATTTAGTTATATTGAATAATTTGAAAGATTTGAATAATTTCAATATCTTAATGAATAATCACCTACAAGATGAAGATACCGAGAAGCATATTCAGTTGAACGTAGGAATTGACAATGTAGATTCAGAAGTTTGATCTTTTACATGCAAAGTTTGATCTGTTATACCAGAACTTTATAGATGATAAATAGTTGATCTAACGTGTATCAATTGGATGGGTAGTTTTTAATATAAATTTTTATTATTCTGAATTTTTCATCTTTATGGAAACAAAGTTCACAGAGTGTTATACCTACCTACACTTCGTCTTGAACGTCAAATCATCCCAAACAATTGTTCAATCCACTCAATCTTTTTAATTCTGGTTTGAACTAGAAATCAGGAAGATCCCAACATATTGCAAAATTTACAATTTTTTAAAAATGTTTAAGAAATTAAAAAAAATTCAAGTCTCAAGAATACTTTAACTCGTACACTCCAATAGGTTAAACAGGTCAAACAGGTAGAATAGGTTGCATTTAATCAAGGATTATACATAGAGTAATGCCAAGTAGCCCAAAAAGGGGACACTTAGTAACAGACAAAACCCTCAGGTTTGATACATTTCATAGATTTGAGCTCCCAGAGACTGCATTGGTGGACAGCATCATGATTTAAGACGCAGAAGGTCCAGTTCCATAAATCTATCAGTGCTACTCACCAGAACAGGCTGTTATTTCGCAGCCGTATGTAAGACTGTATATAACCTTTTAATTTATGAATAATAAAACGGAATATGAAGTGCGCTAAGAGGTCATAGCTTAAGACCGTACACGAGGAAAAATGGAAAAATGTGTGGCTTCAAACACACTTGGCTTCAATGCCATATAATTCTACCAGAGACTTTGTAGGATTGAAACATTCACTTGACAACATCTTCATACTCATATCTAGATATATCAGGTTTCATTATTCGCCATGTATTATAAAGCTTAACTATGCAAACATTTGAGTTTATTGGTTGTGTGGTTGATGGGAAACTTCCCATTCGAGGAACCGGAAATTATTACCCACCCCAAATAACCTTTGTGTGGGTTGGATATGGGCTTAACCCATCCCCGGGGAATTAAAAAGTTTACCAGGGAGTTATCGGAAGACATAACAATAACTCCCCCAAGTGATGAATTCACTTTCTCGGGGACTAAAAATTCTAAAATCCGAGGGCTGAATGAAGTTTAATGTACTGGCAAATGAAAAGCGTCAGATGAAATAGTCGAGGCAAAAATGAAGGTCAGACGACTACTACTCATTACAAGACAATAGAGGGAAAAACCAAACAATTCATCACTTCAAAAAAATTCCAGGGAAAAGGGGACATATATCCCCACAAAAATTACATTGTATGGAAAATACTTATTGTGTTTCAGATAGACCAACTTTAATCCAACATTACTAGATATGGATGAAATTGCAAAATAAACTTTTCACAATAGACCCTCTTTGACTTCCTAAAAAGCCTTAGATTAAAGTGGACCCACATTCAACAACTTTTAACCCACCAGCAAGTTTCTCAACATCTTCAACTTAACCACTATGTTTTCTTGTGTTTTCATACCTGGAAGCCAATACAACGTTGCATTTACTAGAGTGTGCGACTGTCGCCTCATATTCCATACATAAGATTTGTCGCTTCGGGAATTATTTGCCGCAAATTTTATCGCCCAAAAAAGAAAATCACCACCGCATCCTATCGGAAATTCCATCTCCCCTATTGTTCCCCCCATAAAATTTTTTTCCGACCATCGAGCAAAATGATGGGGGAACTTATCTCCTCAAAATTTGATTGCCCCCTTTATTACTCGTTTATCAACATAACAACTGTTTGCTCTTTAGTCAGTTAATTGCTTTGGATAAATGGAAGGCAATGAAAATTGGGGGATTATTTGGAGAACTCTAAAAAAATAAGCAACGTAAATCGTCTCACATGAATTTGGCTTTAGGATAAATGGATAGGGTTCATTTTACCTGACTATTAAGAGATGATCCTGAGAATACATGTGATTATTTATTATTCTTACTATACATTATTTTTTCATTATCATTATATATCTTATATTCTAGGGACTCTAAAATGTGGTGTTCTAGATATCTAGTGTCTTAATTGATGGTATTGAGGAGTTCATTATCCAAAAAATCATAGTCAATGGAAATACCGTTGATAATTTCTCTTGAATTTATTATGAAATTGAACTTAACTCTCTTCTTTTTTAAAGGTAATACATTCTTGATTAATGATTTATCCATGGATTCAACTGACGATGCAGAAAAAGTGGTGTGTAAATTTACTTCAGAATCATAATCAGACAATTCACTTTCATAATCACTATCGTCACTAATATCCAAAATAGATTGTTGGATATCTTGTAAAGGTTCTTCAATGACTTCTTCTTCTACTGGTAAAGTAATTAAGTCATCATCAACAAATTTTGGTCCATAACACCAATTAATATCATGGTCTTTATACCAATTTATAACGGTGGGACTAATTTCGTCTAAATTGTGTAAATTTTTATACAATCTCCTCCAACTGATATTCTCTAATCTTCTTGATATGGTTGAAGGTATTATGATTGAAATATCATATTTACTTTGTTTCCAACATTTAATTAATAAACTATTGGGTATATGGATTTCATTAGACAAATAATCTATGTTCTCATTGAAATTATAGTTGGTACTATTATTTATATAACAATCGTCGTAACAATTCATTCTGATCCTGTCAGTAAAACTAATTATCTAAAACTTCTGAACCTGTCAGTATTTATAAAAAAACATTTAATGGGGAAATGGTGTTTATATAAATAAATTCCGAGTGGCTCGGATAAAAAATCAATCATGTGGAAACTATTTTTTTTTTTCCACTGTCATTTTTTGTCACTGCAAAAAACGTAAATCTCCAAGAGAGGCTAGGTTGCATTTGCAGTAGTTTAATTATGACTGACGGGAATGGCTATTTCACAAGAGAGTGAATTTTATCATAAGATAATTTTTTAGAAGTAGGTCTAAAGGGACTAAGGAGTTCCTATTGTGGATAATTTCTATAAGATGTTATTTACGGTAATGAATAAATATTGATAAGGAATAAAAATCATTTCCTAAATGGTGGAAATTAATTAACGATAAATTTTCCAATCTCCAAAATCCCATCTCCAAATAGCGTGGGGGAGAAAACTAAAAATATATACACGGACTTTTGTACACCTTTGGAATTCATCAAGCCTCCGTTGCATAAGTTCTATTGGAATTCTTTTTCCACTTGATACTAGTTGTTAGTTAATGTTGAATTACCCTCATCATGAGGCTCTATAGACCAAATCTAGATCAGAAGTTTATTTGTAACAAATTATCGATCCTAGATTACCCTCACGCTCATGAAATTTAAAAGAAATTCAGAGGAAATGTTCTCTCGCATCGGAAATTTATTTCCATCATGCTTAAACCCTACTACTGCTTTGATCACCCCAGACTTTAATTAACACCTGCAGTTTACTTTATCTTTGAGGATGATATCACCACCAGACATAATGATCAGAGGGTGTGGTGCTTCATATGGCACTATTAAAGTACTTCTTGCTAAATATTATTTGAGATGGGGTATAAAAGAAAGTATAAGTCTCCTCATAATCTGGAGTTAACATCTTTTATTGACATCAACTTATCTCAAATGTTTTACCTCATCAGTCATACACTGTTATTGTTTTCTCCAACTTTTCTATCCTTGAAGTTGGAATTGAGCTATTTATGATATATCCTCACATTCCGTCTCCCCTAACTCCATATCCTATTTATCCCGCTCGTTAATTTATAATTTTTAGTATATCGGCCTTTTTGTTTACCCATCTAAAATGGTTAATCATCAAACTAAACTTCCTTTTTACCCCAAAGCCCTTCCCAAATATTTCCCTACCCTTCATCCTTTTAACCTTCAAACTTTTTGCGTCTCGGGGTATTAAAAACCCATCACTATGCAAGTGACGTCCGGGGATTAGCCGTCGCATCTGAATCCCCTATTACATAATCATTAAATAAGCGGATTTTTTTGGTCTCCTCCATTTTTGATCATCTGACATGTCACACGAAGGAAAAAATTCGGAGGAAAGTCATGACGATGAGAGTTCTAGAACCTCGCGACATTGTCCAATGTCCTCGTCTCCAAAATTTGAGTCTTGTCGGTACAAAATTCCGGCCCACACTGTGGTTCAAATTTAGAACCAATTGCTGAGGCATAATTGCAAATTATTCCGTTCTGCCTATGAAGCCCATTTAATGACAGGCTGCGAATTTGAGAATTTAAATTTTATTACTATAATACAACATGAGTGAAGATATTTCACCACCTTCAAGTTATAGAGAACTAAATCAGATCAAGGATCTTGATTCTACCATCGCCAAGATCCTTCCATCAATAAATCAACAAGGTGGAGATATTACAAGAAACTTAAAACCATCGTCATCACATTTAAGAAGATCTTCATCATTCTCGAAATTTTTAGATGATAGAAGAGATAGTGCAAGTGCCAGTGATATAAATATACCGGGAGGTTTCCGTAGACAATTCATCATCAATAAGAAATTATCGAAGAACCAAAAACCTCCAAAATTCTTAACTAACAATTTAATTGAATTTTTGAACATATATTCAAATTTCGCTGGGGAAGAATTTGATGATTCAGATACTGAAAGTTTTGTGGGTAGTTCGGCAGATTCAGCTATAGCATCAGTTGACGAAGAAAGCTTGTTATTACCGGATAACACTCCAAAACCACCACCTTCAAATATAAAGACATATTTCTTAGTTTTCAAAGCATTAGTTGGATCAGGTATTTTATTCTTACCTAAAGCTTTTGAATCCGGAGGTTTATTGTTTTCCATTGTGACATTGAACATCTTCGGTATACTAACATATATTTGTTATTTATTATTAATTCATGCCAAAAATCATTTTGGTTTGTCATCATTTGGTGAATTGGGATTCAAAACCTATGGTAATCCATTAAGAATTCTTATCTTGATATCGATCTTAATCAGTCAAATCGGGTTTGTTTCAACCTATATCCTTTTCACTACTTCAAACTTGACAAATTTATTCAAAATATCCCAATTACATCTTGTAATTGGACAATTTGTATTATTAATCCCACTCATTTTAATTAGAAAGATTTCAAAATTAGGTTTCATATCATTATTGAGTTCTATCTGTATTATAACAGGTCTTGTGATCATATTTGTTTATTCAATTAACGATCTTGCAGTGGATGGAATGGGTCCAAATATTGTTCAATTCAATTCTTCAAGTTGGTCAATGTTGGTAGGAATAGCTGTTACATCATTTGAAGGTATTGGATTGATTTTACCTATCGAATCAGCTATGCACAATCCTTCAGAATTCCCTAAAGTTTTAGGTATTTCCATGATTCTTATCACAGGATTATTTTTAGCTATTGGATCTTTAGGATACATCACTTATGGAGATGAGATCGAATCTATCATATTACTTAATTTACCTTATAATCAAATCCCTGTACAAATGATCCTCGTTCTTTATTCATTGGCAGTTTTCTTGACTGCTCCATTACAATTATTCCCAGCTATTAAAATTTTTGAAAATATAGTATTCAATTCATCAATGTTCTTCAAGAATGGGAAATTATACAATTCAGGTAAATATTCCAGTAGAATTAAATGGTTAAAAAATTTATTTAGAGTGTTCATATTATCAAGCATTTGTACTTTAGCTTATTTGAATTTTGATAGGATAGATAAATTTGTTAGTTTTAATGGATGTTTTGCTTGTGTACCATTAGTTTATATTTATCCTCCATTAATTCATTTTAAAACCACAAAAAATAGATTATATAAGACTTTGGATTTATCATTGGCAGGTTTAGGAATGGTAGTTATGATTTATACCACTTATCAAATCTTATTTGATTAGCATAATGCATATTATTTATATCGTACATATTTCCTCTTAAGTTAACAAACCATTCCGCACTTTAGATCGCGAGTTTTGAGTCAAAACTATGGATAAACCTTCAAAGAAATTATCGTGCCAAAGGTGTCGATTGAAGAAGATAAAATGTAATTATGAATATCCTTGTAACAACTGTGAAAAGGGGAAATATGAATGTATCCAAGTAACTCATGATATGAGAAAGAAAAGACCTACAGTCAATTATGTTGAAAGTTTAGAGAAGAAATACTCATCGATAATAAACGTATTGAGGACAGCAAATAATATGACTTCTGTTGACGAAAGGTCAAATTACTTAGCTTCAGTGAATTTAGGTAACTTGATCGAAGGTTTGGATACAAACTATAATGATAATAATGATGGGAATGATGATAATGATGTATCAGTTTATGGCCCCATATCTATATATGATAATAATGATATGGTAAGAAAGAAGAATCAAGTCCAAACTGACGAGTTTAAATATATCAAACAATTAAATGCTGATAACGATGTACTTCATTGTATTAAATTATTCTTCGTATGGCAATATCCTGATATGAACATGTTTATCTTTAGAGAAGCTTTCTTACAAGAGTTTTTCAAACCAAAATACTATAATTTGTATTGTTCTAGAATCTTGATTTTGAGTATATGTGCATTAGGATCGAGAATGTCTGATGATGAAAATATTTATAATAAGAGTATCAAATTTTATAATGAAGCCAAAAGTTTATTACTTTCAAAATTCAATAATCCTTCCATTACATCATTGCAAAGTTTCCTTTTATTGAGTTTCTATGATATTTTCAACGGGTCCAACTCTAGTGGTTGGATGTTGTCAGGAAATGCCATTAGAATGGGATTTGATTTGGGTTTCCAATTACACCCCAATTCATGGTTTTTAAAACTGAAAGTATCTAATTATTCCAAGGAAATAGATAATGAAATCAAATCTCGTATTTATTGGGGGACTTATTTGGCTGACCATTTTATCAGTCTTTTATTAGGAAGACCATCATTGTTGAAGCTAAACGACGCAACTATTCCTGAAACCGATGATTTACCTGAATTACATTGGATCGATGAATATCGATATCTCGATGAAAAAGACCAAGCTAATCCTAAGAAGATTTCTAACATTTCGTCACCTTTGAAATCTGTTATAAATTTAATCAATATTAGTGATAATATGTTAAACGATATTTTCAACAAGAACTTTAATCAGGATTTCATGAACGATAACAATCATTTGATCCTTACTGTGACCAAATTGAATGAATACAATGAAAAGATTATGAATTGGAAGAGGAATTTACCAACAGATCTACAATTTAATAAAGAACTCTTGAGACATAATGCTGATAACCCAACTTTGAGTTGTATACGATACTATTACTACATCTTAGTATTATGTTTGAATAGACCATTTATTGGTTTGGATGATGATATCTTCAAGAATTTGAACTTACCTCCTGAATTAGTTCCCAGAGCTATTTGTCTTGAATGTATTGAAGAATTGTTTGTAGCCATCAACAGATTTAAAACAGTTCATGGCTTAAGAAAAGCTTCAATCTTCATTGTTTATTGTTCAATTTTATCAATCTCCATTATTCTATTATTAAAGAATTCTAACTTAATCAAGAATGAATCACAGAAATTGATCTTTTTCTTAAAAGTATTGAAACAATCTTCCAAAACTTGGAAATTAGCAGAGAAGTCTTTGAATTCTATTACTTCAAGGTTAACCGAATTCAATATCGATATCAATTCATTAGATGATATTGAAGTCGATTTCAGAAGAGATGCATCAGAAACTCCAGAAGTTGATTTAGATAATTCAAATTCCATTATAAGTAATAATAATGTCAATATGAATCAAGCCAATTCATTATCAACATTGATGAATCCTTCACATTCAGGTAGTCAACTTAATGAACCTATACATGAACCTGGTCTTGGAATGGGTGATGTAGGATCAAATGGGGTGGTTGTAGGAGAGAATACGTTAGAATTCTTTGGAGGACCTCCAGTTTTAATGACTTCGGATTTATTTAATCAAGATTGGGAAAGTTTATTCCCTGATTATATATTTAACGAGAAAAATAACGAAAATTAGATTAGTGTATATATTTGTAATTGTAATAACCATGTACGTGTAACTTTCCAAAAGCTTTAGACTTATCCGGGGATACCCAGGAAATAATAGGAATGGGATTAGAAAGGATTGAGAAATAGCACCAATAGAAATGAAAAGATCTCGGAAAAAAGCCGGAGAGAAGATGCAATAAATATCTATAAGATTAAGATCACTAATTTAATTTAGCTAAGATAGCATCGGTAAATTCGGTAGTTGAAGCAGTACCACCGATATCTTTAGTAGTTGATTTACCTTCAGCAATAACATCATAAGTAGCTTTTGAAATACTGTCAGCATGTTCGTTTAAACCTAAATGTCTTAACATCATTGAAGCTGATAAGATCATAGCAGTTGGGTTAGCAGAGTTTTGACCTTTAATATCTAAACCAACGTGTCTACAACCTGGTTCGAAAACAGCATATTCTCTACCGAAATTAGCACCTGGAACTAAACCTGGACCACCAATTAAAGCAGCACCAATATTTGATAAAATTGAACCATATAAATTTGGAGTAACTAAAACATCAAATTGTTGAGGTTTGGCAACAGCTTGCATAGAAGCGTTATCAACAATTAAATCATTAACTTCAATACCTGAATAATCTTGAGCAACATCTTTAACAGTTTGTCTGAATAAACCATCACCTAATTTCATAATGTTAGCTTTATGAATAGCAGTAACTAATTTTCTGTTATTCTTTTTAGCGAAATCGAAAGCGAATTTAGCAATTCTTTCAGATTTGAATCTAGTCATAATTTTTAAAGATTCAACAACCCCTGGGTATGATTGATGTTCTAAACCTGAATATTCACCTTCGGTATTTTCTCTAACTAAAGCAAAATCAATACCATCTAATCTACCTTGAACACCTGGAATGTTTTTAATTAAAACTAATGAAGCATAGATATCTAATTCTTTTCTTAAAGCAACATTTAAAGATCTTGAAGATTTACTGGTTGAAGTATATAAGATACCTTTTAAACCAACTTTGTTTCTTTTTAAACTTTCAACAGCTTCAGAGACACCACTATCATTATCTAAACCACTGACATTAACAGTTTCCCATTCAATAGGAACATTTTGGTTTTTGAAAATAGTTTGGACTGAATCAGTAATTTCCTTACCAATACCATCACCAGGGATTAAAGTAACAGTATATTTACCTCCGATTTTTTTTGGTAAAACAGATTCTGGGGATGAAAATGTAGCTAATTGTCTAACTGAACTTCTTTGAATTGATCTTAACATTATAATCTTTTGAAAATTTCAATGATTTTGTAATCTAGTTCTAAACTCGATCTAGTGAGAAATTTTCAACTCCGGTCAAGATTTTAATTGGATGCGAAAATGGGGTTGGTTCACGACTTTTCGCGATGTTCCCATTAGGTTAGGATCAGATAGATGGTACACCATTTTGAGAGTTAAAAGAATGTACAAAAATATATTGAAAGAATTAAGAATCATAGCTACTAAGACTCATAAACTTCATTCAAAGTCTCAGATAAAGAAGGAAAAAGCTTTATTAGAATATAAGAAATATCAATTACTTAAAGAAGGTAAACCAATAAATGAAATAACTCAACAGATTGAAAATTTAACTACTGGAGGCAAACCTTCAGATAAATTTGAACAAATTTTTAAACAATTACATAATGAAGAAAAGGCTAAAGGTTCCAATAAGATAAAAGAAGCTAATTTCAATAATATTTACACATTCTTAAATAGTCAAAGAATTTATCAAGAGTTAATAGAGAGATATAATCCGGGATTAACCATGGATCAAACGGAAAACATCGAAGCTTCTGCCAATAGAGTTGGTTTAAAAGTACCTAAATAAACATACATTCTAATATACACAAATTTTGAAGTCTTAAGGTTGGTCACCTAGAACCTGATCCGCTTCTCGCTATAATCTTCATCTTCTCTACACCTTTTCCCTTGCTTATTATTATACAAAATACTAGAACCCATTTTAATTTCATTATTTTCCACATAAAACTTCTTTAAATTCTCCAATATCAATAAATCTTCATAATAGTTCAAATTGAAGTTTACATTAATCTTATAATGTAAATAGTTAATGGAGTTGTTAACATTATAATTATAATTATCCATCAAATAACTAATCAATAAACTCTTGGAAAAGTTTTCATTGTTATCCCCAATGATAAGGATATCAATCGAATTATTCATAATTTTGAATAATTTGATTAATCTGGTCAACTTGAAGAGATTATTCTTCAAGTTTCCTGATAATATTGGATTGGAGATATTCAAATTTAAATTGTTAGGTAATTTATTGATAATCTTATCGATATTTTCGTTATAGTTAATGAAATAATTGATAAAATTTTGCAAAATCTTATTAAATTTCATATCAAACTCATTCAACAATGCCTTTTCATCATCATTAAACTTATTGATATCAAAATTCAAATCTAAAAGTAACATTAACATATCAGTGGGAATGGAAATATTGGACTTATTCAAATGTTTTAAGAACTTATAAGTTGGTAAGCAATTTATGATAATTTTGAAATTATAATTATGGAATATTTCTTGTTTCAAAGAATTGACCGTTCCATAATAAATAGTAGGACAAATTTCTGTAATATCATTATCCATAAACTGTTGATACTGACTTTTCAGTAACATTTGGGACATGTTTTCAATCATTTTTTGAATATTCGAATTTTTTCTTCGATTATAAACCAGTTGATGGGTTTAACAACCTTAAGGAAGTTCTAAGGGTTGAGCCTTATGAGAATTGAGTGAAATATGGGGTACTTTTTAAAAACACAATTTGCGATGCTTGCAAAATCTCAAGAAGAAAAAGCAGCCAAAAAGGTGTTGCAAAATAACGAAAAATGGGACTTTTGATAATTTAATATCAAAAGTATGATAATTCAACTATTTGAATAAACTATTATCGAAAGATAAAAATTGAATTGAAAAAAATTGAATTTTTTCAAGTTAATCCCTTCAAAAAAACTAAATTAAATGGAATTTGGGAATTGAAGTTTATATAATCTTGATGTCCAAAGATGTCCAAAGATGTCCAAAGATGTCCCAAGATGTCTCTGAATATTATGAACCTTTCGAGGTGTGGAAATGGTAAAAATTTGTTCTTTATTAACCGTTTTCGTTAATGTATAGGTGTACCGATGGGGCGGAAGGGTTATCAATTGCTTTTTTGGGAGGGATATTCCGATAGAGGTCGTGTGAGGTTAGCGTCGGCCAAAGGCCAGCCACGGTTTTTTTTTCCTACCACCTCCTTCCCGCGTTTAACTTAAAAAGGGTTCACATTAACGAGTCACGGGTTTGATCATGTGATACCCCAAACCCAACTTTAATTTTTTCCCAAACTCACTGCGTCATTAGCAAACTAAACATGTTTAGAATTCATTTATCCAAGTTAAAATTCCCAAAATTCTCCTTCAAACCAACAAGATTAGCTTTCTTACCTTTAATTAAACCTATCTACAATGATAGTTTCAAAAATGCTGGAAATTCCATGTCAATTGACAAATCTATTGATAAAGCTAAAATCGGAGTATTGAATGCACCATTAAGTGAACGTAAGAAAATGTATAATGAATTAACCATTGGGTCAATCACAGGATTATTCTTAGGTGTTATAATTGGAAAGTTCAGTTCATTAATCATTACGTTAACATTATCATGTTATTTACTATTACAATTCTTAGAATCTAGAAATCTTATTCGTATACCATGGAATTATGTATTTAGTTTCAATCGTCAAGATTTCGATTTAAAGAGTTTAGTTTTGGAAAACTTCAATTTCAAACTTAGTTTTGTTTCATCTTTCTTAATTGCCTGTTACAACATTTAAAATCTGAAACAAAAAAAAATTTGAAACAAATATGATACATATGAAACAATAACTTAAATATACATTTTTTTTATTAATATGCTAAACTAATTCAATTTGGTTAACAAATCAAATGTACCCGTACCAACATTTGATAGTTTACCCAAAACGATTTTTGCTGAAGGAGATTCTAATTCTTCAATATCTCCATTTAATACAGATTTAGTAATGAATTGACAAGTAGTTTCATAAGACATCTTCATGAAAGGAGATGTTGAAGTATCAATACCTTGTCTGTTAAAAGCTAAATAAGTACCTTCTCTTGTCATCATATCACCAATTAAATCTAAATGTCTTGATGAGACATTAATAGCATATCTTTCGAAAACGTTATTAATTTCTCTAACAATGGTATTTCTAGCAGCTTCAACACCATAGGTTTTCAACACTTGATAAATATCATTGGATGTGATGTTATTTACATTTATGAATTCTTCTTGATCCCACATAGCTTTGAAATTAACCCCTTCAGTGGTTAAATGTCTTTCACCTGATGGATGTAAACATCTACCAATTTTTGGAACTTCTCTAACAACAACTTTTCTACTTAAATCTTCGATGATATTAACCATCAATAATTTTTCGAAATTTCCAACTAATTTGATTTCAAAGTCACACCATTCTCCATTATTATCATCGAAATTGAATTTGGTGATAAAATTATGGTTGGTGATAACTTCAATTTGTCTATCTCTAGCTGATTTAGATAATGGTGCATTAGCTTTCTTTATACCTTGCATTTTATCTTCATTATCACTATCACTTTCACTATCACTGCTTTCACTATCACTTGAAGAATCAGCCATTTCTTCATCACTAGTTTCTTCTGCTCTTTTCATGGTTTCGATTTCTTCATCATCTGGGCCATCATAAGAAACTGCTTGTTTGGCTTTGCTATCATCTTCATCATCACTATTAACATCATCAGCATCATCATCATCATCATCTTCACCACTTTTGTTAACTTTCTTACTGATTGGTTCAGTAACTTTAGAAGCTTTACCAACACTTGGTAAATCAATCTTCTTTTGTTTCTTGATTTCTTTAGTAACAGTGGTTTCTAATTCACTTAAGAATTTAGTTTTGATGATTTTTTCCAAATAATCTTGATCAACATCGTATTCTTTTTCATATTCTTCTTTAGTGAAGAAATTCAATTTAATACCATAAGATCTTGAATTTGAACCATCAGCCGTAATAGAGGTAGTTTCAACAACTTCAACATTAACTAAGAATTCACTGAAAACAATCTTAGTTACATTCTTACAGAAGATTTCAGCTAATTCATTAGTAACTTCATCTTTCAAAGGTAATGTCATTTGAGGAGTTGAAATTGATGAAGAAGCTGTCATAATAATTTCTCTCATACGTGGAATACCTAAAGTAACATTGGCAGCACCATGACCAGCGAAATGGAAAGTGTTTAATGTCATTTGTGTTGAAGGTTCACCAATAGATTGGGAAGCAATGATACCAACTGATTCTCCAGGATTAACTAAAGATCTCATATATTTCAATTGCATCAAAGCTTTGAATTTCTTATCATTAACTTTACCATTCTTAAATAATTCTTTATTTTCATCAATGAAAGATTCTAATTTACTTTGGAATTGTTCAGAAACTGCCCCTAAGTATTTTGAAGGACTTAAAGTTGAAATAACAGGATCATATTTCAAAGATTCTTGATAATGAGGTAATTCACCTTGTTTCTTCAAAGATTTCTTATACTTCTTAACATAACTATTAGCAGTATCAGCATCAATGAAATCAATTAAATCAGGTTGATATTTCTTTAACAAAGAATCATAATTTTCCAAACAGAACTTGAATTCATTCATATGAGATTGTTTGGTGGTATCAATAGCATCACCTCCATATAAGAATTGAATCAAAGAACCATCACCATCACGAACACTATTATCATAACTAACATGAACCCCTTCCAATTGTTTGGTAAGACATCTTTGTAAATAACCCGATCTGGAAGTTTTAACCGCAGTATCAATTAAACCTTCTCTACCAGCCATACAATGGAAATAATATTCTTGAGGTCTAATACCAGAATAGAAACGTTGTTTAATATAACCACCAGCTCTAGCATCAGTTTCAAAAGGTTTAAAACTTGGTAATGTTTTACCTGAAACCATAACTGGTACTCTTCTACCTTCTAAAGCTTGTTGACCTAATAAACACATAATTTGTGAAACATTAACATTTGACCCTTTAGCTCCTGACAATGCCATTGCTTGCATAGAATTGTATGGAAATTTCTTCATAGTTCCATCAGGAACACATTTATTAACAACTTGAGATGTAATGGCATTAACTTTAGATTGGGTTATAGCATCTAAAATACCTAACTTATTATCATCTCTTAAAATTTCTTCTAATCTTTTCAATAATTCACCATCATTAACATCAGTATCTTGAGATAAATTAGTAACTTCGTTAGCAGCAATTCTACCAATATCAACTGATTGTTTCAAAATATCTTTTCTCCATTCATTACCTTCAGCAGTTAATCTTAAATCATCCATACCACAAGTAAAAGCTGTCATCATGATATAATTGGTAAATAATCTACCTAAAATACTCAAAGCTTTACCTGCAATAGTTGGACCATAAACTTCATGTAATGAATGAACAATACCGAATTGTGAAGCACCATATTGAGATTTATCTAAAATACCATAGATTAATTCACCATTTCTGAAAACAACTTCATTTTCTTGGGAATGGGGGGACCAATAATCATTTTTGATTTTATTCTTGGATTTTAAATTAATACCTGGAACATTTTCCGGTTTGATATTAAGTAAAATGGTTGAAATAACTTGTTTACCAGTCCATAAAGGTTGAGGTTTGAAAATAGTTGGAGGTAAAGTTTTGATACGATTATGGGTAATATGACCATCTTCAGGTCTAATACAACCATAAATTAATTGTTGGTAAGTTTCTCTATTGAAGAAACTATCTTTATTAGTTAACCAAACACCGGCACTAATATGATCTTGAATTAACCCTCTTAAAGGAGAACCTGAAGTTGGAGTTAAATATTGACTATCAGTGTTAGCTAAATTTAAAGCTTCAGCTTTAGCATTTTCATTTTGAGGGAAATGCATATTCATTTCATCACCATCAAAATCGGCATTATAAGCACCAGTATTAGCATAATGTAATCTTAAAGTTTTTTCTCCTGGTAACACTCTAACTTTATGACCCATCATGGAAGCTTTATGTAAAGTTGGTTGACGATTCATGATAACCACATCTTTGTTCTTAATATGTCTATAAACTTTCTTATTAATAACACCACCAGCATTATCAGGATTTGAAGGAGTTAATAATTGATCAGCAATGGTTTTACGTTGTTCAGTATTCATTCCTATTAATGAAACGAGTGAACCATCTTCATTTTGAACTTGAACTGCTCCTGGCCATTGTTCAGGACCATTAATAACAGCTTTTCTTAATTCATTGATATTATAAGCAGTTACAGGTTCAGGATAAGTTAATTTTTTAGCAAATACTGGAGGAACACCAATTTCATTAGTTTCCAACATTGGATCAGGAGAAATAACTGATCTAGCGGCATAATTGACTCTTTTACCCATCATATGTTTTCTGAATAACCCTTCTTTCTTTTCTAAAGCTTGTTTAATACCAGGAGTTGGTAATTTACCAGCAGGAGCATTTTGATTTTTAGTAGAATCAATAAATGCATTAACATCATTTTGAATTGTAACAAAAGAGTTCATTAATCTGTTGAATAAAATCTTTCTTTCATCAATGGTAATTTTATCTTTAGTTGAATTTGAAATTTGATCATTTAAATCTCTAATCAATAAACAAGTCTTCAATACATTTGATAATAATTCATTTTGAGCATTTTCATGGATTTCATCACCTAATTTAGAAGGTAATCTAAATCTTGTTGGTGGTACAATAAGAGTTTTGATGAAGAAGAAATCAGCAGTAATCTTTTTAGTTGGATTTGGACGGGAATTAAATACTTTATTAAGAACATCTTGTTCATTTTCGAAAACTGCATTCAAAATATTATGAATTTCGGTTGATAAAATATATTTTGAACCTTCTTTATGTTTGATATTTGGCATGGTATCACTTTTATTAGAACCAATTCTTAACATATCAGGACGTTTTAAACCCTTAACACGATTATTGGTGATTTGTTTGTCTCTTAAAGAATTTTCAAATAATTTGACAAATCCATCTTTTCTGAAAGTTGGTGAATACATTCCACAATTATCACATCTTGGTCTTGCTAATAATTTTTTATAAAATTCATGAATGGTTAATTTTCTTTCTTCTCCAATAGATGCAGTGTTGATACCATGTTCACTGGTTCTTCCTTCACTTAAAGCTTTAGCAATACTTTCATCAACGAAAAATTCTCTACGTTGAATTAAATCTCTCTTTAATTTAGGATCAAGAGATTTCTTATTACCATCATCTTCAATAGCTTCATCATCATCATCAAGTTCATCAATACTTCCTTTAACTAACATATTGTCCAATTCAGTACATTCTAATAATAAACCATATTGAATTAATCTTAATTTACAACTGTATCTATGAACTTCTAAGGCATTCAATTTGAAATGATGACAATAAAGACATGATGATCTTATATATAAGAATAATTGATTAAAGAATAATGGATTATAAACAGCTATAGGCAATTCTATATGACCTTGATGACCAGGACAAAATCTATCATCTAATCCACAAGTTGTACATAAATTTCTTAAGAAAGCACCTAATGCTAAATCATAAAGACCTCCACTTATTGGATGACCCAAATTGTCAAATACAATGGGATTGGTGATTTGTTTGGCGGATAAGTTTCTAATCTCTTTATCCAGTAACACACCGAATTCCACCGATGTGATTTCAGATCCTACAGGTTTAGAAATATCCATCGTTAAGATGAGAATGAGATTTGAAAATTTTGAGATTTGAAAAATTTTCGATGCTCATCTACCGATTAGATGTTACACAAAATTGACAAAATAATGTTACACAAAAATTACTAGGATATTATCACACCCAAAAAAATGAATCAGAGACCTATTTAAACAAGAGTTTAAATTATAAAACGTTTACAAATACATTCCTAATGTTTACCAAAGATACCTTTAACACCTCCAGTAATACCTTTAACACCTCCACCAACAACTGTGGCACCAGCTCCAAGACCCTTTCCGACACCTTTACCAACACCTTTACCTACACCTTTACCAACACTTCCTACAGCTCCAAAAGCATCTCCGATTTGAGTATCAGAAGCTGGTTTACATGAAATGATGAATTCAGATTTGAATGATAATTTAACAAATACTGAACCACCATCGGCTTCAGTTTCAGTGAATAACGGTACTTCAATTTCTTCATCAGGGTGTTCAAAATCAACATCAGATAAATGAATATATCCTTCAGCTAAAAGATCATCTTGTTCTGGACCAATATCCCAATCGAAGGCTACAATTCTAAGGAAAGAATCGTATTTATTGACCACATCAACAGTACCACTTTCATTACTCCATTCAGGATCCAAAGTCTTTTTAACCTTTTTGGTTTTCAAGAATGAATCTTTATCGGTATTCAAATGAACTTCAACATAAGGATCAGATTTACCATTAGAATCTCCAGCAATGAAGTTAGTACCTCTCAATACTTGGATAGTTAATTTACCACAATTATCAATAGAATCTTGTGGAGGTAAACCGGTTTCATAAATAACTGGGATCCATTGGAATTGTACTTGGAAATCACCTTTTCCTCCATCTCCTTGTAATGAAATATTCATTGGTTTTTCATAACCATTTTGTACAACTTGCATAGTTGGTATGGTGGTTTCAGCGATACATTTTTCCATTCTGTTATCTTCTTTATCTTTGACTAATCTGAAAGTTACAGTAGAATGTTCTAATTCTTTAACTGTGGCATCACCTGAACTAGCAACATTAACTTTACCTGATTTCAATTTTTGACTAACAAAATCATAATGAGAATGGTTATCGAAGAATACTTGTAAGTAACCATCTTTAGTTATCTTACCATCTAACATTTCATAAACCAATACACCACTTTTATATTCCATTAATTGTTCTAAGGATAATTTCAATCTGGCAGTTTTTTCAGGTTTCTTACTTTCTTCTTTACCTTTACCTTCTTTTTTAGCTTCTTTTTCTTTAGCTTCCTTTTCTTTAGCTTCCTTGGCTTCTTTTTCCTTTTGTTCCTTGGTCTTTTCAGCTTCTTCTTTAGCTTTCTTTTCAGCTTCTTTCTTTTCAGCTTCTTCTCTTTCCCTTTGTTCATTTAATGGAATGATAGGTAAAACAGGATAGAAAGCTAATGAGTAAGTAACTAAACCTTTTGGTCCTAATTTCTTGGTAATCAATTTACTTTGTCTCTTTTCTGTATCAACATGTTCAATATATTTATTCATTTCATTCTTACTAATGATTTCATTCAATCTAACATCAAAAGAACCTAAAGTTCTATCAGCTGAACGTTTTTCAACATCCATAGCTTCAATAGTTAATAATTGATTTGGTGAAGATACTGAACAATAGAAAACTTCATTCCAAGTTGGATTCAAAGTAGATTCTGCGGCTATAGTTCTAGCCTTTTGAACCTTATTAATGAATACTCTGGCATAAGGATCAATTTTCCCGATTCTTTCCAAATTAGGTAAATCTTCGGCACCTTCAATTGATACTCTAACAACCCCAATTGGTGGGGTGAATCCTGTAGCATCTTTCATAGAAGTTTGTAATCTAACTGGTTTCCAGAAAGCATTGATTCTAACTTCTCCACCAGTTGATAATCCAAACCATGTTTGATTTACTTGAGAGGCATCAATTAATTCATTCAATGATGAAGTAACTGAACCTAAGAATTCACCACTTTTATCCTTCAAGATAAATCTAACATTGGCTTTAGCACGATTATAAACAATCTTTTCATAAACCAAGCCAAATGATGGATTATTTGATTTACCCATAACATCAGATGTTAATACTTTTTCACCATTATAATAAACTTCAGCAAAGGTAGCAATTGGTTTCTTTTCATCGGAGTTGAAGTTACGAGCTTCAGCAATCTCAATTCTTGCAATACCAGTATTCAAATCAGGTGGTGGGTTAATAGCTCCATCAGGAGATCTGGTAGATTCTAAAGTAGGAGTAAATTGTAAACCAAAATTTAAATCTCCAACAGGTTTATTATTTCTAATGAAAGGACTACTAATATCTGGTTGTTTAGGATTATCTCTTAAAGTTTCCAAATCAAATTGAACTGATCCCAAATGTCTGTCTTTTCTCTTTCCATTCCAATCGTAAAGATCAATACTTAAAGGTTCGGAGAATGATTTAACTGTAATATAAGTAGTTTCATTCCAAACTGGTTTAGAAGTATCCATAATATGTTTAGTTTTACCCAGAACTTTACCATTGAATCCATAAGTTAAATAAGGATCTAAAGTATTACCAATGGTAGAGAAACCTTTGATATTTTTACCATTTTTGGCAGTGATAGCCAAAACCCCAATTGAAGTATCCAATGGGAATCCAGCAACTAATTGTTGAACATTCAATTGAAATGATAATGGTGAATATACCATAGCTCCAACGTATTTCTTAACCAAATCATTAATAAAAGGATAAACACCAGGGATATTCAAAACTTCCCAATGGAAAATAGAATCTCCTAATAATCGAGAATTGAAATCAAATTGGAGCGGCTCAATTAATGACACATTAACGGTTTCAATGTGAGGAAATGATGTCATCATTCTTAATCTAACTCTTAACATAGCTCTATAAGAGACATCAGATACTGAAACTGGGATAGTTAAACCAAATAAATTAGCTTTAACCACAATCTTTTGGTTGACGTTATTCTTTAATTGTTTAGTATTAGAATCTGCTAAAGCATTAGGAATAAATGAAGTATCCCAATCCATGACCACAACATCATCATTGGTTCCAGGTAAGGTCTTAACGGCATTGATTCTAGGAGGTTTAGTACCAGCAGTAAAAGAATCAATCCACAAAGATTTAATAAAAGCAGGTGCTGGTGATGAAGCTAAAATGGGATTAACTTGATCACAAACAATTTGGGAAATTGATGGTTCTAAATAGTACCAGAATTTTTCCAAGAACACGTTACACCAATCCATAGTTTCATAATCACTTTCAATTGATTTGATAGAAAATTCTCTTTGTGCTTGTTGTCTTACCACCGTTCTATATTTTCTAATAGATGTACGGTATAAGATGGTGAAAATAGTCATGATAAAGAACATTGGAGCTAAGGAGAATTTGAACCATCCAACAAACCATGATAAGAAAGAAGCCAATACTAAATAAGCTACATTATGGTACCAATCACCATAAGCAACTGCTGGTAAATATTGATCAAAAATTGATGATTTAGATAACAAATCCGTAATTTCATCATCTAAGGTTAAAGCATCTTCAGCTTCCCAACCTCCTACTTCCTTCCAACCTCTATAAGTTGGCTCAACAGGTTCTCTTGGAGGAGGTTTCAAGTTTTTAACCTTGGATAAATCATAATCTTCACTAGGGACTAATTCAATGGATGCAATAGAACTATTCATATTGGATTGAGTCTTGGTAGCTTGTCTTGAAGTAGCTTTTGATTGGGTATTTGTCTTCTTCAAAACCTCCTTATTGATAGGCTGAGGTTGACGAGGAGCTTCAACAACAGGTGGTGGTTGTAAAACCTCATTAGGCTGATAATTAGTATGTGAATTTTTAATATAATAAAACGAAAATTTTTCCAATAAGGATGAAACCTTCATGACGACAGTGGCGAATTGAGGTCTCTGCCATCAATTCTATTCAATAATACTTACATTTTGTGACATCCTTCAATAAAAGTGTTCGTTGAAGTTTTGTTGCTTAGGAAAATTTCAGGTACCGCAACCTTTTTCATCGAGACGTCAATATACCGGATCGAGGATGATTTGAAATATGGACTTAAATTAGTGAGAGTTTGTACCAGACGGTGCGACAAGGTAGGAAGCAATAGAGATATTACCGCGACAGTTCTGGGGATCATACCGCGATGATAAATCATACCGCGACGATTAATGGAATATAGTGTGAAATCTCCGCGAGACAACGGTATGAAGTTACCGCGATATTTATATTAATCTAATGTTACAGGATCTTCCCAACTTCCTGTACCTGTGGTGGTAGGAGGATTTCTTTGAGGAAGATTACTTTGAGATGGATTTCTTTGAGATGGGAATTTTGCTGGAGGCGGTGGAATTTTTCCATAATCCTCTTCTTCTGTAGAATCGTCCAGAAACCCTGGAATTTCTGAATTCATCATATTGAATGATGGAAGTTGTACGTTATTTGAACCGTTATTGTCAAACCCTCTTAAAACCGGTAACACGACATCTTTCTGTTCAGGGACATTTGTATCAATCTCATCATCCGAATCTAACATTACAACTTCATGGCTTTCCTCCTTCTTGGGTTGTGGTAAATCATCCACAATTCTATAATTGGCCATATCCAAAAGTTCGATTCTATTTATATCCATAGGTGTGGTCTTTATGAAATAATTGATGATATCAGAAATGAAAAGTTGACTTAACTCAAACGGATTATTACAAACTGGACATTTGTATGTGGGATAATGAGGTTGATTTGCTACTCCAACATTTTTGAATTCGTTGAGTCCAGGATTATAAATGAAATTCTTTGTCAATTGTACTATGCTCATGGGGTTAAAATCTTTGCCAGTATTCTGAAGAAATTTATCTCGTTTCTTTAAATCAAAGCTTTTACGGATCAAATCTTTTTTTAAGATACTCTTGATCCCATGGGGGATTTTGTTGAAAACACAGAAATTTTCGAAATCAAAACATTCAAAGTGACTACAGGTAATAGATTTTACTGGTAATTTGATCTTGGTAGCACTCAAAGGATCTCTCAAAGTGAAGATAATTTTTTCAATCATTTCAAGATCCTCTGAACTCTCGTTAAGAAGTCCGAATTCTCTTTTTAGTACTATTGTTAAGTTGGGAGGTATGCCTCTATAACCTGGAACTGTGGATGGTTGTTTACTTGCCTGCAAGTTTGGTTGTTCAGGTACTTCTTGTTTGACTTCCTTATCTGGTTCCGTTATCTGAGTATTGTTATTGCTTTTAAATGATGAAAATGTGCTGGAAGGACGTGGACTGTATTTGAGGGTAACATTCAATGATTTAGGTTCATCATCTGTTTGGGTAGACTGTTTAACGGGAGTTCGAGGTAGTATACTATCGGTGGTTAGCGCTTGGTTCAACTCATCTTCTAATGAAGATAAGTCAGAATCTTCCAAGTCTTCTAACACTCTCTTGGGGAGCCGTATCCTTACATGTATTTGTTTTGTAGTTTCAGATACAACCGAAGTCACAGAAACCTTATTACCTTTAGATTTCTTGAACTTCACTAGTAGTGGCATCTTGGGTAGATTGTGAGAAAAATGAGATTTTTAGAGGTGGTAACGAGTCCATTGCCTACTCTGAACTGTCAGTCTCTAAGAGTTTTTGCTAAGACTACTTGCCAAGATTCCTTAATAAGACTTATCTCCAAGGCTAATCACTGAGTCTACTCCCCAAAACTATAAAGAGCTCCAATAGCTATATACATTAATTTTCTAATTGCAATTCAATGGTATCATTATAAGTTTGGGATAATTCATGAGATAACAAATCAGTCAATCTACCATTATCTCTCAACGATGCCCATTTCCCATTGATGAGGTCATATCTGTTTGGTCCACTTATGGGTGAACTCAACCAAATTTGCTTATTTGGGGGTTGTCTATTGATAACATAAGTACCATTCTTTGTATTTAAAGTCAAAACCCCTTGTGATAAATCGAAATCCATATCAGTATGATCTTCTGAAATTAAATCCAATTCGTCTCCTAAATCTTCTAAATAATCATTAGAAATTCTATTATACTCCATATCTGATATATCATCGATCTTCCCATCAATCTTATGTCCCATTCTATCAGCAGCATAATTTCTCATAAATATCTTATTATTGAGGCCTACAGCACTTTTAACAGCCATTGTACCATTATATCCGATAATCCCGCGGTTTATACCTCTGATTCCATGGTGGATGGTGATAGATCTTAAACTACTTAATCTTCTCATCATTATTTTCGCACAAAATATAATTGGTTCTAATGTTCTTCACTATATTGTTGTTTGCTGCCATTATGGTGGGAATCATCATATACATGCCATATGCTGCTAAATTAGCTACTTATAACTATGAAAAACAAAATAAGAAAGAACAAAGAACTTCGAAAAAGGTCCAACAACCAACTTATGGATATCAACCTCCAGATGAAGTTTTACAAAATCAAGATGAACCTCAAGCTAAATCTAGTGGGATCAAAAAGATAACTATTGATGATATTCCTATCAAAATGAGAGTTAATCACCCAACTTTGAAGAGAAGATCAGAAAAATTAGATACTGATAGAAACCCTAATAATTATGATTATGATTTAGATGATCTAATAAATGAAAGAGACGAACCAGAGATTGAACAACCACAAAAACCTTTCAGTAAAGAAATCGTTTAGTATTCATTATCTTCCTTATATGATGTTCTAATCTTGATAAAGTTCACATAAGAAATTATATTTTGCATGGTTAATTTCATTAATAATTCCAAAGTCATGGGTTGAGGATCTTCTTAGTTCTGTTATATAATCGAATAAACCATCCCATTCTCCCTTGTAGTGACTCTGAATGGACCTCATAAGAGAATCCGATAGTTTCACTTTATTCCCGTTACCTGATCCATGAGCAAAATCTTGATCAGTGATATAATTCTGTTCGAAGCTTTCAAGTAACTTTTTCATTGAAAGTTTCAATTGATTTCCGTCCAAATTCAGTTGAAATAATTTAAGAAATGTATTGGTGGATAAGGGGACTTTGAAATGTTCCATCACTTCAACAACTCTTAGAAGTTCTGATGATTCAGTATAATGGTTAAGTAATGGTTTGAATGTCTGTTCATTAGGTATGATAGATATATCTTCCAAATCTATGATTTTCCTCAAAGTGTCGTAATAATGTAGATATAAGTGATTATCATAAGTATCTGATTCCTCAATGGCTTCGAACATTCTGACATACCCCCAAGCATCATCTATTTGGTCGAACCGTACTAAACCACTGATTATTTCGTTAATAACACTAATATCCAAGGGGAAATCAATGGTCTTCAAGGTAACATTGAAAGCTATTTGATCATTGAAATGCTTGAATCCTTTGAGAACACCTTTGAAAGTATCTCTGTTAGGACTTTGAATTCTTTGTTTCACATCATCAAATATCTTTCTATTTCTATGCATTATGGCGATATCTATGATATTATTCAATGAATTAATATCGTTCAATTGTAGATTCTTATAGAATTCCCAGGTAAATTCACTCTCCGTATAATCCATATCCATCAATTGTAATGATTGTTTGCAAACTTCTAGAATATCAGGTGAATCCTTGTAAAATATATGGTACAATATAAGGTTCTGTTCATGATTGGATATTGGTAACCCATGAGCTTTGAAATCATCAACTATTCTTTTAATCATATCAATACTATGAGATCGTTTCTTTTGTTGATTCAAGTATCCCATAGCTGTCTTTTTACTTACAGTAGAATCGTAATTAACTATCCTCGAAGGTCGTTTCAAATTATAAGGGTTTATTAGTATCTTCATTATTTGATTTATATGTTGAGGTTCAATTGATGGTATACCTAATTTACAATAGTTATTGAATACTTGGCTCCTATAAGGACGATTTTGAATGGGTAAGGCGTTAATATTAGTGGACTTTGATGGATATAATGCTCTCAATAATGTGTTTGGGGTAGTTACTTTATTTGGCCTACTAGATAAAATCTGGACTCGTTCATTCTCTACTGCCAAATTATCGTTATAACTATCTTCCAACTTCCATAAGATCATACTCTTATCGACCCCAAGAGCTTTGGAGATCCATGGGCCTCGAGTTTCAATAGCGGTATGAACTATATTCATTAATCGCCCCGTCATATCATATTTTGCAATCTTCGCATTGAAAATTTTTCAAGACATAATGAAGATTCAAAATCATACACAAAAGATTATCGAGAGAACTTCATCGTTTTTGAAGTCTGGAGTGATAAAACAGAAACCTGCTTGGTATGATGTTGTTGCTGCCCATCCACCATCAACAGATTTGACAAAAAATGCCAAAATTTTGGGCTATTCTAATTATCAAGATCCTTTAGAAACCAAAAGATCAAACCAAACTAGAGTTAAAAGTAAGAAGATTGATAGTTCAAAGATCCACGCTATACCAAAAATCAAATTATTTGAAGATCAATTAAGAAATTACTTCTATGCCAAACACCCTTGGGAATTTTCTAGACCTAAAATCTTGGTCGAAAATGAAGGTAATGAAACCAATAAATGTGATTGGAGTCATCTTTTACAATTGAATAAACCTTTGGATGGTGAAAGTGTAGTACAAAGAACTTTATGGTTAATCAAAAATGAAAAATTGTCATTAAATGAAGCATATGATAAATCAAGATTTGAATTTTATAATATCAGAATGAGAGAAGAATTACAATCTTTGAATGCTAAAGAAGAAGGTATGATGTATGGATCATTATTTGCTGAAGACAATTTAAGTAAAGGAGTTGCTTTAGAACAAGAATTTGTCGATGATTGGGCCAAATTAGCTTCTGAACAAACTCAAATCTTCCAAACTACCAGATCCACCAATAAATTTTCTGATTCCGAAGGAAATGAACCAAGTAAATCCTTATTCGAATCTAATAACGATATCGAATATGGTGATAAAAACTAGTGTATAGATTATGTAAATAGAGAATTAACGAAATGCAGTATACATTACCTATATGAGGGTTCGACAATTCAAGCATGAAAATTGGCAATGTCACAGATAGTTATTATTCATCTGTTTTCTAATCTTTATAAATAACCCATATATCCAACTATTAACTTGAATTTATCATTATAAGTACAATTAATGATGATCATGAGGTTTGTGAGTTAATTGTTCATATCCTTTATAAATCAAAAAAGCTGCTAAACCTATACCGAAACCTGGGAAAGCATTTTTGTATCTATTGAATCTGGTGAATTGACCTTGATACCTCCAAGCATCTCTTTTAGCCCAAGGATTACTACTCATTCTGATGTTTGATTTATGATTAGTTTAATTGGATGAAGAATTTTCGCGCAGAAATTGAGATTTTTGGCTGCGAAGTTACGGCCCTTGAATTTGACAGAAAGACCTTTATGTTAGCTGAGATTTGATGTGCTACTGTACTGTCGGGGTGTTTAGTGTTGGAACAATGGGATTTGCTGTCTATTAATTTGTTCCGGAGGTTGTCAGTGGGTCTTTAGCAAATAATTTGAGCTTTTTCAATAAATTTGACTCTAAGAACACACCTTATGTCCATAAATATGCCCGGATATCTATGAGAACGTATCGTAGCACCGTCAAACAGCCCAACCGACTCATTAAATGTTCTCGCCGTTGAACCCTTGTCATTCCCCTGACATTCAACGTAAGCCTCATTAAAATGTTCTCGCCGCAAACAATTGAATACGAAAACTTTAATTCAATATGGGGGACGATAGGGACCAATCTTCAAGCCAATCACTAAGAGATGAAGAAATCAATGATATGAATAGAGAATTGCAACTTGAAGCTCAAGGAGATATCGAATTGACTGATAGTGAAGGAGAAGATGAATTTATTAGGAAATATGGAGATGTACAATTTCAATACATCAAAAGACCAAAAGATGCCGTTTGGTTTATTAAACCCCATGCTCTTAATTACTTCAAAGATGGAGTTTTGTATAGAACTAAGGGTGAAAGGTCATCATCTAAAACAGAATTATTCTTAGATTTGATGTATGTGGGGATAATTGCCAATTTAGCAGGAGATGCCACTGAGAATGCAAGTTGGGGTGCTTTACTTAAATATATTTTAGTGTTTATTGGAATTTGGACAGTTTGGTGTGATATCAAGGATTTTACCAATTACTATTACAATGAAGATTTATCCCAAAAGACCTATATTTTATGGATTTTGATCTTATTAACAATTATCTGTAATAATACTGCCAACCTTTTAGAAGGTAGAAAAGGTGCTGAGTATGTAATAATTCCTTATATTCTTTGTAGATTTTCATTATGTATTTCCAATTTCGTTTATTCCTTTTGGATAGAAGAACATAGAGCTCAACAAAGATTATATAGTGCAACATTATTTGTTACTTGTTGTCTTTGGATTATTGTTATCTTTGTTGATACCAGAACGAAGATAGCATTAAGTTTTGTGTTTTACTTCTTGGAACAACTTTCATTTATGGTTTGTTACCATCCAAGAACAAAAAAGTTAATGGGATTAACTACATCAACTGCCTTAAATATAGAACATGAAGTAGAAAGATTTTCTGTTTTTGTTACTATTGCCATTGGTGAATATTTGTATAAGATCGTTGCTGATAGTCCTTTAGGTGCCGAAATTCAAGATCACTTCTGGAGAGGTATTCTTATATTAATTATAGCTTATGTCATATTTTGGATTTATAATTATGGTTCAACATCGAAGAAAGCCACTCATGCCTTAAGACATTCTGGTTTGAGAGCAATTGCTTGGATCTATGCCCATTTACCTTTGGTTGCAGGTATTGTGTTATCAGCAGATGCTGCAGGAGATTTATGTAAACACGATGAAATATCCATCATAGAAAGACGAGAAGAAGAAGGAGGAGGAATTGAAGAACCAGAGGAACCTTCAATTCAAGCAGTGAAATTTTTCTTCACTGGGGGAATTTTCGTTGCACTCTCAGCCTTAACACTCTTAGGTTTCCTTGATGAACCTAAAGATAGTAAGGACCTTCATATTGTCAGTCGTTTTTGGAGAGTTATATTTAGATTCCCAGCTGGGGTTATCATCTTATGTTTACCATTTGCCGATATCTCCATTACATTATTGTTAGGTATCACTACTATCGTATTGGTAGTGCTTTTAGTTTGGGAAAGTGTTACTTCAACTCCACGGAAATGTTTACCAGGATATTCATAATTCTAATATAAATTTTAATCAACCTTAAAATCAAAATTCTTGTCTCTGATTACATAAGCCGTGGTTCCTTAAACCTCACAAGGCCGCCCTCACGTGACGAGCTGACCTTAAAACCGCGAATGTTCAGCAACCGATAAATTGAAATTAATTTCAAACCTTTAAAACACCGACCCTATATGAGTAAAAAGCTATCGTCACCGAGAAATGTCAATTCAATAACAGGAGGCTTAAGCCGTTTTATTGTGTTGTTTAGTTACCTCCCTAAAATTATTACTGCTTTACCAATTATCGTCAATGATCGATCCATTAATCATATTAAGACCCATAAAAAGGAACCTATGTCTACCGAACAATTAGTGTTTGAACTTATTATTTCAGCCGTTTTGGTGTTATTAGGTGGATGTTTTGCCGGATTAACTATTGGACTTATGGGGCAAGATGAAGTTTATTTAAAAGTTTTGGCCACTTCAGGAGATAAAAACGAAAGGAAACATTCAAGAAAAGTTTTAAGATTAATCAGTAGAGGCAAACATTGGGTTTTAATCACATTATTATTATCTAATGTTATCACCAATGAAACTTTACCCATCGTTTTAGATAGATGTCTTGGAGGTGGATGGCCCGCAGTTGTTGCCTCCACAGCATTAATTGTTATCTTTGGAGAAATTATTCCTCAAAGTATTTGTGTTCGTTATGGTTTAGAAGTCGGTAGTTACTGTTCACCATTTGTGTTATTATTGATGTATTTCATGTATCCAATTGCTTATCCAATTGCTTTATTATTAGATAAAATTTTAGGTGAGGATCATGGTACCGTATATAAAAAATCCGGTTTAAAGACTTTAGTTACCTTACATAAAACCATGGGGGTAGAAAGATTAAATCAAGATGAAGTTACTATTATTTCAGCTGTTTTAGATTTAAAAGAAAAATCCGTCAGTACTATTATGACTCCTATTGATAGAGTGTTCACTATGAGTGCCGATACGATCTTAGATGAAAAGACTGTAGAAGATATTTTCAATGCCGGGTTTTCTCGTATTCCTATTCATTTACCTGGAGAACCAATGAATTTCATTGGTATGTTATTAGTTAGAGTTTTGATTTCTTATGATCCGGAAGATGCTTTACCTGTAGCTTCATTTCCTTTAGCTACATTACCAGAAACTGGTATTGATACTTCATGTTTGAATATTTTGAATTACTTCCAAGAAGGTAAATCTCATATGATTGTAGTTTCAGAAAATCCTGGTGAACCTTTTGGAGCTTTAGGAGTTTTAACTTTAGAGGATGTAATTGAAGAATTAATTGGTGAAGAGATTGTTGATGAATCTGATGTTTATGTTGATATCAATAATAACATCAAAAGATCTCAACCAGGACCCTTATCTAAAAGAAATTTAACTGGTTATTTACATAACTTATACCAAAAATCAGCATCAGTTTCCAAAAGAACTTCCATTGATAATACCGATCCAATTTCTAAGGATCAATACAAACCTGGTTTAGGATCACCAAAAGGTGGTTATGTTCATGATTCAAGTAAAACTTGGAAACCTATTAACCCTGCTGATAATCCTATTGAAACCAATAAGAGTTTCGTTACTATCAAAAGGCCGGATATTGAAGGAGTTAAAAATCTCGTATCCAAGGACAAACATACTGTTGCTGTTCATGAAACCGAACAAGGAGCTTTAGATCATGCTAATGATAATCATGTTGATGATCAAGTTCATTCCATTAATATCGCCAATGGAAGTAATGGTAAGAAATCACGCCAAGGGTCTTCATCTTCTGATCATAAATTCTTATTACCTAATGAAAGAGAAGCCGATATTAGTGATTTTGCAGGAGGATCATCAAACAAGGCTCAAATATCAGAAGTCAGATCTTATAGAACCGGTGGTATTGTTGAATCTATTGTCAATGTTCAAGGGGTTCATAAAACCATTATTGAAAATGTTAGTGACGATGAAGGATTTGAAGTTGACGATGGATTCGAAGTCGATGAAGACCAAAACTTATTACCCCTGGAGAATTTTAAAGATAAATTTAAAAGAAAAATGTCTCGTTAGAAATTTACGTTGTTTCAGCCCTCTTCTCTGACATCATCCATCCTTTTCATCCGCAAGAATCGCGGGAAATTGTTAGACTCATCCATAATGAAAGACGGTGATTCTGATAAATCTTATAGATTTTTCTTAAGGAAAAGGGATAGTCATAGTTCATCTACCAGTTCATTGATATCAAGTGTTGGATCTAATAGTAGCAATTCCGATGAAAAGAAAAAGAAACGATCACATTTATCATTAACACGATTTCTTAAAAAGTTCAAACATGAAGAAAAGGAAGAGAAGAAAAGATTACATTTTTTACCTCCTCATAGTTCAGAATTATACAAGAAGTATACAAAAGGAAGATTATTAGGTTCAGGGGCCAGTGGGTCGGTAAATCTACTTCAATTGAAAACTGACCCCACTAAAATCTTTGCTGTAAAGAAATTTCGAAGTAAATTACCCAATGAATCTGAAAGTGATTATAAAGTCAAAGTTAATAATGAATTCAAGATCGGTGAAATATTACATCATGAAAATTTAATTCACACTATAGAATTGATCAAAGAAAGTAATGGAATTTTGAGTAATATAGAATATTATATCATAATGGAATATTGTAAGTATGACTTCTTCAATTTGGTTATGAGTAGATTAATGACAAGCGAAGAAGTCCATTGTTATTTTAAACAAATCATTAATGGAGTGGAATACTTACATTCAATTGGTTTGGCTCATAGAGATTTGAAATTAGATAATTGTGTAGTGAATTCTCAGGGAATATTAAAATTGATTGATTTTGGTTCAGCAGTACAATTTAGGAAACTGTCCACTCATGAAGATTTGACCCCCGATGAAACAATCATTGTGGGAGAAAGTAAATATAAATTAATATTATCCAAAGGTGTGGTTGGTAGTGATCCATATTTAGCACCAGAAGTTTTTGATGAAGAAGGTTATGATGGTAGAAAAGTTGATGTTTGGTCAATTGCAATCATTTATTGTTGTATGATATTAAGAAGATTCCCATGGAAATTACCTAAAACAAGTGACAATTCCTATAAACAATTCATTCAAGATGATAGAAAGTTATTAGCATTATTACCAGAAAATAGCAGGTCAATGATAAAGCGAATGTTAGATACTAAAGACAAACGTATTTTGTTAGATGAAGTTAAACAACATGAATTTTATGAAAAGATTGAATACTGTACTACGGGTAATTCACTTCATCAACACAATTTAGTTACTGAAGAAGAATTAGAACAAATCAATAAGGAGAGGGAGGTTTTAAAAAAATTAAAGAATACAGGTATAGCATAGAAATAAATGTCTATAATTTAAAGTATCTAGAATTCTACAAATGTCTCTCTATGTTAAAGATCTTTATAGAAAATGTCGAAGTAATCCGTTTTTCAAATTAATTCATCACACATCGGTTGGGTTAGTTTAAACCCATAGCACCGCATTCCCCGTTCTTTAAAGTTCGTACCTCAAATTTAGCCGATTTGTGTCCGGAGCAAGACTAAGGCGACCAAAACTGAGCAACCCTTAAAAGGCAAGAAAAGGAAGAAATAACATTTTAAAGATACCGGAATCCTAGGGATAAGTGAAATGATCCCAATATCATCATGTAACAAATGATAAGTGGGAAAAGTTACTTTGTAAATGTAAGAAGTTCGAATGAGCCGAAATCCCCAACACCGCCCTAAATTTTGAAAAAAATGGGTCGCACGATGATATGTCGTTAGAACTAGATCTTATTTCTTTACATTTACAGATTTCTATCGTAATAAAAGAAACACACTACCCAAGCAACTATTACCTGTGATTCATAAAAAATATTCAAGCAATTTTTTATAGAAAAAAATTTTTAACCTTTAAATAAATTGCTTTATGTAATTGCTCATCATCAAGAAGATGATTTATTGTTTGCTTAGGAGTTTATCATTTCCCTACCTCTCTTACCAACACCACTAACCCTAACCTGGAAGGTTCTGTAAATATTTCAATACAGAACAATCTGTTTTTTTAGGATTGCGCATTGCCTAATTGAGCTATTTTATACAAAGAATTAAGGGGGTCTTTAGAATTTTTTTTATCTTTTGTTTAAATGTCTCCAAATTAACCGGTTCCTGAACATTTATAAACCATTTCAAGTCCACAAAAGTTTTAAATTGTTATTTAAATTATTATTTTTTATATATAAGAATCGGAGATTTTCTAGAATTTTTTTTACTTCACAATCCTTAACAAAATGCTTAAAACATTTGACAAACTACTGATAAACACCAACTTAAGTCGTAATAAATCAATACAATCAAATAAATCAACTAATTCAATAAATTCCCTTAAATCATTCAAATCTTCATCATCAATATCATCAACTTCATCCAATGTTTCAAATAAATCAGTTGATTATAAAATACAATCCGCTAGTAGTTATTTAAGTCCAATAGAGCAAAGTCCGTTTGTTCCTAATTATGGGAAATTTAAATTTCTTATAGTTGATGATAATTTAATTAATTTAAAGATATTGTATAAGATATTGTCAAAGATATTTCCAAATGCTAAGATTGTCAAGTTATCTAATAGTTCAACTATCTTAAAGTTGATTCACCAAGAGAGATTTGACCTTATATTTTTAGATATTGAAATGCCTCCTATTAATGGTATTGATATTTCCAAAAAGATTAGATCAATGAAACATTTCAATAAATTAGGTTTAATAGCTGTTACTACCCGTTCTAATGAAAAAGACTTAAAAATTTACAAAAAGATTGGGATTGATTATACTTTTAAGAAACCTTTGAATTATGGATTGAATATCATTTTAAACCATGTAGAACTAGTTTTGAATTACAGAAAAAACAAATAACCACTGGAGGGCTTGATAAGATTATTCCACCCCATTACAATATTAACAAGGATATAAGCTTACCCACCACAACGATTAATGAGTTACGAAGATATGTAAATTAATGTACTATAGAATTTTTTCGCGTAAATTTCATCTAAGCGCGACACCCGACATCCACATTTCGTATTGAAAAGAATGACTAAGGCGTAGAGCAATTGACCCCGCGACATCCGACATTATTACTAGAAACAGGCTAATTACTCTCATCACATGATTTACTTCCGATTGTTACTTTATTGTTTCCTATCTATAGAGATAATAGTTTCTTTTGGTGTTTCATTATTAGACGTGATAATGAAATGAAACTATTGTACCTGAAATTAAATTCAACATAACAAGTAGATTTATTTTCAGGCAGGGTCTATTACATCAGAATTTGAGCAAGCTAGATTTTCATCACCTTAAGGTTCGTCTAATGACGACAACTTGTCATTATTGGTTTGACGAGTTATGAGACGAAGAAGTTTATGTGGGGAGATGTGCAGTGTCAAAATTCATTCCAGTCCCTGGATTTCCCATTCGTTTCATTTGGTTGTCATGTTCACACTTCTGTAATCTTTCTTTCTTAACGAATCGGGCCGTAAACTGTCAGATCGCGCAAACATCACAGAATGATTCTCAAAGTAAAAACATCTGAACCTAGAGACGCCTTACAGCTGGAGAGAACCTGCTTATCGTTTGTTAGATTTTCAACCACATTGTTCATTACATCATTTGGAATTCTTTTAAATTTCAAATTGGATTCCAATTCATCTAATAATTTGAAAAACAATTTCCTTAATTCTGAATATACCAAAGCTTTAACTTACTTGTTAGTATGTATAAGCATTTTGTTTTTAGTAGGTAGTTGTGCTAGTTATCTAGTCACTATAAAACGTTATAAAATGGGAAGTATAGATAATTTCGGATTTAATAATATCTACAATGGGATTTTGATGGGGGTCTTCATTCTAGTATTAATTTTCATCAATATTTCTTTGATGGTTGACAGTTATAGACAATCAGGCTAGATCTAGAATCATTCCGGAACATCCTTGACCCTTGAAGTCTAGATAAGTATCCTTCAGAATGTCTGGACGACTTTATTTGAGAACATTCAGAGTTGAGAACGGTAATGAACTCAGGTGATGGTTCAAAGGTAACCGTCCGAGAGATTCAAAATGAGGTAATGATCTTTTTTACGGGTAATGCAAGTTTAATGGTTAATGCTTCCTCTCTATCCACTTAACCACTTAACCGGATACGTTGTCGTGTATCACAGTTATCTCAAGACAAGTACCTGGCATTGATGAATTCTGATACAGAGCTGTTACAGGCTTTTCACCTACTCTTTCTCCGTGTACTTGCCTATGCACTTGAATAGCCATCCCACTAAGTCCGAATCATCGTATTTATCGCAAACTACGAAAATCTCAATCTCCATATTTTACCCAACAGACAATGGCTATTTCAACCTCAATTACTCCTGATTACTCCAAAGGTGCTCCAGTTTCAACTGCCACTCCAGTGTTCACTATTACAATCAAAGTCCAAAGTTTGAATCAAGCTACAGAAACTCCTTCATCTAATCATGTATTAGTTTACGTTGTCATTGGTGATGGTGAACTTACCACTATTCCTAACTCCAAGAATTTAAAAATTGCTTGTAATGGTATCACTGGTACTGACAAAATTTCTGTCAATCTTAAGAACAGTACCAGAGTTTTAGATTGTGATTTATTCGGTAGAACGCCTAATGGATCCACCATTCAAATTTACTACACAGGATTAATCCATGAAAATGATAAATTGAAAGCATTTGAAAGTGGTGAAAGCAATGTTGCTGACTTCAATGACTACAATCATTTCAACTATCCTCAATTCAAATTGGGTGATGGTATTGAAGATGAATACAAATGGTTAGCTGAAAACTCCTTCATTGGTCAAGGAAGATTCATCAAAGATGAAGAAGGGAGCGCTTACGTCCAATATGTTGTATCCATTCTTGAAAACCCATAAGTTCAAAATACTATCCAGTAGTGAATGTATGTTTAAAGATCTCTAGAGTTGCAAACGGTATAATTTTAGTGTGAGTACCAAAATAGGGTTGTCCGCGATTGGTTGCAAAATGCTATGACCTTTAAGGACGCTTGGAAGCCGACCTTTCAGTAATTGCTTACTATACCGTAAATCAGTGGAGTTATTGGTGGAATATTTCGGAATTATATAGCCTTTTTTTAGAAGTCTTCGTATAGGCAAAGTCATGAGAGGTCCATCTCGGTCGTTTAAAAATCTTACTTATAGTCATTCACGACTGAATCCCCTATTCATTCTCCTATCCTAATAGGTTCCTCTAATTTCAGAAACATACTATGGGTTTGTAATGTACCGAGGTGGGACACAATAAACAGACCATTCAAAAGCTTTAAAATAACGCCCTAGTGAGAAACTGTCTAAACCAATGTTGAGAATCGGAACAAACATGAATTCTATCCGATACGATTTATTCCACACAGAAATCTATACAATGTTACATACTGAACAATTGAAGTGCCTCTCAAAATAAACAACTCAGATGAAATTTACCACCTCTAGTATTAAATTACTACCTAAAAAAGAAATCCTACATACTATTTAGTCTTACAATTCATCTTCCTGCAAATAAGTGATCAATCACACATCATGTAAATAATAACATTACATTTTGCTGGTTATTTACAACTGTTGGTATTGGTTGCAAAATTGACGAAAAGCCGTTGAAAAGCGTGTACTCACCGTAAATATTTTAACAAAAGAGGGGCATAACCAATGACATGTCATGGTTTTCCAATGCAGACCAAAACAGTTTGCGGCTCTGCGAACAAAAATTTCAAGAAAGGAAATTCATAACATAAAATCAGTAGCTCAATTTCCCTATGCAGAATAACCGTAAAGTATCCCTTAGACCAAGGGGATTTCCGTTACGGTTTTTTTTGTTTTTGCCATCAAATTAATAGGAGTAGAAAATAAAGAGGGTGATTTTAAACACTAAAATTATTTATTCATAAATCATAAAAGGAAATCGTTATACAAAAATTTATTGCTACCAATCATTTGAGTTGGATTGGATAAGGCAAATTCATTCAAAATCTTACAATCATCAAATTGAGGTTTCAGATTAGACAAGTTCAAGTAATTATTTTCTCTAAAATTGAAACACATCTTTGAATTTTGAAGCATTGGTGAAGTCTTTGGAGTTTGAGCTTCTTCTTCAACGGATGAAATGGAAGAAATTGATGATATAGAAGATTTCTCTAATTTCTCTTTTGAAATTTCAACATCGGAACTTTCAATATTACTGATAGGATCTAATGGATCTAAATTATCGAATTTTTCATTATTTGAATCTAAAGGATCAATAGATTTGTCATCTAAGGCAAACAACTCATCAAAAATATGAGTCTTTGGCTTTGGATTGAAATTTACCGATTTAAAAAATGGTACTTGAGGTCTTGTTTCATTATCATTATATTCGTTATCACTTTCTTCGTCACTGTCTTCATCATTATTTTCTAATGAGAATTTCATAAAACTATTCTTTGGTCTATTGATCAACTTTATCAAATTATCTTGTAAGATTTTGGTAAAATTTATATCAATTGACTTTATATTCAATTCTTCAACTTCATCATTAATACCATAATCATAATCGTCTTCAAGGTAATTATCATTACTGGTATTATAACTTAACAATTTTTCGACAGGATCTATTCTGTCGTCTATCTTTAATCTCTTACTGTTATCGTTATCGAATTCTTGTGTTCTCTTCATGTTATCTATTAAAATTGTTTAAAATTATGTACAAAAAATTTGGGAAAATGGAAATGAAATAAAACCTATTATAAATATTTAAATCTGAAATAAAAACCTTAATTGACCAATGGTATGTTAATTGAAATGATTGCTTAAACAATTTACTTGTATGTTAAAACAAACCCCAATAGTCAACAATAAAAAGTAAAAAACTATTTAAGTAATTTTCACTGACAACAAATTGAAAGGATCAATTGATTTATTTATACTGAAAAATTTTTCAAAAAAATTTTTCGCCGCTCGAGGACATTTGCGACATCTGCGACATAGTGTCTATACCAGTTTCTTTTTTTTATCCTTCGTCTGCAGAAGTGAGATCTCCAATCTCCGCATAGTTACGTAGTTTATAGTATAGCTATTACTCATAGATTTTGAGAGGAGAAGCAATGTTAGGATATATAAGGGGTCTTATAAGTCAATATCAGATGAATATATGCTTTAGTTGGAGAAAAAAATGAATTTTAGGACTGGAGTTAAGTGATTACGATTGCGCTTCTTATCATTAGGTTTCTTATTTTTATGATCTCAAAAAGGATATTCCATGACCTCATGAGGAAGTGAGAACATATATCCCTAGTTTCATTTCTTATCGTTATGTTTTAAGGTTTAGATTATGCCTCCCCGTGGAAAATGTTCATAGGACAATAGTTTCATTTAGTCAAACCTTAAAAACACCCTCAATGAAATAATGATTGTTTTATTATCTTAGCTTTTAATTACAGTATCATACCATGTTGTTCTAATTAATCATAAAACTTAATTTTATCCAATTACCACATTTGCTATATTTGATCTTTCTAAGGAAACAATTTCTTAACAATAAGGGATGAACCTTTGCGCAATTATTATGTAAGGATTATTTAATGCTTATTGTTTGGATAATTTTTGGAAACATTAGCCATTTACATTTCCCAAGGCAAACAATATCATAATTACAAAATTTAAGTAGTACGGTATGTAATGGCTTATCAGTAGGTTATTTTTTATATCGAATATGCATAGGTATTAAGGAATTGGGTTGAGGTGATATCATCCATATTATAATATATAACTTACTGTGCATTAATTGCGTTAGTGGCAATAGGGGATGATAGTGGAGTAATTTCTTACCATGTGTTGTCAACTTTAAGGTCAAAGCTATTCGCCTGGATATTTGACAACAACTGAAATTCTTTCAGTTCCATAAACAAGGACTGATGAAAAGTCAACCATGAAGTATTTTGACAGCTTTTCACACTTACCAGCCATCTATTCATAATAATAATTAAAAAGGGGTTTGACTTAACTCCCTTAATTACATAATCTCAACGCCCCTCTCTTTGAAGTTGCTTATAACCTATGTTATCTCCACTGCTCATAATAACTCCTAAGTCCATGAAGTCATAAATGCTCACTTGACGTAATATTGAGGGACTGAAAAATCTCAATGAAGATCAGTGTTATTATCCTAATATCATTGATATCGCCCATCTTTTGCTCCATCGGGGATAATCTACCGGAGTTTCAAGAATGTGTAAAATTATGTCAATCATATAAATGTCAAAATAAAAAGATTCATTCTCAATTGACTAATGATTTTAATAAACATAATGTTATATTCCCATTAAATTACTTGTTCTTTTGGGATTGTAATAGTGATTGTGATTATAAATGTCAACAAATCATTACTTCAATAAGATCCCATAATAATCAGCCTATGGTTAAATTTCATGGCAAATGGCCTTTTATAAGGTTTTTCGGTATAACAGAAATAGCATCAACAATTTTTTCATTATTAAATTTCCATGTCAACTATACCAATTTTAAAAATGTCAATCGTCAATATAGAAAGACTGGAAACAAAATGTATTTACAATACTTATATTTACTTACTATAAGTATGGTAGGATGGATATTTTCAACAATTTTTCATATAAGAGATACCTCGTTTACAGAGATTTTAGATTACTATGGTGCTTCATTTATAATATTTACCAATTTTTATGTTATATTAGTACGATATTATAACATTTATTCATCTAGAGAACTTTATATCGTTCAAGGGGTGTTTTTCGTAGCATATTGTTTACATGTATTGAAAATGACTTATAATTGGGATTATAGTTATAACATGATATTCCATCTTATAATTGGTATCTCAGGAATGGTTTTATGGATATTACATTCATTAAGAGTAGCAAGAACATATTCACTGAATTATCAAGTGTTAAACAATTCCATTTCCATATTACCTTATGAAACCAAGATTTTGACCAAATTGAACTTCTTGGGCATATCCAAAAGTAGAAATATTCCATATTTACCTATTTTCTTGAATCTATGGTTAATTGCAGTGATGGGATTCGAAATTGGGGAGTTCACTCCTTGGATGAAGTTGATAGATAGTCATTCTTTATGGCATTTGGGTAGTTGGGTACCTCAATTGATATGGTATGATTGGAACATATGGGATTTAGAAGTAGATAGAGCTTTGCACAAATAGAATATAAATATTTATTATGCTATTAAGGAATGTATGCAAAAAAAAAAAGAACCGAAAACGGGCATGTGATGGAATAATTCAATGATTATTCGATGCAAACGAACTGAAACCAGCTATGACTAATGTGAATAAAGTTTTGAAGACTCTTATACTGATGAAATATCATTCTTCTTCCTCTTGGAACTCTTATTATATGCTATTAATAACGCCATCAAACTCAAGATCCCCAAGATATATAGCCAATTGAAATCGAAATCGTCAGGTGTATCATCATAATTCAAATTGAGTAAATTCTTAAGATTCCCACTTTCATAGAACTCATGTTCTGCTAACACCACTTTATCTAACTCTGCTGCTACCATATTATTTCAATAATTTGTGAAAACTGCGAGATCCCCTTATATATACCTAAAAATAAATCTCATATTTACCATTATAGCAACCACTTCAGGTACCATGAAATATTTTCATTTTGAAAGTTTAATTGTTACTATATTTGAATTGTTATGTACTTTTAGGGAGTTAAGGTAGGGGTTGTTGTGATTACGAAGACCGTTAACACTTACAGTGAGTAGTTACCGTAAGATCTCCATTGCGATATTAAGGTAAAAGTCAATTTCCTGTTTCAGATTTTGATCCCCTGCGATGCTGGTTAATTTAATCTATTGTTAGGAATACCAAAAGATTTCAACAATCCTTAGGTGGTAACACGAGGATCTGGTTGTTGAGTTACTGGATTAGTTAATTGGGACTAGTTCAGCTAAGATGCACTAATTGTGGGCTTAGTTGATGATGTTTCCCGAGTCTCGATAAGGTTTAGGTTTCTTTTTCTATTTACGTCAGGAAGGTAAATACTGAATTATTTATAGCTTATCTAACTATGCTCTGTGAAACTATAAGTGGATACTTAATGATGACATCAGCTCGTGATTGTGTTTTCGTCAAGATCAAGATTAGGTTGGGGGTCTAAGGGTTGGTACGTGGGTCCAGTTTTAAGTCGAGTAGTGGGTACAATATGACTTATGGGTGGAGTCGTGGGTCCAGCTACACAGTTATGTGTTCAGTTGTAGGTCAAATGTAAGTTGCAAGTAGAGATCAGTTCTTCAAACTTCTAATAGTCTTGATAATAGTTCTAATTTCAAGTTGTTCAGTCATCTGCTTTACTATTTACAACAAGATTTCTCCTGCTAGCATAAAAGTCCTTCTCTATTTCCTCAATCGCACTGATTTTGTGCCATCCTTCCACCACCATCTCCTCCCCATCCTTACACCGCCCTTATCATCATTCTTATCAGATCGCACTCCAACTCACCAAATGGGTAACTGTGATGTCAAGATTGAAATAGATAAAACAGCCACCGATGGCGTTTTCACGAACCATGACTTGATATCTGGTACTGTCACATTAACCGTTACCAATACCATTTCTTTGAATTACATCCAAGTCAAATTGGAAGGTATCTCCAAAACTGAATTAACCATTCCCCGAGATGTAAGTAAACGAGAGAAAAGAGATAAAGTACTTCAAGATATTCATAAAGTTTTGTATGATACCTTGATTGTGTTTCCTCCAGAAAATATAAGGAAAGTTTCCAATGCTAAAGAATTCACTTTAACTCCAGGAAATTATACATATCCATTCCAATTCAAAATTCCTTTGAACAACTCATGTACTAAATTATCAGGTATCACCAATAAAGTTTCGTTCAATAAGAAGAATATCAATGTTTCCATCAATAATGGTAACTTCAATAGGAATATGTTGAAGAATATGGCTAGTCAGTATATAAATAACAAATCAAGTGAGAAACCTCCCAATAATGGTGGAATTCCATATCATATCACCAATCAATTACCACCATCCTTAAGTGGTTTAGGGGATTTTGCTTCAGTGAAATACTTTGTCAAAGTGACATGTAAAAGGTCATCGTTCTTAAAGGTCAATTTGAGATCTTTTGATACTTTCATATTCTTGCCAATCGATTTGGATAGTTCCAATAAACCTTTATTCAATTCAGGTGATTTTGTGGAATATAAAGAGATTTTTGTCAGAAAAGATGTCATCTTCAAGAATCGAATCCCGGAAATTGTAGGTATGAAGGTCGAAAAAGAAACCAAGAATCTACCTCCAATCCCATACAATTACCAAAAGAAAGGGTTTTTCGCCAAATTCTTTGATACTTCTCCAAGTTCAACTCCATCCCCAAGCAGGAAGTCCAGTAGTGCATCATTACCTGTTCCTGTACCTGTTCTGGAAGTACCATTTTCATTTGAAGTAAGATTCCGTTATCCATCGTTCCTTATCCCTACAAAACCACCTACCTTCAAATTATATCTCGTGTCGAGTTTGAATCCCTCGATCTATTCCTTGGCCGAATACGGTAAACCTGAAGATAGTAATGGATTAGGAATTGTTTATTTGCAAAGATTGATTATCGAACTTACCGCCACCACCATTATTTCTGTTTTAGAAAATGATGGGATATCTTCGGAAATTCATAAATCACGTCATGATGAAGTTATCCTGTTGGCCAATAATACATATCAAAACTTGAAATTCGATTTAATCAATTGTAAACGAACTAAAAGTTCAAGTTCCACTTCAAATACTAAAGTAAAATCCAATATTTATGAATTAGAGATTCCTAAGAAATATTTCACCAATTGTGTTCTACCTGATCATGTATCTCCATCATTCAAGACTTGCAACATTCAAAGGAAATATAAATTATCCATTATTGGAGGGTTTTCAAGTGAAAAGATTCAAGATTTCAATAATCAAACCGAGATCAATAAGAAAGTAAGATTCGTTGATTTACAGGTTAATGACATTAATATCTTATCGGGATTAGGAATGACATCAGCATTAAATTCGAATTTACAACCTCCACCACCTTTACCAATTAGGAAACTGTCAAATTCTAATGCATCTCAATTAACTCCCCCATCCATACCAACATCAAATTCCGATTCCAATCATAGCTCCAATGATAGTTTACCTCTACCTACTTACGAAGATGTTATCAAAGAATCAAGTTTCCAAAATGATTCGGATCATATTAGAGCTCGAAGAAGGTATCAACAACATCAACAATATTACGAAAATTTAGAATAATTTTAAAATCTAAATATATATGACAATGAAATCCTCTAATCTCTTGGTTTAAATCATTGAACAAATCCCGTTAATCACCTTCCTATAAACTTAAGCAAACTACCCCCAGATCTCGGGTCGTGCCCCTCGTCACGTATTGAGAAAATTTTCAACCAACCACTTGAAAAAAATAACCTCAATATATCAATGGAGAACTCATTAACTCAAAGGAGTAAAACTTTAATCGCTATAGCGGCCGTTGCTGGGGCTGCTGCCATTGGTGCATCATTGTATTATTATTCTACCCCAAGTGTAGAAACTCCAAAAAAGAAAAAAACCAAATCAAAGAAGAAAGAAGAAGAAATCAAACAAACTATCTATCCAGTAGATAAAAATGGTGTACCAACTTTATCAGAAGATGTTATCAAAGGATTGACTGATAAACAAAAAGAAGAATGGTCAATGGCATTAAAAGAAGATGGTAATGCTAAATTCAAAAATCAACAATTTAAAGAAGCTATTGAATATTATACTTCCGCTTTACAATTAAAAGAAGATCCAGTTTTCTATTCAAATAGATCCGCATGTTACGTTTCATTAGAAGATCACGAAAATGTCATTAAAGATACTACTGCAGCCATTAAATTAAAACCTGATTATTCCAAATGTATTTTAAGAAGATCTCAAGCTTATGAAAAAATTGAAAACTATGTTGATGCTATGATGGATTTAACTGCTTTATCAATCTATGGAGGTTTCAGTAACAAATCAGTTGAAGGATTATTAGATAAAACTTTAAAGAAATTTGCCCTCAAATTAGTTGAAGAAAAGATTAAACTTCAAAAACCAGATTTACCATCAGCTTCAGCTATTGGTTCATTCTTTGGAGCTTTCAAATTAGAAACTAATCCTGAAGGAATCAGTGAAAATTCTGAAGGTGGTGATAAATTATTATTCGAAGCTATTAAAAAGATTAAAGAAAATACTATCGAAGGTTATAATGAAGCAGATAAATTAATTGAACAAGCATGTGAAGCTTATGAAGTTTTAACAATTTCTAAAGAAAACCCTTCTGCTTCTAAAGCTACCATTGCTTTAGAATATTCATCATTATTCAAATTCTTAAAATCCTTACCAATTGAAGCTTCTGGTGATTTAGCTAAAGCTTTCAATTTAAAACCAACTGCTAGAACTTATGTTATCAGAGCTATCATAAAAGCTGATCAAAACAATTTCAATGATGCCCAAAATGATTTCAAACAAGCTATCAAATTAGATGGTGAAAATGGTGATGCTTATTACCATGCTGGTCAAATTTATTACTTAAGTGGTGATTTAGATACTGCTTTAGAATACTACGAAAAAGCTAAAGTCCATAATCCTTCAAATATTTTCGCTTTCATTCAAAGTGCTTGTATTACTTATAAATTAGGTAAAATTAAAGAAAGTGAAGATAAATTTACCGAAGCTAAATTAAAATTCCCAACTTCTCCAGAAATTCCAAATTATTATGGTGAATTATTAAGTGATAGAGGTGATGTTCCTGCTGCTTTAAAACAATTTGAAACTGCTGCTAGATTACAAAAAGCTTTACCAAACTTCTCCGTTGGTGCTTTACCTTTAATCAATCAAGCTGCTTTGATTTCTAGAGATAATTTAGAAAAATTCGATGAAGCTGAAAAATTATTAAGAGAAGCTTGTGAAATCGATCCAAAATCTGAATTAGCTAGAATCTCTTTAGCTCAAGTTGTTTTACAAAAGGAAAGTTTAGATGAAGCTATTGACTTATTCGAAGAATCAGCTAACTTGACTAAGAACTTTGATGAAAAAGTTCAAGCCACTCAATTTGCTGAAGCTACCAAGATTCAAAAAAGAATCAGAGCTGATCCTGTATTAACTGCTAAGATTGCTGAAGTTATGAGACAACAAATGGTTGGAATTAATCCTTAAACTTCCCCTATCCACCAATTTAGGTGATGCTTTGTATATAATAAATACTCACTAAACATCGCGCTATGATACCTTTAATCAGATCTATAGTTTCCGCTCCTAAAAAGAGTTATATATCGGAAGACAATGTTAGATTTGATCTTAGTTATGTTACTCTGCGATTGATAGTTTCTTCAGGTCCAAGTTCCAGTTTTTGGAAGTTTTATAGGTATCCTGTAACAGATCTAGTAGAGATATTAAATAAAAATCATGGAGACAATTGGATGATTTGGAATCTTAGAGGTGAAGGAATGGGTTATTTACCTGAAGAAGTTGATGGGAAAGTTCAATGGTTCCCTTTCCCTGATCATCAGGCCCCCAGTTTCCAATTACTCAAAGAATGTGTTGAGAGCATACATCACTTTTTATCGTTGAACCCTGATAATGTAGCCTTGATTCATTGTAAAGCTGGCAAAGGACGAAGCGGTACGCTATGTTGTGGATATATGATGTTTGAGAGTAATTTCAAGGGTCTGACTTTAACAGTGGAAGAGGTTAATGAAGTTTATAGTGATAAGAGAATGAGAATAGGTAAAGGAGTTACCATCAAGAGTCAATTAAGATACCTAGAGTATTGGCACCAGTACTTAACACAACCCAAGTATCAACTTGACTTCAAGGTTATCCCACAAGTTGAATTATCCATAAGTCTTAAAAATGCCGTTAGTTATACTGATCAACGCTTGAAGCTAATCATTGATGTTGAAGGATATGAGGAAAGGTATAAGGGGGTGCGGTTGATTCATTTCCATAGTTTCAAAACTCTGCCGTCATACGGTACTGAAAAGACCCATTCATCAAGTGAAATCATTGTAAAAGATCATGACTTCATCTTACCTTTGATCAACATCAAGTGTCAAGATATCAAAATCAGTATCAACAAATTCATGTTCTGTTGGTTCAACATCTACTTCGAACAAGGAAAGTTTGAATGTTTCTTTGAATCCTTAGACGGGTTCAAAGGCACTAATAATTTGGGGATTAAATTGTTTGATCTGGTGATAGTTTCGTATAGATAATTTTCGCGATCTATCATGGAGGAACTGGTCACTATCGATAGATTGGAAGATCAATTGATAGATCATCCTGATGCTTCTACCAAGCAAGACTTGAGTGGGTCATCTTTAGATGAAACATTTCAGAAAAAATTGAATGAAAGAGCGGAGCAATTATCCAAACAGTCAGAGTTTCAAATTCTTCAGGTAAAACCTGAATTGATCTATAATTATGAAGATTACGGTTCAATGATGAAAGAAATCAATGATTGGTTTTGTTATCACGATTTTAAAGTCATAGGCTTGAAAGAGTTACCCAGGAGGTATAAAAATAGATTACAAGATCAAGACGAATTTGAATATGTCAAGCAATGTGTATCAATTATCACCTCGGAGTCGTTAGATTCTTTAACTTACTATATTCTTGGAGCATTTGAAGGTTTGGATTCAGAAAATGAACAAATCGACCGTATACGGAGTAACAGTCGAGATGTATTGAGTTTCGGGTTATTTGAAATGATCATAACTTTCTTAAAACAGGTTTTCCCTAAAATAAACCAGACCGATGAAGATGATTATTTCAAAGGTTTGACGATTTTTTACTTCTTAATAAATTTTGCCATTTATAATAAAGATTCCAAGTATTATGTTCAAATAAGAGAAACCTTAAAGGAAACAGGAATAATTGATGATATTATCAAAATAATCGAAAAATGGAAGATAAAACCCGATTCTCACTCCAGAGTTCGATATTTGATCCTTATACTATGGAAACTCATACTTATTGAATTAGGTGATAGTCATATGATCAAACAATGTAAAGAATTCCTTAATTCACATCATAATATTGAGAAATCGACCACTAAGAAGACTTCACCTTTAGATTATTTCTCCTTCAGACAAGATGTTATAGATAAATATCCCTTATTCTATGGATCATTTGAAAATCAACTTTCAAAAAATGCTTACGATTTCAAACAGTTTTCAAAGGTTTTGGATGGAGATTTAAGTTCGGATGATAATTCCATTTGTTCAGATAATGATTTTACTGAAGATTATAATTATTTCATGGCTATGAATGATCAAAATTCTCTTTCGAAATATTTATCCACCCCAAGACCCAATAAATCGCATACTGTTCATAGTCAATTACCTGCAGCTACCATTCATTTATCAACACCTGTACCGTCACCGCCCACCACACCCAGTGAATTCATGGCCGGAGGAGAAAAAATAAGGAAATCTTACCAAGTCAATCAGAGTATGCCACTCATTTATCCTAACTTGAATGGAGATTTACCTATGGCCATTAAAGAAGCAGAAGGAATATTGAAAAATTCGATATATGATAGTTATACCAATAAGAGATTATGGGACGAAAGAAAGAAATTCATGGCTCAAGAAAGAGGGTTTATGAATGAATATAAAGATCAAGAGAAAGGAGAATTTGACTATGATGAAGAACTACTCAAGAAATATCCTAACAAATCCATCGAAATTCGATCATTAATCCGTGTTGAAGGTATCTATAAGAATAATTTAGATCGATTGAATAATCTTGCTTCGGTTTTGTTAGATACTATCAAATTAACTAAATTTGAAAAGCTTGAATTCATTGAAAATCAATTAAACGGAGATTTAAAATTCGACCACATTGATGGATCTTCCATTTCTTCCATAAACAAGGTCCTCATTCAACAATTGGAAATGTTAAAAATAAGAGAAATCACTCAAATGGCAAGTTCTTCTATAATCATTTTACTCCTCAAATGGTTTAAACTCAACCATGTTTTGAAATATTATTATTTTCTGTCCATACTTTTTGATCAACACATTTGTACAACTATCATGGAAGTATTGAATAAAAGTTTCAATAATGAAAGCTTTGTTACTGACAAAGAAGAATTCAACCAAATTCTCTATCAGAACAGGTTGATGAATCCAACAATAAGATTGAAAAATCTTGAATTTTTCAATAATTGCTTGAATAAAACTGTCAAAGTGACAAAATATCAACTCATAAATACTGTCAAACTTTCAGATTTCCTAATTAAAGAGAACAATGAAAGTAAGTTGAAGATAACCAAATTTAACTATAACTTTGCTTTCATATTATCCAACTTATTGAACATCTTAAATAAGGTATTGATAAAGAATTATACCCAAAGAATTTTAACATTGAACGAACTCAAACCCACGGAGTTATTCAAAATGGTACTCAACAATTACGATAACAAATTCATATCTCAACCCATATACAAGATTCTCAAGAAGCTCATACCTTATCAAGGTAGGAAATGGAAGAGTATGAATATGGATTTGATCTCCTTAATTTATTTAAACTGTGATTTACAAATGAGAGATAACTGGCTCAGTGGAAAGGATTTGGAGAATGACTTCAGTAATTCTTTTGATCAGGAAATAAGTTTGAGGGGATTAGTACAATTTTATAATCTTAGGTTATATGGAGATAAAATGGTAAATTTAGGATATGAAATCAAAGAGATGTTCAATCTAGAGGATGAATTTGATTACCTTTGAACTCATTACATACACATAGCTTTAATTCATAGCACTCTTACTGATTTTTGCAGCCTATTTCGCAGCCCTCGCTGTATATTTTTGATCATTTTCCGCACTGAAATGGTATTAAAGCTTGCGGTAATATCGTACCGCGCTACGTCCACTCCAGTACCATGGTCCTCACCTCTCTCAGTCTCAAATTCGACATTCGCATAAAAATTTTCATTGCTAAGATGGTTAAATTAACTCAAATCGACGAAACCAAAGAACCTGAATTAAAAGAAGTCTACACTGACAGTGAAAGTGACAGTGAAATTGAAGATGACTTCAATGAAGATGAAACTTTATACGAAAGAATCGTCGCTTTAAAAGATATCATCCCTCCAGAACAAAGAACTAACTTAATGAAAATTTCATCAAATGTATCATCAACTTTGAATTGGGGTTTAAGTAAATCTGGTAATATTTTATGGACTTTAACTTCCAGTATTTTATTATTAGGTGTTCCATTAAGTTTGGCTATTATTTCCGAAACTCAATTACAAGAAATGGAAAACAATTTAAATTTACAAGATGGTAAAGAAATTTTAACTGGTGAAGAAAAGAAGTAGGGACTTGTATATATTTAAATTTATAGTCTATGAAGTAATGTTTCAAACACTGAAACATAAAGCTCTAACATTTCTACTCTTTTTTATGCTTGATGGATAAAGCATAAATATCTAAATAGGTGGTGATTTCATAGATGATTTCATTGATGAACATAGCATGAATACCTAAAGTTACTCCGAATCCTAACCATGCAATGGAGTATACGGTGTCGTAATAGTCATAACCGAAAATTTTGGTAAAAGTGAAGGTTGAAATCAATTGTAATAATGGAACAAACATGGGGAATTGTACCATAGGGAATGTTTGAATTGTCAAGTGTGCTAAAATGATTCTGCCCACTGAAAAAGCGATAGACAATCCAATGGATAATGTCAAAGGAATGGCAAATTTAGATAAATATTCAGGATAAGTGGTGGTTAATGATAAAATGGTAATATAATAAGCAACAAATGGGATTAATCCTTCATAAGCTCCTTGAATCTTTTCAGGGGTTCCTACTTTTTTATAATGTTTAGAAACATTAACAAAAGCTTGAGCAATGTTGAAGTATAATGATCCAAGACCCAAAATACTTGCAGCTGTTTTGATATCAACTTCCAAATTTAAAGCTCCAATTTCAAAAAGCTTATATGAGAATATTTCAGGACCTAAAACTCCAGTGATGATAAAAACACCAACAATCATCAAAATCCCTTCAACTGGACCTGAGAATTTTGATAAGAATAAAGTGTGGGTGTGATATTCTTCCCAAGTTGACATGTAAAAATTACATACTGAAGCAAATTGAGTTAATAAGAAAAGATATCCATAACCAAATTGCAACACTGATGAAAAAATTATAGCACCTAAGGTGGTGTTAATAGCATCAATGGAATGATCGAATAATTCACCTAATGGACCACTTTGACCGGTATTTCTAGCATGGCATCCATCACATCCGTCGAAAGTTTGATACATGAATAATCCAAAAGCATAAGCAAAGTAACACCAAGTAGGGGAAGTGGTATTAAGGTATGGATCATAGTAAAACACCATAATTAAATTGGTGATGATGAATACCAATCCCAACAAAGTAATAACATTAGGTGCCATTGAACGAGGGAAAATGGTGACAAATGAATTCCACCATTTCTTCAAGAAATACTTGGAAATGAAGGAGTGATCTTCACTCTGGTACTTGTATAATTTCAAGTTCTGTAATTTGTTCAGTGGTATGAAATAGCCCATGGTTGATGATTTCGCGAAGCAATTGAAAACGGCTGATGAGTGGTGGGGGGATAGAGTAAAAGAGGATTGGTTAGAACCACATTACAGATTTCTTCAGTAGTATTATCATAACAATATGATAGGGATATTCAAAGAACTCTGTCTCGACTATCTACATTCCACACGTTCGTGGAATCGAAAATTAGTTTAGCTTAGGTAAGATATTATGTAATTTGTCGGTCATCATCAGCCGTTGAAGTTACACGTTCAAGTAACATTTACGACCTACTGGGAGTTAAATAGTAATGACCCAAAGAAACACGCTTACCAAATGCAGGCCAAAAGGTTTATATCCAAGCGAATGAATCACACCTTATTAATTATCTTTTAGACATGTGCCTCTGGTACCTTGATTATTTTCAAAGAGTTGGAATCTTAACCATATAAGGTGTTAACATTTATCTTACACCTGTATCTCTTAAACGAGGTTCAATATCTCGAGAATAATCGGGTGGTCGTTAAGGTTTGCTATCTTCAATACCGTCATTGATTCTGAATCATGAACCGTCATCAAAACTAAATACTTTCATAACCCCCCACCACCTGCGGCTCCCAGCATCATACATCTATCATTTTATATCGCCGATATGTTTCCAAATAAGGCCGAGATTAACCGTTGTTCACCACAATCTACTTCGGACGATTTTTTAATTTACGAACATATGTCCCGATTAGGAAAGACGAGGCTTCACTTTACAAAAAATGAATGATACCAATTTTTTCTTAGATACAATTCAACCAATCAAATTCCAATGAACAAATATATGGTTATCAACCCAAACTGATATGTCATCATCAATGGTTACATGTTATCTCGTAATTGGGGAAATATAATTTGATACAAAAACTATAAATACAACCCACCCTCTCACTATTTTATCAACAACAATAAAAATGGAAGAAATCGATAAATATACTGTTAACAAAGAACCTGAACACGTTAAACCCGAAATGGTTGTGAAGAATTTTGCAAGAACTTATCCAACACCTGAAGCGAATACCTATCAAGGATTAATCTCAGGTTGTGGTAGTTTCTGGGGTATGTGGGGGACATTTTGTTGCTTATGTTCCAATCCTTATAAAACAGTCCAACAAGGGGAAGTTGGTTTGATTCAAACTTTTGGAGCTTTGTCAAGAACTGTTGAACCAGGTTTGGCTTATGTTAATACTTGGAGTGAAAAATTATATAAGGTTTCCATTAAAGTCAATATTAGGGATATTCCTGCTCAATCATGTTTTACTAGAGATAATGTTAGTGTTATTATTACATCTGTGGTTTACTATAACATTATTGATCCACAAAAAGCCATTTATTCAATTACTAATATTCACGATGCCATTGTTGAAAGAACACAAACTACTTTAAGGGATGTTATTGGTAACAGAACTTTACAAGATGTGGTTGAAAAGAGAGAAGAAATTGCTGATTCTATTTCTCATATAATTTCCAAGACTGCTTTCGATTGGGGTGTTAATATTGAAAGTATTTTAATCAAAGACTTGCAATTACCTGACAAAGTTAAAGCTTCATTATCAATGGCTGCTGAAGCTAAGAGAATTGGTGAAGGTAAGATTATTAACGCAAAAGCTGAAGTTGAAAGTGCTAAATTGATGAGGAAGGCTGCTGATATCTTAGCTTCCAAACCTGCTATGCAAATTAGATATTTGGATGCTATGCAAAATATGGCTAAATCTCCTGGATCAAGAGTCATCTTCATGCCTTCAGCTCAAGAAATCGAAAGAATGGCTGGTTCCAATATTGAAGGAAATGGTTATCATGAAGAGTTATCTCCTCATGGTACAGGTATGGATCCAAAGTCTATCGCTAACGATATTGCTTTACAAGAAGCCATGAAGGAAGAAAGGCATCTTTAGGCTCAAGCAGGTTCTGGGAACCAGTTCGGAATTCTATAATATTAATGTATGGTAAGTGATATGATTTAAACAGCTTTCCTCTGATAAACGATAAAAGCTTGTGGTACTCTTTGGCTGTGTACTCTGATTACACTAACTAGTATCTGTTTGACTATCTATTTCGATATAAAGACAAGTGGGATGATGTTTCCGACTTCTGAAACAATGTTCTAGCTTTCTTAATCACTGATCTATTTTTTCCGATAGATCTTGTACTTTCCACATCCCTATTCCTTATACTTCCAAGGTTTTTCCAAATAGTCGATCAAGACCTTGCCAGTTCCTTTAACTAGGCAACCGCGCGCGCCATAATATCGTCAATATGAATGGGTTTGACTGGTTAAAGGTACCAGCTAATGAATCAAATACTCCGGCACCTCCCGTATCATTCTTATCAGATCTGAATCTTCCAGGATCCTCACCCACAACGTCGTCAATTCCTCAACAAAACACTCCAAATTCTCACAATTCAATTGTTTCAAATCGTCCTTTGTATAATCACCGAAGTCAACTGCAAAATGATGTATCCACTTTCGATGTTCCATTATCACTAACTACTCAAGATTTAACCTTACAAGAACTGAAGACTTATATTCGATGGTATACCAACATATTAACTAGAACCAACACTCGTACCATCAATTTACAAGATGTATTCAACTTCTTATCCAATTTCAAGATCCCTCAGCCATTGAAGGATGAAATTAACAGATTGTTCAAGAATAGAAATATCAATATTGGGGAATTCTGTGCCTTGTTGAGATTGATCTCTCATGGGATGAAAACAGGATATATTAATAGATCACTAGTTAAAGAGGTTGCTCCCGTTCCTGAACCTTTGTCAATTTTATCGAAGAAAAGACAGAATGAAGAGGTTGAAGAAGAATCACCCGAACTCCCTAAAGATTCCCGATTAGATTTGGATTCATTTACTACATTCATGTTAACTGGAGAAAGGCCTACACCTAAAAGGAGGAAAAATAAATCCGTCAAGTTTAAGGATGATGTGGTAAGTGATGTTCATGAATCCTCAGTACCTGAAGCAATAGATTATTCATTACCTATGAATGAAATTTTAAAATTACAAAGTCAACAACGTAGTCCACAACCAGATGAAGAAGAAGTACTCAAGGATATGAATGATCAACTTAATCATTTCCAAAATTTAAATGCTGTTGACACAGTATCAATTGGAGGAAAAACTACCAATGTTCATTTAAGGGGAAGTAGAAATAATAGTTTAAATGGCTCTACTGAAGAATTATTGAAACCCAATATGACAGGTCCTGCTCAAATGTCACAATATTATTCTCATTTGGGTCAAGACCAACAGGAAAATTTACTCAAACCCAATAGGACAGGTCCTTATGATATGATGAGAATGTTTTCTCCTGATACACAATCGCAAATTCAAAGTGAAGCTCCTAAAATATCATTATCAGCATTTACAGACCAAATGACAGGTACAGGACTTAATACCATGACCAATACCAATAATACCCCGCCCCCTCCTCCGAGTAGGAGGAATAGATCACAAAGCTTATCCACGCCACCCGTCAATGATAGATATTCACCTTTGAGTGATCTTCGAACAGAATCCGAAGGTAGAGTGTCGCCACGACCTCCACCTCCACCTCCAAGACGAAGAGGAGCCAGCTTTTCTCCAGCTTTACCTCCCAAAATTCCTAACGACATTCCAAATCAACAAGTACAATATTCATACCAACAACAACCTTTTGAGCCACAACAACCCATTCCTCATCATAATATTTCTGCGTCCACTTTTTACCCCAACAGCGAAGAATTGTCTGACATCCCCGCCCCAGCACAAGGTGTAGGGAGACAAGATACTAATGAAATTTTAGATGATTTAAAAGCATTGCAGGCAGAAGTTGATAAGATTCGAGATATGACTGGTGGTTTTTAGAATAGAGATTCCACTTAATTAAAAATTCCTGAAAAACTCTTTTAACTCTATCAAGTACTCTTCCATATTCTCATGGTGATGAAATATAGAACATAATTCACACGTTTTCTCTTGAATACGTTTGTATAATATCAAAATACCATCTTTTTCAAACCGTCTGAGAACTATTTCAGACTGAGTGGCACTTTCATACAAAAGCATATCCATACGATATCTCAACTTGAGCCATGTTATGGTAATATCTATCATGAAAGATCTCAAGTCATCAAATTTCTTATTTCGGTAGTCAAATTCGTAAATGGGAAGATAAATCATATCCACTAAGTCATAAAACTCCATTCTCCACCTCCGGTAAAGAACGTAAATATATCTGATGGGACTCACTTGAGCATCCACATCCAAAAGAAGTTGTTTGAATTTTGACAATTGATACAACTGGTCAAGAAGGTATTCAACTCTACTAGTTGTCTGCTCCATCTTCAGTTTGTGGATTTTTTTTTGCAGCCACTTCCAAGGCGCTTTGATGCGGTATCACGGACTTATGTCTGATGCCGACTTTAGAGAGAGTTTCGCGCCATTTTTACTACCGTCCCTACTACCGTTATATATCCTAGGGTTTTCGCGAATTGTGGTTTTTGTTTACAACGCGATTAAACGAATGATATGATTAAAAGTCATTTACTTGAAGATGATACCTTCTTGCCTCCCCCGTTATCATCATATGGGATATCTATCCTCAATAGAAAATCTCCTGAAAAAAATTTGAGTGGGATAAATCTCGAGCAAAGTGAAAAAATGAACGTCGATAATCAAAGTCCCAGTAAACTTAAAGAATCACTTTCAGTACATTTCCAACAAGTTGACAGTATAAATAACGAACACAAACCATTGAATACTTATTCAAATTCTAGTACCCACACTAATGGTCTAAATCAAACTACAGTCTCCAATCTGATGTTAACACAAACAAATGCCAATAATAGTCAAGAAAACCTTTCATTTCATTCCAATTCACAATCTAACTTGTCATTAACAAGTCAAGGGTCAGAAGAATCCAGATTTACAGTAAAAAGGCTTCGAGGGAGAAGATTCGGTAAGAAATTAGGACCACCACAAAGAAAATCCATTCATGATATTTTAAAAGATAAATTTGAAAAAGAAAACGAACCGGAAAAAATAAACACTGATGATCAAGAGAATCTTTTTATGAATTTAAACTTGAGTAAAGAGAAGGAATCGGAACTAAAAAGAAGAATAGAAGAAGAAAAATTGAAATTCAAAAGACCAGTTGAAGAACCGGTACAAAGAGAAGCATTAAAAGATATTTCAAAAGATAACAGCAATATCGACAATCGAGGTGAATACAGCAAATCTCCCATCAAACAAGATAAAGGACAAGATAGAAGAGCATTTGATTTGATACCACAAAGGCAGGCTCCTGAATTAAATATTCAATCAGATGATCGTCAACGTAAAAGTCCAGGATTTAATTTCCCCAAACCTATTAAGAAAGATGATTTCCACATTCCTTTAACTCCAGTGAATGATTTTCGAAGACCTAAAATTCCCAAAATTTCACCTGGAGTTTCATTATCACCTGAAAAACCTCAACAGGTTAAGAGACAAATAGAAGACTCTAATGATCGAGAGAAGCAACAAACTTGGGACAAACAACGAGAAATTGAAAAAATTAAGAAAGAATTAGCATTAGATACATCATCAGATGATCTCAAATTACCTCCAGCAGTCATTCAATCCATTAAGAAAAGACATCATCCACATTCTGATAATAAGATCATTATTCTTAATGATAAAGAGTATGAAAGAATGGAACTTTTGGGTCGTGGAGGTACTTCAAAAGTCTATAAGGTTAAATCCTTATCTAACAATAGAACTTATGCATTGAAAAAAGTAACATTTGATCAATTTGATGAATCAAATATTCGAGGATTTCGTGGGGAAATCGAACTTCTTAACAAATTAAAGTCTTTGAATAGAGTTGTGGAATTGATAGATTATGTGATTAATGACTCATCGATATACTTACTTATGGAGTGTGGAGAGATAGATTTAGCACATGTATTACATCAAAGATTAAATACAACTGATTTTACAAGTATAAGATTTCATACCCTGGAACTTTTAAAGTGTGTACAATCTGTTCATTCAGCTGGTATTGTACATAGTGATTTGAAACCTGCCAATTTCATTTTTGTTAAGGGAATGTTGAAAATCATCGATTTCGGAATTGCTGATTCTGTACCTGATCATACATCTAATATTTATAGAGATTCCCAAATTGGTACACCTAATTATATGTCACCTGAAGCATTAATTGATAATAATTCTAAGATGACAGGATCTAATGAGAAGACATGGAAAGTGGGTAAACCGTCTGATATTTGGTCATGTGGATGTATAATTTATCAAATGATTTATGGGAAACCTCCATATAATAGTTTTACTGGAAATCAAAGATTTATGGCTATCATCAATCCTCAAGTTAAAATTCAATATCCTACCACTGTAAATGGGGTCAAAGTACCTAAATCTGCCATAGAATTAATGATGAACTGTTTCCGTAGAGATCCTAATGATAGATGGACAGTCGATCAATGTCTCAAAAGTGAATTTTTACAACCTAAGATTGTGAATGATAACATAATAAGAGATCTTGTGCATCTGTGTGTTAATTATGGATATAATCGTAGAAGTAGTATAATGGGAATTGATGATTATGATCAAATGATTGAAAATATCCTTAAACAAATTGACGAACTTAATTTATAGCATAGACAATAAAAGAGAAACTAATGTACTTTTTATTTTTAACGACGAGGACCTAATTTTTCTAACACTCTTGGACCCTGTTCTTCCCATTCTTGTTTTGAAATCCACATATGATCTTTATCGGCCATAATATTAGCCAACACTGCTCCACCAATAAAAACCATATGTCTTCTTCTTGGAGGATCTTCGATTTTAACTTTAAATTTATCTAATCTTGAAGCATCACCATTTAAAACTTTAGTTAACCATAATTGTTTTAATTCTTTCTCTAATCTGGAAGGTAATCCAGGATACATTGATGAACCACCTGATAATACGATGGCTTTGAATAATGATGATCTGACATCTACATCAGCTGATTGAATAGTATTAAATAAACATTCACCCACACCTGGTTGTTCAACATCAACTAAATGAGGTTGGAATAAACATTCAGGAGCTTCAAATCTTTCACTACCAACTTTGATAACTCTTCCATCAGGTAATTCATAATTCTCCACTAATGTGGTGGTTTCTTGAGCCAATTTAGTATCTAATTGTAAATCATAACTAACATAACATAATTTTTCTTTAATTTGTCTAACAGTTTCAAAATCTGCTGTTCTATTAAAAGCATAACCTCTTCTTAACAATAAGTTGATTAAATTTCTGGTAACATCTCTTCCAGCAACGTCTAATCTTTTGGTTAAATGATTTAAAACTACTGATTCATAAACTGGTACAATATGAGTAACACCATCTCCGGAATCAACAACTACCCCTGATGATAAACCTTGGGCATATAATGCTAAGACTGCTTGGATAGCTACATAAACACCGCCAAAATTATATTTTTCAAACATAACTTGACACATAGTTTCTCTATTCTTTAATGGATTCATTGGAGGTTCAGTTAATAATACTTTTTGTCCAGTGGTATCGACTTTCATTCTTTCGTAGAAAGCATAATCCCACAAGTGTTCCATGTCTTCCCAGTTTTTAATGATCCCGTTTTCCATAGGATAACTGATTTGTAACATAGATCTCACTTCACTGGCTTCACTACCACACATAATGTCTTTGATTTCGATATCATTAGGTAATAAGGAATTACGTTCCTCGGCTCTCAATATAGGTCTCCCTACAATGGAAGGAAAGGTATGATCGGGGAAATTAGTCCCTGCTCTACCGATTTTAACGAATCCAGTACCTTGATCAAGAACTGAGTGAGTTAGTATTTTCGTTCAATTGTTGGAAAATCCGGATGATCTGGAAAAATTCCACCATTAAAAGCAGTCAATCCAATTCTGATCTTAAGATCTGTGCCGTTGGAACATTCCAACTTGCATAAAATTTTAGTTATAACATACCTATTGGTGTTTCACTCATAATCAATCTTGAGAGTGTTGGAGGAAAAGGGTGAGGAAGTTTTGTGCGACCTTGGTACAGACACGTCGTGAATATATTACTATGTAAAAGGGTACTTAGTGAAGTGATTAGAAGCTATTCAGGAATAATTAATGGAACCTTGAAAGCGAATGTTAAATATGAGGTATGGGTTTTGATTTCGGATTCAATTTTTGTCACGTCTTTCCAAGAATAATTGATATCCCCTTCTTTAACTCTTTCTCCTTTACCAAAAGGATTAAAACCTCGAGGAACTCCCGCTTCTTTGTCTTCTTGTTGTTCTAGTTTGACTCTTTTCCTACTTTCAATTCCATGATCTCTTCTACTTTGAATATCTTTTAATCTTTTAATGACATCGTTAACATCTCTAACCATTTCTTTCCTGGCTTCCCATCTTTTACCTCTACATTCCACCATTTCAATATCTACCCAACCGTTCTCTTGTAATGATTCTACGGTTTTGTGGACTTGTTCGATACAGGGGGAGAAACAACAGATTCCTACCTTCATTTGTGGGTCGATAACATTATTCAAATTATTGATGGCTATCCAAGGAGATGGTAAATCTAAAAATATGACTTGAGCATTTATCTTATTATCACCATTGTGGAAATTTTCTGGTACTTGGATTTCGAACCCATCTTGGCAAACATCTCTATGAGTTATAAATGTGTTGACGTCTATTCCATGGTCTTCGATTTCTCTCTTTGCTTCTAAGTATCTTGGTTCATGAAATTCATATGTAAAAACTCTTCCTTTTAATCCTACACTACGTGAAAATGAATGAGTGAAAGAACCCGAACCTGTACCTGCTTCAATTACTCTTGACCCATTCACCACATTTAATCTTTGCATTATGTACGAGGAATCATGAGTATAGACGATTTGTGTTCTATGTGGAAGTGATATGGTCCACATCTCAGCTGTGGGGTGTAATAAGTGAATAAATCCATAACCTTTGGCACCTGCCATTTGTTTTCCATAAGGTGAACCTATCATATCATTATGAAGAAAATTTCCATAACGGGTGTTAAGGATTGCATTCTTAGTCACTCTTATTGGTTTTATGTCATTACGACTTATAAATGCAAGTACTAAGTCTCCTTCTTCAACAATATCTTTATATTCGAAAAATGACATAGCGATGAGATTTTGAGATCTCATCTCAAAGTTATCAGGAAGAGAGGACGAAGCAAACAGCGATTAAATCCCACCGACGGCTGTTTTTAGCCCATTTGAACTTTGAAGTGATAGAGATTACTGGATATACAAAGGGTTGGGTATATTTGGGTGAAGAAGGGTCTTTTGAAACTGAACAACATCGTTTTTTCGAGAATTTGGCCCCTAAAGAAGCTTTAAATCAGCACTGTGTGTTTTTCAAGACCATTTTATCCGAAATTTCAACTTTCAAGCCAACATCTCTGACCATCTGTTCACAATCTGTCTCTCTTTCTTATCACCACAACAAAAGTTTGTGCTCGACATTTCTCAAAATTTTCAACGATGTCAGAAACAGATAGTAATGTTGAAGATTTGTATTTAGAATCTTATGCTTTCACCACAGCTGCTGCCATTGTAGGATCAGTAGATAGAAAGATCTTTGTATTATTAAGAGACGGAAGAAACTTGTTTGGAGTTTTAAGAACTTTTGATCAATTTGCTAATTTAGTATTACAAGATACCATTGAAAGAATATATCTCGGAAGTGAAGGTAGTGATGACTTGAGTAAACCAGAAAGATTTGGTGAAGCCTATAGAGGAGTGTTTATGGTTAGAGGAGAAAACGTTGTAATGATGGGAGAAGTTGATATTGATCACGAAGATGAACACTTGGAAGTTTTATCCCAAATACCTTTTGAAGTAGCAGAAAAGGAATTAAAATCAATCCACAAACAAAAGATGAAATTTGAAAAAGCTAAAACCAAAAAATTATTATCCAAGGGTCTTATTAATGATTTTGCTAAATCTGATTTATATTAGAAGGTAAGTTTTTTACGATTAATGATTTATAGAAGAAATAAATAATCTTCATACTCTGACTTTTTGCAAGATTTCGAATTCAAAGATATTTTAGAGACTGTCAAGTGAATCTTAGGTTCATTTCAATACAAATTGTTTATAACTTGGAGACTTCGACAAATCTTTGTTGTTGACGTTCAAAAAATTTATCAACTAAGGGAAATTTCTTGGATTCACCACGTCCCAATTGATTCAAATGAGCTTCATCTGGACCATCGGCAATTCTAAGGGTTCTGGCATGGGCATACATTCTGGCCAATTCGGTATCTTGAGAAACCCCTTGAGCTCCAAACATTTGAATACACCAGTCGATAATTCTAATAATAGTTCTGGGAGTTTCGATCTTAGCTATTGCAATATCTCTCATGGCTGACTTAGCGTTGGAAATGTCGATTTTGTGGGCAGCATTCAAAACCAACAATCTACATTTTTGAATATCAATCTTATGCTGAGCCAAACTGTTAATGAACGTCTCTCTTTTATTCATTGGTTTGTTAAAGATGATTCTTTCATTAGATCTTTGAATAGTTCTTAATAATGCAAATTCACCAGCTCCAATTAATCTCATACAATGATGGATTCTTCCTGGTCCTAATCTCGATTGGATAATCTCAAAACCTCTTCCTTCAGCTGCCAATATAGCATTAGGCATGTCCTCTTTAGGGATTTCATACCCGTTGAACTGAACTTCCATGTGCCCATGAGGAGCATCGTCGAAACCGAAGACAGTTAAAGGTCTTATCAATTTGGCTTTTCCTGAAGCCAAAGCCTTTTTAGCATCTAAAACCAAAACACTATGATTTCTATAGATAGCCTTATTGTTGTCATCGGTCTTACACATCACCAACCAAACATCACATCTTGGATCTCCAGCTCCAGAAGCGAACCATTTTACCCCATTCAAAACATAATTTCCTTCAACATTTTCAGTAGCAGTACAACTAATATTCAAAGCATTGGACGAGGAGGTTCCCTTTTCTGTCATCAAGAAAGCTGATCTTATTTTCCCATCCAACAATGGTTTCAACCATCTTTCTTTATGGTAAGGGTTACCGTATTTGGCCAAGATTTCCATGTTACCAGTGTCAGGAGCTTGGGTATTGGTAGCTTCAGGAGCAACAAAAGATCTACCAAGGTACTCTGCCATCAAACCATATTCCAAATTGGTGAATCCTGGACCTTCGGTATAATGTTTTGACAAGAACATGTTCCATAATCCTAACTCTTTAGCTTTGGCCTTTAACTTTTCAGTAATTTCTGGAGTCTTTTCCCATCTAGCTGCACCTTCCCCCATTTGCCCTAAGTATAACTTATCTGCTGGTAAACAGTAATCTTCAACGAACTCTTTACATTTCTGAATAGTTTCAAGTCCTTTAGGACTGATTTTGTCCAAGAAAATCGCAGGAATATCGTCTTTTACGCTCATTGTGTATATCGGTCGAATCAATTGATCAATTTAAAGTTTTGGGAACTGTAGAAATAAATCAATGTTGGGAATAATTTGGATTGGAATTTTCAAATGATTCTTAACGGGATTAAAACGACGGGTATAAAATTCTCCACAAAAAAGTTATGTCGCGAAGATCCATTTGACGACATGTGAACCTAACCTCACAATGTCGTTGAGTACCGCGAAAGACTTTAGGTATTTGCCATCAAACCTGTTGACTATAACGAGCTTAAAATTATAGAACTGTTAGTGTTAAGTATAAATCATGGAGTTTGATTCAGATATTCCCAATATTCCAGACTATAGATTGTCGGAGAAACAATTTCTTCTCGCCAATGCCAGTGATAATACCACTAGAGGTGAAATCTTCAACGATTTAATTGAAAGTATCAAAGCCGAAAATTTAGCTCCTTATTATAAATATTTGAGTGAAGAATATAGTGATTTCCCTTATGAAGAATCAGTTTATCAAACTATGGCGAAAGTTAACGAGAAAGAAATTGAAGAGATGAAAGCTAAAGTGAAAGAAGCTGAAGGAGAAGAAGAAACTGAATTAGATCCTGTTGTCACTAATATAAAATTGGCCGAATATTACACTAAGATTGTAGATAAAAAGAACGCTACTGAAGTTTATAAGAAAGCCTTGGAATTGGGTCAACTGACAGGTTCAAAAATCGATATCTTATTGACTTTAACCAGGTTAGAATTCTTTTTCAGTAACTATTCCGAAGCATCTAAATATTTGGAACAAGCTAAAACTTTAAGTGATAAAGGAGGTGATTGGGAAAGAAGAAATCGTTTCAAAACTTATAATGGAATATATTTAATGGCCACCAGAAATTTTAGTGAGGCTTCCAAATTATTAATTGATTCATTAGCAACTTTCACATCAAATGAATTATGTAGTTATGAACAAATTGCACAATATTCCATCATAACTGGGGTATTATCTTTAGATAGAGTTGATTTAAAACAGAAAATTATTGATTCACCTGAAATATTGTCGATTTATTCTTCAGCCAAAAATTTAGAACCTTTAATCAATTTGACTAATTGTTTATACACTTGTCAATATAATTACTTATTAAATTATTTATTGGAAACCAATGATACTTTATTAATCACCAACAAATATTTGAATCAACATTCCAACTATTTCATGAGAGAAATGAGATGTAAAGCTTATAATCAATTATTAGAAAGTTACAAATCATTATCATTGAAATCCATGGCCAAAAGTTTCAACGTTTCAGTGGAATTTTTGGATAATGATTTATGTAAGTTCATCCCAAATAAGAAATTAAATTGTACAATTGACAAGGTGAATGGAATCATTGAAACTAATAGACCTGATAATAAAAATAGTCAATATCATTTATTAATAAAACAAGGGGATAATTTATTGACTAAATTACAAAAATATGCTGCTGCTGTCAAATTAAGCGGTGCTGAAAGAGTAAATTAAATGTATAACTTTTCATAGAAACTCTCTTTGGTTAGGATCGCCAACAAATGTCTTCCTGCGGGTTATACTGAAAATCCGTTACAAGGATCATCCTCTTCCTGTGTGCAAACGTGGAGAATTATTGCAAAGATCGCCAGCATTTGATTTTCATCGGAAACTTACTTGACAGATTATTGATACCGTTGTTGAATGAGTTGTTAAAGAGCTACCAGGTAGAAATAAAAAAAATTAGTGAAGGAAGCGAGGTTCGAACTCGCGCGGAGAACCCTCCAACAGATCTTAAGTCTGCCGCCTTAGACCACTCGGCCATCCCTCCTACTTGCAGATAAAAGGTAATGTGTCGATTATGACGTGATTTTTTAAAAAAAAAAAAAAAAGTACTATTAATCACTTGTTTCTTATCAATTTTCAGTTTTAACTTCTCAAAATACTCACCCATAAGTGAAGAAGTATCAAATACATTTTCCAATATCTTTTTATGGGGTATATTACATCAAAAGTCATGAAATTTTGGGTAAAATAAATCTGCAGTCGAACTGAAGCTTTGGCAATAGAAAAAAAAAGAAGGAAATCTGCACTGTTTGTGCAGGAAAAGTCCGCCGCACACATTGCCTATTAAACTCACTTGCATTATCTAGGAGTATGATTAGGTTACTATTGCACCAGGTTACAAATAGCAATAGTTCCTATTTAAAAACCTCAATTGGCTGTTGTCGACACCTATCACTCGTCAAATTCATGGTCATTTATCGTTTGGTTATGTCTCACAAACGTACGTAGAGTCTAATTACTTAAAATACATGTTTTATAGAATTTGCAATCCTTAATTTTGATTAATGGCAGTATCATCTACCAGATTTGGAATTTTTGGAATGTATGAGCTCGGGATGCACAAGAGAAGAGACTTCCTTCCTTGACTGGTTAGTCTTCGGCGTTTACTATGGGAATTCTTTGATTGTTTGACCTATCTTCAACATAAAAGACTTCTCTTCTATTTGTAAATAGTTCTTTCATTTCCTGGAGAAGATAATTAAGTTCAGAATTTTAGCTCAATTGGTGAAGAAATTTAGTAAATCACTATTTCTTATTCCTAACGAAGACATTCACATGCGCGCTATCACGTGATTGCAGACTGGGTCTACGATTTTAGCAAATTTATCTAGATACTTTGAGACGATGACAGATTCATATAAAACCAATATTAAACCAGTGGAACCATTGATCGGGAAAACAGAAGGTACAGTAGAGGTTCCTGTAGCAGAGGTTGGAAAAACTGAAGGAACTTCAGAAATTCCTACGGGGAATGTTGGTAAAACTGAAGGAACTGTAAACCCACCCTCAGGGTCTGAGGTTGGTAAAACTGAAGGTACCTTAGAGATTCCTGATTCATCCATTGGTAAAACCGAAGGTACCACTCAAGCAACCACTGCAGGAAAAACTGAAGGCGAAGTCGTCGTCCCTGGGACAGATATTGGTAAAACTGAAGGTCCTCCACAAAAAATTGCTAAAACCAAAGGTACTGTGGGAAAGACTGAGGGCACTGTGGATATCGGAAAGACTGAAGGCACTGTGGATGTAGGGAAGACTGAAGGCACCATAGGGAAGACTGAAGGATTTGTGGATGTGGGGAAAACAGAAGGCACCACTCAAGTCCCCCCAGGTAAAACTGAAGGCACTGTCGAAACACCACCAACAACAGCAGACTCTAGCGCCCAATCAGGGTTGAAATCCAGAGAAGAATTGATGGACATGTTTCGTAATGAAATTTTAGAGTTAGTTGCATTATCAATCGAAGTTGAAGGATACGACAAAGTTTTAGAATATTCACAGGACATGAAAGATATGCCCCAAAAATTATCTTTCATCTTACCTGAACATTCCAAATACCATTTGACCATCAAATACAAGGTTACTCAACCTTTAAAGAATTTGGTTTACCACCAAGTGGTTAAGAAAGGAGGATTCGTTTTCAAACAAAGAAAAGATGTTATGACTGAGGTGGCTCACCCTAATGATGAAAGTAACCCTCATCATGTTTGTAGACTTCCAGTGGATAAGATTCCCGGAGGATCCATCGTAAGGGGAACTTTTCCAGCCACTTCGAATTTTTACTCTGACGGGAAGTTGATTCTTGTTGCAAATTGGACTATCCAAGTGGTCAAAAAAGGTACCGAACCAGCAATGGGGCAATAATCACAAATCTAATGAATATCGATGTTTTCTTTTCATCTCTTGGACTATGGAACAACACTTTCTCTTTTTTTACTAGTAACATCCAGGAATTCTAAGACATTTGAGAACTATGATAACTTGCACAAAAGTAGTGTCGTATGACCTTATCCGAAATCGATCACAAAAAATTGAGAATCCCTTAAAATGAGTTCACCTAAAAGACGTATGGAGAAAGATGTTATGGACTTAATGATGAGTGATCATGACGTCCAATTAATCAATGACTCCATTCAAGAGATGTTTGTTATATTTCATGGCCCAAAAGATACTGCTTACGAGGGAGGCACTTGGAAAGTAAGAGTGGAATTGCCTGATCAATATCCCCTTAAATCTCCTTCAATTGGTTTCATTAATAAGATTTATCACCCCAACATTGATGAAAGCTCAGGATCAGTTTGTCTTGATGTTATAAACCAAACTTGGTCACCAATGTTTGGATTGTTGAATGTGTTTGAAAATTTCTTACCACATTTATTAAGATATGCTAATCCAAGTGACCCTTTAAATACGGAAGCTTCCAATTTAATGTCCAAAGACGAAAAGATTTATAATGACAAAGTGAAAGAGTATGTTAACAAATTCGCTCAAAATATATCCAACGATCATGATGATGATGAAGACGATAATAATAATGAAGATGATGACGATGAATTAAGTGATGTCGGTAGCTTATCAAGTGATGATGAGGTGGCTGGAGATATGGATATCTGAATTCCGTTAGAGAGCTTACCAAACATATAAAAGAATTGGGGAGGCAGGGGCCTCTATTGCATTGTTTATGTGATTATATATTAGAAATTATTTATCTCTTAACTCATTACCTATCTTCATTATCTTAACATTCCTGAATGTTCACTACTCGCCGTTCATCTGAGGATCCGGCGGATCTAGATCTGAATAATTCATATCTTTTACTATCCTTTGAACTTCTACCAACTCCTGTTTGGCAACCATCTCAAAGTCTAAATTTATAGCTAAGCGATTTAGTCGTCCTTCATATGAACTACCTTTAATGAAATCTTTTGCAAATGAGTGGGTTCCATACATTATGATTATCTTTGTGTTAGTATCTGGATATAATTTATATATTATATAGTGTTATATAATATACTTACCATCATCCAGGGTTTTAGTAGGTATTTATATTTCTTGCAGAGACACACAGATTCCCTTGGAACATTCTGCACTGCGATTTTTTGCAGCCGATAAGAATCTGCGCAGTTCCATGAAGTTCTAAATAAATTTACCCCGTTTATGAGTCAAGGTGATCGAACGGAATATGATGGAAGTTTATTGATTGATTAGTTGGTTGTAAGAAGAATTAAGATGAAAAATTGCAAGAAATGATTCAATTCAAAAATTCCTTGACTCATCTTAGTCTTCTTTCCCATGTATAGAAATAAAGGGGAACTTTTCGATTAACACCATTGGGATATAAACAATTTGATACGAACAATCTAACCTTCTAAGAAGCTCATTATCTTAGGAAGCAAGTTTCAAAAGTCACCATGGAGAAATTGAATATTGCAGATTATCTGCATTTTTGCATAAATATTCACTGGTGATAAAACCGGTCTTCTGATAGCCACAACGCTTGAAATCTTCACCGTCAGCTGCTTCCTGTTTTAACCTAGTTCTCTTCCTCGCATCTCACTGTGAATGCCTTATTCCAGCCAGATCAGCCGTAACCTCGCTCTACGATTCTTGCTCTCAAAATATGCGGGTTGCAACTTCCTCATTTTTCAATGGTTTTAAGAACAGTTTTCAAGAGATCGTACACAGATTCTCTGTCAGTAATTAGGAATCTCAAGAATCCGAAGCTATTTCAGACTCAAGGTCTTATCAATGGTAACTGGGTCGACAGCGATAACGCTGTGACTTTCGATGTCAGCAACCCTGCTTCTTATCCAAACGATGCTTCGTTTATTGGTAAAGTTCACTCAATGAGTCCACAACAATATAATCTGGCCATTGATAGTGCCCACGAAGCATTCAAACTGTTCAAGAAATCCACTGGCGATGAAAGATCAGAACTTTTAAGAAATTTGTATCACTTAATGATGGACAATCAAGATGATTTAGCCAAGATCATAGTTCTTGAAAACGGTAAACCATACAATGATGCATTGGGAGAAGTTAAGTACGCAGCTTCGTTTTTCAAATGGTTTGCTGATTTAGCCACCACCACTACAGGTAATGTCATCAATTCTTCCACTAACAGTAAAAAGATTTTATCCATTAAACAACCTATCGGAGTTTGTGGGATCATGACTCCTTGGAATTTCCCTGCTGCTATGATCACCAGAAAATTGGGTGCTTATGTAGCTGCTGGATGTACTGGTGTGATCAAGCCAGCTTCTGAGACACCTTTGACTGCTTTGGCCTTGGGCTATCTCCAACAAGAAGCTGGCTTTCCAGCAGGTGTAGTTAATATCTTACCTTCGAAAAATGCTGCTGAAGCAGGGGAATTACTTTGCTCTAATCCTAAAGTCAAGAAAATCTCCTTCACTGGGTCAACTAACGTTGGAAAATTGTTGATGAAACAGTCATCATCAACCTTGAAGAAACTTTCCTTTGAATTGGGAGGAAACGCACCTTTCATTGTTTTTGAAGATGCAGATATTGATTCAGCTGTTGATGGAGCTATTGCCTCTAAATTTAGAAGTAGTGGACAAACATGTGTTTGTGCTAATAGGTTGTTTATTCATGAGTCCATCTATGATGAGTTTTCCCAGAAATTTGTTAGTAAATTGAAGGAAACGACAACTTTAGGTGACGGATTACAATCTGGGGTCACCCATGGTCCAGTCATTCATGATAGATCCATGAAAAAAGTAAGGCAACATATCGAAGATGCCACTGGAAAAGGAGCCAAGGTCTTACTAGGAGGTAACCCACGTGAAGATTTGGGAGAGAATTTCCATGAATTGACAGTTTTGGGTGATGCTACTACAGATATGATGATTTTTGAAGAAGAAACTTTCGGTCCTGTTTGTCCTCTTTTCAAATTCAAGACTGAAGATGAAGTCCTTAGATTGGCCAATGACACTGAAGTTGGGTTGGCGGGATATTTCTACTCAAAAGACGTCAGTAGAATCTTCAGAGTTGCAGAAGAATTAGAAGTCGGAATGGTTGGTATAAATACTGGTGCTATTTCGGAAGCGTCCTTACCATTCGGTGGTATCAAGGAATCCGGATTTGGTAGAGAAGGTTCTATTTATGGTGTCGAAGATTACACAGTAGTTAAATCTATGGTTCTCGGAATCTAAAATCATTTATATTATAATATACACGTAACCAAACTAATCAGTCATTTGGATCTCTTGAGAGAATGCTGAAGGATCAGAAGTGGTGATGAAACTGCTACTCATAGAATCAGCTACCGGATCTACGAATGATGGTAAACTTGTACTCTGATTACTTAAATAAGGGGTCTCGTCCAAATTTTGAACATCCAGTATTTGGGTAACATTATCATTTATATTCTTTACACCTTGTTTGTAAGTTTGTGGGTTTATGAATATCTCATTGTTGGTAGAATCTTTATAATCTTGGAGTATTTGATTACCTAATCCACCCAAATCTTGTTTGGAAGACAATAATACATCGAGTTGACCATTATTATTAGAAATGTTTTCTGTCTCTTGAACAATCTTAGTATATTTTGGATCTTGGTTTTTTAAACTTTGTATTTCTTGTTTCAATTGATCAATTTTGGCTTGTCCATCAAAATGTTTATCGGTGATTATACTTGGTTTTGATTCGCTATCGTTGAATAGTGATTCTTTCATCAATTCAAGATTCTCAGCATATTCTGTGTATCCGATAGTCTTGAAAGATAAATCTTTCACCCCCCCTTCAGATGACACTCCGGCATCTACTGAAGAGTAATGACTAGTGAATCGTTCTGATGGTGCTGGATATGTTGTCGTAGGTACAGCAACGGTAGTATTTGATTCTTTAAATTTTTCACTGAAGCTTGACATTATCAACAAAAAGATTTCAACGCGCATTGGGCTGCGAAAAAGTACTCGCTTTCTCACTCTTCTATTTACCACTCATTACTACGAAAAAGACTTTCCAAACCGCAGTATACATATATTCTAAATATTTTACAAACGTTACTTACTGGTATCCATCAAGGATTCTTCAATACCATCAATAAGGTTATCTATTTCATCAATCTTGAGTCCACAACTTAAACTAATAAGTTTCCTATATTTATACATTTTATCATCAATCCCGTAATTTTTGATTTTATTGGTTAAATCAGATAACAACTTTGATCTTTGGATTTGCAAATTGGTTAATTCAATTGCTAAATCCCAATTTTCCACATTGTTATCATTGTCTTGAAGGTTTTCTTCGTTGTGTGATACTAGATTAGCGATTTCAAACGCTTGACTTTTCTCTAAATTGTTCATCAAGTCGAACTCTTTGGTTTTAACATGTGAGTTTTGTGCTTCAACGAATTCCTCAAGGTATGCATGACCTTCGCTCAATGAATTGAAAGATTCAATGCCTATTTTGGATAATTCAAACATTAATTTATCGTTCAACTTTTCATTGACAATTTCATTGTCATTCAATTTACTTTCTGTGACTTTCAATTCATTATTCAATGCTTTGATTTGTGTTTTGTACTTTTTGGATAATGAGAAGGTCAAATTATTAATGATAGAATTAAAATCATTCAATGGTAATTTGAATTGACCTTTTTCTTCGTTGACTTCAATTATTTTACCATAAGAATCTAATTTGGGAGGCACTAATTGGTAGGTTTGACTTTTGCTTTGATCATTTGATTTCTTTTCTTCGTGATTTTCTCTTTTGGGTTTAATTTCGTCTACGTCATTGATTGGTGTGCTTTCAGTGGTTCTTTCCGATATAACGGCTAGTGGCTGTTGATTAGGAATAACGAATGAGCTAGTTTTTGTTGCTTGGATGGGAGTTGACATCATATCAAATGACTTCATGGAATCAAGGAAGATATTCTCTTTATTATCATCATTAACTCCAGTGCTTCTCAATAACTGATTGATTTGTTCTTTGTTTACCCTTGCTTGATCACCGTCATCGTCCTCTTCTTGTTGAATGGTAGTTCTTTGGGTGTCAGGAGTTTCTTGTGTGTTGAAATTAGGCTGAGTTGGAGTTTCCAAATGCTTGGAGCTTCGTTTATAAGTTTTCAAGTTGGAGTCATGAACTGGTTGAGATAGAGTTTGATTGCTGTCAATTTCGGGTTCATTGGAGTCTTTCAAAAGATTGTCTTTCATAATCAAATATTCAGCAGTTTCTTGGTTAATATTGATTAAATCATCCCTGGCATTAAAACTGAGTAAATATTTCACAAGTCTCACACATCTTGACTTGGCAGCCAAATGAAGACATGTATCACCATTCACATCTTGATGGTCAATGACATTTTTTATCAAATTAATGGATTTATTATTAGAATTTTGGTTTGTCAACATACTCAATTTGTTCAAGATATTCTCTAAATAGTAGAGCAACGAATCAATTTTTGATGGAACCTTAGCAAATTGACACAAGTAATGCAAGGGTGTTCTACCGTTAATATCGGTGTTGATTAAGCATATCTCTAAATCATCCAAAACTTTGGGGAAGTTTTTCAACTCATAACAATTATTGAACGATATTAATTTAGATAAAGGATTCAATCCAAAATTGTTAACAACTAAAGGATTGGCGTTCCTCATTGTTAATAAATGGATCATATTGTAGTTACCAATAGAAGCTGCCCAATGTAAAGGAGTGTGGCCCTCGTCGTCAATAGCTTCATTAATGTTGAAATCGGCGGGAGGATTGGTAATAAAATAAGGAATTGGGGCATTATCATCACTGAAAAATTTGAGTAATTGTGAAGAATAAGACTCTTTACTTTCCAGACTGTTAGTGACAGTAGAATTGGCCTTCAATTTCATTTCTTCGTTGGAGGACATTGACGTATCACTTTCTTTATGCTCATCTTGTGACCAATTGGTTTCGTTAGTCGATTGAGAAGAATTTGCTTTAGAATGGTGAAATTGTCCCATTATATTTGGGTGTGCAATGGTTTGTGGTGGTTGTTGGAAACCATAGTTATAGGTTTGTGGTGGTTGAGCTTGTTGCTGTTGTTGTTGCTGTTGTTGTTGCTGCATCTGCATTTGCATTTGGTAGTTATAGTCAGTGCCGTTTTGACTATTCTGAAAGGTGGGAATATTATGGTTAGGAATAAAATCAGGTTGGGTGAATGATCCTTGACTGAATGGCATTGATGAACTATTTGAATATTGAGAAATTTGTGAAGACATTCTTGAAACTCCATTGAATGATTCGTTACCTTGGAACTCGTATCCTTGTTGAAGTTGTTGTTGCATATAAGCAGCCTGTCCATCCTCCATTTTCAATTTTTTTGAACTTATGACATCTGGTTTCTTTTTCTTGACATACTTTCTCTTAACAGGAGTACCATCTTTATTTACTTCTTTTGTTTTCTTATGAAAGTCAAATCCAGGGTTTGAAGCATCAAAAAACAATACGGGGGCCATCTCTGGTGTCACTCCATATGTATGAGCCAACCTTTGAGCATCGGGCAAGGGAATCCAAGTTCCTTGAAATCTTCCATAACCACCTTGAATTTTTTCATGTAACCCTTGTTGTACTCCTTTCTCTAAGATCTTGGTTCTTTTAGCCTTGGAAAAATTACAACATTTCAAGATTTGTGTAGCATTGACCCAATCATCTTTGCATCTTCTCATGAGAGGACAATCATTGATAACAGATTCATAAACATCCGTCTAGAAGCAATTGTTAGTAAAACTTGAATTCCTAAAGTCTATGACCTATCCATCTCCTTCAATGGGCCAGAATATTTGATTTAGTTCATATTCAAGCAATGAAAGGTGAACGCGTTAAGTAAGGAAATATCATAAGATATTTGAATTTGGAACATACACTCGAATATGTAGCTAGGAACACCTTGGGTGGTTCACTCGACATATTTATGAATTATTATGTGGTTTTTATACAGAAATCCTCCAATAAGTGTAATTAACTAAGAAAAGACAATTCTGAATAATTTTGACGATTTGAGAAATCTTAGAAATCCTCAAAAAAATTTTAACGCGTAAAAAGAGAGGAGGACCTAACCCTGGAAATCCAGGGTTTTTTCATGATAGGTCTTTTTATTGCAAGATCAAAACTCAGGTATGGTATCCATGACAGACACAATTAAGTCAAAATAATTTTATTGGAGTTTCGATTGTATATCAAATATAATTGACCATTTTGGAAGAATCTTGCAGCCACTGATGGTCGCCAAGTAGCACTTAAAGTCACTGTGAAAGATCTATCTGATTCTCTTGTACTATGAAGCTATTGGCCTTAAGCTAAGTGCTGAAATGTTTTAAAGTATTTTGGCTCGATTCCCATATAAGTTGCGTCATCTTTGCCTGAATCGGTTATAATCAAAAATTCTTGAGAACCAGCCACCGGGGTCCCTCTAGTCTCCACAAATTATTTGTGGTGAATTTCAGAATTAGTCTTTTTGCAAACTTCTCTTTAAGTTCATTCAAATTGTGCCATGCACTTCACCATTTGTCTGACGGTTCGACTATAGACTTGAACTCTAAGAGCCAATAAAATACTCATCACCCTACCCCACATGCTTTTCAGCTTGCCTTCGATACTGATCTAACTTGAAAAGGCTTTAGGATACGAGTTTGACTGCCTTGAATCTGAGGTACATTACGGATTGAGAGATATTTGACACGACCGAACAATTTATATAATTTGCATTTTGAACTCAAGATCTGAAACATATCGGCGCAGAATTTTTTCGCAGCCATTGCGATTTTCACGTAATGTCAGATAAGATTGGTAGTGAGCTAGTGATTAAACGTTGTAAAGAGAGAAGTCACATACACGAAATGAATAGAATTCAAGTGATCTTGAAAAGAATTTTTTGTTTGAGTGAAATCCCTGTAGGTGATAAAAAGTATTCATTCCTTGTGTCGTTTTTTTCAACAGAGATCTATTGATGTCTATAATTCTATAACCAGTCTATCTTATTCCTCTCTATTTCCACATGGTAGTGGTTCAAATACCAATCCAATCTCTCTTCAACAGACTTCCCATTCCAAATGTTACCTATTTTGGTTGGCATAGCAAGTTTTTCAATGATGCAACCACTTGCAATGTTACCTAAAATTCCTGCTATAACAAGATCATTCGTTAGGTAAAAACCAATCATGAACCCCCCACAAAAAGAATTTCCTCCCCCTGTGACGTCAATTACATTCTTCTGATCTTGGTGATATGCAGGCAAATGTTTCAGCATCTGAGGGGATCCTATGTAACAGCCTAAGGGGCCACATCTCAAGATAATCCTTTGACAACCTAATTTCACATACTTTCCCGTGATCTCCTTGATACCCTCTATAGTTGTCGGTTCACTATTATTAAGTAATTGGCTGCCCTCGTTCAAGTTTGGTGTAAAAATATCTATTTTTGGAAGTACTGTTATCATCTTCTCAAAATTCTCGAATATGCAATCGTCAGGTAAAGGTTCATAAATGATCTTGGCTTGAGCATTGTATTGTTTTATACCATCGACCAACTCATTACAACGATCAAATGAACATATAAGATGGAAACATTTGGAATTGATTAGGTCTTCTTGTAATAAGTCGTCAAGTTCAATTCTTTTCTTGGGATTTAAATAAGTGAAATGTCTCACATTGTTTTCATCATATCTATTACAACCCCTAGTTGTCAACCTGGAATTGTCCAAGCGAAATTTTACCCCAGTATCCCAATTATTGATCTCTGCTTCTACTTCTTCAGGAAAGTCACTACCTTTATCTATGATTCCTGTTATTTGTTTACCGTATCGTTCCCCACCAATTATTCTGGCCCCAACGATTGAATAACTTCCTCCACCCCCAATGACATTTAACTCAGAGGGCCTATTCCAAGATTTAGGATAGATATTGTCGTCAATGATAAACATCCCCAATGACGTGAATAAGGCACACGAATCATTTTGTCCCTTTTTGTATCCCATGTCTTGCATCTAAACTCCTCACTATTTTTTTTTTACGAGTATTTATATTTCTCTTACCGTGATCATTTTCTCAGTGTTTGAAATCAGGAATTTGTTGTTATCATGGTTCAAACAAGTGATGTTGCTGGTATTGTAGCAGGTAGAAACCCTCTCAAATACTCAGCTTCCTCGCCTTATACCATGTTCTTGTTTCAAATTATTGTCATATTAGCTTTTTGTCTGATGGTACACTATCCTTTAAAGAAGATCCAACAGCCTAAGGTTATAGCTGAAGTTATTACAGGTATTTTATTAGGTCCCACAGTGTTAGGAAGAATTCCTAACTTCACTGAAACTTGTTTCCCAACTGAATCAATTTCTGGTTTAACATTATTAGCTAATGTCGGTATCATTCTTTTCTTATTCATTGTTGGTTTGGAAGTTGATATAGGTTATATCAAGAAAAATTTAAGAGCAGCTGTTACAGTGGGTCTCATCAACATGGCTATTCCATTTGGTCTTGGTTGTGCTATTTCCGTAGGAATTTATGAACAATATGGAAAAGAAGAAAATACTCACATTAAATTTACAACTTATATGGTATTCATTGCAGTCGCTACTTGTATAACTGCATTCCCTGTATTGGCAAGAATTTTGACCGAACTTAACTTGATTGGTGATAGAGTTGGTACAATAGTTTTGGCTGCTGGTATCACTAATGATTTGATGGGTTGGATTTTATTAGCTTTAACTGTTACCTTGGCTAATGCTTCTGAACCAATTAATACTTTGTACATCTTGCTTTTGACTGTCGCTTGGTTCTTCTTTTTGTTATACCCTGTTAGACTTGCCCTCAAATTTTACTTAACAAGATACACTAATAATTTAGCTACAGGTGAACCATCTCAATTTCTGATGATGATAATTATTGTCTTAGTTTTTATTTCATCTTTTTATACGGACATCATTGGGGTTCACCCAATTTTTGGAGCTTTCATGGTAGGTATAATCGTACCAAGAGATAACGGCTTTGTCATTAGAATTACAGAAAAATTAGAAGATTTGGTCCACATTATCTTGATTCCAATCTATTTTGCATTAGCAGGGCTAAACGTTAACTTGGGATTGTTGTCTACTGGAACGGACTGGGGATACACTATTGGAATTATTGCTTTGGCAATGATTGGTAAAATATTCGGAGGTTTTATAGCAGCCAAATTGAATAAATTATTCTGGAGAGAATCTTTAGCTGTTGGAGTTTTGATGTCATGTAAGGGTATTGTTGAAATTGTTGTTTTGAATGTTGGTCTCAATGCTAAGATCATCACCCAGAAGGTATACTCTATGTTCATTGTTATGGCTTTGATCACCACATTTTTAACTACTCCCTTGTCATTGGTTGTATACCCTAACAGTTACAGAGAAAAAGTGTCGAGAGTCTTGAAGGGAGAGATAAATTGGGATGGAACTCCCGTGGTACCGGTTGAAGGCGGTGAAAATGAAAAGTCTTTTGATGTCAGTTTAATAAAAGACATTGAAACAGCAAAATTCCCACAAATTATTATGTTACTAAAAAATGTAGATTCTTTATCACCATTAATGTCATTTATTGAGAATTTTTTTTCACTCAATGATAACTACAGGGCCATTCATTTGCGAGAATTTAGTTCCAGAACTTCACATTTGTTGGAAGCAAGTAACGAACACACTGAAAAAGAATACATTTCATCCACCTCAATTTTGAGTATTGTCAAAGTGTTCTCTGAAATTTTGGGTATCAAAATTTTATTGAAGTCAGTATTGTCAACGTTCAAAAATCACGTATTGACGGTAAATGATTCTATCAATTCTGAGAACGACTTGATCTTGACTAGTAATAAGTTATCCAATATTTTCAATAATAATGGAGAAATTGGAGGTGAATCAGATTCCGTTTTCTATAAAGATTTATTACATCATTGTAAATGTAATTTAGGAATTCTCTTAAATTCTGCAAGGAGTACTGAGAATTCCATTATAGAGGAAGAAGAGGCTCAAACAATTGCCGATGATACTAGTTCGGTCAATTTAATAGTTAATCACGATAACTTCTTATCATCATCAGATATTTTATCATTGAGAGTTGCTCACAAATTATCATTGAAGTCTAACAAGGTAAATATCTATATCAAATCTCCTTCAAAAGGAGGTTTTGTTGATGATATTCAGAATTTATTCGAAACCAGTGATGTCCATATTCATTTCTTAAAGAGTGGTTTAGACGAAATTCCTTTCAGTAAAAATCAATTGTTCCTTGTTGCAAATAATATCAGTAAAGACGAAGATATTTTATTCACTAAAGAAGTCAATCAATTGATCGAGTTAAGTCAAATCGAAAACTTTAATGTCTTAGTAGTTAAATCCCCATTTGTTTGATTTTTGTTATATACGTCTGATATTTCTAACCTGATTCCTCTGGCCTACTCTTGAATTTGTTCAAACGCCGTGGGTCATTCAAATAATAGCACACGAAATAATCAATTTTGCAGGGAGAACAAGGTCCGAAAAATACGACTTACCTCTTTAAGGTAGAATCTCAAACTTTGTCCCGACAAGCTCCTAACAAAGTTGGCTATCGACGTTAAAGGGTTATAAACGGTTGATCTTATTGGCTGTTGAATTGCCCTTCCTAATTGATCTACGGTATAAATTGAGCACAATTGTCAAATAGTTTAACATTGTTTATTACAGTATAACAATTACAATGTCAATCAAAACAATTTTTGCAAAGATCAAAAACTTCTTCAGAAAGAATAAATCCCAAGACTATGACGATTTTAAAACAGAGAGAAGAAAGGCTGATAGAAGATCAAGGTTGGATGGCGAAAGAAACGTCCGAATGCAACAGGCTTTGAACAATAATCCGCAAATTCAAACAGCCAGGGCACTTTAAATCAAGCTTATTCGATGAGAGTGTCCGACGAATCTCAATCTATGAGGCCATCTTAAAAATCCTGTAGTCTCCAATGAAAAGGCTAATTCAAAATCCGAAATCGTGCATCTCTGAAAAGGCTTTCCGCTTGAATTCTAGATCATGAAAATAACGGTGCTCCCTCAATTTGGCTGCAAAATTCTATGTTCCCATTCCGCAAATTATACAAAACTTTCAATATTTCAAATATTCAAATATTCAAATACTCAAATATTCAAATGTATGCGTTCTTCATGATTTAACCGTAGCCCTCTATTATTTCAATAAAATTTAGTTAAACTCTACAACAAGACAAAATATGGGTAATATTCGTGGGTTCTTGGGCTCCCCTTTGAATGTGATCGCGTAACGTTCCTTGCAGAAAAAGGCTAAAACTGAAAACTTGATTATGTAATAGTCATGCAAATTGAATGACCAATATCAAATTATTAGTCCTCTGAAATATTGAAAGGCTCCAAATTTTACGGTATGGACTGGGGTCAACCGACCACATACGGATGCGGAATATGAGTAATCCGCATTTAAACGACTTTATCGGACATTCTCGGTTTTAAAAGAATATAAATATGTCACAGAATTACTCATTATTACGAAGTTCTATCCAATTTGGTTTATTATAATTTAAGCCCTTTGAAAATTCTATTTACAGCTTTCTATAAATACTGTATAATACCTCTTTAGATCTCTATGTCAAATATGTCAAACTTTTTACAAAGAATTTTAAGAAAGTCTAAAATCGAAATAAAGTCTACCGACTCGGATTCAAAAGATTTTGAATCCATAGATTCATTGGATACAAGAAGCACAAGGACTTCATCCAGGTACGCAAAGACAAACCAAGGTGATAAATTACTAAAGTTTAAATCGCCCAAACCTAAAACTACGGAACCCAAAGTAAAAGAGTTTACTAGAGGTCCTCTTAGTTCAGGTTTTCCAGCTCCAAGGATATGAACAGATTAAGAACAGGTTTATGGATAATTATTTAGAAACTAATTAGTTGCCAATGTATGTTTTCCAAGGTATCTCATGTACTCAAACTCTAAATCTAGACTTCTCTTGTCTCTATGGCTGAAGTGGATTCAGATGGCCCAAGCCACCACCACGGGTTTTTCAAAAAGCTTTTTTTTGAAAAAATTATGAAATCTTGCCACAGGAGTTACATTTTCTTTTTAGTCGTAAATGAAGGTGACTCTCCAATGGTTAATTCGTTTGCAAATTGTTTCATCATCGATTTTTCAGCCTCATCGAACCCACCATAGACTGGCTAGGTGCATGTGCTTATAAAATCACAATTGCTTCAAGATAAGCGATTATTGTAAGATTGTCACGGATTGTTGCACATATCCATTTAATTCACAAGCAACCTAATCAATCATCGCAACATACACTATGCTTACCTGAATGAGCGAAGGTATGCATGCAAGATCCATCATTCTGTAACCGAAAATCTTTCGTACAGCTACTGAATTAGCTGTTGTTTTTTTTTAAGAATCTTTTTTTCTAATTATCTGCAAATTTTGCAATTCTACACAAGAACATTGCAGACCAAGTTAAAGTAAAGAAAAAAGAACAAAAATTTTGAGGGAACATAAGGTTAAGATTCAAGTTTCCACAAGAAACCAATCGAATCTCGTCATTCAAGAGCCAAGTAAATGAGGTGGAGACAAGCCATCCCCATCTTGCTAGCTAAAAAAGCATCACTACTTTTCGCAGCCAAAAACTCCATTTGGCTATCAACCTCTCAGAACCCAAAGAGAGAGAGTACCTCAGGATTTCAATGACAGATAGATTGTTATGCTGACCTCCATTTAAAATTCAAGTGATGTGGTTTCAACACCCAGAAACCAACGATGTGAATAATGGTCGACTCACCTGAAAAGTGGATATTATAATTGTAGAGTATTTGAATGGACTAAATTTACATCTGTGAATACCTCCAGTGGCATATCTACTCCAGTAATTTAGGCTTGTGACTAATTTCAGGAAGTTTCAGCGGATAAATGCATTAAAGATGAAACAAAAATTTTTACTTTCTGGTTTAGATCTCTTAAATAAGGTTCTTTGTAATTAATCACAAATCGGTTGTATAGTGTAGTGGTTATCACTGTCGGTTTTGAAATCAAAACCTCCGACCAACCCCGGTTCGAATCCGGGTACGACCTATTTTTTTTCAATATGAATTAATCACAAAGACCCGAGGGAGGGACATGAGCATACCATGAAGAGTGAACTGTCTTTTATTGACCTTCCAAGGTGAGACAAACTTTGTAAGAGAGGAGTTCATGCTAGTGGGGATGTTTAATTTATTCGATCAAAATTCAAATCTTTCTCCAATTTAGATATGAAAATGCGCAGAGATTGAAAAATTTTCAGATATAATGTCAACTATAATTGGAATTTCATTTGGTAATACATCATCAAGTATTGCCGTTGCCGATAACGAAGGGAAAGTCGAAGTTATTGCTAACCCTGATGGGGACAGATCGATTCCTTCAGTTTTATCATACATTGGAGAGGATGAATATCATGGGCAACAAGCTAGAGCTCAATTAATCAGAAACTCTGATAATACCATCATCAACTTCAGAGATTTCATTGGTAAACAATTCGAAGAAGTTAATGGTGAACTCACCAAAGACGGATCCAAAGTTGTCAAAACTGAAGACGGAAAATGTGGATTTAAAGTCAAAATTGATGATAAAGAAGAAATTTTATCGATTGGTGAAGTTACCAAAAGACATTTAAAACAATTAAAACTCGCTGCCGAAGATTACATCGGTAAAGTTGTTGAAGGATGTGTCATCACTGTACCAACTGATTTCAATGATGCTCAAAGACAAGAATTGACTAACTTGAGTAATGAAATTGGATTGAAAGTCCATCAATTAATCAATGAACCATCCGCTGCCTTATTGTCATACTTAACCAACAACGAAGAAGAATATTTGAAAGACCAAATTTTTGCTGTTGCTGACTTTGGTGGTGTCAGAACTGATGGTGCCATTGTATCAGTAAGAGGAGGTATTATGACTATTTTAACCACATTACATGACCATTCATTAGGAGGTGATTCATTTGATTCATCATTGATGGAGTTCTTCGCCAAAGATTTCGAAAAGAAATTCAAAGTTGATCCAAGAAAGAACAAAAGATCATTGGCCAAATTGAAAAATGAAGCTATTACTGTTAAAAAGACTTTATCAAATGTTCAAACTTCCAGCGTTTCAATTGAATCATTGGCTGAAGGTTTTGACTATCAAAGTAGTATCAATAGATTGAGATATGAATTGACTATCAGATCTACTTTAGCTAAGACCACTTCATTTGTTGAAAAATTAATCGAAAAAGCAAAATTATTACCATCAGAAATCAACAAGGTTTTATTGGTCGGTGGTTCATCAAATACTCCTAAATTGTCCAGTGAATTATCATCAATTTTCCCACCTTCAACTGAAATCATATCCCCAGCGTTGGACTCAAAAGCCTTATTACCAAATGAATTAGTTTGTAGAGGTGCTGCCTTACAAGCCGCTTTAATTGAATCTTTCGATGAAGATGAAGTAAAAGAAAGTTTACAACCAATCGTTGTTAACACCCAACACTTGGTAAACTCCATTGGTATCAAATCCTCAGAAGGGAAATTTATACCTATTTTAGTAAATGAAACTGCTTACCCGATCAAAAAATCTATTGAAGTAACTAACGGCTCAAGTGAATCAGTTTCAATTGAATTCTATGAAGGTAAAAAAATCGTCAAGGAAACTATTTTAGAACCAGTGAAACAAGTTTATAGTGACGGAGAAGAGTTCAGTGACGATTCCGACGAAGAAGAAGAACCCGAAATTATCAAAGAAGCTGTTGAAGAATGTGGTACCTTATTAGGTTCTTTATCATTAAAAGATTTGAAACCAGATTCAAAATTAGAAATTATTATTAATATCACTCAAGACGGTAAATTGCATTTATCTTCAAGAGAATTGAAGATTGGTTCGGTTGCTACCAAAGTGGAATTATCTTTTAAATAATTTTATAGAACATAAAGCCAGACAAATCGAGTAAATTTCCCGCACCTTATCTATCGACCCGCACTTTTCTCTTATCAGATTTTCGGAATTGTCAATATAAATATGGAATCAATCCCGACTCCGATTCAATAAGTTTTTACAACCCCAAAAGTATCCTTAAAGAACTAAAATTTGCACCATCAAGCCATTGAAATGTTAACAGATGATATTATGAATGAGAATCTTTCTCACAGTATTCCTGATGAAACTATTGATAAGGAATTATTCCAATTAGTTAAAAAGATTGAATCCAAGCCGGGATTCGATTCCCAAATTAAATTTGATGCTACCAAACATCTTAAACCTTATGAAATCAAGAAGAAGTATACTTTCAAAGATTTCGGTATCGAAAAGACTCACGTAGAGCCTGTCAGTGAAATTGCTGCTACTGATCCTTTTGATTTTATAACTGAAGAGGCTGTCGATCTCATGAAATGGGAGATCTTCCATGATAAGAATATTGTTAAAGAATTCGGTAGAGCAACAAGAGGTAAAAGTAGATTACAATTCCAAATGAGTGGATTCTTCGACAAGTTGAGATTCACTAAGGAATTATGGACTAGTAAAGAAGTTCAACAGAGATTCAATGACATCATGGGAATTGAACTCGAAATGCCACATGTATTCTGTATGGGACATGTCAATGTTTCATTGGCGGACTCAACCAAACCAGAGTTGGATCCTTCAATCGATTATGAAGAATTGTTAGCTCAACAGGATAAGAACGCTGATCAAGTTTCTTCAGCTTTAGATTGGCATTATGACTCTCCTCCTTTGGTCTGCGTGGTTATGTTAAGCGCTCCACCAAACATGATAGGTGGGGAGACTGGAATTAAGAAAGGTGATGAATCAATTTTAAGAATTCCAAATTCAACACCTGGTACTGCAACCGTTTTACAAGGTAGAGTTATCAAACATATTGCCACTAAACCCATCAACAATTTTGATAGAATTAGTTATGTTGTTAGTTTTGTTCCAAAAGATCCTTTGGCCAAAGATAGCACTTGTGCTACCAGTGAAAGACCAGGAGCAACTGCATCATTTACAAATGACAAATTCTATCCTAACTATTTGAGTTATAGATTCGAAAGGGTCGAAAAAAGATTGGAAAGTTTCAGGAAAGAATTGATGGACAACTACTCTAAAGGAGAAAAGTTTGACCAAATGAAATCAGTCAATTTCATTAAGGATATTGAAGAATACTTAAAAGTTTGTTATAGAGATTTCGAAGCCATTAGTGATGAACCTTATCCACCAACATTATTCTCAATTCCTTACTCGGAATTACCTGGGAAATAAGAAGTTGGATGGCGAATTTCTTAGTTTGATACTGGTATTAAATGTATATGAGTTCTAACACTTTCCTCATTCGTAACCAACCTCAGTTGATGAAAAAATTTTCGCAGCCAAGTGTGGAGATTTTACGACAGATTTTGCCCACTTTCGAACACTCAAATCTTGACTGTTCCACGTTTGATTGACCGTCAAAAAAGTTTAAATATATAAACAAATAATCCTGCCAATATCCACGATGGATTTTCAAACTAGCGAAAACACAATAAGATTGAAAGTTATTACCCCTGAATCGCATTATGAACAATAGGCCAAGGCTGTACGTGGTAGATTGCTAACACTCAAGGCTTGGAAACATATGTTTGTTGGACCGAAAAATAACTTCAACAAGGTCGTTCGCCATTTCTCTAAGCCTATAACTAACTTTTCCTGTAGGAGGGGGGACTAGACTGAGAAAAAACTTATTTTTAAACTGGCTATGCTTCTCAAAAAAAATCAACGAAAATTTAAACCGTGTTAAATCACTTTATTGATAATGGCAATTTTTAGAAGTAAGAGTGGAAAAGAAGTTGAGTATCAAACTCACGGTGAAAGAGATTACAAGACTCACACCGCCAATGTACACGATCCAATTTTATCAGCCGTTAATGAAGCTCAACCTTTTGAAGAAGCAGCTGATAGATCATTTGGTAGAAGACCATCATACTTGAGTCAAGATTCATCCAATTTGAAAGACATTTTCGGGCAAAATATCAACCAAAGTGATATGTCCAATCCTACTAGATCAAGAAATGAAAGACCTTTGGATACTATCAGAGGATTCGAATATGCTATCACAGGTGACATGAATTACAAAGATCAATTAGAAAGTAGCAGATTAGGTTGGGGATTCCATGAAGATTTCCCATTCCAGAATTTCTCGAATTCAAATGACCAGCAACAGAATTTCCACGAAAGACCAACCATCAATTTCGATAATCAACCCATGTATAATGCTCAAAATTATTCAGCTAGTGATTTAAAACAAACAAATCAAAAGAAAAAGAAAGGATTATTCGGAAGGAAAAAATAAGGTGTCGAGGAATGTCGTGATGTAGGACTTTTATGATTTTCAATGGAGCTTAGGATGGAGGATTGTTATGATTTAGGATTTCAGGAACTTCAATGATCCTTTCCCCCATTATGGTATTTTAGGTATTTAGTATGTAAATGTTTGTGTTATGTCCATCTTAGGTCTTTTGCCTCTTCTATATGTATGGGAGTGTTTGGGATTATTTTATCAACATCTCAATATTTTGTCCTCTTCAGAAGAAATCAATGGGAAATTGTCAATTTATATTAAGGAAAAAAGCTCGTCTATTTTGGTGTATTGTTTATTTTTTTTGACGACGTTTGTCCTATTGATTTCGAATCAAGTTAATTTTTGATCAAGGTCTTCCAGATCTAAGCTCAAAGATCCCGACGTTTATTGATAAAACCTTAAAATCATCAAAATTCCCCTTTTGTAACAACTTAAATATGACTGTTTTGGATATAACTCCCCAACTTCATACATTCTGACTCTTGTACACTACTGACCTCAGGAACACATTCAGGCACAGTTGAACATTTGCACTACCGGTGTTTGAGGTTTCATTATTTGAGAAATCTGATACAATAAACTCGTTTCATAGTAAAATTTTTCGCCCAGTAAGGTAGATTAAAAAGATCCAATATCATCAGTGGTGTTTAAAGGAACATCATGACCGATATGCAACAAACAGGTTCAATACAAGGGCAAGGACCTGGACAAGAATTACAACCTAATCAGCCCACTAGCCAAAATCCTCCTCAAAATGCTGAAAATCAGGGACAAGTTTATGAACAACCTAGAGAAGTCAGCTTCAATGTTAATGAAAATTATCAAATCCTTGAAGTTGTAGGGGAAGGAGCATATGGAATTGTTTGTTCAGCTGTTCATAAACCAACTAACCAGAAAGTTGCCATCAAAAAGATTGAACCATTTGAGAGATCAATGTTATGTTTAAGAACCTTGAGAGAATTAAAACTTTTGAAACACTTCAATCATGAAAATATCGTTAGCATTTTGGCAATTCAAAGACCCGTAAATTATGAATTGTTCAATGAGATTTATCTCATCCAGGAATTAATGGAAACTGATTTACATAGAGTCATACGAACTCAAAAATTGAGTGATGATCACATTCAATACTTTATTTATCAAACTTTGAGAGCTTTGAAATGTTTGCATTCGGCCAATGTTTTACATAGAGACTTAAAACCATCGAATTTATTATTAAATTCGAATTGTGATTTGAAAATTTGTGATTTTGGATTAGCAAGAAGTATTGCTAGTAGTGAAGACAATTTCGGTTTCATGACAGAGTATGTTGCCACAAGATGGTATAGAGCTCCAGAAATTATGTTAACTTTCCAAGAATATACAACAGCCATTGATGTTTGGTCAGTGGGTTGTATATTGGCGGAAATGTTAAGCGGTAGACCACTATTCCCAGGAAGAGATTATCATAATCAATTGTGGTTAATCATGGAAGTTTTGGGAACCCCTAACATGGAAGACTATTACAACATCAAACTGAAAAGAGCCAGAGAATATATCAGATCCTTACCATTTTGTAAAAAAATCCCTTTCCAAAATTTGTTTGCCAACATAAATAATCAAATCAATCCTTTAGCATTAGATTTATTAGAAAAACTTTTGATTTTCAACCCCACCAAAAGAATCACCGTTGATGATGCCTTAAAACATCCTTATTTAAAATTATATCATGATCCTAACGATGAACCAATAAGTGAGAAAATTCCTGAAGATTTCTTCGATTTTGATAGAAAGAAAGATGAATTGACAATCGAAGATTTGAAGAAATTATTATATGATGAAATCATGAAACCTTTATAGTGTAATATATGTACAACAGGACGTTTTTCCTCTCGTATTGTATCACTCTAAAAAAAGAATGTCGCACTGTTCTCGAGTTTTTGAGTTTTGATTCACGCGTTGAAAGTTGAAAAATTTACTGGATATGCATTTCAAAACACTCTTCATATTTTATTTGGTGTCATTAATCAACTGTCATAATATATTGTTACCACCATACGGTAAACAATGTTTCTTTGAAAACTTAAGAAAGAATGATGAATTGTCAATCAGTTATCAAGTTGGATCAAGAGACCCTTCCAATAGTGAACAACTAAAGGCAAGTTTCTCTATTGGTTCACCAAATGGTCAAATTATAGTCAAAAGAAATGATGTCGACCACGGTGATGAAAATTTAAAAGCTGCCATGGACGGAAGATATCTTTATTGTTTTTCCAATGAAAAATCAAGCAGAGTCGATTTAGATGTTTCATTCAATGTTCATGGTGTTGTTTATATTGATTTAGATAACCCTGATAGTGATACCTTAGATTATGCTATCAAAAGATTGAGTCAATTAACTTCTGACGTGAAAGCTGAACAAAGTTATTTGGTTATTAGAGAAAGAACTCATAGAAATACTGCCGAATCAACCAATTCAAGAGTTAAATGGTGGTCTGTATTCCAAATCATTGTTGTCATTGCCAATTCACTTTTCCAAATCTACTACTTAAGAAGATTTTTTGAAGTCAAATCTGTTGTTTAATTGTAAACAGATAAAATATACATTAGTCTCGAATTTTCCAGCTTATTTCACGAAAACTCCGACCATTCATGGGGTTGTCCCGTATCACGGCCTCACGATCAACCGAAAGTATCTATCAAAGGTTAGATTTTGTGTTTGAAATTTCCTCTCAGTCTCTATCGAAGTTTTACCATGAGCGATTCTCACACCCTGTTCATAGTTAATTTGAAAGTAAGTCGACCTACATGTTCTCTCATAATATGAAATATATGTTTTGTTTCTTTACTAGATGAGACTATTAAGGGTCAAAGACCAGATAGCTACCACCAGAAGCTGAGGTTCCGTTAAAGTAGATTTTTAACGACTTAAAAAAAGTATATATTCGAAAAACTATCAAAATACGAAAATAAGAAAAATAATGAAGAATTCAAAAATCCACAAAAAAGCAAAAGATTTAGGCAAACCACAAGAAACTGGTAAGTATTATCAAGAATGAAGTAACTGCTTTGGAGGAAGCACCACCTTCAAAAGCTTCATAAGTATTGACAGGAGCCGAAGCAACTGGTGAAGTTGAACCAGAGTTTTCAAAACCTGGTGTTGGAACAAAGGATCCAGATACTGGAGTAGTATGATGGGAGTTTTCACCGTCACCTCCATTGTTGTTATTTTCACCACAGTGTTTACAAGGTATGGTAGTGGTGATAACGTTGGTTTGAGTTGAAGTGGTAAAACCTCCTTCACATACATCACATGGGATTGTAACGACAGTGGTGCTAGTCTCAAAAGTCGTAATCGGGTCTGATGGTGGAGTTTGAGTTGAGGTGATGACAGTGGTGTCAGTTTCTGGACTTGGGGGAATGGAGAATGTGGTGTTGGACCAAGGGTATGAACTAGGAGTTACAACGACATATTCAGTAACAGGGACGGAGCCGCTAGTGATGGTGGTCAAATATGTCGTTGGATAGATACCTGGAATAGTAGTGGTTGGAATATCAGGGATACTTGTCGTGACCACAACGTATTCGGTAACTGGCACAGAACCAGTGGTGATGGTGGTAAGGTAAGTAGTTGGTGAGGTACCTGGAAT